CTCTGTCCTCGAAGTGGTGCTACTTCAAGCTGTCACAGTAAGTGGCGGCTCCTGCAGCCAGTGGAGTCAGCGTCTTTTAGGCTCAGCATGCATCAGGGCCTCAGAGGCAGCGACCTCCATCTACCATGGCTAGTAAATGCCTTCCATAGAGCTTATGCGATGACATGGCCTTCCAAGTCGTAACGCCTAGGGTTGTGGATGGATGCAAGCGATTGCTCCAGAGAGCCACCGTGGCTGCTTTCAGGGAAACGAAGACAGCAAGCAGGAGCAGCAAACCGTAGAGCAACACGTAGGCACGGGCTGGGTCGCGCTCATTCCTTCTACACTAAACTGGATCGTCTCTCTAAAAGACTTAGAGAGACGCAGCAGTGTCTCCACGACTGTAAAGCAACCCTGGTCAATTACTAGGCTTGTAGGAGAAACAAGCAGCCAGACGCCGTAGCTGCTATCCGAGTAAATCCCTCACGCAGGTGCCATATTGGGCGCTCCTTCGCCTGTTCACCATCCGAAGTCTGGGAATCGAGGTTCGGATGTTGTCCCATTTTGACGACAAAGGAGGATGCTTCTTCTCTCAAGGCGATAGAGAAGGCGACTGAAGGCATGTAGCTGGTGATGGCGCCAACCTCTCATCATGCTAAGCTGACGCTGGCCAGGATAATCGCCCGCTTGTCGAGATGGACCCACACGTGACCTATGTGAATCCCTCGACGGGTGGGTCGGAGAGGCCCTTGAGGGAATGCTTGGTTCGGATAAAAGTGGGTAGCGCTTCTGCCTGCCCATAACTGGTTGGAGGAAGGAACCCTAGAGGCACCGCGAGGAGCGGCAGCTTCCAGGGGAGGCGGGCATAGGAGTTCTTCCGCCGGAATCGAGGGCATCCGATCTTGGACTCTAGGTTCGGATCTCAGCCGATGCAAGGGCGAGAGATACCCGCTTGCCCAGGGAGGCGGTGGCTCGCATGGGAGACCACTCAGATAGCAGGTAGCAACCCCGCCCCGGTGAAACGGAGAGTAAATCTCTCAATATATCAGCTCTGCCACCTGCTCTGCCCAGCAGTTCTGTCAGACCAGACGTCTTGCTTCGGCGTTGACTCATGTGGGCAGCCTTCATATCCGTAATAAGGTGACAGAATGCCAGCCGGCTGCTGTGGCGAGAGACCTCCCGTGGTCCGCTGACGTTTTAGACCTCAATGAGAAATGGATAACTCCGCGGCATGCCTCCCCTCCGGACTGGACTGGGTTCCCAGGCCTCCTTTTAGAGTCTTCTGCATCACGGAGCTGTACTAAATAAGCAAAACCCTACGCTGTCCAGTACGGGCGCTTCTAAGATGCGTAAATAACTGTGTGGCTGCAGCGACGCGTCTCCATCCACAGGCGTCGGCAAGCCAGAGGGCACGCCGGCAGGCAAGGCATCCGGAGCGGAATAAGCCCCGCATTTGGTCATATAGTGTGGCTCTCACAATGGCTGGGGACGACCTGAGGACCAGTGCTCTACGACGATATGAGCGCGGGAGGTGATCCCAAGATATGCCGACCAAGGATTTCGATATAGCTCCTGCCGCAGGGGATAATAGAACAGTGCAGCGAAGAACAGGTAACCCAAGTATCAAGAGGTACACCTATAATGGCAACCAAGAAAAGTGCTATACATAGTTAGTGATCAATACCCTTAGACAGGAAGCGGCAGATTATATGGCAGAAGAGGAGCGTTATCACTGTCGGCCAATCAAGCATTCTAAGACATCGAAGCTGTGACGATGCATCTACCAGTGAGCTCCATCGTGCATTCTGAAGGGCACGTTGCCCAACTAAGTTAGGGAAGTTCAGGAGATGACTACGTCCTTCTGTCATCATATGTGCCCTTTGTAAATACATGTTTAGCCCAGCATCCTCTGGCGTCCAAAGTGAATGCAGATGTAAGTGAGACTGGGCAAGTATTGAGGAACGCCGGCTACGAGTAGCCCCTAATGTTGGCTAGCCACACCTGGGAGCATATCTGTCTAGGAGAGCTCTATGTAGGGCGAAGAAGATCATTCTTCGCTGGTTGGTCGTGACTTGGAGCTCAGAACAGACAGGGAACTGAGGTGGTGACCGGGTTATTGCTCTGCATCGTCTGTGCAGCCATAGCCAGATCAGCCAGAACGACCCCTCGATATACACGTAATTAGCCTGTGTCTGGATACTAAAAAACTTGAGGCAGCCGTCGCACCCACTGCCCCCAGGACAGAGCTTCTGCATGCATGGCTAGCTACCCTTGTCAGTTCGGTCTACTGGTCCAATAGTCTGGGAACCCTCTACGCCGTTTTCTGGCATGCGATGTATCGCAACTGCTCATAGGAGTAAGCAGCGTGAAAGAGGAATTGCATGTGCAGACAGTATGCTATGCTCGTCTTGGAGGCCTAGGGCTTCTAAAAACGAATTGTTGTGCTGAGCCATACGCCTCATTGCCTTGCGCCGGTGACTGCCTCCACCACCGTCTTCGTTACACTTGGGCTGTACCTGCCCAACAGACTGAGCAGAGATTACAGAAGCTTCTCTAATAATGCACACACGCCGCATAAGGTCTGATGATAGAGTGGACACCGCCTGTTTGAGCTGTCTGCTATTGATGGAAGACAGCACTTGGTTGCATCAGAAATGCCTCTGTTTAAGCATAGAGTCTTTATTGCTGTTCATCCATTAGCTATAGCGATAGCTGTATACCCAGAAAGGCCCTGCAAAGCACTCTACTGCCTTTCAAGGTAAGACACAATCCCCAGACTTATAACTAAAAACAGAAATCTATGCACCAAGTGTCACAAGCCTAGTGTGCTGACCGGCCTAGATTACAGTGCACTCGCCAAGGGCCCGTGCACATGTTTGGATGCCCATTGCTGGTGTTAGACGGGCCTGCAGGAAGGCTTTGCCTCTAGTCGCACTCACCTTATAACACCTAGCCCTTCGTGACACACCTCAACAAAGAATGATGCTATTTGGGCGTACAGGAGGCTATCCGTGCACGGTGGTTCCTGGAGAGCTGGTTCGCACAGAGAAGGTAGGAATGACCAGCAGATTAGTGGGGCAAGGCTAGCGCTAGAGATGCTAATTACAGATCCGAATTGCAGCAAGGACGCACACGGTGTCTTTTTGGCCTCCGACTCTGAAGCATTGTGTCTACAGATAGGTTGGAGGTTGATTTTTGAGTTTGTGCATTTGAAATACCACAGGCTTTCTTGAGTGTTTGCTTGTTATGAATCTTAAAGGTGTTCGGCTATTTGTCGACGTGTGCATAAAGACTCTGTCGTAGAGGTATACTGTGTAACCTGATAACAGGCAGCATGTTTGCTATCCAGCAGTTCCTCAATTGCGTCTTTCCGCAATAGACGAGCCACCAGATGAGGCTCCCACGATTCACATGGTTGATTTTATAGTGCCATGAGGACTGTCGCCTTCACTTTGACCAAAGGATTGGTGTATGCGTTGCACAGTTTGAAGTACTTGCCAACCAAGGTGGCACAATCAGCTCTTGCTCACCGGCGTAAATCCCAAGCACTCAGTGCTGTTTATATGGGTGTTTTTACTAATTCTGCAAGGGTATATCCCATAACTGTACAGTGCAGATAGAAGCCCTTGCCTGCTATAAAGAGGGCCGGCCAGTTTACTACATTCGAGCATTCCTTGTGCACTCAACAGAGACTTGATAGACCAGATCGCTGCGCACCTCAGCGTCTCTGCCTGCAAGCTGCTTTACGACTCTCTCACTGTCTCACCTCCACATGGTTATCAAACTACCAAGCACTTCGTAACGTCAGCTGATTATTTGAGATATCAAGCTTTCGTATAGTGGGTTGCTCAATGTGACATGAAATCTAGAGGCCACTGACTTTCCTAGCTTGCTGTCCATAAACACTACCATCAATCTTCAGTTCAGTTGACCAGCATACAGCCCATTCTTTGGCACCAGGCAGGACCGGTCTTATTGGAAGGCTCTCGAACACAAGAGTGCCTCCGATAGCAACGCTGCGTGCCTTGCCCAAATGATCACTCTCGGCCACGATTCCAGGAGCTGAGCACTCTGAGCCGAGTAGTGATAGCCCAGGTTGTTTACGGTCCCGCTATTCTTTGCCAGCAGGGAGCGGGCGGCCCGACAGCGCTGGCCGCCTCGACGTTGCCTTTTCTCCAGTGTGCGGGATACTCCTTATGTGAGAGACGCTATGGTATGGTTGGCTGGAGCCGGTCAAGTGGGCGGGACCACCGCTCTGAGGGTGCTGGGACACCATTGCGTGCCCGAAGGCTGTCCACTCCAGTGGGACTATCCCAGATGGGGATGGACAGGCACTGGCTCCTAGATGGGTCTGCGGCCGGCGAGGGACGGTCTCTAAAGTGGTCAGTAGGGCCCTTCAGTGCGTGGGAGTCGACAGGGGACAGGCTCATCAATAGTCTATGGTGCAAGCGGGTTGAGTCGTATGACAGACGGCGCCCCTGAGCAGGGGGACAGTCGCAGTGGGTCGCGATAGAACGCAGCCATCCTCCACGGGGCATCGCTCCTGCCGGGCTTCAACAGTGGAATCTCGGGGGAACAGTGTTCGAGGCATGCGCTGGTGACCCGTGGCTCGGGGCTGCTGGACGTCTCATGGCCCGGCCTCCATTGGGTCTGTTCAAGCATTCAGGAGATCCCTAGGCAGTTCCTTGGCAGACATTGTGACTGGCACAGCAGGGGAGTTGGTCGCCAGGAAACCCTCACATCACAGCGAAGAGCGAAGCATGGCCGCCGTGTAGCCACTACTATGGTACGCCTTGCAGCATAAGGGGGAGACCTATACTGATCAATCCATCTCACAGCCGGCCAGTCACAGAAGCTCGGAGCGGCAGGTCATAAGAGTGGAATCGGTACGACTCCACTTCTCCGCAGGCCTGTGGAGGGCCTTCCCTGCCAGTGCGTCATGCAGCACAGACAGATGCCATGAAGGGGCGGACTGGCGAACGGAGCTGCTATATCTCTGTGTGACAGAGCGTCGAGCCACAATGTTCTACGCATTTTTGCTGATCGGCCTCACGCTTCAACTGGCGACAGAGGAGTGCACACCCGTCTCCGGTGGCGGTCCCGAGACCTGCAAGACATGCGGGGCCACCATTGGGGGAGTGAGCTACTGCTCGCAATGCAATGATAGTGGGTCGGAGTCTGCCCCGACGGACGGCAAGTGCACAACAGACAACGCTGTGTGTAATGCAAAGGCAGAAGGAAAGTGCACCACGTGTACGGGAAGCTCCTTCATGTACAAAGGAGGATGCTATTCAAAGGATACTAAACCTGGCAATGCAGCGTGTACACAAGCAGCTGCTGGAGTGTGCACACAAGCCGCGCAAGGATACTTCCTGCCACCCGATGCTGATAGAGATAATGCACATCAGTCTGCTATACCGTGCGGAAGTGAGGAGGAAGTACCAGCTAAAAACAACCACAAGTATAAGGGCGTGCCGCATTGCACTCAGTGTGACACGCCTGACGTAGCAGCCGATGCTAACGCCAAGGCTGCCACGTGCACAGCATGCGAGAGCGGATACTTTGTAGATAATAGTAAAGGAAAGACATGTACAGCATGTGCAGATAACTGCCTGACCTGCACCGACGGGACAGTCAGCAAGTGCAAGTCGTGCACGGCAGAGACGTACTTCTTAGCAACAGAGGGGAGCGAGGGCCCTTGCATATCGTGCGGAGATGCTACTCAGGGATCTGGTGCTTGGAAGGGCGTCGCTGGATGCGCCAAGTGTACTAAGCCACAGAGTGCCGGCCCTGCAACGTGCACTGAGTGCCAGGCAGATAAGTATCTGAAGACAGAATCGGGGACAGCCTCTTGTGTCAGTGCAGAGGAGTGTAAGGATGGATTCTTCCCCACAGCCGATGCACAAGGCAAGAAGGTGTGTGCTAAGTGCAGCGATACTGCCAATGGTGGCATAGAGGATTGTGCAAAATGCTCTCTCAAGGCAACGTCTGCAAGAGCAGGTCCAATGGTTACGTGCTCTGGGTGTGAGACCAAAAGACTGAGCCCCCTTAATGATGCATGTCTGGAGGAGTGCCCTGCCGGCACATATCCCGATAATCGTGACAGTACCGGCATTTGCGCTTCCTGTCACAATACATGCGCAAGCTGTAGTACTAACGCAGAAACGTCGTGCACGGCCTGCTATCCGGGGTATGTGCTGAGTCGGTCGTCTGGTGACGCAGGAACGTGCATAAAAGAGTGCACGGGAGACTTTATGGCCCACTGCAAGGCCGACGGCTGCTCACTGAACGTCGGAGGCTCGAAGTACTGCGATCAGTGCGAGGATGGGTACGCCCCAGTCGACGGCGTTTGCACTAAGGTGGCCAGCACAGCGAGGGATGCCTCCGGATGTAAGGCAAGTGGCGGGAAATGCACTGAGTGTGGGGCAAACTACGCTCTGTTATCGGGCGGATGCTATAATACAAATAAGGTCCCCGGCAACTCTGTATGCACGTTATCCGTAGGCGGAAAGTGTACTATGTGCGTAGCAAGTGGAGCAGATCCCAAAGGACAAGCCTGTCCTACATGCCCTGATGGTTGTTTGAAGTGTACTGGTAACGTCGGTTCTCAGACCTGTTCTTCCTGCCTTTCTGGATATTATCTTTCTACTAATAAGTGCTTTAGGTGCACAGCAGGCGACGGAGCTAGTGCCAACGCAATCACTGGTGTAGAGAACTGCATAAGCTGTGCCCCTCCAACTGGTGGCAATGGCGGCTCTGTTACTTGCTATGTCAAGAACGATGACAGCAGTGGCAGTGGCACTGGTGGAAGCACGAACAAGAGCGGGCTCTCCACTGGCGCCATTGCAGGCATCTCCGTTGCTGTGATTGTTGTTGTAGGGGGCCTCGTCGGCTTCCTCTGCTGGTGGTTTATTTGTAGAGGAAAGGCGTAGGTACTTAGATAGTAAACGCGTCACTAGTGGTGCAGCTGCCTGACAAGCGGGTGCGCCTCGTATACTTCGCCAGCCAGCCTGCAACCGGGAGCAGGGGTGGCCGCTCCCCTGCCCCCGAGCGTGCTCTGCACAGTGCCGTTGACACCGTCATGGCCGGGGACGGCGCACCCGATATTCCGTGTTCGCTCTTGACGAGCTGCATCGATGCGAGGAGAGCAGTCCAGGTAGTGCGCCACCAGAACCAACCATATAGAGAAAACGTGTTTCCGTGGCTTGTTTGCTTCTGAGGACGTTTGGTGGCTTGTGGGAATTGCTCAGACATCCTTATTTTGCTTCGGTACACTGGGTAAGATCAGAGTTTAATGGCAGTTGAGGCAAGCGAGGGCAGGCCCCTTGCTCCCAGGCAGAGTCCAGAATCCGAAGATCGGATGCCCTCGATTCCGGCGGAAGAACTCCTATGCCCGCCTCCCCTGGAAGCTGCCGCTCCTCGCGGTGCCTCTAGGGTTCCTTCCTCCAACCAGTTATGGGCAGGCAGAAGCGCTACCCACTTTTATCCGAACCAAGCATTCCCTCAAGGGCCTCTCCGACCCACCCGTCGAGGGATTCACATAGGTCACGTGTGGGTCCATCTCGACAAGCGGGCGATTATCCTGGCCAGCGTCGGCCCAGCGTGGCGAGGAATTAGTGCCATCACTGGCTTCAAGCTCTCCGTTGCACCTACACTCATCTTGGAGGAGGAAGCATGAGGTTCTTCTTTTGTCATCAGAATGGTATGACGTCCGAACCTCGATTCCCTGGCTTCGGATGGTGAACAAGCGAGGAAGTTCTTAGCGTGACGCCTGCGTGAGGGATTTACTCGGGCAAAAGTTGGCGAACCAACCCTAGTGGAACAAGAGTAAGTCGATGCAAAGCGGATTGTTTTATACTATTCTGTCAACAGATGCATCACCCCACAATTTAGAACGATGCAGTGCTTCCTGAGTTATACCTCTGGCTATTATCCACCAACTGTCAAAGTGTTCAACAGTCTAACCAGTGTCTACAAGAAGACATTCTAACAGAACGATGCTGCAAGCTGATACAGAGCGAACACCACAAAGGATTAAAAAACCGCATGTCTAAGAGAAGCCAACCGGGTCAGAAGGACCAGTGCTCGGCTGGTCCTATGGCGCCTGGTACAGCTGATCCTCGGAACGACTCAGGAGGTGGTAGTAAAACTGTGCAGGAGGGATCTGTCAAGTCTGCCACCGAGAGCACAATAGAGCGGCTTGGGACTCAGCCAATAAGTTCACTTCTTTGGGGGACATCCATACCGTACCTTATCACCAATCTTCTGAACGCTGTTGCCTACTTTTCAGACTACAATATAGCCATTTTTTATACGGGACTCGAAGGCCTCCGTGCTCAGGCTATTCTCTATGGAAGTGACCTTCTCTTTGTTATTGTACCGTGCCAGGCCTTTGCAGGCGTCGCAGTTAACATGCTGAGTCCTGCCTTGGCTGCCAACAAAGTCATCATGGCCAATGTGATTTTCAGCCACTACGTTCTTGCATCTATGTTCTGGGCCGTCCTGATTTGCGCTATCATGGTCCCGTTAGGACATCGATTACTCTCAGGGGTGGACTTGACCTGGGGAACGGAATTTGGTTCATATTACAAGATAATGTTCGGCCTGGGCGTCTTCTTAACTCCTTTTAGCATCGGGTTTGGAAATTTCCTTGCTGCGGAGAATCGCTGCTTTCTGAACATCATGCGCTCTCTCGCCCTCTCCATCCTCTTTGTGCTCTTTGACCAGCTTTACTACTTCTATTTCAAGATGGTATATCCCGAAGGAACCTTTATCTTACACGCCTCTGCATGGAGCTTTGTCACTGCACACTCTCTGGTAGCTGTTTGGATGCTGTTTATAATGTTTCGCAAAAGCATCTTGGATATGCCTCTCAAGGGAGTACTTAAGCTCAATTTAGGTGTCTTTTACAAGTATCCCTGTTGCTATAAGAAGCCTGACCCTTTTGTTTTTAATTGGAAGCTGTTTCTGGGGATTGTTTTAGGGGCGCTTGGGCCCTACTTTGGCATTGCCAGATTGGGCATGCTCCTTATCAACACTAGTGCATCTTTAGGAAAGTATTACACGTCTGAATATAAGCTCCAGCTCAGCAGGGCGTCTTATCTTACTTACGCTCGCTTCCTTGACCTATACGGCTCAGTCACAGAAGCCTTTATTAAAGGATTTTCGGCAGTTGTCTCCTACAATATAGCCACCAAGCGCTATGGCCGTGCTAGCGAAATAATGATGGCAACAGCCCTTTGGAGCACGGTCCTTACTGGTGCCTTAGCTGCTGTGTCCCTGGTCTTTCAAAAGCAGCTCATATCGTTTCTTCAGCCAAACATGAAAAACGTTCTTTCCACCGAGGACTATCTAATTTTCCAATCCTATTTGCCCAGTCTTCAAAAGTTTTTCCAAATGGCAATTTTGTCCTGCATTTGGATGTCTCCCTACTACATTGTTATTATTCTTTCTACAATTGAAAAGAAGATAGCCATTTCCAGCGTGCTTTCTACGACTAGAACTGTAGCATCTATGGTAATGGTCTCAATAACCTCTAGCTTCATTCAGGACGATGTCGACTGCAGTTTCATCCTTGCTCTGGGAGAGGGGGTCGTAGGCGCACTGGGAATTATCTTCTTCGTGTACTACATTCTGAAGTACAAGTATTTCGCCGCTGTCGAGGAATACCGAATACTGACCCATAGCTTAGATGCACAGCTGGGTCTGATAGATGACTTGGAAGAGGACAGGCCTAATTCTGACATAACTAGTAAAATACAGGAAAACACGATGGTGACTGAGCTTGCAGAGTCCATCAGAAACGCCAGTTTCGACGAAATGCCCTTAACGGCACGTTCAGGGGTGTCTGTTACCAGCAATAGAACACACGATACGTTATCTTCCACTCGGCGCCTAATGCACATCAGGCAAGAACTTTTGAATAACCAGGGCCGGAGTAGACCCGTTTCAGGGATTTCCTCGCACTCTCATGCAAGTAGGCTGACAAGAAACCCCATGGCTCAGATTACACTGGCTATTCCAGAAGATAGAGAAGGAGTAATTTACAATGATGAAGACGGGGAAGGAGGCTCTGCCATCAACCAAACTGAATGGGACCAAATACGTAAAGCTTACAGAGACGAACTGGATAACGAGCTCGACGATCTCATCAACTTTGAGAAGAAAAGGCAGAGGCTCAGTGCAGAGGAGCAAAAAGCTGCTCGCTTACAAAAACGGATGGAAGCTATGAATAAGCGAGAGCGATCCCATATGTCTTCTACTCCCAGAACATCCAGGCCATCACGCCATAGTTCTGCAAGAAGTAAGTCTAATGTGTTGGACTAGCTGGACCCAGGCCTTAGTGCAGAGAGAAAAAGTTTCTCATGGCGCTTGCAGATCCTGCCGGGATGTTAAACAAGGGGTCGTGCCGCATAAATAGTTCTTTCTGAGCCTCCACTTCAGCTAGAAGCTCAGGAGAATATCGAGTCTTGTCCTTGTCCAAGCTAGCAAGTCTCAATAGTATTAGGTATCCAGCAGTGGTGTACATGTTGTGATACGCGTCACTAGGCACTCCTGGTTTGTCCCTCATGCCCCTCTTTCCATCTGGTGCCCCTCGATCATAGGAGCAGCGCAACACATACTTATAGAGCGCGTCTGCATCTATGACCATGAAGTCTTCGAACTCCCCATCCCCTACTAGAAGGTATAGACTGCCCATCATCCAGTATGTGTAGCACCCGTCAACGAGTTTGTTGTTACGCCCCGCAAAGCCCCCCTGATTCGTTTGCTTGGCGTGTATGTATAGAAGGAGGTCTAGAACCCTCCGCTCTCCAAGCCTATCCCTAAGAGCAGCAGAGGAACACCCAAGAAGGATGTACAGGCCAGCAAGGCTGCAGAACGTGTATGCACCATGTGATTCTCCGCCAAAATTGTTTGAGCATGATCCCCCATCGTATGCTTGAGCCTGTAAAAAGTACGAAATGAGTGGTTCCCCAAATAGGGCTTTATCTTCTAGTAAATTATAGCAGTACCCCACAGACACGCATGTATATGCCACGCGCATGTCATTCTCTTGAGACTGATCGTCACTGCAGAAACAGCCTAGCGTCTTATTGAAACAGCTGATAAGATAGGAACGCACAACTTCTCTACTCATCAGGCTGTAGTGTCTTGCAGTTGCTGCTGATAGTGTAGCCCCAAAGATGATCAGTACATGCGTTTGGTACCCGCTATGTGGAGCCACAAGGCTAGAGTGAGGGCTAACCCAAGATTGGAGCGTGTTGGCAACACTCTGGTGAAACTTCTCCGCTGTTTGAGGGCTGATGATAGCAAGCGTACAATAAAGCCAATATAGCTGCATGCTCATGGATAGGTCTTGTATGGAGAGAAGAGGCTTCTCAAGCTCCCTGGAGGTGAAGTCACAGAGATCCTTTACGGGGAGAGAAGTTATATCTTCGTTGTGTAAAAGCTCTGCCGTGCAACAAGCATCGATCGCACTTTCTTCCTTTACAGTGTGCGACGAATAGCCTGGGTTTGTGAACATGAATCGTGGCCCCATTCAAGACAGAACGAAGCCTCAGCTCAAGCGAACCAAGTTTAGCGATAAATTGCAAATAGTTTATTAAAAAACGCGGACACCTTGCGTGATACAAGATGGTCTATCTTGTCAACGGAGCCATTTGCGATGGACTTGGGCATTTGAAGATAAAACCCATTGAGGTAAAGCAGCTATACATTTCTGACATAGACCTGCCGTTCAGTCATTCCACCCTACGGCCACTCTTGAAGATCCTCAAGGGATCCGCTCGTCTAGAGCAGCTTTCCTTTGTGCGATGCTGCATAACAGATACCTTGCTGGAAGAGCTGCTTGGTGCGCTGCGATTTTCTCCTTCTCGTGCGCGAATAAGACATTTGTCATTGGAATGTAACAGGCTTACCAACAAGGCCCTTACCTCCCTAGCTCTCTTCATTATTCAAAACAGGCCCCCTATCACAAGATTGAACATAGGAAACTGCATTTATAGCCTCCACTCATTCTCTCACGACTCCACCGTGAGTCTCCTCCGAATAAAGTCGCTACTACAGCCAGTTTGCTTTGAGGCTGACGACTCTGGGCTGCTGTTCATGCAGACGCAACGGAAAGTCCCTAGCTATCACGGCAACACCTTCTCAACTCCTGGTGTCTGCTATCTGCTGGAGAATCTCTTTAAAGCATCATACGTACACTCTACGCTGTTCTTGGAGATGATTAATCTTTGCGGCACACGCACGATGATGACACTCTCTTTGGTACAAAAGCTATTGCGCTTCAATTCTATTGGCTACTTAGGAATGGACCTTTCGGACCTGTATGGGGAGCGGCTTTTGTTTGACAGTAGGCGTACGCTAAGCCTCCTTCTAGGGGCACGGGTCATCCGATGCATTGACACTGAGAGTGGTCTCCTTACCACAGACTCCCAGTGCATGCGTCAGCCGGATCTCTATGTGTGTAACTTTGCTTCCTCGGGTGTATCCGCCTACACCTCTCCGGTCGACGAGAAGAAAGCCCGCAGAAGCCCACGTCTTCAAGTCCAGTCGCATAAAGAGGAGCATAGGATTCACAAACTGGACGCTCTTTCAACTGTACTGGTCAGCGGAGAGGCGGAGAATATCGTTAAGAACAATGATGAAAGTAACAATCAGGCTGTTCCTGTTTTTCAAAAGTCAGTAGACAGTTCCGGATGGATTTTAGACGCGTTTCAGGATACGGTCAACGATGACTTGAGTCGCAATACCAACATGGTCCATTCACTTCAGGCAGCGGTGGCTTTTAGAAATCAGAGAACCGAGCAGAAGAGGGTTGATGACGAGCAGGCTGAGATCACCGATGACGACTACCAGGAAGTCATTATGTCCCCAGAACATGCCAGCCTTCCTGCCTATCCGTTGATAGACCCATCCTTTGACGACAATGATAGTAGCTACGTGGCTCCCGAATTTGTTCGAAAGCTTTTAGCGACTTCTCCTGTTGATGGTATTGTTGAGAGAGGGAGCACGCATAGTTCTTTGTCAGGCTCTGAGAACCTAGGGGTATTGCGAGAGAGGAAAAGTTTGTTGGAGCTAGCTGAGCTGTCTACAAGCGGTCATAGTGTTGAGGGCCAACATTATGTGCCCCCTGAGCATCAGTACGGCATAATTTCTCCGGCAAGTGGTGGCATGGTGCGACGTAGAAATCCTCCACAGCTAATCAATCATGAACGGCCAGACTCTCTCCAGAATGTGAGCAAGAGGGCCATCTCTCTCCCATCAGACACTTATCTGCGGGAGAAAACCCAAAAGCAATCGTCTCCAAACACGTGTCTTCTTAGATTCATGGATCCACCAGTGATACCGCCAGATAATGCAGACGAGTTTCCCTCGTTGGCCCCTTTGTCGGTCGATGTTCGCCGGTCCTTTGTGAGCAGTAGCCGCTCCAGTATTGTGCGGCGTCTCCTTCTGCAGTAGCTTACAGCCGCACAAATTACTTCAAGACAATGTGTAGCTGATCAGCTACACATGCTGTAAATTATTGCGTGGGCAATCCTTGAATTTCCATATACAGGAGACTAAATATCTTCTGTACTTTGAAAAACACTCCGACTATTCATAAAAATCTCATACATATGACTGTTCGTTTTACAAAAATTCAGCTTTTAAATACTAATGGCAAATCTCGTTCTGAACCCGGCCGGGGAGGCCAGGGCGCGCACACAGTATCGCTGCTTCGAGTACCTGAGGCTCCTTGTGGCTGCGGCGGGGCACGCTTTCGACGCGTACGGACTCGGAGACAGCAACCGAGACCGCTACCTCGGCGACTGTATCCAGTGCACAGACATCTTGGAGCTCGTCGTCTGCGCTGCAGGGTGCGCAGCAGCCGGGCCACCCAGCGCGCCCCTGGATGCCGATTCTCCCAAGATGGACTTACACCTGCCAGAGGCCATGGGAGCTAGCGAAGCGGTCCTCCCAGCAGCGGACCCGGCAGAGGCCCACCGTCGCTACCAGAACTACTGCACTGAGATGAACAGGGTGCATCCGGATCCGCTGCACCCCGCGCCCGAACTGGCGACCACGGAGACATACTTCAAGCTCGTCGATCACCTTTTCTCCTCCTTGGTCTATGTGGAGAAGCTCATGGGCACCCCGAAGATCGACTGGAACGCAGACCACTTCACCCTGGACTACAAGCCCTGTCCAGACGAGGTCAAGCTGGTCATCAACCTTGACGCAGAGGCCATTAGCGCCATGGACAACAATAAGGATCTTCAAAGCAAGCCAAACTGGTGCGCAAACAAGGTATGGTACGTCATGATTTTGAGCTTCTTCCTTGGTACATCACTGAGTCTATTATCTCTCACCGTTCCATTCTACTTGACAAATTTAGGAGCCAATGCATCTCAAACGGCCAACGCACAGGCATTTTTCAACCTTGGGCAACTGTTCTTCTGTCCACTCTGGCTCTGGCTATCGGAGATAATTGGCCGCAAGCCAGTTTATATAGTTCTCTTTGCAGGGTACATACTTACTTTTGGATTAACTACACTCACACCGATTATTTTTAAAGCAACAACTAATATTTCCATCAATTCCCAAGAACAGATCAACTATATCCTTGGAATACGCTTCGCCACAGGTATTTTCGCGTATGCTGTCCCCATTAGCTTTGTTACTGTCGCTGATCTCGCTAGCCCCCGTGCGCGTCCAATGGCTCTGATTGCAGTCAATATTGTGACACAAATTGGTACTGGGATAGCTTCTGTGGTGGTTGCTTTTGCCTTCACCACCGGGACCTACGCAAATGATACTGTGAAATCGTTCCTTCATACGTTCTATCTTGCAATTGCTCTGTTAGTGGCCGGCCTCGTTTTCTCCTGCTTCTTCAAGGAGTCTTCTGCAGGCGTTATAGCCCGCAAAGCTGCCAAGAAGATGGGCAAAACGGACTCCCAGGCATATAAGGCCAACGTAAGGCGGGATAGCTTCTGTGTGACATTCAAAGATATTCTGAAGAACAAAGAGCTAATTCTGCTCTGGTTTGCATATGTCTTCCAGATCTTCTGTACTCAGCTTCCTGTTGCCACCCAGAGTTTTCTAATTGCGAAGTTCTACGGGTTTACAAATGCACAACAATCCAAGCAACTAAATGCCCTATCGAACATTGTCGTTGTAATCATCGCTGTGTGCTTTACGTTTGGCTTGACTCGTCTCATAGCCAACAAGATTGGAGAGCTCCGCGTCATCGTCATTTCTATCTACTTTGCAATGCTTCCTTCTTTGCTACGTTGGGCAATAGATCCACCCATTCCCAAGTGGATAATGTTCCTCCCCTTCAACACAATTGCGCTTAGTCTTGGAGATGCCCTCTTCATCCAGTTTGCAACGCTGTATACGACACCGAAGAACCGCGGGACGCTTCTCGGGCTCTTCCAGATCGGAAATAGCATCGGGAGGTTTGGAGGGGCGCTCATAGGTGGTGAGCTCTACAACTGGAACTGGCGCAATGGGTCGATCTTCTTCTTGCTCTATGGCTTTACGTCGCTCCTCCTTCTGTGCTTTGTGAAGCCACCCCTTGAGCAGAACACTGCTGCCCAGATAGAGCAGAAGCAGCGTGAACAGATAAAGAGTCGAGCAGCTGTTTGATTCATGAGGCACATACACGCTGTCCTCGTGGTAATCGGGTGGCAGATGCGATGCTTTAATAGTTATGTTCAATTAGCTGTCCGTTTGTGAATAGTATAACTAGAGTGAATCCCTTTGTTAGACAATATGGTATTTAGAATCGGTGGTGGCTCGATACGACCAGCTGTTCAGGTTTCCTCGTCAAGACAGGCGACCCCTGTACCACATGGATGTGTATGGAGACAATGTAAGAAAAGCGGGATCCATACGTGTCTACATTGGAGAGCACAGTAATCACAAGGTGGCAAAGAGAGAGCGTACAGTAGAAGACTCGTGCAAAGGTTGTGCTGCCCAGAGAATCGGGATTTAATTATGCCGGCTCACAGACACAGCCGATCATCCCTTCGCACCAGTGCTGCAGCGATCGCTTCTGCCACACTCATTGCTGGTGGCCTAGCAGGGCTGGGATATGGCGTTTATCGCATGGTGCGTAACTACCAATTCCATGTTAGCCCCTACAAGGTCCTTCAGCATGCCATCGCCTCTGATGTTGAGAAACAGCAGATACTAGTCCTTGAGGACAGTATTGCACGCACACATTACACCGTCCAGACCCTCAGCACAGATGAGGAAAAAGAGGAGGCCGTTGTACAGATACTCTCCAATGCATCCGTCCGTGCTTTAGCCGTTCCTGTTGTAGTATCTGTCAACACCTTTTTAGCTGTATCTGTTCTATGCTCTATAGAGACCATAGCTAGGCTCAAGAGGCGTAAACTCATTGCACCAGTGCACACAAGCATTTTGATGGAGCTTAACAAGCTTGCCGTTAGTATGGATGCGTTCGGGGTCGTCGAGCAGGAAGTACGAGAAAGCCTCACTGCATATACTAAAGCGAACCTCAGGGTTGCCACATCTCCTGCAGCATTCATGCAGTTTCTCCAGTCTTTCCTAACTACTGAACTCATCGCCATAATACTCTCCCAGCTCCTCACGTCTATCCAGACCACTATAGACGAGCTCAATCCGTCCTCTATCCTCTATCTTCCCCTGTTAATTCTTAAGGACATACTTGTCGAGAATGCTGCGGATCCTCTTGCTAAGGCAAACAGCTTCAGTGCTTACATTGTAGAGATGGTCACGACCTTCTTTGACAACGTAAGCAGAGAATTCACGGACCTGATAGCGTCAAAGGCGGGCTTCCAACTCGCATACTACACTCGTCCGCTATTGTCTCTAAACTTCACCCGATACTTTCCATCGATAGATGAGAGCTTTGTTAACTCCATTTACCTTATGACCAAGACAAGGCTAAATTGATTACCAGGCTTTCCCCGACTCAACTATGCACAGGCCACATGCTGGGATTGACACTAATTGATTCACTTACATCTACTTCCCTTGTTGCACTACGCTCTCCTTCAAAGCCGCTAAAAACTTCTGTAGGCTGACATCATCGGTGGCGACAACTTCACCCACTGCTTCTGGCTGACCTCCGTTCCCGAGTGTGAACCCTCCTAATGTCTGGTTGCTTTTATGTGTTGTAGTTGGATTCACGCGAGCCAATAATATGCGTGCCTGTGACGTTCCCTGGTCTGCGTTATCATACCGCGGCGATGGAAAGCGTTCGTTGAGTATATCCTCCACTTCATAGTTCGGCGCGTCTAGCAGCGTCGCGACGTTCGCATATTCTGGCTTGAGATGGTACTCGGCTTTACGCCACGCTGCCACAGATGAACCCGTCCAAACCAGCACGTTGAAGAATGAATCAAATAGCAAGATTCGATCCTGAGTAGCCTCACTGGAATCTAGGAACACTGGTGTTGGTTCGGGGTTTGTCACTGTGTATGCGTAGAGAACCGGCTGCATCATGGTCAGAACGTTTGCAGTTGTTTGCCTTAACAGCTGGAAGCGCTTCATCGCTGTTTCGTCAGGGGACTGTCCAAACAATTGTATAAACTCTGATCTTCTGAAGTGGTAAAGGAACTGTGGGAAAAATTCGAAGTTTGGCTGAAATACAAGTGTAGCAGCATTCTGAAGCTGATAGGACGAAAAAGCCTGTGAAAGCTTGATAATTGACCTGTCTATATAGCGCATAACTTCGTCTGTAGTGATTCCGGGTCGATGCATCAAGTTGAACATTGTGATCTTTGCTAGCACAACTGCAGCAGCCTCTTGGTCAAACTCGGAACTGATTTTTGCCCAATCTGAAAGAGGATTGGCCCCTTGGAAGACGTACGTCGTGACCCTCAAAATCTGGTCTCCAGTGACATTATCAATGTATAAAGTGCGGAATTGAACGGGTATGTAAGCGGGAAGAGTCAATGCCATCGCATTCTTCGGGTCGTGATTAGCCTCATAGCAAAAGCAGAAGGTGCTCTCAGAGTCTATGTGGCTTGCCAGCCATCTGTTCGTAAACCCGTGGCCAATCTCATTATCTTGTCCTCCTAGACTTAGCACCTTCGAGCCTCCCTCATAGAATGTGCCTGCAACAAAGGCAGGATTGCTACATGTGGGGGCCTGCTGAGAGCCCTTTGTGCTCACAGTAGGAGGAAGCGGGACGACATGTCCAACACACCCTGTGATTTTTCCTCCAGAACCGATCGATGCCTCGATAATAGCGCGGGACCCAAACTGAAGTGGGACAAGCTCTGGCTCATCACCCTCCTCCTCGTCCTCGTTAATCTCGCCTCTACCCGTGGTCTCCGTTTCCTCTTGTCGGGCAGCCTGAACAAGTTGATCAAAGAAGCACCGCCAGCTTCGTACAAAAGCCTGATAGCTGTACGACTCAGAGATCATCATATGCCCACCAGTCATGCTAACCATCTGGTACATCTCATAAAGACCAACCTGCTCCACCGAGCAGCTGAAAACGTGGTAAGATATTCCATTTGTTGCAGCACGTTCACCTAGAGATGTGTAGAAACGCTGGGCATCCTTCACGTGCTTAGCTACGTCTGTCTTCTTCTCAATGTCCGGCCAGTGGCGCAAGTGCATAGAAAGATCGATGTCTACAACGGTTCCGGGTCCTGCAGTACATGGGCCGGAAGTCAATAGAACAACACGCCCTGCAAATCCTGTCGTTGGTCTCACTGCTGTGGCGTTTGTGGTGTCCATAGTAATTGGTATGCCTGCGGGAAGAGATAGGCTTTGCAGAATAGAAGTCGCAATAGATAGAGCGGCCCCAAGGCATCTGTGAGGTCTGCACTTGGGAGGGGGCACCCACGGGTCCTTCATAAGGTCTTCCAGTATCTGAACCAGACTGTTCTGGCACAAGCTCAGAGGTTGCAAGAAACGCTGGGTAGTTGTTTTCAATCCAAGATACTGCTCTAGCTGCGCGGGGGGAATATCCACAAGACCCCTAAGGACAACTTTTCGAGGACAGAAGTCAAATACCAATTCATGAACAGTAACAACAGAACCGAAAGAGACCAGGCAGATCTTGCTGTTAGAAGGAAGAACATCTACAATCCATTGAAGTGACTCCTTCATCTTTGCAAACTGCTCGGCATCTTCGCAGCACGTGTCCACAACGATAGCAAAGATGGGGGCATAGTCGGGAGCAACTTGAGGAGTGGCGTGACCTCCTGCGGCCGCTTGAGTAGCCGAAAGGTTATATTCGATGGTCTTGTAAACGTCATGGAGCTCAGCTGGACGGTACTCCGGGGTAATCTGTGCATAGCTGGGGGGCAATGGTTGCATCAGTGAACAGAAAGAACAAACGTAGCTCTTCTTTTGATAGTCGACGTATGTGAACGGGGAGAGAACGGCAGAGCAGCCTGAACACCTCACGGGTGCATACGAGGCACGGTAGGGATTAGCCACCGCTTTGAGTGGAGTATATACGAGTGAAAGGGGAACGCCGAGCTTGGTCGAGTCATGGCGCATCTGAGGCCACACCCTCCAAGGAGCGCGTATCCCTGTCTCGTCTTCTACACGGACGACTGCATCGGCAAAGGACTCCGCCGCCTCGGCCATCGAAATATTTTAAGCCCCCGTAGGCGAAAACAGTCCCAAGCAGATAGGGACCGATCCGTGACACGCAGGGCACCTTGTTTACTCTGTCTCTTGCTCCTCAGCAAGCTGGTAGGGTACATTATATTCTGGGATCTCTATGTCCCCGGCCTTCACCATCTCCGTGATCTCAGCGGGAGAATATACAGTGCCCTTGTACTCCACCTTGCAGCCAACGGAGCGGGCAGAACCCAGGACCTCGAGGACCGTGCCGGCGTACTTCAGAGCGAAGGAGTTAGCGCGGAGCTCCTTTGCGATGTCTAGGACCGTGTCGAACTTCACTGTGCCTGTGTGCAGAAGGGGCTGACCCTTGGGAATCGTGCGAGGACCCTCGCCCAGAGCCTTGACAAGAAGCGAGGAGGCTGTGGGCACAACAGAGACTGTCGGCTGTCTGTTCTTTGAGACGATGCGGACTTTCACGCGGATCCCCTTGTAGCCTTGTGTAGCCTCGTGGATCTTCTCACCAACAACTTTGGGCGGAAGACCGTAGGGCCCGATCTTTGGACCAAGGGCATTTGGCGCGGGGATTATCCCGCCCTTGACGCGCAAATACAGAACTATCTCTGCGTTAGGATCAGCTCTGGGGGGCATTGTCGCCTGGAAAACTACCACTCTGACATAATATCAAATTAAAATGCTTTAACTATAATTTATATTATTAATTGGACAAATGAAATAAAGACGTAAAAAGTGTCTGGGCATACTCCCCACTCCATGGATGCCTCTGAAAACCAGCCCTTGAGAGACCTCCCCGAGGCGTACCGTGCATTCATTACCCTTTCAATCACGGATATAGTTTCCATCTTTACAATCTCCAAGATTGTTCAGGAGCTCTCTGCAGAAAGCATAGTGGAGCGCGGGGACTCTGGCCTGGGCCAAGTGCTTAAGTATCTCAGCTACCAAGCAGACCTGGGTGCAGAGTACTTCAAGCTTGTCTCCAAAGAGTATCCACCAAACGTGCCTGTCACGGCTTATGATGTGTTGTATGTCCGTGCCAAGGCAATGTGTCGCGGGTACACGTGCATGGGTGCCCTGGTTTATGATATCTTTCTTGTTTTTTCTCACTACAAGTATGTTTCTGCTCTGTTCAAACTCTCGCTCGATATTCTTCCCCGCATCGTGAATCTTTTCTGCAAAAGCCTTGGATCTCTTCCTGTTGTTTCTCAGGTGCTTTCCCTCTATCCTCTGTTTGAGTTTTCCCCCGAAGTCTTCAAGGAGATCGCGTCCTCCATTGATGTTGCCTTCCTTGCCCAGCTTCGAAAGGGAAGGGAGCATAAAACTAATTTGGAGCTCTTGGCAGATTATCTTGAATCGAGGGACGCATTTGACGCTGAGCTGGCAACCTTGGAGCCATCCCTCAACCGGTCTGTGCGCTTTGCAGGGCCAATCGTTCCAATTGAACATCAGCAGGCGCTCATCATGCTTCTGCAAGAGTTTACAGAGGAGCAGGTCAACGAGCTAGAGGACTTCTTGCTCGACACGGCGGGGCTTGAACTGGACGGAAACAAAGACCTCATACTGGACTTTTCTGCCATTCCTGTCGACAAGATGCATATGGTATGCGAGCAAATCTTGAAAATTTCAACCCAGGACCAGCAGAAGATCTCTGCACACAGGGTTCACGTGCTAAAGACGCTGGTTCTAGGTATGAAGTAGGTGGACGGAAAACTATCGATGGTAAGCATAACATCTCCGTTCGATTAAATACGGGATGAACGGAATGTATAGGGTATTAAATATGGCGCGCTATACATATCTTCTCGCTTCCGGAGCATGTAATTGCCATATATTGATGTGGCAGCTATCTTAGCGAGCTCTTCTTCACTATACAAGAATTTTGATTCAGCACAAGGCTGCTGGAAGTTCTCAGGGTGAACAAGCACCAGTGTCTCGCCACCAGGACCCCTTTCATATCGAAACGTGGGCTCAACTGTGATGGGGCGGTCAAAGGGGGATTCCGCCAAATTGGGCTTTGCAGCTGCCGGGTTCATTTTATCGTCTACCTTGTCCTTTGCATGGGTCATCTCGTCAATGAAATCAGAGTCCTCGAGCAGTTCGTCGACGAATGTCTTTGGATCGTGTGGCTCTGCATCGTCCTGGTCCGCATCAGCGCATGCGTTAATGCGTGAATCATTATCACTGTCTACTTTCATTTCTACTCCCACTTCTGTACCCTTTCGGGGTTCATCTACGTTATCGACGTTTTGCTTACTAACTCTATCTGCAAATGCAAGAAGTTGTCGTTCTGCTGCGTCGAGTTGTATCGCACACCGATCGTCTCTCGGAGGAGTGCAATCGCGTGTGCTCCATCGATGCCGCACTTTTACCGGAGACCCTTGCTCTCTGTTACGCATTGTGGATATGAAGTTAGCGTATGCTGCTTCCGCTGCGTCCATGGCCTCTGCTGCCGCGTGTGTGGACGGAGGGACTTCATGGATGAGGTCTGGGTGAGCTGCAAGCCACTTGTTCTCTTTTATAAAGTCCCTTGCAATCTTCTGCTTTTTGCGCTTGATCACAGGTGGGTTATACATCCACTTGGGGTATACGGCGTTAAGGCAAATCCCATTTGAACCACTGTTGAACGATGTATACCGAGGAAGACACCCTATAGAGTGCGCACGGATGGTGCTGCTGTTCTGTGATGACAGAGCTATCGAAGGTGCATCTGCAATGAGCGCATTCTGGTACATTTGGCTCCGCCCGCTTTTTATCTGACTTGTCCATAGTTTAATTTGTAATATTTGAATATTTTAATGCACGTGTCGAATCGAAGTAAAAAAACCGATCTATGCTCTTGGCTCTCTGCATCCTGGTGGCCACGCTCGGCCGCTTTGTCCAGCGTGAGCGCGTCGGGCCGTCTACCCAGCTATTCATCGAGAATAGGGTCGATCACTTCAACCCCTTTAATCAGGATGTATTCAGGCAGAGATACTATTACAATTCAGAATTCGTTAGAGACGGCTCGCACGTGGCCATATTAGAGATAGGAGGAGAAGGGGAAATCAACTCTGCCCCTGGTGGCACAAAGTCAAACCCGGATATCCTGGGGAGAATAGCGGACAACTATGGAGCGCACATCTTTGTTCTTGAGCACAGATTCTATGGCATATCCCATCCTTTCCAGCATACCTCAGAGAAGTACGATGTCGGAACTGACAAGCTCCGCTATCTCTCCAGCAAACAAGCCCAAAGCGACCTCCTGTACTTTATTTCTGTTATGGATGATAGGCTATGTCCAGCTAACAGCAAGGACGGCTCCTTCAAGCGCATTGAGGGGCGTACATGTTTCCAGTGGGTTATCGTCGGAGGCTCCTATCCGGGTGCGGTGACGGGTTGGATTTACCAGCGCCACCCCAATCTCTTTGCAGCGGGCCTGAGCAGCTCTGGCGTCGTTAATGCACGCTACGAAATCCCAGAATTTGACACACACACGCTCATGGTTCCCGGTGCACCGTGTTCTGACGCACTCTACCAAGCACAGCACGAGGCTACGCGCCAGGTAGAAGCAGGAGAAGACAACATAGTTTATGAGAGGCTTGGAATCCGTACAGACGCAGACAAGAGCGATATTCACTACTTTATTGCAGACACCATGCTTATGTGCTTCCAGTACGGGAAATCCAAGTCATGTTGCGACAGCCGCTTGTCAAAAGCATGGGAGGGGCACGGAGACATCTTAGACGCCCTTGTGGACTACTTGTCAACCTCCTCCTTTGACTCCTACGACTCCATCAATCTAGCCTCCGACACGGCCAAGCACTCAGATGCCTTTAGGCAGTGGTGGTGGCAGACGTGCACAGAAGTCGCATACTACCAGCCTGCGCCACTGATCAATAGTCTTCGCTCGGAGAAGATCACTACTCAGTGGCACCTCGATATGTGCAAAAAGATCTTTGATGGCCTGGACCTGGGAAACCCGACAATCAAGACCAACGAATTCTACGGCGGCGAGCACGTCAAGGCTGACGACGTCTTCTTCAGTAACTTCTGGCAAGACCCTTGGCACATGTGTAGCATGACCGACGACATGGGCGGCCAGAAAGATAATATCGGCTTTATCCGTTGCAAGGATTGCGGCCATTGCGTAGATCTTCATCTGCCCCAGGAGACAGACCCCATAGAACTGGTAGAGCTTCGTGACAGGATTTATTCTTTCATCGTGGAGCGCGTGGACTCTATTCTTAATAGGGTAGGGTAACTTACTTCTCCGCAGTAAACATTGCCTTCAATTGTCTTTTCTCAAAGTCTGCAGGATTAGGTCGAAAAAAGTGCATGACCACCCGGGCCCAGAGACACCTTGCCAGAGAGTTCCAGGCGTATGAGCGAGATCCTATACCAGGCGTATCTATTGGACTCAAGGGGGATTCGCTCTTCCTCTGGACTCTGATGCTACAAGGCCCCCCTGGTACGCTTTTCGAAGGCGGACTATTTAGAGCAGAATTGCGGTTTCCTGATAACTATCCCGATCAACCACCGAAGTTCGTCTTTATCACTGACATCTTTCATCCCAATATCTACTCCGACGGCTCCGTCTGTATTTCTATTTTGCATCCTCCTGGACCAGACCCACATCAATATGAGACGGCAGCTGAGCGTTGGTTGCCAGTTCATACCGTCTCTAGCATCATTCTTTCAGTTATCTCCCTCCTCTCCGACCCCAACTGCAAGAGCCCTGCAAACGTCGACGCTGCAAAGCTGTATACAGATGATTACCCCATGTACAAAAAGCGCGTCTTGACGTGTGTGAGACGGTCGATGGAGGAGTAAATGAGCCTCTGCATTTACTTGCTTTACTTGCGCGCAGGTGCGTACTCTTCAGGGAGTAGGACGTGCATGATAATTTGCTCCGATGCAATCTTTGCACCGTCCCAGCGTGCCTTGAACGATTGCTGAGCCTCCTTAGTGCCCAGGTTGATGTATGCGTAGCCCTGCTTCCGGCCATCGATCCTATTGAGCGGAAAGCTCGCCCTTTCTAACCTGAGACCAGCAATTGCAGCACGCAAGGAAACAATTTGCTCATTTTCTGGTTCTGGTTCTGGCTCCGGCTTGTCACTCTTGTTGTCAGCGGCGGTGGTAGCCTGGCTCTCCTGGCTCTGAGGCTCCTGTGCTGGCTCACTACTACGCGTCAGGGCCTCTTTCCGTTCTTTCTCGATGCGGACCTTCTCGCGCCAGGTAAGCTGATCGAAATTCTCAGCTGTTGGTGCTTGCTTGACGGTTCCCTCGCTCTGCAGATTCTTGAGCATGACACGAAGCTCCTCGCAGAGGCTGTCCACAAGCTTCTGGAGGTTCTCGCGAGTCCAGAAATGAGGAACAGGGTCCAGCTTCAATGAATAGGTCTGCTTCTCTACATTATTCTTCTTGCTTGGAGGCACGTAGATGCCGCCCTTCTCCGTGATAATGTCCCGCTCGTAGGTCTCCTTTTGAGGACAACAATAAGTGTAGTGATAGCCCCCACAGTTGTTGCATATAACGTGCGTCGCCTCCATAGATGCAGCCATAGCAGACGAAGCGAGCTGCTGCTTCTGAACACTCTCCGAATTCAGATTGAGGGTGATAGGACGCTCCTCAACTGAAGCGATTAATGAGGTAAGGTCAGCGCTGGTTGCAGAGCCGTGAGGCTGGTAGTACTTAGTGCTCTTTGATGCCGGCTTGGCGATCGCATCTTTGCGAAGGAGCACCCTGGTGGGGACTTCTAAGGATACGTTCATTCGCCGCATCCTCTTTGAACTGACTGAGACATTCTCCTGGTCTTCCTGGAAGGTAAATTCATTGACGAAAAAGATCCCGTTCTCGTCTTCAGGGCCTGTGATGGTACGAGTCCGGCAGGAATCTGTACTCATCATCTTCAAAATACTTCAAAAAAGTGTTATGCCAATATGGCATAAAATATTAAAACTGTGGAAATTTCATTCTGAATTTCTCATTGAGGTAACTTAATAGTTACAAACTGCAATCTAAGACATCTCACATGTTAGCGCTATTGCTCTTTATTGTCTGCTGTGTTTCCCATGATCCGAGTAACATGGCCTTTTATATTGACCCCGATAAAATCACATTTGAGACAATTCATGAAAACACAAAGACCCTGTTTTCTCTTTTCAACAGTCGTTTTACTTTAGACTATCCCTCAGATGAGGCTCACAACAAAGCCTTGCTGTCTTTCGCGAAAAATCTAGCACACCACAATGCGACCCATGCGAGGGACACGGACCACCTGGACGAATTGTTGAGGTATACAGATGGATATGCAACATATGGGCTGACATCAGCCTTTGCCAGAGACCCAACTGAGCCCATGAAGGGATTTGTCCAGGACACCGGTGTCCCCGAGTACGACTTGAGCAGCTTTAAGGACAGAATACGCTCAAGATTGAATCTGTTCAAGGAAGCAGCCGCTTATCAGCTCAAGGTCATCTACTCTGCACTAGTGTCGGCTGCACTTCCGGCCCCTCGAAGTGGATGCACTACGATGTACATACGGCAAAACCCCCTTTCTCCTTTATCATCGATTCCGTTGTCTGCGGATTTGCGCGAATTCGAGGTTATAGGAAAGGTTCGCAACCAGGGGGTCTGCGGGTGCTGCTGGGCAATGGCCTCAGCTGTCATGCTAGAGGGTATGACCCGGTCCACACAAAGTTACTTTAAAGACAAAACGGAAGTTGACAACACGTTCAAAGATGTAGACCTTATTGTTTCCGAGCAGTACATAATGAACAACTCTCGCAGCTCTATCAACAACTTCTGTGAAGGTGGAAACTACAGGATCACATCGATGGATTATGCCAATGAAAACATAGTTAAGACAGTGGAGTCTGAAAAGAATTTTCCACTAGAATCGACTCACTTGGAGAAGAATCCATCAAGAATTGACGTTATAGCTAATTTCAAAGTGTCCAAGGCCTTCTTGCCTTACAACACAGAGACAGTGACAGGGACCAACTGCAAAAGGTCTATCATTAAGCTGCTGGACAAGATGCAGACCTCGTCGCCAATGACAAACGGGGCCGTCAATCAAATCAAGTCTTACCTTGCACGGGGGATCCCTGTTGCCGCGGCCATGTTTACGGGGGCAGACGGGCCTCTGTCCTCACGAGACTTCAGCAACTACAAGGGCGGCATTTTCAATAAGCCGTGCAGCAAAACAGGGCTTGACCACCAAGTCATGTTTGCGGGATATGGATATTACCAGGGAGTTGAGGTCTGGGTCATGCGCAACTCCTGGGGAGAACAGTGGGGGTCATACGGCCACTTCTACACACCGATAGGCAACAACGTTCTTTGCTCTGAGACGTACGCATATACAGACATACCACAGTACTTTCCATTAGACAAAGCTGATAAGGACAAGCCATACACAGAAAGGCAAAAAACGAAAGCTTCTACCTACTGGGCGAGAAAATTAAAACGTGGAGATGGTGTAGCCCTCGACTCAGACCCCTCTACGATACCACCAGCCAGTCCAGGCAATGATAATGACATATATGTTCCGAGAGGGAAGATCATTTCGTCTTCAAGCAGTGGAACTAGTAGTAGCAGCAGTAGCACTACTATCACGGGCAAGTTTAAACTTTCAATCCCGAGTATTATCATGATTGTGACGGGCATCCTGGGGAGCGCAGGCGTTGCAGGCATTATCGCAAAGTTCACCTGCTGCAGGAAGTAGGTGCGGATGACTTCTAACTATTAGTGAATAGTAGTGAATAGTAATAGACTAGTGGACAACTTAGGATTGATTTTTTTTCTTTGCAATCTTCTCTCTACAAACAATTTTAAATTGGAATTTTTAGATTCTAAATGCGCGGCTTTGATGTCTAGCAAGAAGTGGACCAAGAAGGCGGTAAAGGAGAAGGTAGATTACCCGACCCTCTTCGCTGACGAAGCAGCCATGAACGAGGCCTTAAAGTTTATAAAGAACTCAAAATGCATTACTCACACACAGATCTGCGAGCGCCTTCGCGTTTCCGTCGCTCTTGCAAAGAGGGTCATGCGTCAGCTTGTCAAGTCGGGGGACTTTGCCATCGTCAGCAAGTCCAGTCGTATGACGATTTTTAAGAATATGACGAAGAAGGAGTAAATGGCGTCTGCCACCGATCTATGCTTCTGCTCGTTGGCTTCCTGGTGAGTGTGCGCGGAGGAGGTCATGCGGTCCAAAAAAGAATGGCCTCCCTTGCGCGTCAGCTTATTGGGGGTCTGACGCGAATCCTGCAGTCTTCTCCTCAAGTCTCAGAGACCTGGTTTGTGCTCGTCGTCGATGACTGTGCCAGGCAGGTTCTCAGGCACCTCTTGGGTGCTCGAGATATGATGGTGCGGAATGTTGCACTGATCATCGGGATCGAAGATCAGCGACAGCCCATTCCGACAGCCTGTGCAGTGTATTTCTGCAGCCCAACACAGAAGAACTTCGGGCTTTTTCATGGGCACATCAAGGCAGGATACTATGCAAGCTACGAATTCATTGCCTGCACCGGGCCCACGCAGCTACATCAACTTGCATTCTCTGAGTTCCGGGCAGATGTGGCAGCAGGAAAACTGGTTACACGCCTTATTGAGTATCCTATGTCTCTTCGCATGATCTGTGATGACATCTACACGGTATACACTTCCTCTGCAGAACCAAGTGACGTTTTGAAAGCAAATGTGCGCGCTTTGTATTCGTACTTTGCTTCCTTTTCAAGAGGGGATGAGGATGCATTGAACCGTACTCTCCGGATCCCGTATATCTACACATGCGGCAAGAAGGCTAAGCAGCTTGTCCTCGCATTCTTTGAGGAACTCCAAGCGAACAACATTCGCTCAGAACGTCTGGCAGGGCACGTCCTTATGCTGGCAGATAGAGAGGCAGACCCTATACCCTTGTTCTATCATCCTTACACGTACACTGGCCTCATGAGCGATTTAGGGATCTTCAGCGGTGGTGATAGTGATAAGAAGGATGAGCCCCCTCTTGGTCTCGGGCCGGCGTTCCAGGACGCCATTTTCAAGACCATCCGCACCCAGCACTTCACCACTGCCACAGAACATGTGAACAAGCTACTGCATGATCTCTCAAACAACTACGCATCTGCTATGGATGCCAAAGCAGCCTATAGTCATCTTTTAAATAATATGGACACCATGAAGACCAAGAAGGCGAACTGTGAGCGCCACACAAACATTTGCAGCAAGCTACTGACCTATATAACAGAAGAGTCCATCAAGAAATATATTGATATTGAACAGGAACAGATTAGTAGTCAGCGCAAGAGTCTCTTTGCTTTGAGCGCAGCATTGACCTCACGAGGAGCGTCTCTCACAAAGGAGGAAGAGGAGCATTTGGTCAGGACTATTATCTGTGTGCTTCTTGGCTCGCAAGATAATCTTGATGCCCTCATTAATGGGCTTTTCGCAAAGGTCAAGGACCTTCTAGACTTGCTTTCCTCTGTCAGCGGAATAGGACCGACAGATCTGCAGACTGCACTTCAATCCTACGCCTTTCGTATCCGTGACGCAGGGACAGCCGTAAGACCTTCTGGAGATCAGCAAGCAAAGTCTGGACAGTGGCAAGCGATGGATGCGTTTGTTGACGTAGCTATGGCCTTCGCTAAGAAAGGGATTGATGCGCTCATGGGTAAGCAGACCTCTCTTCTTGCACTTTTGCTCACACTCATTGCGCCGTCAACCCTCAGTCAGCCACGGTACAACAACTACTTCTCTCTGGAGGCATACGGCGGCACATTCCACGGCGCCGCCACTACAGTCGGTCTTTTCATTGTCGGAGAAGGGTCTCTTGAAGAGGCCAGTCGGCTGAAACTGGAGATCCAGCAAGCGTTCCGGGAGAATCAGATGGACGCCCCCAATGTGACCTATGGGTGCACATCTTTCCCAGCAAAGCGTATGCCTGCACTTTCTGCATTGATTAAGGCAGCCACTTAGCGTTTACTTGAAGTATTACTGCCTTCCTTTCGAGTTATTGGGACGTCTGTAAAAGTGTGTCGTGCCGTCCTAAACAATCCAGCGTATGGCATCACTTGTGTATAAAACACAAGGTCGATTTTCTCAAGGTTCTTAAAGCCGTCTTTAATATTATAACTGTGGAGTGGATAGATTGCCTTCACCGTGCCGTTATAAACCTTCCTGTGATTACGTGTGACAATCTTGTCCCATACTGTCTGCTGTTGTAACCCGGCTGTATCGTTGTATACTGCGATGACGGACGCATAAACTTGTTTGGTGTTCCAATTGAAAAGACCTGTGAGGTTGTAGGAAAGGCTAATATTTAGGTCCATCACGTCGTGGGCAGGCTGCACTGTGAGCTTTTCAATGCTATTGTACGCCTTCTTGGCACTCTTAGTGAATGGTTGTGAGACGGAGATTCCATGAATATTCTGTGCTGACTCCAAGGGATATAGGTATGAGACGAGGTGCATGGCAAAGAGGAGGGCAATAGTAGCGGAAACAGCAAACCCAAAGAGGGTGTAGAGGCGAATGGGCCACGTGTGCATCGAAAGTGCCTGGTTGATAAATGTGCAATTTTAGTAAACTGTGCATACTTTTTAAACTACCTTGCAAATTCTTAGGTACACCTAAAACGCTGCGATGCTCCTCGACACATCGAACTCCTTTCTTTGGACAGGTTGCGAACTTGCAATTCTCGATGACGACCACTCTAACATACACGTTTTCGCATGTCCTTATAATGCCAACCTTCCTAATTCGTCTTACCATGCCTCCAAGCCTCCAGAGCTACTATCCATCGAACACATCCTGAGTATCCCTGTCTATCAGTATGCACAGGTATCGCTAGTTCCAACGGTGGAAAAAGATATTCCTTCAATCTCACTTCTCATCAATGAATCCATGCTAATCGTGGTTGATCGCTGTGGCGGACTGCTTCGGCTCTATGCCGAGGAAAATGTCGGGTGCGCATTTGCGGAAATCTGTAACATCCTTCGTTTGACAGAAACACGCTATCTTCTATTTACCACAAAGGATATCGTAGATCTGGATTTGGAACTACATGCGCCCCAGGCTTACGTTGATGTGGGTAGTTCCCAGGTTATCCACATGTCTGACGACCCCGCGTCATTTATAAACGGCCCCGCACTTAACATTAACCCAAAGTATGTCTATGGTCCTAAGCATCTTCACGTTTTAGTAATGGTTAGTAGCGACATCTACCTTCTCAAAATTTACGATATCAGTACTCGGAGATTGGTTTGTCAGATTTATTTTTATGAGCGTATCATTTCCCTGCAGGAGCTTCCAGGCACAGGGTACCTGGTCGTAGGTGACACAGGAAAAATATACCAGGTGCACTTTTATAACGATGCATTTGTATGCTCCAGCGTTGCACTGAAAGGATTAGACCTAACACAGAACATCGAGAAGTTCCTTGTCTTGCCACACTACGTGGCCGTTGAGACCGAAACACGAATGCAGTACCTTTACTCCATCGTGTGGGAGCAAGGTGTCCTGATATTCGACCGCCTCTTGTGGTCTGATGACGCATCCCTGGCCCTCTCAGCAATCCAGGAGAAACCTGGGGCATCTGATCTCTTGTCCCTCATAGCAACCATGTATCACGCCTCCAACATGGTCACACAACAAGCCTCTCCTCCTTCAGAATCCAACACGGAGGTCGCCCTGTCTCCAAGTGCGCTGTCTTCCATGAAACAGACACTGAGTACATCGTGCCAAGCTCCCTTTGACACACCGAGTGCAGGGGTCTTGGGTGGAGCTCCCGCCCTGCGGGCTGTTCACAATCATCAGCCTGCCTATGCTCATTCGTTGCTGAAGAATCTAGTAATCCACGTGTCCAACAATACAAATGTTCTTCTCCTTGTTCTCGATGGAGGATTTGTGTTATCACCGTTAACAGAGCCCACCAGCAGTGGAGCTAGCTTCATTATTAGGGAGGAATCTGAGGTCATTTTCTCTGAGGTGCTGTCTGCTATGATAGGGCATGAAATGCCGCTGAATGCAATTCTCAATGTCACCGTTCTCAAGGCCTCCAGTTACGGATTTGTCTTCCGCCTCTTGAACCTCAGCACGGGATCCTCGTTTGACTTCCCATTCACAAGCACCAGTCTTGCTCGACTGGTACAGGGGTCCAGTGGTGAGCAACCCGCTTTTAGGGCCTATAGCGTCTTTTCAGTCGAGGACTACATCGTGACTTGGCTATTGATTGGCAGTGTGTGCTTTGGATTCTACCTTTCGTTCAAAACGCGGACATGTCTCACTGCAGAGTTTCAACTCGAGGGTGAGGCCTACTTCTCTTATCCACTTGTCCGTCCTCTGTACAAGGGCGATCAGATCGATGACTCTGGCGTCACAGGACAATACATTCTGACATACTACATCCTGGAGGTGCACAGGAGCGCAGACGCGGACCCTGAAGAACCAGGCACTCAGGCTGTTGCAGGCCAGCGGTCGCTACTATCTCTCTTCGTTTCAACGAGGACACATGTACTAACAGAGTTCAGCGACTCCACGTTCCAGATAACTGAGATAGCCACCATTACACCCATCTCCATTCAGTATGAGATGCTTCTGCAGAGCCAGAACACGTTGCTGCGAGCAATGATGGTACCCTATCTGATTCTCTCTGAGTCCTCCTTCATTCTAATCACAGAGACAACCTCGGAGACGTGCTTCTATCTCTTCGTGCTCGATGCTCATCGAGGGACGGCAGATGTCTCCCTACTCGAGCACGACATTGCACTGGGGTTTCTGTGTGATCACAACGACTCGCTGGGTCAGTTTGGATACACTAAAATGGAGACTTTCCATCTAAGCGGCCTGGTGGACTTCTACATAAGCGGGATACTGCGCCAGAGGCTAAGCGATAGGACTACTAAGCGTACAGCGCAAGCAGACGCCCTTGGAGATCGACAGGGAGAATCGCTTGCTAATAGGGATACCACAGGCCTTACACCGGTCTCCACGGAATTCTCTGGTACTTCATTGAAGGGAACGGTCGAAAGCTTCCTCATGCACAGACAGCCCTCCAAAGATCCCGAGGTCTCGGTGGCTAGTGCACCAACTCTTCAGCATCTCCTTGAAAACATCCCGGTAGATGTTCATCCCATTATCGCCGATGGATCACTGGCCTCCATGAACGATCAAATAGAGAGGCTGGTCATAGACAAGCAGTACAACCCCTACGTATCCCTGTCTGCTGCGAAGAAGCACAAGAAGGTGCGGCGCTCCCTCTACGTTTCCGTTGATAATGACACCGACATGTCCGACGACCTCCTCTCTGAATCCAGCGCGACCAGAAGTTACGCACTGTCTGCCCACGGCTCCCAGTTCCACGACGATGGCATGACGAGTGCAATCTCCTTGAAGAGGAAGTTGGACACATTCAAGAGAAGAGAAGGCTATGCAGGAGAGTATGCGATCCGGCCGATGAAAGGAAGGGTGCACCGCTTTCTTCGCCTCTGCATAAACATCTCCTCGGCAACAAGCAAGCAGAGTATAGACTATAGGGCTGAGTTAGAGAGCATAGACAATATCCTGAAGGAGCTTGCTGTCTCACCCAGCCTAGATCACACTATTGGTGCAAGTGCCAGCCTCAGCGTCCCTATGACACCGGCATGGGTCGATGCGATGATCAGCAGGTTTGCTTTTGAGTATCCAGCAGCGGGAGTTTCCGTGGAAGCCCCTACGTCTCCACGCGCTCATCAACACGCTGGCAGCACAGTTGTTCCGGAGATGCTCCAGCAAGAGCGCAGTGCTATCACACATGTACTATCTGATGAGTTGCAGCCAGCATTGGAGAGTGACGACAATGAGTCTAGTTCTAACGAAAGTATCGCTGACCATATAAGTGCTACTCCACGGCTTCCATCGAAGTATTCGACGACTAGTCAGATGTTAAGTGTCATGTATGATGCAGCTGCAAGCCCCACACCGAGTTTGCTCGAGGCCGTTGTTGAGGCATATCTTCCCTCGGACTACTACTCTCTGGACTCCCTTGGGTTCCTCCAGGTCTATAACAGTACACAACGAATTCTGGCGACCATCCTAATTACCCCGTTGAAAAGGCTCTACCACAACATCTTTATGGTGATGGCTCAGAAAGACGGGTTCATAACAGAGGGCCTACGGAGCCGGCTCAAGCTTGGGCGCGCCTCAACGTCAGCCTGTCAGCACCTTGACTTCTTCGCGTCAGACCTACTCAACTGCCGCGAAGTTGTCAATTGCCTGCTCACAGAGCTTACTCCGGACCACCTTTATAATCACAAGCTCTCTTTCACTCTCAGTTGCCTCTCTGTGTTGGTGATGGCAGGCGTGCTCTACAGGTTCCTCCAGGAGGCCGATCGAAGGCCCTTCCTATCAGCTATTGACGCAGCTTTGGGGTTTGCAATTGAAAGCTATTTGTTGGCGAATCCGGGGCGTCTTCCTTCTATGCGTCTCGTGTTCCCGTTCTTGGCTATTAGCTCGCCGTTCTCTAAGTTTGCGGCCGTTGCATTTTTACGGCTACTCACTGCACGCCTCTCCAAGCTTCTTCTCGAAGAAGCCATCCCTAAGAACACCCTTAACACGCTGGTACTTGCAACAACCGAGGTGTGCGAGCTCAGCTTTAAGCTTACGCTGTGCACGCAGCTCCCACCTATACACATCCTGGTCATTCACCGTGAGATCTTCTACAAGGCTGTGCTCGCTTTTGAAGCCCTGGCATTCATAAAGAACTTGAACCTAAGCGAACAGCTAGGTCTGGAAGAGCATGTGACAGCCCTTCTCGATGCAACCCTAGATGAATCCACAGCCATAGCGTGCTACTTTAGGAACAACTTTGCCGATGCCGACTTCAAGCGTCTTTCTCCCGGCTTTGCCTCATACTTTTTGACTAACCTGGCCTTCTTGCTCCGCACGGTCTGCACCTATGCATCGGCAGTACCCACGCTGATGCCAGCCCAGTGCAGCCATATCCTGCTGAAGACCACTGCCCTGCAAGAGCTGGTTGGTGCCTCATCGGCTCTTGTCTCTAGCTGTAAAGGAATCTCGGGGTACTACAGGGGCCTTTACGCATCTAACAACAGTATAGGCACCACCAGCCGAGCACAGAAGGGTGAGGGCCCTGCTTGCCAATGCCATCTGCACGAGTGCTTCTTCGAGGATGCTCAGAAGATTTTATCTGAGTCGCCGACCACGCTCTCCATTCGGTCCATCTACGTGTTTGTTAAATACGTCAGGAGGCATGAGCAGAACGTCTGGAGGCACCACTCCACCCGGTTCATACAGCTGCTGGTCTGCCAGATGCAGAGGCTTTCTACACTGGATCGGACAACAGACAGCTTGATCGGAGCAGGCCCTCTGACCACCCTTCCGCTTGAGAACTCTGTTCTTAACCGGAAATCCCTCCTGGCTTCTCTGCGTGAGTGTCTCTTCGACTTTTCCTATTCTTTATCCCCGATTGTGCTGGTTCGCCTAACCACAGGCAACGATATTTCCGTCCTTCATGGCTTCACTCCTGGCTTCCTCACGATTAAGTTCCTCGAATCCTCCACCCAGGCCCTCAATCTGCAGAAGCCTCTGGTTCTTGAGCAGGCATACAATTACTTCCTGGAGCACAAGGCGGAGCGCTATAAGCTGAGCATGCTACCGCCATTTAGCCAGCTGAATGACCCTTTGTTAGGAATCTCTTCTAATAAGTACAAGACTTATGGCAAGATCCTCCCCTGCATATCCTTCATCTCTGTAGATCCTCAAAACGAACTTGCACTTGTGTACTGCCATAATTATAACGCTCTCTTCGTCTACAAGCTCTCCACAAACGTCGACGACGTGTACCTGGTGGGGACTGGCTCCACGGATCTTTTCACCATCATTTCTCCGGGCTCACAAACCCTTCTGGCTGCCAAGGTTGTCTGGACAGAGGTCAAAAAGGCCATGAGGTCATACACAGTTTGTGAAGTCCACTTTATTCACGGGGACTCTCCCCAATCAGTGGCCAGCATAGAGGAGTACATATGGAAGACAACTAGGCACGAAAAGCCTGTGAAGCACCTAGCCCTCTTCTCTGTGGAGGATGAGCAGGAGGAGTACGAGCACAGACAGCAAGAAGAGCACCGCACAGATGCAAAAGATTCAATACCAAAGCCCGACAGGCGGCAGTCTTACCTGGTTACACAGGAGAAGACGACCACAAAAGAAACAATGACCGTGAGGCTCAAGATCAAGCGAACGGTAGCACATTAAGTAGTTTGCATAAAGCTCTCCCACCATTCACTCCGGCTAGTTGAGATACCCTAGCTTCTTAATGAAAGCAAACTGGCTGGGGATCTCCTGCATCATGGCGGTGGCAAGCACCAGTTCTGGGTTCTCGCACTTCCCTGCTTTCATTTCAACCTCTGTGAAGTTCACGAACTGGAAGTTGTCGAACTTGCGACCACGGACATCGTCATCGAAAATGTGCATTTTGTCGAACGGACCATCGCCTAAACCAACAGCAACGATACTCAGGGGGTAGTTGGACGCTTCTTGGAGCGCCTTCATATCCTCAACCATGTCTGAAACGTCACCGTCTGTGAGCAGGACGAGAATCATGTATTGACCATTGGATTCCTTAGATATCTCTATCGCCTGGCGGATCATCGGAGCAAAGGTGGTCGGGCCGGACATCTCGATCTGGGGCGCGATGTGTTCGTACGCCCTCTTCACGGCGTCAAAGCCTTCGAAGTGGGGGTCTTCTTGATCAGGATACAGGAGAGGAAGGACAGACTTGTCCTTAGTGTTAATGCACCCGAAGCGGTACACGGGGTAGATGTCGTCGTCGTCGAATCTGCTGATTACTCGAGACATAATGCGCATGGCCTTGGAGTATGGCGTCTCCCCTCCTCTAGCATCATGAAGTGCTCTACGATAGCTCTTTTCGCCAGTCCACTCGTTTGACTTCGAGAAATCTATGCCCACGACCATCTGCATGGACTCGACTCCTGCCTTACGCAGGCCCGCTTCAAGTTCTTCGTAGGTCTTGTAGTAGTTCTTTATCAGTGATTTAATGTCGCGCGCCAACTTCGCCTTGCCCATCTTCAACCTAATATTTCTATATTTGCAACCTTATTTATAACTGAAAGGTTTCCAACAATTAATGGCGACACTTCCCCCGGATCACATCAGGCTTCAGGCGGACTTGGAGTTTGTGCATTTGCTAGCAAACCTTGAATACGTCCAAAGTCTGTTAGATGCGCAATACTTTGAAGATGAGAGTTTTCGCGCCTATCTACGCTATCTGCAATATGTTAGACGGCCTGAGTACTCGTGTTACGTAAAGTACCCACGGGCACTGTACATGCTCGAGAAGCTTACAGAGCCGGCGTTTTACAGTGCGTTGCTGGCTCCAGTGGGAGAGTGTCACGGCCTCTCCAGGCTGGCCGTTTATATGCAACAAGATGCATTGGACAGTCAGTTTTTCGAAGAAGATCGGGCCGAGATGGAGGCAATAACGGCTCAGCTTGCCATGCGTAGCCCAGAGACGGAGTAGCAATTAAAAAATGCGTGCCCTCAAGTACCATGAAGAGAAGCTTCTAAAGAAGACAAGCCTCTACGACTGGAAGGATTCATATAGCATCATCGACAGCGCAACAATGAACAAGTATGGCGTGTATGATAGGCGCGAACTTATTACCTACCGTCAGACTATGCGAAAGATCCGTCACATGGTCGAGCTCTTGACCCAGCTTCCACAGGACAACAATGTGCGCATCGAGCTCACCAGGCGTTTATCTCGTATCCTGTATGACATGGGGGTCGTGGATAACGCCCAGGCCAGCCTTGACGATATATCCAAACTGAACTCGTCTGCACTGCTTCTCCGCCGGTTGCCCTGCATAATGATGAAGCTCAAGATGGTCCAAAAGATTCAAGACGGAGTCAGGTTTGTTAAGCAGGGGCACGTTCGAGTGGGCCCGAATGTCGTGGTGAATCCGGCGCTGCATGTGACGCGAGGACACGAGGACTTTGTTACCTGGACCAACAACAGCAGCATCAAGCGGAAGATCCTGCGATATGCGGACAACATCGACCACTACGAGCTCCTCAACCAGTGATCCGTCTTTGGTGAGCAGCACCCGTCAGCACTATCGACCCAGCCGGTCCAGAACGTCAAGAGACGGCGCAAGTCGGGAAGGGGCTAGACAAAAACGGGGTGATGGAGCCAATTCACTGTATTAAGTGAAAGCGTATAGGTGACTTGTGTGGTGCCAGGTAGCGCCACGCTAGTAAACACAGCAGCATATCTAGAGCTTTCACGGCCCCGATCATACCTACTGGCCAAGTCCACTAGCCCTTCTTTAGGTCGTCGAACCACGGATGCTGGAGAGCTTCGTCGCACGAAATTCGCTTGCTGGGGTTCAGCATCAGGAGCTTGTAGAAGAGGTCTTTACCGACGTCATCTATGTTAATGTCTACCTCACGGGGCTTGCGCCCCGGGGCATTGAGCGCCGCTAAGTCGATGACCTGGTTCTCTCCAACGTACATATTCCAGTTGGGCAGAGAAATGAGGTCAGAAATAGAAGAGGAGTCGACATAGAAGTAGCTAAACGCCAGCTGCAGCAGATCTGCATCCTTTCGAACCTGAAACAGGGCCCTCTTATTCGCAAGGAAGTACATTATGCACCCCATGGACCACATGTCGACAGCCGTGGAGTACGTCTTCGAGGCTAGAACAAGCTCGGGAGCCCGGTACCACAGGGAGACGACATTGGCCGAGATGGACGTCACGTTTATGCCGTATGACCGTGCAAGGCCGAAGTCCGTAATCTTCAAAACACAATTGTCTGCGTCCGGATTCGGCGTAGTCACAGACGCATTGGCGGCCAATTGTTCCCCTGCATCTCCGCGAAAGGCCAACAAGATGTTGTTGGGCTTGATGTCACGATGCAAGATCTCGTTCTTATGAACCAAACTGAGGCCCTGGAGGAGCTGGTACATGAACTTTTTTATCTGGTAAGGAGACAGGACATTGTGTTTGAGATACTGATCTAGGTCAACGTGACAGTACTCAAAAACTAGAAATATGTTGCTCAAGTCATAAACAACGTCTAAAAGATTAACCACATTCGCCTGTGACAGACTTTCAAGCTTTCCTTGCTCCACCAACTCACGCTGTTTCGCATTGAGGGCCTTCAGAATCGCCACCTCGCGGAGCGTCGTAGCCGGAACCCCTTTGGAGGACGAATCCATCTTGATACGTTTCACCGCAAGCAACTGCCCGTGGAGAGAACACTTACTAACAGTCCCGTAGGTCCCCTCGCCAATCTGCGAGATAAATTCGTAGTCCTTAGGCAGTGGATGAGTAGCCATGGATCGCCAGACCGCTGCCGCAGTTTTTAGTTTTTTCAGGTTTTTCCGAGCGTTGCATAACACTAATTTCTTCTATTTTGATGATACATGACTTCATGACTTATATTTTTAAATTTTATATGACATGTGAAGTGAAATGCTGAAATTTAATATTTATGGCAAATTCTGATGCCAGATAAATGCCAGACAATTTTAGGGAATCTAAAGATTAAATCCGCTTGTAGGAGTGCCAGTTTAGTCACTGCAAGGCCGGAATGTCTATCACAACAACGTTTGGCGTACACTCTGGGACAGCACAGTCCATATACTATTTGGGAGGAGAGGTTGCAGCTTATCTCTCTGGGTTCCACATCGTCTTTCAGAACATCACTGACGGGTCCACTGTTAAAGTGCTGCCCCTTGGAGAGGGAGTGAAAAACATCGTATGCTTTGTCTTCAGCGAGTCCCGAGATAAACTCATTGTGTCGGAAGAGCGTCGGGACGGAACAAGTGTAGCGTTCTATGAGCTAAAGGGCCAGCTAAATTATGTGTTCAAGCATCGAATGGTTGTGTCTGACAAGCCTGGTGCGTCGCTTTTTTATGCAGATCTCTTAACAGACACTAGGTTGCTTGTTATCACTGGCTCTCCAGACTATGCCTTTTGCATTTTCGACAACGAAAGCAAGTCAGCCACACCTAGTTTTAGCCTAACCATTTGCCATGAAAATCTCTTTAGCGACTCGGCTGTGGGAGTCGGTGGAGGGGGGAATCAAATGGCACAGATGCGCATCTTCTCTAAGATTAAAGTCCTTAAATTATCCGACAAGGATCTGGTCATCTGCTCTGGTCCGGTGTTGCGATGCATCAAGCTGGGGGACTCCAGTGCAAAGATCCTCCCTCCTTCGGGGCTGTCCTTGCTCCCGGGGAAGCGCACATTCACAGACTTGAATTACATAAATATCCACTTAAAGAAAAGATTTCCTCTGCTTCCTCTGGACACGGACAGGCTTATATTTATTAGCACTTCAGAAGGTACCATTCTGATCATGTATAACAACACCGTCATCTCTGAGTTCAAATGTAGAGCGTTTAAAGACATCAGTATTTCTAATATTGCCCTAATTTTCCCCGGTGGCAATGGCCCAAATGGCCTTCGCTCCGCAGAGTCTGCAACAGGCTCTTCTGTCACAACTGGCACAATGAACTCTGTCCGAATCTTCGATAGGATAGCAGAAGAGGTAAAGCAGGAAGAACGTAGCGTCTGCTATCTTGCCACATTCTGCTATGGAGGCATACTGAACATTTACGGAGTCCTTATGAGTCCTATCTGCAACTTCATCACATCTGTTGTCTATGGGAATTCTGCAAAGATAGAGGGAAAGTTGAACCTAGAGCATGTCTTCAAGCATCTCCTTTCTTACTCAGCAGGGGCTATTATCGATCACATCCTCTCTCGGGTCAGCCCACCGTTCCACTTCCACTCTGTCCACCTGACAACCAACGAGCGGAGTGTACTCTGTCTCGGTGGATCGGACATGTTTAAGATCATTTTCGCTGTCAATATGCAAGCGATTACCAAGCGAATTGATGAGCTGGACAGACAAAGGGCATGTCAAGTCGCACAGAAGGCCGATAAATCTGGCACTGTCGCCGCTGTCGCTGCAGTAGGAGCAGGAGAAGATAAGAAGACACTCACTACCGATTCCACCCGATTGCTAGGGGAAATAGTGGACTATAATGAAATGGCTATCAATTTTGATGCAGTGGGCGTTCTCAACCATAATGAGCATCTGGAGTTGCATAATTTTCTACTAGACCCCTACGCATCCACTAATCAGGAGCTCTATCTCTTGAAGCCAGTCATGACCAATGGAAACATATTTGCCATGGCGACATGTCCCTCCTCGGACAACCTTATCATAGTGACCACGGATCGCATTGTGAGGCTCTTCCATGCCAGTACCCTCGTTGAGAAATCATATAGTAAGTTCAACGAAGTTCTTGGTGTCTGTGCTATACACCCCTCTGGTAATTACGTAGCCATTGCTTCGTCGGAGTATGTGCTGTTCTGTGTGATCTACTATGATCGGGTGGAGAAGATCCATCAGTTTCCAATACCATTTTGCAAGTCCCTGTGCTTCACTAATGCAGGAAATCTGTTGGTTGCAGGATCTGGTAGCTATCTTTATGTATATGACGTGTACACACGTGCTGAAGTAGCCAAGGCAACGGACTTCTCTGGACGCATAGTCTCTATTTCACCAGTGACAAGGGACTTCACCAGTATGCGTTACTCTTCAGATGTGATTATCACGTGCTCAGACGGGGCTGTCTGCCGCTACAACTTGACAACCCTCACTAAGGAGTCCGCAACAGCTATCCGCTCTGTACACTTTATTCATGCAGCACCAATATCTGCTGCGCATTACTTGAGCTCTTCCATACACGCGTCTGCAACCCAAGGGATTGTTTCCACAATTTCGCGATCTGCGGCAGTAGCGAGTCCAAACAGCTCTGCTCTTCTACCAGAAACTCCTGTTTTCTTCGCTATTACATCTGATGGTAATATCATTGTCATTTCAAGCAACATGGCAGAGTGTCCGAAGTACAGTTCATATTTAAACACTAACAATGGAAGCACGATAACCGGGGCCACTGGCATCCAGTACACGAAAGGAAGGGCCCTCTGTCTTATTAATGTGATGAATTACATTGTTGTGGGATATGAGTTTGGTTGTGTGGCTATCCGCTCCATCACGAACATTATGAACGGAGAAGCACCAGGAGAGGGCAGCAAGGAGATCGTCATACCCGTCTCTAGTGGGTCTATAACATCTTTGGTGCCCAATCCAAGCAATAATGGATTTATAGTGGGGACCATGGATGGAGTCGTCTACTCCGTGCTGATAAATAAGACAATGCCCCCCAGGACAATCGTCTTATCGAAAGGCAACACGGGAAGCAAGATATCGATAGGTCTTGGCGGCATTTCTGGAGAGGAGTCCTTGCAGATGGTGCCTAAGCACATGCCCATCTATGTCAAGCGCACCGCCCTCATGGACGTGCTCACTCGGATCACGAAGACTAGAGATAATATTTCCATAGCGAAGCGCAAGCTAGAAGAAAAGGTCACGTATTTGGAGACAGAGTTTTCCAGAACGCTTAACCAAATAAGGCAGAAGACCAGCGAGAATATTTCGAGCTATCTCAGCGAGTATAGTAGAATAGAGGCTGAGCACGATGGGAAGGCCATCCTCCTAAAGAGGCAGATCACCAGTAACGAGAATTTATTCAAGAACTCCCTTGAAGCCCTTCAAGAGCAATATCAACGACGCCTAGTTCTCATAAATGATAATCTTGCCGTTCTTGCTGGCCAGAAGCTATCGTTCGATAAGGAAATAGAGGAGAAGATAGCAGCGTTTAAGCAAGAAACAGAACAGATGGTAGCTGATCTGAAGAATGCAAAGGAGGCCGATCTATCTAAGCTCAAGAGAATCATGGAGTCCATTGAGAACGACATAGAGTCACAACGGAAGGCGGATGAAATGCTTTTCAATCTATCAGAAAATGAACTCTACCACGAGTCAGACCAACTTACAGCCGTCTACGAGCGTAAAATACAGAAGGCGTATAACAATTATGCAGACGTAGAACGATATAATGCAGAGGTAAAGGAGCGGTACTCAGAGCTAGAGTCGCAGCTTCTTGATCAGAAGCGTTTCCTCCTAGCAAAGGAGAAGGAGATCGCTGATCTGAAGGCGTTCATCTCATCTCAGCGTAAGGATATGGGCAACATACGGCTTGAGATTTCTAGTCGTGATGACACCATCAGCAACCGTGAGAGGAGAGTCTTTGAGCTCAGGAAGCAGATCCGCGAGCTGGTGAAAGTACGCTTTGTGCTAGACTATAAAATACGGGAGTACAGCCGTCAAGTGGAGCCCCGTGATGTGCAGCTAGCGTCTCTCAAGGTACGTCTCAATGAAATGAATACGGAGCTTCAAAACTACCGAACGTCGCTCCTCCAGTTGAAGTCCACACAAAAGGACCTCGAGCGGCGGAACCTTACCTTGAAGAAGCAAATCACCGATGTGCAAGAAAGCAGTGCTGCAACTAACAAGCGCATGGAAGAAATGAGGCCTTTTATTAATGAATTGGGCCTAATTGCATACGAGGACGCTGAAAATAAGCCGCCGGTACTTGCTGCGCTCTTTTCGGGCAGCGCAGATATCAGCTCAGGGAGCCATGGGGGACTTAATGCTATCGTGATGGGGAAGCCCCAAGAGAGCGGCTCTAGTACTGTTAGTGAGGAGGCAGAGAGTGCAACAACTCTCCCACGCATAGGAACAAGTGCATCAAACAGGAAGTCTGCCAGGTCGATAAGATCTTATCCATCGGGGCACTCTGCGAAATCCTTACCGAGTGGCGTATCGGGACGGACGCCGAGCTCTGCGCTAAAGCCTCCAAAGAGCGGGGAGGGAAATTATTACACACGTTCTATTGCGGTGCCGGGAGAGAACTTGACATACAAGCGTCTGGTCAAAGCAATCAAATATGCGTACATGGCTCTAACCTTCAAACCGAATGCATACACTGAAGAGAAGGACAAGAAGAGAGAGGAGGGTAACTTTAGCCACCTTGAAAAGACCATCTGCAACTTGGAGAGGAAGCTTGCAAATACCAAGACAACAAAGAAGTCGTCGACATCGACCGTGGTGCAGCAGAACGCTATGCTTCTCCAAGAGATAAATCACCTGCGCAGAGAGCTGCATGTTGCCCAGGTTAATTCTAACGCAGAGTCTAAGATTGATCCACGTCTTCTACAAGAATATGAGTCGAGAAAGCAGGAGATTCTAAAGCTCCGCGCTCTGATACGCAAGCTAGAAGCTGGGAGCGTCACTGGTGGCGCGTTTCTCCCAGACGTTGAAACTTACTAGGTCGCTATTTGTGCTTTTATGTTCACCTTTTTCTTTTAACCGTGTTCTCCGTAAACGTCTGACGTCATTTTGTGAACTACGTGAAAAAATGATTTTGTTCCTTCTTCTCGCTTTGATCCTTAACGAGAGGGATTTCTACGCTATTCTGGGGGTCTCGAAGACAGCAACTGCTGCTGAACTTAAGAAGGCCTACCACAAACAGTCAGTAGCAAAGCATCCTGACAGATGTAAAGAGTCAGAGCGGGCAGCCTGTACAAAGACTTTCCAGGACATCACGCGGGCATATGAGGTTCTGTCGAGCGATGAGAAGCGGAAAATATACGACAAAGGCGGTGAAAAGGCCCTTACAGAGCATGAAAGCAATAATAATCCTAACCAACAACAAGCCATGTTTAACAATTGGCACGGTGGACAGCAGCCAAAGGGGCAATCGACAGTTGTAGAGCTGAGCTTAAGCCTAGAGACTCTGTTTTCTGGGAAGACGCAGAATCAGAAAATCACTCACAAGATCAAATGCCCACATTGTCACGGGACAGGGGCAGACTCGGATGCAGACTATCCCATATGCGACAGGTGTAACGGAAGAGGGTATACGATAGAACGCCATGATCTAGGAAATGGGTATTATCAGCAGTATCAACATAACTGTTGGAAGTGTGGCGGTGAGGGTCGCATAATACAGAAGAGCTGCCACGTTTGCCATGCAGCAACAATTAAAAGCGCAGAAGACTTCGTTTTCCTGGAGATACCCGCAGGGGCCCCGAATGGGCATCAGCTCGTCTTCGAGGGCATGGGAGACCAAGGGCTCGACTTTCGCTACCTTCCAGGAGACCTCATTTATGTTATTCGCGAAAGAAAACATCCTAAATTTACACGAGAAGGAAATAATTTAAAGTACAAGTTGGTCATCAATTTATATGAGGCCTTCTTCGGATTCTCTAAAAGGATTATCCACCTAGACGACCGCGCAATAGAAGTGAAGAAAGATAATATAACACAGCCCGGGGAAGTGATCAAGATGGTAGGGGAAGGGATGCCTATCATGGGTGATCGCCTAGGTAGACGCGGAGATCTCTTGATAGAGGTCCAGGTGCTTCTACCTCCTCTCGATAATCTTAAGGGATCTTCTAGGGAGGATCTTCGGGAGCTCCTTAGTAGGCTTGTCAGTAAATAGGATGGGCTGTGCGTTTATGTGTAGTCAATAGGGTCAATACCTGTGTCTATCATAATTCTTTGTAAATCTAGATTATTTCTGTATATTGTCTGGTCGTCAATCGCTCTATTACGGCCGCTATTAACAGAAAGAGTTGGCATAGCCTGAAAGTCGCCAATTGACGATATCATTGAGGGAGGCTCTATGAATAGTTCGCCATCATTCCTAGAATAGTGATCGGAATTCCACACACGTTCAATATCTTCAGGACTTGCTCCATCTACTTGCATGAATGCAGCCTTGAATCGTGGTAGAATCCGCTCATCCCCGCTTTTTATCCGCATTTGTGCTCTTTGCGATGCGCCAGCATCTGTCATTTGCAATCGGGGACTGACTGCTTCAGTCTCATCGTCGTGTCTGCTCTCTGAGATTCCGGTGTCGTGACTGGTTGTGCCTGGTTGTTTGTTCAAGCTCTTCTGGCTCTGGTGCCGTCCTGAAAGAAAAGGACTGAAAAATTTGGACAGACCGTTCTGCAATCTGCGCGAAATAAAATCAGTACTGACACCTACCTTGCTTGCAGCATTACGATCTCCTTTTCCTGGGAAGTACACAGTGATAGACCTTACAACGGAACAATTGATCTTTTCATTCGGCCAATATCTAATTTGGCTGTCCAGAATCATGAGTCCCTTTACGTCGCCTGTTGCTAAAAGCGCAGCGCAAAGCTCGTCTTCTTTATCAATAAATAGCTTCTCAAACAAATCATCAAAGAAGTCTACTGAATCCTTTGAAGAGTACTCTGAATTCTCTGTCTCTACAAAGGCAGAGGCATCTGCAAAAATGCTCTGCGACGGACCAACCGTTTTAGTTCCTGCTTCAATCGGGGGGTGTCTGGGATGAGCAGCTTTCATGGCTGGATTTGTGGAGCTGGTTGCTAGGTCCTGAAGATAGAGGTCATGACCCCGACAGTCATGGGTAGGGTCATTGGTCAGTCTACTCACTTGAGTGGGCAGCGATGATGAAGGGTGAGAAGGAAGATGAGAGGGAGCATCTATGAGTGAGTCTGCTCCAGTCAAAGTATTCACAGTCATGCGACTTCGTGAAGAGAATGAGGCACCCGCGGAAAACGGTATGTACGCATCATTGCAGAACACCACTATTGCAGCCCGCTTGGCTCCTCTGCGCTTAGAAATTGATAAGCAATACTCTTTGAAACTGGATAAGTCTCGGAACAATTCAACTGAAATTTTTAAGCAATCTATAGACTCACGCTCCTTGTGGATATAAGGGTTGCTTCCTCTCGTGGCGACAGGCTGAACAAGTATTTCTGCAGAAAAAACCGATAGTGCAGATACTAATATCTGTGCAACAATGAGCTTGTTGCAAAGTACCACAAGAAGTTTGCCTTGCAAAAGAGACGTGCACGTGTTATTGAAGATACGGGGCGACAGCAGCACATAAAGAAAGAAAAGAAGGTGCCCTATCTTTGACTCGTGATTATAGTGCATAAATGTGTGGATACATGGCCTGCGGAGATCATCCAGTAGACTTCGAGTTAGGTCTGCTTCTCTAGCTAGATCCTTCCATGCTATGGAGCTCAGTACAAGGTCTGGATTATACTGATGCAGGAAGAGCCATTTGGTCATCAACAGAGTACTATAGGTATCTGCACACACATTTGGGGTATAGAGGAAGCGCGTCGGCTTAGTGAGGGAGTTAAATTGAGACGGGAGGCTGTCAATGTAACTATCCATCAGAATGTTGGCATTGTTGTGCAACGAGCTCCTTGGAAGAACAAGGGAATCCTCCAGCTCACCGGCAGGGAACAGAAACACCTCTCCAAACTTAAGAACTACTGGCGAGTTCTGGCACTGTTCTGTGGTTAAAATGTCAATGAGAGATAACCGATAGAACCCATAGATTTTCTCTATGATCTCCTTGAATAAGGCTAGAAAAGGGGGGCTCAAGTACTCTTCAAGTCGTCTAAGTGGCTGCTTGGCAGTAACATAGAGATCGTGAGAATTACACAAGACCAAGTGTGGAGAGTGCTCAAGAATACTGGCGATGGTCCGTGTGAGATAGGGTGAATAGACGGCGTCCACATCTTCACTAGTTGTATCCTCGCTGAGGACAAGAGTTTCTAGCATGAGCTTTGCTACTTCTCTTTGGTCAAATAGTTGTAAATAGGGGCGGGAAAAGTACTTAGCGTGTTGGGGATTTAACGCTGCAATGATTACAGAAGGAAGCGTTTTTGACCGAAGTAGGGTGAATCTTGTGATGGCCTCCTTGCGAAATCCCTTCAGGGATGATATCATATCTGTAAGAGCGCTGTGTGATGAGTAAAATAGCACAGATGAAATAAAACCATCGGGAAACCCCTCATCTGAAAGACGGGATTTCAGCGTTTTTTCATTTAATTGTACATTAGCGACAATCTTGCCGACACGGTCCAGATCAGAGATAGATTTGTTCAGGCCAACTATATACCGCGCCAGATCTATTTTGGTGCTGATTGTAGCAGCATACTTTAACAGTGCGAGGGCTTCGTTCAGAGCAAATAAAATATTAAAGCGCATGTGGTCCAGTTTCTTAGGGTCGAAAGACAGATACAGGAGGCTGAGCTTTCTAACATATCCTCTGGCACTGATATCTGGTAAAAATGTAGAGAGGTGAAGAATGTGTATGATTCTCTGCTCCAGCTGATGGTGATCCGGAAAGAAATCTGGATCTGTCTGGTCCACCAGAGAGAGTAGAGGGTAGGAGACACTTACGTAGGAGTCAGCATTGTACATGTGAGGTAGCGGGTTCTGGTCCAGGTCGGCTGGATAGTTCATGCTCATAACTTTAAGCAAGAGTGTAGAGATGATTCGCTCTGTCTCTCTGTAGGTATAGCCGGATATGCACGGGTAGTCTGGAAGAGAGCTTATTACAGTGGGGCCTTGTATTTGGCAAAACTCCGCCACAAGTAGCATGTCAAGATCGACTAGCATGGCGCCACTGGGATAAAAGCAGGTAACTGAAGACGAGTGAGATTTTTATGTGTTATAATGAAATGAAAGATTGTCATAAGACATGAAATCTTAAAAGATCCCACCGAAACTTTATAAACTTTAGAGAAATTTGCCAGCTTAAAAGATAAAATTTACTCCAGCAAGGTATCGTGAGACATCCATGGCTGTTCCGGCGCTCAACTTCGACATCCCAAACCATAAGAACAACTACATGCTCCCCCTCGACTCGCCGACGTCTCCCCATCCAAACAAAACAGTCGACGCAGTCGCAGTCATCTTTGCGCGCGTTATCCAGCAGAACGAGCAGTATCTCAGATCGATCCACCCGAACCAGCCACAGTACCGCTGCCCAAAGATGATATCCTTCTTCATGATGCCGGACCCGGAGCTTTCTCTGACCGCGAACACGGCAGAGTTTACGCAGACAACTCTTGACATTGTGCAGGCACGCATTAAGAAGTTTGTCCACAACTTTGCATACAGGACACGCATGCGCAACGAGGCTCTGGTCGGCGCCCTGGTCTATCTCGACAGAATCGTTGATGCGAGCGGCATAGTTGTTACCCGGCAGAACTGGCTGCTGGTCACCGTCATGTGCCTCATCACAGTGCAGAAGATGTACGATGACTTCCATTATTCTCTCAAGGACTATGCAAGGGTTGTGAACATACCGCAGAACGTGCTGGCCAGGGCAGAACACTCCTTCCTAAAGCTCGTGAAGTACGACCTTGTGGTGTCTCAACAGCATTATAGTCGCTACAGGAACTATATTACTGCGAAGTACGAGGATGCAGCGCTTCGGGAGGCCTACCTCTGCTCTCCGATGTCTACTCTAAATACATTTGCGCTCTCCTCTGTGAAGGATGTTGCGGACATCCTTGGCAAGACAATAAATGCAAAGGGCAATGCGACATCTGGGCTCCAGCAGGAGAAGAACCCGATGGACGATGTTGCCGAAAACTCCGATAGTGACGATAAGGCCCCTGCCGACGACCCAACTCTGCAGAAGACAAAATTGCTAGGAATGGAGGATCCATCTAATGACAAAAAGGAGTCGAACAAGGCCATCCTTGGCGGGGTTGCTCTGCCGGAAAAGAAGCTGTGATCCTTGCTTGCTCTTAGACGCTGGCTCTTCAGTGAGATACAATATAGTTCACTATCCCGCGGCTTGCGCTGTGGGTGGACAACCTCTTCTTGCTTGAACCGAGTAAACGCTTGGAGACACGGATTGTGAGCCTGCAGGGGTGTCCCGCGAAGATCCACAGGTGTTAGATGAAGTCGAGGATGATAGAGATCTGTTCTTCTCTTACTGCCTTTCCATCTACGTGGAGCTTGTCATTACATCCTTTTGTGGAACTAAAACGATAGAAAAGTAGTTCTGGAATACTTCTACTCATAGAAGGACCCATTTGCAAATCAGACTTGTCAGTGTTCGCCAACGAAACTGAAGACAGAACTGTCATTGGGGGTGGGCGAAACGTTAAGCATGTGTTAAAGGTCAAGACAGGATGCTCTGTGTCGTTTTGGCCCTCAGCTTGATTGCTGTGTCTATCAACTAATGAAAGAAGCTCGTGGTATGCTTGTGCGACATTTTCTGGGCATTTCTTTTCCAGTGTCAGCCCCACAAGCCGTCTCTGCTGAGAGGTAGAAGAGATTGCCGATTTATCCCGAAGTTGCTGATTATTGCGCAGATATATGGGCAGAAATTCTGCGTAAGCACTTTGTATCTGGCGCAAAGCTCTTTGTGCCCTGTTCCGCATGACAACTATATTCACTGCGTTACGCAATCGTTGCAAATTATCCATTCTCTGCACAATAAGAGACTGTGGCGTGGGCGTGAAGCCAGAAGTGTCTCGCACAAGGGGCTCTGGTTCCTCAGAGATTCGTTCATCAGGGGAGAGGGTCACTTGCTTTAAAGTGTCTTTTGGAGCAGACTGGGGAGGCTTCTTGTTCTTAGACTGGTTCGCGTCTTGTGCCGCCTGTGCTGCGTTATGCTCTGCTTGCTTTTTTGCGAGAAGCTTTCGCTCCGCACTGTTCAGATAAGATGGGTCTTGCCGCTGAAAGGGCCGAGCCTCGATAGTTTTGGTCAGCACAACGGATGACTGTGCATCTGCTCGCTTTTCTACACAATCTGCAGAGACTACAACTCTATCTGGCTGCTTGGAGTTGCCGCTCCATCCTGCCGGTACCTCTGGAAAATATTCGGACGTAAATGCGGGCCGAGAATCGAGCTGCCTCTTGTAATCCAGCATCGCCTCTCTGGCTTCCTTCTGAAAACCTTGAATAGCTGCCAAATCCACGTCAGTGAGCAGCTCTATGCCTATTCCAAGTTTCCGTTGAACGTTTCGCTCTCTTTCCTGTTGGCTCCGCATCATCTTCACAGCCATAAACTGCATCTGTCGATGATGATAGCCCGAGTAGGAGCCGGGGTTCACGGACTGATAGTTCATCGGGTGGTCTAACATATCGACAAACGATTGGTATCGAGTCAAGGCAATGTCAGCATGATCATGTGCGTGAGTGATGTGATGAGTTGATAGTGTCAGAGTATTTTGATTGTCGGTGGTAACGCCATCCTGGGAGCTCATCTCAATTTTTAGCTTTGGCCAATGCTCGCAGCCTGGAGCGGAGCTGGTTTGCCTCGCTATCCAGTTTGCTTATCTGCGCCTCAAGAAACCGCATGCGCATCATTTCTTTGTGTGTGCGCTTTCCACTGCGGTTTTCAAGATTAGCTAGCTCATCACGATTAAGCATCAACTGCTGACACATAGCTGTGTAGTCTGTCTCCATGGTCTGTAGCAGCTTGTAATTAGGATCTGTCTTGTCCACATCCTCTAGCGTGAAAGTCGTCTTGGTGTGAGACGCCTTCTCTCCGCCTTCACTAAATGTCGCCTCAGGTTGTGCAGTAGCATGATCGGGTTGCGCGTCAGTAAGTAGAGATCCTAGCTGTTCCTGCAGAGAAGCTATCTTGGCATCCATGGCCCTCTTGGCCTGTGTGTCGCGCTGCTGTAGCTCTTCTATTGCAGCATTGCGTGCTCGTTGCCTCAGGAATTCCTCAAAGGACATGATCGGAACATCGTTGGAAGTAGCCAGGGGAGGATCTGGAGGATGATGAGATGCTTTTGGTTCTAATGTGTGGTCTGGCTCCTTACCAGCCGGGTTGTGCTTGACTGAATCTACCGGGTTACTCTCAGCATAAGTGGGACCGAAAATTTTGCTTATGCTATCAACTGGCTTGTAAGGCACTGCAGCGGATTGGGCCACGGGGGGAGAATAGTTTTCCTTCTGCTGAGACACTTCTTTTCTATTGTATCCTTGCTGAGTGGGTTGTTCTCTAGATGGAGCCATGTCAAAAGGGGGTTTTTGCTGGAGCGTACTCTCCAGTTTCTTCAGGGCACCCTTCAGCTCTACAATCTTGTCTTCTTTGTCGGCCAATTTTGCTATCACTGAAGCATAATCCTTTTCTAACTTTTGTAGATCACGTTGATAAATACGGGCCTCTTGCCGCAACTCTGCTTCATGTGCCATCAGATCCTTAATTTCACTCTCCTTCTTGAGCTTGTAGTCTCTGAATTCGGCGGAAAGCGACATATACTTATCTTTCAACTCTGCCAAAGCGAGGTTTGTCTTCTCAATTGAGTTTTCAGATGGTGATGATTGCTCTTTAGCTGCCTGACGTAGGACGTGGCGCGACTGCGCTGGTGAAATAAGTACGAAGTCTTCTGACGTTGCATTCTTAGCGCGATTTGGGGAATAGATAGTGTATGTGTCCACTGCCTTCTCCCCGGAATCGACGGTGGTGGGCGGCTGAGCAGCATCTGGTAATGATTGTTCTTGGTGAGCTGTGTCAGGGGCTGTGTCGACAGAGGCCTGTTGCGACAAGATCGGGGGAGGCTGCGCTACTGCCGATGTTGAAGGTGCTAATAGTATATTCTGGTTGATCTGGTGATTTATCGCTGCAGAAACAGCCGCAGAAACGGCCGCCGCCGTTTGGGCTGAGAAGAAATTGAGAGAGTTAGTATCGAACTCAAATCCACTCTTACCAGGGCTAGTCCTCTTCTGTTTTGGCGACAATTTCTCAGCAAGCGGGGATGTCTTCTTGTCTTCCCTCTTGGGACTCTCAGGCGCTGGAGCAATGTAATGCGCTTGAGGAGACGATGCAACATGAAAGGGCTGAGTGGCTGTAGTCACCGGATTTGGATAGTCATCCTGATCATCTACAAAGCTATAGGAATAGCTAGAGTAGCTGGAGTAGCTGGAATAAGTGGAATAACTGGAGTAACTGGGATCCATTTTTGAAGTTGAACGAAGATTTACTCAACGAAAGAAAATGCTGGCAAGTAATACCGCCCACTGCTTACTACGTATTATTGTGAATATAAGCCCGTCCTTGCTACTGTATCATGCATATTGCATTGGTGACTGCTTTACGAGGCGAAGAGCATCTGTTCTTTCTTGGCCACATCTGACATAGAGGCGGACCAAAATAACTCAACAGCGCCAATGAGCAAACGGTAATACTGATAAGGGCTCCTGGGTCCGCGACGCAGCACGTGAACGCGTTTACTACCTAAGTACACAGCTGAGTCTACGCCTTACCGCGGCAGAGGAACCACCAGCAAAGGAATCCGACGAGGCCCCCCACGACAATAACAGCGGCCACAGCGATGCCTGCGATGGCACCGGTAGAAAGGCCGCTACTCTTGTTTGTGTTAGAAACTGCGCACGTCCCGTCGCCCTGGAGCTGGTACCCGCTGGCGTCGTCGCACTTGCAGGCCTTCGGGTTAGCGCCCGGGGTCTCTATCTCCCCCGTCGCGTCGCAGGCGGCTTTGCAGCCCTTCTTGTTTGTCGTCAGGAAGTGATCGTTGTTCTTACACGTGAGGCAGATCTCATTGCTGCCGCTTCCGCTGCACGTCTGGCACGTGTCGTTCCCCGACTCCGTGCACGGGGTGTCCTGCCCCTTGGCGCACGTCCCGTCGCCCTGGAGCTGGTACCCGCTGGCGTCGTCGCACTTGCAGGCCTTCGGGTTAGCGCCCGGGGTCTCTATCTCCCCCGTCGCGTCGCAGGCGGCTTTGCAGCCCTTCTTGTTTGTCGTCAGGAAGTGATCGTTGTTCTTACACGTGAGGCAGATCTCATTGCTGCCGCTTCCGCTGCACGTCTGGCACGTGTCGTTCCCCGACTCCGTGCACGGGGTGTCAGATCTGCTCCTTTCTGCTGGCCGTGTCGCCGCAGCCAACTGCAGAACGAGGCTTGCGAAGATAAGCCCTGCAAACATTGACTCCGCAATCAAATACAAGTGTGGATAACACAAGTTTCCCAACTACATTCTATGCACTGCACCGTTACGGTGAAGCTAGTGTGAATATTGCAGGTCTTCCTCTGCGACTGGAATCGTGCTATAACGTACGCGAGTGGATGCGTAGCAACTGACCTATACTTCCTGCCTGTGATCCCTTGTGAATAGAGACCAAAAGAGGCCCAGTACGCAGTCGGGCCATTTTTCTCTGACGCCTTCTCTTCTGCAAGCACCCTGTGCATATGCAAATGGTATGCCACCACACCAGCTGAGGGTGGGTGGAAGAAAGCATGCAGGGGCAGATCCTCTCCCTACAAATGATGGCCTCGAAGTCAAGCACCGGCTCTTCTGGCTCTGAACATGGCCAGCAGTGAGCTCATTCGTGTGACTCCTGGGCCAGGCCTGCATGTGGAGGCCCGGTAGCATAGCGCTGGAGCCAGCCGACGGCGAAGTGAATCATCACTCAAAAATTGCTAGATCATCGAAATTCCTCCTTGATGCGATCCCAGCACCTTATCCCCTCTCCAAACATGTTGAGCAATATACACGTGTACTACCAAGGGGACTTTTTGACCGAAGCAGAAGCATCACAGTTTATGCATAGTTCTCTGCTGAGCCAGGTCAACCTGCAACGCAATGCAATGATATCCCGCTCCAGCAACGCACATCCAGGAACATTAGTCAAGCGGCCTGGATCAGCAAAGCCCCTAGGCTCTTCCAGAAACGACTACAAGGAGATGGGGGATGCAGATCAAAACACTCTAGACACAGAGACGATGGTTGATGACCTAAAGTTCATACGAGCATCTCTAATAGATAAGGATGGGCAGCTCCTTCTCAAGGACGGCGTCAACGACAAGTCAAGTGAAACGTACCGGAGGCTAGAGCACTTGGTGCGAAAGCGACCAGTAAGCGCTGGCACCGGACTTGACAATACCATGGGAAAGTATACTATTAGAGACATGCAGCTGTTGCGAAACAACAATTTCTATGAGCTTCTTCCAGAGGCCCAGCGCGACTTGTTAGACTCTAATATGAGGGTCGACTTCAGTCTATTCAGCAATGAAAAGGCCCAGAAAGAGCTCAATGAGTCCATTAACTTCATCAACAGGGGCATGGACCTGGAGGCAGCAACCCACGGCATGACTGAGGATGTACTTTCTAGATATAGGCGCAGGCGGCCTGCCTCTGCGCATTCCATACCAACCCGCGGGCTTCTTTCTCCACACAACACAAGCCTTCCCATCCAGCACGGCAAAACAACTTCCAGGCCAGCATCCATGCGTCGAACAAGTATCACTAGTGTGCGAGACCTTCAAGACAGGCTTCATGAATTTACAACCAACTGGACACAAAGTAGGTGTTGCTTTGGCGATACATATAACAGCATTACTCAAGGACATCATCCTGTCACTATTAGTTGCGAACAACCAATGAATTTAAGTGTTCAACCCTTCACTGATACCGTGGCCGCTTCAGCCATCCAGCAAGACGAGAATATAGTTAAACCGGAATCCAAAACTATGCTAGACCAGGAGCCATCGCAACATGATACTGTGCATGTGGATATGGTTGCTCTCAAGTCAGACGATGATCCAACCGGCAATTCAATCCATTCAAAGACTCATACTGCTCCTTCCTTGATGCCAGTGACACACCACGCTTATGTGCCCTGTAATAACGATGCTCTTGAGAAGAAATACAGCTCTGCTACAGGCTCCAGGGATTCCAGCTATTCCCATGCTAAGTCAGAACGCTTGACCTCCACAACGGATGAATTAAGCATTGACTCAGAGGGAAATATCTATGCAGTTATTGGGAAGAAAAAGACACCTTCTCGTGTTTCAACAGAAGCTCGTCTTGATAAGCAGAGTCAGAATGTGTCCATGTCTACTCTTGCAAACGACACAGCAGAGGATCACGGTGAGGTTATACTAGACGAAGAAATCTTCGAAACCATATGCTCTCAACACAGTACGCAATCATCTGCCATAGAAAGCAGCCTCAACGCAAGCCTTACAAAACTTTCAGCTTCCCGAAGCGCTACCAGGTCTAAGCCTCATCAAAAACCCCGTTCTAAGGTTCAATCCCAAGATCAGAGAAATGCACCTGCACCTGCAATTACAGTTTCTGAAGAGTCCAACTTTCGCCAAATATTGCACAGTGATAAGAAATTTCCCGCATCATTTCAGCCACGGACAACGCATGTCGCTGCTAGTCATTCAACTCTTGATATTAGCGAAGGCCCAATAGAAGTAAGACGTATCTGGCGAACGCCTCATTCAACAGGGCGTCCTGTACCCACTCCTCAAACTGATAACCTGGGTGCAGTGAGGGAACTGGTTAGATCAGCTTCTGATATTTGCCACAGCGAGCAACTGGACACTGTTACTGATTCCGTTAGCAGATTAGATCGTAGGGTTATAGTCCCCGAACGCCAGGGATTTAAGGGATCAGTCATTACTTCTTACCAGCGTGCCATTGCCAGCAGGAACAAGGAACTGGGTGAGAGAGACATTAAAGCTACCTCTATCTCAGAGCATATTGTGGACTTAAAGAAGGTTTATAGCGGGTTCGCCATAGATAAAAGCTCGTTCTCTACTGAAAACTCTGCTCCGTTGATGACTGTCAAGGCTACTGTACCATACACTACTAACCAGCATCTTCAGAAGCAACCAGCAGAGCAGCTCCTTGACGAATCTTCGGAGGCCATAGCGCCTGCAGAGCAGAACGTTAGAAATGTCCAGGACATAGAAGAGAGGCTCCAGACGCTTGCGCATCCAACTCCGCCGCAATGTTCTCAACTAGATGCATATCCCATACACGGCAGTTTAGAGTACTCCGGCAAGAAGGAAGACATGGAGGATGTCGTTGATCTACCAGAAGAGTCCAGCAATGTGCAGAGCATCTCGTGTCTTATCAATTCTCAGCTGCAACGGAGTGATTTGGAGACATCGCTCGTGATTCCTCGCATGGACATGGTAAAGCACCTTGAACAGTCGGCGGATCTGTTGGGATCACTGGCTGGAGAGCCCAGCATGTACAGTGATGACTTAAGCCAGCGTGACAAAATCGTATTGCGGAGAGGAAGCGGACAGAAGGATAGCTCAGCACGACGGACCTCTAATACAGACAGGACGTCAAGAGATCAAAGCCTGTATGAACGTATGCACGACTTTAGAGAAACAGTCAAGCAAGAGCTTTCTCAGCAAGCGTCTCTTTCTGCTCTGGCGGCCAAGCCTCGCTCATCGTTGAATATTCCTGCGGATTTCGAAGATCTACCACCGCAGACTTTTATAGACACTGCCGTGATACCCCTTCAAAAGCGCCTCGACGAAGCCATTGCGGCTGCCATGAACAAAAAGCCCAGGCTCCCAGCTGATGAGTCCGACACTCTTGCCAATTATATAGAAATAGATACTGATAAAACTGATGATCGGGCGGCGACGCCAACCATGGAAACCCTGTATTCACGACAAGAGACTCCGCGACCAGGTGACTTCAGTACTATGATTGAGCATGCTCAATGCCCTAAGGTTCACGGTTCTGATGACTCATCAAATTTAACAGATATGGCGGCACTGAAAGGCGTGGAGCGGGTTGCTGTTTCACGCAGTGACACCCAAAAGCCATGCGTTGACATCAGCCATCCTGAAAGCCCATTGTACCCCCTTGAGCCCCGACAAACAGTCGTTCATGTAATAGATTTAGAACACCCAGAGTTATATGAGGATGTACATAGTAGCATCAACTTAGCCACACATGCAAATTATCATATGCTTGATTCGTATCGAGAGTTAGAGCTGAGCACCAAGCCATCAGAGATCAAGGAACTTGCTCACATTGATAAGCTTCTCAAAGAAGCCAAAAGGCTCAATACCAGCTTGCAGGCATCAGTGAATAAAGATCAGCTGTCAGAACTGCCAGTCGATTATGAAGCAAAGATGGTTTTGGACGATTACGAGCTGGATGCAAATTTCCCCATATTAGAAGAAGGTGAATTGGGGATAGACCCAACGGGAGAGAAAGATGTCATCTTAGCAAACTACAAGAAGCTCACAATAGACGCAGCACAAAAAAGAAGCGTGCATCTTGATAGCTATCCCACCGTCCCTAGAAAGACCTGCTCCATGAGTGGAAGGTCCCAAGAAGAAAAGGCCATAGAGAATAACTCACGTGAGGGCAAAGGATCGGAGGTGAAATGGGCAGACACGGTACTCGATGATAATGAAGAGAGATATGAGACTGCTTCCAATGAGTGTAGACAACTGGATAAGGCAGTAAGCTGGAACTGGCGCATGTTTGCCGGCCAAGGATCCTCTGTTGCCAGTACAGAACAAGGTCACAAACGTACTGGCAGTTACACAAGTGCATTAGCTACGTCTGCGGTGTCTCAATCCACGAAATCCGATTCCCAGCAGAAAAAACAGAAACCTTACAACAAGTTTGAGAGGTTCACACCCAGACAATTTCTTTCCTCAACCTCCATATCTTACACTTTTAGGGCAGACCAGGACAATAATAGCTTAGGCTTATCTGCACTCAACCACTCTATTGTTACCGACATTTCTGCATCTAGACAATTATGTACTAATGGCACCCTTCCAATCCAATTTGAAGCCGTCAAGGATCAGTTTAATCACGTAGCAAGCTGCACCAAATCTCTGTTGTTAACGCAAGACTTGGACAAATCAGGCACGCTAGATCAACTGGACGTGGTCCAGACCCCAGAGAAGAGTAGCATGAAGAGTTCTAACATAGAGCTCTACACCTCCTTCAGTGGTACACCATCAAGAGCAGATCACTTGTCGGTATCTAGAGGAAAGACAGCACTATCGGAGTCGGCACACAACCTAGAGTCTAAACACTCTCATGGATCCATGCTCAGTGCATCAGCTGTGCAATCGACAACTTCTAAAATGGCAAGTCGTCCAACTCGGATAAGATCTGCTGCCATTTCAAAGCTAGTCGAACAAATTACATCTGTTAATAGCACAACAGCCGAAAACTTAGCCAAGCTCGGGTACAGCAAAGCAAGACTAGAATCTTCTCGGGATAATCTGTTGCCACGGAATACTTCTAGGTACAATGAGAAGCTTGAAAAGGCCTCTCTGCTTCTAGAAAAACCTAAGCAGAAAGCAAGCAGAGTCCCTTCAGCGGTGCAGAGTGAGCCCCTTAGCGAATCAATCAGTGGATTTGTAGAGCCACAAAATAGTTGTAGTGCTATCAGTGATGTGTCAGAGCCTCAAGCAATTCGAGCAGTGGGCAATCCGAGGGGCAGTACGTTCATATCATCTGGGTTTGGCGGCACGACAAACCAGCAACCTCGGTTATTGTCCTCCAAGGCTACTTATGAAGCACAAATGGTACGCATAGGGAGCAGTGCAAGAATAAGGACACGTACCCTTCATCCTGAACGTCCTGTTGCGCTGAAGACAACCAATGACGCTTCCTCCTCCATGCGTGTTACACCTGTTTCTACTAGGAAGCTATCTGAGACACTTCCTGGAAGGCCAGACTCGGGAACATCACGACCAGGCAAATTGATGAAGGTGGCAGATGTACGGATTGGTCGCCAGAATCAGGAGCTTTTAGCAAGCAGCTCACATGGTGATGCTCGTCCTTATTATGGTGGCTCGGCTCTCTTCAGATCAGTTGACGACATGGTAGTAGCAGTTCCTTCTCCGGCCACAAGAAATATGGTGATAAGCATAACACGTAAGGCATCGGTAAACACACCGAAGCAAACAACTCGCGATAGATATGGCCGCCAATCTGTTACCAGCTCCATAGTTACAAGCCCGGCTGCCTCCAAATCCCTTCTCTCAAAGAGACCTCGGAGTGCCATAGCATCTTCTGCACGCGAGTCTATCTCCAAGATTACAGCTGTGGCCGCAGATAACGAAGCAGATGACTCCGGCGCATCTTTGCTTCTACAAAAGGCTGATCTAGGCCTAGAGCCGATTTCTATCATGGCCAAGCCCCTTGCAGTTCAATCACCGGACCGCATCATTAAGGATCCGTATGATGTTCGTGGGACTCTTCGTGACGAGGCAGAACGGTTCATACCGTGCCGCGGATTTCGTGTCAGCAGCGCCGGAAAATTGCGTCTGCCCAGCACTATCGAAAAAGATATTGTCGTCAACATCCGTCCCCTGACAGCGAAAGTTGGCTCTATGACAAGAATGTAACCGAAAATCTAAAATTAATGGGTGACTCTCTGCAGTGGTTTAAAGCTGCCAAGCGGGGGGATCTCGAGTTCATCAAGCAAAATTTCCAGATGATGAAGGGCCAGAAAAACAAGCAAGAGATGACTGCGCTCATGTGCGCAGCAAAGTACGGGCGGCTAGACGTTGTCACGTTTTTGTTGGAGGCTGAATCCAGGATAGTAACGAACACCACGGCCCTTTTACTGGCTGTACAGGCGCAGAACTACTCTGTAGCGAAATGCCTGGCACCACTTGAATATGATTTAACGACATCTGATGGCCGGACAGCCTTAATGCTAGCCGCCTCTGATTGCGATACTGTGTTTGTTACAATGCTTCTTGCGTATCTCGGTAATGAAAACGACGTTTATTGGAAGACAGCGCTTGAGTATGCAATTTTGGGCTCCAAGCAACGTAACCTGCAAATTCTCATTGAGTCCGATAAGTTCACTCCCAAGCAGATACAAACAGCATACTACTACTCCCTGACTGTCACTAACAATGTGGAGATGCGTTCTTATCTCAAGACTGAAGCTGGAAGCAGAGGTGCTCCTGTTAGTCAAACCAACTCTGCCTCCGTAAGCCTCAGTGCGAGCATCAATGACGAGTGCGTGGAGATGATCAATAACGATCTCGACAGGATAATAGCAGTCAATAGAGAGCAGGAGCAGACCATACAGAAGCTTCAGGAGAAGATAGCATACTTTGAAGAGCAGGAGGACAAGCTCAAGTCCACAATTGCAGATGAATATGCACGCCAGCAAACAACGGACTGTGCCCTGGGCTCCATACTCAGGCAAATCCAGTTGGAACTGAGCAAATTACCATACACTATCACCCCCACTTCCATTGCCTCTCCAGAAGACCTTGTCAAAGTTATAACTGTTCTCGTAGAACAGAGCGCTGCCCGTAGTATTGCTTGGGATTTAGTAGTAGATGAGCTCAAGAAGGTCAGGGAATCAGTGAGGCAAACTCAACTAGAGCTGAAGCGTTACTCAGATGCAATGTCTGAATCATTTAGAGAAGGAACTAATCTATTTGCGCAATTGCAGCGAAATATATTAGGTACACGATCAGATAAGGACCGATTGAATATGGAATATGAACAAAAAATTAAGAGTCTAGAAGCTGCGCTGGATCTTGCTAGAAAAACAATCGATGAGTTGCGTGCCGGTGGGATGCCAGGAGCTCAGAAATCCACGTGCGATAAGGAAATTTATGTATGGTTCCCCATTCAACAGAGACAATTAGCGCGGCCATCTATCGAGCCAATTGTTACCTCATTGATGCAATCTGTTCGAAGCATCTCCAGCCGTACTAGCCGGAATAGAAATACAACGCCGCACAAGCCCCAACAAATGCAGGCGCTTGGTGCACCCTCGACGTGGGAAGTGGACCAAAAGTCATTCAGAACTGCTCGAGCGAATGCTCCTACTGGTCGTAGCAGTCTCTCAGGCGAAAAGGAGCAGCAAGAGGCATCTACACATTCGCCACACTTTATTGTTGCATCGCGCGTACAAACGCAATCTCCAATATCCCCGCAAGACATAGCGCTCAGAGCGTCTGTTGAGCATGTTCCAGCACTAACACATGAGCTATCTGCTTCGTCCGTCCTCGCATCAAATGCCTCTCCACGTCAGTCCGTTGGGAGCTCATCTCGGCAACAGCTGCTTGTCGATGACAATGGAGTTACGACCCTCATGGAAGCAGCAAAGAACGGTGACGTTGCTGGAGTCAAGACGGCTATGAGCCAATTGAAGTGCTACAACAACGAAGGTTTTACCGCCCTAATGATCCTCGCCCAACAAAGCCCCATTACCAAAGGACACATAGACGTACTTAAGATACTAGCCCCACTAGAGGGTGGCATGTCCGTCCAATCTGGAAAGCAAGCTGGAGCTACCGCTCTGATGCTGGCTTTGGAGGCCAAGAATTTTTCTGTTGCAGAGGGGCTTCTAGACATTGAGGCAGGGCATCAGCGGGATAACGGGATAACAGCGCTAATACTGGCAACCTTCCATAACAATGAAGGAATAGCTACGCGCCTCATTGAGGCTGAGGGGAAGCTCCTTAAGCAGGGAATTCAGACGCCGCTTATGAATGCTGCCAGCCACGGAAACATAGGCCTAGTGAGAAAGCTCTTGTTCCAGGCAAAGCGAGTCAAGCAGGGCGGATGGACTGCGCTGATGATGGCGGCTCAGAAAGGACACGCCTCCGTTGTCGAGCTTTTGGAACCTTATGAGGCTGGTATGCAGAAAGACGACGGTACGACTGCTTTGCTGCTTGCGGCCAATAGTGGTTTTTTGGAGGCTGCGCGAATCCTGGCCCCAAAAGAAGCAGGTCTATTCCACCTCAAGGGCCACTCCGCCCTCCTTCTTGCCGCGCGCTCTAATTATCACGAGATAGTGAAGCTACTATTATCAAAGGAGGCGGGGATACCGGCACGCAACACGGTGACTGCCCTCATGTATGCAAGTCAAAAGGGGCACGTAGAGACTGTGCAGCTCTTGTTGGACTACGAGGCTGGGAAAATGTCTGAAGACCAATGGACAGCCCTGATGTACGCAGCACTAAATAATCAGAGCGAGGTTGTCAGGCTTTTGGCCCCAAAGGAAGCAGGGATGCGCCGGGACAGGTACACCGGAGCCACAGCCATGATAATTGCCGCAGAACACGGAGCAGCCGAGTCGGTTGCTGTTCTAGCTGACTATGAGGCAAAGTGTGTCGACAAGGTCGGTTGCACGGCTCTGATGGTGGCTGCCCAGCGAGGTCAAACTGCCGTGGTCAGAATCCTGTGCGACAAAGAGAGCGGCATGCAGACACCAGAGGGTATCACTGCACTGATGCTTGCAATCCAATACAGCCACCGGGATTGTATTCAGATACTTTATAAACAAGAGTGTAATCTGCACGCAGCAGACGGAAGCAGCTGCACCCACTACTGCGTCAGCACTGATGATTTTCAATTCGTGCAATCCCTCGCCCAGTCCTCCTGACCCGGATCTTCTGTACTTATTTTCCCTATTTTTGTAAATTTATCATAAATATTTCATGCGTGTTTGCAATAATCTATGAAAGTTGTCCAAAATGTCCAAAATAGGGAATTTCTTAGTTTCTTAGAGTAAAATTTTCACTCTTAATGGCCGACCAAGGTCGCAGAAGCTTCGCCTACTCGCATCTGAGCGATTCTCAGATAAATGCTCCTGAAGTGCACATCGGGATGGACCCAGAAATAGATGATCTGGAAGCGTTTGCCCAGTTGGCCTTTCTCAAGCAGGATCCCCTTTTTGAGACGGCAGACACCAGCATTCGGGCAGTTCTTGAAGCACCCAACAATCCAGAGTATCTCCGCTCACTTTCTGTGCACCTTTATCGGCGCTGCAAGATCTATCGGCGTGCAGCATGCGAAAAGAACCAGCAAGGTGCCTACACTTCGCGACCAGACTTCGTAGCGCAGCTTGCTGTGGAGCTACGCAACTATGACACTCTTGTGCAGGATTTGCACCACAAGATTGGTACTACAGTCGGAGACAAGACAGAGCTGTGCAATCTTCTGATGACGAGGTATGAACGCCTCGTGGAGAAAACGAAGGAGGTCACAATTATGGCACACGAGCTCGAAGTGCAGCTGCAGGATAACGATCCAGCACTGAAGATAGACTATGCGCGTACTAAAGCTGATATCAGAAAAATATTGCAGGGCCTAGAGGCAGCAGCTAACGAGCAGACCCACACCATAGATATATCTCGCCTCCGGGCAGATGTCCAGCGCGCCATTAGTGGAGAGGGTGTCCTCGGCTTGGGTTCAGAGGGGTATTACACAATCCCAAAGCCCTCCATTCACACGACTGCACACGCACTACGGAGGGATAGAGACACTAGTAACATCGACAGCATCTACTCTCCTGTCCAGGGCTTACCAAACATGCTTGGATCGACCATACAGCCCAACCCCATTGTGGACACGGATTCGCAACAGCTCATGACTATTCTTGCGGAAGTGGTTGCGAAGTGTAACCTCTTCAAGCAGATAGACTCTGATCGCATGGACGTCGATCGCATTTCAGATACAGTTTCAGACCCTAGTATGAACATAAACGACACCGACTCGCTTGCAACGTGCGTTTACAAACTCAATATAGCTGTAGATAATGCTATCACTCGCGCAAGAGCATCATTAAATCAGAGAGCTCAGGAGCTATCTGTGTTGAAAGGACACATGCGCCAACTTCAGGATGATAACCACGCACTGAGCAGCCAACTGAACGAATACATGAATATAAAGGTTGCCTTTGAAAGCTATCAAAGAGAGAAGATAGAGGAGAGCAGCATCCTCAAGCGTACATTTGATCAGACTCTGACAGACTATACTTCATCCATCAAGGACAGTATTTTCGAGCTCAAAGTAGCTGGTAACCAAGGAAGTAGGCAGTGGTATGCAGATAATGTAATGTTCCCCCACACGCGTACGGCGAGCGTCGTTGAGGTCCTCTATGAAACGCTTGGCCTGCTGCAACAGTACTCGGGGAGAGAAGAACTTAACTTCGACATCCATATAGCAGAGCCTGCTGCTCTACCAGAGATGATCTCTTCAAATCAGTTAATTTCTAATGATGCAACGGCAACGCTGAAAGAGCTTCAAAAGATAGGTGCTCTTGTGGTTTCTCTTCGACACGGAGTTGAGGGTTGTATCGATAGTATTAGAAGTAAGCGCTCCTCTTCTTTGACATCATCTCCTCTCAGCGAGGCGACATTTATGCAGCAGATGGGCATCAACATGCTTTCCATCGTTCAGTCCCTTCTATCGATGACCCTCTGGGGCAGTAAGGAGAAGATGAAGGAGCATCTTGGTATGCAGACAGCAGAGCTACTGATGAAGAAGATCCTGATGATCGATAACGTCGAAATACCGGATGGATTCATAGACGACGAGTTCTCGAAGAAGCTTGTGGCTATAATGCAGCAAATATCTCCGACAAATGCAGATCTTCTTCCATTGCTAGAGTCGTTAGCACATATATTAGAGGATGCGACAAAGAACGACTATATTGTGCCAAAGGCGGTTAGTCAACTGAGCACACTTACTCTCAACGTCGACAAGGAGAACAATCAATTCCGTCAAATGATAGATCTCAAGGACAAGGAAATCCTTTCATTGCAAGAGCAGGTGAAACGAAAAGACACAGACTTCCGTGAGTCTCAAGAGCAGCTCGAAAAGTGCAAAAATCAGCTCCACGATGCTCACAAAGAAATGCTGAGTGTGAAGGATGGTTATGCGGCTTCTGCGCTTGAAGCACAGAGGGTTGCAACCATGGACAAGATACTAGAGGAGTCCAAGCAGCAAGTAAGTCATCTATTGACGGAGAAGCAGGACCTAGAAGGAAAGATGTTGGAGTTGCGTGCAGATAACAAGAAGCTTGTCACAATCATTCAGGCGAAGGAGGCAAATATTGGTGAACTGAAAACAGATTTGGCAAAGGCAGTCAACGAGCTCAATCGTCAGACCTCTAGTGCGGTATCTTCAGCACAAGATGCGAAGGAAGCCATTGACCGTAATCGTGAGCTCGTCACACTGGCCAATACAATGGGTGCACGCCTGAAAGACACAGAGTCTAAGCTCAGAGAAGCAAACGCTACCATTACAAATTACAATCAGGAAAGGGCCAAGTACGAAAAGGATATCCAAGAACTCACTGGGAAATGTGACGAGCTGCGTAAGAAATACGAGACATCAGAAATAAATTACAGCGAGCTGAAGATAGAGAAGATGCGCCTGGAAACAGAGTGGAAGGGCGTTCTGGAACAATGCGAGAAGCTTAAGAGGCAAAAGGAAGAGCTGGCAGAGGAGCTAGACGGTGCCAAGGAGGCTTACAGCAACGCCAATAAGGATCGAGCAGACGCCACGGCTACACAACAGCGTGCTGTTAGTGACCTTACTATCCTCACAGAGGAGTACAATATCTTGAGTGAGAATAACATCATGCTGGACAAGAAATGCAGTGAGCTGACCGCAAAGCTTGTTATGGCCGAGCAGGAGATAGGCAATTTGACAGATCTGTTAAACGAAGCACACACAAGCCTCATACAATATAGCAAAGATGCAGAAAGCAAGAAGCACGAGGCTACAAATGCGACAAGGGATCTTATGGAGGCAAAAGCAACCGCGGCCGAGGGGCGGGCGACAACTGAGGGTCTCATGAAGGAGGTATCTCGTCTAGAGGAAGCGCTTAGTGAGCGTAAGGCAGAATACAATGCCTTAAACGATCAATATAAAAAGGAAGTCTGCGATTTAACGGCACGCCTCCGTGAAGTCGAAATGCAATACACCACCATGGAGCAGACACTCCGATCCGAGTACGATCAGCTCATGACCACCCGAATGCAGCAGCAGCTCTCGACCGTGGAGACAACCGCCAGTGCCGAGGTCACCAGATATAAAGATCAGCTGACCGCAGCAGATGCTCGGTACAAAGAAGCATTGGAGGAGATTAAGAGGTATTACATAGACAAAACAGAGGCCGAGAAGCAGCTTTCCGAACTGAAAACAAAACTGGCAGTGACCACAGAGAACGAAACAAGACTCGTCAAAATGACGAAAATACTCAGCATATTCAAGAGAAAGATCATCTCGCTGGCTATGCCATACGAGAAGATAGCAGAAAGCTCCGAAGGAAAAATCAAGTACAACGTCTTTAGCCCCGATCTGGGCTTCAATCTAATATCGAAAGCCGGGCGTGCCTCTGAAAGCAGCTTCTTGCTAGATGATGAGCCTTCTATGATCATGGAAGAACGCATAGCAGGCACTAGCCCATACGACTCCGCACCACTCAATGCGGTGGCTCAAGTCAACGTCCCCCATGAGAGGGATGTAGAGGAAATATGTGCATTACTAAAAGCCGGTATCAAATATCAGTACGATCATGAGGAGATGAAGCACCTGCGCACTGAAATGACTAGCCTTAAAGCTGAAATCGACGACGAGCGGCGAAAGACAGAACTTATGGAACGTGAGAAGATGCAGCTAGATATAGAGCTGCAAAAGGCCCAAATAGAGAACCGAGACCTTGCCACAACGGTCTCTGCCACGCGAAGCGCATCTGTAGGATCGTTTGGAGGTATCCATCAAGGACTGCATTCCACCGCAGGCTCCACGTACCCTTCTGTAGATCGCGCCCAGAGCCAGAGACCCTCTTCACCGCAAACAACCCTTATGTATCCTTCTACAACAGCTTCTATGCGATACGGTGGCTCTGGCACATCACAAAGCAGCCATAGTACACTGGCAACAACGCCTTCTGGTACCGGGATGGTGTACCCAGGTCGAACAGACTTCTCAATCGGTGCTTCTGCAACCTACAAGCCAACTATTGGTGGGCCTCCAAGCGCTCCGTCAGTACCCCGCACGATGGGATACAATGTTCCCAGTACACTTGTTTCTACTGGAGGATCTAACATCACTGTGCCCAATGCAGTGGGTGGCCTTGTGGGTGGGATGCCACCTCTTGGGCCGGGGGCTCAATCATACCTTCACGGACTGGGCGCAGGGCTAGGGTTTGCTGGCTCTGCGGGTGCAGTTCCAAGTTATTCACGATCGGTATCTAATCCATCGGTTCCGAAGACTTATCCAGCCATGATCTCCTCTGCGGCATCACTCGGTGGCTCCGCCACAGGCTCCTTGATTGGATCTACAGATATGATCGGATCCCAGCGATCTATCTCCACAAGTGGTCGGCCATCTGTAGGGCTGCCGCCTCCTTCCACTACTTACGCAGGGGGGTATACCCCATTTGCTGTTGGTGTGTCCCGGCCAGGAGTCGCTGGAATAGGTCCGGGAGTGCCAGGGGGTGTTCCATATGGTGTAGGCAAATAGGTCCTTTGTAAATTAAGTTGGAAGATTGATGTCGCAGAAAAATTAAGCGCATGAAGAAGAGCCTCAACGAGCGGGAGTTCTTGGCCGCGGGGGTCTACCAGGCGATGCACCCGTCACTGGCTGACGGACTAAAGGTGGATAAGAAGGGAATAGAATCCGCCAAGGCTCGGTTACAAGACGAAATCAAAAAGTGCAACGAGGAGCTTGCAGTTATAGAGGCCGAAGAAAGAACGCTTATTGCTAGGAAAAACGAGATAATAGCGGAGTTTACCGAGGCTAGGGATGCATAATTTGCCGACAGTCGGGAACAGGAATCCAAAATTTAAAAGATAGAATGGCATCGCAGTTCACCCAGTCCCAGATCGAGGCGAAAATGAACGAAATTCGTAGGGCAAATGCAACAGCAAAGCTTATTCCAACATCTGCTCTGTGCCAGTGGGCGGTTGAACTTCTTTCCGGCACACACTCTTCCCTGATGAACCCTCCTGCCTCCGTCTCTGTGGAGCCAACTTTGCAGGACGAAGAAGATCTGGGAGAAGATGCAACTGAGTTTGGTGATATAGTGGAACTCAAGGGCCACAAGTTTGTAATCTGCAATGGACTTGTCATACCGAAGGATCTCCTGGAAGACAAGGTGCTACCGATGATAGACAATTACATGAAGGAGCATGGCATCACACTGGATCAGGTCTTCAATGAGATGATGCAGTGAAAGTACCGGAAAAGCCACCGAGTAAACACTTTTCCCTGTCAGTCTTTATTAGTACGTCCTCCTCATCAACCAGGACGAGTCCCTGGATCCCGGGTATTTGTAGTTCTTGCCCGACAGACGCAGGCACTAAGACGTGGTCCCCCTCCGTAATGCTCTCATAGTTCCTACCAACCCCTGTCCCCACGCGACGCACCACATACTCCTGAAGACCACCAGCACCTGTGTAAACATCCCCAGCTGCCTCGACAGCCCTCTCAAGAAGAAAGCGTGGACCCAAGACAAGGAGGCTCATGAAAGAAATTATTAGAACAACATATTGAGGCAACAGGTGTGTTTGGTCATCTTCTACCTCCCACTATAGCACCTCTACAAAGAGGCCAGGCAGTGGGCATGGAGCTCTGGCATAAGCACAAAGTTTATAATGAAGTTTATAATTAAGGTAGATGTTCTACACTAACGCAAAAGGTTAGGATTGCTTTAAAGTTTATTAGCAATATCTCACACTTTTTTCATATTTTTTGAAAGATACTGTAGCAATTTGGTTTGTTAAAACTGAACCAAACGGCTTCTGACAGCAACCAGCTCAACGATGGACACCGCCAGCCGTCAGTCCCGTTAAACTAGCTTCTGTGAAGATGCAAGATGGCAGTCTCGTCTTCGTTAATTTGATGAAGCACAGATATGAGTTATAGAGTGGTATGTGGCAAACAGCACACAGATAGGCTCTTTCACAACCGAAAGCTGGATAGACACATGTGTTATCCAGAGTTAAGAAGGTGGCAATACCATCTTCAGACACCTAGCATCCTCTGAGTAGAGGAGCAGATGTGATCAATCGAAGATTCTCTCTGCAAAGTGGACCGGTATGTCGCTGGCGCTGTCGTTCTCAATCCCATCACTGTCTCCTTCATCCTGTTGTTGTGCCTTAGAGGCCTTCTTGGTGAACTGCTTAAACACTCTGCTCTGGGACCCCTTCATTCTCTGAGATATTCTTACTGTATCCTCAATAGTCATACAGTTCTTGCTAATGTTGTACTCGGGAGATACAGAGCTCTGTATTAAGCTAGCGTCCGATGCCCGACTATCGGGACGGGTTATGGTATCGGGTATGTTGATCGGCCTAAACGACTGTAGCTCTTCTTTAACATTGACAATGCGTTTCCGAACAGACAGAAACTTCCAGATCCCAATTGCCGCACAAATCGCTATAAGAACAGCTGCAATGGAGATCGGGGCTACTACTACCCAATCGATGCGCTTTGTACTTTCGGTGTTGTTTGATATGTTAATCACGTCTGTAGATGTGTCATACAACAGGTCATCTAACGGTTCAGAAGGTGGCACATACGGCGGGCGACCTGTGGAAGGAGGAATGTTGGAGGGCAGAGGCGCAGGAGACGCACCACGCGTGACAACTATTTGACACGTGGCTATTCTGCTAAGGCGTGCCACAACGTACAGATTGTTTGCTCCCGTAGATCCCCCGGTGGTGCACCAGTGCTGAACGCTCGCCATGTCTGCAAGGCCGTTAAGTTCTAGTCTGATTTCGGTAGCTGTGGAAGACACAGGATTTCTGACGGTGATAGTGTACTTTCCTGGAGCCTGCACAAAGAGCACTTGTGAGATGACACTAGACTGGATAGTAGTTGAGCCATAGAGTGTTGCTGTGCCGGCACTATAGAAATTGAGGGCGATGATCCTATTGTTTCCTTGTGTGTAGGAAAGCATTCCAGTATTGTCGTCGACTGTGTGCTCAGCTTGAGAGCCACCACCAAAGGATAGAGTGTAGCTATTCATAAAACCATTAAGCTGATCGTCTGTAGTATCTATAGGAAGATAGGGATAGTAGGAATACACAAGGGACTGAAAAGGCTGCCACTGGCCGCTGCCTGGAGAGGGTGAAGCCCTTTGTAAGGTTGTTGTGACAATGAGGGCGCGTAGCGTTTCCTGACTAGCGGAAGTGCCACCAAGCTCAGAGTATGCTCGCAGCACTGTCACATTTTTAATAACTCCATTCAAACCTGTGGGAAGAATAAGAGCTGCAGCGTATGCATTGCCAGTATATGGAACTACCTTGAAAAGAATCCTCCTTGGTCCTGTGAACTGATAGGTCCCAGTGATGGTTTGTTTAGTTCCATCAATATACACTTCTGTCGTATCTCGCTCACCAAATGGAATAGTAGCCAGATTTGCCATTAGAGTAATAGAGCTCGTCGTGGTGGAGGTCAACTGAGCCACATGGAGCCCTTCTCTGAGAGACTCCATGAGGTAAATGGTCTTATAACGGATGGTATTGGAGCGGGCATTATAGTAATCCATCGTTGCGCTCCCATGCGTGCCATCTGTTATGCTAGAGACAAAGCGTCCAGGTGAAAGTGTTCCATAGAGATGAGATTGAGATGAGCAATCTGGCAGATAACCCGAGTCATATATAATGCCTGCATAATCATGCGATGATGCCAGCAGAACATAGTCCTCGTATTGCTTCGGGTGGTCTCTGACAAAGGGAAAGACTGCCCCTGCCGCCTGATAGAACCCGAGCTTGTTGAGATCATTGATGCACTGAAAGTTCCGCGTACGATACGAGTTCATGGCGATTATCAGGGAGAAATGCCTTGCCTGGTAGGCATAGTGGTCTCCGTGAATGAGCGGATAGTGCCCAACCATGAGTTCGCCAGGGTACGTGGGAGAAGATAGAAAGACCCCCGTGACCTTGTTCCACAGCCCGAGAGTAGGAAAGTTTAGGTGAGAAATCAGATGAGTCTTAAGTTGTGGGCAGTTGAGTATGAAGTAGTTGCAGTGCTTGTAGATGCGCTCGTAGGATGCATGGAGGCTGTATCCACTGGAGTTGGCGACGGAGACAATCTGAAACAATCCAATGAATATATTGCCTAGGCGCTTGTACGGATTGTCAACCCCTGATGCCACCTCTGCCCCAGACAAGGAGTCGACAAATCCACAGTTCGCCACAAAGGGCAGGATTGTGCCAGTGAAGTATGTGGCAACCTCTTGAAAAATGGTTGAGACCTGGGATGTAATCTTGACAACGTCGCCCGGGCTCTTGTTTGAAAATAGAGCCTCCTCGATCTGCTTGGCCGGGGCAAGGATGCAGGAAAGCAGGTAGAGCAGGGATTGACCGGTGGATCCAAAAATCACGCTAGAATAATATTCAATAAAGGTGCCATCAGTGCGGAACCCGTCATAGAGGACAGGTTGAGGGACGACGTCGTAGTCAGGGTCACGTGCTTCAAGAAGTGCGCTCACTCTGTTGTAGTATTTGGTCATGGAGCTGAGGTCGCCGACCATTAAGGAGCTGAAAATCACAATCTTCGCTGCATAGAGCTCCATGAGAACGGCACTCACAGGGCACCTGGTATCATCATACCATTTGGTGGGATCTCCTGTGCACTCCTGCACTAGCTGGGATTGAGCAGGAACCGTGAATAGACCCCCTAGAATCAGACGGAGGCTTACATAGTAATAGTGCTCAGTACTACTCGCGGTGTTGTAAATATCGTGCAAGACAATTAAGAGATCAATGAGACTATTGGGAATAACCAGACTCCAGGCGTATTCGTCTGAGCTATACGTTGTGGATGATGAATAGTACTGAGACAGGTAACAAAACGCTGTCAGGATATTTTCGCGCACCAAAGCCTGCTGGTATAAGGTTGTGCCTTCTGTCTGATAGGCAATGGCCATTTCCAGCACTCTGTTTATATACTTTTGAAGATTGGAAGCGCTCGTCAACGCACCTAGATCACTCCAGGTGCGTGTCTTAGAATCAAATGAGGTATTATACTGCTCTGCAACGCTCGATAGAGAGGCCACATAAGAGGACAGTAAGTCCGCTGGATACTGACTTGGATCGCTAATTACATAGAAGGACTTGATGGGGGAGAGGACTGAAAAGTACTTTCGACTGGGATCTGGAGAGGCTGGTGCAGGCGGAAATGGAAAAGTGGATAAAGTTAGACACAAGTATACTAAAAGAAACAACATTTTAAACTTCACTAGCCAATTTTACAAGCCTGTGCAACAACTATAACCGATGCCACCTTTGCATCCAATACAACAACACCAGTATGCTGTGTCCGCGTGACGTTTCGAGGTTAATGAAGTTACAGGCACTTCTTTATTGTGTCAGAATCTAGTTAATTTAGTTAAGTATTCTGTTAGGTCTGAGAGAGAAAAAAGAAAAGAAAAGAAAAGGATCCTTTAACTCCAGACCAATTATTCTTCAATGTTAGCAACTACCGAGACACCCACTTAAGTCAACGCGTGCTTTGGACGAGTTGTCAGAAAGGATGTTCGGGGGGCGGAACCCATAAATTGGGCTAAAGCCAGAGTCTCGCCGCACAGAGCTAGCCATAACCCTCATACTGAACTCCTCTTGTTCTGGACTCATTTGTATCGGCCCAACGTTCTCTTGGACAACATTGCTATTGAGCTCTGGGGCTGATACCATGGTACTCGACAGCATATTGGATGCGGCAGCTGCAGAATACCCCCTGAGGCGCTGGCTTCCATCAAGAGACGTCGCGGTCTGATAGCTCACGGTGTTCTTTATGCCTGTCCTGGTCTCCGAAGCAGAGCCGACCTCTTGGTGCTGCTGTTGCTTCAGTAACTTGGCCTTTTCTAGCTTGATCTTATCTGAGATGCGTGCGTATCCCATGTGAATAGCAGCGCTTCTCTGGCGAGCACTCGCCCCAGACATTGCGGATTTGGCCGAGCTCCCTCGTGCTCCGCTCTTACTTCTTCTCCTAGCAAATTCAGCTAGATCTTCCTCACTAAGCTGTGCTATGGCCGTAACGCTGGGAGGCTTTGCGATTTTCCCAAACGCTATGTACTGTGTGTCCAGTGAGTCTCGCTCTTGTTCCGAGAGCTTAGAAAAGTTAATCCCGGAGGCAGCCATGGTCATTTCTTTCATCTGGAGGGAGATATCGGAGGACGCTATCATCATTTGCTCTGTTAGTACAGATTGAATCGGCTGTACTATGCCAGCAACTGTCAGCGCTGGGTTGGCTATTATGGGACGGTTGTTTGGCTCCATATTCCCCAGCCCATACCTCATATTTGTCTCTCGAAGAATGCGGAGACCGTCGTTCAACCGATTGAGTGTAACGTGCTTTTGAATCGGACGGACATGGGGCGCATATGGAAGGACAGTCAAGCTGCCTGATTCCTGGGGAGATACCGCAACATCCTGCTTGTCAGCGTCTGTGATCTGTTGAAGTGCCCCGGAATGCGCATCATCTACCACAAGTGCATCTATATCCAGTGCAGTCGACTTTCTTATGGCGCTTGGGACACGTGACCCTGTCCGCGACTCTCTTCGTGAACTGGATCTTGAGCCTCCCTGCCTATACTTGTGTAAACTTGCATCTGTTCGCGAGCCACCTGCGGGTGTCTGAAGCTGATCTTGATGAGCTTCACGGTTGGCCTCCATTGCTTCGTGTGCTTCACGCGACACGGTTATGACGGTGCCCTTTGTGTACCCAGACTGAGAGAGGCTTGACGTCGGCCTGGACACAGCGGGGCTGTCAATAGTCTTGGTTGACAGCCGCGAATGGCTCGAAGCCGTTGCTCCATCAAACAGGCGTGCAGAGTCAGGGGCTTTTTGCTCGTAAACAGATGTGATCCCTATTGTAGAGGCAGCAGAGCCCATCGGTCTAGTGGTACTGATAGGTCTCTGAGAGTCCTTGATCCTTGCAGCTATAACTGATTCTAGTCTCTTGTCGTCATTGAGATTGGAGCTGTGATGCACGGCGAGGAAGAGATTGTGGTCCATTCCGTTATATTCGTGATTTGCTTCCGCCAAGACTGACACGGACTTTTTAGGGTTTATGGAGGTCATCTTGGCAGAAGCTAAGCGAGAGTGGACCGTATCCATACTCTTCGTTAGACTGGAGGGAAGTCCCATGCTATAAAAGTCGGAAGGCTTTGAGCCCCCATGAAACGCAGTGGAGCGAGGCCGACTTGTGTACGCCTCCGCTAGCTTTTGCGTAATAAAATCGACTTTCTCCTGCCGCAGTGTGGCCATGGCTTGAACTCTGCCACTATCTTTTTTTGATAAATCAGTCGGGGGAAGTCAGCAAGAAGGAGATGCTAGAGGCTTTCGATAACAAGACCTGTTAGTACTGGCTCAGATCAAGCTACAAGCCAGCGCATTGAATGAGCATAGTCTCTTTGCTCGTCTTAACGTTTCTAAGTTTCTCAAGAAAGAGAAAATAACTTTAAAGAAAGCATGGCACATCTACGCACAGCAAGCCACACCGATGAAATATCAAAGGTTGGTGCTGTTCCGGGGTCACATACCCGAAACAGGATTCCTTCTCAACGTTCGGATTGCTCAGAGCATACAGCAACAGATTTTTCTCAGCGGTTAAAAAGCGTCACCAACAAGGCGCGGCGCGACTCTGCGCATGGAGATTATCTCTACAGTTGCCTGGAGGCTGCTGCACCGTGGCTCCCGTCTGTCAAAGACTCTGAGTACTACTTCTTGTATCCTAAGAATATAGCTTTAATGTCTAATATTTCTGGAATATTGGTCATGGTAATACGATCATCCACACTCAATACTCTTCAGGACTCAAATGTTCAGCGAAGCATAGCTTACGAGATTGTTACTCGGATTGAACCCTGTAGTAAAGGCAAGCGGGCCGCTGGACTCTTTCCTGGAGAGGTTGCCAGTGGAAATGAGTACCAAAGCGAAATATCAATCGGCGTTAGGCTAGGAGATAAGGATTATACAGACACGCATGGGCCTTTCAGCTGTCTTGACTCGGATATCAGTGCTTTCTGCTCTCTTCTGTCTACTACAACTACTAGATATAAAAAGCTTTCAGGTATTAGCGTGGAAAATGCCATAGTACACTCTATAAAGAACCTTAACATGTCTTGCTCTGCTTCCTATGACGACGAGACGCGGATTGTGGTCCAGACCGATCTGATGCGCTCACTACTATTTAACATGAGTACCCCGCGCTTCCCCCGTGGCCGCCAGGGCATGGCTGCTTATACCGTTGTTAACGATCTCTCCTTTCGGCAGTATGGCCGTTATTCGTGCCAGATCTTTCTGCGTAGAGTTCTCCTACTCACAGCGACGCTTGTTTCTACCCCGACATTTGAGCTCTGCGACTCAAAGAATATCTCGAGTCATAGATCAAATAAGGTAACGGCTAATTTCCCTGACGTCGTTGTCAAACTGCAGAACCCCTTTATCTTTTCATCCTCCGAGTTCTTTCCGTGGTGGTCCAACTACAACCCTTCTCTTTCAACCCCGATACCTTCAGACCAAACCATACTTAGCCCAGATGTCCTTGCATCTTATTTTCACGTTCCACTCCATGCCAACTGTGGGCCCACTAGTAGCGTTACTGGAACATTTACAGAGCCTGGCCCTGAGGTTTTCAATGTACTAGGAAATGTCGTTGTGAATACCCTTACTCTCCAGACCGGGGCCAATAGCAGCACTCCATCTGAGAAGATACTCAAAAACATAGACCACACAAAAGTCCCCAGCGCCACAGCTCCCTTCGTACCTGGCACACGCATTCTGGGGGGAGCTACCGACATTTACCGTCGCTCCAGTGTTAGATATGAAGCCAATCCTCAGAGCTTACTGGTGCCGGTAACAAACACCGAGAGCGGCCTTGTGAAGGGGCCGCATGTGAACAGTGCTTCGATGCTACCAGCAGAGCAGGCCTTGAAGGATATGAAGGACAGCTGCATAGGTCAATTAAACCAGAAGTGCGACTTAGATAATACCTATGAATTCAGCGCTTATCAGTCAAACGAAGAGTTGCTTGATGTGTGTAACGCAAACGCATATGCAAAGGTGGTAGATAAAGAGGATCTGTCGGAGCTTAGTAGGAGTGACTCGCCCATTGTTCAAAACAAGCGTCCAATGACGTCATTCAGCAGGTCAAAGCCCAAACTAGTGTTCGGTAAGTTACTAAAGAAAAAAGATGAATCTAAGGAAGAGGCGTTGCCTCCATTTCTATCAGTGGCTGCAACCAAAGATGGCTTAAAGCACGAACCAAAACTAGTTGCACAGACAACTTGCAACGGGACAGAGACATATAAGCGTATAACAGCAGTGACCTCAACTACAGAGAGTCCCATTAACTACACGAAAGTCATGGTGTCCCAGTGCGCCAAGAAGCAATGCAATGAACCATTTTCTAACAGAGGGCCCAACGGGGAAGACAAGTTCTACCATCTCAAATTCAAGTGTGGCGATGGTACTATATTAGTGTACGTTGAGTTCACAAAGGAGTACGGAGGCCTCGCCGAGGGTCATGTGATCATGGGGCAATCTCACTTCCAATGGGATGTGACAATCATTGCTGGTCCGCAAGTTCTCGACCTTCTTGTGGGAGGAAAATACGTGGACTCTATTCACCTTTCATCGGTAGGGGACTACAATATATGTTTCAAGCTTCTAGACAGGGGCGCGTGGATAGATCTTTCTGAAAACTATGACGTTTTTGCAAGAGTTCTTTAGGCATTGACGCAATCAATCAGTAATTACTTAATAATCATCTAGTAAATAAAAATGGAACACTTCGGATTTGAAGAGGAGGTTTTAATTATTGAGCCAGTCATCGACTTGCGAGAAGCCTTTGGAGAGAATGGAACTGCGACATGCATGAGCGAGTACATGGCACCACTTCTGCAGCTAGGATCCCCGTACATCCTGCGGCCCCACAAAATAATGAAGCGCGAGCAGCACTGCTTTATCCATTACTACAGGCCAAAAGGTTCTATTTTACTCAGCGATCTGGTGACAGAATACCGAATACAACACATGGAGATTGCCGAGGAGCTTCTCTGGCGCATTTTCTATTGCCTTCTCCATGCAATCCAGCATCTCGAGCTCAATAAGATCTCGACCATCCAGCTGATTTCTCAACAGTCCGTACTCCTCCTAGAGAATGGGATGGTCCAGATCTCCATTCCCCATGCGATCAGCGTCTCGACTCTGCATCTCGATAAAAGCCTATTGGACCAATTGATGGGTCTACATGCATGCGTCAATGATCTAGTGGAACATAATGCCCTTGTCACTCGGCGTTGTCGGCTGGGGGCAGAGCAGGATGGGTCTGACACGTTGGACAGAGACAATGCACTAGGTAGTGTTCCTACCGAGAAAAGAGCTATCAAGTCAGCTATGCGTGCAAGGACTCCGGTAAACATGATACGATTTTCCACAGAGATCTCCTTGTCCGTTCGGCGGGCGACGTCGAGACCAGCCAAATCATCTCTAGAAGCATCGGCAAACGCCTCCCTCTGTATACCAACACTCAAGTATGTTCTTGCGTTAATGAACTCCCCTTCATTCAATGTCATTATGACGGCAGAAGCACTGCTGAATACCCCGAATATCCACAAGCTCATGGAGCCCATCAAACAAAGCTACACACAAAAACTAGACACATCGAAGTACTTCCTTTGCCCACTTATTGAATCTATGCTGGCAGGAGATAGCTGGTTCAGCGAGAACACGCTCTATCTTCTACACTTTGCTGGCCGTGTAGATAGAGTGGGACGCACATCGCTGATTCATCTAGCGAGTCAACCAGTCGGCTCACTCTACCCATCCCCTCGCGAATATTCTCTCGCCACTGTGACATCTGAAGGCTGTGCTTCTTCTTCAGCTCGCAATCAACGCGTCGTTGGATTCCTCATTGACTACGAAAATTCATACATTGATAGCAATGGTGGATGTGCATCTTGCTATGCATTGGCATCAGGCAATCTAGAGTTGTTTTCCATGCTGAAGGAGAAGGAGGCGCACAAGTATAAGGCATCCGGTATTACCCCTCTTGTGCTCACAATCTCTCATAAACCGGAGGATCTACCAGATTTGAGTCTGTTGCTGCCCCATGCCGACAGAAAGCTGATTAGTGGCCACACGTGTTTGATGCTCGCGGCAGTGTATAACGCATCTGCCTGGGTCCCACACTTTATAGATCAGAAGAATGCATATCTAACAGATGGCACGTCAGCCCTCATGTTGGCAGCCGACCGTGGTCATACGGCAATTGTAAAAATGCTCGCACCTCATGAGATTAAGCATCGCGACAAGAATGGAAACACAGCGCTGCTGAGGCTTTTAAAGAGTTGTCTGACTTGTCTGAAATCTTCGCCAGACCTTTGGAAGGAGTTGGGATTGGATGAGCGTCACAAAATACTGCAGGATATCGTGTCAATCTTGGCTCCTGGAGAGTCTGACGTAGTTGATAGTAGGGGTATATTCCCGATTGACTATGCTATAGAGCTAAACGACGAGGAAATAGTGCAGATTCTGGCCACGCATCCATATCCGAAGAGACTCCCAGGACAGAGAACGCGCATGATGAACGCATGCATGAATGCCAACTATGCGCTCACCTGCGCCCTTTATAGATCGGAGGTGGGAATCATTGATGACGACGGACGCACAGCCCTAATGCACCTTAGCAGGAGCCCGGAGACCACAGAGGGTCTGCGCTGCACTCAGCTACTATTGCAGAGCGAAGTCAGTCTGCGTGATAAGGAGGGAAAGACGGCCTTAATACATGCGTGCATGTGCGGGAATATAGAGCAAGTCAAGCTGCTTTATAGGTATGAATGCGGTCTCCTGTACGTTGATAAGGAGACCCAGGAAGAGCTTACAGAGCTGCAACTAATACAACGAGTGTGCGCATCGGAACAAATCCTTAATTACATTAATGGTAACACTCCTGTTCCTCGAGATACCCTAGAACGAACGCCTCTTATGAAGTATGCTGTTTATTCTAGCCGCAAGATGCGAGGTGTAAAACGTATTAACTGTGAAGCAGATGAGGTCGATATTCAGAGCCCTGAACTGAGCCTAGACTGCAAAAGCTTCTACACAGACATTTTCACTAGCGAATTATACGCGCTCGTGGATGCCCAGGCTGGAATGAGGGATAAAAACGGCAAGACGGCCTTAATGTATTGTGCTCAATACAATAATATCAACTTAACAAAGCTTCTCGTAGGGAAGGAGCTGTACCTTAGAACCATAAGTGGAGAGACTGCGCTCATGCACTGTAGCAAAGAGCCTCTGATTTCTTGTAAGATCCTAGAGCACCTGGTCAAGGAGTCGGGTATTACCGATACACAGGGTCGGACGGCATTGATGCATGCCATCCAGTGTGGCAACATCAAACTTGCAAACGCCCTGATCGAGCGAGAGGCCGGAGCTGTGGATGTGTCTGGGCATTGCGCTTTGCACTATTCAGTATTTAACAAAAAGCTGAACCCTGTGTCTACCAAGCTGATCTCTAAGGAGAGTCACATCACTGACAGGCGCGGGCACACCTCATTCATGATTGCGTGCCAGGCTGGAAACGAAAAGATCGCAGAACTGCTATTCAAGCCAGAGTATCTGGGAGTCAAGGATGGTAGAGGATGGACCGCACTTATGTATTCCTGCCATTTTAAAATGGAACGCCTCATCGAGATGACCCTGGAGGATGCCGGCACAACTATGTCAAGAAAGCAGTGTCGCTTCCCTCACGACTGCTATCTTCAGCACAAGATCCTTGCTGCCGTAGATAAAGACTGCTTGACAGCCCTTCACCTATATATACAGGCACAGGGGTGTTGTGAAAGCACCCTGAGTGCTCTGTACATCAAGGAGAGAACCATAAGCACGGCATCTGGAAAATCACCCTTATATTTGGCGATCGCTGTGAGAAACACAGTGGCTGCAGAGGCATTGTCACGGTACGAAATCGATAGGGGCGACATATATGACAACAAAGGCAACACACCGCTTATGACAGCTGTTCTCGTGCGGGATATAGCTACCATTGAGCTCTTAGCTCCATACTTTTGTGGACTGAAAAATAAAAGGAACGGAAAGAGTGCACTCTTTATGGCAATAGACAACTGCTATGAAGAAGGGTGTGCGGTGTTGTGCCAGTACGAAGCCAAAATCCTGAATAAGCAAGGCAAATATCCGTTCTATGCGGCCATAGAGAAGAAGCAGAAGAACATTGCACAGCTACTACTGCCGTGGAATGCCGGACTAATATCTCCGTCTGGACACTACGCTCTGTATGCATCGTTAACTAACGGCATGGCAGATATATCCATGCAGCTGATCGAACGTGAGGAGCGGTACCTACCTCTTGACAGGGTGTCCCATCTGATGGTAGCCGCTGCCACACACAAGAATATCGAGCCATACATGGATTGCGCAGGGAAGCAAGACAAGAACGGATACACTGCTCTAGTATACGCTATCCTCTGCGGCAACAAAGAGGCGGCCCAAGTTCTCCTTGGGAAGGAATCTGATCTGGCAGACAAGACTGGCCAAACTGCCCTTATGTACGCAGCGCAGTACGGCATGAATGAGGTTATCACCAGCCCACACTTTTCGACGTGTCTTCAGAAGCAAACGCAAAAGGGTTGGACGGCTTTAATGTGGGCAGTAGCAAGCGGCAATACAGAGGGGGTAGAGCTCCTCAAGACTGCAGAGGCGAGACTTACCACTGTAGACGGCGAAACCGCGTTGATGCTGGCAGCAAGAAGCGGGCAAGCGCGTGCGGTGGAGGCGCTGGCGCCACTTGAGGGCGGGCTCTGCGTGACAGCTCTGAGTTCCCTTCAGCGTGGATTTACAGCCCTACACTTTGCAGCGACTGGGGGTCACGAAGAGTGCGTGAGAATTCTCTTAGAGCTTACGCAAGAAGCATACACAAGAACCTTTGCACGGAAAACAGCAGCCGAGTGGGCCCGCACTTACAACTTCCCTGCGTGCGCAGAGCTCATAGAGTCAGCAGTGTCCTTAGCGAAGGCATCAGAGGGGCTGACAGACCCCAAAGGATCCGAGAAAGTTTAAAAAATGAGAGATTCGGCTGTGCCGTGTGGTTGTTCTTTGGTGAAGCAACACTCAAGGCATCACCGAGGGATCACGCACCTTGGCAGCTTCAGCCTAGAGTCAAAAAATAAAAAATTTATTTTACAGAATTGAATTTAAAATAGTTTATTTTACAAATCCTCGTCTATTTCTTAAAGCCCTGGGTGAACCTGTGGAAGGCGTCGATGAACTGCCCCATGATCGCCTTCATGGAGGCCTTCACCACATCTAGTATGTAATAGATTGCTGCGTCCCTTTCAAGCGAAAGCTGATAGTTGTCTTCGATGACGTAAAAGTGTGACTGGGCTGCTTCATCGAGATAGGCCATTCCCCCGCCCTGAAGTATGTACAGTAATGATATTATGATGTACACATCTTGTCTCAACATACAGAAGATTTCAGCTACATAATTGAGATAACTCTCAAAATCTGCGCTTCCCTCTCCGCCCATGGCCTTGACCAAGTCCTTGGAGACCTTCATCTTCGGAGCCATAAGCTTGGGATCTTTCCCAAAGCACCAGCCAAAGTCTATGTGGAACATCCTCCCGTCTGGGCGAATGAGGAGGTTCTCCCCATGTCTGTCTCCCGCTCTCAATAAATATGTTGCAACACTGTATGCGGCGGTGGACTTGACAAAATTTGACATTTGAGCTTCTGCTGTGATATCATTCATGCAATTTAAGGGACCGTTGAATCTATACACCTTGTCAATCACTGAGCCAATTATTGCGTACACCTTCTGGGGTAAGGACTCTATGCCCTTGACGGTCAATTGCTCCACTAACCACTTCTGAACGATGTCCTGTGTCAACGGACGATTTCCTATTTGTAGAGACAGGTTTGATGGTACCCCTCGGGTGTGGCGACTTTGGATCGACGGTGTTGCCCCTGCACTCATCACCTTGTCAGATTCTATAGTCTCTGATCCCTTGTCTCCACTGCCCTTGGCTTCTGACCCTCCATAGGAGCAGTCTGAAGTTGAGACATGCCTTGAGTGTCCACGAGAGTTCTCTTGTCGCTTCTCCACACCGTCATCACTAAAGACGCTTTTGTGGGCACCCTTTGTGCTCCTTATGCCTCCCATAAGATCGTCCATAGACGTGGACATGTTTGGTATATGTACGCTGGTGGAAGAGAGGTTTGATGGCCGGGTTCTCTTCTTAACCATTTGGTATGACTCCTCTCCAAACGGAAGAGATCCTTTGCCCGCAACAGACGGAATTGTTTTGTCACTAAATTCGGAAAAGGCGTAGGGTGATTGTGGAGGTAGTTTTCCATCCAGAATAGACTCACTTATAAGACTGCTGAGACACAGCGATTCGTCGGCCAGCAGTTTTGCAGATATTTCCGAGAGTAGGGAGGGTAGCTTCACCAGGGCCTGCGAGAGGACAGATGGAGAAACTTGGCTTCTGTATTTGCAGAGCATGGCGTTGAAGTAGTCAGTAATTGTTCCCAGTTCCTTCTTCTTGTATATGTCGTCTTGGGATTCTGATGGTAAGATGCACTCTATGAATCCGATAGATGGTGACAGGGCGAAACAGGAGTATATGGTGAACTTCATGTCTAAGTTGTGCGTCTGCATGTAGCTATCCATAAGAGAGAACAAGTGGACGTAGAGCATGTCTAGTCGCACATCGTCGTTAATCTTAAGCAGTACAGGGATTTCCTTCCCCGTTTCTGCCTGGATAAGGTGGTACAGGATGGGACGCTTTGCAGAGGTCATTACCTTAACATTATCTGGGTTTATGCCGCATATGTGGACAAACTTTTTGTGGAAGTCTGCATAGGTCTCGTTCTTATCTACGACCAGGACGTTTCCAGGCTTCTTCTCCACGTCATTCTTGACTGCCTTAGTGTCTCCTTCTTCTTGCAGTGGAGACACGGAGAACTGTGGTATGGACGATGTTCCAGAAGCATCGGTAACAGCGTCTGAACAGAGCTTCTTGGGTGATGACTGAACAACGGTTGATGGGTTGCTATTCTCCGTTTCGGTCACAAAAATATTAAACTCGGTTGAGAAGCTGGCTGCATTGAGGGACTCTATCCGTCTGTGGCGCATGGGCCTGCGCAGATTAATTGCTGTAACGAAGGCATCGTCACTAGCGGTGGTCTGATGGTTCTTAAGCATGACAAATGGGAAGATGACTCCGAGTTTGTCGCTATCAAGTCTAGGGTCACTGTGCTCATCATCCATACTCGGGTCCGAGTTCTGCTTACGCTCTAGGGCTGTGAGAAGAGTGCCATCCTGAATCATCTTCTTGATCATTTTCTCCTGGTCTGCATGCCTAACAGAGCCTAGTTCTGAAGATTTCTTTGAAATGTTAATAAGTTGCTGAGAGAATAAGATTGTGGAGCGTAGACAGGAGTAAAACTCTGGGTCCTTCTCCTTCATGATAGCATAATAACCATCTCTGCATGCCAGCAGCTTTCTCTGTGCATTCTCATCCTGTTGTCTAATCGAATTGCTATACCATAAATCTACATAAAAATAAAACAGATAGAATGTGTATGGCGCTGAGATAGCTCTGGCTATCAACATATCTGAAAGGTTTTTAAATGTGAGATACCTCTGAGGCTCTGCAGGATTGTGCACCAGTGCAGACTCTTCCCTTCCAGAAGTTTGGGAGTGCTCCCCAATGGTACCCTTCGTGTCGTCACTTGTTGTGTGATCGTCAGCACTTCTGAGGAGAATGGTGGGCGCCTCGTCAGATGAGTCAGTGTATGACATGTCCATTGTATCGAATTGCAAATCTGCCATATTGCCAAACCTTGCTTCACAGAACGAGGACACCTCCTCTTCGTTCAGTATGGTTGCTTTCTGAAGCGTAGACTTCGGCATAACCTGACTGCGACCATAGCTTTGAGTCGGAATCTCCACTGAAAAGGAGTGGTGCGTAAAGGACTTTATCGAAAGCTTAGATGAGCTGCTAAATGTGTTACCAGCAACAGGGATGCTTGCTATGCTTGTTTTGCTTGTTTTGGGGTCCACAATTGGGTCCTTGGATCCCCGCAGATCAAAAAATTCTGCCGGAGAAGCACTCATCCCCGACAAAATCGATTTTGATTGAAGCGCATTCTTCTTTGTCCCCTTGAAAGGTAACGATTTAGTTTCTATGATGGGTGTTATATTGAGAAGGTCTTGCTCGGCAGTTTCTAGGCGCTTCTTCTTCTCTCGTGCTAACGTTTCCTGCTGATCAATCATCTGGTCCTCAATGGACTGGTACAATTCTTTATAATTAAATAGGTCGACAATGCAGAGGCTTTCGTCAAGATCTATTTTGAACGTCAACTCCAGCAAAAACTGGAGTAGCACAGAGTCTGCAAACTGGTTAAGCTTATTGATAGCATACTCACGTATCACGTTAGTGTTCAAATTATACAGAGAGTACTCTTGTGAGAGAAGGAGAAGAAGCTGATCGATTGCAGGATCATTCCACGTGTATAGAAGGGTTTTGAGCTCTCCCACAATGTGTCGAAGGTCCTGATTAGTAGATTCATCAATAGAATCGCCAAAATTTTGACCGCTGTCCTGGCCTTTGTCCTTGACTGAACGCTGCCTTATCAACACGTTCCTATAGCTCTGTGGTATGGAACTTATAACCTTTATCAGTCCTCTGGGATACTTACGCATGTAATATCTATACTTCCAAATTAAGTCTTTGTCCTGACTCCTTAGTTGGTGAGTAAATAGAACGTCGCATAGTTTCGCCAATTTTCCAGCGCTGGCATTGTCTGGGACCAATGTCGACGGATCTGCATCGTACTGTGGTGCGATTGCTGACAAGATATGCTCGTTCTGGTCGCGCACCTTGCATTTAGAAGAGATCTTGTAGTTTAGAGCCAAAGCGTAATCTGTTGGGTTAAACTGGTCGAGCTTGATCTCATCAATACTTGTAGCTGCCCGCACATTGTGTGTGAGTGTGTAGGATGAATCCTGGCTAGGGGAAGTGTCATCATTTTGGGAAGAAGTGGGTGTGGGATCGGCTTGGTACTTATTGAAGGAGCGTGCTATTATGTTCCGTAGATGAGAAAGAGTCTCTGCATTAGTGTATGTGGATGTTGCACTCTTGAGCCCAAAGAGATCCACGTCCGAGAGAGGTTTCTCCGTGGCGGTCTTGAGTGCAACAGCCAGACGAGAGAAGGCCCCGGCTTCCTGATCTGCTGTGAACTTTGCAAGCACTTGCTCACAATCGTAAAACTGCATGCATGGTATATAGTTTTGGACCGTTATCGCGGCATAATTTGAGACAGCAATGGCTTCTTGGTTGAATAGGCTTGCAGTCAACTGCTTCTGAATGTGGGGCTTGTTGAGGTAAAGGGCCTCTTTCATGGCAACGCGGTAGTAGTGCTCTATAACCTTGTGTGCAAGAGCAAGATCCATATCAGTTGTAATAGAGGAGGACAGGAGCGCATTCATCTCCAGAAGCGAGACGTGCGCAGGGCTCTTGGCTGTGGCGAGATGAGCATCGGCAGTGGTAGTAATAGACCCCATTGAAGTCTTCCGAAAGAGGCCTTCTGGCGCGTAGCAGACAGTATTAGCAATGGTTCTTGTCCTGTCCTCAGAATGAGGGAGCGCCAGCTCAAACGAAAGCTCTATCGGTGGAAGCTCCTCGCTAATCTGGTCATCTGTGTAGGCTATGGGCTTGATAAGGCATGTGTGCATCATGCATCGTAGGGCAAAGTGCTCATTATAAAGGGGGAACTCTGTAGAACCTAAAAGGACACCATGTACATAGATACTAATGTGGAAGTGTGCTGCTTGTGGCAGGTTGGAGATCGAAATGGGGAAGGTGAGCTGCTGGGAGTTCCAAACGTATGTGAGTTGTGTTTTCTTGCAAATAATAGTACTCTGGATTGAAGAGTTCATTGGAGGAGCTAAGAGTGTGTCTGGCGGTGTCATTAATTTGAATATAATATGCAAGTCGGGGTAAAAGCCATGAAGCATATGGCCCGCCAACAAGCTTTTATCCAAAACTATATGCTGTAGGAAGACTGTCGGCGCAACCTTAACTGCGTACGACGGTGTTACCATGGAGTTAATCTCAACATTTAGGCCTTTCATTTTTTTCCAGGCCTCAGATAAGCCTCAGATTAAGGTTTAGATTAAAGGAAAGATTAAAGGAAAGTAATTTACATCTTTTATATCTGTTACACCTATGCATCCACAGAAGGATCTTCAGCTCCACACTCATCTGTTTCATTGTTCTCAGACTCTGCGGTGTCCTGGACATCCTGAGCATCCATAAACAAGGCCCGCTGTCCGCTGACCACATTGTCAAGCTTCTCTTTATACGCAACCATTAGCTCATCTTTTTTTGTTCGGTACTCGGCACGAAGGCTTTCGAAGGCCTCGTTCAAGGCTGCTTTCGCTTGTGCAACAGACTCCAGGATTGCCTTTTGACACTCCATCTCCGCCAGTATGCTCTCCTTGCAGGTGTTTTTCCCAAGCCTCTCCAGGTCAGCAATCCTTTGCTGCATCTCCGGTGTCTTAGCAAGCATTATCGCGAGGCCATCAGCTGTCTTACACAAGTTAGATATCGCATCCTTCGTAGCCTGAGACAGGGCGGGGTCTTCCTTGTGAAAGTGCTGCGGAATATTTATGTGGTCCCCAATGCGCCTTTGAGCCAAGTATAAAGAAGAGAAAATCTCCAAGATCTCTGTCTGCTCTGAGGTCTTGGGGACGTGCCGCGTTAGGAAGTTGAGGTATTCTATGTGAGGTGCTACTCTATATGCTACGCTGTGTGCCTGCATGTCCTTAGCGCATTCTAGAAGAAACGTTTTGTTTTCCTCTGTAATGGGGGTATTTGCCAGCTGCATCAGCCGATGCATGAGCTTGGTTACTGATGCAGCATTGTGTGACGTCTCTCCCGGGTAGAGATAGTCAAGGGGAAACGTCAGTGGCACGGTGAGCATGATGGAGGGTCTAAGAACCAAAAAATGTTGGGGAGTTTTTTTTAATTTTTCCCTGCCTTGCAGAGATGGAGACGGACGCCACGGCTGAGGCAGCAGCGGTTGCTTATGAGGATATTATCACTAGATTTGGCGCTGCGCCAATTACGGATGATCTTCTGAAGAGGTTCGAGACTGTCACGGGCACCAAGGCTCATCCCATGCTCCGTCGTGGTTTGTTCTACGCCCACAGGGACTTTGAAGAGTTCCTCAGCTACTACGAAAAGGGACATCCCATTTACATATATACGGGTCGCGGCCCTTCATCGGGGGCTCTGCACCTTGGACACCTTCTACCCTTCATTTTCACCAAGTACCTCCAGGATGCATTCAAGTGTTACGTAGTTATACAGATCACGGACGACGAAAAGTTCCTCAGAAATAGAAGCCTTTCTTATGCAGAGGTAGATAGCTATACCAGGGAAAACATCAAGGACATTATTGCATGCGGCTTTGATCCGGATAAGACGTTTATTTTTATCAATTCGCAGTACTTGAGCCTCAAAAACAGGTATAGATTCTCTTGCCTCGTCGACCGCATGCTCCCTATCAGTCAGCTGCGTGCCTCCTTTGGCTTCAGTAACGACGCAAACGTAGGATATGCAGCGTTCCCCCCGAAACAGATGCTACCTGTATACAGCACCTACTTTGATGGCCTTCCTTTTACGAGAGTACCCCTCCCTGTCGGCACTGGTAACGAGGATGCAGCAGATGCAGTGAGCACCAAAAAGGCATCCAAGAAGACACCCAAAAAGGACGCTGTCCTTTCTCCTGTGCATGTTGTTGAAGAACTGTTCCCTGACAGCAAAAGGTACCAGAAGGCCATGTGCCTTATCGCCTCCGGTATCGAGCAGGACCCTTACTTTCGATTGGCTCGCGACCTGGCCCCGCGTATGGGGCACCCTAAAAATGCGTACTTGCTAGGGAAGTTCTTGCCTGGTCTCCAGGGAAGTGGCACTAAGATGAGCGCCTCGGACCCAAATAGTGCTATCTATTTGACGGACACCCCCGCACAGATCAAAAATAAGATCAATAGGTACGCATTTTCAGGCGGCAGGGACACAGAAGAGGAACACCGTGCCTTCGGGGCAGACCTTAGTGTGGACGTGAGTGTTCGATACCTTGAAGTCTTCATGAAAGACGATGCAGAGTTGGAAAAATTGAAGGCAGACTATAAAGCAGGCAAGCTTTTGACAGGGGAAGTCAAAGCGACACTCATAGGCATTCTGCAGGGACTTATTAAGGAGCATGCGGAAAGAAGAGATAAAGTCGACACCACCATGATAGAAAGCTTCACAGTGAAGAAGGAGTTACAGTAGTTTGTTGGGAATTTTCAAGAAGATTGTCTAAAAGCTGTGTAAACGTCCCGTCACCACCTTCCCCTTTAACTTCCAGTCCATTAAAAAAACTGCAGACGTAATTAGATTTTGTCTGAGCGTAAAATGGCCTTTTTCTCTGCACAGAACTCGGCGTTCTTCTGGGGATCGTCCATCTTCCATAATTCAAAGGGCCAGGACTGCCGCTCACTCGATTTTTTCAAGGATTCGGAGCGGTTTTTTACTGTGGTTGGCGTTTATGACGGGCACGGCCTGGCAGACTTTGCATCTATGTACGGGTCTGAGTACCTGCCTACCATGCTTGCAAAGGCTGTCTCTACTGCCTTGAAGCAAGCCCCTCTCAATGCAAACCAGTCAGTCATCATCGCTACCACTCTCTGCAACGCCATGCTCAACGCAGACGCACGATATGCGGACTATGACCCGCCGGGTAACTCGTCTAGGTCCGGAAGCACAGTAATCATGTGCCTAGAGCTCAACAACGACCTTTACTTCATCAATACGGGCGATTCACGTGCCTGTGTGGGAAGTCTAAATATCTACCAATCGATGCTGAACACCCCCGGCCAGATATCCGAGACGGTCAAGAAGTGTGAGCAGGAGAAGGGAACGGTGAAGGTAAGCAAACTCAATGCAATGCGGGGAATAGAGCCCCTCTACTTTGAAGGGTCAGCTGCAGTCGGGGTGGTGGAGCCCATGTCAATAGACCACTGTGCCTCCCACAACGCCCGAGAGATCAGTAGGTGCCGAATGGCAGGGGCAACCATATCACAGAATCGGCTTTTCCCGGAGACATGTCTGCACTGGTGGAGCTTTATGCTCACTAGGACGTTGGGAAACACATTTAGCAAGGGGAAGGCAATGGTAGCTAACCCGGACATTTTTCGGAAGAAGATAGTGATGTCTGATGACGACCTCAGGGACACGCTCTCTGCGGGGAGCGTATCAGCAGAGCTGGCTATGACCTCTGCCCGCAGTGTACCTCATTCCAATGACAGCAACCCCCGGCCACTGAAGAACCCCTCTGTATTCTATGACCTGCGAACAGGGACGATTGGAAACAGCATGTGTGACCCTGTCGACTATGTAATTCTGGGCTCCGATGGAGTGTGGGCAGTCCTTAGCAACGAAGAAGTTCATGCAGTTATTCAGCGTAACGTGTCCAGCTATGTGGAAACGGGCAACATAGATAACATAAACCCTTGTCTAATCGCGTCCGAACTCAGTCACATCATTATGAAGAAGGTCGCAGAGGAAGACCTATATGCAGACGATATCACCATCATCTTGGGCTTCAGAAAATCCTGCATCTTCGCTGGGAACAGAGGCTGTGATCCCTCAACTTATATTTTCAAGCAAAGCACCGGAGAGTGCATCGACCTAGTCAAGCAGAAGGAAACACTGAAGAAGCTGGACACATGGTATTCGGACATTCAGTTGTCTTTTAAAACTTACTACAAGGGCGTTGCTATGCACGGGGCATGCACCTATGACTCTCTTCTGAAACTTTTATATACTAATCACTCTGTACCTATGACCAACATGCTCAATAAATACCGCTTTCTTCTAGACATAGACAGGATTATCAAGGAGGTTCACACCAGGTATAAAATCCTGAAGGGTGAATCAAACCAACCTTGAGCGTAAATGTATAAAGCCTCTTTTACTTTCTTTTCGCCCCCACTGATCGTTGAGCTTTGAGCTTTGAGCGTTGGGCTTCTGGTGACTGGGCGTGTGGGGTGGGGGCCGTGTTTTAGATGGACCCTGGGTGGGTGTGCATGATACTATAGTCGTCCACAGCAGCCATAAAGGTTTTCTTTATCAGCTCCATAGACTCTGTTATCTTTGTAAGGGCGCTCTGGAAGCAGTTCTCGGGCGTGGCCTGGATTGTGTCAGACAGAAACCCCGACGGGTTCGTCTGAAGACGGATGACGATCTTGGACTCCAACGGATGGGGTGTCTTCATCCCTGCGAACGTCACTTGAGGCATGGAAAGGAGCTCCTTGCGAAGAATGTGACCGATGGTATAGTCCTGGTAAGGTATCTGGAACTCCAGAGCGTTCGCAGTGCCGACTTTGTACACCTCCAAGAGCTCTGCGCTCCGGCGGTCTGGTATGAGTGTTTTGTACCGATCCGGGACATTGTCCATTGCGACACAGCGGCTCGCAGAAGAAGGAAATTATGTTAAGCGGCCAAAAAAATGGACTGAAAAGGTACAATTTGGGAAAGGAGGACAAATAAACAAGGACGAGCAAATGGATACTGCATGTCTGACAGGCTGAGGACTCTTAATTAATCGGGACCCTAAGTGAGTACCCGCAGATTTCGTTATTATAGGGGGGATCTAGTGAGGGCAAGGCAGACACTGGCGTGCTGTGGGCATTGCTGGATGAGGCTATCGGATGAAGTAGAGGTGGTGCCTCCAGGCCCGGTGGGAAGAGCCTGAATGAGCTCTCTGATAGGGAGAGCTGACACGAGCCTCTTGAATCGCAGGGAAGAGGCTTCCACTGCACAAGAGAATCGGAGCAAGAAGAAGGATATGGGAATACGTTATTAAACCAGGAAGAGTAGGGAGGCTGGGGCGTTGGAGCATCGCTATAGTCACTTACCAGCATCGGCTGGAGCTGCTGCGGCGCTGAAAAAGGTAAAGGTTGAAGATACGTAGTCTTCTGTTCGCTCTTATTTGTTAGTATACAACTATCAACATGCTCTCTTTTTGCCTGCGACTCTAACTGAGGCAATATGATATTGAGCTCTCTACGAAGAAAGGGCTCTATTTTTTCTAAGGGTAGCTTGGAAAGGTGCTGCGAATGGTACTGAAGAAGGGTGTAGTTTTTGGACTTAATTTCGTTTGCTATATGCTTTGTGAATCTTCCCACGTCATCGATACGATCACTCGCCCCCATCAACGCATACCTGAGCATATTGTTTAACTTGCACTTTATCGTGCTTGGTTGACGATTGTCAAGGTGCTCAGAAATTTTGAACCAATCGGGTCCAACCGCGATGAAGAGTGCTAAGAGACGTATTTCCTCCTGCAGAGTCCACTTCCGACCTGTGGGCTGCGCCACCGAGAGCGCTTTTGCTTTTGGCGACTTCTTAATCGTATCTCTCGCCGGCTTAGCTGGCAGCTTAGACGATGATTTGGACCGTATCTTAGATCGCGGGGCAGATTGCTCTTTGATGGCCGAACAGCGGGGCTTCCCAGACTTCTTGCATGCGCTCATCCAGTTGGCACTCTCTGTCCGTGAGTTTCGGTGCTAGGAACTTCGTAACTATGGCTGCGGGAATTCATTAGTACATGCCCTTATTTGCACCCTTCGCAACCTCTCCGGGAACTAGGAACTAAAGTGAACCAAAAATTTTCTAGTGTAGCTTTTCTAGTGCAGCTGCTCACCTAAAGGCTTCCCTGGTAAGCGCTTGTAGTGGATCCATTTTAATCACATACTTGTTTACACCGCCTGTGAGTGTCTGTGAACCATATGCAGTGCTTCCCCAGAAGTCATCAAAGTACCAGCTACAAGCCAAAACTGATGTCAGAATTAGCCCAGACCTGGAAGTAGGGTAAGTCTGAGATTGTGCAGGGCGTTATACTGCCCAAGAAACAGACCATCTATCAGTGTGTTCACATATGTCGTAGATTATGTTGTAGTGTTTTCATAATGATCTTCAGGGATGCCACGGATGATTGAAAATTTTGCCCACCAAATTTTTTTAGATTTCAGAAATCCCTAAGGAGCTAAGGACAGACATACCATTTACAAAATGTTGTATCAAGGTCCTGCCTGTCAACAAATTGTAGATACAAGACTGACTAACTAATTTAGCTAAGAGTTTCTCCAAGAATTATGCTTTAAATTACTCGGAGAGACTATATTGTAGGGCCTCTTGCTGGTGCTAAGTTCATTTCTCGCCCCGGAGTTCCCTTCCCAGTGCTCCATCTCCAGGCTCTTTACCGGCGACGTTGTGCGGTCACTGACTACACTAAAGCTATTGAGTCTGTTTGGGCTGTAGGACATCTGCCTGGTGAGTGTAGATGAAGACGCCGGCTTACCGTGTCCTGAACCGAACAAGTCTGCAGATTGGCCACCGTTATAAGTGGACGCAGACTGACCTAATCCTTTTGCTAGTGTTGAGAGAACTGTAGGTTGATGAGTGCTAGCGGCGCCAAATGGGCTGTCAGAGCTGATAGATTGAGAAAGGATTGGGGACCGGGTGCGCACCCTATCTAACAGTGTCTGGGAGGCTAACTTTTCTAATGCATACGATTGCCGTTTCGGACTTTGCATTCGCAATGACGGTTGCTGGAGGTTCCTCACAGGGCTCAGCTTAGCGGGAGAAAAGTACCTGTACAGATCTGATTCCCCATTAGTTAACATCATCTTGGCTTCGTAGTTAGGCTCTTCTGGCGTGTAGTTGATGTGAGAAATAATGTCCTCTATCCTCTTGAGGGACTCATTCAGCGCTGTATTCAATTTGTTTTTATCTCTATCTTGACTGTCCATGAATGGAGTGGTCACCTTGGGTGGAGTAGTTTTAGGTTCTATGCTAACGGCCTGCAATGAGGCTGAAATAGAGCTTGATGCTGATGCCGGCGTTGGCGTTTCTCGTGTCACTAGTTTCCTATTATGAAGCTTCATATGGCCGTGTTGTATCCCATTTGTCACTAGAGCTTGTAAAGCAGCAAAGTTTTGCAGAAGCCCGACGGCAGCCAAAATGCGACCCAGGGAGCCGCTACTAATTCGATTCTCCTGAGCCTGGCCAAGAATGGAGAGTCCCCAGAATAATTTGGATGATCCTCCTATGACCCCGACCGGTGCCGAGATTCTTGCGGTAAGTCGAAGAAACAACTCCTTGCTGTTGAACCTGTGGGTGACCAAGGGCTTCGTGTGGCCGAGCTGGCAGTTCGCAACATCAATGGCACGTGTGTCTTGTCCACATGCGAGGGCAACCCCAATGATACCGTTCAGCACCCCCTTATTATGAGTTATCCTTCTATTGGTGTCCATCTCTGCAAGCTGGCTGAGGGCCTCTATACGTCGCAGGATGTCTTCGGCCTTCTTCATGGGGATATTCTTCGCCATGGCGTAATCTTCCACAGTTATCTTTGCGATTGCTTCGTACTCCCGTCCAGCTCCAGAGTTAGAAAGAATGGATGTCAACCGCTCCACATGACCAAACTTCGTGAGATAGCGCTCTACATCTGGTGCTATTGCCTCCATGAATCCATTAATCATGTTTGCACCCATAGCTTCTCCGGGATCAAGCCCTATCTCTAATAATATGTAGTCATTGAGCTTTCGTAGGTAGCAAGAGACGATTCCCTTGCCGTAGTTACGTGAATTGGGAAGGTGTGTTGCCAGCGATCGTGATAGGAGGCTTTCGAGTTCGGACAGATTCATTGGGTGCTTCCACTGCCCATCGATCAGCATGAAAATAAGCTGGCCGAGGATGAATGGATTGATTGGCCCAAGTGTCCGTACTCCCTTACCTATACGGAAAATCTTAGCGGCGTGGGCCAAGGCCGCCACGACGGACGGCTCTTCTGTACTAATCGGAACGGTATACATTGTGCCATCGATCAGAACATCGGGAACGACGGACAATGGAAGCATTGTCGCTCCAATAACGTTTTCGCTCATTGTATCAAGAGCCTGGATTCTCCGCGAGTACTTGGAGACTTCGTGGTCGCTTCTGACTTTTGCTTGTGCAAGCGCGATCTGAAGAGCATTTGTCAATGGGTCTGTCACTACCAAGCTTGGACTTGATGGCCGTTTTGCATTATTCTCGCAAACTATCTCCTTAATTTTGCCACTGTTTTCCCGCATTTCTGCGTATGCACTGCGGATTGGGCTTGTTATGGACGCGCTACGAACGCGGGCGTCGTTCGTAAAACCGTACATTTGCGCTGGTCCATCCAATCCGATAACCGCTGCGAATGCGCGAAGCTCATCTCCCAACTCACTATTGATGGCTTTGTGCTCCTCAAGCCAATTTATCCGCTCTTCTGGATATTGTAGAGTGCGCATTACGGTTTCAACCGCAAAACCTGTTTTTAGTTCGTAATCAAGGGAGATGTCCATGATTCACTCTCACTAATAGATTCAAAGACTATCTGTACAGTCAAGCACTAAGGGCATCAATAGATTCTTGAACTCTGCGCAGCAGACACGTAACTTGACAAGGGGATGCATTCCGCCAACCCACATGTTATCTACCGTCTGCAGAATGTTTGCATCTAGGACAAGCGGAATGTTCATAGATGTACCTATTGGCCCCATGCCATTGTGGGGCGCGCCGGTAAGAGCAACAGCCTCGTCTTCCTCACAAAATCTCCAAGTATAGTCATTCTTTGTCAGTGACTTTAGATACGTATCGGTGCTTTCCTTAGCAAGACGACGCATAGCACTATGAAACTTCGAGCTCGAGAACTTACGGATGTACTGAACTACTATAAGGTAATAGCGAGAAAACAGGGGATCGGCTGCGTTCCGTGGAGCCTTGGTGTTCTCTAACACTATACTCTTGCATAGATTCGCTGTACTTCGACAATAACCAAGCATGGTCGGACGCGCGCTGAGCTCTTGGTTATAGTAGTCTTCAGGTGTCCGTACAGCCAGTGGCCGGGTGAAGCCGCATTTATATGCTATTGCGAGAATGTGCAGCACGTCATAATCGTCAGGAACCCCCACAAACCGTGCCAAGGCCGATATCTTTGTCTCCAACGCTTCCAGTCGTCTTTCCATATAAAAACTCAAAAACCAGGGAAAGACGCGCCAGTAATCCATAAACAGATCTAGAGATAATAGATCTCCGTAAGGGCTTCCTCAATGTCTTCCACAGTCATATTAAGGCTCCGCGCTATCGTTCCCTGGAGCTCAGTGTTCAACGTTAAAAACTGGCTCAGAAAATCCGCGTCTATAATCTTGCACTCCTTTGCTCGGTTGGAGAGCTTCTTAAGATGCCCAGGATCGAAAGCAGTTCCCGATAGATTGAACTTCTCTGCTATCACCGAAATCATTTTATTCTGCAATGCAGCCAGGAGCTGCGTAGCATTTGCCTTGATGGAGACAACTGCACCTGAGTCTGTCCCCATGTGCACTAAGTCGTTCATATAGCTGTGGACACATGTGATGTTATGCCTTGACGGATAGGAGGCAAGTATGGTCACTCTTGACGTCTTTTCCGGAGTGGATAATACAGCAGAGGCGTTGGATTCTATGTTGTTGATCTTCAGCTCAGTATCGTGGGATAGCACGGCTATTGAATCCATGCTGCGCACCTGCGAAAATGCGTCCTCTAAGTTGGCTACTACAAAATGCACCATGTTTTCACGAGTTATAGCAATAAACGTGAAACAATTGGGGGACTTAAAGCGCGCCCCTGCAATTGAGGACGAAATTCCGCACACTATTTTCACATCTGCACATATGCCCTTTTCGTCATAATACAGCAAATTCAGCTTAAAATCGTACAGAGATATAATTCCGCTATTGATAACACATGCAACGGAGGCCGTTCTGTCATCGTTATCGAGCATTACTATCGTCGAAGCATCAAATTTATCCACAAGGGGGACGGAGTTTGCCGTTGTAACGTTTAGCTCATACTTTGACCGTGGTACAGTGAAAATCATGTTAACGTCATCTGCTGAGATAGTGGAGATGGGATCGTGATCATGCTTCATGGATCTTGCCCTGAATTCATACCCTAATAACTGCTCCTGCGCCCCCGAGAGACACGTAGCAACCTCTTCTTCGCCACCATCTTTACCCTCATGCCGCCCCATCAACTGACTAGGAATTCTGAAAAAGAGAGACTGCTTTTCAGTGTTGAGTAGTTCGGGATATGCAGACGACAGAGTATCGACGTCCACATTGCTCGCTTGTTCGCTGGCATATGTTGCAGCATTTTCTAGAGTAATTAGAGGCATGCTTTTCATGGGATTTTGGTCTTTAGTGGAAAGACTAACGGACCTGGCGGATTCGACAGGAAGCTCGGGAGTGGCATGGACAAAGTAGCGTGTCAAACTGTTACCAACGACACAGACCAGCGTTGTGCAGAACTCTGTACTTGAGTTCTTATCTATTATGATGGAATTACAGATACTTGGGAGAGGAAGAATTCCAACGCATTGATAATGCATGTTCTCATGGACCACCCAGAATACTAGCCTTGGAAACATGCCTTGTGGCCTGATCTTGTTGTTACTTATCACCTCTGCATCTACGGGGTCGGGACCTGGAAATGAGCTCAGCATGGTGTGATCGTGCGTCGGTAGTGTGGGTGTATCTATGCTCGTTATGTCGGACTCTATTGCGTTGACATTGATGGTTGTCTTCTCACGAATTATATTAGAGGAAATGTCCTTTTCTGCACCAGCCCCTATTTCCGGGCTTATGTCCGCCTGTAGAAGGCTAATATCTATTCCTGCAAACAAACTAGCCACTAAGTATATTGTTCCGTTCAGTGAGAATGTCTTGAACGTCACACAGATCAGCCCCGTTCCAAGGATTATCTTGTTGGTTACGGTAAAGTTCGATCTATTAATGAATCGTAACTGCGATTTGCTCAGATATTGCTCTGTGTGCAGCGCGAAGTGGTTTCTCTGATCCAAGATGGCATCATGTTCTATCTGTAAAGGTGTTCTGCGCAGCAAGTATCTGATAATTGACATCTGCATCTCTGTTGTTGGCAGAAGAATGGCCACATACCGTGACCATGGAAGAGCAGTGGTGGCATTCGTATCTGCATCTGACGTTTGCTTTCCTATGTCGCTGTGCTCAGTCTTGTGGTCTTCAGACGCCTCTGAGCTAGCGATTTTGCTCGACTTATGGCATGTGCGATGGACGGTGTGGTATCCGAACGTGGGATTGACGGCTATTCCTTCGCCCCATTGTCCGTCTCCATGGAGCACTTCCGCAGATGCCCCCAGCGGCGTGTGTATCGTGTTGAAGCGTGAGTTCATCTCTAGCTGTCCATTCAGGAGCACAAGGAAGAGGGTATTTAGAGTTTGCGCTTGCAGATCCGTGCATCGGTTGGCTGTGCGGGTCGTCATGCCATAGACAGAAGCACGCGTCATTTCGTCGCATGCTTCGATGCAACATTGGTACGGAGTTATCAGATTGCATTCAATATGGTTGAAGATCAGCCTTTGCAGTTCTACGGGGAGCGGAACAACCATCACCATAGTTCTCAAGGGCCTTGTAACCATGCGAATGACGTTGATACGCCAGCTGACGTCATCTGTGCCTTTTGGCTTGGTAATTGTAAGGTCAATCTCTTTCCTAATTGTGGCGTAGAAGAGGTGCGAGCCGCGGACCATAAAAGAACTGGACGAGTCCATTACATGATAGAGCTGAAGGGGGATTTTCCCCTCACGACTCTTCAGGATCGTGGTTGAATTGATTTTGGAGGTGCTTAATGTGTATGTATAGGCTCGCTTGGATTTCTTTTGGCTGACCTCAAAGGGTATTATGCCGATATACCCATCTAGTCCAGAAAACACCAGCTTTCCTTCTAGCACGTCAACGTTTGGCGATTCGTGAGCCTTTCCCAGTGTGTCAGACAAAAGTAGCAAGACGCTAAACGGCACTATCGGCACTTTAATGGGACTAAGAGATGTAACTTCCATGTTACAATTATCGAAAGCGTATATCAAAATGGTTTTGTTCTGCATGCCAAAGAAGGCTGCATATACGTTCCTGGATGCATCTAAGGTGTCCATGGACACCGTGGCGACGTGAACGTCCGTGTACTTGTTGAGCATCACAAGAGCAGTGGATGGTTGCGTATCTGTTCTGACCCTCATTATGAACATGCTCTTGTCTGCACCGCTAGCGACAATGTACTCCTTGTAGATCCTGCCGCTGAGGACTGTGGAGCTAAACTTGTAAAGAATTGAATTATCCACGCAAACGCCGCCTCTATATAAGCGTATAGTAATGCGCCTATTCGTATCTATAGAGAGCGTACTCATCGACAGCAAAATCCCGAAGTCGGGGTGCTTCTGTCTGATGGTTTCAAAATCAATTTCAGCCAGAGAAGATATTGTTCGCGAATCTGGCACGTGAACAAAGTCCACTAGGCTATGGTTCTCTATATCTCTTGGTAGGCTGGAGCCAGTGGTTGTTTGAAGAAGCCCTAGAATGGATTTGGTCGATGTGACGGAGAGCTGCGATAGTTTTCGAGTTTTGTGCTGGCTCTGCCTCTGGAGGTTTCCGTGCATGCAACTGCTGGCAAGCTTTATTTGATAAATGGAGATATCACCTGCCTTTGAAACCAGAACGATGTAGTATTGCGCGTCAACTGGACAGTGGTAGAAGAAGAGATTGGCGATGCTCATATTCGGCAACTTCGCGTCTCCCATGTTTCTAATGAGCATCCCCTTTTCCATCAAGGCAAGATTGCCGTCTCGTCCATGTGAGCTAGCAGTCAAAATAAGCCCGCTCTCGATATGAGACAAATCTTGGACGGCTCCGACGCCCTGAATCAGCTGCTGGTTGATGAGATCTAGCTGGTAGAGAGATTCGTGCTTGGGTGTTTCAAACAGCTGCTTTCCGGCCTTTCCACATTCGACATTAAGGTTATGGGCCTTGCACAGATTTGATAGCTGCACTCGTGTAATTGTACTGTCGAGTGTCTGACTCCCAAGGAAAATGAGGACCTCGTCGGATGCCATATCCTGCCTAATGCTCTCCTCCGATTGGAAGTATCCTGGAGACGTGCCCTGGTCTTGCTGTGCCGCCGCAGTAGCAAAGGCAGCATCCTCCAGTAGGCTTAATGTTGCTTTACCTGAGCTGCCGCGAGACCTGACCAAGCCGTAGCGGCGTTTCCGTATACATGCCAGATGAATAGATGAAGGGAGCCGGAACATCTTGCCCTCCTTCCCGTAGTTAGGCCACGTAAACACGCCTGTGGTGAAAATCCTGGCACGCAATGCATGCGTTACTACACCGTTACTGTATATGGTCTCCGTGGTGGTCAGTGTGCTGCTGATGTCTTCCTCATTCTTGTCAGTTGCAACCATGAACAGCTGTCCAACGTCAAGATAGACATAGCAAAGGTTGCCATCATCAAAAGCTATCAGAAAAATGTGGCTGTTTTCTATCTGTGTGACATTTAGAGGTACTGCCTGTGGATGAAGGGACTTAAAAGTCTGCTGATTTGCAGTTCTAAACGATATGCTGTAGGAGTCACGCATTTTGAGAACAAGGCTGAACGAATCGCAGGTAGCCACTGCAAGAGGAAAGTACATCATTAGTGCATCCGGTGACTCTATATAAAAGTGTACAGGACACAAAACCGACCCAAACGGTAGGTCACGCATGTAAAACGGACCATCCATGAGCTTAATTCCCTGTTTTATCAGATTAATACGCGATTCAATTCCATGTAGTTGCGGGCTGGAGAAAAATGACTCACGGCATATCTCAAATGAGCAGATGTCGCTGTTTCCATTGACACATAAGACTGGGAGCATAGTTTCCCCCGAGCGCTCGTAAAGAGGAGGTGACTCTAGAAAGCATACTTGCTTCACATCTATGACCTGGCTTGTCTCCGTGTTCTTATTTGGGAGAATGATGCTTGCGTGGATATGCTCATCTGCCTTGTGGGCGTTCTTTTTCAACGACGAATTGCTCCCGAGGGCGCTGTTGAATAAGTAAATGAACACTAGCTGGCCCGCGATGGTTGGGGAATCTCTGTATGAAAAGCAAATTAAAGCACTCATAGTCGGTACCACCGAAACAGCCGCCAGTGACATGGTGTATTTCTTAGGTATGGGGAGGGGGATGCGGCCTTCTGTGGCCAGATAGAATGCGAGGTTGAGATTTAACAGCTCCACGTAATTAAGCGCCTGACTATTACCATAAAATCCATATAAGCTGATGTGCAAAGTGCTAGAGACAAGGAGAAGTAAATCCTGTGAAAACGTTTGATTCGCAAAGGAAATCGCTGGAATGTGGCATGCTCTATCGATAGAAACGATTAGGTCTACCGTTAGTAGTGGCCGGAACACCTCCATGGGGGTCCCTGCTGCATCTGCGGACTTTGTACACTCTACTCCATAGATTTGAAAACAGTTGGACCTGACGATTAGCAGCTCGTCAGTAGATGCACCAGCAGAATACCGCCCTCTGAACGAAGCTATCACAGCGCCTGACGATAGGACCGTGTTGATAGTCAGGAGCGTTTCGCTCATTTAGACTTTTAAAAAGTATGGGCTTTGGTGACTGGTTCAAGTCGGCACTGTCTTTTCTTGGGCTCTATAAGAAGAAGGCCACGATAGTGTTTGTGGGGCTTGACAACGCCGGGAAGTCTACACTTCTAGCTATGCTCAAGAACTCTGCCACTACTACAGTGGCCCCTACCCAACAGCCGACATCACAGGAGCTAGTCATGGGCTCCATCAGGTTCAAGACCTTCGATCTCGGTGGCCACGAGGTAGCAAGACAACTCTGGGAGCAATATGTCACCAACAGCGACGGGATAGTCTTCCTCGTTGACTCCGCAGATCCATCGCGATTTGAAGAGAGCCGACGCACCCTCCAAGAGCTCCTCGACAACCACGACCTGGCGACAACCCCTATTCTCATCCTGAGCAACAAGGTTGATATCCAGACAGCCGTGTCCATGGAGACCATGGTCCAAAGTTTCGGTATTCAGCATCTGCTCACCGGAAAGGGCGGATCCAAGCTTCGCAGTGATCAGAGGCCTCTTGAAGTCTTTCCTTGCAGCGTAATAAATAGGTTTGGCTACACGGACGGTTTTAAGTGGCTCTCCAAGTACCTTTAATCTAATCCCCGTCTGATGCGCTGAGCCGATCCAACCATCGTCGCTGGCTACTTTCTGTCCAACTAAATGCCTTGTAAACGAAGTCTTCTCTATGCAGTCTCTTCTATGTACTGTCCTTTTAAAAAGTTTCAGAATGGCTCCGTTGAACCCTGCGGGGGTTAGTACCGGGGCAGGGAATCATGCGTTGTCTGGTTTTTTATTTGACGCTGTTACATACTTGCAGGAAAACGGCCTTCTAATCGCCAAGGACCCCGCTGGAAGTGATTCTCAAAAGGTGCGGGAGATCAACGAATTCTTCAGTGGAATGATTAAGCAGATAGTTAACTCCATTGCTAGGGATATTACCGCCTTCTACTTAGTCCCCGGGAAGCCTAGGATGCTCCGTCTCACAGATCGGCACATCCTTTCCGTGCTTCCAACTCAATCTGGCATACAGGCAGCAACAAAGCGGCGCATAGAACGGATTCCCAAGCAGTTGGAGATTGCAAAGCTCGAGAGGCTTCGGAACTCAAAATTCTTCATGGCTACAAACGGGTACAATATTGATAACTATCTGTATTACTTTTCAGAAGGATTCGCATTCTACGACCGAATGCTCAAGTCAGAGTAGAAGGCTGCGCTACTAAATTTCCGCTAAAATTTATTGATGAATCTGCAGCCCATTGCTAACGCTCCCGCGCTTCCAAACTCTTGTTATATAACCAATCAACGATTGGTGGACCCACGGACTGGAATGGAGGTACAGCCTCCCACAGAGCCGGAGTTGAACCAGTACTTTTTTATGGACAAGGAGGGGTTCCACTCGAAGGAGGCGGGCGCTGGCATCGCTGTAGTGCATAATGTGGAAAGGACTAATGCAATCTATGACATCCTGACCTCTAAAGGTCAGTACATCTTCACCGCCCTCATGCGAGCCACAATCATGAACGATGTCAGAACCGTGAAGACCCTCCTGAATTCTGAAGCTACGATGGCGCTGCCAAACGGTGTCACTGCCTTGATGCTGGCTGCTCATCTTGGTCATGCAGACTGTGTCTCGCTACTCGTGGGCAAGGAGGCGGGCCTACAGCAAAAAAATGGAAACACGGCCCTCATGGAAGCGGTGCAGAATGGCAACGTGGAGATTGTTAGGATCCTAGCGCCCCGGGAGGCGGGCTCTAGGCGCCGAGATGGCTGGACGGCTCTTATGACGGCTGCAGAAAACGGGATTGAGGACGCCGTCAAGATTCTTATGAAGTCGGAGGCCGGGATCCAAACTCGATCAGGGGTCACTGCACTCATGATTGCTGCAGGGAATGGCTTCACAAATATCGTGAAGCTCCTAGCTCCATCTGAGAAGGGACTCAAGACGCTTGCAGGCTGGACCGCCTTGATGGGGGCGGTTGAGGAGAAACACCTCGATGCTGCGGCAGTCCTTGTACCCCACGAAGCCAAATTGACAAAAATGGACGGCTGGACAGCCCTGATGAGCGCTGCCAGACACGGAGCGTATGATATTGCTAAATTGCTGGCTCCATACGAGGCAGGGATGGTTTGTCCAGCGGATAACAGCTGCGCTCTGATGTGGGCTGCATCTGTGGGCAATCGCGACATTTGTGAGCTTCTCTTAGACAAGGAGGGCCACATCCGTAACAAGCAGGGGTTCAAGGCTGTTGACTTCGCTGCGGACGCAGGCTACACGAATTTACTTGCGCTTCTCTCAGGCGAAGAAGCCAACATTAGCGTCCAGAAAAAGAAAAAGGGAAAGAAAGGGGAAAAGAAATAGGCAGTGCACGGCGAGCTTTCATGCAGCTAGAATCCAAATCTAACCGGCCGTGCTCCTGCTACGCTGGATTGGGAGTTGCGTGGGTTGGAAGGCTTGGAGGTGCTGCGTTTCTTTCCTGAGGGGTGATCTGGTATCTGCGAAACTATTTTGGCGCTCCGCATTCCCTGTGAGCTTCTTTTGTTGCCTGGTGACCGCTTGCTTTTATTTTGCTCCGAACCTCCTTGAGTGCTACCGCTTCGAGGCCCAATCTTTGTAGACCCTGATCGGGACTTTGGTGTTCTGGTCCTGGTGGCTGATCCCGACCGAGACCGTGGAGAGCGCCTGTTTCTAGGGGTTTGCCGACGAGGAGTGCCGCCTGATCCGTGTATCTGGTTGCGAGGGCTTTGCTTGCTAAGAGTCAAGAGAAGTGGCTCTATCTCTTCGCATGTTATTGCGTGAGCTGGGAGCGGCTGAATAGCACTGTACACTGCGCGTGCAGGCCCGCTTGGAACTGGATGCTGCGAGGCCTCTGCAGCAAGCTCCTGGTCGCGCCGCTCAGACTTCTTCTGTAGCTCATCAAGGAGTTGACAGTAAATCTTGCACTGCTCACATGCCTTTGGCAACCGGGCCATCAGAAGCTCGTTTTCGAGCTCTGCGATGCGTTGTAGTAGACGTGCGTTTGTGCGTCGTTCCAGGTCAAGGGCAGACTGCAGTGACGTTATCTCGTCTTTGTACTCTCGCTCTATGTCAATTTCTTCTATTATGAGCTCTGGGGTCTGAGGCATTAGAACTAAATTTAGTATTTTAGGGGCGGTCTGCGAGACAGAGGTGAAGTCTTCGCAAAGTGTGCCCAGTCGAAAAGAAGTTGGCATTTGTGGACCAAGCAAGCCCATAAAAATCGTTAAATTCCAATGACTGCTAGGGGCTCTGCTGTCCCTCCTGATATCGATGAAGATCTCAAGCGGTTGATCACAAGCTACACAAACCTCATCTCATCCGAGGAGGCGCTGGATGACATTCGTTCGCAGGTATCGTTCGCCACAAAAGAATGCCTTCTTGCCTTCATTAAGATCGCAGAGAACACTGGGAAGAACTATAAGGATGCACAGTCATGCCGTATTGTCGAACTGGTCAGTCTAGCAATTTCCAAAAGTAAGCCCTTGCTGGATGCAGAAATCCAGACAGCCCTAGCAGAGTTTAGTATATCTCGGTGCTCGTCACTCTTAGAAGCAGGAGCTGTGGCAGAGCATCTTCTTCCTCTAGCTCGTGAGGCTTTTTTGAGCGACCAGTCTTTTGCTGAAGTATCTCTTATGCGGAGATACATGAACAAACTTCTCAAGCTTAGTCCACGCATCACGTACTCAAAAGTTTTGGCTAAGAAGAACATATGCACCCTGCTCCTTGATTGGCTGGAAACGAGAGGAGAGCTATCATCTTCCAGATCGAGTGGCACGTCTAAAACGGTAGTAGATCTTGTCGATGGCTATAAGGCAGGCACTGAATTACTGAAAACGCTGACCTTAGCTTTTCGTGGAGAACGAAGCGGGGCGATAATCTTCCTAGTAGCAAAGCTTGTTGCCATTCTGCGAACACTCATTGAGTACTTGCACTTCGCTATTTTACTCATCAACGAGTGTCTCTGCCCCACTCTGAACGAGGTATGCGGGCTATCACTCCACCACTACAGTTTCTCTATCAGTGAAGAGACCTTGTCTCAGCTTCACGATGATGCAGATGAAAATGTCTTTGAGTTTCTCATTGAGTACATTCCACTAGAGTATTCGCCAGATCCAGATGACAATTTAACAGCCGATGAACTACGTGCGGCCCTACTTTCAGCACTAATTCATCCCAGTGGCTCTGAGCGCTTGTATCAGATGATCGCAGAGCGTGTTCTGGAGACAGACACTGAAGAGGAGCGTAGACAGCTCTTTTTGACACTTGAAGCTTCTCTTACTGCCGACGCTAGAGTACACTCCAGCATCAGTGCCGTACCTGCGGTTCTTACCGCCATTCTCAACTCTGCTAACAAGGATGCCAAACCATCAGTGTCATTAAGTGCAGTTTTCCTTAGCCTCTCTAACTTCTTTGAAAAGCTCTTTCGAGAAACACTTCCCGAAGCACTTGGGCACAACCTGCCATCTCTCCAAGCTATGTTTACGCTACTTGCAGAAAAGACGTATAATGTCATTCATTCACGAATGCGCTTACCTGAGTTCTCCAACATGCACCTTAGTGCTGAACAACTCAATAAGCTGCAGGAGAGCGCCACGTTCAGCCAATTGCTCACTGACTTATTTACCAACAAGCTTGCCGTCAGCCTGACTCCTGCTGGATACGCAGATGACCTCTTCTATCAAATTACAAATGAGCTCATTTATGATCAGTTTCCTTCGGCAGACCGTCCCGCCAAGGAGTCTCTTCTGCTAATGCTCTCTCACTACGACACAGAAGTTGCAAGCACGTTTTCTGCGCACCTGGAAGATACAATAAAGCGGGAGATCTCTATGGGGTCTACCGAGAACATGAAGATCTTTTCTAGCAACTGCAAGCTCTTATGCACATACTGTAGGCTTGACCAGGGGAAGGAAGCCTTTTCAACGACATTTTTCAACTTGTTAGTAGAACACCTTGCCGCTGGCGATGTAATTGAGGGGTCTCTCTTTATTGAAATTCTCAACGAATGCATGGTACTCGCAGAGGGACACGCTCTGCAAACATGTAAGTTTATGATGCTCTTTAGCGAAGCAACCAAGAAGCACTGGGTCAGATTTGGACTGAGAACACACGTCCTTGCCATATCGTTCAGCAACTGTCACCTAATCAGCGATCCTCTCCTATCCTCTCAGCTTCTAGAAACCATACAAATGTACATAGATACTGTATCGTCTCTAGCACCGGAGGCCCTTGATGATCTGCTTTGCATACTGCGATACTATTACGCTCTTAGCTCTGTGGGGCTGGACCTTCCTGTTACCCATCCTAGTTGGGAGCACATAATATCATTTTGCCAATCACATGTGCCAGAGGAAGTCATGGCTGGTTTGAAGGCGTCTCTATTATTTGGTCTAGTTAATTATACGGCTGGAACACCAGATACAGTCAGGCATCGTCTTTGCTCGATAATGGCCAGTGTTGATCTACACATTCTAAGGACGATACAATTGAATGAGGGTTTGCCTCTTCCTTTTGCCTTATCAACTCTTAACGGACAGAATATTAGAGCAAGCATCATCAAAGATTTTGAAGGCCTGCTCATCACATCCATACTGACACAAAATAAGCCAGTTTTAGATTTAGTTGAGGATCTGTTAAATAATGAATACTTCCAGACACTTGTTAGAGAAGTCATCGATGGAGCGTCAGCTGGGGGAGCAGTGGCTAGTCTAGCGGAGGGAATCAATAGACTTGAGAAGTCCGTAGATAGTTATTTACAAGCACAAGTAATAGCGTACTGCCTCCACTTATCAATACGTCTGCATTTATACGCCTTTGATTCTCACCCAGAGGCCTGCGCACTTATAGAAAAGGGCTTAAAGTATAAACTTCCAGATGCCTTATTTATTGCACAATATCTATCTCACCACAATCGTACTGAGTACATCAAGATTTGTGCACAGTTAGCTACCACTGACTTCGATGCACAGTACTGTACGCTTATTGCAATGAACTCTCTCAAATGGTGCTCGCCAGAGGAAATGCCTATATTTATAAATGCCGTGAATAGACTACTCGGGACAATAACCTCTCTGGGAGCACATGGGCCTTGTATCGTCTCCGCACTAACGCACTTTGTGCTACAAGCCTCGCAGGACATAGGCTTACTTCACTCCTTTCTGTCCTCGGTCTTGAAAGCTTTAAAGTGTATAGATAGATCCGCCTTTTACGCTGCTATACTGATGCTCCAAGAGACGAACACCACGTACGCCTATCAAACTATATCTGAAGCTATCTCTTTAAATGAGCTCCTCGAGGATCTGCCTACTAGCACTCTTTGCGGAGCAATCCTAGAGCAACGGGTCACATCCCGCCAGCTAGATCAAGAGGGCATCCTAGTGCTTCTAGAGAAATCCATGAGGCTACTCAAGGAGGCAAACACAAAAATAGTCCACTGCTGCGCATTGATTGTAGCAGCAATTGGCCGGCTTCGATACGGTGTTGGTGCAGATCCTGTGGCCTATTCGTTTTTAGAATCCAAGCGCTTCGAGGTTGCAAATCATTTAGGTTCGTTACTCAATGCCCCACTAAGGTCGACACGCGACGCCATTCGGGTTGCTAGGCTCATTTGGATGCAAACTACCACGTAACTTAAGGTAGGAGCTTTAACTAGAATCTTGGTAGCTGCAGCTTGAGTAAACCACCCGGCGTAATCCACTCATCTCTGAAATTTGCCACCTTTGTTGTCTCTAAAATCATCAATCTATGAGATATTTAACTCCATTGGGGAACCTCTAGACAATCTGTCCGAGCAAATTCCGTGCGAGTCGCCACACCAGGCAGGTCTTCTCTCACTCATCTGTTCGACATTCGAACCTAGGGTCCAGGAATCTAGTGCCATCCAGTTCCGGCGGGAGAAGAAGCCCAAACGGAAAGCTGATAGCCCCGACGCCCAGCCCTCAGCAAGCAGCAGACCGGCAACCGCTCCCACGAGCGAGCTGCCGAGGAAGGTTCTCAGGGGCTCGAAGAATGGAGTCTGGAAAGCATCCGATAGAATGAGTAAGGGGCCCCACACCTCTCTCCGCTGAATCTCCCTATCATGGAGAGCGGCGCATGGTGGCAGGCCCTCAATGACCGTTTCTCTAGGAGACCACCTAGCCCTGAAGGGGTCACTCGCTGACTACATGAACTGGCTCAAGAACGCCAGGTTCACTAAGAGACTGCGCCCTCGGGGACCTCCTACGCGATCCACAGCACGAAGAGCCACTCGACCACTTCTGCGTCTCCTGCCATGTCTCTTTCGACTTCTAAAGGGTCTCGAGCAGCACGTCTGGAGAACCCTCTCCCGCTTTGGGCTCCTCTTGCTGCTCCTTCTGCAGCTTTTCGACCGACAGACGGTGCCAGCTCACGCACACCGAGCCTTGGTGCCCAAGTGCGGTGTCCCACGCGGGCCCTCACCGTTGCCCGTCGCGATGCTCTGGATAGAAAGCATCGGACCGGAGCGCTTCCCAGACTCCTCGAAAGTACTCAGGCACGACCCCACTATCTGCTAGGACAGGCCAAGCATGTGCGGTTGAGAGACCAGCAACACCAGAGTGCCATGAAGCTGCTCGTGGCCCGGTGGAGCTAGTTCAACCTAGCTCACAGCAGGGGTCCCAGTTGCTGGCTGTCCCCAGAGGGTCCTGGAACCTGCAGAGCTCCATGAGGGGGCATCGTCCCGGACACACACCAGTGCACCGTGGACCCCACCCCTCACGGGGGAGAGATCAGGTATCACAGCGAGAACGAGGATCTTAGGAACCTGATGGAGAGGGGCGCCCTACGCTGTAGTGGCACCAGGCGAACGTTGAACTAGTAGGAACGGAAGAGCACGTGCCTGTCCTGCGCGAAAACCCTCCGCGGTGAGGCCGTCCAGACGCATGCAGCACAGACACCGGATGCAGGGCGCTGCTGAGTGGGGCAGCGGGGATAGAGAAGGAAATCCCCCTCAGCGCCCGTCGTGCGAACGTGCTCAGGGGAGGGTACCTAACACCCCGCAGAGCTCCAGTCGAGAGCCGAGGAGACGTGCCTCCCCACACAGCGGGGAAGCAGAGGAGCAACAGTCACCACCCCACTGCCCGGCCTGCAGCCTCTGCCTCGCCTCGAGGGGGAGCTGCACCCTGACAGCGCCACCGACGACCAGAACCTTGCTATCCAGAGGGGCCGGATCAGGACGGCCTGGCCCCTGAGGGACACGAGCCCCTCAGCCATCGGAGAGCACGGACGGCCAGTCCACGGGGCTCGAAGTCCCCGGGTCTGCGCTGGCGAGTCCATCCGGGTGCAGGCCTTCAACGAGATCCTCAGCGCGATCCATAGGATGGGATGCGTGCTCTGTACGGTTCCGCCTGGTCCTTCCTCAAGAATGAGACAGGGCGACCACAATCAATGGACGATCATGATTCGCTCCACAAGGTAGTCCCGAGGAGCTGCGTCGAGGCCTTCCTTCAGCTGCGACACGCTGCACCCCTGGATTCGGTCCCTCGGGGCCCTGAGTATGCCTTCACACTGCGCGGGACAGAACCTGCTCATCGGGAGCTGAGGAGATACCCCACTCAGTGCCCATGCCGACAACAGTGACGCGGCGAGGATAGTCACAGAGGCGACAGGCCTGGGAAGCAGCATGGCTCGACGGTCAGCACTGGGTGTAGGAGCACAGAGGAGCAGGAGGCCTTCTTCCTGGCTGGTCTCGAAGGACCCCTCAAGGCAGCAGAGAACCTGAAGCCAGTGATGGCACTAATCACTCGCCCCGCTGGTCGAGATGGACCCACACGTGGCCTATGTGAGTCCCTCGACAAGAGATGGGGCTCCTGGGGTGTCTGGTTGGCAGAGGCGGACTGATCCTGTCCGCACCGAGGAGTAGTGGTCTGGGCCACCTGCTGGGTGTCTACTACAGCAGCTGGCAGTACCTGACACCCTCGAGTAGACGGGTGCCGGTGTAGAGAAAGACGGCCTAACGGCGAACCGGTCTTGATCGCTCGTGATGCTTTGGACGACGCCTCGACAGACCGAATCATTCCCCCCAAGTGTGTTGTGCAGTGCAGATGGACCAGCCCACAGGTCACTGAGCCAGACGCACTGCACAGGGTGAGCGTCGACACGGTCTCGTGCTGGGTGACGGACCACCTGCAAGAGCGCACTGCGATCCATGAGCAGAGGGGTGGGCCTCTCCCCCGACACAACGTATAAGAGTACTCCATCGGCATCCACGAATGCGTACTATGACTCCAGGATAGAGGCACACGGGGAGCGCATCCTTGATAATGGAACAGATGGTGCCCTCCACGAGAAGATGAAGAGGCACCCCGAGGAACGGGAGTCGACACCCGGGGTCGTGGCGTGCGATCCTCGTCGTAGAGCACCAGGGCCACAAAGCTACTCCAGAGTACATGGCCAGAGTTAACTGCTCTCGAGACTGGATCGCCACGACTGACGCAAGGCCCGAGACAGCGGGTGCTCACTAGATGTCAGACGATGGTTGACCCAAGCCAGTCAGAGAGGAGAGACGCTCCGGAATGCATAGTGGAGCACCCAACGGCTTCCAGGCGGGATGCACAAGGCTCTTCTCCAGAGTGGGCGGCATCTAAGCTTCGGATCCTGGACGGGTTTACTCGGACAGGAGCTGGCAAGCCGACCTCGATAAAGAAGAGCAGATCTCGTTTGGGAGGATGCCTACTATCTCTTTGCGATCCTTCTTCTTAGCGATACTGAGGACAGTGGTACCGGGCGAGTGATCATGGCAGCTAGAAATTGTCTTCAGCTCCTTCTCGTTTTCCTTAAGAAGTCTTGCACATTCCACGGCGTTGCTATATGCTGCGTTTATAAGAGCGGTCCAGCCCTTGGTCGTTTGCATGCCGCCTTCGTCCTTCAGTAGGAGCCTGACGCACTCTGGATGATCATTGCGTGCTGCCCACATGAGGGCAGTCTGATGCTCGTTGTTCCTTATGCCAGTCTCCTGCTTGAGCAGCTCTACGATTCCTTCGTGCCCTCGTGCTGCTGCATACATGAGCTCCGTCCACCCTGAGATACTGCTCTCATACTCCATCAAAAGCTCAACGTGCCCAATATAGTCCACCAGGGGGTCATTGGAACGATTGCACAGTGCCGCGAATACGGGAGCGGCCCAACCGCCTACTTTCTCCCCTTTTCGTGCTCTGCTAGCAGTTCTACTAGTTCTGCGTGTCCACTTGCCGCAGCCACCATCAGAGCTGTTCCTTTGCCCATGTACCATCCGCTTATTGTGACCTCTTTGTATGTTTTCCTCCCCCTCTGGATGGGTAAGAGTGCTTTTACAGCCCCCACATCATTTCTATTAACAGCCCGCATGAGCGCCGTGACGCCGTTCTCATCGGTTGGGTCGATGGCCTCCACCACAGTTTCATGTCCTGCCTCTGCCGCAATCACCAAGGCCGTCTTGCCTTCGCTGTCGATCCAGTCCTTCTCATATGGGACCAGAAGGGAGGCAGTTCTTGCATAGCCCTCCTCTGTGGCGATCATCAGGTAGTCCAGCCGTTCTTGTCCTGGAGGCCCCTCTCCTCCCCAACAAACAACTCGACGGGATCAACGTGCCCCTGTGCGTCGCGCTGACCAACACCGAGTCTTTCTTCAAGCAGCATCCGGACGGTCTCCATGCCGTTCGTATGCGCGGCACGCATCAGCCTGGGCAGCAAAAGGAGGCTGGACTGAGGGTCAGCCGTGTTCATCCTGTCACTGAACTGTGCAAGCCTACTCTCCAGTGCCTTAATCATGGCTAGATGTTCCTTACCTTGGTCTTCGAGTGCGTCGATCTTAGTGGATTTAGTCTTAACATCCTCTTCCAGCAGCGCGATCCTGGCGTTAGCGCCATTCAGCGCAGCCTCCAAGGAGCCGCATTCGTACTTCAGCACCGCGTATTGAGCCCTCAGCTCACCAACTGGGATGTCGAATGTAGCGAACGTCTCGTGCAGCTCCCTGGCCGTCGGCCTCCTCTCTGGCTCCAGCACGAATATCCTCTCCAGAACACTCTTTATGAAGCCATCAGCGACACCGCTCAGGTCCGGCCTCCACCCGTCGACGAAGACCTCTGCCGGCTCCTTGCCCCCCAAGAAGTCCGGTCTCCTCAGAGTTACTAGTTCATAAATGATGACCCCGAGGCTCCATACGTCGGAGGCGGGGCTGGCCTCATTACGGAGGAGCGCCTCGGGGGCCATGTACGCCATTATTCCTATGAGAGTGCTCTCACTCCACAGGGCGTCCTTGCAGAGGCCGAAGTCGGCGATGATGAAGCGCTCTCCGTCTGCGCTGATAAGAATGCTGGCAGGCCTGAGGTCACAGTGGACGAGGCCTTTAGTGTTTGCCCCACTGACGCTGTGAAGGTAGGCGAGGGCGGCGGCGACCTGCTTCATGACGGAGAGGATCACGCCGGCAGACACGGGGATCTTCCTTCGCTTGTGCTCGGTGAGGAAGTTGTCAAGAGTCCTGCTGTGCCGGTCCGTGACGACATAGATAAGGCCCTCGTCTTCAATCACTTGATGGTACTTGAGGACCCCCGGGTGAAAGAGGATAAAAAGAGCGGTCAGCCCACGCTTTAGCATCCACACCGTGCTGACCCAGACCGTCGAGCCGGATCTCCTTCACAATGAGGTGGGGGCATCCCCTGAGAGAGTAGATAACACTGAAGGCCCCTTCTGAGCACGCTCCCCAAACGCCCATCGGCCCTGCAAAGCCGCTAACTGCACTGTTACTAGCGTCTCCCAGGACACCCTCTGCGGCAGCTGGGATAGGGAGTGGAGTCAACAGCCGCCGCTGATTTTAACTGCAATCCGGAGCCACCCTTTGGAGTGGCCTTGGCTACTGCCTGAGTAAGGCGCCTAGTGCGAGCTGCTGATGGCAGGCCAAGGAGGGCACATTAGCGGCTCGTATGGCCCTGAGCAGGCCGAACCCTGGAGGCCGACGCGGAGTGCCCCGACAGAGTATGCCGACCGGGACGACACTGAGCTCTGGATGCATCGATGGAGAGGAGCTTTTAGTATGTTATCCACAACCAGCCATCGTCTCCGGACGGTCGAGAAGTGGGCGCAGCTTACCCGTGAGGCCTCTGAGCGCACCTGCAGGTGGGCCCAGTGATACAGTGACAGCAATGTACAAGAGTGCACCCCAATCAATCATTCCACAAGAGAGGCACGGTCTGAGTCTACTCCTCACTGGTCCTGTTCCTATCGAAGCCAGGGGGAACCGTGCCATCAGCCGGCCTCCGGTGGGTGTGCTATTATCTTATCCCTCTCCAGTCCAACCGATCAAGAGAGCAAGAGCGGCTGTCTCTCAGTGCTCGCGGCAACGCACCGGCCTGACAGAAGAGCAGTGGCATACGAACTCCGGCTAATGTTGGTAGGATTTCTCCTAGTTTGTGCAACCGTGCTGGCAAAGCACAACGAAAAGACCGCGCCGTGCGAGGTCGAGGGCTGTGATGTCTGCGAGGAAAGCAACCCCCAGCAGTGCAAGACGTGCGGCTCAGGCTACACCCTCAACCCCACCACGAAGAAGTGCACCAAGAACCCCGCGTCCGACTGCGGAGTCCAGAACTGCGCCCAGTGCGTCTCTGGCGACAACACAAGGTGCGAGACGTGTAGCCCTGGCTTCGACCCCAACGACGACGGGACGCAGTGCACGCCGCAGGCCGACTGCCCGATCGTGAACTGCCAGACGTGCTCCCCGGACAAGCAGACTTGCGAAGAATGTGAACCAGGAAAGCATCTGACCCCGACGAAGAAGGCATGCTTAGATGCCTGCCCTGTCGGAACGTATCTATCCGGACAAACGTGCGCGCCCTGCGACCCCTCCTGTGCGGAGTGCAGCGGGGCCGGCGCTTCCAAGTGCACGGCCTGTCCCGCCGGGAAGATGCTGAGGTACGCCGACGAGAGCAATCCTACAGACGGCACGTGCGTGGAGCAATGCGTGGAGGGCCCGGAGTGCGAGACGTGCGGCCTAACAATTGGAGGTACCAAGTACTGCTCGAAGTGCAAGGGGAACAACGTGCCGCTCAATGGCGTCTGCACAAGCAATGCGGCCAGGACTCGGTTCTGCACCACTGCCGCTAACGGTGCCTGCACGGTCTGCGCCGCCGGATACTTCATCCAGGAGGGCGGGTGCTACCAGACGACGAGGCTCCCCGGGAAGAGCATCTGCACAACGCCCACTGGGGATGGAAAATGCCAAACGTGTGCGAATGGCTTGACAGCTGTCTCGAACATGTGTCCATTATGCGACTCCACTTGTGCGACATGCACCGAAGCTAATCAGCCCAATAAGTGCAGCGCCTGTCCACCTGGCCGTTACTTGGACGCCAGTAAAGCATGCAAGCTGTGTACAGAGACAAGCAATAACATTCAGGGCGTCGCTAACTGCGCGAGCTGCGCTCCCCCATCTAATAATCAAGGCCCCGTTCTCTGCTACCTCATGAAAGATGGCGGTAGCACGAACAAGAGCGGCCTTTCTACCGGCGCCATCGCGGGGATCTCCGTCGCTGTCATCGTTGTCGTCGGGGGCCTCGTGGGCTTCCTCTGCTGGTGGTTCATCTGCAGGGGCAAGGCGTAGATGTACTTAGGTAGTAAACGCGTCACTAGTGGTGCAGCTGCCGACAAGCGGGTGCGCCTTATGTACTTCGCCAGCCAGCCAGCAACCGGGAGCAGGGGTGGCCGCTTCCCTGCCCCCGAGCGTGCTCTGCACAGCGCCGTTGACACCGTCATGGCTGGGGACGGTGCACTCGATATCCTGTGCCCGCCGACGAGCTGCATCGATGCGAGGAGGGGTGCTTGATGTGGGCAGCTTTGGTACTGTCCATGTGATAGGTGGCTATCCAAGACTCAGAGTGGGAAGCTCACGGAGGCCACTGGGTCGCGCTGGCCACCATTTCCAGACGCTCACACCTAGATGTCATTAGGCACTACCGGGTGCTCAGAGACGCTCACTCCATCTTCATCATCATGGACCGCTGAGATCGGTGCCTCAAGATGTGATTGCCGATTGAGCAAGAACCGGTAACCCTACCGATACAGTGCTCTCCATCATGGAGCAGATCGCCATCATCCTTACCTACCTTCACGACCCCGACAAAGTCGATGTCAGCAGAAATGGCAGGCTCAGCTCTTGCGGACTTCGGGCTCTGCAAGGATGTCCTGCACAATGGGAGTGCCATTTTGGGAACCAAGCATACATGGCTCCCGAGATCCACCTCAGGGACGAGACCGGCCCTACGTTCGACGTCGGGTCTTCGGTGCTACCGCCTATGAGCTCTTCACTTTCAAATGCCTAATCTCCTGGGAGCAGCACCCGAGGAATGTCTTCGTTGATGGGCAAAGGCTCAGCCTGAGTGCAGTTGAAGACGACCTCATAAGGAGTATCCTCAAGAAAGCGCTTGTTCTAGACCCCACTCAAAGACCAACAGCCAGGGAGCTTGGTAGGCTGCTTCAAGAATCTGGTGTTCTAAAAGGAAGACTACGGGCTTGAGTCACGGCACTAGAGGCTGCTCTAGACAATGCTAATCGGAGATCGAGCCTCTTGAGAACAGCCTTAGCCTCAAATCAGGAGAGATAAATGACTCTAGAAAGGATTTTAGGAGTCAGCTATACAGGATTTCTCATATACTCTGCTCACAAGCGCTGCTTCCAAGAGCACTGCATTGGAGTATTTGTCTGGTAAATATGGGGTGAATAGCAATGGTAAAACCACGATGATGCTTGCTTTGTTAGTGAAGCACACAGATATTGTGGAGCTCCTTGATCCGACAGATAATAAAGGCGTCACCAGGCTCATGCAGGCTGTAGAATGCGGGATATGGAGGCTGTGAATCGTTTTATTTCTATCCGAAAGGGAAAGACAGCGAAGTATTTTGACATAAGTGGATGGAATGGATACGAAGAGACAGCGTTGATGTTAGCAGCGGTGCATGGGCACACAGAAGTGGTTACATTGCTAATAAAGCACGAAGGTGGCATGAAAAATTGACATGGCCAAACTGCGCTCATGTATGCAGCGCATAATAATCACTCAGAATGTGTTAAGCTATTGATGGACAAAAAAGCTGGCATCCAGAGTACCACTGGCTAGACCATTCTTATGAAGGCAGTGTATCATTACAAAACAGAGTGTGCCAAGCTACTTATGGAAAGGGAGAGGGATATGAGAACTACCTGCAAAGATCGATGCTTTCCACCTGGTACCACGGTCCTCGACATCGCCAAGAGACAAAACTACAGCAATATTGTTTCTATTTTTTAATGAGCAGACTCACATCCTCATATGCCGGGCCCAAGAAGAAGGACAGCAGAGGGCTCTCGTTCCCGTCTATGTGAGATCCCCATAACATGAATACCAGTGCACTATTGCGTCAGCCTGCCTGAGCAGAGTAAACAGAGTGGCAAAAAACTGCCTTAATAAAAAATGCAGCCCCAAGTCTATGTCCTGAGCCAAGGCACCGAGAGCGAGCGCCGAGAAATGGCCCGCATGAACAACATCAAGGCAAGTAAGACAGTCGCAGACGTCATCAGGACAACGATGGGCCCACGCTCCATGCTCAAGATGATCCTGGACTCAATGGGGAGCGTGGTCATGACAAACGACGGGAACGCCATCCTGCGCGAGCTCGACGTGGCACACCCCGCAGCCAAGGCCATGCTGGAGGTTTCACGGGCCCAGGAGGAGCAAGTCGGAGACGGCACCACAAGCGTTGTCATCCTGGCAGGGGAGGTGATCGCCATGGCAGAGCCCCTTCTCAAGTGTGGGATACATCCTATTCTCATTACGCAGGGATACCAGAAAGCCTTGGACTTTCTTTTGAGTGAGGCAGAAAGATCTTCATTTGAAATAAATATAAAGGGCATAGAGATCCTGGGTCTGAAGTCTGAGGCGGCAGGCCCTATTATGACAGTTTTAAAGAACTCGCTATCCACGAAGTTTGTCAGTAGATGGATGGATCTCATGTGCAACCTTGCGCTCGAGGCGGTCAGCATAGTCGCTAGAGGACGTGGAGCGGAGGTGCGCAAGGGTCTAGTGGGTGTCACTAAGGATGCGCGTTCAAAAGGGGATGAAGCAGAGCTTGGTGCTTCAGTTGACATTGATATTAAGAGGTTTTGCCGCATAGAGAAGATCCCTGGTGCGACTGTGGAGGACTGCTGCGTCATCGATGGCGTAGTGCTTAATAAGGATGTCATTCACCCCGATATGAGGAAGTACATCAAGAATCCCCGCATACTTCTTCTGGATTGCCCTCTAGAGTACAAGAAGGCCCAATCAATGATGAACGTAGAGCTGTTCCAAGGGAAGTCTGATCTAGGAGACATACTCAAGGTCGAAGAAGACTACATTAGGACCCACGTGGAGAAGATCCTCAGCTTCAAGCCCGACCTGGTCATCACCGAGAAGGGTGTGGCGGATCAGGCGACTCATATGTTTGTCCAGCACGGCGTGACAGTCCTCAGGCGCGTCAGGAAGACAGACAACGTGCGCCTTGCGGCAGTTTCCGGTGCCACCATTGTCAGTCGCGTGGAGGAGCTTCAAGAAAGTGATGTGGGGACATACGCAGGCCTCTATGAGCTCCAGAAGATCGGTGACGAGTTCTTTTCCTTCATCCACCAATCTGGGGGTAAGGCCAGTGCCTGTACCATTGTGCTTCGAGGCGCCTCCAAGAGCACCCTGCTGGAGATAGAGCGGAACATTCAGGACGCCATGCACGTGTGCAGGAATATTATCCTTGACCCGCGCCTGGTCATTGGCGGAGGCTGTTTTGAGGCTCACTTGTCGACGGCACTCTCTCAGTATGCAGACACCCTTGTCGGAAAGCCTCAGCTTGTCATTAAGGCAGTCGCCAAATCCCTGGAGGTGATCCCACGGACGCTGCTGCAGAACTGCGGTGGGAATATAATAAGGACCATCACCGAGCTCAAGGCTGCCCACACCAGTGACCCGAACTGTCAGCTGGGTGTCGATGGGGTCACAGGGCTCCTCGTCAACTGCAAGGAGCAGGGCATCTGGGACCCACTGAGCACAAAGCTGCAGGTCCTCAAGGCCGCTATAGAAAATGCTTGTATGATCCTGCGCGTTGATGACATCTTCAGTTGCGATGGAAAAAGCGTGTGAACCACACTGCGTTTTGTTTACCTCTAGAGTCACTTGAGTCCCATTTCGGCCTTTACCTGGCGTATGGTTCTGCGGACCTTCTCGTCCCCCATCCTTTCGAGCTCAGACAGGAGAATGCTGCTATTGGTAACTATAGGATACTGTTCTAAGACTGTCTTATACTTGGCACTCCGCGGTCCGCGTTCGAGGAAGATGATGAGAAGAGTAAGTCCGCAGATAAACATGACACACCCTAAGATTATAGATAAGATTGCTAAGTTCCTTGTTTCATAGTATCCTCCGAAAACGGTCATTTGCTGCAGCACAATGGACTTCTTCCCGTATGGAAAGTTATTTGTCACCGAAAACTCCACGGTTACACCGCCAGCCTTCGAAGCATCATATATGGTTTCCGCTGTGTAAGAGTCTGTGACGAGGGCCTTGAGTTGCTCTGCAGTGAACCGTCCGTAAAGCTTGTCAAATGTACTTAGGGGTGCTGTTCGCATCCATACTGCAACAGCTTCACTATTTGGAAGAGCTTGGAATGCCTTTCCATACATTCTAGTGCTCTTGATGTCCTCCTTCCAGGCAATCCCCGTTGTATTAATAGGCAACTGAACCTTTATAGGTTGAGACGGATTTGCGGAGGTGTCTGTGCTGGTGATATAAAAGGTTACTTCGTTTGTTGTGGTACTAGCCAAGGTATCGTTGAATAAGGATTGATAAATAAGGCCGCATGGCTCATCTACTACCGTCCCCCCTTTATTGCAGTCCTTGTTCAGACCAGCGGCTTTAAAGCTGTCTGATTGGAGCTGCTTCCTACTAAAGCTAGAGACATAGAACCGAACGTTCTGATGGAAGTCTTGTAGATGGTAGTATACGTAAAGGGGCTTTTCCACATTAAATCGTTCGAGAGTAACAGTCACTGGCTCTGTTTGAGAAGATGCTCCAGATGAAGGTGTAGAGTAGTGTGCTATCCCATATGCTTGTGCAGAATTGAACGAAAAAGCTATCGCGCTGATTATTAGGAAAATTATTGATCCGGTAAACAAAAGCGACATTATGAGGATAACCCCTGGGTTAGGCACGCAGTGCCGCATATTCTGAGTGAAGAAGGGAGACTTGGTTCCAAACCAACTATTGACAGACAGAAGAGGCATCTGCTCAACGAACAATTTAATAAAGCTTTGGTATACTGCTAAGGGCTGCGAAGTTTTTCAACAATCCCTCCGTAGCCGTGAGCTAATATTTTATTGAGCACATAGACAACTTTTAATAAAGTCTGCTAACTTTTGCCTTCCTTCTAAATGCGCACGTCTCGCATGGTACCCATGGACACATCGCTCCATATGACGCAGGTTCAAGGCTCGTCGAGAGCTGACACAGAACACATGGAGCTGCGCCAGGAGCTGATCGATAAGGAATCAATACTGGCCCTCGAGCAACAGCGTGTGCTCCTGAATGAAGTCAAAGCGGCAGCGGTGCAGAAGGAGATAGACTTGGAAAACCTGCGAATGCAGCAGCTAAAGGAGTCTGCACGGGTGGATGCACTAGAAAATGCACTCTCACGAACCTCTGCACGCAAGGTTGTTTTGGAAAGGGAAGTACAGGAGAAGGACATGGAGGTTAAGAGATTGCTGGAACATGCAAATATCTTGCGTGCAGAGCACATGGCTTCGCTCACTCGTGCTGAGGAGCAGGAGAAAGAGATACAAACTCTCAGAGCCGCGCTTTTTTCCGCGAATAAGCAAGCTGCTGATCTCCAGCAGCAACTTTCCGGTCAGATGCAGCTGTCGAGTGACCTTCAGCGGCGCGTTGATGCTGCTACTGAGAACACTAAGGTGCTTCAGGACCGCACAGAGAAAGCAGAGCAGCTAGCGTCAGGCTTAGATACACAGCTCACTGTTGTGCGTAAGGAGAATGAGATGCTGAGCAGGGCCGTTCTGCTTAATGAGCAAATAGCGAACCAGTCGCTGACAGCAACAAAAGAGCTTGCGAAGAAAGTGCTCCAGCTGGACAGAGTGGTAGCTGAGCTACGACGGCAAAAGGACTTCACCACTGGTCATTTTGAGCTACTCTTGGACGAGACTCTTCGTATGCGACGAATCCTTGAGGGCACGCCAAAGGCTGTCTCGAAGTTGCGCAGCATATGTAAGGCAGCTGTTTTTGTTGGTAGACTTCTGGAGCTGACGAAAAGCAGAAGAGGGTATGGACACAAAATTTCAAGCGACAATGACAATATCAATAGTTCTGTCAACAAGTTGCGCCCCGATGATATAGCCGAGATAGCTAGTCTAATCGATAACACAACGTACAACAGCATGCGAAGCCAGGATGCCATCACTCTTCTCGCTCTTAAGTCTGCTATTTATCTGGAGTGCAATTTCGTCAAGTCCATAAGCGGGGCCGGGCCTCCGTCGAAGCAGATACGTAATAAGTGGGCATTTCTCTCAGCAACTGGCAAGAAAACAATGGCTGAAATAATCAAAGAGCTGAGGACAGACCTGCGCACCCTTTCCGACACCTGCTGCGAGTTGCAGAAAATCAACGGAGAAATAAAGGACGGCATGATGCGCAAGAGCAGCGAGTGCACAGCACTACAAGGTCAAGTGGCATCCCTTCAAGCGGACAAAAACTTAATGGAAGGAGACATTGAGGGCCTCAACAGAAGAGTGTCGGACCTCTATGACAACCTCACAGATCTAAAGGTCGTTCATGATACTAAGTGCAGAGAATTCAATAGTTTACTTAGCTCCCTGAAGCAATGCGAGGGAGAGCTGGAGCAGCGGATAAACGAGGTGGCCAATCTAAAGTCTCGCATTGTAATCATGACAGAGTCCATGGACGAGCGAGAGCGTCGAAATATGCAGCTTGAACGTGATATGCAAAGGCTGCAAGGAAATATACGCTGCAAGGAAGCAGAAATAGAGAGCACGAGACGGGTAGTCGACCAGCTTGCTATAGAGTCGCAGAATACACGGAAAGAAGCTGAGGAGAAGCTCCGTATTTTGAGGGAAACTGAGGCAGCACTTGAACGGGAGCGGAATGAGCGGGCAGAGCGAGCCCGACGAAGAATCCAGCTCCTAGAAAACCGTGCAGTTATGGAAGATGCAATTAGCAATCAAATAGAGGATGCAGCACGCGAGGCAAATAGGCTGTCTGGAAGCTCTAGCAGAGGAAATGGCTATGGATATGGAGGGTTTGATCGATCCTGTGCGCCTCCACCTAGCAGTACATATGTAATGGATCGCGCGGATAGAGATATAGCGACAGCAATGGAGAACAGAGGGCTGATTGATCGCTCTGTGAGCTTCTCTATTCATGCGCAGCCACAGGATACTTCCGCCTCCCACCGCAGTCACCCGCGATCGCCATCGGTTCCGGCCATGTCCATCACAGCAAGTCCCTTGGCAGTTTCCCGTGCGAGTGAGAGACTTACAAAGAACCAGATGAGAGATCTGATGGCTTCGGTGGGTTCTGGAGAGTATCGGTATTAGCTCAAATGTAAATGGTTGTCACCTCATAGTAGCTTGTTAACATACCGAACTATCTCGTCGTATGCTATGTTGCTCTTCCAGATGCGCATGAGAGTAGATTTCCCCATTATCTTCGCCTCAATTGGAGCTAACACCCGTACGATGTCCATGTTCCCGTTGCTTATTGCTGTCACAAGAGCGCAGTTTCCCTGAGAATCCCGCATTCCTGCCTCCTTCTCCAACAGGGGAGCGACGCAATCAACGTACTGCTTAGAGACTACAGACATCAGCGCGGTCCAGCCATTTTGGCCTGTAAGCCCTCCCTCGCTATCAATCAGGAGTTTAAGGGTGGAAAGGTGACCCGCTGCCGCGGCAGCCATCAGCGCCGTCTTTCCGTTGCACGACTCGTGCATCTTACACTCGTAGGGGATCAGAAGCCGTACAATGCTCTCATGCCCTGCAGCGGCAGCAAACATTAATGCAGTGGCTTCATCAAAGTAGCTATTGCCCACAACGAAACGGGCCCTTGCCCGCATTCCGTGTTCATGGTCGACGAGTATCTTCGCGGCGTCTAGTGAACCGGCAAGAGCCGCTTCCATAAGAGAGGTGCGACCATTTGCATTATATTGTTGCGCAAGAGGTAAGTAGTTCCTTACTTGTTGCGAATTGTTCTGGATTGCAGCCCGATGGAGCTCTGTACAGCCCAATGCATCTACCGTGGAGTCAGGTTCTAAGAAATCATGTGCCATGCGCTTCTCTTTAGCTAAGAACCACGGTGACAAGCCATCGTATGTGAGGATTCCTTTCTCCATCTTGAGGAGATTGGCGTGTGCTTGCTGCCGGAGGTAGATAGCCATATGCAAAGCAGTCATTCCAGACGATGTGCGCAGCTTTGCATACTTGAGGCCGGCGCTCACAGTTTTAATGTCTCCTTCCAAAACAGCAAGCATGAGAGGAGAAAGCTCACACTCGTTAACGAGAAAGGCCTTCTCCCGTGTATACAGGTTCAGAACTTTGTGGAATGTGCCGCTCACAATGCTATGTTCCGTTGCCGTCATTTTGTTGTTGTCCTGCATCTCCGCCTCGTAGTTTAGAAGGATGTCGACCACGGCTTCAGAACCGCTTCGAGCGGCGAGCATGAGCGCTGTTTCTCCCTTTTTGTTGCGCAAACTATGCAGATGTACAAACGCAGCTGCAAGACGTGTATCTGCAGCCAGGGCAGCGATGTGTAGTTGAGAGTTTCCATTGTCATCAAAGACAGCGTCTGGGAGAACAAGGTATTCAATATTCAAAGCAACGGCCTGGAAACTATCTGCCAGCTCCTTGAACGCCTTCATGCTTTGAATGTCGTTACTCTGAAGAGCCTCCTTGAGCTGGCGATAGTTTGAGCTGTGAAATGCTGCTAGAAGGTCATATGCTCTTGTATCTGAAAGACGCTGCTCCTTCATGGCTGCTCGAATGAGGTTGGAAAGGCACTGGGAGAGTGCCAGTCGCCCTCCCGTGTATGTGTAAGGCATTAAGAGAAGTATGGCCTCGACGTTGCGGGTCGCATAGGCGAGGTCCAACGGCTTAAGCTTGTCGTGGATTTCTATGTCGGCTTCGTAGGGCAGAAAAAGCGGTATAAGCGTATTCTTGCCACAGTATATGCAAATGTTAAGCGCAGTGTAAGCTGACATGACGACTTGACCGCATTGCTGTTCTGGATTCTTAAGGTGGTGCATCAGGGCAACATAATCATCCTCAAGAATAGAAAGCATTAGGTCTGTGAATCCATCTGCAATCAGAGCATCCCGTTCATACGGAAGAACCTCAGTGAGAAACTCTGTGTTTCCACGCTCTATGGCAATGCACGATGCCAATCTTCCATAGGAATCCCGCATTCCTGCCTCGAGAGCGAGTAGATTCTTGTCCATCTTACCTCTGTAGCTCTTTGCCGCTAGCATAAGGGCTGTTTCACCAGACTTGGTATACAGCTTTGTCAGATAAAGAAGAGTGGAAACATCTTGTAGATAATCTGGCTGCGTCTTAGTTGGTGGGTCTTCTGGAAGCACAAGAGAGGACTCTAAGGATATCATATTGCTAGTGTTTGATAACTCCTTAGGACACAAAATGGCTGAGGTGGTTACTTGACTGCGTCTGAAGCGGTTAGGTGTATAAGTTGACTGAAGGCCCTCGTGAGGGTCTCTATGGTGCAGTGAAGACTTTGCAGAACTCGAACGCACGGTGCTGTCTGCTGTCAAGGATGAAGACACAGTACCTCCTGGTTGAACCGAACTCAGCGGCACTTCATTCCGTAGGATGAGCATATGAAGATCTGTCAGCCGATGTTCTGTGTTAGCATATTTTATCGTGGGACGGATTATGTCCAGTGGCTCATGATATCCGTTCTGATAGGCGTAGAACCAAGCAGAAAGGCCTTGATTGCACAATATGTCTCGCTCATCAACCAGAAGCCTGCAGCATTCTAAGGACTTGACACGAGTGGCATAGATCAGAGCTGTGAAACCGTGCTGATCTTTGCGACCAAGATACTTGTCTCTTAGTCCCCACACAGCGTTTATGTTCGCCTGCTGGGCGGCAAACATAAGCGGGGTATATCCTGAGTTAAGAGATATTGTGGATCGTACACTAGACGCAGCACCCTCCAGTTCCTGCTGAATCTCAGCGGCTGTGTCAGTGAGGGCGTCGTAGTCCTTAAGCACTGCTGAGAGGTTGAGCTCTAACGGTGCCAAAAGGCCGATAATCTCGTGATGGTTAGCAGCTATTGCATACGTCATTGCGTTCCACGTGCCATTGAAGATATTGGTCTCGATATTCAAAAGGCGATTGACATAGGGCCTAAGGCCTTGTGATGCACACATCATCAACGCTGTCATTCCGCTAGAGGACTTAAGCCCGGACTCATGCTTAATAAGGGCCTCAAAGCATGCACGCCTCTCCAGCTGGACTGCTAGCATCATAGCGCTATGCCCTGTGATTCTGTTAATCATTCTATACTCTTCAGAGAGTTCCGGTATAAATTCTGGACGGTCGTGAATAACGCAGTGCATGAGGGCTGTATTACCATTAATATCTGTGGCTCTGGTCTGCGTCATATGGCAGAAAAGCGAAAAAGCATCTTCCTCAATGCATGCCTTCATTAGGTCTGTGAGTCCCTGGCGGTCGGGGCACGAATGGGGAACCGGCTCCAATAGAAGCATCCGCCGTGCAGCCTCGAGTTTTCTGTTGGAGAACGCCATTTCAAGGGAGTTGTGACCCTCGTTGTCGCGCATTCCCGCCTCAGAGCCGGAGAGGACGTCAATGGCCGCTAGATACCCACACTCTGCAGCGTACATTAGTGCTGTGCGCCCTCGCTTATCCTGTATTCTTGCCTCGTGCAATCGCAAGAGCCTTATAATTGCCAGATTGACGTCTTCCTGGCCGGCAGGGAGTCCTTCATTATAATTCAACACAGCCTTAATCAGAGCAGTCTTGCCGTCATAATCTTGCAACTTCTGTTGCTTATCTGAATAATAGTATACCCCAACGAGATTCCGCTCGCAAACGCAGCGCATTAGGTTACTAACCCCATGCTCATCAACCCATAGCTCCACCCCATGAAGAAACTGCAGATCGTAGGAGGCGTCTAGATACTTCGCTAGCTGTATGTGATTGAGAAGCAGAGCTAAGTGAAGAGGAGAATATCCCTCTCCTGTGAGAACGCCGATTTCCTCCTGTGCCAAGATCTTCACTGCATCTTCATTGTTAGCCTTTATGGCATATACAAGAGCGGTGTTTCCGTCTATGTCGGTAGATCGTGCAAACTGGAGGTTCATAAACAATTTGTCAAGATTGTTTTCTTCGACGGCCTTGTGCAACTCCGTTTTCACGCCAACAAGAAGAGTATTTTGTAGAGTGGCATCTGGAGCATCAGACCCGACTATTATAGAACTCTGGATAGCTGCATCGTTGCCTCCTTTTTCTCTTGGCACATGTCCATCTTCTGGCCTTGAAAGGGAAGACCCTGGTGATCCTGGTTGCACAAGAGCCGGAGTGTGCAATAGAGCGTAATCTAAAAGGAGCTCTACAGGCGGCCTTTTATCGGGGTTTATGATGAGCATGCATGAGAGCAGTGAATAGAGCTCTCTGTAACGAAAAGCTTTTCCATGATCAAGAAAACTATATACTGCTACAGATTGGTATGGCTCCAAGGGCTCATAATCTATTGGATACAGATTATCAATTTTGGCCAGTGTGACCACATCACTGTTCAGCTCAATCAATCGATCTAGATCCAATTGTTGTAAAGTCAGTAGTTCATAAAGAATTGCACCGATCATCCATATGTCTGCAGAAGCACTGATGGGCAGGTGCTTTGAAACCTCTGGGGGCGCAACACCCGACGTGGCATAAAGCCGTTGGACACTGGGAAGTAAGAGGGTCTGATAGAACTCTGTAATCTGAAGCTTCATCCGCTCTTCATCACTTATAAGAATGAAGAACGGGGAAAGAAAAAGATTGGGCGGCGTATCAGCGGCTGCGCCTACACGAGCATAAAAGCTCTGGTAGGCTTTAACCCCTTCTAACAGTTGAGTAATAAGCAGCCAAATCTCTACTGAAGTAAACCATTGCTGGGCAATCCGACGCTTAATAATGAGAGAACGCAAGCTCGGCCCATTGGTCATGTCTGTGACAAGGGTGAAGGCTGTATCTATGGAGTATGTCTGGAGGCGAATAATATGTGGACATGTAAGTTGCAGGTAAGCGTCCATGCAACTCCTGAGGCGCGCATTCGGAACAGGCCAGGAGGTATAAAAGTACTTAAAGGCATAATTCCCGGTGCCATTATGTTGAACCAGCATAGTTTTGCAGTTTTCTGTGGCAGAGACCTGCGAAATAAGGGTGTACTCGTTGTCCGCCATGAGTCTGATTTTGAGAATTTTGGATCATGGCTGCCAGGGAGACGTACAGCTAAACCGTCCCAGCTGCGCATTATAGTACAATTCGCTGATCACGTCAATGAAGGTGTCTGTGCTTGGTGGGACAACGGTCAACTTGTACTTTCCAAATCGTCCGAAATCACACTGCATCCGTCTTCCTCTATAATAGAAGAGGAGCGCAAAATCATCATCCTCTAGCTCATACAGCTCATCAAATCCTGACACAACATTTCGGTCAACGGTGTAAAAGATGGCCATCCGTGACAGACGCACCATCGTTTCGGCAAGAAGCTCGTCCATCTCAGCGCAGGCAGCGGTGTCAGGGAGCCCGAAGCGTACTACAACGATCCTCGCAGACTCGTGCTGAATGGCCATGTCGACCGCATATGCGTTGGACAGTGCATTCAGTTCGGGGTACATTTGGCCAACAATGGCCATTGCACATGTAATATCTAAAAAGTACAGATTTTCCGCCAATGGTTGCAAAACCTCGGTGAAAAAAAGGCAAAACTGATAAAGGCCATGTCTTTGCGCACAGGAGATCTATATAACAGCCGTGCCCAGCAGTCCCCGGCTCTTGCCGCGTCCATGCGCCTGTCGTCTCTGCACGACAACGGCTACCGCTCAGCCAGCGCATACTCGTCGACGTCACACAGGCAAACCTTGGGGCCCATAAACGATCTAGAACACCTGGAGCTTCGCCAGGACCTCGTCGACCGTGAGTCTATCCTCGCGCTCCAGCAGCAAAGGGAGCGTCTCCACGAGGTAGAGGACCTGATGCGCCAAAAGGAGAACGAAGTCGAGATGGCGAAGATGGAGGCGCTGAAGGGGACTGCGCGTGTTGATGCCCTCGAAGGAGCACTTGCGCGCACATCTGCAAGGAAGACCCTGCTAGAAAAGGAACTTGCGGATAAGAGTTTTGCGATAGAACAGGAGCGCCGCCTAGCAGAGTCACTGCGCAAGGAAAAGCAGGATTTGACATCGAGCATCGGTGCATATCGGCAGAGGTGCGATGACGCAGAGGCCCGTCTCCGGGACGCAGATTATCGCTTTGCAGACTTAAGCAAGCGCAACGCCGCTCTCGAGCGAAAGTGCACAGATATGGAGTCTCAGTTGCGCGGTAACGACGCCCTTCGCGCGCGGCTTGTCGATGCGGAGCGTGAGATTGCTGATCTGAGACTGCGCCTTGGGCAACTTGAAAAGGAGAACCTTGCGCTCCGCAAGGACGTCGACTTCGCCCGCAACGAAGCTGCATTTGAGCGCCAGAAGCGGGCGGAGCTCGCAGACAAGCTTGCCGCCGCCGACCAGCTTGCCGCACAGAGGGCCACTGATGCCTACAGACTTGAACAGGAGGTCAGGGCACGCGATGCCCTATTACACGTGAAAGACTCTGAGCTGGAGTCGTCCAAGAGACTCCAGGACGCTCTCGCACGTGAAAACTACGACTCTAAGCGACGATGTGAAGATGCAGAGAGGGAGTCTAGGGCAGCGAAGAGCGACCTTATGCGCGAAATAAACGATCGGGCTGAGCGCGCACGCAGCCGCCTGCAGATCCTGGAGCGTAGAGCACTCGAGGAGGACCTGGTTTCCAACAATGTGGACCATATTTACGCCCTTACATCTAACGCTAATAACCGCTCTGTTAGCAATAGCGCGCTCAACTATTCGCAGTATAACAGCGGGCTGGGCGCATCCAACAGGCCACCCATTCACTCTATTGCTAGTCCGATAGCTGTCAGCAGAGCCTCAGGAAACATGTCTAAGGAGCAGATCAGGAGTCTCATAACGAACATAGACCGATCCCTAGTCGGAAACTAGCCAATCCGGTGCATTGTAAATAATTCATCTTCAAGCAAGGATAAAACATTCACTCCTGTCATTCCACGCATATCCAGGGAAGGAGCGGGTGGCCTACTCCCACGGGACTGCCTGCACATCGCCCATAAGCACAGCAGGTGCGTCATCACTCTCTTCATCGCTGTCCACGAGGACCTCGTTGTTCTGTGCAAGAGCCTCGCGAAGGAGGACCATATATTTGCAACGCTTGATGCATGTAATCGCCACCAAGACCGCAATAATGGCCAAGACAACGAAAACGGCAACCCCGATCATTGTGTTGATTAGCCCAGATGCCGTCAACGTGCAGCTAAAGTAGTAGAATGAGTGGGGCGAAAACGCATAGTTGCCTGGGCTCGAACTGTTATAAAAGAAGGCGCGGTTGGCTGGGCCGCTGATGCCTCCTTTTATGCAGAAAGGCTTAAGGTCTCCAGGGGCAACGGGACTGCCTGCGCTCGTGTAGCTGTACGAATCTATCCAGATGCATCCTCCTGCCCGCATGCACGCGTGGCAGGACGAACTAGAAACGTAGCAACTGTCCGTGCAGAACCCTGTCCCCATCCTGTTGGTGCTTGAACAGGAGGAGATCGCTGCATCGTAGTTCTTGCATTTACCATCGTCTGGACACCACAAACAGGCCTGCTTGGTAAATGGGCCAGACTGACTTGAGCACTCTTCGCACGTGGTATAGTCGCCACAACAGTTTGTAGTGACCTCGGTGCATACGTATGAGTCGTTGACCATGGAGTAGAGCGTGTTGATAGTGACACAGGTAGAAGATAGGTCGCACCAACCACACATGGAGCTTGCAGAGCAGTCGCGACAGGAAGAAAGCGCAGAGCACTCGATCAGCTCGTCTGGCTGCGCCTTGCAAAATCGAGAGGAGAGCTCCTTTGTGAACTTGTAAATACAGGCAGATCCCCCTTGGGTAGTGATGGGACACCACGCACAATAGGACACACGGACATCTCCCAGACAGGTGGCATAGCTACTGCCATAAGGGGCACAGCAGCTGCGAGCGTCATAGATCATATCGTGCCACTCCGCATGAGGACATGAATCAGGAACGGCGCCCTCACTGAGTGCTTGACAACTGTTGGTTGTTGCGCACCAAAAGCATCCTTCATTGCTCTGGAGACAGGTTTCACAAGTTGACGCTGAGCATGTAAACGCTCCTGCCCGGGACCGATGGGTGATCGGAAGCGTGCATGCATGCTCTGGGCTCTGCCCCTCCAGGTCTATCTCCCTATTTCCATGGGTGCCTGTCAGGAGGGCTGCATGAACAAGAATGATAAACACAAGGGTCATTGGCGTGTTGGCGTGCTTTGACTTTCAGAACTTTTTTTGAGACTACTCCACCGGCCCCAAACAAGGGCACGGCCCGACCACATCTGTGAGCCTCTGTGGGGGGTCCAGCTGTTTTATCGAGCATTCTACAGCCTTGTAGACCTCTGTGAGGATCTGAAACATGATCGCCTTTCTCCATTTAAGGTAGGACAGGTGCGTCAGTCCTAGCGCCTTCTCTCGTATGATATTATCAATGACTGCATCTAGATCCAACTGCTTATTATTCACGTCCAGGCACAGCGTATCCTTGAGCCCAATATTGTCAATGACTATACAGAGAGGAATTGTAACAAGGCATGGTGGGCCGTCTATCAGGACCAGCAGGGGTCGGCAGTCTGGAGCAGCCTGCGCCGTGACGATCCTTTGCAGGCGGTGTGCTGCCAAAGGAGACAGACAGTACTCGTCTGCGAGTCTCTCTGCAAGGCCTAATGGGGTTAGCTCTCCAAACACGTCATAGATGAGCTTCTCAGAGACGTGTACGTTGTCCAAGACGACATCGATGAGGATAGGGACCAAGCGTCCAAATGGATTCGGCATCCAAAAAGTGTTTTCATTTATTTTGTCGGTTTAGACATGGAACCGGAGGATATTGTGAAGACACGCTAGACAGAGTTGCTTGGTGGGCTCGACAAGCGGATCCACTGTCTTCCGGCTGATGCACTCAATGAGTGCATCTATGTTTGTCTGTACATCGTCCATTAGGCCCTTCTCCTTAAAGATAATTGCGCTAACGATGAGTATTACTAAAGGGATGGTAACCGACAGGTCACAAGACCTAACGATGACTTCAGATGCAATAGGGAGGGTCACAGTCAGAGCGCCAAGACGTTCAAGCCAGTACTTAAGGAGCGGAACGTTGAAGAGAAGATCCATCGGGGGAAGGCGCTGCGTAAACCCATGGTAATCAAAGAACTCGGCGTAGGCCTTGCTGGCAAGATCGTGATCAGAGGAGACCTTTGCCTGCAGAAGAAATTCCAGATCGCAGAATATGGTCGTAAGCTCACTGTTCGATACCTCTATTGCCCCCTTGTCCGCGCCATGTATCAGTAGATAGACGTATGAACATATATGATATATGAGGAAGGTTGCCATGGCGTCCGACCGTGACAATCTTCGTGTGAAGATTGCATTTCTTCCTTGGAGGAACATCCTCAATGAGTAGTTGAGTAGGTTTGAGAAGCTTTCGTGGCGTGACAGTGGCACATAGAGCTTGCTGGCAAGGACCCCGGGGCTTAGAGAAAGCGATTTAGCAGCGATACTGGGCTGGTTGCCTAAATGGTAGTTCCAGATATTTGAGTAGAGTATGTTGGAGGAGAGAGGAAGAGATGTCTCTATTTGTGAAGGTCGTGCATCACTGGTAAGCTTCTGCGCCGTACCTGAGGAGACGGAGGTAGACCAAGGACATAGGGTCCCAAGGTTCTCATCTTTGCAATAACCGCCATCGTTAAAGAGGTGCTCGCAAGCCGAAAAGCAGCTCATATCAAAGGAGTCTATGATGTAGTACCTGTGCTGTGTATACCGGAGATAGGGCTCGCCAGCTCCCGCTAACACGCCAGTCAGCCCGAGAAATAGACCTATGAGGTTGCTCTTCTTTATTGTCTTGTACCCCAAACAGGTGTTCATCCACTTGTACAAGAGCTCAAGTGAGTCTGAAAGAATGTATGCAGAAGAGATTTGCATGCGTGCAGTGGCCGCCAAACTATCAAACATATAATAAGGATTAACAAGCTCGAGCATTGATGAGCCTATAGATTGGTATGTGATGGTCACAAATTCACGCCCAAACTGTGCTGCGCCCTGGATGAGTGGCATGAAGGCGAATGGCACAGCGGGGAAACGAGCCGATCTGCGTGAGTTTAGATACTGAGCAGGGAAGCACAACGGGTTCTTGCATGTGCCCAGTGGCGTGTCTCCGGCCGGCCTGGTAGGCTTTCGTTTGGTTCGAGAAGACTTGGCAGTTTCTTGTTCGAGGGCGACAGCCTCATCCAGAAGCAAGCACGTGTCTTCGATTGAAAGGCTACCGATGCCGCTTACAATGGTATGCGCAGGCTTCTGCGTAATAATACCGCGCTCCAAGAACCATCGCCAGAAGAACGACCCAAATGTCTGGTACTGCTGATTGGCCACATCAAAAAAGTTGTAAAGAACTTCATCTTCTAAAGAAGTCTTCCAAGTCTCTACGTTCAATGTACGCATTCGCTGTTTCAAGAGGAGCATGTTAGAGACTATCGCGGGATATGCATCTGCAAGCCCCTTCTGTGAAAAGATTTCGCTGAGATGGCCATAGAGGTCATTTGCTACGTCCACAAGCGCAATGAACGCTCGATCTATACTCCTGTTGCAGTCACTGGAGAGGGACACTTGCCGCACGGTGGCAGTGACCCCCGTCCCAGATAGAGCGGGGTCATCTCCTGCTTCTGTTTGCCGCTTAAACACCAAAGCTGAGAACGGAGACCCTGATCTTTGTGATTCGCTGGTTTGGTGCGACTTCTTCGCAGAGCCCTGACCATTTGCTGAGCGACCACTCTTGTCTCGAGGTGTCTTGCACCTGTCAAGGGACCTCAGTACGTACTCGTGGAAATATGGGTTTTGGAAGAGGTTGAGCAAGGAGATCAGCATTGGTACCGTAAGCAAAATTATAGTGTCGTCAACAACTGAATTAAAGTCTTTGCCTCTATAAAGGAGGTCTGCAACTACGGTCGCAACAGTGTCCATGTGCACCTGAAGAGATTTCAGAGTAAAAGGTTCCATATAAGCTTCTCGTGCACGTTGTATATTCTCAGCATTTCCCAGGGGATCGCGTCTGACTGTCTCAAGCTCCTTATTTTGGCTGGAAATGTCTCTCATTTGAATCTTGCCTTCGCTTGGCAGAACAAGACTTCCATTTCGACGGCTATACCACTTGAACTGCGTGTACTTACAGACAATATCCACATACATCACGCACACAGTTAGAGCATGGTTCTCCTTGTACTGGGCCTCTTTATCCCAAACATACTTGATAATCTCAACCAAGTTTCTCAGCTCAAACCCATATGCCGTCTGGCGGAGGTCCTGAACAATCTTAGCTACCTCCATCAGCACAGACAGAGGTTGCTTTCCACTCAGTACCGCATCAAATATGGTTCGAATAATATGTTTTATTGCTGCGTTCACATCCCTCTGGAGAAACAGCAGGGATCCTTCCTCAGCTGATTCTGCAACCCCAAACGGAAGAATATCAAAGCTATTATAAGTTGTGCGACTTAGAATAAATAATATCTTGAGGAGGACCTCCATGGGAATACCCCTGACGGAAATGTAAGCATCCTTGCCGGTGAAAACAGACTGATATGAGTTAAACTCCGCTGATATAGACGCAGAAGGGTTCGCTCGGGCTCTGGCAGCGTTCTTTCCATCCCTCAGAAGAAAGATAATATCCATTTGAAGCCGGTAGTGGAGGCTCATAACACTGCACACATCCAGTGCATCAGCCACATCATGCGAGAGAAAGACATCCCAGAATTCGGCATAAGCGAGATTCCAGAGAGGCTCTGGTGGCGCATCATTAGCCATATCTCGGAGTTTGGCGAGCAAAGAACGAACGACCATTATCCGTGGATGTATGGCATGGAGCTTGAGCAATAGAGAGCTCGGGTTGGAGGCATTGACAATTACTGCCTCTTCTGTTGCTGGATCGGTATCCTCAAGTTTCTGAAGAGGAGTCTCGGACACCAAGCTGTGCTGTGTTGGGTCCATCTGTGCCTCGTAGGAAATGCCTTCCAACTTACTCAGATCAAACAGGTAGTTCTGTAACATGCCCTGTTCATTAATACCGGATGCTATGACAAGAAAGACGTCGTACTCTACCAAGTTGGCCAAAATAGACAAAGGACTCTGACGATGGAGGCTTTGGAGAAAGAGCGTGTTGCCCTGAGGAACAGTCTTACCAAAAAGTGAGAAATCAGAAAGGAAGTTCCGCGTGAAGCCAGACAAAGCTAACTTGAAAAGTGTCCGCGCATTCTTAGTGAGAATGGTCTGAGCTGGGGAGCTCTCTGTCAGAAGGCTGACTTGGCTCCTGGCAACCATAAGCGCAAAGGCTTCCTTCCATCGCAGGTGGCGTAGAGCCTGGTCCTTCGAAAAGTGCCTGTCACTTTGCTTGTCGATTCCGACAAGGAGCTTATCAATGGCTTCATAATCGTTGCATGCTAATTTATATCTACACAGATGTGGAAATGATTCTACTGTCACGACGGGGTCTTTCGGAAGACGGTCTGCTATATACTCATTCAGGCCCGCGCCGGCGCATAGGTGCAGTAAGTTCCCCATGTTCTGTTGCAGTATTTCCGGTGTAATGCCTACAATAACATTAGCGAGCGTAGAAAAGGCCGTGGGCAGAGATGCACAATAGTGAATGAACGGCTCCATAAAGCTGATGTACACGACAAAGAGGGGCTCGTTGGACGATCTCTTAAGGCGGTCGATCTTCAGGAGCGCGTGTGCATAATCGTGCCGGTCTATGGCGACCAAGAGGGTATCCATGGTTTTTAATTGACTAGCCCCATTTACTTCACCGATCTGGCCTAAACCTTTTAGTCACTTGCACAGAGGGGGAACACGTAGCGGATCACAATAGATTCTTCCAGGATTCTTTATGCTGCCTGTATTTGCGTACTAGATTATCTCTATTTGTAGTCATCTAAGAAATCGAGTATGTTGTAGTACCTCCACGGCTTGGCAACTAGTTTGGCTGTATCTCCACGTTCAGATGGCCGTGAACTGCGCCTATCATCATCGTCGTCCATCCGCTTGTGTTCTTCTGTTCGCTTTTGTACGGGGCCAGGACTCCACTAGTTCTGAGTTGCTGTTGTTGTTGTTGTTGTTGTTATGGGCCGCCTCCATAAGCGCGGTCCAGTTCCTGCTCTTCCTCATCCTCTTTCTCTATTCAAGAGAACGCGAGCAGTTTTGAGACTGCCACACCAGGAAGTAATCATTAGTGTGGTAGTTTTCCCGGTGAAACCATGCATGCTCCCTGGCCCAGCAGCACCTGACAAATGCCTGGATAGTCGAGCATGGCAGCGATCATTAAGGCTGTAACGTTAGCAAAAGAATAGCCAGAGCTATCGTCTTCCGGCCTCACAGTAAAGGTGACTCAGGACTGTGTGCAGGTATCTCTAAGGTCCGGAGACACTCCACATTGCCTTACTCGGCATATCTGAACCAACTACTCCATCCATCCGGCTGAATCGTTACGTTGTTTGTAAGAAGCTCTTGCAAGGCACCAATATATCCATCCGTATAATCTCGATACAAAAGAGCAGGCCTCCCCGTTCTGGCGAATATCTGAATTAACATGGTTCCCTCACGAGATAAAAGGTGTCCCGCCTCTACTCTGCAGCATATCTTCAAGTAGAAGCGAACCTTTTCCTCCAGTAGCAAGTAAAGGATACCGTCTCCACCGAGCATTGTAATTTGATCAAGGGCCTTCTCGGGCAGTTCATCCGGGCTTATGACATTAGATAAAAACGGAGAGATGGCTTGAAGTAGATTTGTGGTGTTTGTGAGGCCATCGTCGGGCGTATTTTTAGAAGTAAAATCATCGGTGGCATTAGGTTCAAAACTAAACATACTACCTGAGGGATTACTTACTTTCTAACCTTTTTCTGCTAACACACTATGTTTACTCTGATGTATCCACTTGACAAGCAGTGACATCTTTGCGATCTGTAGTAAGTATTACAGTAATTAGAGTTTGTGCAGGTTAAAATTTAAACCCTTTTGTTGAGAACTTTACAGTTTAAAATCCTATCTTTATTTACGACGGTCCCTAGTACAGCTAATTGAAAAGATAATTTACGTCTGGCCGAAAGTCTCAGTCTAAGATTGCCATAACATACGTACAGAATATTCTATCATGGAAGCACTCCTAAGGTCCGAGTGTGACCCTAGCTTCTTCAACTACCTCCTAGCACAGAATCATCGGTTAACCAGTCAAGCTGTAGGACAAAGTAAAGATTACAAAGCCATCGCTAGAAACCCGTACACTTTTGCTCAGAGGCACATTACACCCAGACTGTATCGTTTCGTATCCCAGGAGGAGCCCATTCATATCCCACTTCAAGCCTTCGGACCACACACGGCATGGCCCATTGTGGGCAATAACCCCAACGGCATCGATCTTCAGTGACCTCGGCAGAGACAGAGTCACAGGGGACGGTTCTCTCTGAGAACTCGCCTGTGTAGGAGGAATGAGGAGCGCAACATTATTATCGCCGTGCAGATGGATGGTGCACTGACTACCGTACTTGTGGAGTAGACAAAAGTGACATAAGCAGTGGTCTAAACGTCCACCAAATGCACCCAGCATTAAGACACGTGGGATGACTGGAGTAACTGGCGCAGCTGGCGCAGATGAGGGCCCGCTTGAATTGTTCACACTCAGTAAGTTTAACAATAGAGTTAGCGCCTTCGACCCGTCGGTCGAGTCTTGCTCAGGAACATGGTTTCTTGCTATCCCGTAGGTCTCCAAAAACTCGACCGTTCTGGGCGTCATGGAGTCATAGTCACCCACGCTGATAAACTTGACAGCCCCAAGCGCAGAGGATAGCAACCTACATACGGTATCTGCGGCAACGCGCAGCTCGGCGGAGGAGCCCTCATGGCGCCCACATTCGTTAAGAGTTTCGCCTGCAGCAACTGCGGCCAACCGCGACGCAGCACCATCAGCCAGGATGACAGTCTTGGCGTCTGCTATCGCATTTCGCCACCACGAAGGCCACAGATAGTTCAGCAATATAACGTGATACTCTCCCGAGCCAGTAGAGTCAGGGCATAGATCCGGTTGGCTTGCCTGTAGAGTATCCACGTAGCGCAGATCATAGTGAGCGTCCACATTGACCATCTTGTCCGAAGTGTTCAGCTTTAGTTCAGCTCTGGTTCAGCCTTGATTCAGCCCTGATAGGCACGAATTATTTTGCATTAAAAAATCTAACTGATTTTCGTTTGCGACGCATAGTTTGGATGTGGTTCGGCCACGATGTCGGCTGGGTAGAGCGGGGGAAGACAGACGATGCAGGAAAAAACGTTTCCTTGCGCATCTATCGTTATAGAGTGCGGGGGTGTCTGAAGAAGGCATACTTTTTCACACTGGCCGTGTGGGATTTAGAGTTCACGTATCTTGACAACGGGCTGAGCACAAGGAATATTATGGTATTGGATCCAGGGGAACTGGAAAACTTCCCCAACTTTCGCCTCTTTCAGACCATCTTTTTAGGACACACAAATCTTGCATACTCTAGTTTTCCCTTTACAATCGAAAACATGCCTTTCAATAGCGCTAGCCACATGATGACGTCCATTGGAAAGCAACGGGGCACTCAACCTGGATCCTCATCGGCTTCGAGGTACATCAGCCGCTCCTCCAGCATAGGCCACGAGCTCAACATTACTCTCTCTCAGTCCTACTCACCAACAAACCCCAGCAGGGCTGACTGTTCTGTGTCCTTCACCCCTAATCAGCGAATATTTATCGACGACCTTTCCTATCATCTTCTCAATCAAACCAACGCGCATTCTGTTTTAGCAAAATTTGTCACAAATGCCTCATTATCTAACCTTTATTTTAGTATGAAGCCTTCTGCAAATGCACATGCTAACAAAGATTTCATCATATATATGGGGAACGATAACTATAGGCTAGTAGAAGCATCCTATGTAAAGCTACTCCTTGCTCTCAACACCAATCCTGCAAAATACTTTCGTCGTCTCATCAGTACTAGCTTTGATCAGTTGCTGCTTGGCATAGAGCAGATGTCACGGGACTCGAACCCACAACCAGCGCAATCAACTCAACCAGCTCAAGCACTATGTAAGAAAGACAAGAGAGAGGACGACAGGAGAGAGAGCGTTATCGGTAGTATCCAGAATGCAAGTGAGGACCAGGCGAATGCACACTTGAGCCCGGAAAGTAAGCGCGGAAGCTCAGGACAAGCCATAGAAACCAATCCACTAGTTGTACCTTCGCTAGCTATACCATCTTCACGTTTCCACAAGAAGCAGCGGCATCAGCGGCAGAGTTCCCACAAGGTCGCTCAGCAGGGAATAGTATCTCTAAAACATAAGGGGTTAAAGCGGGGACAAGGACACCTTACTCCGGAGCTGGGAGGAGATGCCAACGAGCCACTATATTCAGCGGGGGATGTGGCCTCTCCTCAGCTAAGGGATCATCTTCTCGTTCAGAATTTCGATATGTATCCTGTTAGACGACTTTCTAGACACAAGCACTTGCGGATGAGGAGCGCAGGCGCAGTAGATGACGTCTTCAAAGAGCTCAGCGACGATAGCTGCCTTGACGAGCTCGTCAACGTCCAACCATATATGAAGAACGAAGAGGTTATCTCTAACCAAGACGCGTTGATTAGCCAAAACAACGAGGAATCGGTTGATGTCATCGTCGACAACGTCGTTATGTCCTCGAAGAACTACCTACCGGTGCACAAAGCGCAAGCCGAGAACGTTGTTTCCCTCTGGGGTCAAATGACCGCCCGAGAGCTAGTCCATGGAGGTAGTGTGTAATCTGTAATCAACGTGGATCATAGCAATGTAGAATAAGGCAAGGCAGAGCAGAGCAGAGCCAGGCCAGACTCAACGTTCCTAAGTAAATCCTGCAAACTATAAAATCACCTCACTAACTGTTGGTTTTGGATGAGAGCACTCGTCAACCAGTGGCGGAGCGTTGTCTATGAGCAGCTCTACGAGCTTACAGAGCAGACCGTGCACGACACCTTGCTGTTCTTTGACACACTAGCCTCTCAAGCTGGAATAGGCAATTTAGTGGATAATGTCCAGGTAGTGGTCGTTTGCAGCTCTACTCTCAGTTTTCCCAAGTACACAACCAAAATAGACAGACAAATTTTACACAACACCGTTCCATATCCTCGGAACACAGCACAAGCCGATCAGCCTATTAAGCCTGGCATGTCTGATAGTTCCATTCTTCTCACGGCTTCGTCGGGAAACACACACCAGCTGACCAGTAGAAGCTCACTGGGGAGCTCGCTTGGAAGTATCACTCTTCTACAGTCGGATACGTCTTACCAGGAACAATACGTTTCGCTGCTGAACTGCGTCCTTCCATATATTGCGTCTAATTCAGCATACATCATCAGCATGGCCATTGCCATTGTTGCCCGGCTGGCCATGCATGTGACACAAGAGCAGGTGTTGGACGTGCTGACTAATTTGGCTAACGCATTAGAAATATTCATTAGCATTGGTGATAACTGTCTCCTGCCTGCGTGCATAGCCGTACTTGCAATCGAAAACTTATGCTGTGGAGCTATTGAACCAGGGGACGGTCTTCATGCGGGAAGTGTTCTCTCCTTGCGCGCTCTCTTGCAAGGTTTGCGGGCATCGGTAAAACTGTCAGTGCTACTGGACGCAGATAATAATGGCCATCAATTTTTTTCTGAAAATCCAATTGTAGATGACAGATTGACAGGGCTTATTTTTTGTCAGCGGCTGTTGAGTAGTGCCATCTCTCGTTTAATAAGATCACCACAGATAGGGCCTCTTCCAAGGATAAGCGACGTCAATCTTCTATCTGCTATTGCGAGCGAGATCTATTCCGTATTCTCCCTCGTACAGCCCTTGGCATGTGGGACAGACAAGAAGCGGCAAAAGTTTTGCGACGAGCTGGCTGTCACAAACATTATTCAGGCATGCAGGTGCAACACCATTGTGCAACTCTTTTTGCGGGTGCCCAGCTACTTATCTGCAACCCTTGGGTTGATGACGTCTCTATTGCTGTCATCTTCTTCGGTGCGTTCTGCTCGTGTTGCTAACTCGTGTAGGGGGTTTCTCACACTAGTTCTTCTTAGTGATATCTTTCTCTCTCTAGGACAAATCACAGATCAAGATGTTCAGTTAGTAATCGCATCTCTCAGAGCAGAGCTTACTGACGAAGCAAAAGCAACACTCAAGAGCGTCGTGGAAAGCGGGTATCAGACGTATCTTGGCAATTGCGGGATTCCTCTGCGCTCAGCTCGGCCGCTCAATATAAAAGCTTTTGGATGAACCTGCTTCCCGCGCCTTAACCGGTCTAGATGGCGAGGCACAGCTAGAAAGAACCATAGAAATACGGTTTTGTAACACACTTAGCATCAGCATCCTATCCTCATCTAGCGCATTAACGGCCTGATGACAGGCCTTAAACCGCATAATTTGAAGTATCAGAAACTCTTCTAACTCTTGCACACTGCTGCCTGTTACCTTCATTAGTTCGAGGAGTATCGTCAGGCCATGATCTCTTCTCTCGCTATCCACCAAGCAGATGAGCATCATGGACAATAATACGCTTGCATTTGTGATGGCAAGCAGATCCATCCAAGAGCCACGTTGAAACTGGGACTCAGTGCGCTGAGCCACCACACCAACCCGTACTACTTCACACAATAAGGAAATGGCATTTGAAATTGTTTCTAGGGATACCCTGTTAACGATTTGCACCACATCAATAGTGATGAGCATCTCCAGTAATCCATTGATGTGTGCGCATGCTTGGCAACCGTCTAATTTTATTGCTACCCTTATTATTTGAAGAACGTCATCATCCAGATACTCCAGCACATCGTTTAATAAGCCATTTCGGTACCTCTCTATCGTGTTGCAGCCGGCAATCTGTATCGGGGTGCTAAAAATCAAGGAAATAAGGATACAGATGTTGTTTGTATTGTGCCCCGACAATAAGATCTGCCTTAACCATTTAGATATCATGTCCAGCAAACACTGAGACGAAGTTACTAGTGCAGTGATGGCATTAGAGTTCTGCATGTGCAGAAAAATCAGCTTAGATAACTCTGACAAGTATCTTGCTGATAATGCACCGGAAGCGAAGTGTCGAGTGCATCGCAGTAAGACTGTTCCAAACTCCTTTGAATATGTAGCAGAGAACTGAAATTTGTTATCGAACATAACTGACATATAGGCGCACATTATATGGATTGTCCGTATGGGATCTAATCCCAGTAACGGTTGATTGGAGGTGATAAGCTCCATCACAGGGTGTAGAATATTAATTGAATGATCACGAATGTGCACATCTGTATTTGTACCTGCATCTGCATCTATGTCAGTGCCTAGACTTGCCCCTGCATTAGGACTGGTCAATGCATAGTGTATTACTCTTGAAAGTATCCATTCCTGAGCTGTCAGTAGCGTGCCAGAGAACATGGTCGATGCTGTCACTGAAATTGCTTGATCCAGTGTCCAGCCAACTAAGGTATTACTGGCCAGGATAAGCTCCAAAGCACAGAGTTTCCATTTCCATGCGCTGCTTTGAATGAGATGCGGGTGCTGCTCTTGTTCCAACTTTGATATGCTACAAAATATACCACAGAAAAAAGTAAAAGGTGCTCTGCGCAATCTCCTTTAGTGTGTATAGAAATACTCTATTCCCTTGCGTGGATGCAGATGCAATTTCGGCTATAAGACTACCATCTTGTACTATTGCTGCTACCTGTCGCAGTTCTTTCCGTGCACGTTGCAATAGGTCATGGGGATCAGGTATTGTCCCGCTATGTCGTTCTGAATCTTCTGAATTAGCAGCAGCGGTAACTGCAGGCGAATCTGGTAGCGAAATAACCTTGCCGATATATTTCTTAAAGGTCGCTAGTCTTATGCAAAGCTGTCGCAAGTGATTGTACGCTGGGTCGGAGGTAATAAGGAGAAAGCAAAGTGGTCTAGCATGCTTCAAGACCCCTTTCTTCAAGGTCCTTTTCTTCAAGACTCTTTTACCCCCTTGGTCATTTGTCGCCAGACGTTCTGTGTGATTTATACACATTGGAATTTTTCTTACACTTTAATGCAATTTATTTTAATTCTTCCCGAATTTTATTGAAAACGGTGCATGCTAACGAGCAACAAGGAGGTCTTGGAGGCATTTAATGCCACGTTTAAGACCCCGGAACCAAAGATGGTTAGTGACCTTAGCTGCATAGTTATCATAAGTGGACTGCCGACTCCAGAGGCTAGCAAAAGGAAGCGGCTCCTCAAATATGTTTACGAGCACATTGTCAAGAAGTCTGGCGACGTGGCAGAAACTGAGCATATTCAGATTCCACTGGACGCAAACGACGCCTGTAGCGGTTTCTGTCTTATCCGGTTTGTTAATCCCAGCGGCGCCGAGAAGTGTGTCAGAGAGTTTAATGGCAACACCAGTATCTTTGGAGATGATTATCCGCTCACTGTGCGCCAGTATAGCTACGTGGAAGAGCTACGCAAGTTACCCAAGAGCTACACTCCGCAACCGTACACGCCCATCGATTGTAGTGAGCGCCACAGACGCCTCTACTTCCCTCTCTCTGGCCGCATAGACCATGAATTTCTTCTGTTGACAAAGACCAATGTGAGCCGGTGTGCTTTCAACGGGGAGAATATTTCCATTATAAACGTACAACCTTGCGCTGACAAGCTTCTCGACGTCAGTTACTCACCAATGGGCACCTACTTCATATACCATTATGAGGAAAGCATTGTCTTGGTTCATGACAACGGAACGACCATCACCATTTCTCACGAGTCGGACAGCCAGGACACTCACACCTTCATCAGGTCCTTCAAGGTCTCTCCGTGTGAGCGTTTTCTGCTGACGTTTTCTTACACAGCTAACGTTGATGAGCTGGACGAATACGATCTAGACAAGTTCCTCAAGGATGTAGACGAGGCTGAGGATGAATTTGGGCTCTACCAGAAGTTTGAGGAGTCAAAGCACATCACCGTATCTGTCTGGTCCATTATTGAGCGCCGTATTCTCTCTACACTGAACAATGTGAAGTTGTATTCGTACAAGAACAACGACGATAGTTTAGTAAGACCCGAGGATCGTGTCTTGTTCAGCTCGACTGGGAACTTGATTTTGCTAATGAGCAATGAGCAGATATCTGTCTATAAGGTTCAGCTAACCGAGTCTGCAATCTATGTAATAAGCCTCCAAGAAGTCCTGTCATACCCGAACACCACGTCACTCCTATTCAGCCCAAACGGCCACGGTCAGGATATTGTGGCTATCTATCAGAAGTCTTCAGACAAGCAAAAGCCTTCAGTCTGCAACGTGCTCAACTTGAACGTCCCCAGCCACGGCCGTTCTGGTGTGCGAGTCCTTGCACAGAGGTCTTTCTTTATCACCAATGGCCGGCTATTCTGGAGCGCAAATGGTGGTTGTCTTGCAATTATCACTGAGTCCCAAAGCGACCAAAACTTAGTCTCTACTATCTTTGTTATCATTCTCCAGGGAAACAGTGAGAGTGTCTCCTATGATAGACTGCAAGAGCTTGCGGGCGCAAAGGGGCTGGAAAGGAAGCCTCTTCGCCGGGACCTTGTGGTAAAAATGGAGCAGCTCGAGCTCCCCCAAAACCTTTACATTCAAAGTGCGTGCTGGGCTGCCACCGGATCCATGCTTGCTTTCATTACGATTCCTGTTGGATCATCTAAAGAGGCCCAGGAAGAAAGCCGAAAGTATATCAAGATGCAGAAGCAGAGCAACGCTAATTCCTTGCAGTTTTCTCTCAAGGCCCTGGACTCCTTCATGAAGCACGCCGTTGATGAGCGCGAAATGCTCCTCAATGACGGACAGGCTGCCATCTACATCTTCACGCTCCAGGAAAAGTACGGACTTTACCCCTGCAAGCTTGGCAAGCCAGTTTATCCAGAGATTGTTTCTGGAGAAGTTGTCGATCATGCCAACAGAAAGGCAGCGGTCGTAAAGATCAAGAAGATACCGGGCATCACGGCCTCAGAGGTAATGTTCTCTCCTTATAACGACTACCTCGTCGCGCTGAATCGCAATGACAGAAAGGAGCAGGCTCTGATCGTGATCAATACTAGTACTTTAGAGAAGACCTCTGCAGAGATAGAGGTGGTAGACGGGTGCTCCTGGGACTCGTCTGGAAGGTACTTGATAGCCCACAAGTACGGTGGCAAGTCTTCATCATTCGGATTGTACATTATTAACGTCACGGGGATGGTTGTCTATCAATCAACCCACGCGTCTCTGGTTGATAATCTCCTCAACACTATATGGCGACCTTACGACCAAGAACTTATCAACTCCTGCGTCGAGAGGTCTCTGGAGAGCATCTATAAGTACTGTGATGAAAACTACGACAAGCTGCTGTTTGACAAGACCAACGATAGCTCCATGAAGGAGCGAGTTGAGAAGAACAAGGCAGAGTGGCTTGCTCTTTACGAGGCAGAGACCTTAACAGCCGACGAACAGCGCACACTCAACAAGAACGTCCGTGGCTGCTTTGTGCTGCACGGCCTTGATGGAAACCTTAGCGGATTCGATGAACAGGGCAACATTCTCGACAAGAGCTTGTGGCTGGAGAATGTACAAGAGACGGTTTATATCCTCGAGGAGGTGTTAGCAGGAAGCACAATTCCACTGGAACATTACAAGACGATGTATGGTGACGCAGACCCAAAAAGCGCAACCGCTGACCAGAAACCTGAGCAGGTGGAGTAAACCTAGCTAGTGTCTTTAGTTAGCACCGCAAAATTATATCGTGATAGCGTCCTTAAAAATCAGATGGCGACAGAGGTACAGGCTTTGCAGAAGGAGGCTCTTAGCACTCAGCAGACTCTCCTATCGTTCATGCGTCAAGGAGATCAATTAAAGGCACAGATTCAAGGGTTGAACACCCTCATCCAGATGAAGCGAATAACCTTGAATGCCCTGGACGAGGTTCCGAGCGCGCCACTTTACAGGGCCGTTGGACGATGCTATGTTGCACGAAGTCGTGAGGCCATTGCTTCAGGGATCCAAGAGGAGATTGCTAAGGGAGAAAAGGATGTAGGGGTATTGAAGTCTACGGCTGCGTACGCTGAGAAAAAGCAGAAGGAAACGGAGGACAAGCTCGCTGAGGTGCTGAAGAACCTCCAGAGTGCTGCCAAGTAAACAGGCGACCCAGGAAAAGGCCACAGGTATTCAAGTTCACAGTGATTCACGTGATGGTTCCGTTTGTTAGCAGCTCAAACGAGGAGGACGGCGTTCACGCAACCATCACGCTCCGGGTGGTTTGTTATCTGCGCATACTTTCCCCAAACGACCTTGCCGCCCTGCGTCACAAGCCCGAGATCTGCTACATTGACCTCTATCACAGTTCCCTTCGTCATCACGCCAAGATCCGTGTAGAGATGCGAACTGGGGTTCTTCTTAACCCCAATGATCTCGAGCATGTGCGTAGACTTCAACTCTGGATGCACCACGTGTGCGTGTCGGTAGCGCAGCGCAGAAGGTCGGATGAAGCGCTCGTACTTGGGTGCTTTCCGCGTGAACCCAAGCCCCACGAACGTAGCCTTCGTGATGACGCGTTTCCACTGCTTTCTGCGCCGCTTTCCAGACCGTAACACCTTGAAAACTTCCTCTTCTGTAACAGGCTGCACCTTCGGAATAGGGACGTCCCACTTGCCAGCGCGTGCCTTCTTTTTCTGCTTGACCAAGTTAGAGAGAACCTTAGCCCGGTTTTCCTGGGTTCGGTCAAGCAGATACGCCGGGACGGCCCCCTCCCGCACGGGCTCTTCTGATTTCCGCTTGGCGTTGCGCTCTGCATGCTGATTGATAAGTTTCTTCATCTGGATCTTCTCCTTTCGACGATTCTCTGCAAAGAGCTTTGCCTTAATTCCTATGAGATTTTGCGCTTTCTTGGCAAGCACCTTTGGCTCACGGGCTTCGCGCTTGCGCTTGCGCTCTTCGTAATCCAACCGTCGGCCGAAGCGCTTCTGCCAAAGACGGATGTAATCGCCCTGAGGCATTAATTGTTTTGAAATAATTAATTAGGCCATAAAGCCCAATGCCATTAAATCGCATTGGTGATGTTGCGCCGGGATGTACGCTCGCAACAACGCCACCCGTGAGCCGCGCAGCCAGACTTGAGCAATACTTTCTGGTCTTGGGCAATGGCGTCTGTAAGAACTACGCACAGTTTGAGGTCTACACAAAGGAAAATCAGCAGGACTATGAGCAAATTCATTTAGATTGCCTACGATCTCTTTGGACCTTCTTTCAGAAAGGAACCGTGGACGTCTATAACGATCTGACGTCCAGTAAGCACAAGCAGGAGTACAAGACAAAAATAGGCAGAGAGTTCCCTCACTCGTTTGTGCGCCTTCACCAGAGCATATTGGAACGGATAATAGTGGACACACTTTTCCAAAACTTGACCTTCAAATGCTATTTTCAAGGGTACACGTATGTTCTAGAAGCACTCTACTATGCTGCGCTCAAGGATGAATATCTTTACCCAGACTCTGCTGAAATGGTAGACCTTCTTACTGCTTTTGTTGCAGATGAAACGGGGTTATATGTAGAATCCTCCGATAACTATCAGCCGTATGGCAGTGCCTTTGCTGAGCGCTTCAACTTCCAGACTATGTTCACAATTCCCTATCCCGAATTGCTTCACCTGGCTTTGGAGATAAGTCGCTCCACGCTATTTCCGTTCTTGCACCCAGACAATAGAGTCATGGTTGCTACTGTTGGTCTTGCCTTCGAGCCGGTCATGCGCATGGTTGATGCAGAGCTGTATGCCATCATTGGCAATCATCCGTCCATCGGGATTACATGCCAAGCAATCCAGACCGCGGCTGTAATGACTGGGTGCATCTCCCTTTCAGGTACGCCCTACGGGCGCTCGCGCTTCCTAGACGCGCTTGTGGCAGGAGGGATTCAGTTTGCTCTCTTCCTTTCTGCCACAAGCTTCAGTTTGGGTGCACGGCTCTATCTTCCCCACATCTTTAGCAACTACGTACCTGCTATGCCTAACACTGAACAAGTAGTTGAAGATGCCACTGGAGGTGAGTGTGGAAAGCAGGCCAGGCCATCCCTAGCGACTTATACGGGCTATCACATGTTACTCCTAAGCAAGGGCTCAGTATGCGAATCGCCATATCACCCCTCAATTGACGAGAACGCAATATTGAATATTGCCACGTTCCGCCCCATCACAGATGCGCCCATGACACAGGATGATGATTACATAACTACGACTATCAAGAACGCATTCACAAAGGTCGAGCAGTTCATCCCGCGTCTCGTCGATTATTCCATTAATTTTGCGTGTGTGACGAGCCTATTAGCGGTGATATCTAACAGCTTTCTGAAGCAAACTAAAGGGATATTCAAGTGGTCTCGCCAAGCACAACAGCAGCAACAGCAACAAGGATCGTCATCTCCATCTATGTCACTATCGGCACGAGCATCTAGTGACACAGATGGTTGCGGTTCGCCATCTGGGCCCACACTCTCCCCGGCTCCCAACACCATAACCGCTTCCACTTCCCTCGACATTAATGATGCAGATATACTGAGTCTCTTCAGACACTTCTCGGCTGGGATCTCCTTTGTGCGCACACACGATGGGCTCTACAATATCATCATGAAGGACACGTCATTTCCAACGAAGTCTACCGAGCCTAAAAGTTACTATGAAAAGATCGCCTCGGGACGCTTCATAGACTTTAGTAAAGCAATAACATTCGTAGATCCTAAAGACTCGCTCACAAAGTACTTTAGCTTCTATGACATATGTGAGAGCTTTGACTTTCGCCTGGAGCTCTATATCTCCTTGCTCCAGGAGAGCAGGAAGTATGACGAGAAGGCACACACAAGGGACTCCCTGGTCAAAAGGGGGGTTCTTGTAGATTATGCAACTCTGGAAACTGCCCTTAGCCAGCGTGAAGACTATAAAACATTTATGAAGCGCAACGCACCAATCATCGCAGGGGCTACCGTGGCTGCTGTGGCGGTGGTGGCAGGGATCATAGGGGGTATTGTTGGAGGTCTCTCTCTGAGCAACAAGCGCCGAGCCAACAAGTGAGTGCATCTCCGCGTCGGAGCTCACTATGTGCATTAAAAGTAAATGTGCTGGGTTCCATAAAGCAGCGTGCACTGACCGGCAACCAACAACCATCTTAAAAACCTCATGCCTGACTTGCAAGACAACAGGATAAATGTCGAGGATCTGACAGCCCGGGAAAAAGACTTCAGAAAGGTGCAACTCATCTGCTTCTTTGGCCTTCTGCTACCTCTTTTCCTAGTCTGTACGATGGGGTGGCTCATTGCAGTAATGGTAACTTGCCGGAAGATCCCCGAGCAACTGTTAGCCTCTAGCTTCGCAGATGACGTAGCAGCCCCACCCACCACAGATACCGCATTCAGGAGTGGCGAGGTTACAGCTGATTTTGTCGTATCAGATTTGAGCCTTTTTATAGATAATCATGTCACTGCTTTGTTCACATTCTGTGGGTTCGCTTGCGAACCACCTTCTTCAAACGCATCTCGTAACTTTTTATATGCCGTGAACGATTCTCTTGTGGATGGTACGTCATACAAACGAAACGTGACGTTAGCAAGCGCCTCAATGGGCTTTAAGTGTGATTATATCGCCAGTAATATAAGTCTGGAGGGTCATTATTTTCACAGTCCAGCCACTCTTTTCTCAGTGGAGTCGGGTAAGGCGGCGGCTGTTAACATGACACTGGCTTCTGTTCCCATGGAGGTCTCCTTGTCTCTACAATCCAGTGTGTCGAGCCTGCAAGTCTGGAACCATTCCAGAAGCATCAACATGTCTTTGCTGGGACCTGTGTACATGGAGAGCGTCAGTGGAGACGTCATAATAACCAACTCTACTGAACTCCTAGCAATAAACCTCTCCTCGTCTAATGCAGTCGTGTATACTACTGGCAGAGCGTCTATTTACTGGAGCAATACCGCTCCCATCGTTAGCTTGCAGTCTCTGGTCCTTCTAGTTGCTTATAATGGCACGACAACTGCAGGCCCATATCTTATCTGTGTGCCTATTAAAGCGCTTATTCAAGGGGCTGCCACGCCTGTGACTCTATCTCTGACGAATCGGGGCCTGTCAGGAAGTGTTACGTTGACCTATCATGAGAATGGGCAACCGGTCAGTTTCTCTGAAGCGTCCCTCACATCTGTCAGGTGTAGTTCTTTCGACATTCCTTACCAAGATACTCTGTATACTGTTGCCCCGAGCTGTCAATTTGGCTCAATAAATGTTGTGATTGCACAGGATTCGCAGCCCAATGACCCCAGCAACACTACTAAGGTGATCACTGTTCATAACAACGGGCAGGTTGACCTCCATCTGTACCAGATTGGCGACGAACTCCCCGAGCCATGCTTTGTACAGTCAAAAATTCATTAGCGATTTGACAATTCTGGATCGCCGATCGGTAAAGACTTGTGTCCATCAAGATGAGATCGTTAAAGGGGAGCAAGCAAGGCATGTCTGCACTACTGGTCACAGAAGAAAGCAATGACGAGCTGGCGCAGTTTACTACGGGGGCCCAGGGCATGACATCGACAGACATCAGGAATGCCCTCAGTCTGACCGCGCGTTCTGACACTGACCAGTCTCCCAGTGTCTCGAACACTACAGATAGTACCAAAAACACTCTCTTATCAGAGGTTCGCAAGCACACACCCTTCACCAGGTCCGATAAGATCCCCAAGACATATGTGCAGAGACTTATTGACGTCCCAGTTTGCCCCACCTGTCAGCGACCCTACATGCTAGCTCAGCTTTACTTTAAGCTTCTGCAAACAGCGGTTGAAAGCTCACGCAGAAGCTACTATAAACATTTCTTTAGGCAGCTTGGGTGCATAGGCTCAGGAAGCTTTGGCACAGTTTACCGTGTGCGCCACCAACTCAATGCTGTAGAGCTGGGTGTGTACGCCATCAAGATCATATCTGTTGGAGCGTCGCGACCATGGCTGCTTAAGGCGCTCTCTGAGGTGACTGTCCTGGAGAAACTTCGGCATCAAAACATAGTCCAGTACCACCACTGTTGGGCCGAAAGATATCGGACTGCACTCAACGCAACGGAAGAGACGCTTCATCTCTTCATCTTACTCAATTACTGCAAGGGTGGTTCCCTTCTTAATTTGCGCAGATCGGTGTTCAACAGGCAAATGACTGAGGAAGAAGTGCTTTTTCTCCTCTTTCAGGCAGCGTCTGGGCTGGCGCATCTCCATGCCATAGGCTTTCTTAGCCGTGACGTGAAGCTTGGCAACATGCTTCTTGACGGCGATGTCCCAGATGATGACCCAAAGGGGTATATCTCGTGCATATACAACGATCCTGCCGACTTCCCAGATGCTCTCACCACGAAGCAGAGGCAGGAGCTTCGATACAAACAGCGCCAGTTCCACACTGACGAATCGCTTCGAGAACACTGTCGACAACTTCAGTACATACGGCGTGTAGGAGTAGAGGGCCTCCGTGTTCGAATAGCAGATTTCGGACAAGTTGGAGACGGCGCCAGTGCGGGAACAGAGCTGTACCTGGCGCCTGAGCTTTACTGTGCCATCTCCGGTACGCTACAAGCCACTGAACATGCAAGTAACGACGCGAGTGGCGGCGACAGCATGAACGGAGAGGACTCTCCAGACCTTGATCGAAACTTCATTATCAGAGACAAGTCCTTTCCAGAGTTTGTTCCCACAAAGCCAAAATCGACGCAAGCAACAGACATCTACTCACTGGGAATTTCATTCCTCGTTCTCCTTTTTAACTATGAAGAGTTTGCCGCAGCTACTACTGACTTCGGTACTGGTGTAGCTTACGATGATTACATCAACTCCTACAAGCATCAGCAGGACCTTTTGGAAAGCATCAGTAAGCTGCGGAGCATTTATAGTGCAGAGCTTTGCGACCTCTTTGCTATCATGTGTAGCCCCGATCCCAGCGTTCGACCGTCTGCCTCCGCGGTTGCTTCCTTCTGCTTCTCCCAGCGTCTCCGTGCCTATAACACTTCCGTGCCGGCATCCAGCAACACCCCTGTCTTCAACTCTTCTTGTGGTGGTACCCTGAAAAATGCTATTCAGCTCTACTCACACTGCAAGGGGATGCATGCCACGTCATCTGCACAGAAGCCTAGGAAGGAGAACGCTGGCTACCCTCTGGATCAGCACACAATAATCACAGAGCCTTCAGCCTGTTTACCAGTCATGACTAATTCTCCCTCGAGTAGCAGCTTGAGGGGAATTCAAGACAGCGAAGAGAACAGTAGCCGGCCGCTAAGAAAAAGATTCAGTCACAGGGCTTCTAAGGCTGATGACATCAATAAGGAGGCCACACCAGAGCTGGTTGAGGTCGATGTCCTCTATAGCACTCTGAGACCTTTGGTGCCAAGTACCTTCAACTTGGGTAAGCGCGAACGTCAGTTGCACATCGGTAAACGACACAAGCACTACGGACACTGCAGAGACCGGGCACCTGGACATCGAAGAACATCTAGATCCCGCTGCTCTGTGCAGTACTTCTTTCCTGTTCTGCTTGCAGTCAATAGCGTTGGAATTCTGACAGTAATTTACTTATTACGACTGCTTCTTCGCAAATGACGCCTACAACCTTAGTCCCCGTCCAATTGTTCAATCTACATCAGTATCAACACAGCTCTTGATCGGTGCATCCTGATCTCCTGGTTTTTTGGCAGTGCACGAACAGCAAAGTCTATAGATAGCAATGACAAATGCCACTAAATATAGCAAGTAAATGTGAACCATCACGGGAATGACTATTCCTCCTATCAAAATGTAAGAGATGTGGACGTAGAGAGGCATCTCCAAGGGGAGCGCACCCGGAAGTGTTATGGGGAGAAGTGCGTTTCTAAAGGGTACGAGGGGGAAGGCTCTCTGAATGGCTAGTCCATAGTCTGGCTTAAAAGGAATCGTCGGATTAAATAGAAGCAGAATGGTTAGTAAACCATTGATAGCAGCAGACTTAAGTAGTGCTCGCCTGCCGTGCATCCTGGAGATGCGCACAACTTGCATAATTGCCCAAATAAAGTGAGGAATTACGGCTGAATATATTGCGCTACTAAGGACAATCTGCGCCCATCGGGATGGATTCATAGCAGCCAGTGCCCACGGGAGCACATAAAGAAGAAACCAAATAATCGTTCCCACTTGAGAAGCACAGCCCCGTTTGATACAACAAAAAGTCGAAACCCAGAGATGGTAGCAGGAGGCATGGAACGATAGTAAGTGTACTGCACTGCTATGTTCCTGAATGTAGTGGCTCAGTAGTTGATACACTTGAAGTCTGCTGGACATCCTATCGTGGAGGCCAATATATGTTTTTTAGAGAGCGCTGCTCACTCACAGGAAGGATTTCAATAACGCGAGAGAGGCATTCTTTTTCGGGAATGTATGGGGCGCATATCCTCCATACCTCCTCTCGCAGATCCTTGCGATCCATCAAAATAAGGATTTCCCTGACATGCTCTGCACCACAGAAGAGCGATCGTTCGTTGGCTTGCTTGAAGACTTTACGAATATCTTCTCTAGATGTTGCTCTTTCCAACTGTGAAAGAAGGGCCTTGAAGCGGAAGATAGGCATTGGGTTGATGTCTGTCCCCGTAGGGAGTGCGAGCTCCCCCAGGCCGAATTGAGACTCCTGACTATGGTCATACTGCTGCTGCACTACACCAGACAGAAGCTTGTTGAAGCTCTCCCTTTGAGTTAACAGGCAGTAGAATTCATACAGAATGAACTCCCGCTGGCGGGCCGCACGCAGCTCCTCTTGTTTCTGAGCCAGATTGAATTTCTGCTCAACTCTCCGAGCAAAGGAAGCTGCCTCCAGCCGAAGGCGTGTCAACATTTTTTTGCCTAGACTATTTACTAACACCCTCATCGACACAGATGTCGTCAGCTTCGCTTTCTTGCTTAGCCTGCTCATCCTCGTTATCTGCATCCACTCCTTGCTTATGCTTTTCATGCTTTGAGCTCTCCTTTTGATCGATTATCTTCTTTATCTGCGCATTTTCTGCTTCTAAGTTTGCTGCCATAAATCCCTTGATGACTGGTAATATGGTAAATGTCATTTGCAATGGCACAGTCACCACAGAGGCATCGTGTTCAACACAGCTTTCCGTAAAGACACCCTTCTTGGTAAGAATTTCTCTTATGGGCGGCAGGCTATTAGCCAACCACGCATCGAAGAGGCTCAAACGTGCACTTGCCCCAGACGCTAGGGCATAGTCTGGCCCCTTGAAGACCAGGATTACGCTCTGCCGCTGTAATGTATCCTCAAAGCTTTGCTTCGGTGAAATATGGGTGTACCTTCTCCATCTACCAGCGTCTCGCGAGGATACAGACGGCAGAATCACTTGCAAATCTTTATGTCCATACCTAAATCTAAAGCTAATTGGAGAGCGCGAAAGGCTCTGAAGATGCCGGTGCACGCAGAGTAGCCGAAACTCTGCAACGACCTTACTAAAATACAGAAGCGAGTGGCTTAGGCTGGCCACTGGTAGCTCTGAAACGTGGACTCCTGGGATGGGGTCGATCTTTCTATAACGCTGCCGATAGAACAGATATGATTTCTGCGCATGTTGAAGGATTTCTGAGCGAGTATCAAGGATCCGCTGGAAAATGGTAGCAAATCTGCGGGTGGTAGACAACTCTAGAATCTCGTCAGGACCTGCAAAGGCGCATTTGTACATCATCGTTAATAATTGTGCGTGCGTTAGATCGTCGCACACAACCAGAGGCACCTGCGTGTTACCATTATTATCCTCAGGCTCCGCCCTGTCAGGTTTACGGGTATGGCTGGGAGGCAAAAGCATCATCAAGCCCTCAAGAAGATACGCCATATCAAAAGCACTGATCTCCACATTTGTTTCTGTGGTATAAACCATATTTGGCACGAAGGGAATAGATCTCCAAGGAGCACTTGTCTTTCTGATACTGGCTGTGTACTGGGAAAGAATAAAGAAACGAGCGTTGTTGTCCTGCTCAGACCAGCTCTTCTGATAGAGATCTGGACCAAACCCATTGATATTGCAGAAGAAGCTGACCATATTTGCAGTCGTCGCTGTCTGAAGAGACTTTCGATTGCTCACATAACTGTCGAAGACCGCGCGAAGGAGACTGCTGTTAGTGAAGCATAGTGCATTGTATAAAGATGTCATGCGCAGGCAGTACAAGAACGGATCATTAACAACTACGTAGGGGAGAGGATCATGGAGTGGTAGCGATGTTTGCATGGATTTTGTAAAAGCAGGTCCAGTGTCGTTAGTGTTAAGAAGACTGCTTAGTCTGCTGCTCTGGCTCAGTATTGAGTGCAGCGAATCTTCGTTGCCCACAGCAGAGCCTACTACAGAGCCTACACTCGGCTCTGGATCCGAATAGGTCGTAAATTTCGGAGCATTGGCATGCATATCCAGCGAGCCATTTCGCTGAGAATTGGCGATGACCTCCTCCAAGCTCAAGTTCTTCGCCCCCGCGGTATACTGAGACACACTGAGTGTACTGGTAAAATGCTTCTCTTTAAGCTGAAGCGTATTCATGCATGAGGTTAGCAAGTCCTTGACAGCGTTCAGAGAACAACGTTGCATGACAAACGCCCCAGCCGCCCCCGTCATCGCATGCCACTGAATAGAGACCATCAACGATCTGTTCATAAACAGGCCTGTCTTCGCCTCTTCAGAGAGAATATTATAAAGCAAAATTGCCGAAGGGGAAGCTATCGCCCGCAGCTTCATGTACTCAGCTGTCATAGCCACCTGTGCCGAGCTAGGATGAGAAATAGTACTGGAGAGAACCCTGTATATGTGGGTAAAATCTTCTGCAGACAGCTTGCAATAGAGGACTTGCAAAGTAGCCAGTTCTGTTATGGAGCTCGTAGATGCGGCTTTCTCTTGCAAAAGAGCGAAGGCCGCTGCGACAGCATCCTGCCTATCATCCTGCACACTATCTCCTTGTGATTCGCTTTGTCTCGTCATGTCTGAATACTTAAAGGGGTGTGCTTGTGCGTTGAAGGAGGTACTAAGGTGACGCCTGGATTCGTGACTATGGAGCTCAGCCTCCTTGAGCAGGACATCAACCTGTCGGTGTGTTGCTCCCATTGACACATCAGTGAGGTGAGTGTCATCTGAAACGAACGACAGCTGGACCCCATCTTGAAGAGAGGAATGGACACTTTCTTCGGTGGACTCCTTGTTTACGCTATCAGAATATTCTGGTTCACCATGGGGTGAGATGTCCTGATCGATTGGGTCATCCAGGAGCAAACCCAGTTTGCCAGATTGAGAAGGTGCCGCTGGAACGTTAATGAAATCAGTATCAGAGCCATCGAATGGATGATGCTGCGGAGCGTCTGTGCTCTCACTCGTCTCAGTGTCCTGATCGTCCGATAGGCTCTGATCCTGGGCAGGGTAAACATGATCAGGCTGTTCCCGCTCTTTATCCTCTCGTCTGACTCTCCGATATGATTTTGTGTCAATTGTGTTAGTTGAGTCCTCCTCATCCTTCTGTGAATGGGGCGCATTCTCACCTTCTCTGGCTTTATTTAGACGAATAGACAGCATTGCCTCGTGGAGTATCCGGGTTGCCTTTTGCGGAAAAAAAGATAAAAGTAAACTACCTAATATTAGCCCTTCGTCAAACAGGAAGACATGCTGAGACGCCACGTTGGCTAAAGATGCGGGCCGAAAATAATCAATTACATAGATACGTAGACTTTCGTACTGGGTCAAGTCTTGCGTTGCACCTGCATTGACTAACATTACCACTCGATCATTTGGCTCTGCTTTAAGGGACGTCATCTGGGATAACGTTTTCAGAAGGCTCAAGAGATGGAAATCTGTATAGGTTGGGTAGACTGAAAAGGGTATATGGTGCATACGAAAAAACAGCCGGAGCAGGGCAACGCTTGCTAATGCGTCAACATCTAACCTAAAGGCTACAGCAACATTAGGAAACCCTTTCATGTGAGCATGGAACTGGAAGCTATCTAGAAGCATAAGGTGCCGCTCCAGAAGGGATTCCAGCAAACAAAATCCTACAAGGGCCTGGCGCTGGCTTGGGGATTTCGGTGGCCAGCTCAATGGAAATTTAACTATAATTCAATATTAATTGCAAGTTTCAATAAAAATTGCGAAGCCAAGCTGAAGTCTCAAAACACAAAAGCTGAGGACGGAAAAAAACCAAAGCCCGCGAGATGTTTCGCAACACATACCAATCCGGGTTCCTCTCTATATTATATGCAGTTGGATCAAAGCCGCTGCAGATCTGGTCAAAGACAGTCAAGAATGGCCACATAAAGCGCATTACAGACCCAGACATACAGTCGTGCGTTCTGGAAATCATGGGGACCAATGTGGCAACAAACTACATAACGTGCCCTGCAGACCCCAATGATACACTCGCAATTAAGCTGCCCTACCTTGTTATGCTTATAAAGAACATGAGAAAGTATTTTAGCTTCGAGGTGCAGATCCTTGACGACAAGAACATCAAGCGACGCTTCCGAGCAAGTAACTACCAGAGAACTACGCGTGTCAAGCCGTTCATCTGCACTATGCCCTTGTGCCTTGGCCCGGGCTTTAACCAAATACAGTTCAACCTCACCGACTTCACAGCCAGAGCGTACCGTACAAATTACATCGAAACGACAAGAATGACTGTGCATGCAAACTGCCGTATCCGTCGCATCTACTTCGCAGATTCCTTGTACGAGGAAGACGAGATACCGCCTGACTTCAGAATGTATGTAGACCGCAAAGCAAAGACTCCCTCTGTGTAGCCTCCTCAACAGAGAGTCAGAGTAAACGAATTTCTGCCGGTCAGGTCGTCTTGGGGACGGGGGAGATGTTTGGAAGGGTCTGGATTAGCCCTTCTATCTCTGTTGTGAGCTCTCCGATTTGCTTGCGGATCATCATTATCGTCGACGCCTTGGTGTATGTTCCTCCCCGGATGTTTGTGATGTTGATGAGCTTGTCTTGAAGGGTCTTCCTTTGCTCCGTAAGGATATCTATCAGAGCCATCTGGTCTAGATATTGCTTGTTGTGCTTCTTGATCTGCTGGGCACGGCGTTTCAAGGAGGAGCTTCTCTTGGCCTTCTTGGACGACGAAGCAGCTCTGGGACCGGATGTCGTTGGCTTGTCTGCAGGATACGACTCTGTGCAGTCCTGCACTGAGGGACGAAGAAGCTTTTTCATGTATGATCCTGCACTAGTAGAAGATTGCTCCTCTTTACTGGTCAAACAAAATTCTCTAATCGCATCCTCGTTGAGAAGACGACGGTAGTAATCACTACTATCTTTCTCTAAAGCATTCCTAATTAGCAGTGTTGTGCTTAGCGGATCTGTATCTCCCGGTGTCTGGTCTTCTGCTTCTGCTCTAGCATTAGCCGGAGTGAGAGTGAGTGGCGCAGGTGGCACAGCCGGTTCACATGCCAGATCCTCTATCAATACCTTACTCCTTGGGCTTGTATTACTAACGGTAGTAAACGATACTGCCGATTTGGGCCGCGAGTCCTCCTTGGCTTTCTTGGATCTGTCTGTACTAGTAACTAAATCAGCAGGGCTTGTCTTTTGCTCGCTTCTGACAAGATCAGAAGTCCTGCACTTACCCGTAGCAGTTTGTCCAGGACGACTGGAAAGCACTGCGACTTCCTTCTCGTAGTGATCCTTCAGCTCAGCAAGCACGACATCGTCCTGGACAATGGTAGCCAACTTTCTAACAACAAAGGCGCGGGCAAGACTAAGTGCCTCGATAATGGAATGTTCAAGGTCCTTCTGGGCATCTAGCAGACCCTCGCACTCCTTTAAGTAATGCCTAAGTTTGTGCTTGGCGTCCCGAAGTACCGAGCGCATGTTGGCTTTCTCGGTAGCCATGCCCTTGAGATTGCTTTGCAGAAACGCCAGTTGTGCATCTAACGAGTCCTTGTTAGTTTTCCAGATGTCGTCAAGGTCATGGTACTCTTGTTCCATAATCTCTTTTGTCATAATGAGAGACTCCTTCTTGGCCTCCAGGACAGCAAGCTGGCCGTTCAGCTCAGCCTCTGCTGACCACCCTTTTTGCTTCATCTGCTCATAAGCCTCTTTTTGTTTTTTGTAGGCGGCCTTCAGATCCTTTTCCCGCTTGTCTTTGATGGACTTGGCCGATGTCAACTCGAGTCGCAAAGCGGCCAGTTTCTGCCGCAGGTGTTTATTCCTGTCTTCCAATGCGCGCATATGTTCGTCACCAGCGCTTAAAGCGAACTGTGTAGTCCACAGAGCCATCGTCTGTCTAAAAGAAATTTACTTTCTTAGAGTTCTACTTTCTACTGGGAATGAGCCCAATGCTTTGCCCTGTCGATGCACGCTGTTATTCCAGAGCTACAAGCCAATCACGCTACTGTATCGTCTGCCTCCTGTACCCAATAGTCTCGATAATATGGCGCAATAAGGTTGCTACTCCGCGGTAAGCACAATGGCTCAAAGGGATAAAAGCAAGATATGACATTGTATGGTAGATCTACATTCTGGGCATAATCCAGAATGGCGTGAAGCTTGTCTAGCTCGTTGGGCACTAAAAATGCCCACTTGTGGATCACGTGCAAGAGCTGCACACCTATGTCATAGAAGTAGACAATTGGGCATAGGTCTGAGAGTAGCAGTCTTGACAATGCCCCCATGTCAAGATCCTGAGGCGCTATGTCCTCGGCAACAAAGCAGAGGGCGTAGAGCAGTGTTCGGACTACGCTAAGGTAGCGTATGACACCACCTGGGACAAGATTGGTTGAAACCTGAGCTTTGCCCTTATATGCGAACCCTCTCTGGGCCATATCGAGGCACAGTTCCCCAGCAATTCTGTAGACACCTATGGCTCGATCCAGAGCGTGGATATTCTCAGGATCTAGTTCGGCCCCGAGGTGGGTCGCGTATTGGAGGAGAAGCTTGATGGATCCAATCATAAGAGGGAGCGTGAGTCCAGAGAAGCGAGCAATGAAGCTCCCCAAGTAATTCATCGAGTCTAAGTATGTAGAGATGGATGCACTTAAATCAAATAGGCTCCTCTTTATCAAGTATTCTATCAGCAGACCGGGGAGACTGGGGTCAAGTGACACGGCATAGAACACAACAAACTGCGTGTACCTGATGGTTCGGAGACACATCCCCAGACGTGCAAAACACGGGATAATAGCACTTTGACAACGCTTTACATAACCACCGGAATCACTACTCCATAGTGCCCGAAGGTGTTCAAAATAGCTAACCAATAGCTGGTCCACTATATCTGTACAAAAATCTATTGATTCAGCATCCTCAAGAAAGCAGCCTTCGACGGCGTCCTCCTCGGAGTGCTCTTGTGGCTCTTCATAAGCTACCTGCTTTCCTGGATTCGGCCCGGTGAACTTCTTGTGAGACCCAAAGGATGGACTTATGTAGCTTCCCACCGCACCGCCTTCGGATGGGGCAACCTCAGGAGGCGCTGTGGGTTGAACGTCGGCGCCTCCGCCAGGCACAGAGAACGCCTCGATGTGACTGTCTATAAGGAGAAGAAGCTTTATGGCCGCTTCAACTGTGCTATGCACTAGCCCACTAATACTCGTTTCTAATAACAGTATGAGGTCGAGCCACGGTATAGCTCTCTTTATACAATGGATGCTGGGAATAGTGGCCTGAATGGCTGCCGCCAAAGCATTAATTGCAGTTGGATTGGCACTGAGAATATGCTTAATAACATCAACCTTTGCATGCTTGCAAGAGAAAGGCGTACTGCCAGTCGCTCCCACGTCTTCAAAGGATAGTAGGGTAACAAAGACAAGCTCGGCGCGGCAAGCATCCTGTGCTACTAGTGCCGAGATGCATTCACAGAAAAGCATGTCAATATCTGTTAGAGGGTAAGACAAAGGGTATTTTAGGATAGTAGCAAGCATCGACGGGGTAATACTACTGCTAGCTGTGACTAGACCTTGAAACAAGGAATCGGCTATGCTTTTAGATTGAAGAACTGAGGCATACACTGTGGAAATCTTGTCAGAAGACTTTCTCAGTAGAGATAAAAACTCGTCCATTTATCTTCTAATTTTTAAGGCGACACTTACCCGCAAAGAACAAGGGAGAACATGTTGTACCCACTGTGCACAGGCATCTGCTATCAAATTATGCTGCAATCGACCCCGATGGATTGCGTAGTTTAAATCCGGGAGGAATCGTCTAGCAAAAAGAAGTTAAATGCAGATCCACCCAGGCCACCCCGTAACGCCTCTTATGCAGGCAGCCATAGATGGCGATCTTGAGATGCTGAGGCAACATCTTGATCACCTCAGAGCGGTTGATGCCAGCGGTAAGACGGCTCTTATGTATGCTGCGGAGCATGGGAACGATAACTGCATACCTTTGCTCATGAACGAGGCAGGAATGCAGGAGAAAGAAAAGGGACAGACTGCTTTGATCCTTTCTGTCCTCGCCTTGCGTGTTCCGCCTTTGCCATTGGTACAGGCAGAGGCAGCAATGCAAGACTTTGCAGGGATGACGGCGTCAGACTATGCCATAGCACGCGGAAGCTATTCTGCAGTAGCTACTATAGACGGGTACACCAAGAAGAACCTCAAATTAACTCCGTTAATGTGTGCTGCGAGAGCAGGGGATGTCTACTCAGTGGAAAAACTAATGGACAAGCATGTGCGCCAAAAGGACACGTGGGGACGGACCGCATTGATCCATGCGGCCCTCTGCAATAGCCCCATTGGCAACAACTGTATGCGTGTCCTTCGTCACAAGGAAGCAGGGGTGCAGGATGTCTATGGGCGAACAGCCCTAATATATGCTGCCATGAATTGCAATCTTGAGGGTATCAAGTTGCTATTGGAGACTCCATCAGAAGTGGGGGCGACGGACAGAGAGGGGAAGTGCGCGCTGTCTTATGCCATCGAGAACAAAAGCTATGATTCCATATATGCCCTAGCAAGTGCAGAGTGCCGCGTAACGCCGGCTCTCTTCGCTACGTGTCAGAAGATGAAAGAAGACTTCGTCTTTAAAGTGTTCACCGAAGGTGCGTCTCTCCAGACCATCGGTGAGAATCGCGTCAAATCTGCAGGTCTAGACCCTCAAGTGTGTGCGCTGTGCAAAGGCAAGGCGGCTGTGATAGCATCCACCCCATGCAATCACATTTGTATTTGCGTGGATTGCTGTCGGCATTGTTATGACACCAATGCCGGTGTATGCCCCGCCTGTGACCAGGAGTCCTGTGGCTGGGAGCTGATATCCGGGTAGTAAAATTCAAAAAATTGCTTGATAAAAGACAATGGCAACCCTCCGTTTAACCAGCGTAGTTGGAATAGGCCATGCAGAGGACCCGAACCCACGCTTCCGCAAACAGATGGAAGACGTGTGCGTCATGATAGACAAACTAGGCAACTCTCACTCCACTGGTTTTTTTGCCATCTATGATGGACACGGGGGACAGGAAGCAGCCCGCATAGCAGGGGACAATTTGCACCGTTATCTACTGGAAGACCTTCTAAATCAGAAGCTTGAGCATCTTTTAGAAGCCGATCCTTTAGCAAATCAGTCGATGAGTCAGCCAACGTGTTCCCAGGCCGGCTCTAAGCTCTCATCCGATGGCCACAATTTAAGTGGAAATCCGTCTGGAGTTCCAAAAGATTCTCAGTTGACCAACGCCACCATGTCCTCGGGAGTTCGTACCGGAACATTTTCCAAGGACAAGATATCCCCGTCGGCCAAGGTGCGCGTCCCGGTTCCCCCCAATGAGCCCAGCAAACTTGGTGCAATCATCAGGAAGGCTATTCAACGGACGGATGATGTGCTAAGGCAGAAGAACGTCCTATATGTCGGTTGTACTGCTCTCATTGCCCTAGTCACGAAGTACACGATAGAGTTTGCGTCAGTTGGCGATTCGCGGGCAGTTATTTCGATAAACGGCACAGCATACAGATGCACAGAAGACCATAAAGCAAGCGACAAGCTGGAGATTGACCGCATCAAGTCCCTGGGAGGGACTGTCATCTTTGGCCGCGTCAACGGCTTCATCTCCGTCTCGCGCGCGTTGGGAGACCATTGCATAAAAAACTTGGTTACGTGTGACCCGTTTCTCCGCTCGTATCCCAGATACCCCACACCAGACTCTGTCGGTGTGACGGCCAGCTCCACGAATGAGCTAGACGAGTTTATAATAATGGCATGTGACGGTGTGTGGGACGTGGTCACCGATCAGCAAAGTGTTGACACTGTTCGAAAGTGTCTCAAGGAGACGGGATCGCCTCAAAAGGCAGCTTTCGAGCTCAAGAATTTAGCAATCCGAAGCGGTACACAGGACAACGTGTCTGTGCTTGTGCTGTTGTTAAGGGAGATAAACAAGTGGATCTAGAATGCGTCTATGTCAGCAAGTAAATTCTTCCTCATCAACGCCGGCCTCCCGGCAAAAAGCAGAGAGGATGGCAGAGGGGGCCTGGGCGGATGAGCTCCTATTTTACTGCATCCAGGCAGATGGGACAGTCACGACAGACGTCAAGCTGGGGGACGTGCTCATTTTTCGCCATACTGGAGACTCTAAGCTTCCGAAGCAGGAGTCTCTGCGGGCACTTTTGACCACTCGCGAGATATACTCGCTTGTGACCCGGGAGACGTTCTTCCTCATTAACAGTGGCTTCAGCCTGATCATCCTCGAGCAGATCCCTATGGTCATCACTCGGAGTGACTGCTATGTCGGTATTCCTCCAAAGGACTCCATGCCGCACGAGGGCCAGGCGCGAATCTCTAACTTTGTGAGCCAGCTGGCAGCGGCCATGCGCAACTATGACGAGTGGGAGTTAGATTGCTTGGGCTTTCTGCTCCAGTACACCTTGAATGAGGTCAAGGACGCATTTCGTCGCCTCACCAGGGACGCGTCCCGCATGCTTCTGGCAGACTCAACAGGGTATAAGACTCTCTTCGACCCTTGCTATCAAATCAAGTTATGTCTGGACAGATACAAAACGATGTTGATCAACTTAGCCCACGACGATCAGGTCTCTCGTATCTCCCTGAAAAACCAGGACTTCATCCGTGCCAACACCCAGGGACAGTCACAAATGTCAAATTTACAGCTGCACGTCCGCACCAATTCCACGCCCACGGGACTGCACCTGGGTAACATGTCTTATTCATCATCCACCCTTCTGAGGCCGGGGTCCCAGGCAAACATTAATAATCAGGCAGACATACACATAATTAAGAAAGCGACATTTGACGACATTGACGATGATGTACTTGAGAACCTGCCTGTCTCCGTGGAGAGGATAGAGAAGATCCTTGAGATATACATATTAGAAAGTGAAATGCTACACATAGAAGTGATTCGAATGCTCTCTGGCTTCAATATGCGCATGCTCATCATCCAGTTGCGCCTAGACAGACGCCAGAACAGAATCCTTTCATATAAAGTTTGGATTGCATTCATATCTGTGTCGATTAAGCTGGCAGCTCTTCCCAGCGGATTTCTGGGAATGAATCTACTGAACCCGTGGCTGTGTGATAGCGACCCAAAGAGTGCCGGCCCATTCTATGTGCCAGAAAGCCTCAGTCCTTTCTATATCCTCTTTGCGAGCTCAGCAGCCATATTCCTCGCATGCCTGGTAAGCCTGTGCCTTTCGTACATCGGTCTGCGACGGTCCCTCAAGACCTCTTTAGTTTCCAAGCTATTGTAAACAGCTGTGCAAGACTTTGTGTCGCTTTACCTTATGCGCTTCTTAAGGAAGTGGAAGCGGCGCAACAACACAAGCGGGACCACGGCCACGTATAATAGAAGATACAGTACCCGACACACAGGGACCAAAATGCTCCGCGCCTCGTGGATGAGCCTTCCAACGGTGAATATGACAACGACTAACGACCCCACGACCCCGTAGCTGACCAACGCGGCTTGCATTTGTGGGTGGGGCTCGACGATCCGAAATACAGGATTCTCGATGTATCCAAAGTGGAAGACAAGAAGGAGCTGGGCCACGAGGAGCAGCAACAGAAGAGCGTGGAGAGCAAGGTGGATACCGTAAGAGACGTACAAGACCCCCCGAAAAAGCATCGCGAGATGATTCACTTTTTTACCCGAAAACAATCGGGTCCGTGGGCACGTCGATGGCCTTGAGCCCCTGAAGAACCTTCCAGTGCTCCTCAACGTCGGACTGGAGAGCCGCAGCCATCTCCTCGAACCTGGCAGGGTCCCTCTTTGCAAGGGCGCCGAACCTCTGCTCCGTGTTCATGAAGTCCTTGACGGGCTTGATTGGCCCCTTGTACTCCAGCTTCATGCGGTCACCGATGGGCTTGGACGGGTTGTAGCGGAAGACAGGCCAGACACCCGTCTCGACGGCGAGCTTCTGCTGCCTCTCCTGGTGAGTGAGACCGCCCTGGACCATGTGCGAGATGCACGGGCAGTAGGCGAGAACAACTGCGGGGCCGTCAAAGTGCTCTGCCTCCCTGAAGACCTGGAGGGCCTGGTTACGGTTGTAGCCGAGGGAGATCTGTGCCACGTAGACGTCGCGGTATGTGCTCATGAGCATGACGCCCATCTTCTTGTCCTTGACGTTGACGCCGGAGTACGCGTTCTTCATGACGCTGCCGATCGACGTGGCCTTCGACTTCTGGCCACCCGTGTTACCGAAGCAGTGGTTGACGAGAACGAGCACACGCACGCGATCGCGAGAGGCGACGATGTGGTCGAAGCCAGCAAAGTCAATGTCGTAGGCCCAGCCGTCACCGCCCACAAGCCAATGGGAGGCCTTGATAAGGTAGTTGTTGTTGAGGAGGATGTGCTTCGCAACATCCAGATCGACGCCGGACTGCTGGAACTTGGAAGCAAGATTGTCCACAGTCGGAATGATATACTCAGGGTTGTTCTTGTAGTCGCCCTTGTCGAGCCTTTCGATGCCGACCGTGCTGCGGAGCTCACGAGACGTGCGGATGGAGGCCTTGCGGTCGTCGAACGCGTCGAGCCAGCCCTGGACGGTAGTCTTCAGGGACTCGTCAGTGATCTTCTCGACGTTGGCTTGAAGGTACTCGCGAAGGTTTGCACGCTTGGCATCGCGATCAAGAGCGACACCCCAGCCGAAAACAGAGTTGTCCTCAAAGAGCGACGAGCAGGCGGCAATACCGCGGGAGTCGCTGTCAAGGTTGAACGGACGCATGTAGCCGAAATGCATCCAGACAAGCGAGCACCCGACGCCGATGGAGGCGACCATCGAATCTCCATAGAGGGTCGCCAGCATCTTCATCGTGTTACTCTCACCGCAGCCGGGGCAGGAGCCAGGGAACTCCATGTACGGGAAGCGGAGCTGCAGGTCGCGGAGGTTGCAGCTCTCCGTGTCGATGTTTGTGGTGCCCTGGGTGAACTGAAGAGAATCGTAGGCCCAGTCGAAGAGCTTCTGCTGCTTGTCGAGGACAGTGTCGATGGGGGTCATGGCAAGGGCATCCTTGGGACAGGCCTCTACACAGACTCCGCATCCCCTGCAGTCGAGCGGCGAAACCTGGACGCGGAACTTGATCTTCGAGGAATCGCTGTTAACGGCAGCGAGCTTGCCCTTCATGTCGAGCATCTCGAAGTCCTCGGGGACGTTGTCAGGCTTTGCGTCCTCATTCATGACGAAGCAGCGGACGGCGGCGTGCGGGCACTGGACAGAGCAGAAACCGCACTGGATGCAGTTCTCCTTCTTCCACATGGGAACCTTGGCGGCAGAGCCGAGCTTCTCATACTTGGAGTAGCCGCCTGGAATCTTCCCAGAGTTGTACTTCATCACATCCTTGGTGCCGATGTTGGCGAACTTCCTCGTGACGGCAGGCAAGATGATGTCCTTGACATACTTGTCAGGCTCTGGGCCGTAGGTTTGGTTTGCAGTCGACTCGCTCGGGTCAGCGTTGACCCAGCGCGCCTTATCGTACTCTATGTGGCACTGCTCTATAATGGAGCGAGCAACGTCAATGGCCTTCACGTTCGCCTCGATGACCTCTGCCTTCTGCTTAGCGTAGGTAATCCTCGCGGCAGCCTTCATGTCCTCGCAGGCGACATCGAAGTCAAGAAGCTTGCTGAGCCCGAGCTTGAGGAAGAAGAGGATCATGATCGTGTTTATGCGTCCGCCAAGGCCGACCGACTGCGCGACCTTATTTGCGTTGACGGCATAGACTCGGATGTTCTTGCGGGCAATCTCCCTCTTCATCTCGGCAGGCAGATACTTCTCGAGAGTCTCGACCGTATCATGCTCCGTGTTCAGGACAAAGAACCCATCCTCCTTGATGCCGTGGAGGACGTTGAACTTGCTCACGTAGCTCTGCGCGTGGCAGGCAACATACCCGGCCTCCTCGATGTTGTACTGGGCCCTGATCTTCTTTGGCCCGAAGCGAAGGTGTGAGACGGTGGTGCCGCCGGACTTCTTGCCGTCGAACTCGAAGTTGGCTTGGCATTCGCACCCCACGCGGTCGGAGAGGATCTTCATGGCGTTGCGGCAGGCACCAATGGTGCCGTCTGAGCCGAGACCCCAGAGGATGCACTCCGTGGTGCCCTCTGGAAGGAGGCTCTTCGGGACGTGCTCCGGGAGCGCCGGGCGGAGAGAGCGCTTGCGGATATCGTCCTTGATGCTGAGCACGAAGTCCGTCGGCATCTTCTCGACGTGGCGCGTGCTGACGTCGAACGTCTCATAGAGAGTGACCACGTCTGCGGGCCCGAGCTCCCATCCGTAGTACGAGTAGCGGCCGCCAGCAACGAGGCGGACAGAGTTCTTGCCCGCGCCAAGGCGGCCAGTCTTCATGAGAGCGGCAAGAGTCTCGCGGTAGAGCGTACCGCCGGCGTTCAGGAGCTCTGGTGCGCGATCGAGGGCCACAACAACTTTCGCAGACTTGGGAATAGCGTTGCTGAAGAGCTCGATGCTGAACGGCCTGAAGAGGCGGACTCTGACAAAGCCAACGCGGCGGTTCTCGCGGTTAACAAGCGCGTCGACGACGTTTTCAAAAGTGAGGCTGGTTGCGCCCATGACGACGACAACAACATCGGGGGTCGGGTGGCCGAAGTACTCGAAGCAGTGGTAACGGCGGCCAGTCTTCCGGTGGAGCAGGTCGAAGGCCTCCTCGATACGGTACGGGATAGAGTCGAAGACAGCACCCTGGGACTCAACTATCTGCATGTGGATCTCGCCTCCGAGACCGATGTTCGAGGCGATCGGGCGATCAGTGTCCATGGCGTTCTCGCTCCTCCACTTGGCAAGCTGGTCCTCGCTGAGGAAGTCCTTGATGTCTGCGTCGTCCTTGAAGACCTGGATCGTCTCGAACTGGTGGGAGACACGATATCCCTCGAAGAAATGGCAGAAGGCGGCCTGGACATTCGTAGCAGTCGTGTGGGCAACCAGAGACATGTCGTAGCACTCCTGGACGTTGCAGCTGGACAGGGCGCACATGTTCGTGCCTTCGATTGCGTAGACGTCCGTATGATCTGTAGCGAGAGAGGTGGCTGCCATCCCGACGGTGCGCGTGGCGACGTGCAGGACGAAGGGGATGCGCTCGCCAGCCATGTGGTAGAGGTTAGAGATCATGAGGAGGACCCCCTGCGACGAGCTGAAGGTCGCCGTGAGGGCGCCTGCGGTCGCTGCTCCGTGACACGTGCCAATGGCTCCAAGCTCCGACCAGGCCTGGCGGACAGTGACGACGTTTCCGAAGATGTTCTTCTTGCCTTGCGCGGCGTACTGCTCGATCATCTCGGCCATGACAGAGGACGGGGTGATGGGGAAGATGGCCGTGAAGTCGATCAGCCTGTACACCATCATGGACGTCGCAGTCGCGCCGTCGATGCACAGCTGCTCCTGAGAGGACAGGGCGGTCGTCATATTTTAATTTTGTGGCCTCTGAAATGTCTTGACCACAGGCGTTTAAGCTTTAAATTAAGTTACCCGTTTGGGCCTTGCTCCAGACCATAGGGGGCACCAGGGTTTTCGCTAGCCCATTGGTTGTGTGTAATCAGCAGCCCTTTCGTTACAGAAGTTTTTGTGACATTTCAGAGTAAAATGGCAAATAAAAATTACCAGATGTCCACAGGCGTCACAGCGGTTGTGCAGAAGGTTGTGGAGGCATGTCAGGACGAGAGCAAGCGGCTGGATCTGATAGAGATCGCGAGAAGCTACCCTCCGAACCAGCTGAGGAATATGCAGCGAACGTTCCAGGCCATCACCGGGACGTTCCTCGACGCCTTCTTGAAAAAGCATCTGTCAAAGGACTTTGAAAGCCTCGTGCTAATGCTCTACAAGCCCCGGGCCCAGTTACTCTGCGAGCTAATCAGGGGGGCCACCAAGGGTGCAGGAACAGATGAGAAGTGCCTCGTAGACGTCCTTCTGACGATAGAGACCCACGAGGTCCGCGAAATAAGGCAGCTCTATTATCAGCTCTACAATGATTCCCTGGGCGATGTGGTCCGTAAGGACTGCGGGGACAAGTATATGTGGGCGAAGCTCATCAATGCTGTTGCGACAGGCGACCGCATCCCCCGCGATACACACGAGCTCGAGGAGGATCTGGTCCTTGTTAGAAAGGCGATCGAGACAAAGGGGGTAAAGAAAGACGAGGTCAGCACCTGGATCAGAATCTTCGCAACATACACACGTGCAGACTTCAGACAGTTGCATAAGATGTACTCAGCAAAGTACAACGGCGACAGCCTCAGAGCAGGTGTGGAGGATGAGTTTCAAGGCTTGGACGAGTACGCCTTCAAGCTAGCTCACGACTTCCTATACGATCCGTGCTGTGCGGCAGCATTCTCTATGAACGTGGCCTTTGCAGGCTCCGGAAGCGACTCCAATAGGCTCAATAGAATCACCGCCATGCACTTCCGCGAGTGCAAAGGGTGTAAGTACTACTATAAAAAGGTGTATGGGCAAGCGTTTGACGAGCGATGCGCGACCGAGCTCAAGGGCGTCTATGGTGATGCGATTAAACTCCTTTGGGAACCGGTTACCGTCCCGCTGCTTTCGATGGATGACTACCAGGGAAGCGAGCAGCACAGGCCGATGACTCTCGAGTTGTAGTCGTGTAAATAATTCTACCAAAATGCAAGTTGAACGGGCGACCAAGGAGGCTCAAGGGAGTCAAGGAGCTCCAGTGGGGCTGTCCACCAGATCGTACTCTCTTGGGGTTGCGTTACGCCCACGGATGCCTCGTGAGGAGCCAATTCAGGGCCTTAGAATAGGGACCGTAGATCCTCCTACAAGTGCAGAGGGCAATGTGCATAGTTCCAAAGACACTGCGCAGTTTACACCCTCCCTTTACATACGCAAGCAGGTGGGGAAACAGGCTCCACAGCACAGTCAGCAACCGGAAGGTCATGCATATTTCAAAATAGATAAGCTGGCGCCGTTAACTCCAGAGGAGCTTCTTCAGAATGCACGGATACGCATCCAGCAAGAAACTGCCGCTCTCATAGATGCAAACAAGCACCTGCTGGACACGTGCAATAAATACACTCCCTACAAGGCCCAATTGCCAGAAATAGTCGAGATAGAAGAAAAGAGAATGCTCAATCTTAGATACCTCCTGGCAGAAGAAGAGAAGATACGCATGGAGTGCACGAAGGAGCTTGTTGATGGAGTGCACCGTAGGTACCTTCCGACAACCATAGGCAGGCGTGCACCGATCATTTCAGACGAGGTGCAGACCGCGAAGCATTTTGCAGACGGTTTACAAGGGCTACAAGACTCACGAGACGCAGTGCTTCGCTCGCAACAAGAAACGTCTAGAAAGCTGGCCAAATACTTTGCCGAGCAGGTGTATAATTAGGTGCTAGTGCTCTCATTATTTCGCACATATCTGTCGATAGCGCTCGACCCTCCAACAAACTTTGTCTTCAAAAGCACGTTAGCATTAGAGAAGAGTCCGTCCTTAAGAGACACAATGACAAACTGGCTCTGTGGGAAGCTCCTCTTAATAAGGACGCCTATGTTATGCGTATGGTTGAGGTCCAGTGCAGCGTCTATTTCATCTAGAATGTACAGTGGGCAGGGCTTGTACAAGAGCAGGGAGAATATCAGGCTTAGCGCAAGGAGACTCCTCTGTCCGCCAGACAGGCAGGAGATCGTGGTGCTGGTTGTACCCAGTTTCACATCAAAAAACACCCCCTTAGAGAGGTCGTTGGGGTCCACTGTCTTGAGGTTTGCTTGGGATCCTGGCAGGAGTACAGCAAAGACCTTGTTGAGATCGCTATTGATCCTCTCATATGATGCTCTTAGGGCATCCATCTTCTTGTCATCTATTTGAGAGATGAACGCCAGGATCTTCTCCTTGTCGTTCAGAATTTTGTCTCTTAATCTCTGGAGCTCCATAGCATTACTCCGCAGCTCCTCATAGGTGCCCTGTGCCCCTGCCGACACCCCTGCGCTGAGTACGAGTTTAGAGTGCACAGTCTTCAGCTTTGCTTGTAGCTCCTCGAAGGCGTCAGGATTAGCCAAGAGGAACTGCACAGGATCGCTACCGTTATCTTGGTTGTTCAGAGATTGCATTCTTGCGGCCACAGTCTCCATAATAATCGCACAGTTCGCTATTAAGTTTGTTAATTCATCATACCTTGCTCTAGATTGCGCAGAATCGTGGCCACTTTGCAACTCATTTAAGGCCTGGAGTAGTTTTGGCTGCAAAAAAGCAAGATCTCCGTCACCCTCTCCCCTCTTTTGACCTTTGTGTCCCTTGTGGCCTTTGCTTGTTGCGTGTCTTGGTCCCTCTGACATATCTATCTGCACAGTGCCGTAGTTCTGGAGCTCTGTGATGCACTGCAAGTAGTTTGTTCCAGTGGACAATAAAGTACAGATAGAGCCGAGAGCGGCATCTAGTCTACTAATTAAGGACTCGTGTTCTCGGCACATCCTTAGAGAGGTTTCCTTTAGCGCATCGAGTGTCTCTGTTTCTGTGCTAATCTGTTTGTCAATCTCCTTCAAGCGACCCTGCAACGTCTTGTACTCAGCTTCCTTGCTTAGCTTGTCGTCTATAAGGCCCTCCAAGTGCTTGCTCTGTTCTTTAAATCGCATATGTGCTGCCTCCACTCGCTCAGTGTGTTTATCTAAGCTCTTGGTTGCGGCACTTAGCGCATCTTCTATATCCTTTAGTTCTTTTGTGTTCTCTATTATTATCACCTGGAGGGACCGCTCTTCCTCCTCGCTGATTACGAGGCCTTCTTCAAGAGCCTTCTTGTTATGCTGGTCTGTGAGTTCCGATAGCTGAGCCTCCAACAGAGCAGCTTGCTTGGTGCAAGACTTCAACTTATCCTTTAGACTGGCTGGATTTTCAGTCTCGTTCATATCAGATACCAGCGTTTTCATTTCAGCCATTAGCCTATCTAATAAGATAACCTTTCCTGTGGATTCGGCTATTTTCAGTATAGATGCATCACACTTCTTGTGGTCCTCTTGAAGTTCCAGCAGAGCAGCGAGCTGGCACGGAATGGAGATGTGCGTCACTCTCTCTTCCGAAAACACATTGGATACAGACAATGGTAGTCTTGCTTGAAAGTGCTGAAGATTGTATGCAGCTATGAGCGATAATATTTCATCTTCGCACTTGTGAGCAGCGTACAGAGACAACTTGGCAGCATCAACAACCTTGCTCACTGCAACATGTATGTTTCTTGCTTGGCTGGAAGTCGGCGCCTCCATCTTGACGAATTCATAGTAAAGGCTGCTAGCAGTATTGTCAACGAATTCCGCTTCTGTTCCCTTCACCGGGGTCAGGAGGACCTGAGCACCCCCGTTCCGCCGGTATGTATCCGCAGCACTAAATACACTGGCTGGACTGGATAAATTGAAACTCCGGCTTCCTCCGGAGACATTTCCGCTTGGACTCACGACATCTCCGTCAAGTGTTATGCACTTGAACCCGAGGGATGAGGAATATGCGATCCGACGTGCTGAGGCTGTACTCTCACATAGTACAGCTTTTCCAAAGACATAATCAGAGACCGTGGAGTTAATGCTGCTAACGAAATCAGTAAGGAAGAACGCCCTCTCTTTAACAAGAGCGTCCTGCACATCGCGGCAGTTTCGTATTCCTTTCCTGCTAATCTTATCAAGAGGAACGGCGGTGATTCGTTCTGTGCAGACGGCCTTACTTCTTATGAACTTCATGGCCTTCTCCGCTGAAGTAAAGACGACATGAAATAACTTTGGCAAAGCGACCATTTCTAAGATGCGTATGACCTGACAATAGCGGCGCTCATCAACGAATCCACAGGTCTCCTGGCAATACTCTTCTATTCGCTTTGTGTTTATGGTAAAGAATCCCAAGGTCGGACCTATGAGGTCATATGCTAGTCTGGTATCCAAAGGAAGAGATGCAATCATATATGCAACAGCAGAAAAGGAGGCATTGGCTGAACATGCTTTCAATACCGTGGCGAGGCATGCATTAGGAGACACATCCATAAGTGCTGTATCCACACGTGATGCAAATGCTGTTACTCGCTGGGCAAGAGTGTCAAAAAACTTGATTGCTAGTAGCCGCAAGGGCCGAATTGACCCCTCCAACATGTCTATGTACCGAAGAGAAGACAGGTTAAGCGCCTTCATACTCATATCGTGACCCTGTAGTATGTGGGCACAAAGCATGCCAAACAGGACACCAGCAGTATTGTTCATCTCTGAGAATAGAGCTTGGTGGTCCATCTGCAACAGTTTAGTTAATTCATCCTTCAGAGTGTCCATGGCCTGAAACTGGTCTGTATCCATGAAGCCTGTCTTCGGATTGACTATTAGGGTGTATAGTTCAGTTTGCTTGGGCTGCAGGACCGCTGGTCCATGTTGCGCAGCTTCGGGGTGCCCAATGGAGACAAAGAGAGCAGAAAGCTCCGTAATTTGCGCCAATAATTTTCCTAGATGCCCGAAGAGCCCCTGAATCTTTTGTCCCAACGTCCCTGCATTGGCCTCGTCTGTTTCGGCCGCTACCTTCAAGCCATTTGTAGATGAAAATGCAATCTTTGCGTGCGTAGAAACAAAAGCACCCAACGGAGACTCTATGTCCACAGATATCTTGGAGAAGAGAAGCGAAAGGTTAGAAAGGATTTCTGATGGAGTGAGTGCATCTGCTCCTCGTAGGGAAAACACCCAATCGGCAGAGTCTCCAATAAAGCGCTCCAGCATGACATGACCCTCGCTGTGAAGAATCTGTGGCATCTTTGCCCAAAGAGTGCTATAAATATCCATAGAATTGCTTGGATGAGGACAAGAAGAAAGGAGCGACCGGATGCCACTCTGGAACTCCACTAGGGCAGGACCTGGTGAAGCGAGACCGTCATCTATAGTGAGGGGGACAGATATTCTCAAGAAATCCTTCTTGACATTAGCTTTCAAGAGGCTGCCGCTAGTGGTTAGCATGAGCCGCGCCTCAGTAAGCTTTTGCTCTGTCAAGATTTGGTCGAGTTTTTCGGCAAGGCACCGCACCTTGGGGTCATTGTCCACCTTTTTAAGATCTTGCTGAAATCTGGAGATTTTCTCTTTGATTGCTTTATATGAGCCTTCAGTGTCACAGATGACCTTCCGCAGCGTAACTTTCTGCGATTGCATGGCGCGTACACGCTCTGCAAGCACTTCCATTTCAGATTTTGCGCCGCTATATTCTGAAGTCAGCCTTTCAAGTTGTGTGTTTGCCTCAAATCCCTGTGCCTCGATGTCAAGAGCTCGTATAGCTTCCACGAGCTCCCGTGTGTGCTCCTCAATCATCTTGCTCTCTTGAACAATTTCTTGAATATGTGCCTGCTGTGCCCGCTTTGCTTGGCAAATGGATAAAAACTGGACAGCCATAGCATGCAGTTTATGTGCGTCTGCAAGAAGTCCCATGGTCTTCATGGCGCTTTCTAACCTTCCCAGCTCCACAGCTGCTTGCCTCTCCGAATCTAACTTTTGTAGTCGTGGAAAGATATCTAAAGATAGCGTGTCTGAAACCTCTTGCAACTTAGACTCCTTTGCGGAGAAAATCTTGACTGCTTCGCTTCTGTTATTGTCATATATGGTAGTTCCTGCGCACTCCTCAATGAGCCCCAGCAGCTCCATGGGCTTCATCGAAAGAATTGTAGTAATTCTTCCCTGCAAGACTAGGAAGGTTGGATTGTCGACGTTGAGTCCTGCAGACCTAAATAGATGCTTGATTACCCTCAGCTTAGAGACCGTTCCGTTAAGCAAGTACTTTGTGGTACCGTTCTTGAAGATCTGTCGTGATATTTCCAGGACTGGATATGACTCGTATCCAGGCGGAGATTGTGCTGGATCCTCGTTGTTTAGGACGAGGGTGGCACTTGCCTTTGTAATCCCCGCCTGTCCCTGCTTGTAAATAAGCTCCGTAAGGCTAGTGACTCGTATTCTCGACAAGGATGAAATGCCTAGAACAAAGCAAATAGCGTCCAGGACATTGGACTTCCCCGTTCCATTCAGCCCGGTTATCGCAGTAAACGATGGATCAAAGGGTCCGATGCGCGTTTGGGTGGCATAGGACTTGAATCCATCGAGGATTATCTCCTGTATGTACATTATAAGGGCTTTCTAGATCAGCGGACAGTGAGAATTTTATAAGCTATGTTTACCAGAGTTTACTAGGGCTTCTGCTGGCATGGCAGCAGAAGTGGGTATACAGCAAAGAAGGAGGCTATAGGAAACGCTTGTGGAGGGCTCCACCCAATCAGTGTGTCTGCAGGATAATTCATGCAGGACTATGCTCCTCAATAGATCTTACATAAAGCCGATCAATATCATCGTGAATGACAGCCTGATGGCAGGTCCCATTGGATGATGCATAAAGTACGCGTATCAGTTGTCCGCAAACACACTTTGAGCTGCACGCAAAAACCTTCTTTACCCCCGGTTGTTTGTGTTCTTTTAGATAGTGCTTAAGGGCTCTGAGAATCCTCCGTTCTAAGTTCTTAACTGGAATATCACACCAACCTCCTAATATCGTGCACTCTGTAGATGGATGCATCACAAACTTTGTTTTTGGAGTCACACAGTGCAACGTTGCTTATATAAAACTGCATGGGGAGATCAAGCAGAGGAGCATGCGAGCCTATGTGCATTGCAGTGGATCTGTAGCACAAATCGTGGTCGTAAATAAATCCTGCAAAACATCAAACTACAAAAAAATGCTAACCTCTCAATGGTTCGAAGCCGCCATTAAGGGGGACGCCAAAACTATCCAGACCCTTTCTTCTACATATGTGAGCACATCTGACTGCTATGGTCGAACAGCGCTCATGCTCGCATCTTCTCACAATCGCATTTCTGTCGTGAAGATACTCTTGAATAAAGAGCACGGGATGCACGATATGCAGTACCAGACTGCCCTGATGTACGCCGCAAGCGCTGGCCACCCAGAAGTCGTGGAGCTTCTTTTACCTTATGAGTACCTGATAAAAACGGGAGACCAGAAGAGTGCCCTCTACTACGCTATAGAGTTTAACAAGCCCGAATGCGTGAAACTTCTCTTGCCCCATCTCTTCACCGATACCTACCGAGGGCTCAGACCACTTGCTCTAGCAATCTTCCTCAAGTGCTATGATATGGTGCGCTTCTTTCTCCAAGAGAATAACTTACTATATATCTCACTCGACGAACTGACTCAGGCTCGAGACATCGCTAATGCCACACAAGACACCTATGCAATTGATCTTCTCAACTCCCACGAGAACAAGTGGCAATTAAGCGGAAAGTTTGTGGCTGTGACGCTTCAAGCAGAGCCTGTGGCGACGTATACCCCTGTGGTATCACCAAGCCTAACGATGATCCAACCTGCCGTGCAGCTACAGACAGACGATCAGATCTCCCAGCAAGACAGCAAACAGCCCATTGAATATCTGGATGACGATGAGTATGAAACCGTTAATGCGGTTATCAGCACAAAAGAGCGCAACACACGGCTGCAGACCCAACTCTCCAAAGGGATCAAAATGGTGGAGTTTAAGCTGGTTAACGATTATCTTCAAGATCTGCAAATGGACATGCTTGGCGGTAACACAGAGCATGCTCCCATGGAAGCGTCTGGAGACCCCTATGACCCCGCTCTCTTCCCTACGAAGGTATTAGAGTCGAATATTCCCCGGGGAGCCTGGATACTGTACTGCAAACAACAAGCTCTCAGGAGGCTGAGAGATGAGCAAACCCTTAACGACACTCTTTCCTCCATAGAAGCACATACATTTTCACTGTATAATAGCGATACTTTGGAAGAGATGCAGAGAAAACGGCGGCTGATCTCCGGGTTTCTCAGTAAGAGCGTTGAGGAGCTACTCGAGCTTACTGTTGATGAATATGTAAGCCAGAGCGGAACTGTGGAGAGCATGCTCGGCAGCTGCACACGAAACGACGTGGTGTTCCAGAAGGAAAGTACTAACATGCAGACTTTTGCCAACGATAGCGTATACAATTATAACAGCAAGATGAGCAGAATGAATCGGCGTCACCATGCGATGGACACCCATGGAACAGACCTCACAGACGCCACCGACGTAATTGACGAATCTGTCACTGAGAACACCACCACACTTCATTGAAGATGCTACTATTCAGCCTGCCAGTCTTCATACCTCTTAATGTCATTTAGAGAGACCACTCGCTTGGTGTCTGATATGACTAGGTCCCAGTGCTTTTGAGTGGTTAGTATGTTTTTTAACACTATTGTTTGATTATTCTCGACTAGCTCTATGGTAGATGCTACCTCTGAAAACGCTTCTTCATATGACAATAGCTGGGCACGGCTGGCAATGGCACTAATTTCAGCGCTACTGAAGCCAGCCAATCTGGGTATAAGCCAGTCAATCGTTACGTCTGGATCTTGACGATCAAAGTCAACACACATAGTTAGTAGCTCTTTAACGGTTGCTTCATCGGGCAAACCAATGTATACCCGGTTGGTAAATCTTCGAAGAATAGGACCATCTAGCTTCCACGGGAAATTTGTGGCTCCAATAGTAATAACCAGGGATTCTGGATTGAAAGACAAATCACCTTCTATGGAGTCGGATATCTTGTGCTGAAACCCATCCAGTTGGGTCTGAAGTTCTGTTCGTATCTGAACAGAGGTCTCATCGGTTGTCCTACTATCGCCACACACAAGAGCATCGATCTCATCTATGAATACCACACTTGGTGCGCATGCCCGTGCAATCGTATAGAGTGCACGAACACATAGTACGGCCTCTCCCTTCCACTTGCTTACGATATCAGAGATAGCCACATTGAAGAAGTTGTACCCTGCTTGGGTAGCCACGGATGATGCTATTAAGGTTTTGCCAGTACCTGCTGGTCCGTAAAGAAGTAGCCCTGTTGTGGGCCAGACGTTGTGGCGGAAGATTTTTGGGATCTTAATAGGGTATTCTATCACTCTCCTCAGCTCTCGCTTAACTCCGTTCATGCCAGCAACGCGAATTCGGTTGGCAGCAAGTAAACATACTCGTGTCGAGGCCATCTTACTGAAGTGTTCCTGTGAAAGCCCCAAACTGGTAGCCGAAAGTGCGTCAAATCGCCGGTCTGGTGTCTTCAACGTAGGTGTAGAAGCCGGTGCAACAGATTGCTGTCGCAGAGGCATGTGATTTTTTGCTCGCGTGCTCGGTATAGGTGCTTTTTGCCTGACATCTGGTGGGCGAGGGCCATCGGTCTTTGAAGAGCCCGCCTTGGATGCCTGCAAGGATGAATGCTTACGCATCCCCTTTCGATGAGGCATAGGCCTGGAAGATCTTACTGGTGGCGGCTTTGATGAAATAGGTGCAGAAGATTGTACAATTTGAATTGGACCTAGTGATACAGCCTGATCATGAATAAGCTCTCCTAGCGCTTCTATGAAGTAGAAGTACTGTGGATTTTTTCTTACTTGATCAACGAGTTCATATTTCGCTAAAAGCAAAAGATTGGAGAGATCTGGGTCACCTTTTTCAGCCTGCTCAAGGGCCTCTGAAACCCGAACTATAATATCAGTATATATCCCTAGACCTATTTGCTCCATTTTCATGGCCACAAGAGAGCGTGCATTCTCAAGTTGCAGCTGTACGCCCTGATAGGTATTATTCATTTTTATCGTTTATGGGCCCGCAGCTCTGGCAAGGTACGAACCTTAGCCACACAATGGTCAATATGGCTAGGCTTCAGGGCGGGAGATTCTTCTTATCTGCTATCAGCTTATTATGCAATGCAATGTTGAAGGCATCTAACACAACCACAGCTCAGTATCTCCAAGGCCTTTCGCTGTGCCTTGTGGTAGACTTTACTGCAAGCGCACCTCGAACAGACTGCAACACACTTCACTTTGTCCAGGGATTGGAGATCTTGACGAGCAGGATGAAGCAATCAGCCTACTTTGACAGCAAGATACTGGAGGAGTGTTTAGAGGCAGCAGACAGGTACCTATCATCTCCCATAGTATACATAGATCCCAAAAGCGACTGTTTTAAGCAATTGATCCGTTATTTTCTCATAGAATTGCAAGACGCTCACCTGCACGCACCGCAACGAACCGCGCTTCTGGTTGATAAGCTTCTAGCTTGCTATCTAGATATGCAGCCACCCTCAGATAAGCTCTCCGGCACAGTCTCGGGGGATCAATCAAAAGCATGGATTTTGATGCTTCTTTCAGCTTCAAAACTCTTCCTCAGGTACAGGATTGTTAGTGGTGATAGATTGTTGTACATTGGGGAGCTACTGGCCGCCATTCAACCATCCTTGTGCTGCTCTAGCCTAGCAAGAAGTATGGCCAGGTTTATCACGGCAATACCCGTTAAAAGCAGCTTACTTTGCTCCAGAAGACGAAAGAAGCTAATCAAGATATTGCGAAGGGCAATTCATTCGGCAATGGCCTCGTGTAAGAGTGAGGCACTTAAGTTGGATCTTTCCCTTTGCAGCTTTCCAGCGTCTGGTCAGCTCCCCTTTACACAGCCATGCTATGCTGTATCTCACTTTCAAGAGTCCTTTAATAGATTTAGATACACACCAACTGTAGTTTCTGCAATCACACGTGCCGATTCAAATAAACTACTTCTGCCGTCCTTCGCTAGAGCCGCCGGGGAGCCACCCACTAGCACGGTTTACTGCGAAAACATACCGCACTTCATGACAAAGGAGGAGTTCTATGATAGATTTACTAAACACTTTCTAGTAGATTCACCGCTGTCTATTACCGCCTTTGGTTATGCAATGTCTAACACACAGACATACACTGCTTCGTTGAAACTATGCATAGACGTAAAGAGCATGGATACCAGTGCAGAGTTGGCAGGCTTCGATAGTGCAGTTAACATATTAGTGGAAGCCCCAGAACTCGTAGTGTGGGGGCACGCTATAAGGGTGACGATAGCCCCGAGTCAAGTTAACTAAAGCATGTGGCATAGAATGTCCTTGCATGTATTGAGCATGTCTACACCACATCCTGGTACGGTCCGCAGCAAGACAGTGGTGTTATCATCCCCAAGAGATGAGAGCAGGTTCAGATCCTCTCCGCTAAAGAGGTTATAGTCACTGCCCAGGAAAATATTCAGTGGAAAGCTGCTCCGATGCAGAGGAGTCAAGCTTGTGTACATCTCAAATACGCTGAGAGCAGGGCCATCTTCGTCCTCCACAGGTGCACCTATTTTCCCCAAGATAGACATCGAAAGGAACATCGCCTTGTTATAGGTGGTTATTTGCGTCTTATAAAAGTCAAGAAGCTCTTGCGGGCAGAAACTTAAGTAGTTTGGCTTTATTGACGCCGGCGTTTGGCTGGTTGACACGCTAGGATTGGGAAATGCCCCGATTGGCATCTTACTGCTTGCAACCATCCCCGTATCATATCCAAGGGCATAGAGTAGGGCTGATCGGTTAGAATTAACGGTTCTTGGTTGCTTGATTAATTTGCTCATGAGGGCGTTTTTATTTTTCAGAACGGTCTCAAAGGTGGGCATATGCGGATTGCAAAGAATAACAGACCGGATAGATAGCATCGTCGTAAGATTGACGCTACTCATACCATCGCGCATAAGCCGGGCAGTTACTAGCCTGGCGAAGTCATAGGTGTAAAGGGTGTCCAAGCCATCACTAAGTATCGTGACCGCGATTGCAAGCTTGAGGGCAACGTTTGCACCGGATCCTTGGCCGATGAGGCTGATCTTTCTCGCCGTCTCCTGTATGCCCATCCCGACCGTGCTGGATCGCCTTCTTCCCGCGGTTCTAAAATGAAGACAAACATTGAGTATAAACTCTGTGTAACAAACAATAATTTCATGCGTCATGAGGCGAGTAGCTATTGTGGAAATGTCTAGTATGTACACACACTTCTTTTTTCGGACTAGCAGGTTGATGAGAGGTGCGACACAGAGAGGGGTTTGATAGAAGTCTGGGATGATGAGCACAGGGTCATAGCTGGTATCACCGGCTACATAGTAGTTGAACAACAGCGATTTAGTACCGCACATGGCAGAGTAGGTATAGGAGCAGGTTCGTAGAGCCAGCTTGTCTATGGCATAGTCCATTGGTGTCTTAAGGTCCCCAGCGCTGGTGAATCGAAAATACCAAGCGTTCTCTAGAGGCGGGGGAAGTGGCACGCCATCGACCATTTGTGCACAGTACGCGTAGCTGGTAAGATTCTGCATGCTAGGCATCTTATCAATACCTTGACCTGGATGCGAAATAAAATGAGCTACCGCAGGAACCAGAAGCTCCTGGTTCCCTGTTATACCTGGATGTCGATCCACGTCACTGTTGTCAGCGACTTCTGTGCGTGGGGATGGATGAGGAATGACGGCTTCAGCTGATGCAAAGTGAAGCATGAAGTCATTCTCTTGTTTATTGGCAGACTTGTCTTGCGTTTCATCGAATGCTTTTTTCCCCTCTTTACAAGCTGCGGCAAGGCCTAGACCAATCTCTGGTGTTGCACTCAGCGCACAGTCTTCATTTCTTGAAAAGGTATGCCAGTGTTGCTGAGGGGTGAGATTGCGCACTGACTTGTACGAAACTAACAGGTGTGTTGCGCAATCGGATGCCTCTGTGCCATCAGAGACGTATTGTATCGGCACTCTGCCGTGACACAGAGTCTTGAGACATGCCTTTATGTCAATGTGTAATCCGTGTGCGCGCCGCTGCCTCTCGTCCGGAGGATTACCGTTTTGCGCACCTTTGACGGCCTCGTTTGTATTACCTCCAGAGGCGCCGTTGCTAGGCACACAGGCCTTCGGCTGCTCCTGGCTCTCGTCATCTGACTCAAAGATATTCAGGTCAGCTGTTGCTTTGACTTGAAATGGCTCAAGGAGGTCAACTCCGCGCCCTGGCGTTTTGGTCAATTTTTCCTCTGTATTGGTATTTGTGTCCCCTTCTGACTCGGTTGTTGACTCTAGACCACTCTCGGGACGTGCCTGAGCCGAGAAGTGCAATTCGGCCATTTGGAAGAGATAGAAAATTTAAACGGGATCAATTTACTCAAACACTTGAGGAGCTACTTCTTGGACTCAATGATAGCAAGAAGCTCAGGAGGGGTCGGGTACTTGCCTGTCTCTAACTTGCTGTAAATCTGGGTGCCGTCCATCGACACCTCAAAGGAGCCATCGGGGCCCGCCTCGAACGAAAATTCCGCGTCCACGTTCTTCTGCTTGAAGTACTGGCGCATCCCGTCGTACCTCGGCCTGGAACCGCACTGCAAGCACATGACAAAGTGAAGCTTCATTTCAAATTTATTACGCATTTTGTAGTTATATTCATAACTCTATGTATAATTATAACCGCTGTCGACTGGGATACCCCTCATAAGTTGGCCGCGTGGTCTGCCTGGAGGATGCCGAGACGCCATCACCATCTAGAGGGTCGCTGTTGTCGCTTTCTTCGTCATTTCCCTGAAGGGCCCCGCGCTTTTTTTCGCGTTGACGTTGCTGCCTCTGCTCCTTTCTGTTCTCTGTGTCATCAACATCATCATCGCTAGCTTCTTTGGATTCGTCTATGCTAAGCACGCTTTCCTCATCCTTTTTCGTAGAAGAGCTTTTACTCTCTTCGTTGTCAACATTGTCCGATTGCGTCCAACTCTTAGTTGTTGAGATTACATTCCTAGTGGTCTGGAGACTTGTGAAGAGCATTTGAGAGAGTGCACCTCTATCCGACGTGAGAACATCCTCGTCAGGTTTATCTCTACGCCCATCGCTTTCACAACTCGCCTTGAGTAAGCGCATCAACCATACCGCGTTGCCCGATAAGATGTGGAGTGAACCGGACTCTTGTCGTTCTTGTGCCCGAAGACTGTCAAGGAAGTTGTTTGGTACACTGAGGCACAGTCCGCGGAGGGTGCTTTCAGGCCTGGAGATGACATTGAATCGGATATTTGTCGTACAATCTGTCAAAACGAAAGAAAGGACGTGTTGCTTTGTGGTTTCGAGCCCGAAAGCTGGGGCTTGTATCATATCGCCTGTTAGCGCAGCTTGTTTCCCACGAACAGTGTAGGGTTCTCGTTCCTTATTTGTGAGAAACTCTAGGACGATGGGATTCTCAGTCAACTCAATGCTTCGCGGATCAATGACGGAGCGAAGATTTGTGGTCCGAGGCCGAATAATGGAGATAAGGCGGGGGTCCCCAACCTGCACGGCGTAGACGCACGACTCTGGAGCCTCGAGGTCTGGAGCAAGGGCGAAGTGGAGATCGCCCTCGAAGAGCGTCGTCGTCGCAGACATTTGAAAAGTGGACGATGGGGGAGTCGAACCCCCGGCCTCGTGCTTGCGAAGCACGCGCTCTACCAACTGAGCTAACCGCCCGCGCAGGGACTAAACAGCTACAGTCGCGCATAAAATTCTACGATGGATGGATGCAAAAGTGTCACGGGGACTCTTGGACGGCCCAGCGCCGCCGGGATGCACGGCGCAGCGCGGGCCACGCGGAGAGACTCGGGGAACCGGACGAGAGGCGCCCTGCGTCGGACTGGGGCAGCGGGTGAGCGGGGGCCAGGGCCGCGAGGGATTGCTTCCGGGCCTCTGCCTCACGCCGACCCTCGCCGCCTGCTCAGATATCTGCACGGAGCCGCGTGGAGCAGCTGGAAACGCATTTACTACCTAAGTCACATCTAAGTCTACGCTTTGCCTCTACAGAGGAACCACCAGCAGAGGAAGCCGACGAGGCCCCCGACGACGATGACAGCGGCCACAGCGATGCCAGCGATGGCGCCAGTGGAGAGGCCGCTCTTGTTGGCGCTAGAAGGCACGCACTTTTTATCATCACCTAGAACAAATCCATCGTTACACTCTGTGCACGTGCCGTCGGGACATGATTTGCAGTTAGGAAGATCGCAGCCAGCAGGCGCGTCCGCGCAGGTGTTCGGAGCCGATCCGTCGCCGTACGGGCAGTTATCGTAGCACCCGCCCTTGTAGAGCTTCTGCGTCTGGGTACACGCCGTGCAGGTTCCATCTGTGCTTCCCGACCCAGGCGTGCACATGTTTGCCTGGGCCTGCTGCGTGCAGGCGCCGTTGACCGGGACATACCCGCTCTTGCATTTGGAGCAGTACGTTTTGCCATTGATCGTCACGTCGCACTTGCCGGCGGCGCAGTTTGTCGCGCCGGGGTCTGCGGCGTCGCACGGCGTTGGGGCAGAGACCGCTGCTTTTGCTTCTTCTACTACTTGGACCGCCTGGGCTAATTGCAGAATAAAGCTCACAAAAAGAAGCTTACTCAACATTGATTCTGTGGCTATGTATTGGTATTTGTAAAAAGACTTGCTGTGTGAACTATCAACTAGATTGTCAGTTGATAAAGCTGATGCAAACGCGGACTCATAGGAGAAAGAATCCTCCTAGCTTACAAAGTGCTAAGCAATGCGTACTAGATAATAACAGCTGAATAAGAATAGAACATTCAAGTGCCTCGGTATGAAAACTGAAAGTGAACTGAACTTTGATTACACGGAGAGCCACTTGCTGTTATGCTGGAGCTTTACCAGTGCAGAATCATGTAATCGAACGCACATTTAGGTAGTAGACGCATCCACATGCTGCGTCGCACAAAAAGGCCTTATAGGCTGCCCAGTGGACCCACGCTCGTTGTCTTAGTGGTCGGAACAAAGTTTGGGGATGTTACGGCTGGGTTATCGCTTGCGGGCATGGTTTAGTAATCCCACGAGTAAATTTTCGCTTAATTCCTAGCCAGACCGGACGAGAGTTGGTCATGGATAGCATAACGAGAGAGTCCTCTCCAGTGATATATTCAAAGTCTGGGCATTCCTCGGCCGCTCCATGAGGATATGCTCTGTCTGGATATCCATGCCGATCTGCCTTGAATTCAAGCCTTCTCGCAGGCTCTCTGCTCTACCCGTGGCGCCTCTCCTTGGTCTTCCTTCGTGGCTGGTGAGGCTCCGGTCGCTGTCCTTTTTTAGATGCCCCGTCTGTCAGGAGCTGCCATCGGGCTCTCCACTGGCTGGGCCCTCGGTGTCCGGTCAGCTGTGGCTCGGGCAGTGCTCCTACAGTCGTAGTCACCTGGGTCCCGGTGGGTCCGGCTGGTGGGGAGGCAGGGGTATGGGGCGGTGAGGGCTGAGGTTGGTGATGGTTGTATGCGCCCCTGGGTCCGGTGGGCCAGCGGAGTGGTGAGTGATCCCTACTCTGTTTGCTAGGGTGATTGTGTCTGATCTCCAGCCCGCGCTGCACGAGATATAAGCCAGGCACCGACGATCACACTGGGCTCCTGGTCGTCCCTTTGCAGGAGTAGAGGGGAGCCTCTGCCTGCTGCCTACATTCATCCTCGCCCTCAGACCATGAGGGCTGTCTGTCCATAGCTATCCTGCATCCTCCCTTCCTTCTCTAGGAGCACCTTGACACGGTCTGCGTGGCCATGGGAGGCCGCTATCATAAAAGCTGTGGCAGAGAGGACAGGTCGCTGTTTACTGTCTGAGCATCTCGCACAGCTCCCTGGCCGTCGGCCTCCTCTCTGGCTCCAGCACGAATATCCGCTCCAGAACACTCTTTATGAAGCCATCAGTGACACCGCTCAGGTCCGGCCTCCACCCATCGATGAAGACCTCTGCTGGCTCCTTGCCCCCCAAGAAGTCCGGTCTCCTCAGAGTAGTAAGCTCGTAGAGGATGACCCCGAGGCTCCACACGTCGGAGGCGGGACTGGTCTTGTTGCGGATAAGGGTCTCGGGGGCCATGTATAGTGGCGTCCCTGCATAGGTGCTCCCGCATCTCAGGGCGTCCTTGCAGAGGCCGAAGTCGGCGATGATGAAGCGCTTTCCCTTTTTACTGATGAGGACGTTGGCAGGCTTGAGGTCGCGGTGGACGAGGCCCTGGTAGGGGTGGCCGTCGGCACCCACTCCGCTGACGCTGTGGAGGTAGGCGAGGGCGGCGACGAGCTGCCTCACACTTGAGAGGATCATAGTAACAGAGATAGGTCTGTCCCCCTGCTTGCACTCGATAACGAGGTCATTAAGAGTCCTGCTGTGGCGATCCATGACGATGTAGACGAGGTCGTTGCCTTTGATCACTTGGTGGTATCTGAGAACCCCTGGGTGGTGAAGGCCAGGGAGAACATCTAGTTCAAGCATGAGGGCGTCGATAGCCTTCTCGTTCAGGCTGTCGAGCCGGATCTCCTTCACGGCGAGGCCCTGATAGCCCCTGAGAGCGTAGACTGTACCCATGGCACCTCTGCCCAGCACGTTACCCAGTAGTCCACGAAGCTGCTCGAAGGTAAACTCAGACACCCTAGGAGCTGTTGGTGCAGCCCCAGGCGGAGCAGCGCGCATCGTGGATTTATTATTTTGGGAACGGCCGTTTTAAGTGTGTCTCCTTATTGTTTTTGTTTTAAAATGACTGTCTTAGAGCATGACTCTGCAGGCAGGGCTTTGGCCCTTGCACGGGGCTGCTTCATCCAGCCCATGGCGTCCCATCCAACACTCGCATCTGCATGCGCAGTCAGGCCGCCTCTCGCCGATGCCTGCTGACCGGCCCCCACCGCCCCATACCCCTGCCTCCCCACCAGCCGGACCCACCGGGACCCAGGTGACTACGACTGTAGGAGCACTGCCCGAGCCACAGCTGACCGGACACCGAGGGCCCAGCCAGTGGAGAGCCCGATGGCAGCTCCTGACAGACGGGGCATCTAAAAAAGGACAGCGACCGGAGCCTCACCAGCCACGAAGGAAGACCAAGGAGAGGCGCCACGGGTAGAGCAGAGAGCCTGCGAGAAGGCTTGAATTCAAGGCAGATCGGCATGGATATCCAGACAGAGCATATCCTCATGGAGCGGCCGAGGAATGCCCAGACTTTGAATATATCACTGGAGAGGACTCTCTCGTTATGCTATCCATGACCAACTCTCGTCCGGTCTGGCTAGGAATTAAGCGAAAATTTACTCGTGGGATTACTAAACCATGCCCGCAAGCGATAACCCAGCCGTAACATCCCCAAACTTTGTTCCGACCACTAAGACAACGAGCGTGGGTCCACTGGGCAGCCTATAAGGCCTTTTTGTGCGACGCAGCATGTGGATGCGTCTACTACCTAAATGTGCGTTCGATTACATGATTCTGCACTGGTAAAGCTCCAGCATAACAGCAAGTGGCTCTCCGTGTAATCAAAGTTCAGTTCACTTTCAGTTTTCATACCGAGGCACTTGAATGTTCTATTCTTATTCAGCTGTTATTATCTAGTACGCATTGCTTAGCACTTTGTAAGCTAGGAGGATTCTTTCTCCTATGAGTCCGCGTTTGCATCAGCTTTATCAACTGACAATCTAGTTGATAGTTCACACAGCAAGTCTTTTTACAAATACCAATACATAGCCACAGAATCAATGTTGAGTAAGCTTCTTTTTGTGAGCTTTATTCTGCAATTAGCCCAGGCGGTCCAAGTAGTAGAAGAAGCAAAAGCAGCGGTCTCTGCCCCAACGCCGTGCGACGCCGCAGACCCCGGCGCGACAAACTGCGCCGCCGGCAAGTGCGACGTGACGATCAATGGCAAAACGTACTGCTCCAAATGCAAGAGCGGGTATGTCCCGGTCAACGGCGCCTGCACGCAGCAGGCCCAGGCAAACATGTGCACGCCTGGGTCGGGAAGCACAGATGGAACCTGCACGGCGTGTACCCAGACGCAGAAGCTCTACAAGGGCGGGTGCTACGATAACTGCCCGTACGGCGACGGATCGGCTCCGAACACCTGCGCGGACGCGCCTGCTGGCTGCGATCTTCCTAACTGCAAATCATGTCCCGACGGCACGTGCACAGAGTGTAACGATGGATTTGTTCTAGGTGATGATAAAAAGTGCGTGCCTTCTAGCGCCAACAAGAGCGGCCTCTCCACTGGCGCCATCGCTGGCATCGCTGTGGCCGCTGTCATCGTCGTCGGGGGCCTCGTCGGCTTCCTCTGCTGGTGGTTCCTCTGTAGAGGCAAAGCGTAGACTTAGATGTGACTTAGGTAGTAAATGCGTTTCCAGCTGCTCCACGCGGCTCCGTGCAGATATCTGAGCAGGCGGCGAGGGTCGGCGTGAGGCAGAGGCCCGGAAGCAATCCCTCGCGGCCCTGGCCCCCGCTCACCCGCTGCCCCAGTCCGACGCAGGGCGCCTCTCGTCCGGTTCCCCGAGTCTCTCCGCGTGGCCCGCGCCTAGTGCTGGCCCAGAGGTATCCTGACGAGAGTATTGAGGAAGAGACCCGCCGGGCGGTTCTCCGGTATCATCCTACAAACAAGCTGCTAGGCGAGAAGATACTGGATCTGTGTACGATTGTATGGCCACGCATCACGAACCGTGATACTATGGGAGAGACGAGGCCGCAACCACACTTTGACGCAGAAGGGAAAGCGTTGTGGGAGCGTATTTACTTTTGGCGGGAGAACGCTCCTATCTCAATCTTATCCGGCATGACCGCACCACGGATGTTCGGGTTATAGATGCGGACCTTGACGCCAATAACACCCTGCCTCATCTTTATGTGGCGCGTCGCCTCTGCCAGGAAGATACGCTTCGGGTGGCCCGTCGAGATCAAGCAGCCCTCTTTAAACTTGTTTGCACGGGCACGCTGAGCGCGGAGCTTACCGGCAACAATGACCTCGCAGCCTGCAGCCCCGGCACGCATCGCGGTTCTGATGATTGAGTAGGCTGCTCTGCGGATCGGCATCGCCTCCTCGAGCTTTGCACGAAGGTTATCAACCATGATCTCGGCGCTAAGCCCGCGCTTAATTATCTTGTCGACCCAAATGTTGAAGTTCTTGGGATCGCACATGAACCTGCCAGCGAGGAGATACTCGATCTTATGAAGACGGTAGTGGTTGTCGCCCATAACCACCTCTGGCTCGGCACACTGGATTATCACGCAGATCGAGTCGATGGTACGACAGAGAGAGCAGGAGGCATAGCCGGCGTCGACCAGCTCACGCGAAAAGAACTCGTGAAGTTCTGCCTCCATGATGCAGTCGTTGAGATACTTCGAGTAGTAGACGTTCTCCTCGTCGCGCCTAACGATCCTGGGCATGCTGTCGCGGTCCGGCCAAAATAAGGAAGCAATCTCATTTCAAAATGAAAACATTTTTTTATTTTTCTGAGTATTGCGCATGAACTTATAGTTTCCATGTCTATTTTTCTTAGGAATAATAATTGATGACCCATCGTGTCACGTACGAGTCCTCCAGCGACATCGGCGTCTTCACCCTTCTCACAAATAGGTATGCGCTTGTCGCGCCGTCAGGGGCCATGAACTACTACTCGGCCATAGAGTCTATCCTCGTTCCTCACGGTCTGCCGGTCATTCGCACAACAATCAATTCAAGCATCGTCGTCGGGCGCACCACTGTTGGGAACCGAAAGGGGCTGCTCCTTCCTAACAATGTTCAGGACCAGGAGATGCTTCACATACGGAATAGCCTTCCAGATGATATTATCGTTCAGCGCGTCGACGAGAGGCTCTCGGCTCTTGGAAATGTGATAGCATGCAACGACCACGTAGCGCTGATTCATCCTGACTTGGACAGAGAGACAGAGGAGATTATCTCAGACGTCCTCGGAGTTGAGGTTTTCCGACAAACCATCGCAGGGCAGGCCCTTGTAGGGACGTACTCCAAATTTAATAATAGTGGGTGCCTCGTCCATCCTATGACAAGCCGGCAAGAGCAGGACGAGCTGGCGTCGCTGCTAACAGTCCCCGTCTGCGCCGGGACCGTCAACCGGGGCTCGCCGACCATAGGCTCTGGTGTTGTGGTTAATGACTGGTGTGGGTTTGTTGGCAGGGACACGTCGGCGACAGAGATCTCAGTGATAGAGTCTATCTTCAAGATCAGACAGCTCACATCGAAGAACATCCTGGCCGACATGCACCAAGCTCTCGTGGAGAACTTCCTCTAGTGTAAATGACGGGATGTTTACTCGCAGCAGCAAGGCTATCTGTAGCGGCGGAGGGAGCGGGTGTGGTTGCGCTTCCACGCGGCTCTCTTCGACGGCCTCAGCTTCATCGCACCGATACCCTTGTTGTGGAGACCGCGGGCCTTGCGACCGGCAGAGGTGAGACCGCGACACTCGCGGCGCTTCATGACCGGGTTGCAGATCCAATTAATCTTTGGATCGTTGCGGATCCACGGGTGGAACGGATCGATGAGAATGACCTCGTACCACTTGTAGGACCCGTCCTGGGCAACCCAGTAGGAATTCAAGACGCGGAGAGACGGAAGACGACGCCCGACCTTTTGCTCGGCAAGCGCGCGTAGCGAGCGGCTAGGCTTCAGGCCGACGATACCAATGTTCCTCGGCTTACCATACGAGATGCCGTGGACGCATTGGCGTTTACGTCCGCCGCGGCGCACACGCACACGATAGACAACATAGCCCCGCTTGGCCTTGTAGCCCAGACGGCGAGCCTTCTCAGGGCGAGTCGGGTGGCTGCAGCGCTTGATCGCGTTCAGCTGGCGGTACTCCCATGTGCGGAGACGGAAGAGGTAGTGGAGGGCCTCGGATTGCTTCTTGCGCCAGAGCTCCTGAACGTACTTGTAGGCACCCATCGAATTCAGGCCGGGTAAAAAATGATCCTATGAAGTGAATTTTAAATTGTTGTAATTTTAAACAACCCTCGTGCTGTCGGCGAGCAATGCCTCTGCGTGTTGGTCAGAAGCGCATGCGTGCGCGGAAGATCTACCGTGGGAAAGAGCCCAAGCGCCTTAAGAAGCAAGGGCTTTCTGTTCATGAATTCTACAAGGCGAACGGCCTTCTCGCAATGGTCAACCCCAAGAAGGCGTGCCAGCGAACAACAAAAGTGACAGATCACTTTGTTGACAGTAGGTCTGCCATGTATCAGGACAGGATGAATCCTGCCCGATGTGCAGCGCCACTACCCGAAGAGAAGCAGGAGAAAGTTGGAACTATAGAAAACAAGGGGATACGTTGCTCAATATACGAGGAGGTCAAGCGTGTGGCCATGTTTCGGCCTTACAGAGAATTTGTGGAGGCGGCTATGGCCAAGTATGGCGAAGACTACGCTGCAATTGCAAGAGACATCGAACTCAACGATCTGCAGCACTCGGAAGGCGAAGTTAGGCAGCTATTTGCGCGGTATAATGACTATAAAAAGGGCTATCAAGTTAAGCCTTGTTTGCGAACGCACGTTGAGTCCATAACGAAAGCCTTGGAGAGCAACACCGACGCAGATACCCTCGTCAATATTGATGCACTTATGGATGCGAAGACCTCCCCAAGTCAGCTACGTGTTACTCAGTTGAAACACGAATGGGCCCACAAGACGCAGCAGATGAGCGTTGATGAGGCCATCTATCAAGCACGACTCTTGGAGCGCATGGCAAGCTAAGCTCTAGATAGTAAACAAGATACATGGGGAGTTGCAGGACCTACAATAGCGTTCTTGACGAGCTCACTTTAAAATGGTTGGTTTCAACGCTGAGTTCTTTGCCGTAACCTATGGGGCTATTGTCACATCTCTCTTAGAGGAACTTCATGACCCAGGAATGGTCACAAAGGAGCTGGACAGGATGGGCTTCAACATCGGACAACGGTGTGTCGACGAGTACTTGGCAAACTCATCTTCTATCTGCACAAAGTTCCACCACACAGCCACTGGTGTGCTAGGTGGTCTAAAAATGTTTCTGGGCTGCGCCTCCGGTACCATTACAGGCTGTGAGCCCGAATGTAGTGCCTACACCATTTTCGTTGAAAACAATCCGCTCGAGAAATATGTGAAGCTCCCTGCTCAGCTGGACCGTTTAGTTTATTCGCAAATAGTTTGCGGGGCAATTCGTGGGGCCCTGTCTTTGATTGGATATAATGTCACAGTTGAGCTCATTCCTGCTCACAACGCAATGGTCCACCCCTTACACCTTCGCGTTGAGCTTCAAAATGAAATCACAGAGAGCTTTGCTTGCTGAGAAGAGCATGCCTTCTAAACAAAAAGACCCATGACAGAGGAAGAGCAGCTAATCGATATCGAGTCTGTATTTTCCGTTGTAGGGGATTTTGGTGGGAGTGTCACGATGGAGTTAGCAGATGGAGCTATTGTTTATCACGCTTTTTACGACTTAGCACAGGCCGGGATTTTCAAGTAATCGTAACGCTGGCAGCAGAATCTATTTCTCTGCTGGTAAAAGAAGCTCCCTTTAGACTATGTAAACGGTCTTCTTTGTGCTCCTATGCGATAAATTTTCGCTTTGAAAGCTCTTGTCGTTGCGTTGATGGCTAGCTCCTATTTTGTAGCGCCGCAACGCATAGGAGAAATACTTTACGAGAAGGCAGAGGCGCGGCGGCAGAGATATGCAAATCGACGCGATTCGCTGGGGGGAACTTCGTCCTATCGTCCGGGGACAAGCGGCAGTGTAATGACCAATATCTTTCCTGCACGCCAACCACGTAGTGGAAAATCTGCAAAGATAACGGTTCAGCCTAGTAGAGTGGCTGGACAGTCATCTGTACGGCCGCTCAGTGCAGCACAGTCTAAGCAGTTTCAAAGCGCTGCGCTTATATTCAGTTCAGATAAGCACATGGCAAAAGATTCCCTCCAAACTTCTCGCTCTTTTGGGCCAGAAGCGATAGACCTGACTGTCAGAGGCAGAAGGGCGCCTTGCGCTGCCGAGCATTCAAAGGTAACGGCTTCCTCGCTTAGGAAGGGTGATTCCAAAGAGTTAACTGTTTATGTCGACCCAGATAGGCCTGCAATGGCTCCAGTTGCGATATTACCCACTGAACCCTTGGCACTGCAAGCGCCTGATTCTCGTGAGTCTCTAGACCGCAGGGATTCTCTAGCCCTTTCACCTAGCCTAGTTCCGTACTCGCCTGCTCCAGGTGCCGACTTACCCACATTCCCGAGACCGGAGGATCAGTCAGAGACCATAATGCCCCAGCAAAGAAACAAGAGAATTCGGCCTTTGAAAATGGATGCTTCTGATACTTCTGAGAAGGAATGTTCTGAAACTACCGATATTTCATTTGCTAGTTCCATCAAAGATAGTCGTAACCATCCCGATAGATCAAGCGCAAAGACACCGGCAAGTAAAGGCCAGGACACCTCTCATTGTAATACCATCCCTGTTCCAGCAAACAGCAGAGATTGCACTGGCACAAAAGATCGCTGCATGCGCCCCCTCTACTCCACGAATTTACAGCAGCAAAAACTACCCAGAAGCCGCTATACCCAGGGGCTTTTGCATATAACTTCTCAGCAGAAAAGTCAGTTTAATTCTAAGGGATTTCTAATCAACAGTGCACAAAACGATAGAGAGATGCAGCTGGATATCAAGGCGTATCGGAAATTTTGCAAGCAGTTGGTCATTCTTGCTGCAGAGCAGCAGAAACTAAAGCAGGGGTTAACTAGCAAGACAGACAATCAAGACGACTATCCAGATCTCAACCTTACTCATGAAGACATGCAGCGACTGAAGAACATGGGATACGATGTTTCTACTTTTTGCAAGAAACTCCTAACTATGAGCACTAAAGAACTCACAAATATAGAGACAGAATTTGAGAAAGAACTAGTCAATCTCCGAAATAATGGACTATTCTCAGGAGAGCGACAACTTAACCATGAAAAGATCCAGGCAGATCTCAAACAACTAGGCAAAGACGTGGAGATTCCAAAGATGCGACCAAACTCGGCAAATTCCGTTGGTCTTTCTACGAATGACATGAGAAGCCTAATTTATGAACAGCAAACAAACGCGCTTCTCAAACATTCGCCGTACCAATATAACCAGACGCAACCTCATTCAAAAACAGTCAAGGCAAAGACACAAAGCACCACAGGGAAACAGCGCAACATAAGATTCGATCCAGCTTTGATTCAGCACGTCGAAAGGAAGCAGGAAGAGTACAATAGAGTCCAGTCAGATCTCTACCTCAATAAGCTCTACATTAAAAGCCTAATTGACGAGCAGCTAGCGGAGCTAGGAAATATAGAAAGGATAGACGAGTCTGGGCGATTAGTACAGTCGAAGCCACTGATGTCTATTCGATCTGTGCAGGCAATGAAGAAATTGCCAGATAGCATGGTGTTGAGTTCTGCCTCTATAATACATACAGAAAAACAGCCTAGCATTCCATCACGGATCGTGGCAGCAATTCCCCAAGTAACAAACTCTAAGGCTGAGAAAGAGGTCTCCAATGAAGTAGCTCAGCTGAAAGAGGTTACACCTTCGATCTCATCTGAATCTAGTAGCGAGTGTTGTGAGTTAAGGAAGACGTTCAGATCGGCAGGTGATCACTATCTCATGACTAGCTCTGGGCATTATGACGTCGATGCTCCAATAAAGGAGGAAGGAAAGCCCTACCGTTACAAGCCTATCGTTGTTACGCAAGACGAAGTCGAAGCCCATATTCGAGAGCAAGAACTCACAAAGCAATGCCTCACTGAGAAACACATTGCTAGAGAGAATGAACTTCCATGCTCACAACAGACCAAGCCCGTCACTCGAAGACATGTATTGGACGGGAACCTAGAAGTACTGTACAGGCACCCAAGCACCGATTCCGGGTTTCTGGAGCAGAACCAGGCCAACTTCCTACGTAATAAGACGCCAGCTAACTACAAGGATGTGGTTAATTACTTCGACATACTCTCTAAAGCTAAGTCAGCAAGCAGACCCATCAAGTGCGCTCTTTGTGGAAAGGTCGAGTACAGCGTTTCCAGCGATGTCGATGAAGCTACCCATTGTATGAGCTGCAAGCAGGTATTGGCCTTAGGCAGACATTCCTAATTCTGCAAAATAAAATGTCTCAGAACTCTGTCCACACATCGCACAGCGTTGTCGTGGTCCGGGATTTTTTAAAAGAGCATCTTCCGTCCATGATAGACAGTGCACAGTATCTAACAGCCGTCGTCGGAGACGTAATTGATGTTATATATGAACCGGAGAATTGCGTGAGTCCTCAGAGGACGTGGATATATGGGCGCAAGAGAGAAGCAGGTGACTGCGGGTGGCTACCATCCACATATACTGTTATGTTGAGCCGGGGAACTAGGCCTCTCTATGAGCTATCTTACGAAGATCAGCTATGGCTAGAAAACAGATGCCTCACGCGTTTTGTTGAAAACGCCATCAATTACCTGCTTAGGGATCGTCGATACGCAGTTGAGGGAATTTTCCGATGTAGTGGAGATAAGCGTATGGAAAGCTGGATAATGGCGCATGTTGCTCGAGCTGGGTCTATCAATTTTGAACATGTCCCTGGCATTACTGCACACTCCGTTGCGGATGCCATCAAGTTCTACCTTAAAAAGCTTCCCGAGTCCATTATTCCGCCTAGGCTTTGGACTCAGTTTAACGGACTTCTTCTTAAGTACAAGGATAGCACTGTTCTCCAGGCCACGGATTTCCCTGACGTGCATTCACAGGTTTTTAGCCAGGGTTTTGACTATACCGTTTGTCGACGAGATGTTGGAAGTTTGAATTTATTAGTTGACGGAGTTCTCTCCAAAACTGCAGGCATGGACCTAGGTGCTCAGGAGAAATACGCATTTCTCTTTGGTGAGGACTCTGTGGAATCTTCAGCAGCAAGCTCTTTATTTAGTTCTGAAGGCACACACGAGGAGCTCGCCGAGGAACCGGAGACGTTTAGTCTTCAGCCATCACCTATGCTAGACTCAGCTCTATCTGAGCAAACGAAGATTGTTACCGATCAGGTTGTGTGTGATAGAACATCACTTGGTTTCTCAACGACTTCCAATGCTGCCAACGATAGCATGAGCAAAGAACTGGATACAAATTCTTCCCATGTGGATGTTGCACAAGAAGATGATACGTATCAGTCCTATGAATACAACCCACTGGGATCTTACGGCGTTGGCCCATACTATCACACACAGCAGATGGTGGATGATATAACGGGGACCGACGAAGGTTGTGGTTCAACAGACAATAGCACTGAGCTCCTCTTGGAAGATTGCAAAGGAAGCCCCTCCTCAGTCATGCCCATAAACCACATCCAACACAGCAGTTCCTCTGCAAGATCGTTTGTATCTGGAAATCCATGCACTCGCGAGAACAAGGGAGAAATAGCTGCAGAGTTCATCTTCAGGGTTCTGCCCTTGTCTCGTTTCATTTTGCTTCGGAGCATAATGATACTCTGCTGCCACATAATGGACGCCATCGATGTTACCAAAATGACTCCGCAAAGCTTTAAACAGGTCTTTTACATGTGCATCTTGAATGACCCCAACAACAACTTTTCAATAAGCGTGAGCCAAAAGGTAACTGAGTTTTTGTTTACAAACTGGCCGCTCTTCGAAAAATATTACAACGCCATTGGGATCCCATTCTTTGATCCCGCAATCCCCTTGCCCAGATGCAAACGGATGCACAGGGCCAAACATACTAGTATGCAGGGCATATTGGTTTATGTCCTAGCCACTTTCGATCCGGCAGATTACATTGGAATATCCAATTCCATTAGCTGCATCAAGATACGGCAAAACGAGATAGTCGCTTTAGTGCGAACAGAAGGGAAGTGGGCTCTCGTTGACACCGGCCCTCGTCAAGGTTGGGTGGACCTAGCGTGTTTGCAGCACAACGAGCTGTTTTGTCTTGCTGAGTCTTTAGCACGTTACGAGCTGGACTCGCCATCATAACTCATGTAGCTGCTATCGCTGACCATTTTCTTCTGCGACTTTGCTAGCCGTTTAAGCTGACGCTTGGTGGCGTCTGTCGGGATGTATTCTGACTCCTTGCTACTTTCGTCACCATTACTATTACTATTGTGCGTCTCTTCGCTGTCTAACGTGTCTGACTCAGCCGAGTTGAGAAACTCTGGGTTTTCAATTCCAAGCTCCTGAATGAGAGACGTGATTATGGCGTTGCAATGCTGACCGTCTGGACTATCTAGAAAGTTATCCCCGGCCTCTGAAGTAGCGGGATCTAAAATTCCCCATATTCGCATAAACGACCACAAGCTTGCTAACGTAATGTCTTGTAATGGGAGCGTTTGCATGTTCCAATAATAGTATGGAAACTTGTGGAGAAACCCGACATGCTCTGGCATAAATCGGATGCCCATAGACTGCTTAGCAGCAGTGAAATCCTGGCGCACCTCTCGCAGACACATGCGGTACTCCGTGTTTAGCGCAACTAGCAAGTTGAGGACGGGGTTATAGCGAGAGAGAAACTTTTCACGCTGTTGGCTAAAGGACCTGTGTACATAAATGTTGTCATTGTCTGCCGTAGAAACATAAAATGCGACAATTTCTGAGAGGATGTGGTGAAACGTTTGAACTTCTAAAAAGCGAATGTAGTTATCTAGCTCAGCCTCGTTTGTAAACGAAAACACTGTAATGGACGGAATGCGATTCTTGGCGCTGACAGCATTGGGCTCCTTGTCTCCTGCTAAGTGGCAAGTTGCACCTTGGTCCATCGACAACTTGCGCTTGCGCGTTGGCTCACTATCTTTATCCTTCCCCTCAGCTATGCACTCTTTCTGGAACCAACCGCCGCGTACCTCCGAAAGCATTTTTAATATCAGGTTGCTACTTTCAGGGTTTAATTCGTGTTTCAGTTGTTCGAGTAATGCACGTCTACTTTCTATTCGTTCAGTTTCGCGCATCTTTGCTGCCGGACCCAAATTTAAGGCAGCACTTCGCTTTCGGTCCTTTGGTTGCTCGTCGTCCAAGTGCTCATGAGTTTTACCCAAATAGTGAACAAAGTGGTTGCTTTCCTCAGGAAATGCGTCCACAAATAGTAACGATGTTAGCCGATGGGCAGTGGATATTTGCTTTGCGCTACAAGTGGCAGAGAGCGATGAGAGTGGTAACTGCGCCATGTAAGCAAAGCGAGAGGCCACAGGCTCGCTTTGCATCTGTGTGTTTCGGAGCTCTGCATAAAACTCTCTTTCCTCTTGCATTGGTAGAAGACTTTCCATAGTACTTGAGGTGAACAGGGCCTGTGACAATACATTGAGATGAGAGGCAAAAGGGGATACAGCCAGGTCAAGAAGACGGAGGCCGGCAGTCTGAATCAGCCCGAGATAAGCTGAACTCGAGTGGGGGACAAAGGCTTCAAGCAGCATGGAAGCAGTATCCACGGAAGTGTCAGCAATGGATTTGCTAGTGCGTAGAGCCAACGGAGCCCAAGGGATATCCGAGGGAGGATTGTCAGTAGGCGCGGCAACAAAAGATGTAACCAATGTTTCAATTTGCTCCTTAGTAATCATGGAATCATAAAAGTTTAGAAGAAAGCCGTGGAGTGATGTGCTATTGGAGATCTCCACATATCTTCCTTGAATATGTCCATAATACGAAAAGAAGCGATCGGTAAGTAGTTTCCGACGGAACTTACTAAACACAAGATTGTACTGACCGGGAATTTTGGAAATAAGGCTCCTCTGAGCAGTAGGGTCAGAGTTGCCCCATCTACTACTGTCAGTTGTGTGATAATCGTCGTCTCCTTCTGATGAATAGTAGGAGTCGTCACTCGACGCGCTGGACCGCAGACTTACTGAATCTATAGCCCCTTCGGATACATGAGAAGGCGATTGGGGCTCAATAGGATCCTCTGCACTATTCGCTGGCTCCTCCTTTTCGTTGGTTAGCGGGTCGATATATGCATCAACAGATTCGTCTAGCACCCTATAGTGCTTTAAGGAAATGTTGAAGTCAGGATCGCAAAGGAGGAGAGGCGCATCCAAAACAAATGAGATTGGCTCAATAAGGACTGCACGCTCAAAGCTACGTGGTGCGGTTGTAGTCGTGTCAGAGACAGAAAGCCTGTGTATTACGGGATCTGAAGAGGGCAGATCTTCACTTGGGCTCGTATCCGTGAAGTCGACTTTTATGATGTAATTTGTGCCTCCAAGAATGTAGTATTCTGCAGACAGAGCGTCGTATCCAATGCACTTCATGTTTGAAATCTTAATCCCTGCAGGCTGCCTGGAAATCAGAGCACCTTGGGCGTCCACGGTGTCTCCAGAACGGCACATCACGAGTGTTGCAGAAAAAACCGCGTCAAGTATTTCGGCTCTATCCGTAAATGGGAGCTTGTAAAACTGCCAGTCAGCTTTCTCAAGTCTGGTCAGAACCTTCTGATTGGCTATCACACGTGAGTTTGTATTGGCATAATAGCGCACTAAAGTAGTCAGAGCACCAATGACGCCAGTTTTTATTGCAGCCTTACGCAGAACACGGAAGACGATGACAGAGAGTAGTATCTGGTCCTGGTGGCGTTCACCCAAAAGGGCGCAGAGAAAATCCTTGTATAGCAGCCGAGGGACCTTAAACGCTACTCGGTGGTCCATCAGAGCGCCGTAAAGAGACAAACATCTACCGGCTACAGAAGCCGACACTGGCATTTTTTATCATCCAAAATCTCTTGCAAGCTAAGCGAGACGCACAGAGGCGAATGAACGTATAGGCCGGCGTATGACGAAAGGTAAGTGGAGCGCCATACAGAATATCACACGTATAATTTTATATCAATGTATAATTTTAACTCCACTCTTCTATATCACTTTCTTGATCAGTTGGAGTGCTAGGGTAGTCGTTCCCCCGTGCTCCTTCACAGTTGGAATCCTCAGGATCGACCGTGTCGCTGCTATACTCGGCAAGCTGGTCCCAGTGGCCTGCGGTTTGCTGAAGCTCTTCGTATGCGTCCTGAGTTAGCCATCCAATGTGCTCCACGGTGTAAGCAACGGGAGTGGTATTTTCCCGAGCATTGATGAGCAGTGTATCTCCGTCCATCGTGACGGAGGATTTAGGAACAACGAGGTCGCCTCCTGTCTGTTCTTGTAGGCTACATTGAAATGTGGTGGGCAGTTCTCCACGTCTTTTAAGCGGCGGTTCGATTATAATTCGGCTTGGAATGGGGTTTTCGCCGTCGGAGAAGTAAATGCAGCGTAACGTCATTTTTATTAGCTGGCCCTAGCATAGTGCCCAATACGTATTGTGTCACAAACGATGTGGCTACAAATAGAAGCGAAAGCTGCTTGTTGAGGGAAAGCGGCGACTGGAGTTGCCAATGCAGCGGCCTGCTCACAACCTACGTCTCTACATGTGTCCTATCGACTGCGTATGCCGATGAAAGTGCACACAGATCAATAGGATTTTGTGGTGGCCCAGGAGCTGGCGCTTTGGATGCTACAACAAACGCGTGCATATGTTCCAAGAACTTTGTGAAGATAGGCGGTTTCTGCTATAGCGTGAATTGCCTGCCAAGCAATCATATTCCTGGGGAATACAGACTGAGCCACGTATGTTCTGGAATAGGGTCGTGCATATACACTGAGACCACTAACTCTTATGGCTGTAAGTGTCCCGACGAAACCGAAAGCTACGGAGGCTACTGCACCCACACAGGGTGCGCTGTTCTGACGTACGTTGGAGGCAAATTGCAATACTCTGAGTGCGGGGCTCTTTCGCCGTTCGTCGAGTGTCGCATGAAGAGTGCCGGTGGTGGCCACGAATGCGCCTGCTCAGGGCCATTCACGCTGCTCAATAAGAGATGCATCCACCAAGATTGTCTTCGCGACAACGTGTACTGCGGAGGAGACGCTCTGGCCGGCTGCGTGTACAAACCGGAGCAGCAGAGGTTTGGATGTGCTTGTTCCGAAGGCTTTCTCGCTGTGAGCACAGGAGAGCAATGTGTCCCGAGGAAGTGCATCTATGTGCACTCGACTCTCGCTGAGCCAAAGGTGTGCGGAGGATTCGGCACTTGCTTTGGCCAGGCTGGAACCCCCCTTTCTGAAAAGAGGTGTAGCTGCACAGACAACACTACCGAAGTAACGCTTCGCGACATCACAGGGGTCCTTAAGAGTACGTGCGTCCAAGAAGGCTGCATCAATTACGTTGATCAGAATCCTCTGATCTGTGGTGGTGTCGGTGAATGCGTGCATGGAAAGTGTGTTTGTGATATTGGCTACTCTGCAGTCAATGGAACGTGTGCCAGCCCGCGCTGCATTGTCCCTGTAGCAAGCGGTTTGCATACAGTCCAGTCTGTGTGTGGAGGCCCGACTGTTGCCTCCTGTGTAGTTTCTGAGCTTCCAAACACTGCGCTGAATGGATATATATGCAAATGTATAAATACGACAGACAATAAGTACAGGCAAATCGGCAGACAGTGTGCTCCACAGGAGTGCGTCTTCCCAAGGTCTGCCAATGGTCACGACGTCGACACTGTTTGCGGAGGACATGAGTTTGGTACATGCGTTATGGATCTAGTGGGCAATAAGTCTTATTGCTCTTGTGATAAAGATGTTGCTGTCCAGCTCTTTACCGGAAGATGCATTCCTAAGGAGTGTGCTGGCCTCATTGACTTTAATAAGTACGAGGAATGCGGAGGCAACGGAAGCTGTACAAGGTCTGGCGATAGCTATTTCTGCACATGCAAGTCTGGATATAAGACAATCACCTTCCGAGGCGTCGTGTATCCGTGTGTGGCAACGGAGTGCATTACGCAAGAATCGGACGGGGCAGAAACTGTTTGTCACAGCGGAGGGGTATGTTCTGCAGAGAAGAAGTGTGTCTGTAAGAATGGCCACTACGGGGAAAAGTGTGAGAATTGTTCGAGTGGGTACACAAGGGACAGAAGCTCCAGAACCTGCTATGTCAAAGATTGCTTCAGTTCCGAGCCGGGCTTTGAAGACGTTGTTTGCAACGGGGCTGGCAGGTGTGTTGAAGAGGAAGGAGATAAGGGTTACTGCATCTGCGATTCCTACTGGGGGCCGTCAGGCACGGTATGCTACCCCCTAGGGTGCCTTACTCTTGGGACGGTGTGCAACGGTAACGGCCGATGTACGGTGGTCAAAGGGGGCGTTTGTACATGCAATGACAACTATCAGAGCACCGTTGATAGCATATGCGTCCACAAAGACTGCATATCCACTACGGGTGGCGTTAACCTGGTCTGCAGTGGACATGGCCGTTGTCTCTCGGATAATGGGAGAGTACCTGTCTGTAGATGCTATCCAGGTTACACACTAAAGGACAGTTTTGCATGCGAGGCCGACGTAGCAAGAACAGCCATTCAACCCTACGTTCCAATTGTCGTCGGAGTTCTTGTCCTCAGCGTGCTTGCAGGTCTCATTGGGTTCCTCTCGTGGCGGTTCTGTTGTAAGAACAAGAAGCCCAAGCATCCTCTCGATATACCCACGAAGCGACGAGGCAGGCGGGAAAGGTCTGCCATAGCACTCATATCTTATGCAAACTTCCGCGGTCGTAACGCAAACGAGGCCATGGGACTGGCAGAGCTAGAGGAAGGATCCGATGGTAGTGCCGCGGTTTAATATGTGAACATGGTCCATGGTTTTCCACCACTTCCCTACGCGAGAAGTCCCTGCGGCATAGAGCTCTGCGAGGCGGGGCGCCAGGGGGACGCGCGGCCGAGGCATGTATCTCGACAAATTTACTGCCCGGGCCTACTTGACCTTGGTGTACTCCCCCTTGTAGTAATACTGGCAGATGCACCGGACGGCCAGAAGATTCTGCTGTCTATTAAACGACGCATCGAATTGCCGGTCAGAGTAGATGTATAGCTTTTAGCTTGCACCCACGCGAGAGCTCATCCCAAGGACGCCAAGCGCAGTGCCTGCACCAGTCGAAAGACCATTATAACTAGGACAGGATCGTAGCAGCAACCTTTCAGGGACGCGCTGATTGCAAACGGATCGGTAGCGTCGAGATTCCGAAGCTTTGAGAGAATGACATGAAGTGCAGTGGAGTGGCTCTCACAGCCAAAGCAGCTTGCTGGGCAGAATTGTTCTCCCTTCCGACCTTCAGTGTCGGGGGAAAACGGAACGGCACACGCACGAGTGGTGAAGTTTCCTGCTCCGAGCATGCCTTCTGTTATGCAAAACGTTCGCAGTGAAAGACCGTTGTTCTGGAGAGCAGAGTAAAAGTCGCACGTGACTGTATCGTACGGCTTCGTCTGAGTCACCCGAGGTTCCAGGAAGTAGTTCTGCTCTTCAGCCTGATCATCTTCTTCTACCACCTTCTTAGAGCGTTTTCCTTTCTTTCCTTTTTTGTGCTTCGCGTTGTACTTTTCGATGTCTTCCACTGCTTTAGTATATTCGGGCGGGTGAGGCTTTGGCGCCGGCTCCTTGATCAGGCCGTAGATGGTCTTCGAAAACTCGTGGAGGGTCATGCCCTTGGAAATGAGATTTGTCAGGGCTTGGTCCCGGACGTCGCTTGTCTGTGAGAGTAACTCGGCGCGCTCGTCGCTGGTCATGTAGGCTGTAGAAACAGGCCTTACGGCAAACACCGACGAAACGTCGATCATGCCGCCTTGGCCGTCGTCCACGAGCACGGGGGGCGCGGGCTTTCAAATTAGTTTGTACTTTTTTGAATAGAATACCTTGTTAAGGTTTAGTTTACATATAGCGAGTTCCACAACGATTCTAAGAACACCGTAGCCAAGAACACGAGAATTTCTAGCCCTATCTGCCTACTATCATGGTGTTTTTATAACCGTATTTCCCAAAAAATGTTTAGCAATAGTCAAAAAAAGCTATGACTGAGCTAGCGACTCAGGACTCGGGAAAAGGCAGAAGACTCAGCCGGGTTATGAAACCCCTTTCAATATCTGTACCCGAACCATCAAAACACACTGAACCGGTACGCTCTAGATCCAGCCTATTTAGGGCGGAAGCATTTGTAAAGCTTCCATATGACAACTTAGAAGACGCCCACAAATATTACGAGTCATCCATGGCGACCCTTACCAACGTGCGACTCGGAGCACTGAAGCAGCGCTATGATAATGTTTTAGCAACGCGGTTTCCCCTTAAAAACCGCTACACCAACATCTTTCCATATCTGCGCACCCAGCCAATTGCGCTCTATACGGATAAGTTTATGATAAACAGCTCGACGGTCTCCAACGAAAGCACGGATAGTTCCTTGGCTAGCAATGGGACGTTTTTAGATGATAGTAACAGCTTTACAAACATGTCATCTTATCGACAGTCAATTAGCTACATCAACGACAATGAGGCAAACACTGAGTCCAAGAGCCCTTCCGCCGGCACTTCAATATTGCGTACGTGTGGCTTTCCCATGGTGGTGCCAAAGCAAAACCAGTTGGGAAGCCCCCGCCAACCAGAAGACATGTCACTTATCCCTCCGACTCCATGCACAGCAAAGGCCCTTTCTCCCGAGGAGCAAGAAACAGAGCAGATCTACCTACGGCTTTCAAGAACCAACTTAATGATCCGCTACTTTAATGGGAACATTGTCTCTCTGAACAACTTCACATTTCTAATCACTCAGGCGCCCACAATCGCGTCCATGGCTGACTTCTGGTATGTAGTATTCCGTCTAAAGGTGGTCTTTATTGCCAACCTCACTAGGTTCATTGATGATGAGCGACCCAAGGCCATCCGCTACTGGCCGTTATACAAGAGCAAGGAGCACGACCCGATTTATACCGACTCTGTCACAGGGTCATATATGCATTATGCGTACCAGAAAGCGCAGGATACAAACAACCCCCGTGCTGGGCAAATGTTCAAGCAATTCATCGCATATATAAAGACCGTCCAAGAAGAAATTCCGGAGGACTCTCTATTCTGGAACTGCACGCGAATGAAGCTTCACATCAACGCTGTTATAAGCGAGGATGCAATAGCAAAATCAGACGCAATAGGATTTTCTAGCGAACCGATAGATGCTGCAGAGGTCGAAGACGACGAAGGGGACGACCCTCTTTCTACCAATTTGTCCGGCGGAAATGTGAACTTGCTCTCTTCGCCTCTACGTGCCGGGAGTACAAAGCTTGCCTCTTCAGAGAAAGGAAATAGCCAGCCCGACGGGGCTTCGCGGACTACTACGATTAACCAGCAAATCACTCTGGGCTGCGTTGCGATGAAGCGCTACAGAGATCAATTTATCGGATATAAAGTAGGTATTAAGTGTAGCAAGGAAGTACACTACAGCAAGTTATACTACTACGGACTGTGGACAGACTATTCTATTCCAGATAATTTCGAGATCATCTTTCTGTTCTCCGTCGAGGCTCTACGCTACAAGAATCGGGGTCCTTTGTGTATCCACTGTAGCGCTGGCGTGGGGCGCTCCTCAACCTTCGCTATCTGCATCGTTATTACGAACATGCTCATCAATAACTTCAAGCCCGGGCAAGAATTCGTGAAGAAGGAGGACGTAAGAGAAGGAAAGGTCTGGCGAAGCTTTAAGCCATCTATTCTTGAAATGACTGAGATACTTCGCGTACAGCGTAATCCGCTTTGCGTTCAGACGGTAGATCAATTCATTTTCCTCCACGACTATTGTAACTTTGCCTACGCTAAGTTGAGGGGATCTTTCGGTACCTCTGAGTGATTAAGTTAGCTAGTTGTCTTCGTTTTACCCATCTGTAAACGTTAGCGCCTGGGTTTTCTTAAGATCCATCAAAAAACAAAATCTGATTGGCAATGCCGCCCAAGGACCCTGCCGAGGAGCAAGAGCTAAAGGCGTACAATAAGGCGCTTGAGGAAAAGCAACGCCAAGAAATGATTATATATCGGGAAGAGTTCAAGCGATATCAGGTAATTCGCGACATGCTTCTTGAATATTGGAATCATGTGTGTCTTTTCATCCAAAAAGCAGATAACCTGGAAAAGGAGCGGATAGCTGCCGAGTCTCATGAAATGCTCAACCTTCTACAGACCTGTGGGATGCAGGCCGCAGATGACATGCTAGAAATAGAGCAAGAACGCAATTGGCAAATTTATCTTGGGAAAAACTCCACTGAGAAAAGCGTGCTGGCCCAAACAGAGATACTGATCGCAGAGGTCGAGCTGCTTTTGAAGCACATACACCCCGATAGTACGACGCACTCGCTCCGGCAAAACCTCTCCGGCATTTCATCAGTACGTCGCTTTATCGAGGACAAAGCGACACTTTTTGACATCTACGTTGCAATCGCCTGTGAAGTTTCTAATGTCCTGGCCTCTCTAGAGAAGACTATTAGACATAGTCCTGATTTTGGAATGTCTCAACTTCGAAAGGAAGACGCAGCACACGACCTAGGCGAACATCAGCCGGCACGCACCCTGGAAGATGGGGACCATAGGCCAGACCACGATGGTCCTGGGCCCCATCTTGCTCACCAAGACAGCCCATCTTTGATCCCCACCTCTTTACTGTCTCAGGAGGAACACGCTGCGAATGAGAGTGACATTCCTTTGATTTTGACAGATGTACCTGGCAATCGTGGAACAGATCAAACTGCCCAGCAAGAGCTGTGCGATCCGACTCTTTATGATCCTCAAAATCCTCTGATTGCTAGACCTATTTTTCAGCCAAAGCAATCGCTCCCAGATATCGTTGATGCTACCCTCAGAAAGACATACATAAGGCCCATAACAGTGGGACGACGTGCTCAAGGTGATTTAAGTCGCGCCCAGTCAGCCAAGAAGATACAACAGGCGGCGGAGAAATCTCCAGGCGGGGATAAGACACGCACAGCGTCTCCTAGTGATGAGGCTGGCAAGCAAGGAAAAGGAAAGAAGAAGGGCAAAACCCAAGAAGCTGTTGCTGAGCAGGAGTTTCCAGACGAGCAAGTCAAGTCCTTCATCATGTATAGCGATAACAGAATCTATAATTTTGACTCGATTAGCTGTGGGGTTCTGCCTCCTAATCCGACTCCGGCCAGCGTTCCGCCGAATCTCACAGAAAAAGAGAAGAGAGGATTTTCCCGTATGAAGAGTGGGACAATAACAACGACTGATACATCTGCAGCTCGTATTAGAAGCTCGTCTTCTGGGTCTACTTCACCCTTGCCGGGAGGTCAAATTTCCCAGGGCGGTGTCCAGTTTGATGCACAGCTAGACAAGGGTATAGATATTAAAAACGCGACAAAATATGATCAATATATGACATACATAACCACGCCCACGCTCCTCTTACGAACTATGCAAAATCAGCAATATATCCCAAGAAGCCAGCTTGAGAAACTGGCGCACATAGCTACGCTTCAAGCCCAGCGTGTTCAGCTTCGCTCAATTCTCTTTACACTGCACGATATGTGCTCCAAGTATCTTCTTGATCACTCTGATGACTACCTCCCGCCGACAGCTGAGCCGATCAAGCTGTCTGCTCCTGCTGATCTCTTCTCTCTCGAGGAGTACGATGATATAGGAGAGTCAGAGTCGTCGGATACCAGAACAGATAAGGCGTCAGAAGATCTGGACTCCAACGTGTCTGACCGGGATAATATTCTTGATCCCGATATAAAGGAAGCTGCTCCAAAGCCGAGTAAGGCGAAGGGTGGGATCTCACTCTCTGCATTGGAAGCGCATAACGCCGCCATAGCCGCCAAGCTTCAGGAGCAGGAGAATGCGCCAAGTGATTCTCCTCTCCAGATGCATCCTGGAAGCAAGGCTTCAACAAGGACAAAAGACCAGATGACGCTTAATTTTGACGGTGTTGTCAAGAAGATAACCAACACTGACATTATCCATCAAAACAGAGCAAACGCACACGGGCCATATGTTCCTCTGATTCTCTCCCAGATCTCAAAGCGTGATATTAAGCATGACGAAACGTTTATTAGCACGATACCCCTTTCCGTTTTAGATCCGTCCAATACTAGGTATATCGGCTGTCGCAGCACTATGATAGACGCGGAGCCGACAAGAGCATCAGACAACGCATCTCCGTGCGATATCAAGCTGGGACCGACTATTGCCGGAAGTCTTAAATCATCAAGCCGTCCTACGAGTAGCACATCTCAGAAGAATGTTGCAAGTAATCTGACAGCTCCGAAAGAGCAGGCTGGTGAGACTTCTACTCCCAATAGTAGGGTTGTTTCACGGGAGAGCATTGCTGCTAGGGACAAGCTTTCTAAATCTCGTGATGGTGGGTTTAGAGCAGCCCAACTGAGCAGCACAGAAAGAGGTGACAAGGAATCCCAGTCAACGACGAGGAAGAATGTTACCCCAAGTCTACAAGCGATGTCTCATGGTTCTACTAGGCATGCGTTAGAGCCACTCAGTAGTAATATGCTAACTGTCGAACTCGTGAATAAGTACCTTTATTACTTTGGCAAGAGGCTGAATTTTATGGAGAAGAAGCCCCTGAATCATGCCCTTCATGTCTGGATTAATACAGCAAAGAATCCTCGCTTTAGGAACGTCCGCTTTACACCTGCTTTGAAGCTGGTTCTTCCTAACAGTCTCTGCCTCTCCAATGTCGCTGTGCGGCTTTGTGTAACACCTATTGATCTAGTTGGATATAAAGCAGAGGGGCTCTCATACATGTCGCTTCAGAAGTATGTTGACAATCGCAATCTTAGAATGTACGAATTTTCCAAAACTGCCAAGCTAAACAAAAACCGACCTGCAATGTCATCTCTTGCACACGTTGCGTATCCAGATATTGTTTCATTCTGTATTGACACGTACATCTCGAAAATAATTGTTCCACAGCAGAGTCAGCTCAATTACATTGAAACCGAGACGGCTTCTAGTGATCTGTGGATGACCGACACTCTTTCCATGCTTACAGAGCTGGGGTTCGATCTCAACAAAGCACTGGCTGTCTACAACCTAGCAATCCCCCCGGAACTGCTAGAGAAAGCAATCACGCATATTAATATACGCACATTAGTTGGACACAAACAGAAGCTTCATGCTCTATATAAGATCATCCACACTAACCTACTTGAAACACTCAAAGACATGTGTCTCACTAACATCGCCTACCTCTTCAAGATAAATTGCATCAACCTCATCGTCCGTAATATCTGCATGTTAGAGCTCCTCATCTCAGAGGATGAGCGAAATAACTGCCTTATGCGGCACCTTATCGTTAAGATAGTCGAAGAAGAGATCCTTATCTCAGAAGCAGCTAAGAAGCGAGGAAAGAAGGGAAAGAAGGACAAGGGAAAGGCCGATGAGCGGCCGTCTCTAATAGAAATGGTCACACGAGATGACATTTTGCATTGGGAGAAGAACAATAGCCTGCTTCCAGCCGTTTTTGTCCCCGAGGCCGAAGGATCAAGACCGAACACCGCTTCAAAGAAGGGTCCCAAGCTAGACAAAACGGCATTTCCAACCATGGATGAAACAGTGAAGGACATGCTGGCAAAAATAACATCCCCAGATGACATGTCATCTAGTGAAACCGATCTCACCGACTCTGAATGTGCTGAGATAGTACTTAAGAAGTCCAGGGCCCAGTCGCGGAACGTCCATCACTCTACTACCAGGCAGCACATATTGGAAGAGGACGAACTCTCGGAGGAAGAACTAAAGAAGAAGGAGAGGATTGTACGCCAAATGTCCTCTGACAGGATTCAGGACGACTATGACGCTGCTTTTGAAGATCCCCCTGACACTCCTCTTATTCCAGAGTTACTTCCTGTCGGAGAGATGTACTTCCTTAACATCATTCGTATTCCGCCCCAGTTGACAGAAGCGAATAATTGGCTAGTTCTACCACTAACTCACACGAGCGTTGAAGAGGCTCATCAAGCTAAGCTGACAGACGGCTTAGATCACGATTTTCTTACAGACGTAGCACAAAACTTAAACTACAAGGCCATGCCTGAGAATGACACACAGTTTGTTGCCACACATGCAGAGCGCTACCAGCCTATCTCTCTTGAAAGACGCCTTGTCTCTAACACAGTTGATCGTGATTATGCTGATACACATTTTCGATTTGATGACTCAATCGGCGAGGTGGATGACGACGCCTCTTCACCTGTGCGGGACGGGCAGAAGAAGCCGCGCAACAAAAAGCGGCAGACAAACACTCGCGATCTGATCTTTACTCTGACGTACGTCGAGCATCTTCCATACCCAATAACCACGCAAATTATTCCTATTTATCCTGGATGCACCATCCTCCGCTGCTCTGAGATTGCTAAAGAGCGAGCTGCTCTCCTGGCATTTGATTCTGTGACTCTATGGAGCTGGATACCAAACATCTTTAACTATACTCAGTCAACGCTCACTAAGGAACTGTTGGATGAAAATGGTGAGCTAGAAGAGACGCTTAATGTAGACGATGAACATCCAGATCCAAGTGCTCCAGGAGATGATCAGCAAGGGGATAGACAGCCCCAGGACCCCAAACCGGAAGAAGGCGACCAAGCACAGTCGGATCCTGCACCAGCAAATGCACTTCCAGGGGCTTTACCAGGTGGTCCCGAACCACAAAAGGAGCAAATAGAGCCCATAACACTTGAGTTTGTTCTCCCTCCGGAGCTGTATGTTGCGCGCATTCTTACTGCAGAAGAGGCAGTCTATAGCCTTCAGAAAGCTATGCTGTCACATGATCAGACTTCTTTACTTGGGGTGTATTTTGTTGGCATATGGAATATCGCTATTAATTCATGGGATGTCGATGGCATACAGTCTGTCGTCTATAAGCCCGAGAAGAGGACTGTTGTTGTGAAGTTGCTGAAAACAGGCCCCCTTTCAATCGTTGCCCTGAAATATTCATCACTTCCCTATCGTGCTTGGAGCCTCACTCCGTGCTTAGACCGAGGGGACAATCTTAACATAGATGAATGCGCTGACTTGCTTGGAAATTATATTTACGACCCGACCACGGGCATGCTTGAAAGCGGTGCCAGTCTGACAAAAACAGGACTGAGTAATTCATACTGTGATGACTTAATGGATACCAGAAAATCGAATGCACGTGGTCCTATGGCCTCGATCACCTCTCAAAATGGACAGAACTCCAAGAATGCTCAGTTAACATCCATCAGTAACGTTGCCAGCAGAGGAAGGGTTACGTACTACCACCAGGGAGCAACTGGCAATAAGATTCCAGTGCCAAAATTGACAGAACGTTCTATCCGCCTTTATAAGCAATCGGGTGTTGTAGTGCACTCGGTGCTGATGAAGTTGGCACTACCATCCGGTATCCTGCTTTATCTACGTATTCTACCGGAGGGCTACGAGATAGTAGGATTTACCGAGATCCCAGGGTTTACAAACTTTGTCGATAACTTACGAGCCAATGACTACTTGCCCCAGCAACAGCTATGCTCCGTACTGAACATATCCCACCTTACAACTACTCAGACAATGTCGCAATCATTAGGCAATATCAGCCGCACCAAGGGAGCAGCTGCACGTGCCCGGCAGGCAGCAGAGCTGGCCGTGGCCAAGTCGACGTTTGAAGCACATGCGCACATACGATGCCCGCGTGCGTTTAGAAACGTGATCTTCCCCTCCACAACAGAGCTATTCTCGGCCTTGACGCGATCTGGAATCTTCCTTTCGCACACATCGGACCATGATATTCTACAGGCAAATCTACGCCCAAAGAACCGAAATATCGATGTAGAGATGGCGCGGCAACTCGCTGTCTTATCATGCGTTAACCTTTCTGCCTCAACTATGCCTCTGGTTCAGGTTATAGGAGCGAGCCCCTGGAACAGACGCCTCCCCAATGAGCCAATTCTTCCTCCACCGCAAAACCAGTTCCAGATCACAGAGGAGAAGTTTGTCGAGTCACTGAAGAGGAGCAGGGGCTGGCTTTCAGAACTAGAGCTTCGTGAGCACGAGAAGGCTGAGAGGAAGAGAGAACGTGCTGAGAAGAAAAGACTAGAACAAGAAGCTAAAAAGCCTGGATCAACTGTTCCTCCCCCGAAGAAGGTTGAACAGAAGATTGAAAAGGGAATGCCGGAACCTCTCGGCCCAGGCACCTACGGGTTTACCAAGCTTACTGTAGACATCCGTGCAAACGCAGTAGCGGACTTGAAGGTATATATGAGCGAATACTTGAAGAGCATTTTTCCGATTCAGGCTGTTTCATATGACCATTCTGCATGCTTTGTAGTGGGATGCAGTGTTTCTGCCGTGGACATGACTTTACCCCCGTCGTCCTCTACTAATTCTTTGAACGACAGGCAGACTTCTTCAGCAGGAAGCGTTCTATCTCTCACCACTCCAAAATCTGCTGCCAGCGCTCGTGGAAAGCCCGCGCCCCCCGTGCTCGTGGACGACGGCCAAGGCGGCATGATCGACGTTTCGTCGGTGTTTGCCGTAAGGCCTGTTTCTACAGCCTACATGACCAGCGACGAGCGTGCCGAGTTACTCTCACAGACAAGCGACGTCCGGGACCAAGCCCTGACAAATCTCATTTCCAAGGGCATGACCCTCCACGAGTTTTCGAAGACCATCTACGGCCTGATCAAGGAGCCGGCGCCAAAGCCTCACCCGCCCGAATATACTAAAGCAGTGGAAGACATCGAAAAGTACAACGCGAAGCACAAAAAAGGAAAGAAAGGAAAACGCTCTAAGAAGGTGGTAGAAGAAGATGATCAGGCTGAAGAGCAGAACTACTTCCTGGAACCTCGGGTGACTCAGACGAAGCCGTACGATACAGTCACGTGCGACTTTTACTCTGCTCTCCAGAACAACGGTCTTTCACTGCGAACGTTTTGCATAACAGAAGGCATGCTCGGAGCAGGAAACTTCACCACTCGTGCGTGTGCCGTTCCGTTTTCCCCCGACACTGAAGGTCGGAAGGGAGAACAATTCTGCCCAGCAAGCTGCTTTGGCTGTGAGAGCCACTCCACTGCACTTCATGTCATTCTCTCAAAGCTTCGGAATCTCGACGCTACCGATCCGTTTGCAATCAGCGCGTCCCTGAAAGGTTGCTGCTACGATCCTGTCCTAGTTATAATGGTCTTTCGACTGGTGCAGGCACTGCGCTTGGCGTCCTTGGGATGAGCTCTCGCGTGGGTGCAAGCTAAAAGCTATACATCTACTCTGACCGGCAATTCGATGCGTCGTTTAATAGACAGCAGAATCTTCTGGCCGTCCGGTGCATCTGCCAGTATTACTACAAGGGGGAGTACACCAAGGTCAAGTAGGCCCGGGCAGTAAATTTGTCGAGATACATGCCTCGGCCGCGCGTCCCCCTGGCGCCCCGCCTCGCAGAGCTCTATGCCGCAGTACACCCCCGGCACCGTCAACTTGCAGATACGCTGGTCCACCAGTATGAGGAAGCACTCCTCGTTCTTCGTCTGACAGAGCAACACGTCTACGAGCACCTTGATGACTTTAGAAACTCTGGGTCCCTGAACAGGAAACGTGGCTGGAGCTACTCTGCGCTCTGGACGCGAATAAGTGCCTGGGTAAACCCTCAAAACAGTAGCCTTTAGGTTCACTTTTTGTCACCCACTTCTTCAACATCTTTTTCAGAAGCTTTCGCCTCAGCAGGTTTATCATTCTTGGGTTCTTCGGAGTCAGGCTTTTTGATCAGATCGGCCTCGGTCAACTCTTTCCCCGCCAGGGCATGCTCTACAGCAGTTTGAAAGTTCTTGCACATCCATGCCTCGGTAAACTTGACTGCAAAAACGGTTTGTTTCTTCTCGTTGTCTGAAAAGTCGAGACCGGCAACAGTAACAGCTTTGTCAGAGTTTCCGAGCGGCTTCACTGCCACGCCCTCAATCAAGGGGAGGTTCACTGCGCACTTTAGGGTCTGATCTCGATGGAGAAGAAGCCTGTATTTCTTCTCTTTGGGATCCTCCGCGATCAAGACCTCACCTTGACCACGCTCCTTCCATTCGTCATCTGCAAAACGGTATACCTTTGCTCTGATGCGGAAGTAGTCCTTTTCATTTGGACCACATTTGGTTACTTCCTGGGTAGGTTCGCTTGTCATCAATTGCGAGTTTTTTCGTTATCCAATTTCACTCTGCTGGCAAAATTTGTTAACAACCCGATGGGATACAAGCTACTAAAGATACTGGGTTCCGGTGGCTTCGGTTCAGTGTACTTGGCGCTAGATGAAAAGACAATGACCTACGTGGCTATCAAGACAGTAGATTTAGAGCAGTCACTTTCAGAGCTGGATGTGGTCCAGAAAGAGGTTACCCTCATGACTAGGTTGATGTCTAACTACACTATCCGTTACTATAGGTCGTGGTGCACAGAGAGCACCTTGAACATAGCCATGGAGGCTGGCCTCTGCTCTGTGGCAGATATACTGAGCATAGTCGGACCCCTCAACGAAGCTACTGCGTGCTTCATTATGTACCACTTGGTTAAGGGGGTTGCGTATCTTCATGAATCCAAGGTCATACACAGAGATTTAAAGTGTGCCAATATCCTTGTGACCGATGACAGCACGTCTTCAACCGTGGCACAGCAGCCTGATGGCTTGGCAAAGCGGCTAATTGACTTAATACTGGGCAAACCTGTTTCTCCAGGTCTCTTTTCTGAAACCTCCAGGCCGAGGAGCTCTCATGGAAGTTACATCTCGACTATTGCTCGCTCTTTTTCTCCTCGGCCAAATTCTGACTCTGCAGCTGCCTTATCATTGGGAATCAAGCTCTGCGATTTTGGTGTCTCGACGACAATTTCTTCGACCATGTCCAAAAGATGCTCGTTTGTTGGCACACCTTATTGGCTTTCCCCAGAGGCTATTACCAAAAATGAGTGCGATTCTTTTTCTGATATCTGGGCAGTTGGAATCTGCCTCTATGAGCTTATTTTTGGCCACCCACCTCACCACAAACTCTCTCCCACGAAGGCCATGATTGAAATAGCGAGAAATTCGTCCAGCACATCACTGTTTGATGACAAGGTTGAGATCTCCAAGACGTGCAGAGACTTTGCTGCCTGCTGTTTGGACAGAGACAAGACTAATCGATGGCCTGCAAGTAAGCTCTTGACCCACAAGTGGTTCAAAACCATCCAGAAGGTCTCTGCACGCGATGTTCTAGCCCCCATTATGGAGAAATACTTTCGTGACTTCAATAGACGAGAGCAGGATCGCTTACACGACCCCTTTGCCATACAAACAAAACAAGATGATCTGGGCTATATTTGGCTTCCCGAAGAACAGGGTTCTGCCGAGGAAGAATTTGTTCCAGTTAAACAAGCTGCTGCTTCCCGGGCAAGAGCCAATGCGGGCTCCGAGATAAATGTCACATTCTCTCCAGAAGATCCCTATTTAAATCAATTAGACCACGAGAAGATTCAGCCGACCAAGAAACAAGAAGATTGGAGCTTTTCTAGTGACACATCCGAGAACTCTCCCCAACATTCCAAATTAACATCACCACCACCACCTCACCTAGAGCAGAATGTCGGCCAGCTAAGCGCTACAGGAGAAGATATAAACGGCCAAGATGTTATCCTACCCCTGCAAAGCGTTGCTGATGGCTTCACTGACTCTTTGCAAGGGGGTGGATGTGCCCGAGTTTCTACTGATGAGTCAAATGAGCCATCGCCGACTATACATCCGTCAGAGCTAGTTCACAAAGATCTATCTAATGCTACCCCATTGAAGGATACCGTTAATAGACCGACTACCGCCGTTAAACTACACTCAGTCCTCTCACAGGATCCCAGTCAGAAAACCCAAATTCACATACCTGGTGCGCAAATCACCGATGCACTTAAGGTTCCTCAGGTCCCACAGATCCCCGCCATTCCTCCCGCTCCCGCTTTTTCAGATAGTGTAAGCCTCTCTGCCAGGCATCGCACAGATAAGTACAGCTTAACCAGTCCCGGACCCTCCTCACGTAGCGAACTTCGAAAATTGAGCTTCAACTCAAGCGATCCGCCAGGTTACAAGACGCCTCCTCCACCTTCCTTTATTACCAGCAGCAAGCTAGAAGCCTCGAAAACATATAGCACAATTAGCGCCACTCTGTCCAGAAGCCAAAAGAACAGTGTGGATATTTTAATTGCGACGTTGAGGACTGTCGCAGCCTCTCACCAGGTAGAAAGCGTGGAGCAGCTAGTTTCTGAATTTTCTGCACTAGGAAACGATTTCTGTGACAGCTTTATAAAGCGCCTCTGTCTTACAAAGCTTTCTCACGACCGGGAAACACTGCTTCTATCTGCAACATCTTTGCAAGATCCGTTGCTGAAAGCCCTAAATGACAGGTCTAGTGTGCAGTAAACAGTCTAGAAGCAGCATTATTTACAGTCGCACTGAATGAGCCAACATTACTAAGAATCTTCAAACTTCTTAAGATATGGGGACGTTTCACTCGTTCCTCCCGCCATTTTGAGGTATGGATTTGTTGTTGGGGGACTGGTCGGAGAGGTGCCAGGATTCGTTGCCTTAAGATAGGGGTTAGCAGGCTTAGTAGCAGAGCTAGCAAGGTAAGGATTTGTGCCAGGAGACGCCTTAGCTTGCAAATAAGGATTCGCTTTAGTGGGCGCCGGTGGAGCTGCTGACACAGCTGACGTAGTAACAGAAGAAGCAGAGTCTTCAACAGGCTGCACTGGGGCAGCAATGGGGGTAGGCTGCACTGGGGCAGCAATGGGGGTAGGCTGCACTGGGGCAGCAATGGGGGTAGGCTGCACTGGGGCAGCAATGGGGGTAGGCTGCACTAGGGTAGGGGCAGGGGCAGATACCTGCTGAGAGGCCCATGATGACTGACTAGAAAACTGCTGGCCCGGCAGACCCTCTCCACCTTGGAAGGACGGTGGTACCTGCCACGCCTGAGACGGCGCTCCTATCTGTGCATTAATTGTAGAAGGTGAATAGGGGTTAAACTGCTGTGATGACGGAGGCAGTGCTGTTTGCGGCGGATTACCTAGGCCTCCAAAAGCGACAGGTTCTTGTGACTGTTGCTCTTGTGAGGATCTGTGATGCATAAACATCTCTACTTGAGGCTCTGGTAGTTCATGAAGTTTAGGAACCATAAACTTCGATGATGAGACAACCAGCTGGGTATCACGGATGATGTATGTGAAGACATTAACAAGTGGTGAACCCTTCGATACTCCCAGTAGGACAAACGACGGTTCGCTGGTATAGCGAACATATGGATAAACCTTCGATGGGTTAGGCACATATGTCTTCATTCCATCAGAGTCCGTAAGAGAGCTTGCATCCTCTCCTGGTTGTGAGCTCTGGCTAAAGCAGTAAGATGAGTCATCGGCGTAACCGGGCTCATGTTCCTTAATACTGCCAGTCAGGCTCCCGGGCTTAACCACCAGAACGTTATCAACCATTCCAACGAACGGGCGCCAGCCACATCCGGAACAAATGATCTCGCTGTCGTATACCTTTGCAAACTTAGAAAGCTGTGCTGAGTCCCCCATCGGCATGCATTGGCTTCCATTCATTACAGAGATGTTGTAGCCGCAGTAGTTGCGCGTGTCCACGTCGGGGTAGCTTGTCTCATCGTAAGGTCCTCGAACTGCGTGTAGATCAGACTTGATAGTCTTGAGAAACGAGACAGTGCCTGCTGATGTAACGTTCCCGGTCAGAATCACATGGGATATGCGCCTGGGGTGGAAGATTTCCCGGAACTGAATGGGGATTTGGAAGGCTTTTGTCGGGATGTTGATGTCCCCCACCACGAGAATGAACTGCTGAGACATTTTTATTTTTTGACCCCTTTAGATCAAGCTTTAGATCAGCGCGCTGCCCATCACGTGAAAGATATAATTATTTACAACTGGCAACTTACCAAGTTACCTCCTTGTACTGAGTTATCTCTGTCCTGCAGATGGGACACGTGCGCGTACTATTTAATATGTGCTCCAAACAGACATTACAGCACGCAATATGGTTGCACCGATAAAATACTATATTAGATAAACTTCCTAGGCATACAGAGCACGTGGGAATGTCACTGTCCAGAAGATCAACGCAAGCATCCTTACTTAAGCGAGCAATGAACTGCGCAGTAGAATAGATAGTGCTCTTTAGATCTACTAACATTGCATCAGCTTCTCTATTCAATTGATTTGGATCTCTAATGCGCTCCTTGTGGTCATTATATATCGAGACTAGCTCTTGTAGTTGTTGTATCGCATTCATCATGTCTTGGATTGCCTGATCTGCACCATTTAGCATGGAAAGTGTGTTTTCCTGATTAATATCGATGTCTAGATACCTAGCGAGTTCCTCAAGTTCGGCCTTAAGCTGGTCATAGTTTGGATTGATATCATTTGCAAGATCTTTCATAGAGCTGACGGCTGCTTGTTGCATAGCTATCTCAGAGAGGAGGCTTTCTTGCTGAGTCGTTAGATCTTCGCATTGCTCCTTCAACTCAAAGCTTCTCCTTTCTTCACCACTTATTTCCGAGAGTAACTGATCCAGGTTAGAGTGCAGATCCTTGTTTGCTTGAACGATCTCTGGGTATAGGCACTGCATTCTCTTGTCTCCTAGGAAAGAAAGCTCCATGTGAGACACAAGCCTCGCCTCGTTGTCTGCTGCTGCCTGAGCAATCCGTGGGTCCATCAGAAGCTCCTCCACTGTCAAACGCTCAGCTGGATTGAAGGCAAGAAGCTGCATAACAAGATTTCGGAGCCAAACGTCTTGAATTAAGTCAATATGTTTCCCCATGAATTCAGTCCACTGCTCTTCTGTAGCATAGTGTTCTTTATCGGGGCAGTTAAATTTCTGATTTGTGATACACTCATACAGAATGATGCCAAGACTCCAGGCATCATCCTGAGGGAATCCAGGAGAGTCGTCCCCACGCAAGAGCTTTTCGGGCGAAAAATACCGTCTCGACATGGGGGTTCTCTTCGACTTTACCCGAAGTCTCCTCAAAGTAGGTACCAGGTCCATGACCACATATCTGGAGGAGGCGGCGTCAATAACTACGGAGTCTAAGGACATCCATCCATGCACCCGTGGAAGACAAAACGTGCTTATGTGTTGCGGACCGACCTTATATGGACTGTGGAGGTAGGCTAGGGCAAGTGCCGTCTGGGCTGTGAACTTAAGTACATCGCTGACGGACAAGCCGCAATCTTTATTGTAAAATTTCACGGCACTCAGCGGGGTGGCACAGAACTGAGTGACATTATAGACGTAATATGCGTGTACAAAGAGACCATGATACCTGATAATGTTGGAGTGTGCCAGAAGCTGTGCAGAGGCGTACTCTGCGTACAGCATATCCAGCGTGGCACGCTCACCTTCACCCTGTATCTCGGCATCAATCTCCTCGGCCATGAACTTGTCCGTTCCCTTGAGAGTATAGAGAGACAGATACTTGAATGAAGAGAGGTGTTGGTCTATAGCATTAGAGATTGCGTCACTGCTACTATACTGTTCTGGCAACATTTCTTAATTAATCTCAAACCGTCAGGACACAATCACACACAATCACAGCCTGCAAGTAGAAACTGCCTCCGCTGAATAATGCACTGTTCTAAAATTCCCATTTACTACAGCTCAATCTTATAGAATTCAGATACTAGGCCACCACACCTGGTACAAACATCAAATGTGAAGTCCTCCTTATCAGAGTATACTACATGGCGACAGGGAAGCAGGAAATAGGCGTGTTGGGCGCTTCCAATGATAAGCTCGTTTGCACCGCTGCCTAGGTCAGGTAGCTTAGACTGGGGAGAGCTTCCACCTGTATGAAGCATGGAACGGATGCCTGCGTTATCCCTCATCAATGAATCTATCTTAAGCTCGAGCCTATTTATGGCCGAGCGCATATCAGGACTGTCTGGGGAGTTGTGCTGCAAACGCATGGAGACAGTCTTCTCTATTGCTGATCGCATAGAGTAAATCTCCTCCTCCTGAAGGAGCTCCATGATGCGCACGTGATCGCCAGTCGACGCGTATATGTATGCACTACGACCCTCGTTATCGCGCATCCCGAATTCATATTTAGCCAGCAGTTCTGCTATCTCGTAGTGGCCTTGGTCAGCTGCATACATCAGCGCAGTCAAGCCCTGAGCATCCTGCAAGCAGCTCTGCTTTGGTATGAGAATGGGTGCCACCTCTGTGCGACCTCTTTGGGCTGCAAGCATTAGCGCTGTCACACCCTTATCTGTAATAATCTTCTCCTCGAATGGGCAAAGAAGCTTCACAATGTTCACGAATCCGTTTTGCGCGGCCGACATGAGCGCAGACCAGCTATCATGGGTACGTTTGCCGGCCTCCTTACTGAGCAGGATCTCTGCAATGCGATAGTGACCACGTGCAGCAGCAGCCATGAGCGCTGTCCACCCTGTTTTCGTCTGTTTTCCTGCAAGCGCTTTGACAAGATACCTAACGATTTCTTCGCTCCCATTGTGGGCGGCACTCATTAGCGCTGTCCAGCCGTCCTTGTTGGTTAGGTTAACCTCTGCGTTTACCAGCTCTTCGACAATACAGAGGTGGCCTTGCTCAGCAGCCCAGTGAATGGCTGCAGAGCCATCTATATTGCACATGCCGGCCTCTTTATCGATCAGCATGGAAGCGACCTCCTTGTGTCCATTTTTGGATGCGTACATCAGGGCTGTCCAGCCTTGCAGGTCCATGTTGCCTGCCTCAGCTTCGATAAGTCGCGCAGCAACATCCTTGTAGCCATGCTCAGCGGCTAGCATCAATGCTGTGATACCCCGTCGCGTAATCTTCCCCTTTTCAGCCTCGACAAGCTGTTCGGCTAGCTCCGGAGCATGGGCGCGTAGCGCGTACATAAGCGCCGTAAAGCCCTCGTCATCTTGTTGCCCCATAGCCGTGCTTAGAAGACGGCGGGCGCGGTCGAAATCCTCCGCTTTGAGGGCCATCATCAGCTCTGTTGTGCCCATCTGTCTTTTTTTGTTTTTCCGCCGAGTCCCCAAGACGCTAGGACGCCTCTTCAGGAGCAAGATTCAACACGGTTAAGATGGCATCCAGCGTACGCTCTACCTCGTCTACCCTTCCGGGCAAATTTGCAGAGTGGCTCTTGGCCTGGTCTATGACAAGTTGATCGACCCGGCTGTTGAGCTCTATAAAGCCCGTCATAATGGCCGATAGTCTGTCCTCACGCATCATGTCCTCCATATAATGCTCAATTCGCACAATCTTGTTCTGCAACTCTTCAAATAGCTTTGCCTCATTCTGCATGCTTTTGTGGATTGGATAGTTAGCAACAAACATAGAATGCGTTGACGACAAGGTATCTAAGTTTTGTATGGTGATCCCATGGGATGTAATAAGGGTCTGTGAGACATTCTCTATGGATCTTTTGATTACCTGAAGCTCTTCATGCAAATGGTTGATGGCCCTGCTTATAGATGACTCTGTATGTAAGTGGGCTGTGGAAAAAGAGGACACATTGCTCTGACCCAGTCGTGCCTCCAAATTGAGAATCTTCATTTCCAGAGCCTTCGAATAGCCTGAGATCTTCGTTGCAGCATCGTGCGTATTAATGGATAGCTTAAGCACTTCCTCCTGAAGACAGGTGAGACGGTCTCGCAGAGACGCTATTTCTTCGGCCTGACTCGATGATACTTGCACAGCCTGAGTCAGGCTTGCGTGGAGTGAACCCAATTTTGCTGCAAAGTCTCTGTGCTCTTCTCTATTTTTAGTGTCCATGCTACTTATAGATTCGCTAAGTACCCCTAGATGACCTATGAGATTGCTGTTTGTTTGCTCTCCAGCCGCGCCGAGTGCGAGTTGGATCTGTGCACCTGCTGCGCTCTTTTCTGCCTCTGCTATCCGTTTCATGAGAGTTGCATGGGAGTCTGTTAAAGCCTGTATCTCCATTTGAGAGCGCTCTAAAGCCGCCTTAAGTTGCCCGATGTCTCTATCTTGTTCCGATAACTGTCGCTGAAGGAAGATACCTTTCTGAGAACTGTCAGTGTTTGCAGAAGGGGGTGTGGACCGAGTCATTTCTATTATTATTGCATCAACCTTTTGCCGCAGCGTATTAATATGGAGCTGGAGGTTCTCTAAGGCTTCGGTTTGATCTGATTGCTGTAGGTTGGGACGAGTCGTCAATTCTAAAGCACCTTCCCCCACACTTGTTTTCTCGGTCACTGTCGATCCCTGGAGAGGCCTAGTAGTTGACATAAAGGTTGGAACGGGCACGTTGTGGGGCCTAAGAATATCTGCAGACGCAAGTTGTTGGGAATTAACGGCAAATTGGTACGGAGATATCGAGCCGTAGTAAATGTCCTTTTCATGCGCAGCAAGCTCTGAGACCGCTTCTTCACGTCCTTGGCGAATGGCGATTATAAGGGCAGTCTCGTTATTCTTGTTTTTTCTTCGCGCTTCGTACCGAATCAGTTGCCGGATTATCGGGACACTATTTCCATAGGCAGCAAACATCAAAGCTGTCATGCCTTTATTATCTATTTCTGCTGTTTCAACCAAAAGAGCTGGGATGCACTCTGCCTTTCCAAAAGATGCTGCGTACATCAACGCCGTGCGACCTCGGGAGTCCTTCTGGCCATGCTCATACTCGACCAGAGCGGCGACAGATCTCACGTCGCCACGTTCTGCAGCCATCATTAATGCCGTGCACCCACGTTCATCGGAAATGCCGGCTTCCAGTCTCCGAAGGATGTTCACGATGTCAGGGATTGAAGCTCTGCCTAAGCTGTAATCGGAGCACACGCATTGCATCAGGGCCGTCTTTCTGGCGAGATTAAGCAGCCTAGCACTCTTCTCTACCAAGAGCTGAACCACGGCCACATTACCATAGAAGGCTGCGTGCATAAGGCCTGTGTTGCCATTTTCATCCCGCACATCGTACATTTCATTTAGGTGCTTCGTTATATAGTTTATGTTGCTGTACTTTACTGCCTTAAACCACTCTATTGCGTCTCTATCCATTTTTAGTTTACGTTCTGTTCCGCGATTATTCCACAACAGCTCAGCGCCTTGTGCACCTTCTACACCGTCTTCTGATCTTCTTCCACACCTGCTTCAAGAAAGTTACGATGCTTTTTGTATACTCTTCCCATTGGTCACCTGGAATAACAAACAAGAGCGCACAGAGAACTCCCAAGGCGTAAGAGCACAGGGTGATCACAATGGCAATTATAAGGCTGAGTCCGAGTGCTACGTGTAGATATTTCCATGTAACAAACCCCCACAGCATGCTTCCTGCAAGGAGCACGAGTGGATACTTTGTGTGCTGAAGCAGGACAGTGGTGATAATGTAGTTCCTGAGTGAGAGAATCATCTCCTCGGGACCTTTGGCTCGAATAATCAGCATGGACGAAAAGCTAAGGTAGACCCCTGAGGAAAATGAAATCAGAGCGTTGAATATGAGAATGTGGATCGGGAAATAGTAACGCACGGCGGTCGTTATTAGCTTTGATTCCGTAATGACGATATATGCGTCAAACAGTAAAGCCATGAAGAAGATGCATTCGTATGTCATATGGGCAACGATGTGTTCATAGTGGCTCGAGAGCTGCATAAGAAACTGGCCCTCGCGCTTTATCTCTGTGATCTGACGTGCAAGGCTCATCGATAAATCACTAGATTGCCTATTTACAGTCTTAATAAGGTCATCAGTTGGGATCTCGCCTCTTCACAAATGACATTATGTCGCACGCAGCGGGCTTTTGCTTTGCCTTCACCTTTGGCTTAGCACAGTGAGATACAACCACCTCTTTGTGCACAGTTTCCAATGACCCATCTTCAGTAATAGCCAAGCTTGAAACTACAGTAGGTGAGATTCCCTGCAAGGCCGTCTTCTTGATTAGCGGTTCATCTATCGATGTAAGGGGCTCTGTAGACGAACAAAAGTGAGGCTGTGCTTCTTCAGCGTGTGCTTCGCGACGTGCATCCGAGTTGACCACTGCATAGAAAAGCTCACGAGAGTAGCGAACAAGATCGTTATCTGTCAGCTGGAGCCGTTCATTGCGGGCCTCCATGGCGCTTCTTATTTCGTCTGTTGTGATTCTCGCATACAGCATCCCATAGGTAGGATCTGTCATCATTTCTCCGCACTCTTTCGTCACAATTGCGCTCCATACATTTGACGGTTCCTCATCGTAAAGTCTTATGAACGAGTGAGACACTGCCGCAAGAGCACGGGGGGCGGCTTCCTCTGAGATCCCCGAGTCCTTCATTGAAGGATAAAGCGAAAGTCGAAGCACCATCCCATGCTCCCCGCACTCCGACGAAATTATCAGCAGGGAATATTCCTTGGGAGAAGTGGCTGCAGAGAGAACCGCATACGCAGCAGCCTCTGTGGACCCCGTCGCCGTGGCTATACTGGCAGGTGTTGCGTACCCCACGTTGTATACGCCGTCAAGAAGTGCCTGCCGGCATTTACTTTCCATCTGCGCTCACTGTTTCAAGAAGATGGGATATATTTTGATCGAGAGCGTCAATACGACTCAAAATGTCGTCCAAAGCGGAGCTCACGCGAACTGTAGCCTGCTCCTGCTGGTGCTTTATGTTTAGTAGCAGCGTCTGGATCGACTCGGCAAGCTGTTCCGGGTTCTCCGGAGTAGACATTAAATTTTGCTTTAGCGTATCTTTATTAAAAATAGCAGGACAGGAATGGTGAAAGTGGCCGAAGCGAACGAAAAAACTATTTTGCTCATGAGTCGACCAGCGCCCTACAACATTGACGATTTGCTGCTCGTGCAGACAGGTGATGCTGAACCCGCACTGATCCAGCGCGTTCTGAAGTGTATGTCTGATGCGAGAGACATCGAGGGTCTTTCTGCCCTTGTCACATCGGACAATCCCCTCGTCTCAAAAACTGCGCGTCACTACCTGCGCACTAATCGTCTCTACAAGGTTATACATGGGAAGAGCAAAAGAAAGTCGTACGTGTTCCCCATTGAGACATTTATGCCACCCGCTGTGGACGGTATCTTCGTCAAGCCGATTCCTCCTCTGGATCTTCCGCGGTTTAACGACTCTATCAGGATCTACCTTCGTAATCACGGGTCTATGCCCTGCCACCAGATCTCTATGCTCTTCTTTGAGCACAACAGTCCTTACGTTTTCATTGAGTTTCTCCACTGCTACTCGCGCCAAATGCAGCGCTTCCTCTGTGAGAAGCTTGTGGAGGAGCTGCTTGAGTTTTCTTCCGGCTATTGCTGCAGGCTGGAGAAGGATGAATCAGGCGAACAAAAAGTTGCACGAAGCCACTACCAGAGGATATTAGAATATTATATCAAGCTGTATTCTTCCGTGCGTTTGAGAATTTATCGCATGAAAACGTCTTTTGACAGACCCTCTCAGTCTACTATATTGCAATCTAAGGCCAAAGCCACACTTATAGGGACAACTATGGGCGCCTCGAAAGGGTCCCCACATCTGTCACTCTCAGTGAGCCTTCAAGATATCGGGGTTCGGCTCGCAACTCCTGTCACTGTTGCTCCGCCAACCCCCGACCTGCGTGAGCTAGCTTTAGAGTCCAAGATGGATTCTATAACTCCTATGGAGGATATGTCTATCGAAGCGCTCGATCACGTTTATTGGCCTGAGGGCACTCCAGGAGCTCCTTCAATGAATACTCCTACCGCACCAGACAACCCACTTACATCTGCCCTGCCAAACAGCGGAAACATTGCGCCTGGTGAGAACAACAACCAGTCTGCAGGGCTTTCAGGCATAGACACGTTAGGAGAGCTTTTCCAGTGTGACTACGCCGACATGGATTCGCGATATCAACCCACAGTTCATCCTAATGGCCGGTTTCCTCACGAGATTGTTTTGGAGTTAGTACCTATTGGTGAATGCATCCGTGCGCTCGCCAAGCCATACAGTAAGCTTCGGTCTTTTCTCATAAAGTGCTGCAGTATCGATCCCCTCCGGTTCTTTAAGGCACTGAAGATTTACAATCCAGACGGGTCCTATAATCAGGAAATACACAACTTTCGATTGCACTGCCAACTTACGAAGCAGTTTGCCGCTCACTACACAGGAAACTTGACCTATCCTTATCATTTGTACGACGTAGATCTGGACGACTTGATATCTCCATTCTTCTCACAAACTATTTACGAGAATTATGTCAACTCACGGCGGATATCCTTCACTTCTGCGCTCATCGGTGACGTCCTTTCTAACATTCATATAAAGCAGATACAGCAGACGCCCAGCCGTATCAGCGACTTCCGTGATAAGGTCGCCCGCGCGAGGACCGGCAGGGCAATCTATGGTGACAATCAGTGCCTTTCTTTTATTCAGCTTATCGGGGTCCACTTTAAGCAGAGCCTCAACAAGTATGGATACCTTCTTCAGAAGCCCGAGACATTCATTGCAAATGGTTACTCGTACACTACGGAGACTGAAAACGATCGTTCTCAATTTGTGGCTCTCCTGAAGACCAAGGCCTTCAAGAAGCTTGTCGAGGTGCTCCAAGTCTTCGTTGAACGAGCGATCATGGTCGAGTGTGACTGGACTCGGTCGTCCTTTGACGGTGCAGATGCTATTACGTCCTCGAATGTGCTGAAGTTTGTTTCTTACAACGATCTTGTATTGAGATACTACAAACACATTATGGGACTAATTGAAGCCTACAACTCCATAGCTTCTACAGATACCAAAGACGTCTTCCTCTCTTCGTATATCCCCCCGCCCGAGACACAGAGACACCGCTTAGATGAGGCGTTTGCCAATGAGTCGATCTACCATCCGTGCATCATTACAAGCATATATCTTCTTCAGTTCTTAAAGGAGCAGCTCAGTCTCATCGAGGACTCGGAGGACTCGTACACCACCCAGCTTGCATATTCCCTGCTATCGTCCCTAGAATCCAATCCTATGTTTTCATATTACTACCCCCACGCACAAAAGATACTGATAGCTTCGCTGTCCTCCCTACTGGTCAATCTACTTTATATCTTTACAGCTTCCGAGCCCGGCGACTTCAGGACGAGCATTTACATGGACATGACGAACATTTCCGATACGCTGCAGCGCCTGCTACGCCACTTTTCCTTGACATCTTTCCGCAGCAGCGGTTCGGAAATAGTAATGCTGGGGTCTCATGTTTGCCCTACCCTTTCGAATAAAGCGCCCTGTGGTGGAAGCGGAGAGTTATCAGTAAGCCATGCGGTTCAGTCACTGGAGGAATATATTGAATCTAACAACTTCACAGTTATCACAGAAGATCAGCTTCTCTCCAGCCTTTCCCCAGATCTGGGCGAGGCGGATTCTGCTCCCCACAAACTCCGTCAGCTTCTAAAGACTCATAACAAGGTGTACTTGGTGAAACCCAGGAGCGTGGTGTATAACGAGGCCTATGAAATACTTATGACTATAATCAAAGATCCAGAGGCCCTCTATGTCTTTCTCATCCTCATGGACGGGGTCTTGTACGCCAGGGAGATCAGTCCACTTCTTTTGTCAGATAACATCTACCTGACGTTGTTAAGTGCTGCGATCCGCTTCAAGAACCGTTTTCATCAGCTCGACTTGGTCATTGAGCGACTCAACGAGATCTCCCACTATTGGTTTGCCAACAGAAAGATGCTGAAGGGGCTCATCTTACACGAGACGCCGCACGGACTAATGATAACGGGCCCGAGTGCTGACTTTCCCGCCCCAACTCCGTTGATAGATATCAATGCACACTATGCCAGGCTTGTTGCGCACTTGAACGATGAACTATTAACGAAGTCTAACTCGAATGTCATCCACTCTGCCGCGTCCCATTTCGCGCATTATGCTGGCGGTGCCATTTGCGATTCAGTCACTGATGTGACCGTCCTCTGTACGGCAGGCGACCTCATATCGCCCTTTGTTCGACCGAACCATCTCATTAAATCGAAGTTTTCACTTAACGAGCGCACGCTGATTAGTTTGCCTTCTCCTATAAAGATAAGTTTTACGTACATCAATATGTTGTCTGCCCTGGATATGGAGGAGATGTCTATGAGGTCAGAGAAGCTTTCTAAAACCACTCCCATCATAGAAAAGCTTCTGCCCTTTTCTCAAAGCTCGTACATGGCCCCACTGGTCAAATTCACTCCTTATCACAAAGGAACCACTGTCCTGTTTAAGAAGGAGGACGGGTTTGATTGGAACGAGAAGCTTCCGTCTGATCTGGCATTTGAAAGCCTCGTGATCAGGGCTGTCGGGGGTTTTTCGCGCAAGTCGTACCAGGTGGACGTCAAGTCGCGGGCACGGATTGAAAAGCTAGCTACCGCAGCCTTTAAGACACGTTTTGAGCCCTTCATCTTAGTCCTGTTGCACATAATCAAGACGAACATCCAGCACTCCCTCTCCATTAAATTGGTGACGCTTGCCATTCACCTCTCATTTTACTTTAAACACGTGCTTGCCATCTGTTCTCTAGGCCGGTTTCTGCTTCCCATGAAGCTAAAACCTTATAACAAGGACTTTACTACAGTGGAGCTCAAAGTTCTTGCACACAACGCTTCTGTGATTATCTATAACACTATTCACGTTCACCTGAGAAAGTATCAGATGGTGATCGACAGGTTCTTGTCGCACGCGCTAGGAGACAATCTATACTCGCAAGTTGACCGGTATGTTCTAGAGGATCTTACTTCCATAGAGGTGCATCACCCTAAACACGACGCACGTGAGGGTAACGCGTACACAGAGCATCATCTGGAATCCTTTGATGATACATCCCTGTCCGCTCCTGCGTCTGTCGTCCACAGCAGAAGGAGTAGCATGCTGGGCGTGGGGGGAATAGACAGCGGGCTCAAGACCTTCTTTGAACGAAAGCGCCTTGTCATAACGTCCTCTAAGGTCTCCTCCAGGGTTTCTTCTCCTCTATTGTGCTCATCGGAAGTGTCCTCGACTCATTCTAACTCCATCAAAACTATAAAAGATCCAAGCCTGCTTGCGTATACGCCACTGGAATTGCCAAAACTATTGAAACCAACGACCGAAACACTCAATATTTACTTTTATAAGTCCCGCATATTTATGAAGGACATCATCGACATGTGCGAGCGAAAATACTTTGACCAGTATGAGACGATGGAAGCTATCATGTGCATATTGAAGTACTTTGTCCACAAGCATGTTGAAGCGTTTTCTGGTGTAGATAAAGAGCGCCCGTCGTCCGGCGTTCTCCGCCGACTGAGATTGTACGAGTACTTCAAGAGGCTAGAGATAACCGATCTTATCTGTGAGCAAATATACACAGCATATTGCTTTGGAATTCCTGCTTTGTGTGTTTCCTAAGCCTTGCTAATCACAGTGCCATTAAAGGTATGGTTCTGCCCCGTTCCACGATATAGAGACTATAGACGTGCCGAATAACGTGTATATTAGTTGGTTGACAAAGCTTTTGTCCCTGATGCCGTCCTCCTCTCTCTTGCACGTTACAGGGCCCTCTAGTGTTAACGTAAGCCGTACAGCTTCCGATTGGTCGTCCAAGGAGTCGGAATAAATCACATCTACCTCTTTTCTGGAACCAAACATGCGATCTGCTAGTCCAGTAGAGATAGTATCCATGGCTGCTTTGTCAATAGGAAAGAGGGATGTATAGTGTGCTTCGTTGAATAAAACAAAGCATGGACAGAGAACCCCCCACTTCAGATTGTCGCCTATCGTGAGGTAGTTGTAATATTCATAGATGCTAAGCAAGCCTACATCTGTTGGTGTGTCAATGCCCTTTAGAGTAAAACCATCGCAGGTAACGACCCCATCGTGGGTGCCAGCCACTGCCTTCCCGTGGATGAAAAGATTCACCAATTCCATGGACGCATTGTTCATGTTTGTGAATAGGCTGTCCGATGATAGCCCAGTACTAGGCCCATGGCTGCCATTATTTGAAGAATCAAAGTCTGTGACTGCGATTTCACGAAGCGTTCTCGTGAGTATCACCGAAACAACGAGGGCTGGGATAAAGGAAGACGGGAAAGCTGTAATTGCATAGAACTGGTAGAAGAGAGAAGAGAGAATACCATGGATTTCCGCCGGGGAAGATGCTGTAATGACTTCAAAGTCATCCATCTCTTCAACTATTCGCGCCAGGCCTAGCCGACCATGAATGTCTCCCAGTAACTGTTGCCGCGCAACTGTGTCTGAGGGTGCTACGCTCGAAAGCTGCTGCAGAAGATCTCTAGCAAATGCCCTGTGAGTAGCTGGAACAACTAAGTACGCACGACCTGTAGGGCTCTGCTTCAGGACCAGTTCTAAAGTGTCATAAATGGCAGACAGAACTGCTTCGATAAACGGGACCGGTACATCCTCGGCTGCTAAGTTTTGCAATCCAATGGTTAGGGCTTGAATCAAGGTAGCAGAGGCCAAAACACGTGGTTTTGCGCCATGAAATAGGTATTTAGCCGCACGCGCTTGAATAACTGCAATGACTCCGCACGGACCTCCCTCACGCTGGTGAATGGCCCACGACTTTGGATGCAAAACAGAAAAGCTCGTCTTCTTTGGCTTTGTTTTTGGTGAGAGCGAAAGACAAAAGAGCGATTGATACCAAGTATCTGGAATAGTAGCTTGTCTTTTGGCCCCGAAAAGGACTGATTTGAAAAGCGGGAAGCCACCATTAGCGGCAATGTGATCCTTAACTGAGACAATAGGATGTGGAGAGATGAGCTCACCGGGCTCCTCAGAAGGTTGATATTTGGAAAGTAAAGTTTCTAACTGTGGTGCCTCTGGCTGTGACGTTGCTGTCTCTTCTATCGTGCGATGTATGCCTTGCGGCCGCTTACGGCGGACGCGGCGAGCTTGCGCCACTTCCTTTTCTTCACTTGCAGACGCCTCTTTGTAACTCTTTATGAGCACTTCCAAAGAGGTTTCTAGATGTGGGACGCCCCTTTTCTTCTTCTCAAATTCCTCTCTGAACTGTGAAGTGATCCCAACAGCCTCGAGTATCTCCAGTCGCTTACTGAAGAGCTTTGGGATTCCGCGATGTATAGCTTCGCGTTCAAAGGCTTCGTAGGCCTCCGTGTAGTCATGGAGCTTCAGATACTCCCGTATGATGCCGTGCGCCATGTCCTGGATGCTCATATGCGGGCCACACCCAGAGCTTTATCTTAGCTAAAACAGGAGCAAGACCTGAAAATTTACCCTGATTTTATAATCCTGTGCCATGAACAGCATCTTCAACCCTCAGGGGATACGGGAGGCCCCGTGCTTCGATAGGCGCGAGCGGTCTCTCCAGCGGCATACTACTATAGACAGCTTGGCAGATTTCGACTATCGCTCTCCCCTTCCTCTAACTAAGGATGGATTCCCCACCACTAAGAGCACAGACACCTATCGCACGGATCTCATGAATCTTTCAATGACCCCAGATGAGGAGCTTAACAAGGTAATCTATCACGAAACCCTCCGGAATAGCCTTGCGAATACAAGCAGACGCAACAGGAACGTACGCTCTCATTATGGACCGTCGTATTACAGACGTGGATACTATAATGAAGAGCTTGCCGAGATGCTTGTAGATCGCATGGACACTCTGGCATACATAGGAGCGGAAGGCTACAAAGGCCCCAGCGTCCGAGAACAACCAAGTTGCACGAAGACACGCTCACAACTGAGATCCAGTTCTACGGGACAAAGTTCCCAAATGGTTGAACTCCCGGGATTTGCAAGAAAACCTTATGTCTCCAGCAAGCCATCCTACATATCTCCAGGGACGGAGAAAACGTATGTCCATGCTTTTCGCGAGAAAACGGAAGTAGAGCGCTTCCATACTGGCGTATTTAAGTGTAATCCTGTAACAAGCGAACAACAATGGTCTTGTTGCGGATCTTCTGTCCATGGAGACCCGGGCTGCATGAAGCGCGTCTCATATCCGAATAAGGTTAACTATGGCCTCACGTTCAATAGAATATGTAATTAAACGTTGTGCAAATCAAAATCCAAGCGAGAGTAAAAAATGCCCAATTATCGCCTCCCTGAGGCTTACACTTGGATTAAGTCCATTGCAAAGTGGCCCCATGGCGAGGTCTACCTGGCGTCTCGCAAGTCTGACGGGCAAGTGGTGGCCGTGAAAGAATTTCCACTCACACATATTTCCAACGACGAAGTCCGCGCCACGTTGCTAGACGATCTCTCTCACTTGCCGGACTATGATCACCCCAACCTTATCAAGTATTACGACGTTATTCACGATGCGGACCAGAATTGCGTCTTCCTTGTGATGGAGTACATTACGGGCGGTTCTTTGCGCGATGAAATCAATTTCCGACGGGACTACAAAGACCACTATTCTGAGTCTCTCATCTGGGACGTTATGGTTCAGGTTATCGACGCCGTCATCTATCTTCAAAACATGACCAGCAGGCAGAACAGACGCGCGATGAACGTGGGAGCTATATTCCAGAATATAAAGTCGAGCAATATCCTCTTGATGAGTAGGGTTGATGCAGGCCAAGACGAGCGCCCAGCCGACCACGTGATTCGTTGCATCAAACTCTCGGACTACGGCTTTTTGCGCTTCCCAGCAGACGTGTATTCTCATGATCTTTCATATTGCCTTTATCAAATGGCCCACCATCCTCCCGAACTGCTAGAGATTTCTCGCATATACAAAGAAGTCATGGCTCAACAGTCGAAGGGGAGGGAGACTCCCGTGGAGAGTGACCCTGGGTTTACTAGCCCAGCTCTGAGCACTACGAGTGTTCAGCCCAATGATTTTATCCCTCGCATAGACGTAAGCTATGATGGACCATCTGCAGACACGTGGAGCCTTGCATGCTTGCTGCTTGAGCTCTGTAACTTGTGCAAGCCAAAGTTTGTAACAGAGAACAGAGATATGAAGGAGTTTTTCCGGAAGAATGTTGGGATAAAGCTCTGTAAAGGATACACAAACGATGTTATCACGTTCTTGTCCAAGACACTGCGCTGGAACCCCGCCACGCGCAAGTCTCCTTCGTTGCTCTTGGAGCTTGATGGCCCCCGGGAAGCTGCTGAGCGTCTGGGTGGACTTCACGCTGAGTCCTACTACTGCTCGCGGTGTAGTTCTCGTCTTGGATTGCAGTTCGGTGCAAGTCCAACGCGCACATTCACAGGCAGCGGACACCATGGATCAGCCCCAGGGACTCCAGGCTCACCTGGACCCATGAAATGCCGATGCAGTCACTGCCAACGCCCAAGCACTGTTGATGCCGTAGAGCCACGGCCTGCGGCAGTTGCACGGGTGATGGCTCTCCCGCCCGTGCTACCACCTAACATACCAGCCAAGATCGTCTCCAGTCCTACGGGATTAATGAAGGCTTGCATTAAGGGAGACCGGAATACAGCTAAGAAGCTGTTATCTTCTGCTGATGTCGGTGTTGTTACCTCTACAGGCATGTCTGCTCTCATGTACTGTGCGCAAACAGGGCTGACAGATATTGCCGAGGCCCTTCTTCCTCGCGAGGCTGGTCTTCGAATGGTGCTTCAATCAGAGGCGTGTCCTTCCGGAGCTATTTCTGCTGCAGGTATCACTGAGTACAATACGCTTCTTAACGCGCATATCCTTGAACTGACCGGTGGGGTTAAGGGTGCTACCGCAGACTTTGCTACCCTACGCACAGATAGTACTCTTCTTGATAAAATAGCTGCCACGGAGTATGGACGCTGCACTCGTTACGGAGAGACAGCGCTCGGCGTTGCATTTAACGAGGGCAAGATCGATACTGCTGCAGCCATTGCTGCTGCAGAACGCTATCTCACCACAGAATATGGGAAGACCGTTCTCATGCGTGCCGCAATAGCAGGGGACTCACACATGGTTCAAGCTCTTATGGGTCTAGAGGCTGGCGCCCAGGATCTTTATGGTCAGACAGCCCTCATGCTAGCTATTATGAACAAGCATGATAGTATTGCCCGCATGCTCGTCGCCCACGAAGTTGGGTTTGTGGATGTGCATCAGACCTCAGCCCTGATGATGGCCATCGATCGCAACTTCCCAGAGACAGCTCTTCTGTTAATTGAGCAAGAAGCAGGGCTGCAGGACAAGGTAGGGAAAACAGCACTGATGCGCGCTATTGAGCATGGCAACTACAATGTCGCTCAGCTGCTCGTGACGCAGGAGGCCGGCATGATTGACAGCATGCGGGCCACAGCCTTACACATCAGCGTTGAAAAGGGTGACTTAGCAATGGTGGAGCTCTTGCTAGATAGGGAGAAGACCATGCGCAATATCCGTGGAGAAACAGCACTCCATATTGCCACGCGGTTACACCTACCTAAGCTTGTCAAGCTCCTTGTTAACTATGAGGCGGGCTTCAAGAATGGCGACGGAATAACGGCCCTGCAATACGCATGTCTTCACGACTACGCTGATCTGGTTCCCTTTTTCCTGGGAAAGGAGACAGGCATCCTTTCCAATGACTCGAAACTGGCCATTGAGATCGCCTTTGAAATGCTCCACCTGGAAATTGTCAACGTGCTTATGCCTTACGAAGGCGTTAACATTAGCGAAGAAGCTGGAAGACATCTAGGTGGCAACAGCATGGCAAGCAGTGTCAACGACGGTTACAATTCTTTGCGTATATATCCAGCGCACCCGCACAATACGACACTGGGAGAAACTGCATGCGCCAGCATGTACGGGGCTAGGACGATAGGCCTCACCTCCACGGAGTCTCAGCGCATATCAGACCCACTGTCTTACAGTCGGAGCATGGCAAAATCTCTTAGGGATACCCCGACACGTAGTCTCGACAGCGACCTTAGCAGATCATTGAGTAAGAGCATTAGCTTCATTCGTGAGTATGAAGTGGCAGAGGACGAGGACTTTCCACCTCTTATTAAGGCGGTTCACGAGGACAATCTGTTCAAGGTTTACTGTCTGTTGCAAACTCAAGCACGAATCACCGACTCTAAAGGCCGCACAGCCCTCATGCATGCAGCTATTCTCAACAAGTGTAGATGCATAGAGTTTCTAGCAGAACTGGAGGCGAATATGCGCTGCAATAGAAACTACACTGCCTTGTCTTATGCATGCATCTGCGAAAACGAGGAGGCTGTTAGACTTCTACTCAAGTGGGAATCCATTGATCAATCTCAGTATTCCAGCTTAGGCAACAGAAAGACAGAGCTCATGGTTGCAGCAGAGAATGATGATATCGGAGCGGTTAGATGCTTGCGGTCACAACGAAGACTTCAAAACACCGACGGCACATTTGCGCTGTATTTAGCGGTTGAAAAGAATCATGTCCATTGTGTCCGTCTGCTTATCAAGGAACAGGACCTGAAGACTAACGAGGGTAAGACGGCCTATCAGCGCGCCTTGGAGCTGAAACACTATAATTGTGCGTATGCTATTGCTATTGCGGGAAATCACGTCATACTTGATGATACTAAGAATACGCAACTTATGCTGGGATGCGACCGCATGGACTATCGCACTGTGAATAAATTCAAGGCACAGGCAGGCCTTGAAAATAGCGAGGGGCGGACGGCGCTTATGATCGCGGCAGGGAATGGATTCGTTGAGGCTGTTCAACTTCTTAAGGATGCAGAGAACAGGGCCTTGCAGCATTCTCCCACAACTCTCTCCATTTGTGGGTTATTGTGCAACAACGTCACTGCCCTAATGTATGCGGCTGCATCAGGGGCCTCGGAGTGTGTCGCTGAGCTCGCAGAGAAGGAGGCAGGAATATCCGACAGCGTGGGTGGATACACCGCCCTTATGTTTGCAGCCAAGCGGGGGTCTACTGAGTCTGTTGCTGCTCTAGCCCCCTACGAATTGGGGCATCAAGCCTTCGATGGCAGCACAGCCACAATGCTTGCAGCTCAAGCAGGCCACTACAACGTGGTACGGACACTGCTCTCTGCTTCCGAGAAGGATATTGCCATAGAATCGTCTCGATCCTTGACGGAAATCGGCCTTGCTACTACCAAAGCCCATGAGCTGGGAGAAGGTGTCACAGCCCTAATGCTGGCTGCGCGGAGCGGCGATTTTCAGTGTCTTAAGGCGCTCCGTGCAGAGTGTGGTATATCAGTCCCTGCAAGTAACCCCACATACGGAGGCTGGACCGCACTTGTTTTCGCTTGCTCGTTGGGGCACTTAGACTGCGCTGCTGGGCTTGCTGAGAAGGAGGGTCCTATCAGTGGGAAGCTTGCCCTAAAGGTTCTGCGTCAGACAGGCATAGATAGCGATGGAGGCCTCGGATCCAACCTGGTCTCTATTCTCAATAAATTTTAATTCTCAGTTGGATGCACCCCGGCCTGTTCGATCAAGCTAATGAGGCCATCAGATTCGCAGGGATGTCACTCGGCTTGCCACGTTATGTGTCGGGTGGCGTTGGAAGACATAATGTAAGGAAGATGGATTTGCGTGGTGTGTACCGCCAATTGGACAAATATGTCCTGCAGCTGGTCGCATCCGGCCCCCCATCCACTGTTTGTAGAGAACTCTTTGAAAATTGGGAAGATTACGAGCGCATGGACAGCGTTACCAGGCACTTTGGAATAACCTCAAGCACCTCTAAAAAGGCTTCCGCTAACGATAGTCAGGCCTTTCCAGAGCCAGCAGACTACTTCCATTCCTTACTATTCTACAAGCTCTGCGAATTCTTCCCAGAGACGATCAGCTCATTTATAGTTTCAGTACCCTCTCTTACATTAAAGTTTGTGGAAAAGTGCTTCTCCGCCTACTCTCACCCGGTTGTTAGGCTGCGGATGCGCTACCTGTTCAGATTCTTCATTGATTGCGAGGCATCTGAAAATCCAGTCTATACATCACGGCATCTTTCTGTGGATTCAGATAGATCGCCGCCAGCTCAGTTTGCACAGAAGCTACAGTCTATCTCAGGCCCAAATCAGCAACGCCTCGAGCAGTTTCTAACCAAGATCCAGGAACTGCGCCCCCTTGTTACTACTACCCGCAATTATTTCAGAATGCTTTTTCTGCACTTAGACTTCAACTCCATCAAGCGCTCAAGCAACCAGAAGGACGCTGCTGTGCTGCTGGAGTCTCTGTACTTGTTTCCTGAGTGTGTCCTTTTTGTGTTTACTTATTTCAGATTGCTAGACATTACCCCTACGGAGGCTCTTTGCGTATCAATCTGTGACACTCTATCTCGCACAATCTCTATTCTCTCCAATAAAAAGCACCACGATACCCTCTCCCAAATTATCAATCTGATTCTTAAAAACTTGAGCGTCTTTAAACTGTATGAGAGCAGGCTTCGGCAACACTTCCGGTGTGTTGTCTGCCTGTTCACGGAGGTGTATTGTTGCTCGGAGGCCTTTAGGTCCTCTTCGGATGGAAAGGCATTCAAAGACAGCCTTGTTAAGGAGTCCAACGACAAATGCATTAACATAATATATGCTATACGGATACTGACGTCACGGTACCTTCATGTTGATATCCTTTATGACAATATCCTTCAATTTATCAATTCTATGGACACGCACTCTACTGACTACGGAGATCTCTTTCACCTGTCCAACAGAAACATGGATTGGTTTATTAGTCTGTGGCACAACTTAAAGTTTGACGCATCTAATAATTGCATTGACCACTGCAAGAGCCTTGGAGACTACTTTTTTAATACAGATTGCTTTCCACAATTGTACTTTTCTGATGCAGATGTGAAAAAGCTTACTGAAGTCATGTCCCCTATTCTCTTATCTTCTGCCGCAGCTAAGCGCAAAAGTACCATGTACCCTCCGTTTTCCACCCCCACTCCAACAGTTAAGGAGCTCCTTGAAAAGTTGGACAAAATGAATCAAGCATCAAGTAATTCGGATACCGTCTCTATGAAGTCTGAGGCAGACTATTATATCTTCGCTATTTCAGCCAAAACAAAGGAGTATATGAGCCTCTATCGTCAATACCCATACCTTAATCCACGCTATCTGAGATCAGTGTACTTCATGACACTAGGTTGCTTAGATTCAGCGCACAAGCACTTGGTGATGTCCTTAACCCAGGAATCCCTATGCTTCATTCGATGCTTCTTCTCCTTGCTTCCTCGTAGATTGAGCTCGTACCTTCTCTGCAAAGAACTGCAAATCTCGAACTGTGTTCCCTATGTCATGAGAGATGTCATCTACCCTGAGCTTCTGCTCGACGAGCCCCCTGGAGCCGCTCTTTCAGGCAGTTCGAGCGGTGCAGTACCCGCCACTGGATTTGGACATGGCGACCACGACTCGAGTGGAACGAGGATTCCTGAGGGAACTGGCTCAACTGAGAGACTTTTTGAGCTGCGGCATGCAATCAACAAGGCAACTAAGCGCATTGAGAAAGCCATTGCCTCCTCCAGCTCCAGCTCCAGCTCTAACCTTGATAGTGGTGCCCTTGGAGACGCTAATATTAGTGGCACTCGGATATATCTTCTTATTATGATTGCCGTGTCGTCCTACTACAAACAGGAGCGGACGTCACCTCTTTATTTTCTCCCGCCATATATAGACCCACATCTCTACAGGCTCATAAGGGTGTATCTTCTTTCTCCCCAAAACCTAAATGTTATTCTCTTCTTCTACACGCGGCGCTGCTTCAATCTGAAGGTCCTGGAGGAGATCATTTTGCCGGGCCTTACCGGGTACATGATGCGGTTTAGGCGACAGATTACGATCACCAATGGATACTATAATGGCCACCAAGTGTCCTCTGTTGCGCACTATATGCTTTCTGGCAGCACTGAATACACAGTTCAGGACGACTCACTTCCTAGTACTGATACGTATGAAGGTGTATATTATTTTGATGAGTATATCAAGGCACGCAACAAGGCAAGTGCACCCTTAGCCTCCAGGCCCGACGATCATCTCTGTGGTCCACGGAGCACAAACTTTTCCTACATAACTCATTCTGCATTCATTGATTGCATAGAGTACATCTTTTGGTTTGAAAAGCACAAGGAAGGAAAGATTCGGCTTTTGAGTGATTTGGTCAGCAACGATGGATTTGCAGTCACTGACGCTGAACAGGCCTTGATTCAGATTGACCAGGAAGCTCCCTCTCTTCCCCGCAAGATATGCCTTCTCATTGATACTGCCCTTCTTATTCTTATGACGATGCGGTCGTCCTATCTATATCTTATTCACCAGCTCATCAAAGATGAACAGGATGCTTTTATGAAGATGATGTGGCCGAATACGAATACGAATGAGCATGAACATGCGCTTCAAATACCGAGTCATTCTAACGCCTACTTGTTTAAGACTGACACTTCTCGGGCAGCTATGGCCTCAAATGGAACAAATCCGTCTTCCAAATCATCGAATCATGATGCTTCTGATGCTCCAGATTTGAGCCGTGAGTGCCCCTCTGTACGGTCCTTTTCACAGTACAACCCTACTGAGTTTGCTACGGGGGGCAATGCAGTATCCCCTCATGACCCCGTTACAACTGATCTCGAGCCTGAGCTGAGTAATGCGTACGGAATGGACAGCACATCGGGGCTTCACGAGGTGCAGCGGATAAGCGTCGGAAATGTAACTGCCAACAATCCAAGAGACATGTATACCAGTTTAATTGTTGTTGATAATAACGATACACCCTGCCCTCCCCTACTCTCCCCTCCCTTTCCGGCTACCACGCCACAATACACCGACATTCTTGTGCCTGTCCTCTCACACCAACCATACCTATTTTTTGACCAATCTATCGATCCCTTGTCCAATGTGCCTATGTTTCATGTGGTGGGGAAACGGATCTTGGTAACTCCAAAACGGTATAGCGACCGATTTCTTTACTTCGCGATAAAGCTGAAGGCACTCCTGACAAAGCTTGAAGCCCTCATAACAAGAAACCTGTTTATGCTTTGCTCCAATGACCAAATACTACAAGCTCTTGGTTTTCTAGAGGGCGCACTCTGTCTCTACCTCGTCACAATTCCGTATCAGGCACATTATATTCTCAAGTTTCTGCGTCAGATCCGCATCGTTATTTACGACTCTTTGCGATCACTACCCAACAACTCCGTAATGCCCGTAGATTCCTATATGAAGCCGGGGCCAGATCAACAGCTGAGCACACGAAAATTTCTACCATCTCCTCAACATCAGACCCAAACATCTAACCACTACCGGTATCAGCCCATTTTCGAGTACTTCATGGACGACTATATCAGGGCCTACAGGGCATTAGAGGAGATGGAGACCGTTAACACTAGCCCTGAGCATCTGCACACAAGGTTATTATCGCGCGACTTTAAAGGAGTAGCTCACCTAATGAGATTCTTCAGAACTGCGCAGCTAACCTTGAAGGGAGCGGAGATACTTCGCCAGCTCGTCTGGTCTGTACTGGACAAATTACATGCGCGAGCATTTGTCACCTATTTTCCGCTACAGGCCTATGGGATGTTTTTATCTCTACACAGCACCATGCTATGCATGTTGCCGACTGATACCAGTACTAGTGTGCATGGCTTCCTGGGGATAGACCACTTTGCACTATCTTGTCTTTATTGCCCTAAAGGCATTGCCCTGGACTATCTCAACTTCCATGAATTAGAGTATCATAAACACGTCTTATACATGGCCAATCAGCTAAGAACTCTAGACTATCATGAGCTTCTATCTGTGTACTTTTTCAAGACCTTACACTCCGACTTCAGCAGCACTTCTACCAGTATAGCAAATTGTCCTTTAACTACTGCGAAAATACACTCTCCAACCGATGCCATCGACGTATTTAAGCAGATAAAGTCATCATTGATGCAGGCCTTGAGTTGCAGTCGCACTGCCTCTGGGTCTGCGTTCTTAGAGAGTTTGGAAATGGCTTGCACCAGGCTTCTTTCCTCTTTTTCCAAGTCAGAAGATGATGCCGGCACTGTTATACAGAACACTCTTGCCGCTTCACTGAATCCGCTCGCAACCCTCTTCACTCATCCCGTAGATGCCCTGGCTCATACCCTGGACATTAAACCCCTGAATCCTTTGTTTGCAACGCTTGACATGTCTTCTTTGTGTAGCACCCCTTATGATGAGATCATGCTGAACTATATAACAGACCACTTTGCCAGCGCACTTGAAAAACCTTCAACTCGTGCCACTGTCCTAGCTACCCGTCCCATTGAATCTGTCCCGGAGCAATCGGCTGCCAGCGCTCTGCACTCGCAACATACAACTGTACCGATCTCCGTTTTTCCCAACGCATCTTTTGGGGAAAAGACAGTCATGCATCACCGTACACTATCAGATCACGGCAACATCCCAACTGCTTCTGGAAAGTTACCCATTACCCGAACCAGCAACAATACTTCCATCCCGGGAGACTTTGGGTCACTGCCAGATTGTTCCTCGAGTATTCTGCAAATGTATGGTAGCCTCATTACACCAGAGCTGTTGCTTCTAGCTGCTTGGACCATTCAGCCATCTCTGGACGCTAACTTTAGCCTCACATCAGAAGAGATTGCAAGGCGATGCATATCAGAAATGCCCCCTGAGCTCAACAACCATCTAGAGCCTTCAACGCCCATCCTTTGTAAAGGAGAAGCAGATTTTATAACTGAGTTACTGGTAATCAATAATAGATTGACCCCGTCCTTGCAGAAGGACGAGCCCTTGAACTCTAAAACGTCCTCTGCTAACATTTACCAACCCGCTCCAATGGTAACTCCCTTGTTTGAAAGAACTAAGTTGGATCTCTCTCCGTTATTGGCCCACATTCCATTTGTGGAAGCTTCTTGCCCGCTTTCGACAAGAGTGACTCAGAATAGCTTGGGTGCCCTTAGAACAGTATCCACCATAATTTCTAAGGACCAGATCTCACAAGGAAAGACTCAACTCCCACTCACTAACTTCGTTCTCTACTTGAAGACCTTTGGCTCACCAACCATATTTTACTGCATCATAGCTTTTATGGTTACCGAGCTCATGGAGCCTTATAAGCTCATAGAACGTAAGTTGGCAATTCCCCTACTCCTTGTATTAGAGCGCATTCTATCGTTGTGGGTAGCAGTTCCTCTTTTCATCTCCCAGTTTGATGAATTGTTTGATGAGTTGGGGACGGAGGGTATACAGGCCGACGATCCAATCAGTGATAGCACCATTAGGAGCTGTGTCATCTCCACAATCTGTAGAACATATGCTCAACAGGACAAGCACTCTGCATGCGATTCATCTTTTTTATCTCCCCTTCTAGACTACAACGTCGTGGATCCTAGCCTCTCGTTTATGCCCCGTTTAACTGCCCAGCTTCTGCGCGCATTTGATGCGGCTGAATTACAGAGCACACCTTCAAAGACTGAATTTTTCAATCTAATGACAACGAGGGAAAAGCCCTTCTCATACCTTGCCTTCAAGAAACGTGCGGCCTACACCTTACGCTTTTTATGTAGAAAGGATTTTTTACACATTGTTAAAACTATACATGAACGCTTGACGGCCGTCATTGAGGACTCTATCAAGCTAATCAGCTCATCTCCCAGTGAAAACAGAACCCTTATTGTAGACATTCACTCTATTCAATATGTCATAGAATTAATGACGCGACTAAAAACGACCATTGACAATGCACTTCGGGCACAAGAGTCTGTCTCGTTCCTACTAACCAAACTAAACACCCAGTCGCTTCTGCTCCAGTTCTCTAACTCATATCTCCTTCATCATAAGCTCTCTACTGAAAGGAGAGTCTTTCATGGTAACCTTCTAAAGCAAATCCTGGACCAGGAGCTTCCTCAAGACGAAAGCAAGACACACCTTCGGCTCCTCCCAAGACGGTTGGTTGCATCGACCAAGCCCCTCGCAGACCTAGTCCACAGAAGAGAGACCATCTATAATGCATTCATCGAAGCGCAGAAGGCCTCTCTTTATAAGCAGTGCTCACCTGATATTTATGTCGTCTCCAACGGGCTCCTAATGGACTTGTATATGGCGTACAACGTCTTCGGATTTTGCCGCTACTTCAGGGATCACGTGGATCACAGCTTTGCTACACATCAGCCTCTCCACTCTATCTACGAGCACCGCAACCTCATAGACGCGGCAGAGCAGGACTCTACTACATCAGATAGCGTCCTTAACACATCATCTAGTAATTCCGACTCTCAGCAGGCCCTGGAATCTAATTCAAGGTCTGTGTCTCCCGGCACAGATACACCTGAGTCTATAATTAAGAATACCAACGCAGCGGTTGATCTGCTCTTTGAAGAGTCAGAAACACTTTTCAATTATCTAGAATCCACCCCGTCATTGTACAAAGCCTCACCTGATGCCAAACTAACTGTCTTTCTTGCTGAACTCAATCAGGCTATTAGGAACATCTATCATTATTTTGAGAAAATACCGGAATCAAATCCCTTGAGATATCCTACAACTACTGATGCGATCCTACTGACTTCTCAAAAGGGTCCTTCCCATGAAGCCGGACTGCGACCTAGCAGTCTCAGAGGTGAGATGACCATGTCAACGCACGCTCTTGGCTCTACCAACTACTACGATATTCACAATCAAGATAATCTCAAGGCTGACCAGCTAAGATCTTGGGAGGCCCTTGACTCTATGATGATCTCTATGTGCAGCGCTAAGAGCGACCACGTTGCTTTTAATCTGAAACTTTCATATCTAATTGAGCACGTTACTTGCTTCATTTCTTCGCTTCGTTTGATAGACTCCATCAAGACCATTCTAAATTACATCCTCAGCAAGCTCAACACCGTAGGAAATCTGTCTCCCTTCATCTCCTCCAACGGTTACTACAATATTGGCACCAGGGAGGAAAGCGAGAAATGTGCACAGTACAGCACACTGAGCTACTTCATGTCGCATTATATGCCGCAAAAGACTTCGCAGGATTCATCTCCGTCTTTGTTTGATAGCCCAATTAATCAGACAGTGCGGGGTTCTTTCAAAAATGATACTGGCTCTGTCTTTCTTGGGGCGGAGGTTCAGGCCCCTGAAGATGGTCTCACCAGGACATCGCAGCCAGTCGATCTTACTTTAGATGAATCAACCACCACTGTGGTGATGTCAGTAGGGAACGACCATGATCAAGAAAGCTGCACCGTCTCAGAAGAAACCAACTCTCACGAGGAGCAGGCATACTCCATGCGACTTGAATCTACCAATGCGCAACAGCAGCAGAACCTGAGCTGCCAGGTTTCCAGAATCAGCAAGTTAGCAGACAGCATGACGTGTACGATTCTTCTGCTGGGACTGGCTTCTTCCCTTGGAAGCGACACGTGTCCTGCATTTAAGAATCCTAGCGTCCTCTTGGAGTGTCAGATGGGTGATCTCAGAAGGTTGGTCCTTTCAACCAGAACACCAGGCCCATCGGCCGATAGCCAGAATGATCGTAATTATAGCGTACAATCACACTGCGATTCAACGCAGCTGTCTACTTCTGGGCTTCATAACGATCCATCAGCTCTCCTTATAGCTGAACAGAGTTTTGCCAAACGCGCTGAAATGCCGTCTGTTTCTTCCCAAATCCAAGGACAGAAATCTAAACTGAGAACCCATCGCCGAGTAATTTCAAACTTTCTGGGCGTTGCTATGACCGAGGAAGGAACAAGTACTGTGGCACTAGAAGCTGGAGCGAAATCGGCCCACGCCTTAGAAACACGACACTCTCCTTTATCGGCATCCACACAGAAACAAGCCTCATCTTCCAAGTTATCCAAGCAAGGAGACGAGGTGAGGGTAACGTGCTTCTTTGATGATTTGGCTATTTTCCAAAAGCTCTTTTCGGCCCATTGTAATATGACTGTCTATCGTGAACTAGAGAAGAGGGCGTTTGAGCCACACAAGTTTTGCAGTAGTATTATGAATTTTAGCAGATCCTCTCAGCTCTCTTACTCTAGTATCTGCGTGCTTTGGATCCTTGTTGTTATTCTAATGCAGTCGCCATCATTCCTGTACAAAGATATAGGTCAGTACCTGGCACTTCTGATGACCCGTGGCCAGAATAACAGCCTAACACATCAATGGGCCAAGATCTTAAAGTCTCGCATGCTTCAGTCTTCAACGTCCTTCTCGCTCGGCGCCACTCAGACCAGCTCTCTGTCTGAAGGGCTATACTCCCAATTCTTTAAAAAGTTCTGCTCCAACATAGTGCACAGAGCCGCTTTCATGGCACCGGGACTACTTAAGATCATAACGGGAAGCATCCAGAGCATATCCCTTCAAAAGAACCTACTGATGCTTCCTCTCCGTGAAATCTGCGCTAAGTTCAATTCTGATTTCTTTCTAATAAAACTGGCAGATGTCTATGGGGAAACAGGCAACTTCTTAGCAATGATATGCAACAGACCGATTACCCCCAGCCTTTGCTATGCTTCTATCTTTTATAGATACTTCTCTGAGACAGCACCAGTGCGTGCACACACTACTGATATGAACACGCAAGTCCCCCAGGTCCTCCTTGAGTACACCGAAGACGCCGGTGTTAAGCCTCGTCAGAACTATGAGCTATCAGTCATCTTTCTAACAGAACTGTTAAAGCTAGCGAATAATATGCCTGACCTTGTCCAGTCGTTTAGTTCAAACATCAACAAGTTTTACATAGTCCCAATCATCACACGGCTGTTTTCTCTTTGCATCAAGAGCAACCACTATAACACCCTAGTGCGCTTCACCGAGCGTCGGAGCGAGTTTTCCAAGGTCTATAGCGCAATCAGCTCTGCGGTTGCTAAAGATGTACACCTTAACAATCTGGGTCAGTGGAAGCTTAACGATAGATTTACGAAGAATTTGTCCGCTGACTTTCTGCTTATTGAGGCTCATCTATCGTTTTCCCAGGGAGAGCTAATGAAGCCCACAATGCGTCGCCTCTTGGGCATAACATCCACAGATTGGCTCCCTGATTTTTCTGCCCATCGCCAAGCGCTTTGCAGGACCGCTGTTGAAACACTTGGGCAGCTCTTCACTTCTGGAGATACGTCGGGCCTGCAGCTATCACAGGACAGTCTTCCCGTCAACATTATCAGTAACATCCCTAAGTTTACCGCAGAGGTCTCAGAGGTCGATGAAGACAACAATTTTCTCACAGCATATGACGCCATGATTGAGATATCCGCTGATATTTTCTTTCGGATCTTCAAAGTACTCTCGAAAAACTACTCCAAGAGCATATTCAAGGAATTAAGACGCTACATCTCAATATACAGCCCCAGATACTTGGGTATTAGGAGCACCTTGTCCCAATCCCCACTGATCTTCACGACTTATCCTGTGCAATATTCCTTATGCTATGCTGCGAAAGATTTTTTTGCTAACGCTCTTAGCACCGAATACAAAGACTCTTACAGGGAGACTTACGACTCTCTAGAATACCTCACTGATTCTAGGGCGACAGGCCTGGGATTACCCATCAACCACTTTCCTAAGAAAAAATACAAACAACTTAAGGTGTGCGGACGGCGACTGCCAGACCTTTGGAACGACAAGCAAGATAGTTACGGCGTTGATGCGACATGCTCTCGCTGGGGTGCTTTTGCTGGGTCTAATGCTTCACTGAACTGCGACTCTGCATCCAGCTTTGATACCTATGTGCACCTGTCTCGGAAATGCCACGACGGTGAAACTGGGCATTCTTGGGATAACGCCTGTTTAGGTTATATAGTTGAATCCATAGTCTTTCTTTTTATATCACCTGCGATGGTATTGGTGAGCCCCACGTCTCCATACTTCATTGTAAAGCGTTCCGAGGGTATGACCTTTGAGGCTGATGCCCAGGATAAGCCCTCTCATTCTATCCTTCTTTCTCCAGAGCTACCTGATATCACCGACGGTTCTGTTGACCTAAGTGAGTCTGGATCTCACTGGACTCAGATATCCCAACGTCCCCTATTTCCTTTCTCTTCGAACACTGTCATTTGTGATTGCCCACTGTCTGCAACTACAATGGTACAAAATCTGCATGAGCTCGGGGTAAGTTTGACGCGTGATAACCTTGTATCACCCTCTCTTGGTTCACAGACCGAAAACTTGGCCACTTACGCACCTCAAGATCACCACTCCATGCAACTGGCTTCACTCATTTATATGGACCCAAAGGGCCTGGGAAGCTCAGCTATTGCGGACACACACAGTGTTCTTTCCGGGAACCCCTCAAGCAATCAATCGATCAAGATCCAAGATTATCAAGCGGATGAAAGTGACGACATCGAAACAAGGAAGATGATTAGTCAGCTACTCTATGTCAATCTTCACAGTCAGCTTCCTGCCTCTGTGGTGAGTGATTATCTTCTCGATCAAGATGCATTTATGACTAACGCGCTGCAGTTTGTGTCCACGGCTAACGCAGCGTCTCTCCCAGCCCTCTACTCATTGCTGTACAACGGTGTGCAGCAGGATCCTCAGGCACCGGCGGCTAAGGACGCTCGCCGGCATGCTCTATCATTTCTCATTCAGCACGGTCTTACGAGCACAGATTTGCTGCACACCAAAATAGTGGAATATCAACGTACCGAGTTTAGCAATAAAATAGATAAGCTATTGGAGTACATCATTGACACACGTAAGTTGGATAGGCAAAACACCAATAAGGTACAGCGTCAAGACCTTTGTGTAGAGATTTATAAGGTCCTCGGCTTCAGATATCTGGACAGTGAGTTCATTAATCGCCTAATTCTTTCCGCTTGTGTGTTAGCGCTAGATTGCTCCTTGCCCCTGAACTATGCCGGTAGCAGTCCCCCCTGCGTGAACCCCCAGAAACGAAATAATAGCATCAGCCGAAAGCCGGTTGTTCCTCAATCAGGTTACTTTGCCGGCTCTGAGTCAAATATTCCGGCAAAAGGCGCCCGTAAAAGTAGAGCCCTTGCTGATGTTGTTTTCGTGGATGATAAGACGTCATCCACAATGGGCACTGTCTGTGAAGGGCAGGCCTCTTCCACCAATACCAAGCAGCAATCTATGGACCTCACTTGCCCTAGCAGCATCAGCGTCAACATGACACACACGCTACCGGAGCTAGACTTACCGAATCCTCTGTGTTTCAACATATACAGCATCAAATCTATTGAAGCACGCGACTCCGTTCTTACGCACGTCATCTCGCCTGCAATATATGCGCAGTTGCCCTTACTCAGGTACATCATTGACAGATTCGTCTCTTTTATTTCTTCAACCCTTCAAAGCAAGTACAAGCTACCCACCAGCGTTGACGGGGTCGAAAATGATGGAATTGCAACGTCGAGGCTCCTGACAAATGCCTCGCCAAGGGATAGATTTTATTATACTAATCACTTTAACTTCTTACTAAGCACACACTTCAATGAAATAAAAGCTGTCGACCATTTGCTCTGTCTTCTGGTCAACTCAGCAATTCTGGTTCGGGAAACGTCAATCAACACCGCTTGGGAGGCGTTGGAGAAGTCTCGAAACGTGCTGATGCAGCAGTGCATTGTGGCATTTTATACATATCTGATATTAGAACATCACGCACCTGTCAGTATGTGTACGCCAATGGGTAAGAGTCACGGCCGTCTAACCATTGTAACCATAGGAAAGGTCATTGCGAGTCTCCTACTTCTAGATATCCGCACCCTACTCTATTCAGGATTCTTTCTCCTCGGCTCCTGTCACCGCTTGGCTTCCCACTTTCCACCTACTGGAAAACAGTACTTCAACTCCCTTATACGCGTGGTGCGCTCGCTTCTTCTTTGGTTGGAGCAGGATGGGAAGATAGAGATGCTTCAGGGCCGCTCTAGTCTATCGCTGACGGAGACCGAAAGCGTTCCAAAGGCCATCACAAGCACGGTTGTTCATATATCGAGAAAGACAGTTGGTAATAAGGAGCGCAAAAGGCTTCTGTCTCGTCTTCTCTTCAATATTGTTACGCACACACTCGCTATCACCGTGAGTGATTTCTCCGGTGCTAGACGATCTCACTCTGTGTCCTGGAAGGTCTATGCGCAAACCAATGGCCATATTCATCCAACGCTGATGCCAAACAAGTGCTTACAGTATGAGAAGGTGTATACTAATACATTTGAGAGGATCCAAGACGATGCCTATGCAATAGTGCACGAGCTGCTCCAAAGCCACCCTTCGGCTCCAAAACTGAACGCTCAATACATTTCGCTGATTCAAGGCTTTTCTTCTGACCCAGATAATTCTGAGATACAGTGCAATGTCCAGAGGATTGAGTTCCCTAGCACTAGCTACTCTGCGTCGCTGTTATCAGAAGAGGTCGTCTCGCGTTGCATTCGTGATGTGTACTACTATGACGATGAGTACACCTACATAATAGAGATGTGCACCTGTATTGATGCATTCACGGCCCTTGTGAACCCTAAAGACAGGCTTAACCTGCCAATCAATACTTCCCCTGAAAGCCAGAAGGTGCTTCCGCTGAACCATCCTATCTTATATCTGTGGGGTCCATCTCCGTCTCATAACGAGGTGTTCCTGCGTAGTGTCATCTATTCCGTGGAGATCTTGCGAATTATCTTTCTTCGAGCGAAGTGTGAGCTTTCTTTTATGGAGCTCTTTGGGGACTTCATTGACGTTCTCTATAACACTGCTTTCCAAGGTGTTGTCACTGCGCTACTTGCAGTCGAGTCTCTCTCGAACCTTCCCGACGACTTCTTGGAAAGAAAGAGCAAGCTACGCACTCAACTGCCCACTGCTCGGCACCTTGTCGAGGTTTCTACCCAGAGCCTGCTGAAAGAAGGAGTTCGCTCCTTACACACAGACGAGGCTGTGAGGATCCTTACAGTCCTGGTGGCCTCTGGGCCAATGTATGAGGTACCCGCTGCGCTCATATTGCTGGAAGTTATCCGCGCCCTACAAATCCAGTCTCTATCGCAAATAGATAGAGAGACACTGACAAAACGGTATAGCTCACCCCTGACAGAGGCGATAGTCAGACACGTTCTTTCACTTCCCGAAGGAAAAACCGAAACGGAAATGAAGATCAATGCTTTGGGAAGCATATCTCGCATTTTGGCACACTGTTTTGACCTGCCTCCGTCAGCATTTAGCCACTATAATTTGCCATGAGCCTTTGTCTAATCACAAAGGAAATGGTGCTACAAGCCCTGTAGAATTTCCCTATGTTAATCTCCGCGTTAAGGTGACGTAGATACTTGTAGTTCTTTAACCCCGTTTAATATACTATACACTACACCAAGACCTGTAAATCACTGTCTATGATTCTGGTAACGACGTTGACTCTATCCTTATCTGCCAGTTGTGGAGTGGGGAGAGAGTGTGTCCATGGGAATTGTGTGCAGACAGACGGATCTCTTTTCTGCCAGTGCCAACGCGGATGGTCTGGGAGCGCCTGTGACGCTGCAAAGCCTGGTTTCCGGATACTTCGAACCGGGGCTGACTCTTCGGGTGGGAATTTAGAGATTGCGGTCAGTCATCGTTGTCTCATCAATGGAAAAGAATGCAATGATTCTATGAAATGCTCTCATTATGACGGTGCGTACCGCTGTGAGCAATGTCCAGAAGGGTTTGTTTCTTTTGAAGGAGTTTGCACCTCGAAGAATTGCTACGAACAAGGGACTCTCCTTCACAGCTCCAATGTCCCTTGTAACGGGCGCGGCCGATGTGTTCTAAAAGATGTTGGCAAAGCACACATAGCCACTTCGGATGATTACTTGTGTTCGTGCTACTCTCTGTACAGTGGGAAGTTTTGCGCTGCGTGCAATGAGGCAGCAGCCGTTGACCTATCCACTAAAGACGAGCTGAAGTGTGTTCCTCGATCGTGTATAGATGAAAGCGGGCAGATCTGTTCTGGGAAGGGAGAGTGCGTACCAGACGTGGGTTCTACTGGCAGAGACTACAACTTCAGATGTGCGTGCAACAAGGACTGCACGCATGTGGGCCAGTCGTGCGTGCCGACAAGTTGTGTAGCGTATCACTCTGGTATTCCGATTATCTGCGGAGGGTTTGGCAAATGCGTCATGACAACTGGCCTGTATCGATGTGAATGTGATGCCGACATGGTCAGCATCAACGGAGAGTGCGCCCCCGTTGGGTGCACTGATAGCAAAGCTATGACCGTGTGCGGCGGAGTTGGTATCTGTAAGAGAAATGGCAGGTCCTACTCCTGTGATTGTGGCGATGTTGCAGCCGGCTCTCTTTGTGAGAAGTGCATACTGGGGGCCTCGCAGGTGGTGGAAAATCGCTGTGTTCCTCTAACTTGTGTGTCAAGTGATGGGTCAATATGTAAGAATGGTGGCCCGTGTGTTAAGTATGAAGGGACTTATCACTGCCGCTGTCCAGACTCGTTTATTGAGAGGCATGGCGAGTGTGTGTTGCGTGACTGTATTGATGAGCACTTTGGCACTATTTGCTCTGGCTATGGCGCATGCTCGAATAGCCTCACAAGTCAAAGTGCGTGTATCTGCGAACAAGGCTATACGTACATATATCCAGGACGCTGTGTGCCCAGTAAGCTGATTGCTAATGGAGCTGTTTGCAGTGACAATGGTGTTCTTAAAGTAGCCATGGTTGGTGGAGTATCAAGCTTCCTATGCTCATGCTCACACATATACACTGGAGAAAACTGCTCTGAATGCAATACAAAGGGAAGTAACCCCACTGCCGAGATGATAGGTAGTCAATGCATTGCCAAGAGCTGTATTACACAATCACCGACGCCCGCCAACACTGGGGATATGTCTGGTGTTTGTCAGAACGCAAAGTATACCGTGTTTGGCGACTCAACCGCCCCATATATTACGTGTGTGTCAGACACATCAACAAGGGTAATTGCATACAATAACACATACCTCGCTGATGAGGAGTGCACCCACGTCAGTCAAATAAATAAGACTAGGGTCTTTTACTGTGGACTACATGATGGCCTTTCTGATGGTATAGAGTCTAGTGGTGCACCAAAATGTTCAGACAAATCTGGTGCCTCAGGAAAGGTGTGTACCTGTCAGGACAACTTCCACACTGTAACATTTACCTCGGGCCCCAACAAGGGTAAGACAACGTGCATTCACAAGGACTGCCACGACAACTCAAGCGGTCGTGAGCAAGATAATTATTGTGGAGGAATAGGAGATTGCGTAAAGGAGGCTAGTGCCTCAAACTACCATTGTGACTGTGGCAGCGAGGCAAGATGGGATACGGCAAGTAAGCGTTGTGTCGCAGACTCTTGCATGTTAAAGAAGACTTTAGCTGGCCCTAGCATAGTGCCCAATACGTATTGTGTCACAAACGATGTGGCTACAAATAGAAGCGAAAGCTGCTTGTTGAGGGAAAGCGGCGACTGGAGTTGCCAATGCAGCGGCCTGCTCACAACCTACGTCTCTACATGTGTCCTATCGACTGCGTATGCCGATGAAAGTGCACACAGATCAATAGGATTTTGTGGTGGCCCAGGAGCTGGCGCTTTGGATGCTACAACAAACGCGTGCATATGTTCCAAGAACTTTGTGAAGATAGGCGGTTTCTGCTATAGCGTGAATTGCCTGCCAAGCAATCATATTCCTGGGGAATACAGACTGAGCCACGTATGTTCTGGAATAGGGTCGTGCATATACACTGAGACCACTAACTCTTATGGCTGTAAGTGTCCCGACGAAACCGAAAGCTACGGAGGCTACTGCACCCACACAGGGTGCGCTGTTCTGACGTACGTTGGAGGCAAATTGCAATACTCTGAGTGCGGGGCTCTTTCGCCGTTCGTCGAGTGTCGCATGAAGAGTGCCGGTGGTGGCCACGAATGCGCCTGCTCAGGGCCATTCACGCTGCTCAATAAGAGATGCATCCACCAAGATTGTCTTCGCGACAACGTGTACTGCGGAGGAGACGCTCTGGCCGGCTGCGTGTACAAACCGGAGCAGCAGAGGTTTGGATGTGCTTGTTCCGAAGGCTTTCTCGCTGTGAGCACAGGAGAGCAATGTGTCCCGAGGAAGTGCATCTATGTGCACTCGACTCTCGCTGAGCCAAAGGTGTGCGGAGGATTCGGCACTTGCTTTGGCCAGGCTGGAACCCCCCTTTCTGAAAGGAGGTGTAGCTGCACAGACAACACTACCGAAGTAACGCTTCGCGACATCACAGGGGTCCTTAAGAGCACGTGCGTCCAAGAAGATTGCATCAATTACGTTGATCAGAATCCTCTGATCTGTGGTGGTGTCGGTGAATGCGTGCATGGAAAGTGTGTTTGTGATATCGGCTACTTTGCAGTCAATGGAACGTGTGCCAGCCCGCGCTGCATTGTCCCTGTAGCAAGCGGTTTGCATACAGTCCAGTCTGTGTGTGGAGGCCCGACTGTTGCCTCCTGTGTAGTTTCTGAGCTTCCAAACACTGCGCTGAATGGATATATATGCAAATGTATAAATACGACAGACAATAAGTACAGGCAAATCGGCAGACAGTGTGCTCCACAGGAGTGCGTCTTCCCAAGGTCTGCCAATGGTCACGACGTCGACACTGTTTGCGGAGGACATGAGTTTGGTACATGCGTTATGGATCTAGTGGGCAATAAGTCTTATTGCTCTTGTGATAAAGATGTTGCTGTCCAGCTCTTTACCGGAAGATGCATTCCTAAGGAGTGTGCTGGCCTCATTGACTTTAATAAGTACGAGGAATGCGGAGGCAACGGAAGCTGTACAAGGTCTGGCGATAGCTATTTCTGCACATGCAAGTCTGGATATAAGACAATCACCTTCCGAGGCGTCGTGTATCCGTGTGTGGCAACGGAGTGCATTACGCAAGAATCGGACGGGGCAGAAACTGTTTGTCACAGCGGAGGGGTATGTTCTGCAGAGAAGAAGTGTGTCTGTAAGAATGGCCACTACGGGGAAAAGTGTGAGAATTGTTCGAGTGGGTACACAAGGGACAGAAGCTCCAGAACCTGCTATGTCAAAGATTGCTTCAGTTCCGAGCCGGGCTTTGAAGACGTTGTTTGCAACGGGGCTGGCAGGTGTGTTGAAGAGGAAGGAGATAAGGGTTACTGCATCTGCGATTCCTACTGGGGGCCGTCAGGCACGGTATGCTACCCCCTAGGGTGCCTTACTCTTGGGACGGTGTGCAACGGTAACGGCCGATGTACGGTGGTCAAAGGGGGCGTTTGTACATGCAATGACAACTATCAGAGCACCGTTGATAGCATATGCGTCCACAAAGACTGCATATCCACTACGGGTGGCGTTAACCTGGTCTGCAGTGGACATGGCCGTTGTCTCTCGGATAATGGGAGAGTACCTGTCTGTAGATGCTATCCAGGTTACACACTAAAGGACAGTTTTGCATGCGAGGCCGACGTAGCAAGAACAGCCATTCAACCCTACGTTCCAATTGTCGTCGGAGTTCTTGTCCTCAGCGTGCTTGCAGGTCTCATTGGGTTCCTCTCGTGGCGGTTCTGTTGTAAGAACAAGAAGCCCAAGCATCCTCTCGATATACCCACGAAGCGACGAGGCAGGCGGGAAAGGTCTGCCATAGCACTCATATCTTATGCAAACTTCCGCGGTCGTAACGCAAACGAGGCCATGGGACTGGCAGAGCTAGAGGAAGGATCCGATGGTAGTGCCGCGGTTTAATATGTGAACATGGTCCATGGTTTTCCACCACTTCCCTACGCGAGAAGTCCCTGCGGCATAGAGCTCTGCGAGGCGGGGCGCCAGGGGGACGCGCGGCCGAGGCATGTATCTCGACAAATTTACTGCCCGGGCCTACTTGACCTTGGTGTACTCCCCCTTGTAGTAATACTGGCAGATGCACCGGACGGCCCGGACGTCACCGTTCTTAACGAGATTGGAGGCGTCACAATTGAGAGGGCTGTCTGTGTTTGGGGCACTGCAAAGGCCTGCAATGCTTTGTGCAAGAGAGATAAGGGAAATTGCCGGAGACCAGTCGTCCTTTGTGAGGATGTTGAGACAGATCTCACCGTTCGCAAACTTCACGTTAGGGTGGAACATGGGTGTCGTGAAGTTGCACTCGGGCGGAGAAAGGGGGTAGTCTCTGGGTATCTTGACAGAGATTGTGTGCGTCTGACCCGAATAGGGGGAGTCCTTATCTTTCGTTAGAATAGAAATGGTCCAAGCAGAAAGGTTGTCACTGGCCGTAGGAAATATGGTTATTCCCTCCTTGGCTAGCGCATCCTTCATTTTGTTGACGTTTCGATACTCATTTCGTAAACGGTTTTCCATAACTTTTTATTGGTTGGGGGAATTTCTCTCTCTGCCGAGTATCGATTTACGAACCTATCCCAGCAATTATTAAGCCTCACCTCCTGCTATATGATTCTGACACTCTAGCAAGCAAGATTAGATCTTCGAAAAGTTCTTGGAAAGCAGATTCGGTCCTTAGAATTCAAAATTTGAAACTATAACAATGCCATTAGACGACGAATCCCAGAGCGTTCACACATTCGAGCAGCCGGTAGACAATGTCGAGGAGATGCCACAGGCCTTGATTAACTTCAGGCACGCCAACCCCGATAAAGAAACGGACATTCTCGACATCGATTTGATTGATAAGGATGATATCCAGGCGTGCGCAGAATACGTAAGAGAGATATATGAGTACCTACTTCAGTCTGAGGGTAAGTACATGCTTGGTTCGGACTTTTTGTCGAACCAGATAGACTTTGATGCAGAGGACCGCACGCTACTTGTTGACTGGATCTCTAGGTGTCACACACGCTTCAATTTGGCCAACGAGAGCTTCTTTCATTGCATAGCGATTTTTGACAGTTATCTTTCTCGCGTGGTAGTACCCAAGGCCTCTAACAGACTTGTTGGCATTTGCTGTCTTTTCATTGCAGCAAAGTACGAGCAAAGCTATATTCCTTCACTTAGGCATTTTGTGGAGGCGCTGACCCAGGTCGACCCGGAATTCCTCGTCAATTGTAAGTGCGAGGGTAACCGTTCGGGACCGTGCTACAGGTGCAGTCGCGAAGCTATAATAGATACGGAAGAATCTATCCTGCATACGCTGGATTTCCAGCTGGCTATGCCCACAATTCTCACATTCCTACGAAGGTATGCCAGAATTTCGGAAATGAAGAATCGAGACCGTTACATTGCATTTTATATCTCTGAACTCTCGTGTCTGACGACAAGTATCTTCAAATTTAAGCCTAGCGAGATTGCGGCAGGCTGCATTGCGATGTCCCGTAGATTGACTCGGAAGCCGACTTGGGACGAAACCCTCGAAAAGTATTCTGGATACACTGAGAGCGATACAAAAAAGGTTATGGCGGAGATTTCTACGATCATGAAGAAATACGCTTGTAACCCGAAGGCCAGATACATAAGGCGCAAATACTCGCAAGAGGATCGCTTCTACGGGGTGTCCTTGATGATTGAGACTGTGGTAACGCAGGCGCTAACTCTTAATACAAAGGAAGCAAAGTAATCTCAGTAAATTCACAGGCCCAAAACTGTGCAAAGCGCCTCGCTCCCTTTGCAGCCCTTCGCGGCGACGGTCTTAGTTAAATTGTGCCGGGAGACAAATTCTCTAACCAGGGTATTGTTCTTGTCGCTTATCTTGGCTATATGCTCGAGCATGAATGCCCCTCGCTTATCAGCGAAAAAGCGACCCGGTACACTTTGGGCCTCAAATGCTGACAAAAGAAGTTCTCCAAACGGTGGATGATTCGTCAAAATACGCCGAACGCTGAAGTAACCCACGTCATGCCTGAACAGCGGCTGTCTATCCTCTGGGGCGCATGGCACGTACGGAGCATTTCTCTTGGGCTTGTCTCTCTCGGCTCGGTTCTTCTTTGGCGGCTCATCACCCTCCTTTGGATGCTCCTCATTATTACTGGATGCCTCAGAGCCACTGTCATCGTCTTCATCTGTCGTATGAGCCGCCTCCTCTCCAGCCGCCCGTTCTTGCTCCTTTTTGGCTAGCTCAATAGCCTTCTTCTGCTGCTTGGCTATCATTTTCATGATATTGCTTGCGCTTCCCTGGTGTAGTAGGTCCTTGTCTGTCTGTCGGATGCCCCGCACGGTAGGGTCGACCAGTTTGCAGGCCGCGTTCGCAATCGTCCTAAGAATGGGTTGCAGCTTATCGTCTAGAACGGGTTGTGAGTCTGCGTTGCTCTTCTTGCTTGCCTTAGTCTTCAGCGACTTCTCTGTTTTAGTGACCTCATCGGTGCTGGTAGAAAGATAGGCAATGAGCTCACAAAGCATCTGGCTCCCTACCTCACAGCTCCCAAGGAGAGACACCAATAAATCCTCGTTTGTCAATGCATTCAGTAAATACGGCATTATCCCAGCGCGTAATTCTGCCTGCTTTGTTGCTCCATCTTTTTTACAGAGGCCCGGAAACTGATCTACGCTGGCTTCGGGGAAAATAACTTTCAGATCAGTCTGACGGAGAATCTCCGATATCCACTTGGCGAAGATAGGAGTAGTGCCTCTACCCGAAGCATCAAGCTCTTTCAAACCAAATAGGAGAAAATGTACGGTTCTGATCCCCGCTCTAGTGCGAAGAATTGTATTGAGTGAGGCACCAATTCCGCCCTCTCCTGAGATGAGCGAGGATGTGGTGGTAACAGTGTCGTCAGTGACCGCAAACAATTTGCAAAGAAGAATGAAGGCCATAGGATCGCCCGCAAACTGAACAACGTTTGGGCGCACAGCCTTTATTACATCTTTCCTGCGTTTAGGAGTGCAGAATTGGAGAACAAAGGAAGACACGAAAACAGAGTCAGCTGTATCGAGCAGAGACAAAAACGCATTTTCCTCTATTAGCGCATCCGTCAATTCAGAAACAAATTGAATGGTCTTCTCGTTGACATTTCTCAAAACACTGGTCTTTTTAGGTGCGGGCTCTAGTGCTCCATCCTTGGCACCAGAGTCTTCATCAGTTGCAGAACCGTGTCCGAGATGTGGACCAGTTGTACTCCCAAAGCACCCAAAGATCATTCGGAGCGTGTCAGCAGCCAGCTTAGTTAATAGTGTGCAGCCAAGAAGGTTCTTCTCCAACCCTTTGTGAAGGATTTTCATGCACTCAGAAAATACTGCATTGAAGCGACCGGGGACGTAGAGAGCCTCTTTGAGGATAAACGCTTCGCGGGCAATAAGCGCTGTATCCGTTATGTCCACAGCAGGTCCAACCAGCGCTATAAGCATCTTGTTCTGCACCTTCAGAGGCACGGTTTGATAAATATAGCTTATGGTAGTTGCACCTGTTGTGTTGAGACAAAGCTTTTGGAGGTTTGGGAGGATGCTCTCAACAATGGCAAGGGCCGTCTCCTTGTCCCATCTATAGCTTCCCCCGAGGCGCTCTATCAGCTTCGTGGCGTACTTGTCGACAATAAGCTCCTGTACGTGCCCGCTGACCTCTTTGAGAATCATGCTTCGGTAATCATCTGTTCCGTGCTTCACTATAAACCTGAGGATACGCACTTCAACAGGCTTGCGTGAGAAAGTGACGACGTTATCAACAAAGTAGCCTATAATAGAATTGATGTAGCGCAGTCTCTCGGGAGGCGGCAGCTTCTTGACACGCATCTTCTCCCATATCGCTATGACCTCATCATGTGTCATGTTATTCTTAGTAGGTATTTCACGACGCTTATATGGATGAGAGCCTTTTTTGGCGGCCCAATTGGCTGAAGGCTTGCCAGGACCACTTCCTGGTTTGCCTGGCTTCCTTGGAGCTCCGCCCGCCGGTTTCTTCCATGGCACCTTCTTGGAGCCTTCGTGCTTCATCTCGGGTTTGGTTGGCCGTCTATTATGCGGGGTAGTCCCCTGACCCGGCTGCATAGAAATTCAATTAATTTGCATCTTCTCGCCACCATCGAACATCACCCAGCCCAGGCCCCGTACAGCTCCCTACTACTATAAACTTACTCTTGCTATTAACTATTGCTCCCCACGAGCCGATAAGGTCCTGGGACAGCTCCTCCCCCTCTAGAGCATTCCCAAGCCCCATGCTGGTAGTATCCTCATTCGTTCTGAAGATGACGTCCACCACTTTGATCTTAATTTCACCCCCGAGTTCAAAGTCTAGTTCTGATTCGAAGTCGGGTAAGTTAGTAAAGCCCTGACGCTCATTATTCCACATAAGATATTCTGGAAGGTTGGAAGGTGGTACAATGATCGTGTCACAGAACCCAGTGCTGAGGGCAAGTCCGTGCATAGGGTGTTGACTGACAAGAAATGCTGTAAAGATTTCCCCAATGTAGGGCCGAAACGCGATGATTGAAAAGCAAACAGTCACGTATGTGTTGCAATCATTATGCACAATCCTCTGCTCGCTGAGATTAGTGATTCTTTCGATGAGTAGGCATATGCCACAATTGGCCAAGACGCGTCCACAGAAGCTGGCTGTAAGAATTTCCAGAAGCTTGCTTTCTAAGTACCGTGTTTGTGACGACGGGGGCACCCGGACTGTGTCAATTACTTGTAGGCTTATGAACATAGAAAGGACTAAAACAATTTAATAGGAAACAGGAGAGCAGCCCAATGACCATTGCGTCCAGCAATTGCAATCCTGCACCGCGCGATTTTACGCCGCGGTGCTTAACTGATCTGGCGGTCGACTATTCTATCTTGTTCACGGACGATATGCAATCACTCCAGCGCACAAAATTGGCCAAAAAGTGCCATCAACTTAACCTTTCTGTTATTACATCAGCCGATCTGGACGATGCTGCGGTCCGGCGTTGTTTTCCGACGCGGTCGATTTTTGTGGTTCGTAGTGGCAAAGGAACGATCTCTGAATCGCTGCAGAGGCAGCTTGTAGGCTATGCCTTTATGATAGTCCCCGATTTCTTTATTGAGAGCCTCATAGATAGCTGCGTTAAAGCCCAGCTGAAGTTCAATGAGATCGTTGCAAATCGCCTGGGTCTGCCCATATCTTACGTTTCTCAGGCACCGCTTATCAATGGCTGGACAAACTCATCGTCAGCTGCAGGCTCTTTTGGAAACAATATCGCCATGATCCAGCACACCGTGCAGACAGCGTCAACCAATGGAATGTCTTTCGTAAGCGCCATGCGTGGAGATAGTGCACAGGTTCTCTCTATGGTCTTTGCCATTCAGGACATGTATCATCTGTATGCCCCCCAGTTCTCTGATTCTGTCAAGTGCGACGTCCCCCTCGGCGTCTCTGCCGTCGTGCCACCGACCTTTCTTAATAACCAATCGTACACTCCAATCCAGATGCTTCCTATGCTATGCGACAACCCCTCATCGGTCCTGTACTATGTCAACGATTGTCGGCCCGTAGGACTTTATTTAGACAACTGTATCCCGAACATTCCGCTTCCCAGGCTTTTCATCCGCCCGCAAGTCGCCGTTCCTCAGATTATGCCAAACATTGAGCTAGCAATCCATAAAGGAGAAAGCGTTATCAAACTGTCGGGAGAACTGACCAGAGGGTATGCGTTCTATGAAAACACGGTAAAAGCATCGGTTGCCATGCTGGCTAAAATCTATTACAATGCTATACATGAGGCGCGCTACGCCCTGGAGCTAATCAAGGACAGTTTAGCCAACGTTAAAGCCACCCGTACAGCCTCAGTCAAGCCACGCGACTTTTGCTGTGATAAAAAGGTTGTCGAAAAGGATCAATCTGGATTTCCGGATGTGGACTTTTCAAAGCTCCCTATTACGCCGGACATAGCCAGCGTCTATCCGGACCTTATCATGGATTACGACGAGCTAGGGCTTGTTTTTGGATACCGCCTATTAGAGTTTTCCAGGACAAAGAGGACATGGTCCTCGTGGGACAGTCGAGCGCCTTTGGTGGCCTCTCCGCTAGGATCCTATTTCTTAGATGACTACTACTCAGCCAACAAGCAAGATGCTGATCAGCTATTGTCCTTGCCATACTTCGCACAGACACCCTACACCACCTCTATCTTCGATACCACAGAGAACCGCGTCGAGTCTGAGATAGCCCGCCTGCGTGCAAGAGACTCAGACGATGTAATTGTTATACGACCAGCACGCTGCCCCGACAAGGTGATCGCTGTTCCTCGGAACGGCCGTCCCTTTACCACCTTCCAACTCATCAATGCTGTTACATATCTCTGCAAAAACATGCACAGAATTAACAAGATGACACGAAGTAGCTCTGAGGGTCTTGTGGCATCTTCGAAACGGCGCTCAATGGCTTCCTCAGTGGCCTCGCTGAACAAGTTCGGAATACCTCTGCGCTTCCTTGCAGATTATACGAATAGCGCATCCCATCGGCGCCAGATTAGCGAACCAGAGGATAACGACGAGGGCCTTCAAGAGGACAGGTCACGAGGCAAGTGTGCCGTTTGTGGCGTCAACTATATGAACTACTTCGATCACGTACGATCCCATGTGCATATAGAGAAGTATCGCGAACTATTATGCGGACTCAACATATACAGGCCTCTTCAAAACTCCATGACCCTTTCGGAATACAAGGTGTCGATGCACAGACAGCTCGCCAACATAATCATGTTTATTGTCACTCGCGAACAGAAGCCATATGATGTGGTGGCAGAAAAGCTCAACGAGTGCCTGAGCGCGATGGGAAGCCGCATCCAGGTGGATCCGTATGACCTCCCTCGCAGTAGCAGCCCAACCTGTCGCACCTCCTCGTTTACTACCTGGCGAGAGCGTATCTTCCGGACACAGCAGCATGCATTCCATGAGACTCTGATTAAGTCAATCGAGTACTATGGCGACACACTGACTCCTGGCGCCGGTGCCGATACTAATATTGATGCTGGGACAATAGGAATGATGGGGGCGATTGTTAATGGGACCGGTGCGTTTCTACGGGCCCAAAAGCCCGTGGTCAAGAGTCCTTTGAGTTCCGTGTCTGTCAAACATGTTTCCTCGTTAGAATACACGCAGAAGTCCTTCCAATCGTACTGTGATCTGCTCATGCAAGCTACCTTTTCATCCATTGGGTTCAGCAACTGCATTCGAGCAACCGAAATCCTTCAAGATGCTGCAGCTGACTTCTTCCCAGCCCATGTGCTAACTGATCTCCAGGGGAAAATAGACCTTGTAGCGCCCATAAAGGTTCCCTTCCGAGGCATTGAAGATCTCATTCCTGATAGGGTACTTTATAAACCGCTTTACGACATTCGGCATGAGCTCATGAACAACTACATGTGTTCAACACCGGTCTCTAGAGACGGTTCACTTCTGGACATTTCGATGCAGTCCACTGAGCTACAGGCTCCAGAAGCGGCAGGAATGGGAAAGCTGCTGTGTGATACTACTCTTGGAGATAATTTTCAAAGTGAGCTCATAGATGAATACATATTTCAAAATACAAACAAGATGCACCACTATGATAGCTTCTCTGCATACGATACCGTCATGTACACATTTTATCAGGATTTCGTTAGAGAATCTCTCAACTTTCGTTACGGATACTTTCAGGTAGGTGATATTTATAAGAATATCATGCAGCAGGAACGGCGATCCGGGGCTTTCGGGATAAGTGATGACGCCGAGTCAGCGGAGCAAGACCCACTTGAGGCCTTTGAACCATTGGATGACGCATTTATCGAGATCTATCGTTACCTTGCGAAATCATTCTACAAGCTCCCGCCGTCCGCTCAGAACAGTCTCAACATTAAGATATTTTCAGATATGCAAGAGAGCTGCAAGGAGAATGAAACCGAGCAGATGGATCTCAATTCGCTCTCCTCATCTACTAAGGTTGACACACAATCTCGCAATCTAGAAGCGATGACCGAAAGCATTATTCAGACACACGAAAAGTCGCATGCAGAAAGTGTGGATTCGAAAGACCCTTCCTCTAAATTGAGTGTACACTTGGGCTACGAAGACAAGATACAGAGAGGCTCCCTGGCCATGTTATCCTATAAAGGGTCTGCAGACACACCGATCCCTGGCAGTGACGGGGTAGAGAGCAGTTTTGCAGAGCCCAGCGGCTCGCTACCAAGTGCATATCACAACACTCAGCAGTCAGATCTGCTCTTGGCCCTACTTCAGCACGATTCAGAAGCATCTGCTGTTGGATTGATTGACGATTCTATGTGCTACAAAGGCACCTTTGATGCTGTTTCTCACCAACCAATTGAGGTCCGCCCGTACGTTCCAGAGACGATGCTACGCGAGGACGTCAATACTCTGGACACGTATCTGAGTAACAAAACAGCATCTGTTGCTATCAAGCCATATACTCTACCAGGGATGCAATCTATCATAGATATGAGCTCTGACGCTAGTAACATCGAGAGGGGCGACGGAGATCTATACGATCACGACTCTATCATTGGAGGCTTTATCAAGAAGTTGAGTAAGACATGCATTGGCCAAACTAACCCGCCTGGATCAGGGTCCACCTCAGGACAAGGAAGTCCAAACCCATCTCGTGACAAGCGGATGGAGGACATTGTTCTACCCGTTCACAAAGGCGTCCCACTTGTTCTACCGTCCATCACACGCATACTAAACACTCACCTTCCACTCAATCAGAACGAAACATTTGAGACTATCTGTGAACCCCCGGACGGTACCCAAGGGCGTGTCATATTACCTCCTGAATACGAAATCCGGACTAAGAAAACCCCAAATATAGAGGACTACATAGGACTCTTTCACATTTGTGACCAAGGTGGCCGAGAATCTTGCGCACCAAGCACGGCTCTTTCTGACGACTATCTGATGCCTGCAACACTTCTCAGAGAAATAGGGGGGATCAATGGCGCACCTGATCCAGCATTTTACCCCACTGTGTGCACACTAATGAAGACAATTGATGCGCTATTTCCTCTTTGCTCCCAGCTACAAGAGAATTACGATATCCCAACAGCGAACAAAGCTAGCGACTCGCCTGGAGCAAACCTTCTTGACCATGGGAACAGCGACGAGCTTTCCATGGACGATAGCATGTTCTTGGAATCGCTTTGTCCGCGTATTCGACGATCGAACTCTATACCTGGGCCGATACAACTCTCTCCTGAAGCTATTTCAATCTCTCTTCTTGCAGCAGATTCTCCAGCCGGTTTAGACATTGATAACCCTGTCATGCAGAAGACGCTCGAAGAACTCCGCAAGGATCTCTCTCCAACATCTCCAGTTGAGGGCTCCGCTGAGCGTCCTGTGGATATTTGCGGATCAGCAGAGGGAAGTGGTGGACACAATACAGTTACAGGATTATACGCGGGGCCGCAGCTTTATGAAAAGATTGGAAAGAGCAGGAGAATAGAAGAGTCAACGACCTATGTGTCGACACAACTATCTGGATCCGACTATGGAAGCTCTTACGAGCAGGTCACTTTTCCCGACATCTCAACTTTTTCAACACTTCGAGAGGCACACAGCACTCCTCTAAGGCCTGAGGAGGACACATCTCCCTCCAGACATCACAATTACCTCACCTCCATCGTTAAAGAGATTGACATGAACGGCAATCCGTTTCCCCAGTTCTGTACTCTCCTCAGATCAATAATTTATTCAGTCAACTCCAGCCTCATAACAAGCTATATGCTAGGAAATAATGCTTTACTTAACGCATGCTCTGCGTTTGAGGCTGTGTCTAATTCTGTGTTGGGCGTCTCAACTCAGAGTGCCATGATTCAACCAATCCATCTAGCGATTCTCCAAGCAGGCGTCATATCGAAACTACAGTCCGATAAAATCTCGCTTGGATACGACTGTTTTGTTAAGCGTAAATACACAAGTAAGATACTGATGGAAAAACACCCCCGGCCTTCTGTCTACGATTGCAATGGTCTGGCAGACGAGCTATCAAACATTCTCACATATAAATTAAATCAATGAGCTGTCTGCAACTAACGGAGAGACTTTCTGGACCTCGCACGTCAAGCTCTTCGATTGCTATAGAAAGCTCGTCTCTCGTCTCGAATATAGGTGTAATAAACTCTTCGTGTTCTTTCCCACACTCTATGAGTTCGGAGAAAAGCTTGAGCTGCATCGATGCCAGCTTCCGCAACTCCTTGGGAAGGGTCTGATGGGTTTGTGCAGACTGGGCAGTCATCATGAAAGATCGAATGAGCTTTGAAGTTATCTTTTGGTTGATCATGTGTAGGAGGGCAGTCTGATAGACATCCCTGTCCTCCACTTTGCCCAGTTGGAGCAGAAGCACAAGGAGGCGGTTCGCTTCGTAAACAACGGTCAAAATTGTGGATTTGAAGTTCTTAATACATGCGCTTATAACGTGCTCTACCGCCACGAACGCATATCCCTGGTCGATGACGAGGTTGCAAAGGGTGTAGAACGCTGCAAGCTTTGCATTTCGGCTATGGCTCTTGACAAGGATATATGCCAGCCTTGTTGAAAAGCCTGAGCAGAGGTAGCCGTGATCTTTGATCCAACCCATATCAGCACAGTGCGTAATCTGACTAAGGAGCTCAGTGACGGGCGGTTCCATATGATCGTCAAGAATGCCGTCAGTTGTGTAGTGCAAGAGCTGCATCAGAAGAGACCAACCATTGTGCTGGAAGAACATCTCCGTAAAGACGTCCAAGCCAAGTCTGGGAGCGTCGCTTGCTTTTGGTGACTCATCACCGTGTGGACCTGTGTATGTGCACGCAGAGAACCCATCTGGCTTGAAAATCTGTGAGATGAGACAATCCAACAGTCGCACACACCACAGACAGAGCTTGCTGAAAAATGAAAAGAGCTGTGCATCTTCAAGAAAGCTAACTGGAGACAATCTAGAACAAGCTGAGCGTCGTCCAGGCTCGACAGAACCCAGCGCGTCAGCGGCCAAATTACGAAGCGCTTGAATCGTGTTCAGAACCTGTGCTACCAGGTCACAAGCACTAGATATGGTGAGCGCAATGGTCTCTGTGCTCAAGCCCACAGCTCGCCGACTATACAGAAACAGGGAGACGCGCAGTAAGCTCGAGAAAAGCATGCACGGAAAGGCATCTGTCAAGTGTACCGCTGGGGACGAAGCCTCCGCCGCGGACTGTCTTGATTGGTGCCATAGCTGAAGGTGCTCCAGGTTCTCGACAGACCAGAGAGGTGTTACGTGGACTAGTACTCTGTTAAGCCATTGGAAAAACTGCGCAGGTACGGAGACAGAGTCAGATAGATTGAACGCAGACGAAACTATAAGCACATGCTCAACTAACACGTGCGCCACCTCCAGTTTTCCGGTTCCATCCCCAATGATGACACTAATGTGTGACATGGGCTGGTCCACATTGAGCGGAAAATGGCACAAGACAGAAGAGATAGTAAGCAAGAAGGACTGTGCACTAAACAAGAAAGAACTCCTAGTCACCGGATTGCCAAGGATGGGCTCACGAGCAAATGCACTCTGAAAAGCGGCAACAGAAAGCAGGAAAGAACACGTGGAATCGGCATCAACTTCAAGGAGCTCATGATATCGGCCATTCTCAGTCAAGAGTCGCAGAAATGCATAGAGTTTATCAAAGAAGTCAACGTGTCTTACCGTCCCGGCAAGAACCTGTGGAGCCCGTGTAGAGTTAGTAACAAAGGCCTGAAGGCATTGCGACACGTCAGAGAGGTAGCGGATGAGCCTCTCTGTGGGGATCTCTGACGGCTTCTCGGTATTCAAAAAAATGTTTGCTTTAATGCGCTCGAGACCTTCATCTAAGGAAGGGATGGGCTCGCCCAGCACCACTGCCTGGCGATGCGCTATGGCCTGAAAGTCCCGCGTGTCTAACAGACACTCAGCTCGAAACGAAGACTTACTCGTCATAATTTTTACGATAGATCGAGTGGTTTTGAAAGAAAATATAGATGATCGAGCTTCTGTGATTCATTAATGGACTGTACCTCGTACATAGTGACAGAGTCCTTCACGTGCTTAACAAATGTAAAGGAAAGGTGCTCGTGTTGGATGTCGAGCGCCTGCACTCCCAACGCCTCCTGCTCTACCTGGTACTCATGGAATCGCGACTTCCACTTGCTCTCTCCCTCTTCCAAAATCTTCTTTACATCCGATGATATGAAGATAGCGTTAATGGAGGCCTCGCTCTGAATCAAATCCGCCTCTTCGGGGACGTTGCCAAAGACGTCGAATCTGAATTGCTTGCTGCCAAGGAGTGAACCAAAGGCCACGCCCGTGCAAACCCCGACACGCAACCCCAAGTAATCTACCTTGTCACTGAAGTGCTTCCTACTGACATCTATGCAATCCTCAATGAATCCAAAGCCCGCCATGACCAGCAAAAGCAGACCATCATAGAGCTGGAGAATTCTATCGTCCTCCTTTTGCCCATATGAGTCTTTGTTCCTCCTCTTTCCTGCATTACCATACTTCTTCAGTATGCCTGGAAGCCCCATTACCTCATACGCATCACCAATAGACTTTATCTGTTTCAGCTGCGGCGCGCGATCAATCCTCTTGTCAAATTCAGAAAACAGGTCTCCAAGGAACCGAAGGATGCTCTTAGCGTCATGCTCTGAGCTCAGCTTTGTGAAATTGACGATGTCGAGGGACAGGTACCCCACTCGAGCAAAATAGACGATCGGCCTGTCGTATGAAAGATAGCGTGGATCACTAAAGTGCAAGTACTGGTGCATGTTATATACAAATCCTTTATAGAGCTCCTTGCTACGGCTCTCTATTGTCTCACGTGCCTGCTGGCAAAAGTCTTCCCAGTAGTGCTTGTTCTTTTGGCCAGTCTCCACGATGAGGCCAGGCTCATCTGGGTCATGCGCAGCGTCTGATGAGATAAATGGAGATGTGTTCGGTAGCAGGTCACGCTCTAGTTTAAGTGCAAAGAAATCTATGGGCGGGACACGGCTATGAGGGGCGTCTGTGATGGGAGTAGACCCCACTCTATGTATTTGGGACGCCTTCTCCAGCTCTGCAAGACATATCATATGGTTAAGATCACGCATATAGCACTCTATAAACTGAAAAACGCCCTCTGTTGACGAGATAGCTTCTGGTTGCTTTGCAGCAATCATGACATCTATTGTCATCCCAGGAAGGATGGGGTTGAGCCTCTCCTTGTACGTCTTGATCTGGTTGGCGACAGATGCCTTCCAATCCAGGATGCTGATGCGAATCCTCAGCTTTGTGCTAGAGTAGATGCAGGCAGCGATCAACATGATAAGGTTCACCAGGACTGCCTCAATCTGCCCACAGAAGGATGCTATGACCAAGACTAGGGTTGCTACCATGAGAGCAATGAAGTTATAGCTTATGAAGAAGACGGAGTTGCTTGTGGTAGAGAGGATAGTCACAACGTAGAAGAACTGAAATGGTAGCATGAAAAATATCAATAGCGCCATCGCGTCTGGTTCTTCGTTAATGGAATTATTCAGCGCGGAGTAGAATCCAATAGAATAGAAACATTGGATCAGGTAGATGCACACAACAGTGGTGAGCGTGACCAGAATCCGAACCCCGATCACCACGTTGTTGAAAAGAAGATCTCGGCCGAGGTTGTCGCTATTTTCTCCACGTTCAGTGGCCTTATCGAAATCAATTTTGACAGCTCTCCTAACTCCATCATAGTATCGTAAGTAGATGCTGAAGGAGATTTGCCAGAGGATATTTATGCCCAGCATCGTCCAGTATATAAATTTTATACTGGAAAAATAGACTTTCGAGTTAAAAAAGAAAATAACAGCCATAGTATTAAATTTTGTTACGCGCAAAATGATTGAAAAAGTTATGTACATGAAGAGTATGACGAAGAAATCAATACAATAATTCTGAGAACGCATCATACCAGTGACCATGAATGCAAAACCTATCTCCTCAGTGCACCTTTTACTGATCAAGTTGGAGATGCTGCACAGTAACTCAATCTGCCTCCTCATATGTAGTAGAACGCCAAAGAGAATTTGAAAGCTAAGTAGCCCTACGGGAATTCTTTCCTGTGAAAGGGGGTATGCGCAGACTTGTCTGTCATTATACCCATTAGTACACACAGTAATACTAGTACTAGTGCGGTCACAATCCTCAAACTGAAAGCACTCGTCGTTTTCTGGCTTGTCTATGCATAGCTCCTGTGCCACAAGATTGTTCCGGGAACAGGTAGTCGACGGATCGAAGGACGCATCTTGCTCTGTGAAGTCAGGCGTCTTGCTATACACCGTGCCCCTGGTTGGGTCGTTCCAGCTCTCAAGGGTGGACTGGCTTCTCTGCATGGTGAGCGTAGACAGAGGCCGGCTGGACCCAGTTGACTGATTGTCACGTGACTGGCAGGAAGACTTGGGCCTTGCTAGAAAAGAAACGGAGCGGCCATGCCGGCCACCATTCTGTGGAGCCGTCATGCTTTCGAGTTGAGTATAATCCAGAATAAGCGCATTCTTGACGGCGTCGACCTTGGTTGGTGTCGGGGTCGCTGTTGCACTTGTATTAAAGAAGGTGAAGAAGTTCTGTACCCGTTGTTCGGCAGACACACTGGTTGATCGCTGGGAATAGATACGGTGCGGTTGTTGCTGAGGAGTGCGAGAGAGAGACGAGGCACGCTGCTGAATCTTTCCCGTTTGCTTGCATTGCAACAGGGAACTGGCGAACGAATCGCCTTTGATGGAGCCGGTACTCTTTTGAAGGGCAGGTTTAGAGATGCTGAACCTAGCCGCATCAGAAAACTGGTGGTGCGTCGGTTCTATCGAGTCTGTGGAGTCTGCGCGACTACAGAAAGCAGGGGCCGTCTTGGCATTATCCTCTGACTGCCAGTGGAGCTGCGAATTTGAGCGTGCCAGAGGACGAGTTCCGGTTGTCGAAGAAAAGTGCGGCAAAGGCGATCCTCTTTGATCTCCAGCTGTTGGCGTTGCTAGAGACAGGCCCTGTGCGGCGGTTAAGTGTATGTCATCATTAGACACAGAAATGTTGTCAGATTCCGTATCCGCTTCAATCAGTGGTCTTATTGGAACTAGTGCGGGACAAGAGTTCTCATGTGAGGCTTCAGTTTTGTTCCGAAGAGCTTTCATGTTGTCTGAAGGAGCTTGAATCGGCGGGAGGAGATCCTTGAAGGAATAATTCATCTTATCAAAAGATCGCAATGTAGATTGCAGCGTGTTATCTTCTAGCTGGTCATCAAACGTAGTAAAGCCAGATTGATGGGGCAGATCCATCAAGGTAAAGTCCTTAAAGTGCTGTACATCCCCATACCCGACTTCTTCGGAGGCAGATTTCTCAACAGCTACTGTCTGCTTTCCCAACTTTGATTTGGTATACTCCACAGTGGGCTGGAGCTCTATGCTCTCTCCTGAAGCATACCGTCGCGTAATACTGGCAAGGGAATACTCCGTATCATCTCCAGATGTCTCTCTGCTCACACTAGCGCCTCTCTTAGTAAGTCCTAGGTCATGGAGTTGCAGAATTTCAGATCGTTGGCCGCCTAGCGACCCTTCAACCTCGCGAGAGTCTTCTTCAATACGCAGCAGCCCATTTGAACCTGTTCTGCTGAAGGATTTCTGCCCCTTTAGAACATTTCGGGCTGTCTTACGCAGAGTTTTCTCCACACCCAGCTTGACAACGTCGTGAAAGTCATGCCTGGGCTGGTTGGTGAGAACACGCGGCGTTAGGATGGTCTCAGGAATTCGTAGAGACGAAGTATTGAATGAACTTAGGGCCAGAGGCTTGATATCCGGTTGCACAAAGAAGTACTCCTCCACGGCGTTCGGGGCACTGTCAGGCAACGGTGATATCTGCAGATTGTTCGGCTTGCGGTACCTTCCCTTAGATTTTATGGCTGAGCCGGAGATGCCGTCAGTCGATTGCCGAATAGTTGAATGGAGGTCCTGGGACGAGCTTGGAAGGGTCAGGCTCGTGTTTCTGTACTTGTCCTCGCCTCGCTGCTGAGAGGAATCTGCAATAGATGATGAGACATGAGATTTATGGAACTGAGAGTCTACCATCACGTTTGTGGCCTTGTAGATCGTTTCGATCATAAGCTGAGAGTTTGTAATGCCATCAAATAGATCATCGCTGCTGTCAGAGCGCGGTTCTAGTATATTCAATTGGTTTGCAGAGGCTGGAAATTGCAAACGAGCCATAATAGGGTGCTTTCCGGAAAACATTGGTTCATTCCTAAGATTAACGTGCGAAAGAAAATTTGTAAGGCCGAAATAGATCCGCAGATCGATAAACTCGCCGCCGTGCTCAAGGAGCGAATAGTCCCCCGAATAAACACAGTAGATGACCCTCCTCAGGCTGTTATCTGATAGGAAGGAGGATGAGGTGGCAGGATCCTTACATGGGGACTGTGTGGAATATGGCTTTGTGGTGGCGCTGCTTGATTCTAGTGTAGCTAGCGTGCTAAGGCTCTTGAGGATCTTTAGATGATCGTCTTTGATGGGTACAACGCTTGATTTAGAAGCGTTTTTAGACTCATCACACACGTACATCTTAAGCTCAAGCAAAAGAGCATCGAGCTGATCGCGCTGACGGACAACAGCGAGTGCATTATCAATGTGTGAGTTGTCATCCTTCTCCAGTCCTAGGTTCCGTTTTATTGCTTCAAAGAGCTCCATGCCAACTAATTGCTTTGCTTCTGCGGTATTAGCACCCTGCTTAATGCTCTGGCCCACGCGGTGCCTAGGAGACGCAGGGTTAGCGGGCAAACCAAGAGTCTGCTGACTATCCTCTGAAATATATGACAGCAGAAGATTGCGGTACGCCAAGCTAAACGTGCGCCTCAAGAGCCAGGGCATATAATCGGTCTCAACCAGCTCGGTGATCCAGGTGACTCCTGCCTTCCCTTTGTACATACGCGGAAACGACATCCCAAACATATAGCACGGTGGAAGGTTATAGACAATCTCACGTGAGCGTCGAACGATATCCTCGCTGGGTAAGTATTTTGACACATCTTGTCTTTTTTTCTCAAGGTCATTTTTCAAGGCTATCACAGAGTAGTCGTCGTCAAGGCTGCTCTCCGAAATGGCAGCCCGGCAGTATGAGCCACTTATAGAGTCATCCAACTGGCTATAAAAGTCATCCTGCTTAATAAACACTCCGGAATTGAAGCCGCGGGCAATCCGGGCCGCCATATTGACAACGTCCCCCCAGACATCAAAGTTGCAATTTGCCTGTCCCTGACCGAGCATTCCCGTGATGATAGGTCCCTTCGTGATTCCGGCTGAGACGTTAAACCCCAAAGACTCGCCTGCTATTCTAGCAGCCAAACAAAAAGTGGCTATCTGTTTAAATTTTAGCTTCTCGGCTCGCAATTTATAAGCCAGCGGATCTGTTTGTAATAACAATTGCTCTGCTTGTGGCTCCTGGTCGTCATCCTGTCCCAGTAGGTAGCCGCTGACAGGGCCTTTATAGTTAATATCTAGAATGCTTTCAAGCCCGGCTGCTACCATATAAAGGGTGTACGTCGATTTAATCTTCTGCACCCCTATGCACTCAGACAAAAAGTCCAGGAGACAGTAATATAGGTTGAGCCGGCTCATAAAGCCCTTCGTGTACTCGTCTATCTTCTGGTAGTCGGCATTTTTAGCATTGACAACCAGGCAACCCGGGTTGGAAGGGACAGCGTCGCTTACTGCGATATATGAAAAGCACACATCCAAGCAGACAGTTGGCTCCATTCTGACACCGCTCATGACGTTGGGAACTAGCCGTGAGGGGAGAGCATTCAAAAAGAGGTTCATGATCTGTCCTCCAAGGATAGTAACCATGTTTCGCGTGGTCTCAATGGAAAAGAAGCTCTTTTTTCTCGAAAACGACACGAAGTAGTAGCTAATAAGAGAGACCAGGAGTATTGTTGCAATTAGTGTTGGAACAATTACCAAGTTGCCAGATAGATTGTATGATAAGATTGTCATTGGAAACTGACTTAATAAAAAATAGAGCATTTTAATGCCAAGAGGAATTGGAATGACAATACCAATCAGCATGGAATAGAGAAGAGTGCACAATTCTATCAAGTAAGTAATTATAGACGAAGGAGACACTTGTTCTGCAATCACACCTGCGAACAGACAACGTATCAGAAGCCCTACACTGAACACCTTTGTTAGAGCACCTAGCTTCTTATGCACACAAAGGCACTTTGACACTAGTGCATCAACGCCTGACAGGTTGAAGCACAGACTGCAGAACAGATGGGTGTCCATATGGGTGAGGTACATGACACTGAAGGTGCAGTAAAATGAGTCCACTATGCGGAACCCCATAACCATAGTGCGTTTGAGCGGCGATTTTATGTCGGTGAAAACGGGCGGAAGACAAACCAGGTGCATGATGATCGCCTGAATGGCCATTAGCTGCATGGTCACGCGTATGTAGAAAATGGTTATTTCGTCTACCTTTTGACTAAGTAAGCTTGTCCTCTGGCAGCGAAGGCATCTCTTTTGCATGAATGGCCAGAAAGCCCTTGAAGAGATTTGAAGGGACCCAAAGAGATTCTTGTAATTAGGCTTTGAGGAAAAAGCAAGTTCGTGCAATTTAGCTTAAATTCAAATACTTTTTCTTCTTTTAAAATATATTGCATAACATGATCCTGCATTTATTTGGTTGACCCACCATGAGCAGCGATGAATCGTACACCCCCGAGGTCTCGTCTCTGGAACACTCTGAGGAGAACAGTGGACTGAAGGTGGTGTTAACGGCAGACATTGCGACTGCAGTCATCAAGGAGGCAAAGGATGCCATTGAGGCAGGCGAAGTTTCAGAAGACCTTCTCACTCGGATTGTTCAGTACTACTTGGCCGTAACAGGATCAGATCCAGATACAACAGCATATTCGATAGTGGAGGACTCCGCATATGCTCTATTTGCGCTGCATGCCATACAGTTTCTGCCCACTATGCTCAGCAGCACAGGCCCCTTTGCAACCAATCATTCTAATGTCAACAAAGTTAGTACAACTACTGTGCGGATTGGCCACATGCGGACTGTGTATTCGTCCACGGTTCGGCTTCTGACCCGGTACGAGTCTGCAAGTGCACAGGAGCAGTACGTACTTCCTTACTTAATCATCCTCATCACAAGATTGCTCCCCACGGCAATGGAGCTCTGTGAGCCCCAGGACAGAGAGACTTTCCTCCAAGTGCTCTATCAAAATGCAGAGATTGCCTTGTCATCGACGGTCTGCCTTCTGGATATAGTGCATGCAGTTTATAATGGCTATAACTTTACTGGACCTTTAGAAGACTTATATGCTGCCCTGAGCGCAGAAGAGGAGACTGGAAACCCATGTGACTCGGATTCCGAAGACCAGGCACAACCTGCGTCACTCACAAGTCCTGCACCAAAGAAGAAGCAGAAGGATGGTAAGAAACGTAAGTATCCCTTGCTTTCACTATCTATCACACACCTGCTGACAGAACTTGTCACAATAACAACAGAGTACGAGGAGGAGTGCCAAAGACTGGTTCGTTCTCTTTGGTCGAAGTATCTCAGCCAGCACGGTCGACCACGCCTAACACAGATAAAGGCACTCGGGATACAGCGGCAACTTATTGTTCATGTATACACCAAGGCCCCGCGGAAAATCCTTACAGAGATGCTTCTAGGTTTCAGCAAACAGATTATTTCTCACATTAGATGCTGTTTTGTTGGGAAAGGCCAATTACTTTTCACGAGGAGCAGCACAAAGAGTGGAAAAGGGAAAAAGCGCACAATCTTTGACGATCCCACCAGGAAAAAGGGTGGGAAAAACGCAATAAAGGAAGATGCCGTTCAACGGTATCGTGATCTCTGCAGCTGGGTCTTTGTTGCCTCTGTGGAGCTCTCCCTTATGGTGATAAAGGCCTGCAATCTGGCCAACCTTGTACATCCATATATAGAGATATGCTTCTATTACAATGAGGTCGTCCCATCGTCTCTCCGCTTTTTCCCCTGCCGTGTCAAGATTTTAACCGCCATGACAAGGTTAGCAGAAGGCCCTGACGGTAAGAAACCGCTGTACATTCCCCTCCTTCACAGTGTCATGGAGATGATTATTGAGGCGGTCAAACCTGCCAGCAGCAATAGCAACGCAGGCGGGGGCACCTCCTCATATGCAGATAGCATCGGCAAGTGGAGGTCACGTATTCTGGCCGAGAATGCTGAGGGGACGCTTTCTGGCTCTCTCCTGAGCCTGAATGCCTTGCTTCTTTGCCCCAAGGAGCTTGCTAGTACCCTAATTTATAGAAAAACAGTGTTCTACGAAAGCTTGAATTTGTTTTGTACAAACATACTACCCTATCTTTATCATCCCTCGTTTCCAGAGCTCATGTATAAGCCCACACACTATCTAAAGCATCTTGTGCTTTCAATGAAGGAGAAGGAGAGCCTCTTGGGCCACGACTACAAGATCCATTACACATCGGTGATCAAGCCGACATATATGGAAATCTGCATGATTCTAGATGGATTGCGTCGCGCAATTAACAGACACATTGCACTGATGGTTGCTGTACGGTTAGATTTGCGGTTACACACAAAGAACCTTATAGATGGAGACATCTCGGCTGCTATGAACGCAATCAGAAAGCGCGTTATCGATGACGGGTTTACCGTACAGGGTGCAGATGAAGAAGCTGGCAGTGAAGATGAGAACAATATGTACAATCAGGGTGTCACTCAGCACAAGGTCACGCCCACACTAGCGCAGCTACTTGAGAAGTACACAGCCATCAAAGGAGAGCGTACAGTGCTTCAAAAGGAAGAGCTGGGAGACTCTAAACGATACAAGGTTCTGGACCCTAGTGATGAATCAAGTAATAGTTATGATTCGGACGAGGAGTATAGCAACGAGGATTCGAATGAGGGCTCCAACAAAGATGCTCCTGACTTTGCTGCCATGGAAAAGGAAGACTCTGAGTTGAGTAGTGGCAGCAGTAGTGGCATTGATCTAGCAGCCGACTTCAACGAAGACATCATCAATGACCTTGTTCTGCCCAGCTCCTGAGTAAACCTAAGTAAATAAACATAAGTAAGTAAATTGGCTGACTCAATTAAAATCCAGAGATGTCAGTGGGGGGATCTTTTGGCCCCGACCAAGAGGCCTCACAAGACGGGACGCTGTCAGAGATTATGCAGAATCCATATACTACAGTTGTAACTCAGGCAGCACAGGAAGAGATCATGCGAACCACTCTTGAGAGCCGTCGCAAATTCTACAACATGAGCATAATCGACAAGACACGCACCCATCAGCAGCGTTGCAGCCGCATTGGTGTTTCAGAAATGCACAGGGAAGACCGAAGACAGCTGGCCGAGGGCCTTGCAGATCTGATGAAAGAAAAGCTCCCTCAGTCCAATAACGGGTCAAGTTGCGGCGAAGGAAAGATTACTGATGAGCTTCTTCCTCCCTCGTTTCGCCCTATGCGGCGTGAAGGCACTAAGTCCTTCCTCGAACGACAAAAGATGATAGCACGAGTCCGTGTGTCTATCTCCATGAAGGAGCGCAAAATTTCGCACTTGCAGACTCAGCTTGCCCAAAGAGAAGAGAAGATAGAAGCGGACGAACTCAGTCTTAACAGATTAGAAATCTCTCTTGAGACTTCTGCCAGAGCTGCAGACACTGGTGCGGTGGAAACTACCAGGCAAGCAGAACTGGCAGCCCATAAATTAGAGGTCTGCAAGAGGCGGCTCGATGAGCTAGAAACAACTCTCCAGACAATATTCAGAGAAGTTGACAGACAAGCAGACCTTTTAGAGCTTAATCTTACGGCACGGCAATTTCTAGAAGATGTCGCCGCAGGGTCGATCCTTCGCGGTCGTGTTCAGGCAATACAAACCGAGCGCAATGCAGCCGAACAGCATCTGAATACTAGCATTGAGCAGGCATATGCACAGTACACAGATTCTAGATCTACCAATCTTACCAGTGCCACAGACCCTTATGAACTATTAAAAACGAAGGAAGTACTAAAAGCATCGCTTGAATTCTGCACCTTCCGGGCGTCTCTTCTCTCCGCTGCTGGTCTTGATTGCAGTCATGTCACGGAGCGTGGACTGGACGTGTCGCATGCTTCCTTTCGTCGTAAACTTCCAGACGAATCTAAGCGCTACTTTCAAGTAGACTTTGACTTTGGGGAATTTCAAACAGCTTTGGGAGAGGGCCTACCCACTGATTTGTTTCGCTATACCCCTCCACTCATAGAAGATCTCCAACGCGAGCACCTTGAGAGCATCCGCAGCACGCTGAATACACGTGACACCTCTCTTAGATCTACCCAGCGAGTCAATTCAGCCAAACCACTCAATGACGTCGAAGTCGAAGTCGAAACCGGAGTCGGGACTGAGGCTGATGACACGGGAGATATCAAGCAAACAGAAGACGAGACCTACCTTAGAAATGTTCATGTGTTTGAAGCATTACCAGTAGAGCATGTACACGTAGATCCTAGTGTACGGCGCGCAGTGCTTCTGCTCCGTCGTTCGTGCACAGATGCCCGTGTTCCCTTTGACGATGCATCTGAGCTCATGGGCGCCATGAAGCGGCTCGAGGATGCAAACCTCCTCCGTGCAGAACAGCTCCAAGATTACTCCTCAATTGTTGCCAATGTCCAGGCCGATAATGCCATCCATGCTGCCGACTTCGCCTCCCAACAAGCTGCGCTTCGGGCGAACATCTCTAGTATGGAAGCCACTATTGCTGAGTTGCAGCGTACCCTCGCAACAGAAATGGCTAACTCAACAGAAGCAGAGGTAGATCGCCTCGAATCGGAACTAGGCTATCTTCATCAAGCCGTTTCACTTGCAGGCATGCGTACTGGCGCCATAGGCTCTGACGACGTCAATATGGCCTCCCACTCGATTCTTGGGGCAATGGAGTTGCTGCTGGATAGGACTCTTGCTGCATTGGCACAAATCCCTGTTGATAAGTTCCAGGAAAGTCGCAGAAAGTTGAACAAACTGCGGCGAGACATCAGCAAGAATGCTAAGCAAGCAGAACAGGACCGGCTCCAAGCAGAGCGTAATGCTAAGGTCGCCCTTAGGATGGAGAAGACTTCGCAGGCTCGAGCCCCGGGCCGCGCGGTCCAATTCAGGAGCTATGGGGGACAAGAAAAAAGATTGACCCGTGCTCAGCGCGAATTAGCTGCACGTCTTAGTCGCGAAGATAAAACGACAGGGGAAAACAAAGACTTCTACTCCAGAGATATCTAAAATGTCTATTTTGGTCAATGCACGTCTCCGCGCGTCCCCCATTCTTCTACACCTTAAGCGACCCTACCGCTTCGCAGATATTAATGCTGACTTCGAACCTGTGCCGGGCTTGGACATATATTGTGCGGGATCTCAAACTATCGACACAGACATGCCTCGCTTGGCTAAGTTTTCTAAACACCGTGATGTAGACGATAAGGCTATGCATTTCTTGTTTGTGCACATATATTCAGGGTCTGCGGACCTTCTCTCAGCATACTCAGAGTTAGCAGTTAAGCTTAACTTCAATGTCTTTCCACATTGGGACCACGAACAGGCTGCCTACGCAATCCAAGAGCTGCAGCGCTTCTCGCATGGTCCAACGTGCTCCATGAACATTACTTCCCGGGCCTGCCAGGGGCCTGAACGAGCTCTTCACATTCTGCTGGCTGCTGGGCTCTCCAAGCCGAAGATTCGCTCTCTCTGTGAACACTTTAAAACACTTAGAGACATCTGTATGTCATCTGTCAAAGAAATAGCATCGCTACCCGGATTTTCAGAGGAGACGGCCGCCACCCTCCTCAGGCGACTTGGGGTGCCCCACATCTAAAAAATTCAAGCAAGCTTCAAGCATGCTGCAGAAGGAGCACCTTCCCTCACTGATAGGATCTCGGGTGGAGTTAATATTTACAACCGGTGACAAGCTAACAGGCACTATTGAAGCCACGGACGAATACGAAAACATCCTTCTTGCCGACGTATCCGTCGATGACGAACGCTTCGACAGGGTCCTCCTCTCTGCAACGAAGGTGTCATGCTATAGAGTATTCTAGTGAATAACTAACTTCAACAGAAATTTAGAATGAAAGCTCCTCGTCGTCAGATTTAGTCTGAAGATTAGTTGAATCGCCGACCCCCATAAAGGCGTCGGCACCTCTGCGTGAAATTATCACCCTCCCGGATCCGGTAGCCTCGTCTGCCACGTCAATGCCTCCTACGACAAGTCCCCTGGTATGTACATCTGTGAGTTGCTCCAGAAGGCCTTTGAGCATGTCATCAGACACAGATTGAGGAGATAGCTGCCCTCTCTGCATCTGCTGAAGCAAGATCGCCTCAACTCTGCTGGCACGCTCTGGACTGACAATTTCAATACGCCTGAGTCGCTCCTTTGCGTCAGGCGTCAGAAAGATCGACAAAAGCGAATTCTTCTTCTCTTCCATCTCTGCTTCTTCCCTTTTCTGCGCAGAGGTCTTGGGGATGTATGCAGAGGGCTGATACATTTTTTGTTCACGTCTGTTTCAATGTCTGCTTCAGTCTGTCTGCTTCAGTCGAGTGGTTAGGCCGCCGCGGAGAAAATTACGGACAAGAGGAATAAGCTGTGCTCGTTCAAAGTTAACCCCTGGCAACGTACGCAGCAGGCGGAACAGGCTATCCTTACGCCTGATGAGGGTTTCACGGGGCTTGACACGCGCCTGCCGCATGTTCTGCTCACGGACTTGGCACTGCTTTGAGCAGTATGGTGATCGTGTTAGATTGTCGATGAGAAGTCCACAGCACTCTTTGTTTGCGCAAAAGAGGCCTTTGTACAAGGTACTGGATGTTACTCGGTCCTGTGAGGCGTACTGAGGGCCAAGCACACTATCTCGCGTCACTAGTGCCTCTTGATGGAGGTCTATCTCTTCGTCATCGAGTCCGTAGAAGTACTGGTATGAGCGCAAGAATAACTGGTAATTCATCTGGCGGTGTATACTGGACTGCTCTGTATATGAATACATGTAAGGCTTCTCTGCCGGCATAATGTACCTTTTGTGCATGTGATGCTTTTCAGACGACCTCTCATAGCCTGATGACTGATGAGTATACTGCTGTGGGGTTCCTTGCAGAAGAAATGGCAACGTGGAGTTAGTGTGGGTTGGTACATGATAAGAAATACTTTGCCTATGTAGACTGTGATGAATAGGTCGAGGGTGACCCTCTCGTTCCAGGGAGAAATCAGCTGTTATGTCTACGGATCCAGACTGCTCTCTGTCTCCAGTGAGATAGAGAGGTGTTTGTTCTAACATAGAGGAACACGCTAGCTCCTTCACAGGATCACAGAAGGGATCAGGCAGGGGTGGTGGTATTGTTTGGTGGATCCTTGACTCTGAGCTATGCCGGTGGGGTATCACATTTGGCGCTACACCTGTAGTATGCTCGCTTATTGGTATATCCTTGGAGGGAGTAACTGTGTTTCGCGCTGAATCGGCTGCTTGATCTGTATCATTTTCCATAGATAGATTGCTTAGGTATTTCGACCCCGGGTGAATAGAGTCTAGTGCAGAGTTTATGCATGATCCTCCGTCTGTGAAGCAATAGGACGGATTACCGGCTGCACGGTAGCTATAATTAGAGATATGTGAGACCTGCGGGGTTAGCCCCTGAGATTCAGTAGAGGGCGGCTCTTTGGTTGCCGAGTAGTCTGCCAGATCCTTGCAAATATGAACATCAATGTTGTCGGGATATAGCGGCGTTTGCTGCAAGTCTCGGTTTTCAAGAAGCTCGGGCATTTCATGCATGTACGGGCCTGAAAATCCAATGTATGAGGGCGAATAACAGTCCACGTCATAGTCTAAGTGCGGGCTATCACCCAGTGAAGCGTACATATATTTAATTTGCTGAGGAAACGTGCCTTCGTATCCCTAGTTGACCTTCATGTTGAATGTAGACTAAGAGGGTTAGGGTAGTAGAGCTAGTAGAGAAGTGGATACCTTCAGATTTATGCGGAGGTTCTTTGGCAAGCGTCTATGCCTTTGTTATCCTCGACTGTGGGGTGTCAGACCGAAGGTGCTTCATTTTAAATTTACTGGATTCACCAAAGGGGCTTCCAGCATTGAGCATACGACTCTGGGGGTTCATATATCTCAGGAGAATATTCCTCTGCAGAACATAGGCCCAGGGGGTTGTCCTTCTTGAGAGAAAAGTGCCTTGGTTCAGGTGGCAGATCGTGGGTTGTTTGTTGGGTAGAAGGGGTGCAGCGGTTAGCAGTGATGGTTAGACAGTACTCTTTGGGCAAGGGTGCAATATCTTGTCTCTTGAAGGTGCTGTACCCAAAGTTAGAAGCGGCGAGATTGACCGTTGCTTCTGCGTGCTGCACCGTGGTGCAATTGTTAAATATTCCACTGAATGTTCCGCTCAGTATGTGATTGCAGTTGAGATTATATAGAAGCAGCTGTATTAGGCTCCGCTCTGCCTCTTCGGTGTCCATATTGTTAGCTATCAGCTCATCAATTCGTGCCAAAATCTTAATTTTCAGGTGCTCAACTAGATGGTTAGAGGATGTGTCACTCCACTTTTGGGCTATAATATACTGTACCGCTGCTTCCCTGTTGCACAGATTGGGCGGAAGCCTTGGAGCGTACTTATCACGAAGGTATTGGTTGAGGGTTATCTCTATCGTCTCGGGATACTTTGCCTTCCTATGCTTAAGAAGATACAGTATAACCTTCTTATCGAATGAAGTTAAAAGCAGGTGGGGAACGGCGTTTTTAAATGATTGATAGAGTGTCTTCACGTTGTTTTCTCGCGCTATACTCATGGATATAACGGCTTCCGCAGAATTCTTTAGTAACGGCTGGGCTCTCAATAGCTTACTCACTTCGTTGTACCGCATAATTAGGTGGTTACATATTTGGTTGTTAATATGCAAGCGATATGAGAACGAGTCGTTGATGGAATAAGCTATCGTGTGTATGATTGTGTACATCTGCTGATAAGCATTCGTATACTCCTGATTCATTTGGTTCGAAGAGGGTCCTGATCTCGCAGCATACTCAGCCATCCTACACTGGAGCTGCAGACTCTTAATAATAACCTCGTGCGAAGAGTATACTGATAGAAGATTGGTCACAAGCTGCCGCTTCCACACAAACTGATTCAGGTTCATTGTGGGTTTATCCGGTATTAGCTGGTGCTTGAAGGGGGTAGAGTCGGACGGGTGCAGGTCTTCATACACCAGCTGGCGCTCACAGAAAGGTATTAAGTTTCGCTTGAAGCTAGAAGCAGACGATATTGGGGACAGGGAGATGCGCGTGACCTGACTCTCTGGGAAGTCGATGGAAAGGAAGGTGTTTTCCTCACCCTCTAATAACGAGTAGAACGTACGCTTGAGCTCTCTTCCCAGGACAGTGACTGGGTTTATCCTTTTATATGGACGTATGGTACATACCTTGAGCTTGTCCGATAAAGAAGGCGCTATGATAATGGCTCTGCTTATACTGTCAATGTGCTTGATTAAGGTATTGACCGTTTCGCAAGAGGCTGAGGTGCTCCCCCTGATAGTATTTATACGTGAATCAGGAGCAAGAGCAGGAATTGGAACGGACATGCGTGTGGCGTAAGATGCTGCTTTGTTATGGGTAACTATTAAGTTCTCTGGAGTAACTGCATGAATTTCTGTAATTGAGCCGTTGGAACCACAATGAAGACGAACTGGATAGAAGCTTTCAATCTTCTTGAGATTAATTATGGGTGGGTGGTTGTTTAGTGACGCATCTATAGACAGGGAAGGCAGGGAAGAAGTGCTATGTACGGCTAGAAGGACGTTGTCCCTCGATACTTGAGACGCTTTAATATTTGGATTGTTACTCAGAATGTTAGCTATTAAGTTTGTGAGGCGGAATTTCGAAGCTCCCGGGGCATTGGCTCCCCCAGTCCCGCTGACTCCACTCAAGTCTAGCATCTTCCCTGCACATGAAGATGAGACAAAGGCGTCAAAATGACTTACATTGCTATGCTTGCTTAAAAACACCCCCTGTGATAGCAGCTTCACTATATTTAGTGGGCAGCAACTCAAATCCATCTGGTACATGTCACTACGAAGCGGAAATGTGAGCTGAGAGTATGCACCACGCAGTGACGACAGTGCAGCAAGCGTCTCATGTAGCATGATGGATCCGTCTGTCTGTCCGTGATCTTTTTCTACCGAATTGTATTCTGGGTGTTGTATGCCTTCTACACCAAGTGGTTCTAGGCTGTGCCGAATATCAAAATCTTCCGCGTTTGGCCCCACAGAAAAGCCCTCTTGAAATTTCTCACGAATAGCATGCTTGACACACCTCTGAAGGACGCTTGTATGTCTATTATTTTTATGATTACAATCTAGCACAAACGAATATTCGGGCGGCTCTGTTCTGCAGGTATATTCTGTAGTAGGCTGGGGGTCACATTCTGTAATCTCAGCGTCATGCCTGCCGTTGTTAGGAAATTCATCTGACATCTTCTCTGCATCAATCTGCGACTCGGTGCTAAGAGACTCTTGCTCCATAGAAGAGTCGAACTTGGGCATCGCAAATCGTGCTGGGTCGTCATCGAAAATAGAAAAGCGGGATATGTTATAACCAAATTCTTTTATCAGTCCCACGATTGATACTAGGAGCTGCTGCAGCGGCCTGTTTCCTGCTTGATTCAGGATAGTGTATTGAAGCTCTTCAGGAAGTGACGTAATATCATCCTGAAAGGGCATGCCGACGGGTCTCAACCTCTCTAGAAGCTCAGCACTTATTGCAACGTCCGCCAATAAGTGATCAAAAGCTCTGTACAAAGGCGGACTTGACCAGCATATGATCTTCTCGGCCATATTCGCCCGATGAATAGCTTCTACTATTAATATATTTTGGACGCATGGCATCGCAAATAGGTGGATTCGCTGAGCGTCTCTAAAGCGCTCGACGCTGTCAATGAAGTCTGCCACTGTCTGGAGAACAATACACTTTCCTTCTTCGTTTGCAAGGTTTCGTAGTATCGGTTCCTGGGCCTCAGTAGTAGTCTTTATATTGTTATCGTAGCAGCTTTTCTTTGATTGAATGGATAATTCCGATAGACCTATGTAGGCTAAGTTCTTCCTGCCTATGGAAGATACCGTTGTTGCAGCAGATGTAGTAGGCGTGATGTATGCTAAGACCTCGTTACTCTTTGGTATGATGATGTTAGCGTTGCAATCTCCCAATGAGAAACCCATGATTGCCCCAAGCATCTGTAAGGTGTCTTGGGTACTTACCAGCACTAAGATAAAGTTAAAGCCCATAGTCCTAAGGAAAGCATCATCGATGTCGTGCTCATTGTCATCCGAGTTATCGTGGTACAGGGTGTATGGCTTGCTGATCCTTTCTTCAGTGTGGGATTTTAGTAGCGCAGACATGTTTCCCACTCCATCAGTGGGGGCCCCGGTGACCCCCTGCTCCCTTGAATACAGCAAGCTGGTGGTACACTTAGAAGCATACTCTGGTTGTGTGCTCTGGCAAAACTCTGAAAGATCGTTGGAGCCCTCCGAGGGCTCGTTTGCACGTTCTGCAGCGTCGACGGCAGATATCTCTGACCGAATACTTGCGGTAATCTGTCCTAATTCATCTGCCTTTGAGGCAATCCCGCGCTTTCTAGGTGGCTCCTTGGTGGATATGTAGAGGACCCTTGACGGTGTATGCCTGTCAGCTACACCCTTATTTTCGATGAGCTCTCTTGCTATAGAAGATTCTGGGGGTGAAAGTGGCACTCTATTGTAGGAATTTTCTTTTTTATAGGGTAGACATCCATTAATTGTCTGTTTGCTTCGTTGATTTTCGTTGGATGACTGTGAAGCGTCAGTATAGCGGACATTAAAGCAATTGGAACCACGGGGACTATCATTGGAAAGTGGCGGACTGCTGTTGACATTGGATGCACTTTTGTTCGCGTTCGACATGGCAGACGCCAATGTTACGTTATTCAATCTCTGTAGGGACATAGGGCAAAGCGTGGCATGGTCATCGCCGAACTTATATTTATGCGCTTCCTGTCTGTACTTGCGATAGGATTGCTTTATTATTTCTGCTGTCGGCTTATGCCTCTTGCCATATAGGCCAAACTCGATGAAAAGCCGTCGTATAGCAAAGCATACGGCAACTATTACGGGGGTTTCGGTGTATATGACATTCAGTGTATGGATTTCCTGGGTAAGAAGCCTTATCAGGTTCACGGCAGACGCAAGCACTCCACTTGTACTATTTGCAAGGATTTTATACATCATAGAGGATAAGGGACACGTAGCACAGCACAGCCTACCACACATGACCAGCATAGATGACAGTAACTCCACGTTAGTATCCTCTTCTGAGGGATTGATTTCATTAAGGAAAGCAGAGAGTAACGAAGGTGGATTGTCTGGTACAGTGGAGTCTTTCCCCCTACTTATAGCACTAGCACCACAGTTGATGGAGTAGAGACTGATGTCATTGGGGGTTGACGAGGCGATTAAAAAGCCCCCAACTAATTTGTCTTCGCGAGTTATTGAATAGATAGGATGTTGAGTTGCGCTGTAAGTGACCAGCTTCAAGGGAAGGAGGCAGCCAAAACTATCGAGCATGTGGCCGCTTGGGGCAGATCCTAAAAGCTGCATGGTCACAGACGAATAAAAGTTATGAGCGAACGGAAAAGCCACTACGAACTGAGTGTCTCGACTTGTGGTGCTGCTACTAATATTGGCATCTATACTCAGTAACATTCTGTAGAAAAATAGAAGAGAGCCTACATATTGCGATATGCTATTGTTGTTGGCCTCAATCCTGGACCGCATTGAGGAAAAGTCTATGCGATTAAAGAAATTATCGTGTAAGTTGCGTGTGTTTTGATTATCTAATTGATACAGGTGCTGTAGAAGGGGGCGCTTGTGGAGCATGCTGAGGTATTTCGGCTGAATTTGCGTCTTAAACGGTATCTTAAACACGTAAGTTGCTTTGTTCTTCAGCTCCACTGCATAGGACAGCTTATTCTTGATGCGAGCAAACGTACTGGTAGCGTGCGGACAGATGCATGGATCACCATACAATTTTGGCCTGGCTTGAGCACACACCAATTGCGTGTAGCGGGGAAGGATGATCGTAAGCCGAATTGTATTCAGTAATGAGAAAACCACTAAGTTCGGCAATCGGTCCATCTTCTCAAGCTTAGCCATTGGCTGGAGGCATGTGAGTTGCTGCGTGGTACAGCACATGCTCGTGTGATACGAATGATATGCAGAGAAGAGCAGACTTTTGGCAGTCGTCTCGATCCTGACAAGCGTTTCATTCAACTGACTCGCAAGCATATCAAGCACAGGTTTGCTTACTCGATCCTTTGCAGAAAAAGATCCTGCCTCAAAGCTGGCTTGAAGCATGGGGTTAGGCGTATGATTGTTGAGCTTACCATGTGGTGTCTGCCTATACAGGAGGCGCTTGAAGATGTCAATAAGCTCTATCGCAACTAGGAGTGAAATAGACCGCGTTTGATACACTACAGAACGTGAGATGTTGCTCCATGAGTCTCCAGACGAAACAAAACAGAGAGATTTCTGATTGTGATTTGTCTCTACGGTCTTTTGGAAATCTATAAAGAGCTTGTCATAGACAGAAAAGGGGATAGACATGTTGTGAGAAAGGGTCTGTGCTGTTGACTGATCGGATGGATAATTGCTAAGCACGCTGGAGCGTGGAGCTGCCCGCGGTGCTGCAGGAATGAGAAAAAGACTTCCATCTGTACGCACCCAAAGCTGCTGTAAATGCTCCAGGTGAGATATCATAGCATTGAGATACTTCTCGGGGAAGGATCGCCGAATATCGGAGACAACTGTCATATCCAAGGAGGATCCCAAAGAGTCTTTATATGCTGAAGGAAACCTAGCATTGTGGCGTATCATACTGTTACATATGCTACTGAATGTATGCGGATACGCATAGCTATCCCATAGATCTGAGTCGATCATCCGTAGCCAAGCTCCCTCAGAACCACGGCCAAATGCTATACTGTGTGACCGTGCAAGAATGGATGCAACACTATCTAGCGAGCTAACATTCATCGTAGTAGTGAGAACCACGGGATTCATATATGCCCCCATATGTGACCAGAAATTCGTACTGTGCCTGGTTCTTGTGCTTCCGTGCTTGGCAGTTACTATCTGGTGCTGAACAAGAAGTGCGTTATAGCTTGCATTTAAATCAGTTATGAAGCTATCAAATGAAATGAACTTAGTGACAAGCTTAAGTGTGTCGTCTGAAATAGATTGATCAGAGGTTCTGAACTTTGATGAGAAATTCCTTAAAGGGTAAGATAAAGGGTAAGAATAAGATGGGCCACCGAACGTGGTCACTGATTGTAGAGTAGTACCACGCTTGCTCGGTGCAATGACGTCGAAAGAGTATGGGTTGCAAACATCGACCACTTGCTGATGTAGCGGAAAGTGTGCGAAATAGTCTGATGGTGAGAGATCCTGCACATACTGTCTGTCTCTTCTCGGAACAACCAGCGGAATATGTTGAAGATTGGGGAAGCGATAAGCGATCTGTGGGCCATAGCCGTGAATATCGTGGAGGTAGATACTACAAGAACCCTTCTTAGAGGCGTCCAAGAAGAGTAGTGCAATTGCGGGATCAGTAAGGACCTTATCCAGCAGTTTCATGTCATAGATGCTAGTGAGCACAGGAGTGGAGGGCTCATAGTTTAAAGCTACGAGATCGAAGAAGAGTAGGTGCACAGGGGTATCCTCAATCACACGCGTCAAACTACTGCTGGGCGCACTAACTGTGTCATATAAAATGTAGCTCTGCTCACTTTGCCGGTCTGTGCCTAGGGGAGAAGGATCGTTTTGCTCTGACAGGACCGTCTGGTCTCCCGTACACGATGGCTGCGAAATCCGTTCATGTGAAGGCGCACTTGAATAGATTGTAACGCTACTTGTGGCACGCTTATCGTGGGTCTGTAGCTGCTTGATAGAGGCCTTATCTGTGAGAGTTGTGGAGTGCGCACTCTGGAGCTGGAGCAACTTTTTCCTGGTCTCCTCCTCTTGTCGCAGATCGTCACCCTTGTTGAGAAGATATGCACTCTCAACACTGACGATGAAATCGGCCTTGTACATGTGTATTGGCAAATGTGGTGCATGGTCCTTAATCCTGTGGACCACCAGGGTGTCTAATCGCTTAGCCTCTTTAATAAGAGATAGGATCTGTCCATTTGTATAGGCATAGTTATAATGTAACGCATCGTATGTTACTACAAATACTTTGATAGAGGTAGGCTGATCTACCTGGTTCGAGCTCTGCTGAAATCCGTGCAGTTGATCGAAGAGGTTGAACACAATGCGCGACGGAACACTGATAGTCTTTTGGTTTTCGGCTTCAGGCCCAATAACATAGGATACACACCGTACATGGCGTTCTGAGTCGACGGGATTGGTGTCTAGCAACTCCATCCCCAAATAAGACGCGTCATTCGCACGAGAAGGCTTGTGTGAAGCCTCACAGCGGCGTGCATATGGCAAGCTGATAGTTGCAGGGTTGCAGTCGCTCGAACTCATGCATCTAAACACATTGCTGTTGCTTGAGCGCGGCTTAAGAGGCCCAAACGCTGTACCTTTCGTGATTTCTGCTACTGGAACGCTGTTCCGATGCGGATTGCAGGAAAGAATAGTAATAAAAAGAGTAGACTCCATATCATCCAGCAGCATCTTCTGGCCAAGAATATCCATAAAGTTGATGGGAGACACAGAGCTAGGATAGAATGTGCTAGACTGCCCCGAGCAATGGTCTGCTACAGAGGATACATCATCTACATGTGTATGCTCTTGCGAAAGCTTCCGTGATTTCATATCAAGTAAGAATTGGTCCACGTTTTGGCCAAACATTTCTCTGGAAACGACGTCATACACACGCGCTCCGAAGAGCAATCTGATGTACATGTTAACAAACCCTTCTACCTTTCCTTCTTCGCAAAGTACCAGATGCACTTGCTCTCTCCTTAGCATGCCGTCTAGTGAAGCAGAGCTATAGTCTTTTTTCGTTGCGGAAGGCGCAATCTGATTGGGCACTTTGAGGCCTGCAACACCCTTACCCTCAAGATGCATCCCTGCGCACGCATACCTGAGATTTTGCAGAGCAGCTGACCGTGTTAGAAACGTTGATATAACAAACCGCAGTACACCAACCTTTCTCGGCGCACGTATAATAAAGGAATTGTTCCCTGTAATATAGGAAGCAGAAACGCCCAGGAGCATGTGCGCCTGGTATGGCAAAAGGTGCCTAATATTGGGGTGGTAGTACAGGTAGGGTACTACCATGTCTAGCTCGGTTTGCCTTTTAGGCAGGCTTTTCGAATCGTCCGCTTTGGTAAAGAATAATGGAAGTGTGTCTTTATATATGCTTAAGAGCTGATTATAGAGCATGACAGCTTCGTGGTTAAGATGGTCCCGTTGATCATACACTCGGTTATCTTTCTTCTCAGATACTTGCTCTAGTGCTAATGGCTTTACTAAAGTGCTGTCATAAGCACTACGGGAATGTGAACTAGTCAAGGAGCAGCTCTCTTTGCCTGGTAATTGATGCTTGAGATAGTATTCGGACAATAGGATGTCAGAGTTAAATGAACCAAAGTCAAAGAGCGGCTCAGACATCAAGTACTCTGTCAAGAACTTGATGAGAACGTCTACCTCTGTTAACGTGGAAAGCTCGGTGTTGTTATTCAAGAGAAGTGAATGCTCCATAAAGAAGCGGGTTTCTAGAATGAGACCGTGTGCCGAGATTTGGTCCGACAGCATAAAGAGCTGTGTTATCGAATGGGTCTCTGGTGTGTATTGAGCTGAAGGGTGCAGGTATAGCAAACGGCAAACGGCAGCTCTGGTGATCTCTAAGCGAGCCAGAAAGCCTTCCTGTGGTGTCTTTTGTTGCTTATGGACTTGGTAGCTGGCATTCAACAGCGCCAGATCCATTGGAAGGTACTTGTAGGAGGACCGTAGTTGTAAAAAGGATTGCCTATGTGTGGTCTTTCTGGCTCTAAACAAGAACTTACTTCCTTGTTGAGGACGGATCGAAACGGCCATAATTCGACCTGTTCTTATTACAAATGTGACAGTGTGATACCAGCATGTAGAAGTAGAAAGACTCAGCAGTTGAGAAAGCGTGAGGAACTTTAGAATAAGATTAGTGAATAGAATCTGCAAAAGGTTAAGAGACACAGATAGGTCTGCACTGAAAAGCCTGAATATTTGCCGCACATTTTGATAAAGTGGACACAGGTGAGGCGTGTCTGTATGGTCAACCGACCCTATTTGCATGGTAGGCTTGGCAGGCATAGATGCACTTATAGCGCCCACTCCTTGGATAAGGTTTCCATCCATGCAATAAAGAGACTCACAGTCTATGTGTTTGGGCCCAGCAACCTCCAGTGGCTCAAACGGAGGCACGGGAGAGTGAGGGTCTGCAAACGGAGCCAGCTCAGAGAGCTCTATAGTATTGTCAGCTGCAGCTCGGTGCTCTATCTCTGGTGGGTGATTACTGTGCCCATAGTTCTGCGAATTATCATCAGAATCGCGCACAAGGCACATAATTTCCTCGTTATTTATATCATCTGTAGCCCTCAGCGAGATAGCCTTAGTAACGGTCGACCAAAATTGCTCTATGAGGACAGCTTCGGTCTTAGGGGAAGACTTTAGGCGATTTCTTTGTCGAAGCCTATCCTCGATAGACATAACCGCGCGTTTAGCTAGGAAAGCCGCTGTTTGTTGTTTCCAAAGCCGCTCGTTCTTAAAATATTCACCCAATATGGCTATTCCATCGGCAGTTGCCGTCTGCAATGTGCATATGTTTCTAGATGAGAGCTCTGGAGTGAGCTCCTCCTCCTCGGTCTTACTATCAGGTTGATTAAAGTTATCAGAAGGCTGTCTGCAAAACGTGTCTGATAGACTCGTTGGCTCTCCAAACTGCGAATAAGTACTAGTACACAGAGGCTCGTAGGCATACAATGATACATCACCGCTCATCCTATTGCAATCTTCTGCAGGCTGTAATTGTGCGTCTGCAGTACCGCTAGCTGTCCCTGCATTTGCCTGCCTTGTGCTCAGTAGTTTATTCCTTTGTAGTGGCTGAGAGAGAAAACTGCCTATAAAGTAGCCACTGAGTAGTCCTGTATTAGAAAGTGCTTCTGCCGAACCTAGTGAGTGGGATGACTGTTGAGATAGTGCTGGAGGATGTTTCAACCAAGTAGTTACGGCAGGCAAAAGAGAAGACGCTTTTACTGGCTCTGGACCCTCTTCTACCGCTGTGTATGCATCCTGTTGATATGATAGGGTGAGTAATGGAGAGAGTGTTGCATCAGAAGAACGCTGTCTACCCATATTTGCTATGATGTGAAGAGGTTTGCTGCTTCCATAGGGGTGCATCCACTCTCCTGGATTGACACTTATATCTGATGTGATCTTTATTGGCTGCTTGACCTCCAGCAGCACCCGTAAAGCTCGCTGGAAAGTATTCAATTCTAACGGTGACAATATGCAGGAGCAGACATGCCAGTCGTAAAATCTAACGTAATTAGTAGTCCGCCTGGGAGGCCGTCCTATCCGCTCGTGACTAGCGTCCGACCGGGAACCCTGCTGCTTTGCTCCAAGGGGGCGAAAGTGCTCCTGGCCTTCCAACAAAGCTGTGACGGGGCTGTAAAGGCTGTATTCAGAGTCGCATGCAATGCGGAGCCTCTCCAGGACGCCCTGGAAGTTCAGAATGCCCCTTGTGAGGATCTGGCTGTCGGAGCATTGGATACCTGCCGGTGGAGTAAGTGTAGTGGGTGAGGTGCGGCCATATGCTGCGCTCCGGGGATCCTCTAGCAAGTAGAAGACATTGAGCAGCTCGCCGACGCGCCTCGCTGTGTGCATCGAGTCCCGGTCGCCTCTTTTTTGAGTGGGAAATGTCTCTATTTGTTCTGGTCCTGGGCGCCAACGGTACCCTGGGCGTTGCTGTAACCTGCAAGCTTCTCCTCGAAGGGTTCTCTGTGCATGCACAGGTGCGCGATCGCGCGGATACCGGGTCTTTGGATGCGCTTCTTGAAGATGCGGAAAGGGCCCCCGCCTCCACTGCTTCCTGCTACAAGAGGCTGCGCATCATACGTGGAGACCCGTCTGCAGACCAGTTCTGGCTTACCTATGAGCGTTTACTGGGTGAGTTGGGTATTGCGTGCTCAAGCCTGGACGAGGCCGAGGCATGGTATGCAGGCACCAGCCGTCCATCACCTGCACAGCAGCGTGGCAAGGGCATTCTCATTGCTGTTGTCACCTGTACAGGAGCCCTTGCATGCCGCTCTGTGGGGGAGACGACACCGCAGGACATACTGGATGCCATTTCTGCGCACGTCCTGCCTATGCAGCAAAGCCTCCGGTATCTCCCCACTCTTTCGGGGAACAGGTACTGCTGTTATGTGGCCGTCGGCTCTGATCCCCTTAGTTGGGAAGGAACCGTCGACTGCTGCCCGTACTGTGTGGCCAAGTTTGCTCTCCGTGGCCTGGTGGACTGTGCTCGACATGACTTACCGCATGCACACGTAGAGGAAATATACCCTGGCAACTTTTTGTCCGGCCTCTGGGAAAAGGGTGGCATTGACTGCCCATTCGTCGAGACCACGGCCGAGCAGGTGGCGGAAGATATCTTCAATGTCGTAGATACTCACCTAACGAGGATACGAACGAAACTGACGCTCTCGAGTGCGCCTAAGGTATGATTTTGTTGTAATAGTGCTTGCCCTGCGCCAGCCCTTCCCCTGAACAAACAATGCATCCCTCCAGATGCACTCCGGGCGGCACGACTGTATTGTCGTATATTACGCAGTTGGCGACGTGCGCCCCCCTCGCGATACGCACATCGTCGCCTGTGACATTGCCCCGAAGGCCATTCTTTGACATAGACTTGTGTGCCTCACTTCCCAGCCGTGTGGATGAGTTTGAGCCCTGGTCAAACGCCGGGACTCCGTTCAACAGCTGACACCCCCTTATAAATCCCGCGACGGTCCCCATGTCACTCCACGTCTTCTCCGTGCCGATGTAGAACGACAGCACGTCCAGCTTCCGTGACAGAAGGATGGGAAAGACTCCCTGCTCCATAGAGCAGGGGACCGGGAACGCCAGCAGGAGAGCGGGGTTGATGACATAGATCCCGGCATTTGCATACGAGACTCCGTGGCCAGCTCTGTCCTGCTGGCTCTCCACTGCCACAAAACAAGGCTTTTCTATGAACGCTGACACCCTGCCCAGACGGATGGTGGCGCCCGAGGATGATCGTGTGGAGGTTCTGGAGGCGGTCTGAGTGGGGAGGGAGCGCAAGTGTCTGTTTGAGCAGTCCACCAGAGATATCTGCCCGTACGACAAGTCCAGCTGCGGTCCCAGGGATCCCATCTGCACACCCCCTCTGGGCCTATCTCTGGACCTGCTCCTAGTTCTATCGCTTCGACGGCTGTTGACCCGCAGTCCCGCCGGAGAGCTGGGGAGGTGTGGCGTGGAGACCCTTGCGATGCTTGCTCCACCGCGGTGGATTCGGTTATAATCTCTTATCCTCATTACTTGGCGTGCATCGACCGCTGAGGAGACCGATGCCACGCTGTCACTCTCGGCGCTGGCGTCGGTGGGATCTTCGAATAGGATGTCTGCTGATTCGGCAGAGCTAGCAGGGCCGAAGGACGATAGCAGCCCGTCTCCAGCGGATAAGGACTCGCTCAGCTCAGAGCCCGCGGAGGAGGAAGGCAGTGAGGGCCGATCTGATAATTCAGACAGTGACAGAGCCGACGGCCCGTTTTCTCTGGTCAGCCTCAGCAGCCCATACTGCGATGGGTCCCGAGTGGAGAAGTGTGTTAGTAGGCACGCGCAGTTCTGCGACTTGTAGGTAGAGATCAACGATGAGAAGGGATAGCGGCAGACAACGTCTCCGTTCATGATGAGGATGTGTGTCAGCTTGGAAAGCTCCGGGTAGGCCCACAAACAGCTAACAACAGCGCCTGCTGTTCCCAACCACTCGTGCTCTGTAACCAAGACTATCTGCATGTGGTGCCTTACATCAAGGCTGTCAACGCACGCCTTGTAAGAGTCATGCTGAGACTGATGAATGAGGACATACACAGAGCGCACACCGTGCTCGTAGAGGCTCTGGATCTGGGTTTCGAGGATTGTCCGGTGTGGGGTTCGCAGCAGCGGCTTGGGCGTGCTGTCTGTCATTGGTCTGAGACGTGTCCCCTTCCCTCCTGCTAAGATGAGGGCTGTTGCCATGCTTTTATACCAGTAGGGGTCTACAAGTCAGCAGTTGTCAGTGTGAAAGGCTACGTACAGTAAGGGTCGTACTTCATCATCTAGACCAGAACGAGGTCAGGACAGCCACATGGGGACTCCATTCTATGTGTGAATCGCCAACTCCAGCGAGTGCACTTGATCCAGGGTGCCACTGTCAACGAGGTCCTTCACTCGCTTTCTGCCTGCCGATCGCACAGCCATGCTGTTAGCGACAGTATCTTGCATCTCCTACATTATGCAAGGCTCTATGTGCAGGTGGGGCTGGGCCCCTGATCGCTATGTCCACCGAAGGATTTAGAGAGGGACGTACTATTGATTGGGCTAGCACCGGGGGCCTACTGGATTGCTTAGTTCTGTTAGAAGTTGGGATCACTAAATTCATTAAGATGCAGCGGAGATCTTCAGAACGGTTGGTCACCTCGAAGAAGCTCCATACACTCCCGGTTATTCCGTGACTTTGCATGATTAAGGGGAGTCCAGTTATATCTATCCTTCATGCCACTCTCGTGTTTCACTAATAGCCTCACCACTTCTGCATGTCCTCGTGCTGCTATCATCAGTGCTGTTCCTCCATGCACACTCCATCTGTCTGTTTTGACATATCTTGCTGTCCTTCCCATGTGAAGAGGAGAAATTGCTTTAACAGCCTCTACGTCACCTCTTTCGGCACCCCGTATGAGCGGGATCCACGATGAGTCTCGAGCGGCCAGCTTCCTGAGACCTTCTTTGGAAAGTCCAGCTCGACAGTCTGAGCAGAGATAGTCTCCTTCAGGCCTTTGTTCTCAGCTGACTCGGCTTGAAGGGCCTTCTCGAGGGGATCGTCCCTAGCATTGGCATCTTCCAGGATGCTCTCCAACGCACTGATGTGAAGCCTGATCCCTACTTCTGAAGCGTTCAGCTCCCGGAGCAGACTATGAAACTCCCTGGCTGTGGGCTGCTCTGCCGAGTCCAGGATAATATCTTCTCGATGACAGTTCTTACGAATTCATCTGTGATGGTGTCCAAATCAGGCCTCCACTCATTGTCAAAGACTGCTTTCGCGTCCTCTGGCTCCCAAAGTGTGAAAAGCTCGGCAAATTCATAGTAGCAAGCTCGTACATGACGACTCCGAAGGCCCCTTGCCTAGCAGCTCGCCTTCACGCCGATACAGCTCTTCGGGACTGAACATGGGGATGCTATCGGAGCCACTGCCAGCGCTCTCTGCAGCACGAGTGGGACTCTCACTGACCATGTCATGCGCAATTAGATTCACGCTTTCTATTACGCCAAACTAACAATTACTGTATCGGGTCCAATTTTCGCAGAATCTGTGGGTAGATAACAATCATGGATTCGGTGAGCCTCAGCCTTGCTACCTCCTGGTCGAACGCTTTTCCTCGCGCATCATTGCCCAATCCCAATCAGCACAGAAGCCTCTGAAGTCGTGGGATTGCAACCAAAGCGCCCTTAGTGAGACAGATCTTACGAACTGACCCCTTCTGTCCATCAATCTGAGTGCACGGAGCCGTCTGGTGCCAATGTAAGCTTCTGTGCAGCGAAGCGCGACCCCCAGGCAACAGACTCTGCACTTTTGATAAGCCACAGGAAGCAGGGAGGTGGCTTGGGAGATCTGGCAAAGAATTAAAATGAGCATCCAGGACATTCTTGCGCCCTTCACGGAGGGCTGCGATGCGAAAGGCTCGCCGGCCACATTTGTACTCCTGGGCAATGGGGACGCATACAAGGGCGCGCTTGCCACGCGGCTGCTCGGAAAGCAGGTTATAATCCCCCCTGGCACATCAAAATACACCACTTTACTGGTCTCGTCTGACCGCGGTGCAGACGATGCAGCTCCTGTTTCCTGTTTTATTTTGGGTTCCTCTGGGCTTCTGAAGGACAAGTTGCACGACCTTGACTTCTTCGCTGACCCTGAGCAGCTGCATCTCGTTCTTTTAATTTCTGCCGCCTCGGTTTCGCTGTGCGTCACGGAGACGAAGGCCTGGCTGGATGCCGTCTACGCGCTTAGCAAGCGCCAGCGCTTCTCCAGCTGCACCATCCTGCTGACAGACAGCACCCAGCTGCAGAACACAAACCCTGTGAGCCGCAGCATCGCCCTCCGGTGCGTTCGGGCCCTGGCCCTGGTCGCCAACGCCAAGCTCTTTCCGTCCTCCGATGGCTCTGCGTGCCCCCAAAGAACAACCGTCTACTCTGCAGCCGGCACAGACGACACGGGCCCCATTGCGAGACACTTGCTGGGACATACCAAGGGGGGTGCGCACGCCTTCGACTTCACGATCGACGAAGACGAAGCGATACTGCGCATCCCGCCTGGGATGGATTCCCACACCATGATATGCCAGTCGTCCTCTCCGGACGAGGCGCTGAAGGTGCAGATGGGCGCCTTCAAGACCAACGTTCAGGACGGGGACGGACCGCAGGACGAAGAGCAGATCAGCAGCCTGAGTGACTACTTCGGCTACGTGACGGCAAAGACAAAGGCCGAGGACCCGGTGCTAAGCGATCTCTTAGCAGGCCTGTCCGTGGCAGCAGGTAAATTCTAGCAATTCTGGTTCAATAATTTAATCGGCGCCCCGCCATGAACTCCGCCAGCAAGTTCAAGACCTATGAGGAGATTGGCCGAGGAAAGAATAGCGGATCAATTATCTATCGTGCCCGGCAGCCGCAATCTCTAGAATATGTGGCTGCAAAGCAAACTCCTACACGCATTCAGGCGCTAAAGACGAAGGTTCAAGTCGAAGCAACATTCCTCAGCTCGAATGTCCACCCAAATATTCTACGCTTCATATCGTGGTACCAGAGCAACGACGAAATCTGGCTAATAACGGAGCTCTGCGAGGGCGGGTCTTTAGAGTCTCTACTGAGCAGAGAGTATCACTACTGGCCCGAGGTCTCTGTGGAGTCGTTTGCAAGTGACATCCGAGACGCCCTTCATTTTCTTCACTTAAAGGGCATAACATTCAATGAACTGCTGGGTAGTAACATCCTTGTTGATATTGACGGTAACATAAAGCTGGCCGACTTCGAGTTTGCAAGCCAAATTGTCAAACATCAGCCTCTCACCATCGAGGTTATTGATAAGCACGTTAAGTCCAATGGTTATCTCCACAAAGCTCCTGAAACCCTTCTGCCCGACGGCTCTCATAGTATCTCTTCAGACCTGTTCTCCTTTGGTTGCCTGCTCTATAGGATACTATTTCGGCGTTACCCGTTTGAACAGTTTATGGACAAGTCTTCTGCCGAGAACCTGGTGTATAATGACAGTGACTCTGAGGACAGCCCAGACAAGCAACAAACACGCATAACAGTTCGAATACGTGACTACCAAAGGTACGCTTTTCGAGTCATTCAACACGGCGAGGAGCATCTGTTCAACAACCTCATCCCATCTAGTTATCGAGGCTTCCCCTTAAGCGCTAATTTTAAGGACTTGCTCTACAAGCTGCTACAACCCTTCCCATTCAAGAGGATCACTTGGAATGAATTAGCTTCTCACCCCTTCTTCAATGCCAAGATCAAGGAGCGAATCAAGCTACCACTCGAACCGCAGTTTCTCACGTCCATGCGTCTTTTCATATCAAACAACACTTATCCAGATGTATATCACGCTATCACCATTCAATCTGATGGAAAAATCACTTGTCCTAAGCATCTTTTAGCCAACATAGAACGGTTTGAGGAGCGTCTGAAGGAGCAGAGGAAACTACCTGCCAGTGCACCAGTCTCTGCCAACGATGAACTGGGTCCCGGCGATACTGCAAGGACGCAAACAGAAGGAGACGAGTTTGGCATGTCGGACCACAATGAGGGAGTCGCTAACATATCCATTAAGACCACAGGGCTTTTGTATAGTACTTGCATCATGCAGGACCCGACAATCCATTCTCTAGCTAAGGTCAATGTCGCCGTTCCATTTGAAGGCCTGGACACCTTCAAGTCCTATGTTTCCACATATCACAAGGCATTAGCGCGCCTCTGCCGCGCTTCCTATTTCTCAAAAAGACCTGGAGCCTTGTTAATGATCGTAAAGACAGACTTCAATAAGGACATCCTGGCAAACATAGGAGTTTTAGAGAAATTTCTCTATCAAGACAGTAGGACAGGATTGAAATTGACTGAGTTTGCACTTGCCACAAGGGATTTTTCTATTTTAACAGAGGGAGCTCCTGTTTTTCATTCGTTTTTAGTCCACGCCTTTCTCTCGGCTCTCAATTCACACCTGGGAGATGCATACTTTGATTCGCGGGTCGGCTATGGCCTGATGAACCGAAGGAACGACTTGGATAGGGCGTCGGCTGCACTTACTCTCTTCTACTACCACTTTTTCTTTAACCCCCATATTGTTGGTTCTGCAGGAGCATCCGGCGTGGGATCCACTGCTTCCACAACTGTAGAGCTTGCGGTGCTTCAGGTCTGGATCGACGACGTAGGGAATCCACGAAAGAAGTCTGAGCCCCTGCAGAACCTGCTCAATGCCCTGCTGCACAAACCAGATGGGCAATCAAAGAAGGTGTTTACCATCTCTGTGGCGACGCTGGCGCTCCTTCTCCAGATCTATCTCGTCCTATTAAAGCACAATCTGCTCAACAGTGTCCTCGGTGATATCTCCAAAATCCTCTATGGAATAGACATTTACAATCTTCTGACCCTGGAAGCCCTCCCTTACCTTGAGATAGAGGCAAAGCCAATCGAGATAAAGGAAGGGAAAGTCCCCGAGGAGAGATTCCTGCTCAGAAGGTTCCATTCCCGCATTCTCTATTGTGCGTTTGTAGAGAACCTCGCTCTCATGCTCACATCATACTACTGTGCGTCGTTTAACATCCTTCCAGGGGTGGACCAACCCACAGGCGCAGGAGAGCATCCGCGATCTGTGCTTTCCTCTGGGGTTCTCTGCGAGACAGATTTCAACTATTTTAAGCTGGACCTTATACGGAGTTATGTACCCTTTGAACGAATAGTTTCAGGCCTGGCCTTTGTTTACAAAACCATTGCAAGTGACACATACGACCTGCCCGTAAAGTCCCTCTGCAGTAACGTAGTAATCGGTCTTCACAACGAGTCTCTACGGATCATTGTCTCTGCTCTTTCATCGGCCATTACCCCAGATTTTCTTCCTCTCATGATCGGATCCATCAAGACCATTCTCACACACTTAGACTTTACTTTCGTGAGCAAAAATTTGGAAATGTATAAGCAGATCTTGAGCTGTTTCATTGTACTCAGCTTTGGTGAAGTCATGATGGATTACTTCAATGTATTAGAACTGGGAGTTTCCGGGGCCATATCCACAGACAAGGACAAGCATATCCTTGAGGAGCAACCGGTTAGGAGGGACAGGCTCACTGAAGAATATCGCCAAGCGTTCGCTGTCGAGCAGCTTCGGCCTTACTCTTTCTTTAGAGGGACAGATAAGGCCTTCGAGGCCCACTGGAGCAAGCCGAAGGACTATAGGGGGCTTCCATTTCTTTACTCACACTACAAGACGTTCCTGTTCTTCTACATTAACTCTGAGGCAACTATTTTGAAGCCGTATCTATGCCTAGCCTTAGCTCTGCTATTCTTTTTCGATTTCAATACGTTTAATGTACTCAAGAACCCGTCCACTGCAACCAATCACAATTTTTATCGCATATTAACGGAGTCATCTTCTGAACCTAAGATTGACTTGCGTAGAGTTGTCCAAAATACTATAGTAGATTGCAGTCGGATAGTCAATGATGCACCTTCGCTGCTGAGCGACTACACCTCTATTATATCCATGGGCATGGAGGCAGAGGGAGACCGCTCCAACGCAATCGACAAATACTACCTTAATCGCCTCCCCGGACAAAACATACGAGAATTACAAGCGCGGCTCACAAAGGTGAAGAATCTGGACATCCATATCATGTCTACTCTTTCCATAACTGACTATCCCCAGAGCAAGCTCGAGTCTGTCTTAGAGGCCTCTAGGACCCGGCTTAAGACGATAAGAACCAAGGAAAAAAGAGAGATCTTGTTCCGTGCAGCATACATAAACGCGTTTACACTTCTGTCAGGGGCCATTCACGTCTATCTCGACATCTGTGCCCAGGTCTTGAAGGCGAACATGCTACAGGGAAATAGCATAAACATCAGGAACAGCTTCAAGTCTATTCCCTCGCTCCAGGTGCTCGATGAGTTTTACCAGTCATATACAAAGCCTCACGTGCCGTTCTACTTGAGCCGCCGCATGGTGCTCAATCTGGAGTCTTGCTTGTTTGCTCTTGCCAACACCGCTTTTAATACAGTACCGCCCCGAGAGCTCTATGAAACAGCTATGCTGACCAACCTTCACCAATCACAAAAGCAAGTCTCGGAGAGACCGTCTTCTGATGCCAAAGGTGCTGATGCCGCACAGGGTGCAGCCACAGCACAAGAGAGTGAGACGAAACTGATACGGATAGAGGGAATCGACCAGGCCATGCTCCAACAGCAAATCACAACTGCTGACAAGAAGGGAAGCCCTTCGTTCTTTCAGCTTAACCCCGAATACATACAAATGTCCAAGTTACTTCTAGGCATCACCGCTTGCGTGCTTAACCATCCAGCGCATCACCTCGTTCGCGATCACTTATTCTACATTTCTGACACCACTCGTAAGGTAAAGGGGCTTACATTTGCAATTATGAATCTTCTAAAAGACACACATAACTTTTCTCTCTTTAATGAGATACCAGAGGGGAGCACAGAGTTGGCAAAAGTGCACGGTAAGGACAACTTACAGTTATTTAACTATGCAATTGAGTTCTTCAGATACATTCGACACGCCGCTGCAACTATTCTATCTGTAAGTTTAGAGCGTGGAAGAGCATATGGATTCTTCAACACATGCACCACGATAGACGCTTACATCAAGGAATCTGTGTCTTTCATGTTGCGGCTCCCTAGCACCAAGGTTTCCGAATCTGTCAAACCTCAGGAAGATGGCAAAATCATAGACCCCACCCAGATGCAGTCTGCGGCACCAGAGCCCATTTTTGTAAAGATCACTAGGGACATACAGGAAGTTGGCCTATTTATGGGCGAAATGGTGAGGTCTGACGAGATTGCTCTCTTTACGGAGGCCATTGTTGGAAGCTACCACCGATTGATCAACTCCCAGTCAATGCTTCTCTGCTTATTTAATAGCTCACAATATCACGAGGTTGCTCTCACGATAGTTGTCAATGCCCTCCGTACCAAGAAGCTGTCGCTGAATCCAGAACTTCGAAAGTACTTCCTGCAGTCCTATATACATGGGAACATACATACAGACCTGATAATTGACGGAATAAGCAATGCAGTGAGTGACGAGCGCATGTGGCAGATCTTTGTTGCTAACTGCGGGTGCACATATACGCTGGAGAAGGTCTTTCCAAAGGTCATCAATCCGGACTCCTTTGAAATCAAGGTGGAAGGCGACGATATTTATGCTTTTTTGCGTGTCTTTAACATTCTCGTTAATGCAACCATGACCCTCGACAGCATCGTGACTGCTCACATCAAGGCCCTCTCGGACCCCCCTGCAAAGCCCCTCGATGCCTTCTTCATTCAGCAGAAGCGCCTAGCCCTCAAGGACCACTTGCACCTTCTCACTAATGAGGTGTTTGCAGGTTGCAATCTCCTGGCATTTACCTGCAAGGTGTTCAAGGATTATGTAATTGTTGGAGGGAACATCTACGGAGTCCTCCCTGAAAATTACACAAGTGAAGTGGCCAGTTTGGAGCAAGCTGCGGGAGCTCCTGCTGTCGGAAAAGATTATATAAAAAGGCCAGAGAGAAGCGCTCTTCTGCGTACTGAGGTGTTGAAGCTGGCGCTAAGTACATTTTCGCTCTATACCAGCCTTGCCCGTGTATATGGGTGGTCGGAACAGCTTGCAGGCACGTATTTCAAGAACGTTTTTAACTATATCGTACTAGACATCCAAAAGTGGTTTGCGGAGAAGGCTGAGTGGCTCTCTACCCTGTCGTTGCGCGATGACTTAATGCTTGCCTTTATTGAGCTGACAGACAGTCTGCTATTCTACTCCAGCGAATTCTGCAACGTTATAGACGTCTACCAATCGGTTGGGCAGGTCGGAAAGGCCATTAGTAAGACTGTTAGAATAAAGCTTGAGGGTTTGAAAATAGCATTTGGCAACCCATACTCCAAGAACCTTCCACCGAAGCAGTGGTATGATGGGGTCATGGAGATAGAGGATTGACAGAAGGGAGTAGCAGTATTACTTCATAGGCTCACCTGTTCCTACCGCCAAAGGGGTGCGGGATCTAAATGAGAACGAGGGTCCACGCGGCGCTGAAGATATGTCATACTCACCCGGCCCAGGAGTATTCTGCTGCCGTATCCGTGTATATCGTATCCCAATTGATGGGCCTACCCTACCACTAGAAGACCCTCGTGAAGTGTCGCTAGAGATCAGTGCGCGCGCACCCCGAAGCCTACTACCTCGAAGCTTCTCCCCCAAAGCATATGTACCAGGCCCACCTAGGCAGCTGCAATCAAAGCGGGTTGTAAATGGGCTGTTTAAGTCGTTGGCCCGACCGTTATGCATAGTCGGCTGCGGTGACGAGGGAAGCGTTGCGGTAACTGCGCTGCTAATATCATATTTACCAGGCCCATCTCCAAGGGTTCGTAAAGGATTTGCGTGCTTGAAGCTCAGTACGCCCCCAGGAGTGCGCGGAGTCACTGATCTAGGTGTGTAAGTCCCTGGACCCACGGCAGTATTATCATGTGTTCCTAATCCAGACTGTGATGAGATGAAGGTAAGATCTGCAGGCCGTACTCCAAATTTGCATCCCTTGGTCCCCAGCGGATCGTATTGCGGAGTTGTCTGTGCGCCAGCGCCTTCCTTGAAATATGAGCCCGGGCCTGGCGTAAGCTGTTTTTCCCTTTCGAGAGGATCGGGATGTCTACCAGAAAGATTGGCAGCGTGGGGCAAAATAAGTCCGCCGTTGCTAACGAGCTTGTCCAGTGTGTATGTTCCTGGGCCTACGGAGGCATATTCCCTCACCGCATGAACGTCAAATGGTCCGCCGTGTTCAAGCTTCCCGTGCAGAGTGAAAGCAGGAGATGATGGTGTCGTCATCTCTATGTACTCTTTCATAACATTATCATATGAACCAGGGCCAGGGACCTGATTGTCATAGCTAACCGGTTGCTTATTTCCGATACAAGCCCTGCTTGCACGAGGTGTTGTCATGCTGTCATTGACAGAGTATGCTGACGGACCTGGCGTGTGGGCCAGATCATCAAATGGGCCTCGTGGAGTCACGCTGGACTTGAACGTGCATGGCAAAACCTTATCCTGAACCTGCTTCAGGGATAAAGACGGGTTGTAACGTGTCGGACTCGGCGTCATTAGGCGTTCTTGCTCATAAGGATCTGCATGCCTGTCGGAGAACGAGAGTGCCTTTGGCTTTACCTCAAAAGCCCGTTGGGTTTCATAGGTCCCTGGTCCTGGAGTCTCCTGTATGTGATGGTCTGGTAGCTTAACTCCAATAGTGAGGTTCTTGGGGCCCTTACGCATTGCTTCGTCCCCCTGGTTTACGTTGTATGTTCCTGGGCCCGGAGTCAAATCCCTTGGAGTAGGGTGCTTCAAGCCTATGCTAAATGATGGGGTAGATGGCTGTATAAAATCCAGTACCGGGACATCATACGATCCAGGGCCTGGGGTAGAGCCCTTAATACAATCAAAGAAAGTGGGCGTGGATTTTTAACTCTGCGGCTAATACTGGCCGAAAATCCGCAGGGGCGTGCGACTGGAAAGGGTAAATGCAGGGCCTCGGACGCTTGGTAGTATAGTTGTTGAGAGATGAGGACAGTAGCTTCGCGGCTTGGAGGCTTCTGGTATAAACTTCTCAGACACTGAACTAGCAACGTTATCAGCCTGTCTCTTGGAGCGAGATGCAAGAAGGGCACGCCTCCTAATGATATCTGCTCTAGATTGTACCGAAAAGTCCGGATTTCTGTCTAGGGAGTAACTCCCAGGCCCGGGGGTATTAGACCGCGCGGAAAGGTCTGGAAGCCGCGACCCGATGTGTATAGCAGGGCTTGCCGTCTTAGTAAGGGACGTTTTGGGGGTGTATTTCGGTCCTATGTTCGAGAAATCCATGGCGTATCTAACGTCAAACGGCCCCCCTGCTGAGCGACCACAAGCGCCAAAGGAGTGTGCTGGTGCCTTAGTGTGGGTGCTGCTCCTGCTTAGTTCGGTCTGGGCCGTTGTCTGCATGTCCTCTGAGTATATGAGGATCGGGGTGGTCGATCTACTCATTGTAGCACTCAGGTAAGAGCTATCCGCGCTTAGCATCCCTGACTGCGTTCCTCCAAAGTCTGACAGATGAGCTCGGGTCAGCTGAGCCTTGGTTAGTTGCTGAGAGGAATTGTGGCTCTGTATACCCGACAGAAACGAAGAAGAAAGCTCGTTGAAATCATATCTTCCCGGCCCCGGGCCATCGCGCTTGCCACTCTTCAGCCGCGTAGAGATGTGAACCGACGGTGTGCGAGGCTTGTAGACGCTGAACGGTGTTGCCTCATAGCTTCCTGGGCCAGGGGTGATGGACCTAATATTGGAAAAGCACGTACACATAGTTTATTCCTTAACACTTATCCTCCTCTGCTATCCCTGTTGGCAGATTGCCCTCATGCATGTGAATCGAGCTTCGCAGTGGTCTGCCTTCCATCGATAACTGACTGGACGAACTCATCATTTAGACCCTCACGGCAGCGCGCAATCTCTATGCAATAGAACTGACTGCGAGGAACGATGCAGGAATTCTCTGGGGAAAGGGGGGCGGCGCAGTCAATTCTTAAAAGTGTTCCCGTATTGTAATCCTTGAGAGAATCCTTCCAGCTCTCCAATATCAAATACCACTTCGCCTTTTCTTCTGCAGACTTCAGACTGGCCACATCAATGCACTTAACATTCAGCTCAGGAAATGCTGTTCTGAAGATCCGGTACATCTCATTATCCATGGGAGTAAAGCGCATCCGGTGAAGGTGATCTATTGATTTGCGGCCTGCAGAAACTAGAAGCTTTTCTATTATCTCGGCATACTTCGCAGCCGTCTCCGCCCACCTCTCTTCTATCGATCGCTCATTCTCAATGCGCGCGTCTGGGGGGAGATCAGACAAGTTGATTGCTTGCATTTAAAATGATATTGCGATAATACTCTTTACTATCGCCATTTTAAGAAGATGCTTTAATATCTTTTCAAATCCATGCCCTCTGCACTTGTCTGCGTTGTCGAAGGCTTCGAGCCCATCGAGTGTGTCACAGTGGTGGACGTTCTCCGTCGTGGCGGAGTGTCTGTGACACTTGCAGGCACCGAGAAAGTCCAAAAGGGTGCTCACGGGGTCACTGTACACACGGACGCCCTGGTCTCTGAGATTGGCAACACGCTCTATGACGCCATTGTGCTACCTGGCGGACCTGGCTGGAAGGAAATGCAAACGAATGGTGTTATCAAGGCTTTAACGGAGAATCACAGCCGGCACGGCAAGTGGGTCATGGCTATATGCGCGGCCCCCTCTGCTTCCCTAGCGTCATGGGGTCTTTTGAAGGACAAGCGTGCAACCTGCTATCCTGCCATGAAGGACGGGCTAGTTGCAAACGGTGCTCAATTCGTCGACGAGCCTGTTGTGGTTGACGGCAAGTTCCTAACTTCCCAGGGGCCAGCGACAGCTCTTCTCTTCGCTGTCAAGGCCCTGGAATTGCTTGTGACTCCAGAGAAGCATGCTGAAGTAACGAAGGGGATGCTTTTGCATCTTATTGACAAGTAGAAGGTACGGGGCTCCGTCCAAGGTCACGTCCAAGGTCACGTCCAAAGTCACAGGAATTTCACCATAATTTTAATGAGTGAACATCATGGTCGCCCATCTGGAGTGGCGTTTCTCATGCAGCACAGGCGGATTAAGGGAGTCCCGGCGCATGTAGCAGCCAATACCAATTACACGGCAAACCAGGTTTATGAGCATCGTTCAGAGGATGACTGTTGGGTCACCTACCGTGGTCGTGTCTACGACATCACGCAATATTTAGACTGGCATCCTGCTGGAAAAGACATTCTGCGCCCCTTCTTTGGCTATGATATTACGGAAGCGTGCAATGTGGCTCACTCCTGGGTGGGTATACACAAGATGATAGAACCCTTGCACATAGGAATGCTTCAAGGACCTCCACGTCTTCTGCAAGGCTATGACTATGATGCTCTGAGAACCAGAGATCTTAGAAGAGGGTCGCCGGCCTAATATTTTAGAGCTCCTGGGCGAGAAAGTAAACAATCAGACTTTGGAGGATGTTTTCACTGAATGGACAGCTATACGCTCTTAGTAGGGGGTGCACCCGTGTACTGAAGATGTCAAGCACAGGTACATGGGAGCACACGCCCGCAATTGTTCCTTCGAGACTTGCAAACGTCGACCGCGAGACCTGCGTCTTCACGTGGACACATGAGTCTATAAGCCCTGACTTAGCAAGAGACAGAGCTGCGTGTACTGCTTATCTTTATCAATTGTCCCAGGGCAGCCTCTTCTTAATAGACTCTACCCTAAGTTTCAAGGCCATAGGGTCAGGTCCGGTGGGCCACCAAGGTGTTATTGCCGCTACGCACAGCCACATATACATTATCCTCACGGAAACTACTGTAGCGTCCGCTCCAGGCCACTCAAGGGTCTACGTCTTTGAGCTTGAAACACATATCTTCTCATCTACTGACATAGATATAAATGGTGTTCCGCTCTTTGCACATAGCTTTGAGGGAACCATATTGCTACTTGTCCTTCGCAGGAAGGGTACTCATAGCGAGCTGGGCATTCTCAAGCTTCTCAAGAAGGGAAACAAAATCACCGTCAACGAGCTGATAGTAGATGACGCTGTTTGTGATGCCTACCACATGACAGTTATCTTCCAAAACAGGTATATCTTGAGTTTTTTCCAAGCATCGGGTCGAGAGTTGGTCAGGGTGTACGACTCTATAAGCGGAGTGTTCATTATGTTTCCGTCCAATATACGCCCAGCGCTTTTTACTGATGTCACTGGTGTGGTCCACAAGAAGCTGTGCAGGATTATTATGCGGACGGGGTCGATTGACCTCCCAGAGGAAATTATCGACATTCTCTATCGTATCAATGCTTGCAAAACAGAATCATCCAGCACGATCCCTATTCCACAAGCAGAGTTTCATCCGAATGGAGCTCAGCCTAGTACACCCCGAGCCCTTTTTACCAAGAACCCTCTCTTTTCGCTCAATGGGTCTTTGCAGGTATCTAACATACCACTCATAGAGGGAACTTTGTCGCGAATGCTGACTCGAAGATCTTCATCCAGCCAGAGAGCAGCAACCCCAACCATGAACTATACTCTAACGGCGCTTTCTCCCGCGCGAGGCAGCAATACCAAGACTCAGAAGGCATATAGATCGGTATCGGCTAATGCTTCCAGTAACACTGCGCCTGTTGGTCCACAGAGCAAGCCTGGAGCTCACTGCAATCAAGAAATTGTGCCTTTAGGCGTCAAAGCTTTGCAAAGCGAGATGGCTCTTCTCAAAGGCCGAAACATACAGCTTGAGCAAGAGCTTCACAAGACGCGATCGGAAGTGCTTGAATTGAAAGCTCAAGTCTTCTACCTTACCGATATTGTCGAGTCCCTCAAACAGAGGGTACCTAGAACAGCTTATGGGTGAACCCACGCGTACATGCAGAGGCCACGCAGCAAAATGACACATTTACACTCCGTTCGGTTTCAGACTAGCCAGCTCGTCCATCAACCCATTAGTCAGATGCCTCTTTGTCACATCGAAGCGCAGACACACACCTAGGAACTTTCTAAGCCTTGGTGTATATTGCGCTAGATAGTCTGAAAGATCTGGGTGCTCCAATGAGCCAGGATTGACCGGGAAGTCATCACGAGAAGAAAGCGTTCCCACGCACATATCCACAAGGGTTGCTCCAAGTGCCCAAACGTCGCTCTTTAAGCTGTGCTTGTACTTTGTCACCTCAGGTGCTCGGAAGCAGTGCGGGACGTCATAATATCCGAGCGAATACAGTTCATCGAGGGTCGCGGAAAGCCCAAAGACACCGAGCTTTATATGGCCCTCCTGCGTTACTAAGACGGTTGACGACGTGATACTGGCGTGAACTCCAACAATATTAACGCTTCTACTGTTGTTGGTAGCATCCATCAGACTAGAGGAGCTCGTTGATAGAAACGGGGTAGGATTTTCAAGCAAGTGAAGGTATGAAAGACCCTCTAATAAAGAGCTTGCCGTGTCCCAAACAACTTGCTCGGGAACTTTACTCTGAGCGCTGATGTGTTGCTTCGCATAGTCCTTCAAGGTGCAGTTGACAGGTTCCATCTCTATGTACACATACAGGTCGTCTACATCAGCATACACATTGGTTACCTTTATTAGTGCTGGATGCTGATAGTCCTTGACATGCTGGACTTCCACGACGATTGCATCCAGTACAGAATCGGGGAGGCCAGATATACCGATGCGCCAGAAGGAAACCGCGTCCCCGGACGACCTCACACGCGCACTGTGTAAGGAAAGCTTTCCGTTGCACCCTAGTTCATTCAACTCCATATATTGACTCTTAGCCCAGTCGCTGTACGCCATTTGGCTCTCAACAGTTTTCAAAAGATCTCACGCCTGTAAAAGCAACTTTTTTCCAAGAAATTAGACTCTGAGGGAAAATTCTTTTATCGAAATACCTCTGTCACATAAAGTAGTGAACACAACCAGTAGATAGCACGGTTTTTCTAATAGTAGTTCATTGAAATGTTAAACTGCCCTTTAAAATCTTCTGTTTTTATTTTACAAATGCTGCAACACATTTTTTTCACGCTTGTCGGCCCTATCTCAATCCGTAAAATTCTGGGCCTGTGACACGTCACATTTTCGTAGCGTTTGCAGGTCCGCTAGAGGCCTACGCTCTATCCGCAGTTAATGGGTCTCCACGTTATATTTCTCATATTATCAGACAATCTACAAAGAAGCAGCTAGCCGGGATTCGCGTCTTGCTCAAGACTTACCACCTTACACTAACACTTAGTCATTACACTCTCCCCCTTTGCGGCGCAGCAAGCTTCCAGAAGCAATCCGTGTCTGAGGGAGTGGTACAACGAGTCCTCCCAGCAGTAGTTAAGGTGTCTTCGTGTCGCTATCTCCACACCCTCATGCTTGCATCTTGGATCCCTACTGGATCAGTGCGGCTCACTGACCTGTTGCTGACCCACTCTCGAAAAAAAGCATCTCGACCTTTTCCAGTTTACCTTATCCTTTCCGTTTTAGTCCAGCTACTCAGTCTTTGCGATTACCTCCGCTCATGTAACTCTTGGCCAGACTTTCCCTGGCACATATTTTCAGATTGTTTAACACCATCGAATATCTGGCTGACCCCCAACGGGTATATTAAGTTGGAACCTAAGTTCAGCCAATTCATATCTGGTCAGTGTAGTACACCAAAGCCCCGGCGGGACAGTGCAAGTGGACTTCAGGTCCTGCTCCATAAGGTGGGTATGCTGTGCTTAGAGCTCTTAGCTGCCAATAGAAAGGTCGCCTTAAAATTTCCCACCGTATCTGAGTTTCATGCCACGGTTCACTATCTCCATTCCCTGGTTGTTCAGAAAATAACCAAAGGTCTGAACTCATCAAGCGTGCAGTTACTGTACAATTACGTGAATACTTCGCAAATAGATTGGTTTTTTAACCTGCTTCGGGCGCTTTCCAATCCATTTGCAGTCCATCGCATAGACTTTTCTGCTGCTTACGACACCGTGCGAGCGGCATTGCAACCTGTGCTCGATGTACAAATGGGTGTCTTGGAAGTAGATAGCAAAGGTGTGACTAGATATATGCGTGCCCTAGAAGCTTGCGATTTGGCTCAAGCACGGCTCCTGCTGCACATCGAAGGTCTCCGCAGAGACCAAAAGAATATGACGGCCTTGCATCGCTTGGCCATCAATGGTTTTCTTCGTGTAAGTACTGCTTGCTGGCTTGATCTGGTTTGTGTGTTGAACCTTGATACACTCAATGCCATGGACAATGATGGCCAGTATGCGCTCCGCTACCTTTGGCTGAACGGCACCAGCGCTGTACAGGCACTGATAGACATATCTAGGTTATCTAGCAGTGCAACTTATCTAACAGATATTTCCGCGTCGACAATCAATCGGATCATTCATTATGGCACTCGTCGCTGCCCTGTTATAAGATCACCCTCTACCACTGTCTTTCTACCACCTTCAAAGCATGCCTATACACCTCTAATGTATGCTGCACTAAACGGGCTGGAGCAAGCAGTCATTGGGCTTGTAGATCAATATGCTGGAACAATGACGGAGGATGGTACTACTGCAGGAACTTTCGCCATGCAGAGAGGGTATCGCGCTGTCGCAAACTACCTAGCGAATCATGAACTTGTACGAATCCAAACTGGGCTGACTATGCTACAATCTCTGCTCGTTATGGCGGAATCGGAGGAGGATCCCGAAGCACTTGCTCAGCTGGCTAAAAATGCATGTCGCTTACTTCACATGGCCTCGTTTCATGCCCTTTTCACTGGAGACACCGCTCTTATTATCGCATCGCGCCGCGGTCTTTTAACAAAGGCGTGCCTCTTGGGTGTAGACGCTTTAGTCAATTTGTATACTACTTTGCTATCTATTGAAGCAGGCATGGTAAATGCTGAACAGAATACATCTCTCATGTGCGTTTGTCAATCTGGTAAGACCCTGCAGAACGAGTGCAAGGCGTTGATCGAGGCGGGAGAGGCGGGCAGGTGCACGCCCGCTGGTATTACAGCGTTGATGTACGCGTCGCAAGTAGGGTGCATTGAACACATATGTTTGTTACTTCCTTATGAGGGAGGGCGGTGTTCTGTGGCTGGCGAGACTGCTCTGGAGTTGTCTGCCTTTGCACTGAACAAGGAAGCTGTTAGTCTTATTGCGGAACACGAGGGTCCAGAATATGCAGCCAGTGTTGCCTCTCTTTTGATAGCTGCCTGTGGAAGAGGACAATTCTCTCGTGTTGACTTCGTCAAGGTACAACACATCGTCACGCTTCTTTTGAGATCAGTACCATGCAGTAATACGAAGTAAATCTTGGTGGGAGGGGAGCTTCATGACTCGGACGTGAAAGGAAAAAAGACAGGCGGAGTAGGTGCTTATATGCGCCCAAATCTCTCACTAGTGGCTAACATAGATCTTCAGACCGATCCTTCCGGGTCCTATCAGCAATTTCAAGTCCGACAGTTTGACGACGAGGTCGATCGGTTACTGCAGGAGGATCTCTCCGTGTACCGCGACCAAGCAGTTAAGCAGCTGCTTCACGAAGGCGTGAACGTAAGCGCCGCTCTAGATTCTGATTGTAGTAGTAGATTTGATGATGATTTAAGCCGCAGCAGAAGTATAATTAATACCCTGACAGACTCTGCTGCGGAGACCAACGACGGGGCACACGTTTATTTGGACTTCCTGACTGACGATCAGGAGCAAGGACTTGATGAAGCCTATCAGTACAACAGCGCGGCGGCAGAGGAAAAGCTACTGAGTGCCGGTATGCCCAAAAACAGGAATAGAATAATAGATGCTCTGTATGCATCAGGTCCTGATGTTGACCTTGGCAAGACTGAATCGGACAACTCACTAGGCGCAATAGAACGCATATACAATTATGCTCATGCACTTAAACTAATTTGTCAGAAGCTCCGAGATAAGAATAGAGCGTTAGAGCGTCAACTACACGATGCGCATCAGTACATCACGCAGCTAAAAACAGAAATAGAGTCTTTCAAGGGGTCTTCTGGCAGCGAAACCACATTTGCACATAGCAGCCACCCGGGAGCGCCTCCCGCGCCTCCTGATGCATCACAGTTCTATAGAGATAGCTATAATTCTCTTCTAGAAAAGCATAAGCAATTAGCAGCCGATTTTGAGGCCCTCCGTGCAGTTGCCGATGTTACGCAAGAATCTGCAGGCACACCAAGCACTTGCAGAGGCCAAGGATCCTCTGGCCTTTTAGGTCCACGAATATCTAAACCTAGTTCAGTAATCTCCTCAATAGACCACCAGCCAAGTCAACTTTTCAGATCAGAGGCCCCCAATCTTCCAGAGAGAATTCCCTCTCACTCATCAGCAAGCATCTCTGGGAGCGGAGGGGTGACAGACCTTCTTGCTACTGAAAGAGTGCTCTCCTCAGCGAACTCGCCACTCACCACATGTTCTCCTGCCGAGGTGGCCAAGTGTGACTACAAGCAAGTCGTAAGAAACGAGATTGAGATTGCACGGCTAAAGTTAAAGATTAAGACACTAACAGATGAGCATGACATCACCCTGGGTGTATACAAGGACAAGCTTTCCCAGGCAAATAAGAAGAACCAGACCCTGTCCGAAAATGTCACAGCCCTGACCGAGACCTGTGCCCAGTATGAGAAGAGGCTGGGGAACGTCAAGGAAATAATGAAAGAAATGGACAGTGTCAAGTCCAACTTCAATGATCTGCTTTCGGACTATAACCAAAAATGTACACAATGTGATCTGCTGGCAAAGGAGTCTGAAGGCCTTCGTGTTAGCCTCCAACACGCACTCTCTGAGGGTGAGAAGTCCCGCCAGGAATGCATTCGGCTATCTCAGGGAGAGACAGAGCAGAGTCTCGTCATTGAGGATAAGGCCAAGCAGGTCAAGGAGTTGGAAGAGCAGCTCCAGCTAGCTCACAAAGAGCTAGACGAGAACGCCTCGAAGATCGAGCAGTTGAACACCATGACACTGACGTTGCAGCAGCAAATACGCGAGCACAGCCATCAAGCAAAACAAGCGGCAAATCTTCATGCCATAGAAGTGACCAATCTTCTTAAATCTATAGAGCAACTTTCAACTGATGTAGAACATAGAAACTTGTTTATTTACAACATGCTTATCCTGAGCACCGAAGCAGTTCACTACACCAAAAAGGTCGTGGCACAGGGGACCAGCAGCAGCTTCTTGCTAGAACCTATAGATATCGGTGTCCTTCTCTCCAAAAGATTCAATATGTCTCCACACGCCTTCAACCCATCCATCCTCTTCAACATTGAATCAGGAGGCGCCGCTCAGCAGACATCGCGTGTTAAGCGGCTAAACAACGGGTATATGATACCTCCTATTTCGGATGCAATATTAAACATATTCACAGAAATGATAGCCGCCCTGGGAAGCTATGGTGGCGGAGAAGGTGCAACCAATCTTAACTCCCGGGCCCAATCAGAGATTCAGCGAGTTAGAAAAGACTGTGACGATAGGCTACGTGTCCTCATGACCGAGCTGAACGAGGCCAAGCGCTTTGTTGCAGAGTCTGCCGGCAGAGAGCAGGGCCTCAGTGTTGCCCTCGGAAAGGTCAAAGCAATGTATAGATCCGCTAACGAACAGCTTGTTGAGGCCCAGCGAAGAGCAGAAGAAGCGGCATACAGAGTCGATGAACTCAATAAGCTTAGAGCAGCAGAGCAGCAAGCATTCACTACAAAACTAAAGAAGGTATTAGAAAATTGCAGGGAGTAACTACACTAACGAGCCCTTGGAGGTGTTTTGATTGTGGGCATCCACAATGCGCCCCAATAGGTACATCAGATACGAGTAGGTTTCCTCGGGCTTGTGCTGCGTTGTGTCATAGTTGAGGATGCTGATATACTTCTTTGCAGCCGACAAAACATTGTCTCTGTACCACACATAGCATGGCCATATCTGATTAATGAAGGTCTTGTTCCCGTTTGCACGCAGCGACTGCTGATACTTCCTGTAGTGAGCAGTGGCCTGATTTGTATGAAGGTGTAATACAAGGGATCGCTCCGCTTTGTCAAGAACAGACGGGTTGTACACAGACAGGTTCCCCTCGTAGAGACTGAACAAACATCCATCTCGTACACACTTCAAACGGTACTTCACCAGCTCACGAAGCAAGTCCTCATGGTCAATGACAAAAGGGTGGTTAAAATTGCCATCCAGGTAAGCGTGCACGCGCTCTAGGCTTGTGTATGAAGATTCCTGAATACAGGCTGCGCCATCTGCTCCCAAAAACGAGTCCACCAGTTCTGTTTTACCAACGCTGCTGCACCCGGTGAAATTGATCAAGAAGTTGCAGTTCAGCGCTGAAATGACGCTATTATATATCTTAGCATATACGAGAGAATAAATGTTCTCTACCAAGCGTTCCAAATGCAGTTCCAGCAGGTGCCGCGTCTCTCCTGTGACAGTGGGCGATAGCCCATGGTCGTAGAGGTCCTGGTGGAGAAACTGACTGAACACCACGTTGGTGACATCGTCTGCATCGACAGTCGTATCGTTATCGTCGTCATCGTCATGGGCCATTCCCGAATTACTGTCGCTGCTGATGGTGGAGGCTATGAGCTGTTTCGTGTTAGAGCCAAAGGAAAGGGCGCAGTACTCTGGGAGGAGGGACTGAAGATTGCTAAGAGATCGCCGTTTGGATACCGGGTCAAGGATGCTGAATGTACTAAATGTCCGCTCCAGCGTCTGGGTGATGTGCTCGCTGTGCTTGTTGTATACATAAACCCCGGCAATATTGTGGTCACCGTATGCAGAGTTGACTATTGTTCCTAGCACCTTGTCTTTTGGGAATGTAAGAATTAGATATGTGCTTATGTTGGGGTTGATTGAGCTACTTAGCGACGGCAATGACCGAAGCGTGTGCCCTATGCTCTCCTTAGTTGCGGTATCAGCAGGCTCTATTAGAATGTTGATGGTGTAGAGGGTCTTCTTGTCGCAAGTGGTCATGATCTTCCGAGGGTCAGTGTAGCTGAGGGTAAAAGGGCGCATGGGGAAAACGCCGAGAAAGTATGACCGTTGATGAGTAAGGATACTGAGTAAAGATTTGTGACAGGCGTGGAGTGCATCAAGACCTGTTAGTGGTTTGGTAGAGACTGAGGTCGGTAAGACAATACCATTGCTCTTCAGCATTTCGAAATCAGCATAGCTCTGAGCGCTTAGACTATAGACTGTGCTCATATTGCTGTCCTGGGTCTCTGCATCGTTATCGACGCACTTGCTGTTAGGACTATCTGTGTTCTTGGGATGAGATGGAGAAGAACCAAATGTTAGTTTAGGAGGTTCTGCCGGCTTCAGCTCTTCTTGCTCCTGGTCCTTGAGTAGAGACAGGTCTGGAAGATATATCTTTGGAATGCTATGGACAGAAAGAGCAGCACACCCCACCAAAAAGTCTGTTGCCAGCCTCTTGGTAAGCTGCTTTTGAATAAAGATGGTAGCTGATGAATAATCATGGACCGATAAGAACTCTGGATCTTGCGGATTCACCTTGAAAAAGTAGTATCGATGTATAAGGTCTTTGGGCTCTGTGAGAAGGGCTTTGCTTATTACTTTGAAGTCTTGCTTATATAAATAATCTATAGAGCTATCTATAGTGTTCTTATCGGCTGCAATGATAGAGGGGAACGAGTACTTGAGGTGCGCGGTCTCTGTAAGGAGAAACGTGGTTAGGGTTGCGTGATGAAAGTTCAAAATCATCTCAGAGGCGAATAGGCAGCAATTTGAGTAGTTGATAACCGGAAAGGTAACCATTCTAAGCCTAAATGTAAGCTTCTTGAGAGTTGCAGGATTGCCCGGCACATATTGATTGCATATGCCAAACGAGAGTGCGCTACCTGTCCCTTGTGGTAGTCGCAGAACAAAATTACGCTTGTAAAAATTTGAAAAGACTAAAAGATTGCCTGTACTATCCAAGAGGGCCCCAGTCAAAGTGGCTTCAGTCATCGAGCGTCTAATATCTGGATAGGCTTTATTGGGCGAGGTGGTCGAGAACGTATTGCTGGCGACTCCTGAAGTGGTGGATTGACTGCTGTTAGTCAAACTGTCGTTGCTTTCAGTTTCCTTATTCAAACCCAACCTTTGACCAATTCTGTTTGTCCTCACACTAGAGATGGCGCTCATTACCGTAGTTGATATAGCGGACCGAACAGATGCAAAGCACGACTGCGGGGTGTCGCCCCTTGGGATACTAAGCAATACACTGGGGGTTGGAGCAGAAACGGCTAACGGGCCTCCCTGCTGAACCTGAGCAAGGGTAGGCAGACTGGACTTCGAGACAACTCTCGGTATATTGATATCATCCTGGCTTACATCTTCATTCTGGATATCCACTAAGTTCTTCTCAATAGAGTACTGGAGCACCGAGCAGTCGTCTGGTATCTTGGGCAAGTGCGGATCCTCCTGTAGCTTGCCCTTTAACTTTGCTTTGGCGTTCATTGCAACTTTGGCAACAGGTAGATTCAGTTTCCGGCGTGGCGAAGATGGCGCTGCGGGTGACGGCGGCACAAAATTCGGCTTGCTAACGTCAATAATGGGTAGTATAGAGCTAAACATCTTGTGGAGGAGGTTACGCTCGATCGGAACAGCATATGTCTCCGTCAAACCAAGCACATGCGTCTCATGTGCCGGAAAAAATGCACTGAGCTCAATGAACCGATCTCGAGGATTGGTGTTTTGAATCTGCTGGCAAGTCATTTGCGCATCCTGATGATATTCTAACTCGTAGAAGGTGGTTGGTTCATGTGCCTCACTTATACCGAAATGGACGCTACAGGATTTATAAAGCATGTAAGTTGCATAGCCGCCTGAGAACACAAGAAAAATTAAAAATGTGTCCTTATGAACCAGAATGATCTGTCGCTCCGGAAGCAGCATGGGTTGAAAAAGTCAAAAAACCGATTTTTTTACTTTTTAAAGGAGATCCGACAACTCGCCGATCAAAGCGCACTCCTGTCCCTGACTAGAGCGCAAGTGTGCTATGGAGGAGCTCCAGCTGCGCTTGCCGAAGACTATATATTTGCTCCTTAAGGCTGTGTAGCTTCGACTCGCAAGCATTATTGGCTTGCTTGAGAGAGCTTTCTTGTTTCAAACTGGTGGATAGCAACTTTGTAACTGCTTCCGAGGCAGTATGAAGTTCTGTCCGCATAGTCAATATATGTTCGTCAAGGAATGCAGTGTGCTTAGCGTAAGGAACAGACTTTCTAATGATCGCTGAAATATGAGAGATGAGCTTCTGAACGGGTTGGCTATAAGAGTCAATGGGTTTCTTGTCTCTTTGTGTAGACAAGCCCGTGGGCTTTTTCGAACCATCTCCGTGCAGGGCCACATTATATGCTTCTGCAGTATCAAGTATGTTTGCCACTAGCTCTCCATGAGTGCTGGAGGGTGCCGGCGCCCCAGTATCCAAAGGAAACTCACCAGGTAGCATTTCATCGCACCATTCAGCGTCAAGCCCCATTGTAAACCCGCCGTCCTGGCCCGCGTTTTGATTGAGGTCTTGATTGCTTTCGTCGGAACTTTCTTCTCTGACGACTTTGACCAGACGCATGGCAGAGGGCTGGGGTGCGCTCGGCTCCGAAGTTGCTGTTACTGCCATGCGACGAGAGTGCTGAGAGGGAGGAGGCCTATTAAAATGCGGACGCTCAATGACGGGCTGGTGTTCTTCTACTCTAGTCTTGTCATCGTCAGCAAAGCGCACCTTAGGAGGGCTCTTCTGAGGAGAGATAGCAGATTGCTGTTGTTGTTGCTGCTGCTGCTGCTTCTGCTTCCACTGCTCTGCTTCCGCCCGTTCACGTGATTCTAACTCATGTTTTTCTCTTTCTTCACGTTCCTTTTCCTGACGCTCTCGCTCTTTTCGTTCACGTTCCTGCTGCTCTTGTTCTCTTCTTTGGCGCTCCTTCTCAGCCTTCTCGCGTGCAAGAGCTTCCAAATCTTCTTGCGGGGGAGAGGCAACCGTCTCTCTGGGAGCTTGCTGTGGTGGAGGTTGGGAGGAATTAGATCTTACTTTGAACAACTTTGCTGCCTGTGCCAACATAACCAACATCCGGAGTGTCTTCGGAACGTCTTTGCCGGCCAAGATAGACTTAATTTGAACGTCAACGGGGACGCCTAGTTGATCAGTGATCTGGCCAATTATAGAAGTTAAAAAGGCAGTGCGCTCCTCCCTATCTGTTATGTCATCGTAGTTGCAAGATTCTGGAGATGGGAAGCCAGTGGCTGCAGATACCGCTTTGCAGATGTCAAGAATGTATTTGAAAGGAGGCCGAGACAGCAATTTCTCAGTGAGAGGGGGCCGAGAAATGAGTTCCTTGAGGGCGTCAATGGTACTGTTGATCAGTTCTGTCTCAATGGTGATCATTTAACTTTTTGAGTAAAATTCCCAATCATTTAAGGTTGCTAACTAGAGATGAAAGCCTCAACCCCAGCTACTTATGCAACTGATGTTCAAATGATGCTACGATCATGCCGGCTACTCACTATCTTCGCTATACCCTTGTACACACACTGCTTCCCATCAGAGTTAATGAGGGAGCAATTAAAATTATTTACTAAGATTGAAGCCACAATTACAAAAAAAAAGACTGGAAAAAAAGATTGGACCATCGGGGCTAGATTTACATGCACTCATCTAAAACGGATCGGCAATGCGCCACTCTGTCTGCCCACTCCTGAAGGCGCTTGCTGAAGACTACGACTTGCTTGGACGACACTGTCCGCGCTTGGATGATGGACACTGTCAGTGTTTGCGAGACCGTGTTTAAGGTCCCCACAAGAAGGTTTGCCCTCATAGCGTCCAATATAAACCTCTCCAAGTCTAGAACACTCGGTAATTCAAGAGAGTCCATAAGGTCTCTGTAGGGGTAATTGTTACGCTTTGCCAGGGATGCATCATACAAAAGCTTGCAGAAGCGGTGCTGAAGGGCCTGTCTGCGGATTCCGTCTTTGACTGACAAGAAGTTAACCCCGTACTTTGCGTCCTTTGGAAGCTCACTATCACTGGGCACTATACCCTCAGTGACCTGGAGCAAAAGATTATGGGCCGGTGTTTCCTTGAGTGGAAAGTGAGATGATAGCATGGAGTCCATTGAAATGCAATATGGGCTACCACAGCAGATGCCTCTATTATTGTTATCGGTTGTGCTACCGGTTATGTCTGTATCGGCACACGTGCACGGGTGCTCTGCATTCTTCTTTCCTGACACGTTATAGACTAGGCTCAGCAGGTCGATGGGATGGTCACAAATACAGAACGATGAGCATACAGCAATGCAGAAGTAGTTACTAAGTATACTGTATGCCCAAGGGGTCGTAATGGCTATCTGAACCATTTTCTGATAAAATAGATAGATGTCGTAGAAGCGGTGCTCCACGATGGCATAGCGAATTGCGGCCTCCAAGGCCATCATTTCGGCGTATGAAGACACTGAGAATACACCAGAAGACAGGCTCTCGAGCAGTTGACGCTCGTAGGAGAACGCCATAGCATGCTCAAGGGTAACGGGGTCCAGTTCCGCTGTGTACAGAAGGTACTGCAGAGCAATTATCACGGATAAGGCTTCTGGATGATGGTTAAAGACAGCCCGTTCCTTCTCAACGAACTCAAGAGCCTCAGACAAAGGAAGCGATCGAACGTAGATTGCATAAAAATGGGCCAAAGCCACCTTATCGAGAGCATGTGTACAGTCCTTGATACACTCAAGAATTCCCTGGAAGTCAGTTTGTGAGCCAGCCCTGTCCTCCTTGTACATCTCTGGCGATGATGCTAAGGTGTGTAGTGACTCAGATACCGCGTGCCAGTCCTTTTTTGTGACCAGGGGAGCAAGGGCGATCGTCATTGTTTTTTAGTGCTGCTTTTTTAGCAGTTGCTTCCATTTGTCCCCTTTCAATGGACCCTGCTGCTGAATCTGTTTATGCCGCTCGCGGTAGTTCCAACGTGATCTACATTGGATACTCTTGGAACTATGTCAAACAGCTCGTTTCTGGAGTTTCTGGCTTGACAGTCAAAAAGTTCAGAACCCCTGACGAGCCATTTTCTTCTGGGTGGTACAAAGACATTGACCCAGAGCACGTGAAGATTAGAGCGAAGGACAAATCTGTCAAGGTTTCCAAGGGCTCTTCTCGCGATAAAAAGGCCAATATTTTACCGTCAAAGAGAAAGAGTAAAACAACCACTCTTCATGACGCTGTGCGCTTATTCACAGAGCCTGCTGCCCCTGTGAGCTATGACATGTTTTATGGAAAGTCGGCTGCCGATTTAGTCGACATGGCCAAAGTCCTGGCACCGGACACACACTTCAAATTTCTGGAAGAAAGCACTAATGGATCTCCTAGAGATTATCTTGCACGCTACACAGAAGCCAAGCTTCATATGGAGGCCACTGAAAGAGCTTGGAAAGAGAACCCCGCATCAGCAAATTCTGTAACTAGAGCTGGCACTAATAGTAGCCTTAGTGATAGCGGTACGCCGGATTATGTTGCCTTCACAGATGGAGGTTCAACCCCCAGTGCAGGTGGCCCAGGTGGCTGGGGCTGCCTGCTGTTCAATGCTACTGAGATGCATGTGTTTGCGCGCAGTTACAAATCCACTACTAATAATCGCATGGAGCTGCGGGGTATCCTGTGTGCCTTGCTCAACGTCCCACAGGGCAGCGTTCTGCACATATACTCCGACTCGCAGTATGCAATCAATTGCTGCAGGGTATGGCTTACTCAGTGGAAGAAAAAAGGGTTGCTTTGCCCTCAAAACCCTAATAGAAAAGATATCATAAATGCAAAGCCTCTCAACAAAGATCTTCTGCTCTGGATTTATGCTGAAATGCAATCCCGAACAGTAAAGTTCGTCCATGTTAAGGGACACTCCGGGAACAGCCTGAATGACTTTGTCGACGGCCTCTGTTACCTCGGGCGTAGAAAGCAGGCCCCGGAGTACGATGATGTCTACTAGGTTACTGGTGGAGAGCCAAACGTAAAAATAACATGCTGAGGCAGGCAGATGGATTCACTGCTTCTCACCCTCTCGTTTCTAATATTATAGATGCACTAAACGCAAAGCTTGTATGTGCGCACAAAGATCTAGATGAACTCAAGTACAAACACGAGCAGGAAATGCAGAAGTTGGCAGAGCTTGTATCCTTGCGATCTACACTTATTGGACAGCATTTTAAGCACTATGACATACTGGAGGACAGCGAGTATGTCTTCAACTTTATCCAAAAGCAGATTCTTCGACTACCAAGGTATTTGAAGATTGCCTCCGATCTCTCTTCGCAGATGGGGCAGCCCGTCACAGCTCCAGAGATGCATACGCAGCGGATGGTTAACTGGCACTCTACCCTTTCTCAAAGCCTCGACCAGGCCCGACTTGATCTTCACAGTCTCGAGGCAGAAATTAACGATGAACGCACCAGGCTTATAACGACTACATTAGAGGCTTGTTTACAAAAGATTGGAACCGCAAAGGTTATGGAGACACTCGATTATAGTGTTCTACGGCAGGAATACGGCAAGCAGCTGCTTAGTCTTCAGCATCTGCTCTGCCGTTCGCGTATCGCCGTTGCGGAAGGAATTGAAAAGAAGTGTAGTGGTGGTTTGAGAGCATTTTCTGCTGGACTAATAGACGCGTTAAGGAAATCTGCTGATCTACTAGGTCAGATGAGACGCCATTTAGAGTATTTCGGAGACAACCTAGACAGATATGGTGACAAGATCTACAAATATCTGGCCTTGAAAAGGCAGTTGGAGAGGCTAAAGAATAGGCTTGAAGCGCCATGATAGATCTGGGAGGCGGTTCTTTTGGTGACCATACGTTATGTCTGAGACGTCGCTATCGTCTGGAAGCATGCTTCTTTGCCGTGCGGGAGGCTTAGGAGAGGTGATAGACGTGGTTGTTTTGAAGCAAGAACGGTAGAAAGATTCCGGCGACAATATCCGTACTAGTGGCATCGATGCCAGTGGTATTTCATCAAAAATCCGCAGAGGACTTACTAGATCGCTTTTGGATAGATCTTCGCAGGCTCTCCACGTAGTACCCTCATAACCTTCCAAGTCAACGGCTGGAGCAATAGAAGGAACTGTGCAGTCCAGGCGGGAGTCACTGCCATTGGATGTGGTCACATAATCGTTCGCTCCGCTCACAGCAAAGTTCGAAGCAATGACAGGGGGCATTTATTTTTCACCTCAGATTTAGTCTTGGTGAATAGCTTTTTCAGCCTCTCGCAGAACCTTTTCGGTGTTGTCGATTGTTGATTTGGTAGCGGGATCTTCTGCTCTAGCATGGGATAGCCGCCGAAGAGCTTTTTCTTCCCATGATTGCCTTGACGGATTTCTTTGTCTTGACGCTGGTAGGCGCACCGGTGTGCCCATGATTCCGCCCAGTATTTTAGGGAGGCATTCTCTCCCTGGGTTGCCCATGGTCAAAAAGGCCCCCAGCTTATCTGGTTCATCGCCAAGAAGCGAGTTAGTAGCTAGATCTCTTTTAGCTTTCAAAGCCGCATTGGCGCTGTATGCTCTCGGTAACTTGTTAGCCTCTGCGCTAGTAAGGCCACTCTCTTTGTTGGTATTGACAGATTCAACGTAGATATCGTCCATAGAGGTGGTTAGTGGGGGTTCACACTGCTTCAACAGATATTGCTCGCCAACGGGAACAGCAGAGCGCACTGTGCGTCGAGCGTTCAACTGTTGTCGCTGTCTATTCTGATCCTTCCCCAGAGTGTGACTGACAATCACAAGTTCTTCTGGCATGGCCGGCAACGAAGGAGTAGATTTTGTGACCGTGCTATGTTTTACCCTGGGCTGTTGATATTCGAACGGTGAAATTTCCTCGAAGAGACCTGTTCGGGGGTTAATGCCATCAGGATATCTCTGTGCTCTATAATTATCTTTAGATTCCGATTTGCTATACGCTAAGACCTCTGGATTGATGTCACTGGTTGTGAAAATCACGGCTTTATCATCTTCGTGCAGCAGAGACGTTTCAGTGCCAGCGGATACCACCTTACCAGAGCGACTTCTTCCGTGCACGCTTGAGGGCACAGACATCACCTGCTGGTGCCTTGATGATATGCCTTCGGAGGTAGCTCGCGTTCTGACTCTGATGCCGGTCAAATCGGCATTTATGGCTCGCTTGCTTTCAGCTTCCTCTAGGTCGCGTTCTGCTTTGGCGATACTGTCAGTTAGCTTGTTTAGATCCTCGTTTGCATTCAGAATAGTTTGTGCTATTCGTGCATGGTACGACCGGCGTCCTCGGAGATTCCGACCCGTATGATTTAATCGCTGGTGCTGCGAGGTTGCTTCTGTTGGGGAGGCACTCGCTGACTCTGCCATGTAAATATTAGTCAGTGATACGGTAGATGCAGTTTTTTCCTTGGGGAAAAGGGCCTCGGTTCCGGGGCGCAGCCTTATTTGCTCCTTACTCGAAGCGGGCATAGCAGATGGGACTGATAATGGTAGCGGAGAGCTGATTGACTTTTGAGAAGCCTCCCTGAGAGCTAGGCTGGCTGCAACCCTCTGTTGCACCAAGCTGGGACTGACCTGCAAAACGTGTGTGGCGACGTGATCGCTATCAAGTACGGCATTACCGTGTGGACCTGCATATATAGTCGACTCCGTATCTGCTAGAGAAGGGTCACTCATTAATCCGGATTTTTCGTTCATGATTGCAGTTGTAAAGTATTTGATAAAGCTGAAATCTTCGCTCTTTAGTGCACACTGATTCTGATACTCTCGAAGCAATCTGCTATCTTCAGCAATCTTCTTATCGCTCCATACTTTCTTATTAATATTATTGGCAGATTGAGGACGGTATGAGTTGCTGGCGTTAATCCTACCACGAGGGGGCTGAGGGATGACCTGTTCTTCGTGTTCCGCAGGACAATACACACCAAATGCTATATCTGTATCGGATTTGCTCACCTTTTCTGCGAGTTTTTGCTTGAACTGAGCGTCATCCATGCGGGTACCAACAAGCTGAGTTAGCTCGAAGGCCTTGTGGGAAAGCCGCCTATTCAACTCATCTATTCCCAGAGAACGTGTGTGCGTGGTTAGAATCAACTCGCTCAAGAGTCTGTTAAGCGTCTGCTCCATTTTCTTCATTTTTGCATCTTCTGACTCGACCCTTTGGGCCATGAGATCGCTCCACATCTTAACAGCCTGCTCAGTGGATGCCAGTGTCGTCTCAGCATCCGCACAGAGCTCGAAAGCCTTGGATCTAGAGGCCTCTGGGATCTCCTTCTCGTAAATACGGCGCAACTCTTCCAAGTCGTTGAGCATGTACTTCTTCTTGAGAAGATCTATACTCTGATGCCACTTCTGCTTCATAGTGTCCATTTCGATCTTGACTTTGCGAATAAGTTCTGTTCCGCGCTTGTGTTCAAGATAAGCACTGTTCAACTCATCCCGAATGGAGCGTAAGTCTAGTATTACGCGCTCTTGTTGTGCTACTATTTCAGTGCGCATTGATTCAATGGATCTCTCCACCGGTTTTTTAACGGTAGTGTAGTGATCTCTGGTAAAGATTGATGCCATAGCGTTCAACTTGTTTTCCCAGTCGCGCAGCGTAGACAGCTGAGTAGAGATGGTGGTGTGCAGATTACGTAGTTGCTCTTTTGAGGAGTTACTCTCCTCAGACATATGGTGAAAGAGAAGCGGGTTGAGCTTTTCCAGAATATCTGACTCTGCCTGTTTAAATACCCGGTCTCTTCGAATAGCCTGAAAATTCCCTTTATCAAGAGCAGACCGCAGAGACGAGAACTTATCTTCATTGGCTTGGGACCGTAGCCGTTGCTGGTACTTAAGATGTCGAAGCTCGTCCTTTGTCGCATCTATGGTAGAGTGCAGAGACCCTACTGGCTTGATAGTTTCCAAAGTCTTTTGTTGTAGAGCTGCTATCCTTTCTGTAAGGAGACTGTGCGCTTCTTTCTCTTGGTTGATAAGAGATTGGTTGATCGTCTTTATGTCCTTTAGGTCTTCCTGCAGCCCATGCTCTGTAGTGCTTGTAAAGCTCTTTATCTCTGCCTGCAGAACTGGTATCTTTTCCACGCCCCTTTTAAAGCTATCTATGGTGGAGCCCCAATCTTCGAAACAGGTATCAGCCGTTTCTTTCATAGCTGCAGAGGCAGAGAGAAACGCCGCTCGCTGGAATCCAATCCGCTGGCTAACGGTAGTGTAGAAGTGCTTGTCTAGCTTATGAGAGAGGTAGTTAGTCAACTCTGTAGATGTGCGAAATCTGGTTCGGTCTGCCAGAGTAAGTGCTTGAGCGAGACCATTTTCAATAATAGTAATCTCAGCAGCCAAAGCAACCATCTGTTGAAGAACGGCTGGAGGTATTGAGAGCCTTAGCTCTGCCATACCAAAAAGAGATTTTATAAACCGCAGGCCTTGATTTCTTCTACCCACTCTCCACCTCATGTTTGCTCACTACATCAATGTCAAGCAGGATGAGGTGGTGCTGCATATTCATAAACCTCCAATGAAACATCCTAAGCAGGCAGTGCGGCTGTCTCAGGGCCTTAAGCAGCTTGGGAAGCGGGCTTGTTCTCTCCAGCAACGAGACCCTTGTAGCAATCTGCGAACCATTAATAGAACTAGATTGCGTAGTAATAGTCAACCACAAAATTATGCAGACGTATCTTGTCAAGTTGTTCGGCCCGCGTTTCGAGAGCTCGTTAATGGCTATAGTGGCCAACTGTATTTTGGATCCACAGTTCAGTATGGTAGACAGCTGCGAGACTTGGGTGCAGAGCCAGTTTCAGATCAACATGGCGATTTTCATATGGTCAAAGATGCGTCCCCACAGTTCAGGCACAAGAAGCATCTCACAAATAAAATAGGGCATCTAGTTTCAGGAGCTGAGTATGATGAAATTTTACGTGATATTGGAGGGATTAATAACATTTTTCAACTTGACGAGCAAACAAAATCTACAATGGCGTCAATTTCACTTAATATCAAAAGGAACGCCGTGATCGACGGCGCATTATCTTCTCTGCTTAACGCCAGCAGCGCAGACGCTCTCCGTGCCGAGCTCTTTCAGATTAAGGTCAGATGGCCTATGCATATTAGGTCTCTTTATGCCAGCACGCAGAGCACAGACATCGATGTAGTACTTAAGAGTATTAACGATCTCCTTAAGCTGTTATCGTATGCAACGGCTACAATCCTGGACAGAGACCAGCTAATTTACTTCGCAGAGGCTGTGATAGGGATGGTTGACCTGCGCATCCTCCTGTTGGCTCTAATTAATTTACTTAGTAATGCCAACTATACCATTCTAGTCCTCTCCTACATTACGCGGTTATTCAACGCAGACATAAGATCTAGAACTCTCATAGAGGTGTATCCCTTACTCCGAGAGGTTACCCGAAGCTTTGTGGTCCCTCTCTTTGCAAAGCTAGCTGCACTCCTATCGACAGAAGCCGTATTTGATCATACCATACGTGGACGGCAATATGTCATCCTCCTCGTCAGATATCTATACACAATGGTGGGCCTAGGAGTCATATCCTTGGAAGAATCACAGTTGTTAGAAAAGGCAGATTCTTACAACACACGTGAATGGTCTGTTTTGGCGCGAAATCTGGGTATATCTCAAAAGCCCGGGAGCATAGTGCTTCAGAGAGGGATACAAGTACTACGTAACACATATGTTGGTCCTGTTATCAGCGGTTGCGTGGCAGACATACCTTCTGAAACCGATTTAGCTGGAGAGACGAATGAAGCTAGTCCTAAATCTGCTGTAGATGACAAGCATTCCATAAAGCAAGCGAACACTGATCATCCTTTAACGTACAGGGATCTGCACGCAAAACTAAATCCTCAACTTGATAGATCAAAAGTACAGCCTTTGAAAAAGCCGCTTCATTATGTTAAAAGTTATACTATCTCTGTGGGTGTCAAACAGAATAACGCAACTAATTTGTATTTTGTTGTATGGCGCCAACCCCAAAACAAAACACTGTCTAATAAAGATCTATTTATGAAGCTGTCATCGCACATAAAACTATGTCGCCATAAATTGGTAGGAGACTCGCAGCAAGCTATGGAAACAGATTCTACTTCAGAACCAGCAGTGGAAAAATCTCCCCCCGCTGTATCTTCCTCAGCTCTTATGCCCATCGTGTCCTCCCTGGATGCTGCCACAGAGAAAACCACACGTATGGCTCTTCCCCTTCCAAGTCCCAACTTATCACCTTTATTATCATCATCGAAATCACCGCCACCGCCACCGCCGCCACTATCACAGCCGCAACAATTCGACAAAAAGGAAAACAGGACACAGCGATTGCCAACAAGACTTGCTCAAGCTGCTGCTGCAGAGCAGTGTGATCATTCCTTTTCAAGCACAATGTCATCCACAGACAAGCAAGACCTACGTGACAGATATGCCCTTTCCAGCCCAACCAGCAGCACCCAACACGCCTCCTCAAAGGCAGAAGAGCTTCGCTTGGAGCATCTAAAAGCAACTGGAACGACTCCTCACACATCTAGCGACTCTGGAGGACACAATGACCCGCACATAACGAGACTACGCACTCATGCCAACTTACGTGGACTCCACAACCTAGTCAGTGACGATGACCTTATGCGCATTTGCCGTGCTGATTTGGCGGATACAAACTTGGAGCTACTCACTAACGTGGATGTTGGATCTCCACGAACTGTCCCTCATATACTGATACGCTACAATCTCCTCCGTGACAGAAGCAATCCCATACGACGGATTCCCTTTAGAGAGTTAATGAACAACCATGCAACAATACTTGCAAGGCCCCAAGGTAAAGCAGATGGCTCTGTGAGATCCATAAGTACACCGGTACAGACAAGAAGTAGTGCAGTAGGAGGAAATGGTATCTGTCCAGCAAAGAGTGGAGTGCCGTCAGCCAACCTAGATATAGTGCAGCTTAACGAGGTAGTCGCCCAACACATCGTTGATATTTCCTTGAGTGAGGTTCGCCAGCGCTTTTCTAAACACTCACTTTGTGGAACTCCAATTTACACGTCAAGGGACATTTCAGATAAAAAAGGAGGACGTGTAGAGCACGATTTTTGCATTAACTTGTCACGGAGCACAACCAACTCAAGTTGGAGACCACCAGGTCTTGAGAAATCCGATCAAACGGCCTGTGCTAACTTAGTAAGCAGCATGACCACAAAACTATCAGATCTCCATTTAAAGCTAAATGCTGCAGAGGGTGATATCCATTCTATTCAAACAAGCACATCTAAATCAATCAATCTGCGTAAGAGCATGGCTACAAAATCGACCACTAATCTCCGAAAGCAAGTGTTTCAACGGTCTAAGCAGCACGTCCCGTCGTTGGCAGAAGTAGAAGCCCCTCCAAAGGACCCCGTCGAGTACTTCCCCGTGCAGATTGAAAAACTTCCATCAAAAGGTACGATCCAAGTTTCATTTGACACTTGGGGGAACAGTGATCCAGTCTTTTATATGCTGCTGGCATGCGATGCTAACAACGATGTGTCTCAAAACCCAGCCGTCAAAGCATCCGGAACTGAAAGAATTGGCCCAATACAGACGATTTCTACAATAGAACTGACAGATCTATTGATCATGCGGAGAGACAAATCCCATCCTGCTCCCGATCCCCAATTCAGAGCACCAAAATCAGTTCAGCGTAATTGTCTTCGTGGAAGAATGGCCTCCAACATGCTCCAACCACTAGAATCAGGACCAGAGTTACTGGCGTCACATGCAGACAGCTCTGATATGTACAAGAGTGTGCATGACGATCCATCTATGATAGATTTAGAATTACTTGAGAGTGAGCTACTACAATACTTGAAATACGTTACACGTCAATCAGGGGATGACATCAATCTTGCGCTACAGAAGGTAGCACAGTCGGGTAGAAAGGCAAATCACATGAGCTATGCATTCTTTGAACAGGCTGGTAAGACAGGTAATCAGAAACCGTTTGATTTGAAGGAGCACTTAATTAAGGCAAGAGCAGCAAATTATGAATTATCCAAAATAGAGAAAACTGCCTCAGAACTGGACATCATTGTTGGAGGCCGTTCGGTAACTAGGCGCCACCTGGTGAGAGGCTCAGATGGCCTAATGAGGCCAATCCCACATTCTGACGATATTCTAGTATATTATGCGAACAAAGCTATGGCTAAACTCAGTACTCGGACGCCATTTGTAGAGACGTCCGATCAAAAGGAAGTCAGTGAAGTAGATGCTGTTGAAGACGACGTAGACTATACCTACGAAGATAGAGAGTATTCACTAGAAGAGGCCGAGGACGGGAGCGTGCGTCGACACTACAGGAGGTTTGACCAGGAGACTGGCGACTTAATATGCTACATCTCGGAGTCAGATCATGGAGATGAAGATGCTGGCCAATACTATCAAGACTCCAACGGAAGGGCACGCGTGGTCATCAAAGTTAAATACAAAAGAAAAAGGCAGGAAGGTCACGCAGATGCAAACAAGAGTACAGCCCCTAGTACAAGGAACTCTATTGTCTGCTCTGCTCGCGGATCTGCCGACAGCTCATCGGAGTTCAATATGGTGCGATTTTTGGAGGCTCAGAGCGGTGGCGCAAGCAGAATTTTTGGACAAAGTATCTTCGGATTGTCCCAGGCAATATGCGATGAGATCATTAAAATGGCACTTAAAGAATACCACAAACCGAAGAGGGTGGCAGATTTAGCGGAAAACATCTTCACTAGCTTAGTGAACATCGCTAGTGCTACGGACGAGCAAAGCATTCAAGGTGCACAGGATTCCCATGATGCCTTATGTGCCGATCTTGCGCTGTATCACGGGCTATCCCCAGCCGGTGATACAGAAAATACCCTAAGGTACTTTGGACTTTCACCCGCGGAAGCCCGTAGAGTTTCTCACGGACTTGTCAAAGAGGTTTTTTCTAGCTCTTCCACTTCCTAGGAACCCCTCAGTAGTCGGCAAACCAACCTTTTGCCTCCATGCAGAAGATAAAAAAATCCGGGAACTTTTTTAACTTTTTTGATTTTTTTGAAAATTAAGATGACGGATTACATCACCGGTGTTGAGTATGAAGACGCAGAGATTCAGGAATATATATCTGAGCAAAACATGATTCACTACCTCAATGAGGGCGCCATAGCCTTGGCTAAAGAGAGGCCTGTCAAGCCGTTGCTGTGGCTTGGCCAGTGGTTTTTAAGTAACAATAGGAAAAAGCCGCTCCTGCAGGCCCCCGATGCACAGCCTAATAAGTAGACGACTTCTAAGGACCTTGTGGATCCGTGCACAAGATGGAATTTTCAGTTTTCAAACAGCTGATGCAGAGTGAATGGATGCGGGCGAGATGAGGCTGCAGGTAAAGTGCAGACGTTGGTAAAGTAGATGGAGTGTACAAAAGTTCAGATGATGAGCAGAAGCACCTGAAGAGACCTACACGATGGTGTGTTTTATGACAACCATTCCAGTCAGTGACTTGGTAACAGTGACTTCAGGACTATAATCCGCGTCAACCACGCACTTGTCTATATTCAGACCGCTAATGTGGTGGTAGGGTATAGTGTATTCTATCACAATAGGCCGCAGCGACGTAGCATCACAACCCAGCTGATCCTTATGTCTGCTAGGTACACCAAAGTTTAATAACGCCTTAAATATCTGCTTCCCAGGAAGAGACTCAAGGATCCACTTGACAACTTGCTCATGAGGGCAATACTTCATGATCCCGCGACGTGTCTGCAATTTGGGCGAGTCTATGTTCATCATGACAGGCACAGAAATGACAATCTGCTTTGAAATGATCCTACTGGGATAAAGCGTTTCTAACTTCAAATGGTATTCGCGCTCCAGCGGCTTTTGGGGATTGGATCTGTTGGTGACAATGCAGAGGATGGGCGCTGAATCGACCTTATTGAGCCTGTACGAGAAGAGCCTAAACTCCTCTTCAACGGGGACGAATACTAGCTTCTTAGCTATGTGAAACTTAGCTATGTCAACGCTTCTATGCAGCTGCACATCACATAGCTCAATTGAAGCCTGGGATTGGGCAGCAACGCCCTTGGCTTGCTTACTTGAGGGTACTTGGCTGATGTTAACGTTATCCGAAAGGGTGACCGTGATCTCTGGAGAGTTGACAAGGTGCACAGTGGCATTAACAGCCCCCAAGACGACGCAGGATTCTACCTTATTACCTGTCAGATCGACCACCACATCCGCTCGCTCAGAAATAGTAAACTCAATTTCGTTCTCGTCATATGACGTCAGCGGAGCAGGTCTTTCACGGGACCAAACTGGAGAAGGGTGGAAGGTCGTTTTTCGGACAACGACACTCCCTGTGCTGCGAGAGGTATCGTAAACCTGTGTTGGCCGTGCTAAGTTCTGCAGGAACGAGAGGTCAAAGTTAAAGATCTGTCCGTTGCTCGAACACTCTGCAAGGACACGCAGAACGACCACTATGTTCAATTCTAGTTTGCGAGCGCTCGTGAATCCGTCAAGAAAGGTGTCTAGGACGGTGACCAGCGAATGTAGTATGGAGAACGCGGTAGCAGAATTGATATCTGCATTGGTACTACTTGCAGCCACCAAATAACAGTCTGTATGCTTGATAAAACAGATATTAAGGTCCTCTACTGAGAAAAGCGGGGAGTGCTCAGCGTCAGGGTTTATCAAGATATGATTAGTAAAGATGCCTTGGACCTTCTTGGAGGCTTCGGGAACGAAATCTCTGTATGCCACCATGCCACCTGTGAGCCCGTGAATGATTAGCAGAGAGCTTATCATTAGACAGTGTTGAGCCGAAGAGAGATGAGCGCACGAAAAGAACAGGAAAAATGATAGGAAAAAATGACATTAGTTTTTTAATGATTACTTTAGTGATTAGTCTATTCGCGGCGGCGTCCTTTTCATGTTTAACTGATTACGACTGTGGTTATGTTGGGCAGTGCGACTGGTTTGGATGCAAGTGTCCTGAGGGTGTCAGCGGAATTTCGTGTGAGATTAACCCTTGTGGCATTCACAGAGACCCCAGAGAGCAGCAGCCAATATTTCATGAAAGCCCTTACAAGACAGTTGCATGTAGCCTTGCTGGCACGTGCGTAGAGGACAATGGCACGTATAAATGCGTCTGTGAGGAGGGCTTTAGTGGGGATACATGCGAGATGAAGATGTGTACGTCTCCTGCTGACTGCAATGGGCAAAAATGTGACTCAGAGACGGGCGTTTGTGTCTGTGAACCTGGCTTCAATAAGGGCGATTGCAGCATTTCTACATGTAATCCTGTCTATGATGTCATTGCCAAGGAGTATCAATACTGCAGTGGTAGTGGCACTTGCACGAAAGCCCCCGAGGTCTCAGGGAAACTTCCTCCCGTTAGATACTACTGTGATTGCAATGCTGGCTTCTATGGCCACTCATGCGAAAGTTATGATTGCACCAATGGCCTATTTGTGTGCACCAACGATAAGCATACATGCGATCGTCAGACTAAGCAATGCAAGTGCAAGCCCCATCACTATGGACCAGACTGTGGCAAGAACCCCTGTGGCATTATCTACCACAGTATTGGGGACAGTATTGTTAAGCAATGCAATGATCGTGGCACGTGTCGTGATGATGGTCCTGATAATGCAACCTGTGACTGCGACGAAGGGTGGGTCGGCTCTGACTGCAGCCTAGAGGACTGCGTTATTAATCCATCTGTATGCTTTGCCCCACTGATCTGTGACCAGGCTCTACACATGTGCATATGTCCGAACAATCTGATTGGGGAAAACTGCGATTCCTGCAGGATTGGGGAGTACTTTACAAAGACTATCAACAGCTGCACCCCATACGGATGCATCTCTGATATTTCCGCTGGTATTGTTTGCTCAGGCCACGGATCCTGTAATGCAGACACCAAGTCCTGTAGCTGTTCACCCGATACTGCGCTCATAGGGACACAGCACTGCATTCCGACAAATTGCCTCACCCAGCTGCCAGATGATCAGAAAGATTACTCCATGAAGAACATATGTTCGGGTCGTGGAGCCTGCAAGCTTGTCGAAGGCTCTTATGCCTGTAAGTGTTTAACTAACTACACAGGAAATCTGTGTCAGGACAACCCCTGCCAGATAGTGGAATTCACATCTTCTGATGCTCCTGTCCAAAAGACCTATATAGAGTGCAATGGCGGTGGGTCGTGTAGCGACTTGACATGTCGCTGCAGACCGGGATACAGTGGTCCAGCATGCGAACTGTTCAGCTGCAATGGTATGGATTCTCTCTGTAACGGTGGGACATGCGTACAAGACTCCTTTGGAAGCTGGGCGTGCAACTGCCCTGCGGGGTCAGACTTGACTGATTGCTCTCGCAAGGGTTGCGGATCCGACACCCCGCAGTGCTCTGGCAATGGGGCATGTGCACTGAAGGAGTTTGTTTCTACAACTAGCGCCGGTACAGTGGTTAAAAAGGTCTCTCTGCACCGTTGTGTGTGCTCTCTGCACTACAAGGGTCTCCTTTGCCAGCGCTATGACTGCGAAGGTGACAATGCCAACTGCAATGGGGGAACGTGTTCTGAAAGCGGAGAGTGCACTGAGTGCTTGGAGCACTTTTATGGACATGACTGTAAGATAAACCCATGCGAGATTGACCCTCTACAAGGGACCGAGTGTTCTGGTAACGGAGCCTGTCGGATAGTTGCTGACCCCAATACAGGAGAAACTACCTCAGCTTGCAAGTGTGAGCAAGGTTGGTTTGGAGCCATATGCGATAAGCAGTCGTGCCCCACCATTCCTTGCAAACACGGAGGGGAGTGTGTGGTTTCGTCTGGTGGAAACTACTGCAAGTGCCAAGAAGGTTTTTCTGGAGCGTGGTGCCAAGACTGTGTCTTCCCATTCACGATTGTCTTTGTCAATGGGGTTGCACAATGTGTTCCAGGATCGTGTGTGGGCGAGGAAGGATACTGTAGTGGTCACGGATCTTGCTCTTCCGAGAACATCTGTTCGTGCGACTATGGATATACCGCATTGGGGACGGACCGATGTGTCCCAGACTCCTGCATCTACCAGCGGGACGGTGTCATGAGTGTTTGTGGCTTACAAGGCAGCTGTGCTGTTACTGAAAACGGGGCAGAGTGCCTCTGTTCGGGAGACAGCTCTCGCAAGGATGACACTTCGGGATTTTGCATGCCGCTAGGCTGCTTCTCTTCATCTACCTCAAGGACCGTTTGCAGCGGGCATGGATCTTGCAGCATACTTTTTGATAGCGGAGAGGGCATCTGCATATGTAATAGTGGATTTACAAATGATTCAGGCACTTGTACGCTAAATGCAAAAGCCTCTGCTGGGATAGGCGTTGGCGTTGCCATGCTCGTAGCCGTCGTTGTGTTCATTATTCTGTGGTTCACCGTTATCAAGAAGAAATTAGAGGAGCGTAAACGTCGCCGATTCGATGGAGATAGTGTAAGACTTTTAGCAAGCGACATGGGAGACGTGTCCCAAATTTAGACCCTAATTTTAGACTAGATTATACTTGAATTAGGACCAGAAGTTTCGTGAATACGTTGGTAAGTTTGTAGGACGTTGATTAGAATGTAATTAATCCACTAAAAATAATAGTTAAAAATTAAAAGATTGATATCTAAAAGCTAACCCAGACAAGCAGAAGGGTTGGGGCGCGGTACAGTGCTGGCAGACAGAACCTATGACAAAGTCAGCTAGCCCGCTTTTAACCTTCAAAAAATCTTCCGCTTTTTCATATTTTGACTTTCAAAAAATCACACCCAAATGAATCAGACACCCACCCCAGCAGAACCTTCTTCTTGTATTATTTCACCAACTGTACACGAACACGAGCCTGTTCTAAAGCGCAATATATCGTACGAAGACGCACCTTTGAGTGTCCCCGACCTAGAGCCAGACTTTCTCCACGAGGAGGTGGATTCGCCTATTATCACCACTACACGAGATATTAGATCCCCAATAACGCAATCTCCCTCCCTAGGTGCCAACAATGATGTTTTTGCGCCCTCAAAAAAATGCACCGCGGCTCCTCCTAAATCTCCTCAGTTCACCGCAAGCGATTACCATAGCCTTTGTCGCAGCGTTTTTCAGTCAATAACATTCTGTTCAGCGTTCCCTGAGATGATGGATCTCCGCAAGGTTACATGTAGCCAAAAACACCTGTTTTTTACCTTTGACATCAGCGTGGACCATCTCTTTATGTTATCTGAGGGTTGTTATACGATCCCTGAGGAGTATTGACTGTAAATTGATCTCTTTGTTTTTGATGCTTATTTCAGGGGTGCTAAGGGTCTGTGAGGCTGTCTCTTGGCCTACGTAACTGGCTAGTCATAGTAGTGTTTGGAGAAATGCTTGCTGGAGACGCGGGAGTCGACGAGTCGCAGACAACCTCGTGTTGATAAATTGATCGGCTTAAAGGACCGTTGTCAGTGGTCGGATGATTAGGATGTGCCTTTTCCAGACAGTGGCTTTGATCCCCCGTGCTTTGAGCTTCTTCATGGCTCTGGGACTGATCGGATGGCTCCACGAGCACGCGTGAAAAAGGCTTCGGGATTTCATGGAGCACTTCATCATCTTTTAAGGGCTTCTTCTGAAGACTACCTGCGCCCTTCCGAGATGCATTTGGAGACTTAAGGGTTATCCCTATCTTTTCAAAGTCCACTTGTGCCGTATGCTCGTGTCCCTTACCGACCACTATCAGTATCAGTCCCAGGGCAGTAAGCAGCCCACTTATGCTAATAAGAATGCCAACCAGAACAAGTGCCTGTGACGTAGAACTGTTATTGAGCTCGGAGTAAACTACCGAAAAGTATGGTATGCGAGATAAGTCGAACACCAACAGACGAGCAACAAGAGGATTGATAATCAAAGGGAGAGCCATGAGCCTAATAATGGGGCGGCTAAACTTTCGATTGAGCTGTTCTGTAAACTCATAAATGTGTGCAATACTAAGGGAGACAAGAAACAGAACACAGGACCCGCCAAATACTGATATTATAATAACGAAATAGATCGTGAATGGATTTTCATATCCGGGGCACTGTGTGGTACCACAGAAGAAAGCAACTAACAGATTGGGGAGGTAAAGAAGAAGAAACGAGAGGATAGCTGGTGTTACGAGCGTGTAAATTAGCTTCTTGGTGCCAGGAAGCTCTAGGAGACGCTGACGATAACTAATAAACAAGGGAGAGACAAATGCAGCGAGAATGGAAAAAATAAACAATAAAAAGCAGGAGACTCCGCACCAGATTGCCAGCGCAAAAAGGTTTTGTAAATATAGCCTTTTAGACGGATCAGTGCTGCCCGTAGAGCCTCCTATTTTGTCCAGATCCGGTACCAGGCGGAGGAATATCGTCCTCAGGTGCCCTATAGACGAGAGATTGTACTGAACGTAAGCTAGCGCGGCAAACAGAATCTCCAGAGACGCTAACAAGCACACCAAGGCGCATATTTGATACGCAAGTCTATTGTGGACACCCTTGTTGAACAGGCGAAGAGTCTTCACTCCGTTATGTCGGACATCGTTACCGCTATTATTGAAGGATGTTTCATATGCTGCAAAGGTCATATTCTTCATGGTATTAACGCTATGGACCGCAAACATAACCGACCCATTGGTAGTTGACGAGAGAACCGCATGGGGATTTGACTCTGCCTGTGCAATATCTAGAGGCGTCTTGATGGTGCTAGAATAGGCTGTCCGGGGGCTTGCAGTGCTCAAGTGCGAAGAGGAATTCGCGATGTACTGATCTCCCACTTTAACCCCAGTAATGTGAAATGGAGAGACAATAGGGGCTGCAACCTCAGAGGATACAGCTCTGAACGATGAAATTTTTTGGCGCTTTGTTTGCGGCTTGTAATCCCCGGATTTAGGATCAAGCTTGTGTGGCATTGCACTAATAACGAAAATAAGACTTCCCAGGGATAAAACAATGCCATAAGAAAGTGTCAGATAGGAAATATGTGGCGTTATGGCAGTTGTATATAGTGCTGACAATTCAGACGAAGTTGTAGACGAGGTCGCCTTGTTCAAGGTTGTCATTCCAATGGCTTGGTAAAGAAACGCTTGCTGCACTAGACATAGACAAAAGGCAAAGAGATATCCAGAGATCACGAGCCCTGAACGGTTCCCCAATCGGCTCCGACTCACATCAAGCATATAGACAAAGATGCCGGGGACACGAATCCCGAGCGCAATCCCCACAAATGCGGCAAGTCCATAGCTACAGGAGCTTACAGGAGCTGCCCCCGCTGTCAAGACGATTCCGCAGATTAAAACAGGGATAGCCGACCCCACAAGCGTACAGGTGAGAAGGCCGCGAAGTGGCAACGAAATATACCCAGCAAGAATAAAGCCTACTATCGTAGTCAAGGAAATTATGTGGGCTGGCATAGAAAACATAAGTTCCTGCGTGACTCTTAGCTGCGAGGACAGGGCATACGCATAGAACAGGTCCATCGCCATGAGAAAAAGACAAACAAATGAGCCCAGAGGCGTCAGTGCGTCTCCAGACCGTTTAACATAAGTGAAGCGTGGAAGTATAGTTGGCATAATCAGGCCACAGTATTTTTTATTGGAACGCAGGGAAACTGTCAGGGGAGTCTCCCGGTTTATTTAATTATGCGCCCCCATTTAAGCTAATGATCTAAGCACTTGGCTAGCAAGAGGAGGTCATAATAGACTTTTTTGGAATCTGGCTCCATTGAAGTAAAAATAGCGTCGCGGAGGCTCAAATCTTCAAGAGATTTCGAAGTGATCAGCCTATCGACGATACAAAGTATACACCTCTGACGCTCTGCGCCATGTGCTTTTGCTCGCTCAAGCATGATTGAAGTGCACTTTTGTAAAAGCAGAGACATAAGGGCTCCCGGCCCTGTTTCCAGCTCTTCAGTACTAAATACTTTCCCTAGCACGCCCTCGTTGTTAATACATATTGCCCTTAAGGTAAAAGAACTGCTACGAACATCATTCTTCATGAAGTAATTATGAAACTGTATAATAATCTGCGTCGCCAAAGGGCTATACGATATGCTTAGATTGATCAAGAGTGATATTATCATAGCATCTATTCCAATCCCAGCTAACAGTGACAGCATGCTATAAGATCTATCTGAGATGATTATGTCAGAATCTCCCAGACTGCTACGATAGACAGTCTTGAATAGATAAGTGCAGAAAAATAATACCAGACTGATACCTGCTGTCCACATGTCTTCAAGCTCCCGTGGCAGGACATCATCGTCACTAAGCAACCAATGTGTGTACAAGTAGCATAGCAGTGACCATGCTTTGCAACAGCACGCTAGTATCAATCGCTCCATGTACTTGTGATTGTCGTTCTCTGTCTTGTTCGTTTTCCATGAGTAGACACTAACCAGCAACTGAGCCATCTCCACTATCGTCTCCTTGACAACATCGAGAGCATTGTTAGCACCTATGAAGCTCTTGCTATAATCCTTGCTATAATATCGCATTATGATCCTTTTGTAGTTTGTGGCGCCAGAGAGCCCTAACAAAGATTCATCAACTTCATAGTCCGTTCGCTCTGCAATGAGTATAGAAAGGTCTATGACATCCACACATTCAGCGTTTATAAAAGCACAGTCGTGGGTGTGGCACAAGCATTCAAGGTACCAAGTTGCCGGCTCTATCAAGTACGATTGGCCAATGGACCGAGCGAAAGAAACAGCAGCATTGGAGAACTCAGTGCTATAAGATTCTTTAAATGGAGGGCCCTCTGTATGCTCATTATCACGGAGCTCAGAATCTAACTGCATGACTACCTTTTCTAAATGGAAGGCTAACACCATTGCATGCATAGAGGCTTTAGAATCCGTGCCTGTGTAACATATTTCTTTTAAAAAAGCTAGCAACTTAACACTACAGCCAGAGCACCACTCTCTGGTGAGGTCACCAACCAGCGGGGCCATACTCCGGCGCCTTGCTCGCAGTTCAGACTTAGAGACGTTGGTCTGTTCCAACGAGACATGGCTATAGACTTCTGGTATTAGTCGTAAGAGCATTGACAAAGGATTGCAGAATTCCATAGTGGATTCGATAGACTTTGTCTCTATTTGACCAGTATCATACTCATGATCACGCTCATATGTCACATACCGTATAACCTCTTCGTTCTCCATAGACACAGTTATAATTTCGTAAAGATAGCAGGCTAGAGATAGAAGTAGTTTCAGCACAGCAGCATGTCCCAGCAACCGTGTTTCTGGCTGTTTCATGGAGTCTATATCGTCACTGAGATACTTTACCACAGCTTCGACTAAAGGACCTGAAAGGTATCCCATCGAAACAATTATATTTCGCAAAAACGACAAGAAGACTTCGCCTCCAGATGAATCTGCCCCTTCCTTGCTCGTGCTGCTTTCTTCTCGGGCATCTAGTAGCGTTTGTATTGGCGTCGGAAAGATGTTATTTAAAATGGCAAGATTTCCACTAAACAGTTGCGAGTAGATAGTGCAATAAAATAGTCGCATACTCGTAGTCAGTACTTTGTATTGTGATGTGCCAGAAGAGGTCTCAGAGGTGGAGAGGAGCGCAGCATCGTGCGCAATGCTGCAAATGAACCGTATGTATGCGTGCTGAACAGATGCTTTGATATTCGATTCGCCACTTTGTGTACTGTCCAGCAGCAGAAGAGAAAGCTTTTCTCGGTTATTATAAGCAAACGAGCTAATATCTGCACGAAGAGAGGGCACTTTGTGCAGCTCTACAAGCCCGTTGATGGCCAAGGATCGAATAGTAGATGAGATATCGAAAGTGCTCTCAAGAAGATTGGAAAGAAGCTTAGATCGCCCTGCAAACGGCATACAGTCGTAGTATTTGGATAGAATGGCAATAGAACATGCCATAGCGGCCTCCCGAACCGTTGTGTCACTGTCTCCAAGTGCAGAAATTAAGGAGTCGATGTCCAGAGATATCAGCTCTGCCTCTTCGGAAACTGGAAATAACTCTTGGAGAAGGTATATGGCCTGCCTTCTGCGTAGTGATGTTGCAGATAATCTATTTCGAAGCAAATTACGGTAAAGAACGGTGCTGACATATTCCCTGCCTATTGGCCCGCTTGCTTGAATCTCTACAAAGATATCTATGATGCGCACAGATACGCCCATATCAGTCATCATGAAATACACCTCAGACAGATCTAATAAGAAGCCAGAGAGGGGTGCATAGCTTTTCAAGCCTCTAGAGAATAACCTTTCGATCAAAAGAATAGCTAACGCAGTAATTTGCCTTCCAGATGGAGGGATAAACGAGTACAGTTCACCAAGCCACTCCTTCATGCTATCCATAGAGGTCTTTCGTAGTGTGGAAGTAATGAAAAGGACGAGTGCTTTGTTCAAAGAGCTCAGTCCAGTGCTGGCGTATAATCTAAGAAAGCTCATTTCATCTAGAGAAAAGTTTGCATCGATATCTGACAGCCAATAACTCGTGGTGCTGTCTTGATTATTTATATCGAGTCTTTGATCAGAGTCCTCACTATATGACTCACTACCCTCTGCATCCTGCTTAGCTTCGTGGCCTTGGGCATATATGCTGAGAGCATACATAGAGAACATGTACTGCTTTATCCCTGCAAGTAGGCGCTTCAATTCGGAGGATGCCGGGGCATCTGATGTGTTGACCTTCAGACAACTAGCTCTATGTGTCAATATGTGTAAGATAGAAGACGGTATAATCTTTTCTACCATTGCAAGCATCTGTACCTGTACGTGTTCAGTTTGTACGTCATCTAAATCTGCACATCCAATAAAGTATAGCAAGGGTCCGTGTGTAGCTATAAATTCTAAAAGCTGTATGTAATTAGCAACTCGTCCGTCCGACCTGTTGGAGTTAGAAAGTAAGGTAATTGTGGCCAACTCCGTCCCCGAAGAAATGAGACTGATAAGGAGTGTACTGGACGTAGAAAGGCTTGCAAGATACGTGTCCTTGGTGTAAAGTGAACGTCGAGATGAGGGTGAAGCAGAAAAGAGTGAACTGAAGGAGCTACTGGATGACAAAGAGTGCGCAATTTTGGCCAACGATTGAAGGAGAAGCATAGAATATTGAGACAAAAGCTTCTTGTTGGATAATTCAGAGAGTAAGGTAAAGAGAAGGGAGCAAAACTTGCAAAATGAAGGACAGACAGCTAGGTTATGACTGGAATCTAGAAGAAGGGATGTCGCTTTCCTTATGCATACAACGATCGCCTTAGGAAGCTCTTCTTGCTCCTCTAGGACATCTATGGCATTACCAGCGGATCCATTTAACTCGCGACAGTATGTGTCTAGGAGATCAGTAAAAGATCCTGGAGATAAGTTTTCAAGGTTCTGAAGCCCGTATTGCTCCAGAAGCTCATTCAAGCGCATGCTTTCGAGATCCTAGAGACTACCAAAAATTGATTTTGTGCCCTTCTGTTTTTAGCAGACAGAAGCATGGACTCCCAGAGCATTAAGGCGTTCGTTCTAAGAGAGCTTACAAAAGAGCAGCTGCAGAGCATTTTCCAGGAACTCAGTGAGTCCAAGGACCCAGAGCTAAAGATAGATAGAGATATGAACCCACGGGACGTAGAAAAGCGTCTCTTAGTATACCTGGAAAAGTCCAACTTAGTACACTCACTGGCAGAAAGATACTTTGACCAGGCCTTTGATAAGCAAACAGTGAAGGAGGCATATGCTATTCACAGGTCGAAGTGCTCTGGGGCCACTGCAGAGCCAACAGATTGCATATCAATGTCTGCAGAGGAACGTATGGAAAGAAGAGAGCAAGCTCGCCGCCATTTGGAGTCTGTCCAGGGGGGCACACAGCCTAATGTATTGTCTATGAATACACACGATGATTTAAATAGTACAGAGCGTCAGGCAACACGTGCTATGAGTGAAGTGGTTAGAGATTCCGTCTCAATGCTTACAGCGCTTCACGCTGCTAGAGAGTCTAGAACTCTTGTAGAACAACATCTAGAGGTTCAGATCACCTCGGGTGAGCTTGCTCCTCCGTGTAGTAACAATCTTGGTGGGCAATCTGGCGTCAGTGAGGAAGGCGTGATTACCCTCACAATAGCTCTTGGAAATTTGCGGCATGTCTGTCCGCCAATCAAGTGTGAAAGAAGTGATGCTACTATAGGGCTTGCACCGTTAGCGTTTTCAAAGATTCGATTCTGTATATCCTCCACTCCGCTGACTTCTTTCAGAGCAATTTCAGATCTCAAAGTAACTGACCTTACCTTTCTTGCGGTGTTCCACAGCTATTCAGGAATGCAGTATCTTCATGCACATGGACGAGTTGGCTTTGTGGAGTTCTTCACTGAGCTGACCAAGGCCAATTCTCTGCTGGCTGGGGCAGTTAGTGTTCCCATGTACCCTTATTCTCAAGCACCAGGACCCAACACTCCAACCGAAAAAATACGGCTAGGTACTCTTAACGTTTCAATCACTTTCACGCCCCTTCTGACCAGTGCAGATGTCTCTGAAGAAGCCTCCTTCCGCTCCCTTAGAGACATATTAACAACCTCAAAAAGATCAGTCTCCAGAGCACTTGCAGAATATGATAGGACCGCAAGCGTATTTATGAGAGACTATCTTGGCTCGCAGCCCAGTTCGGTTGGACTAGACAAGCGTTTTGTTCAGCTCCATGCTCTTCGGGATGATGGAATGGTGGTCCCTATTTCCACTCTTATCACTCCCTTTACAAGCTCGTACCTTCCAACGGCTAGCTATTGCATGCGCTTTATCCAACTTATGCCAGCACCTGGACGCCAATCAACTCCAGCCACCGCTGGACTATCAGGAAACAACGAGCTAGTCTGGTCTCGAGTTATCACCACGCTATCTGTCGGTGCTGGTACACCGTTTGACAAGGCAGTTCTCTTGTGCTCGATGCTGAGAGGATATCAGATACCGGCATTCGTTGCTCTGGGCACATGCGCTCTTCCAGGGCTAAAATCGGATGTGTCTGGAAATAGGAGTGTCCGCTCTGCGTTCGTTATCACACTCTGTGCACAGGTGATTCAATTCTGGGACTGCTTGTTATCGGATCATGGAGGTATGATAGAGCTGCACTCGTTGCCAACAGAAGGTCAATACAAGATAGATAAACACTCTGATTCTGCTGGAACTGTTATTCATTTTCCGTATGAGACAATAGACTGCATTTTCAATGAAACCATGCTTTTTGTTAATATTCAAAGTACAAATAGACTACAATACATACCTGAAAAACAACTTATACATGGCATATCTCTAGATATATCCAGGCCCTTATTTTGGAAAGCTTTCAATCAGTCCATGATAGAACGCGTCTATAATAGCTATGTCTATCACTATAACATGGATGACGATGATTATCTAGTGACTTCTACCCGTCTTCCACGTTTGCTTCAAAACCAGAATATACTAAAACCGTTTGGCCCCTCCTTGGCCGCTACACTGTCCAGTTATTTAACAGCAGATATATGGAGGCTTATTGAAGCACGGAGGCAAACACTTGGACTGACAACACCCAGATCTGAACAGCTTTCTATGATATTGGCGCCCACAGTAGCATCCTGGGAACAGACACGCCTCATGGGTGGAACTATCGGCCAGTTAGGCAATGAGACTTTGAAGGTAGCGCTCAAAAATTATGTTTCTTCTCGTGAAACACTGATAGTTTATCCGTTGCAGGTCATGGGGAGCCTAAGATTCTATGCTCCACCTATTGTAGAGACGCTTCTTTCAAACGATAAAAGTCGTAGTATAGTTGAGGCACATGGGGATAAACTGCGTATAGGACTGCACGTTTCTGTCTTTGGATATGCAGAAACCATTGCGGCTGTCTGGGTTATTATTGGATGCTGTTATATCCCAGTTATATGACTTATTCAGTTAACATGCATAAGAAGAGGCTACTTATCAGACTATTCGGCTAGTTGCCTTCTAGTAAATAGATGAAATGAACCATCATCTGTGCTTTGGGCCCGGGCGGGCACGCTCTGGCCTGCAGCGCCGCGACCTTCCAGGGCGTCTCCGGGGCCCGGCGAGGCACACCCGCCGCCGCGGGCTGTGCCGGCCGGCCACAGGCGGCTGCTGTTCGCTTCCTCGCGACCGCTTGCCACCCAGGGTCCTGCCTGTCGCTGAGGGTCCTCGGATCAGGCCCTGTCTCCGGCCAGCCGATCGAGCCGCTACCGGATCACCAGGAAGAGCAGACCCACCCATTCTGCGGCCGACACACTACCACTCTCGGAAGCGCTACGCACATAGAGAGTCTACAGCGCACTCAGCCTGACAGCTGTGATGAGCCAATACTCGACAACGCAGCATAGACAAGGGCACCGTCACGCATAGACGCCTCCACATAGTTTGCTTTGGTTCATTACGGCAAGCTTGCCAGCTGCTGTCCGACTAAATTACTCAAAGAGAACGGCTGCGGTGGACAACATTCTTGCTCATTGAATTTGAGATCCGATGATTCGGATGCCATCTAGTTCTGGTGGAGAAAGAGATCTCCATGAGTCCCTGCTGCAGGAATCACCAGTTCAGCTCTTGCACTACTGTTTCAGGGACACTCCGTCCCCTTTGCTTACTCCCCTTGGGCGCTAGAACTTGGGCACTGCCTATGTCTTGTTACATGGGTCGATGGCGCCCCCAACTTCCGTCGCAATGTCTCGTAGGGACCACCGACGTTAGTAGAGGCGTAGCTCAGATGGCGAGAGGCTGGGGCCTAACGATTAACATTGCTAAGCGTAAGAGCATCCAGAAGGTATGAAAAGTTTTCTTCCTGGGAACCCAGTCTCGAAAGAGCGGCTATCTGCAGCCCTCAGGGCGATCGCGAGTACATCAAAGCATCTGAAGCTGGTAATTGATACGCCATATGACTTCTACGAATCCTTCAACGGACTGGTCAGGGTCTCTAGCTGAGATACTTGTTTCGGACCTGAAGAAGCCCATTGCGTTTTTGGCTATACAGGACAGCGGCAGCCTGGGGGTCCACCTACTGGGCGTCTACTACAGCAGCTGGCGGTGCCTGACATCATCGAGTAGATGGGTGCCGGTTGTAGAGAGAGACGGCCTAACGACGAACCGGTCCTGATCGCTTCTGATGCTTTGGATGACGCCTCGACAGACCGAATCATTCCCCCAAGCGTGCTTTGCGGTGCAGATGGACCAGCCCACACGTCACTGAGCCAGACGCACTGCACAGGATGGGCGCCGATGCGGTCTCGTGCTGGGTGACGGACCGCCTGCAAGAGCGCCCTTCGATCCATGAATAGGAGGGCCATACTTCTCCCCCGACACCACCGCATGGGAGTGCTCCGCTGGCATCCACGAATGCGTACTATGACTCCAAGACAGAGGCGCACGGGGAGCGCATCCTTGATAATGGAACAGATGGTGCCCTCCACGAGAAGATGAAGAGGCACCCCGAGGAACGGGAGTCGACACCCGGGGTCGTGGGGCGCGATCTTCGTCATGGAGCATCAGCACCACAAAGCTACTCCAGAGTACATGGCCAGAGTCAATTGCTCTTGAGACAGGATCGCCGTGACCGACGCAAGGCCCGGGACAACGGGTGCTCACTAGATATCAGGCGATGGCTGACCCCGACGGGCCAGAGAGAAGGGACGCCCCGAAGCATATAGTGGAGCACCCAATGGCTCCTAGGCGGGATGCACAAGGCTCTTCTCCAGAGTGGGCGGCATCCGGACTCCGGATCCTGGACGGATTTACTCGGACAGGAGCTGGCAAGCCGACCTTGATGAAGCAGAGTAGATCTCGTTTGGGAGGATGTCTACTATCTCTTTGCGATCCTTCTTCTTAGCGATATTGAGGGCAGTGGTACCGGGCGAGTGACCATGGCAGCTAGAAATTGTCTTCAGCTCCTTCTCGTTTTCTTTAGGAAGTCTTGCACATTCCACGGTGTTGCTATATGCTGCGTTCATAAGGGCGGTCCCCCCTTGGTCGTTTGCATGCAGCCTTCGTCCTTCAGCAGGGGCCTGACACACTCTGGGTGATCATTGCACACCGTCCACGTGAGGACAGTCTGATGATCGTTATTCTGTATCCCAGTCTCCTGCTTGAGCAGCTCTACACTCCCTTCTGCCCTCGTGCTACTGCATACATGAGCTCCGTCCACCCTGAGATATTGCTCTCATACTCCATCAAAAGCTCAACGCGCCCAATATAGTCCACCAGGGGGTCATTGGAACGGTCGCACCGTGCCGCGAATATGAGAGCGGCCCAACCGCCTACTTTCTCCCCTTTTCGTGTTCCACTAGCAGTTCTACTATTTCTGCGTATCCATGTGCCGCAGCCATCATCAGAGCTGTTCCTGTGCGCATGTACCATCCGCTTGCTATGACCTCTTTGTATGTTTTCCTCCTTCTCTGGCTAAGTATGACTGCCTTCACAGGCCCCACGTAGTTTCTATTAACAGCTCGCATGAGCGCCGTGACGCCATTCTCATCGGTTGGGTCGATGGCCTCCACCACAGTTCCATGTCCTGCCTCTGCCGCAATCACCAAGGCCGTCTTGCCTTCGCTGCCGATCCGGTCCTTCTCATATGGGACCAGAAGGGAGGCAGCTCTTGCATAGCCCTCCTCTGTGGTGATCATCAGGGGGTCCAGCCGTTCCTGTCCTGGAGGCCCCTCTCCTCCCCAACAAGCAACTCGACGGGACTGACGTGCCCCTGCTCGTCACGCTAGCCAACGCCGAGTCCTTCTTCAAGCAGCATCCAGACGGTTTCCATGCTATTCGTATGCGCGGCACGCATCAGCCTGGGCAGCAAAAGGAGGCTGGACTGAGGGTCAGTCGTGTTCATCCTGTCACCGAACTGTGCAAGCCTACTCTCCAGTGCCTTAATCATGGCTAGGTGCTCCTTACCTTGCTCTTCGAGTGCGTCAATCTTAGTAGACTTAGTCTTAACCTCCTCTTCCAGCAGCGCGATCCTGGCGTTAGCGCCATTCAGCGCAGCCTCCAAGGATCCGCACTTGTACCTCAGCATCACGCACTGCCCCTCAGCTCACTAACTGGGATGTCAGCCGCAGTGAGCGTCTCGTGCAGCTCCCTGGCCGTCAGTCTTTCCTCTGGTTCCAGCACGAATATCCTCTCCAGAACACTCTTTATGAAGCCATCAGTGACACCGCTCAGGTCCGGCCTCCACCCGTCGACGAAGACCTCTGCTGGCTCCTTGCCCCCCAAGAAGTCCGGTCTCCTCAGAGTTACTAATTCATAAATGATGACCCCGAGGCTCCACACGTCGGAAGCATGGCTGGTCTCATTACGGAGGAGAATCTCGGGGGCCATGTATACTGCCGTGCCTGCAATGGTGCTCCCGCATCTCAGGGCGTCCTTACAGAGGCCGAAGTCGGCGATGATGAAGTGTTCACCATCTGCGCTGACGAGGACGTTCGCAAGCTTGAGGTCGCGGTGGACGAGGCCCTTGTAGGGGCGACCGTCGGCACCCACTCCGCTGAGGCCGTGGAGGTAGGCGAGGGCGGCAGCGACCTGCTTCATGACAGAGAGGATCACAGCGATAGGGACGGGGATCTTCCTTCGTTTGTGCTCGGTGAGGAGGCGCTCAAGGGTCTTGTCGTGCCGGTCCGTGACGACGTAGATGAGGCCCTCGTCTTCAATCACTTGATAGTGCTTGAGGACTCCCAGGTGAAAGATGTTAAGAAGGGCGACCAGCCCACGCTTTAGCATCCACACCGTGCTGATCCAGACCGTCGAGCCGGATCTCTCTCACGGCGAGGTAGGGGCATCCCTTGGGAGAGTAGATAACACTGAAGGCCCCCGCTGAGCACGGGGATGCCACCAGCGCCCATCGGCTCTGCAAAGCCGCTAACTGCACTGTTACTAGCATCTCCCAGGGCGCCCTCCGCGGCAGTTGGAACGGGGAGTGGAGCCAACAGCCATCGCTAATCTTAACTGCAATCCGGAGCCACCCTTTGGAGTGACCTTGGCTACTACCCGAGCAGGGCGGCCAGTGCGAGCTGTCGATGGCAGGCCAAGGAGAGGCATACTAACGGCTTGTATGGCCCTGAGCAGGCCGGATCCTGGAGGCCGACATGGAGCACCCTCGACAGGGCACGCCGACTGGGACCACACTGAGCTCTGGATGCATCGATGGAGAGGAGCTCTTAGTATGTTATCCACAACTAGCCATCGTCTCCGGACGGTCGAGAAGTGGGCGCAGCTTACCCGTGGGATCTCTGAGCGCACTTGCAGGCGGGCCCAGTGATACAGTGACAGCAATGTACAGGAGTGCGCCCCGAACAATCATTCCACAAGAGAGGTGCGGTCTGAGTCTAGTCATCACTGGTCCTGTTCCTATCGAAGTCAGGGGGAACTGCACTATCAGCCGGCCTCCGGTGGGCGTGCTCCTATCTTATCCTTCTTCAGTCCAACTGATCGAGAGAGCAAGAGCGGCTGTCTCTCACTGCTCGCGGCCAATACACCGGCCTGACAGAAGAGCAGTGGCATACTAACCCGGCTAATGTTGGTAGGATTTCTCCTAGTTTTTACAGTGACACAGGCTCACCGTACATCAGTATCGACCGACTGCCCGATCGAGAACTGCCAGACGTGCTCCTCGGACAAGGCGACGTGCGAGGCGTGCAAGCCGGGATTCGTGGCCAGCGGGGATAACAGGGCGTGCAACCCAGCGCCGGCCGACTGCCCGATCGAGAACTGCCAGACGTGCTCCTCGGACAAGGCGACGTGCGAGGCGTGCAAGCCGGGATTCGTGGCCAGCGGGGATAACAGGGCGTGCAACCCAGCGCCGGCCGACTGCCCGATCGAGAACTGCCAGACGTGCTCCTCGGACAAGGCGACGTGCGAGGCGTGCAAGCCGGGATTCGTGGCCAGCGGGGATAACAGGGCGTGCAACCCAGCGCCGGCCGACTGCCCGATCGAGAACTGCCAGACGTGCTCCTCGGACAAGGCGACGTGCGAGGCGTGCAAGCCGGGATTCGTGGCCAGCGGGGATAACAGGGCGTGCAACCCAGCGCCGGCCGACTGCCCGATCGAGAACTGCCAGACGTGCTCCTCGGACAAGGCGACGTGCGAGGCGTGCAAGCCGGGATTCGTGGCCAGCGGGGATAACAGGGCGTGCAACCCAGCGCCGGCCGACTGCCCGATCGAGAACTGCCAGACGTGCTCCTCGGACAAGGCGACGTGCGAGGCGTGCAAGCCGGGATTCGTGGCCAGCGGGGATAACAGGGCGTGCAACCCAGCGCCGGCCGACTGCCCGATCGAGAACTGCCAGACGTGCTCCTCGGACAAGGCGACGTGCGAGGCGTGCAAGCCGGGATTCGTGGCCAGCGGGGATAACAGGGCGTGCAACCCAGCGCCGGCCGACTGCCCGATCGAGAACTGCCAGACGTGCTCCTCGGACAAGGCGACGTGCGAGGCGTGCAAGCCGGGATTCGTGGCCAGCGGGGATAACAGGGCGTGCAACCCAGCGCCGGCCGACTGCCCGATCGAGAACTGCCAGACGTGCTCCTCGGACAAGGCGACGTGCGAGGCGTGCAAGCCGGGATTCGTGGCCAGCGGGGATAACAGGGCGTGCAACCCAGCGCCGGCCGACTGCCCGATCGAGAACTGCCAGACGTGCTCCTCGGACAAGGCGACGTGCGAGGCGTGCAAGCCGGGATTCGTGGCCAGCGGGGATAACAGGGCGTGCAACCCAGCGCCGGCCGACTGCCCGATCGAGAACTGCCAGACGTGCTCCTCGGACAAGGCGACGTGCGAGGCGTGCAAGCCGGGATTCGTGGCCAGCGGGGATAACAGGGCGTGCAACCCAGCGCCGGCCGACTGCCCGATCGAGAACTGCCAGACGTGCTCCTCGGACAAGGCGACGTGCGAGGCGTGCAAGCCGGGATTCGTGGCCAGCGGGGATAACAGGGCGTGCAACCCAGCGCCGGCCGACTGCCCGATCGAGAACTGCCAGACGTGCTCCTCGGACAAGGCGACGTGCGAGGCGTGCAAGCCGGGATTCGTGGCCAGCGGGGATAACAGGGCGTGCAACCCAGCGCCGGCCGACTGCCCGATCGAGAACTGCCAGACGTGCTCCTCGGACAAGGCGACGTGCGAGGCGTGCAAGCCGGGATTCGTGGCCAGCGGGGATAACAGGGCGTGCAACCCAGCGCCGGCCGACTGCCCGATCGAGAACTGCCAGACGTGCTCCTCGGACAAGGCGACGTGCGAGGCGTGCAAGCCGGGATTCGTGGCCAGCGGGGATAACAGGGCGTGCAACCCAGCGCCGGCCGACTGCCCGATCGAGAACTGCCAGACGTGCTCCTCGGACAAGCAGACTTGCGAGGCGTGTGAACCAGGCAAGCATCTGACCCCGACGAAGAAGGCATGCTTAGATGCCTGCCCTGTCGGAACGTATCTATCCGGACAAACGTGCGCGCCCTGCGACCCCTCCTGTGCGGAGTGCAGCGGGGCCGGCGCTTCCAAGTGCACGGCCTGTCCCGCCGGGAAGATGCTGAGGTACGCCGACGAAAGCAAGCTTAATGAGGGCGGCACGTGCGTGGAGCAATGCGTGGAAGGCCCGGAGTGCGAGACGTGCGGCCTAACAATTGGAGGTACCAAGTACTGCTCGAAGTGCAAGGGGAGCAACGTGCCGCTCAATGGCGTCTGCACGAGCAATGCGGCCAGGACTCTGTTCTGCACCACTGCCGCTAACGGTGCTTGCACGGTCTGCGCCGCCGGATACTTCATCCAGGAGGGCGGATGCTACAAGACTGACAGGCTCCCCGGGAAGAGCATCTGCACAACGCCCACTGGGGATGGAAAATGCCAAACATGTGCGAATGGCTTGACAGCTGTCTCGAACATGTGTCCATTATGCGATTCCACTTGTGCCACATGCACCGTGGCCAATCAACCCGATAAGTGCAGCGCCTGTCCACCTGGCCGTTACTTGGACGCCAGTAAAGCATGCAAGCTGTGTACAGAGACAAGCGGTAGCATCCAGGGTGTCGCTAACTGCGCAAGCTGCGATCCTCCAACTGGTAATAGTGGTTCTGTCATCTGCTACGTCAAGACGGATGGCACTGACAACGGCGGAAGCGTCAACAAGAGCGGGCTCAGCACTGGCGCGATCGCGGGCATCTCTGTTGCTGTGATCGTTGTTGTAGGTGGTCTTGTGGGCTTCTTGTGTTGGTGGTTCCTCTGCCGCGGGAAGGCGTAGATGTACTTAGGTAGTAAACGCATTGTTGTATGTAGCTTATTACACTATGCTGCTGGGGCTATCTGAGGATTGTCCAGAGATCTTGCGTGTGATCCTCGCTCAAGCTCTGACCAGTTCAGAGACGACTGTTGGTCATTGATAACATAACAAGAGGGTCCTCTCCAGTGATACATCCAGGGCCCGGTACATTTCTCTACCGTTTCATGGGTGCATGCTCAGACCGAATGCGTACATCGGTCCTTTCGGGGTTCAGGCCTTCTCGCAGACTCTCTGCTCTACCCATGGCGCTTCTCCTTGGTCTTGTTTCACGATGGGTGAAGCTCGGGTCACCGTTTCTTTTTCAATAAGGTCCCCTAATTTACTCTCATTTGCTATCTGAGTGGTCTCTCATGCGAGCCACCACCACTCTAGGCAAGTCTCTCACTCATACATTAGCTGAGATCAGAAATCCGAGAGTCGGGTGTTCTCGAATCCCGGCGGAAGAACTCCTATGCCCCGTCTCTTTTAAGAGTCCCTGCTGTTTCTTGCGGTGCCTCTAGGATTCCTCCCTTCTCTCTGGCCCGTCGGGGTCAATTCTCGTCTGATGTCTAGTGAGCATCCGTTGTCTCGGGTCTGCATCATCCACGGCGATCTGGCCTCAGAGCAGTTGACTCTGGCCATGTACTTCAAGGTCTTGGTGCTCTACGACAAAGATCGCACGCCACGACCCCGGTGTCTACCCCGTTCCTCGGGTGCCTCTTCGTCTCCCCATGAAGCGATCATCGGTTCCGAGTATGACCGGGAGGGCGCGCTCCCCATGCGCCTCTATCTTGAGGTTGTGGTACGCATTCGTGGATGTCGATGGAGTACTCCCATGCGCTGGTATCAGGGGAGAGGTCCAGTCCTCGGTTCATGGGTCGCAGAGGTGCTCCGTCACCCAGCACGAGACCGCATCGGCGCCCATCCTGTGCAGTGTGTCTGGCTCAGTGACGTGTGGGCTGGTCCATCTGCACAGCACACTTGGGGTGATGCTTCGGTCTGTCGAGGCGTCATCCAAAGCATCAGAAGCGATCAGGACCGGTTCGTCGTTAGGCCGTCTCTCTCTACAACCGGCACCCATCTACTCGATGATGTCAGGCACCGCCAGCTGCTGTAGTAGACGCCCAGTAGGTGGACCCCCAGGCTGCCGCTGTCCTGTATAGCCAAAAACGCAATGGGCTTCTTCAGGTCCGAAACAAGTATCTCAGCTAGAGACCCTGACCAGTCCGTTGAAGGATTCGTAGAAGTCATATGGCGTATCAATTACCAGCTTCAGATGCTTTGATGTACTCGCGATCGCCCTGAGGGCTGCAGATAGCCGCTCTTTCGAGACTGGGTTCCCAGGAAGAAAACTTTTCATACCTTCTGGATGCTCTTACGCTTAGCAATGTTAATCGTTAGGCCCCAGCCTCTCGCCATCTGAGCTACGCCTCTACTAACGTCGGTGGTCCCTACGAGACATTGCGACGGAAGTTGGGGGCGCCATCGACCCATGTAACAAGACATAGGCAGTGCCCAAGTTCTAGCGCCCAAGGGGAGTAAGCAAAGGGGACGGAGTGTCCCTGAAACAGTAGTGCAAGAGCTGAACTGGTGATTCCTGCAGCAGGGACTCATGGAGATCTCTTTCTCCACCAGAACTAGATGGCATCCGAATCATCGGATCTCAAATTCAATGAGCAAGAATGTTGTCCACCGCAGCCGTTCTCTTTGAGTAATTTAGTCGGACAGCAGCTGGCAAGCTTGCCGTAATGAACCAAAGCAAACTATGTGGAGGCGTCTATGCGTGACGGTGCCCTTGTCTATGCTGCGTTGTCGAGTATTGGCTCATCACAGCTGTCAGGCTGAGTGCGCTGTAGACTCTCTATGTGCGTAGCGCTTCCGAGAGTGGTAGTGTGTCGGCCGCAGAATGGGTGGGTCTGCTCTTCCTGGTGATCCGGTAGCGGCTCGATCGGCTGGCCGGAGACAGGGCCTGATCCGAGGACCCTCAGCGACAGGCAGGACCCTGGGTGGCAAGCGGTCGCGAGGAAGCGAACAGCAGCCGCCTGTGGCCGGCCGGCACAGCCCGCGGCGGCGGGTGTGCCTCGCCGGGCCCCGGAGACGCCCTGGAAGGTCGCGGCGCTGCAGGCCAGAGCGTGCCCGCCCGGGCCCAAAGCGCGGGAAGGGCTGGTCCGCTGCACGGGTGGAACTTAGCTCGAAATTAACCAGTGAATGAGAAATAAAAGCTAGATGATCTCTAATACAGATCAAGGCTTAGATGTGGCTTTGCAAACACGAGCAGCCATCTCAGACCTATATGTACATCACATAATCTCAGCTGGTCAAAGACTTCGCATTACAACCCCCTTTAAGGCTCCCAATCCACGACCAGTGATTTTGGTTCTTGGCGAGGACTACAGCGGAAAATCGTCGCTTATAAGTCACATCACCGGATCAAGGCTTCGCTCAGAGGGAATGTGCATCAATATATACGTGCCTTGCGTCAACGATGTTGCCTATTTTACAGACAGTCTTGCAGACACACTGCCATCCATCCATGCTTGCTTTCGTGAAAACGGATTCCCAGGCTCGCATATTCGTTGCAGCGCTTTTAATTCATATAGTAAGCAGACTCCTGGATCGGTGCTTTCAACAGACCAGAGCCAATTACAAAGTGGGTTTCACAACGCGAACCTCTCCCCCACCGGGAAATCCATGTACTACTCTACTAAGTCGACTGCTGAGGGCACTAAGCAGCTGCCAAGGGGACGTGATTCTTCATCTACTTCGGCTTCTAGATATAAAGATGTCTCGTCTAATTCTGCTACCCTCTATAATTCGATAGATAAGTTAGAAAAGTCTGTCTCACATTTACCACAGAGTAACAACATACTTCATGGAGCATCTGACCAGTTAATGGGGCCTACGTGTCCCTTTATTTTCATCGAAGTACCATTTTTCTACCGCTACGTGATAGAGTCGTCGACTTCAAAAGGAATTCTCAGCTCTCTGAGCAACCTGTCCAAGCGAGGCAAACAAGCCAAGCCGAGCTCGCTTTTTTCTAAGGCAGAAACTCGAGTGTTTGAAAACACAATCAAGGCGCTCTTTCATCAAGTTGATAAGATCCTTTTTACAACAAGCTGTGGTATAGATACAAAAACCGAAGGCTTTTCTGTGGAAAATGGAAGGCTACTACACTACATCAGTTCATCAAATGAGCTTTTTGGAAAAACAACTATTCTAATTACTAAGTGTGATCGTCTTACAGATAAACAATCGTGTATTGACGCCATTCAGGAGTACGCCTCGTCACTCATATTGCTCTCCCCATACAGACGTTTCAAAATGAATCTAGTCTGTATCCCCCATTATGGCAATGCAAAAATGGCAAACCAGCAGGCTAAAACGACGAGGCTAAAACAAGATATATGCGATACTATAAGATGTCTTAATGAGCAAACAAGAGCGCTTGTCGACACGTCAAACATAGTTCTTGAAGTCACTAAATTGAGTGCTACTCTAAGCAACAGACCGCAACAGTATGGAGCTAGCGAAGTAGAAACAGGTGCACTGCCACAGCTCTCGCAGGAGCCAACACATTTGGGCATCTCTACTTTGACCTTATCTGCAGACAAGCAGGATAAGTTCCTTTCTTCGTCAGTGGCACCCTCTCAGCAGCAGAACTATACACTAGCTGATTCGCTGCAGCAGTCAAATGTAGTTAAGACCCTTGCTGCTTCACAAGCAATCGTTAACGCAATGGCCGGAAAGCTCATTAGCCAATGCGGCACCATGCTCCGGGTCGTAAACCCAAATACTTATGATGCTCACTCTATCATTTCTCAGGGCCCAGCAAGCTCAGAGGTTGGTCTTGGAAACGGCTTACACCAAAGTTGTGCCTCTACCAGCCGAATCGGTGAGCTCTTAGCATCTACCGATGAGCTCTGTTGGTCCCTTGAGCAATCCATTTTTGTTGACAACGAACGTATTCTCAGGGATTGCCACGCAGTGATCGTTAGCATTCTAAGGCGGCTGGAATATAATATCCGGGCAGTGCGGCGGATTAAGCGCAAAAACGCGTTTCTTACTCTTCTTCGCATTCTTATGATCACGCTGGCCATTCTGCTCTGCTTTATGATGGCCTCTGCCGCACAGCTCTTTGGTGCCGATTTTCTGTATGCACGCTGTCACGTACACCATCTAGAACGGCACAGGATCTTTGAGGGTGGACGGTTTGATGGCAGCGCTTTGGAGATGGCAATCTGTGTCCTTTTATATGAGATAGGAGTGCTGGGCTTGCAGCGGCTAGCAACTAACACTCTAACCATGGTGTGTATCTGGGCGCTTGTGCCTCTTTTGGTTTTGATGGCTGTCTTTCTAGATGCACTGTACTCAGCCAAGCCTCTTCAGAATAATGAGCTAGCGTCTCTAAAGAAAGAGTCTGAGTACGTGTTCAAACCTATGCTCATTCTACTTGATGGATTTCTTGAGCAGAAGGAACATGATGTAACGTAAACACTTTCTGGCAGTTTAAATCTTTTGTACTCCCGAGCAATCCGCAGTAACTATGTAATAGATCACGAGCAATTTCAAAAAATAATCTGCGCATGAAAGCCAAGCACACCCCTACGTCGATGGAGGTGGCGATCCTGTCTGTCCAGCTGCTGAAGGGCTGTGGCAGTGCAGAGTGCAGCAACTCCTATTGCGCTTCATCCTCTGGATTTAGCTATGGTGGACACAGAGGAGAAGGGTGGACACCTCAAGATACAGTGCATCTGGCGAAGGAGCTTCTTGGGTCGCACGGTTCTTCCATCATATGCAAGCCGTCTATCCGCCATATTCTGCTTATGTGGCAAAGAGGAGTCATGCATGTTGTCCGCAATCTTGACGATCCAGACATCTTCTCTGCAACCGTCTATTCAGCCAGGCCGCTCAATCATCTTATTTGGCATGTTAACTTCCAGGACCCGTCCTCTTCTAATAGGGCATTTCTAGAGCAATATATGCCTAAGCTCTTGACATATAACAAGCAAGTGCTGGGAAGGTTTTTTAGCCTTGATGCGCTAGCTAATCTGGTTACTTCTCTGTGTCACGGATGCGGCAGTCCTGATGGAGTCGTGCACTTTTTGCTGGACAATTGCGCCACGTTCCACGACGCCTATCTTAATTATACACTCTTTCAAGAGATAATTCTTTTGCAGTATGATAAGTGTGAGGATCCGCTCCCCATACTGGCCTTCATGAATAAGCTTGGTGACCTTTTCAAATCTGCTCTCGCAACAATTGCCGTCAAGCCGTCTCTTTTCTGTTCCGATGCGCATGTTTTTATGCTTCTTCTGCTTCTCTTCTCGACAGAACGCTACTTCAATCTTAGTTCACACCTTTTAGACTCAATAGCTAGCGTCCTTTTAGCGCTGCAAGAAAATACAGGCATACGTCTACGTCTTTGCATTAAGATGCGTGCCTTTCTTAACACGCTTCCTCTAGACACTTCAGTACACATACTGACCACATTAGTTCGCCTATCTAATGCTGCAATTAATAATACCTTAGAAAGAATTCTTCAACAAAAGCCCAGTGCTCCTATCAGGAATGCCCACGTGTATAGTTTTGACCAGCCTAGGCAGTTCACTAGAATAATTGGAGCGGAGCACTGCATCGTTTATCCGATTAACGATCCGATATTTTGGTCTGAGAATTCTCAGTCAAAGTATACGTATGATGTCAACAGGCTTACTCTCGTGGACATCCTGGACTTTAACCACACACTGAGTTCTCTTTGTGAGCTTTCTAGGTTACTCTACGTGTCCAACAACTTCACAAGCTATACGTTTCCATTTATCGCACCGCAGGTGCTGTTCGAAATCAGTTATTCCACTCCACAACTGGCTAATTCTGAAATAGCTAATCAACTGAAGAGCCTCTTGAACTACAACCAACTCTCTCCACAAATCTATGAACGGATATCTCAACAGCATCAGTGCCTAAACGATGGTAATCTCAGATCTATAGCAGACGCACTATCTTTTCTTCTACCACCTAACTTGCAGCAAACAATATTCTTAGCAGGAGCTACTGATGATGTGCAGCGCCTGGACATGGTTCCAATTATTCCAAATGATCTCTTCCACAATAAGTTCCTATCATCACCGTCCTACGATTGGAGAATCGATGCTCAATGCCTTGCAATATTGTTCGACCCAGACAACTACTTTTTGAGGGCCAGCAAAGCTTATTTGCAATTAGAAAGCTTGATACCTCAAGAGTTAAGAACAGCGTTGCAGGATGTCAACGAGGACATAGTCACTGCGAGCCTCGACCTAGATGAAGCTCTTCTAGACCAGCTGTTGGGATATGAGATTTCCCGTCTGCAGCAATATTTAGGCCCTAGATGCTACTACAAGCTACGTAAGCCGAGCGCTCCTGTTCAGCGCAAAACAAGTTCCTTTCGTCTGGTGGAAGGATCGATTATCAGTGTACCTCGCAATACCGCAACTACGGATACTGTTGCATCTATCTACAATTCTAACCACGAAAGAATGCTAGACATGCTGCACTTGGCCATACCGAGACACGCTGATCAAAATATAGTAGGTAAAGTCGGCGAAGTGGAAACAAATAAGCATGCTATTTCCAAACTCTTCACCTTCTGCTCATATCCGTTTCTACTGAATCCTCAGACGAAGCTGAATATCTTGTTGTATGAACTGGGGTATATGATTCGCTGCTCGAGGCAATCCCCGTTCCTCTGCATCAACGCTGAGAGGAAGACCCTTGCAGGAGACTTCCTGGCGTATTTCATGTCCTTTGCAGCTGAAGAACTATCTTACGAGTGGCTCTCCCCGGTCCACCGGCTTCTGCTTAGAAGACCCATCAGAGTTCAGTTCTCGGGAGAGGCGGCCGTAGACTTTGGCGGCCCGTCTCGAGAGCTATTCAATGACTTGCTCCCAGCATTCATTACTGACCACAAGGGCTATTTCACGTTTAATTCAGAGACACAATACTATTATATTAATTGGCAGCGCATCAGAGATTGTACCAACCACGACCCATACTTTCTTACTACGGAGAAGTATGCACTGTCACCAACTCAGGAACGCTATCTCTATGATCTACGTAATCTCTTTTGCCAGCTTGGGGCCATGTTGGGGATCTCGCTTGTGAGTGGCGCTACCGTTTCCTCAATATTTCCTCCTATCTTCTTCAAGCTTTTACTAGGGCACTCTTACACAGTAATTACACGAGAGGATTTGCACGATGTTGATGAGGAGCTGTATTTCTCGCTCACTAATCTCTGGAAACACGCTCACAACGAAGACTCACAGTTGACTGTCAATTTACAAGAGTCTAGTGACCCTATTCTCACTTTTGTCGGTCTCGGAGCCATCTTAACAGAAATCGTCAGCGAAGAACTGGTATCCATGAACCGGACTGTCAGCGTTCGTACAATCTCACACTTCGGCGATTTTCTCTGTTCTAATAGTTTTCCTCCCAACTCTATCCTGTGGCAGCTTAAGGAGCTGGTCAAAGATAGACACCATATCTTGACAGCCCCTTATGATATAGAGCTTTTGCCGGTCAATCTGCGAACCTTACCATTATTTATTCGTCTCAAACAAATTGCAACGATATATAATAAAAAGATATTTGAATTCATCCGATCGGGCTTCCTTAGTATGGCTAAGGCACGCTCGTTAGCCATGTTCACAGCGTCTGACCTGGACCTGGCATTGACCGGAGAAGTAGACCTGAACTTCTCTCTTCTAGAGCCGTTCACAGCTTACGAGAACCCATATTCTAGCTCTCATCCTAATATAAAGAACTTCTGGAGGATTGTTGCAGAGCTGACTCAAGAGCAGCAGCGGCGGCTCCTTCGCTTCATCACCGGCTCCGACAGGGTGCCAGCTGGCGGCGTGCAGAACATAGGACTTAAAATAATTCCAAATGGAGATGATGACTCTCGATTGCCTGGTGCCCATACCTGTTTTAACATACTTTGTCTGCCTTCTTACAGCTCAAAGGAAACACTCATGAACAGGCTTCTCTGCGCCATCGAGTGCTGCGAAGGCTTTGGGCTCATGTAGCTTCTCCGCCTTCAATCCTCTCCCGTGATTCTGCGGGACCTATTTCTATTACATCCATGATCACTCCAAGGGACCCATCATGCTCACCGCCCGAATAATCACTGTTACTGTCCAACACAATAGGCTCCGAAGCGTTGGGTGCACACTCTGGAAGAGCACGAGCACGATCTAGGAAACACCTTATACGGTTTTTCACGTCAGTCTGCGGCGCATTACTGAAGTCAGGCTTAGCTAGGACCATGTTACGGCCGCCTTCTGGAGCTCTGAGGCTTATCTCATTCGTGTTCCCCTGTGCCTGCGGTAACATTTAATTCGCTCAGGTTTCATTTAATATAAATTGAACATTTCTCTTCCAAATGGCTACAAATGCCTTGCTATAGTCAGCCCTGTAGCAGCGGGAGATGCTCGTCGTTAGGCGGTCATTTCCTATTAGTTCTTCCTGTTGTTTTTGGTCCAGGCCTGCGCAGCGTGCCTCATAATACTTTATGATTCCAGTCCTGGAGTAAGCTTCACACTCCTGTATGTTGAGGAGAGCAATATCCAGTTCTCTAGAGGACTTCCTACAGCGGGGATTTGAAAGATCCCTCATTGCCACAGAGACCTTTTCGCTGATGCACTTAAGATCTGGTAGTATATCTCCTGCCAGAATTGCAGCCAGGAACCTCCTGTGATAGATAGATCTTAGTAGTGTACTCAGGATGCATGGGGACATCTTTGCCTCCAGTTGCTCATCAATGTACTTTCGTCCCGGATAGAGCTCTGTACAAGATCCGACAAGAACGGACCCCATGGAGAAAGCTGGCTCTTCGCTACTCCCATCCACCAACGGTAGTCCCACATAATGCAGCATGGACTCCCCAACCAGCATGTCTTTTTGTCTGTCGTAGCGCTGCTTGGTTTGCTCCATCATAGTGAAGCACGGACTGATCAGAAAGTCCTGTGTTTGGCAGAGGAGTGCTTTGCTAACCTCCACAACGCCCTCCAAGTGGACAGAGATACGAAGGGCCTTCTTGATTTCTTCAATGTTGGTCGCAGACATCTCTAGCGTCTTATTGACGTAGAGTTCTACTCTAGCCGATGTGTACAAGACACAAGGTGGCAGTGACTGGATGGAATCAGCACAGCAATAGATGTCTGACGTGTGAGAAAGGGCCCCAGTGTTTGTGTAAGGCTTATACTGTAAGAACAAGTCTACCTGCTGGGTTGTCAAGTTGAACCGGTTACTCCCCTGTATCTTGTCGACCGCTTGCAGGTCCCTGTATTCACTAGGCGTTTTCAGGAGTTCACGGGCCGACACACCTTGAAAGATATATTTCCCGCTGTCTGTGGATTCTCTGAATGCAAGCTGGTCTGGAAAGGACTGCATCAGAAGCCAATTGATGACCATTCTAAGCTCCGGGGTAAATGTGGCCGGCGTTGTCACCTTTATAGTCGACATTATCACCTCCTTATTGGGAGCCTGCGCATACACTTGTTTGAAAAGATCATCGAATGGGGGGATATTAATGATATTGAAGATCTGTATGGCGGTGGTAAGTACCTGATGCGCTTCGTCATAGCGCAGACAGTACTCCTTACAAAAGCGCGACGCAGAGTGCTTATCCTTGAAGCAAAGAAGAGCACAGATGGTGAATAGCTTTGAGAGGGCATCCCCACTGCCGCTTGTGACGGGCCAGCGAATGGGCGCAATCGTGGACAGCTGACTGTAGTAGCCACTAGCAAGAAGAACGGCATATATGAGAAATGAGGACCCGTGGGCTGTGGGCTGTTTGTGGAAGTACAACACTGACTTGACGACTAGCTTGCTCATCCTCGGACAAAGGGGAATTGCAGCCATTAAGTTGCCCAACTTTGAAAGAGCATAGTTTGTTTTGGTGGTCTTTGTGTTAGTGCCACTCTCTTTATCCGTAGAGATGAAGGATCCGGTGTACAGATCGATAAGGGTCGTGGTCCCCGACCTTTCTCGAATAGCATCCAGCACTACGAGCTCTGCAAGTGCCTTGTCAAGTCTGTCAGGTCCTGGGTGGGTCACAAACGGGAAGGACCGAACATCTGACGCCCCTAGTTTCAGCATTGCAAGAATAAGCCCTGTTATAGGCAAGCGCAGGATCTCTGGAACAGGAAAGTCGTGCATTCGTTGAAACAAGCCAGGAGAATACAGCCGGAAGCAGTGACCTGGCGCTGTTCTCCCAGCTCGTCCAGCACGCTGGTCCGCATTTGCCTTTGAAATGAACTGCACAGTGAGGGCGGTAACTGCATTGTACTCTTGTTTCTCCTTTGCCTTGCCAGCGTCCACTACATATCGAATGTTGGGGATAGTGATTGACGCTTCTGCCACGTTTGTAGACACAATAATAAGACGGTGCTTAGCCTTGTCTTGGTATTCTTTAGAGAATATTCGAGACTGTTCGACAATATCAAGGGTTCCATAGAGCGGCAAGATTATAGGTTCTGGAGGTGCAGCCTTGACGACTCCTGTGTGCCTTTGCGCCTCGCATTCCTTAAACTCTTTTATCAACTGCTCAACCTCTTGTTCATCCTGTTGCTGACCTGTGCTGGATATCTTATTTGAAGTTAGCACGGTGTTATATGTGTTGAAGATGGCGTCGTTAGTCGTGAACGCTGGGCTGTTTTGCGTTAGAGGTTGTGAAGGCTCTACAGATCGGTCTGCGGCCTCTAGCTCGTTTCGTCGTGCTTCTCCCTTGACCTCGTTAGCGTAGTCCTGGAGCATTCTTAGTACAGGATTAGACTCATATCCTTCTTCTCCGTCGTCATCACTTACATCTTGTACTGGGTCGAATATGGTATTATCAAAAGTGTCTCTGTACGCACGCTTGTCATGGAGGTGTTTACGCAGCGCTTTATCATTGTGTTTCTTCTCCACGTGCGTGCCTTTATGGAGCAAGTTACTGTTAAGGCCATCTATGCACCTCTCTATTTCTCTCTTTCCACTTAGGAATATGAGTATTGACCCTGGATCATAGTATTTGTGTATCGTAATCGCCTTGTCGATTGCAGCTTGCACATAATTGGGCTCTGTCGCAATTTCGTAGTGAATGGCAACAGGATATGTACGCATAGGGATCTCGAATACTAACGGTTTGCAATGAAACAGTGCATCGTTTTCTAAAAGCTCCTTTTGATGGAGCGTGGCAGACATGATTATAAGTTTTAGTGGCGTTGCTGGAGGCGGATCACGGCACAGCACAGCGAACTCTTTCAAAAGGGTGGTATATTCTTTTGAGTCAAAGTACTCAGGCAGCGATAGGTCCTCCTTTTCCGAGAATGCTGCTTGAAAGAACGACCGAGAGCGCTGGAATGTAAGCTTTGACAAGTCAGTTGTCTCACGACATGATATAGATTCATTACTAGTATCTGGATCTTCGCTATCTTCTTCGTCTTCTTCATTCTCCCCTTCGTCATCCTCATCTTCATCTTCATCCTGCTCTTCTTGTTCTGCGTCCCTATCCTTTTCATAATATCGCTGTGCAGCCAGGGCATCTCCCCCTCCAACGTCCCCAAACACCCTTCCATTTCTAGATTTCTGTGAGTTAGGCTCAGAGCAGAAGTTAGTGTACTGGGAAGTTAGATTGAGAATTAAATCTTTATATTTCGCCAACCAGTTGTTAAAGAGAGATCGTCTGGCAGCACATATCCTTCCTAATAATCCTATAAGCAGATCTAGGTTAATGGTGCGCTCATGGGCTTCGTCCAGTATGATGATAGACGTGTCAGACACCAAAAAATCTGCCTCTATCATCTTGAGTAAAACACCCTCTGTTACAAATACCACTCTGGTGCTGTCTTTTCCGCCGTTGTCGACACGACTGTTTTGCTTGATAACATAGCCTGCAGTGTCCCCAACAGCTTGTCCAAGCTCCTCTGCAATGCGACTGCTTACACCAATAGCTGCAATGCGTCGTGGCTGGGTCACAACAATCTTTCCCCCATAGCCATACCGCGCGTCCCTTTGGGGCTTAAGACAGGAAGCTCCAGCCATCATATAAGGATATGCAAGAGATGAGTATCCACCCTCTAGAAGAAACTGAGGTATCTGGGTCGATTTTCCAGAGCCAGTCGAGCCCTTGATCAACAGGACATCTGTCTTCCCCAGTAGCTCGAGAAAAGAATACTGCATGCCAAAAGAGGGCAGATTTGCTCGCTCGGCTTCAATAGTATCGACTCTAGAAAAGCGGGGGAAGGCAACGTCGTCGTTGTGCAACAAGGAGTCTATAATGAGCTCTGGGTAAAGATCTGCTGGCAGCCCTTCAATCTCAACAACATCTCCTTGAGCATCATACACTACCTTGGTCGCATGTGCCTGTTGATTGCTTGCTTCTAATTCTGCATTTGCATTTGCATCTGGTTCTGGTTCTGAGTTGTGTAGTTCAGGACCTAGTTTAGGTGCAGGCTCCCTAATGTTAACGTTATCAAGTGGCTCAGACAGTGTATTGGATAAAGAGTTGGGCAGGGTAAGAGAAGTCTCACAAAAGAGATTGTCATCCACGACGACCTCTCGATATAAATGCATATGTATAGGTTTTAGACCGACGCGCTCCCGGGTTAAGTCTTCACGGAGCTGGTCTTTTTTGGCTGGCTTTTGTCCGAAATGCTTTGTCGACTTCATTAAGGCCTTCTGCTCGTCAGTGAGTTTGATGGCATTCATCTGGGCTATGTACTCTCCCTGACGCTCTCTATTCTGTTTCATGCGCAATATACGCGCCTCCATGCGCTCTTTACGAGATTTTGGCATCAAGAGAGGGAGAGAAATAAGTGCAATTTTTCATCGTTAGGCCAAATCTCCATCTGAAACGCAAAGGAGCAACTGTGGTAACAACCTGACATCGCAGCACGTGAGCAGCTCTTATGCAGAATGCAGACACATCTTTGCTTCATTTACAATTAATTTCCCTAATATGGGGATAAGAGGTATAGAAGCAAGACGGCAGGTGTTGCATGCTTGAGTAATGTACCGTAAACCAGTGAATTGAGGTGATGCAATATGTTTAAAGTTTTCAAAAAGCAATCTTAAAATAACTCAATCAAGATTGAAAAATGGAAAAAACTTAGTAAAAGATATACGGAGGAGTTATTAAGACCTCCCCAGGGGAGTAGAATTCCATCGATAACCTCGAAGTGCCCCGACTTAGGAGAGAGACGTAAGTAGGATGTTTAGTACGAAAGGTGATCTGGCTGCCAGGACCTAGATGTGCTCTCTGCTCTTTTGAGTCTAGTTCCAAAGAAGACAGTGAGGAGTGCTGAGGATGGAGCTTAATGCATATTAAAAATATCCAAGCGTGGTTCCTGTGAAAGAGAGTTACAGAGCTTGGGCTGAACGAATTGGAGGTCATTCCACTTTGCTCAGCCTTAGAACACAGGCAGTATCGCCATTCTTTATCTAATCTTAGTTCTGAGCAAAAGGCTCAAAGAACCAACCTTGACAACGCACCAGATGCTAGCATTTATAACTGCGGCTCTGGTTGCGTAAAAGAATACAAAAAGCATAGTCAGGAAGCCCCTATATTTCTGGAAGGATAAATCGCAGCGATCCGTCAGCCTTTCGCAGGCGACCAGACTTATCACGTATATCTGCTGGTGGTTTGGGTCTAGCACCTGGTTCTCCATAACCAGAAGACCTTTTGGATTGCGGTTTTTGGGCTGGTACATCAATCTGCGCAGCAGCTGATTCAAACGGGTCAGAATAAAACATGTCGACAGAAACAGAAAAGCGGTGGCAGACCTTGAGCATCCCCTTCATCAGCAGTGAGTATCGGAGTTTCATTTCTTGAAGTTCCCTTAGGCTAACGTCAAGCTTAGTGTTAGCATCTTGTAATTGTTTCGCTGTGACCTGCAGAGCGGTACTTTGCCCACGGAGATCTGAGTTTTCCTCCAAAATTTCATTCATCCGCTTCTGCTGCGCCTGAAACTTTTTCTTCTGTTGAGCATTGCTTTTGCTAAACGCCTGAATCTCTTCCTTGAGAGTCTCTAGTTCAAACTCTTTGTCCTTCAACTGCTTCCGTAGATTAAATGACTCGGTACAGATCTCAAAAATTTCTTTATCCTGATTAGCCAACTGAAAGCGCAGCAGTTCTTTCTCGGCCAAGGCCTCTCGAGCCTTCACAGGCAATGCCATAAGGTGCTCGGCCGTCTTCTCCCTCAACACACTTTCCAGCTGGGTGTGAAACTCTGTTGCCAAACTAGCCCTAACGCGACTAATCTCACTACGGAGTTCATGCATTTTGTCTTGATGCGTTTTCACTTCCACGGCAGCATCATTCTTGAGCCGGACAATCTGTGCCCGCAAGAGGGAATTTTCCCGTGCAGCTACTTGCATGACCTCCATCTCACCATTCATTCGCTCAATGGTGTCGTGAAGTTGACTGATCTCATTTTTCAAGGTCACGATGGCTGCATCGTGGATTTCGCCCAGGTTCGTGAGAGCGTCAGAGTGGCGAGACGCAGCCAGCCGCATTTCCTGCTCCAAGTGGGCAATCTTGTCGTCTTTGGACTCGACAACCGTGCGGAGGTATAGAACGAGAGCCTCAGACTCCTTGAGTTTCCTAACAACATCCTCACTGCGTAGCTCTTCTATGTCCATCCGCGGTACGGGCTCTAGCGATCGGTAAACTAGTGCTCGATGTGCCTCTTTTTGGGACAGAAAGATGAAATTTCGATATTATATGCGTAATTAAATCTGTTTGTCTCCATTAAAAACTACCCTATTCCGTTAGCGCTCGCCCTCATGGATGACTTGTGCAGGAATTTAGAATCTGGGGACAAGATTATCGATATTGTCTCCGAGGAGAGAGTGCGTTCCGATGGCATGCAACCTGAGGGCTGGGCCGAACGTACAAGTTATAAAAACAATGAGATCCCAGCTAACCCGCCCTACAAGGCGAAGATCTATAATCTTTCTCAGCTAACCTGCGAAGACTTTCGAAGTTTTTTGACAGATTCTGGAATCTCTATCGTGAAGCTCGAAGAACACAATGGATTCTGTGTGGAAGTTCAGACACCGGACGATCTTGCTTTTATCGTCTCCTTGGACGGAGAATACTATGACGAGGAACATGGAGAGGACGACCCCCCTATTAAGGTTCGTGTGCTATACGAATCAAGATACAATAATCACTACCCTCCTACCGAGCTGACGAGGGATATGCTTCAGGGGGCGGGAGCTGGTGACTTTGTCTTTCGAACTGCCGACTCTCGCGCAGGAACGTCCGGGTTTTCCAGGGAGAACATGGGGGCAGCTGACCACGGTTCTTCTACACTGGATAGAGCAAGGTTTGCTATGTCTGATGGTGCATCCGTTGATAATGCATCCACGAGTGCTCCACTTCTTAACTTTCGAGACTCTGGTAAAGCGTCTCTTCCAGTTGCATTTTCAAAACCTCCAGACCTTGATCTGGCATTCCGCCAAAAGGGTCTGTCTGGAGACCTTGGCAGCATGCGCTCCGGGACTTCCTGCATTTCTAGTTACCAGCCAGCCCAGCAGAAACGAACGTACCAACCACCACAGCTATCGTCCTTCGCGTCAAGAAGGTCTGCTGCGAAGAAGACGGTCGATGAGAACGGTTGGACCATAAATGGTTGAGAATCTTTCTGGCTCCGAGTATCTTCTCTTTTCCTTTAACAATCCTGTTTGCTCACTGACGATGGGGTAAGGGCTTCAAGGCCACTATCTTCTCCTGCTATCCACTCTGATGTGAATGGGATTTGCGTTTTTCTTTTGTCTGTGGGCCTTCCTTGTCTCCGGAGGAACTTAGTCAATCGTCTACTTTGGCGCGCTTCATATATGAGGCGAACGCGCTCAAGAAAACCAGAAAACTGAGACCGGTGATTCTCAAATTGATGCCCACTGCTCAGCACATGTATTTGCTCCACCTCAGACTCGTAGCTAGCAGCAGACGCACTTGTCGATAGCTCTGTTACTACCACAGGTTTTCCCGAAGACAACATTGCATCCTTCTTGTTACACATGCGTGATACAAAGGCTCGTATCATTTGTAGAATAAACTCAGAGTTAGAAGTACGACTGAAGAACGTTCTTGAAGAACGCAGAGCTTTTGATCTGTCGTTTCTGAGTAGGGCCTCAATTAGGCTGTCTACATAATTCTGAGACCTACGTGCGCCTAGGAATACCTGTTCCTCTGTAATGTGTTTTCGCTGGCGAGGATAGATTGGATGATCCAGCCCTGGCCTTAATCCCTGACTTTGTGCGCCTCTGCTTCTAATTGTAAGAATTACCCCGGGGTTCTTAGCTCGCAGAAGAGCCAAGTGTGAAGTAGTGCACGTCTTGAAGAATATAATAGGACGAACTGTGTATAGAATCTCGCCAATCCCAAGAAGTAAGGCAAGTATATTCTCTAAACTGCTTGTTGAAAGCATCACACTTATAAGAAGAAGAATGCTTATGGAAAGCACTCGCTGGGAGCGTGTAGAACAGATATCTCTGATGCGAAGCAACAGAAAAAGAAATCCATAAATAATCATTTGTATATGATTCGATATGCGCAAGACCCGGCGCAGGGAACGGTTCCGGGAATGACTCCGGGAGTCCTCTTTAGAATAATAAATTCTCGAGCTGTAGCGATGTGTTTACTGGTCGAATCAAAGTATTGCTTCAGAGCATTAAGTAATCAGCTGAGCAGATAACGCATTTCGTAATGCAGTAGTTGTCTCTTCAGCAACCGATATCCGATCATTTGCTATTCTTAACAATCCAATGGTCTTAGCATGCTCCTCACGAAGGCTGGCCAATTCTGTCCGAGTGTGATCCAGCTCCACTCTGAGCTCATCCTGCGCACAGACTAGCTTTTTGAACTGTTGAGACGCCTCTGCCTGAATATTGGTCAATAACGTTTTTATATCTACATGAGCCTGGTCCTTTGTTCGTTTCTGCTGTGCCATCATACTATCGCTACTAAGGGTTTTAGATAATGAATCTCTAGTCTTACTTATGAGATCTAAGAGGGACGACGATTGATCGATAGAGAGCTGATCGGAAAAAGCTGCCAGCAAGCAATCCACTTGGCCAACTGAGAACCCCGATTGACTAGCATGATCCAGAAATGCATTCTGAGCAGGGCACAACAAAGTCATTGCATCGAGGAAGAATCTTGACGAAAGCGTTATAAATGGCTGTTGAAAGCCAAATGAGACGGTGCGATAGATGTATGCTGTGACGACAAAAATAAGCCTTTCAATTAATGAAGGTGCAGAGAGGAAAGTTGAATAAGCGTACAAACCTGTGTCTGCACCTGTTAATATATCCATACTGGAAAATAGTACAGGAAGTACCTGACCAAAAAACCCGCGAATCCTGGACGCGCTAAGGTTGGGCTGTAAGTGACTCGGCAAGGCGCCGGTCAGGATCACCTCTTCTAGGGCTGCAAGTGAGTCCCCACAAGCATCCTGCAATGACGACGATAGACTCAATGCTGCCTTAAATACTTCAGGACTGGGCATCTCGGTTGCAGCAAGATAGAACTTCTCTCCTTGGGTGAGAAAAACTGATATGAAATCTTCCACAAGCGATAATGCAAAGGAACTTAATAAGAAGTTCAGGCGCTCTGAATTGTCAGACAGGCTTAGTGTTCCCTGGTTAATAAAAGCGCACAATCGCCGAAGAAGGAGCCGCTGGGTGAAAAGAGTACAAGTTAGAAGAAAGATTGGCAAAGGAGATGCACCCGCAGAGGAGCTGAAAAGTACAAAATGACTCAGAATAGTCGACTGACAGCTAAGAATGTCATAAAGATGCTTCCGATTATCAGAATCATCAATATCACAGCTAGCAGTAGCACCATCTCCACCGCTTTTTGCTTGATCACTCCTTTCGAGCAAGAGGGCTAAAAGGACAGTCAATTGGTCTGTGGATGAGCTCAGTGCCATGCGAAGCTCCTTGTTCGTCTCTATTGTAGCAGATAGCTCTTCCTTAGTCCTGGATGCATCCACATTGGTAGTTTCTAAATCTTTTTTAACTGCAGCCAATTCAGACATTAAGGCTGCTGCTTGATATTTGTATTGAGTGAGGTCAGTGTTCTTTTTAGCAGAGGCTTTGAGCTCCTGCTTCAGTGACTCATTTTCAGCAGCAAGACGGGAGAGCTCTGCCTTGTTGAATTCCAGTTGGTGTTCAATGGACGCCATGGACCGAGTGGCGCGCTCCATCTCTGTCAACCGTTCCTGGAGCTGGCTATTTTCAAGAGCCTTTTGGGCCATCACTTGCTCGTGTGATTCAATGATACTCGCTGCTTTACGGCGCTGTTCGTCGATCAACTCAAATGTACGTTGAGCCTCTCCTAGCAATTGCTTCAGACGCACGTTTTGTCTATTAACGTCTAACAGTTCTTCTTCCATATTGTATGGCGAGATACCGATGCCTTCCTGGGTCAAAAATTACTTTAATTCTCGAAACAGCAAAATTTTGAAGGATGATAGACCCAGCCAAGCTTCTTACTATGACGTGGCAGCGCCAAATGCTAGCTGAGGACGATATCAGAGAGTTGGTTTGGCGCGTTCAGGCCATTCTAGCTCAAGAGCCAAACGTCTTAAACATTTCCGGACCAGTCAACATATGCGGTGATCTACACGGTCAGTTCTACGACGTTGTCAAGCTTTTTGACGTTGGTGGACGCATCGACAATTCAACTCCGAAGGAGGCAAACACGACCGTGGTTCCGGCTAACCTTAAGCCTAACACCTCCATGAGTTCTAACGCCAAGGCCCTGCGAGTGCATCCTACGCCCAAAAAGTACCTCTTCCTCGGAGACTACGTCGATCGTGGATATTTCAGCTTAGAGACGATAACCCTGCTTTATCTTCTAAAGCTTATGTACCCCACACAGATCTACCTTATCCGTGGCAACCATGAGTGCAGGTCAATCACACAGGTCTATGGCTTCTACGAACAGTGCCAGCGTTACTATTCCCACTCTGCAGTCTGGAAGCTCTTTGTTGATTCCTTTGACTACCTTCCCATTTCGGCTGTTGTGGACGATAGGATCTTCGGGGTTCACGGCGGTCTGTCGCCAAAGTGCCCTCTGATAGATACCATTCGCGTGATTCAGAGATCAATTGAAATACCTAGTGAAGGAAGCTTCACAGACCTTTGCTGGAGCGACCCAGAGACTAAGGTATCACTCTTCTCGCCTTCCACGCGTGGAGCCGGATTCTTGTTTGGCGCCCAGGCCGTAGATAAGTTCAACTCCGATAATGGCGTAGAAATCATAACCAGGGCCCACCAACTTGCTCCCCAAGGCTACCAGTGGTTCTTTAACAACAAGTGTTGTACTTGCTGGAGCTGTCCTAACTATTTCTACAAGTGCAAGAACTTGGCTGCAGTGATGGAGGTGGACACAAATGGTGGTGGCGGAATTTGCTTCTTACAGTTCGACGCCGTTCCGGACAACGAACGCGAGAAGCCGGATTATACCAAAAAGAACGGATCTTAATTTCGATTGCCCTAATAGAGGGGTTCTTTAGCTAACTTCATGCGCCGAGCTGCTCATCCCATGAACAGACTCAATCATGGACAGTTTACTCATTCGAGTTTATATGGAGTTGCCTGCTTATAGCAGAGAGTAAACCTATCACTACTGTATGCACGTTTATGGATCCATGCAGAGTTAGCCTTATCTTCAATGCTAGTGCGTAGCGGGCTCAGGGGATTTCAGGAACTGACTGAGGTACGCAAACGCCTCTTCTATGCGGTCCTCAGTAAAGTAGTCAGAGTCCTGGAGAATTGCAGAGAGCTCTGCAGGGCTTTGCGGTATGTCGTTGAGAATCTGGAAGCGGTGGAGGTCTGTAAAATGGTTTTCTGGTCCTAGGTAGTTCCATAATCGGATAAGCATTTCCTTGGTAATATGCTTGACTTTCGGTTTGAGATAGTGATGCATCTGGAGCTCCATAGCCAGCTGCTTCTTAAAGAGGCCACCTTCTGCAGAGCCAGTGGCCTGGCGGTAATACCGATGCCGCAGTATGTGATAGACCTCGATGTTCGTCACCAAGGTCGGGTGCTCGCGGTTTATAATTTGCATTCCTTTTTAAAGTTATTACAGATGGGGAATGGTCACGTGTCGGGCGCAGCTTTGTCCCAGAGCTGGCGCACACCAGTCAAACCCATTCGGAGGAGCTGCCGGACAACGGCTATCAAGATGAAGCTAACTCGTGAGCTCCAGGAGACCAGAGAACTTGACAGGCAGCTCAAGGAGGCCAACGCCAAGCGAGAAGAAGCAGCCAGGAAGCAGCGCAAGAAGAACCGTGAAAGGCGTGAAAAGAACGCACGGGCAGCGAGCGGCGAGCAGAAGATATCCAATGCCAAGGTTAACAAACTCTCAAGGCAGCAGCTCAGGAAGATGCACATTGTCAAGGTGGATTAGCCGTTGGGTCTCTGCCTCTCCTAGTAGTAAATACGTATCGCGTCGCGTCAATGACTGCCAGTGACCAATGGATTCTTTAATTAAAACATTGTCTTTGTGCTTTAGAGGGATGATTCTCACCGGAGATCTCTCACAGATCGTGTACCCTAGACAGGAGTGTCCGTACAGTTCGCGCGGCTGTAATAACGCAATGAACTGGGAGTTGTTTTACAGCTACGTCTGCATGCTTTTGTCCTCTTGGCACGTCTTCCGTGCCATTTATGAACACAACATTATATCATTCTCTCGGTTTTCAGAGAAGGCCGATACTATGGCCCGAGAGATCGTAACCTTCTTCCAGTCATGTGGAAGCGACGCCTGCGAATCAGAGGTGGCTGGGTTTCTAATCCAAGTTTTGGCAGAAGATTTCAATACAGACGTTGAGGACGACTCAGATTTCGCTGTAGCTCGGTGGCTCATAGATGGATATGCCTATTCAATACATGGGGACTGGTCTTTGTTGCAGGAGCTCCAAACCGCCAATCTTCCACTCTTGCCAGGATTCAACGGCCAGGTAATCCCACCTGCACCTTGTACAGGGAAACAGCTGCGGCACAATGTCCAAAATTGCGAGGCCGTTGGAGCTATGGCCTCTGTTGAGTTTGCCTTGCAGCCCGGCCTTGACGACCCGGGCAACTTTACCGCTGACGAAGAGTACTTTGACTCGTGTGGCTACGATGATGATGTGGATGATGGCGCGTACGATGCTTCCCCTTACGATGATTATTTGTGAACCAAATTTTAAAGTATGTCTCAATTGGTTGAGCGCACCGGTCTCTTCACAACAACGCAGTTATATGAGCCCTCACACTCAGATGTTCTTCCTCCTGCACCAATGCTAACAGAATTTGCTCCAATTCTCCCCGAGGAGGGGCCTGTTAGTGGCTACGGAAAGTCTATCCTAAAGGATCACTTGACCCTTGAGAGACGAATGCTTGCTCTAGAAGAAATTACAGATAAAGTAGCAGCCTATTGCAAGATGCTTTCAACTGAGCTTCCACGAAAACTGAAGAGTAAAATAGCAAAACAAACGCAAGAGATCGTAGAGCAGAAGGTCCTCCGCCAACAGGAGGAGATGTTAGCAAGAATCACAGTTTTAGAGCAACGCTTTGACAGCTTTGCTGAGAAGTTCAACAGACTGTTAGCCCGCATTTCAAAATCCAGAAGTAATAGTCCTGAATATCAATCAGCATCAAGTGCTGAGCCGTCCAATACATATATAACGCCAAAGGCCCGAAAGATCAACACACCCCAAAGTCATGTTAGACCAGATGTTACGCCCAGTGTGAAGAATGGCAGACGCGAATCCTTGAGCGCCAACTCTATGGCAGTGCGATCTGGGCCACGGTGTGAACTTTCTTGCACAGAAATACACGAGCTTCAGAATTTGGGGAATGAGGTCAATGACATAGAAGCCTTTACGAGCACAATAGACGTTGACAAAGATAGTGGGTCGATGCAGACACAACAACGGGAAAAAAGCATAAGTTCTGCAGAACCAGTAACTAGCTCCTTGGCACCCGTTCCACCAGCAGTTCCATCTGGTACCAGCAAAAGGCCAGGCTCAGCTAGCCACATTTATAAAGCATATCCGCGTCCATCTACCGTTGCTGGATATGGGTCTGGACAACTTACTGCACAGGGATCACTTCCACAACCATACTCCTACAGGTCACGCGCAAATCTCAGTGCTGCGTCTACATTTGCATCTGCGTCTGTAATTGCTCCAGAGCAAAATCTTCTTATGCACGTTGGATCTCACGCCCTTACAGATAAGCCTTCGGTTTCTCGCACCTTTCCAACTGTGGAGGCTGCCAGGACATTTGAGGTAATTCCCGGCATGAGTGATGATGAATCCTCTGCGTCATCTGCTCTTGTTCCTTCTTGTATCTCGCAATCTGATGATGCATTCGCCTGTCTTGGAGCATCTCTTCGCACTGCGTACGTTCGGGATGCGTCTCCCATTCTTGCCGGCAAGGGAACTCGCAGCTCTACGCAGGCTTGGCTGACCAGCACCTCTCCGACTGGCACTCGTGCACCATCGACCGAAGGACAACGCATTATTAAGGGAAGATCTTCTGGTAGGCCCGCCGACCTTCCCTTAGCTCGACCTTCTGGACTTCCACCAACCAAGGCGTGATGCTGGGATTTCCAAAAAACTATGTCCAACCGCCAGTCGTTCATGCAGCAAACGCGACAAGTGTCGGCCCAATCTTTTCAACCCCGTGCTGAATCAGCCAACACAAATCGCAGAAGTACTGTTGTTCAGCAGCACTCTCATCCCCAAACGAGCGTTAGGGGTGATTCTGTTAGACAGTCCGCCTGGGTCCACAACACCCGTGGCAAAGAGCGGCAAGACAGTCAGTCAACGATAGTATCTATGCAGACAGACATCGTGGAATTTCTTAGGTCCAAAGGGAAAGTACTAAAGAGTGGCCAATGGAACACCATGAATGATTACGTGGAGTGCTTCCTCTTCTTACACGATATCAGCGGACTGAAACTTATTTCTAGAGCCCATCTTGCGATCCTGCAGAGCTTTAATATCAACCAGCCCTTGGGATCTAACCAACAAAATAAGCAAAGTACCATCCGGTCCAACGTTATCCAGTTTATAGGTGCAATGTGGTACATTCTAATGAATCCGCCATATGACAACCTATCAGCACAGCTAAAATCCTTCTTGCATGCTTTCAACCCAGTCTTCAACCCAAAGTCCAACCCCTTTGAGCGGGCGACAGATGTGCTTAAGGATATCAACACAGAACTTGCAACACTCCAAACCATTCTCGACAGTGGTGCTAAAAAGACCTTAGGCCCGAAAGCTATATCTTTTCTTACGAGAGACTCGTGGCGGATGCTTCTTTTGATACACTACCTAGAGTTCGTCAAGAAGGCCTATCACAAGTTTATCTCTGAGCGCATACAGATCAGAAAGAGCACGAGATCAGACAACAACGCCACAGTCGTCTGGGATGAGATAATTGCGGACCTGACACCAGAGCAGAGGAAAACCTTGCAAGACGTACAGGGGCTTTATCCTATCACCGATGGTCCTTCCACTGCTCTAAACAAGAATGGACAAGAAGTGATTGAAGATAAGACAATATTATTGGGAGCAGACAGTGAAGGAACATTTGATGATAGTATGGTAAAGGACATGATAGACTACGCATTCCAGATGTTTCCAGACAAAAATCTGGTGGTCACACCTCCCTACAGTGGGATGATCTTATCGTTATATACCAACATGTCGCCTCGCGCCACTACCGAGACGCTAGAAGCGTTTCAGCAAAAGGCAAGCGACTGTCAGGTGACCTATATGGCTCGCCTAGATGCAATCAGCCACGAGAATACAGAGTTGAAGTCTCAGCTAAAGGGTCACCTGGAGGTCCTTTGCAGTAAAATGACAGAACTGTTAGTGTTTATTTCTAACACTAACGTCTCAGATCAACACGTACACACTCAAATCTTCAACTTTTTGAAGAAGGCCAAGTTTGTTCCAACAGAAGAAATCATAAGAATTGAGAAGATAGACCCGCCACAGAGAGATGCCGCCCTTGTGGATCTGTTTAGAAAGTTACAAGTAACAGATCAGTATATGGACCTTACCATACAAAGCATCGTGGCACGTTCGCAGGACTTTTATACCATGTATAACGTATGCACAGACTCCGTAGACTCATTTTTCACGTTCTTAGCGCAACGGGTGGAGGCATTGGAGGGTGCCTTGAGCCTTCTTAGCAATCAGAACAAAAAAGAGATTCTTTCGCAGAAGGTCGCTGATCTAATGCGTCAGAAGACAGAGCTTCGAGAGAAAATTAGTGGCATCGCTAATCAAGTGGCCCAGATACAAGAGGAGAAGCTGGCGCATGCAACAGATTATGTTAGCCATCATCTCTATAGCATGCATATAGGAAAGCTGGAAGCGATTAATCAGAACAACAAGAACAAGTCAGCACAAATTGTAGAATTGCAGGAAAAGATTCTCTCCTCCAAGAGCTTGCTTTCCCAGTCTGCATATGGATTGGCCATTGAGCTCTCTGCACTGCAGAAAAAAGTCTCAGAGTCACCCACTTTGGCTAAGTTTATGGAAATTTCTGGCATCTATAACGTAAAAGACATCCAGAGTTTCGAGAGTGTATTCAGGAATTTTTCAGACGCAAGTTCCTCTGACATCGTTGTTCCATTGGACAGAAATGGAACAGTTAATGCTATCGAGCAGATGTGTAACGTAAGAAGTGCGAACCAAACAGGAGAGCCGCGCAAGTTTTCTGATCTCTGTACGGGGCTAAGTATGACCTGTGGCCAGCTGATCCATCTACTTAATCTCGCCCAAAAGGATATTGAAAAAAAGCAGAAGGCAGCAGAAAAAGAGGATGTTGCGATTCAAGCAGAAATAGCTAGCTTGGAGACCAAGAACAAAAAGTGGAAGGATCAGTGCGACATTGTCGCGGCCCGGTATTCTAATTTCGAGGCTGCTAAAAACTATGAACAAGATGCGAAAAACGAAAAAGCGATGGCCGTCCTCGGGCAGATACGCGATCTTTCTAAAAGGAAGGTCGATCTGAATCTTCAGATCAAAAATCTAGATCAAGAATTGGCCGAGTTGGCCAAGAAGCGCGAGGTAACCACCCAAGAGCTCACTAATACTCAGGAAGAGTGTAATGAAAAGGTTCGCACGACTGTTTTCTCCTGCAACAACATGTTGGCCATGGTTGAATCCTTCCGCATAAGGACCGCAGAGACGCTTTCTAACGTTGCTGCAAGCCTCCAACAGACAGGAGAACGCGTTGACGAGGCCGAGCTTCGAATCACAGAGATTCTTGACCTTGTCAGGGAGATGGGCGAGCTCGCCGCCACCACGACAGAAAAGCATCGGAAGTAGCCGCAGATAGTAAATTATTAGAGCGGGGCTTGGCGTGCGATCGTTCTGACCCTCAAGCTGGTTCCGAATCAATTTAAAATGTCAGTTTCTCCCGAGGACGGGCTCCCAAAATGGCTTCAGGAGGGTGCTGGCGCAAAGGTTATCGGATGTGTCTACCTGTCCTCTGTGATGTTGATCGGGCTGGGAGCATATATCACCTACCACCAGCCGCTCCTGGGGCTTCCCTTCCTAGTTCTCTCGATATGCTTCCTCGTTGCATGGTACATGTTTGAGCACGAATACAGACCTTGTAATTTACAACTAGGCGGGGCTCTCCCTGCAGACTTCCCGGAGCAGGGAGAGGGCAGGGAAAGCGACACGAATAAATAAATTCGCGGAAATGCTATTGGCTACCACATATAGACCTGTGGTAAATTGTAAACGGGCATAGGGGAAAAGTAGCACGAATTCGGATGCCAATACTGATGCATCAAGTAGGGCGTGTATGGGTCCGCGTACCGCTGTATCCGTTCGTCATGCACAATGAGAAATGAAGAGATATGTGCATGCGTTGTCGCTAACTCCTCACTTACGACGTGAGTATTCCAGTCGAGGATCTTCAGGGCTTCAGCGTACATAGCCGTGTACGCTGCGAGATCTAGATTGGAGAGAAGCTCGGGCCACCGCCAGAATGTCAGCTCATAGTCTCGAGTCATCTGAATAGAAATGTGAAGACATACCAGTAAAAACCGCCGTACGGTAAACACACTAACACAGGAGTCGCCTCGCACGTGGATCCGCGACAAGAGGACCAGGGCATAAACTAGCTCCGTATCAGTGAAGTGGATTGCATCGGAAATATACCCGAGGAACGCATCCATCTGATCAACCAGGGCCTGGAGCTGCTCTCTCCGGGCCTTCTCTTCAGGCCAATCGTATCCATTTGCGAAAAGACCGGTGCTTAAGAACATCGCAAGGGCGCGAGCTACGGCATACTGTATATCCCCCCTTTGATAGTTTATAATCCATTGGTTCTGAGTCGTCAAAGGGAGCTGTTGCTGCTGTCGAAAGAGCATCCGAAAATTATTCCCGGTCAACACAAACTCTTTCTTAAAGGCGTTGCTAATATAACGTGATTCTTGAAGATAGACGGAAAAGTTGCTCTAGCCTATCGACCTTATGCTTCAATTGAGATAAAGAATGCCGCGGCTTTTGTCCATGTGTGCTTTACACACATGTTTCACCTTATCGACACAAACTTTGCTCGACTAACATGCCGGAAGACACTCCTGGAAAATAATAGAGCGCGGACGTTCAAATCTATCTCGCCTCCACGTGTATACCCAAAACTAATTGCTGGCCCAAAAGAACTGATTCATGGGAAGGCAGATTTCCTGCTCCCCTGTGCCAATTAATTTTGAAAACATGCATGTGCAATAATCCGATTGCATATTTGTGTGTCACGAGTCTAAATTTCGGTTTAGCAAGGGGCAGTTATGTCGTACTCAGTAGGTTGCCAATGTGTCAGCTTCTATCTTTTGACAGATTTATGCCCCTGTATCAATCAACTTGTATACATGATAGCTACAACCGCCCAAGAACTCCAACAAGCTAAGGTCTCTAGCTGGTTAAGCAGAGATATCCTTTACTTCAGCATACTCGTGTAGTATTCAGCTTCTCCGCCCAGCTGCGCATCCCTCTCCTCCCGAACCAGTGCAGCCCCTTGCTCAGATAGCGCCATAATCCGCTCTTCGATTCGGGTAGCTGCTGCGGTGACGAACTCTCTGTCGGCTGCTATGAACTCGACAGCACTTGTTTTTTGATAAATCTCGAGGGTGCTTTTCAGACCATACCCAAGCATAGCTATGATGCTCAGGACATCGACGGTTGGAAGGTGCAGCACTACCTCTGGAGCTGCTGGAGGAGTGGTGGCTTTAGTACTTAAAGCGATGTCCATCTTACCGCTTCCAAGCTTGGGAACGATAGGAAGGCAAAGGCCCAGACTAGGCTTTGCAGTGCCTGTAAGACTCTCAGGAACCGTCATTGACGCTGGAGTGGGCAGCGATGGAAGTGTAACGGTTGGCCCTCCCAGGCTGCTTAGATTAAGATCGCTGACTGTGGCTTTGGTATGCTTAGTTGACACTAGCGAAGCGTTGAGACTTGGTGCCTCGCTTCTTACAGATGCTTGCATAAGCGCTGACTGAAGGAGGGACTCGCGTTTGGGTTCATATTTGATTATCTTGCATTCTAATGAGCCAAGGTTGTGATATAAGGCCTTGAAGAACGCTAGAACGAGACTATTGAAATCTGTAAGCATCATATTGGTAAGCTCTGGAGGTATCTCAAGTTGACTTCTTTCGACAGTTGGAGAGTCCAGAATGGGTGGAAACCAATCCTTGTACTTGAAACGGCTATTCAGGTTTAGGAGCTCACTATATCTTCCTTTCATATGTGTATCTCTGCAGCCTTCACCTGATCCATTATCTTCAAGAACCCCTTCATTTAATGTTCCCAATGTTTTCGTGGCGGTGAATGAGCGGGATCCTGAGACGCTTTCTTCGCAATCTTTATTTTGGAAAAGGTCTAGCAGCTCAAACGACTCATCATTACCCATAGCATCACAAATTTGCGACTGTATGGCCACGATGTTACTGTATTGGTGGATATAGTTTTTTACTGGCCGTCCACGAGACGTTGCTGTGGTGCGCGTACTTCCAGAGCGTAGAGATTCGACAACGTTTGCCGGCGACCCTGAGCGTTTCAGCATTGAGACGGCAGATATGAAGTCTGTTGTCAGATCATAGAAACAACCACGGGGAATATTACGCTTAGCGGCCTTTCGCTCCGTTCCTGGTAAAAGGACTAACGTATCCTCATCAACATGCATCATCTTGTTGGTCTGTAGCCACCGCCGATACAGTCCGCAAATTGCTGATTGCAGAGTCGTGTTTTCTTGGAGATAGGCTAATACCTCTGCGTTTCCGCTACCAAGGATATCTGTAAGGAACCGTATTAGAATAATATCAACAAAGGCTAACTTTGCACTGTCTTTCTTAGTGTCTGTGAAGCGGGACACAAACGTCTCGCATATAGTTGAGAGGACGTTGCTCTGAACACAAGCCGCTGCAGCACGGCTATCGTTGGATCCAGCGAAGACACCATAAGCAGCGACAATTACTGCTAGCATATTAAAATGATTTGGAACCCTACTCACATCGATGATTGTGCCCGAAAGCACATCCAAGGAGTGGTTGCTGATGTATGAACCAAGAAGCGGCCGAGTAGAAGGGCCACATGTGAACGAAAGGAAGGAAACAGCAATCAACGCAATCTGCTGCATTTCGATGTCACTAGTCATGTAGAAGAACTGGATCAATGGATCTATAAAGACGGCAAACTCTTTAATGACCTTCTCGTTAAGACGGAGGATCGGCGCTGGGTCATCGTGTGTGGCAGCTTGCGCAAGTCCTGCTGCAGCAAAGCTCCTAATCTGAGACTGTTGGAAAAAGCGCATAATGAAATTGATAGCGTCTATCTGGCCCACGGAAATCATGTCGCGTAAAATATCAACAAAGTTAGAGAACATCAATATTTCCCAGACGGATGCAGAATAATCCATCTTCTCTCCCATATTTGCAAGGGCGTTGGCTTCTTCTTGAGAGCTTAGATCGATATTAATGCCGTACTGAAGGTACTCAGAAAGGCCCTCGGGATAGGTGATGATTTCGAAGAGTAGATCAAAGCTTACGCTTAAGAGGACCGGGTTTTGGGTAGAGATAAAGTACACCAGAGCTTTGAGGAGATCTGGCTTTATAGTGGCAAGGATAGATCGTGTCTTGTTGTCAGCCATTGTCGAAGAGTGGCAGATCAGGTTGCGCAGAATCACAAGGCTGTGGTATATGTATAAAACTTCATAGACGGGGTCAATCTGGTCCAGCGCGTTGGTAACCAGGGGCATATTCGAATCCAGCGCTCCGCCACCCAATGCTGCTGTCAGTTTTCCCATTAAGCTCCCCTTATTCTTAATCTTAACGCATTCGTCGAAGTGCTCGTTTTCGTAGGTGCCATTGTGCATTATCACCGACATTCCCTTGCGCATGTCAGTGAAGATTTTGGCCTTGCAGGCGTTGAACATCCTTCTGTTCCGCTTTTCGCGCTCCTCAAGCGCCTCATACATCTTTACGGTCCTCATATGATTTGGTATGTCGCTGCTATGAAGAATATAGTAGTCCTCTTCTTCATCCTGCTGAGCGGCAAGCTTCACCTGACGCTGGTAGTCCTCTTCTACAAGCTTGCCTTCTGACAACCGCTGCTTGTTCAGCTCAATGTAGTTAACAGTGTATCCCTCGGGGACATTGCTTCGGAAGTTCTTCGCTGGTCTGTGGTATTCTAACTGTCTTCTGCCAGTGTTTGTAGCCGTGCCAGAGGTCTTTGCGGTTTTGGACACATGAATATATTCTTCTGTAAGAGCTTTCATCACCTTGCTATCAATTATGGGTTTAACAGAAGATTTGGGAATTGCGGTGGACGCCGTTCCAGCACACGATTTTATGATAGAGACAGTTGTTCCTGCAACACGGTCGCTTTCGGGTAGGCTATTCTTATGTAGGGTATTAGATAAAGGTACGTTTCGGGCGCTGCTATTAAATAGATTAAGCCCTGAATCTCTTCCTCCTGTGCTTCCTGAGACAGGGTGGGTGGCTTGGTGACGAAACAAGGCTGAAGATCTCCCTGATCCTATGCTGCGTCCGGCTGCAGAGGTATTTTTCGTGTTCTCTTCTTTAACAAGATTCTTGTTGAAGGACAACCCGGTCATAGTTGCATCATTATATATTGGAGGCCTTTCGAAGACAAGAGTCTCCTTGGCTATTGTCATTCCTGCTTGCATGATAGCCTCAAGCTGTGCTGGACCATTTAGATACACAAGAGCGTGCCGAACGGGATGAAATTCGTGGCGTCCGTAGCGAGAAAGAAGTTCTATGACATAGTCAGAGACAAAATTGAACACTAACTGTTCTGGCTCTGCATCCTTATCCATTGTTGATGTCTTCCTAGGTTTATTAACAGATTCCTTCTCGGGTGTAAGCCGTATGAATTCGCATAGAACAGATATGAAGGAGGACTTGAGAGTGGACGCCTTGGCTATTAGGTGGAGGTATGAAAGCTGAAGGTCTATTTCTTTGCGGTTAAGCCGTTTATATGCGAAGTCATGTCCCTTGACAACAAAGTAGTGGTGAAATTTGTCAACGCATAGCCGCGCAAGGACGGTACATGCATAATGTGTGGAGCTCATGCGATCCAAAGGAAGAATGTGCAAAATGGAAAGAGCTAGCAGGTAGGGTCTGCTTCCTTCAGAGGCCTGAAGAAAGACAAAGATCTGATCTATCATTTTGTTGACAACCATGGTAGATATGATGCACTCGTGGACCTCTTCTCGAGTCTTAAAGCTAGCGACAGCGGTTTTGTTGGGTAAGTTCTTGGATATAGCTCTCCTAGTTAAAAATTCATTGTCTCTGGGGTTACTCGAGTTTCTGATTTTTCTAAAGCTCTTATTGCGCAGCGTTCCGACAGTATCATCCACAGGAACTGAGGGCTGCTCATACACAAGGCAGGAAGAGTCGACGTACGTCATTGACAAGAGCTCGTGAATAAAGAATAAGATGCCTATACTTATGCTACTCAGCGCAGCATTTAGCTGGCTCAACCTTGTGCGGTGTGGGTTGGTGACGGTGTACAAAGCGGAGAGAAACTTATTGCATTGCATAAGGTATTCCCCAAGGATAGGCATCACACCCTTCCCTATAGAAAACAATAGGTGATCGAGAGACGATAGCTTCACCACCTGACTATAGTCCGTTTTGGTTGGCAGGATGTGTTCGAGGCTATTTTGCGCATCAATCACATCTTGCCGAGCATCAGGAACCAATAGTATTGGTCCGTACTTATTGTGATAGTTGATGAGAGCCATTAAAGACGCAAGCATCTCCAAAGCAGCCTTCATCATAAGGCAGACGCTTTCGTTGTTAAAGGAAAACTGTGCCGGGTCCTCCACATCCGTGCCAAAGTTAAATAGTAAATGAGGTAGTGTGTGAAGAAAGAGTCTTGCAATGCTCTGGAATAGGACCTCGACAGCATGGACGTCCCTGAATTCGTCTGTAGAGGTGGTCAAATAAATACCTTTGCTCAAGGTTACATACAGAAAGCGACACAGCGGTGCGACCAACATGCACAGATCACGCTGGAGCTCTTCTTGGGTTCTGGTGCTCTTAGCGTCGAGCTGCTTAAGCACCACAAGGTCTTTGATCGAGCCTGCATCTGCTCCGTCCTGCAGCAGCGCGTTTCTGGCTTCATCAAGATACTCTTCAAAGCAGCCAAAGATCCCGGCCATGACTGGATTGTGTTCTTCTGCGGTTCGAATCCCCGCGCTCAACACCCGCTGGTCTCTCTTGTTGTGCTTAAAGCTTGAAAGTTCTGATAATGAAAAGCGTTCTAAAACGTTTCTATCGATGGCATCGAGGAGCTGACTGAAAGGTCTGCACTCGATGTAGTACAGCGGCTCAGCCTCGCGGATGGTGATTGCCATTTCAAGTGCTCGGCACTGTCGCTCAGAGTCATAAAAAAGCTGGGGATCCGTGAAGAACTGACGCAAAGTGTCCATGAACACTAAAGTTGAAATTTACTGAACGCCAAATATCTGCGAAGCGGCTAGTTGGGTTGTGTAGTGAGCAATCGATAGGTAGCTTTGTGTCCTGACCCTTTCAGCATGCGCCGGGCCTCACTCCTCCATACCTCCATGCCGGACATAGCATTTTAAATTGGAATTAGTCGCTGTTAAAAACGGGAACTCGATGTCCAAGGGCACAGCGTCGTTCGGTAAGCGCCACACGCGCATTCACGGCAGCTGCCGCCGGTGCGGCAAGCACTCCTTCCACCTACAGAAGCACGAGTGTGCGTCTTGCGGGTACCCGTCTGCCAAGATGCGCAGGTACAACTGGAGCTACAAGTCTCTCCGCAGAAGGACACAGGGGACGGGCAGCATGTCCCACATGCGCAAGGTCTACAGGGCCTACAACTCGGGAACGCTCAAGGCAAACGCCAGGAAGTACCTTGCCAAGTAAATTTGCACGAGGTCGGTCCGATGGATGCCTACACGCCGGTGCGTCGCGTGGGGTCTGGCACGTACGGGGATGTCCTGCACGCAGTGGATACGAAGGGGGATTTCGTCGCCATCAAGATCATGAACAGTCACACCCTCTGTGTCTCTGATCCTCTCCAGCTGCCCGAAGTAGCTACGCTCCGGAGGCTTCCACCCCATCCAAATATCATTCGCCTTATTCGAGTAGTTGTCACTAGGGACCACACACACTTGATCTTCGAATACGCAGGTGGAGGTACCCTCCTGAATTTTCTTCGATCTTCGGGACCACTCAAAGAGCACATGCTACGAAACATTGCATTCCGCATTCTCCAGGGCCTCTATCACATCCATACGAACAGCGTGATTCACCGGGATTTGAAACTAGAGAACATTCTATTAACGAGCGAGACGGGAGATGCCAACGGAGACATTGTTGGGGTAAAGATAGCTGACTTTGGCCTTTCAAGGGCACAGGGATCCCGTCAAAATACCGATTATGTTAGCACGCGGTGGTATAGAGCACCTGAGCTCCTTCTGCACTATAGCGGATATGGCCCTCCAATCGACATCTGGGCAGCAGGTTGTTGCTTTGCTGAGCTGCTTACGGGCGATCCTCTGTTCCCCGGCGACACCGAGATTCAGCAGCTGCAGCTCATCTGTGCCTTCCTAAAACCCCTAAAGCCGGATGCCTGCAAAGGCGCCATGCATGCCTTGCCTCGCTTCATAACCGAAAACATGACAGTGTCAGATGCCGACATTTATACGCTAGCTGAAGCTAGAGAAGCTCTTCGCAGAGAGCTCGGCTGCAGTCATGTGTTGGCAGATCTCCTCGCACACATGCTTGCGTGGAATCCTGAGGACCGTATTACTGCTCAGCGCGCCCTTATGCACCAGTTCTTCGCAATATAGCCTGAAAAATTCAATGCCTCCGCGCATCCTTGGCACGACCCAATCAGAGCTTGCTGATGCCGCAGGAGCCCTTCAGCGTGGAGAGCTGGTTGCTATACCAACAGAGACAGTGTATGGCTTGGCTGCAGACGCGCTTTCAGAAGCTGCATGCGCGAAGATCTTCACCTTAAAACAACGTCCCGCAAACGATCCCCTCATTGTTCATATATCGCATATTTCCCAACTGCCTATGGTCGCTGTGGTTTCTGTAGAGCTGTCTTCAATAGTCGACGCCCTTGCAGCCGCATTTTGGCCGGGTCCGCTCACCATGGTGCTTCCAGCCGCACCTTGTGTCCCATCCATTGTCACAGCGGGTAGCCAAACAATCGGTGTACGGATGCCTCGCCACCCCGTTGCCTGCGCTATTCTAGAGCTTGCTGCGCGGCCCCTCGCTGCCCCTTCCGCGAATATGTTTGGGAGCATCTCTCCCACGCAGGCAGAGGATGTCGCTGCAGAGTTTGTTAATAGCGACCTCCTGATCATCGATGGCGGACGCTGTGACATAGGGATTGAGTCCACTGTTCTGTTGGTCGAGAAGGATTGCTTGACGATCCTGCGTCGAGGCCAAGTCAATGAAGAAATGCTAGTTGCAACTCTTCCGACAAACGCCTTGGACTATATACGCGTTGAGACACGTGCTCTTTCCAGCTCTGGTCTTCAGACGAAAGCAGTCTCTTCGCCGGGTCAGTTTCTGCGACACTACTCTCCGCGAACTGAATGTTACCTTGTCATGAAAGGAGGCCCTATGCTTCCAGGCGCTGTTAGAGCCATCCTGCCGGCCCGTCTCGACGGCTTCGTCGTCATTCTTGACTGCAATCCTGCTCTCGCAGAGCTGGAGCCTGATGCCCTCCTCAGAAGTCTAGCCGGACTTCTTCCAGAAGGCACAGAGCCGGCACGGATCTTGCGAGCCTACAGCGTGCCGACACTCGAGGCCGCTGCGCAAAGCCTCTTCGAGACGCTGCGGCGGGCAGATAAGCTTGGGCCCGCGTGCATCCTCGCGCTGCCTCCAGAGCCTGCCCGGGGGCTTGCCGACGCGCTCCTCGACCGGCTCTTCCGGGCGGCAAGCGGCCGCTGGGTCGAGTAAACGGGGAGCACCGGGAGTCGAACCCGGAACCTCTCCGACCCGAACGGAGAATCATACCGCTAGACCATGCTCCCTGCAGCCCGCCAAACAAGGCTCGATATGCGAGTCCTCCTTTTTCTCGTTGGTTGTCAATAAATGCAAATGTCCGACCGCGAGGACAGCCTCGGATCCAGCGCCGACGAGCACCCAGAGTGCGCGCTCGGCGGGGAAGAGCTTGTCGAGCTCAAGAGCGTTGCAGATCTCCCCAACTACAAGGCAGACTTCGACGTTGACTCTCCCGAGCCCCGGCGAGAGATCTACCTCCCTCACACAGCCCAAAAGCAGCCCAACAGCCAGCACGAGGAGCTGGAATACAACCCAAGCACCTATGACTACCTGCATCGCTTTACTGTCGTCTGGCCCGTTCTCTCCCTAGACCCCATTGTCGACAACTTTGGCCTCAATCGGTCCGAGTTTCCTCATCAGCTATTGTTGCTGGGGGGCTGCCAGGTTGATAGGAACTGCACTGAGATGGGAGAGCTGGTGCTTTACCATTTCACAGACGTCTCCTCGACGCGCTTTGAGGAGGACAGCTCGCTGGATCCCACCCTTATTCAGCGTAAGATAGATATCCCAGCGACTGTCAACCGCATTCGCTCAGGGACATCCTTCTATAGTAACTGTTACCCGGCGGGAAGTGCCGCAATCGCCGGCCTTTGGACGGATGACGGTGTGATTAGCTTTATAAACTGTGCGCCGTTGCTCAAGAGCGCAGGGGTGGGAGCTTTTGCTTCTGGGGAATACTGGCACACAAGTACAGGGGCCAGCCTCGCGGGTGCAGGAGCAATACAGATTCCGCCAATTCATACAGAGACAAGCATGCCCGTTGGCTTAACCAAGAAGCCCCAGAAGTCAAAGCGGGCAAAGGGTCGCAGCACATTGGAGGTACACCTCGCCAACCCCCTGTGTATTCATGCCACCGACAATAATGGAATAGAAGGCTATGCTCTGGCATGTAATCCTGTCCGTTCCTTGTGGCTTGCAGGGGATTGCCAGGGGTTCCTCAGAGCTTTTCACATGCGGCCAGATGGCTCTGTAGCGGTTGACACCAATAGGAAGCAACCACACAATGACTCTATAGAGGACATAGTGTTTGCCAAGACAGGCGCTCTCTTAGAGAGTAGCTGCTTTGCCACGTGTAGCTGCGACGGCAGGCTTATTATCCATGACCCCAGGACTGCAGCAAGCACATACGCCTTTAATGTCGGTAGTGCCGACGTCAATGTTTGTGACTGGAACTTTTTTAACGAAAATCTTCTCGTTACTGGCGACGATGCTGGTCAGTTGTGCCTGTGGGACATACGGAGCACCACAGCCCCTGCAGGAGCTTTCCCCTACCACTCACAGGCCATAACAAGTGTGAAGTTCTCCCCTAATGACCCATCTCTCTTTGCAGCGACATCTGACGATGGTGTGCTGAGCATTTGGGATCATGAGATAGAAAACGATGATGTTGAAATAGCTGGTGCAGATACCTTCACCACGGACGCTGTGTCACAGTTGAATCAGCTACCCAAGGAACTTCTTTTCCTCCATATGAACCTTCAGGAACCGAAGGAGCTTGCGTTCCACCCGCAGGTTTCGGGAGCTATGTTTGTCACAGATGCCAATGGGATCCAGCTCTTTAAGCCAATCAACGTGGGGATAGAGTACGATGAAATAGAGAAAGACAGCGACGTAGAAGACTCGTGATCAGAACCGGGTCTGGAAGCAGAGCAGGTTGTAATGTAAACACACCGCACAGAGTTTGATTTACCTTAGAATTAGTTTGCCTCCTCGTCAGAGCCTTCAGAAGCAAGTGAGCCCTCGAAGTCGTCCTCATCGTCCTCGTCCCCGTAGCTTGTCTCAAAGTAGAAGCCAACAATAACGCCGTTTGAATCCTTCTGCACGGTGACAACCTGCTCATCCGGAATTTCGATCATAAAGCCGTACGGCTTTTCCGTCGCCGCATGCACGAGCAGCAGATCTGTAGCAAGGGCAGCATGGTAGCTATACCATTTTGTCGCTCTGTCACCTTTGAGCCAGATAGCGGTGTCCTTTGGCACGGCCTCATCCGTATTGTGGACCGCACCGTCGCAGATGAACATGAACCCATGATCTCCGGACAAGGTTGTTTCTTCTCCCGTAAAGGTCTTGTCCATTGCCGTCCTATCCGCCTCCTTCTCTGCGTCCAGCAGGGGGTACGAGGAGTGATAGCATCTACAGACACGTGCGTCCCCGTCCTCGTTGTCATCTATGAGGAAATTCCATGTGCCATCAAGCGCAGCGCCCGAATAGGTGCTAGTTCCTAAAACGTTATCCATAGCTATCTTTCCGCTTGAAACCTCGAAGGATCCCCTGCCAGAAGAATCTATCAACTCTCGTAACATAGACAGTGCCTCTGCATGCTGGTCTTCCTCGGCGACCTGTGCAGACAAGATCCTGAGAAGTGCAAGTGCTGCTGCAGCACACTTCTCGTTGCTTCTAAGATCTTGTAGAAGAGCCTCGCCCTTCTCTCCAAGCGGAACGCCCTTTAATGCGGAAATCGCGGCCTCCTGGGCTGTCATCTGTTGCTTGCGCGAGGGCTCTTTGGATGCCATTTATTTTATTACTATATTTATTTTCGCTACAATTTTTGAATTGTGCCCAGAAATTCCAGGGGCTCACCGGTTGTGCGATACGAAGATTAGCCCTTTCTCCAGCTTCTTTTAGCAATAGATATAAGATTCTCCTGAGGGACTGAGAGGCGAAAAAGCGGGTGGATGGGGGATGGAAGCCGCGCCGCCTTCATCTCCAACCCATTGCGAACAATGCATGCCACCTCCAAATTCTCTTGTACGGTTAGGCACGGTGTATGAAACCTCGAAAGAGGGTCTGAAAGGCCCTTTGTTTTCTCGATTTGGCTAGAAAATAGCAAAAGAATATCTTGCTTCAGGTGGCTGTGTTCGGGCGGCAAGCTGTCTAGCAGCGTGTTTGGCCGCACGGCACCAGCTTCCAGAGCGGCATGGGTCTGCTCAATATACGTGTAAAGTTTCTCCATAAGCCCTTTAATAAATTGTATGACTTTTGTGTCTAGCTATGTCGAGCTACTTTTTGGCAACATTGTGCGTACACTGAAAGGGGTCCTCCATGATGTGTCTAGCATTGTTAACAAAAGAGAGCTTATCTCTGCTCCTGGTTATGCTGCCTTTCAGAGCACTGTGTGTCAGCTTCTGATGGAGTTGCTTGTACTAGTGCAAGATGCTGAGGGGACGTTCCCTAGCCCTTGTGGTTCAAGCACTAATAGTATGGATGCTTTTTCTGCTATGGGTTATCCTCCTTTCTTTTCCACAGGGCTGCCTCTATATCCTGCTATCTCTACATCATCCAACCAATTTCCTTTCCAGATACCGCTTCTGCCTCCGCCGGGGTTAACTCAGCCGCTTCCTCCCATCCCGAGTATACCCATCCTGGGGCAACCGTCGTCCTCTGCAAATGTCTTTTCCTTTCCACCACCAGGACTCCAGCCTGTTGAAACTGCCATTCCTCCCTTCAGGTACTTCAATGGGTCGGACGCCGAGGCATCAGACAAGAGTGAAAGGCAAGTCACGGCCCCGGCCTTTGAGTACCTAGAGATAGACTTTCCATCAACCGAGTCCAGGAAGGCCCCCACAACACCCAAGAGAGTAACTAGTCTTCCGGGGTCCCCAACTTCTTCACAGCTGCGAGCACCATTCAGCCCGAATAAATGGGTTACTGGGTCCACAGTGGACTTAGATACTTCAAAAGCTAAGCTGGAGGCAAAGTACAAAGAAGCCGAGAAGAGACGGAACAGCCTTCTAAAGACCAGGAACACTAGGCTGAAAAAGGAGTTAGATGAGGTCATCACAAAGACAGCACAGGTTCGAAAGCAACTAGAGGAGGAGAATGCTCTTTTGCAGACGCAGTTTACTGAACGGCAAACCCGTGCACAGGTCTTACGGGAATCTCAGCTGCTGGCGGTCCAGGAGGCTGCGAAAAATAGCATCCAGCGAGTTACTCTCGCCAGCCAAAGACGTGCACAGTACGCTGAGCAAACCATGAAGAGCCTCAAGGCAAGGTACGAGCTCATACACAACAGACGAGAGGAGTTCAACAAGCGCATAAAAGAAAAGGCACTCTCGTCGACTACACGCTACAAGGAAAATATGAAGGAGTCCACGCGAGACTCCAAGGATAGCAGCCCCCAACTTCTATCGGGGTCGCTTACTGTGCAGGGCAGTGAGCTGGTTTACAAACAGGTTGATACCGTATGGCCTCCGAGCATAAACTATGGCATACATGGGGCTGCTTCTACTGAGCATACCAATGGAAAGATATCTGCATCAATTCATAGCCTTTCTGAGGCCACGGCTTTGACTGAAAGCATCGAGTTGCATGAAACACTCACGCTGCAGTGGATAGCACTGCAACAGTTGGCAATGGTGGCCATCAGGAATGTCTCGAGATTCTATACTGACACAGCCTTTCCTCTTCGAGAATATACCTCCAAAGTGGTGATTCGTGCAGAGAAGATTCTTGTAGGGGCTCCTGTTCAAGCGCAAGAAGAAGCAACTAGAGATAGAGCAACAACTTCCGAACCAATAGATAAGCAGGCTTGGGTACAGTATCTGCTATCCTGGCCTGGCAGCCGCTACAAGCTCAAGGACGCTAACAACGCAGAGTCCATCTTCTCAGACACCATTGCCATCATAGGGCACGATCACTCCGAAATTCATACATATACGTACGCAGTTATGCTGTCAATCGCAGCACTCACTACCAACTACTTGCATAAGTGCGTTGCTGCAGCCCAAGAGATAATACCCCTTTTAGAACGAGGGGGTTATTCCACTGATGAGATAAGCCTCCTAATAGATGCCTCTACTCTGGCACTCTTTCTTGCATCTACCTATCTCCGCTTTAGCGCAATCTTTCTCCCACAATGCCATGAGCACCCGGAGCTCAAATCAATCTATACTGCCACCTCTGTACCGTTAACCAACATTACGAGGTATCTGAATAAGACTCCTGGTGTATGTAAAGAGGCATTGGTGTACAGCTTTCTCTCCGTAGCACTTAAGATGGTCCACCTGACAGCCAATGTGCGGGCAGCAGCCATATTGGATGCATTCTTCAAGGACAGGTTTATAGTCGATGGCGTATGGGCCCGGATAAGTATACCGATAATACCGAGCGAGTCATTCTTGACCCGTAGTGATGCTTGCTGCACTGAGCTGGCAATAGTGCACGATAATTTTTCTGCAGTTCAGCAGGCTTTGCGCATAGCAATCGACAGCTTTCTACTATATGACCAAGAAGGTTTTAACTCGTACTTTGGGCCAGGCTTATCGTGTCTATGTAAGGCAGCTATTAGCTGTCTTTCCCAACTTCTTCTATCGTCCACATCTTTTGCAAGCCACTCTAAGGAGAGGAAACACTTCCGTCTAAGGTCCTTTGCCCGTCACATAACCGATAACATCGATATGGGCGACCTGACATCCTCTCAGCTGTTTTCTCGGCACCAGAGGGGCGTTGAAGACCACGTCTTGTCGGTCGATCTGCAGTCGATAGTCGCAGAGTGCTTTACCCTGCTTGCTCATCTCGTCACAAAGTTTCCCACTGTCTTCATAGATGCTCTCTCAAGGGATGAAGTCGTCCTGTTAGAGATGTCCCATTCTCTTTCAGTTCTGCCCCTACCCGGCGCTCTATTTGCAGATGAACCGTCTCTCTACGTGAATATGCAGACCCCATATTGCATCTGTTTTCCACGATACTATATTGTGTCGGCAGATGAGGGCATGGCCAGCAAGCCCAATTCATATGGAGTTGGCACCACTTACTGCACAAAAAGCAAGGAGCCAACGCTCATGCTCTCTGCACTGCGCATCACAGGATCTCCTCAGGTCATTTTTCAGGCGAACGTGTATCCATTTGAAGCGGTGGTGCATGATTGCATGTACACTAGTCTCAGCCCAGCGCTCCTGTGCGGACTTGTGTTCATGAGGAATGCACTGCAGCTAAAGCACAAGGTTGTCAGGCAACTTGTGAGCTTTGGAAACGAACCAGTTGTGCTTCTGTCGGTAATTTCCTCCCTCCCTGTGGAGTGCTTTATCGACGGGTTCTTGCGCAAGAGAATACTGGACCCAATATTCCGCGCAGCACGAGAATATGGCAGCCTATTGTCAAGCGACCTCCCCGATGACCTCTTGGCGAATGATTTACCGGAAGACCAAACCCCCATAGTGTCTGAGATGCTTCTTCCAGTTTTAAGATTGACTTAGGTAAGCAAGAGTAGAGTAGCTTGCAACATTGCATTAGGCAACGCTAGGCATAAAGACTTCGCATATCCTTGTCTCGACCAGTGTTTACACCGTTAGAGCTTCTCAAACTCCTTGACGTGGAAACGCTCCAGATCGAACCACAGCACTATCTTATAAGTGGAAGTAGACGTTGTTCTAACATTTACCATTGTATCATAGCCAACTTCTACGATTTTACTGCGAGCTCCAAATATCTCGAGAGGCTCCACGCCAGGCTCTTGTTCAGAGACGAAGGAGCGGATAGTTGATAGGCAATCGGGATGTAGTAGCTTGCTATCCCTATCGGTCCAAGCGTTGGTGCATCTAGATTGCTTCATTTGTTTCTGTCCAATGCAAAACTTAGAATTTCATTTAAATTGTCAAATAAGTTATCAAGCACAGGTTACAAGTCTAAGCTCTAAGTTCTGGTCCACGAGTCTTTTCAGGAGATGCTGAGCCCCCAGATGAAGGCACATGCAGAGCCAGCTACAGACGATGTTATTCTTGTTGATGAGGAAAACAAGATAATTGGCAGAGCCCCAAAGTTTGTTGCACATACGCGCGGCGGGCTGCTCCACCGTGCATTTTCTGTTGTTACCGTAGACAACCAAAAAAGGGTTCTTCTTCAGCGCAGAGCCTCAACCAAAGCTTCGTTTCCCAGCATGCTATCAAACACATGTTGTTCCCATCCCCTCGCCTCAATCCCCAGTGATGCCGAGGGTATCGCTGGTGTCAAGCGTGCCGCATGTAGACGGTATCAGTTTGAGCTTGGGGTTCCTCTACAACACCCTGAGGACACGCTGAGCTGCGTATGGATCTTTAGGTATGCGGCGACGTCTCCGGTTGCTTTGTCCGTTCAGACATCAGGCAGAGAGGAGAAGGTAGATCTGTGCGAACATGAGATAGACTATGTTCTGCTCCATGTGGCCGATAGCACGCAGGTGGCCCTAATCAATGACGTTATTAAGTCCACAGCATATAATAAGGATGAAGTCTCAGAGTTATTGTGGGCAAATACGGTTGAGATCCGTGCCCATTGGGAAGAGATGACCCCGTGGTTCCGTATCCTTTTTGATCGAGTGCTTGAGCCTTGGCTTTTGGATCCATCCGCCTGTCTCGCCGAGGTGGAGGACGATTTAGCGATAATAAATTTGGCTTAATTCTGGGACCTAGTCCGGATGCGTGAAATTTTGGTCGTTCAAACGGGGCAGTGTGGAAACCAAATAGGGGCAGAGTTCTGGAGAACCATCTTGGGCGAGCATAGCACATATGGAAAGGACTATAGCGATTCTATGTCAACTTTCTTCCGGAATGTGGACGCACGAGGCAGGGACTTAGGCCTCTATTCCCCCATAACCAAGCTTAAAGCTCGTGCTGTGCTCATCGATATGGAAGAAGGCGTACTCAACAGTCTGCTGACAAGCGATATTAATTCCATCTTTGATGAGACTCTTTTGGTTAAAGATCGGGTTGGTACCGGGGCAGGGAACAATTTTGGCGCAGGGTACGCAGGATATGGCGAGGAGCATGGTCAGCGTGCCCTGAACATAATCCAACATGCCCTTGAAAGTTGTGACTCACCACAGGGCTTCCTTTTCTTTTCGTCTCTCGGAGGTGGCACAGGGTCTGGGCTAGGAAGCAAATTGCTAGAGCTTACAGCAGATGCCTTTCACGGGCTCTCCATTCTTTCTGCGCCCATTATCCCAAGTAGAAACGCGAACGATGTCATAACATCGCCATACAACAGTGTATTTGCTCTGTCTTCCCTCTTGCAGTCTGCAGATGTCATACTACCCTTTGACAACGAGTCCATTATGCGTTGTGTGGAGAACCTCGGAAATAAGCGGGTAAACCCGGACAAGACTGTCCGGGTCAATGCAAAAAGACTTGCAAATGACCCCCTTGTAGGCCAAGGGGACATTGGAAATAAGCACAGACCATTCAGAGACGTCAACCAGACAATTACTACCGCACTGAGCTGCATTACAGCAAGCATGCGTTTTGGAGGAGAGCTGAACGTCGACCTGAACGAGCTATCCGTCAACCTGGTTCCGTTCCCAGAACTGAACCTAGTTTGTACGAGTCTGGCTCCCCTGCCAATGGCCCCTCCGTATCGTACGCTTGAGGCTGCTGTCAGGGAGCTCTTGAATAACAATAACCAGCTTCTCATGGAATACAGTGCAGGACCTATTGGGGCCCACAATTTCTCCTTGGCGTCTGCGATCCTGGGAAGGTCGGCCAACGCTGATAGCGGGCGTCTAGCATCAGCAGTGGAGGCACTCATTCAAAAGGAGCATGTCAAGCATCCGAGCTGGGGCTCGCAGGGGTTCAAGGTTGGGCTGTGCAATAACAAGCCTCCGCATGCTGACTGTGACGCTGTTTGTCTCAGAAACACTCCTCAGATTCTAGGAAGCATTACGCATCTCAAGCAAGCCTTCGATAAGATGTACAAGACGCGCACTTTCTTGCATCACTACACCAATTATATGAGTCCGGAGGACATTGAGGAACGGAGCAGAATAGTTGATCTGGTCAGACATGGCTATGAGGACCTTGCAAAGAGCATGGGGGAGCGGCACGTAGTCGATTTTAACATCCAGCCGGTGATTTATTAAGCTACACCAATCCTCAAACTAAGAATAAATTATATCTGTGCTTACAGCAATCTGAGGAGGGCTGTTAGCTCTAAGAGCTTCCAGAGAGAGCTTTTCGTAAGCTGGAGTATCAAGTACACATCTATCATACCTTTAATGTCTATAAAAATGGATACCTCTGGCGGCCAGAGCGCGCAGGAGCTTCGGGATGGGCATATCCAGCTTTTTGTAGAGTTCTTTAACACGTACACAGGAGATCCAGACAAGGAGCCGGATGTTTCAACGGCCATTTATCTAAGGCGGATGCGACAAATGATTGACAACGACTCCAACACCCTTTACATTAACTTCAGCCACTTGTACGATAATATTCGCACGCAGGCATACTGCGAGACTGTTCGCAAGCAATTCTATGTCTTTGAGCCTTTGATTGTAGAGGCGATCAGGATAGTACTCAACACCACCCTAGCTCCTTACAGAGGCGCTGCATTCCAGGTCCTGACATCCGGGCAACAGCAGGTGCTTCGACCACTTTACATCAGCTGCTATGGAATGAATAATGTTCTGCTGCTTTCTGAGTTGACGTCCTCGCACATTGGCCAATTGGTGGAGCTGGTCGGAACCGTGACCAGGACATCTGATGTACAGCCAGAACTTATTTTGGGAACCTTCAGGTGCGCTAGTTGTGGAGAGGTAATACCGAATGTGGCCCAGGACTACAAGTTCACCGAGCCGGCCTCATGTCCTCGGTGCTCCGCTCGGAGCAGTGTTGGCGGCACCACCTTTGAGCTGCTGACTGACCAGTGCACCTTTGCTGACACACAACGAGTTCGCCTGCAAGAAAGCATTGCAGATACAACAACCAGCGAAGAGGGGGGAGACCCCACCCGCATAACACCCGCGTCATATGATGTCATCCTTCGAGAGACCTTTGCAGGGGTCCTCAAGCCTGGTGATCGCGTGAATTTGACGGGGTGCCTCATAGTTCAACCGAATATCTCAGCAATGTCCATGCCATATGAAATACGATCATCGTCTCTTAAAAGCGTCATAGCAGGATATTCCATTGAGAGTGGGAATATGACTTCAGCAGCGGTCCAAGACAACATCCAGAGAGGAAGATATGAGGAGGGGGTTACTGGCATAACAGGTGTAGGCCTCCGGGAAATTACCTATAGAAACGTCATAATTGGAAGTCACATATATTGCAAGATGAGCAAAGATATCTTTGGACCAGTTCCAGAGGGAGGCAATCAACCAGAAGCAATAGATGGAGCCAGTGATAACGATCCCATGGATTACAACGCTCACAAACCGTCGTTCCTGATCGCATTTGAAGAGCAGCTGACCAAGCACTCTGATGAGGTAGCGAACGAAGACGTGGAGCAAACGCTTGCAGCCATGCTCGATTCCTTATCAGATGAGTATCGTGAGGCTGTATCCAATATGCGCAACGACCCCAATATCGTTTCTAACTTGGTTGCATCGTTCGCCCCACATATCTATGGACACGAGACAGTCAAGCTAGGTATTCTCCTTCAGCTTCTAGGCGGTATCAAGAAAATAACCAGATCAGAGCATCTCTCAATTAGGTCCGACATCAATATTCTTCTCATTGGCGACCCCAGCACTGCTAAATCTCAGCTTCTTCAGTATACCGCAGACTTTCATCAAAAGGCAGTTTACACAAGTGGGAAATCCAGCACTGCTGCAGGCCTCACTGCTGCAGTTGTGACTGATCCGGATACAGGAGAATATACTGTGGAAGCAGGGGCTCTAATCCGTGCAGACGGCGGCCTGTGCCTCATAGATGAGTTTGAAAAGATAAGCGTAACCGATCAAACAGCCCTGCATGAGTGTTTAGAGCAGCAGAGCGTGTCGATCAATAAGGCAGGTATCTCAATTACTCTGAAAGCAAAGACCCCAGTGCTCGCCGCCATGAATCCGATAGGCTCAAGGTACCAACGCAACAAGTCCCTTAAGAACAACATAAACATCTCCCAGCCTATCCTTAGCCGCTTCGACCTGGCATTTGTATTGCTAGATGAGCCCAACAAGGAGGTCGATAACTTTGTTGCATCCAGAATAATAACCATGCAGGTCCTCCGGAACACGGCATATCAATATGCAAAAGAAATCAACCCGGAGAATAATTTATCTCAGCCGATTAATATTGATCACCTTACCCAGGAGGAGAGGTACGCCATGGAGTACTGCCAGAACGTAGGGAGCTTGCTGAACCTTGGGGGAGAGCCCCAGGTGCCGTACCCCTTCAAAATCATCCAACTGTACCTTTCGTTAGGCCGTACTATTCGCCCCATACTGCAAAAGGACGCCATCGACGAGATTTCTCACCAATGGGTTGAGCTTCGTAGAAGAGACGTGGGCTCAACCTCTAGGAGCTTTCGCATCACTGTACGTCAACTGGAGTCTCTTGTGCGACTCTCAGAGGCATTTGCAAGGCTCTGCTTGGCAACGGCCATCACCAAGGAGCACGTAAAGAAGGCAGCTGAGCTGGTTTCTACGACCTGCGTTAACGTAGCAGATCAGATTATCAAGTTCGAAGTAGAAGTGCTGACTGATGGAAGGGTACAGTTGGACAATCTATTGAATAGGCCAAAAGCTGGCTCACGGGGTCAGATTGATCAGGATGGGTCGGATGATCTCATTGATGAAGACAACGGACGAGGCAGAGAGAGGCGCTCAGAGCGAACTGTAGACCAATCCCAATCCTCTGCGAATGTACTAACGATAGATTTATCATATACTATATTAGTGGCCATGTGCCAAAGCATGCGGTATATAATGGCTGCTGAAGGCCATTCGCGCCTTACATATGATACCAGTATCAATCTGCTGGTTCTCAACCTGCCACTAGATGCTACGATGACAGAAATAGAACGTCGAGCCATTGCAAAGGTGGTCTTCGATAAAATGGTCATGGAGTATCGCTGGCTACTCGAGGACGCGCCAGGTGAGTATGTATTTACCCATCTTGCCCCAACATTCGGCATACAGTAGCACTGAAGACTCTAGTGCAGCCCAAGTGGATGAAAGTGGGAAAGTGAACTTCCAGACACAAAAAATCACGATAGTCACCACAATGTCAAACAAGATCTCAGATTCACCGTACGCGTTCTTTGACGAAGTGCTGGCGCTGCGCAAGCCTGTCCTCGTTCAGCTGCGCTCAGGACGCTTTATTACTGGGGTTCTAAAAGCATACGACCGTCATTTGAACCTCGTCTTTTCAGAAGCCACAGAGACGTGGGAGGAGAATGGCATCGAGTATACAGAAGAACGAAAGAATTTTATGCTCCGCGGAGACAATGTGATTATGGTGGTATCAAATAGCTAGATCAAACAGCCAAAATTAAGCCTTCGGGCTTGACTTATAAGCTCCTAACCATTTATCATTCATACCATTTGTTTATCATTGATGCCTACGGAAGCAAGTGACTTGTATTGCTGCTGGTTCTTGCAGAAAGCGATGACTTGGGGGTCCGTGGTATTTGTCAGGCACCCTTCAAAAATTACGCGAGTATCCATAGCAATGCTTACTTCTGCAATCTTATTGTTACAGAATATAATGGCACTGATGTCCATGGGACTGGAGGATATGAAGTGGATACCCATCAAGATCCCATCTGATCGAAATATCCCTATCCTGCGCATAGCCTCCTTGACCTCATCTCCAATTTCAGAAGTCGCAGAGCTATTAAGAGATAGCCTGTAGGTGACCTCCCATGGGAGGCCCTTGAGAAGATTGCTTGCCGGGCTCTCTGCATCTGATACCACTATGCTGCTACTGACGTTCCTGTATGCCTGTAGGTCGTATGCTAAAGTCTGGGATAGCGCCGTGGAGTAAACTCCGCACCCGGTGGTGTTAAAGTTGATGGGGTTGTGTACTCCATCGTATATTTTGATGGAGTTGAGGCCAATACTAAATACACTATGAAAACTGCCATCAGAGTATTGCCTAGAAGACGCTGATTTTGATCTTTTTTGGGCTGGATGCCGCGATAGAATGTTGATGGTTAAGCAGTATCCCCTTGGAGAGTTCAGAGACATGTACGACAGGTGTTGCCCGCCATGTAACAGGTGCTGTGAGACATACACTACCTGGTTCTGATTGCATGTGATATTGTCAGATAGATCCTGCTCCAATCGCTTTCCTACACCATAGCCCGTACCCGCTTGAAGTTCCTGGATTCTCTCTACGCGTTTTATCAGCTCGTTATGGATCGAATTGAAGAGGGCGTCATAATCGCTCTGCAAGCCTAGCTCTTTAGTAATCTCCATGGCTCCTCGGGGCTGATTCAGTCCCATACTTATCCATTGGCCAAACAGAACGTTTGAGTGCATAATCCTTATGAACGTGGCCATTTGTGGTTCTACAAACGCAGGAGTATTGAGTATTTCCTTTTCGCTCACGTCTTTATAGAGCTTTTCGAAGACATCGTCTGTTGACGTGCCGCTGCTACTGCCCATGCCTCTGCTCTGCTGCTCCTTTCTGTCAACAGATACCTCCATTATATCTTCTACTTCCTTGCGCTGGCGTTGTGCTTTTACAATGATTGAAATTTTATTGATAATGTTCTTGAGGGATGACGTGAGAGTAGCAAAGTAGTTAGAGTAACAATTAGGACGCACGAACACGCCTGGAAACGGCGTCCACAACGTCCCGTTGACAAAAAGAAGAACGTACCGTATATTAGAGGATTGATTTCCGGCCGTATTAATGAGTATAACATTTTTAATGTATCGCACCGGTTCCTCGGCCTCTCCGGATTCATCTGCCTTATCAGAAACTCTTGAGGCAGTGGCAGGACTGTTGGAGGACATTATCAGGCCGTCCTCTGCCACAGTTCCTGCTGCCTTGAACCAGACAGTTATTCCTGCGCCACAGCTGCTAGCAAGGATGTCCTGCACGTGCGGTACTACATCTGTACCTCCTTCGTGATTATGTTTTTCGACCGAACAGACCCATAGTGGTTCGCTCACAGCATCTGCTACAACTCGCTCCTGTCCGTTTGCACACTCATCATAGGAGGCGATGTTCTTTGTAGCGGTCCCTATGAAACAGCTCTGCTCGAGGTTAAACTCTGGTGTAAGTACTGCAACTCTCTCTGTTCTGCCCATGCAGTGTCCTCTGACAACGTGGGTTGCATCTGAACCGTGGACCTGGACCTTTCGTGGCAGTAAAACGGTGTTAGTATGATCTATTAGGGCTATGTTGCCCAGTGTTACTGTCTTAGAGTAGTCTCCGTACATGGAAGTAACCATGAGAGACAGGGTGCTTGTAGAAAGAGGACCAAACTTACAGTGTGACGATTGCCTAGCTCCTCGTTGGTTATATGCAGCTGTGGAGAAATCTATTTTTGGAACCTCTCCGAGCTTTGCTAACCGTTCACGTTCCTGGTTCTCCTCTTCAATAATCTCTCTATATCTGTCTCTAGTGAGGACTTTTTCTACGTAGTCTCTACTTTGATGCCCCAATACAATTAGGGTAGCGCATGAGCAGCACCCAGAGAGCGTTCCAGTGGCCTTCTTGATTTCTGTGTCTGCTACTGTTGCTGCGTTCAGCTTAATTATAACACGGCGAACACCCTGGTCTGTTGTTGTCGGACTTTTGTTATAGTTCCAGAAGCGCACCGCAGAAACACGTCGGGTTACTGGTATACTAACAGTAATGACAATCTGCTTTGCCAAGTTGCGACGAACTACCCACATCTTATCTGGGTCGGTGGTTCTGCATTCAAAGTTGAGCAAATTATATATTGATCCAGGCGGTATTATGGAGCTCTTTTTCGGGTCTGTACTGATGTAGGCCGCGACAGTGGCAGAGTCCGGCCCAGAAATGGCATCATAGAACGGAGAGATCTCTACCCCTTCCGAGTCGTAGAATTGGAGGGCTACAAGTCCCACGAATCCTATGTCTCCGTGATTAGAAAGAATATTTATCGTTATCTTGTCATAGAGTACTGCCCTATCTGCTTTATTGGATAGGGTTATTGAGCTTCCATCAATCCGCACCCGCTGGTGCTGAGATGGGCCTCGTGGCGAGAGCTTCGAGGCAGGTGTGAAGGGAATCGGTGCAGGATCTATCAGTACATCTGTGGCTGAGCCTAATGTTGTTGCTGGAAGGCCATTTATACACCGATGTGTCTCAATGCAAGTTGCAACTCGGAAATCTTGGTCCTTGGCTATTAACGAGGATATGTCTAAAACAACCTTTCGGAGAGTGGGAGAATTTCCTACATTAGCACGGTGTCCACTGGGAAAGAGCTTGCGCAGATCTGCAATCGTTTTTTCGTAAGAGTGACCATGTAAACTCTTTTTGCAATAGTTCTCAGCAGCAGAAAGATAGAATGCATAAACACTGGCGGTGAACTGGTGCATAATTAGGGTCGGATCCCGTGTTCTCCTGGTCTCTTGGGCAACAGAGTATTTTGGGGTTCCTGGCAAGTACAGGCAGCTTAGGTATACATAAATAGGGTCTTTCTGTGATGGAATGGCGTCTACGACACACATGTCGCCCTGTCGCTGTCGTGTCTTCCAGACTCCGCGGCTTAGACTTAAATACTCTGCTGTGTATATAATTGTGTTCCCGTCTTGCAGTATATTTGGAAGCATGGTGGCGCGGAGGTTGGCAGTGAAGTTAGGGTGTGTCGACGTAAACTTAAGGAGCAGGATAGGCAAGTGATGCTCCACGTTTTGCACCTTTTCCAAGTAGTGAGGACCATAGGAGACCCGCATTGTATTGCTGGAGCGGGGCGTGTAATGGCTATGCGGTCTGCTTGGTCTTTGGGACTCAGCAACAAGTAGAGGACTCTCAAGCACAACGGGGGGCTTTCCCTCCGGTACAGCAAAACTCTTTGATGAAGCAGTAAGAAGGGGCTTTGCAGAAAAGCGCCTGTTTGCAGAAGAATCTCTGAGAGCCTCTTCAATTCGGAGGATTCTATTGATGTCATCCAGAGGACTTTTAGATTCGGCATCATCACTGGAGCCAGTATCATCTTGGATGGAACAGTCAGAGATACTTCTATAATAGTCGGTAGATGGTACTTGGCTGTGTCTCTGTGCATATTGGTCGAAATATTCTTGAATATTACCTCCACAGTCCTGCACGGCCACTTCGTCCGATGGCGCCGCTGGTATATGGATGTCCACAGCAGGAGCATTGGCGTCAACTGGAGATAGGCTGGCACGTCGCAGAGTTGCGCGTTGCAATGTGTGCTGATTAACTGATGTAATGGGCTTCTCTTCTGGAGAGTCTGGACTGTCGAAGGTAGTACCTCTCAATGATTTGGAGAACGCAGGAGTTGGTGTAGGCTGAAATGGCTGCTTTGGAGAAGGAGACCTATATTGGTTAAAGCTAAGATCACCGTCAAAAGCAGGAAGATTGGCGCGATGAGCTAACAGAGGGGTAGAGGTTATTTGAGGTGATGATGTAACTACTTCTTTAACGCGTCTTACTTCACGAGTTGGCGTAGAGGCCAAGGACTTATCACAAAACGACATGGGTGTCACAAGGGAGTCACCCATCTCGGACATCAGTGACGTTTGCTGAAAGGAGACATGAAGCTCGCCCAAAGACTGCTGGTCACCACTCATTCCCTTCCTGATGAGATGCATCAGTTTTATCTGGAACTCTTGGGGCATACTAAGAACGTAGTCTGCAATAGCGCTAGGATCATTGGTGCTCAGCTTAGTAAACGCTGTCTTGAGATCATGTGCTTGCTGTCTTAGTTCTTGGAACGACGAGCGTGGCCGAGTGCCATTTCGAGAATCGCCTCTTAGCTCGTCACGGCCAAGTGGAGGAGGCTGGTTATCAGTAGCTGCTAGGTTCTCGTGGGGTTGGAAGCAGCTAGGGGGAAGTTGATCCATTTTTTCGACGAGTATCATTAGGCTATCTGGAATGCTCATGCTTGCATTTGAGTCTGGTTCTTCTTGCGTGTTTAGCAATGACCCAAACAAAGAAGTGCTTTCTTCGTGCGTAAACTTCCCTGTGTTTTCTAGAGCAGAAAACCTTTCGCTCTCATGTATCTCCTCCTTCAAATCAGCCTCATGTTCCTCTCCAGTATACTTGCAATTTTGATTTGCTAGAGGTTCAGTAAGGCGTATCTCAACAGCTGGGTCTGCAAGTCCTGCTCCTGTGGCCTCAAAATCGTATGAGAAAAGTGTTTCTTCAAACATGGTTCCAGTGCCACTGAACACGATTTCCTGTGTCTTCCCATCTAAGAAAGTATCCGAGCGGCTTTGGTGAATCAATGGTACGCCTGGTTGGAGGCTGTCCATGTATTCCATGGAATCTTGTCTCTGATTTAAGTACGGATTGGTTGGATAAGGACCGGCATCACTAGGTTTAAGAGACTCATTATAGTTAAGACACCCCCACGATTCACGAGCGCCCTCTCGTCGTTGCTGACCACCCTGGGCAATAGACTTACTAATAGGGTGTTGCTGTGAATCACTAATGGGTGGTGGCCCAGACCGTGGCATGATGGGAGCTCCTGGAAATAATGGTAAAGATGTGCACTGCGTATTTTGCTGATTTGGAAATAGACTTGACCTCCGTCGCGCAGGAGGGTTATTTGCGTTAGACATTGATGAGTTAGCCTTGCGCGCTGTCCCCTTATTTTCACCATTCACATACTTGGACCATCCTTGCTCTCTCTGCGCTTTGGCCGACCTGTTCTCGAGCTCCTCTTGGCGACGTTTCAGAGCGTTTTGTCTGGATTTTTCCTCTAGAAATTGTTTATATACCATAGGATCCGTCGAGTTGCACTTCTTACTTGGAGAAATATTGTATGCAGGTCGGAGCTCCTGCTCACAATCCATATTTTTAATTTACTTCCATACTTCCAAGGCTTATGTGTCGTCAGTGAAATTGGTAAAGTACTGGCCGCTGATCTTCTGCTCACGGTCCTTCGCGCTATTGAGCTTGTTGACTCTGGGCCTCAGGTTTTCAGGGTCCCTGCGAAACGTTACTTGGATGATTGAAAGAAACTTGTTGAAGCCTTGAGTCACACCACAGGGCTTACAGGCCACGGCATCTACACCAGGCGTCCCTGTGAAAACTACTACGCTATCGGCCAGATAAAGAGCCATCAGAAAGTCGTGCTCTACAACGAAGCAGGCCTTCTTGGTGTTTATGACAAACCGCTTGATAACCTTTGCACACACCAGGCGTTGTGATGCATCGAGGTAGGCGCTGGGCTCGTCAATGAGATAAACGTCTGCAGGCTTCCCCAAAGCCAGGATTAAGGCGACACGCTGCAATTCACCACCAGACAATTGTGTGACCTTCCTTTCTAGGAGGTGCTTGATGTCTAGTGGCTTCACAACGTCATCCTGGAAGCCAGAGTGGTTGTACGTTTCCGCGATGCGACTTAGAAATAGCTCTTGAACGGTTCCCTTGAACGAGGGAGCTATTGTCTGGGGCTTCAGCGAAAACGGTAGGGTAGGGAGGAAGCCCTCAACGGCGACGGGTTGAACAGCCCCAACCAATGCTTTTATAAGGGTCGACTTACCAGTTCCATTCTCGCCTAACAACAGCGTGATCTTACTGTACTCAAAGTGCCCTGCTTCTACGCGCAGACGGAAACTAAAGTCTCGAGCCTTTTGCTTATCATATAGAGTCGAGGTAGGAACCACGTCGTTGGTATCTGTTGGGATAACAGCGGTATCCAGCACACGGTTGGCGACATCTGGGTCGTCTTCCACAAAGTCCGAGTCGGAGTTAGACCCGTTAGACTTAGTAATGCTAAAGCATATCTCCATGGCAGGGTACGTCTGAATACGACTTTTTTCAGAGCCTTTGGCGTCCCTTTGTTCCTCTTCCTCTACACTGTCTGTCACCTGGAACTTCAGGGCCTCGTCACGAAAGCGCATGTTCTCTGATGGAAGGTATCCAGAAAGGAATATGTTAATGCCTTCACGGACAGAGGATGGCATCGAAATGATCCCAAAAACACCCGCCTTACCATACAGCAGGCTGGTGTAATCTGACAAATAGTCCAGAACAGCCAGATCATGCTCAACAACGACGCAGTACTTGTCCAGGTCTTTCTCAACTAAGGATCGTATCAATCTTCCCGCCGTCAGGCGTTGCTTGATGTCCAGGTAGGACGAAGGCTCATCGATAAGATATATGGCCGTGTTCTGCATGGCTACATAAGCGAGGGCAAACCTCTGTAGTTCCCCGCCAGAGAGGTTCCCCAGCTGACGTTCAAGCAGGTTTTCAAGCTCCATCATTTGCACAACACGATTGTAAAGCTCTGGCGCCTTCTTCTTGCGCTTCTGGAATATGGTGGCCAGGGTATCAGTGCGCTTATCCGTCTTGGTGATGGCGTCGACATACTGGACTTTATGTGCGGCCTTAATTTCGCCGTCCTTCAACTTCATGAAATAAGCCTGGATCTCCGTTCCTCTGTAGTGCTGGACGATTTCCTCCCAGTCTGGATCAAGATTCTTGAGGTCTCCGAAGTTGGGCTTGATGTTTCCAGCGAGTATCCCAAGCGCAGTTGACTTTCCAATGCCATTTTCTCCAACCAGCCCCAGGACCTGCCCAGGCTTAGGTATTGGTACGCGGTGCAGTTTGAAGCTATTAATGCCGTAGCGATAAGAGACCTGTGAGTCCAGGGACGATGGCAAGTTGATGATCCTTATAGCATCAAAGGGACACTTCTTGACGCAGATGTCACAGCCTATGCACAGTTTCTCAGATATCATGGCGGTCTTGTTGCCCTCTGAGGACGCAACAACGCAGCGCTTCCCTGTTTTGTTGACGGGACATAGTAGCTTGCACTCCTGGTTGCACTTCTTCGGCTTGCACCGGTCCTTGTTGACAATTGCAATGCGCGTGACTTCGTCGCTCTTTGACTTTCCGGACATTCAGACCGACTCCGACACCCTGATTTGTTTTAAAGTTTCTAATTATTTACCCAGCCCTGCCTTGTCCTCGAACAAAGATGCCTCATAGGGATCCGCCAGCATAGTGCTCTGTGAGAATAAGCAGCATAATCTCAGAAACAATTGTTTTTGTTGGCAAAAGGATCTCTAGGTATAGCTCGTCATCACGGGCTTCATACCCCTTAATCACAGCAAGACCTATGATGTTTGCATTCAAAAGAACTATAGCACCTTCTTCACTCTCCAAAAACTCTGATAGCTTACCTGCCTCGTGCTGTCCAAGTATCTCCGCACCCTGGGTTTCATCGTGAAATCTTGGTACGTAACAAACTCGCTCATGCAGGTTCATTGGCGTAGCGCCAGTAAAGTCCTGGTGGGTAAGAATGCGTGCGTAGTCTGTGTCCTCGTCTCTCATAAGCTGTATGATACTACAAAACTCATGCTGCTCACCCTTGTCGATATCGGGCATGGCCTTCTCGACACGTGTAGCGTACTTGAACCTGAGAACCATTGGGGCAAGCTGCCAGTTGTAGCCGTAGAAGTGTTCCTTTATACGTTGTTGCTGCATTCGTGCTGTTGGCGTTACATCTTTCAAAAGAGGATCGATCATTACGTGCACAATTGGCACCGGGGCGCTTTGGGGCAAAGGGTCTTTGGCTTTGTCCTCTGTGGACCGTGATATGGTGAATGTGCCTAACTGGACGGGGTTTCTAGTGGATATAATAATGGGAATATACTTTCCAAAGTGCTTAATAGCCTGAAGGTATGTCAATGTGCCTATCTCATCCTTTAGTTCGCTCATAAACCTATTAAAGTGGGCCATCGTCGCCCCAGTGGGGCCTTGGGGCTGAGTAAATGTTGGCGCCTTGTAAGTATATACTCGATCTTCTAGGAACGACCACATATTAGAAAAGTGGGCATGCAGCTGTTGGCGACCCTCAATTGTATTTTGATATGCACGCATTCGATAAAGGACAACTACTGGCTTATCGAGCCCGCGAACATCGTGATTGGTGAGCAACGAAAAGATACGATCTTGAATTGTAGTTGTAAGGTAATTGGGGGCCTTTCTACTGTCGCAAAAGGAGCATACACCCCAGGTACAAAGCATGGACCCGGGCTCCTCTCCTACAAGGAAGTGTGCAGCTGAAATGGTCCCAGGATACCCCACTGCTGTTCCAGCGGGGTCATAGTCAGCCACTATGGTGGTTACTCCGGCTCGAGTAAGCCAGCCAGCCAAAGTGTACAGAATGGTCTTTCTTCCTGATGACTGAGGCCCTACTATACCGACCCAAGGTACAAGGCCTGTGTGAGCAACAGACATAATGTGCTGGAAGAGCGCTTTCAGCTCAGCGCAGGGGTATGGAGCTGTCCACGTCCAGGGGTCCTTCTGCTTTTGCGCAGAGGTTACATTGACACGCGTATTGTTCGATGAGGAAAAAAGGAGTGCCGAAGAGTGAGTTAGTTTCAAAGGTCTGCGCAGAGGGACAATGCATCCCGGTGTCTCAAGAAGCCCAGAGAAAACGTTGACGGTCAGAATCTCTCCCTGGGGAGTCTCAGCAAAGAGGGAGTCTCCGGGAAGTAGCTTCATACTATTATGAGCCATTGTTTTTTGCTCATATCGGCGTGCTGAACATTGAGTAATCGACCATAATATGCAAGGTGTTTACTGTCTATACGCTGAAGAAGAGGCAGCGATGCCACAAGGACGCTTGTTATAGGATACCGTGCTGTGCTAACTTCAAATTATCTTGAACGTCCAGATAATTTATAAACAGCATGTGAAGAGACTCGATGAGACTCTCCCCCACGGGTATATCGAGAAGCGCGCACACCAACCGGGCGTACTCTTCTGTAGATAGCTCTATGTTGGCAGTTGGTAGGTCCACTTTCTCTAGCAACTCAATGAATTGGGGCTCCCAAAGGTTCATTATTGTGTCCGGGATAGGCAGGGAATATGCATATTCAGCGTTGTGGCCTATTTTGTCGTGCAGCTCGTCTATCTTTTGGATCCATGAATTAACATTTTGTTTTGTGTTAGTAACTTGTTTGACTGGGTCGTCTGCAGAAGGAACCATTTTGATCACATCCTTGCGCACATGGAGATCATTGTTTGTGTCTCCTCCGCTAGCTCCTAGATCAACCTCTAGGTCCAGATTAACCGCCTTGGTCGTGTCTTTCAATTGAAGCCCTAAGACTGTTGGATCTGACTGATTGATGCATGGGTCATCCAAGACAACAAGCCCCAGTGCCTCTACCTTGTTGTCGGGCCGGGGCACCTTGATAAATGGATCCACGTCACCGATGGACGGAGTATAGTCTGGAAGAAAGGGAACGTATATAGTCTCGAGGCTCAGCTCAACAGGCTGGAATGCGTGAAAGAGGTTGAAGAGCTCCTTTTCCGACATCTTAGCGAGTCCCTTTTTCATTTTCTTGATGGACGGATCAACGTGGTCCGGCTCTGGCGGAAGGGGGATATTGTAGCCTGCGTCGTCGATCTCTCTGAGGCTCATAGGGCCTGGATTGCCGTGTCTTCCCGCAGTAGGAGAGTCCTGGTCCTTCGAGTCCTCACGGTCATCGTAATCTTCCACGGGGTTAGACTCAAGTGACGTCGCTCCCTCATATTCAAGCACCTCGTCTGCCTTCCCCTTTTTCGTTTTCCTGTTTTTGAACATCTGTCAACCCTGTATCCCAGAGCGTGCTAACTTTTTGCCATCTTTTAAAGTGCTAGTTTATATGCAATTTAATTTAAAAGTCCTAATTAATCTTTAGCAATTTTATTTACAAAACATAAATTACAAATTCTCCATAGCAGTTGTTGTCGCCATGCCGTACACCGATACCACGCTGTTTGCAACCAAACCGAAGATCACACAACGCATGACCAAATCCAATAAGCCGATCGTTTTGGATCAATACGATCTGAACATGATTCGGCACCGTGCTGGCCCACTTTATCCCACAGAGTCTGTCTCTGGCCGCGATGACACAATCTTTAACCGAAATAACATTATCAGGGCGCAGATAGGAGCTGAGCGCACGAAAACTTGGAAAAATACGATCGAGGATCAGCGCCAGGCGCGTCTGCAAAAGATGGCCGATCAAGAAGCGGCAAAGGAGCAAGAGATCCGTGAGCTGGAACAGGCGTGGCTCGAGCGCGAGAAGAAAAAGGCTGACGCTGTCCAGGAGCAGTACCGGCGTCACAAGGAGCTCGACAATGACTACATGCGTATGTTCCGCAGTGCTAAGATAACGGCAGATTGCCTCAAGGACCTTGCAGAGACTAAGCGCATCAAGGAAGAGCGCCGACAAGCCGAACTTCAGGAGGGGCTGCAGGAAAAGGAGACAGCGTACAGACTCTACAAGGAAGAAGTGGATGCCAATGCTGAGAAGGCACTGGCACAGCGGACCGCACGAGAGCGTGTCGATAGGGTGAACTTGGCCCAGACGCAGAAGGGCCAATACCAGCGCGAAGAGGAACGCCGTGAACGAGAGAATGAACTTGTGGAAATGCGGAGGCTGAAAGCTCTCGACGAGGAACTCCATAGAAAAGAGTACGAAGACACTCGTAGACGAAATATGACATGCAGATCTATCCTTGACAAGCAGGTTGAAGAAAAGAAGAAACAGGACAACATTCGCGCCCTTGAAGAGATGGCTACCGACTTAGAGATCCAGATGGTTCAACAAAAACTTGACGAACGACACGCCATCCATGAGGCCCGGATGAAGAGCTTGAAAGAGAAGAAGGCTGCTGCCACGGAAATAGCTCAGCTAGCTGTGGCCAAACAGATTAAGGCAGATGAGGAACGGCGCATTAACTCGATGCTCAGGTGTGAGGGCCAGGATATCACTAACGTACGTGCGGAGGAGGCGCGTCAAGCACGTGCAGCAAAATACAAGAAACTCGAGGATGAAGCACGGAAGATAAACGAGTTTAACGTGGCAGACAAGTTTGCACGTAAGGCCGTCGAAGAGATGGCCGATTTAGAGTACAACCAAAAGCAGCATCTTGAGCATGTCCGGGAGGCGGAGTATGAGAAGATGCTGGCTGAGGAGAAGCGCGCAGAGGCAAAGCGCATGGCCACGGAAACCCTTGCTGAAATTGCCAAATTGAGGTTAGCAAGAGAGAAGGAAAAAGAGTTTGAAAGTTTCTGTGATAAATGCGCAGTTCTCAAGGATCAACGAGAGGCCAGGGAGCTCGTTGAGCGTTGCAGAAAGATGGCAGAGGCCGAAGAGGACGAGCGTGTCCGGCGAGCGTATGCGATAGTTATCCGTAATATTAATAGGAGAGATCGGAGCATTTCCTGGTAATCACAAGACTCTTAAGTAAACGGCGACGATAGAGATTCTAGGCGAATGCCTCTCTCGGCTCTTTGGGCTTCTGCCGTCTCACTGACGGAGGACGTCCAATTTAAAAGTACACCTTTAAAAGTACGTCTGGTCTTGTCTCCCAACTGCGGTAAGGATGGCCTTGCATGAAGTGAACCATGCAAGTACTGACAGCACATCTAGTACGTCAGAGTCAGCGACAGGCGTCTTCCACCTTTTGACAGGCATCTCTGCTCCATTTCTGCCAGGACTGCTTCGAGTTCCAGTCAAGGATCGGATCTGGGTTACAACGACAGCCCAGGGGAACGTGTGCATTAACGAGTGGATCATACAGAGAACAATCGGTCGGGGTGCCTATGCCAACGTGAGACTATGCCATAACCCGCTTACAGAGCAAAAAGCAGCCATGCGCATGATCAACCGAACTTCTCTGAGGCGTAAGCTCTTAACCCAGGAATCTGCGGACAAATTCCTTTGGAATTGCTCCCGGGTCATGGATTTCTTGACCACCGCACACCCATCTATTCTTAACCTCATTGAGGTGATGCATCACCCTATTTACGCTGATGTTTGCTCTGTGGAGAACTCTATGGAGTCCCTAATTCCTGGTTCTACGTTTGCCGGTCAGTACGCCGTAACACCGGGAAGCTTGCCCCCGTGGGTTCAGACAATCCTGTCTATTGCACAGCAGGTCAACCTGATATGTGAGCTTCCCTGCAAGTATCAATCTATTATTGATCAACTCTCAAACGCCAAGGGGATGCTACAACCAGAGCTTGTCTCCGATTTGCAGCCTCTTTTGCACAATCCGATGGCTCTTAATGGTATTGCTAAACCATTGACCCAGGGATCGGAGCTTGCCCATAGACGTATGCCATCGGCTGGCAGTAAGCTCAAACAATACTCGGCCCGTAGCTCCCAATTGGACTCCAACCTGACTCCACGCTATCAGAACACAGGTCGGTGCACCATGAACTATGATGATAACTTCGTTTTCATAATAGAGTACTGTGACGGGGGGACCCTCCAGGAGGTTGTACGCACAGCAGATCTAAAGAAGATCATGATACTCTTCTATCAGGTTGTCGATGCTCTCTGCTACATGCACTTCTGCAACGTTGTACACCAAGATATCAAATTAGAGAACATCATCATCACCACCGATCTTCAAAGCAATTTCAAGACACCGATACCTCCTGCAAGTAAGCTACTTCCACGGAAGGTCCCCAGAACGACCGACCTGTTCTTTACTAGCACCTCAGGCACAATAGGTGACTTTGCAGTTGGGACCGTACAATCTCAGTCCAGCACTCCCTTGGCAAGTACTGCTCTGAGTAGTGATCCATCTCATAGCAACCCAATTGAGAATACGCTGAGGAGGGACCCTAAAGATAGGTACAATATACCCCCACTTTCTTTGAAGCTTCCTTTACAAAATGCACTACCAACCGCCGCCAATCCGCCCACTGTTATGCCCAGAGGGCCTACACGTATATCCTCTCGCCTCAATGACAACGTTCTTTCTCCTTTGCTGCTTCCAAGCGGATCTCGGTACAGACTTCAATCACTAAAAGAGTCATCAGATATAACGTACTATCTGTTAGGGGACTCGGATACTGCACCCTACCGTGCAAAGATCAGTGACTTTGATACTGCAATCATCCTCGAGGAAGAGGGGGTCAGACTACCAACAGCACAGACCGTCCTAGAGACACTAAAAAGCATATACAATAGACACCTTTCTCTTCTTCGCAAGAGCTTTACATGCTTTTTTAATGACCTTGTGCGGCAACGTATTTTACCACAAGAAGACGAAGGCAGCCTTTTGTTGGGTCATGATGTAGTAGCCTCTATGGATTCTGACTGTGTGCATGCTTCATCTAGGAGAGAGGCCGACTTAGTTTCGTCGGCCTTTAGCTTCAATGCTGACATCTTAGTCAAAGAGGGCACTGCCATATGCACTGAGGCAGCTAAGCTGGACGACTCACAGCAGTCTTTGAAGCCCTCACAAATAGATATGGACACCCTTAATGGAAGTATAGGGATATGCAGGATGTCTGGAATCTACGAGACACAATCATTTGATATGTCGGAGCCTATTTTTGACAAAATAAGTATTAAACCAAACAACTCTTCATGCAAGGATACTACTCTCAGCTTACGACAAGCAACAGTTACTGCTGCAAAGCCCAATGCAAGCATTGATACGGCTCATATTGCACGTACTAGTGACAAAAGTTCTGTGACAAGAGCGCTTCACTCTTCTTGCCTTACTCTGGTTCTTTCCTTGGATGACCAAAAGGACGCCTTTTTAGGCAACTTAGAGCCTTGTGTAGACATTCCTTTGCTCGACGATGATTCGCATGCGGCAACCTTCCAAAAAGCTTTTCACACTGACGCGCTGAGCTTGAAATTGACTGACTTAACACCCGATGGAACTGGACTTGCAGAGAAAACATGCAAAGGTCATACCCATCTAGACGCAGATTTCCCTGCTGACAACTCCTTGTTGGTGCCAGCCATTGATTGCTCAATTAAGACTTCAAATAGCTCACTGTCACAACGAGACGCTGCGCTTCTCTCCACTATCAGCCGCATTGAAGACTTCATTCAGGAGACGATAGAGACTAACAAGGTTGGGCAGGCACTACAATCCTACCTCTCATCTATTAGACAGATCAACACGTTTCCGGCTATGCCAAGGAATACCTACTTTATTAGCAGTTCCACAGGGACTCCGACTATTCTTTCTCCCGAGTCTCGCGCTGTTATGCAGACGTGTAGTGACCACGACCCACACAGGGCTCATTCCCTGTTTTCAGCTGTACATGCAGACGCTTGGCAAACAGGAGTTATGCTTTTTCATTCACTCACAGGCTTGGTCAGACGAACCCCTCTGTACAGGTATAGCCAAGAAGCCTTTGCTCTCTGTGGAACCTTTGGATTGCTGATTACCGACTTGCTGTGTGGTCTTCTAGACGAGATTCCAAGTCACAGATACACGCTGTTTGAATGCATGTATCATCCTGCTGTCAATCCAAGACAATTTAAGCTGCCAATGAGCATTCCGGCAAAGGGGACTTCGGACATCAGTGTAACGACGATGCACTCTGTTTTGTCTCACGCACACTCCGTAGCGACCAGTAAGTCTGGGAACATCCGTGCGTTGTGGAGAGAAGCGAAGAGAGACTACCATCAGCTCCGACGGTTTCACATGCTGATAATTATGCGCCGCAGACAATACGTGCTGGCTAATAATAGCAAGTGTATCACTGCAAGCACCATTGACAACAGTATGATCTATACGTGCACCGATATTCCTCTGCTGGCTAACACACTGGCCCTCTTCTCTTCTAAGCTATTTAGAAAGTCCAAACATGATGTGCTCAATCATACAGGTTACCGCATAGATGACTTTACCAGTGGGGAGAAGATTAATACTCATGCCCACATCATCGCTTCAGAAAAGCTTAAAACAAAAACAGAGCTGTGCTCAAAGAATAGAGCGAAGAGTCCAATGAGTAGCAGTGATGTTCTGAACAGGCACATGTCCTTTAGTCTCGACTCTGAAGGGCAATCTGATTTATTGTCGGACACAGAGTTTAATAAGTCGGTATATATTACTGTGCCTGAGATTGCACAGGCACACGTGGTCAGAAAATCCACAGGTATTTGTATGGTTGACCGGATATTTGAACACCGGAAAACGGTCTCCAAAGCCTCGCCGACTTTCCACACTGATAATGTGAGGCGCAACTCGGTATCTCTAATGGACGAGGCACGTCATGTCAAAACGTTGTTGGAACGGGTACTCTCAGAATCACTATATGATGGAAGCCCCGATAGCTTACTATACAGGCTTCCGTCGCCTGTTTTGAATGAACGAACAAGGAGCAAGCAACTGCTGTCGATTATTAATTCTTCGAAATTCGTCGCTGAAGCGTCGTCGGCTGCATCCCTCTATCCCCGTCGTAAGCATATTTTCAACTACATCAAGAAGCTTCTCAAGAAATATCAGCGCAGTCTAACCCACGAACAGGCTCCAATCTCTTCTGCGCCACCGCTCAAGGTTTCTCTCTCAGCTCCCGACTTGCGGGTGTCCTCACTGGATAGCAAAAGCACGGCCCGCTTTGAGCATCCTCTTCTCGACGCTTATGCCTCTATGAGACAAGAGTATGGTGTGGCTGGGAATGGCTCACAGGGACCTGAGTCGAACACCCTTGACTCCATACTGTCCGACTCCTTTGAAAATGTACTTCACGCCCTTGTCGATGAGAAAAATATTCTCCATATTCATAATTTTGATTGGTCTGAAAAGATATCCCCTTTGGATGTTTATATTGGGAGCTCCCAGAATGCTGTCGAGTTTTCTCTTCGTCTGCTTCACGGAAACGCCCATAATGCCAACTCGTTTTTCGATTTGGATGATCAGGAGACCCTCAACACCATCAGAAAGTGCCCCACGCTTAGAAGCATCATTGCAAAGCTTAAGCGAATGCAGTTGCAAAACGTAATTGATGGATTAACTACGCTAACGGTAGGATCGTCCTTTTATGAATTGGGAACGCGACTATGGTATCAGATGCTTACCAGGTCTTTCTCAGAGACCCTGGGCAATGAGAGAGACGTAGAATACTATCTAAAAGATGATATTAATAGTTTCCAGCCTGGGCCTCTTTTTCCCGTGGCAGAAGTGCAAAGTCAACCGCATATGCTTCAGCACTCTGACATTAGTGCGCAAAGTGCTAGCTCTTCTTTAACTGAGTCATTAGAAAGCAGTCGCGCAAGCTCCCCGTTCAATCAATTAACTGCTGGGTTCTCAGAACACAAATCGTCTGCATCGGTTCCGATTAAGGCGCTCTCTAACCCCTTGTACTCCAACCCTCCTCTGTCCACAAAGACGCTTTCAGGGATCAAACTGGATATTCAAGAAATTTCTGAAATTGAACATATCAGTATGACCTCTGCTCCACTTGCAGATCATAATCAGGTGAAGTCAAAGGCGTTTTCACAGAGACCGTCTGCACGTAGTTTACCGGGAAACGCCTTCCAGTTCTCCACTCTAGCTACATCACAAAGCTGCGTGCTTTCTCCCACGCGGAATACTAAGTCCACACCAAATCAATCGCCTCAACAGCAACAGCAACAACAACAACAACAACAACAATTTCATGCCAGGCCAGAGCCGAGCTCGCCGGTACTACGAGAACTGGATGCAAAAGAAGCCTCAATAAGTAGCGCTATGTCTCAGAAGAGCGTTGATCTCTCTGGTAGTATTAAGCCTGAAAGAGAGCAAGACGTAGTTGATGAGCAACCGGAGAAGCCCCTTGATTCCGCATTGAATGACAAGTATATCCAGCGGAACAAGTTATACAATAGAACAGCTATAGGCAAAATACTCGCAGGAATAGAAGGACACCAGAAGCAGACCAGTCTTAAGGAACGAGAAAGCTCGACTGAAACAGGGAATCCAGAGATTTTCAAGGATATGGGGGCTGAGCAACGCTTTTTATATCGGGATAGGATGTTTACACGCTCTTTGGAGGATTGTATTGTGGCGTCTCAGATCCGCAAAGAGCTAAAGGATGTAGGAGGTCTTACAAGCATCTTTGATGACTCGATTTGCACAACTATCGATGACGACAATGTCGATGATGAACCTCACGGAGAACATAGTATAGTGAGTAGGAATAACAGCTTCTACTATGAGCCCTACAATGAAGATGACCAGCAGAATGCTTCAGATATCATACTAATGCGTAATAAACGCCAAACTCGTACAACAGGATCCTTAAGCAAGCTACGCACAACAAGTATTGTTACTAATAACAGCACAATTACGCCATCCAATCAACAGCAACAGGCCCGTCCTCCTACTCTTTCTACGCTCCACTTTTCTGCAGACGAGCCTATTAACAGCATGCAAGAGTCGTTAGTCGGCTCTACTCCAGAGTACAGATACTCATACCCCCCGCCTACTATCTTTCCAGATATCGGTCATGGGACCTCACAATATATGTGCTGTTGTTGCAAGTGTACACGGCCTGAGGTGGATATGCAAGGCTTCAATCTGTGCCGCATTCAACTACTAACCGCACACTATTGTTTTCTTTACCGGTATGGGCGCCATATTTCATGGGACCCGTGTGTTCTTAGCAAACAGGAATCCAGCTTCCCCAGGGGTCTCTTCTTGCGGAGACTTAGGACTCTCTTGATAGGGCGCATCAATCTTCCACTGCATTGGATAAATGCATCAATCCAGTACGAACTGACGCGATGGAATGATTTCACTGTGAAAGGAGAAAGTAGCACTTCGACAGGGACTCCAGCGGGTAGCGATGCTAAGCCACAGCTGCGCCCCACTTCTCCACGGAGCCCTCTAGTAATTCCTGCACTAAATTTGCAGTCCCTTCCGAAAGAGTCCGCAGGTATCAAGACACCAATCACACGCATTCGCTTAGTTAACCAAGACGACGATGATACAGATCTTCAGTCGAAAACAATGAGTGCACACCCCATAATACCAAAGTTGTGCTTTCTTGGCAATAGTACTGACCAGAGACCAGCGAATTTAGACGACCCCATAGCGGAATCAAATACCAGCTCACCGTCTACACCATCACATGTAGACTCACGGAAAAAGACATCAACTATTAAGATAACTACAGACGTGGTTGAAGCAAAGGCTCCTTCAAGTATTTCAGATACGTCTTCCACTCATAGTGCTTCCGATATAGCCCAATCGGCTCCCTTGGCAAATCTGTTAGCAATACAATCCACTGTTCCATCCACAATGCATGTCAATAAAGCCTCTGGCGTCACAAGTAGCAATACATCAATTGGGCAGTGTAGCACAGGCAGTTCTGATATTTAAGGCCATGAAGGGACCGTAAGAAGTATGAGCGCTAACCTTAGTAGTTTGCAACTTGACATGGATTAGTATTCTATGTGGATTACTGTGTAGCTGTAAAGCACACATCAGTATAGTTAGTAAATAAGCGCTGCTCCAAGCTATGCTAGTTCTAGTGGCTGATGAAGTAGAGTTTAGTATAACTAAGATATGCACAATCTAAACTACGATGACACGAGCAGAAAATGTGCATGCTGAAGATTTCATTGTGGTGCTGCCGGACCCGCCTGGGGGTGGGGTAGTTGTGACAGCAGACAGGGGCTCCCCTCTACTCTTGCAGAGGGACGACCAGGGACCTAGTGTGATCGTCGGTGCCTGGCTTATATCTCGTGCAGCGCGGGCTGGAGATCAGACACAACCACTGCAGCAAACAGAGCGAGAATCACCCACCGCCCCAATGGCCCACCGAGAGCCCAGGGGCACAGATGGACACCACCCACTCGGTCCTCACTGCCCCAGCAATCCCCCTGCCTCTACCCACCAGTTGGACCGGGACACAGCCGGACGGACACCGAGGGCCCAGCCAGCGGAGAGCCCGGTGGCAGCCCCTGACAGACGGGGCATCTAAAAAAGACGGCGACCCGGGCTTCACCCACCGTGAAGGAAGACCAAGGAGAGGCGCCACTGGTGGACGATGTACATGGTGAGTAAGCGGAATCCCAGGCCGACTGAGCAAGCATTCCCGGGTGTGCACACTCAGCTGAGCACACCCCTGCGGAGCGACCAGGGAAGGTGCCAGGTTTTAGATATACTAAAAGAGAGGAGCTCCTCGTTATATCATCCACAACCAACCTTTGTCTCCGGACACGGCCAAAGGAGCGAGAATTTATTCGTGAGATTTCTGGATCGTACCTACAAGCACCCGGTAGCACATCCACATAAGCTACATAAAGTAATGCGTTTACTACCTAAGTCTACGCCTTCCCGCGGCAGAGGAACCACCAGCAAAGGAATCCGACAAGCCCTCCGACGACAACAATCACAGCAACGGAGATCCCCGCGATGGCCCCCGTGGAGAGGCCGCTCTTGTTGACGCTTCCACCAGTGCCTACTTCTGATTCTAAACATATGACTGAACTGCCAGATGATGACACACATTGCTTGCATCCAGAGATCTTCTCTGAGCACTTCTTGCATAACCCAGTAGTGGTATCGCTACCGTTTTCCTTGTAATACCCAGTGGCACAGGTCTTACACTTGTCAGCCGTACCTGCAGTCGAGCACGTAGCACAAGTAGGATGACATTCTGCACAGTTGCCATCAGTTGCTGCTAAGCCATTGGCACATGTCTGACACTTTCCTCCGTTAGCTTGGGTGCACACTTGTTTACCAGGCTGTCTATTTGTTTGATAGCAACCGCCATCTTTGAGGAAGTAGTTATTTTCACATTGAGTGCATGCTCCATTACTCACCGTAGTGCAAAATCGTGTTCGCGTATTGGCCGCACAGTTGCCATCCAGTGGTGCCTGTTGAGTGTTCTTGCACTTTGAGCAATATGCAGTTCCTCCTATTTGGGCCCCACACTCTGCGCATCCATCGTTTGCAGGGCTCACGCTGCACTGGTTCATGCACGTGCCCCCATTGGCAGGAGTATCAGCATCTGTATACTGAAGCATCTTCCCAGCAGGGCAGGCCGTACACTTATCAGCACCCTCACCCTTACACTCTGCGCACGCATCGTTGCACCTCTTGCATGTCTTTTTGCCACTATCGTCTCCGTAGTAGCCCTTGAGGGTCGTGCAGTCAGATACGCACTGACTGGTTGGAGTGAGATAATTGTTATCATTACATTCAGTGCAGATTTCGTTGTCTGTTTTGGGGTTGTCGCAGGCCTTGCAGTTGGGAGTATCGCACGGCGCGGAGTTCCTGTCGCACTTCTTCGTGGTGGGGTTGAGGGTGTAGCCTGAGCCGCACGTCTTGCACTGCTGGGGGTTGCTTTCCTCGCAGACATCACAGCCCTCGACCTCGCACGGCGCGGAGTTCCTGTCGCACTTCTTCGTGGTGGGGTTGAGGGTGTAGCCTGAGCCGCACGTCTTGCACTGCTGGGGGTTGCTTTCCTCGCAGACATCACAGCCCTCGACCTCGCACGGCGCGGAGTTCCTGTCGCACTTCTTCGTGGTGGGGTTGAGGGTGTAGCCTGAGCCGCACGTCTTGCACTGCTGGGGGTTGCTTTCCTCGCAGACATCACAGCCCTCGACCTCGCACGGCGCGGAGTTCCTGTCGCACTTCTTCGTGGTGGGGTTGAGGGTGTAGCCTGAGCCGCACGTCTTGCACTGCTGGGGGTTGCTTTCCTCGCAGACATCACAGCCCTCGACCTCGCACGGCGCGGAGTTCCTGTCGCACTTCTTCGTGGTGGGGTTGAGGGTGTAGCCTGAGCCGCACGTCTTGCACTGCTGGGGGTTGCTTTCCTCGCAGACATCACAGCCCTCGACCTCGCACGGCGCGGAGTTCCTGTCGCACTTCTTCGTGGTGGGGTTGAGGGTGTAGCCTGAGCCGCACGTCTTGCACTGCTGGGGGTTGCTTTCCTCGCAGACATCACAGCCCTCGACCTCGCACGGCGCGGAGTTCCTGTCGCACTTCTTCGTGGTGGGGTTGAGGGTGTATCCCGGGAAGCATGTGTCCTTCCCGCTGTCCTTTGCCAGCACTGTTGCACAAACTAGGAGAAATCCTACCAACATTAGCCGGGTTAGTATGCCACTGCTCTTCTGTCAGGCTGATGTGTTGCCGCGAGCAGTGAGAGACAGCTGCTCTTGCTCCCTTAACCAGTTGGACTGAAGAAGGACAAGATAGGAGCACGCTCACTGGAGGCCAGCTGATAGTGTAGTTCTCTCTGACTTCCATAGGAACAGGACCAGTGAGGGCCAGACTCAAATCGCACCTCTCTTGTGGAGTGATTGCTCGGGGTGCACTCCTGTACATTGCCGTCACTGTATCGCTGGGGCCGCCTGCAGGTGCGCTCAGAGGTCCCACGGGTAAGCCGCGCTCACTTCCCAGCCGTCCGGAGACGAGGTCTGGTTGTGGATAACATACTAAGAGCTTCTCTCTATTGATGCATCCAGAGCTCAGTGTGGTCCCCAGTCGGCGTGTTTTGTCGGGGCGCTCCGTGTTAGCCTCCAGAATCCGACCTGCTTAGGACCATACGAGCCGCGAGTATGCCCTCCTTGGCCTGTCATCGGCAGCTCACACTGGGCGCCTTGCTCGGGCAGTAGCCAAGGCCACTCCAAAGGGTGGCTCCGGATTGCGTTAAGATTAGCGATGGCTGTTGACTCCACTCCCTGTCCCAGCCACCGCAGAGGGCGCCCTAGGAGTTGCTAGTAACAGTGCAGTTAGCGGCTTTGCAGAGCCGATGGGCGCTGGTGGCATCCCCGTGCTCAGCGGGGGCCTTCAGTGTTATCTACTCTCCCAAGGGATGCCCCCACCTCACTGTGAAGGAGATCCGGCTCGACGGTCTGGATCAGCACGGTGTGGATGCTATTAAGCGTAGGCTGGCCGCCCTTCTTAACATCTTTCACCCGGGTCCTCAAGTATCATCAAGTGATTGAAGACGAGGGCCTCATCTACGTCGTCACGGACCGGCACGACAAGACCCTTGAGCGCCTCCTCACCGAGCACAAACGAAGGAAGATCCCCGTCCCTATCGCTGTGATCCTCTCTGTCATGAAGCAGGTCGCCGCCGCCCTCGCCTACCTCCACGGCCTCAGCGGAGTGGGTGCCGACGGTCGCCCCTACAAGGGCCTCGTCCACCGCGACCTCAAGCTTGCGAACGTCCTCGTCAGCGCAGATGGTGAACACTTCATCATCGCCGACTTCGGCCTCTGTAAGGACGCCCTGAGATGCGGGAGCACCATTGCAGGCACGGCAGTATACATGGCCCCCGAGATTCTCCTCCGTAATGAGACCAGCCATGCTTCCGACGTGTGGAGCCTCGGGGTCATCATTTATGAACTTACTACTCTGAGGAGACCAAACTTCTTGGGGGGCAAGGAGCCAGCAGAGGTCTTCGTTGATGGATGGAGGCCGGACCTGAGCGGTGTCACTGATGGCTTCATGCAGAATGTTCTGGAGGGGATATTCGTGCTGGATCCTGGAAGGAGGCCGACGGCCAGGGAGCTGCACGAGACGCTCGCTACATTCGACATCCCAGTTAGTGAGCTGGGGGGTCAGTGCGTGATGCTGAGGTACAGGTGCAGATCCTTGGAGGCTGCGCTGAATGGCGCTAACGCCAGGATCGCGCTGCTGGAAGAGGATGTTAAGACTAAATCCACTAGATCGACGCACTTGAAGATCAGTGCAAGGAACATCTAGCTATGATTAAGGCACTGGAGAATAAGCTTGCACAGTTCGATGACAGGATGAACACGACTGACCCTCAGTCCAGCCTCTTTTTGTTGCCCGGGCTGATGCGTGCCGCGCATACGAATAGCACGGAGACCGTCTGGATGCTGCTTGAAGAAAGACTCGGTGTTGGTCAGCGCGACGAGCAGGGGCGCATCAGTCCCGTCGAGTTGCTTGTTGGGGAGGAGAACGGTCTCCAGGACAAGAATGGCTGGACTACCTGATGATCGCCACAGAGGAGGACTATGCAAGAGCTGCCTCCCTTCTGGTCCCATATGAGAAGGACCGGATCGGCAGCGAAGGCAAGACGGCCTTGGTGATTGCGGCAGAGGCAGGACATGGAACCGTGGTGGAGGCCATCGACCCAACCGATGAGAACGGCGTCACGGCGCTCATGCGAGCTGTCAATAGAAACGACGCGGGGGCTGTAAAAGCACTCTTACCCATCCAGAGGGGGAGGAAAACATACAAAGAGGTCACAAGAAGCGGATGGTACATGCGCAAAGGAACAGCTCTGATGATGGCTGCGGCAATGGATACGCAGAAATAGTAGAACTGCTAGCAGAGCACGAAAAGGGAGAGAAAGTAGGCGGTTGGGCCGCTCTCGTATTCGCGGCACGGTGCGACCGTTCCAATGACCCCCTGGTGGACTATATTGGGCACGTTGAGCTTTTGATGGAGTATGAGAGCAGTATCTCAGGGTGGACGGAGCTCATGTATGCAGCAGCACGAGGGCACGAAGGAATCGTAGAGCTACTCGAGCAGGAGACTGGCATAAGGAACAACGAGCATCAGACTGTCCTCACATGGACGGTGTGCAATGATCATCCAGAGTGCGTCAGGCTCCTAATGAAGGAGGAAGGCGGCATGCAAACGACCAAGGGAGATCGCCCTTATGAGTGCGGCATATAGTAACACCGTGGAGTGTGCAAGACTTCTTAAGGAAAACGAGAAAGATCTGAAGACAACCTGCAGCTGCCATGGTCACTCGCCCGGTACCACTGCCCTCAATATCGCTAAGAAGAAGGATCGCATGGAGATAGTAGGCATCCTCCCAAACGAGATCTACTCTGTTTCAACAATGTCGGCTTGCCAGCTCCTGTCCGAGTAAACCCGTCCAGAGTCCGAAGCTCGGATGCCGCCCACTCTGGAGAAGAGCCTTGTGCATCCCGCCTGGGAGCCGTTGGGTGCTCCACTATGCGCTCCGGGGCGTCTCTTCTCTCTGACTGGCTTGGGTCAGCTATCGTCTGACATCTATTGAGCACCCGCTGTCTCGGGCCTTGCGTCTGTCGCGGCGATCTGGCCTCAGAGCAGTTGACTCTGGCCATGCACTCCGGAGTAGCTTTGTGGTGCTGATGCTCTACGACGGAGATTGCACACCGCGACCCCGGGTATCTACCCCGTTCCTCGGGTGCCTCTTCGTCTTCTCATGAAGCGAGCATCGGTCCCGAGTATGATCGGAGGTGCGCTCCCCGTGCGCCTCTATCTTGGAGTCATAGTACGCATTCGTGGATGCCAGTGGACAGCTCCTATGCGGTGGTGTCGGGGGAGAAGTATGACCCTCTGCTCACGGATCGCAGAGGTGCTCCACCATCCAGCGCGAGATCATGTCGACGCTCACCCTGTGCAGTGCGTCTGGCTCGGTGACGTGTGGGCTGGTCCATCTGCACAGCACACTTGGGTGATGCTTCGGTCTGTCGAGGCGTCGGTCCAGGAACATCAACTGTTAAGACCCTCCACCATCAGAGCGGTAGACCAAGGAGAGAAATCACTGGTGGACGACGCAGATGGGCAAGTAAGTTGAATCCTAGGTAGGCTGACGTGCACATCCAGACAGAGCACACGCCCATGAAACGGAAGAGAAATGTACCGGGCCCTGGATGTATCACTGGAGAGGACCCTCTTGTTATGTTATCAATGACCAACAGTCGTCTCCGGATTGGCTAGGAATTAAGCGACAATTTACCCACAAGATTGCTAGACCATACCCGCAGGTAAATCTGGCAGCACAGCACTGGGAGCAACCGCTGGGTGGAGTGAATCATCATCTGCTGGGACAGAGTAAACAATCAAAAAAGAATGTCCATTTCATGTCCATTTTGCCTTTCCAATAGCACGATAACTGACGAGGGCCAAGCAAAAGTGTTCTGTGGTAACTGTGGGCTTGTAATCATGGACACTCTCATTGTCAATGATCTAATCTACCAAGATCAAAATGGTGTGTCCACCGTGATGGGGAACTTCATAAGCGCTAACACCTCCTCCACGGCTCGCAGTCTTGCAATCAAACACTTTTCCAAGGAGCTAGAGACAATTGCAATGATTCTAAATTTACCAATGGAGCTTGTTCGGAAAGCCAGCGACTACTATGCCAATTGTCTGCGCGACAAAGCAACGAGAGGACGGAGAAACAATCTCTTGGCAGCAGCTCTTCTTTACATTGTGGGGCGACAGCACAACCTCTCCCATCTTCTGATAGACTATGCAGATGCTCTTAACGTTTCTGTTTTCACGCTCAACAAGTACATACAGCCATTTCTGCGTCAATATAATATCAAGCTACCTTACCAGGATCTTGAATCACTGTTACCACGGTTTGTGGATAGTATTCTGAAAGAAGAGTTCACGACTGCATTTCAAGACAACAGAGATTGTATGCTTTTCGCTAATATCCACATAACATCTGTGGATCAGCTCCGTGAGCATACTCTTGTTGTATCTAAGTACATTCTTAAGGCCTCTACCGCTATTAATATTCACACCGGCAGGCTTCCATCAGGCTTGTTAGGCGCCAGTATTTTTGTTGCGCTTAAGTTACTAAACTATGGGATACCCATTCATCGCATTTCCCGCTGTGTCTTTTGTTCTCCAGACACCATTGCGCGCCGTCTCCAAGAAATGCAATCATCAGAGCTATTCGCCAAGCTAACCATTGGTGATGTTCTTCGTAATGTAGACCTCGACCTTGAGGGCGTAGACGTACGGCCCCCATCTCTTGTACGCAGACATCTTTACCATCGGCACTATGCAGAATCTGCAGCACACGAACAGTTGGCAAGTCTAGGATCGCTTTTAGCTCAGGGCGCACAGGCGACTGCAATGTCCATACCAATTGATTTGAGTCTGGCAAGCGACATCTCTATTCAGGAATATATTGCTCCTGCAGGTGTCAGGCAAGCAAAGCTTCAGTTATTTGATGCTCAGCACGGAGACTTTTATCGCGCTCTTCAAGCAGCAAGAGAGGGAACTGTCGATCCAGAAGAGGATGCTTCTGTGCAACGTAAAAGACAGCGAGCTGAGCATAGCGGGCTCACTGCTGCAGAAAGCGTGCGCAACGATCGCGGATTGCCTGCCAGTATTCGTGAAGACCTCGCTAGCCACTTGGAAGGAGGGGCACTAGACTCTTTCCGGAGCGAGTCGAGCCTCCACAACGCTGTCAGTAGCGAGGTGGACTATGAGTACGAGCACGAGCAAGAATCTCGGTCCTTGTGGGCCATCTTCAACGAGTGATTCACTTTTGCTTCTTGTCTTTCTTACTCTTCTTTTCCTGCTTCTCCTTATCGAGCACGGTCTTCAGTAGTGCCTCAGCCTCAGCATACTGTGGGAAGCCCTGGATACGCGAGACGATCTCCCCTAATTTCTCTGCCATAACCTTCTTCAGACACTGGGGCGTGATCTTATCCTCACGGAACGCTCTTCGGACTTCTTCCATATCATTATAAACTACGGCATTTATGTGTATAGGTTTCCCTGTGACTAGTTTGCTATACGGGAATACAATCTCCTCTAGGTATGCCAAAAGAGGGTTGTTCTCTATGTCTGTGGGCTGGCAATAAGCTTTTGCGATCTTCTTTGCTATCTCTGCCGGTGTATCTGTGCAGTATATGGTTGAGTGCTCCTTGTCCACTTCTGTCACGGGATTCTGTCTAAGATATGGAAGGGGTGTTAGTGTTTTGCTAACTATCCTCCCCCGAGTTGTCCTAAACAATTGCCCCGTTGGAAGGAGACATGGCTTTGTAGGAGCATTCAGAAAGCCATCCAAGGTAGGGTATTCGCTGACACAGACCCGGATAGGATAGCGTTGGTGGGTCTTTGCCAGAGCGGAGATAATGCATGGCAGAAGCGTTTCCGAGGCCAGGAGGTTCTTTACCTTCTTGTCAAAAACGGCGGAAGCATGCTCAAGCGTCATCAGCCGCGACACTTCAAAGGTTACCGGCCATAAAAGATCGCAACTGGTACAGGGCAGAAGGAGCTCAGATAGGCATCGCACATGCTGACCATCAGTGACCTTAGTAAGAGAATCTATGGCCGCTCGACAAAGTAGCCCTCGGGCGTCTACCTGCTCGGCAGTCGAATTAGACTCAAGGAGGTAATCAAGGCTATCCGCAACTACGACTTCATAAATGGGGCTGCGACGAATTCCATAGGCTGCGCGTGCTACAGACCCCAAAGGAAGCTTGCCAGGCGTGACAACATGGAGTGTAGCGGGCATTAAAAAAGAAATAATTGTATTTTTAAGGTTTGATGGCATGGCATCTTCGCACGAGCTTTAACCAAGTACTATCGTTAGAAAAGTTCTATACAGGTGGTCCCGTTCTACCAACGAAGGATGGGGCTAGATTAGTCTGTTTTTACGACAATCGTCTGTCCCTCCTGACCGTACCACATGGCCGCTACGATGCCTCCATCTCAGTTAGCGACGAGGGGGATATGCTCACTGCCATGGTAATACACCCCACGAGGGATGAGGCCGTAGTTGCGAGCAAATCTGGAGTCATTTATGTTGTCGACCTGGAAAAGGGTTTGGTCCTCCGGACCCGTAAATCCAGTCACCAGGCTGTAATAACCTGCATAGTCTTCGACGCAACCGGGTCACTTTTTGCCACTACATCTGCGGATAAAAGCGTTCGTGTGTGTAACTACGATGGTCTCTACGACACTCACTGCTTCAGAGATTTTTCAACACTGTGTGTTAAGTCCATGTTTCTCTATGACATGGAGTCCCCAAATCAATACTTGTATCTCATTACTCTATCACGCTCTGAGCTACTCGTCCACGAGTTGCATTCAAAGCAATGCATTGGGAAAATTACTGCACATCTAAGCACCATTTTTGCATTTACCTTGCTGGATGACTACCTAATTTCGTCCGGTGAAGACAAGGTCCTAGTTATTACACAAATAGCTGCAGGATCACTTATTCAGAAGCGCATTGTCAACATTCACAGCACGTTTGTTGATATGGTCGTCTGCGGAGATGCTCTTGTCGGCCCTTCTACAAGCGATGGTGACATGTTGCGATTTGTGCTGTCTGAGGTCTTCAACACAAAGACCACAGAGAACTACGTCAATCACTATGCCTCGACAGGAATGGATCTCAACTACAGCAAAGATCTTATGAGTACCAATCACCACTACTGTTCAAAGTACTTGGGCCGTCCGTTTGCCGAGGACTTCGTTTCCGACCCTCCGGGGAGCCGTAAGCATAACAGCTATGTCGGCATCTGCAGCTTTTCCTACAAGATTCCTTATTCGGTGGGTTCGAGCAGACCATCCGATGCTGCCGTGCACCACTTTCTTCTATCAACGACGTCGGATCTACTTATTCTCCTCTTTGATGCTACAACCATGGAATACATCTGTCCCCCAGGTAAGCAGTTACCAGACCCCCTTTCCATTTCAGAGTACAGTCAGCTTCCACGTTTTCGCATGCTGGTCGTCTCTACCATCTGCTCTGATAGCGGGGAAGTGCTTGACATTAAGAAGGTTTCAAGCAACGAGCTGGCTATAGGAACTAGTTCCAATCAGGTCCGTGTCATTCGTTACCTCGAGAGCAGTGAAGAGTCGGGGGCAGTAACTGTTGTGCAAAACTATTCGTGCTATGGCCACAGCGACTACGTGACGTGCATTGGGGCATCTGCTGAGTCGAGCGCCTTTTGCACTGCATCAAAGGATGGGACTGTTCGGCTTTGGCAGCGCCTTCCTTTAGAGGTAGATATCAGCACCACTGACCTTTATGCCTCACTGCAGGTCTCTCACTCTGCTGGCAATGAACAGAATGTTCTGGCCTACCCCCTTCAGTTGGCAATTACACCGTGGGTATGCACAGCCATACTAGAGGATGCTGCTTCTGATATAGACTGTGTAGTGCTATGTGCGGGCAAACGGTGGTTTGCCGCAACAGGTGCAGCGGATAAATGCTTACGAATCTACGATTTATCTGCATTTGCTCAACTAAGTGATGACAGTGTCCTTACGCCCAGGACGCTCCATCCTACTGCAACGGTTTTGGCTCACCTTGATTCTATCAACCATATTGCTCTATCTCCGAATCAACGGCAGTTAGCCACTGTTTCAGCAGATCTTAGCTTGAAGTTGTGGGGCGTTGATGATCTATCGCATCCTCAATTTATCGTAGAAATGCAAAAGGCTGCTAAGCGCACCATTTGGTCTGTTGAGTACTCACTGCATGAAAAGCTGCTCGCTCTTGCCTGCGGAGATAAGCGTATTCGTTTAGTGCAGATAACTGGGAGGGGTAATAGTGGTGACACGAAGCTCTCTCTTTTCAAAACATTAGAGGGACATGGCAACGCGGTTATGCGGGCGTGCTTCATGTCTCATGGGCAGCAGCTTGTATCTGTTGGAGCAGACGGTTTAATAAAGGTCTGGAATTTGGAGACAGCAGACTGTGTGTTGTCCTTACAAAATGCACGGAAGATCCGCGACCTCGGTCTTGAAGTTGACCATCTGTATGGCACAGAGAGTCTCAGGAAAATGTGGGGCCTCATAGTTTTAGATGATGGCCGCGCTTGTATTACCGGAGATAGCGACGGTATTATACGCTGGTATGTCGATAACACAGAGGAGGTGCGACAAAAGGAGAAAGAAGCGGAAAGCCTCTGTATCCTCCAGAAGGAAGAGGTTGAAAGCGTACTTGTTGGCTCCTCATTAGACCGAGATGCTGTTGTCAAGGCTTTTCGATTAGCTCTCAACATTTATACATCAAAGAATCGAATAGACACGGTCCCACATACAGCACGATCTGTCAGAGATGCAGACATTTACTTGCAAAAGATCATAGCAAAGGTATGCGATTCTGAGGACCAAATGAGATTTCTGGCGGAGGCTATCGAGGCCACAGGTCTTATTCGTGTACCAGAGCTGCTTCATCTGGCACAGATTTGGATGCGTAACGGACGTCTCTCGAGGCTAGGCTCCATCCTCTTGCTAGCGACATTCCGTGCTTATCCGGTAGGTGCCATCGTCTCTGCATATGGGGATCGCATCGCCAGCACAGTCGAGGAGCTGGCCCGGCTCATGAGTAACTACCTGAGGAAGATCCAGCTCCTTCGCGCAGACTGTGCCCTAATCGACATGAGCTATAGCTACTTCTCGTTTACTCAGTAAGTAAACACGGGTGCACTCGGACTAAAAGTACGCAGAGATGTCCACCTTCTCGCCCTTCGCACGTTGCTGCTCCGCCAAGAAGGCCGCGGCTCTGAGCTTCCCAGCGGTCTCCTCCCCCGTCTTGGCGACAAGGTGACTGAAGATGGAGTTTTCCCTGCGGAGGAGGTTGGCAGGAGTGTCGTACTCAGCAATTCTACCTGCGTCAACGACGAGAATGCGGTCGAAGTCTATGATAGTGTCGAGGCGGTGAGCAATCGAGAAGATTGTCGTGTCGGCCAGGTTTTCCCGAATAGCGTCCTGGATGAGTCGGTCGTTTTCCCGGTCGACCTGGGCGGTGGCCTCGTCGAGCACGACGCAGCGGGGCTCTCGAACCAGTGCGCGAGCCACGCAGACAAGCTGACGCTGACCTGCAGAGAGGTTGTCCCCATTGGCTGCGATCTTGGCGTCGAGTCCGCCGGGTTGCTTCTCGAAGTACTCGCGCATGCGGACCTGCTCGAGCACCCGCCAGAGCTTCTCGTCCGGAACTTTCTCAACGCCAGGCCCCGGCTGCAGTCCCTCTGCAACGGAAGCAGAGTAAGCACAGAGGGACTGGCGCAGCGTGCCTGAAAACAGGAAGGGCTCCTGGGGAATGATGGCGATCGCTTGGCGGGCCTGGTGAAGGCCAACATCCGCCAGCAGGTTGACGTTGTCGATGACGATGGAGCTGCCGGCGTCCGGCTCTGCAAGGCGGAAGAACGCGACGGTCAGCGACGATTTCCCTGCCCCTGTGCGCCCGACCACCCCGACGTGCTCGCCGGGCAGGATCTCAAAGTTGCAGTCCCTGAGCGTTAGATCCAGATCGGGGCGGTAGCGGAAGTTGAGATTTTTGACCTTGATTCCCGCCTCTGGAGCACGGGGCCAAAGTTCGCTCGCCAGCGTGCATGACTCAATGATCTTGTTAGCCCTATCGCTCAAGTCCTCTGCAGGCAGGTCGCCGTACTCCATGACGCGCTCTATGGATGTGACCTCGGCCTCCGCCTGGACCCACGCCGTGACGAATTGACTGAGTATCATTTGGATGTTGAAGGAGTACGACAGTATCAGGCCCGCATACTGAATGAACTGTATCCCGCCGATGTTGACAGGCGCAATGACGCAGCTGATAAGAGCGATGAAGCCGCAAAAGAAGGCCCCAATGACGTTCAGTCGGAAGCTCAGCCAGCGGGGGAGAGAGATCTGCATCCAGTATGCCGACGAGTTGATCGTTATCTGTTCCCGGGCCTTGGCGATGAAGTGGGACTCGAAGCTGTACGCACGAATCGACGGCAGAGCCCCAAGGCTCTCTGTGCAGATGTTGATGACCGGGGACTTGGTTATGCTCTCCAGTCGCTTCACCTGCGGGGCAACGCGGCGGAACATGAAGAAGATGACAGCGTAGAGGATGATCGTCGGGATGACGACTATAAGGGCCGGCCAGGCCAGGACGCATATCATTACGAGCATCCCTACCAGCGACGCGCCATTCCCCAGCGCCTGGTTTATGAACCGCATCACCTGGATGTCCATGGAGTCTGTGTCCTTGCTGAAGCGGTTGAGGATCCGCCCCGTCGGAGTTGTGTCAAAGAACGACATCGGCGATCTGAAGATAGATCGGAGCATCTTCTTGAAGAGTGCGCGCGCGGCAGAATTAATGAACGAGACGAGGAAGACAGACGACAGGTAGGCCATAAGCATCGTAGACACGGTCATTCCGGCGTAAATCCCGATGTACTTGTAGTTGTACGACTTATCGGTGTCAGACAGTTTGAAATGATACTGGTCCTTAACCCAGTGATTGATCAACACGCCCTGGTATTGGGTGGATCCCTGCCATAGCAAGACAAACACGAGGTAGCAGAGGAGGCTGCAGCGAGACCCGGACCTGAACCAGCGCTTGTAGAACGTCCCTGAGACGGACCCCTGCTGAGCAAAGGCCTCTGCAAGCATGAGCTTCCCCTTGGCCTCGTTGCCGTCATCGGTCACCAGCGCCAGGTCGCGCCTCTTCTCCTCGTCGGTCTGGGTTGGAATAACGAGCTGGCTCGCCACGCTCTCGATGCGTCCGGCATTGTTTAGCCCGCTGGCCACGGACGTGGTGCGGGAAAATCCGAAGTCGATGCCCTTGTTCATCAGGTTGTCCGGCGTGTCGCTGTGGACGATCTCCCCGTCCTCGATCCTGATGACAAGGTCGCAGTTTCCGAAGTACTGCGTCTGGTGGGACGCTATCAAGACGGTGGTCCCCTGCTCCTTCAGGAATCCACAAATGACCTCGTTCCACAGCCTCTGCCCGACGTGCGAGTCGACGGCGGAGAGGGGGTCGTCAAGGAGCAGGATGTCACAGCCCGAGTACACGGCCCGGGCCAGAGCGACGCGCGCCTTCTGCCCGCCCGACAGAGAGACGCCCTTTTCACCGATCTCTGTCAGGTCGCCCGCCTTGAAGAGCTTGAGGTCGGGTATCAGGCAGCAGATGTCGAGCACCTTTTCGTAGCGAGCACGGTCGAAGGGCCGGTAGAAGACGATGTTGTCACGCAGGGTGCCAGAGAAGATGCAGGACGACTGGGCAAAGTACGCGACGGACCCGTAGATGTGGACGTGGGGGATCTGTGGGTCGAACCTGGGGTCCTCCGTCGAGTACTTCTCGACGAACGAGGTAGGAGGCGTTAAGCCGGTCTGGTAGTCGAACTTGATCTCCAGGTTGTTAAACTTGTAGGAGTCCAGCTTTGCACGCTGCTCTCTCACCAGGCGCAGCTCGCCCAGCAGAGCAGAGAACAGCGTGGTCTTGCCGGCGCCAACAGGCCCGCAGATCCCCACGAGGTAGCCCTTCGGTATGCTGAGGTCGAGGTTCTTGATGCGTGGAGGCAGATCAACGTGGTTGGGGTTCTTGTCGAGCTGCGCGTCAATGATCTGCTTGCACCTGGCAGGGTCTTTCCTGTACTTCTTGAGGTCGCGCGACACTTGGTTCTGCTCGGCGGCCAGGTCGTAGAGACCCCGTACCACAATCCGGTGCAGGAACGTCTTCTTCAGCACCTGGTAGGGGTTATCGTCCGGGGACGCCTGGTAGGCCTGGGGAATGTAGGCGCCGAACGACGTCACCTTGTCGGGCGGTAGGAGGCCGAACTCAATGACCCACGAGTCGATGTAGCGCATCGCATCGGCCTCCTTGTCGGTAACATCGATAGAGTCGAATCGATTCAGCAGGATGTCTTCCTCGGTGGCGTCCACGGATACGGAGGGGTTCTTTGTCTTCCACGCCTTGTACTCCTTGACCTTTTTCTCGTAGTGCTTCTTAAATCGGGGATAGAGCTGCAAGACCTGCCTCTGCTTCTTCATGTTGTCCTTGAACATCGGGTCCAGGAGCGGCGGTATAATGGAGTCCTCCCTCAGGCCCCAGCAGAAGCTGGGCTGGTTGGACGTTTTGATTGCGTAGGGCACCGTCTCGCCCTTGGTAAGGGTATAGGACCTCTCGCGGGTGACGACCCCGTAGTCCGGCTGCGGAAGCGTTATAAAGGTCAGGATGCGCTTGGAGCTTATCTTCGACTCGGAAATCCCGGACATCATCAGTGGCATGAAGACAAACACCAGGCCCAGCATGTTGTATACGAACACCGCGGTGTATGCGTTGGCAACGTCAAAGCTTGAGCTGGTCATGAAGAAGAGGAACCCAAAGAGGGACATCAACGGTGCAGCGCCGTTGACGACAAGACCAAAGCCGGAGAGAATGATGCCAAAGCGGAAAATCATCCCTATCTCCTTGTTGCGGATGTTCATCACTCGCGCCTCTTGGACATCCTCCATTCCGAAGAGCTTGACGACCTTCATTCCGTTGAGGACCTCAGAGATCTTCTTGACACGCAGGTCTGTCATGCTGAGCAAGGAAAAGAGGAGCCGGGTAAAGGCAAACAGGATCAGTCCAACAATCGGCAGGATGATGAAGAGAGCAATCAGGCCTCCAATCCCTTTGGGGTCGATCTCGATGGCCATGTAGACCAGGTAGCAGACAAACATCAGCGGCATCGTCATCACGAAGATGAGCAAAAGCATAAAGTTCGAGATCCTCATCGTGTCTGCGAAGAGGAGGTTGACCAGGTTGCCGGCGGCAGAATTTTGGCGGGTGATGTCCGAAAGAGACAGCATCTTGTTGTACAGGATGTCCAGGGTCCCGCCCAGGAAGCGCGACACCATGTCTGATAGCAAATACCACAGGATCGAGTCGGAAAGAGCGTAAATGAGCTGCCCAAAGAACACGGCTAGAATGTATGGGTATGTAATCTGCAAAACGGCGACAATGGCGTCCCAGGTATTTTTCTGCTGACCGATGCTGCCAGGAACAGTTGTAATGAGGTGATTGCTAATCCGTTGGATTGTGAACGGGGCGACCATCTGTGCAGCGACGAAGAACAGGATCATGATGCAGGCAGTAATAAACCTGCCCATGGAGGCCCTGATGACCGACAGTATGATGCTGGGCTGCTTCCCCTTGTATACCTTTTTATTCCACTCCCGTACAAAGTCTGTCGCAGCGATCTGAGGGCAGTGCCGGTCAACCGGAGGGTGGAGGTCGGACAGGTAGAGGGTTCCCTGGCGGCCGGACCTCTTGATTATCGGGGACATGAACGTGAAAAAGGGGTTCAGGCAGCTGCAGTACAGGCTCTGCAGCGGACGCTTGGTGCTGAAGTTGGCCTTGTCAAAGTCTGATGGTGGAGGAGGGTAATTCTTAGTGCAACACCCCTTCCTGACGTGCCCTGCTGCCTGCTTCTGCCCGTCCTGCACGGCACCTGACGAAAGTGTCTCGGAAGCGGACATCTGGAATTGATTTCCTGCCGAATTGATTTTTCAAAAATACTAAAGATACTTACGAATATCATAAGGTGCATAAAAGGATTAGTTTAATAGTTACAGAACCCATTGAGTGCTTTGGAACGCCACGGTGCGCAGAGCATGTAAGTGCTGCCCGTGGCATTGTGCTGAGAATGAAGTTCTGTTTTCGCAACTCTGTTACTGCGCTGAATGCATGAGACTTCCAAGACCCCTCTGTCCTTCGTTATGCTGAGGTGGCAGGTCTCTGAGATTCATGTGGGGTGCCCGATCAACCGATTTCAAAAAGGATGGATTTGGACAGACAGCCAGAGAGCCCAGGAATGCCGCCATGGAGGCCCTGCTGCCTTGTGGCTGCGTTCTGAAGGCGGTCTTTCTGATACCTGGGCATCCTCAAGGCAGAGTTAAAATAGAATGACCCAGCCACTTCGTGTACCAGCGATGCTGGGTGGCGAATCCCTTAAGAAGAGTGAACATATTAAGCCAGAACATAAAGAACTGCATAAAGCGCCGAGCAAGACAGCTTCTAGCGCAGGTGGGTCAGGTGTTAACGTCGAGTTGCCACCGCAGGCCCGCCCAGTCGGAGAGCACAGATCGAGCTCGTCAGCGATTCCATTGAATAGTTCATGCACACAATGGGACAAGAGCAATGCTGTGGCCCCCTCTCCGCACGTGTGCTCCATATTCGTGGCAGACATGGACAGGCTCTGTGGTGGCCTGCCGGTTCTCTATCGTTACAGCGCGCATGGTATTCTGCCTGCTTATCTCCTTTCCATCAGCCCACGAACGAGGCAAGCCGTCGTTCGAGTCCCGTCGGCGTATAATGCAGAGTTGCTGGAGCTCTTTGTGACTGTTCCGACGAGCGCGTTGATGCTTGTGCCTCACTTTCGACAGGGTGGCCTCGTCGGGACACTTGGGACGCTGGCCTACTCTGCCTATTTGAAGGAGACCAAGCTCCCTCGTGACTTGCTGCAATCCTCCGTGGCTGCTGATAGTGGCATGGCAGTCAGAATTGTAGAGGAAACAGAGTCTGCTGCGAAGACCATATGCCAGACTCTTCAGACCGCAGAAACGAATCTGGTCCAGAAGCTGGTTGTTCCACCGCGATGCAATCAGGCGTTTCTGGGCGCCTTGACACCGACTGAGCTGTCACACATGGGCATAAGGCAGCCAGGATACGATGTCGCAGACGATGAGCCCACAGAAGCTTCGGGAATACTTGACACAGAGTACAGCGATGTGGTTTCAGAAGTATCGGCTTCCCTTAGTGGCGGTGCTAAGAATCATGCAAGGAAGCCACTGGTTATTTGCATAGGTGATCTTTACTTTTCACGGTACAATCCTCTTTTCCACCACAAAGCTTATACATGCTTAAGTGACCTCGTAGACCGTGAGCTCAGGCGACTGAGATTCCCTGATGGCTCTGATCTGGTGGGACTGAAGAAACGTCTCTTGAAGAACCTTTCAGAGGAATACCTTCTTTCGTTGACGGCAGTGAAAAACGCTTTGGACATGTCAACAACGAAGAATGCATTTGTCTGTGATACGCTCTTATTACAATCAGGTCTTAGCCTGTTTGCAACCTGCGCTCAAGATAATCTTGTGGACATCGGAGACCTCTATCAACGAGTATCCTGTAATTGCGATGCACTCCTGAAGCATCTTGAAGATGATTATGACCGTGCAATCAACAAATCTAATAGTAGAGAACGATTCAGAACTTGTTACGCTGCCCTAACTTCGTCCACCAAGTTTGAAAAGCAATTCCAGAGAATTCTAAACAAATACCTTGCAGTTCTTCTTCCAAAGATACATCTATTTGTATTGTCTTTGGGATCCATCGGAGACACCGACCTTCACACCCTGATCGATGCCCTCATTTGTATATTCCAGTTCCTTGAGACTAACTCGCTACAGACACATCCGTTTTATAATATCGTTCCTTTCCTAGATAGTCTTCGGGAAGAAGTAGTGGATCTAGTGGTTCTATTCTCAGACTGCTTGGTACCATCCACCTATGTGGACTTTATACACTTTGTTCTAGGGTCTAACCTTTACAATCTAATATGTACTACTAAAGATTTATCGTCTAATTCCAGGATTGCAAGTGCTATTGCCTCATTGATTAAGGAAGAGCAGCTACCCACTTACAAAACAGAACTGATTGTGCGATTAAAAAAGGCAGTGGTATCGTCTAGAAATAGACAAAAGAGAGGAGTGAAGCTCAGGAAGGCTCAGTTCTACACACATCTGAATAAGTTCCTTGTAGAGCGGCTCTTGTCCTCTGTTGCCTGCATCATGTGTGAGGAGTACGTTCGAACGATGCGAGCAAACGAAGCACAGCAGTCCACATTGAGATGCCCGGAGGATATCATAAAGGTCTATATGCTCTTTGTGCGCATCCTAGCCAATATTTGCGCAGATGAATACGCAGATGCAGCATTGAAGTGGCAGACAGACATGCTCGAATACATGGACGTCATGAGCGGCAGAGCAGTTTCCGATCAACGACCTTTGGCTCATCCCGATGGGCTCGTCAAGAGTTCACTTCTGGAGCGCCTTGAAACACTAGGATTATTTCCAGTTGATGAGGAGCAGGACACCCTTGCCAACGTACTGCAAATTGAACTGGATTTTGTAGCAGATATCAACCAGAGTAAGACAGACATAACGGGATTGTACACCAATCCGCCTCCTGAGGCAATTATCGATTCTCTCCGTGAGCTATTTTTCTGTGCACTCGATAGCTCAAACTATCTCTACATAATTATCAAGGAGTTCTTTAAAACCTACGTTGCAAGAGGCATTATCCCTAGGGACGATCTGGTCTTCTTATCAGCAGATGTGGGTTCCACAAAGGTGCTTGAAGAATATAGGGCGCTTGAGGCACAGATTTTAGCTCCATTGAGGAGTGCACCACTAGATAAGATTATCTCAAGCACACTCACGAAAGTGCAGCAAGAGGCCCAGGCCAAGAAGACGCCGTTCATAAGTGCTCCAGGTTGGAAAGGCGCACATGGTGCCAATATGGTTAGTGTCTCTCAGCAAAGACCACGTTCTACAAACGATGTAGATCTGGCTAAGGAGATTTTCTCTGCATATTCTGGGCTTATTTCAGAGACAGATATGTTGGAGTATACACGACTTAGCAAGACAGACTCCCAGTTAATTGCTGGGCTCTTGGCTCGCCGAAAGGCTCTTCTTGCTGAGTGGGTAGAGACAATCTTCCAATATCAACTAGATCACGAAAACCAATCCTACCAAAAGGTAGCCCTGACTAATGATGACATCTATGGATGCAAGCCGTTTCTAGATATGTGCTCGGAGTGTGATCATAAGATTTCTGTGTCTCCAGCTTCAGAGCCTACTAAAGGACTTTTTGGAGATCTATTCGACTCGCTTATTGGCGTCATACGGCTAGCATGTGATATTCTTATTGATGAGGTTGGGCTTAAAGAGTTGCGGAAGCTTGCAGATAAAACCGTTCTTCAGCAGACCTGCCCTATCCTCGAAGCCCCGCAACCAATATCTCTTCCACCACAGATTATATTTAATTTAGATATTGGTGGTTATAATTTGCTATTTTTGTCCAGAGATGATGTTGCCGCTATAGATGTTTCAAAGACCCAAGGAGTCAGTCTTAAGACTGAAATCCAAGACAGTTCGGAAGACGCATTAGTGGTATATAGTGTAGAAGGTGTAGAAAGTACTACTGATCCTAGTGCCGATTCCTTGCAGCCTCGGCTATTGACGTTCAACGATGTTGAAATATTACTACATCAGAAGCCCTCGGTTCTAATGAAGCTCGTTCACAATGCTACTATCCTAACATCTAAAATAGATAATTTTCTTCTCAATCATATTATATCGCTTCCTTCGCTAATTGGGAATAAGGTTATTCGATTTAACAACCTGCAGTTCAAGGCAGCAGTCATCAAGGCCATGTGTACCCTTCGCAGGACTGTAGCTGATCATACCCATCTCATAGTGAGAACGGTTACTTCGCATCTCTTTCGAATAGTCGTTTTGACAGAGTCTATCATGGGGAAAGAACCCAAGTCTCCGGATGACCTTGCCTTAATGATCAATGGCCTCGAATGTTACGACAATTTTGTAAAGTCGTGGATACCAACAGGTCTAGTATTGGTGGATCTGCTTATGGAAATGCGTCTTCTAGAAAGCGGGTATTTGGACTTTCTTTCTGTTCAAGTGGCTAAGCCTGCTCCCGATGCTTCTTGTGTATGGGGATCCTTTTCGGCTTTATACAGTAGTGAGAGCAGCGCACCTGTACAGAATAACACACTAGAAGATGGCTCAGGCACAGATGTGCAATCTATTCGAGCGGACTGTAATCCCCATACAGAGCAAGTATGCACTAATACACCAGATAATGTTCCTAACGATGTTCTGCCTCCACTGTCTGCAGATCTGCTTTCTTGCTTCGCAGCGGTTGACCCTTCTGCACCCGCCTCTGATGCTACTAACGATTCTGAGTTTGCTGTCACACTAGACTACTTCAACAATGCTCCCCACCGATCGTTCAATGTACACGCTCTATTAGTTAAAATTTTTAAGATAACAGGTCTTCAGAAGATTGCACGGCACATAATAAAATCTCACACACGTACATTTGCAAGGCACCTACTAAAGTTAAGTGATTGGGTCTCTGATACAACAGTACTGCTACATGAATACTGCAAGGAGGTACTGCGGATGAGCTATCGGGACATCTTCATAGCACGGTTCTACCCTCGCCAATTCAAGCAGTCCTTTTTCTTCCTTACAAAAGATTTGAATATATCCTTCCTCGACGATAACTTCGAGGTTTTAGAAGATGAGCTTGTTATGGAATTTCTTGAGTCAATCCAGGCTTACGTTAAAGGGTTTCAGCTGCTCCGTTCCCCAGTTGAGCGGTCTCGTCTCCGCATGACACAACCATTGACACGTGCAACCATTCGCACAGCTGCTATCCAGGACTCTCTGCATTCTGGCCCCCATAGTCGTCGATTTATGGCTCAATACTTTCGCCCAGCCGAAGCTATGCTTATCCGTAACGTTACAAGCAGCGACGAGTCTACTCTTGACATAAATGATGCAGAGTTATTCAAACTAACTTTTAATCAAGAAGGAGGACCATCCAGTTCCTCTGCTAATGAACTGGCTCAAGCATTAACAGAAAGCACTTGCGACACACGCCCTCTCTCAGCATCTTCGGCACCTCTTAAAATTGCAGATTTAAGAACCGCATGCGATACTGAAGAAAACGCAACTTCCCTAGCAGAATGTCCGAATCTATTCTATAACGTATTTGAAATTTTCAATGAGCTACTGTACATAAGCGACGTGCTGCATCAAATCCATCAAGTGGCTCTCCGCTGGGCCGACTGCCTCGGAGTGACACTTAATTTGGCGGACAATCCGAATGAGATTGTATCCATCATTCATCCCGCATCTGTACTCATTACTTCACTGTATAGCATAAAGCAGCGGTACTTACATCTGCAAACAATCCTCCTGAAAGATACCAACGTTCAAGATTTCATGACCCTTTTGTCTGAAGCCGCTCAGGCCATCGTTATAGGAAAGCAGAATCCCTCTTTTCGTCTCTGGGCAGACACCATTCAAGCCGCTGAGGCAGACTTACTAACGCTGGGCCCCAAGGTTTTCTACTTGCACTGCCTTAGTTCCCCTACCCTCATGGCTGCTGACTTCAAACAGCTGGCTGAGGAACTTTCGCTTCCCCTCACAGAAGATAAGTTGATTCCAAATGCCCAACTTCTCGACATTTCTGATTTTGATTATGCACTTCGTTTGGCCAGAATGATCTTTACTCGAGCGGAAAAGAGCACACAGACGCTTCTGCAGCTGGCCGAAATCGATACCTTTCTTCAGAACCTTCAGATCTTCCCCTGCGAACTTGTTATCCACATCAATCTGTCTAATGAGCTAGGGGTACTGTTTAATAAATGGCAGAACTCCGACTCCATGGCTACTCTAGAAGAGGATCAACAGAATCAGGACTTAGACGAGCCCCAGACGGCACCAATTCAGCTATCTGCTGTTCCACCTCGTGGGACCAGTCGTCGTGGAAGCAAGCTAAGTCTGGCTCTGTCGGCTCAGCCCAACAACGAGCCTGATGATAAGAATAAGCAGAATGCCTCCAGTTCTTCCTCCAATGCGCCAAAAGGTCCCAAAGCCCGTGCATTTTCACGTCTTAGTTCTCTCAAACTAAATGTGGACGAATTATCAACTGCGGAAGAAACACCTGAAACATCTGGTATTATAATATCCCACTGGAGTTCGGGCTCAAAGGAAAATTTGCTTGCAAGTACCTCCGGTGCCCCGACCTCCACTGCAGGCTCCATGACACCTAATAGTATGCTCTCGCACGCAAGCAAAACTGTGCTACCTTTCATCCAGGTACACTCGGGGTTGCTGAAAGTCATTCGGGAGGCCCTTTTTTTCGTGGCTGACATCCTTTCTCGTAAGCACCCTCATACAGTCCAGGCAAGAGCTCGCCAACTGGAGGTACAGCTTCTTCTCTTGCGCAGCGCACTTATCTCTATTAGTCGGGTTTCTATGCTGCTCCCTGAACTCCTATATATTCTACCTCGACTAACCATTGTCAGGAACGGGGTTCAAGATATGTCCTTTCTTAGCTTGTATAATGATTTTGGAGACTACAAACGGACCATTTTTAACACCCTAAACGTCCTCCGTGAAGCAAACAAGCTATCTAGTGTGAACCCTGGTCCGGGATCGTTTCTGGCGTTGATCACTGGCAAGCCTCAGTTATTCACACAGCTTGCCCACTGCACACATGACTTAAGTAGCATTCTAGAAAATGTATACACGCATGTGTTATCTATTCCGATGATTCCTCATTACAACGGTAAGCCTGTGGCCTGTGCCCTTCTTCTTCCAAAGATTCCCTCCATCTTCTATAGCATCTTTTCTCTCCAAGAAAATCTCAACACACTATACTACTGCCCTGCAGTCTATCAGTCAGTGCTCCCTAACTTTGATCGCGTACTCCTGGGCAACCCCAGGAATATGAGCTACTGTGAGGTAGGATTCAATAAGAAGTCTAGTATGCACGCGCTTCCTCATCTTAGCCCTTCCGATATCATCATTGTTGGTTTAGAATCAGGTTTTGAGCGTCTGTATTTTGAGTATGGACTCAGAGCACCGCAAGAACTTTTCCTTCTTTCTGGAATGCTAAATGATATGCGGCTCCATCGAGAGGGTCTGCTTCGCGAACACAAGCGAGCGGTTCTTCTTCTTATATCTCTCAGGATCTCTGAGCTTCTCTGCCAGTGTCTCTACCAGAGCATAATCTATGCACTGACTGTTGTCTTTTGCCTACACCTGGATGGGAATGTTGACCACTTCTTTACTTTGAAGTTTACCATTTTCGAGCAGCTAAAGCGTCACTTGGTAAGCCCAGAACTCCACGACAGCTTAGAGCAAAAGGTTGACTATACCTTGCTTTCGTCAGATTACAAAATACCCGAGACTTATATCAATACCATCCGCCGAGAGCTTTTCGGGTTGACAGGGCCGATGTCTAATGATGATGAGCTATTGGCAAAGAGCGTAGAGAAGGTTGCCAAAATACAGTACTACAAACAGCGGCGCTGTCAAAGATACCTTTGCTTCAAGGCAATTGCTGCCCGTGTCTTCGAATACGATCAGCTTTTAAACCTCATTATACACCAAACAATAGAATACTATAATGACCACTATGCAGATGCAGAGATTGCTGCGTTAAAGGGATCTCGCAAGAAGGCAAAGAGTATAAGGATTGAGGCCATCTCACAGCCGGACTTTGCAAAGGCGTTATCGATGGAAACAATTTCCAAACTTCGAGAGATCTTTGTGCAGATCCATCACTCAAAAATACATCGGTCCATACTAACGAGCGCTGGATGCAGTCTTAATGTGGAGACAAATAAGATTTTAAGTAGCCTTGCTTATGGGTTCATTTCTTCCTCCGTGCTAAGAGACGACACTACAGATGCATTCATCAAACCATCCCAGATGTCTTCTGCTCCTCCGACAAGGGTAATGATGACTGCAGAGGATGCCACTCTTCGGTGTGCGACACGGGGCTTTGGAAAGGCAGCAGTCAATATTGTTAACTCTGCCGCCAGTGCTTCTAGAGCAAGAGATTCAGAAGAAAAGGTCTCCGTGGATTCTCACAGGACTACAGGGTCTATAACATTTACACAGGATTGCAAGCTCTTTGTGGGGTCATCCATGGTCAATCTGGGCCCACACTATCTGGGAAAGGCGACTATCTTGGATTCTTTGCCGCTTAACTATAAGCAGCTAGCCGTCGTTGCTAAGATAATAGTGGGGTTTGTTCAGCGCAAGCCTATATTCATCTACTCTGACAAGCTGCGTGGATACAACCTTCTAGATACTAAGATCATAGCACAATACACCAGTCGATTACTCTGTACGCGGCACATCTTTCTCTCGCTGACCAGTTATTCCCCAGCGAACCTTATAATTCTTCAGATTATCTCCTATTTCATGGCTGGATACGGGGTCTACCTGCATGGCCTGGAGTTTTTATCAACAGAGCACCATGCGCGCTTGATTGACTGCTTCAACACCATATACCTTGCTCGGGGGAGCTTTCCGATTGTCAAGTACCAGAGCGGTGGATCGGTACCAGGAGAGCTTGCTCTGAATGACTTTTCAACATGCATGTTCACAGGGTACATCGTCATCATCCTTCCTGAACTCATATATCATGAAGATGGATCGATTAGCCTCTCGACAACTGGTCGTAATATGAATAGCCTATTCAACCAGGCAAAAATAGAAGCTTTTCTTGACAGTTTTGGTTCTAGTTTGGCCACTTCTGCCACCAAATTGAACACCCTCCTTACAGGGGCTCTTTGCAATCTTTCCGTGTCTTTACCAACTGGCAGCAGGCAGCCCCCAGGTACGCGGTTGACTAATGAACGCGGTGACTTACCGGAAGGAAAGCCCCGCTGTAAGATTATGGCGCAGCTGTATGGGGCCATTCTTACGGATTTTCTCGGAATTGTACACTTTGACCCTACACTTGTGCGGACTACCTTCAAGTGTCTTCCTAACGCTGAGGTCTTGATGCCTATCCCAAGCAACCACGTTCTTTACCACCTCTTTAAGAAGAAGGGGGAAGCTCACGCAGAGTCCTTCTATGAGATATCTCTCCTTCTCAATGCCATGCAGAGCGCGTGTCCAAAACTGTATCCAGACGATATTGATATCATATATAAACGAGCTCGTGACACGACAAACACTTTCAGTGTGGCCATTACTACTGCTCTTTTGCTGATTGGACAGGTCTATTCCCTCTCAATAAGGGATTTTCTTATCAAGGTAGTTGCCTTTGCCTTTCGACTCACAAGTGCTCAAGTCAGCCACATTCACAAGATAGTCGCTAGCCTAAACAAGTTACTTAATCTTAGTACTGAAGAACCCGTCCTCAAGAAGGCTCTAGCGCGTGATATACCTGCATCTCGGTCACATGTATATGATACTTCAGCAGACCACAGTACCGCGCAGAAGCAAGATAAGCAGCATGATAGTGAGCAGGAAGATAACCAACTTACTAATGTTCAGGCTGAAGCAGACACTTTTAAGATAAATTATACCAGAAGCCCAACTGCCTCATTGAGCCAGAACATCTGGGCTTGCATCAAGCAAACATTATCATCACAGTATGTACAGTTCTGCGAGGCAGCATCAGAGCAGGTCAATATAATAGGTCCTCTGGGCACAGATCTGCTTCTCGTCTGCCTGGAGTTTCTACAATTAGGACCTTGCGCCCTTTTCTCAAACAATCAGAGCGTACAAGTGCTAGAGTGTTATGCAACAATACTCTCCAAATTTGGACGCTTGCAGCCCTTCTTTGTCCATTCCATCAACGACTTACATCACCACAGTGATACTATTCGCCGTTTGGGGTCATCTGCTCTTGTTGTTCTTCTTATCAATGATACAACAGGGAATCTGGGACCGAGCCTGTATGGCGCCTTGTTAGCGTTTATGAACCCAGTACCACACCTCTCGATGACGAATGGAGTAGAGCTAGATTGCGAGTTGTCGGCAATGTTCAATGCTTCTCACACTGGAGACTCTCTTGTCAGTAAGTATGGACGCCCTAAGGTTCTAGTTATCACCACAGGATCATTTTTGGAGGACAAAATGTTGGCCACACCAATGGGGTTGATCCCTCACCGAATCGTCATAGACTCGTCCGTCATGCGTACAGAGGCCCTTATTAAATTGCTTGTGCTAAACTCTTTTAAGCTATCTTCTGCTACTGCCAATCACATGCTTGACTATATTCACGAAAAGATGACTCAATGCACCATAGACAATATTGAAAACCTAGACACGGCAAAGGAGTACTTCCGTAAGATGTGCACACCACCGTGTACAGATGAGGCGTCGGCCCTGCAGATGGGCCTGCGACGACTACGATTTATTAGCAGTTTGTTCTATATCTTAGTATTACATTATTTCGACCAAGCAACAGCGGTCTTTTCGATGGCGCCAGACCTGCGGGGCTGGAGGATCCTTCGCAGCACATTCTACTACTATCTTGTTTGCTGCAAGGTATGTGTGTTCAAGCCCCCAGATGTGCGCTCGTTCACAGCAGAGCAACTAGCAGAACGATTGGTGGCTACCAATCAGCAGCTAACACGTAAGCCTCAGCACCAGTCTTCTATTACTACTCAAAGCAAACCGCCAGCCCTTCAAAGCCCGTCAAGCAAGGGCCTCGGAGGCATCAGTTCAAGACGTGGAGATGCAGGTACTGTCGCCAGCTGCAATACTAACAGAACTGCGCGATTAACCAACCTGATCAATCCTTCCTTATCCTCGTTATCCACACGACATGACCTTACCATTATCCCAAGGACACCTAGCATGAAGAGCCCAACTACGCAAACAGACCCTTCAAAGACTCCAAAAGGGACCAACATGGATCTGATGAATAGTCTAAAACCAGAGGCTGAGCTTCAGTTTTCGGCACATACAACGATCAATCTGTCGCATGTTTGGTGTGCCGAGCATATTGGCTCATTCTCCAGCGCTTTGGCCATGTTTGGAGAGCGCCGATTTACCTTCTTTGATATTTCTCTGTCGGATGAGTTCCTTATAGAGTATGTTTATAGGGCCGAATCTTATGAGCAGGCATGTTTCAATCTCCTATGTCCTGTCTTCGCTGCTGTCTGGACTAGCGTGTCTTTGGCATACGTTCAGTACATAAGAGGGAAAGTGCACAGGCTCTCTAAACTCTGGATGAAGTACCTTAGCTTTCACAGCAAGCATACCATCCCCCTTCTTCTCAGTAGGTTCTCTAATGACAAGCTTCTTCAGAAGAGCCTGGAGGTGTGTCTTACGCACATTGAAGAGACGCTACCGCCAGAGTATCCTTACGAGCAACATAAGTATGCATACTTGGCGGTTGTAACTGAGAAAGGATCATACATGCAGTACACCTCTGCAAACAGGGCACATGGAAATATGCCTAACAAGCGATCAACAAACCCTATACTGAAGTCAGCAAAGCACAAACGTGATGGCAATGCAAGTGCCGGGGCTGTAGTTCCTCCGTTGACGACAGGCCCTCTTGCTAAGCAATCCTCTCGCACATCTTCAGCTATAAAAGAGCAGACAAACCACTACACTTATCTAAAGTTTCTTCCTTACAAGTTTGGCCAGAGTTTGATGACCAGCTCTCAGACGGACAACTATCTGAAGCCGACATCTGTACACAAGCTTGCTCTACACTTTGACATGCTTCGCTCTCAGCTTATTTTCTTCATTGCAATCTGCATTCTGGGCGGTGTCTCCGTCCACCTGCTCGGTCCTCGTTATTCTGGAAAGACAACGCTGATTCAAGCTGCACATGCTCTCATCCATGAATATTCTGTGATGCAGCTCTACCTACCCAGCAGTTGTGAGGAAAATAAGATCTTTTTGGCAGATGCAGCCCGTGAATTGTATCTGACCAACGGCAACGAACTCAGGTTTCCAGGCCGACAGATCCTCCATATGCACTTTACCGTTCTTTTTCTAGACAATGGCAAGTTTGAGCAGGCCCAAGAAAGTGTGCTCGACGAGCTTACAAAGCACGCCGGTCTAGATATAGTCGCTCTTTTCCTGGGAGAACGTGTTCTCTCTCTCAATTCTCCCGGCAATATATCAATATCTCCAGAGGGCGATAGTCACCAATCCCTCTTAGGAACCGTTGACGCACCAACCCTTTCTATTACCTTTGAGAGCGAATTTTATCCACCGCAACTCCAGTGCAGCCAACTAATTAACATAGTGGTTCCTGACACTGGACGCGCTTTCCTGATTGATCTCTTGCTAAACCAAAGACGATATCTCGACATCTCCTCCATACTTACTAGAGTGTATCCCGGATTAAATTGCCAAGAAGAAGCTAGTGCTAATGAAACTACGAAGATAGCTCCTGGATTCAACTTGACCACAGATCAAGCCATAACTTCATTAAATGAGCTTTCTGCCACATGGATCAAGCAACTCATTGACGGTCTCTTGCTCGTAAAAGATCAAATACCTGTAAGCCTTCTTCGCCTGCTTGCAGAGATGAAACGGCTCAGCATTTTCTCCACAGATCAAGTCCAGGACATCCAAATGCGGCTTTTTACTGCGTCTTCTGTCTTCTTGGCGCTTCGTTTCATTTCTGAAATCACAGCCCCAACCATAATCAACATTATAGATGCCCTACGTGGATCACTCGCTATGGGCAAGCTGAGTCCAATCGGTCCCTGGGGTATTCTTACTAGCTCTGATACGGCTGCTTTTGCAAAGGCTAATAAGCTATTAGAACTCTGCGGGGTAACAAAGTTACAAATGGAGCTGTCATGGGAAACCGAAACTCTTCGAATTGCGCGCGAAAACTCGCAGATCCTGGAAGACTCAGAAGCGTCTGACAGTGACACAGTCATAGATGGTACCTGTGATACATCTGAAGCAAGCAACGATCAAAGTCTTTCGGAGGTGGCAGGGTCCTATTCTTCCTTTAAACCTCACCTTCGTCAGCCTCCAGCAATTTTACGAGTAGATGGCCCCAAACCAGAAAAACAGTCACAAAAAACCGCAACAGATCCGTCCTTAACAAAGTTTGAGGAGAGCTGCGTTGTGCCATCTCTGTGTGTGCAGATGCGGGGCTACATAGAAATGCGGAAGAAGCTAAAGATTCTTCTCGGATTAAAAGCTTTCAGAGGCGTGAAAATAAGCTCCCAGACATCTCTAGGATTAAGACAGAGTAGTAGTGAAGTCTTCAAGGCGTATATTCACGCCTTCACCAAGTATGTAGTGACAAGGTGTTCACCAGGCTTGGCCAACAGAATTTTCACCGTGCACCTAACCATTCAATATGATCTAGAGCTGCGTGAGAAAAGCGTCTTAATGATGCTCCAAAGCCTGCGCAATCCACACGGGTTCCGAAAGCAGCATGGAGATAGTGCACTGGAATACTTCTCCCGGCTACAGCTGGATATAATTACCACAATTCTTCGAAAGCAAGATATTAGCAGCTCTCTACTAGATATTGTTCTTATGCTGGCTTCGTTTGGGGGCTACAAGCTGTACGGCGGTAGAGCGCTCATCAAGCTCCTTCTCCGCGTTCCATCTAGTGGAATGGAATACACCCTTGGTCCGGCAACGCTAGACACTCAGGTTTACAAAGAAAGCACTGCTTCAACAGGTGCCAAGGAGGTTAATGATGACAGTACACGTGCCGCTATAGCTGCAGCCCTAGGCTCTGTGAAAAAGGACGCTGCAAGCAAGGACCGGACGCAGTCGTCATCTTCTACATTGATCACTAAAACTAAGCTGGCGCAACACCTAGATATAAAGGTCCGCGATAGCTTAGAAATAGAGCGTCAACTAGAGAAGTATTCTGCTTTTGATATAGATGATACGACACAGACACAATCAGCAGACGAGTCTCTTGATAGAAAAACATACAAGATTATTCTGAGTGTAGACGTGTTCTTGACTCAGCAAAACCTGGACTTGAGCGATGATGTAGTACAGGCTGCCAAAAACTCTTCTTCGGGGCTGAGCATCTCTACAGAAAAGTTAACCCCCTCCCAAGTACCGTCCAGTATATTTGATGAGTTCATCAAATCCTTGATAAGCAATGTAGGTCGTCGCGGAGAGTCGCAGATGGTATACTACCTTCTTCGAGGAGTCTTCTTATTGGCCTTACAGATCAATCCCATACTCGCGCTAAAGTCAATAACGTTCATGGAGGCCCTGCAGTTTTGCAAGGTCAACAACGGGGTGAACCCAGACATAATCTCCAGCAATATACTTGATGCCCATTTGCGTGAGTTCTTCGCCATTTATAACATCTCGTCTCTCGAGCATGTCTGGATTGAACCAACATACTCCTTCTTCGTGGTCAGTTCCCTTGCGCATCTGCAGCACGTAGACTCTCTTAAGGTCATTCATGGCTTGTCGTCCTTGGGCCATGCTGGAAACATTTCTTTACGGTTATTTACACCAGCTGAGCTAGTTACTCTCTGCCTTTTAGCTAGCGAGCGTCACAAATTGGGTGTCGTCATAGATACTAGTACACTAATTAGTATAGCGTCTCGCAATTTAGCCATCCTCCTTATTGCGGACATGCCTACCCCAATTGGTATGAAGCTCCCGGAAAGCCCGGTGCTAAGGCACTTTGCAACAGACATCAGTGCTATCTCAATGCAGTCTGGGACAGAAGACACGGCTGCTGCTCATGGTTCTTCGTCTATGTCTCGTGCAGTGAGCTTCTCTATTGCTAACACATCTTTGGTACGGAAGTCTGTCTTGAGTAGTATTCCCCTGCTCTTACTCTCGGAGAATCAGCGCTACTTTTCGCTAAATCGCAACTATTTTACACTAGCAGCTGGATACAAACAGGACATTGCCGGCCTCGATGCACAGGGCAAGAGGTATCGAGGAGTCCGCTACATTCATATTCTAGCTACTACAGAGGCGGTCGCAGCAGCTACACTGCATGTCTATTTATTTGTCACCGCCAATCTTCTTCCGGACTCGATTTTTCTGACCTTTGAAAGGTTCGCAGAGCTCTCAAAACTACTGTACGAGCAGCGTGTGAGATACTACACTGCATTTCTACATTCTTGTGATATTCTTTTGCAAACAATCAAGTTGCTAAACACGGGAATCTATTGCCAAATGTTTTCTCCAACGATACGCGAAAATATCATAGCGTACAAAGATAATTTAACACTTCTGAAGAACTATCTCTATCCTTATTACAAACGTGCACTTGTGTTACTTCGCAACGCCCCCTGTGACTGCCCTGCAGCTGTAGCACGTGTATATGCCGGATCACTCCGTAAGGACGCAATCGCCTCTGATGAAGCATTTGAAACAGCTCTTTCTCAACATCTTAAGACAACTGGATTTGATAGGCTATCAATTATTCATAATGCAGGAACTGGGGGCTTTGCAGATACCTTGTTTGGGTCTAGCAAAGCGGGTCTAGATGTCATCACAGATACGTATCTACGTGACATCATAGATACTATCACGTGTATGTTCGATGATTGTGATGTACCGTTTGCTGAGGCTCACCAATCAAGCGAAGTGTTTAAGGCAAACGCTCCTCCACCAGGAAAGAATTATTCAGAGATACTCATGGCCCGCAACAGTACACTGCCCTTTAACCTCACCGCCTTTCCATCTGCCTTTTTAGGGATCTGTCTAGACTCCTTCTATCCGCAATGGGATGTGGGCGCAGCATGCTACTTGACGCGGTTCATCTTCTTTGCAAACGCTACGGTGCTACAAGAAATACTAAGCCTGATCCTTGCAATTTCTCTGGGGACACGTTTGTGTTTCATTGAAAAGGCTCTCGCACTTCCGCTTGCTATCGCTTCTGAGCTCCACTTCATTACAACGACTCCTCAGGAATATGAAGAGCGCAAGGAAGAGCTAGCAGCATGCCGCGGAAACGATGGGCGGTACACTCTGGAAAGCCTTGTCGGGATCATTTATTGGATAAATGCAGCACAGAACGTTGCCACATTCAACTTGGAGCTGGCCAAGGCCTTCTCCCAAGACAAGGCGATAGGGTTTACAAACGTGCTCTTTGAAAATATCACTCAAATTAACGTGCATCAGACGAACGCCCATGAAAGCGAAATCTCCGTCCTCAACATGCGCACTCTCATGGCGCTCTTCAAGTTAGTTGGATCTCGTGTGTCAGACAAGAAGTCCCCCATTAAATTGAACGGCATATCTATCACCCCCGTGCGTCCTCTTCATGAATACAGGTACTATATTGGTCTATCTCAGGGGACAAAGTTCAGCTCAATTGTGGCCTCTGGGATCATGAGCTTTGAAGTGATTAACTCTTCTATCTTGATCCAGCCAAAGTATTCCAATATCAATCTATATCTAAAATATTTAGAACTACAGACTCCAAGTGCTCTTGAACTACAAGTGGTACAAACATACAGTTTTACAGAAGCTCACCTGCAGAACGTTCTCTTGTATCTCACCACTCCACTGGAGAAGACGCGACCAATGATGGGACATCGTCTTCTTTTTTCCACAGCTGATCTCATGAGATTGCTGAAGAGAAGCAGTGAAATCAACAGTAAGTTTGTCATTGAGAAGCATGGGACCCATCTGAAAAAGGCAATCATGAATCCAGGGACATTCGTTCACCTGCTGGATGAGAATGAAGACGATGTCTCCTCCGGTCAAAGGTTAGGCAAGCAGCGAAGAAACTGTCTGAACCACGATACTTGTGATGAGATGACGTTCCTTCTGACCACACCCGTTTCATATTTTGACTTAGAGTTGGCTATGCGCCTCTGTGAGCGATCTATTGCTCTTGCAAACTTTCGGCTACAGCTTGAGCATGAGGCGACTGAACTAGCATCTAAAGCAGAGTTTGCCAAGCATTGTGCAAGGGGCATGGTTTCCATTCTCATCATATGCCAGAAGCTGAGCTGTGTGATGCCTACCTTAGCACGAATCTTCACCGATCATTTCTTTGCGCACTTCTTCCTGTACCTAGATGAGCAACTGGAAACGCCTCAGTGGAAGGGTGTACCTCTTTCCCACGTAATATCCCATATTCTTCTTCCTTATATTAACGCCAGAGTATACCGAATGGTTCCAAAGGCCTGGGGAATGCCTGTCTGCGACTTGATGAGCCTTATCTTTTCGTGTGCTCTCAGCGAATGTTCCATAGATAACCTATTTCTTCTCAGGTTCATTTTAAGCTCGGATTTGCGAGAAAAGGCTATTCGAGTTAGCCCATTCTATAACATCCACGACGAGCGGTGTCAGCGAGCCAGAGACCTCATGGATACAGCACCATTTTCATTTCAGGCATCCATAGCAACTAATTATACATGGAGGAACATCTCACTACTTTACCCCCATTCAGAGCGAGTACTCTCGTGGCTGGACTACTTCACAAGCAACAACTTTATGTTTGTCAGTCTAGTGACAAGCTTAGATCCATACAAAATGATACTTGGCCATTACATCTTCAAGGAATCTCAGAAGGCTCATGCATCCACCACAGATAAGACTGGTAATGTATCCGAGCAGTCCTACATCACGCCTCTGTTTACGGAAGAGTGTGAGAATATATACCATAGCAATGCGGAGCTCCCTCTTCCTACTGACTTGCAGGTTCCATGCTATAATAACGTGCTCCAGTCGTTGGTCTTTAGCTTATCAATCACACAGTTACATTTGTCTCAAAACTTCAAGCTTTTTGGCACAGCCAATAGGTTATGTAGCTTCAGAAACGAAATACAACATAGAGATACCATCCTCAAAGAAGCACACGAAGCATATTGTAAAAACCAAAACCTCATTCCTGAATTGACGTATCCAGCAGTGATAGGGATAGTCTGGTACATCATAATGGTGTGTGGATACATTCCCGATATAGCAACCATAGGGAAAAGTTCCCACACCTACGATCCCGCTCATTGCATTAAGCCTATGCTCACTACAGACACACGCTACGAGCGGAAGATGTCGTCAAGGAGTTATGCCGATGGAATAGGCTCTTGCACTCTTGTTATCTTCTATGAGGAAGGTATGAGCATACTGGACCTTGTCATTGACAGGTTGGAACGTAGTCTCTTCGATGAGCTCAAGTTGGCTCCATGCGTAATAACGTCTAGGCCGACCGAGGATGATTTCCGAACAAAAACGGTTATTGTTGATGCTTCTATTGACACAAAGGAAACAATTGACAGGCTCATAACGATGTATAACAAAGGATGGAGGGCAGCAAGCCTACTGATTGTGCTGATTCCCGTCCACGTAGGCCAATTCTATGCCGAGGAAGCTATATCTCGTAAGGAGCAGCGCTCAAGGCTCTTAGAAAATGAAGCAGACACCCACCATATGGCCGCCAGCAATCCCCAGGTGCAATACAATAGTCTCAGCTATTCGTTGGGAGTATTTATGTCTATATCTAATGGCTCTCGTTACTATATAGAAGGCCCAAAGACACTTTCAGACGCTGTGGTGTATCTAGTGACAATCTCCCTGTGCGTCTTTAAAAAGCACGATTTGGACCTTTCCAGCCTAAATAGCAAGAGTTTTGCGCTATACTGCTCGCTACTACTTCAGAATGCACTGCTGAAAAGCGATCGTGGACGTATGTATTCAGACTCAAGATTTCTAACGTCTCTGCTACATCTTATTGGGATGAAAAAGGCTGAAGGAATGCTTTCCTTGTCATCGCAGCTTATATCAGAGTATATACTTGCTGCTAGGAGCCAAGATGAAGCCTCTATCAGCGCAAAGAAAGCTGGTAATGTGTCACCGGCTTTGGACATTCATCAGTCAGATCGGGAAGCCCACCTATCCATATATTGCAACTTTTTTGGCCCGCATCCAGCAATCTCGGGCCCAACAGTGGCATTTTTAAGCACTTACTACAGTCACAATGTTCCTAAAATGCTCTTCGGTATGCCCTGTAAGTGGCTTGCAGATGCGTCCTCTGTGCATCTCATACTAGATGGCAAATTTGACCAGGCATCGCTTGCATTGACTATTGCCAGGGCTAGGTTAGGACGGGCATCAGTTGAGGCTGACACCAGTGAGATCGAGGACATCCTTCTAGATATTAGAAACGCACAGTGCGATGAATCATCAGAGGCCCTTAGCTCCCTGTCTATGTCAAGCGTAGGTAGTACCAGCTCTGCACTATCAACTCAAAACACGCATACAAGCGAGGGGACAAGTGTTCTTACCAGACAGGCCTTAAACGATGATGCCACACTGCTGGAGAATAGGCTTGAAGTTACTGCCACCGAGCTGACGAAGATTGTACCTAGAACCAGGCAGATTGAAAAGGTGTCCTGTGATAGCAAGACAGCGTCCTTCCTTAGGCTTCCCAATGAAGAGGGGGCATTGGCCATCGAGCGCATATTGAAGACGATTAAGCGGTATGAGCATAACATCATTTTAAAGGACAGTTCTCAGAAGGAAAGGTCCCCAGCTGAGGCAGAGCGGCTAACGCAACTAACGGCTAGCGATCTTTCATCTCTTGAAGCGCTCAAATACCAAGTCTTTAATATGGTGCCTATCACATACGACAATTCCCTCTGTAATAGAATGTACCGGGAGATCTTTACTATTGGTCTTTCCCAGGAGGTAATGACATACCTAGATGGCCATCCCGTGTATAAGAATATGTTTGCAGACACTACTATTCAACAAGAAGAGGCAGACTTGCTGAAGAGCATTAGGACAATCTTGTATCTTTCAGATGGCTACTGTCAGACCAGGAGAACCACCCTTCCCTACTTCAGAACATCCCTCACAGAGCGTGCGCCCGTCTTTAAGATATATAGCGACATGTATTGGGAGCTTAGGGTAGATATCTACCAATCCGTGTTAGGGAACATTCTCAAATGGGCAATGCTCCTCCACCAGTCAACTGGGAAAGGCAGGGACAGAGAACGGAAGACCTTTGTGCTACTGGCCAGCAGACCAACCGCAATCCAACAATATAAAATAGATTGCCAGAATAATCTTGTCTTTTCAATTAACGTTGCCAAAAAGAAAAAACTTGATAAGAAAGCGCGTGAGAAACCAAGCACCGATTTATTCATGATAAAGCTAACTGGCTTCCGACTGTTCAATATCGCTTACGACCCTATAGAGGACACCGTCGCTGACGCTACACCAGAGTCTGTTCTTGGCTATACTCAATCATATACTTTCTACGCTGTCTTGGTAGACACTGATTACTGTGAGCATAACAACAGTTGCCTGAATAGAAGCGACCTCAAAACAGCACTGGACATGTATAAATCTGGCCTAGTTGGAACAACTACTGAAATGGGAGATGCAAATAAGACAGGCGATGCATTGGACGCAGAAGACGGGATTGACGATCTGATAGGGATAGATGGAGCATCGTACTGCTCAGCAGAAGAAAATGAGCATGCAACGTGCTTCGTGTCCATTCCAGTAATCATCGAGGGCACCATCAGTGGGATGCAGTTGTTCCTAAGAAACAAAACAGGCCTCCAACCTCTTGACGTCTCCATTAAGGGGGCATACTGCAGTACAGGCTATCTCTACTGATAATACCTCTACTGATAAACCGAAGCATCAAGCTACAAATGATATAGAGGAATGTGGAGCATATTCTTCTGCGTTGCAAGCTGCTCCCAATTGACGATTAGAGCGTCTATCGCCCATGAAGATAACCGCGCTGTAGCAGAGAGACGCCTGACACGAGTGAATGATTCAATATACACAGTAGTAACGGATAGCCCAAACAGAGATCGAAATAGGTAGGCCAGGCAAAGAGGTGGGAAAGCGGTCCCAGGACCATTTGCAAGCACAAGTCGTGGGCGGAGACAAATGAGTAGCCACGCAGTCTCTAACGAGGCGAGAAGAGTGGTGAAAATAGCTGTGTGATAGGGCTGGTGTACTCGGCGCGCCCTTGTCACACAATGGATGTTGGCCTGGGATGAGGCAGGAAGTCGAAGTGCAGCGGCTCTAGAATGACCGTCACCCCTGGCAATAAGGTAGTGGGCAGGCTGTAAACGTTCAAGTACGCCCGGCATGTTGAGAACGTAAGTCATTTCTGCTGTGTGGCCTCCACTTCCAAGGACGACCAAAACTTTGTCTGTAGCCAGCAATCGAAAGTATATCTGAAGCGCAATAATAAGTGTGACTGTTAAGTAAAGAAAACCCCGGAAACTCAAGTGCATCAATCCTTGGTTATAACAATTTCAATCAAATCAATTTTTTGAAATTAAAAAATAACAATTGAAAAATGCAGAATAAAAAAATATGCGGGCGACCCATATAAGGCGTATAAATCTAGTATTACTTGTAGAACGCTTCTACTTCAATATTATCAATGTCTTCATTCCATGCTGTACCTTCCCCATTCTCGTACATGTCTGCCAACTCTGGAACCTCACTACTCTCGTCTATCTCAGCAAAAGACTCTGCGTATTGTAAGACATTCCGGCATATGATCTGGCCCGAGGGAACACCGGAGACAGATGCATAGGTCGGTATCAACTGGTACGTTAGTGCACTAGAGTTCCCGCCATCCTCACCTGGTCCTATCTGTGCAGCTAACGATCTTTTGGAGACTAGCTCTGTCGCGCTCTGGAGACTCAAGGAGCCTGTACCATGCTTGCCCTTCTGGGATAGGATACAGTCATCCAGTTGGGTGAGAACTATATTGTGGCTTATAGCCTCGCGGCACACAGGACAGCGCAGGGCGTCTCGCTTGTGTCGTGTATTATTAAGCTGCTTCCAACAAGATTTGCAGGTTACCACATGCTTGCATGGGAAGCAGAGCACTACTGCCAGATCACTGTAACATATATTACACGCCCCTTCTTGCAGGTCTATCTGCTCGCTTATCATAGTTGATATTTCCTCGAAGCCTGGAGAGCTCAGCGGATTGTGGAGATGGACACAAGTAGGGTCGTTGATAAAAATATAATTGAAAACACAATCAAGAAAATGCAGGATGAAGTTGCAATCCTCAGCATCACTATATTCATTTAGCAGAGCAGATGATAGCCCGTGGTAAAACGTGCTCACTAGATCAGATGAAAACGCCAGCCTTGCAACAAAGTATGTCAAAAATACTTGCATCATGGGGTCATCTCCGACGGCCTCGCACTGCTCAAGAAGTGAAGCTCCGGTATTATCGTAGAATTGAAAAGATAACTGCGGGTTGCTATACAATGCACACACGGCTAAGTAGGACTTATGTATCAAGGCGATAGAGAGTGCAGTGTCTCCATTGTTATTTTGGGCAATAATAGAGCTTGTGTCTTGAGAGCTTTCTCCTAATAACCTCTGTACTAACCCTGGTATGAACTGGTCCATGCCAGCTTTTATTAGAAGCATTAGCGGCGTGTTCCCATCTTTATCAGTAATGTAGTGCTCATATTGAAGCAATATTCTGGTGAGATCTGCATTCTTTCTACGGATGGCATAGTGCAGCGCACAGTGACCTGTATTGTCAAGCAGTCCTGACTCGTGGGCTGCAAGAAGCTGGACTATTTCTAACTTATCATATAGAGTGGCATATATGAGAGCAGTGGAGCCCAACTCAATGTATATTTGTGTATTGTGCTCGACACGGAACCTGCGGGTCGTAATCATCTTCTTTTCTTTACAGACCAGCTCCTTGACAATGTGAGCATTACCATTCTGTGCTGCTATGAATAGAGCACTTCTTCCGAAGCGATCTAGCCTTCCGAACTCCTTCTCACAGAGGAGAGGAATAAGACTCATATAGTTTTTCTCGGCAGCCAGCATCAGAGACGTTCTGGCGTCACAGTCTGCTAAGCATGCTTCGTAGTTGACAAGGATCTCAACCAAGTCGTATTCATTGTCTATTGTTGCCAAGATGAGGGCCGTTTGATGCTGTGCATCGAAGACCCCGGCCTCATAGGGTGCAAGTACAGTGACAAGCGGTGCGTTCCGGCGGAGTACTGCAAGCATGAGCGACGTCTGTCCTTTCTCGTTCTGGATCCGTTGCTCGTGCTCGACTAAAAGCGAAGCTAAAGAGATGTGGTCATTCATAACCGCCAGCATAAGCGCAGTGTGATAGTTCTTGCTAACGGCACACTTTTCATAAGGTATAAGTTCGGCCACACACTCAAGCTGGCCTCTTCGAGCGGCAAGCATGAGAGCCGTCTCACCAGCATCTGTGCGCATGCCAGCCTCCTTATTGGCGAGCAATCGAACACATTCCACGTTTCCCAGCTCTGCTGCAAACATTAACGCCGTCTTTTTACCGTGGTGAGTTGTCAGTCCAAATTCGTATGAAATAAGTATGCTACATATTTCTACCAAGTTGTCCTGTGCCGCAAGAATAAGCGCAGTCATCCCTTCTTTAGAAAACTCCGAGTGCAAGGTTGGGGCAAGTATAGACACAGCTCGAGCGTCTCTTTGAGCAACAGCAGCCATCAGGACGGTCTCCTTAGCGTTTCCGTATCGCTTATCATCGTCTTCATATGTTACTAGACACTCTATAGCATCCAGAAAACCTGTCTTCACAGCCAAGTAGATAGGCGACTGGCCGCTTATCGTTCTATGTTCAGCCTCTAAGACTGCAAGAACCTTGACAGCGGGCAGGAAGTTAGATGCAACAGCCTTGTACAGTGCCGTTTCGCCTTTACAATCTACTTTTCCTGCCTCACTATCGACGAGAAGTTCAACACATTCCGCGTGCTTTGTAAGCACAGAAATCATTAGTGCTGTGACAGAGACGCCTATTTCATAGGTCTGGGTGCCTAGCTGCAAGACTGATTCGTGACGCGTCGCATATCCACGCTCGTGGGGCAGGAGCAAGCGGACAATATCTGTGTTACCGTGAAAGGCTGCATACATTAACCCTGTCATGCCGTCGCTATCAGTGAGTGTAGCTTCGTGTGGAATGAGAATCTCCACTGCGACAGCACAGCCACTCATGGCGGCGAACATGAGCGCGGTGCGTCCCCATCTGTCTCTTCGCTTGACCCCATCAGAAAGTAAAAGCTGAATGATAGTAACATTGCCTTTTGTAGCAGCCTTCATCAGAGACGTGACGCCCTGCTCGTCGGTGACTTTGGACATAGCAGCAGCATATGAACGCACGGTCTCAATGTCACCGTGCTCTATTGCCGCAAACCACGCCTCGTCCTGCTGCGCAGACATTTTCCAAATCGAAAATCAGAAGAGCAACCCAACAGCAAGCAAAGGAATAGATGGATATGAATCAATTTACAATGTGGAACTAGTAAGCTAAGCTAGGCTCGGCGGTAGCACGGTTGGATCGATGACTAGTGAATCTTCGATCGTCTCGGTGGGCTGAGCGGTCTCAACAGTACCAGTTACCTGTGGGGTGTGCGACGGAATTTCTGCACTATCAACGAGGATATTCTCGTAATCTCCAGAGGAAGCTTGGCCCGTAACAGTCTTCGAGCCCTCCTCAAGCGCCTGGGACGCACGCGTAGATTCGACAGCTGAGGCCGTGGTAGATATGGGCTTGTTGCTCACGCTCTTCCTCGATATCTGGCTAGACTCCATGGCCTCCTGCACAGGGGACGTAGTCTTGACGCTAACGCTGGAAGAGTACTGATCAATCAGCTGCTGCATCAAATACAACGTGTCGTCTGTCTCTGGGTCTGTACTGGCCTTTGTGCACCGTTCAAGGAACTCCTTACTAACCTCGTGACTCACATCTTTGCAGATCTCTTCATACGGGGCACCCAGGAAGCCGTTGGCGATCTCCAGTTCGTTGTGCTTAAGCTGAAGCGCCCAGATATACACGCGTCTCACCATCGTCCTAAGCGATTTATACATAGCATCCTTGTGATCATCAGTCACCCCAAACTTCTTGCCAATGGCTTTCTGATAGACCATGTCGAAGACACTGTTCTGGTTTGAGTCCCTGCTCATGAGCTTCTCCACGAACTGTATGCGAAGCTTCTTATTCTCCGGAGATGTCTCAGCGGAGTCAAAGATATATTTAGTAAGCTTGTCGAAGACCTCTGTGCGCGCAAACAAGGCCAGGTGATGTATTGCATTCGTTCCCGTGACGGCCGTCATGTGGAGTTCCGTCTTAAGAAGCACGGCGTCCTTTAAGAGAATGAGGTCGATCATCTCCTTGTTTGCTGAAGAGCAGGCCATTCCAAGGGCCGTAAGACCTGATGCATTGCTAACTCCAAGAATCTGTCGGGAGACGGCGCCGCCGCTAGTACTGGCCTTTTCAAGGAGGAACTTCGCGACCGGGATGCTTCCGCGTGCAATGGCAATCATGAGAGGAGTAGAATCTTTGCCGAGGTTCATCTCTACATCTGCAGAACTGAACTTGGACTTAATCCTGACAGTGTCCCCAGTCTTAATCATATATTCAAAGTCAAAAAGCTTCTGGACAACCTGCAGATGGTTAAAGTAGCAAGCGTAGTGCATGGCGGTAAAGCTATTGAAGATGCTACCATCCGTGTTGGTTGCCCTTGTATCACGCTTCCCCTTCATCTTCGAGAGTTGTTTGTTTATAACAGTCAAGTTGCCGGTGGACGCCGCCTTTATCCAGTTGGCGAGGTCGTCCTTCTTCCCACCGCAACACATTTTTTAATTTTTATCTTTTTGTTTTTTAGCTTTTGAATCCGCAATTGAAAGAACTTTGCCATTTAAAGTTGATTTGACAAAAGCTTAAAAGTAAAAGCTTAAAAGTAAACAGGCCCGACTTATAAAATTGGCAGAGAGATAGGAAATGAACGAGACTGTCCGTTTCCTTCTGATAGTCGGGAGCATCTATGTCTGCCATGTTGCTAACTCTTACTTGGCAGAGACGCTCTATACGTCTCCTCCCCACAAAATTGACGTCCGATGGATCGGGCTGATCTTTGAGGGTGTCTGGAGCATTATCTTTGCAGAGGTGTATCGCATGGTCAGTAAAGCATACGACGGCTATGGGGCTAAAAAGACCGAGGGTGGAGTTGAAGACAGTGCGAAGGATGGTGCCAGAGGTGAACCTGCGCCATCTAATAGCAACAGCGTTAATGTCTCAGGAGTTGTCGAACACACCACGAGCAAAACCACGCGCAAAACCCTACGTGTGCACGAGTTTTTCCACGCTCTTGCGCATCCGGATTCGGAGCTAAAATGGGCGCAGTCTCTGATCGTCTGCGAGATTCTGCTCGCTCTAGGCAAGGTATTCTCTCTTCTGGCACTGAAATACGTCTCTTACACAACCTCTATGGTCTTCAAATCCTCTAAAACCTTGGGGATCTTAATGACTGCATTGCTGCTGGGGAATGTGCAGCACATCACACCATTGAGGATCCTGACCGTAATTGCGATAGTATCTGGGTCACTTGTTTATAGCCATGCTGAGTTGCGAAGCTACAACGGCACTACACCACACCCCATCCTAGGCTACATCCTCATGCTCTTGTCTGAGCTGTGCAATGGGTTTGGGTGCACATACCAGGACATCTCCGTGATGCAGTGCAAGCGGGAGACGGGTATGCTCATCAAGACCAACATTATCCAGCTAGCTAGCGGTGTCTGCACTCTCATTGCCGGGATAATTATGACTGGAATCTATAATTCTATAAACGACATAGTGATGCTCTCTCATACCACCTCGTGGATTGTTAAGCAGAATTTAGCAAGCATATTCTTGACCCTGGGACTCATACCAATCATCTACAGCTTGAAGCTGTATGGTTCACTACTGACTGGCATCATTAGTACCGTACGAAAATTAATAACTGTTGTCATCTCTATGTTCATGACAAATACTAAGCCTACCACGCAGAACTGGATAGGGATAGGGCTTACCTTCACGGGCCTAACCGTTAGCGTGCTCGAGTCAAAGATCATGAAGGTGTTTGGTGCAAACAGCCGCAGTAAGAATAAAAAACAAGATTAAGATCAAAACAGAAGCTGTTCTCTTTTGTATACTTTGTGGTGTTTTTGATTAGGAGTCGGCGTTCTTCTCTGCGCGGCGCGAAATAAATAGTTTTTTCTTGTGAGTTTTATAGTTCTTGATTGCAAGTTGGGAAAGGATTGCCTCCGGTGACTCCAAGAGCGCGCTGCACGTGGGGTGGAGAAGCAAATGCTCTAGGACAGAGTCGTAGTCAGTGTTACTGAAGTGACAAACAGGACAAAGATAGGGGATGTAGTGCTGACTCAGTGACATGCCCGAGCGCCAAGTGGTGAGGAGCTCTTCTTCACCAAGCCTTGAAAAGTGGCCCTTATGAGTAATTATTCCGTGTAATTGTAAATGTAGTGTGTATTCAGCAATCGTAGAAAAATAAAATTTAATGAAGTCCACGTCCACCAGCTGGCCACCTTTGGTCCTGGGAGCATCAGCCAGAGACTCCAAGTACACGGCGGCTTCTGGTATCATGGGCATGCGAGCTTCATTCTTCGAACTATCACCTCTATAGACGAGAGACTTCGGACCACGCTTGCGTCGAGTCTCCGTGGGTTCTGCAGAGCTAGAAGGAGAGCTGTTTTCGTCGTCACCATTGATATCTCTATCTTGATCATCGGTTATGTTTTGATTTGTGCCCATGTCCTCCTGAATGGGGCCTCCAAGAGTCGACTTGGCGTGACTGACCATATCACTTTCGTCTATGGGGAAAGCAGGCTGATTCATAGACCCTCTAGAAGCTTCCAGTAGTGCACCAATGCAGTGAATGCAGCAAAAGGGGCGCCATGTTGGGAATGTCGGGAAGTGTGTGAGGATGTGCTTACTAAGTGGGCAGAGATCCTTGTACAGAGTTTGAGAAGAAGACTGGCGGTCAAACAGATGAGCGGGACAGGTAGAAAAGAGCAGGTTACAAGAAGGAGCACAGCAATGCACATGTAAAGTCTTTTGAGCACTTACGTATCCTGCTATCTCCATCCGTGGAACACCAAGCGAAAGAACTTCAGAGACAACCATTGATTTGGCAATCTCTCTGAGAGTTCCAGCTGCAGCAGAAGTGAGCATCATATTAGAGTCACTACCACGCTGGCCTGTGTCCTGCGTTGCAGCCCACTCCAGTTTCACGCCCGATGGATACGACCACACACTACCACTGCACAGGTACTTGTAAAGTATATAGCCTCTAAACTGCTCAATGAGATTGCTTGGCAGGCAGTTAGGTTGTGGAGTGTACCCTAGTCCACGATCATATGCCTCCAAAGCGTCTTCCACTATCACTCCCCTAAGAAGGTCAGAATGAGACTTGGGTGTCAGCCTGGCAAGTTCTCTCTGCTCGAGCCAACGGTAAAAGGAGTTGGGCTCTGCGCAGGTGATAGTATGCAGACATCGGGGAAACGTGTGCGTAGACCGGTTTATTTCGCGGATCACCCTGTAGTATTCGTGCACCGAATTGTGGTACGCTACATCTTCTCCTATGGATACAGGATCTATGTAATGCATGGGTAGTACAGTCGCACACTGAGAGCCAAAGCTCACGACACCGTCTGGGGATTGATAGTAGGTGGAATCGTTTCTTGAACTACTACGTAGGATAGTCTTCCCGTTGTCAATTCGTATGACAGCATCTGTAGTGACCTTTGCCTTGTGCACACGTTTTGAGACGTGCTCTATAAAAAGGAAGCGGAGGAAAAAGGAGCCGTAGTCGGCGGAGATCTCAAAAGTATTGGCTGCTTCGGTGCGTTTAATTGACTTGATAGGTATATTAGTACGCATATGAGGAGCTATGAAGAATGAGGGGGGTGATACTGTATCTGCATCTGTAGGTGCAGGTGCGACTGTCTGGGCACAATCTTGACGGTTAGGCGAACAAAAGGCTAAACATGTCACCTTTTTAACTGATTGAGCTCTGCGAACATACTGGACTAGAGAGTGCACAGAAATCACCGGCGATGGCAGGACATGAACACATGTGAGAGAATGATCTTGATTGGGTTGGTAGACGACATAGTCACAGCAATATCCAGAGCCATCCATCACCATGTACCCGCTATAGACAAGCACCTGGTACGTTGCATGCATGATAAGTGGCTTTACCGAGGGTTCTCTATAAACCGCTTTTTGCAGTAACTCACCAATGTAAGCAGGGTCTCTCGCCTCGTGCATCCGAAGGTATTCACTGTCCACCCTGTAGACGCCCTCACTGACCTTGTAAGGTTTCTGATTCGACTGAAGGGTTATGTTAGATGTGAACCATAAATTGTGAGAGAAGGTCATTCGACCACAGCCCGCGAGCCGATTTTAATTAACTATTTACGCAGTTTGCTCTATCCCAGCAGGGCCTTGTCTGAACGCACCACAGACAGATTGCTATCTGCTATGGTAAAAAATAAGTGGGCTGTCTTGGAGGCTTCAGCACGGGCACTCTGGATATCGCGCTCACAAGAGAGAAGGTTGCCACGGATAGACTCTAGAGCTTCCGGAAGTTCTGCAAGCGCTTTGAGTCCACCAAAGAGTTCCTTCATCTGTCCTCGGGCATAGATGCAGCCTTGTCTCAAGGCTTCTTTAACGGTCATATTAAGGCACGTGGAACAGTCTGTGATAGTACGAAAACGCATAGACACGTCCTGGACTATAGATACGAGCTCCTGAATCTTGGAGCTGTCAGTAAACTCGGGTTGGGAACAATCTAGAGGTCTGCTACGCACCAAACGCTCATGGTTTGAAATCACTCTGTCTAAAAGTTGTGGAACCTCTTGAAGGTGTTCTGATAATGCTAATACAGGGTCAGCAGCATCCATACCCTGATCAGGTGAATGAAGATGCTTGAATTTGGTGAGAAGATTAGTCCTCGACATTTTTCACCGTTCGTCCAGACATGACTTTGCTTACTAGTCTTACTAGTGCTCAGCATTTACAGTTAGCTATCTAAATCGTCTATAGTCTGATGGTGGCTGATGCAACTGGCATTAAGCGAAATATCGTTTCCTTGTGGACTCTGGAGCACCAGCATCCCATTTTCGTTCAAGTACAGTCTGTGACTAGTTGCATTCCTAATGATATCAAAGCTACTCATAGTGTGACTATCTTCCGAGGCAGTAGACAGCCCGCTTTCCTGCCGAACATGCCTTATATTTGCCCGATCTTGTCCGGCTTCTTGTTGACCGAATATAGCCGCGGGTACTACAGAGAGGTCCGGCTTAATAACAAGGTTTCCGTTTTCATCTAAGTATGTTCTGGCTATTCCCAAGAGAATCTCATCAGGATTCTGGTTCAATAACTGACAACAATTAACATAACAATCCAGCTTATTAGCCAAGTCCAGCACCCGTTGATCGGTTGTCATCTTACTGTTAATAAAGAAGTCCTCATTAGTGGCATTAATTATTAAGGCGTCATTTAAATAGCACACCGAATAATCTACACGAGTTCCCGAGTTGATAAGCTCTTTGGCCTTCTCTACAGGGTTTGTGATCAGCCACAAAACCACGTCCTTGAAGACTGACAGCAGGGTGACTTTGCATGCTTGCTTGTTTTGGAGGCTTGTTGAAAAGTGCTCATATTGGACTGTATTCTCAACATAATAAAAAATATCGCGTCCAGATCTATCGCGTTTCAGCAGAGCCTTAACAAAATCCATCTTAAACTCTAAATCTGAAAGACTCGACGTGTCCAATTTTAGAAGAGTCTTACAAACACTGTCAAGCACATAATTTCTCCCGAAGGTAGCTGCAATCTGGAGGGCCGTAAGGCCTTCTATCGTCTCAGCGCCTATCTCGTAGCGCATAAGAAGCTTTTGGTGTGCATACAAAAACGTTAATACGTTAGTAGAATCTATCATGCAGAAGCACATAAGAGCAGTTTGGCCTCGCTCATTCTGAATGCCCACCATACGCTTGAGAACATCTTCCCCCTTTGAACTGGCAAAGTTCAAGATGGTAAGAGCCACATCCATGTTACCTGATATTATTGCGATCATAAGAGGCGAAGTTCCAGCTGCACACTTGAATTTCGTATCTCCTGAAGACATTGTTGCCATCGTGAGGACGGCTTCAACCTGAGTATAGAGATCATATTCATACTCTAGGAGCGTCGTTACCACATTGAGGGCTCCAGTCATACAAGCATAATGGAGACCAGAGAACCCCTTGTAAACCTTGACGTTGAAGTCTGTGTCGCGTCTGTCAAATGACCTCTTGCATTTACCTAATTGGGCCTTGACGACGTCTGTTTTATTATCCGAGCACGCGGAAAACCACGATGGATCTGCTCCCCGGGCAGCCCCGGATTTCCTGGGCCTGGAACAAATGTTCATTTTAAATTAGCAAAACAATCTCCCTGCGCCGGGAATGGTGCAGGGAATGGCCGCAAACAATAAAAATTACACCAAAGAGCCTAGGAATTCACTTTGTCTCAATCTTGTCACGCAACTCAAGTAGCTGCTTCTCTGTTCCAGCAAGCTGCTCCTCTAACTTTTTAACGACCTCTTGGAGCGATGAGATCGTATTGCTCAGATATGGCTTCACCTCCTTAACTGTTTCTTTAATGAGAACCTCGCCCACAAGGCGATAGGCCACTCGGTCTGAATCGATATCTTCTATCGTCTCCAGAACACGCTTGTGCTCCCGGAGGTCATTTGTCACGTGCACTAACTTCTCTTGTAGCGCTTGTGCGTGCCCCTTAAGATTCTCATATTCCTGTGCTGCTGTATCGATCTCCTTCCCCGTCATCCGGCCGTCTGATAGCGGAAATCAACTTTCAATTTTTTGACTCCTTTGATTTCTTTGTCTTCGTACTGAAGTGGGAAGCATTAGGCCGGTAGTATTTTGAATAAGTTTGCACCATCCTGTTATACTGTGGTATCCAATATAGTAATATGACAGTTTTTTGCACCTAGAGGCTCGTTATCTAAAATCTCTGGAACTTGATGCCCACTGGAAACGACAGTATAATTTAATCAGAACTATACTTTGGTGCTATATTACGCGTTGCTTAATCGTAGAAAACAGATCCTGACAAAATCTTCATAGACCATGATCTTATATCGTAAGCTTGGTAATAACCTTTTCTGTAGCTTTCTGCTCTCGACCTGTGGTTCACTCTAAAATTAATATGTTCTATGGCCAATAATTTTCAGTACCTAAAAATGTAGATGGAAGAGCTGGAGTCTGCTGTAGACTCTGCCTCCAAAGGGGACTATTCCGGACTTACACAAATCCAGGCGGCTCTACAGGACCCGACATATTATCTTGCGTTCTCTAGCGTCCTTTTAGACTCTCTACAGTCGAAGGACATTTTTGTCTTTCATGGTCTTAACTTGCTTGTTACAGCGGGAACAGCTAAACCCTCGCTTTATCACACTCTTAAGGCTTACGTGCCACGTTTGCTCGATGCAGGAAGGACGCTTTTGGCAACGGGGATCGCCGTGAAGACGCTTTCTAAACTTGTAGCGTTTGTTGTTCCGGCCTGTTTTTCGTCAGATGAAATTCACACTTTCTGCACAGTGCTTATTACCGAGCGTTTCACAGAAGTCCCTTTTTTACTTAGTGTAGTTGAAGACCTTTTGTTCCATATTGCTACCGCCGCCGTTGCCAAGCAGGTTGCTGCACAAGATACAGTAATCAGAGAGTCTGTCATCAAGCTAGTTAACCACGTACTGGACTCTCTAGACCGCCTTATGGACGCCTATTGCACCTCCAATACTGCCCCAAAGTTTAATGAAGGCAATCACCAAGTTTTCATCATTGCCCATCTGAAGATCATAACCATCTCCGTTAAGTGGGGAGCACTCAGCAAGACCTGCCCGGCCTTTTCTACTAATTCCGACGATGCTTTCTTTGACACACAAGCTAAGCCTTTGCCAGAGTTATTGAACTTATTAGAAACTGCATGGTATAGTAGGTCTGCGAAACTATTTCTTCTAGCTTTTTTGAGGAAGGATGAGTTAGTCTATAGTTGCTGCCAAGAGTTGTTCTTTGCATTAGCGACGGTTACCTACAGCAAGGCCAAATCCTCCAGTATTATTTGCATGTTTGTTATCGCCCTTTTGATACGCTTCTATCAGTTTCAGCTGTCTAGAATGGATGAAGAGGACATTTTGTCCAGGCTGGAGATGGCTACACTTGAGCTTGATCTTGGCGCGTCTATCTCTGAATACAGACCTTCTGAATACAATCCTATTGTTATAGCTGGCAATTTCTTTTGCTCTAACACATGGTTCAATATTCCCCACAATCCCGAAGATGATTTTTTCCCGCTGCAAATCATACAGTCTCTGATTCTCGCCAATGGTCCTGTGACCATGCTTTCTATACTAAACAAAAATCAGTTGACAAAGCTACTCTGTCAATTCTCGTTCACTATCTTTTTTGTGCATATGACCGTATCTCAAGAACTGGGCTTTATTGTTTCTTATCTCAGCTCCTTGATGTCTATAGTTCATGCCAGCTACCAAGCCTGTATCATTGGCCCGTCGCTTAATCTGGTCTCATCAGGCAATGCGCAAAACTCTTCCCTTGTACTGACACTTAACTCGTTCTTATTGTTAATATACTCTGTGACTTCTGCAGCCCTTTATATTTCCCAGATACAGATATATATGGCTAGCTGTTTGGATCTGCTGGTTAATAAGGAGCCGACTCCACGAAATATGAGGCTGTACAATGTGCAAAAATGCAGTAATAATTGCGTTCAATTAATTCGTGACTTCTCTATCAATCTACATACGGCTGTACGCTACTGCTTTATGCCAGAGAATAATGACCCAGCGCGCTTTAGCTTTGTACGATTCTGCCAAGAGAGTGCCATATTTGAGAGGATACGTGACGGCAACGCGCTCCCCTTAGCTGACCCATCCAAACTGGACAGTAACCTAGCAATCGTAGTGTTGAATTCTGTTCTCTTCTTTGGCATACGTGACGAGCTATTTTCATTTAACGAAGAGGAGTTTGTAGGCGCGCAGCCGATTTATCTTTGCATGGCACCGACAGAGATGCTTATCTCGCAGCAGTGTAGGCTGGCGTCAACCGCCATTTGCTTGATTGCTCGTGGACTTTCTGGCGAATGTGATTGGGGTACTGTGGTTAGAGCATGCTTCTATACTCAGATAGCCATTCAGTGGGTACAGTACATGCTTTACGACAGTGAGTGTGCGACCAGTTATAGCGAATGCCTGAGTGCAGCCTCGTGTGCAGCCATATCCGAAGCAATTATTGCTGTGTTAAAGTGCATAGGGAGCGTCCACGACTCTCCTGGGCATGTTCATCTTTCTACGCTCTTCCTAAATGATGCCATTATCTCCACTCTTTTGCTATGCATTGACGCCATGAACATCGTAAAGAAGAGGCCAGCTTTTCCTTTGGACGTTGTCTTGAGAGCTATTAAGAAATTGGACACGATGTGCAGAGAAGTTCCTGTTGCTAGTACTTGCGACTTCACCAATTTTCTTCTCAAATACAAAAGTAACGTCTTAACCTTTAGTAGTCTCCTCATCGAGCATGTAAGACCGGACGAGACCTTTCATCTCACTGCTTATGTTGATTCCCTACTGTCCGTAGTGGCAACAGCAGGAGCCCAGAAATTGACGACTAACCCTTGCTTGATAATAGAGATTCTAACACTTCTTCTGTCTGCTTCCGCTGGCGGGCTGGCAGCATTAGAAAATATGAGCATCGACGACTGCGCTGGGCTAAAGAATGCTTTTCTGAACAAGGTCTTTGCTGCATATGATGTGGTTCTGCCTTACCTTGAGGCCTTGCCCAATGGAACCAATTACATACTGTCAGCTATGTTTCTGGTGAGGGACATCTTTCTTTTTGCGAAGATCACAATAGATAAGTGGCTTAAATGCATAGGTTCGCAAGTAGCGTCCTTCTTCAAGCGGCTAATTGATTCTTCCTTCGGACTTCTGTGTCGTAGCCTTCAAACTACCATGGACTGGGCTAGCGTTTCTTCCGAGCGATGCTCTAGCTTGCAGCACGTTTACTCGGGGGAAGATGTGACGTCTGTTGCCTTCTCTGGCCATGAGCAACTGTATTTGGTATTTCTTGCTGCGTCTGTGGTAGCCGTAGATATGTTGTACGAAATAACAAATTATATTCCTTCTTTGCTGACGCTCCGGGGCGATGATTACAAGAGCTTTATTTCTCACCTGTTTTCAAATGTTCTGAATATTATCCTTAGCTTTACCCCAATCCTGAATCATGTAGACGACCATGACATTACAAAAATGGTAGATATGATCACAATGATCCTAAATTTGAGCAATGATACCCTTGAGCAAGAGGAAGCAACGCGTATGCTAACCGCTCTCTGTGATTTTCTAGATAACCTGTCGCCGACGCACGTGTCTTTAAAGATAAAATTGTTTGGCTGCATAGCCACCTTTGTCAATGCTCTCCTTGGCAGCTATGTGCACTCTGATCAACTGGAGCAGGTTAACCGGGCCTACGTGCAAGTCATTGAGAAATCTATCGGTAAGCTTATTTGCTGCGTTTTCTCAACCGTCCAGGACGAAGATCTTATCTCTGATTTGGCTGCTGCACTTCTACACGTTGTTTTTGTCGATATAGAAGATATTTCTGTGGCGGGGCTGCAGTTCCGCCAAGACATCTTTCGCCTTCAGGTTCTAGAAGCAGTTCAGGCTCTTGGTATCCAAGATTTTACTTCATTAGTCAATTCTGCCTTCTCAGATATGCAGGGGATTGCAGTGGAAAGCTCGAAAGGTTATAATATGATAACCCCAATTAGAACGCTGTTCTTTGCACTACATGCCATATGTATTAAGTGCGCAGCTACCCCAGGTCTACCATCTATGTGAATTTGTTTGTGTTGCTTTCTGAAAAAAGGAACTGGTAACGGGCCTTCATATCCCTCTGTCCCTTTATGGAAGGAAATGCCGCCTTAAGGAAAGTCACAGTGAAAAACTACACGGAGTTCTCGACGATTATTTCTCAGCATCTTCGTACCGTCAAGGAGCTGCCTCCTCCCCCCGATGCACTTTATGATGTGGGCTCCAGGCCGAAGGACATTACCATTTCCTACTGTGGATTCAAGTACCAAGACAAGAAGCCTCTTATACACGTGGAGCTGGACGATACCAGTCAACCCTTAATACTTCCCGAGACCAAATCGAAGCCTATGGCCAAATCTAAGCCTGAGGTATCTCAGCGAGAACCATCTATAAACTACTCTCTAGATCTTAAGTGTCCCTGTGGTTGTCTTTCCGTAGCAAATTTAACGCGCGCTCAACAAATCCATTATCGGCTGCAGAAAGGGGTTTGTGTATATCACTATAGAAGGCCTTATTCGTCCGTGACTACCGAGGCAGCTGAAGCCACAAAGCCAAACGACACTCTCAACCATCCTGGTCAGCCCCAAAACATGCATACATATCAGTGGTGGTATCCCCTTAACCTTAGCACCATGCGTGCTCAGAACAAGCTCTACGATCTTACACATTCATCCGTCTCAATTATCTATTCATCTGTTTTCAATGCTGAAGCACCCCGTCCAAAGTCATCCCTGACTGACCAGGGTATAGAGCATCATCAACCTCATAAAGAGGAGGCTGCATCCATTCCGGAGACAGCCATAGATACAGTAAGTGCATTTCCAGGAATCTTTGCTTTAATCGACACCTCTCTTTCAGCAGAACACTCTATTACCTGTAAGAAATGGGCTAAAGCGCACGCACACGAACGCGCCCACGGCTTTCTTTATTCAAGCTTATTACCTAACAATTTACGCCCAGAAACTGGTGATGTAGAGAGCACTACCTTTCAGGCACTAACAGATACTACACTGCGCTTTGAGTCTCGGTTTGAGAGTGGGAACCTACTGCAGGCAACTAGACTGCCAATGTGTACGGAGATGGGAACTCCAGAGTCAGATTTGTTTCCTTACAAGACAGAATACATAACAAATGCTACTGGTGTCACCGCCAAGTACTGTGCTGCGGATCAGACCTACTTTCTTATGCTTAGACCAGACACCAACTCAACGGGAAACACCCAGTGGTATTATTTTGCCGTCGGAAACACAATTCCAGGAATTAGATACAATTTCTTCATCGCTAACTTCACCAAGACGTCCTCTCAGTATTCTGATGGCATGTCACCGGTTATATTTAGTGAAACAGAGTACATGCTCTCCGGTCGGGGCTGGGAGAGGGGCGGCTTTGATGTAGCTTACTATTCAAATAGCCGGTATCTAAATGCAGATTCAGGTTCATTAACTACTCCTGTTCAAGATAAGAAAACAAAGAACTCCGATTATGACGACTCCCAAGACGACTCTCAGGCGCCTGCCACTTCGAAAGTGCCACAAAAGACAGATACCAATGCAGGCCCCGATGTAAAACCTGTTTCCTGCCTTCTTGGGAGCTACTACACACTTTCGTTCAGTTACATTTTCAAATATGCGGGAGATATTGTCTATTTTGCACACACATATCCCTACACCTACGAGCATGAACAACTCTGGATCAACTCCTTGATTCATAAGAATATGTTGCAACGCCGTCATATTAATAATCGTTTAACTGCTGCCCTTAATAAGGCATTGCTGTTGGATAGTGAGCTGGACAGTTTACCACAAGATAACGCGGTCGAGGGAGGAGGCCTATCATCTTTGGATAAGGCATATACGCTAGAATTTGCAAAGGCATACTACGCTTATTCTCGTCTGAAGGTCAAGTTTTTACAAAAGCTAGCTGCTTTTAGGAGCAGTCCAAACTACCAGATCGTGGCCAAGCTTCTGGCTTCGGCAGATCACAAGAACATAGACATACCTATTCTTAGCCATAAGGTTGTTACCAAATCGATAGGGGGAAACGATGTCGACATGCTTACGATTACATCCTCATCCACTTCAATGCAGGAACTAAAGGCTCGAAAGATTGTAGTAGTATCTGCAAGGATTCACCCTGGCGAAGCACAATCCAGCTATGTCTGTCAGGGGCTTGTTGACTATCTGCTCTCTGATGCCCCGATAGCATGTCTGCTGCGCAAACTATATGTCTTTAAGGTTTTCCCAATGATCAACCCAGATGGAGTTATATTAGGAAATTACCGGTGTAACCTAGCTGGCGCAGATCTTAATCGGCGGTGTGTACAGCCATCTATGGCACTGCACACATGTGTCTATGGCTTTAAAAAGGTTCTCCTCTCACTTGTGTCTTGTCCATCTGGTAGCTTGATAAAGAGCACCACTCAGTGTGAGCAGCAGCGCTCTGACAGCGCTGGTAGCTCCAGTAGCTTCGATAGTTCGGGCTCAAAAGATTGTGTAGAGAAAGCTCATGGAAAACACCTCTATCAGACCTGTTCAGGGCAAACAGAAGACCTTGCTTTCAATGATTTAGTGGTGGCGGACGATGCCTGCATCAAGCCACCGAGGCAGCCAAAATCTGGTCCCCAGACACGGCCAGCAACTTGCAAGCCATCAACAAAACGAATAGACAATGTGTCTGGTGCAAGCACAGTTAGCTCTGAGAATAGAGCCACTGTTATAACAAATAAGGCCATCTTAGCAAACATAGATCTACATGGTCATTCTCGTAAGACAAATGTCTTTGGCTATGCATGCTACGGAGACAGCGAAGAGCACTTTTATTTTAAAGCTTTGAATAGGCTGTCGCCATATTTTAGCATAAAGGATTGCAGATATTCGATTGGAAAGCAAAAGGAGTGCACACAACGTGCTGTGTCATACAACAGCTTTCATATCCAGCGTTCCTATTGCATAGAGACCACATTTGGGGGGATAACAAAGGCTGGAAGCCCCAAATTTGGCCTACAAATGTGTCAGAAGGACTTCCTTGAGGTTGGCCGGGATCTTGCACAAAATATGCTCTATTTAGAGGGGGAGCAGCTAGCATCTCTTCACCATTTTGCAGATGAGTTCCTTGTTCAAATGTACTCGCTTCTATACAATGCAGAGACAAAGAACTTTATAATTCAATGGTTCGGATCAGAATCTATACTGGCATCCAGACCGAATGCTTCCAGAACACTGGTACTCAATGATCCTGGGACTTATAATCAATTTTGTGACTGGGTGCATGAAAATGTATTACAGGAAGGGAGCTGTGAAAAACCTGACAATAAGTCAAAGGAGGAAGTAGAGACTCCCGCTCCATCTGCTGTCAAGCGTGGGCCGTCGAAAAAGAAGACCGTGTGTTTCAATATGGATGTCGATACGGCATCTAACGCACAGCACTGTACCTCAGAATTGGGGAAAGAGCTCAACATAAATGAAACGCATGGCTCATCTGAACTGTCACCGTCTCTCCTCAATCTTCCACCAATAGGATCGACCATCACTCTTCCGTACATATACACAGAGAACGATCTACACCAAGACCTCTACATCATAGAGCAAGTCAAAGCCATCACTTCCCTTTTACCAGAGCCATCCACTCTGAGTATTTCTGCATCTAAATCACAAAAACCGGATCAAGACGGGCACAGCTCTGATGACGACGTTCAGGTGGAGGTTATCAATCCAAGCAAGTCAAAACCTCAACGCAAGAGACTCTCTTCATCCTCCGGCACAGGATTACCCATGTCGGGATCACGATCATCTGTTTCTCCAGAAGGCATAGAGCAATTAGCCAAAGAGATCATTGCCGCTCAAACAGATGAGGCGCAACTCGAGAATGCTCTCGAAAGTGAAATAAACACTAGAGAGCAAGCTGAGAGGCCAAGCGTGGGCCTTTCTGTCAAGAAGTTCGGCAAACTTGTCTACAAATCTCTTCCATTGAGATCTGCAGTCACTGACACGTCTAACACAGATCAGTCATCAGAACAACTAGGCAATGCAGAGCAGAAAAGCAGTGAGGCGGAATCTCAGTCCAAAGCCAAATCCAAGATTTCTTCTAAACATGACAGTGTACCACAAGATGCAACTCGTAAACGGCAAGATCGCACTAGTCGAGGTACTTCAGGTAGAGACCAATATAGTAAGCAAGGTGGCCGGACACTTGACGGACTTACCAGTACTGATTTTTCGGAAGGCATTCTTCCCACCGAAGGCTTTAAGACAAGTTGGGGAGGAGGCACAGAAAAGGCCACACGTAAGACATCACAAGCTGATCTCTTCTCTCGACTGGCAAAGAATCCTTATAAGATTTTGCCAGAGAAGCGAGAGTACATGCAAGAGGCAATGCAAGCAACAAGCCGTCTAGCGACATATTCTATTGTCACCCATACAGCAGAAGATCTTCCGGTTGACCGCGTTGCTGCAAACATAGCAAGCAGACTCCAGAAGGGGTTAACAAGCTCGCGGGTGTGGGATGATTCGCAGACACGAGCAGGCACAATTCCTGCATCTCATTCGTTTGCGTACTCTCAGAATAGCTTTTCAGTAATGAAGGAACAAGCCTTTGGTGAGAATGCTGACAGTACAGATGCAGGGCCATTCATAGCTCCACGGAGACCGGGCTCCTCTCAGCGGGCCGTAGTTTCTTCAACAGGCTGGCGTTCAACGGCACAGCGCCCAACGCATGCTCGTCTCGTAAGTGTTCCGCAAGTCACAACTCGCACGCGACCTACTGGGCGAGCATCTGTTCAGGCACAACCTGGATCCCGGGGCCCCGGTTGAGGCCAGTAAATTCGATCAGTAATTGACTAAAGATTGAAGAGCTGCGTCAAGAATTTACTTGGTCAGTTGCTTGAGTGCCTCGAGCTTCTTGGCATCGATTCTTTCCTTTCGCTCCTTCAGCGTGAGTCTGGCCTGTCGCACCGGCTTCTTGATCTCAAACTTCGCCTTGACAGCTTGCGGGTTGGCCCTAATAGCCGCATGTGCCTTTGTGTACATGGCCTCAAGTCTAAGCGGCTCGACCTTGGCGGCTATGTACTTCGAGAAGCGCTTCCTGTAGGTCTCCTCATCCTCCGCTTTGAGCTCTGCCATGTAGTCCCCTACGTGCTTCCCCATGATACGATCCCTCAGAGCCGAGGAGTCAAAGCCATCCTTCGAGTAGCCTGGAAAGCGCTTCATACTGTGGGGGATGTTCAGTCCGGCATCGACGGCACCCTTCATGGCTGCGAAGACGCGAGCACCCGTGCTAGCACGGGCAAGCCCAATGTCAAGGAACGCCTTGAAGGCGTGGACCTCCTCGTTTTCGTTCTCGTCCGGGTGATATTCTTCCCCTGTCGCCTTGTCTAATCCAGGATAAAGCTGCGCAAGAGCGTTCTCCTTGATACCGACGGAGAGCTTCTCCAGGAGGCGGCGACCGCACAGGAGGCCTGTGGCATAAGCAGCAGCATAGTTTGTCAGCCCCACGGGGATCCCGTAGCGGGGAAGCTCGTGAGAGTAGGCGGCACAAACGACCCTGTCCTTTGTCAGCTCAGCTGCAGTGACCTGGCAGATGATATCCTTGTTTGTGCGGCGCACCACGAAGCGATAGCGCGGGGTGGCATATTTGTTTTTGTCCTGAATGATCAGAGCCTTGCGGGCCTGATAATCAGTCTTTCCCTCCCTGCGGCGGCGGAACTGCACCTGAAAGCGCTTGAAGTAGGAGCGCGTCTTCTGAACCTTAACCCAGCCCATCTCTCATCTCTCCATTCTGGAATAAAAGTAAAGTGAATTTAAAATGGTTTGTATTTCACCAGAGGGCTCCAAAAGTCGGCCGGCATCAACCGCAACGCAGAGTGATGGAAGACGAGATGGACCAGCCCCAACGGATTAGCCGTGAAAAGAGGCGGAACTACCCGGAAAGGGATATGACCGGGCGAACTGACGTCCCCGAGGGTTGGCGAGAGCCCGAGTTTCGGCCGGAAGATAATAAGTCAGGCGCTTTGCTCGACGTCTCTAGTTTCTCTACCTTGTTCCCAATGTACCGTGAACCGTATATTACTAGTATCTGGAAGGATCTCGCTAACATGCTGAGCAGCAAATATGGGATTGCTGCAGAGCTTGACTTACAGAAGGGGACAATTACCGTTCAAACAACAGACAAGACATGGGATCCGGCCGCAATTTTGTCGGCACGAAACATGATTTGGATGCTCTCGCGATCAATGACATTTGAACAGGCTAAACGCTGCTTCGAAAATGAGGTTGATTGCGATATAATACGGATTAAGAACATGGCGTCACGCAAAGATAGCTTCATCAAGCGCCGAGCGCGCTTTGTGGGCCCTAATGCTCAAACACTCAAGGCTATAGAGCTGCTCACAGACACTAAGATCCAGGTTCAGGGAAATACTGTTGCAGTCATGGGAGCAAGTCGCGGAGTTGGCCTCGTGCGTAATATAGTCACAGATTGCATTGAACGGAACATTCATCCAGTTCAACACATCAAAACACTCATGATTAAGCGAGAACTCGCCAAGATCCCGGAGATGGCCAACGAGGACTGGTCTAGGTTTATTCCGACGTTTAAGAAGAAGAACACGAAGCCTTACAAGCCAGCAAAGGTTGCCAAGCGTAAACGCGAAAAGCAGGAGGCAGCAATATCAAAAGTTGATCAGCAATTGGCTTCTGGCGAATACTTTGCGCGACGCGAAGGCGAAGAGAAGATACTTCCGCGACGACTGCGTGAGCCAGGTACACTCTCGAGAGGTGGCGCTAAGCAGACGCATCAGGGCCAAGGTGCCCACAGCTTATCTGATTCTGAAATCCCTAGTGATGGCCTTTAATTGTTCGTCAGCTGTCATCGCTCAGTAAACCCTACCCACTTCACCCACTTCAAAAATTAAAAGCATGCCATGCTCTTCTCAATCCGGTAATAATTGGTTTAGGGCGTGTGCACAAGGAGACATTTCGTTAGTCGAGCGGTTAAAGGCACGAAAGAAGGGCATCTATGATAATCGACCCTCGTCAGGAAACGGATCAATTTTTAAAGGATTCGTGGGTCTACATTACGCATCATATTTTGATCGTTTAGATGTTGTTCGGAGCCTACTCGATTTAGAATACGACAAAGTAACTCAGTATAGCGTTTTAATCTATCCACCCTCACATTCTACTCCCATGGAAGTGGATACTCCTCATGGTGTTCACTTCAGTGCAGGTGCTCCCATCGAAAAGCAAGCAAAGACTAAGCAAAAAAGAAGCAATCTTCAAATTTGGTCTCACCAATCCGCTGTATCTCATACTGAGATTTTTGACACAAACACAAATCTTCGGTCACTACGACCATGTACTACTCTGTCGATACATTCCATAAGCTGCATGTCTTCTGATCGCTTTGACTATATTAGTAGCTCCCCAATGACGCCAAGCAGTAACAACAGTCAACCATTTACTCTGGACAAAGGGTCTTCTGCTCTGATGATAGCAATAGTACGGAGAAACTTTAAGCTGGCCAAGTACATTATTGATTGGCTCAGGGATCGGAGAAAAGACAGTAAGAAGTTGAGCTCCATGCTAAAGCTGCAAAACGCTAGCTCAATGTCGGCACTAATGCTCCTCTGCACTATGCGTGCATCTGCTGCCGCTGCTGCAATCTTGCAAAGTGGGGATCTGATGCTGTTACATCATGAATTTGTGCTACTTTCTAAGGAAGGGAAAAGCTGTCTGCATTACTGTATAGATAGTGGATCATATCTGATACTCGAAACGATATTCTTGGTTATGTGTGACAGGCATGCAGAGACTGATGAAGGATACATGCTCAAGTATCGGCTTGCACAGATGCTGCTCTATGATAAGTCGATACCCAAGCCCACAGTGAAGCCAGACAAGTTAGCGCGAACACCGTCGAATAATGCATTTTCGATCAAGGATGACAGCTCTCCCACCAGATCTTCCTTTGAGGGACACTCATCTGATGATCAGATCATTGACCTGGGTAATGTCTATACTGCTTGTTATTCTTCTATTGGTGAATTAACAAGCGATCAACAACGACAACAACGCGCTCACATAAACATGGAGGGTAATAAGTCACAAACATTATTAGACTATGTGTTGTATCAAACAAGCTCCCTTTCTGCAGAAGCACGGTCACGTATATATGCACTAGTGTATCACTATTCAAAGAAAGTCTATCTCTGGGCTGTACACGATTATATTAATATATGTAGAACCTATTCGAGCATGACGCCGGACATTGCTTTCTTGCAGCACGTGAAGCGTTGGGTAGACTTCGAGGAGCGATATCCCAAGCCTCAAGTTCCCTATTCTCCGGCAAACAAAGATCTTGTAACAGAGCCATGTTCTTCTCTTTCAGCTCGACAATCTATAAGTGTAGTGTCAATGCACCTCTCTCCCATACTGTCAACTGATATCACCGTGCGATCAGCATCTAAATCAGGGTTTCACAGGCGCTGTCTTTCTTTGAGTAGTATTGCTGCAGAACTTCCACCTTCGGGCCCTACTACTGTCTCTACTGCCACTTGTGTTGGTACCTTATCGTCACAGAATCGTTTACAACTTGCTTATATGAGTAATCCTTTAGTCAGATCATCAACGGACATCTGCAACCAAGAGGATGATGCTACTTTCCATAGTCTGCCTGAGGATGATGTGCGCGACTCTAAACCTGCTTTGCAAGAGACCGGCTTTAAAAAGCGGAAAAACAGTGTACAGCATCTTTTGGTCGAAGACAATCCAGAGAGAACGGAGGAATGTGATAATACTAACAGTCAACAAATAGCGTCTAATACGTCTAGTGACGACGCTATTGACTCCCCTATTACTGGTATGAATACTGCTAGGCGTATAGTCTTGCTGGATAACACTGAAACAGACAAAGCAACGTCCACTTCAGAAGCACTTCCGATACCATGCAAGACGCCGGAAGAGTCCAGCAATAAGAACACAATTACATCAATTACGTTACCAAGTACTAAATTTAGTGACGATTCAGTTACGAAGTCATCCTCTACTCGAAGCCCAGGGTCTGTTCAGCACAATGCATTTCGTCAGCCTCGAGAGCTGCTGAAATCAGCATCATTAGATAATGGCCCAGACTCTTTGTCAAGCGATAGTTGTACATGTTCATGCACAACCTCAACATCAGATTTCAATGGTAGCTGCAGAAGCATTATCCGTTTTAACGACAGCGCAAGTTTTGAAAAGGAATCAGACAGCGAGCGGAACTCAGTCATAAATATAACTTCCACACCTACTTCTGAGTAAGCCATTGCCACCTTTTCCTCCGGTTCCATTCACTTCTCGCAGGTGACTTGCTACTAGCACGATCATCTATCCACTTATCCTGAAGGTTAGTCTGTACTATGCTGCATGACTAAGTGAATTCTATTGAATCGGTCTTAGTCTAATCCTGATCTAATTAAAAATGAGCTCTAATAGTCACGACACACATGCCAACGTATTTAGCCCCGACGGACGAATTTTCCAGATAGAATATGCTCTGAAGTCTGTTACGCTTTCACCAACGGCGCTGGCAATACGTACGCATACGGGCATAGTCTTTGCTGTTGAACGTCGTACATCATCTCCACTCCGCCTCCAGACGAGATTTGAAAGAATAATGCACGTCGATGATCATGCTATGGCGTGTGTGGCAGGACACGCAAGCGATTCAAAGCTTCTTCTACAGTCTGCTCGCACAGAGGCCCAGTCTCATCGCTTTCTCTACGACGAATTTGTGCCGCTCCAAGCACTTTCTGAGTCTCTCTCAGAGGTTTTCATTAACTTTGGCCGTGGAAAGAAGAAGCTTGGTAGGCCTTTTGGATGTTCTCTGCTTATTGGGGGACTAGACGGAAGCACTCCCCGCCTATTTTGTGCCGAACCAAGCGGATCAGTGACCGAGGCTATGGCACGCTCATTAGGCGCTGGAAGCACCACGGCACAGCAAACTCTTCAAGATAGCTACCGGGATGACATGACACTCGATGATGCCAAGCTTCTTGCTCTCGAGATTCTCCGCGACGTAATGGAAAGTACAGTAAGGGGTGATAATGTCGAAATGGCTACTATCAGCTATGATCCTGTTAACAAAGCGCCTGTCAAGTCTCTTTTGTCTGAAGAAGAAATCAAGGGGCTCATTGCGAGGTTGCCAGCAACTGTATAGGTGTGCCATGCATCACGTTGTTACTTGGGCGTAGTGAACAGAATGTATTCCAAAATTCACTCCCACACTCACAGATAGAGGGAACTAGTCTATTCCGGATGCAGAGTTTGCCTTGATGCACCAGCGAACAAATTCTTCAAGTTTCTGCTCCTCACCCTCTTGAGACAGTTGAGCTAACTCTTCCTGAGTATAGGTCTTGACATTCGGCCCCCTGGCCTTTGGCTGTTCGACAACATGGCGTCTAAGTAAATTGGGACTCAGCTTGAAGACACGGACAACTCCTTGAGAGTCTCCAACAGCGATGATCGGGAAGCTCTTCGAAAGCTCTATCTTTGTAAGCCGCGCAGCTATTGGGACAGCCGTCTGAATGCACAGGGGCGTTTCTTTCCGGATGTTGAAGTCGTACACGACAATCTTGCCATCTGCTGTTCCTGCAATGATCTCTGTGGATACATGTGGGCTGAAAGTTACATCAGAAACTGTCCTTCCAAAGTCAACTGTATACACAGGCGTTGCTCTATCACGCTTCCATATCTTACAAGTGAAATCCTCACTGCAACTGACGAGAAGATCTGGATTAAAAGTGTTCCAAGAAATCCCATACACAGGCATACTATGCCCATTTTGACAGAACGTCTGCACATATGTATTGTGGTATGCTGTGGAGCAGAGTCTAACAATACCTGAGTCAGTACTTATAGCGTAGAGCCAGTCGTATTTCGGATTGAAGGAAATGGAGAGAATCCCTGCAGTAGGAGATGTTTGGTTTGCAATCTCGGCCGAGCGCTTTTGGCTATCAAAATCGTTCTTTTGTGTTATAAGAATCTGGGGCTTGGTGTGCAGCGTAGATTTGCTTGCCTTTTCGGTGGCGGACGTATACGCAGCCGCCAAATCGGGATTAAGAGGGTCCGAGTGAAGACGGGTTGTTGTCACTTGGGTAGTTGCCTGAGCACTTAGCCCAGCATCCTTCCCTGATGAAATTGGCTGAGTTACGTCTGCGTCCGTCATATTGTCTCTGACATCAATCTTACTTACTAAACGCAGATCGGTTTTAACAAGCGTCCATGAGCATATGCACCCATCCGTAGATGCAGAAAAGAAGGCAAGGGAATTAGATCCCACAAGATCCTTTCTCCATCTGACGCTCCAAACAGCCTCCGTGTGCTTGCCAGTCGATGAATCTGAAATGACAATCTGGGTACCATCAGCCGCATTGTACATAGCTATGTTACCATCATAGAGTCCAACAAGAAGCAGGTCCGAGCGCTCCGGATGCCAATCGAGGCATAGGATATCCACGGGGGTTTTAATGATTCTTTCGGGATAAAATGGATTTTTGAGAGAAAAAACACTGAGACACGAAGGTGGAAAGACGCTTGTAGATTGGAACTCAAAGGAGCCATAGGCAGCAGCGAAAAGATCGTGGAACTTCGGGTGGAATTGGATGCAAGAAACAGGCTTTACTGTTTTTATTCCCAGAACCTCCTTAAAGTTTGTAGCGAATTTCCAAAGGGGTAGCAAAGATCCTTCTTGCTTGTAGCTGTCTGATGGATCTGACCAAAATTTGTAGTCTGACACTACATCTGCAAAGAGGATCTCTGCCACCAATCGCTCTGCAAGTAGAAGTGCATTACTAACTAAAGCCAAGTCTGCTGCACTCAGTGAACATATGGCAGAAATAGAATTATCTGAAGCCTTTTGCAAGGTGAGCGCTTGAGTCTCCAACGAAAGCCCTTCACCTGAGGTGAATACCAGCGGATCGTCGTGCTCATCCCCTATTTGTCTGATCACAGCGCTCTTTCCTTTTTTCCCATCCCCACCAACAGCATCGCCCTCCGCTTGCATACGCTTTTGTTCCTTATAACGATCATAAATAACACTACGATTAAACTCTCCTTTTGTGGTTTCAGATGGCGGGGGATTCGTGGCCACAGATTGATCCTTAGGTAGCGGAATCGATGCTTGCGTCCCTCTGTTACTAAAGTTGAACTGATTTCTTTGCAGTTCCTCTTTTTTAGCTTCCTGTTTGTAGTTATTATATCCGTAAGATTCATCAGCAAAGAGATACGGTCCGTCAACAGATATATGAAATTCTGTTTGAGAAACTAAACCGTCAGCTTTAAACATCTTGTCACGATATGAAAAGTGAATAATATTATCTGGAGCACTGGGACAATTGGCCGAAAGCATCCTGGTTTGCTCTTCTTCTAATTCCTTATCTGTTAGTCGAAGTTGAATTGGCTGACGCACAGCATCTGCTGGCGGTTGAGAGTTTTGAGGTTGGTCTAGGTAAGACTTACTGGCACTGCGTCTAACCATGGCTGGTTTTTGTGTACTGGGCTTGGGAACAGGAGGCATTTTGTCCAAATTTTTTTTGATAATTTGTCATCTATATCTGAGAAATGCGTTTCTTGGCAGCATGATGTGTATCATTTAGATCTCGAGTCCTAACGGCGCTTCTCCTGCTGCTCCTAGAGGCCCTTCCGGAGGCCACGGACTCTTGGGTCTTCAGGCCGCGCATCCTCGTCGTTGCGAACACAAACGTGGCGGTCGACAACCTCCTCCGGCGCCTCGCCTCTGCAGCTGCAGGGCTTTCTATTGGAGAGCTTCTTCCAAAGGTCGTCTCCCGGGTTGGGTCGGGGATCACGGCCCCCGAGCTCCACGTTTTCGGCGAGCCTCTGATCGCCTTCGGCGAGCGCCTCGTCATCTTCACGACCTTTGCGTCTCTCAACCGCCTAACAGAGCTGGTCTCCGACTGCGACTACTTCCCCCTCGTGATCGTTGACGAAGCCAGCCAGGTAACGGAGCCCCTCCTCCTTTGCGGGCTTGCAGCCCTGCGTTATCAGGTCGATCTGATGCTCTTGGCGGGAGACAACATGCAGCTTCCCCCGGTCGCCGCCACAGCCACCCTAGGAGCATCGACCTTCGAGCGCCTTATCGGCCTAACAGAGGGCAAACATTCTCCGCGGCTTTGTCCGGCGACGACGCTGTGGGCGCAGTACCGCTGCTGCCGCCCCGTGGCAGATCTAGCAGGCGCCCTATTCTACGGCAGACGCGTTTGCACTATGGGCACAGAACATCCGCCTGTCGTCAAGGGCCTCCCGCTCTTATCCTCTGTTCACCTTGGAAGCTCTTTTGACCGAACGGTCCGCGGGAGCAGAGAGAATAGTACAGAAGCCAAGGCAATTGTTCGCCTGGTCACAGCCCTGGTGCTGGACCACAAGGTACCTCCCTCCGAGATCGGAATTATTACTCCATTCCGGGCACAATCAAGTTATCTCGAGGGGCTGTTGCGGCGGGCCCTCTCTGTCTTTAAGACAGTGCATGATGAGAAGAGCCTATTAGATGCAGACGGCGCGGAGCCTTCTGAGCTGACAGGGGTTGGCAGGGCAGCTGAGGAAGTTCAAAGACAAAATTCCCTAACAGACAATACCATCTTTCGATCATGCAGGACTGGCGCTGTATCCCCCCAAGCTATACCTAAACTCTCAACTGTATCTGCAGCCACCGTCGATTCTTTCCAAGGAAGCGAGAAATTGGTGATCATCGTGAGCCTAGTGCAAGCGACGGATGGACACTTTATTCGTGAGCCAGAAAGATCCGAGCATATCAATTTCCCTAATAGAGTCAACGTGGCCATCACACGTGCGGTTAGCCATCTAATTGTCTTTCAGAGCTATCAATTTAGCGGCGATAATCTATCATCCTATTTGAAGAAACTGACATTGAAAGACCTGTCTCTTAGTAGCACTGTGAGCCCCTGGACTAAACTGCTCGCATATACAACTGATATCGGCCAGTGCTTCATAGGCATAGCTTCTCTCCTTGAACAACTTGGGGTTAAAGAAGTAGAACAGGGTTTACCATTGTTCTCTGAACTGACTAGCGCTCAAAAGGAGGATCCACCCACTGTCAACGAGCCACTCAGAAAGACGGCTGCAGTTACCAGTCCGATTAAGTTTGCATCTTCTCTTTCTGATCAGCTGCTGATAGACATGATTATAGAATGTGCAAGGGACAGGTTTATAGAAGACAAATGTGTTCTTTCCCAGGCAAAAAGCACAGAGCTGCTGCAAATTTTAGGGGGCGAATGGTAATCAGGAATGGACACACGAACAACTCGTTCTATTAGAGGTTTATTATATTGGTTCTTCCACTACATGTGGTTGTTTCAAGCTGTGTGATATACTCCGTACAATGGCTACCCGTCGTGTTACCTGTGTATTGCAAATAGGTTGTATAAAAATTCTGCGCTTGCACATAATGCATAAACCATGTTAGTAGTTGTTTCCTTGCTTCACAATGACACTATCGGAAATCGTCTATCTATCCTTAGCCCCAGTACATGGTCTAACTTGCTTCTCTGTATCTTGTTTAGTAATACCAAGAGCTTCTACGATGATTGGTAGCGTGAGTCCTTATGTCGATATAAGTATATATGCTTGAGAAACCGTCATCAGCTCACCAAGAGGCTAGGAAAGCTCCAGCGCTTCAACCTAAGCGGTCATCGCCTAATGGAGCCGTCCTACCTGCAAGATAAGGGTTGGAGCAGACGTTACAAATTATGTATAGCGGAAAACAAGAGCTGTGACCTACTGCTCCTTATGACTAATATTTAATATGATTTTCATATGTCTGCACCGCCGTGCGGTCATAGTACAGTGGCTAGTATGCGTGACTGTCACTCACGTGACCCGGGTTCGATTCCCGGTGACCGCGGCTTTGCTTGGTGCCGGCGCAGACGTCTTCACCGGGTCTTTGGGACCGAGGCTGGTTGCTCCAGGCTGACGCGGAGCCGTCACTTCTTCCTGGTGTACAAGCGTGTCAATCGATGATTATCCTCTCGCTTGAGCACCCATTTGTCATTCTGGTTTGCCATCCAGCACTTGAAGTGATGGGTTAATGAGTTTTCAAACAACATACTTCATTGATCATTGCTAAGAATAGCATATCTTTTTGTATGAAGATAACCGTTCCTCTGTAGATCTTCAATCTAACAGTTAAAGATGTACTATAAAGACGAGCCTACAAGGTTTCTCATAAGAACATATCTAACAGTCCTTGTTCCTTGCAATATGTTGTCTTATGATGTAGTTCACTGATAGTAGATACATTTCACCATCCGATCTTGTCACTTGATAAGTTTAGTACGAATGATTCCCCCTATTTACTCTCCACTTCACCGGGGTAGGGCTGTCGCCTACTACCTGAGTGATCTCCCATGCGAGCCGCCATCCTGGGCAAGCTTCTCACCCATGCATTAGCTGAGATCCGGAATCCGAGAGTCGGATGTCCTCGGATCCCGGCGGAAGAACTTCTATGCCCCCCTCCCCTGGAAGCTGCCGCTCCTCGCGGTGCCTCCAGGGTTCCCCCTTCCTCTGGCTCGTCGGGGTCAACCATCGCCTGATAGCTATTGAGCACCTGCTGTCCCGGGCCTGCCGTCGGTCACAGCAGCCTGGCCTCCACGTGGCCCTGGTGCTCTACGACGAGGATCGCACGCCACGACCTCGGGTGTCTACCCCGTTCCTCGGGTGCCTCTTTGTCTCCCCATGACGTGGATCATCGACCCTATTGTCGGAGGTGCGCTCCCCATACGCCTCCATCTTGGAGTCATAGTACGCGTTCGTGGATGCCGATGGAGTACTCCCATGCGTTGTGTCGGGGAGAGGTCCGGCCCTCTGCTCACGGATCGCAGGGCGCTTTTGCAGGTGGTCCGTCACCCAGCACGAGATCATGTCAGCGCTCACCCTGTGCAGTGCGTCTGGCTCAGTGACGTGTGGGCTGGTCCATCTGCACCGCACAGCACGCTTGGGGGAATGATTCGGTCTGTCGAGGCGTCGTCCAAAGCATCAGAAGCGATCAGGACCGGTTCGCCGCTTGGTTGTCCCGCTCGGCAGCCGGCACCCGTCTACTCGAGGGTGTCAGGCACTGCCAGCTGCTGCGGCAGACGCCTGGCGGGTGGCCCAGGTCACCGCTCTTCGGTGTGGGCAGGATCAGTCTGCCTCTGCCAACCAGACACCCCAGGGGCCCCATCTCTTGTCGAGGGATTCACATGGGTCACGTGTGGGTCCATCCCGGCCAGTGGGCAGTGATTGGTGCCATCACTAGTTTCGGCCCTCGATTGCCCTGGGAGCTCCTTCGAGACTAGTTAGAAAGGAGGCCTCCTGTCCCTCTGTGCTCCTATACCCAGTGCTGACCGTCGAGCTATAGCGTTTCGCCAGGCCTGTCGCCTCTGTGACTATCCCCGTCGTGTCACTGTCGTCACTATGGAAGCTGAGTGTGTCGTCGACATGGGCAGTGAGCGGGGCATCTCCTTCAGCTCCTGGTGAGCAGGTTCTGTCTCCCGCAGCACAGAAGAATGCTCAGGACCCCGAGGGACCGAGCCCAGGGGTGCAGCGTGGCGCAGCCGGAGGAAGGCCTCGACGCAGCTCCTCGGGACTACCTTGTGGAGCGAATCATGATCGTCCATTGATTGTGGTCGCCCTGTCTCATTCTTGAGGAAGGACCAGACGGAACCGTACAGAGCACGCGTCCCATCCTATGGGTCGCGCTGATAATCTCGCTGAAGGCCTGTTTAGGGGCCCCGGAACGCCTGCACCCGGATGGGGGCTTGCCAGCGCAGGTCCAGGCCAGAGGGCCCGGGGACTTCAAGCCCCGTGGACTAGTCGCCCTGGCCGTCTCTTCGTCGGTGATCTGGTAGGGCCGTCCGTGCTCTCCGATGGCTGAGAGGGTCCGTATCCCTCAGGAGCCAGGCCGTCCTGATCCGGCCCTCTGGATAGCAAGGTGCTGGTCGTCGGTGGCGCTGTCAGGGTGCAGCTCCCCCTCGAGGCGAGGCAGAGGCTGCAGGCCGGGCAGTAGGATGGTGAATGCCGCTCCTCCGCTTCCCCGCTGTGTGAGCGAGGCACGTCTCCTCGGCTCTCACCTGGGGCTCTGCGGGGTGCTAGGTACCTTCCCGTGAGCACGTTCGCACGATGGGTGCTGAAGGGGATGTCCTTCTCTATTCCTATTACTCCACTCAGTGGCGCCCTGCATCCGGTGTCTGTGCTGCATACGTCTGGACGGCCTCACCGCGGAGGGTCTTCGCTCAGGACAGGCATGTGCTCTTCCGCTCCTACTAGTTCAACGTTCGCCTGGTGCCACTCCAGCGTAGGGCGCTCCTCTCCATCAGGTTCCTAAGGTCCTCGTTCTTGGTGTGATACCTGATCTCTCCCCCGTGAGGGGTAGGGTTCACGGTGCACTGGTGTGTGTTCGGAGCGACGCCTCCCTTTTAGAGTTCTGCAGGTTACACGACCCTCTGGGGACAACCAGCGACTGGGACCCCTGTTTGAGGCAAGGGCTGACCTGGCTCCACCGGGCTGCGAGCAACTCAAGGGCGCTCTGGTGTTGCTGGTCTCTCAACCGCACAGACTTGGCCTGTCCTGGCAGATAGTTGGGGTCGTCCCTGAGCGCCTCCGAGGAATCTGGGAAGCGCTCCGGTCCGATGCTTTCTGTCCAGAGCATCGCGACGGGCAACGGTGAGGGCCCGCGTGGGACACCGCACTTGGGCGACAAGGCTCGGTGTGCGTGTGCTGGCACCGTCTGTCGGTCGCAAAGCTGCAGAAGGAGCAGCAAGAGGAGCCCAAAGCGGGAGAGGGTTCTCCAGACGTGCTGCTCGAGACCCTTTAGAAGTCGAAAGAGACATGGCAGGAGACGCAGAAGTGGTCGAGTGGCTCTTCGTGCTGTGGATCGCGTAGGAGGTCCCCAAGGGTGCAGTCTCTTAGTGAACCCGGCGTTCTTGAGCCAGTTCATGTAGTCAGCGAGTGACCCCTTCAGGGCTAGGTGGTCTCCTAGAGAAACGGTCATTGAGAGCCCTGCCACCATGCAACCGTTCTCTGGCACAGGGATGTTCGTTGGGGGGAGGAGAATGTGAGAGCTTCCCTGCTCTCATCTCCTTGCTCTTTCGTTCATCCTACTGGGCGCTTTCTTGGCGCTTCGCTCCAGAGTCCTATGGACCTTCCTCGGTGGCACCTTCATGGGAGCAGTCGCGGGTCTGTTATTTGTTAAAGGCTGGACGTCGGGGCTATCGGCTCCTTCGTCTGGGCTTCTTCTTCCGCCGGAGCTGGACGGCGCCCGATTCTCGGACTCTGGGTTCAGACATCGAACAGGTAAATGATCGAAGACCCCCCTGGTGTAGAAACTCGCATAGAATTTGCTCGGACGGCAGCTAACAAACCAATCTCGGTGGACAGAGGTATGTTCATAGGGCGTTTGCCTTATAGTCATTATCTGGTCATGTTACTTAATAAGGTGCTAGCCCTTCATTTTCAGCTGTGTCATTTGTGCTCAACGCTCTTGCTAACCAACTGACTATGTTGGTAGTTTCACTTAAGGTTAGCCAGATCGCATAAGCATTAACAAAGAAATGCGTACCAGGAAAAGCAAGCTTAGATAAATGCTAAGCATGTGCCAGTGTTATAGACACAGACTTACGCTACGTGAGTATAATCGAGTGGTAACAGTCTTGTTAATACGGCATCCACCAGCTCCAAAATTATACTTGTAAGAATGAGATATCTATTCAGTGAGTAATATTTATTTTTCATACGGAAGAGAATGCAATAACTTTACTAGGACAATGAAAATATGTCTGAAGATGCAAGGGCGCGATTGGCAGAATAGAAGAAGTATATCTATATAAGACTGCCAACACACCCTTAAACATCCATGCCCTATAGAGATCAAGCAATCCTTTGCTGCTTGCAATGAAGTGGCTGGAACTGCGGTCAGTGACACCAGACATAAAAACGTACCTAGTTGTAGAGGACATAATCAGCTTATTAATAAGGTCATCGTGAACGTAAGTAAAATAGATAAAGCAGCTGTACACAAGTTCTATAAATAAATGATGCAGATTAGAAGCGGCTACATATCGATGAAAGAGATAGTTGTCTGAATATGTCAGCAAGCCAAATGTACAGGGCAGTAATAAGTGTCATGAATGTAAGAATGCAAATGATGGAGTGGGGAGCATCTGGATGTATAACCCCTAATTAACTCATTAATAAGCGCATAAATAAGATACAACAGGCTTTAATCTACAAGCAGTGAAACATCTAGTATGGCAGATAAACTGAAGCTTATAGCGAGACCTAACTCCGTGAAAGTAGTGCACATGGTAAGAAGCAGTGCAGTCTATAGAATAATGTAACCAGAAACAGCACAATTGATGACATAGAATGTACCTTTCTAGTAATCTATTAAAAGCAGAGTCCCTAAAGGTTCCGTTTATATAGCTAGAACAAGACCCAATGATGATTATCGTGTACATTGATATTATAACACCATCTGGCTCATCTGAGTGTTAGTTAGTTGATAGTAAAATGCTCTATCAGCAAATACACATGCGAAGTGTAACGTATATCATATCATCGGTGAGTATCGATAGGATAGCAGTCCTAATTATAGAACTAAGGAGTGGCTGATATGGAATACTAGCAAGTGCGTCACAGGATTGTAATTTGTTACTAGATCAGATAAAGATTGATAGGCCAGCGTATGCAGAAGGGCGCTCTGCATGATGATAGGATGATATGAGAAGTTCTATGCGAATAATAACCACTCCCTTTTATGTTTGCCATTAGAACCTAGTCAAGGAGTGACAGGCTTCTGGAGTAATTGGCCCTTGCACTCTCTGCAGGGCATGCTGGGTGATAAGGAGCTTTTTGTGACGTTCAAAGAACTCATCCGGTTATACCTACTTTTCCAGAACCACAACTACTAACTAATAAAAAGGGCCTTGCGTTTAGTCTTACAATAGGGGATCTTATGCATATAAATTCAGTCTTAGATAGCTAGCTTGATGAATTGATATATGGCAAAACAGTACAAAATTAGCCTGTTTTTAGATTACTCCACTTCTTGTGAAAAGGCTGATCGATGGTCTGGACAAAGTAATACAAACGTCCCTAAGTTTAAGCCATCATTTGTCCATTATCTCCTAACGCTCCCATTGTAACTAGGTGACTAAAAGCAGAATCTTCATTATATTGCTATAGATTCATCGCAAGGGATTCGCTAACTTTCTTGCTGGACAAGAGCAGACTCACGCCTCTCCACTGACTCTTTTCCACCATGAACTGATAATAACGTCCTCTCTCTGAGACGTGTGAAGCAGATACTATAGACGCTCAGCCAAGATACTAATCACTATAGTTGTAGATGCATCAAAACTTATGGTAGAGACGGGAATATTATTCACATAGACCCTAAACGCTATACGAATGCCTTGTAAGTTAGTATTTTGCGGAAACAGATAAGCGTAGCTTCCAGATCCAAAGTTACGCGCGGACAAGTTATGCTCCCAACACCTGAACTCTAGCATCCATTCCTATGAGTTTTTCTTCCCAATAACGTCTACCTTATGGGCTCAAAGCTGCAAGTAGTGTCCTTGTCATTGAAAGAAAGATGAACCGGGATAATATAGAAGATCGTGCCATAGAATACAGCCTCCGAGGATTCGTGTGCCGACGCTCTATAATGCTTGCAGATAACGACAACATCCTTAATGACGGGATACTCCATTGTAAACCTAAAACTAAAACATAAGATAATATTAGAACAGCAACTTCAAGAAAGACAGTTCAATATGTTCATCTGACTATAAGAAGCTTGGTGATCACCTGCAAGACTGATATGCGGAATGAGTATGGACACTCAATTCTACTCTTGCAGCTAAATATAACCACCAATCTACTGCCGAGTTCATGCTTCTCAATGAGGTTGTAATTCGATGCATGACCGCCATATACCTTCGTTGTCAATGCAGAATAAAACTGTAGGGCTGGCATAGAAATTTATTATGTGTTGTAGAACAGCAAAGTTGGGAGGCGCAGCAGCGATACTATATACTGTTAGATAACGTTACAGTAAAACTTCAAAGCAGCTTCTTCTAAGGAAAGAAGACACACAGAATACCGCTGAGAGCATTACTATACCACTTGGGTTAAGTTTAGTTAGATAGATACAGTCACGTTGTTGGCTCCACTTAGGAAGAGGATAGAGAATTCTGCTAGCAAGCTTGCGAAGCCTATGCTGCTGAAGGGAGCTTCCAACAACTTGCAGAGCCGCCCCAAGAACGGCCGGAAGGAGATTGGAAGCGACTAGCCACAGTGATCTTGGCGGGCCAAATTTACTTCAGTTGGGTAGGATGTGGAGGATTCTTTTAGCAGTGCAGATGTCCATAAGAGGTAGCTACAAAGCTGAGGATAAAGCAAGAACCCCAAATAGTATTCAATTCAACGGTGTAGTGATAGATGCAGTAGTGGGAATACGCTTCCGGCTAAGAGCAACGTGCTTCGCCCCATAGGGCTGCGTGCGTCTATACAGGAACCACCACAGGAGAAAGCCGACCACCGACCCAACGAGGAGAACCGCAGCCACGGACACTCCGGCTATCATGGCTGTCTTCCTTGTCGAGCTCGGGGCTGGGGCTGGGGCTGGAGCCGGAGTCGGGATGATGCTCGGGAGCGCATCAAAGGAATAGCAGAGGACGGATCCGACCTTGCCCTCAGGAGGCATGCAGTAAGTGCATCCGTCGACCCCTTTCATGCCGTTGTTGTCCGCACCGCATGCTGTGCATGTGAACGCCGATCCAGTTGTCGACTGGTAGTACCCTGTGTCACAGAGGGTGCACATCTGTGGATTGTCCGGGGCAGTGCAGGTGACGCAGCCCTGGGCGCATTTCTGGCACTGGCCGTTCACGCTCACATACCCCAGCCTGCATGTCACGCAGGCGTCGGCCGTGCATTCGGCGCAGTTTGCGATCGAGCACTCTTGAAGGATGCCCGACTCGCTGACCATCTTTCCGTGCGCGCCCTTGGTGCACACGCCCCTCTCCTCTGCATGGCAGACGGTGCGTCCAGGATATGTGTCCACCTGGTAGCATCCTCCCGACAGGAGGAAGTATCCGTCTGCACAACTCGTGCAGGCGCCGTCGACCACAGAGACGCACGCGGACCCTGCCCGTGCGGAGAGCCCGACGCATTTGCCGTTCAGAGGGAATGCGGTCTGCACGCTGCATACAGAGCAGTAGCTTGCCCCGTCGATGCTCGCGTCGCACCTCTTGCAGCCGTCGGCTGACGGGGTACACGGTTTCTTGCACTCCCCGACCCCCGATTCAGACGTTACCGCGTAGCCCGACGGGCAAGACACGCAGCTACTGGGGCCCTTAGCTACGCAGGTGGCGCACGTGCTGTCGCAAGGAGTGCAGACTCCGTTGTCGGAGAAGTACCCGTCCGAGCACACAGCACAAAGCTTACCGGCTCCACACTCTTTGCAGTTCGGGATCTCACACAGAGCGCACCTTGCGGGGGCCTCTCCCGTGGCATCAAGTGCGTAGTACCCGGGGATGTTTCGGCAGTTACCTACGCAGGTCCCCACACTGGTGAGGAAGAACCCGGGCCCACAACGCCGACACTTCCTGCCATCAGCACACTCGGCGCAATCTGGGACCGTACATGAACCTGTGGTCTTGGTGGTGCATGTGCCTGCTTGATCCAGAACGTACCCGACCATGCAGTGTGTGCACACATCCCTCTGGTCATCCATCCGGCACCGCTCACAATTCACCGTGGTACAGGGGCGGCAGATTCCGTCTTGGTTCTCGTAACCGGCGGCACATGCATTGCAAAGACCGAGACCGTAGTTGTTTTTGTTGACAGAACCAACTATACCGACCCAAGTACAGACGCTTTTTCCGGGCTCCTTGTTCTCCTGGTAGCAGCCACCCATGTACAGGAAGTACCCCGCACCACACTGAAGACAGCTCCGCGCTGAGTCAGAGCCTACGCCAGTCACGCAACCGCTGGGGTGTGCGCTTGTTACATCAGTGCAAATGCCGTCCACAGGCGCGTGTCCATCCGTCTTGCACAAGCTACAGTACAGATTCTCGCCTATTCCCACCACGCACGAACCCGCCGCGCAATTGGAATCCTGACAGTGGGACTGGCATTTGCCATTAACTAATGTATAGCCAGCTTTGCAAACAAGGCATTTAACCGAGTCACTTTCCATGGTACATTCTCTACAACCATCAATCCCTTTGGCATTAGTAGTGTTCCCGCATTCTATGCAGCGTCCAGCACCACTTTCAGATCCGTCAAGAAAGTGCGTCCGAATAGGGCAAGATGTGCACTTGTCGTCCCCTGCCGCCTTACAAGTCAAACATCCCGCGCTGCATGAGACACACTTATAAGAAGAGCTGTCCCCGTACATCCCATAGCCACAGTTTGTACTCTCTACGCACATTCCAGCATTATCGTATATAGGTCGCAGATATTGGTTAGAAGGACACGTAAGGCACTGTTTTGAACTTTCCCCCATACATGTCTTACAGCTACTATGACAACGTTTGCAAAATTCAGGATCATAATATCCATCGCGGCAAACTTCACACTTTGTTGTATCTTTGCTGCACACTTTACAATCAGGGTCCCAGCAGAGTATACATACACCATCTTTGTTTTGAAATCCGTCTGCGCACGTCTTACACAACCCAACACGATCAGACTCAGTTCCAACTTCCAAACAGATGGTCTTATGAACTTCAGTTGAGCCACTGTAACATCCGCCATAATAAAGGAAATAGCCTGCGCCACATTTGTTACATTGTCCATTATTGGCAACACAGCCAGACGGATTATCAGGTTGAACAGTTGTGCATATTCCGTCGACAGGTGCATATCCCGTATTACAAAGAGAACAGAAGCTTTTATCGCCTATAGTAACGTGACACCCCTTTGCCGCACACTGACCACTGGTGTCATCACAATCTGCTTTGCATTTTCCGTCAACAAGAGAATAGCCTCGCTCGCACTTGTTGCACGTAGCTACTCCGGGGCCATTCGGAGGATAGCAAGTCTTGCAGTTTGCCACACCCATCCAGCCAGAGTATCCACGTTCGTCGCCACAGGAAATGCATTTGCCTACCCCATTTGTTGCTGCCAAAAAATAATTCTCTGATTCACGGCAGGCTGTGCAATCTCTCTCATTAGGTCCTTCGCAGGCGCGGCATGTAGCAGAGCACTTCTTGCATTGGAGAGAAGGAACTGATACACTGTAGAAACCTACTCCACATGCAGAAACGCAATAGGGCTTAGTTGTCCCTTGAAGATACTTAAAGTTACCGCAAACCTCGCAAGCGTTATCAGCCTTACATCTATAGCAATCAGGTGTTCTGCACTTATAGCAGGCGTTACCTTCCAGATTGGGCTTGTGTGTCGAGAGCTTGCATGTGCGGCACTTAGCTACTTTAGAATTAGACGGCAGCGAACATCGTAAACAATCAGTAACACCCACATAGCCCGACACCCCCGTTGTGTCATCGCACCGAACACACGAGTCAACCGTTTGCGACGCAGCAGGGTTTTTGAAGAAGTTAGACGTGCAAGACGTGCAAACCCCTCTATCACATTCCTTGCAAATAAGATTCCCGGGGTAAAAGTTGCCGCACGAGTAACAGCCTCCTTTATATAGATGCATGGAGCCTGTGCACATGCCACATTTCTTTTGGTTTGTAATGGCTGAACCATCTGCATTCTTGCACGAGGAGTATCGGCCACTATCATATTTAAGGCAGTAACCATTGAAGGGTATGTAGCCATCGTTCTTGCACTCTGTGCACAGCTCATGGCCGTTGATCTCCTCACAATGGTCCTCTGCGCAATCGTTGACCTGGTAGGAGTGCGTACACTTCGCTGCTTGAGAGGCAAAAAGTATACCTAAAAGAATGATCATTTAAATATATGAACCTGCGAAATAATAGGATAAAAATTAACAAAATACAGGCGTAGAGGTTTTGTTTACAGGCTATACACAACAATCATACCTATTCTAATCAGAACCACTTACCTGCAAGAAACGATTCCGAAGCTTTCTTCAAAATTGTAAACCGTTATAATCAAACCCATGATTTACATCGCCCAGGCCATCATGTTATTCTCCCTACGGTATGCTGCATAGAATTGCTCGATTTATAGCCATCAACCCTTATACCTTTGCTTACACTACATTTCAATTTTACAGCGTTTATGACGTTTTTATCGATTTTTGCAAAGGAAGTAGGTAGTCCAGATTTGTGTGTCGAGCCTCGAGCATGCAGTTTGGATGTAACGTTGCAGAGGCCTTCGGACTCCGGCGGTCCGGGGTGGTCCTCCTTACAGATCAATCACTAAGAAGTATGCCTCTCAGCCAGCAGAAGAAGGTCGAGATCATCTTGGACGGCATGGGGCGCGGGTCTCAGGCAGCACAAGGTCTCCCGAGCCCCATAACTAGCCTGGCATTCATTCGCGATTCCCACCACTTCCTGTTCTTAGCTGTCGATGAGGACCAGTGCCTCGGGATCCTGAAGGGAGGCATCAAGCATCTCTTTATGCTCGACAGCCAGAACGAGACCCACGAGATGGACGCGATGTGTTGCCTGGACTTCTACACCCATGAGACGGTGCAGCGCCGAGGGATCGGAACACGGCTCTTCCGCGCCATGGAGCTTCACACGCATATCTCCGCTCAGGGCTGGGCTTTCGATCGACCCTCTCCGAAGTTGCTGGCCTTCCTCTCGAAGGTGTACGACATGCATGACTTCAAGGCCCAACCCAACAACTTCCTCATGCTGGATGCATCCATTCGTCTTTGGGGGGCTGAGTTCAAGCAGTACAGGCGCAGCAAAAAGCACTATATTCCAGATGCATACCTACTTCCAGAGACCCGGGAAAGCGAGTATCTGGGCGAGGCGGAGCTTACCAAGAGGACGCTCATCAGGAAGTCAACAGCCGTCATTCCCCAAACTAAAACCACTCAATCAGAGGATGCGCCAGCTCGCGCCTTGACGGCAGATGAACTCCTGTCCAAGCGCTCTGTTGTTCTGCCCACAGCAAGCAGGACCCCTTCCCTCCCGGATCAGCCCCAGTCCGTGGCAGCCGCGTACATGAACAAGCGTATAGAAGGAGCAGGTCCCAGCTTTGAGCAGTACATGCGTGACCACTACGGAGCCAAATCTCTCATTGTGCCTTCCGAAATACAGACATCGCTTAACCATTCAAAAGACTCAGTATCTCAAGAGGACATGATTCAGCGTCAACGACAACTTGACCGAATGGCTTTCACCCTCGCACGGGAGGCTAATGCCCGCGGCTCCATTCATAATACTGTAGGTAGGGGTGTCATCTGCGGTCGAAGGGGATGAGGCATAAGCCAAGTGCTGATAGCACGACTTGGTTACTTTATCTAGAATAGAGATTTGCTCATTGTCACACCTAGCCACTTCGGATGGGTTTTAGAACACTCAGCACTTTCCCCGCACTGTATTCAGACCATCCGTCTTATAGAAACTGTAGTGAGATGGAAGATCAAAATGGTCTGCTATACATCTCTGCGTCCAGAGGAAATGTTTTGATATCAAGTAATTCTTTCAGAAACACTCATATTCGGCCTTCTTACTGTATGTTAGTACATACATATATGCAACGGGTAAGATTCAGCATATGAAAATGGTGGGATGCTTTATAAATTACAAGATATTCATGGACATCCAACTCTAGCAGATAGGGCCACTCATATCTACTCCTTTGATGCGCTCCCGAGCATCATCCCGACTCCAGCTCCAGCTCCAGCCCCGAGCTCGACAAGGAAGACAGCCATGATAGCCGGAGTGTCCGTGGCTGCGGTTCTCCTCGTTGGGTCGGTGGTCGGCTTTCTCCTGTGGTGGTTCCTGTATAGACGCACGCAGCCCTATGGGGCGAAGCACGTTGCTCTTAGCCGGAAGCGTATTCCCACTACTGCATCTATCACTACACCGTTGAATTGAATACTATTTGGGGTTCTTGCTTTATCCTCAGCTTTGTAGCTACCTCTTATGGACATCTGCACTGCTAAAAGAATCCTCCACATCCTACCCAACTGAAGTAAATTTGGCCCGCCAAGATCACTGTGGCTAGTCGCTTCCAATCTCCTTCCGGCCGTTCTTGGGGCGGCTCTGCAAGTTGTTGGAAGCTCCCTTCAGCAGCATAGGCTTCGCAAGCTTGCTAGCAGAATTCTCTATCCTCTTCCTAAGTGGAGCCAACAACGTGACTGTATCTATCTAACTAAACTTAACCCAAGTGGTATAGTAATGCTCTCAGCGGTATTCTGTGTGTCTTCTTTCCTTAGAAGAAGCTGCTTTGAAGTTTTACTGTAACGTTATCTAACAGTATATAGTATCGCTGCTGCGCCTCCCAACTTTGCTGTTCTACAACACATAATAAATTTCTATGCCAGCCCTACAGTTTTATTCTGCATTGACAACGAAGGTATATGGCGGTCATGCATCGAATTACAACCTCATTGAGAAGCATGAACTCGGCAGTAGATTGGTGGTTATATTTAGCTGCAAGAGTAGAATTGAGTGTCCATACTCATTCCGCATATCAGTCTTGCAGGTGATCACCAAGCTTCTTATAGTCAGATGAACATATTGAACTGTCTTTCTTGAAGTTGCTGTTCTAATATTATCTTATGTTTTAGTTTTAGGTTTACAATGGAGTATCCCGTCATTAAGGATGTTGTCGTTATCTGCAAGCATTATAGAGCGTCGGCACACGAATCCTCGGAGGCTGTATTCTATGGCACGATCTTCTATATTATCCCGGTTCATCTTTCTTTCAATGACAAGGACACTACTTGCAGCTTTGAGCCCATAAGGTAGACGTTATTGGGAAGAAAAACTCATAGGAATGGATGCTAGAGTTCAGGTGTTGGGAGCATAACTTGTCCGCGCGTAACTTTGGATCTGGAAGCTACGCTTATCTGTTTCCGCAAAATACTAACTTACAAGGCATTCGTATAGCGTTTAGGGTCTATGTGAATAATATTCCCGTCTCTACCATAAGTTTTGATGCATCTACAACTATAGTGATTAGTATCTTGGCTGAGCGTCTATAGTATCTGCTTCACACGTCTCAGAGAGAGGACGTTATTATCAGTTCATGGTGGAAAAGAGTCAGTGGAGAGGCGTGAGTCTGCTCTTGTCCAGCAAGAAAGTTAGCGAATCCCTTGCGATGAATCTATAGCAATATAATGAAGATTCTGCTTTTAGTCACCTAGTTACAATGGGAGCGTTAGGAGATAATGGACAAATGATGGCTTAAACTTAGGGACGTTTGTATTACTTTGTCCAGACCATCGATCAGCCTTTTCACAAGAAGTGGAGTAATCTAAAAACAGGCTAATTTTGTACTGTTTTGCCATATATCAATTCATCAAGCTAGCTATCTAAGACTGAATTTATATGCATAAGATCCCCTATTGTAAGACTAAACGCAAGGCCCTTTTTATTAGTTAGTAGTTGTGGTTCTGGAAAAGTAGGTATAACCGGATGAGTTCTTTGAACGTCACAAAAAGCTCCTTATCACCCAGCATGCCCTGCAGAGAGTGCAAGGGCCAATTACTCCAGAAGCCTGTCACTCCTTGACTAGGTTCTAATGGCAAACATAAAAGGGAGTGGTTATTATTCGCATAGAACTTCTCATATCATCCTATCATCATGCAGAGCGCCCTTCTGCATACGCTGGCCTATCAATCTTTATCTGATCTAGTAACAAATTACAATCCTGTGACGCACTTGCTAGTATTCCATATCAGCCACTCCTTAGTTCTATAATTAGGACTGCTATCCTATCGATACTCACCGATGATATGATATACGTTACACTTCGCATGTGTATTTGCTGATAGAGCATTTTACTATCAACTAACTAACACTCAGATGAGCCAGATGGTGTTATAATATCAATGTACACGATAATCATCATTGGGTCTTGTTCTAGCTATATAAACGGAACCTTTAGGGACTCTGCTTTTAATAGATTACTAGAAAGGTACATTCTATGTCATCAATTGTGCTGTTTCTGGTTACATTATTCTATAGACTGCACTGCTTCTTACCATGTGCACTACTTTCACGGAGTTAGGTCTCGCTATAAGCTTCAGTTTATCTGCCATACTAGATGTTTCACTGCTTGTAGATTAAAGCCTGTTGTATCTTATTTATGCGCTTATTAATGAGTTAATTAGGGGTTATACATCCAGATGCTCCCCACTCCATCATTTGCATTCTTACATTCATGACACTTATTACTGCCCTGTACATTTGGCTTGCTGACATATTCAGACAACTATCTCTTTCATCGATATGTAGCCGCTTCTAATCTGCATCATTTATTTATAGAACTTGTGTACAGCTGCTTTATCTATTTTACTTACGTTCACGATGACCTTATTAATAAGCTGATTATGTCCTCTACAACTAGGTACGTTTTTATGTCTGGTGTCACTGACCGCAGTTCCAGCCACTTCATTGCAAGCAGCAAAGGATTGCTTGATCTCTATAGGGCATGGATGTTTAAGGGTGTGTTGGCAGTCTTATATAGATATACTTCTTCTATTCTGCCAATCGCGCCCTTGCATCTTCAGACATATTTTCATTGTCCTAGTAAAGTTATTGCATTCTCTTCCGTATGAAAAATAAATATTACTCACTGAATAGATATCTCATTCTTACAAGTATAATTTTGGAGCTGGTGGATGCCGTATTAACAAGACTGTTACCACTCGATTATACTCACGTAGCGTAAGTCTGTGTCTATAACACTGGCACATGCTTAGCATTTATCTAAGCTTGCTTTTCCTGGTACGCATTTCTTTGTTAATGCTTATGCGATCTGGCTAACCTTAAGTGAAACTACCAACATAGTCAGTTGGTTAGCAAGAGCGTTGAGCACAAATGACACAGCTGAAAATGAAGGGCTAGCACCTTATTAAGTAACATGACCAGATAATGACTATAAGGCAAACGCCCTATGAACATACCTCTGTCCACCGAGATTGGTTTGTTAGCTGCCGTCCGAGCAAATTCTATGCGAGTTTCTACACCAGGGGGGTCTTCGATCATTTACCTGTTCGATGTCTGAACCCAGAGTCCGAGAATCGGGCGCCGTCCAGCTCCGGCGGAAGAAGAAGCCCAGACGAAGGAGCCGATAGCCCCGACGTCCAGCCTTTAACAAATAACAGACCCGCGACTGCTCCCATGAAGGTGCCACCGAGGAAGGTCCATAGGACTCTGGAGCGAAGCGCCAAGAAAGCGCCCAGTAGGATGAACGAAAGAGCAAGGAGATGAGAGCAGGGAAGCTCTCACATTCTCCTCCCCCCAACGAACATCCCTGTGCCAGAGAACGGTTGCATGGTGGCAGGGCTCTCAATGACCGTTTCTCTAGGAGACCACCTAGCCCTGAAGGGGTCACTCGCTGACTACATGAACTGGCTCAAGAACGCCGGGTTCACTAAGAGACTGCACCCTTGGGGACCTCCTACGCGATCCACAGCACGAAGAGCCACTCGACCACTTCTGCGTCTCCTGCCATGTCTCTTTCGACTTCTAAAGGGTCTCGAGCAGCACGTCTGGAGAACCCTCTCCCGCTTTGGGCTCCTCTTGCTGCTCCTTCTGCAGCTTTGCGACCGACAGACGGTGCCAGCACACGCACACCGAGCCTTGTCGCCCAAGTGCGGTGTCCCACGCGGGCCCTCACCGTTGCCCGTCGCGATGCTCTGGACAGAAAGCATCGGACCGGAGCGCTTCCCAGATTCCTCGGAGGCGCTCAGGGACGACCCCAACTATCTGCCAGGACAGGCCAAGTCTGTGCGGTTGAGAGACCAGCAACACCAGAGCGCCCTTGAGTTGCTCGCAGCCCGGTGGAGCCAGGTCAGCCCTTGCCTCAAACAGGGGTCCCAGTCGCTGGTTGTCCCCAGAGGGTCGTGTAACCTGCAGAACTCTAAAAGGGAGGCGTCGCTCCGAACACACACCAGTGCACCGTGAACCCTACCCCTCACGGGGGAGAGATCAGGTATCACACCAAGAACGAGGACCTTAGGAACCTGATGGAGAGGAGCGCCCTACGCTGGAGTGGCACCAGGCGAACGTTGAACTAGTAGGAGCGGAAGAGCACATGCCTGTCCTGAGCGAAGACCCTCCGCGGTGAGGCCGTCCAGACGTATGCAGCACAGACACCGGATGCAGGGCGCCACTGAGTGGAGTAATAGGAATAGAGAAGGACATCCCCTTCAGCACCCATCGTGCGAACGTGCTCACGGGAAGGTACCTAGCACCCCGCAGAGCCCCAGGTGAGAGCCGAGGAGACGTGCCTCGCTCACACAGCGGGGAAGCGGAGGAGCGGCATTCACCATCCTACTGCCCGGCCTGCAGCCTCTGCCTCGCCTCGAGGGGGAGCTGCACCCTGACAGCGCCACCGACGACCAGCACCTTGCTATCCAGAGGGCCGGATCAGGACGGCCTGGCTCCTGAGGGATACGGACCCTCTCAGCCATCGGAGAGCACGGACGGCCCTACCAGATCACCGACGAAGAGACGGCCAGGGCGACTAGTCCACGGGGCTTGAAGTCCCCGGGCCCTCTGGCCTGGACCTGCGCTGGCAAGCCCCCATCCGGGTGCAGGCGTTCCGGGGCCCCTAAACAGGCCTTCAGCGAGATTATCAGCGCGACCCATAGGATGGGACGCGTGCTCTGTACGGTTCCGTCTGGTCCTTCCTCAAGAATGAGACAGGGCGACCACAATCAATGGACGATCATGATTCGCTCCACAAGGTAGTCCCGAGGAGCTGCGTCGAGGCCTTCCTCCGGCTGCGCCACGCTGCACCCCTGGGCTCGGTCCCTCGGGGTCCTGAGCATTCTTCTGTGCTGCGGGAGACAGAACCTGCTCACCAGGAGCTGAAGGAGATGCCCCGCTCACTGCCCATGTCGACGACACACTCAGCTTCCATAGTGACGACAGTGACACGACGGGGATAGTCACAGAGGCGACAGGCCTGGCGAAACGCTATAGCTCGACGGTCAGCACTGGGTATAGGAGCACAGAGGGACAGGAGGCCTCCTTTCTAACTAGTCTCGAAGGAGCTCCCAGGGCAATCGAGGGCCGAAACTAGTGATGGCACCAATCACTGCCCACTGGCCGGGATGGACCCACACGTGACCCATGTGAATCCCTCGACAAGAGATGGGGCCCCTGGGGTGTCTGGTTGGCAGAGGCAGACTGATCCTGCCCACACCGAAGAGCGGTGACCTGGGCCACCCGCCAGGCGTCTGCCGCAGCAGCTGGCAGTGCCTGACACCCTCGAGTAGACGGGTGCCGGCTGCCGAGCGGGACAACCAAGCGGCGAACCGGTCCTGATCGCTTCTGATGCTTTGGACGATGCCTCGACAGACCGAATCATTCCCCCAAGTGTGCTGTGCGGTGCAGATGGACCAGCCCACACGTCACTGAGCCAGACGCACTGCACAGGGTGAGCGCTGACATGATCTCGTGCTGGGTGACGGACCACCTGCAAAAGCGCCCTGCGATCCGTGAGCAGAGGGCCGGACCTCTCCCCGACACAACGCATGGGAGTACTCCATCGGCATCCACGAACGCGTACTATGACTCCAAGATGGAGGCGTATGGGGAGCGCACCTCCGACAATAGGGTCGATGATCCACGTCATGGGGAGACAAAGAGGCACCCGAGGAACGGGGTAGACACCCGAGGTCGTGGCGTGCGATCCTCGTCGTAGAGCACCAGGGCCACGTGGAGGCCAGGCTGCTGTGACCGACGGCAGGCCCGGGACAGCAGGTGCTCAATAGCTATCAGGCGATGGTTGACCCCGACGAGCCAGAGGAAGGGGGAACCCTGGAGGCACCGCGAGGAGCGGCAGCTTCCAGGGGAGGGGGGCATAGAAGTTCTTCCGCCGGGATCCGAGGACATCCGACTCTCGGATTCCGGATCTCAGCTAATGCATGGGTGAGAAGCTTGCCCAGGATGGCGGCTCGCATGGGAGATCACTCAGGTAGTAGGCGACAGCCCTACCCCGGTGAAGTGGAGAGTAAATAGGGGGAATCATTCGTACTAAACTTATCAAGTGACAAGATCGGATGGTGAAATGTATCTACTATCAGTGAACTACATCATAAGACAACATATTGCAAGGAACAAGGACTGTTAGATATGTTCTTATGAGAAACCTTGTAGGCTCGTCTTTATAGTACATCTTTAACTGTTAGATTGAAGATCTACAGAGGAACGGTTATCTTCATACAAAAAGATATGCTATTCTTAGCAATGATCAATGAAGTATGTTGTTTGAAAACTCATTAACCCATCACTTCAAGTGCTGGATGGCAAACCAGAATGACAAATGGGTGCTCAAGCGAGAGGATAATCATCGATTGACACGCTTGTACACCAGGAAGAAGTGACGGCTCCGCGTCAGCCTGGAGCAACCAGCCTCGGTCCCAAAGACCCGGTGAAGACGTCTGCGCCGGCACCAAGCAAAGCCGCGGTCACCGGGAATCGAACCCGGGTCACGTGAGTGACAGTCACGCATACTAGCCACTGTACTATGACCGCACGGCGGTGCAGACATATGAAAATCATATTAAATATTAGTCATAAGGAGCAGTAGGTCACAGCTCTTGTTTTCCGCTATACATAATTTGTAACGTCTGCTCCAACCCTTATCTTGCAGGTAGGACGGCTCCATTAGGCGATGACCGCTTAGGTTGAAGCGCTGGAGCTTTCCTAGCCTCTTGGTGAGCTGATGACGGTTTCTCAAGCATATATACTTATATCGACATAAGGACTCACGCTACCAATCATCGTAGAAGCTCTTGGTATTACTAAACAAGATACAGAGAAGCAAGTTAGACCATGTACTGGGGCTAAGGATAGATAGACGATTTCCGATAGTGTCATTGTGAAGCAAGGAAACAACTACTAACATGGTTTATGCATTATGTGCAAGCGCAGAATTTTTATACAACCTATTTGCAATACACAGGTAACACGACGGGTAGCCATTGTACGGAGTATATCACACAGCTTGAAACAACCACATGTAGTGGAAGAACCAATATAATAAACCTCTAATAGAACGAGTTGTTCGTGTGTCCATTCCTGATTACCATTCGCCCCCTAAAATTTGCAGCAGCTCTGTGCTTTTTGCCTGGGAAAGAACACATTTGTCTTCTATAAACCTGTCCCTTGCACATTCTATAATCATGTCTATCAGCAGCTGATCAGAAAGAGAAGATGCAAACTTAATCGGACTGGTAACTGCAGCCGTCTTTCTGAGTGGCTCGTTGACAGTGGGTGGATCCTCCTTTTGAGCGCTAGTCAGTTCAGAGAACAATGGTAAACCCTGTTCTACTTCTTTAACCCCAAGTTGTTCAAGGAGAGAAGCTATGCCTATGAAGCACTGGCCGATATCAGTTGTATATGCGAGCAGTTTAGTCCAGGGGCTCACAGTGCTACTAAGAGACAGGTCTTTCAATGTCAGTTTCTTCAAATAGGATGATAGATTATCGCCGCTAAATTGATAGCTCTGAAAGACAATTAGATGGCTAACCGCACGTGTGATGGCCACGTTGACTCTATTAGGGAAATTGATATGCTCGGATCTTTCTGGCTCACGAATAAAGTGTCCATCCGTCGCTTGCACTAGGCTCACGATGATCACCAATTTCTCGCTTCCTTGGAAAGAATCGACGGTGGCTGCAGATACAGTTGAGAGTTTAGGTATAGCTTGGGGGGATACAGCGCCAGTCCTGCATGATCGAAAGATGGTATTGTCTGTTAGGGAATTTTGTCTTTGAACTTCCTCAGCTGCCCTGCCAACCCCTGTCAGCTCAGAAGGCTCCGCGCCGTCTGCATCTAATAGGCTCTTCTCATCATGCACTGTCTTAAAGACAGAGAGGGCCCGCCGCAACAGCCCCTCGAGATAACTTGATTGTGCCCGGAATGGAGTAATAATTCCGATCTCGGAGGGAGGTACCTTGTGGTCCAGCACCAGGGCTGTGACCAGGCGAACAATTGCCTTGGCTTCTGTACTATTCTCTCTGCTCCCGCGGACCGTTCGGTCAAAAGAGCTTCCAAGGTGAACAGAGGATAAGAGCGGGAGGCCCTTGACGACAGGCGGATGTTCTGTGCCCATAGTGCAAACGCGTCTGCCGTAGAATAGGGCGCCTGCTAGATCTGCCACGGGGCGGCAGCAGCGGTACTGCGCCCACAGCGTCGTCGCCGGACAAAGCCGCGGAGAATGTTTGCCCTCTGTTAGGCCGATAAGGCGCTCGAAGGTCGATGCTCCTAGGGTGGCTGTGGCGGCGACCGGGGGAAGCTGCATGTTGTCTCCCGCCAAGAGCATCAGATCGACCTGATAACGCAGGGCTGCAAGCCCGCAAAGGAGGAGGGGCTCCGTTACCTGGCTGGCTTCGTCAACGATCACGAGGGGGAAGTAGTCGCAGTCGGAGACCAGCTCTGTTAGGCGGTTGAGAGACGCAAAGGTCGTGAAGATGACGAGGCGCTCGCCGAAGGCGATCAGAGGCTCGCCGAAAACGTGGAGCTCGGGGGCCGTGATCCCCGACCCAACCCGGGAGACGACCTTTGGAAGAAGCTCTCCAATAGAAAGCCCTGCAGCTGCAGAGGCGAGGCGCCGGAGGAGGTTGTCGACCGCCACGTTTGTGTTCGCAACGACGAGGATGCGCGGCCTGAAGACCCAAGAGTCCGTGGCCTCCGGAAGGGCCTCTAGGAGCAGCAGGAGAAGCGCCGTTAGGACTCGAGATTTTCCACTACCAAATACCCCACGAAGCAAATAAAGGTGAGAACTACAATACCCTGTATCGTCAATAAACGCTCCAGTAACATCTTTCCCCGTTAATCTAGAAATAACAAGATCAAAAGCCTCACGTTGAAACTGATTTAGACTTGTAAAGTATGGCTTTTGCTTATAGTTACTGTGACCTACTATCTCCGCAAATAAATCCTTAGACGGAGTATCGGTTATACTAATCACGTCACTGTCTAATTCAGACTTAAAGTAATTATTAAATGAAAGATGGGCGTGAAGGAGTCGAAGTTCTTTCCAATTGGGACCGTGGGAAGCGTGTAGAAAGCGAAGAAATGAGTCACGCATCCATCTAGAATAAGGTGACAATTCAATGTTTTCATTTATAGTCCTAAATGCAGTATTAAGAGTATCTAAAAGTGTGTAAGATATTTGAAAACCTTCATAGTGGAATACCACAACTTTCTCGAGGACAGCACCGAAGCTATCATAGTCCTTAGCGAAATTGCTTCCCCGTGAGTCTGGTTTAGAAAGCCAATGTCCCACATCACTTAACGGTACCATGAAAAGCTCATTTTGACACTCCTCAGCTGTAGGTTGATAAGTGTCAGCGGTGAAAAAATAACATGTATAGCTTGACCCAGAAGAAGCACGGCTACCATCCTTTAACTTTACAAAACAAGATTGGGGCACGAGCACAAAAAGATCTGCTTTTGCGTATGCAATGGCTTCACCAGCAGATAACTTCCATGTGTCCGATCGCTCAACATTTGAGGAGGCATCTGCTCGGAGCTGCTTAAGGGTGACGGAATCAAGTTGCCTCATCTTGACCAAGCGCTCTGCCTCAGAGAGTTGTAAACGTCGAGCTTTGGCAGTATTAGCACGTCGCATAACTACTGCATTCTTGTAAGTGGAGATGTTGTAAGAGTTGCTCTTTGGTTGAGTGTCTCCACCCTGTCCAAGGCTCTGCAGCAAAGGAAGCAAAAGCTCAGCCCACGTGGCCACCAATGAATAATAAAGTATGCGTGCACACGAGTTATCTGTTGATATGTATTGAGCGGCTAGATCGCAGGAGATGGGCTGAAAAATCAATGATGACAAAAGCTCACGTACTGGTGTGAAGGTAACCTTTCCAGAACAGAAGATAAGTGACTTGATTGCAGAAAGAAAAGTATGGAGATGAGCAGATTGGTCAGTCAGGACAGTCTTGGAAGGTTTAGGAGGTATCTCAATGGACATACTTGCTTCATCAAACTTTGGTTTCACCGATAAAGAATTGTTCATTTGCGATGAACTAGTCTTCATATCAGGGGGTGCAGCGCAAGTGGGGCGAGTCTTATGGGAGACACGTGTTGCTGTTGACGGCTTTGATATAGATTGAACTGGATGAGGTGAACGATGCGAATGGGCGGGCGTCGAAGCAGAAGCAGCAGAGTGTAAAAGCTCTCGATGCTCATCTTCAAGTTGTAAAAGGCACTTTGAAAGCTCAAGGAAGTCTTCATCAACAGTAGTCCGTGTAGTTATGGTGTAAGAGTCTAAGAAACGCTTTTTTTCATCGAAGACTCGAAGTGTTCGGCCTGTTATACAAATGAATCCATCTAAGTACTTCTTCCTTTTCTGGGTCTTTTGCAACGTGTACAGGACGGGAATATATGAATCACTCATATTAAAGAAGTATACGAGCTCAATAAGGGCCGACTTTCGAAAGGGTTGAACCGCTCCTAAAGCTTTTATTTCATTGATGCTCTTCTGTCCCTGTTGCGGAAACCTACTCCTTATTGAGCTTTCTGGAGACGTCCAGTTTTACTGTAAGACGTGTGCTTATCGATACACGCTTAGTGGTCAAATTTCTCGCAGTTTGACCCTGACCCGTAAATCTGTGGATCCTGTCCTGGGAGGCGAAACAGCTTGGCAAGGAGCCGATAAGACACAGAATCCATGTCCAGTTTGCGCATTTCCAGATGCCTTTTGGATACAAATGCAAATAAGATCTAGTGACGAACCAATGTCACGTTTCTATCGCTGCTGCCAATGTGCCCATCAATGGAGAGAAGACTAGATTGTTAATACATTTGAAGGTCTCACTGAGTTCTCTAGACAGAAAATGCTCTTACATTGGGCACTGTTAGATAGCCTGAAGACAAACTCTCCCCAAAAAATCTGCAGTGCATGAATCAGGATATTGAGGGGCTTCAAGCAGAACTCAAGCTCTTAAAAGAGGAGAAGCGGACAGCACTTTCCCAAATAGAGCACTCCACAGCAGAGCTAAGCCGAAAACACAAGCTTCTTAACAGACTTCACATGGCAATAATGGGAATGTCTCAGCGGGTCGAGGGAAATGCTGCCATAAAGCGGCGGCTAAATGATCTTCTTGGGATAGTAGAATCCCATAAATTACCGCCGTCTGTTAGCAAGACGGAGATGAAGGAGCTATTAACAGAACTCGGACTTCTAAGAGAGCGCCTCATTCAGGAAGCGGCGCGGCGCATTGTGCTTACCAACACCTTCGATGGCTTAATTGGGCCAGCAAAGCTTAATGTTGTCGTCTCAGTGGAGCAATACGCACAGCTTAAGACCCCGAATGGGTTGCCCGTCAAAATAGAGAATTCAAGCGTTACCGTCACTCTACCATCTTCAAAGGCTCCGTTCAAAGGGCTCTTTTCCAGCAATACAATGAGTTTCGACATCACGGATGTTTATACAATTGATAGAATCCACGATTCATTGGCCAATTTTCCTCTTCGGTCTCATATCTACTCCGGCACCAATGTTCTATTTCTGGGCTTGGGCACCGTCTTGGGGTCCCAGGCACTTTTTGGTACTGCAGACAACACACAGGGATCCGTACTGGACCTACTATTGAGTCAAATTTATTACAGAAGCATTGACACAGAAGACTACTACCTAAAGTTTATTAGTGACAACCAGAAACGTAATGTGCAGCTGATAAGTATAGAGGCTGAGCTTCGAGCCCGTGGGGTGGACCAAACAGGCGGGACGACGACTTCTAGATTAGCAGCTAAGCTAGCTGCGGTATCTTTTCAGGGGAATGGTATCATTGATCTCCTCGATTCTGCAAATGATTCTGTATCTGTTATTTCTGTCCAAAATTTGGAGTCTTTCCACCTGGTTGACAGATCCTCATCTGCTCAGCCTTCGTCTCCACAGCCCGCCTTAGCTGCTGGTGGGGTTGGAATACCCTTGCTTGTCGGAGCCACAAAGCTAATTTTTTCTGGAGACACTCATGCACGGAGTTTGATCTCATCGATTTTAGCAGATGTATGTCTTGAACTGGACACCTTAATGCTTGTCTTCGAGATCTACTCTGGACCAACTTGTGTTTCAACAGTAGGATTGTGTCAGACTTATAGTCCTGAGGCAGTAAAAGCATATACTTCTCCAGAATCAGTGGATGATCCCCTCTACGCAGCTTTTGGCGATACTCTCCGAGGCCTCTTTGGCCCCTCTTCGTCTGCCAATCTGCTAGTTTTTGCCGGCGTTGACTTAGAAAATCCGCTTACTGCAGCATCTACCCTCGAACCCATCAGCGGAATTCAGAAGTCACGCACAGTGGCTGTCAGAGACTTCATGTAAATGTACCTTTTAGATCATCCATTCACTTTACCACGCTCCAAGTGGGCAGGTCAACCAGGTCACTTGAGAGCATCCGCAGCTTCTTTCATCAGCTCTGCTTCACTGAGTTTCATCTCGTCCAGAACATCCTTTGGAAGGTCAAGCTTAACTATCTGCCATTTGCCGCCAACACAGCTGCACGGCATGCTATAAAATATTCCGGGAGCAATTCCATAGGGGTTGCCCTCCTCTATGAGGAGAGAACAGGAAACAAAAGCACCTGGCTTAGTCCCCATGTGCCAGTCCCTAACATGATCGATTGCGGCATTAGCAGCCGATGCACTTGAGCTGTGTCCACGAGCCTCTATTACAGCTGTTCCACGACCACGAACACAAGGAACGAACTCTCCTTTTATCCAATCCGCTGGAAGCATAGGCTTCACAGGTTGCTTGTCCTTAAGGCCCTCATCATAGATCACTCCACAATCCACAATCGGAACCATAGTATTGGAGTGGTTCCCAGCAACCCAAACGTTGCTGATACGGTTGGTCCTGACACCCAGCTTTCCAGCCACCTGGCCCACTGCCCTGTTGTGGTCAAGGCGAGACATGGCCGTGACATTTGTCTTAGGGATCTTGGTAAGTTGTGTAGAGAGAACAAGGGCATTTGTGTTTGCAGGGTTACCGATAACCAAGATTCGGCACGTTGGCTTCGCGTGCTCATTGATAGCGGCGCCCTGGATCTGGAAGATACCCTTGTTCTTAGAAAGAAGCTCTGCACGCTCCATCCCCGCCTTCCTCGGAAATGCACCGAAGAGAAGACAGTAGTCAACGTCCTTAAATGCTTCTGCATTGTCTGATGTAAGAGTGAATCCAGAGAGCAGCGGGAACGCGCAGTCCACTAGTTCCATGGCCACACCCTCGGCTGCCTTTAGGGCGGCAGGAACCTCAAGCATAACAATGTGGACGGGCTGATCGTAGCCCAGCATGTCTCCAGCTGCGATGCGGAACAGAACAGAGTAACAAATCTGGCCTGCAGCACCGGAAATGCAAACACGGAGAACGGGCTTCGTCATGGGAATTTTAATTTTCGGCTTTAAGGGCGTATACTATATTTAGCGAATGCAAACGATATGCTGCTAATTACAATTTACGTATATATCTACTTAGATTCTTATCATTATAGAAACAAGGGTGCCAGATCAACTTACTAATAGTGTCCATTTAAAAAATACTCTGAGTCAAAAATATCAATCTTTAAAGCTCTAAATGGATTTCTTTGATGACGATTTGAGCCCTGAGAGTGAGCTTCTGGATCTCGAACCAGACACACAGGACTACGGGGAAATGACCCAAGAAACTGCTCAGCTTCTTCAACGCACTTACGAACTCCCCCACCCAGCGATCAGCTCTCCTCTCAGTCACTTCAGTTCTCTTTATCACTCCAGTTCGTTTCTCCACAACATCCTTTCTATATATTGGCTGCCCTCTTTTTTGCAAGCTGGGACCATGAACGAAATATCTAACCACCTTCTGGGGCAGTTGCGGCTCATGGCTTGTACTCGGACAGGTGAGACCCGCTGTGGATTACTTCTTAAGGGACTTTTTCCTGAGAAGGATGTGGTTCCATTAACTTTGCTCAACGGGTCACCCGTTAGTTCCAATGTATTTCCAATTGACGAGGACTTTTATGACGACTCTGCTAGAGATGCTCGAGCAGTGGACTTTCTTGGGCCGGCAGACCCCTTTATGGATGGTATTTTTCGGTCACTGACACTCGGTAAGGTACAAGCTAGAGAGCTGCTACCGAATGAACGTCTTTCCCTCTTAAAATATCTACTTTGTTTCCACTTTGAGGACATGGCGAAGGCACTCATGCGAAACCCAGAGCTGTCAGCTGGGCAGCGTGACTATGTAGTTCGAAATATCCTATTTCCGCTGTTAAAGTGTATAGTTCGTAGCACTCCTTGCTATGATACTATGATCAATATAATTAGAGTTCTATACACACTCCCATCTATCGCTGATACACCAGTTGACCAAAAGCTCTGGGGCTTACTGCTGTTCCGTGAGGTGATCTTCTTCCAGTTTTGTCGTTGCTTGGCAATCTTCTGCAACTTAACATTTAAATACGATAGTGAGGCCAATATCTATTGTTGCATACACTCCCTCTTCGGGGGAGTTGTCTCCAAAGGTGTCCATACTGAAAATTACCCACCAACCCTGAGATGTAGGTGTCGCTACGAGTGCGCTTGCCTCCAGGACGATGATGAGCACATGGAACAGCTCGAACAAAGTATAGCACACAATGCCAGCTGGAACGATTGTTACACATTGTCATTTCATAGTAATTGGTCTGAAAAGTATGGTGTGGAGACATCAAGAGTTGTTAAGGCCCAAAGCCAAATTTTCCATCAAGAAAAAAAAATCTTAAGCTCTCTTCCAGAGCTAGAAGATGTGCTTTTGAATTTGATTGACGTTATGGTGCATTACTCTATTTCATACTGTATTAGCCCTGCTCTGTGCAACGCCCTATTCATCCTCATGGGAAGAATCGCTACTGACCGCACCTTGCACAGCGCCTTCCTGAAGGAATTTGGGGACATTCTCAATTTAGAATTAACTAAGACATTTTATCAGCGTCTTGACCTTACACCCGAGAGGCTGTGGGAGTTTCAAAAGCCTATAAGGTGTCAGCATTGCCAGCAGAGCAATATGAAGCATGATGCTATAATAGACACAACTTGCTGTGATATGCATCGCTTCCTGGATCCGTCTGTTGACACACAGATATCTTCTGAGTTTATCTACTCTCAATCCCAACTTAGTAACCTAATTAAGCCGGTAACAGAATATAGCTATCAAAACATAGAATCAACGATAGTGTCTCCTAGAATCCAGCGTGCGGCAATCTTGAATATGGCGCGAATACTCTATGTATACACGGCCAAATCGGGGCATAGTCGCTCAGAGAGTTTAGAGAAAAACAATGAAATAGCATATAGGCAGAGCTCCTACGTAACTTTTGCTGAGCAAGAACAAGGTACGATGCAGGATGTGACACAGGACGTGTCCCCTCAACTCACCCAACATTCTCAGCAAATTGGAGCTTTGTACACTGTTTGCTCCGCAAACTGTCCCTCTATCTCCTTGCCCTCTCAACGTGTTATTTCGTCAACCACTCAGCACAGCGGTGAGACAGAGACAGAGACCGAGTATCATGAGTATTTAGACTATCCTGGAAATAATCCATCTAGCCAGTCACTTGGCGTGGCTCCCTGCATGTCAGTATCCACTACTGATAATACTACTGATAATACTACTAATAAAGGCTTTTCTCTTCGCTCCTATCTTTGCAATAATCATCCGTCGTTGGACACTCATGCCACAGAAGTCACCATTTTGGGACTGCCCCCACACTCGTTATCAACTAATGTGGTACATTTACAGGCTAGAAAGTCTAAGCCGTTTTGCTTAAAGAATACAGAGATGAAACGATACTCGCAAACCGGCCAACCTGGAAGCTCGAGACAAGCATTTGTGGTGGCAACTAAGGGTATGCAAAACGACGTCATTGCATTTGTGAGGAATAGGCTTTATTCAAAGGATAATATACCCAACTTAGTGTTCTGTGCAGAAGCCTTGCCATTGTTTTGCAGGGCATTTACTTTCCGAAAAAGGGTAAAGTCTCTGGTCTTTACTTTTGTAAAGCTTGTGACCAGTTTTGTGCCTGCAGTACAGCAAAATGCCTGCAGGAACCTAGGCTTCATGTTGGCTGGCATCTCAAATGGGTGCTCTATCTCAGAAGAGGAGTGTATCATCATAAGGGAAAACTATTTACTGCGATTGTTATTTAATCTTTTTTGCAATCTCCTGACACTAGATCCATTGTCTAGCACCATTACTTTGCCGTTAAATTTAGATAAGTCGTCTATAGATAAAAACTTGTTAGAATATTATGAGGGCTCAAAAGCGTCATCTAAGGATGGATTGATTAGCACCGATAGGTATGTGGGGAGGAATCCGCTTCTCTTACAACCTCCTTCACCACACAATCACATCAAGTCATCCAAGAGCATGCTTACTATACTCATACGGGGAGATGACAAAGATATACACAAGCAGTCGTCAACTAGCAGATCAGATACAACTGACACAGATCCGGTAAGCCAAAATAGCTCTCCATCGAATAATGCACTGGACGGAAACCTCTCTAATATACCCGAAGAACCAATAGTGGAGAACTTTTATACTAAGCCATCGTGTGCTGTCACATCTGCAAGAAACTTGACTAAAGGGATGACCACCAAACAAGTTTTAGAGAATACTGCGTCTGCAAACGATTTCACTTCACCTTTCTCTGATTGCATGCCCTGTACATCCATACTAGAGCTACACGGCAGTAAAACAGGAAACTGCGTAGTTCAGTCGCGGACACCACTTGAAATGTTCAGTTACTTCACCGAGAATCATGTATTCCATTTGAAGAAGTTACTCAAGCCCTCAACATTATGTATTTCTCAGCCGATATATAAAGACATCGAGCTTTCCCTTCTACGCACGCTTCCGGGTGTGTACGAAACTGTGGCGTGTTCACGCGACTATCAGAACAGAATTATTAATATTATAACAAGTACATTACGAAACAAAGCCTCCAACCAGTCAACTCTCCACTCACTTATCTCAGCCCTCCCTGACATATACTCCAATCGTAATACCACGCAGGAGAACAAGGAGATTCTACTACAATGCTTGGAATCTCTTCTAATGTCCTCTCAATGCACTAGAGATGCCAAAATCGTTTTTCTTTACTCATTTACTAAATATGGTAGGGTGCAAGCAGACACGCAGAGCTTCTTATTGAGGGTTGCTAAGCTATTGATTAAAATTTACTACGATATTCTGCAATTGCCTGAAGAAGTGCACTTTCATCATGGGCAAGTAAGTGCGGAGAACAGAGCTGACCAGATGCCTGGAACGTTCTGTCTTCAATGCACACCAGACTTATATGTTTCTATCACCCCGGTATCATTCTCCTCCCATGTGGCTCTAAAAGGTACGGGTCTATATGGTTTTGTGGATGCCTCAGAGGACAGCAGATCACACTGTGCTCTTCCAGAACTAACATATACTGAGGTAGACACAAGGCAACGAGGATTTGAAATTGCAGGTCCATTCTATCAGTATCGGTGTGTGGATTCCCCCGATACCGGCTACACATTCTTTATCAACTCGGATTGGCGTTACCGCTGTGACGTCGTTGAAACTCTAGTGAAGATAGTGGCCCAGTTTTGTGCCGTCTTTGACACACAGACAGGATTTTATCTGTTCAGCTCTGTGATCTTGCATTGTATAAAAGACGATTGCCAAACGGTAAGTGATTGCCTTGTTCGGCTCCTGGGTCTCGAGCTTACCCCTCTTTTACAGAAGGCAGATAGAGAGGCTTCTATTCCTTTGGGGATCTTAGCCTGTGCACTCTTTGGATACACTTACCGAGACTATGGAGTCAAGTATCCTGTATCAGGAGTATCTGATAGGGAGTATAGCCGTGCCCTATATGCTAGATTGTGTCATTCTTTCTTATTGCCAACTCTTCGACACCAGAAGCTGGGAGTAAGGCTGCTTCATCACATTAGTAGGCGTGTTTATAAATACGACTGGTTTGCACGCCTATTTCTTGCGATTATTCTATCCATCCCCACCTGTGACCCCAGTGTTCAACTCTCCTTCGTAGTAAGCACTTTCAACCTCAGTAAAAAGCAAAAATTGATCGTGTTTAGTGAGGAGCATCTGACCATAATGCGATTGTGCGGGGAGTGCAATTCTCAAGCAACGAGGTGTGTCGAAAGCTATTTGGACATATGCAGACTCTACTTTCAAACAATGAAGAATGAGCAAGAGTGATAATGCTATCTGCGCTGCGAGCTACTGTACTACGTCATGATGCATAGGTAAAGCATCCTAACGCAGAGCTAGCCTTCTACAATTAATGTAATTGGGTAACTTATAAATTGATTTGCGCAAACGCATTTAATTTGATGGATCGGATTCTTGACGCAATTTTTCAACGGATTGCTACCCGCGGGCATCTAGTAGAGCAGGATTTTTCCGACCTGCAGTGCTTTTATCCGGAAGAATTAGAGCATGTAGCCATGCTCTTAGACTCCACACAACACATAACTGTATATCGTCCTGCTCGCGGATTGTTTGGCAGCGTATTCTATACCGTCGTGGATCACGCTCAGATATGCCTTGTCCTCCCAGATGAAGGGTACTGTAGCTGCTGCCATCCTCTCCGGCTGCAAACAAAATTGCCAAAGGAGAACCTATGTTCACGGTTCAGTATCATGTGCACTTTTTGCAGGCATTTGCTCGCTGTGCAGATAGCTATTGCACTTAAGCTCCCCATTAAGGAGGAAAGCGATCAGAATCAATATGAGACCACATTTTTCACTCTTATTTCAACCGTCCCTGGCCATCTGTCTTAGATACCTCTACCTGCGATCCCTTAACATTAGGAGATATCGAGGATGCTAACTCTTATCCTCTGAAAGGCTCATAAGTCCTAGCCGATAGAGCAGGTTTGCTTTACTTTTTTGTTCGTTTTTTCTCAGCGTTCTTCTCTTATTATCCACTGTCTAGAGGAAAGGTCTATTTGTATCTCAGTAGTATCTCAATATCCGGATGAATTGTCTAAAAATGAACTTTAGTTTAGAGTGCATAGTAGATGAAGTAAAGTCAGTTCTGCAGGGTCGTACCACGTCTCGAGGCTTTTATGCAGTAGGGCTACAGTTCCCTGAGGGCTTAATGGAGCAGGCCATAGAAGTTTGTAATGCCCTTGAAGGAATGCTTAAGGCAGCCAACGGGGTAGCGATAGAGTATGTTATCTTCGCTGATGTCCTTTATGGCGCATGCAATATTGACGATATTGGCTCCATGCTTATGGGAGTAGATGTACTTGTTCACTTTGGTCATTCAAAGATTGTTCCAACCAGTCTAGTAGATGTCATCTATGTCCCAGTTATTGATACCAGAGGAAGTGCCACTGTGATTGCAGACGGGCTCATGGACATGTGTAGGACACATAGTTACAAAACAGTTGGTTTGGTGACCACCGCACAATTTGCTGCATGCTTACTTCACGTGCAACCGATTCTGGACGACAGAGGGTCAAAGATCAACATTGTTGGGGAAGAGCAGAGCCCTCTTCCGAAGTATGAGATCCTTGGATGTACTTGTAAGAAGTTTCCGCCTGGAACAGACGCTGTTGTTAGCGTTGTAGACGGCGACTTTCACTACGAGGCAGCTTGTCTAAGCAATTCTCACCTCCCTGCATACCGGCTCTCTCCTGTGACAGGTGTGTATGAAAGCATTAGGTATGACACGCATAGTAAGATTAATAGCAGGTTGAAAACTATCAGAGAGTGTGCAGAGGCATTAACCGAGTTACTAAACAGGCCTGTGCAAGCTTTTGCAGGAGGCTTCTCAGGAAAAAGAGTTGGCGTGGTATTCGGGACACTGGGCCGGCAAGGCTCTCCAATTGTTTTTGAGACACTCCTGAATAAGCTACGCAGTCTCTGTGTACCGATAAAGGTGCTATCTCTTAGTGAAGTCCTCCCACATTATTTGTTGCCCCATAAAGATGTGCTCTTCTTTGCCCAATTGGCGTGCCCTCGTCTCACCATCGATTGGGATGAAGAGATATCTGCATGTGGCCTGGTGATGGTCAATTACTATGAGCTCGACAAAATATTGGATCTTTGCTTGAAAAAGGAGGGCTACAATGATCTAGAAGACTATGCGCTTGTGAACTTCACACGAGATGGCCACAGGGAACTCTGCTACTATGGCCGTCCGACGGTGTGAACAAGACTGCTTGGTTGTCAATGTCCCTGATCAATTTCTTATTCCAACAACCAATGTAAACGGCAAGGAAGCTAACACGACCGTTTAATTGCATTTCGGATACTATCACTGAGCTTGTTAAGAAATCGGCTTTGGTACTACCCAGCTCCTGTATTGCAACCCTGGAAATATGTCGCGCAACTCGTGCACCAACAGAATAGATAGAACGGGTAGTAGTATTTCGTGGAAGGTGGAGAATAAATCTCTTACTGATTCCTGAATCTACCAGTCTGCACATAAGGCTGACAAGTTGCGATCCCTTGTACTTATTTATTCTCAATTTGCAGAAGTCCAAATCACCGTTCCGCCAATATCCAGGACCTCCCCACGGTGGAGATAGAACCACACAGTCATACTTTTGTGGAGTTGCCCCAGAAGTGCAAAAGCGTAGAGCTTGAGTAAATACATCACAACAAACTGGAAAAACTAGATGTGAGACCCCGTAAACTCGAGCATTGTTGTGGATAAGTGCGCAATGCTGTTCGCTGTATTCTATGGAATGAACACTGTGGCCTTCTAAAGCAAACCCAATGGCCTGCCCTCCAGCACCCCCAAATAAGTCCAGAACATATCCTCTGCGTTGAATATGGTTGCTAAGCACTTTTGCTATTGTATGTGCGAAGCACTCAGCACACACGGAATACCACATTTCAGGGGTCAACTGTATTCCTTCGTCAAAGCGAGAGAAGAGCAGGTGCCGTTTGGAAAGGTAATTTTGAGGTACAGACTCATCCTCTTTCAGCGAACTGGATGCACAGGGCTCCTTTGCATATAGCAAAAGTAAGTCCTTTGCGGTTGTCGGTACATTCATATTTATCTTAGACGATTTCTAGGTTTACTGGGTCAGATTAATAATTGCATAATGCTAAAGTACCGCACAGTAGCTTCGTGTACTGGCAAAGAACCCCTCAGACCGAGGCCCATCATCTGATATGCTCAAATGCATTGATTTCCCATCTTTCGATGCTGTCATAACCTTTGTGGGTGCACTAAACTTGAGTCTTCTGGCTTTATAGCGATCTAAATCCTGTTCTAAGGTAGCCACATACGTAGATAATCTCTCTATTTCACTTCTTTGACTAGCGAGCTTACACTCATGGCTGGAAGCTCTTTTGGCTCGTGCTCTATACTCTTCTAGCTTTTTCATCATTGCTGCTATTTGTGCATCCTTTTGTGTTAGAAGATCAGTATCCTGTGCACTCATAGCTGTGTTGTTCCGTATCATTACCTTTAATTCCCTTGCTATTCTGCGGAGCTGTCCTGTCTTGATTTTGTATATTTTAGCATGTCCCCGTTGCTTAGAAACTTGTTTCTGAAGAGAACTTATCTCAGAAGACAAGTAATGTATACGCTCAACTCTCGTTGCATATAGATCCTTTTCTTCTGTGTAGGCACGTTGAAGTTCATCTAGTTCTTTTAGAAGGGTTTGCTCGCGGGCAGAGGATCGCTCAAGAAGCGCTTCGAAGGATTCAGTTTGGCTACGGTGTACAGTTTTGATGTCTGCCAGTTCATGATTTGTGAATTGAAGGGAGTCTCTGAGCTGGGAATTCTCATCATTAAGGACTGTGATATTCTTCTTCGCGGTTTCCAGAAATGAGGACGTCTCGAGCAATTTCATTTGAGTATCAGTGAGACTTGCTGCTTGAGCTGCATTGGCATCTCTGCACATACTGTAGTCTACACGAAGCTGGTCCACCTCTTTAGTGAGAGCTTCTACGCGTTGTTTTTCTGCGTCTAGCACTTGAAGGGTGTTGCTATGAGCAGTAGATAACTTGCTAAGTTGATTGAGCGCGCTGTCAAGTCTTTCATAGAACTCTGCTTTCATTTCTATAACCTGTTCTAATAGAAGGCATGCTCGTTTGCTGGTATCGGGCTGATCTAAGGAAGATGAAGCGTAGCTATTCACCTTATTAGCAAGCGTCTTCAGTTCGGCGTCAAGTTCCAGAAGTCCCTCATGAGATGATTGAGAGCGTGCTATTAGTGTAGTCAGCGATCTACGCATCTTGCCTTCGCTGTCAGCCCACGACATTCCATAGCGCTCTGCGATATATTGTGAGACCTCTGGTGGTTTCTTTGGGTACATGTAATTATCCATTGAGTGAGTTTGCTGAATGTGAAGAGTATCGTTGAGGGTACTAGCTTGGGAGAAGTCGTTAACCGTCCTACTTAGCCTTGAGGAGTGAGAGACTCCTTTACTGTATTGGTTGAGCTTAGCTCGCCCTCTTTGGCTCATTTTTCTTAGAGGCTATACTCTACAGTAACTGTAAATTCACATGTAAGAAGGCACTACCGAAATTTGTTTGCCGGCTGCTACCCGAGTAAACCCCCTCGTGCGAGCCACCGCCGCTCTGGGCAAGCGGGTCTCTCTCGCCCTTGCATCGGCTGGAATCCAAATCCAGAGTTCGGGAGTCGGATGTCCTCGGATCCCGGCGGAAGAACTTCTATGCCCCCCTCCCCTGGAAGCTGCCGCTCCTCGCGGTGCCTCCAGGGTTCCCCCTTCCTCTGGCTCGTCGGGGTCAACCATCGCCTGATAGCTATTGAGCACCTGCTGTCCCGGGCCTGCCGTCGGTCACAGCAGCCTGGCCTCCACGTGGCCCTGGTGCTCTACGACGAGGATCGCACGCCACGACCTCGGGTGTCTACCCCGTTCCTCGGGTGCCTCTTTGTCTCCCCATGACGTGGATCATCGACCCTATTGTCGGAGGTGCGCTCCCCATACGCCTCCATCTTGGAGTCATAGTACGCGTTCGTGGATGCCGATGGAGTACTCCCATGCGTTGTGTCGGGGAGAGGTCCGGCCCTCTGCTCACGGATCGCAGGGCGCTTTTGCAGGTGGTCCGTCACCCAGCACGAGATCATGTCAGCGCTCACCCTGTGCAGTGCGTCTGGCTCAGTGACGTGTGGGCTGGTCCATCTGCACCGCACAGCACGCTTGGGGGAATGATTCGGTCTGTCGAGGCATCGTCCAAAGCATCAGAAGCGATCAGGACCGGTTCGCCGCTTGGTTGTCCCGCTCGGCAGCCTGCTGTGATGCCACGTCTCACGTCGAGGTGTCAGGCACCGCGCAGCTGCTTGTGGTGGACTCCCGACCGCCGCTGTCCTGCGTAGCCAGGAGCTCGGTCCACTGTTGTTCGAGCCGGGCGTCCAGAGGGCAGGCCTGCCCTCCGAGGGATCCGTAGGGGTCGCGTGGTGAGTCTGTCCAGACCAGCTCGGCTCGGGTGGTGAGTGACTGGCGCATCCACTGCCAGCCTCAGGGTCTCCGGTGCATCCGCTATTGCCTCGGAGGAAGCACAAAGCTCTTCTTCCGCGGGACTGGCTCGGGTCGCGGCTAGCAAACCGATCCCGGTGGATAGAGTAAACCTATGCTAACCACTTTATGACTTGCACTATACTCTGCAGTCTATCAAAATTAGAAGATATGCTTTCTTGCATGGCAATATGGTTTCATCTGCCTTTTATTTCATGAGGTTAATTTGTGATATACGGTGTTCCTGGCAGATACCGATCTCATCTTATAACTACAAAAGTATCGAAGGCTGTCCAAAGTTTAATTGATTGATCCTTGCATGGATATCCCTTAGGAAATGTGCAAAATCATCTATTAGTAAGGACCTAAAGCCTGACCAAATACGCGCCCACACTGTTAATGGATACAGTGTACATCTGCAGCCTGGCAAATCCTAGTCTGTGCCTGCACAGTTGGTTTACCAAAGTCAGTTTACTCCATCAGTGGTTAAAGAAATTCAATGGTGCAAGTTTGTGTGCTTATTTATCCTGATCAACTTTGCTTGTTTGACTTATCTGAGTAGTAATGTACTTAGCAGCAGTGGCAGATAGTTGACGCATACCAGTAATAGGTCCACCGCTATGTGTAGATGAAGCTCCCACAGATGGAGTGAGAGATATACTAGGTGCAGCGACGCTCTGTGCTGGTTGTAAAGTAATACAATCCGGTCTGAATGAGCTCCTCCGTGCAGTATACTTGGTAGCGATATCAGAAACCGTTGGGTGAGACTGTCTCTGGTGCTGTAGTGGAGTAGGCACAATGCTGCTAGCAGAGTGATCGGTCACCAATGGCGTTGTTATAGCTGAGGTGGCTAGCTTTGACGTTTGATTGAAGCTGTCTGCACTACAACCTTGCAACGAAATAGAAGGTGTTGCAGCGCACGGCACAGTGGACGACTGCATTGTCTCTGTCACAGAATTCCTATGGAGCTGTCTGGGATACTCTTGCTCCCGAGTCGATTGACGTGCTGCAAGTTTTTGTCTCGCTTCCAGTATTATTTCTGCAACAGGAGAGAGGTACTTATATGGATTTGTAACTAGTGAATGGATTCGAGCCAATCTATCCCGAGAGACACTTCCGCTTGCCTTTACAATAGCTTTAGAGCCGTCTGCGTCATTGGATGTACCGCTGCTAGCGTTATCTGTCTTATGAGATGACTCGTGTATCGTAGAGCCCAATGAGCGCCGCTGGCTTGATGCCTTAAATGCAGCTAAACGGGCAGCTAGCTCCATTTGCTTTTGAGAAAGCGCTGATGGAGGCCGATCCTTTTTCGGCTGTGTGAGTGGGGTTATAACATGGACAGGAGCGTCAACCTTAGTAGAAGATGGAGTAATGTTAATCTTTGGAGGCGATGGATGCTCTAGAAGAGAGTCATCCCTGAGTCCTGCAAACTGCACTCGTTTGGTAGCGGTGGGGGTTCTTATCAACGACTCCGGTTGCGGAGTCAGGTCTGTCCTGGCACTATCATGTTGCTGAAACAACACCGAGTCTATGTCTTCCAAGCATTGCCGAGTAGAACCAGTTCTGGTTGGCATATCAGATAGTTCTGATCTTTGGCCTACTCTACTTGCTGCTCCATCTACTCCAGAGATGCCAGTAATGTACTTGCAGAACTTATCTATAATTAAGGGGTAGATTGACGAACTGAAATTATAATTGTCAGAAATAGCCTCTACACTGGAATACGTTGATAGAAAGTTGAAGATCATTGGCCATAGATACTTACTCACCATCATTGTGCCACTGTTTCTAAAGTACTCTAAAAGGCTGGACAAAAGTTTGTGTCTAGAAAAGAATACCAAAAGCACCCTGCAAGCATTTTCAAATGTGACTTGCGTGGTTCCCTCCTCACAGGTATTACAGTCAAATATAAAATCGAAAAACGCCAACTTGGTCTCGTCGTTGCTCAACAAATGCTGAAGTAGAAGCCTAACATGGGAGTCGGAAATCGGTAGCATCTCATCGGTGATAGATAGCGAAAGAACGTCACTGACTGTTTGAAAGAACCGCTCAAGATCCTGACATACTAAGTCCCGCGGATTGCTCCTTTTACAATAGTAGCATACCAGAGAGATGGTGACAATCGTATGCTTCGCATAAATGGCGTCCAGCAAGTCCTTATACTTATCTCCCATATGAGTTGCGCGGGCTCCAACCCGAGCCCAAAGCCGTCGGGCGCTATTTATCGCTTCAGATGAGTAAGTTGTGCTGTGAATGTCGACGATCTTATCTGCCAGTACATCGCCCGTTAACGTAGCAGAGGTACCGATCGTCTCTAGCCATTGAAGCTCCTTTGGAAGAGAAAAATCGTTGGGCAGCATGTGTCTATTTTTTCCAACCTAAGACAAACTCCAACATCAGTGCTCAAAACGCCCTGAGTGATTTCCACCATCCAGTCCAGAATCGTTTACTCAAGACGCACAATTCTACCCAGCGTACGCCGGTACGGCGAATCCTCAACCATCGTGTTCACAACGGCTTGCGGCTGCGCTTTTGTTTTTAAGCCTGAAGATCCCGACCACGGCTGCTTTTCCGGGTCAGTGTTTCTATATGATGCAGAGGCCCTTTCCTGAAGAAGCTCCCTATAGGGACCCAGATCTGTTTGCTGATACTGAAGCGGATGTGATATCCCCTCTTGCTGAAGATACTGGCGAAACGCATTATTGCCGCCCACCTCGACAAGCCTCACCTGATCTTCTGTCCACTTGTCGAGTGTTAAAGATCGTATGAAGGAGATATGTGTACCGTAGCTCCTGTGACGACCTGCGCAATTCATGCAGAGAAAGATTCCCAGCTTGATAGAGGCCCATGTGGGGTTCTTTGCGCCGCAATCGAAGCACGTGGGCCCCAGTGCTTTCTGTGCCGCGAGGAGTCTATCTCGCAGAAGATCTGACTCCATTTTAAAATAAATGGCTAATAGTGCCGATGGAACGTTAACAAAGACGATAACGTCATCTATCTATCTCTCCTTAACGTTTCTGGTGCCGGCATATCTACTTACAGGGTTAATATTCGCCGCTAAACTTCCAAAAGATAATAAACGGTTTTTCGCGTACATAAGCGTTCCTATAACTTATCTCCTCGCCAGCATAATAATGGGAAGCCTTGTTTCGTCCATCTTCGGGGTTGTTCTTTATTTTCTTTATTCTGGTTTCTACATCTATGACCTGGTGGAATTACGCCCTAGTATAATCCTTGCATGGCTATTATTCCTTTACTCTATTGGGGCCATGATAGGTTTTATGAAGTTTGCCTAGCTTTATTATTATTTTCTGAATCCCCTGCTCCGCTCCCTGCTCTGTTCCCTGCATGTATTTTCGGCATGCTGAAATTTTAAATTAAACTCAAGTCTTTGTTTCAGGCAGCATTCACGAGCTTCTCAAACCTCCTAGTGACTAACCAATGAGTACACAAGTTCACTCTTGTGGGCAGCGGTTCCAGACGCTGTGCTTTGCATCTCTCGACGACTTTAAGATTGCAAATATAGTAGCGCGTTCTCGTCGTGGACGAGAAATGGTTGCAGCATATATTCGTACAGGAGAATTAGTTCTTCTAAAGGAGCGCTATTCAAACGAGATGGATGTACTGGAAAACACACTGAAGGAGGCTGAAACACTTTTGGATCTTGGGCCACATCGCAACATACTCACCATACGTGGATATGCACAGGAGGGTACAACTGGCTTAATTGCTCTTGAACACTTACAGCACAAAGACATGCAGAGGCAAATGCAGCGCTATAAAAAGTTATCGAAAACCTTTTCGGAGCCCTTTTTGTGGGCAATTCTCCTTGATATTTCTTCTGCCTTGCAACACATCCATGACAAAGGATACGTGTTTCGTGACATCAAGCTTGCAAATATCTACCTCCGTGAGGTTGATTACACAAACAACTCATCAGTGAAGCTAGATCTCGTGGAGCCAAACAAGCAAGTAAGGATAGCAAACCTCCAATTTGTTCTATCAAACTTCGAATCGTGTCGCAAGCTTCCCCCGCCAAGTCGTAGCAATTCTAAACTCATGTCGAACCAGTTTATACCTAGTGATTATGCAACAGACACCGCTTCGCTACCAGATACTGATTATGAATGCACTCCTGGAGTAGATGTCACTACTCCTAGTCAACAACCGACAATTTCCTTTCTTCAAGCCCTTCAGAACAGGATCTACTATGATATAACAGAGGATACACATATAGATGGCAGAAAGAAAGTTATGTCTACTGCAGCCCAGAAGATCTATAACGAGGATCACAATCTTCCTTACTCAGCTCGGTCGCCTAATAAGCAGATGGCGATCCAAAAGGAATACGAGAATGTCACAGGCCACATGAGTGATAGTACGATTCTCAATCCTGAAATTCGCGAGGAGCTCCGCGCTGCTTCCAGAAGTGGGTCGTTGTGTGGATCGAATTATGGCTCTCAGTCCATGAACACCTCTCGCAGTGCATCACGGAGTGCGTCTCCAAGTATATCTAGAACTGCTTCAAGGAGTATCTCTAGAAGCGCGTCACCGTCCCTTCCAATCCCGCGGGCTATTAGTATTACAGTCGACCGACCTATCAATATCCCTACGGATAGCAGACCAGATACACTTCTAGTAGGTAGCTATGTGCAATCAGCCTCACCAACATTTCGGCGTGGCTTGACAGATCTCTCAAATATTAACAGACCGGATATGTCTGTTCCCCCGATGCTATCGGATAGCCCTGGGCGACACTACATTCACTCTTCTCGCACATCTGTCAGCACTAGAAGCCAAAATTCTATCGACCATGGCAAGTTTGATTATGTTCAGAACATGGCGCGATTCACCAGATTGGATCCCTTTGAAAAAGCCCTTCGTAATCATAAAATTAGAAAGGAGCTGGAAAAGAGACGCAACATATTTCCAGAGGGCACCAATATGTATGCAACTGTAGAATCTGAAGACGATATTGAATTTAAGCTTATCAAGCCAACTCTTGGTAAGTTTGGAACACGGAGTATATCACAAACTGTTGCCCTTCGGCCTGCAACAACTAGCTCACTGGGAAAGGTTAGCCAAGCTCGACTAGAATCTTCTCCAAAGAAGAACCCGTTTCAAATAGATAGAGGAAAATCAGCTATGCCAAAGATTAACGACGAAGAACAACAGCTTCGTGACTTAGAGGAGCTTTGGAGAAGGGAGGAGATTTCGTGCAATCCAAACAATCCAAATTATCCTACCAAGCTAACAACGACGCTTGATCAGTGTAATCCGCGCGCACGTGACACTTTGCCATACTACCTCGAACCTCCGCAGAATACATATTCTACCTTTAAAGCAAGATCACAGAAAGTTTTGTTGCCCGACGGTTCGGGCACAATAACTATTCTTGGAACACCCAACTATATGCCCAAGGAGATGGCAGAAGGAAATAATATCACAGCAATGGACATCTATGCACTTGGAGTCTCTGTGTTAGAGCTCATGTGTCTCGAAGATTATCAGCAGATTGACATGGAACGGGTCCAAAAGCAGCTTTCTGCAATTTATAGTCGAGACATTCGCACACTTGTTTTACGGATGCTTGGTCCCCCCGATCTGCGACCCAGTGCCGAAGATATCCATGAGTCTAGCCTCAGAGCTATACTGACTCATGCTAGTGACTATGGAGCCACTGCAACTCTTACTCACGACGATGTGATCTATGAACGCGGGTGTAAGACAATACCTTCCTTGAAACATCCCCTTCATATAGATCTCGAAGCGTTACATCAACGTGAGTACCTAAGGCGGCGCCCCCCCTATTCAGCCACACATGTACCCGAAGACTCCACAGACGTTATTGCACCACACCTCTTGGAACACCCATTTGCTAAGAACCTCCTTGACAAAATAAGGCATATCCCTCCCCAAGTATGTTCATTAAAGACACAGCCTCAGGAGCATTTTCAACCTGTATACGTTGAATACAACAACGAACAACGGGTAGTTGAGCAAGTGGAGCTTCCATTACATAGAACGGCTTTCAAAGGAGCCACGATGGCAAAATATTTGGAGCGGTTAAGCCAAAACAAGCCTCCGCTCTATTCTTTTAACAAGGCTGCTTCTCGAAAAATCGTTGACCCTCCTGAGAAATGGATGCCTAATCCAGATTCTGTACTGTCGGAATTTGGGCCGGAGGCGCAAATTAAGCGGTTACAATCGGAACAAACACCTGATTTATTGGAAGTATTAGACACCGGTATTCATTCTATTCCCAACGCACGTGGAGGGCGGCGACTCACATCTGAAAAGTATTCGAAGATGGTCCGCCCCAAAACGGCTACTTCTATACCTCTACGAAGAGACAGCTCCGGCCACTCCTCCGAAAGCAGCACGTTCAAGGCAAACCATGACGCAGAAAGGAGAAGGCCACGCATATCTGTAGCTTTTGGTGCTATAACCATGCCTAACGCGCCCTCTAGCGACCGTCGTGTAATAACAGATTAACTCAGTGTGAATAAAATTAAAAAGAAAATTGCTTAATGGCTTTTACAAGTGCTAGAGATACTCGCATCACAACCGACGATGTTAAGGGGTCCGGGGTCCTGTTTAGTAGCCTCGGCCTCAAGCAGGAGCTTCTCATGGGCCTAACGCAAGAGGGCTTCCAGCAGCTCACGCCAGTGCAGGAATTGGCGATACCCCATATCCTTGCAAGAAGGGACGTCGTTGCCCGTGCCAAGAACGGGACAGGAAAGACGGGGTCCTTTCTGATCCCCATCCTGCAGATGGTCAATCCAGCGAAAGATCACATCCAAGCTCTTGTCCTTCTGCATACGCGCGAATTGGCTATGCAGACAGCAAAGGTGGCTAAGACTCTTTCGAAGAATATGCCAGATGTCACCGGCAGAATCATGTGTGCAATTGGAGGCGTTTCGATAGCCGAAGATCGCGAGCGTGCCAGGGAGAAGCCACTTGTCGTCCTGGCAACTCCTGGACGCCTGCAGCAGCTCATAGATGAAGAAATTCTCAATTTTCGTGACTGTTCAATCGTGGTGCTCGATGAAGCCGACATGCTTCTTTCACAGAATTTCATCCGCTCAATAGAGAATTGTCTCGCTGCCTGCTCGAATAAGAGACGCCAGACTCTCTTCTTCAGTGCCACGTTTTCCAATTCTCTTAAGGAATTTTGTGACAAGCACCTTAGGGACCCTGAGTACGTCAATGCCATGCAAGACTCGTTGCTGCTCAGAGGTGTTACGCAATACGTTTGCATGCTTAAGGAAGATAGGTATAAACTCAAGCTCCTTTCTCTCCTGATGAAGCACCTTAAGATCAATCAATGTATAGTTTTTGTCAATTCGGTACAGCGCTGCGAGGCGCTCTACAGGAGTATTTGTGATGAGTTCCGTGTTCCGTGTTTATACACGCACAGCAGGATGAGCCCCGAAGAGCGTTCTCGTATCTACGACAACTTTATTCATGGCCAAGCTCGCCTCTTGATAGCTACCGAGCTATTTACGCGCGGAATAGATATTAGGATGGTTAACGTGGTGGTGAACTTCGATACACCTCTGTCTGCCGATGCTTACCTGCACAGGATAGGTCGTTCGGGCCGCTATGGACACCTGGGTATTGCAATTACAATGGTGGCTGGGGACAACGAAAAGAGACGCTTCCTCACTATAGATAGCTACATACAGGGGCAGGCCAACTCTATGATTCATATCCTTCCTAAAGATCCCTCAGAAATACCCCTTGATCTCTACGACGCCAGCGTCGTGGATTCGGACATCATCCCGCATTTGTCCGACGCCATCCGTCCAAGGAATTCCTAGCATCTGCCCGTGATTTTCCAGCTGGGCTAGAAGGTGGTTGAAGAGTGCTTTTGCGCAACGCGTTGGCACTTAAGTAAACACCACAGCTTTTGATTTCGCTCTGTCGTCGACAGAGTATCGGTCTTCTCTCAAATTCATTGCCCTGTTCACTTTGCTCTCTTCTGCTGCTCAACTATTCAGTTCAGCCCCTGTCGCCTCTTTTGATGTTTGTTACCCTAGAAAGACTAGCCCGAAAACGCTTCACTGCTTCCTCACTGTCTCTGTACGGCTGAACAGGGATAACGACGCGCTGGTAATCAAGAAGCTTCCCGGTATCATCGAAGTCCATTAGAATGAATGCTACATTGAGACAGAAAGGGACAACAAGCCCTTCATTACCAATACTAGTGAACTCAACCAGCTTGTCTCCGCAGTCTTTGGTGAACGCCTCTGATGAACTGAATGTTCCGTCGCGAGCTGCCTCATGGATATGACCGCTGATTTGGATGTCTGGCATGTACTCAAAAGGCAAGAGATTGAGAATATTTCTATATCCCTTACTTCCACAATGGTCTCCAGATCGTAGTCGATCAGCGGTGGTATTGAATGTGGGGCCGTGAGTTGCCCAGAGCACAACAGGAGGCGGCATGCGACGCCGCAAATGTAGTGGCATGTACACCTCTGTGCCTGAAGCGTCCTTGGAGTCTGTCCACTTAAAAGTTTCCTCTTCTCCAAAAGAGCGACCTACTAACTCAGTGCAACACTCATTATGCCACTCCACAACATCGAACTTCTTTATTCGCTCATTAGTCACAAACTTCACATTATTTGCCTCTGGTATCTGCTCTAGAGGCAGGTTGAGACCTTGCATATAGCCTGCCTTATCATACAGTCCACAGAGGCTGAGAAGAGTTGCTTTCATCTTGGTGCATATGGTTGTCTGCTGCTGAATTCGATACCATTCCGGTTGGGTTCTAGGGTCCATAACATCTACCACCTCAAAGTACTTCTTGCTGTATGCCAGGGCGTCGGAGAGCATAATAGGCTCGACGGAAGGGTCATCAGAGAGCTCATTAGGATCTGGTTCTTTGCTAATTACACCCTTAACCGCAAGACTCTCTGCGACTACATACTTGATCTTTGCGTGCCGCTCTATATCTCTGTGTGTAGTAATGATGTCTTCCTTTACCTTGCAGATGCAGTTCGGCCCACAACGTGGACACTCTTCATAGTCAACAATAACACGGGTTGTTTGGCGCGTGCCCATGCGTGCGTGAGAGGAGTTTCCTGGTGGGATTACTTTGTCTCGCTCCACATCCACGCACTCAGAGTCCTTGAGAGAGTGTGGAGATATATTAGTGTATGATGAAAAGAGCACACCAATTTTACCGTCTATGTACCGAACTCCGTGCCTAATGTATTCAAAAAGGCCAAATCTAGGATCAGTAAATTCGTTCTCATAGATAGTGGAGTTAGTGGCAAAGTCTGTATTACCTGGCATAACAAACTTATATCTAGCATTGATAGCTCTAAAAAGGGGGAAAATCGTGTCCCTATTGAATGCATCTGCTTTTGGAGGGCTTTCGTACATAAACCTATTGGGAGAAAAATCTCCGAGAAAAACAAAAACATCAATCTTGTGCTTCCACGTATAGCGTACAATTGCGCTCAGTTGCTGCTCGTTCCCATGGATATCTCCACAGAAAAGAAAACGCATTTAAGTTTTTGCTTGTTGAAGTCTCGAAAATTTACATCATGTCCAAACGGCGTATATCACCGGAGATCAATCATCCGAAAGTTCATCTGGTGCATTAAGCACCTTTGCTATCATGGCAAGTGACTCATTACTTGGTTTTCGAGAAGTAGAGGCAGAGAAAGACCGCGGCCGTCCCTGGGCTGACAGAAATGCAGACGTTGGCCTACCAGTGTCACGCTGATCTTCCCCAGCTACATATGTAGAAAGTGATCCGGAACTTCGTGACATGGCTGAAGTGCGCGTCACCGCTGAACGGGGGGAGATTACTGCACCTTGACGTGTCCTGGGTTCTACTCTTTGTTGCATACGCTGTTGACTGTCAAAATGTGGCGCCATCTGTTCGTTTCGATACGGTGTTTGGAATTGTCGAGCTTGTTGTGGCTGGCCCCGTTGTCTGGGTTGATCAAATTGAATTGTAACCTTCTCATCCCCAATATCGCTAGGCAGCATAGAGAGTTGTGATTTTGTTCCAATACTATTGCTTAGCGCATTGAGTTTCTTTCCCATTTCTTGAAGCTCATCGAATACACCTTGCAGTGTTGCTCCAGTGACCTGTGACGATGCTGAGGTAGTAGCCGTGTCAGGCTTGAGGCTCTCCTTGGATACACCCGTAACCGGCTGTGTCGTTATGTCTAGAGGAAGAGTTGCAGATTGATTGACCACTGCATTTAGTAAAGCCAATATCTCGTCAGTGGGGTTGTTTGCAAGTGTTGTGGCGATCAGCAAAGATTCTACGTTAGTAAGTCTGGCTGTCAGTGCTTTATTCTCCTTAGTTAAACTAGCAATTCGCACTTGCATTTCCATAAAAAGCTCATCTCTCGTAGTGTCACTAGCCCGCTCAATAATTAGATTATCTAGTTCATTTAATTTTCCATTCAATTCAACTATGTCCTCTTCGTGTCCTTGTTGGGTAATTGCATATCCTGATAACTTTTGAGAGAGGCCTTCAATGGCATGCATAACATCATTTTTAAACTCTGAAACTGCTAGAGCAAGATCGTCCACAGCTGAGGATTGCTCCGCCAGATCCTCCGAGAATTTTCGTGCCAGTTCGGCCGCCTCGAATGCCGCCTCCATCTTCAGAAGGTTTTCATTGATGGTTACCATCTGAGTTAGCAAGTACTTCTGCACCTCATCTGTGGGCTGAACGGGCTGATCTGGATTGGATGTGGTCATACGGTAAGGAGATCCGGTCCCCCCAGATGACGGGCGGCTCTGCTGCTTCAGAGTTTCGCGTACTAGAGCCTGCTGTGGTTTGTGAATAAACGGAGTTATAGACTCATTAGCATCGTGATCCTCTCTAGATATATTGTTGCTTAATAAAGACGGGTCATTGATACTAGCGTGCTCCATGAAGCTTGCCTTATGTACATCATTGTCTTTAGCAGAGGACATACGCTTAGTAATAGAGGATTTCTCTTTCTCTTCTTGTGCTTCAGGAAACCGTGGAACGTTAGGCTTGAAGGAATCAGTGGGCAATTGAATGCTTGGCTTATCATATAGAAAAGACCTTTCTTCAGTCAAATGAGATATATAAATGTCTGTACTTGGTGCCCCAAGAGTGCGGCTATTGTATTCTCCAAACGAATCTCCGCTGCGATAAAGATCGATGTCGGAGTTGGGGGGATAGTTGATATTACTAAAGCTAGTACCAAGGTTTGCAAGTCTGTTCCGGTCTGTAAGCTTGGTCTCCTGGATACCGTAAGTCATTGCCGTTTCTTCAAGCAAGCATACCGTACATTCCCAGAGATCATTCAAGGAAGAATCTGCTCCTCTGCCTCCGAATATATATAGCTTTATAAATGAGCCATTAAATAATGTGTAGGAGCTGCTGCTGGTATGGTCAGGAGTGTACACTGATCCCAAGTCTGTCAGCCAGATTAACGACTGATCACGTCCTCCAAATTCTGCAGCTATTTCAGACCCATGCGCAGAGGAGATGGTACCGGTTGATGTGGTTATGGCACCAAAGGCGTGTCTGGGGACGGGAAGCGTAGAGGGTATCTGAAGACAGACTGGAGTGTATAGATGTTGCTGAGTATTAAGATTGAGAATCCACATGTCATTAAGCGGTGCTTGTGCTGATGAACCACCGAATAGCAACACTGAGGAAGGAGAAAGCTCGGTAGCGAAAAACTCTGTTCGTGGCGGAAAAATCTGAGTCTTGGAAACAGGGTCTAGCTGTACCCACGACAGCGCATGACTCTCATTGACACACAAGCGCCAGACATCCCCAGCAAGTCCGCTCTGGGTCATTCCACCAATTACGAAAATATCTTTGCCCACTGTGACCATTGAGTGCCCATATCTTGGAGATGGGCCTTCTGGCCCTCTGTTCCAACGTAAGGTAGTAAGATCCAATACCCAAAGGTCACCAAACATAGACGTTTGCTGATAGCGATCGGCTCCGCCGAACACATACAGACACGAATTTTGAACGCAGCCGGCGTGGCCATAGCGACCAGAAGGCGAAGATCCTGTATCTGAATGCCCAAAGATCTGACGCCATTCGCTGCCAGTGCATATCCACAGATCATTGACGCATGCGGAGCCTAAGTCTCCTCCAAATAAAAGCTGGCATTCATCAAGTCCTACCATGATATGTCCTCGTCTCCCTGCAGGGTATGGCCGGGATCGCCGCCGCAGACGCCACTTTTTAGGCTCTGATTGTGACTGAAAAGATAAAGACTCGTTGAGATAATGCGTTGAATAGCCGCCAAAGATTTGAATCCCATCAGCCGTTGGGACCATGGAACATCCGTAGCGCGGAGTTGGTGCTCCTGGAGTAGTAACCTGAACCCAAGAAAGGGAAACTGGCATGACCTTGGCAATTTGCTTTTTTGAGACTTGTCTCCCATTTACTCTGTTCAAAAAGGTCGGTTTGCCGACTGCTACCCGGATAAACCCCCTCGTGCGAGCCACCGCCGCACTAGGCTGGCAGTCTCTCGTTTGTTCACCAGCCGAGACCCAGAATCCGAAGTCCGAAGTCGGATGCCGTCTGCTTCTGACGGGGAAGATTTATGCCTCCTTCCCCGAGGCGATAGAGAAGGCAACGGAGGGCCTGGAGCCAGTGATGGCACCAATCACTGCCCACTGGCCGGGATGGACCCACACGTGACCCATGTGAATCCCTCGACAAGAGATGGGGCCCCTGGGGTGTCTGGTTGGCAGAGGCGGACTGATCCTGCCCACACCGGAGAGCGGTGACCTGGGCCACCCGCCAGGCGTCTGCCGCAGCAGCTGGCAGTGCCTGACACCCTCGAGTAGACGGGTGCCGGCTGCCGAGCGGGACAACCAAGCGGCGAACCGGTCCTGATCGCTTCTGATGCCTCGGATGACGCCTCGACAGACCGAATCATTCCCCCAAGCGTGCTGTGCGGTGCAGATGGACCAGCCCACACGTCACTGAGCCAGACGCACTGCACAGGGTGAGCGCTGACATGATCTCGTGCTGGGTGACGGACCACCTGCAAAAGCGCCCTGCGATCCGTGAGCAGAGGGCCGGACCTCTCCCCGACACAACGCATGGGAGTACTCCATCGGCATCCACGAACGCGTACTATGACTCCAAGATGGAGGCGTATGGGGAGCGCACCTCCGACAATAGGGTCGATGATCCACGTCATGGGGAGACAAAGAGGCACCCGAGGAACGGGGTAGACACCCGAGGTCGTGGCGTGCGATCCTCGTCGTAGAGCACCAGGGCCACGTGGAGGCCAGGCTGCTGTGACCGACGGCAGGCCCGGGACAGCAGGAGCTCAATAGATGTCAGACGATGGCTGACCCCGACGGACCAGAGAGAAGGGACGCCCCGAAGCGCATAGTGGGGCACCCAACGGCTCCCAGGCGGGATGCACAAGGCTCTTCTCCAGAGTGGACGGCATCCGAGCTTCGGACTCTGGACGGGTTTACTCGGACAGGAGCTGGCAAGCCGACATTGTTGAAACAGAGTAGATCTCGTTTGAGAGGATGCCTACCATCTCTTTGTGATCCTTCTTCTTAGCGATGTCGAAAGCAGTGGTACCGGGCGAGTGATCATAGCAACTGCAGGTTGTCTTCAGATCCTTCTCGTTTTCTTTAGGAAGCCTTACACACTCCACGGCGTTGCTATATGCTGCGTTCATAAGGGCGATCCCCCCTTGGTCGTTTGCATGCCGCCTTCGTCCTTCAGCAGGGGTCTGACACACTCTGGATGGCCATTGCACACCGTCCATGTGAGGACAGTCTGATGCTCGTTGTTCCTTATGCCAGTCTCCTGCTCGAGTAGCTCTACGATTCCTTCGTGCCCTCGTGCTGCTGCATACATGAGCTCCGTCCACCCTGAGATACTGCTCTCATACTCCATCAAAAGCTCAACGTGCCCAATATAGTCCACCAGGGGGTCATTGGAACGATTGCACAGTGCCGCGAATACGAGAGCGGCCCAACCGCCTACTTTCTCTCCCTTTTCGTGCTCTGCTAGCAGTTCTACTATTTCTGCGTATCCATTGCCGCAGCCATCATCAGAGCTGTTCCTTTGCGCATGTACCATCCGCTTCTTGTGACCTCTTTGTATGTTTTCCTCCTTCTCTGGCTAAGTATGACTGCCTTCACAGCCCCCGCGTCGTTTCTATTAACAGCTCGCATGAGTGCTGTGATGCCATTCTCATCGGTTGGGTCGATGGCCTCCACCACGGTTCCATGTCCTGCCTCTGCCGCATCACCAAGGCCGTCTTGCCTTCGCTGCCGATCCGGTCCTTCTCATATGGGACCAGAAGGGAGGCAGCTCTTGCATAGTCCTCCTCTGTGGCGATCATCAGGTAGTCCAGCCATTCTTGTCCTGGAGACCGTTCTCCTCCCCAACAAGCAACTCGACGGGACTGATGCGCCCCTGCTCGTCGCGCTGACCAACACCGAGTCTTTCTTCAAGCAGCATCCAGACGGTCTCCGTGCTATTCGTATGCGCGGCACGCATCAGCCCGGGCAACAAAAAGAGGCTGGACTGAGGGTCAGTCGTGTTCATCCTGTCATCGAACTGTGCAAGCTTATTCTCCAGTGCCTTAATCATAGCTAGATGTTCCTTACTTTGGTCTTCAAGTGCGTCGATCTTAGTAGATTTAATCTTAACATCCTCTTCCAGCAACGCGATCCTGGCGTTAGCGCCATTCAGCGCAGCCTCCAAGGATCCGCACTTATACTTCAGCATCACGCACTGACCTCCCAACTCACCAACTGGGATGTCGAATGTAGCGAGCGTCTCGTGCAGCTCCCTGGCCGTCGGCCTCCTCTCTGGCTCCAATACGAATATCCCCTCCAGAACATTCTGCATGAAGCCATCAGTGAGACCGCTCAGGTCTGGTCTCCACCCATCGACGAAGACCTCTGCCGGCTCCTTGCCCCCCAAGAAGTCCGGTCTCCTCAGAGTTACTAATTCATAAATGATGGCCCCGAGGCTCCACATGTCGGAAGCATGGCTGGTCTCATTACGGAGGAGAATCTCGGGGGCCATGTACGCCACTCCCATGAGAGTACTCCCACTCCACAGGGCGTCCTTGCAGAGGCCGAAGTCGGCGATGACGAAGTGTTCACCATCTGCGCTGATGAGGATATTGGTAGGCCTGAGGTCGCGGTGGACAAGCCTGTTAGCACTTACCTCGCTGAGGCCGTGGAGGTAGGCGAGGGCGGCGGCGACCTGCTTCATGACGGAGAGGATCATAGTAATGGGGACGGGGGTCTTCCTTCGTTTGTGCTCGGCGAGGAGGTGCTCGAGGGTCTTGTCGTGCCGGTCCGTGACGACGTAGATGAGGCCCTCGTCCTCGACTACTTGATGATACTTGAGGACCCGGGTGAAAGATGTTAAGAAGGGCGGCCAGCCTACGCTTAATAGCATCCACACCGTGCTGATCCAGACCGTCGAGCCGGATCTCCTTCACAGTGAGGTGGGGGCATCCCTTGGGAGAGTAGATAACACTGAAGGCCCCCGCTGAGCACGGGGATGCCACCAGCGCCCATCGGCTCTGCAAAGCCGCTAACTGCACTGTTACTAGCAACTCCTAGGGCGCCCTCTGCGGTGGCTGGGACAGGGAGTGGAGTCAACAGCCGCAGCTGATTTTAACTGCAATCCGGAGCCATCCTTTGGAGTGGCCTTGGCTACTACCCGAGCAAGGCGCCCAGTGTGAGCTGTCGATGGCAGGCCAAGGAGAGGCATACTAACGGCTTGTATGGCCTTAAGCAGGCCGGATCCTGGAGGCCGACGCGGAGTGCCCCAGACAGAGTATGCCGATCAGGGACCACACTGAGCTCTGGATGCATCACTAGGGAGAACTCTCGTCATGTTATCCACAACCAGCCATCGTCTCCGGACGGTCGAGAAGTGGGCGCAGCTTACCCATGAGACCTCTGAGCGCACCTGCAGGCGGGGTCAGTGATACAGTGACAGCAATGTACAGGAGTGCGCCCCGAGCAATCACTCCACAAGAGAGGTGCGGTCTGAGTCTGGCCCTCACTGGTCCTGTTCCTATGGAAGTCAGAGAGAACTACACTATCAGCTGGCCTCTGGTTGGTGTGCTCCTATCTCGTCCTTCTCCGGTCCAACTGATCAAGAGAGCAAGAGCGGCTGTCTCTCACTGCTCGCGGCAACACACCAGCCTGATGGAAGAGCAGTGGCACACGAACCCGGCTAATGTTGGTAGGATTTCTCCTAGTTTGTGCAACCGTGCTGGCAAAGCACAACGGAAAGAACGGCTGCGAGAAGGCCTCTAACACGGCATGCGAAGAAAGACTGACCCAGGCGGGCTGCGAGACCTGCACTGGTGTGGGCCAGGACCAGACGTGCCTCACCTGCGGCGGCGGAAAGAAGGTGCAGCTCAATGGAGTAAGCTGCGACGCCACTTGCCCCCAGAACTCTGCAGCCAACGACCAGAACGTCTGCGTGTGCAACCCGGGATTCAGCCTGAACAATGGGAAGACCGCGTGCGAGAAGGCCTCTAACACGCAGTGCAATACTCCCAACTGCAAGGCATGTGACAACCCCAAAACAGACAACGAAATCTGCACCGAATGTAATGATGGCAACTACCTCACCCCGACAAAGCAGTGCACGCAGAGCTGCGGAGCAATAGGAAGCTACTACAACGGAGACAAAGAGTGCGAGCCTTGTGATCCTAGCTGTGCTGGGTGCACCACAAAGGGACCAGCGAAGTGCACAGCTTGTCCTCCCGGGAAAATGCTAAAATACACCAATGATGATCCTAATCAAGGTGGATCTTGTGTAGATGAGTGCAAAGCAGAGGTGGACGGGTGTGCAGAGTGTGGAGCGGTAATCGGCGGTACGAAGTACTGTTCAAAATGCAAGGAAGATAAGTGGGCACCTCAGAATGGCGTGTGCGCTAATTCAGTAACAAGGAATTCATTCTGCACGAACGCAGCAGGTGGCGTATGCACTCAGTGTGCTGCAGATCATTTCCTTCAAGATGGAGGCTGCTATAAACTCGGCAGACAGCCCGGTGAGCAGATATGCACACTAGCTGATAGCAATGGTGGATGTCAGACGTGCGCCAATAGTCTTCAGCCTAATAATGGAGCATGCCCCTCGTGTCATTCGACCTGCAAGACATGTCGTGATGCTAATTCTGCAAATGCTTGTACAACGTGTGCAACTGGGTACTACATGGTTGGATTAGATCCTGGGACATGCACATCATGTGAAAGTGACAGTGGAAGTGTCAAGGGAGTTGCTGGCTGCATGAGCTGCGCTCCTCCATCTAATAATCAAGGCTCCGTCCTCTGCTACCTCAAGAACGGTGACAGTACCGGCGGAAGCACGAACAGGAGCGGGCTCTCCACTGGCGCCATCGCGGGTATCTCCGTCGCCGTGATCGTTGTCGTCGGAGGGCTTGTCGGCTTCCTCTGCTGGTGGTTCCTCTGCCGCGGAAAGGCATAGATTTAAATATGACTTAGGTAGTAAACGCGCTTACGTGCCACGCCCACTGTTTCAGTGGCCGGAAGGCGGGGCTTGGGAGTCGAGTCTTTTTGGATTGCAGCGAAATCATTGGCGCCTAGAAGATCCAAGAGGTCAGCCACGGTGCTCTATCAACAAGCTAGACCTGATGCAGTCTGAACTAATAATCCTCTCTTACACCAGTTCACTACTAGTATTACGAGGATTGCACTCCTGCTTATAACTCCAAAACAGAACATAACTCTGTTGATAATTGTTCCATCTGCAAGATAGCGTCTGGTATTGAGTGCTGTAAAGCTAATGAGGCTAAGTTGTCTTATGGATGCAAGTGATAGCAGGGGATTGACTCCCCGATAAAATTGGCCTATACTCAGCATCAGGTCCTACCACTGAATACGACTGCTTCACACATGATAGATTATCCCGTTGAGAAAAGATGGCCCCTCACCAAAACAAAGCAAATCCTTCCAAGTAAAAAACTCCGGCTCCCATTTGTGGATGAATAAGCTTGATCGCATCTTTTCTGTCAATAAAGCAGATCTTCCCTCATCATACACGTCTGTGTCAGCCAGAGAAGAACTCTTACTGAACTATATAGCCAATTTTGAAACGACATTTTTAACTCTTAATCCTTCAAGAAAACAGCTGCTCTTGGCGCCACACAATGAGTGTGGGGTGCGGAAGTTTCTTCCAACTACTCTCAGGCCGGCAATTTTGGCCGATCCTGCTCTTTGCGATGCCGGTTTCTTGGCCAAATTTGTCGCAAATTCTATCAATTACGAACCTTTGGAGCACCCTCATCTTCCCCCAGATTACATAGTATCTCCTCAAACAACCCTGGAATGGCAAACAGGAGACTGCTTCGATCTATCCATATTGTTAGCCTCTCTTCTTATTGGGGCGGGATACAATGCCTATGTTTGTATTGGCTACGCAGACAAAATGCTAACAGAACAGCAGACTCATCTTCAAGTGGCAGAAAGTTGTGAGCCCTTGAATCTCTATGCGACCTATACTGTCCAGTCATTTTCATCTGAAGCCGCCTTTTCAAAGCGTCCACTGGGAATTTATAAGGTGGATGCACGCTACTGTAGAGAGGTTAATGATACGCACATAGATAAGCAGGACTTCACGTCAGAGGGAGGTCTTCTGAAGCGCCTTCACTCCCCCTCGAAAGACATCGAAAATGTATTCCTTAGGTGCGGTGTTCAGGAGTGTCAAAATGAGCGGGCAGCAATCACTGTTGATATCAGTGGAGGGGCCACTGTCAAGAACCCCTGGGGTTTATCCGGTGCATACAAGTTACTCTCAACACCTGCGGACATAGAAACTAAATCTATCAGTGGATGCCGTTATGTTATGTCCGGTGGTGCAGAGAATATCTCTATGAATCCCACCACAAATGGCTGCTCTCTCATCGTGGCCCCCGAAACGGAAACAGACAAAGAGCCGTTCGAAGATACCCTGACAAATGTCCTGGAGGGTAGAGGGGCCGATAGGAAAAAGGAGAAGGAATTCAACAGGGAGATACCACATGAGAATGTGCTGATTGGCGGATTGTTCAAAAATAAGTATCTAAAACCGAAAAATCTTATTCGACCGTCAGCGTTTGATGAACGTACACGATTCCGAAATAAGCTTGCTCTCATTGGTGCCTCAGAAAAAGAGATAGAATCTCTTATCATAGACAGCCTGCGTTCGGCCGATCTTCTAAAAGATGTACTTGTCCCAGGAAAAGCGGGAATACAGCAGAAGCAAGAACAGGACCGTGCTCTCAACTCTATTAGGCAAGAAAATAAGCTCCGAATACAAGAGCTAACAGCGGATCCGCTTCATGGACAACGCGTGTATTCGTGGGTGTACGTCGCCCCGACTGAAGACTTACAGATGGGTAGCACCAATGCCGGTGTCACAGAAAAGCATTATGTGGAGGAAGACATAAATAGTATCATAGCCCAAGCCAAAACCCCTTCGACCACGAAGTCAGGCTTTTTCATTGACCCTGCATCGGGTTCGTTCTACACCATGAACTGCCCGCTATTTCGGTTCATCGAAGCAGTCTTTAACCAGAACAATTATTTCGTTAATCTACAAGTGGACAAGCGTGAGCTCTCCAACGATTACTGCTCTTTTGACTTTTATAACATTGATAACTGGTGCATCTGCTTAATGACCCAAGAGTTGGTTGACCTGCGCGCCCGCCAACTTGCCTATTTAAACAAAAATGGGGTCACAGATCAAATTGTGAAGCAGGCAGGTGGAAACCAGCGCTTTCTCTCTCAGCTTGGCGTCAAGGGCGCACGCCAAAGGCTTGAGGCAGGGATCAAGTTACCAAGAGCTATTCAAGACAGGCAAAATCAGCTCAAACGTGAGCGTGAAGCAGAGATTCATCAGCAGAAGGTGGTAGAACAGGGCTTTGATACAACGCGGTGGGCCAAGGAGGCCAATGTGGAAAAGGAAAACAACAGATTAGAGGCTCTCAAGGCGCAGTATGCTATGTTCGGGATAGGAGAGCAGGCTAAAAAGTATTTAAAGAGGTGGGATTCCGTAGAACCAATAGAGATCCTCTTGTCGTCCTTGCCTGCTCCGTGGAGTGTGGCCACTAGTCTTTCCGAACTGCGTCTTGCTTGGCAATATCCTCGGCGAGTTGCCAGTCCCAGGGAGTTGGTTGCCCTGGGGACATGTGACAAGGTCATAGCAGAAAGAGCCACGCTCTATTCAGATTGCTTCCTCCGGTTGTATCCTAGATTCAATCTGCGTAGTGGGTGCATAGCCTCAATTGTTTGTCGTCCCAGGCCAGTGTATATGATTTCTGCCGATGAAGACATGGACGTTATAGACAAACGGGTTGTAGCGTGGCGTCTTCTTCGCATTCAGCTCTTTAGTGACAGGCACGACAAGCTTTCTTTACGAACGTGCCAATATGAAATCAATCATGACGACGTGAAGATTGATCTATCAAATCCTGAGGTTTATGATTACTTTACCCGCTTCAATGACGGAGGAGAGACACTAACCCTCTTAGATACATACTATAGAACGTACATAGATGGCGTCAAGGAGTTTCCCATCTGGTGCTATTTGGGAGAAGAGTTAGACGAAATGGGTGATCCTGATCTTGATGAGAAGACAGCCCACACGGCCTTTAAGTCCTCGTTTACCTGCTTCACCAGGCGTGTTAAGAAGGAGATTTCTCCTATAGAGATCGATCAAGGGGAGGCGTTGGATGTAGATGACTCGCTGTTAAAGAAGACTGTCATTGACAGTAACCTTTCCATGAGAGAGCACGACTCAGGTGATGGACGAACGTCTGTGTCTGTCGGCAGTCGCTTGGCATCGAGAAAAGTGAGTGCAGTCCACGGAACTAGACACAGCAAGGGGGACACAGACAGCGGCACAGTAGAAGATGCAAATGAGGTCATTGAGGGCTTCGATGAGGCAGACTCGCATGGATTCCAGAGCATGCAAGACGGAGATACCCAAATGCCAGAGGAATTTACCTTCGAATTGCCTCTTCTGTTGACATTCCAAAAGCAGTTCTTTAACTATGGAAGGTCTGATTACCTAAAGCAGCATGTGCTAAACATCAGTGGGGAGGTACGGACCCGTAAGCTGTGGTTCTATCCTGGGAGAGAAGATAGCTGCGGGTTTATAGAGCACCTAATTGGCAGAAGCATCGAGCTACGCTACTACGATTGCTTGCGTGAAGATGGACTGAGCACCAAGGTTATTGCATATGAGTTAGTATCTGCGTCAACATCCACAGACCCATCTCTAGCGTCTGTATCCTCGCGCCAGGCATCAGCCAAGAATGTAGCAGGAGGCCAGAGATCTGCACCACAAAGTAAGGTTCTTAGCATCAATACCATCCTTTTTGATTCTTTCGAAATCCTGCCTAACACTAACACGTTCCAAAGGTGCTCTGTTTCAGGTTGCAAGGTTGTTGAAAGGTTTGCCAATCTAGCTTCTATCGATAGATATATGCGTAGACGTCGAAGAAAGCTTATTTTCAGTAAGGACAAGATTCTAGAAGCCGAAACCAAGCAGCTGCTGACGGACTACAAGACCCAGGCAAGTGCTCCGAGCATTAGTGATGCAACAATCAATGATGGTACCTCTATGACAGTAAGCAACCAAGAGCGTGACTCAACTGTTATTCGTTCTGGCGATAACACGACATTAGAAACAACCGAAGTAGTAGACGATCAATCTACGGCTCAAAACCGCAGTACGTCGCAGGCCTCAATGGGCGAAAAATCAGGAAAGTCTCAGACCAGCATGGGCCCATCAGATCCCTTAAGCCTCTCGGTACTTGAGAATGAGGATGCGCTTACGAATCTTGATTTATTTGAAGAGTTTGAAGCAAACTTATCACGTGCAGCATATAGATCATTCCAATCTCAGCGGCTTCTCTTTTCTCATGACGTTGGTTCCTATTATTCCTCTGAGTATGACTTGAACTGTGGAGTGACTTCCTTGCTTTCGCGCCACGAGGCACTCTTAGAGATGGCCTATCACCTCAGTCCCGAGATACTAAAGGCGGCTGACGCCAAGAAAAGCGCAGACGATAACCCCGATGACTTAGACGATAACGCTGCAGATACAGAGCGTGTTCCTGATGCTGACACTCATAAGCACCGAGAAGGGGGGCCTGGCTTCTGGCTCCAAGGGTCTGAAAAGAGGACAGGCCGTTCTCGTGGATTGAATATGAGCCTTCTCAGTCGAACAGCAGCAGATACACCATCGGCTAATAAATCTGGGTCTCTCAAGGAGCTACTTGGAGATGTCTATGCTCTCATGAATACAAAGAACACGTCGAATGTTCCTGCCGGGGTTGCCGCTCTCTATCCCACGTATAATCTTGCTCTTATCACTGACAATGAGCTTTCGAAGACAGCGCCCTCCTTCTACATCAAGCACATGCCCAAGTTATACGACCCGAGCCCCGGGATCTTCAATTACCTAAACTATGTCAATTTACTTAAGTCCAGAGAGCTACCCATCCTACCGCATTTCGATACCACGACTTCTGCTGTACGGAACGTCGGCGTAGTCATGAAGCGCGCTGTTTCGTATGACCATATTCGATACGACCTGTTGAATAATTACATTGAGGTTGTGGAGTCTATGACGCGCCCACATTTGATGTCTGAGAAGAGGATATTTAACAAGCAGTCCGGAGAGGCATCTCTTATGATGGCAGATCTGTCTGCCTCTGACTCCTACACCGCAGAAAGTATACGCACAGCAGTAGCACGCCAGGACATTGCTAACTTAGGAAAGAGTATCACTTTGATAACTAAGGAGCTCGGGACCATTGACTCTTCCGCAGTTGCCAAGAACCAGCAGAAGACCGTTGCAAATATCAGCGATGAATACACACAGGTATCGTCGCGGGAGAAGTGGACCATTTCCAATATGAAGCTTGACTATATATTCCTGTTGGAGCTCTTCCACGCCATCGAATGCAAATCCGAAACAAAGTTACCAGAGAGTGAGTTTCTGCCTGCCGGAAACAGCGTCGACCAGTCGGCCAATATAACTGTTTGTCAGACCCTTAAGTCAGGGAACAGGCTTGGACTGAAATTTTCTCCACGTGATTTGGAGATAGCTAGGCACGCACTAAAGCTTCAGGGAACCCAGGACCGCTTTGAGTTTCAAACCACTATTAAAGCCCACGAAGAAGAAGAGACGACCAATACGGACTACTTGTACATCTATCTCCCAGACGAGTATAAAGGTTGGAGCCTTACCGAACCGCTGCCACAGAATATCGCCATGATCACCCGGGGTGCCGCCCTAGACGCACTGAGAACACGCCTCGTTGAACGCGCCAGCATCATCTCTTCTCGAATGGAGGCAGAAGCAGAGCACTTGAAGCGTCGCCGAGCCGTCTACAACAAATCGTCAGACCAGATATCCCAGGAAGATAGAGATGCACTCCTCAACGAAATACGAGAATGCGTCTTTAGGATTGATATACTAGAGATGCGTAGCAGAAAGCACGAGGAAGACTCGATTAAGCGCTTTGCAGAGCTAGAAAATAGGTTAAGACGTGATCCCAGACTATCAAGCCTGAATATCCAATGATGTAATTTGTCACTTGGTTGTTCGTGTAAACTGCGATCTACACATACTTCCTCATGTAACGCTCAATTTCATCGAGTTTCCGGTCCGAGAGGAGCTTTGCTTGGCGAACCGTGTCAATGGATTTGCTGACGTCGCTCTTATTATGCAGTGGAAGCAAAACACGTATGATATCGGTGTTTCCCTTTGCTACAGCATATGTCAAAGGAGTTCTACCATTGGTATCTTCGACAGTGTTCTCCAAGTGAGCTAGTAGCCGCACATGTTCTATGTTCTCAGAGTCAATAGCGTGAATCAGGGCCGTCATTCCATTGGCATCGCGACAGGCTCGTTCGTAAGCTATAAGAATCCGCGCACACTCTATGTGATTGTGAATGGCGCACAGCATCAGGGCGGTTTGCGAGTTCAGTGCATCCTGTTGCTTAGCTTCTGTGGTTGCCAAAACTGACACTGACTCAACGTAGCCATTGATTGCTGCAATATGGAGCGCTGTCAAGCCCTGGTAGCGAACCCCCCTGTATTTGTATGCACGAATCATGGTCATTCTACCTTCCTTCTCTAAGAGAAGCGGGATTATGCTGTAGTAGTTGTTGTGGGCTGCAATATGAAGTGCTGTCATCCCAGCTGAATTATACGAGCCCGCCTGCTTTAAATTCAAAGTAACACCCTTTTTATTATTTTGGGTAGCAGCTACAATTAATGCTGTCTCTACTGGAGATTGCAGTGCCTCCGGTTTGGTTTGGAGGTTCGATTGGGAGCGCTTAAGGGCATGTTCAGACAACCTCCGTCCCGCAGAAGACGCCAGAAGGGTGTGTTGGTGCTGGCCGCGGTCCTCAACCTGCAATTGAGGATGATGGAGATCGGGTGCACCTACCTGACCGTATTGTTGAGCCGATACTTTGGTGACACCAGTTGACCCTGCACTTATCACACCTTGCCGTCGTGGAGAATTGGATGTGTGTTGTAACGTAGGATAACTTTGAACATGCTGAGTTTCAGATCCTAGCTTATATGTAGGTGTATAAGGAATATGTTGAGGTTGCTTGGTATCCTCTTGTTCCCGCTCCTGATTGCCCTCGCTTGGTGTCTTAGCGCGCACAGTCGGAGTATCCTCAATCCTAGGTTCATCTATATGTTTATCAGGTATTATAATTGGATACTTTAATTGCTTGAATACTCGTCCTGGTGTTTGGGTACGTTCTACCTTCTTCTCTAGGTTCAGCAGCTGGGCTGCTTTTCCATTGGATACTTGCGTTAGCTGCTTCATGTACGGAGACCTTGTAGGTGTAAGAGGCTTCTCATGTTCGGGGGCCGATTGCCGCGGGAAGGGCTGCCTGTGTTCAGAATCAGTGGATTTGTTCGATGGCCCAGCCCTCTTTACAAGTCTTCCCATTCGGTCGTCATCTGAGCGTGCTTGAGAAGGCTCTCCCAGGTTTTTACGGATATCTGCTAAGAGAGGATGCCCCAAGAGCTCTGCTGCGCTTGGTCTGTCTAGTGGATTGATGGAGAGAAGCATCTGAACCAGCTTTCGTAAACGTTCAGAATAAAAATTACATATAGAGTCGTATCTGCCCATCATAATATTATTCAAAGCTTGAGTTATAGACTGATTGTGAAATGGGGAGTAATACATGCACATTTCGTGAATTGTGCATCCAAGAGACCACAGGTCAACTTTCTCATCATATTTCTTGCCATCAAGAAGCTCAGGCGCCATGTACGCAATGGTACCGGTGTTAGACATAGCCCCAGTAACCGTGTTGATTTCTCGTGCCAAGTTGAAGTCACAAAGCTTGAAGAAGCCGTCATTTGCCAACATTATATTCCCAGGCTTCACGTCCCTGTGGATTATGACCCGTATAGAGTCTTCGTCGGCGTCGAGCGAATCGATAGTCGTAAAATTAATGGGATTATGGAGAAATGCTAATGCGGATGCAATATCCTTGATCATCGTGAGCACTGTAGCTTCGGGAATGCGTCGCCTCTTATGACGAAAGGCCCGAATGAAGTCATGTAAATCGCAATTACAAAGCTCCATAGAAATGAAATATCTAGACTCTTCAGTGGCTCTTTGGATATCATAGCACCTTACAATATTGCAGTGTTGAATATTCCGCAAGATTGCGATTTCCCGACGCATCGCTTTCGTCGCAGACCTGGACGAGCAATTATATATGGTATCCTTGAGAGCTACGACCAAGCCTGTCTCCAGATCTACGGCTCGGTAGATTGTTGCGAATCCTCCTGTTGCGATTTTCCCAATCTCAAAGTATCTGTCCGGGAGCTTCGCCATGCAGCTGAGACAGGTTTTTTAACAAAAGTTGCTATGCCTGCGGATCTGTTTAAAGGCCTTGACGCGCTTGTAAAACGCTCAACAGAACAAAAACCCCCTCAGAGGATTAAGGGAAAGACAAACAAGGAGGTAGGAAGGCAGGAAGGCCCGCTAAAGAAAGACTTCCTCCACGAGGTCCAGACCACAGAAATGAAGCGTCATTCCACTGTAAGGACCCGTCAATCGGCTCGAGATGCCTCTGCTATCCTCTCGAAGCTCGGAGTTGCAGATATACAGGCCCCAGCAGATATGTTGAGCACAAATGATAGCTATAATAGTTCAAGACTCATGTATTCACGGGCCAGTAAGCCTTCTTCAGTCGGTGAACATTTTAGAGAGATAGAAGGCAAGAGTCCTGCGGCACAGAATGGACCTGAAAGGGCAGATCAATTGCGCTCCCCAAATCTACAGTATGCGCTAACCATTGATGACATGGCGACCAAAATGGCAAATGATGCGAGTCGTTCTCAGGCATCACAAGTTCTCAGGGCCAAGATAGAAATGAGCACCAGTAATCTGGATGAAATTTGGCACGAACCCTCTCAATTCTCAACCTCTCAGCCTCTTTCTCATGCATCAACTGCTAATTTCACAACTACGAAAGCAAAAGTGCCCTCAGGAAAACCCATAGTAGAGTCTACTAATCTGTAGCATAGCTGGGCTCTTCTAAATGAATAGCTCTTTTTCGTCTCCGAAACTGGAGACCATGATATGCGCTAATAGCTCCTAGCGATATTATAGAGATAATAGACTCAATTATCAAGACCAAGTGAAGAGTCCCTTCGACTGATGAAGAAAGTGTCCAAGAGAGCAGCACTATGGAGCTAACAAATGACATAGAAAGAGACCTTAAGGCAGCAGATGAGCCTATAACGATCACGGTATATAAGATAGATGCCTCTATAAGCATATATTTATGATTGGTTTCGTTTCCAGATATGTTAGTTGACAGCTCAATGAACTGGACCATCTGGTCAATGAACAGGCAACCCACAAGAGCAAGTCGTGTAGCATAAGCTGCAGTATAGTGTATGCTGCTAGCATAGTTAAATAGCAGAATGGTGTGTAACGTTTCTATAAAGACGCAGAGCCCGCTTGCTAATAATCTAGCCAAAGGAACGAACCAAATTACAAAGATTAGATAGATGGCATGCACAAGTAGCCCATATATGTTAAGGCCACATGATATATATCTGCAAACAAACCAGTTCAATACTGTTTTTCTTAGTTGGATTATTCCCATGAAGAGCGTTCCGCCAACGATGAAAGCTAATATTAAAAATAGCGCATAATAAGACAGAGTAAAGGTGGATGATTCCCTACCAGTAAAGTACTCCATAACGTAGAGAGCACAAACTACTACCAAGAGACAACAACTGAAGGATAGATTACAGATATAGAGCAGTCTAGAAACAGAGTCACGCTTAATCATAATTTTCTAAAATCCGCAACCGCGCAGGGAATCAGTTAAGCAGGGAATGATAAGAATAATAGTCTTCACTGAACTGATTGTGAGTAGTGTCTCTCGGTGTGGAAGAATCTAAACGCTGAATAGGCTCAATAGAGTTGGCAGAATAAACCTTCTTAAATCTCAGTGCAGAAGACCTGGTTTGTGATGACTCGCTGGTCATTGGATCAAGGTTAGTGCATAGTGAGACATAGTACACTTTCATGAGGCATCCTCCAACACAGCAGTCAGGTAGTGCGATGCAAGCGATATTGAAAACGTCACAAGGAACATAAGCATCAAACCATTGGTGCCAATTGAAAAGCACCATACGCAAAACAGAGCTTAGGATAAATATGATAGCTACAATATAGAACTGCTTAACGACTGTTCTTCCAACAATATGTTCGCGCCAGAGACACAGTACGATGGTGCCAATGATTGTGTAGAACAAAACAATGGCCAGCGACGAATACCCAATAATCTGGGTGCTATACGCTAAGAGGTTGGGGTATGAGTCCTTCTCAACGGGAAGTAGCTTTATTATGGCTGCAATGAGCACAAACAAGCTCAAGAAAGAGTCAATCAGTATGAACGCTATTCTGCATAAACTTGCTGCCCGTCGCCACTTCAAGTAAAGCAGCACATAAAGCCAGTTTCTGGCATAGTAGCTGAGGGATAGGTAAAAAAGGAGACATGCAACGCGATTCAAAAACTTAGATACCCCTTTCAATGCATCACTAGATGGATAGGCTACAAGAGTTAGCCCTATTATCGCCCACACAATGCGAATCAGATAGAGAAAGACAAGAACTGTATGGGCAAGAATGTACCGCTTACCCTCTTTGTGATCGTAGTGCCTACAAGACCGAAGAAATATTCCCAGAAGTACAATGGAGCTGAGAAGCATGCAGCCGTTCACTCCAGTAGTAACAATTAGCTGAAAAATGCTACACGAGGGGGTGCCGTCGTCTTCTCCCATGGATCCAAAACGGATCGTCCGAAGTTTTTGAACTTTGAGATTAATTGCAATCTGATGTGCGTGGATAACATAGCTTTACTTTACTATTTATCCCTTTTGTTGTGGAAGACATACTCTCTGGAGAGTAGAATTTTCGCAAAGGTGTCCCTTGAAATCAAAACTCAATCGACATTCACTTCTTTCATAGACATAAGACTTATATCAAATTATCGGTGACAGCTGGTGGTCAGTGATGTGGCACACGCAAATGTTCACCATCATTCAGCTAGCGAATCAGGACAAGTACCTAGGCTGGAAAGCATAAATTCCGCACAGAATCAATGCATCCTCCTTATAAAACTGAAGAACCCCATCACTGTTACGCCTTAATCCAAAGTCACACCGTATGGGCCTCATGGCTTCGTTGCGTGCTATGAACGTCGCCTCCCACTCGATGTCTGGAGCCCACCGCTTACCCTCATTAACCGTGCCAGCTTCTCCCTCCTCTGGTGCCAGGGTACACCCCTCAATAGCAACGTAGTCGATCAGTTGGTTGTGGCGGCACAGGAGGGCAAGGGTTGCCAGTCCCTGTCCCCTTATTGAAGATCTGCGTAGGCTCAGACAGATTCCGGCAGAGGTCTTTCCAAGACAACCGAAGAATTCTATCTCGGAATTGAAGACAGGAATGCCTTGCTCATCAACATGCTTATGAGCTAGCTCGTCAAGAATAATCGCGCTAGGAGCGTATGCAATCAGTGCTTTGGCAAGGGCATTGATCCCCCTGTTTCTTAGAGAAACCCCATCTAGAACCAGGACAGACAGGACTGAATCTGGACTACGCAAATGGTCTGCAATAGCATTTGCTACATCAAAGCACAGATTGTTGCATGATAAATCTATATAGCGAAGAGGAGTCACCGCAACCTTAACTGGACTCGTTTTATCTTCCTGACAATATATGGACATATCTGCTAATTTCACCTGTGCTACATTGCCTCCATTCGCTCGAGCTTCCAGTTCTGATATTCGCTTGTCATACTCTGCCTTCGATGGAAGAGCTGCCGGCAAGCACGACTCCGTATTTCTAGGACCTGCAACCAGGTTCTGCTCCGTTAGTCCTGTTCCTAGTCTATAGAAATGCCTGTACTCTTCTATGCGGCGCAAGCATCCTGGGTTGTCAACATTATCCTGCTTTTTATCCAGCTCCGGGACTTCTGCCACCAATGCCCGGATGATGCGCACAGCTGCTTCATTGTCGAGGCACTTGTTAGAGCGTAGACTCAGCGCCTCAAGGCTTGTATTTCTTTTGAGTGCATCAGCGAACCTGAAGAAGCCACTATAGTCTTCATCTGTGTCGGTGCTATAGTTAGCTACAGCAGAGTATTGACAGGCAGACAGCTTCAGTTCTCGTAAGCCACAAAATCGTGAACGCATATAATCGCAAAGATAGAGATTTGCCTGCTCTCCAAATCCAGTGCTAGATAAGTCCAAATACTGCAGATACCCGTAGGCACGAACACGTGTGATTTTGGGAGCCATATAGGGTGTTTCGGTGTACACCCCGTAATGCAGAGGCTCTGAATTGAGGATGGCTCGCATGATGGCGGCTGTTCCACTGCTTTCGAAACTGTTTTCAGACAAATCTAGATACTGCAATTGACACGTGGTAGCCATCAGGAATGATTCAGAGGCTAGTTGCTCAATGGCACCTTTTCTCGTGAACTTGTTTCCTCTGATGGACAAGCCTATCAGAGGACAGGTGGAAACAATGGAGCCCAAATACACAAGAGAAATATCTGTCAAATCATTGCAGCTGAGATCTATAACGAATTCTGACAGACGCGCATCCGCGAGTCCTAGCTGCAACGCCTCTACATCTTTGTCTACAAGCCTATTCATATAAAGTTCTTTCTGAGCCCCATAGAGATTCAATCGGGTAGAGGAGTTTTTCAGGAAGCTTACGATTAACTCTCGCGGGCGTATCCCGAGCTTTTCGCATGCCTCGATGTACCTTTGAGCCATTTCTGGCTGGTCTCTTCCTTTTTTCGTTTAATCTACTAATAAATGCAAAGCGTCGCGTTCTTCTCAGAGCACGCGACGTGGTCTGCAGGAACACACGGGCGTATCTCAGCTCTGCACGCGTTCAGAGATGCGCTTTTACAGGAGCAAAAGGCTCCCCCCAGTGATTGGTCTCTTGTTGATGCTCTATTGGGAAACTCTGATGCGCTGGATTACGCATTCCCCGAAACGCTCGAGCTGGATGATTACACCCATCTGATTGCTCAGCTAGAACTATGTAACGCGGTTTTGGACTCTATTAGGCACTTTGCACAGACAAAGCTGATAATCGCCAAAATTGAAAAGATGCAGTGGGTAGGGCCTCTTTGGAAGCCAATAGAAAAAGAGATGGAGGCTTACAAGGTTATTTTTCCTCCCATCACTCTTGTTGTTCAGATGATTACCAAGCTGTTCAAGCTATATCCGTCCATGAGTATTCACGCGCTTGTGTCCTTGGTTCCACCGGGCAGCATGCTTCTCCCACGCCTGGCCGACTGTCCGTCTCCTGTGTATACCCGCGTCTCCATTGGGAACTTAAATCAGTTCAAGAGTGCCGATCACGTGGTCCTGAGAGGACATAAGGATGACGTTGTCCGCGTTTATTCCAGGGACGATATATTTAAGGGCCCCAAGTTTAGAGTGATTTCGTTCATTGGCAATCTCTTCTCCTATTGTAATCCTCTCTTCATCCAACGCGTCATATCTGTATACAACTTGAAAACGGTTGTCTTGCTCGTTCAGAAATCCCTCCACTGCATGCCAACTGAAGCGCAAAATGAACTCGCCTACGCGCTTCTGGCCATTATGAAGCGCGTCAAGCTCATCAGTGTGTTAGATTACTACAGTATGCTTCAGGGAGCTAATGCGGACAAGGGAGTTGTTCTGGAGTTGGGGCCTCTTCCAGTTCAACAGCTCGTATCGGTACTCAAGTTGGGAACTGACTCGTTTTATTGCAAATCACCTCTAATGGCCAGAGCCATCCAAACGTATTTTGATTTTGTTCGACCAATAATCGCTAACGCGTCACCTACAGAGCGACAGTTGCAAATCGAAACTCGTGGCGGCACCAATGAGCAGTTCATTTTAGAGCCTCGGAAAGCCACTATGTATGATGCGCTGGTCGTTAATGGATACTCATTTGATGACGGCTCAGGCACATATAGCTCGGAGGGTCCGTCTGTGGAGCTCTCCTCTTGGATTCATCGGACCTCGCGATCTTCTGCGATTAAGATACTCGAAATGCTGTGCTCTATACTGAACTCTATTTTCTCATCAACCGATTTTGCTAAGGCGACTCATCTCGTCAAACTATTTCAATTCATTTCACAAACCAATCCCAGTTCCATCAAGCATGTCGCAAAGCTGCCATTCTTTGCTAAAAATAGCAGAGACATTGTTGGCTCTGAAGATTTCACCACGATTAGTACGTACCTTCAACTTCTGCGTATACTTATAGCGTCGCTAAGGGACCCTTTAGACTCCAACTCAGTTAGCAATACGCTTGACTTATCGGGCGGTGGCGTCCACAGCAACCACTTCTTCCCACAGAATTCTAAGTTTGATCTTTCCCTTTGCCTCAGACACGCACGAATAGACAACAACTCGAATGTTCACAAGGAAGTGGATATCTTGAACACGTCGCAGATGCAGATGCAGGAGGTAGCAGAGTATCAGAGGAAGCTCTCTGAAGATCTTCAAGTCCTTGTCCCCGCTGTTCTACGGCCAGATAACGACCGGATATTGCTTCAGTCTCCTAGCGACCGTTATCCAGAGCACATCCTGGCCGTTAGCACGGGTGGTGGCTTCTTCAGCTTCTCGTATACCTTCTTTGCCACGCGGCCAACACGGATGTATTCAGCTGCGGACGGGTTTTACACGTTTATGCTCCAGGGACTCGATAAGATCAAAAAGATTCTCTCTGCTGGCTCTGAACGCACCAAGTATGATTCTTTTGGCAAGTACATAAGCCTTTCGGTGCCAGGGGAGCATGTCCCCAAGCTTCTGATAAAATACTTTCCTAGTTCCTTCGATTTGTTGTTCCACGGGTTATGCGACTCACCTCTAGCAATGCAGTTTCTCTCCCTTGGATTAATTCTAGAGACGTATACGGCTGTGATAAAGAGATGCATGCTTCACCGGCCGGACCAGGCCCTCTTCTCCGCTGTTCGTCGTCTGCTGCCTTCCATTTCGAGCATTCGGGGGCAAGTGGAGAGGATTATTACTTATACCGAGAAGGTGTGCCTTGATGCGGGAAAGGATGCGGATGAGGTTGCAGAACGGCTGGGCGTCATCGGCCTATATCTCTACACGTGCTTCAGTAACATGGCGCTTCTTTACAACTGCACTTTTGGACCTCTAAGTCTCTATAGCCTCAATGATGGAAAGTGGATACCGAAGGATATGGCGACCACTGACGGTTACGTCGACCTCAGCATATTGAGGGCAGACCTTATCGCTCAGCGGAAGCTCTATAGGCGGTTTGATAATTGCCATCTTGGCATCTTGACTAGACGCTTCCAAGATCTCCTGCAGATCGATCTTTCTGAAGATCAACCGTCGCCCCTTACCGTACTTCTTTCGGGGTCTATGTCCTTGATGATCGGGGAGCGCTGTCGCTTCAGTCAGGATCTTGCGCAAATGGTCTGCGACCTACTAGCAGAATCTAGTGTCTTACTTCACCCTTCGATGCACAAATTTAGTCAGCAAAAGCTAGAAGAATTAGCTGCTCAGCTCGATACGAGGGCGCTATGTGAAGATGCTGCCAAAGTATTGCTTGCTTCAGAGTACGTTTCCTTCTCAGGTGAAAAGGAAAGGTTGTGCGATGCACTACACCAATCTTTGAAGTCATTGGTTGATGCCTTGGGGGGATGCTCCATTCTCTTCGCTCTTGTGCTCCTTGCTCTCCAAAGGCAAATAGCTGTGGACTCAATCCATGCCGCAACTTCATTTCTACATCTTTTGATGCTGCCCACGCAACCAGGCGAGTTCTCTATCTCCTCCATAGTTGTGGCCTTCCCAATGGACAATTTCATCAATAATTCTCCTGGCAGTGGGCCATCAATAGCAACCTCAAATGCCATTGCCATCGATGGGCAGCTTATAACACGCCGCACACATATTAAGAAAGACAGCCCAATACACAAGCGATTGTCCAATTTCTTCATTACTATCAGAAATATGCTTTATTGGGAAGACGCTCTTCTCACAGAGGTCCTTCTGTTCTGCATAAACTTTTTGACGGCCAATCTGCCAGATAATGCACCAGCACTTGCCGACGACTCTAAAGCCAGTGTCATCGAAGACCTGGTTTCTGTTCTTTTATCGTTTATTCTTCTTAATACCTACGGATTGGCCGCAGCTAACAACACAGATTCGACCGTCAAGAACTGCATCTTTCTGGGAAAGTACCAAGTGTGCCAGTCCAAGCTTTTGAATAGGTGCATAGATCTTATGCGAACTATGGACCTCTCCTCCTCTCAACTCTTGAGTTCCAAGGTCAGCACAGACACCGTCCAGAGGATGATTCCCAGCCAGAACATGGACAGGATTGGTGCAAGTATACCCCTGCAGTTGGAGTACATAAATACATATCTCGGCAGGGTGATGTCTCGTTCCCCAGTCTCAGTGAGGCCTTTACTTTTGTTTACAGGTGAGCTCAATGCGCACATTCACAGTCTTTATTCATGGAAAGATATTTCTATACCAAGCGAAGACTCGATCTCTACAGTACGGTCGATTAACCTGTCGGAGTATCAATGCTTTGTTGAGACAGTTCTGAACCTCGTGCCCCATCCGCTTGTTCAGCATACGAGAAACTTTCTTTCCACTGCACTGACCCTTGTAACAAATATTACTGCACAGACCCTGTCCAATGGATCTGCTCCTCTTCAAGATGTGATCAATGTGGCCGGTTATCCAATACTTATCAATTCATCAGCTCTGTTGGGCTCGGAAGGCTCTCTAGATCATCTCATATTCATCCCTTACATTCATGTGTTGTTGTTTCTACACAACGGTACCATGGATTCGCATCAAAATGTCTATACCATCCTACTCTTTTCATATCTCTGTAGAGCTGGTTTTTCTCTCAGTGATATCTATGGGTACTCTCCGAGCAGCCTCTTCTCTGGCGGCCACATATCGTCTGCAATAGCCACTCAATTACAGACACTTGAGCCTGCAGCAGATAATCCAGATATTCTATGCCTTATCAGCTCAATCTACCCATTTTTGCATGCTGCACTGGACAAGGCTGTCTCAGACCCCATTTTGTTCTGTACGCTAAACTCCATTGATTGCGCCAAGGTTAGCACCAAAATTCTCGCAAAAGTAGGGACGAGTGAGACAAAGAAGGAAGCAATGGATTATATAGGTGACGTAACTGATGCTATTAACCGCTACGCCATAGACAAGGCAGAGATCTGCCCGGTGCTGTTTGGCGACATCTTCCTAGAACTGTTATTGGAGCCATGTGCCACGTACGAGGCCGTGATTTTCAAAGGACATGAAGCCGAGCTTCATTCCTTCGCCCCCTCCAAATCTGACGCGAATGTCTCATTTGCAGAGCTAACTATGTTCAACTTTGAAGAGCCGGAGCGGCTTGTCAGGCCTGAAAAGGTGGATTACAAGCCAAACACTAACTTTGAAAAAGAGTATAATGATCTACAATACCAGACAGCCAACCTCTCGAAGAAGTTGCCCAACAGGCTTTATGGATACATTCAGCGCACTGTCGTGCCGGCCCCGTACAGGAACCTGACTTATCTCGCTCTTCGCATGGCTCCTGGGTCTCTACATCTGGCGCCAGAAAGGGCCATAGTCACCGTTAAGCAGTTGGTAGAAGCGGGAGTGACGCCGCAGAGCATAACCGATGCGACCCTTCCTCTGCTCCCCTTGCTGCTCCTTCGTGTCACAGGGGCAGATGCTGCTCGGCCAAGCGGCCCCATTTCTCATCTTTTCTCCGAGCGGTACACGCCGGGCATACAGCTCTTCTCGTTGCTGTTCATTATGCACGGCTATGAGCGATTTTTCGGCATCAGCAAAGACATCCTGTCGACACTTCTCACATTTCTGGACGAGCATAGAATGGAGAAGCATGCAGACACGCGCATCGTGCCCCTGGGATTTGTCCCCAGCAAGATACAGGCATTTAGATACAAGTTTATCGACTATTGCAGGTACTTTCAACGTGCAGTGGAGCACATTAGAGAGGTTGATGTAGAATTGACGTTTGCAGAGCGACTCCGTGCTCTTCGCTACATGGGTTTCCTCTCGTCGACGTTCTTGGCTTACGTCTTTGTGGCGATGCCTGAGGAAAAGTTTGACCGTATTCTAGCCAACGAGATTTATGGAGGCAATCCTCTCAGGTTGCTGCGCAAAATGGCCAATCGGGAGTTCCGTCTAGCATATGAAACAAACCAGGATGAGCTTCTCTTGCGGATAATGCACCGTAACCATTCGATTCTCGTGAAGTACTGCTACCTGGACATTGATGGATTACGTGCACTAAGCATATGCTTAGACTACCATGTCGCGTTTACAGAATGCAGCAGAGTGCGAGGCAACCTATGGAAGCTGAATGACCTAGTAGAGCAGGAGCACGAGATCATCATTTGACACAGATGAGATGTAAGCTTCTTCCCAACGAGTCCTAGCAAGGTTTACCCACAACGTCAGTCCAAGTTATCAGAATCTTGGTCAATATCTTGCAGAGGATTGTCTAATTCGAATCTCTGTATATGCGGCAGAATCTCCTCCTTCGTCAATATGCGCAGGACGCCGCCCGTGGTTCTGTCCAGCACGCCAATGCTGAGATTCTTTTCTGAAGGCCTGCAATCTTTGACGCCCGTTCCAAGAGAATCAAGAGCCAATGCTATAAGACGCTCAACGGATGCGTTCTCATACTCATCTACATGGCTTTTCAGATGAGTATTGATTGTCTGGGAGCCCATTCCGAGTGATACTGCCCTATACTCCTTGAATACAGCATTGGGAGAAAGCACGTAGAGACGAGGTGTTTGCTTATTGTTGCGAGTATCGATTCCTCCAATAAGGAGAGATGCGCCGTAAGGCCTGTAGCCCCAGAACTGCGTGCGCGCCTGTGCATCCTCGGCAAGTTTAGCGACCAGGGGGCCAACGGGGTGAGGTGTATCGTATACATAGGTGTATTCGGTGCACTCATCGCGCAGTAAACGAAGCATCTTGTAGGCATCAGCGTATATCCCACTGATGCAGATGCCTATGTGCTTGTCAACTTCGAAAAGCTTATCCTGGAAGGAGCTGAGAGGCGTTGTCTGACGTCGGACAGCCACCAGCACAACAGCGTCCTTCGAGGCAAGACCCACGGAGGGCGACCCAAAGCTTGGCGCCTCCATTGCGTAGGTAATCTGATTTAGCTTTCCTGTGGGGCTGAACGTTGCAACATCGGAATCGTAGCTCATATTTTTTTAGTTAATATAAAGCTGCAGGGGACTGGGAGTAAAATTATTAGCTGGCGTCACCATAACAATCCAGCGCTTCCACAGTGGCCACTACACACTACTCACCCCCTTTGTAAGAAATACCTGCTGCTATAGCGACAAAATCTTTTGATAACCCTTCCCATACACTTCATGCCTAGAGGTATGCCCCCTACATTCGCACGCTGGAGTCTGCAACGCTGAAGTGAGCTTTCATGGTCCAGAACTCCGTGGACGTGTTAGAGTGTTAATTGCAGATGTACACTAAGGCCCTGCTCGTCGATTTCCTCCACTACAAAATCTCTTTTTTCTTAGTTGGAAGTGCTAATGCAACAAACCTTCACATATCTCGGCCAGGATATTCGAATCTACTGGATTGTAATTGGCAAAGATGGAAAACTAGTGATCACATTGTGCTGCATACGTTGAGCTTTGCAAAGACTAGAATCACGCCTAAAGTGGGGAATTTAAATCAAATTTTCAATTTCCCAGGTTTGCTAAAGAGTTACCTGCGCTCTTACGAACCTCGCAGTAGAGGGTAATCACCTTATTTAAAAAGCAGGACCCAAAAAGCGTTTTGTTGAAGAGCAAACTACAACGTCTACCTTAGTGGCCCATTCCCACACTAACTTACTTATCGGATCATCGTGCGCAAGCATCCGCTGGCCAACTGAGGTCCGGTTGGGGTACAGAAAAGATCCCAAAAACTAAAAATGAGTACTTTGACTCGTAACTATATTCTTGCAAAGACTAAGAAGTCTGACCTAAAGGACGTCAAACACCTTAACATATGGGGTAGCGAGCTTCGTGACGTGTCTGTACTCAGGGAACTCATCAATGTTGAGGTTCTCAGCCTATCTGTTAATTCCATCAATTCCCTCTCCGATTTTGCACAGTGTCACGCACTGACAGAGATATATCTTCGCAAAAACGCCATTACAGATCTCCGCGAGGTCGTTTACTTGCGCGGCCTGCGCAATTTGAGCGTGCTCTGGCTGTGTGAGAATCCCATCGCCGACCATCCCCAGTATCGAAGTTATGTAATCAAGGCCCTTCCACAACTGAAGCGCTTGGATGACGTCGATATCACACAGGCCGAGATTCAAGAGGCCGCACGCACAAGGTTCACAGTTCCCATTGAGCTTCCCTCAAGTGCTGCGAACGTGACAAGCGCAAGTGCGAATGCTGCTCCCTCACTGCCGCCGCCGAGACGATATAGCCAGCCGCCACAAGATAATCAGCCACAGCCTGCAGCTGCAGCTTATCAGGACCGCAGTCCAAATAGTCAAAGACGCCAGGGCTGGGGAGAACCGGCACATCCAACGGCCCAGGACAGGGATTCGCGCTCACATCAGCTCAACAAGCAGAGCTCTGGTCCCAGTCTCAGCCGAGGGAGCCAACACGTCATGACAGCCATCATTTCTCTTCTTAATGAGCTGGATTCGACTCAGCTGGAAAGCGTAAAGTCGACTATATCTGCCATGCTGAGTAAACGGTGAATTTGGTTTTAAATTTGCTCAACTATCTTCTCCATAAGCCCTGTCCTGCCCCGCCTTTGGCACTCATGGGTGAGCCCTCTCTCCCGCTGGAGGCACTTCTTGATCCCGGAAAATCCCTTGTGGTGCGGTTTGTTAGCTTTGAGGGTCAAGAGTTCACGCGTGAGTTTTCGAGGTTAAGCTACGACGCAAGCCAAGTTGATGACCTGATTTGTTCTGTTATTCACCACATAGCCTCAGTGACTCCAACAGTTGTGTTTCATGTTTACACCTGGGCACTCACAGTGGATGGGTTGTCGGATGCACGACAGGCCATAATTCAGCGCTTCTCAAGCAATCAGCCTACTGCTGCTTTTACTCTGATCAAGTGTCTTCTTGCGCTGACTCGGCAGGTGTCTGCTGCTGGCCATGACGGATTTGGTGAGTTGCACAACATGCTTTTAGTCCTGTCTAGGCATTATTATTCCCATTTTTCCTCTGCTGGGCCAACGATCTACTCCAAAATGGAACAATTGCTTTTGCTTGTATCTTCACATTACACCGAGTTGACTTCTCCAGAAGACATCATGACAGACACGAAGCTCCGGACCTTCCGATCTCTCCTCTTAGAGCTCACTCCCATTGGCTTTGAGTTTCTTCTGGAGTCAACTGAGTGCTATCATCTCTATCTAGACAGCGTACGTGTACAAAAAGCCCTGAAATCAATGTACGGGTCATTATCTTCATCTTCTTCTGGCGAAAGCCTTCCGGAAAAAAGACTACTGACAATATGTGATCTTCTTCCCAGTACGGTGGCAGCAATTGGGCCCTTTGTCTTACTGTTAGAAAAGGAGACCTTGGGGTTCACTCAGAACTTTAACAATGGCATCTTTAGTTGTTTGTGTAAAGAGCTTCAGCACAAGGCTGATTCGGACTTGGTTAGTATTTACATCTACTCATCTCTACTTTCTCTCCACCGCGGTCTGGTCTCATTGAGAGAGCAGGCAGTTAATTTGGTGGACACAGACAGTCTTTCTGTCCGTGTAGAGTTACTGGTTTCACGCTTTTCCAGTCTATGCCTTACCGGATCTCGCGAATTTCGTGTTTGCTTTGTCAATGATCGTCTTTGTACATTCGTTTACTGGCTATGCATTTTTCACGCTATATCTATAATTTTAAATGCTCTAGCCTTGCAACTATCTTGCCCTATTCACAGCGATCGTTCCATGCTCTCTGCCTTAACTAGTAACATCTTTCAGCAATTGAGTTCTCATAATTTTGATACGCTTCCATTTCTTGATGATCTAGAGGAAAGTCAGCAGGATGTCATCAAGCTATGCAATTTGTGTTTGCTGGGCCGGGACACTACTGAGCTAGATACGGTGAGCTGTGTCTTGACGCTTCAGCTGCACATCTTCTTGTATCGCATGCACACGTATCAACATGGTTCAGCTGAGATAGAGAAGAGCAGCTTTACTTTACGTATCAATAACACTCTGCTTGACCCCCCTTTCCCTTCAGCAGACACTTGTTCTGCCAACATCTTTTTATCACTCCTCTCTTCCTGGGACTTCCTATTTTCTGAAGAATATAGTGCCATCTTCAGGCCGTCAGAGCCTACTATGCAGCCTACACACGCATATGCTATTTTAAATGCATGCAGAGACAGATATGCCGGCACATTATCAGCTTTAGAAGCACTGCGCCTTGTGCTGCATATCTTGAAGGCTGTTTGCATAGACTATCTCAGTGAGCATGAAGTAACCTGTCTGCACACTACTTTGCAAACTCTTTTACTGCAGCTAACAGCTACTGCTGCTGATATTAATGTTGATGCTGCTGATGTCGTTCTGGCTGATATTCTGGCACAAATTATCTCCATTATGCAATCTATTTTATTGTCAAACAAGTACAATGAGCTGCTAAACCATATCAGCGGTCTGGGGAGCTGTGTTGGCTGTGTTTCGTCATCTGTGCAATCCACTTCAATCGGCCTTTTCCCAAAAACAGCAGAATTCTGTAGATGTATTCCTTCTTTGAGTCTCTGCATTCTATCTCTGTTTATTGATCATCACGTTGGCGCCGGCAAAGAGCTTTCTACATTAATTACATTTGTCTCATTCTTGCTGAGCGATGATACTCATTACATCCCAGTGCGGAATGAACAGTGCAATGTGTACGCCACGACTGTCGTGGTATTGAAGATCACAGGGCTCCTGCTCACTACTTTCTCTGATAAATTGATGGGTGGTGCAGCTATGTACTTTGAAATTGCAAAGTTCAGTAGGTACATGTTATATGTAGCTATTATTGGCACGCTGGGCTCTGAAGAGGTACCTTCTGATTGTACCAGAATGCCTTATCCAGACACTCTGATAGGTACTTGCCAGAAGATATTTCCAGAGGCATATCAGAGAGACCTTAACACAGAGCCGCTATGTCACATGTGTCATACATGTTTAGAAGTGTTGCTGAAAGCGTTATCTATACAAGATGTGCTATCTCTAACTTCCAGCCTTGAGTCTAAACAACGTCTCACAGACACGAGCTCTCTGAACTCAGCCACTCTATTCACCGAACTACTTCTTGTGATCTTGGTGGTGGTCTACGCACTGCCCGCTGAGCATCATCAACCTATTGTATTATCATATCTGAATGGCATTAGGGGACATATTAAGATAAGTACTGATCATCTAGAGTTGGTTATGCTAATTTATAAGAGTCTAGACAACCAATCTGATTCTGTCTCTGTATATCGATACCATGTAAGCTTTTCTATATTCTTCTTACTCATTTCTGACGGAGGTATTCTCAAGGGTGTGTCCACATCGAGTGGTATACAGGAGCTAAGTCACAAGCTTGGCTCGACTCTGGTGGACAGAGAACTAGATCGCTCTGCAGGCTTTTATCAGATGGTGACGATGACCTGGATTGATGTCTTGCAATATCTTTCTGTACATTATGATGCACTAGGTGCAGAGCACTCTGCATATAAGATGGCAATAGCAGAGGAACTTCCTGTTACATGTGAAGCCACGTCCTCCTTTGCGCTTGCAGAGCTGCTCAGCGTATATGACTTACTTAACGATCTCCCAGAGCGCAAGAAATTAGTGCTATACATCTTCCTTATCACCCTTTGCGCAAGGAGCAGGGGGGCGTCTCTGGAGCAGATGTGCCTGATCGTGCCTTCGTTTTCACTTCTGATTTTCTTTGTGGTTCGTGAGGTTGTCAACTTTGGACTGACGCTGACCCTCTCTCTTCTGGAGACTGTGCTCACGATGATCGGTTGTGTCTCTACGTGGGATGATATTGCGGGAAACTTGACAGAAAAGATAAGCTGTGATATCGTTAGCTTTTGGCTAGCAACCGTGCATCTGTGTGAGCTTTCGGAAGCATGTTCGCTCTTGAATGTCTACCCTTCTGTGGCGGAACTTGTTGGACGCTGCATGGTGGCATTGGGGTGCTCAGTGGACAAGCCTGAAACTTTCGCAAAGCTGCGTCATCTTTGGGCGTCCAGGACTGTGCCTACCCTTCGCGACCCTTTTCAGTTCATTCACGGCATCATCACTAGAGTGGAGCCTACGCTTACTGAGCACTTCATGGACGAGTACAGGAGGTTTCATGAGCATAATCTTTATGACATTCTCCAGAATAGCACCGATCATCCGTGGAAAGAGCTTTCTTCTCATCTTTCTGATCTTATGGTTTCTCCTTCAACCGACTCTATTGAAAAGCGTCTTTCTAATCTACTACGACTGCTCGTTTTAGAATATTTCGATCATCTTAACACCAGGCTCAAACCAGCAAAACTTGGCAAAGTATCAACCCGGGCACTGGCCTCACTGTTCAACACAACCACCAGTCTGCATGCACTGACAAAGGCCGTTGAGGACATACTTGCCTCTCTAGACACGCTCAGAGACGATCTTCCAACGCTTGTTTCCAAGAACCTGCGACAAAAATTAACCAAGTTTACTCAGTTGACTCGCTTTTTCGCAACCTACACATATTTCCTTGCACACGAAGGGAGTGAAGGGCTGATAGATCCATCACATGCGCACTTACGGTCTCCTATTGTGGTGCCTCAGTTTGGTAGTTTGTCATTCTCTGAATTTACTCAGGCCCAGGAGGAGGAGTACTACACAATCATGGTTATTTCGCTGAGCAAACTAGATCACAGCTTAAATGTAAGCTCTTGTACTATCTCCGCTGACAGTTCTGTATTGCATCAGTGGTCAAAGCAGGAGCAGAGGGACAATGGAATGCCTCGAGTGTGCACACTTTTGCAGGCTAACATGAAGATCTTCACTCAACTAACTTCGTTTCATGGCAAGATTTTAGAGATAGACTTTCACCACGATGACAATGTGTCCAATTCTTCGGCTGACAAGCAAGTAGAGCTAATTGACATAAATTCCGACCCTCTCGACGCCTTGCCAGCGCCCGACAATAAGCAACGTGTGTCCCTTTCCTCACTCCGAAAGCGGGCACGCGCTCGCTTCAATCGCGAGACTATTTCTACGTCTCTCAGTTTGGTAGGAGACATAAGCGATGATAGCTTCCTAGTCTCTCAGGGTAAGCAAAGTACGGGATGCATTGGCCGACAAGCAGATCAGAAGTCTGAGCTTTCACCCAAAGCTGCGCTTAACAAACTCTTGGCCATAGAGTCTCAATTACACAGCTATCTGGAGCTTTCACAGCCAATCGAACTCCTCAATATTCATGCTCCATACACTGGACAGCCTCATACAGAGGAACAAAACGCTCTGCAACAGTTCTGCCAGAACCATTATAACATCGTAGCGCTTATTTTGGAAACGTATAAGACTCTAGACACAGGTAACCAGCAGACTTGCGACATCTCTACTATCTTATCAAAGAGAGTAACTCTATTCACGAGCGCCTGCGTTGGATACTTCATGAAGGCATACATAGGAGTCCACCCGTGTCCCATCGATGTGACGAGCCGGGGCCTGCTCTATGTTGTGGACTTTTATGTGTTCAACGGGGTATATCGCTTGATTGAGATTTCTCACGTCCAAAGACACTATTCGATGCTGTTCTACCTCTTCACTGCTAAAGGATTTCACATAGAGTCTCTCCTGTACTCTATTAATAGAATGGCTTTTCTGAAATATCAATTTCTCACCCCATTATTGGCATATTGGATCCAGTTGTATAAAAATTCATCAGGAGCATCCATCAGTAGGCGCAGGCTCCGGTATCTGCCGTCCATTCGGAGCCTAGTGCTCGTGGATGCAGGACTAGCTAGGTCCACCCTCTCTTACATTAGGGGAGCTGGCCGAACAAAGGTAAGCTCCTTCGCCTTCTCCACCTTTATCAAGATGCTATGCTACAGTTACCGTATTGAGGCCCAGCTGCCTACCATACTCAAAATTCTGAACTTCTCATTCCCAGCTAAGCTGAGAATAATAGAAGAAGAGGCTTCTGCCAAGCTAAAGCTGCTAAAGCCAATTGTGACAGGCGAGGACGAGGAGCTGGTGGCCCTTCTCCTATTCAAGAGTGGGAAATTGGCGCCCGACCTACAGAACGCCATCGAAGACTACGAGTCTGCCGACAAACTGGTGACAGACGGGCGAGCCAAAGTTATAAAGTACCCCCTTCCGCCTCATCTCAAGGATACAACCATTTACTATAGCCCTCGGTGCGATATGACAGTCGTCAAGGGCTCTTCACTTGAAGATCTGGCTAATAAAATGCACAACCTCAAATATTACAACTGGTGCTACCGCGCTGTGAAAACAATATCTTGTGGCGGTTGCTATAAAGACCCAAGCCCACACGAGCTTACTCAGTTGCGGTACTTTCAGCAAGTCCCCCCATCAGCTACGTCCCACCTGCTGGTCGCTAGCAATTACTGGAAGTATCGCAGCGCTATCAATTATGTGTGTTTTTGCAGTTCTACAGAGCCTTTTCAGGAAGAAATATCTGCCATCCTGCAAAGGGGCCGATCTATCTACGGTCTCTACGTGCCTGCGACATTCATCCAAACTGTGAGTTTTGCATTTGCAAAAGCTGGGCACATCAGCATAATCAATTCTGTGACACTAAGGGCGGATGAGTACACCCTGTGTACGGAGCAAACAATCAAAAAGGAGGGTACCCAGCAGCAGTCACAGCCTCCGCTGCCTATAGACTTTACTGATGAATGCACGGTCAATTCGCTGGCACTGTGGTATTGCCTGATAAAGCTATTACTGTCTAGGGTCTCGAACATCATAATGGATCATCCCATAGAGCCACAGTTGGACGACATAGTAGGGAGACCCGGCTGCTTCAAGTATAACGCCACCGGCTTTTCCATGCCGATGTTTTCTGCGCAAAAGAGCCACAACACAGCTTCTAGGACAGAGCTGACACAGAAGCTGACGCAGATAATGGGCATAGACATCATAGGCGAGGAGGAATCGCACAGGTTAAACAAGAGCACTGACGACTCAAAGAGAAGCCCAGGATCTTTTCTTCCATATAATGGCTCAACCTCGCAATACTTTGAGTGGGCCCAAATCAAGGGCCGTAAAAACTCATATGTACTGGTATGCAGTTCTCTGTGGCAGCTCGTCAATATGGCCTTTGCAGAACGGGGAGTCATTCACGTCGCTGCCGGCCGCGGCGACATACCCAAATATATACTCAATATTGACGCAGTGCAGAGCAACCGGTCCTTGGAAATAGCCATAGACCGATACCGCTCTCTATTCAGAGCCGAACTAGATAGTCTCAAGCTGTCTCTATTACACGTATATCTAGCCCAGAAGAACTTTCTATGGACAGCACCGGATACAGAACTGGCCAAGAGCATAATCCAGGAACTGCGTATATGAGTGTCGAGCCGCTCCCTGCACATCTGTCGTCAGTATGCAAAGCTTATGCAGCTATTGTCGTTGATATCCGTCTCTTCTGGAGTGTAAATAAACCTTCCTCGCACATACATCCTGGACTCTGATGCCTCCGGCCCCTCGGCCATAGGCTCAGTGGGTTGCCCCGATTTAATATCTGGATCGGGCTCCCTCTCAACAAACCTAGCACTAGCATCGGCTGTGTCGACAGCATGCGGAAGGCGCTCCGTAGTTGAAGACGTTGAAGGTGGGGCCATTGAGGTAAGAGACGTGGTAAGGGGCCTGAAGGAGGATCCTGGCGGATGCTGGCGAAGAAGACGCGCGGTATTGTCAACCGGAACAAGCCTGTACGTGCTCTGGCTCGTTGCACGCAAAGCCAGCGGCGACACAGACCTTGCAGATCCATGAGACACTCGCTGGTCAGTATCCACTACCAAAGGTTTCACAGTCACTAAGAGCGGCACCACATGCTCACTAGTTTGTCTGTGTGCGCAGCTACGGGAGGATCTGCCGGATGGATGCCCAGTAGAAGGATCATTGGAGTTCGCTGTCACCTGGTTCAGCACAACTCTGTGCCCCCACGCATGAGAAATAGGAGAAGCCGATGGAATCGACCCCCGCTGGTAACTAAGTGAGACAGTACGAAATGGCTGCTGGTGCGCCTGATTGTTAGTAAGCATGGCCACTGAAGTAAGGTCGGGAAGTTGGTGGCTAGTGATACCTGCATGGTCTTGCCTCGGAGTATTTATGCTCCTCCTAGCGCTCTGTCCCGAAGGAACGCCAATGGTGCGAAGCTGAACCGGTGACCCCTGGGTTCTGATCGGAGACCCCTTGATTGAGGTGGTTCTTGTTGGCGACGCACAAGCTTTTCTAGTGGAATGTGATGTCCGAGCGATGAACCACGTCGGCTCCTTGTATGGGTAACGTGTAACCTCCTCGGGCACCCGCAGGCCCTCTGACCCTCTGTGAGACGTATTTTTTAAATTTGAGACACAAGATTAGAACCCATGGAGTGAAAGGTTCCGAGGCGGGATTGGAGAGGCAAGATTAGTCTACACCCTCATATTCGGCAAGCAACTTCTCTAAATCATTGAATCCATTTTGTCTTGCAATCGTTCTCGCGGTACATCCTTTGTCGTTTTTCAATCCCGCCTCGTGGGACACAAGGATACTAGCTGCATCAATATAGTTGATGGATGCGGCCATCATCAATGCAGTTGATCCGTCCTTGGACTGAGCTCCCGCTTCACACGATACTAAAGTAGAGACGATCGATAGATGCTTCTGTAAAACAGCATACATCAGAGCCGTGTACCCCGAATCATCTACCATGCACTTCTCTCGGTCCACGAGTATGTTGACAACCTCTTCGTGTCCCATGAAGGCCGCCATCATGAGGGCGGTAGCGTTATCACAGCTCTGCTGCATCCCCGCCTCATATGGTGCAAGTATTTCCACTATCTCGAGTCTGTTGTGTAGGGCCGCTCCCATAAGAGCCGTTCGGCCTTTCAGACCCCAGCCTTTAATGTTTTCCCCAGCAGTGGTCACCTTCCCTGCCTGCATTGGTAGATACAGGCGGGTAAACCAAAGATTACCACTGTCTGCAAATCTCATCAGAGCAGTGACGCCATCTTCCTCCTCTGATTGACCTTCAATCGATTGGTGATGACTATTGAGTGTACCCGGGTCATGCTCAGTTCTAGCTCTGCCATTAGCATCTGTTTGAGCTAGTGTGCTATGGGCGTTGGTACCCCCGCTGCAGCTCTCCCTCTTTCCTTTCATCATGAATATCAGACTATCCTGCTCTAACCGCCTAGCCGCTTCTTCAAGCTCCTTGATCTCACTAACCTTCTTCAGATTATCACGATAAAGTTCCAGAATATGGAGTAAAGGCATAACTGTGATACGCTCGTGGGGATTCAGCTTAAGCAAATAGCCCAACACTTTCCTGATGAAGGTGTCATTGACAGACAATGCATCCAGAAACGCCTCATCTTGTGATTCTGCAAATGGCAGAGTGCTAGTTGGAAGGAGCTTAAGGTTGCCGCCCACGAGCTCATAGAGGACGACTCCAAGACACCACATATCTGCTGCCGAGCTGTACTCTGCGCCAGCCCTGATTTCTGGAGCAGCGTATCTTGCATTACTAGATGCTGCTTTGTTTTCTTTTAAAGTCCTTACGTGGAATTTTGGATAGGTAAGAACGCAGTGAGTTTCATCCTCATTGAACATAATGGTTGAAGAGTTTAGATTGCCATGGAAATATGTGCGCGTTGAGATGTTATTCTTGTCCCGGTTAGAATCTGTGTAGTGACGAGTGTGGAAATAGGCTAGACCCTGAGCAATATCGTAAGCAATAGCAAGAAAGGTACTGAGGTCCACAGCCGTGCCATATGCTTTCCTGCTATTGAGAATATCTAGAAGGTATTTAGGATAATAATCCAGGATGGCGTAGACGCAGCAAGCGCTGCTGTCCACCACAATCTGATGACACTTTATTAAAAGATGACTATCGGCATTAAGAAGCAGCTCCATATCCTTTGCTACTGTAGAACAGCTTGTGCTATTATCCACGATCTTCTGGACCACCCTGTCCCTCGTACTCTTGAGACGAAACACCCCACCAAACGAACCGCCCTCGCGAATACTTTCGCCAATATCATCCCTGAGGTCATCTGCCGTTGCATAAGGGCGGTAAGAGGGATTGACGGGCAAATCTAATGGAGATGACATAACACAGGTTAATGTCTTTTAAAAAGCATTCGATTAATTTGATATGAACAATATTTACACTGCGAAAGAATTGCGGTAACTATCAGGGGTAATGAAGCTAGGGTGAGGCGCTGGGCATAAGTCGCACCCTTTCGCTGTTATCATCGGCCGGCCCTACGCTTGTGTGAGAAAGAAAGATCCAGGAGTTGTTCTGGCCGAAGACCGCGAAGAAGAACCCTGCCCAGATGAAGTACAGACACAGGAAGACAGCTCCAAAGCTCTCCAGCATCCCGACCCCGAAGAGAAGCTTATCGAACAGAATAAAGACAGCCTCCCAGGTGTATGGCGTAATCAGTCCCTTGTCTCCCACGGCTGCGTCTAGGGAAGCTGCAACAGCCCTGCTGACAGGGACCAGCATAGTATCATTGATGAGTGCACGGAGGGACGCCAAGACAGTTGTGTCGAAGCAAGGCGAAAACCCAGGAGTGAGTCTGCCTGTGTGACTGGTCGCAATAATGTTGGTTTCGAGTATGTCAGAGAATATGGTGATTGGGGACAAAATTGCAGAGATCAGGTCAGAGTATGCACTGATAAAGGTCACCGTGTCTGTGTTGAATGCTTGCCACCCAGTAAATACATCGGTGAACCTCTGGTATGCCCGTGTAGTATCAAGAATAAGGGTAAATGCATCGTCATTTGTTATAGATGCGTTCCATCCAAATACAGTGAGCCCGCGAGGAAGAAGGGCCATCATGGCCTCCGCGAACGCCGGATACGTTCTGATAATTTTCTCATTTGTTAGGCTATTGCCGTTTGTATTCCCCTTCTGACACCCCGGCCTAATATCCTCTGCTTCCATGGTCTTATTTAGTACTTTGGTAAGAACACCAGTATAACCAGAGCAGGATGCTTTAAGTGCATTTAGTGCTGTACGCAAGCTCTTCATAAAATCTGCAATACCATCCTTTGCACACAATGCGTCCAAACTGAAGGCCATAGTATATTTTATTGTCTGATCAAAGGTTGTGAGCTCGCAGCCCGCTGCAAATGCTACACCACGTAGCAGCTGCGCGAGAGCAATGCACTCCCCCTTGATCCCACTGAGTCCCCGCACGGAAGCTACGGCCTCTTGCAGTGAGAGTGCGTTCGGCTTCTGTTCTCCTGTGTAGCTCTCCACATATGTAATGCATGCCTTATAAATGTCAAATAGCTCAGAAGACACAGAGGACCCGTAGAGTGCACTCCTCATATCTTCACTTGAATAGTTTGCAGCATATAAGGCGTAGCCATCCTTTGCTTGCAGGAATAAGTTAATCTTCTTTAGCTCAGCTTTATTGAGAGAGTCACTAATGCCTTTAATAACAGGAGCCATAGTGCTGACCATCACCTCCTCTGCACCGTTAACAAAAACGGATCCCAGGGTTAGAAGAGCCGTGGCTGCGTTTGGAAGCAACTCCTTCAGCTGTGGATAAAACTCAGGAAGCCCTATGAGTTGAAACAGGTTGTTATTGTGAGTCTTCTTATTATAGTAGATCAGATTGGTTAGAGAAAGTGTAGAGAAATTCAAGGGAAAGGATAGGCCAGCAGAACGAAGAGGATCGTCTGTGGGTAATGACAGTTTAGTAGCGGCATCGGCAACAGCACCCAATGAAGATGTGCACACATCGCCCTTTCCCGTGCCCTTGAGTGCTGCATAGGTGCTCCAATCTATGGGGATACAGCTAGGTGTTGTGTACGCAAGCGTGGGGAAGACATTCCCTTGATTCTCTGAGTTGCATAAAAGATCTATGGAGACGTTGCTTACAAAGACCTTCCTGTACTCTTCTGGAATTGATGCATTAATAATGGACATAATCTGGGGGTAGTTTGCGTCCATGTACGTTTCTGGATTGTTGAAGAGGGCAGATGCCTGGACAACAAGCACCTTGCCGATGATCGCAGCAAGAAGGCCAAAGATGGCAAGAAGAATGACCACACAGAGAATGCTAGAGGCGTTGCAAATCAAGGCCCATGTGAGCAGACTCTTCTTCTTGCAAAATGCTCCCAAGAGTCCCAGGGTGAAGCTCGCTAGAGGAAAGAGAAGCATGAAGGCCGTCGCTAAGGGAAAGGCAAGCGTCAGGGTAGTGTAGCTCTTTGCCCAAGAGGGAAGCTTCTCCATGAATTCTGGCGTGCAAGTGGTTATTGTTGTCCCCGGATGCAGTAGTGGGGCGAGGCCAGAAATGAAGTACGGGCATGTCCTGTTGTTAACGAAGGCGTCAAAGACATACTGGGGCTCTAGTTCCTTCCTGTGTAACTGCAGCTCCTGCACATAGTCCAGATACGGAAGGAGCCCACTGAGATCATCAAAGAGGTCCTTAAGAGCACCAGTGAAGCTGTCGGTTGGGATTATCAAGCTGTTGAGCCTGGAAGATATATCTGTGTCTGTTGAACTGCTTGTTATCCCACTGCAAAGAGTAGTGAACTTGCTTTTGAGATCGGAAGCACAGAGAGTCTTAATGAACGATCCAATTGTTGCTTGTCCAGCGGTAAAAGTCTCAAGAATGGCCCTAATCAGCTTCCTGTTATCCTCGTCATTGCCTAGCTTGTCAAGATGAGTTTTTATGAAACCAATAATGTCAGCTGCGCTGCGTGATGCGGGTAACTTAAGATCTGTCCGCGGAATAGGGCTATCTTGAGAAGATTTATACTTATTATAAGCTTCAACTGACGAAAAGACTTGTTTGCTTGCCTCTTCTATTATTGCTTTCCACTGCGCTGCAAGATCTGGAGCAGCTTTTGTCTTAGGCTCCAGAGAATTATTAACCCCCATGACGACGCTATTTATTGCATAGACGGCCCCACCAACGATGGACTTTCGGTTTAAGTGAGCAAGAGATGATGTAGTGATCTTTACGTCATCGACGTTGTTTGCACTACTTGTATTTTCAAAGTATGAATAAGCTTTTCTAGTCTGCAGGTCATCAATCACTGCCTTTTGTTTATCCTCCAATCCTATCAATTGCAATCTAATATTCGCATTGCTCGCAAAGTCCTCAACAAGATCGATGCTCTTGTAGGCCTCGTTGCAACTTGGATCGAGGAGAGAGGAGATACTAGAAGCGAAGCTGTTGTCAGATGCAGCCACTGCCTTGTAGAGTGGTCCTATTAGTGTGTGGGTTGAGATATCAGTTATGTAGGCAGGCAATTGTTGACTATCCATGCCGAGCATCTTGCTGACGGGGGAGCCCAGCTCTGTGCCATTTGAGAAGATCAGGAGCGCGTCTAGTATGCTGTCACCAGCAGACACTGCACCCTTGGTGGTGACATCTAGTCTTTCAGTAAGCGTTTGCAACTCCTTGGACGCATTTGTGAAACCGATAAGAGGTTGTGTGCTCGCGATTATCAAACCGACGCATCCCGCAAGGCCTACGATGCATGAAATTATCTGAACAACATAACAGCAAGAATTACATCTAAGACAAATTCTACATCTCTTTGAACCGCATCCACATAGCCTGGCGAAAAGGATGTACAGCAAGAAGACAAAGAGAAATATACCTAGAATACATGGGACTGCAACAACCACAGAATAACTAACAAGTTGAGGGGTGAGCAGCTCAAGATATTTGGAAGCAGGCTGGCCCTCAACAATCATTGAGGCCAATAGTGCCAGCTGTGTGAGTGTTAAACCAGGAAAAAATGCCGTAGCAAAGGCTGTAACACCCATTTTTAAAGATCTCTAGGAGTGTGTGTAATATAATAGCAGCCGTAAACTAGCCACTTACTGGACATTTCAATTAAAAGTCTATTGTTAATGGTAATAATGGCAATAATTATGTAGAAAGGGCGAGCGAATTAATTGTAATCTATGCCTGCCTCGGCACCAAATGCGCCGGAGTCCGCTGAGGGCGGTGACACAGAGAACGCAAAGTACCAGGAGATAATGACAGAAACGCCATTTTCTGAGACCAGCCTGTCGCCGTTCCTGCTGGAGGCTGTCGATGCAATGGGTCACAAGAACATGACAAGGATACAGGAGGCATCGATCCCTGTAATCCTGAGCGGAAGGAACATGACTGCCAAGGCACACACAGGCTCGGGAAAATCTCTGGCCTTTCTATTGCCAGCCATAGACCTTATCCACAAAGCCAACATGAAGCTCCATCACGGCACGGGCGTCATCGTTCTGACCCCGACGCGAGAGCTTGCATTGCAGCTGTACAATGTCGCCACGCAGCTGATCAGCGCAACAAACATCACTGTGGGTCTAGCCATAGGCGGAACGTCGCGACAGAAGGAGGCAAATCACCTGTGCAAAGGAGCAAGCGTCGTAATCGCAACCCCAGGGCGGCTGTGTGACCACTTGAACAACACCCCTGGATTCAAGACCGACAAGCTTTTCATGCTGATACTGGACGAGGCCGACATGCTCCTCGAGTATGGCTTCCAGCAAGAACTAGAGGCGATACTACGCATGCTTCCGGGCCCCAAGTTGCGTCAGGTTTGCTTCTTTAGTGCCACGATGAGCGACAAGTGTCTAGAGGTACCTCACATGGAAGTTGACAAAGAGACTCTCATACGCATCAACACAGACGTCAAGAGCTCTGCTGCTACGCGGGCCCACTTCGAGCAGGGATACATCATCTGTCCGCCGGAGCAGCGCTTCCTCCTTCTATACACATTCATGAAGCGGCGGTCGGATAAGAAGATAATAGTATTCCTCAGCAGCAGAGATAGCGTAGAGTTCTACTATGAATTCCTACGGTTTATTGGGATGGCCAGCATACTGATGCTGGACGGAGGTATGAAGCAGAAGCAACGGATGGAGACTTATAACAAATTCTGCAACGCACAGAGTGGTGTGCTTCTGGCGACCAATGTGGCAGCGCGGGGGCTGGACCTTCCTGCCATAGACTACGTCATTCAGTTCGACCCGCCCGAGTCTGTGGAGTCGTACATACATAGGGCTGGCCGCGCCTGCAGGGGGGACACAGGCAAAAAGGGTGTTGGCCTTCTCTTTTTAATGAGCCACGAGACAAAGTTCATCAGTTTCTTGAAGGCTCACAACGTGTCTTTGTTTGAATTTGAGTTCCCAGCAGACAAGATAATAAATGTACAGGCAGAGATGGAAAACCTCATTGCTACAATATACTATCTAAGACGGAAGGCCCAAAATGCGTACAGGTCCTTCATCTCTGCATACGCCTCTCACCATCTAAAGAAAGTCTTTAACGTCAATAAGATAGACCTAGAGTGCCTGGGTCGGAGCTTTGGGCTTACTGAGGTTCCTCGAGTCGATGTACCCGGCATTAGCCTGTACAAGAACATGGAGCGTGAAGCGGCGAAAGCAGCGGCGAAGGCGGCAGCTGTAAGCGCAGCACTCGATGCACGGAGAAAGGGAGGCGATAAAGATGTTAATGACCACATAAGCAAGTACGGCAACCTAGGCACATCAGACAATGAGACAGAGACTGCGCCACGAGAGCAGACGACTCGCAAAGTAAAGATATAGCAGTGCAGCGACCTGAGTCGTGGAGTAAAAGGAATGCACGTGGTTCACGCCTTCTGATTTATCAGGTCAGTAGCGTTGATGTAGAAAGCGTCGTGGAGCTGCATGATGCCGTTGGATCCGCCAGCAACGATAATGCTTGTGTCGAGAAAGCCCATCATGGCCCCGTAGCGCTTGCTAGGAGGGTCGCCATAAATGTTGATTTCCCGCCACTGCATCGAGACACTGTCGTAAAGCCAGAAGTCATTGAAATAGCGGGTACCGGTTGTGCCCCCGAAGAGCAGGATGTACTTACCGATCGAAACACACGTATGCCCCCTTCTAGGTAAGAATGGTGGATCTGGAAGTTTTTCAAAGGAGACGTGGACGGGAGGGCTGTCAGAGGTTTGCTCTCGGGCCTTTTCTGTCTTGTGTTCACGCCAGTTGTTGGTGTAAAAGGGTGTCTTAGTCTCTCTATTGTTAGCAGCAGCATGAGCGTCACTTGTTGGTGGAGTGCCATCTGCTGTATTAAAAGGCGGACCTGCGTCCGTTCTATCAGTTTGCTCCCGCTTGTCTGTAAATGATATTTTATAGAACACCGGGAAGACAATAAAGCCATCTGTCTGGCCCCCGATCAAGTAAACCTGGGAGTTGCACTCAACAATACTAAAGTTCCCCAGAGGAAGGGGAAGGTCTCCTGCGTAGACGCTCTCCATGGTTAGAAGGTTTATGAAGAAGCAATCTTTGCAGAAGCCACTAGCCCCCAGCCCGCCTGCCAGAAAGACCGTGTGAGGCTTGATAAGATACATCTTGTGCGACAAGCGCGCAGAGGGAACATCCCCACTTATCTTCTTCTTGTACGCAGAAAGAGTAACAGAATTAATAATCATCATCTTGTGGGGAGATAAAAGGGTTTTTCTGAAGGTACGCAAGTCACTGCATCCTCCGTGGCAAAGATAGTAAATTCCATACGCAACAGCAGCGTGCATGGTCATAGGGCTCCCCCGTATAGAGCCCACGTTGAGGACAGACCCATAGCCTGTATAGGTATAATATGTGGAAGACGCCTTTTCGCCGCCTCCATATGAAAAAAGTGTGTCGGATAGCAAAAGAAACTGAGAACCAACACACGTAACCGGGGTTGCCATCTTTGTCGACTCTAGGTTGATCACATCAGGGTCATCTATATAACCAAGAATCGAGCCCATAGTTTCACTAAAGTGAGAGTCGCTTCTCTCCGAGACGTAGCTAGAACACTTAAAGGAGGACGATCTGCTTATTCCTCTATCGAGTCTGCCGACACTGCTATTGTGTGCAGTGGAGATAATGGATGCCATTGAAGTGTTGAGAGTTTTATTTCAAAAATGGAAAAAACTAATTGCAGTAGGTTTAGCTCAAAACAATAAAGGAGCACGAAACTACAGATTGGTAGATGGACGAACAACAGGAAGGTATCCCAGAACGAGAGAAATTAATAAACAAGGAGTACAAGCGACGGGAACTCCAAGGCTTCGCCAGAATGGCTGGAATACGGGCAAATTCTCGTAACGATGAGCTTTATGAGGAGTTGATAGCATGGCTTGATAAGAGAGATAACTCTTCTCAGGTACAGACTCCGCAGCTCACCCCAATCCTGCCCCAAGCTGCTACTGCACCTGCAGCATCCGAGACTCCCAATGGGCTAGGTCCGCGGGCCTCTACTGACGACAATGAAGAGCAGGTTAAAACGCCTGTAATCCACGTGCCGCCCAAGAACGATGAGCCAGACGTTCCATACGTCCAGTTCGCTGGAAAGGTGGCGATAATGGTGTCACCATCTCTGCCACAGAGCCGCTTTCAGGACCATATCAAGGTCTCGGGTCTTCCTGTTCCTATGGTCAGCGAGACCTCAGGGGTGCAGCAGCAGACAGAGGCCCTTCAACAAGAGGACAAACCAGGAAATGACAGCCTGTTTCACGTCTTGGACGCAAGTAGTGCCTCTGTCGGTACACCGAGCATGCAGCAGGTACCGCCGATTAATGAATCGTCTGTCATGTCTCAAACATATGCTGACTCTGCGGCCATAAAGACAACAGAGAGTCTGCAGAAACCCAACTTTAATTTCTCAGGAATGCAAACAGAGACCCTCTCCTGGCAGGCCTCTTCAGGCAATACAACTGCACTTGGTTTGGAGGGACACAACCAGATGAGTAGGGAGCGGCAGTTTGAAGCTCTGAAGGATCTCATTAACGGGGAGTTTGTCACTATTAAAAAGCGGATAAAGCGACGATTCGACGAACAAATCCATAAGTTTCAGCGGTTGGCGCAGGTTAGCCTCATCACGATCCCTCCCCACCTAAGATCTATTTCTCTTCAAGCCATTTTAGAGGGAGAACTCCCCCAATCCAAGCAGACCGTCAGCGAGAGCCTTATAGAGACTCTGTCCAAGCTCAAGCGGGCGACGATGCAATAGGCTTCTCGATGGTCACCGCCTTCGATTTATCACATAGTTGCCTTGTCAACGTAAGGAAGAGTAATCGTTTTGCCACTGAAAGACACCCTGTTTCGTTGCTCCCTTTGATAACAGCGTTCCATGATAGTTTCTCTTCTAATTTGGTGAATTTTCTAGCAGTTTCACCAGGGCAAAAGACAAAGCCTTGGTCAATCATAGCCTTTACAGCATGATTGTGAGCGATATTACCCTCTATCTCGCGAAGATATTCAGCCACATATCCTGGAGTTGCATGGTGCCATCTGTACATGTGAATTGATAGCGTTCCCATCGCCACCCCAATCTTGCAAGCAGACTCTATGGTTATTGGGTGTCTGAGGTGACACATGATGGCCAGCAAAATAACAATAGGATCCTCATCGCTTCTGCTGGGACCATGCTCTCCCGAAATATGTGATAGCATCCCTGTAGAAAAATTGTCCTGCGAAGTCTTTATGCACAGTAGCAGAGTTAGAGCTGCGTACAACCAGGAGACTTCATGGTCTATTGGTCCATCCACTTCTCTGGCTGGTAGCATGGCTTCAATGATCGTTCGACTTTGGCCAGAAATGTCGATGTCTAACAGATGCATGCACACAAGTAGGATACCCAGAAGAGTACTCGTTGTTTGCTTGGATCTCGTACGCTTAAAAAGACGCTCAAGCGCGTCCATCGCTGCCTGTGACGGCTCTGTCCTTTGCAAAGAATTAGAGCCGCTGCCCGTCCCTCTGATGACACCGGCATCCTGGAGACGATCGCAGCAGAGTTTGCACAATAGCAATTCTGCAAACACTGTGGAAAAGCCCGGACTAATGCTTGATAGCCCTATAATGTTACAAAGGCCTTTAGCATCGATTGGAGGGAGAGTGCAGAGATCTGTAAGGTACTCTTCAGGTTTGTATCTATTGAAGACAATATCCATGACTGGATACACCTCACGATAGTTCTGTGCCGTATCAAGAAAGGAGAGCTGAACTGTGAGAGACGGACCAAGCTGCTGTCTGACCTGCTTCTTTCTTGCAAGCCAAGCACACACTAGCTGTACTCTCTGGCGTGTACTCTCCTCTCGTTGTACAAGAAGACCGCGACTCTTCAATGCATACACCAAAAACATTTCCTCTTCACACGAACAGGATGATAAATGCCCTGTAGTGCGAGCAAGGTGACGCCATATCTGGGAATAAAGGTTTCTTCCCGTCTCAGCTGTTCTATATTCTTCTGATTGACCTAGATAGATTGCTATTAAAACAGCAAGGTATCGCTGGGCTGTAGCAGCACCGTCTGGTTCCTCTTGTAAAAAATCAAGCCTGGTAAGAATAAAGCTCACGGTTCCAACGATGTCGAATGGCTTCTTATTCTGGACCAAGTGCGACAGAACTATCCAGAATAGCACGCTGTCCATAGAATTAAGGGCTCCGCGCCCGTAAAGCTTAAGACTATCGATAGCAGTGGCGAGGAGGGCTATGGATGGACAGTCCTTTAGTCCCCAATATTGTGCTGTTAGCTTCATCAAATGGTCGAGCACTTGAGTCTTCAGAATCTGTATTTCCTGATCCCTTATGTCTTCCTCATTTGCTTCTGACTCAAATAATATGTGTAATAAAGGGGAAAGAAGCTGAAATAGGCGATACCAATCTTCTGGTTCTAATTTTAATACAAGCATTTCTTCAATTATCTCGTTTAGTTCTCTCCATGCTGTAGCATCAAATAGAGACGTGCCGGAACAATATGTAACCAGGAGGTCTACTAGGGTGCTTACCGATGCAACGCGCCCCTGCTTTAGCTTGCTACTTATATGGCGCATAATGAGTATGCTTTTTGTATTGCATATGAATTGGTTTGCAGAATCGTCTGGGCCAGACTTGATTTTAGAGACAAAACAGGGGAAGTCATCACGACTGACAATGATGGGCAGAGACAGCAACTCCGCTGTACCGTGGGTGAGGGGATGTTCGACAGCTTCGTTCAAGTAATCAATACATGCAGAGTACGCAGAATAACTGGTTTTTGAAGATATAATGCCAGATACAACAACAGACGCCGATGCAGTATCCTCCTGAAGTAGTTTTAGTTTCACCATGGTATTGAGTTCTATCAAGAAGGCATCTCTGAGGAAGGCAGGGGTAGAATTGAAAAAGGCTCCAGACTGTTGTACACCATATGTGGCGACTATCCCAGACAGCAATTTGAGGACTGCCGCCTTTGTCACGGTTCCATGCAGTTGACATTGAAAAAACAAGTTAATCAGTGTACTAACGTTACATTGCTCAACTGTTTGCTGCAATATCCCAAACCCTTCGCGGGCCTCAGATAAAATTGGCTCTAGACAACTATAGATGGTATGCACAGCATTGCCGGTTGATGTATAACAGACACCACTAAAATCTATCGCATCCAAACAGGATGTGGAGAAGCACGCGGTCAATGATGCTAACATCCGCCTATAGTCTGGTTCCACGTCAGGTTTATCGACCTTAGCAACCTGTCCCTGAAGATATCTATTGTTTGCTCCCTTTTTCTTTCTATCTCCTCCTCTTAGCGGGATAATGGAAAATATAGCCTCTTGACAAAGCAACGCAAGGGTTGTATCCTGGGTTGCAATTCTATCAGCAACCGCTAACCCCTCACATAACTTGATGCACTCCTGGATCTTTCTGTGGAACTGCCGCAGTGCGTCTTCATGACCTACGATCAGGTTGTGATTTCCTAGCAATGCAATTGAGAGACGAAGAGCGAGGGTGTAAACGAGCAGTAGAGCTCCAATCAACATCTCCTTGCCACCGGTTTCGATGTAAACTCTTAGCATTCTGATGTACTGAGGGAGGCCATGAAGAAGGCCGGCGACTGATGTCTCTGCTGGATCTTTGGCCGTTGCATTCTTACACGGTAGTGCCAAGCAGAAAATAATTAATAGGGTAACAGCCCAAGTATCAGGGTCTACTTCTACTCGCTCAGCCAGCATGTTCAGTACCTTCAAAAGACAATCAAATGAAATATAGCCACGCACGTAAAATAGAAATCGCAGACCGTAGGTGCGTGAAATATCAGCTGTAATATAGCACATAACGTCACACAGTTTCTGAATGGTATGTGGTAGCTCAGAAACAGGGCACTGTTCGCTGAATCGGTTGATCTCTTTTTCAACGTTGGCTAACATTCCATACAGCATTGCAGAAGGCCGCCCGTCTTGGATAGACTCAATCAAACAGGAACCACATACGGGAAACCCTACAGCTCCATGAGAACAAAAGGTCATAACCAATACTTATGAATTTGCACTGCAGCTTGCTCTGTAGACTGTACCCTGTATCTGCATGCTCTCTAACGTCTCGGAGCATACTGGGTGGAACATTATTCTCATAATTTAATCTTGTAATTTAAGTAACTTGTTCATAAGGTTGCTGTTCGGGCCTGCACCCACTACTATTTGGAAGCGTGCTTCAACCATGTTGCCCCAGGCTGTCAGCCCATTGCTTCTAATGACAGTCTTTGCACACGGAGATGACTGGACCGTATACTAACTGTCTACAGACACATGCGTTTCAGAGCGTGACGCGGCTACACGTTGGCCATGTAATTGGTTTGTTCTACGTAGGAACGCACTGAGATCCACAGCAGCAGACTAGCGACGCCCGAGAATGGCTTTTCCTTCTAACGCTGAACGGTTTGACCCACTGGTCCCGATGGCTAGACCGGACGACTTTTGTCCTTTCAGAAGAGGCGTAGGCTTCCTTCCAGCTACTATGATCAAGCGGCTGTTTGACCCCATCGGCCTAGGAGACCTGGGGGCGCTGGAAGTGACCCCTGTGACCTTCGACCCAAAGATACCCGGCTTCATCCTGGACACGATACGGAGCCTCTGCCCGTGCGCGCTGTCGATCGACGACGCCGCAGAGGGAGCCATGACGTTCGAGCAGCAGGTGGTTGGGATGGACGTCTCAGCCAAGATCGCCCGCCTGGATGCATTGGGGCAGGAGGCCAGGAAGGCGTCTGCGTGCAGCGTCTGCTCTCGCTGCCGCCGCGGAACACTGGCGAGCTTTGTGTCCGCCGGCGGCTACGACGCCCTGGCCCTCGGCCACCACCTGCTGGACGACCTGGAGACCCTGGCGATCACCGGGGTCCACGGGGCCTCCTTCTTCGGGCTCCGGGGGTACTACAACTGCGAGGTCATGGACTTTGCCAGCAGGGCCAAGCATCGAGTGTGCATTCTGCGGCCCATGCTGTCCGTCCACGTCAGCGAGATCTCCCGGGTGGTGCTCCACAACGGCCTCTCCTGCGTCGCGTCGGATGCCGCAGAGTGCAGCGTGTCGATCTCGAAGACGGCGGACACCGAGCCCTTTCCGGGGGAGCGCTTGCGGGTGCGGAGGCTCCTCGGCTCCGTCGACATCTCCGGGATATGCGCGTTCAGAGACAGGCACCGGCAGGCGATAGCTCCGTTTACTGGGGAATCATATTAGGGACTGGCGGTAGTCGTAGGACTCGCCCCGCATGAGCGATGTGTACTTCGCCCCGCGCTTGGGCCGGCCGCCCCTCCTGAAGACGAACCACCAGACGAGGAAGCCGGCGACGGCCAGGACGAGGAGGACGACGATGACGATGGCGGCGATTGCTCCCCCGCCGAGCCCGCCCCGCCGGTAGTAGCCAGGGTCGAGGCAGTTGACGCTCCCGCCGCCCTTGTCGGTCAGCTCGCAGGTCGTGCACCCCGCGAGGCCCACCCAGCCGTCCATGCCCCCGGTGTCGCTGCAGCCCATGCACGCCGTATGGTAGACGTCCGGGGAGATGGGGACGGCGTTCTCCGCGCAGCTCTCGCACTTGAGCCCCGTCGCGCAGACCAGGCAGTTTGTGATGTCGCACGGCTGGCACTCCCCGAGGTCCTCGTCGGGGTACATCGAGCCGCCGCAGCTGGCGCAGTCCTTCGTGCACGCCGCCGTCCGCGGGCAGAGGTACGCGCCGGTCGTGCAGTGCTCGCACCTCATCGCGTCGTTTTCGACACATATGGCGCACAACGGAACCGTGCACTTCGGGGCTGGTGGGTTGCAGACGACCTTGTTATCGACATGTTCTTTAAGGTACCCGTCCTCGCAGCTCTCACAGACCACATTCTTGGCACCAGTTGTCTGCCCTGTAGTGCTGTAGCAGGCTGCACAATGCTCAACGCCAGTGTACCCGTCCTCAGAGACGCTGCATTGAACGCACTTTCCGGGTCCTCCCTGCCTAACGTTGAATGCGGCGTAGTACCCTGTGACGCACGTGGAGCAGAGGCTATCACCAGCACCAGTACACGTCGAGCACCCAGCGGCACACGCCTTGCAGGTCCCCGTCGTTGAGCCGGCGCCCGACACCTCGAGATAGTACCCTTCGGCGCATTGGGTGCATGTGGTCCCGTCTGTGCACGTGAGGCACTTGCTGGTGCATGGCCTACACACACCGGCGTCGTTGTAGTAGCCAAGACCCAGCGCAAGGCAGCTCCCGAAGCACTTCGTCTTGTCCTCCTTCATGACAAGTGGAGAGAAGCAAGTGTCGCACGTCGTGGCAGAGTCCTTCGAGCACGCCTGGCAGCCCTGGACGGCGCATCCTTCAGGCGTTGTGGGCGGGAGGGCCTGAGGGCACGTGTTGTCTTTGGGTTCCGTCGAGTCGGTGCACTTGCTACAGACGATCTTGGAATCGCCGTCTGTGCCGGTCGCACACCCTCCGCAGTTGGCCACCCCAGTAGCTGCCTCGTCCCAACATCCAAGACATTTTGGTTGGCCATCTGCAGAATTAGGATTAGCTATTATATTCGATGTCTCGTTTGTATTGCAAGTTGAGCACGCTCCATTAGACGCCTCCTGGCATATTAGCTTTCCGATTGCAGAGTTTGCATCATAGCAGCCGTTATAGAACGGGAAAACCTTGGAGTTGTCGACGGGGGTTGTGCTGGTGTCGCATGCTGTGCAGATGCCCGCCTCGCACGTATGTGATCCCTTATCAGCAATGCATAAGCCGTTGATGGGGTAGTGGTCTGTCTGGGCGCACTGCTTGCAGAAGACTCTTCCCCCGAGGTAGATCTGGTTCTCGGTCTTGCAGATGGCCTGGGCGAGGGGGCCGTTGACAGAGTAGCAGCTCCCGTAGAAGAGCATGTAGCCGGAGGAGCACGTTTCGCAAAGTCCCATGGCATTGTCTGAACCTTTGTAGGTGGAGCAGCCGGCGAGTGCAGAAGCAGCAGAGAAGGCGGAGATGCATCGTCCATCGAGGGGGATGTGCCCCGACTTACATTTCGTACAGAGGGTGGGCTTCACATCTGTGCTCGTGAGCACGTTCATCCGGCAGCGCTCGCAGAAGAGGGTCCCGTCCAGGCCGTAGCACGCGAAGCAGGAGGTGGCAGATGGGCCCGCACTAGGGTTCTTGACAAACTTCGACCCGCAAGAGCCACAGACAGAGCCAGTAGTGCTAGTACTGTCAGAGCAAATGTTGGCACCCGGGGACCCTCCGAACTTGTAGCACGACCCGTAGTGGAAGAAGTATCCGTTGCCACATGTCGTGCACACGCCCTTGTCACACGTGTTTCCAGAGCTATCTGCGCTTGCTGCTACGCACACCCCGTCGATCGGGACGTCGCCCTCGATGGCGCACGCCCCGCAGTACATCCCCTCCTCGACGATGTGCTTCTCCTTGCATATGGCGTTGATCAGGGATGCCGTGCGGTAGCACCCGCCCCTGTAGAAGAGGAAGTCACGGATGCAGCCCGAGCAGGAGCCTGGAGTGGGGGTGCTATCTGTAGGAACTATGCATATGCTCCGCGAGAGGCTCAGCAGCCTGCAGTCTCCGTTGACGGGGACCCGTGCTCCGTCGCACTTGGAGCAGTACTTCTTGCCGCCGATCGTGACGTTGCAGACGCCGGTCGCACCCCCGCAGTCACTGTTCTGGGCGCATTCTGAGAAAATACCGTACAAAAGAAGAAGAGAGACGACAAGAGTCATTGTGAGATTTCTCAATAAATAAGCTTTCAATTTTCTTCACTGTTTACTTGTCTTGATGAAAAAATCCACCAACTATTGACCCAATGTGTGGTTTTTCATGAGTCGCCGTTCATGTTTGTGTCTTGCACTTTAAGCCAATTAACTTGGTATCGTTTTGCTCTGAAGTAAGGATAGTAGGTATTCTTTTTTCTAGTGTCGATCTACCGGCTAATTATGCCGCCCTCATGTCTTCTTATCAAGTTCGTGATATCATGTAAGATAGACTACTTGAGGTTTTGCCGAGTACCGTCTTCATTTTAAGGAATATCGGAAGTTAATCCGAGCAAATCCCCATGCGGGTTATTATACCAGGCAAGCCCCTTGCTTGTTCACCAGCTGAGACCCAGAATCCGAAGTCCGAAGTCGGATGCCGTCTGCTTCTGACGGGGAAGATTTATGCCTCCTTCCCCGAGGCGATAGAGGGGGCAACGGAGGGCCTGGAGCCAGTGATGGCACCAATCACTGCCCACTGGCCAGGATGGACCCACACGTGGCCTATGTGAGTCCCTCGACAAGAGATGGGGCCCCTGGGGTGTCTGGTTGGCAGAGGCGGACTGATCCTGCCCACACCGGAGAGCGGTGACCTGGGCCACCCGCCAGGCGTCTGCCGCAGCAGCTGGCAGTGCCTGACACCCTCGAGTAGACGGGTGCCGGTTGTAGAGAGACGACCTCGATGAACCGGTCCTGACCGCTTCTGATGCTTTGGACGACGCCTCGACAGACCGAAGCATCACCCAAGTGTGCTGTGCAGATGGACCAGCCCACACGTCACCGAGCCAGACGCACTGCACAGGGTGAGCGCTGACATGATCTCGTGCTGAGTGACTGACCACCTGCAAGAGCGCCCTGCGATCCATGAGCAGAGGGCCATACTTCTCCCCCGACACAACGCATAGGAGTACTCCATCGGCATCCACGAACGCGTACTATGACTCCAAGATGGAGGCGTATGGGGAGCGCACCTCCGACAATAGGGTCGATGATCCACGTCATGGGGAGACAAAGAGGCACCCGAGGAACGGGGTAGACACCCGAAGTCGTGGCGTGCGATCCTCGTCGTAGAGCACCAGGGCCACAAAGCTACTCCAGAGTACATGGCCAGAGTTAACTGCTCTCGAGACTGGATCGCCACGACTGACGCAAGGCCCGAGACAGCGGGTGCTCACTAGATGTCAGACGATGGTTGACCCAAGCCAGTCAGAGAGGAGAGACGCCCCAGAGCGCATAGTGGGGCACCCAACGGCTCCCCGGGCGAGGAGGCACAAGGCTCTTCTCCAGAGTGGGCGGCATCCGAGCTTCGGATCCTGGACGGGTTTACTCGGACAGGAGCTAGCAAGCCGACCTTGATGAAGAAGAGTAAATCCCTTGGAGAGTAAAGTTTATTTAAAAATAAAAGATGCCTTCTCAATCCACAATACAGAGCGAACAGCGCGCCCTTCCCATATATCCCATTAAGAAACAGTTAATTGATTCTATCCTACACTCTCCACAGCGCGTTGTGGTTGTTGTGGGTTCAACGGGCAGTGGAAAGAGCACTCAGCTTCCCCAATACCTTATTGACGCTAATGCATCAATCAAAAGAATAACAGTAACACAGCCCCGTCGGGTTGCGGCTATATCACTTGCACTGCGTGTAGCACAAGAGAGAGGCGCGTCTCTGGGTCAGGAGGTTGGATACAGCGTTCGATTTGACGCAAAAGTTTCCAAGTCAACCAGAATACGGTATGCAACAGATGGTGTAGTCATTAGAGAAGCGCTACTTGATCCACTCTTTCACTCTGACAGTATTGTCATAGTAGATGAAGCTCATGAACGAAGCGTGAGCACCGACCTTCTGTTTGGATTTCTTAAGACAGCGCTCGATAAAAACCCGAAGTTGCGAGTGGTGGTCATGTCTGCCACTATCGCTGCGGCCAGCTTTGTTCGTTACTTTGGAGCACACGCAGCAAATGCCATCCTATCCATCAAAGGAAGACAGTATCCTATTAAGCACTACTTCACTCTAGAAGCTGTTAAGAGCTATCAGGAAGCGTGTGTCTCAGCTGTGCTTCAGATCTGTAAGGACTGCAAAAGCGGAGACATCTTAGTTTTCATGCCAGGTGAGCTAGAGATCAGAAATGTTGTTGCTGCAATCAGGAATCACTGTGCTAAGTTTGGTGTATTGTATGAGCCTGAAGGTGCTGATGATAACAGGCCAAATTGTATTGACGATAATGAGAGCCTTGAAGATGATGACCGGTTGTCTTTAGGACCTCTATTTTCCAACAGAGACGCCATAAAGCCTGCAGGTGGGTTCACTGTTCAACTTCCTGGTGAGGCATCACTAATAGAAGTTTTGCCTTTCTATGCCAATCTCCCAACCACAGAGCAGATGAGGGTTTTCTCATCAGCAGCCGAGAATGTGCGGCGAGTAATTGTCGCCACAAATATAGCAGAAACCAGTATTACCGTGCCTAATATCCGCTATGTCGTGGATTGCGGGTTTGTGCGAAAAAAGCAGTTTCATCATACAACGGGCACATCGGAGCTAATAACCCTTCCCTGCTCACAGGCGTCGATACTTCAGCGGTCGGGTAGGGCGGGCCGTTTAATGGAGGGAGAATGCTACCACATTTACACCCATGAAACATATGCAAATTTAGAGCCTCAAGATGTGCCCGAGATTATGCTGACAGATCTCATGCCTGTGTTCTTAACCATTATTGCGTTTGGCATAACAAATCCTGTGACATATGAATTTATTACTGACCCTCCGCGCCAAGCGAAAAAGGCAGCCATAGTTAAGCTTTCTCGCATGGGGTGCATCCAGATAAAGAAGACAGAAGATGGTGTTGACAATCAGTCGCAGATGGAGCCTCAGCTCATCCTATCGCCTTTGGGGAGGGAGGTTGTCCGGTTCCCTACCGATCCAGAGCTGGCAATATCGATTTTGACTGCACACAAGTTCGGGAAGAAGATAGTAAAGGATGTGGTAGGAGTTGTAGCTCTCTTGTCGTGTGACGGGGTCTTTGTATCATCTGTGGACATAGAGACACGGGACCAGAGCGCACTGGCCAGAACCCAATTTTATTCTCTGAAGGGTGACCACATCACTTTACTGAATATCTGGAAGGCATACTGTGAAGAGTCTGAGAACAAGCGTGCATGGTGCACCAAGTACTACCTTTCATATAAAAGCTTAGAATATGCAAAGAATGTATATCGGCAGCTCATTGACATCTATAACTCATACTGTAAGGCTTCCCGAAAGGGGGCGGGAGCCGAGACTGAGAGTCCTCCTTGTGGTCTATATACAGAGATGGACGACGAGGATAAGGTGATCTTTTGTATATTAAAGGGATATATCTCTAACGTTGCAAAGCTAAGTAATGATCACAGAACGTACGAGGGGTCATCAGGAGAGTGTAGAATCCACCCTGCTTCATGCCTCAAACAGAACCCTAACTTTGTTCTCTATAATGAAATAGTGATAACTTCGTTTGCATATATGCGCACAGTCTCGGAGATAAACCCTGCTTGGATAGAGATGACGGTATAACATCCAAAGTATCTATACTCCTTCTGGCGGCGGCTCTACCATGTGTGCAATGGTCAAAAACACCTCCTCGAGGCCTGTGAATGAGACTCCAAACTCTTTTATTAGTCCAGACCCGCTGGACTTCTCTCTATATAGGGCTTTATAGAGGTACGAGATTGGATGCCCTTGAGGAACAACGTAGAAGGATCGAGTGTGCGTTTTGTCATTGGGGATATGCTCCCTCTTTTCAAGACGGATATAAGGTGCTGAGCAGACAAGAAGTGCGTCGACGCGGCCAACTGACTCTGTGACGTGAATGATCTGGACTCTGTAGCCAGAGCCAAATCGAGCCTTCAACCGTTCCTTGGTTCCAATGCATCGAAGCTGACCAGCCGCCATGATTGCGATGTACTGTGCAAGGCTGTCAGCTTCCTCCATACTATGCGTTGTTAAGATGATGGTCTTGCCCTGTTTGGCCTCTTCGATTGTTCGCCAAACTGCACGCTTTGTCACAGGGTCGAGTCCCGTGGTAGGCTCATCGAGAAATACTTGGCGCTGTACGGCCATAATAAAAAAGTTTAAACCCCACATTTTTGACAAAATTAATTTAGCAAAGATAATAATCGCACAAGATCAACCTGGAATTCACTTATTCGTCCTGCTTCTCTAGAGAAAGAGTGTACTCCACCGGAGCCAGAGGTTCGAATATGTATCCTTCAGCCTGATAGAACTTGCTGTTGAACTCTATCCAGGCAAGACGGAGGCCATGGAGAAAAGCTGACAAGGCCTCCATGAGAATGATGACGCCTATGGTGACTCCGAACCAAGCAGAGTACGTCACAAAGAAGGAGACCCCCTGAACAACCCCGCTGAGCCACTTGTTCTCGGAAACAGAAAAACCGTACGAGAGAGTAAACAATTGCTCATAGAAGACCTCTGAAAGCTGTGCGTGTGCTAGGGACAAGGCCCACAGACGTAGGTAAGAGGCAGTATGAGAAATGGCTCCCAGAACATACTCGATTGTGTGTATCACTTGGTGAACGACTATGTCACCCACTCCATGGGCTTCGTCATCGTCATCTTGGTCCGCCTTTCGTGAGCTGCCACGACCTTGTGCATCTTTACCGTCACTCACGAGTAAGTTCGTCTTATCTGTCTGAGCATCATCTGTATCTGCCTTGGCCAAATCTGCCTCAGATGTGATTGGAGCCGCTTCATGCGATGCTGCCTGACCAGAGAAAATGGGAACTCCATGAGCAAGCCCCTTCTTGGCTGCCTTCTTCAATTGAACAACCTCATATACCGGCTTGGCCACGGCTAGCCACAAGACAGAAATTATGCAAATAGCGAAAAGAGCCAGCTGAAGATTGGTCTGAAGGGGAATATTGTTGAATAAGTAGCTCTCCGGACTTATGCTCCCTGGACTTAAAAACATTTGGATGAGTAGGCTTGTCAGGGCAGGAGGATTGCTTCCCTCTGGCCACTCATTAAGCCACTTGTAGATAATACAAAAGACCATGTAACCAAAGAAGCACGTCATAAAGAGAAATTCGGGGATCCAGCAAGTGAGGAGCCCGACAATGTCTCGTGAATAGATAACGTTAAGCAGCTTTAGAACTATACCAAAGATCATTTGAAGAATACCGATTATAACAGCCATCTTCATTTTGTAGGAGTTGATAAACATCATGGAGTTGTCACTCCATCTCCAGGCCGGGTCTATCCCAAAGGCATAGACCGGAGATGAATACTTGGTGGTATCATACGTACTCTCGAAGAGATTTGGGGTTGTAGAAGATCGGTTAAAGGTGTATCTGCTGTGGAAAAAATCATAGGCCAGGGCAAACATGTCATTGTAGATGAGGCCGGTGAAGATGCTGAAGATGCTCATGAGCAGAATAATATACCTGCCTGCAAAGATCAGACTGACCATATCATTTTTTACCTTGCCCAACCTCCTCTCATAGCCAACCATGAGGGCAGAGACAATAGTTAAGATTATGCCATGCCCGATGTCGCCATACATCACTGCAAAGGTGAAGGGGAACTGGTAAAGGTAGAAGAAGGCAGGGTTGATCTCCTTGTATGAGGGGATGCCATAAGATTCAATAATGTTCTGAAACACCTTTGTGAACTTTCCTGTCTTAAAATATGTCGGTGGCTGTCTCAGATGCTCCTTTGGTGAATGATGCAATGCATCTACTGTGGCTGGCCTAAGATCGTCCGTGTTAATGAGTACGGATGTCCCGTTCTTCCTGGTCTTACTCAGTGCATTCAGATCTTTTATAAAGCTGGGAAGCATGCCCTTATAGCGCTCATTGCAGGCCTCGACAATTTGCGTAACGTCCGAGAAGGTTTGCTCAGGAATCCAAGCAATCCCTGTTAATATTTTTGCATCGGCGAGGGAGGGTCTCAGCTTGTTCAGCACACCCATGACCTCCTTCTCTTTCAGTATTAGGCGGTAGTAGGCCTCGAGCTGTGCACCCAGTTGGTTTAAGATAGTCGTGATGCGCTGCTTTGAAAGGCGTAGAAGTGTCCGATGATCTTCGATAGATTGCTGAACTCTCGAAACGTCACTATCGAGGCTCTGCACACTGTCTACCGCACCCCCTCCTTGAACACCCTGAGAGATGTGAATTGTACCAGAAAGAGACGTGACGATAGACCCCACCTTGCTTTGCAGCTGTACGCCGGGCGTATACACAAACACGACGTCATACTCCTGCTGATCCTTTGCAGCCTTATGCTTTGCCTTCTTCGGGGATGCTGGCTTGGATGGTGATTGATCGGCCCCAATAAGAGCCGCCAGATCTGGCGTAGATATCTTTCCCACCACTTCTATCATGCAATTGGAAAGAGTAGCTCGCGTTGCAAGGCGCTGGAGCATGGGCGTGACACTGTCTGGTACAGTGCATGCGAGAAAGTAGAGGTTAGCACTTGTGTCTGTCTCCTGGGCTTCGTCATCCGGTGAAGAACCAATGAGATGAGTATTTTCGCTTAAAACGTCTCTGAGCATCTTATTCTGCGCAGAAGACGCAGACTCTCTGCGGACGATGTCGAGGACCTGGCTATAGGTCAGATTTGCAGAGAGGTCCGCTAAGTGCTGCTGGTACTCATCCAACAAAGTCTTGACAGTCTTCATTGTTGCTGTTAGCTCTGCATCCAAGTTTCCAAGCGGCATGAGCTCTACCCTGTCTTCTTGTTCTGGAAGGGGAATCTCAAGAGCGATGAATTGATCACGGATGTAGTCGAGTTTAGACTCAGTTGTGGCCAGCTGCATAATGTTAGCTGTATAGGCTCTATCAAAAAAAGAAACGTCCGAGCATGCATCAACAAAGTGCATACATCCCAGAGCCATCATCTCCTCAACAACGGACGGGGCTATCTCGCGTGAGACTGTGAATGCAACAAGCCTCATTGTCTGAGAACGCCACAAATCCAAAGCAGACATCTGGGGCGAATTTTTTTACTTCTGAATCTTGCATGGTCCGGTTCAAACACCGCTACATCGGGCTCAGATGGGATGCCGATTATAGCATCACTCAGGAAGACATAGGCGACGCCCTGCGCACCGCAATACTAAACAGCGGAGACATTCGGCTTACTGCGCTTCTGCCCTATATGGCGTCTGTTTGGATGCACTTGTCTGCCTTTAATTTTTCTACCATTCGATGTCCTACATCCCTTACTCGAGACTGTATTAGAGCTGTTATTCCACAAATGGTTGTTCGAGGTGCCAAGAATCTCAGAATTGTTCACGTCTCTGGTTCGATCAGTCAAATGACACGCGTTATGGCACCAATATTAAGTGCAGAGTTAACAAGATCAAGAAAAGCACTAAGAACCTGATGCGCTAGGTGGACCTCTGCTGAATTCAGGAACGCATAGGTAGCACTCTCAGCCCAGATCCTTCAACTTTCTTTTTCAGTGATGTTTGCACTGGCGGACTGTAAGGACCCGGCGGTGGGAAGATGGCTTGCGGGAAGACCTTACTCAAAGAGGCCGTAACTCTTCGTGGATGGCACGAGGAGGACCTGTCATTACCGTAGACGTGGAACTGATGCTGACGATCCTTGTAAATTGTGATTGCAGATGGATCTGCTGGCCGTTTGATAGGGTTATTCAGATTACTGGGCTTTCTGGGTTGGGAAAACATAGTAGGGGACTGTGAGGCACTACACTGGTCGCTTAGCAGGCCTTCTACTTCTTCATTGATATCTTCACATTCAGCTGCAGAGAGTGAAAAGCTGGTACGGGGCAATTTAGAACTGTGTACTGTTGTAAACCATAATGAAGGAAGGGTGACGTCGAGAGCATCGAGATGCCGAACTATGTCGTCGCCCTCGTTACTAGTAGGCGCACCAAGTGGTGAATCTGCAGGCGAAAGCCTGAATGCTGGACTATTGCATCTAGGGCAAGGAGCTGCCTCATACATCAACTCGCTCTCGGATGCTTCGGCCAGATGCATTCGGTAAGTAACGGTGCTGGAGCGCCTCCGAGATCCAGATGCACTAGGTTCACGTGGCAAGTCACATTGCAAATCGCGTGGGTCCAGAGCGTTAACTGACAAAGCGTAATCAGGCGGGTTGACCTCAACAGGTGATGTTTGCAATAGTGGATGCTTTAACCTTGTAGTTGGCTTTTTGGCATACTGCTTTCTTTCTGGGGTCTTAAATACTTGATCACGGACCGTTGTCTTGACAATTTGTTTCCGTCGCTCAATTAGGGTATAGATGGCCTGGCCGTTCACAATGGCGATCTGGAATTCATAATCGTCAGGATTTATACAGATCTTTTTGCACTTGGCCAAAATGCGTTCTAGACGCAGCCTGTATCTTGATTTAATGGCCGTTTCAATATCGACCATGGTTGAATAAGAGTCGACCAAATCTCTTGTCACTGAGTAGGCCGTTGCGTCATTTGCCACGTAGACGCTGCTAGAGGGAATAGAAAACTTGAGCTCGCGCAGTGTGTTAGCCTGGTGCCCAAAAGTAAAATTAGGCTGGTCATTCTTGACCCGTAGGGTAGCGGCAGCTTTCCATCTTTGTGTCCCAGGCTCAATGTACGACAAGAATCTGATTAACAACACATACAGGGTCATTGGGCTTTGCGGATCCGGCAGTTATGGGAAGGTTTATCGAGTTCAACACGTCAGCACAAGCGAGATATATGCATGCAAAGAAATATGTTACACAAACATGGGGGCCAAGGAACGGGGTATCCTTGAGCAGGAAGTCAACATTGTGACAACCTTGGTTCACCCTCACATCATTCGGCATCACGAGATTATCCATGACAAAGCATCGGAAGTACTTTACGTAATCATGGAGTTCTGCACTAATGGTGACCTCTCTAGTATAATGATGAATGCAAAGCGGGCGGGGAATTACCTCTCAGAGGCGTATGTCCTTGACATTGGTAAACAAGTCCTGGATGCCTTAGTATACTGCCACTCCCCGTTCAAGTTCAATCCCGCAACCTCAAAAGGTCCCAGCACAGGGTCGAAGGATATTGATTCTTCCAATCTGCAGCCGAAAGTGGTACTACATAGAGATATTAAGCCGGCAAACCTCCTGGTTAACCACTCTGGTGCAATAAAGCTAGCAGATTTCGGGTTCTGTAGGGTCCTATCGAGTACAACCGACATGACAGCAACCAGAGCAGGGACACCTCTTTACATGGCCCCCGAGCTTTTAGAAGGTAAGGGGTACACTGCCAAGGCAGATATATGGTCTCTCGGCATCACCCTGTATGAAATATGCTCCTTCAGGCTTCCTTATCCGTCTCCAACTATCGACGATCTTCAGAAACGCATCTCCACAGAATCTCGCAGGCCCCTGCCAAAGTGCTACTCGGAGAAGCTTACATCTGTAATTGATCTTATGCTAACAGTAGATCCCGTGGCACGGCCTACAGCGGCCATGGTGCTCGAATATATAACTTATGTGTATAATCAGCAAGCCACTCATCCGACAAGTCCTCCACCAGCTCCATCGAACATCCCGCTGAATGTTCAAAATATGGCGCAGATAAATACGTATGGCCTCAGAGCCCTTTCTTCTAACACAACAAAGACGGCCGAGAAGCCTGTTACTCCCTTGCTTGCGCGTGATGCAATTCGCGCAATCTCTGCGACGGCTTCCGTAGTGGCCAAGTCGGGCCCAGTAAGCCCAGCACAACTTCAGCAGAGCGCTACTATCAAGAAGCTCCAGGAGGACATCCTCAAGCTCAGTGAAGCGCAAAAAACAACAAGCATGGAACTTGTTAACAAATCCAATGAGATATTTGTCCTGAAGGAGCAGCTTAAGACAGCTAAACTGACATCACAACGCCATGTCTATGAACTAGAACAGCTTAAAAATTACGTAGCAGTCACCTACGGTCAAGTGGATGCGGTTGCACCGGATCAACCCAGCTATGCAGACCTTTTGACTACATGCGGGCAGTATACTATGGAGATTGCAAACCTTAAAGCAGAGCTTGTACACCTCAAAGAGCAACTCGCAAAGAAGCCAGATGCTCAGGAAGGTTTACAAACACCAGTTCAGTCTGTTGGTATGCTAAGCAAAAGCTCGGTGACTCCAAAGGTGGAGGATATAAATGTAGAGTGTTTAGAAGATTCTTTAATTTCGGATTGCATACCCACTGATGCACTAAATAATAAGAAGAGCTCGGAAAGCATGATGCTCAGAAAGATAGAGCAGCAATTGCACAAGGTGCATGAGCTCATGCTCGTGGGTGACGACCCGATACTAAGAGACTCTCGCGGGAACACGATGCTGATGCATGCGGCAGCAAGTGGATACTCCTTGCTTGTGCGTTGCCTCTGCTCGACTCAATCCAAGCAGAAGAACGATATGGGGAAGACAGCACTCATCCTGAGTATTCAAAATGGATACCATGCGTGTGCACAGATCCTTCTCCCCTACGAAAAGGACATCCCGGATGCCTTGGGGAAGCTGCCCGAATTTTATGCACTGAACTCTCCCAATAAGAATATTCAGGCCTTATTCCTATCTTGACATCCGCTGACTTCCATAACAAACAGAACCTATGCTGGTTTTACAGAATACTCAGTAAATTCAGTAAGCAATTCAGTAAAGAAAATCAAACACAGCCATGGTTGTTCAAGATTGTGTCTCATAATTGTATAGACGACGAGGGACTGTAAGAGTTAAAGACATGAATGAGATCAAACGCAGTGATAGCCTCCTGAACAATGGAAAAGTCTAAGCCAAGGGCTGTGCAAAGCGGCTCTATGATCTCACTCCTGTCCATCAACAACCGACAGTACTTGAGAAGACTTGTTGGTGATCGCTTCTTGACATCAGCTACCTCTGGTGTGAAGTTTTCACTATCTGTATACTGCGTTGACCTGGTTATGTCCTCTGTATCTCCTTGACCTATATAAGAGATTGAGAGTGAGCTGAAGCTCAGAGGACTTTTGGTCACATCGTACTGCATCAGAGCACAACGACTAATATAAACATCTGTAAGCGTAGCCTTAACCGCAAAGTTAACGACGACATGAAGTGTGGAGATGATAAGAACCAATTCTGCTGGTCTCTCAATAGGCTCGTGATAGTCTTTCCCTTCTCTGTGGCTCTCAACATAGTGCATTAATCTACCTGTGAATCCAATGTCTTTCAAGACAGGCATGGGGGATGCCATAGAGGAGAGCAAGACCTCCAGCTCAATGATTGAGTGCCTAATCCGTGCCAGAAGACACTGAATGGTATTGATGTTGATAAATGCATCAGAAGAGCCAACCTTGCGGACAAGCGATGACAACTCGGGTGTAAGAAGGCCTCTAATCAACGTGAAGATGTCTTTCAACGTGCTCTGATAACCCTCGTCGCCTAGGTATGCTACCCACTCTGTAATGTCACCCAATCCAAGGTAGGAAGATCCTACAACGTGTGCGCTACCAGGAACGTCAAAAAAGTTCCACGCAAATGGATTGGGGATTGCATCAATATCGTGGTTTGGCAGACAGATCTCAGTAATGTATTTAAACATATATCCAACAGCACAATAAATGCGACAAATAAATAAAAGCCCATAGTATACTCGGCTTGTATCCTGCGCAGAGAAGGTTGTAGTCTTCCCAAGAGTGCTTGCAATGGCTTTGACTATGGTGCTCATCCGTGTTACTGTTGGGCGTATTGTTTTCAACCGATGTGGATCTCGGCCCTTCTTCTGAATCAGACTGTGAACATCAAGATACAACAGTCTAGCTAGATATGTTGCCACGATATTGATAAGCTCCCCAGAAATCTGTATGTTATCGTTTCTGCAGGACAGTAGGGCGACTACCAGGTTATATAAACCAGTTATTTGCTCAGAGAAGAAGTAAAAGAGCGTACTATTGATTTGTGAAAAGGCACGCAGATGCTCGCATATGCAAAACTTCGAGCAATAAGAAAAGGATGCAGTAGGAGTGATCTGATGCAGCTCTTGGATCATGCTGTTCACGAGCTCCCTACGAAGACGGTTGGACTTCATGATGGGGACGATCTCCTTAGAAAACATGGGGCACATAGCCATCTGAAGCAGAAGAGCGTTCCAGTTGAACTGATTGGAAGAGAATATCATGAATAATTGGGACTCATAGTTTTGATAAAGGATGGTGAAGATTAACCGCAGATTGGCCAAGCAGCACATCCGCACATCAGAATCTGCTGAATCGCTTTTTGACAAATTACGAACTAAAGATTGATTGACAAAATTATTTAGACTATTGAAAAAGATTGAAATGAGCTGCTGATCTTCCAAGAACGATGCAGCAACTGCGGGGATATTGAAAAAGAGACCGATAAAACTGGGAAGACTATTTATAAGGGTGTATCTGATTGTAGGAAGAACCGGTACTTGTCGTTCAATAAAGATTCCACTCAATGCTGCTTGCAAGATAAGCACCATGTTATCCTTTTCTGTCAGAAAATGCAACAGCTCGGATGTACCTCTACTGTGGAGCTGCATATATAGATCTTCGTGTGTCAACAAAGTAAGAACGCGACGGCTCTGCATGAGCATCTTGATGCTATTGTCCTTGATAAAACGATAGATGTCAGCCACGTATAGACGAGTAGGACACACCTTCTCGACGGAAACAAAGACTCTTCTTGTTTCCCCACTGTAGTAGTTCTTAATATCTAGAAACGTTTCAAATGGGATGAGCGCTCGATCATATACTTGCGCGACCAGAAGGCTTTCTTCGCACACAGAACTATAGAAACCGTTAGACGTCCTTTCCAGTTCAGCTGCTGGGTCCTCATGCTCTATCTGGGAAGTGTTAACAGATCTCGACAGGTGCATGAGCCGCAACTGAGACGTGCTAAGGTAGTTGAGGGTATCTATTGCTCCATTAAAGCTATGACTGCCATCACGAGCTACCTGAGCCTGTGAAGACACATATGTGCTACCAGATACTAGCTTAGGTGCTGGTATCGGTACAGACGGTGGCAATGACTTGGTGTTAGGTACCTGACTCTGACTGCTGGCAACTGTATCTGTTTTGTGAGAGAGATCTGCAAAAGAGATAGGGTGTATGCCTATGGTGGCAAGAATAGCTTCAAATGGATAAGATGCACTGTTCTGAGTCAAATCGAGGATCTCCTTTACTTTGGAGTCCTTTGGAAGAGGTGAGAGAGAAAGCAAGCCAACTGCATACCGTAGCATAACCAGCAGCATGGTTCTGTCGAGCTGAAAAGCCTCGTTCTTCGAGGCTGTCAACACATTCTCACTCCTGATGCAAGGTAATGAATAGTTCCCCAGGTAGACCCTCCTGTCACTGGAAAGGTAAACTGTTGCCATGCTGAGGCGCAGATGAGAGCGAATGCAAAGCTCCCCTGGTTGAACACGCCCGTAAAGGAGGTCCAAAGCATAGTAGATACCGTGTGTAACATCATAAAGCAGCTGTTCGCGAACAGCTAGGGGCTCTTTCATGAATGGCTTGAGGGCCTTGTCCAATTGTACGCCATCATGAGGGCAAGTCTCAAGTAAAAGGTCATCTCCGCAAAGCTGAGTCCGTCCATAGCGTATTAGTGGCCAGTAAAACTTAGGTGTAGAGGCAATTGCACTACTGGAAATGTGCTTCTCGAAGAGCTGGAGGGTTAAGGAGATGTCCACATAAGCTGTCTGTATGACCTCAAGCGATATGGCTTTAAAGCTCCGCATATCAAGCTTTACAAGTTCCATTCCCAACGCGGGAAATGTGGAGTCGTTTGACATATTGTGACAACCGAACGAATCCGATTTTGGAAATTTAATGCTCCACCCCGTTGAGCTCTAAAGAAGTCAACTATTGACTAGCGTGTGTGATTAGCGACGCATCCAGACGATTATCTGAAAGGCATCTTTAATCTGGCGAAGAGAAGCGCTTCCTGGATTGATAAAGATCAAAGTATACTTCTGGAACCTCTTGTTGGTAGCGAATGGGTGATGCAGAAAGAGCGCAATGAGCCACCATAGCTTTTCTAAAGAGGTATTCCGATGACCCATGCACGTCAGAACTACAAATAAACGAAGAAGCTCAAAACCGCTAGCCACCCCGTGTAAATGGTACCAGAGCCCCCATCCATTTCTCTCTCTGTCGATTCTCTGGAGGATCTACCGGCGTGTTTCTTAGACCTGGGATGGTATCGCCTTACCGCAGAGCAGGGGCAGATCATACGAGAACAGTACATGAAATGCTACAGAGAACATGGAGCAGATCTAGTGATAGCTCCATATATTGAAAGCGATACTAATATCCGCAGACTAGGCATTGCTCTCCGAAAGCGGTTTAGTTCGAAAACTCAACCAGAGCTCGTCATATCTGCTCTGCTCCACTTTGGACCAAATCTAGAGGTTGTTCCGCAGTTACTTTATCCAGATAATTACGGTCCTCCACCCGTAACTGTCGATTCTCCTCCATCATCTATATCTCTACATCTTTCCAATCCTGAGCGCTTTCTTAGCATGAAGTACTTTCCATTTGCTGAAGAGCCGGATGCATCTACGGATTGCTCCAGACTTCTGAATCACCTTAATGAAGACTTCTCTGATGTCTTTCCAGCGGTCTATTTGGATTGCCAATGGAAGTTTGACCCTGCCCTCTCTGCCGATTCACCTCTAAGCCGAGCAGCACTGTACAACGCATTTTACATCTGTTACTTGCAGGCAGCACATCAAATAGCTAATACTCTGTGTGCTCTGCGTGATTCTGTTGCGGACAACAAGACTCTGGTCAATTATGCCATTCGATGCGCAGGAGTGATGAACTCATCACTATCAGCTATATATGCAGACATAGACCGCTATGCACAGGGTGGTGCTGTCTCTGCAGCAATTGAATGCTATGAGGAGTACCTGGAGACTCCACTGGCTGTCTCCTATCGCAGCTACCATTCCTCCTTGGCGCTTCTTGAGCACATCCTCCACAAGCCATCCACCACTGAGGCAGACCCAACTGCTGCAATCGCGTTTCTGATCAGCGCAGCAACAGCATCGTACAAAACGTTTACTCAGAAGCAATACTCGGAGTAAATCACAGCATGCGTGTTCCCTCCTCAGCCAGTCCATCTTGCTCAACAGCCACAAAACGCATGAATCCTCCCGATTTTGTGTCTAAAGAAATGGCTGTCTTCAGAAGCTTATGGGCGAGATTGATAGCCTCTGTGCGAGTAAGCTCTGGTCTGTACAGTTCCTTCATTAGCCCCTTGATAAAGACGCCTCCAGAGCCAGAAATAGCGTAGTCTTCCTCTAGCACAGAGCCACCTATCATAGAGTTGATGCAGTGGAACCCAGTGTTGTCCACGCCCCCTAGAATGAAGGCTGCATGAAGGAACTCGCGATACTTGTGCAAATATATGCTTATGATGTTTGCTGCTGTAGCAACCATTGGGTCCATGCCATTCAGATTGGCATGGAGATCCATTTGCTGGGTCATCAAGTGGGCTCTGACTTCGTTCACCAAAAACTGTGCATGAGACACGCTTCCGGCAATGCATGTGTAAATCTTATCAGTGATGGGCAAAACCTTGGGGATAAAGCGATCCACTACTAAGTTCCCCATGGTCGCCCGTGTGTCGGCAGAGAGAAGAACCCCATTGGAGTATTTCATTACAATGATTGTTGTCCCCAGGCTCAGGGGAGGCATAGAGTGCGTCAGGGTGGGATTGACAGGGGTGTATGGGACTGTCTTGACCAACATTTTTTAAACCGACCAACCACCCCTGGACGCCCAGAACAGCTGTTGAGAGAGAGCCATGCCATAGAACAATCGTTTACTGCCTCAAGATGCAGTGATCACTTGAGGTATCCAGTTGCATCGGTTTGAATCTTATGTACAGCACGCTTTGCGTCCATGAAGAGCTCAGAGACCTCTTCCACGTGCCTCAAATCTACTTCAACGCCTCCAGCGCTGTCTATGACTGTGAGCCCACCGGCAGCCTCTAACTTAGCCACTACGAAGGCCGGAAAGAGGAGCTGCATCGCGTATCGGAGACTGGAACTGTGTCCCAGCTCTGCAAGCCTCTCCAGGGCCGCACTCGTCAAGGGTATCTCCTCAACGGATGCACGAAGTTTAAGGATCTTGGCGATGTCTTCCTGCTGATAGGGAAGCGTTTTGATGACAAGTAACCGATCGAGAAGGTCACGAGGAAGGCCATGAGGACTCTTGACGCCACCGCTTCCTCGAATCTCACAGATACCACGGTTAGTCGCAAAGATGATAACAGGGGCAAGCGGGCTTTCCATCGCTTTGTTCAGGAAGGAGAAGCACTCCAAATCAAGAAGGTGCGCCTCGTCAATAAAAAGCAGCCCAGACTGGAGCTCACAGATTCCTTGATTCAGGTAGCGCGAGACCACCTTGTCTATCTCTTGGCGCAGCTTGTCCGTGATCTCTGTCTTCCTTATCTTGTTGAACTGATTCATAATAGAGACTAGGTCCTGGCCGCCCCTGGGATTGGCGTTAGCAATATCTAGATCATGGAGGGTGATATCCTGCACAATCTCGCGCTTCCTATGCACCTCCCCCTTGGGCATCGGCACATACGAATCTGACTCTAGCTGAGTCTCTGAGGCCAACTTGTCAGAACGTCCAAGTCTTTTCACAAGACCAGAGTTGGCTTCTATGTAAATGATGTCGCCCACGCGGATCTTCTGCGCCTCAAGCTGCTGGTAAATAATTCCGTCTAGCTTTAGCTCCCTGGAGGACTTTCGTGTGCGAAGGGTGATATTGACGTGGCTGATAGTCTTTGGCGCCCCAGGGCCGTTTGAAGGGGCCTCTATTGCGTTGATGCTCGCCACCTCTCCTTCAAAGACCTCCTTGACCTCTTTGATGCGGAGTCCAATAGCCCGACGAAAATGCTCCATGAGAACCTCTGTTTTCTTAACCTCTGCACTAAAAACCTCTGATGCAACTAGGTGAGCAAACGGAACGGAATCACCAAGCTCACGAGCAATCCCAAGAGAGATGGCAGTTTTCCCAGTGCTGCTCGGGCCTGCAAGTAGAACAGAGCGACCTGCAAGCCTTTTCTGCTTGATGAGCTCCACAACGATCCCGGCTGCCTCGCGCGCAGCCTCTTGGCCGATGAACCCTCCGTCCTCTGCTCGCGGCTTCCCATCCCCATCAAGCCCGAGCTTCTTTATGTGGGAGTGTGCGTCGATTCTCTTCTGTCTATCGGAGGTAACCTGCTCGATCTCAATCTTCATGCCAGAGGTGAGGGGCCTACTAATTCGATTTTAAGATTCAAATTGATTTGCCATTCCAATTTAAAATTCTATTACTAAGAAACAGTGACATGAAAAGGTAGATTTCTGGTAGGATGAAAAGCTTCTTTCCATTTACATTATCAAATTACAGAAATGCAAAACGGCATAGATCTGCTCACCTCTGTCCTCGTACTGGAGTACTGGTTGGGGCCAGGTAGGTACAATGCTAAGCAGCGCATACAGGAAGCCGAGAGCAAGGTGTTTGAAATGCTCGATGCGGGGCTTAGGGTGCACGGATCCACAGGGCAGCAATCTATAGCCCCGGACGCATTTCTCAAGACACTCTTCCTGGACATGGGCGTGCCCCCAACACTAGCTTCACAGGCCTTGGATCATATAGCTTCAGTGGCTGGCTCCAGAAAGTAGTGCCGGGGGACTTTTTTTCTAAGGTGCAGTTTCGTGAATTCTATGGTTGCATAGCAGAATCATGCTGGTCCATGTGGTAGGAGTCCCTCCACAAATCAATAACTATGACTAAAAGTCTTTAAATTTCAAAAACTACGAGCATTTTTAAATGTCCACTCAGCGCCACGTCAGGATCGGAATCATCGGCGGAGGCCCTGCAGGCCTCACTGCGGGGATTTACGCGTCGCGCGCGAATCTGAAGACCTGCGTCTTTGTGGGGATTGAGCACACGTCTCAGATGTTCACCACCACGGATGTGGAGAACTTCCCTTCTCACACCGCTATCAAGGGGCCTGCTCTCATGGAGGCTATCCAGAACCAGGCGGAGCACTGTGGCGCGGAGCTCCTCTATGAGGACGTTCACAGCATCGACGTCTCCTCGCGACCTTTCAAGATCGTTCACGGCTACGAAAATGAAACAACGCTCGCTGACGCCCTTATCATTGCGACGGGTGCCACGGCTCGCCGCCTGGATTGCAAGGGCGAGAAGGAGTACTGGCAAAAGGGGGTGTCGGCCTGCGCTGTCTGCGATTCTGCCATGGCCACCGGGAAGGAGGTCGTTGTCGTCGGCGGAGGCGATGTTGCGTGCGAAGAGGCCACCTACCTCACAAAGATCGCCACGAAGGTCTATATGGTTCTCAGGCGCGACAAGTTCCGCGCCTCTGCCGCCATGGTCAAGAAGGTCATGAACGAAAAGCTGATAGAGATAATTTACGACTCTGCCATCGATGAGATCAAGGGCGACGGTAAGTGCGTTACCTCGGTCTCCATCAAGAACCTCAAAGACGGGAAGACCCGCACTCTCAACGCTGGCGCCCTCTATTGGGCCGTTGGCCACGATCCCCAGACGTCGTTCCTCAAGAAGGGGCAGCTGGAGCAGGATGAGGCCGGGTATATCCTGCTCAAGGACCACCCCACTCAGAGGACTTCCGTGGATGGCGTATTTGCCGCCGGCGACTGCTGCGACCACCTCTACCGTCAGGCTGTCGTTGCAGCAGGATCTGGGAGCAAGGCGGCACTCGACGCCGAGCGCTGGCTTGCCATGCAGGAGTAAGTAAATGGCAGCGGGCCTGTGGCTCCAGTTCAGCCGAAAGGATAGCTGGGGGAGGGGATGTTGAAACTAAAAAACAGCGTGGACCGCGGGGATGTCTAGCTGCAAGTCTAGCCGATGTGGCACGCTGTTCTACCTTCCTAATATCGTAGATTACAGTAGAATTGTTGTGCTGATTGTGGCAGTCGCCGTCTTTCAGTCTCGTCCACTTATGGCAGTTTTCTGCTTTGTGTATGTTTGTATGGCAGATTGCTTCGACGGCTGGTTGGCACGAAGCTTGAGTCAAGAGTCGGTCCTCGGAGCAACCTTAGACATGGTCATCGACCGATGCTTCGATGCGTTATTATGCATGATTTTAGGAATAATTTATCCAAAGTATGCGATCGGATTTATGTTTCTGACGTTCTTAGATATAAGCAGCCATTGGATGAGACACGCCTACTACTCGCGGAAGCAGAACTCCCACAAAAATGTGGACGAAGATACATCCCTGCTCTTAGGTTTGTACTATAAATCTAGACCGTTTCTTTGCTCTCTTTGTGTTGCTTATGAAGCCATGCTCATTTCCCTGTATGTCTATCGAATGGTGGATTGGCTTCCCATTACCCGCTTAGCCCTCCTAATAGCCTGCTTTTCATCTCCTCTTACGATCCTTAAAATATACATCAATGGGGTTCAAGCTGTCGACGCTATACTACGCCTTTCGAAGGAGCCATGCTGTTAAGCTGCTCTCTGCGTTCTTGATTGTGAATTTTTAAAGGCTCCTTTACCCTACCCCGCCCTTCAATGAGCTCCTCTGGGAACCGGAGGTACCTACGTGAGCACCCAGAGCTCAAGGCTATCACCACGTGGTTTATTTCCGAAGTAATCTATATGCAGCCACCGAACATATTGCAGTTTGCAGCGTCGTTCTTTAAGTCCAGAATAATGCAAGACTACGTGGCCCGGTCTTTCGGGTATCAGGATAAAGATGCCCATCTAGCTGCGCTCCGGTCTGCCGCGCTGAGCACTATCTCTTCATCTGTGGACCTTTGTAGAGATGGAGATAATACTGAAGTTCAAGCCAACGATCGCCGATCAACGCATGACAGCTCTAGCTCATCAATAGACAAGACCTATCGTCGCCTGCTCAACCTTAGTGAGCAGTTGGGAGAAGTCCGGCGTCGCGGCGACCTGTCCAGCAATATGACCTCAGATAGCACTTCGTTTCCCGAAGAGTTATCATCTAATGTACTGGCCACTAACGTCAACGAGATTCTCTCTAATGCAGAGAGCTTGCAAGGCTTTGTGTCTACCCTCCCCAAGACTCTCTCAGCTCGCAGAGCAGCCTATCTGTTGCAAAAGCTGGTGGATACCTTTGGACCTGCTCCACACGAAGCCGCTCTAGCTATGAGTATAGATAATGTTCCATCAGCGTCTGTCCCACCCATTACGCTATCAACTCTTTTACCTCTTGTCAATAACAGGCTTTGGGGCAGTGCATACGACTCAGAGCAGCAAAGTGGAGTCACATCCATGTATGAAGCTGGGCTGTCTGGCCATACTGTAGGAAGTGTGCCACATTCTACAATAGAGGCAAGTCATGTGCTTAAGGAACTTTTAAGTTGTCACAGGCCTGGTCTCTTTGTAGGGGACTGGGATGTGGAACTGCCTGCTGAGGCACAAGAATCAGTCGCTCCATACCGCTCTATTGTTACGGAAAATATTGCATTTCGCTTTCCCACGGTTGGTGTTAGTACTACCGATACCAACTACGGTTGCCCTACTGGCTTTGTCGACTATAAAGTAGTAGCAAGCAAACCCTTTACCTCTACGTTTTTTCAGGCATACGATAGGCTGAAGGAGATAGATTCTGTTCCGTTAGATCCATCCCTCTTGACAGCCCCCGGTATCCTTGTCCAGCACACAATTGGGAATCTTCTTTCATGCCCCCTTCTAGTTCCTGTAACACTGCACTTGCGAAGCTCCTTGCGGTCTTGTCTCTTTATTTCTCGGGGAGGACTGCTCCAATGGTGTTCACTGCTAGGCTTCTCTAGCTATGAATTTAAACATGCTAGCATCGCAGCAATCTTAAACACGAGCCTATTAGCATCAGCGACTCTCAAGACAACTTTAGAACAATCGCAAAGCCAACCTATTATCGACTCAACTGCACAACCTGAAGCATCGCATGTAGGTACACCCTCTTCTTTGCCTATCACTGGTGCATCTGGAAGGCTGCGATTTAGTGACATGCTCTCTCAGATGGAGGCAAGTTGTTCTCCCAAGGTTCCTCCCAGCGAACGGTTGAGAGACAACAAAGAAAGCAACGAAGGCACTCACAATGATCCAGTCATATTTACAACTGACTCAATCCCGCCACTGGGCCCATCCCCGAGGCAGCAACGATGCCCTACCCTACTCTATGAAGAAATTAGCCCTGACCTTCTGACTTTCTTTCGAGCTGTGGCACCACACATATCTGGAATAAGTGTTGAAGAGTATGAGTATGGTGTCCTGGACATCTGTACTTTTCTTCCCAGTACGTACTTTTGTTGCGCTAATTTAGAGATTGAGGAAGTTACCGAAAGCTTGCGTGCAGAAAGGACCCCATTTAAGGGCATGAGTTTGGATGCAAGCGAAGTCTATATAGGAATGCTTTGCCCATCGCTTCCTCTTCGCTATCTCTTTTCTGTTAACTCGATATTTCCAGAGCTGGGATATGGCTGCTTTCGTCTCTTCAAGTATCTCCCTGTCATAGTGCGAGGGAGCTACCCCCATGCTGAGCCTGATAGTATGTGCGTCGTTTTCACCAGTATCCTCCCAACAACACACTGTGATAACATTGTTCCAGGAAGAAGCGTTCTGACCAATTTGCAACAAAAAGGTTCATCGGTTTCAGTTTCTAGTTATTACGAGTTCTATACTCTTCCACCTTCCGCACGGTTGTTGGAGGGCATCAATACAGAGGTCCACCGCATGCTGGAAAAGGCACAGATACACGTGTCCACCGTTCGTTATATACTCCTGTCTTCAACAACTAGCTACGGCCGCAGCACCTTAACTTCTGAGGACACAGGCAACTTTCTGTCCAACTCCTGGATGGACACGTACATCCTGCCAAACAAGACTACACCGAACTATACCTCTCAAACTATCTTACGCTTCCATGAGTTTATGAACTATGCATACAAGTCCCCCGAGTACTCGGAGCTTTTGCAGAAGCCATACGATTATGACGACCCCCAAGCAGTTGATGTTTCTGTCGCTGTTTTCTTTTCATTGTGGGATATCGCAGAAGAAGACTACATTGGTGCCATACCAGTGAGAGACTTCACTGGGACTATAGGTTCTTCTGCCCTCTCTAAGCCCTATAAGCATCTACTTCAGACAAAACTCGTTACAATCCACTCGTATAAAAATTATCTATCGCAGCTACAACCCTTACAGAAATTTGTTCAGAGAGATGTCATGGCTAAGTTCCCGTTAGTGCTGGATAAGCTGCTTTATCGCGACTTGCTATCGTGCAAGGTTCTCCCTTGGCTAGGCCCGGTGGAGTACGTATCTTTTTTAGCAAAGACTGCTCACACGCCTCTCTTTTGTTACTTAGCGCACAAGCTGCGAGACTGTGCCTGCTATTATCTTCCCATTATTTCCGACCACAAGCGGAGCCTTCTCGTTGCAACGGACGAAGGAGAGAAGGAAGCAGAATGTATGGATCTCATCGCTGGACTGGCGACAGATCTGATTTCCAGACTCAATAACCGCATGACGGATCAGAAGCTTCATCCTAGCACAACTATTGATTTGGTAGCATGTTTTTCAGCCAAAATCCTCGCTGGAGGAACACCCTCCTATGAAGCAAACGATGTGCACCATGACTCAATGACCTGCACCAAATCGTGCTCCACAGCTGCAGTGAAGAGTCGCGTTTACCAAACACGCTCAGTGGTCTATCCAGATAATACCGTTAGTTCCTTCCTAGCGACGTTCCCGTCCCTTTTCTCGACCGAGGCGCAGCTGTACCTTACTCGCCTCACTCTTAGTCAACTACTCGATGCACTCTGCCACACCTACTCCCTCGCATTTGACAGTGGCCAGAGAAGCGTGCATACAGTCTGTGATTCACTCCCATACTTGACAAATGTTGGCCTCTACTACGATGCATCCAAGCCAGATAATACCGGATCCTTTCTCTTCAATTTGGAAAGGTTCTCTTATGACTTAATTTCCCAGCTTAGGTACTCTGTCGCAAAAGATACAATTGTAAGCAAAGTGGAGGAGAACTATGCACTCTTTGAGAAAAGCCATATCCTAGAACTGGTCCACAAGCACCGCATAATAAGTGAGGACATGGAGAAGAGTGTCTTGCTATTGACAGACAAACACATGATTAATTCGCCCATCGGCATAGCCAGAAAGTTGACGCTGGAGGTCCCTGGCCACGAATGGAGCCCCATGGTCATTCCTCTTCGTGTGAGACGATACAACCAGATAGAGGAGAAGTACGAATTTGTTGACGACAAGAAGCCGATCAGCTTGCACTTGACTGCGGGTCACGCATTGGTGGGCAGGTACTACCCTGGTCTAGATCCTGAAAAGGGCATCTATGTCATGGAGGACCACATGCGGCGCGCCATCTACTCTGTACCTTTCCCAATAGTGTCCTCCTCCGGGACAGTAGGGGCACTCTCAGCGGCAGCGTGGGGCCACCTGCTGGAGATGATCCACTAGATCCCCGTGAGCGTCATTATAATGGGAACATGGTCACTATAGCTATTATAATCGTCTAAGATGTCCACCGTCGTTACACGTTTAAATATCTTACTTGTAACCACAAAGTAATCTATCCGCCACCCATGCTTCTGTTCTCGTGCACGTCCAAAGTTGCTAAACCAGCTATAGTTAATCCGGTGAGGATGCATAGCTCTAAATGCATCTATCAGACCGTGTCCATCCAATAGCTTGCTGAACGCGTTACGCTCTTCATCGGTAAACCCGGGACTGAAGTGGTTGCTCTTCGGGTTATAGAGATCTATTTCATTGTGTGCAACGTTTAGGTCTCCGCAGTAGACAACATCCTTTCCTGCAGCAACTAGGTTTCCTATGTACTTGGATATCAGCTTCTCATACTTTATACGTGTGGAAAGATTGGCGGGCCTGTTCTTGGAAGTAAACGCTTTCCCACTTGAGCCGCGACCGGAGTTAGGGGCGTACACATGGATGAGCTCGAATGATGGAAGGCTAACGTGCAAAAAGCGACCCTCAGAATCGAACTCCGGGTCTCCCATCTGCATACACAGGTCTAAGACAGGAACAGACTCTTTGGCGAACATAGCAGTGGATGCATACCCTTGCTTGGCGGTAGAGCAGCAGAAAACGTGCTTATACCCCTTCATCACGGTGTACACCCCCGTGTCTGGATCCCTGGTGGCCTCCTTCTCCATGAATGCGGCAAAGGCGGACGAACCCAGCTTTGTCTCTGAAAAGCACACTATATCGGGGTTCTTTTTGTGTATAAAGTCCTTGAGGCCCTTGGAGAAGGCCGACCTTATGCCATTAACATTAATTGCTAAAATGGTGAACGGTACTGGTTCAGTCTTTTCATCTGAGCCTATCTGAAATGTGGAGTACGGCGGGGGAGGAGGCCGTTCCTTTGCAGCTGAGGTCTTCTTCATCTTAACGGGTGCAGGAGGCATGGGAATTTATTTTTCGCTCATTCGGTCATAGGTTTTTGTCTTGTACCGGTTCGCTTTGTCATAGACCCTTATAGACCCTAGGTACTGCTTGTAGGGCCTTGCTGGCCAACAGTAGATGGTAATAACAATCAATCACGATTAATGTCTCAATGTCTAAATTAAATTAAAGCAAGCTCCTCATGGTCACTGCTTTCCAACAAATAGCTTTTATCTTTAAAAGTGTCGACGACAACAAGCTCAGTGAGGAGCTAGAGAAGCTCAGGGACGAGGGAAAGCTCGAGCAGGCGAAGGCCCTCCTATTACGGAGCATCGCTGAGGACGACATGCTAGCCGTCACGGAGCTCCTTGGCCTCTATTGCAGTCTTCCTCTCGAGGTAAAGGAGATGCTCATCAGTGACGAGGAATACCTAACCATCCTGCAGAAGCTTGATGAAAGGGCTAGCAACTACACAGACCGCACAATATACCTGTCGTTCATGGTAGATACTTTAAGGGAGAGTACTGTATCTGTTCGACAACAGGCTCTGTTACTAGCCACCCGGTACTTTGAGCAGCTAGTTGGGAATCCTTCTTGTTCTGACTTATTGGATTTGCTCCCACTTAATTCTGAACTTGCCTACAATGCTATGATGACTCTCACAGCATTCTACGACCTTGCACTTTTAGGATCCGATGACAATCTCGTTCAACTCGTGTACCAGTCTAGTCGCGTCCTTGCAGAGCTCCTTGCATCTCGCGTCTATCGAATAATAGGATTCAAGTGTGCATCAATGCTTCCCCTTGCTGCAGCGCTGTTCACCGTCTTTTCGGCAGGTGAGACATCTAATAGGGAGCACATGGCATACAGCCTTCTCTGCTGGCTGGTGAAGCTCCTTACCACAGCAGAGCAGAGTGTGGCAGTCGCTATCTTAGCGTCGGTCCTTAAGATTGTCAAAGAGGAAGGGTATACGTGCGTAGGAGCAACTACATCTCCCAAGAGAAGTGGGTTTGTCCTTCTGTGTCATACTCTCCTTGGTGCAGGATCCAATATCACCTCTGGGGTGACCTTACTGTGCAAGAATCTGGGCACAACAGAGTATGAAGAACACCGGGTCGAGATCCTGTGCCTATTCTATGGCGTTTGTGCAGAGTCAGACCTTCGGGTTGCAAAACTGCTAGGGCAATCAGTAGTTCTTTTAGAATGGATGAATAGTAAGATAGGGTCCATGGAGCCAACTGACCAGGCAGCTGTCATGGAGCTAGCAGAAAAGCTACTCACCTTAAATGCAGTTGATGAGAATTACATGGATTCCTTCAGATCACTATCTAGAGGTCTTCGTTGTAGTGGCAAGGAGGCTCCAATCGTGACGGAGACGCTTTGACCCACCCTACTCATCCGTTCAAATCAGTTAGACTTAAATGTAAGGGGAGTTAAGCCTCCGAGTATCAACTTCTCACCTTCTCGCCGGACCCTTTGGATCTCTTGCTGCATTTTATTGTATGTTTGTTCTAGGGTACGGGCTTCTATATGTAGCCCGCGTAAGCGGTCTACCAGGTGCCAACGCTCAGCCTTCTGTGCTTCTCTTGCTTCTGCCCACACGGTGTCTGCATCTATTATGGTCTGCTCACTATCACGGAGCAGTGTGTTTGCAGTGTCAATAAGCTTTCGCCGCCGTACCTGCAGGAGTTGCTGGTTATTTCGTAACTGCTTTGCGCGTTCTTCTGAGAGGGCCACATCTAAAGTGTATTGCTTCTTTAAGTTGTGCACCTCTGCCTTCAATATCTCAACTTCTTGCCTCACTTTCTGAGTGTTGATCTGCAGGCGCTCCACATCCACTTTTATGTTATCCGGAAGGGCCATCGCCTTTGCTATCGTAGCTATCGGTGTCAGTGTGTTAATGCCGGCAAAGATATTATCAGCATCCTTTTTCATCTTGGTCTTGGACACAATTGACATGCGATCCTGGAGCTCTATCCGCAGACACTCGTTATCCTCATTCAGTCTGCTAAGTTGCTGTGACAACTGGGCTAGCTCGAGACGTAGGTTTGCTTCCGACTCTTTGCTTGCATCGACCAACATGTTGTTGAGGCCCACAAGTCTTATATATTCCTGCTCAAACATGGTGCTGTAGCTGCTGATTTTCCTCTCAAGGTAACCTCGCCTTATATTATTGAATGCGGCGGACTTGCGCATGAAGCGGGCCTCAAGAGCGAGGGCTTCTTCATAGAAAGCAATCTCTTTTTCCTTTTCAGCGCACTCCAGGAAGAACTTAGATTGCGATGAGACACACTGACTCAACCTCACAAGTGCCTTGATACGCTCACTGGCCACGGTTTTGCGAGCTATCGAGCAAGCGTCATCATTAATATCAGCAGCTATCTCCTTTTCAGCCGTAATGCGGAAAAATAGCATGTTTAGTGCGTCGGAATAAATATGGGTAATGATGTTGCGAATTGTGGTGGGCAGGAGAGAGGCCTCTCTGACAATGCTTGTGTTGAGCATGTGAAGGGAAGACAGCTTGCTCTGCAGGCTGTGGAGGCGGGCTGCTGAATAGGACGACACAGCCGCGGGCATAGAGGTGAGTATTTTAACAAGAGCCTGGGACGCCTCGGTGTTGTTGACTGTCATGCTAAAGAGAGCCGCTCTCATTCCCAAAGAAGAGAGCAAAGATCCTTGCAACTTCAGCCTTACACGCTGAGTCATTTCGCTGAACAGAATGGATTTGAATTTGTCAAGCATCTGCGCCAGAGCATAGTTTGTTAAAACAACAAGATTCTGATTCTCTCCAGAGCTTGCAACTCCATTGCTGAGGGCTTCTATTGTCATGAAGTTTCTTCCGAAGTATCGATGAAGGAACCTGGTGGACTGCATGGAGTCTCCAGGGAGATAAGGGAGGGTAACATCTGCTGGGCTTAGCCCATAAGTTCCGGGTACCAGGGGATATATTGGAGCGGCATTCTTGAAGAATCTGTTTGCCGTGATGAAGTTGTCACTGGGATTGGTGGGAACATATGATTTTATTTTCTCAATTAGAGCTTCCAGATTGCTAACGAGGGATTCTGAAAGCTGATTATAAACATATCCACTCAGTAGGAAGACGTTCATGGATAGTCTGGCAGAATTTAGCCACGGTTCCACAGTAGGATTGGTGTGATAGGATAGAACTGTATCCATGTACCCTGGTAAATAGGCTAGCCATTCACGCTCGTCTATATGTCTTTTTGAAAGGTCAAGTGGATTAGAACGCTGAGAAGAGCTGTTGGCATAGTTGTTTTCTAGAATATTATGTCTTGCTGTGAAGTGGGATGGTATGGCCGAACAGTTTAACATATTGTATAATTGAAATAGCCTCAGTTTGCCGACAACTACACACCGTGTCTTAGGGGGCTCTGTCAAGCCAGCTTTCTCATTGGTTAATGAGCGAGACACGGGATCAAAGATGTCCATGTAAGGCTTTGCCACAACAGATCTTCCGCACTCAGAAAGAGCGCAGAACTCCGAATATTCATCGACGGTATCTATGCCTAACACTTTCTCTCCCGAGTACAGCACTATCGGAGATATTCGCTCAGATAGCAGGAAAAAGTCGGAGAAGCTATATGCAATATGTCTAGTTTGTGATTGTAGCTCCCGCTTGCCGTAGGTGTGCACGTAGGTTCTTTCTCTGAGCTGCTGGAGAAAGATATGCACATGCAGAGCTGAGGCATCTATGCGATTGTCACCATCGTCGAGGGTGCACTGGTCCAAGAGGATTGATTGATGGCCAACTGCACCGAAGATTTCGGCAAAGCTGACTTCATTTAGGGTAGTGGATGACCTACCAGATGCGCTTCGGGCTGACAGACTCGCTCTATGACTGACGGTATCCTTGAGCAGGGGCTGGTTGGGTGCAAAGGAGCTGAGGCCTGCGTGCACAAGATGATGCCCTAGATTGGTTATTCCGCAGTTAAGGTTTATCGGTGAATGTGCCGATTGCTCAGCTTGATCTAGGCTTATTGTGATGGGGGCATATCCAGCGAAGCAGGACAGTGACGAGCCAAACTTATGTCCACTGCACAATCCGTTAAATAGTCCGTCAAGGAATGGAGGCGACATTATGCTGAGATGTGTGATCTCAGCAAATCGATTGAGCACCAATCTTGATGAGAAAGAGCTTTTAGTGTTGAGTATTCTTGGTCTAAATAGATCTGTATGCTCACCGCATGTCTTCAAGGTCTTGAGATTCAATTTGAGGCCTGCGCCTGCTACGCTTTGTAACAGGTCTGACTGGTTGTCGTGTTGGAGATACTCTGAATAAGGCTCCGGAAGAGACTGCTCTAGAAGGTCGAGCGATACCCGTTTTGTGGCACGAAGTGTATCATCTTCGCCCCCACACACATCACTGGGCTGCCCGTTCTTCAAGAGGCTGTCCGAATACTCTCTCTGCTTCACTTGCCTGCTCTCCTCTGTTACCTCTATGCCACTGGCACTGTACTCGTTTCCTCTATGGGCCAATAACGCCATGGTTCGCTCATTGATAACATTGTCGTCAAGCACTCCTGGCAAACCGTCGGCCTTACCACTGGGCCTTAGCCTTCCAAGTATGATGTCGATAATCTTATTCGTCGGATTGCCGACAACCAAATCAAAGCCCGTTACACGCTTCACGTTTTCAAACGTTTCAAGCAAGCTGTCGGTAGAGATAAGGTCACCATGGGAGTACGCACTTTTTAAGCATATTAGTGCATACCCCATTATCCGTTCAAACGCAAAGTCCCGCATGACATACACAACCTTAAGCACCTCCACAAGGGTGTAGGAAGTCAAGAGTAGAGCCTCACCTACCTCAGGAAGAAACAGGTCTTGATCCTCGCTGTTGTCTGAGACGACTGATGAAGCTTCGGTGTCTGGATCCCCAGTACTTGTTTCTAGCGGTGTAATAGGCATTGCTTGGAGCTCTAACGCCTTCTGTGAGGACATAAACTCGAGCATTTTGGGATCTGAGCCCACATATTCATCCTCCGGCTTGGTCTGATGCTTGGTGAGCCTCTCTGTAATACCATCAAGGAGTCCTAACGATGATGCATACTTATTGAAATCCACGACATCCACGGTTTTATGGACCTTCTTAATTGGCATATTAACATTGTTCTGCGACACATACTTTGTTTGCTGGTGCTGCTTGCACTGTCTCCAAATGCTCATCATCACTAGTGACATCAGTCGTGCGAAAAACACCAGCATGTTATTCTTACACCGATGCCCCCGTATTTTGAAGTCAAGAGCCTTCGAGTTAGAAACAAGACGTAGCTGTCCGATTAAGTTCTTCGTTTCCTGTTGAACCGACGAGTTATCAATATGTTCTCCATAGCCGACAAGCTCAAATTCACCCGGTGGCAAGATCTCTTCTAGCTCGGCAGTTTTCCCTGTTGCACTCTGGTCAATCGGGACAGGATGATCTGGCTCTTTGCTGCTAGGTGGCATGTCTGACCCGCTGGTATCAGAGGTTGTATCAGTTGAATCGCCCTCATCTTTCTGGACGCGAGTAATGCATCCATGCATATGAGTGCTGCTGGTTTGTGACTCCTCGTCCATTTGGCTACTTAGGGCCATCTTCAGAATGAAGTCGCTATATCCATTTGCACGCCTAAGAAAACCGGAGCTACTGTCATTAAGTAGCAGGTCATGCACTTGTGCGTCGAAGTTCTGTTCGTCGTGGTGCTTGTGTCCACTCATTGCAAGTCTGCAAGAAAGCCTTTGAAGAACAAGAGAGAAGTCACAGTAGTGCAGATAAGACGCGTAGAGATGTATTAAGCCAGCCAAGAGTGGAACGGCTTGGAAGAGGTTCGTTGTCTTGCTTGCCATAACAAAGCGAACTGACGATGCTGGAGGGACTATCGTCAAGTTGGGAAGAACGTTTTGTGAGACAGGAGCTCTAGTGAGTGCGTCTGGTGTGTGACCAAATAACAAAGAAGATATATTTTCATGCACAAGAGGATCCAGCAGATATGGTGAAATGCAAAGAATGTCATATATATCTGTTAGATCATTCTTTCGACGACACGCTACTCTCTTAGGTGCTCTCCCTTTTGTTCTTGCCTTTCCACCTTTTTTTATTTCAGTCGTGGTACCGGGGAGATATCTTCCCAGTGACTGTGCTATGTTAACTTTCCAATTGTGCAGATTGTCTATTATTTTAAACTCAGAAAGAAACTCTAGGGCCTGCTGTTCCGTCGAGGCAAAAGAATAGTCGGCGACTCCATCAATATATGCATTCCAATCTGACTGATCAGCAGATTGCTGGCGAGTAAGAATATTCTTAACTTCACAGAGGTGCATCTCTTTGTGTTTTTCACGGAGCCTGTTCAAAATATCAGCAAGCTGACTCCGTAACGAATGTGCACGCGAATAGTCGCATAACATAAGCACTATTGTAACCAGTTCCATATTGCGAAGATTAAGTCGCAAATGGAATGGCAGATCAGAGGCATCTTCCAATGCTCCTGTGGAGACATGCGACGAGCTGCGGGCAGACCGTGTGGTGTCGCTGGTGGTGAGGGAGTCTCGATCGTAATCTGTCTGGACATGTGCTCTTTTAAGGACCATAAGACGGTCTTTGTGGGTGAGCAGAACGGATTCAATGCATCGAGCGCGTTCAAACATAAGCAAGCTACCCACGACACCAGACGCAAGCTTATCCTGTAGCTCTGCATAGGACGATCGAGCTTTTAGATACACTGTGTTGCTCCAAATATACTTATATTCTGCTGCCAAGATCAGGAAAGAAAGAAAGCAGTCATTTGCCGTGTACTTGTTAAGAGCAGACATCTGGGGCTCTTGCCCTAGAGGTATGGCTCCCTTGGAGACAACATTATTGCTTTGCAAATCGGCATACTGCTGTGTAATGAAGAAAGACGTTGATTCAGGTACGTTGTCTAATAGAACAACTGCAGATACGGCAGATATATCCACCTGTTGCGCCATGAGAGTGTGCCTTGCCTTCAGCTCGCATGCAGTGTTGAGATTTCGCAGAGGAACCATTACTGTTTCGACAAGCTCATTCAAGACGGTACGATAGAACTCTAGACCACAGGCCTGGACGAAGACAAGCCGCTGCAGGAAACCCACGACGTTATCTAGATAGATGTACGGATTTGTCTCGAAGCTATCCTGTACTGAGATAGTTTTTGGGCCCATCTTCTCGGGGCCTCTAGCAATTAACATGTCAACTATGGATGACAGCTCGTGCTGGTACTTCCTAGAGATCTGCGCTAGTTGACTGTGCGATGCTTCTACAAATGCATCTTTCCGATGCTCCGTTGTTATAGAAAAGAGAGTGCTGCAATAGGAGAATCCACTGAGGGTTCCTGCGACATCTGAAACGGTGGACGGAGAAAGAAAGTTGGGAATGTGTGCATATGGGTGATACGATTTATAAGAAAGATCAATAGCGGAACCTGGGCCACAGAGGGTGTGCGCTGACGTTGGAAATAAATGCTTTCCAGCCGAGTTAGAAGTAGCCTTCAATGTGGCCTTGGAGTCGGCCGTCAAGATAAATTCCTCGTCCGAGGAGTCATCTGAAATGATCACATCTGGCAGAGCTGCTTCAAGAAGCTCACTCGTATTCCCGTCAAGAAACAATGGATCTAATTTGAAAACAGTAGGGGTCATGTCTCGTAGTAGACGGACAGCAGCTCCAGCAAGAGGGTCCAGAAGGCACAGCTCAAAATCAAAGTCGCTCGGTAGCTGGAAGCTATCAAAGGTTGACGTGAAGTCACGATTGCTAAAGTCAAGTAGGCATATAGAATAATCATACTCTGTCTCTGTTTCTTTGCACACGTCTGGGACATGCAGTGCACTACTTGCCCTAGCTCGAGGCAGCTCATGTGTATAACCAGTCAGAAATTCTTCGAAATTAATAAAGTTAGGCAACATATCTTCCAGACACGAGTTTGTCCACGGACCACGGCCCATACTGAGCTTTGATAGTCGTCGACCCAATTCATTGTAACATGAACCAAGGCATTGAACTGCGATAGTAGTCTGAATAGTTAAAAGCGCCAAGTTTCGCTTGCTTGCTAGAATATTTAAGCATTCGTTTGCCTGAGATATTGTCTTCACACTCTGAACAAGCTCGTATGGAAGCCCATAAAGCCCATATCGACACTGCTTATGAAGATACTGAGGAAGAGTTCCAAGAGCCCCACGGGTGCGACGAGATTGCGACACAAAGAAGAGCTCTTCGCGTGCAGCTTCATAGACTGCACAGTGGCATAAGTCATTCGCATAGGCCGGCAGTCGTGGCGCGAGAAGATACTTGGAAGTAAAAACGTATGCATACTTGTCCAAATCAGAAAGCAGATTGACTAGTTTCCCAATAGAATAATGGATATCGCAGATAGTTGTCTGTGCGAAGGCGGGGTGAACAGGGGACCCGAAGCCAGCGTACCTTGGGAACGTCACCACATAGCTATCTTTTGTGACTGTAAAAGCGGTTCCACCCGACTCCACTCTCTTATGAAGATGATCGTCAGATGCCTCCGCATGTCCAGATAGAAGCAGTGCTCTCTTTGGTCCTTCCTTACGCGACAAGCCATCGATGGAGGATCGCTCAGAAATACTGCTGGCATCTTTATGGTCGCCTCCCAGGTACTTGCTAGTTTGCGACGCTAAAGCTGATGTTGGTCGGTATCCAGATTGGCTGATCCCAAGTTTAGAGCTAACATGCTGGAACGCCGAAGAGCTACGTCTACTTCCGGCAGAATTATTTCTCTGGGATGCTGATCCTTTCCACGGAGCCGTGTCAGGCCCCAGTTTTTGCTGTGCTGGGGGTAAAGACGCACTAACCAACTTTCTTTCTATGTGTGTATGAACTCTCGTTACAGCTGCCTCTCGACAATCATCTTCTAATACAGCGGTAATGTACTCTTCAATGAATCGAGAGACCTGCTGAAGGCGTAGAACTAGCGCCTGGCATCCCGTGAAGCTGTTGATATCATTCGTTGCAACTAGTAAGTCTGCATCATACGACGGCCTCATGTCAATTATGCCCGAGACATACTGGAGCCACTTGATACAGTCCACATAGCTGACAGAATGAAAGTAGCACTTCAGCGCCTGATCGACGACCTGCCTCTTACGCTCAACAAGGTTGAGCTCCTGCTCATAAAGAAAGAGCAAGATAACCATGCGGTCAACGCGAAGAGGCCCGTTGCCTAGCTCTGATAAATCAGTCTTGTTCTCTGCTGCGTCAGAGGACAGGTACTCAACAAGCGTACTGCCCGCGTAGAGAATATCTCGCTCAACGACGTGCGAGAGTTGCCGTATAGCCTCTGTAAAGATGATCCTAGACTTGTCTGGTGCTATAATATCATTTGCCTTGAGGGAGGAGCGCTCGCTAAGAGACTCGTCGCGCTTAAAGCCAAGCACACCGTACATTCCCGTTCCAGAGCCCGCAGGTACTTCCTTCGACATAATTTCTCGGAGAGCGTCGCCAACGTCCTGCAAACAGAATGGCTTATTGGATTGCTCAAAGGGGAAGTTGAGTGTGTGCAGATGCAGGTCGCTGTCCATCTTGCACCGTACATATTCTAAATGATTGTAATGATACAATAGGCGTGCACGAAGGTGCACAATCTTCCCATAAATCATATAGTAATGTAAGTGGAGCAGATTGGTCGGAAGCCCCGTATTCGCATAAGATATATGTGCCTTGACCCGTGCGCTTATGTACCGATTCACAGTAGCAATCACATCTCCGGTTAACGAGTCAAAGTTGTCAAGCTTCATTTTATAGTAGTCTTCAACATCGTTAAATGCTGTTTTGGCCAGATTAAGGTCATGAACCAGTGCCTCATCAATAACCAGGGACTTAGAATCGAAGAGATGCGCATTTACGGGCAGGGCTGCAGGACCTGCTTTCACCCGAGCATCCGCAGCATCAATGTCCAATGAGTGAGTGAATATGGGCATACCATGTCCAGGAAGGCAAGAAGAAAGTTTTGTTCTGGCAGTAGGAGGGGCCATGGAAGAGCTATTAGCATTCTCACCAGTGTTTTCATTATGCCCCGTGCCTGTTGTAAGAATACGGAAGATATCATCTGATGTACCCGTAGCACTAGTGCAATTCGCTGGTTTAACAGAGGAATTGGCTAAACCAGCAACGAATCTGTACACATAATCAACTACCAAGAGAGGCGACGCGGATATACGGTTGCATTGACTTTGCTTCTGTTTTTCTGTGTCTGTGACTGACATTGCATCATGGAAAGGCGCATTAAGAAATGTAGTGAGCTTCACACACGTATTGTCAGCTACTTCGTGCTCTGCTGCAGTTAGTTTATCCAGCAGCTTGCCTGCTACCATATATGTATTCCTATAGCGTAGTCGAAGGTTGCTGCTGGTTCCGCTTTGTTGTATATTCGTAGGACTGTGATATCGCGGATTCCGCTTAGCTACTCGTTCATATCCTAGGCTATCGATGATAGCAATTGGCGAGGTGCTTCCAGTGCCTATGTCTTTGATCACTGCAGAGTGGGACACCGATTCCAACCCACAATTGATATCGCATGGTTTGTGCTGCGCTACAGCGAAGAATCGAATTAACTTGTCAACACTTGATGTAACGAGTTTTGTTGAGCGTGAGACGAACTCGGTAGCCTCCCGTAGAGGATCCAAAAGGACACTGTAAGAATCGCCCAGGGCAACTAGCGAGGTTTGAAGCTGTGCTGTGGCAGTGTAAAGATATGGATAATCGCAATGGAATTGGCTATGCGTTGTCGTCAAATACCTCTCTAGAGAAGCCATTCCACGCCGAAGGATTTCACCGGTACGCGACCTATCCAAGGCCCCTAGCCGTGGCTCTAACTCATCATATAGATCGGGGGCGCGTGTCAGAGCAGCCAGGGGAATTGCGTAATCACTGAGTGAAAGAGGAACACTACTTCCGAGATCGTGGTGCTGAGGAGCGCTCGAATCAGTGTCCTGCTGACTCCCCAGCTGTGTGCTTGATAGCGGTATCTGGGGATCCAAGACAAGCGGGTCAGTAAATCGATGAGAGGTATTTGCAAGGGCTGGGCTGTAAACCAACGGGAGGATCTTGGAATATGCTGTCGTTGCATCCCTTAACGTCTCATGAAGCGCCCCGGTCCGAATAGAGAGCTCTTGCTCAAAGATGGTCAGCTCCCCCTCGTGTGAAATTGCTGAGACGAGACGGAGCGCGATGAGACGAAGCTCCTGGTGAACCAATCCAATATATGCATGAAAAAAATGTCCCAAAAACGCTCTTGCTTGTGCCTGGGATGAAATAAGTGGATAGCTATAGAGCTTCGTGCGCACATCAGTGCTATCAGCCTCTACAACAGGGTCCAAAGAATATGCAGTGGAATTTCTGATGGCATCTGTAAGTAGGTCATCTGTATTTATGTCGGAATTTGAGTTGATGAGTAGCCTCAGTTTGTTAACGAGGTCTCGGGTTCTCTGCTGAAGAGCATGAAGGGGAAGAGCATGGATTTGCGCGTCTTCTAGCTCTTCGTTAAGTATCCTATCATTCAAATCCATTGAAATTAAATTTTTGACGTCGGTCTATCCTGGCTATCTATCCTGGATATGAGCCATTTAGGCCCTGTATTTTACATTTTCATCAAGCACATGCAGAGACTACCGGCCCCACTTATTTATTATTCAATCAGTATTGCTATTATGGCCGTTTCTTTCGTGCTAGCTGTCATGGGTTTAGACGCTAATATAGCGTTTCTCACAGCGCAGAGCCCAACAGATTTACTTCCTCTATCTCTAAACAAGGGCCAGATTGCAAGTCCCCTCCTCCTTCAATACGATCACACGACTGGCGTAGATCTTGGAGCCCTTTCGGGACACTCTTCATGGGGGTTTCTGAGCCAGATAGCTGAAACAGTGGCCAATCCAGATTGCGGCTCTTACGGGGTTAGCGGAATTACCAGCTACGACGTGGGCTTCCACTGTGGCAAACCCCTCTTCACACTCACTATCTTCAACAATAAGAGTACAGACCTTAGCTCTCTTGCCAGTGCTGCTTATAACTTAAAGAATCTAGGATCCAGTGTCCAAATAAACACGTACAAGCAGTGTGAATCCTTGCAGGGATGGATTCTTTTCGGAAAGTATTCCTCCGGGGCAGGGGTGCTCTACAACTCCCTGCACACGGCAATGATACAAGATTGCTATGATAGCCTATACTTTGGGGAGACCTATCAGCCCCTTCTGTTCATTGTGTATGCTTTGCCACACGTGTTAGACTTCGATGACGTTAGTATTGTCGGGATGTTTTTCATCTTGACCATCATCCTGCTCAATCCAACTTTCTCCTTTCCGAATCTGATTGATTATAGTGTTGCCTCGCGGATTGAAGGCCGCAAGTTGATAATGCACAACAACGGATTGCGGCCATTTGTCTTCCACTTAGCCCATTATCTTATGCTATTCACGTTGACATTCTCCAGCTTTCTTCTCAGCTGGATCGTTAGTCTGGCTGCTGGAGTCAAGTGGAGTACCGTCAATCCAATATTGCCCGTTTTGGCGTTCTTAGCTGTTGCATTTGAGATGTCTATATTGGTGTTCGCATTCTCGATGCTCTTCAAAACTCGTGAGAGTTTCCGCAATAATTTTCCCAACTATATGATGGCAATATTTTATATTCCATCCTTTATTTCCAGCTTTGCGGGCTCCTCTATGCCTGCATATATCGACATTATCCTCTGTGTCTTCCCCACAACACTGCTTACGAAGCTCTTTGCTACCATGGAGTACTACGGTTTCTATTCTCGAGGACAGTTTAGTTTCGCCGATCTGGCTGAAGCAATGATAGATAAAAAGCTTTTACTATACATTCTTTTCACCCTCATCTATGGATTGCTAATGGCACTATTAGTAACTATATTTGACAGGCCCTATAAGTTTTCTTCGAAAAGGAAGGGTAAGCCCATCGACGCCGGCCTGTTACATAGCACATCCACGCAGCAAGACACTACCATTCCAGAAACACAGGCAAGAGACCCTTTCATGTTAAATGTCCACAAGGAGATGGAGGCAGTTAAAAGAGAGCTTAACGAGACGCGATTTCATTCGCCCACAGATGCTGTTGGACGAATTGTTGTATGCAATCTATCCAAGACATATGAGGTAAAGGGAAAGGGCTGTCAGAAAGGCGTGCAGTTTATCCAAGCACTCAAAGATGTCAGTCTACTCTTTACTATAAGCAGGGAGGAAAATATCATCTGCATTGTTGGTCCTAACGGCTGCGGAAAATCAACCCTCTTCAAGTCTATAGTGATGCTCCATTCCTACACAGCTGGAGACGTGTACATCAATGGGAAGTCGGTGGTAAAGGCAACAACAGCTGCTAGGACAAGAATGGCAGCTTCCTTAGGCATCTGTCTTCAGGACGATGCCATTCTTTACGAGCCTCTCACTGTTCGGGAAAACCTGATCTGCTATCACAAGATTTCCCTCCTAAACAGCTCCCATACATCTCCAGAGGACAACAGAAGCCTGTGGAATATATATAGCCAGGTTATGGACCACAACTTTCTCGGTCTGAGGCAGCATCTGGACAAGAAGGTGTCAACGCTCTCTGGTGGCTGGAAGCGGCGTCTATCAGTTGCCTGTAGCTTATGTAACAACCCTGGCATACTGCTTTTGGATGAGCCCACGTCTGGACTGGACGTCACGGCTCGCCTCAAAGTCTGGACGGCAATCCATGAGCTGGCACACAGTCGAACCATCATAGTGTCAACCCACTCTCTGGAAGATGCCGACACATATTGCAAGAAGCTTGTGTTCTTGTATGAAGGCCGTGTAATCTGCGTAGGAAAGCCGTCAGAAATAAAAATGATGAATACAGGGAGGATTCTTGTTACTATCAAATATCCAATTGAAGAGACATCTGCTGCAAATAACTTGGACAGAGAGCTCAGAAGTAGACACGGAGAACACCTCGATGAGACTGCACCCAGTAAAAAGTCGTGGTCAAGCGTACGGTACTACAACCTCCAGCTGGCGAATATTTCTCTAGCGACCCTGTTCAGACGATTGATCACTGAAAAGGAAAATGGAACAATAACTGATTTCACCGTGGCGCAGCCATCTCTAGACCAAACATACTTGAGTCTTATGAAGTCGGCCCGCGACCACTTCAACCCTGCAGTTTAACTAAAGTTGTACAATTGCCTGGAATTGATATTACATCTTAACGGTAATGAAAGAAGTTGGCTGAACGCCACAGCGCGGGCATTCTGTAATAGATATGCTCTTTTCCCCATGGCTTTTCATAACAAAATATGCTAAGTCTATTAGATGGTTACACGGAACAAAAACTACAAATGTATCGTCCTCAAGCTCATGATCAAGGAATCCTGGGTCTTTTGATGACTCAGGTGCTAGTTGTCGTTGCGGTGTACATTCTTGCCGAGCGGCAGTGCATAGCGAAAGGATATCCTCTTTTACAAGGGATAGACTAGTGCAGAGCTGCTTTAGGTACGCGTTCTCTTGCAGCTTTTTCATGGTGTCAGGGCGTGCAGCGCATGAAAGCATAGGGTCTTGTACACCGCGTGAGACATTGTATTCTTCTTTTGCTTCTGTTTGCGTGGCACACTGTGTAAATGTTATCTCATACGTAGGCTGTATGCTGGTTTGCCCATGTGGTGCTACTGCCGCTCTGTGAAGGCCTTTGTTAAGGCTAACAAGTGCCTGCAGCTCCTGCTCCTTCTTCAGCAGTCTGCGCTCTAGTGTTAAAATGTGTTGTCCTAACGCAGAAAGGAGGTCATGCTTCGTCCCGCTTGGCTTCGGTGTAGGGGTGGGCGTGAATGCCGTGCGCCCTCGCAGTGCGCCTTGTGGTTTGTCGCTAGATAACTGATGATGCATATTATTGTGTGGCACGCCGGTTTCACCCTTTTCAGGAAAGTACTGATTGCAAAACTCTTCATTGGATTGTCGCGACTTTGCAGGTTTTTGACAAGTACCAGAATGCTGCCGTTCCGCGGTCTGCTGGTCTGCCTTGACGAGCGCCTTAATGGGTGACTTAGAGAAGGCCTTCCTGTAAGGACTTGTACGAAGTAGCTTACGACTCTCATGTTGTCCGTACCGTGGCGCATTAAGTTGTCGCTGTGCTAATGATATAGCATGGTCAGAGCACTCAGGGACACCTGAGGATTTAGCTCGCTGTTGTCGTGGTTGTGGTGCACCAAAGTGTGAGGGTTTCCCACCTCTTTGTGGAGAGAACTTGATGCGAATTGAGCGTATCTTGTGAGGCGCATGAGACTCGCTCCAGGATAAATCGAGAGAAGATCTGCACCTCTGACGATCTGACAAGAAATTAGTAGAGATTGTGCGAACGAAGTGTGGTGCTGAAGTCAAGGAGCTTGACCGAGACGGCTGGTAGAATGATGCCGATTTGGATCTTGGCTGCTTGCATGACTCGGGCCTAGCGTCAGAGCAGCTCGTAGACCTAGTGGAGCCACTGCCATGCTGTGTGTTACTAGTGACAAGGTCATAAGGAGCTAACACTATTTTCTCTGCATCTGGTAGTAGGCCATGCTCGTAGGGGTAAAGGAGCCGGATCATATCTTTGCGGTAGTGCTCTGCAGCAATTATCAACGCGCTCTTGTTATCAGAGGATAGGATACGCTTCTCGCAATCTATTAGCGCGGATGCTGCGTCTATGTTACCATATGTGACAGCATACATCAGAGCAGTCATGCCGTTGTCGTCTCTTCGACCATATTGAGTAGGTATTAGGGCCTCTATAGAGGAACACGCACTCACAGAAGCTGCCATCATAAGAGCAGTCCGTCCACCGGAAAGAGTGACGTTAGATTCTAAAGGAGCAAGGATTGCACACAAAGGACCGAGATTATTGATAGCAGCTATGATAAGAGCCGTGTATCCCTTGTCGTTAGTTTCTCCTGCTTCGTGTTTCGCTAAGATCTTCACCATTTGGGAATCCTGCGCGCGAACGGCCTTCATTAGAGCTGTTTCTCCATTCCCATCTACGGATCGAGCCATAGCCCCGATCCATTTGCTTACGCTAGCATATTCTTGATTAATGGCTGCAGAAAACCAGTCTTCGGGGCTCGGGCAGTGCCGCGACGCCATCGACAAAGTTTTTAAAGCACACCGGACTGGGTCATTTACATTAAGCTCCCCACCGTGTCCCATTATCATGTCAGTCTGCGTGCCGCGGCGGGTGGATGTATGGGCAGTTGATCCTGGTGCAGCTGCCTTGAAGGTAAAACCGGCAAACCATGGATTTCCGGGCAGTCTTGAGGTACATTGTTGGTAGAAAGGCCTCTATGATGACTGTGCCTTTGTCCAGCTTTGTCTGGCGGGGTATAGGGCATGTGGGTATCTGACAGCGACCTTCAGTGACGGGGGGCTCCAGGATAGGGTCCTGGCTGTGTTCTACTGCGTAGTCCTTGACAATGCTCCGTGCATAGTTGGAGTTCAAGGTTTCCAGTTTCATAAGCGACACCATAAGATCATCCATCCTGCTTTGAAAAAAGTTCAATCCCCATGGGGGACATTAGCCATCCTCCCAATGTCTCCTTTCCTCCAGAACCACTTTATCTGGGATCTCTGACGACATACTCTGGTATTGGGCACTTGGGACCTGTTTTGGCTAGAAACTCACATATGTTACATAGTAATCAAAGAAGTATAGCTCAAGAAGCGCAGCTAGCTGCATACATGGATTCGAGCAGAGAAGCACAAAACACAGTCTATATGCCAATGCGGTCTTTTGCTCCACGCGCCTTGGCTTCAAAGCCGTTAATAGAAGCCTGCCCGTTTAAAGTATCAGCCGCTGTGTATAAGGAACTAGTCGATTTAGAGGCTGTTAACACGGCATGCTATCCTGCACACCCATTTGAGGCCTATAATATAGAGTGCTACTACGCTGCGTCTAAGTTTCTTACGGCAGAAGTCTCCAACTATCGCCACGTCCTTGTTTCTGTACAAACAGGGTCACCCCAAGCAGCAGCACATACTTTTAGGTTTTCAGGCGTAGTCTGCAGCGTGCATGTGGATAGGCACCTTCTAGTGGTGCGTACAATCTATGAGATATATGGAGTAATCATCTTTAGTGACATAGAAATGTGTGTACTACAAAGAAAGTTGTCGCACTACGGCTGTAAGGATGTGGCTAAGCTCTTTTATCAGGCTGCCAACGTTTACTTCTATCCCGTGGTACACTATGTTCGAATGGATCGGTCCATCAGTCGCGTGGCAATAAGCAGGGCATGGGCGGATGTCCCTGCTGTTTCCAGAGAGATTGCTTTTTGCGTAGCACATTGGGATGGTACCGTCAGGGTGTTTGTCAGTAGTGACAATTTGCTTGCAGCAGCAGTAGTCCAACGTAACGCAGATATGGATGCAACTAAGGACCCCGCGCCTAGCTATGGGCACTACTCGACTGTCGCTATGGTTGCAGAGTTAGCTCTGCCGAGAATACAGCCCTATTCGTCATCAGCAACGCCATTGGGATATATCCCAGTGCTACCACCGGAACCACTAGTGCTATTCTCCGGAGTCTATCCAGACAGAGTTTATGTTGCCTATGGAGACAGGCTCTTCTTCTCAACAGTTCCAATAGCTGCTAACATCCTCACAAGCAGCGCAATGCACAAATCTAAAAAGCTTGGTAACAGCTTCGTAGACTGCTCAAAGCAGGCGAGACCAAAACCTGCATTTTCTAATGCTAGGGAGTGCTTCTGTGAAGTTGGAGATAGAACCTCCTTCACTGCCCTCCAATATTGCCGAAACAACCACATCCTTGTTGCAGACGCAGATTTTTTGTGGGTGTTTTCGGAGAGGAACCTCGTTGAGCCACTCATCAGACTCCGGCATTCGCTAAATAAAAGTGCCCCGGTTCGTGCTATTCATAGCCTCCCTCTAACCCCAAATGAGTCCATCCAAGAGCCAACACTTCCGTTCCTTCGTATCAATAAGACTGATACCACTGTGGAAACTTTTTCCGGAGTCAATGTCACAAGGTCTTTGGAGCTAGTCTTGCTGCTAACCGCTGCACAGGTAGCATCGCTGGTGATTGGCATAAACAATGATGTCGCTGGGATAGTGTTTTCACCGCCATACCTACTTATGCAAGCGCCTGTCCGGAGCATGAGGCTATGGCGGACGCCAATGATAATGAAGGTTGAGAGTGAAATGCTCCATCTCCGGGCACTTACACCCCATGGCGCTCTACTTGGTAGTCTAGATCTTCGGGGATATAATTACATAACAGGCGTATTCATTAACTTCAAACCCACTGGGCCCAAGAGAAGGTCAGCTGTGACCTGTACTGCAACCACACACCACAACTCTAGAGCTTACAGAGAGGAAGATGTTGCGTCGCTGATGGCAACTCTTGCAAGTTACTATCCACTGCCACAGATGTCAGAGTCGGCCAAAGCATCAGCCGAAGGAATCGGTGTGTTTATTACTAAGAAGGATAAGCTTCTTGATTGTTTTGCTACCAAAAGGAACCCAGATCTAGATACACCTGAATACGCCAGGTTCAGTGCAGAGATAACTCTTGTATTTTTATCTGGCGAGAAAGTTGTTATAGATTGGTCTGCTCAGGGAAGCAAAGATCTGGGTGGCCTTCTGACGTATCCCATAAATGAACTTATAGAAAATCAAGGGGACGCTTCCTTGCTATCATACGAGAAGGTGATTAATCTTCTTCAGACACAAAGAGGAGATAGCATTCAGGCTGACCTGAATGATGATGCAGAGGTGAACAGTAAGCCTCCCTCATTGGGCATCACATGCGTCTACATACAGAGTCATGCAGAGAAGATCCTCTCATGGGTTAACGACATGTCTAGCCCTTACTTGCAAGCTCATGCTCATGCCCTCCTATCTCGATTGACTCGATTGATAGATTCACAGCGTCCATGCATCCCACTTAGATATCTTCAAAAGCTTTCCCTTGGAAGTAATCTCATTGGCAATACAGTTTCTCCAGAAAAAGAGCCCTGCTTCAAAAGACTCATAGATTCGAATGAATGGTCAGAGGGAATCATCAGGTCACTCTTTCCAACACAACTATTTGACCATCTTGCTGACGCACCTGATCTGCCAAATAGACTCTCAGAACAGGCCACCCTTCCGTCCTCAGAGGCAGGGGCGGAGTTGGTGCGTCAGTGGAGAGAGGCTGAGCAGCCAAATATAGCCCAGCTGTTCAAGGCGCGAGATGACACTGTTGTTTCTGCCCCTTTGCTTACAGATTCGCCAGCGTCATTACCCATGATAGTACCCACCCCTGGTGACGATACCTTAGAGGAGACTAAGGTTCACACACAGAACATTGACTACCTAGTTGGCCTAATGAAAGCGGTGTCCTAGCTTTTGTGCACTGGCTGACAGGTGCCATAGTGTCAGCACCATGTTTTTATTTGACTTCTTTAAAGGCTTTTCTTGACGGTTATTGAAGAAGGATTTAGTTTTTAATATTCAATCTTGCCAATATCTTAGTAATTATGTTATGTCTATGGATTAATATTGTTAGGTTTGGTCTGTGTAAATTACTTGCAAATCTGAGGGTTTTGAGCTCTGTGTCGTGGACACTGATCCGTCAGAGTCTGCTGTCGAGTTATACCTGATGGAGGGTAACGCCGTTCCGATGCAGCACGGATGTTCCGAGTAAATTGACGTACAAGCGAACTGCAGATGGTAGCTAGAGCGTTTCCATGAAGAACATGCAACTGCTTTATTGGTGGAAGCAGGCGTCTTTGCATTACGCGTGGAGCTCTAAATGAAACGAAAGTAAGAAACCCTTTGACTGGTAATGTTAACCTAAGAACTCTGCATTTAACCGCGTACAGTATACTGTAGATACGATAGCCTGCCTACAGGTCTTAGTTAGTGCATAGATAAGGAGCTATCTGAGAGCGGGATTTGGACTAGGTCATCCGAGCACACCTGTCTAGATTATAGGCCGCAGTGGAACATCCTCTGCCTGCCACCTGCATGCGCGTGCGGTGCCCCATGTCCATGCAGTGAAGTAGCGCGGGGTCTAGAGACTACTTGACCCGGTGTAGTGTAAATCATGCTTTCTTTAAATAAAATGCCGCTTTTCAAGGGCACCATTCCGCAGGACAGCTGGGCCGATATCAGGAGCGTGGGTTCCAAGGGCCTTGAGCATGCGCTGAAGCTCCTCACCACATCGTCCTGGGGCGACCCAAAGGTCGAGGAGGGGCTTACGACGACGACTACCAAGGTCGAGGGCAGCAAGATGGTGGCTCTCAAGGCCGAGCTCGAGATTCCCTACCCCATCCAGAGCTGCATCGCGTGCCTCTACGGGAACATCGATGTCGATGAGAGTTCACCGGCCGAGGCTCGTGAGAAGTACCCGTTTCGCAAGGCACACTGGTCCTCGAAGGAGGATGAGGCTCACTCCCAGAAGATCCACGACTACATCGACCCAAAGACGTACGACAGCGTTGAAGGCGGCGAGCCGAAGTACGACCTCACTGCCCTGGTCCATTACGTTGTTGCCTCGCCGTCCTCGATTGTCGCTCCACGCGAGTTCATCACCGTGCGGGTTTGCCGCGAAGTCGAGAAGGTCGATGGCAGACGTCGTCTCTGCGTCGCGAACACTTCGTGGCAGCCAGCGAATCTAGCAGAGATCATCCCCGAAGCCACAAAGGCTGAGAAGTGGGTCCGCGCCATTGTGCATGCCCAGCTCTTTGTCTTCGAGGAGACAGCGCCCGGGAGTGGCAAGACTAAGGCGACGTTCATGGTCCATACGGATCCGTGTGGGAATGTCCCTGCAATGATTGCCAACAAGGTCATCATCCATCAGGCCTCAACGCTTACCAGCATCAAGACGACTCTAGAGAAGCTCCTTAAGTAGGCCGACATCCGTCTCTATCTAAGAATTGACTTTTGTAAATGCTCTACCGGTCCCCGTGCTATTTACTCTATCAGCCTGCCCTGCAGCCCTTGCTTTTGGCATCGTCTGACGGCTACACAGAACTTGAGAGGTGGGCATTGGATTGATCGATAATCTCTTTCCAATTGTCCGGAAGAGGATAGAGAGTCGTTAGACCAGAAGCACAAGCTATCAGTGCCTTCACGTTTGCCAAGAGTTCGTCGAATATCCTGCCCGGAGGCTTTGAGCTCTCAGATCCAAAGGTCTTGGGAAGGACCTCCAGCTCCGCTTGGTAGAGCTTTTCCTCGAGAACCCCAACAGTGTTATAGCGCTCCACGTATGTGAGATCGATGACGAAGTCCTCTGTCCGAAAGGAGGTGCGCTTCCTTATTGAGGTGTTGGGCTTTGACGACTCCTTTATTTCATTCTTCTTTTCGGCCGCAATGCTGAACTCTTTGGCTATTGCAAAGCGGACATCAAACATATACGTATGCGGAAAGTGGATATTGCTCACATCGAATTGTATTTTGCATCCTTCCTCTAGAAGCTTGCCGGTCAGAACGTCTGTCCGCACGCGATAGTTACCTGTGACCACGTCGCCCACCTTATAGTCATACAAGTCCTGCCGGAACTGTTTTGTCTCGATGCCGAGTATCTTCGCTCCAAGAAATGAAGATGAATCTCCTGCAACATGAGCGGCTACAAGAGCCTTCATGAGTCGCAGGTACGTCTCCTCGCCGATGTTTCCGTTGAATCGTTGGTAAATCTTATTTTCAGGGAGTTGCTTGGGGTCAGAAATTGGATTTCGCGGTTCTCGGCGAGCAGCGACCTCCATGATATCATAGTCCTGCATGCGGACAATCCGGTGAACAAGGGCCTCGCTTACAAGGCGTTGATTGTGGGGTCGAAGCCGTTGCTTCAAAAAGTCCTCAAAGACCCCCAAACGAAATTCTATCTCAGTCTCGTAGCTATCGGAGTAGAGGAAAGAAAAGCGCTTCTTGCTAATTATCTTGTGGAGGAGCATCGCCTCTGTGACTGGAGATCGCAGTTCCCTGGGGACGGCGTTCATCAGTTTTAATTCCTCAATCTGTTCATAGCACAGGATAATTAAAACGGATCTTTTACTCATAAATCAGCTCAAGATACTATTACAGATGTCGGGTGTGTAGTTCTTCTCGCGGATAAAGGCCTGACAAATCTGCTGGGCAAAAGAGTCCGCGTCGGTGGTCACACAGTAAGCCATGGTCCCGTGGCACACCATCTTCTTGCCAATAAAGATGTCGGGAGAGTTGGCAACAGACATCTTGTGCTTCTGTTTATAAGAATACTCAAGAAGCGCCCTGCCGAACTCACCATTGGAGCAGTATATTATCTTGTTGAGAAGCTCCTTGCCAGAGGCAACTTGATGCAGGCAGTGCTCGAAGTTGCGCGGAAGAGCGGTCTTTCCGCCCTCCGTCGAGAGGCACTTGAGGATGTCGTAGAATGTGTGTGTATCGACGTACTCCTGGGCGCAGAGGAGCTGAATGTCACCCTTAACCTCCTCATACCCGTGCTTGGAAAGACCGCCATTCGAGTACCTAGGATTGTACTCGGACATACTGAAGTGTTTGAACTGCGCTATTTCAGTGATCTCAGGATACTTATCGAAAAGGGGCAGGATGACTGTGTTAAGGCGCTCATAGAAGTCTCCGCACCTGGACATCGCAAAGGTGTCAACAGCGATCTTCTGCTCAGACTCGTGAGCAAGGTATGTCCACGTGAGATTCATCTCCGCCTTCTTGGCGCCAGAAATAAGCCTCTTGGCGACATCCTTCCTATGGTCCTCGTCGTGCGTAGACAGCTTATGCGAAAGAGCAGGGACAGGAACCGGGTCCTTGGTCTCGTCATAGTCTTCGTCGACAGTGCACCCAGAGGGGATTGTGCAGCGGCGGCCGGGTTTCTCAGAGGCGTCCACCGCAGAACTGTCCTTGTCGAGGCCTACTTCATGAACGAGATTGAAGGAGCGCCCGCTGATCAGATGGCCATCGTAGAGAATGCCAACAAATGTCTTGTTCATCTCGAGGAGCCCAAGAGCCACTGCCTCGTCGTACGGTATCGTGACGTCAACACAGAAGTAGCCAAGGCCGGCACTGCTGCGGGCGTGAATGTAATTATATGTCTCTATGTTCTGGATACGCTTTATCGGGTCTGTCTCTGTCTTGTACTTCGTGATATTGCGGAAGATAACACTCATGTGGTACTGGAGATCCCTGAGGGGTGCATATGCGAAGTGGGAATAGTCAACAAGGACCATGAGGCGCTCATAGCTGGCAAGGTAATACGCGTCGTAAATACGGAGGCGACTGCACCCGAACATCCTGCTCTCCTTGTAATCGCAGAAGAACGAGTTGAGCTCGAGCGAGAGATAGCGAGCACTCGGCTTGAGTGCGAGAACCGTCTCGTACTGCTGCAGGGTCGGCCCGTAGCCACTGAGACCATTGTAGGACATGTCGAGCATGTAGAAGTCATCCCTGGTTTGGTTCACGACAAAGTTCATCCACTTCTCCGGGTCAAACACACCGGTGGTGTTAGTCCCGCGGATGTTGATGGAGCGAACGTCCTTGCTTGACATATCGATAAGCGTTGAGAAGTTAATGATGGAGGACATGAGTGTGTACTGGAAGGGCATGTGAACCATGTTATAGACGTCCAGGAAGTCCTTATTAAAGTCCTTTATACGGTACTTTACCCAGGTCCCGGAGACATCCAAGGCCTTCATCTGGTCTTTTGCGACGTTGCTCATGATGTATTCTGAGAGATCCATGCCGGCGAGGCTGAGCTTTGGAGTGCTGATGGTCGTGAAGTCGAGGCCCCAGGCGTAGAAGCCTATCCCGGCGTCAGAGAAGTCGAGGTTCTCCATATTGCTGTAGAAGATGAAGTCGTTGGGAATGAGCATCCGCCCGAAGTGGCCCTTGTGAAGGTTCATCTCACGGACAGTCGTCCAGGCTTGCATGTCAGTCGCCAGAACCATGATTTCGGTATCCTCCAGGTTCAGCACCTCGATGCCGTTCTTGATATATGGGATGGACTCTCGCAACCTATTGTGCGGGACGGAGAGCACCTTCAAGGGGAAGTTGATGATGCACGTGGGAAGGACTCCGAAGAGATTGTTCCCAGGCATCGTGATCCCCTCAACATTGCCGGACGAATCGCACGTAATCCCGTAGAACTGGCAATAGTCCTCATCCTCTGTTCGCTGGGTGGAAGCCGGCCAGTTGTTTCTGACCCACCACGAATCCCCCTGGAGAGCGTCGTAGAACTCGTAGAGGCAGTGCAGCTGCTGGGAGTGCGACGGAGCCGAAAGGAGCGCCCCGAAGGCAGCCAGGAGAAGCACGAAAACCATTTGCTTTTTGTTAACGGATGTCTGGTTCTTGTCGTGTTTTTTGTTAATTTTGAAGCAAAGAGTAATTTCTCACAAAATATTAATAATGTGTATTTAGTACAAATTAGCGGATCGATGCCTCAGATCGGGCCCGAGGCAGGCAATCACAGCAAAAGGACATCACAGCAAAGCATGCAGCCTAGAACCTGAGCTCTATGGGTCTATCACATCCAGACATAAACGCCTTTATCGATCAGCCTCCCCTTTTGTGTCTGTCAATCAGGAAAAGGCTCTAGTTCCATCCACCGTTCCTACTAGTTTGTTTGCTCAGTCATGTGAGATGTGGACACCTTAGTTGTGCTCTCTGCACAGGGGCTCCGGTGCCGATGCCTCCTAATCCCAATCGCGTGTCTTCTAATCTGAGAGCACGTGCCGTTGACAGCTTTATTATTCCCAGCTCATAGACAGACGAAAACCCGTCTCACAGATAACCGAAACGTGCCAGGCCGCAGATCCGTGCTTCAGGGCCAGTGGTTACACTTGGGGGGCCAGTGGGCAGGAATCACGGGTGGACGCTGATTGCTAATGACCCCTACTTGAGAGTCGAAGGGAGCCTACTACTTGCCTAGTGCGTTTAACGCATCTATAATCCAGTCTAAACAATTATGGAAGAGCATACAGCAACCTTCAATGGTATACAGTAATCTACAGTATCAATCTGCATTGCTTAAAAAATGAAAATATAAAAATGATTATCGTCATGCATGTGTTGTGGTGAGAACATTTTTGATCCGCCTTCTAAAAAATTCATATGCTAATATATGCCATCAACTCTTTCTTCAACCTCATCAGACACCTTGAGGCCAAGCATATCACCAAGACAACCTTTGAAGAACCCAAGGAGGCTGTTTCTGAGCCTCCTGGCGCGAAGCCTGCGCCCAGGCCTCAAATTCCCCGTATAGATCCGGACGCAGACCTGGGGGATGTTATGCATTTGCTATTCAGACGGGTCGTCATCCCCCTCTACGGCAGGAAGCTTAGCAAGGCTTTGCCCCTCCTCATTGCTGCGACAGAGTATTTTCTTTCCCAAAAGGACCTATTTGTGGTCGACCAGACCATAAAAGGCGCGGAAAAGACATACTGTGGACACAAGGGAGGGGCATGTTCCTCCCAAAGCCTTCCGAGGCCTCTTTCCAATCACTCAAGTTCTCCCCCAATGGTTCGAGAGCAGACATCCTCCTCAACGAAGGACTCTGCTGAGCGACTGGCTCATGCATCGGCGCAAAAAGCACAGACTCGAAGCATCAAGACAGAGACGCAGTCGGTCGTCTCCCAGAGCAGACCTGTACAAGACCCCAGCGGGTCTAAGGTGAAGAGGCCAAAATGCGGGCCAGCAAAGCATGCCACTGATGCCGCATCTACAGAGATGCTGCCTCGCCTTACCACAGCCCCTGTTGCGGCAAGCTCCGTATTCTTGAAGGACAACTTCACTATGGAAAGCAGGGTAGTGGCGCAATCCGACCCCTCAGAGAGGCTTTCTGGAAGGCAAAACAGAAGCACTCTGCTTGCAGTAGCGCGTTTACAGCCGACGGGCACTCCATCAGATGGCCTCAGGTCAGAGGTCCTTACACGGAGTGAGCCGAAGCTTCCCACGATACAGCAACGGCCCGGCGAGGAGAGGACGAGCGCGTCTGCTCCGCCCGCTGCCGCTCATGCCTTCGATTTTCCTGCCTTCACCGGCATAGACAAACCTTTTTATGAATGCTCCCTCTTCAGCTGTAAAACGCCAATCTGGGACGTAATCTACTACTGCTGGAGCCTCATCGACGCCATCTGCTTCCTGCACAATCTTACCGGAGAGTTTGCCGAGGCCTTTTCAAGCCTCTTTGAGGGTTGTCGAAACGACTACTGCACTTACATGACAGACCAGATACGGCGAACGCCAGAGCTCTCTCATGCATACAGAAGAAATATAAATATGGTGTCTGGCCTCAACGCCGCTGACGGAAGCGATGTCAAATTCTACCACCTCTTTTTCGTCAAGCGCGATCCCATGTACTTCACCCGTAACTACAAGTGCAGCTTTATTTTGCAGCATGCCATATTGATAGGGGGCTCTTCCGGTGATTTCTTAGCGACTCTCTCCTACATCTCTGGAAAGCTTTCTGGCTGCGTGAAGGTCATCTGCGACGCAAGTGACCCCGCGGTTCAAGAGGTCAGCGCCACACTGACGGCGTCGTGCAGGGCTAGTGATAATTTGCTGCTGGGTGCGGCACCGTCTGGCTACCCGATCAAGGAAACGGCCTGTATCGATGCCCGAACATACCTTTCCTGGTTAGGGCTCTTGGGCACCTCTTACACAAGTGTCGTTAGCATCACAGCATATCGCACCCTTCTGAACCCTTACATCAAAAGCACCACACCGACGCATTGCTGCTTAAGCAGGCTGTTAACCAGGGTTTTGCAGGTAAAGAGGCGCTGCATTTTGCCGCCGAGCCTCCGATTCAACAAGCCTTACAACCCTATTAACACTGCCGCAGGCGAGCAGGCCTGCACAGATTGCGAGCCCTCTCTGAAGAAAGTGAAGCCTGATGCGTCTTCTGCGACCAAGTCTGCGGCTCCCGCAGGATCGAGCCCGTCTAACTCGGACGAGATTCCCTGGTCCACGCTCTTCGATGATAGGGACGAGCACGACACGACGTTGGCCCGCGCGGAGAGCTACAGCAGCATTAGCCTTCTCAGCGCCCCCAACGAGGCCGACACCCCCGTGCCGGACCAGGAACCCCCTGGGCCGGCGTTCGTCCCGCGCTACAACATCCAGCTCCCGCCGGCCCCGTGGCACCGGGACAGGTTCGTGCCCCGATCCCTCGTCGGGTTCCGGCTCGTGGAGAGAGTGAACGGAAGATGCTCGCGTAGGGATTCGAACCCTAGACCCTTCGTACGTGAAACGAATGTGATAACCAACTACACCACGCGAGCGCGCCCGTCGCCCACACCAGGCGATAGATTTCCTATCTCTATTTTCCGTGTGTTTACTCACGGGTCTTCAGCCGTTGGAGCAACGCCCCGCACGCCGACCGCGAGACCCGGACCCCGTACTCGCGCCAGACGCTGTCCGAGATGGCCCGGAGCGAGGCGTGCGCGGCGCGGAGCTCAAGAATCCGGGCTTGGACAGGCCCCGAAACCCGGGCGTCGACTGTCATGCGGTCTGGCCGCTGGTTCCAGCCCCCTCCCTGGAGTGGCTTCACACGCCCCTCCCGCCGGTACGTCTGCCATATGGACTTCACGGTTGTCAGAGGCATTGCCAACATTGAGGAAATCGTGGAGAACGGTAGGGACTGCTGCTCTCGGAGCTGGACGACCTTCAACCTGAGCTCCAGGGGCGTACTACGGGTGTTGCGGTGCAGCTGTGGAGCACTAGCAGATAGATCTGGTGTGTTGGCACCCGTATCCAGGTGTGTATCCGTCCAGGTCGCAACCTGAAAAGGGTCTGTCTGACAAATAGCCTCGTTCTCGGTGGCAGTTTCCCAAAACAGGTCATCAAGATCCGAGAAGAGGATTGCGTGGGCACATGTCTGCGTGTTCACGTCCATTAGCAGACGGTTGCTTCCGCACGTCCCGTGCTTTGTTTTAACTTAATTTTATGAGCACTCATCATACCTATCCCGAGTTTCTCTTTTCACCCCCGCGGAAGGAAGAGGCTATCCTTTTGAACCCAGACTCCGTTATTCCCAAGGGTTCCGAGTGGTTCCCCGAGTGTAAGAGTATCCTTGAATTTGCCCAGAAGGCGGCCAATTTCACTAATGGCCCCACTGGTGACCAAGAATCGCCACAATCTGCCACCATTAGTGCCAGCAACAACCCACGCCAAACGAGTGACCTTAACCCTGTGCGGCCTCCTAATGAAATTAGACATATGGCTGATAATAATGACGTGCGCCTCAATCCATCCTCCACTGAATCAACTGAGACACCTCTGGTTAATGATTCCCTAGAGCTTCAGTTTGCGCAGAAGATATACCAAGCCCTTGTGGTCATTCGTGCGGCCATGCGCCAATACCGACGACTGGCATTTAGCTTCAACGGAGGAAAGGACAATACCGTTGTTCTGTACCTAATCCGTGCAGCCTGTCTTCAGGCGGTCATAGAGGAAAACTCAGATTTTGAAAGCATCACCCCCCATGAATTGCTTCGTTCGCGGTTTATTTTCTTCTACGTTCACAATGAGGTTCAGATAAAGCAGGTGATGAAGTTTATGTGTCTCATAGATCACGAACAGAACCTAGGGACAGTGGTGTATTTGGGCACGAGCTTCAAGAACTGCATTGTCAACTTCTATAACGACTATCACTCAGACGCGGTCTTCATGGGCGTCCGGTCTACAGACCCTAATGGGAAGACAACCATCTTTTCCCACTGCTCTCCCTCGTGGCCGCAGTTCATGAGGGTGTGCCCCATACTGTACTGGTCTTATGTCGATGTTTGGGACTTTCTCAAGAGGTTCCGCATACACTACTGTACTCTCTATGACCAGGGGTACACGAGTCTAGGGTCGGCTACACACACTATAAAGCACCCCACCCTCCGGGATGGCGCTATAATGCACCGGCGAATAGCAAGTATGGTACATGAGCCACAATTCTCAGCCATTGGGGGCAGCACACAAACAGGAAAGCAAACGCTGCAACAAATCACTCACATCTTCACTAGCAGGGTTTCTCTCTCTACGTATGGCTCGAACCAAGAGTCCCACACAGCTCGTGACAAAAACAATCAGCACAACAAAAATGACATTCCAGTCAGTAACGGCAGACGCACACCTATAATGCCCCAAGTCGAGTGGCCGACAGACCAGGCTCCAAGCGCTGTGAAAGAAAGGGAGAACGAGCATCCTTGTTCTAAAACGTTGCTACTGACAGACTACCTGTCACGAGGCACTATGTCAGTTCCATCCGTTAAGGGCACTGATGGCAGCACAGAGACACCGGCTTCTACCAAACTTCGTGCAATAACCTCTACATCTGTTGCAAGCTTAGTAAGCACTACTGATGAGGAGATAGAGCAGGGTTATCCGTCTATGGTGACGCCATCACTTGTGGTGGACTCGTCCAATTCTAGCATGATCTCGCAAGCAAACATCCTACACGATCGCAATATGCATCAGATCCTTGCGGGCCGTGAAACCCACAGACATCATCGGTTGTTGTCGAACACCGATGCAGCTCTTAGCGCTTCCGAGGAGTATTCAGAAGCAGGGTCCATTACTTCATATATGGGAGACGCTGGCAACGAATACTATGGCTCTGTGACTCCCCAGGATGTCTGTGCTTACTCTGGACCTCGCCTTGTTATCGACGAGCTTGTTGCCCGGGGAGTTCCCACAGAGCTCCTACCGCCCCAGTTTGACCCCAGTGAGGAGGATGGAGAGATCGAAGACGATCTCTGTAGCGCCTCTGCAATCTTTCTTCCTGTGAGCGAAGGGGAAGATGAACGAATTAATAGGGTATGACTGATTAAATCTATTATTTATTATATTATTCTAATTGTAAGAAGTGCACAATTTTAGGATAGATTGAATTCTGGTGAGCTGATTTCTTTTCATGTTTTTTAATTTCTCTTGCAAATTACCAGCGCTAATGCCCTCCACCGCCTTCATTCTAAAGTGTTTAGAGTTCACTGACACAGGCGAGGAAGTCGTTCTGGTTGCCTGGAACAAGACTGAGAACTATATAGCTGCTGGAGGGCAGACGGGGTCTATTCGCATCCTGCTTCTAGACTTCAATTCGTTATCGGAGCAGGGCTATAATATCTCTGATCTGCGCACGTCTACTCGCAACGTAAGGATTCTCATGGATAAGAAGCTCAGCCTTCACGATAACGCACTTATAACAAGCATCGCGTGGAATGAGAAAGAAACAAAACTAGCAACAAGCGATAACCGAGGGCTCGTGTTTATCTCCTCTACAGACACGGGGAAGTGGGTGCGGAATCTGGTCAATGACTCAAATCGAGCAGCAGTTGTAACAACAACTTGGTCCCCGGATGCTAGCCGCATTCTGATGGTCTACGTTAATGGTCTGGTGATGCTCGGTACTGCTTCAGGGCACAGGATTTACAATGGCACCATCAACAAGGGCTCTGCCCCCAAGTTTGGGCTAATTGCTAGTAACGCCATCGAAGTGTTTATATTGGCGTGGGGAAACGCTATTTGCTGCTATAATTTCAGTGGAGAGGAGGTCTGGAGCGTCTCTCCATTGCTGGCAACAAATAGCGATAACCACTTCGTTCATGGTTGCTGGGGGCACTCGTCAGAGTCTGCTCAGCTCACGGCTCTGAGTCCATCACGCGATCCTGCATGCAATGGCTCTTCTATGCCGCAAATTAAGATCAACTCCTTCTCCGGGGACTCCATGACACTGATCGCCGTTACTTCAAATGGGATGCTCTGCGTCTACTCTGTACTAACAGGGGAGCTCCTATCTTCTGTTTCAACCGAGATTATACCAGTTAATGTCCAGTTGTCTCCAGGAAGTCACATGCTCTGTATTACAGGTTCTGTGCAATCTTCTGACTCTAACTTCGGTTTGCATCAGCTTAGAGGTAACCAGGGTGTCTCTGGAGATAGTACTAAGCACACCGCAATTGTTGTAGTCTATAGAACTGCAGATCTGGCCACTATTTCACGGCTAAGATTGCCAGAAAGAGTGGCTACCTCCTCCTCTTGGGACTCTACGGGACTCCGTCTAGTGTTAGCAGCGGGCAAGAATATATACATCGCCACGGTGCGTCCGTCCTACAATCACTATCTTATGAATGACGGGACTATGGCATTTACTATGAGCAACTATACCTCAACCATTCTAAGCACAGCAAGCTTTGTAGACGATACTCAGCGGCCCCCAATGAATGTAGGCGCCTTGTTCAGCAAGAAGACAGCAGAAGAGGCACCTAGCTCGGCGATCTCTAGTTTTGAGGAGCGTATCCTGGATCGTGCACGGTGTAACGAGTGTGTACTCTTCTGGAAGCCCGGTTTGCAGGCTCCTTATCAGCGATGGCCGGCACGGATGATCGCAGTTGTAGGATGCAAGAGCTACATTGCGATTCTAACTCTCAAAACGAACACCAGTGGCACGCGGAAACATCACACGCATATCTGCTTTTATACAAGTGTATGTGCCCCGATCTTCTCGATAGATCTCCCCTACGTCCCGTTTTACACTGCAGGGTCTGGGAACTATCTTGTTTGCGCCAGCTCCAGTCGTATTTCTGTAGTCGATATACGGGGTCTTGCCAATGAAGCGATAGGCTTGGTTGATGCTGAAAACGTGTCGTACGTCTATGAATGGCATGCTGATTCTTACCCGTTAGCACAAGACCGTGAGCTGACAGTTGCTCGACTAACGGTCAACAATCCGATAGTGGGAGTTGCCTGCTGTGATGTGGCCCTCTTCGTCGCTCGTCAGGATGAGAGAGTCCAACGATACTCCCTCCCTTCTCTTACGCTTTTAGAAACAATGACCATAAAGCCCAACCAGGAATACATGCAAACAAATTGCAACGGAACGGTATTGGCATGTCTTCACGAAGATGGATCCCTTGTTTTTTACTACACTCAGTCATACTATTCAGAGTTTCTTTATGCCCATCACAATCCCGCAGAGCAACAGCAACAAAAACAACAACCAGCTCCTAAACCACCACAGGCTCAGGCCCATCTTACACTATTGGACACAGATGCGGATACTGCAGCTGCGCTGGGCTTTGGACAGGACTCTGTTGTGGAGACAGAAAGCGCCCCATACGTCATTAAGAATAGCGTTCTCAAAAATGTCAATGTGAGCTCAGGAGAGCTTCTTCAGGACTCTGCTCAGGCCAGATCAGGAGGTGTGTCTACGATTCCACCTTATTCGCCAGAACTAATTGGAATCTGGGGTCTTGTCTTTAGCCCAGAGGACCCCAACCTCGTCGCCGTCTCTTCTCAGTACAAGGTAATTGTTTTCCACCTTGATACGCAGACAAGAGAGGACTCGATTCAAACCTCTGCCCATATCATAGGGTTCTCAGGGCTGTCAATAATTGCATCATACCTGGATGAGGTCTCACACAATATTTCGTCTCTCGATCATGCCTACTACGTCTTAGAAACGCAGATGTTGCGGGAGCTACAAGAGATTATCTTTGGACAGCAGCAAGCACCGGAGTCCTTTAATCCCCTGGTCGATGCTGCACTGAACAGAGGCTGCCTCAACAAGAACATGATATCACTAACAAGTGACTCTAAGTCGGGCGTCCCCAGCTCTCTCTTCGACTCAGTCGCTCCGAAGACAATCGCCATCAAACCCGTGCGGGGCCAGCAACCTGTGGGGGATATGGTTGATTCGGGCCTAGACGTCACGGCCAGCAACTCAAGCCAGCCAAGTACACAAACCAGCCAGGCTCTCTATAGTAAAGACGGCCAGATATCTATCAACCTGGCTGGAGCAGTTGAGTACGTGAAGAGTCATCCCTCCGTTCACCTTTACCGGATAGTGGCGGAGGCCAGCTTAATTACTTTGCGTCTTGAGGTAGCAAGCTACTTCTACATTCGTGCAGGGGACTATGTCTCATACAACTTTTGTGAGTCGCTCCTACGGCTGCAGTCGCAAGATCAGAGGCGTGCTGAAATGCTTATGCTCATCGGAAACTTCAGCTCTGCAGAACACGTATACAAACAGGTTCTGGGACGTCCTGACTTGATAGTCAAGACGCAGACAGACCTACAAATGTGGCTATCCATTATAAGGGCAGCGAAGCTATCCCGCACTCCAGGTGGCAATCTCCTCATAGACGACAAGCTTCTCGAAAAAGCGCACAAGTCGATTGGGCTATACTACATGCGCCAGCAACAGTATGCAATTGCTAGTGACTTTCTTCAGAAGTCCGGAGATCCCTATCTTTATGCTGAAAGTTTGTTTGCTGCACGAAGATACGCAGAGCTTAAGGCGCTAGCGGTTTCTCTTCCTGTGGATGAATTTGCAAACTGCATTGCCAAGGTGGCTGTCATGCTGGCGAGGCTCGGAGACGTAGAGGGTGCGTCTGAAGCTCTTGTGCGCGTTAACGACCCTCACAGCGCCGTCCACATATCATTGCAGCTCAAACGGTTTGACATAGCGGCTGCCATAGCCGGAAAGCACAATATTCTACACATTATAGATCGTGAACTATCCGTCTACTTAAAGCAGTTGCTTGCTGCTGGTGACGACCAAGGGGCGTTAGAGTTGCTGCGCAAAACCAAACAGGGGGAGGTCATTGCGGCAGTGATTATCAACTTGGTATTAAAAGAGCTTCAGACGATCTTTGTCAATAGAACATTTCCCATGCCACCGGGCCTTTTTAGCAAGCTGCGTCGCATTATAGTCCTAGCTGGTAAAGAAGCCACCTATGTGCAGCGAGAGCAAGCAAAAAAGAATCTACAAGCACATGCGTCTGCAGCGCCCGATTGCATGTTGACTGAGCAGGCCACCAATGCTGCGATAGACACATTTATTAATGAGGATGACAACTCCAAGGCTGTCCATGACGTGAAGGCGAAGAATACTGGTAAAGAAGCTAGCTCCTTGGAGCATGAGCTCGAGAACGCCCAGTCGCGTCTGCGCTCAGTCCCTGTCATATGGCGCATCGCCAGGCAAACCAGATTCATAGTACTTTCGTCGTACATGCTTTACATAGGCAATCCCGAACAGGCCCTTTGGCCTGCTATAGAGGCAGCAAACTACTACCACCGCACAAACGACTCTCAGAGCTCTGCTGATCCGTGTATCCAGTACCTAAGCCGCATAGCCCTGCCAATTGCAGCACAGGCAGCGTTGTTATTTGGTGATTTTGAATTGGCATCCAACTTGCTGGAACTTATCGAAGCAGACACAGAGCTCCCGGCGTCTGAGCGGGATCAGCTGGAGCAGATGTCTGTGCTAATATACAGCGAATACAATATCACATCTGTCCCGAGCAAGCGAAAGGACAACTATCAGATAAACTGTGGTCACTGCAATACACTTCTTCCACCGTACTGCGGAATGTGTGAAAAGTGTCACTGGCAAACACCCATTTGTGTCCGTACGGGGCAGCCAATTAAGTCGGACAAAATGGACAAAACAGTGCTGTGTCAGATGTGTCGCTCATTGGCCACCATGGGTAAGACGCACCTAAGTGTTTGCCCTTTATGCCATGAACCTTATCAGTGAACATCCTCTGCTGTGGAGTTACGGATGCATCAGCTTTCCTCCAGACAGCAGCTCCTCCGCAGTTGCCCGTCTTGCCTGAATCCTGCAGATGAATGCGGACTCGATAACATGAGTGTCATCAACCACGCTGGTTGAGTTGAGCATAGGTGGCTCAAGGGTACACGTCAACAGGATTGATCCGCATATGACGAAGCTTACGGCAGGGAGGAGCAGAGCCTCCGCCCCCAACAGATAGCTCTCATTACTACGCGCCCTGTTTGCATACACGGTACAAGTATGCGAAAGGACATACTTTAGATTCACTATTATATCATGCAAGTACTCCGTGTCTGCAAGGTGGCACTCCACGCTCCCGAAGGTAGGAAGTGTGTACGTAATGACATGCATTGCGCTGGAACTAAAAAACTGTACCACAACCCCTGAGTTAGCGCTTTGTCTGACCAGTTCACAGCATAGCAATCACTTATGGATGAGTATGCATCGGCGTTATTGGCAGCCAAGGAGGAGAACTACGAGGCCGCAAGTAAAAGCTTGCAATCTGGTCTAGAAGAAGCCTATAGGGTCTGCAGTGAGCTACATCCCACGGGCAGAGCCAGGGGCCATCCATATGAGTGCAGAGATTCTAACGGTCCTGTCTTGCTGCTGGCATCATTACATACACTGAACGGAAGCATCCTGTACAGGCAGCAACAGTGGACTGCGAGTCTTGGCGAATACATGACTGCACGAAGGCTTCTACAACGCACACTCAACGCTACAACGCGACTCCAAACTGCGTTTTTGGCTAATTGTATCGGCAAGTGCCACTTGCAGCTGGGGAGTTATTCAGAGGGCATCTCTCATCTAGAGAAGGGGGTACAGCATGCTATGTCTACTACCATAACATATACAGCAGGATCCGAGGAGGAGCGGGCGAGCATCACAAGGGATGTGAGTATTATTCTTGCGGGGCTTCACACCACTCTGTCGTGCTGCTACATCCAACTTCGAAAGCCTGTGGAGGCACTCATACATGCAAAATTTGTTCACCGGCGATTGGAAGCATGCTTTCCCGAAACAGATGACCATGCCCGAGCATCTGTGCTGCTAGCAGAATGTATGATTTGTGCTGACAATGGAAGCAGGGCAACCTTTACGAAGGCATTGGGCCTTCTAGACAAGGCTGCCAGAGTGTATCGACAGCTTCTAAAAGCTTCTCGAGCAGACAGCGGGGAGCCTTCTTGGGAGCAGCAGGAGCGTGTGTTATGGCTTCTGAACACATACTACTTGATATCACGGGTTTTGTTATTTACAAATTGCAAGCGGGACGCAGAACTTTATGCTTACAAAGCAGAAAAGCTTGCCATGATCATGCGTCTTCAGCCCAATGACACCATTTATCTCAAAATAAACGAGCTAATATACTGCTGTCGACACGGCATCCCCCACACCTCTTCTGTGCGCAAGGAGGCCCCAGACACTGCCATAGAAAGGGATCTGCATAGTCTCCTGGCTTCAGACACTCGGGAGCGCCTCAAGAACGATCCTAACCTCGCAGCTACCATAAGGAACACCGCACATACTATACAGAAAAGTGACCACGGCATGCCCGAGCGTGCCACGAGACCTGCAAGTGCACCTTTTCTGACAAATCCTGAGAAGTTTAACCTCAAGCCTGCACAGCTATTGGCAGACATGGACCGCCGAGGACGAATACTAGAAGGGCTAGATTATTATTCGGAGATGGAGAAGAAGAGCCAAAAAGACGGTGATGACCCCGATGAAGTTGCGCAATTAATACGTCGCTATAAGACGATAGACATAAAGCCCTATGCCCCACTAAAATAGGTGCTTGCTTATTGCTGGATCCAGCGACTCTTCAAGCATGGCTATGCGCCTTTTGAGTGAGGCCACAGTGTCAAGCCGAAGGACGTATGCCGTCTCCAGGTCGAGGAGTTGTTGCTTCATGCTCTCAGGCGTACGCTCAGGGTCCGTAGGTAAATCTGCCGCTTGAAGCACTTCAAGCTCATAGTCGGCCTGGGACTTCTCACTGTTCTGTAGAGAGGCTGTCTTAGACACAGAGATCAGCCGCAGCGCTATGCCACGTATTACGTTGATTGTCTGTCGAACTGCCACTTGTGCACGCGTTCTGGTGGGAGAAAAGGTGTCCTCATACCTCTTAAGACATTCCAGGTAGTGGTCACACAGCTCCACCAGATGCTCTATGCGCGGCGTCTTCATCTTATGGAACGAAAGGCCGTAACGCCGAAAGTCGTAGTAGACCGGAGGCCATGCGTCCTGTGTGCTCATTTATTTTATATCACTTGATAGTTTACACAGTAGGCACTGTCTCTTCAATGCTATCGGTCGATACGGGATTCTCCTTGTAGTGCTTCTTGAGCAACGAAAGACACGCAAACCTACGCGACTGTTCAACTGCTACCTTAGAGTCCATAGCCAGGTCTAAGCACGACTTTCCCGTATGGTGCAGCATATGGCCTTCCTCAGGCAACAGTATTCTCAGGGACTCCAGGCAGAAGTTCTCTGCTGCACGCATGCACGCAGTGCGGCTGTTGAACATCCGTATTCCCTTCTCGTACTGTACTAGGAGCTGAACCACGTTATCAAAGTTTGCCTCTGCAGCCAAGATCAGGGCTGTCATCCCATAGCTATCCTGCGCACCTGCCTCTGAGACTAGAAGCTCACACGCCTCGTAGTGCCCGAGACGTGCTGCCCACATTAGCGCAGTCGCCCCACGCCACTCTGACAGCATGGTCATCCCTGCCTCGGGCTCAACAAGAATTTTGATGAGATTTGTGAAGTTTCTCTCTGCAGCATACATCAGCGCAGTCTTTCCGTACTCATCGTGAAGCCGCGCTTGTATCGCCGCCAAACTCCAGACGTCGACTGGCTTGTTAGCAATGACAGCATTGATCAGGTCGGTCTTACAATAGCCGTAGGACTTCGCTTTGTCTGGGACGGTCCCTTCCGCGTCGTTTAGGAGTTTGGAAATCTCTATGTGCCCGTTTTCTATGGCTAGCTCGAGAGCATTCCTATTATCTGTGGTGCGCCGCATCCCCTTTTCATACTCAAACAACAACTTGACGCATTCCAGGTGTCCATTTTGCGCCGCTAACATCAGGGCCGTGGTACCATCTTTATCGGTTAGCCCTGCTTGTGACCGCAGGCACCAGACGTTCCCAATGTCTCCGACCTCGGCAACCTGCATCAGCTCTGTCTTGCGCATCCCGCGGCACTCATAGTTATCTGGATTCATCCCATCAATCTTCGCCAACTCCGCAGCAGCCTCGTAGTTCCCCGAAAGGACTGCAATAGAAAGAGGGGACAGCTGCTTCTTATCCATTACATCATGCCGTAACGTCGATTCCTTTCCTGCCAGCATCTTCACAAAGCTCGAAGTGAGATCATCCACTGATTGGGTCTGGATAGTCCGCACCAGCGCAGAGGTGTTGTCATTGTCCATAAGGCGACTCTGACGCATAAGAGAATAGGCTGCGACAATGTCCTTATTCTCAATGGCCATCATCAAGTCTGTTACCCCATCTGTATTTACGTTCATATTTTTGAATCTATACGCTTCCTCGGGCGCTATGGCCTCTGCAACCTCGAAGTAAGAACGCTCAAGGGCGAGTTCGAGAGCAGATTTTCCGTCAGGAGTCAATATCGATCCCTCTTTGGCGACGAGAATGTTCGCACCAACAGGGTCGTTGTTGAGTGCCGCTATCATAAGTGCAGTGTAGCCGTCGCCGTTTGTGATGCAGCCCTCGATGTCTACAAGCGCTTTCATGACATCATAGAACTTGTTACGTGTTGCTATGTGCAGAGCTGTTTCTCCGTCCTTTGTCCGGATGCCTGCCTCTTTACCACTAAGTATTACAGCGACGGGAGCGTAATTCTTCATTGCGCATATGTGCAGGGCTGTAAGGGAACCTGGTTTATAGGCAAAGCCACCCTCTCTCGGTGCAAGGATACGGGCGAGCTCAGGCCAATCGTTCTCCAGAGCATAGATCAGCGCTGTCTTCCCTAGATGATCTGCCTTGTTGCTTTGGTATGGCAGAAGGCACCACGCTGTGACAATATCTCCGCGCTGAGCTGCAACCATGAGCTCGGTCGTGCCCAGAACGTCTTCTTCCGGATTCTTTAGATCAAAACCTTCGGCCGGGGTGAGTATCTTGGCAGAAGTTAGGCTGTTGTTCAAGAGGGCCATTTGAAGCGCAGAGACACCGTTCGGATCAACCATTCCTGCTTCCAATGGCGCAAGGACTTTAACTGCCGAGCAGAAGTTTCTCTCAGCTGCATACATTAGTGCCGTCTTGCCAAGAGCGTTGGTCTCCTTAGCATATGATAAGTTAGCCATGACGCCGTTGATATCTTCATCTAGCACAGCCGTTATGAGCGGGGTATTGTGTAATTCGTCCCTGATAGCGTCGTATGTGCGCTTCTGGCTAAGCAGAGACTTCCGCACCCCGGCCAGGTCCTGTGGCTGTGCCTCAGCGAATTGATCTCCCATCGGAGTGTCGGCCACCTTTATGTTCGTTTCTATTCCGACATAGGTGGAAGGACTACGACTATCCTGAGGAAGAGAAGCTTTGAAGGACGTGAGCTTTAGGGGAGCTGTGACAGACTCCGTGCAAGTATGCTTGTAGTTGGGTGAAACTTCGATCTCGTGAAATGTGCGGGCACGGGAGGCTCGTGTGTGGCTTTCTGGTTGCTCCTGGTAGTTTGTTGTGTCCTTGTTTGTCTGTCTGAAGGCGTCGTTGGCATAGAATGCAGCTGTGTACGGATTGATGCTGGCATCTGCCCTGCGAGCGCTCTCCTCCTTCAACCGCTTTTCACTGTTAGCCTCCTCGTCATATTGCTTATATAGCTCTTGCCGCCTGGCATACTCTTCATCTTCCTCCTTCTCCAACTCATACTCCCGCCGCCGCCGGTCCTGGAGTATCTTTGCTTTATCAGGGCTATCGCAATTTTTCAGGTATGACTCAGTGATTCTCTGATTAAAGAGGCTAACAGAGGACATACCGCTCTGTTGGCTCATGCTCGTGTCATGGCCCTGGTGGTAGAGACTCTTATCTGCGTCCAGTGAGGTCCGCGGAACAGACTCCAACGGGAGAGGCTGTGGGCCAACAGAGGTAATAGATTCTGCGGCACTGACGATGAGAGGGTGCACGATTACGTCAAAGATAGTTGGTCTCTTGTCCTGGTCCACAGTTAAGAGTTCTTGTATTAGTGTCCGAAGGGAATTCGAATAAACGTTGGGTATTGCGGTGTCTTTGGGCGTCAAGCTCTTCATGCGCTGGTACACGAGCGCAGAATCTGAGCCCGACACCACAGGCGCCAGGGAGCATAGGTAGTAACCTAAGGCTCCAATGGACCAAACGTCGACCTTTTCATCGTACTCATCTATCTCTGACAGGAGCTCTGGTGCACAGAACGAACACTTGGCACGGAAGTTTGCAAGCAGACCGTGATGGAAGAGGGATTCGACTGGGGGCATGTCTGACAGCTTAATGTAGCCATTCTCAGCTATCAGTACGTTCGACGGAGTGATACTACGATGTATTATGCACCCGATTGTGTATACGTCTCCAGCATAACCCTTAAACTGCTTGTTATGAGGGTTGTGCAGATATGCAGTGGCAGAAATTACCTGTGCCAAGATCTCTAGGATAAGAGGCTCTGGAATGATTTCCTCGTGGAGCCGGTAATATTGAACGAGATTTTCTAAGTTTCCTACACATTCCTCCATGACCAGGTAGTATGAGTGACGACGCGCGTCCGACGTTGCAGAATAGATGTGGACGACGTGGGTATCCATGAAGTGACAATACATTAGCATTATCTGTGCCATATCCTCGTGGGTGAGTTCCGCCACGTCCGAGTAGTTCGCGACCTTGCAAGCGCGTATTGCTCCCGTATCAGAGTCCTTCGCCTCATAAACTGTGGTATAAGCGGTGTCTCCGATAATGTTCAGGGGTGTGAGAGGAGGCGGAAGGTAGGGCACCGAAGCCATTTTTTTGATTTAGCGCATTTACTTCATTTTACACGAGCCAGCGGAGGCAGGGACACCCTTGCGCTTCCACTTATGTGCTTCGAAGAAATCCCACTTATTTCTGAGCTCTCGTGCAGCTCGCCTATACCTAAGTTCTCTAACCTTGAGCCGGGTCTGGACTGAATTGCAATCGGGTTTGAGCTAGAGTCGCTTGCTTCTCTTCCCCGAGCTGGTAACGTCGGCAATATTACAGGCTTATCAGCAGTAAGAAACTGAGGGGGTCCCGGAGGTTGCGGAGACGTTGATGATGGTGATGGTGAGCGAGAAATGGGAAAGTTTGTATTCAGATACTCCTCTAATTCTGTCGGTTCTAGCTGCAAGGCATCAAGGCTGGTGATGTTTCCAGGGGTGGTAAACGATACACTTCCGATGGGCCGCTTGAACGCTTCATCGAATATTCCAAGCGTATCCTCCGTGCTATCTGTCTCCATCTTCTCTGTCTGCTGTCTAATCTCATCTTCTATCTGAATCACGGCCTTGCTAACAGTTTTGCTGAAGCTAGGGTCAGCACTCTGGTACAATGCCGAAGACTGCCTCTTTTTGATCAACTCTAACTTCGCCGCGCGCAGCTGTTGCTGTAACCTCTTGTTTTCACGGCGCATCAGATTGGAGAGAGCGAGTAGCTCGCTGGAGTGTAGCCTTGCCTTCTCAATTGCCTGGGAGAGTTGCAGCTTCTGCCGCTCAAGCGACTTCTCAAGTGTTGCTACAGAACGCTCTAGATACGTCCTCTGCCTGGCTAGCATCTCGTCAGACATGATGGTCTTCTGCGTAGATAGCAGAGTGGATACCTGTGTTAGTGGATCGTTTCGTAGCTCTAACGCCTCACTTAGCAGAGACTTGCTGGACTTACTGTTCTCACAGCAATGCTTAAGGTATAGAGAGTGGATGGAGTTGCTTATGCCCTTGGTGCACTTGGTATGAAATTCGCGCTCTTGCTCGACGAGCTGCATGTACTTTATACTAGTGTCGTAAATGTCCTTGACAGTCTCCCCAGTACGTGATAGGGCTTGCGCAATAGCTGTCATGGTGAAGTCGTCAGACCCTTTGGTGGCGGAAGATACGGCACTACTAGCAGCGCTGGCTGTACGACGGTTGCGTGTGCCGTCTTTGTCACTGCCTGTCATGTCCAGATGCCGCGTCTCTAAAACGCTGCTCCTCCCTGACCCTGTGCCAGACCTTGCAGACGACTTAGTGGTGTTCATGGACGAAACCGATCGGCGCTGAGGACTCAGCTGGAAAGACCGCGCTGTCCCAACATTTCCAGAATTTACGATGGATGTTGCCATCGTGTATGCTGTGCTCACATGCACTTTTTTGAAAGGAGATCCCGCATCAGAAGTACTAGATGCCCTTTGTTCACCTGGCACGTTTGGTTTGTGGTTCCTGCTATTACTATTGCTTATTTTAAGAGCTTCTGCCAGAATATGATGGTTCACCTTGGATCCATTGCGCAAGCTTTCTAGCTCTTTCCCCTTTGCCTCGTTAGACAGCGCATTGCGATATATGTTCTGTATATCGTTGAGAATGAATAGTATGCTCTCCTCTGCTGCCACGATTTTCTCCTTTTTATTGGCCAGCTCCTTTGACAGACCTTGGCGACGTAGCCTCAACTCCGAGATAGTAAGATTGCTTTCGTATCTCTTTTGTTGATCCCTCAACAGCTCAGCATCCATCTCGTTCGCTTGAGTTGCTAGCTCTGCCAGAAGGTTGTCTCTGGGAGCAATACACTCCTTTAGCTCAGAGGATCTGTTCTTTAGGATCATGCCAACTTTCTCCAGGTCAACCTTCTCCTTTTGGATACTTTGGTAGACGCGCCCCTTTTCAGCTATTGTGGCGTTTCGGTCGACAATGTCTGCCTTCAAGTGCTCTAGCGTATCCTTGGCGACGCGGAGAGCTTGTAGCGCTTGCCCACTTTCAGTTCGGGCTCGAGTCAGCGCAGTCTTTTTGCTAGATGTGTCCTTCATCACATTGGCAAATTCTTTTTCTAACTCTTTGTGGGAGGCACGTAGGTCTGAGACATTGGAAACTTCTGCGGTGACCGTTTTAAGAAACTTCATCTTTAATGCCATCACTTCGGTCTCAAGAGACTTGTTGGCTTCATCCACACACTGCTCTGTTTGATCGCGGAGTAGCCTCTCGTCTTCGAAAAGGCTATTGAGCTGTGCCTGGAGGTCTTCCGTAGTCTTCTTCGTGAGCAGCTTCTCCTTCTGCACGGACTCCTCCATTTCTATCTTTAATTCTTTGATCTGATTGCCATGACTTTCCTCATTGTGTATTAAGCGTTCAATCAATCTGTTCTTCTCATACTGGAGTGATGACAACTGTTCTTCAAAACTCTTGACTAGTTCGCGAAGCAATACATTTTGTTTCATGTCACGGTCTATCATAATCTCTGTTCGTCTCTTGAGCATGCGGTCGCGGCGCATGAAAGCACCAGAAAGCGCCTTCACGCTGTCCTTCTTCGCCTCAAAGAACCTTTCCATAAGCTGCTTAAGTTGGGTTTCTGATGCATGAGTTATTTCATATATTGACGTCAAGGACGCCTGCTTCATTAGAAGGGTACGGGTCAGAAGCTCGAAGAAAAGGAGATCAAGTGTCTCCTGGTGCTTCCGCGAGCGGACGATATGATTGAGCCCCAAGGAAGAACGCGGAACCGGCTTGGTCATAAACGGAAGCCCTGGGTAGCGGATTCTTGAAATCAGTATCATACCGTCAACACTGCAGCTCACTATGTACGATCCGCGAACAATAGCCGTGTGACTAACGGGGGCGCCATGGAGCCTCGTGTTGTAGTGTGTCGGCTTGTACTCCCCGGTAACTTGATCTATCACTGGATATGGGTGAAGAACAACGGTCCCGGTAACAGATCCAGACACTATCAGCGTGCTGGTAGCGTTCAAAAGGTGAGGATTCATCAGCAAACTATTGAATACACCTTCATCATTGAGAAACTTCCCCAGCATTGCACGTGTGCCTGTTTCGTTAATCGCCTCTGTGATAATGGGTGGGGTTAGCTTAACCCAAGAAGAGTACGCCTCAATTCCATGTGTGAGAGACAATGAGTTCAGGTACGTGGCCTTGAACATCTCGAAAGACAGGTAATTGTCTTCGTTGATAGCAACGGGGTACTGCGAATTATAGAGTTGGTAAATCGCAGTCACTGGCAGGGAGAACGCGCCTCGTCTTTCTCCATGCGTCGCACTGCTACCAACTGTTGCTGTGGTGCGTCCAAGGATCCCCTTCGTGGACACCATGCCGAGTGTGTCTGTATTATTTAAAACAGTACTGCTATTGTGGCTGGAGCTTGCTATGGTGCGAGGGAAGGTTGGCGTCACAGAGAACCGGCTGTTATCATACTCGGCTAAGAGGGGGTTATCAGCAGGATTTTCCGGAACGTCAACACAGCCCCTTGTCGTGTCTCTTACTTTTCCCTCCGACTTTATTCTATCCTCAGTAGAAGTAGTACTGGGCACCAGCTGGCCAATCAGCTTTGCCGCGGTCAAGGAAACCAGGTCGATCTTCCCATCATCCGGCCTGTGTCCCAATCGTCCAATTGTCCACATCTGTTGCAGGAAATCCAACTCAACAGCAGTTCCGTCTGCTAGGATAGCTAGTAGTGGCGTGTAAGCTAGCTTATCACCCTGCGTTGCAGTAAATCTTGAACGGCCCTGTGGAGAAAAGTTCAATGCTTCTATAAACGACAGCTTAGTGACATATGTAGAAAGGATTGTCGCCGCCCTTTTCTTAAGAATGGGGTTGATTCCTGTCTGGCGCCTATCTTTACCGCCGAGGGCCGAGTCTATTTCGGCTAATTTATCAAATTCTTCACGGAGTGTGGCCTCAGTGACTGTTTCGTTGCTAAGTGGGCTGGTACGCTGCTCCTGGCCATACACAGGCTGCTGGGCTTTGGGAGCAAGATCGGCATTGAAAAAGAACCCACCTGTGAGATAGCGGTTTAGCAGGGCGCCGTCAAGAGAACTAAAGAGGCACACATCGCCGTCTGTAAAGGCCACCGCAACAAGAAGCCTTGTGCTTATAGCCATGCAGGTCGGCTTAGCATCCCGCTTTATGAGCTGTAAGCTTTGCTTATACTTTTGCATATCTTGTGGCGAAAACGATGGAAAATCGTTAGGACGGGGCAAGAAGGCGAACCGCTGAGACAGATTTATGCGTTTGACAAGCCTAATTTCCAGGAAGGAGAACACGTACACGCTTCTATAGGATAGAAGGTAAAGATAATTGCCCGTCTTATCAAAGTCAATGCCCAGACAAGGAGAATCACAGTCTATTACTGAGATGCATTCCATATAAGAGTCTACAATGTGGAGGATACAGACACAATATCCTTTGTTGGCCTTTGCTGTTCTGGATGGTTTCTCCTGCGCCAGAGAAAACCCCAAGTCCCGCTTGCTGCGGGCAGACACCAACAGGTGCCTTCCAGAGGGGTGAAGCTTCAGCGAAGTGATGGTAAACGCAGGCATTCCTCTGAGGCTCTCGACCGTCTTCATAACAAAGTCAGTAGTCGCCATTGTCTCCTGGCTGTTTGCATCAGGAGTGTTAGCCTGATTCTGCGCTGAGGCTGAGAATAGGTCTGTCTTGGTCACCTCGTTAGTTGTGTTGGTCACGGCCAATCCATCAAATGCGTTCTCTGAAGGGGCAGACGCATTGGTCAACTGAAGCGTGGAGCGGTTGAACTGCGACGGGGGTGCACATGGTGCATTTGTGGCGGGACTATCCGCGAGAAGCTTAGTAACAGAGGGCTCTGGGACAGTATCAAAGCGCTTATTTTCAAAGTAGATTGCAGGAAGGGCCCAGCTCCATGCAGCGACAAACGTGCTAGAGATAGCATTCAAAACGGTGACTTCTCCATTGTCGTTTCCAATCGCCACATAGCCCGTCTCGTCCGAAGCAGAAATAGCGGTTATAGGGACACCCTTCATATGTAGCTCCTGGCCAAATGAATAGCCTGTGCAGCACTGGGATGGGTCCATCAATACTCCGTTCAAGGTCACACCTTGGTGCGCGACCGACGCAACTATCGTTGAGGGTATCTGATAGTACGAGGTAAACGGGCAGAAGATAGATGTGCTTATGATTGCAGAAGGCCACGTCTGTGGGCTCTGGTAGAACTCCGTCTCTAGCTGAGTTGCTTGGGAGTGCGGCTTTACGTTTGCAACCGTGCCTGTCAAGGCTTTGATCGGGTTGATAAGAGAAATCATATTGTAGACGTTAGATATTGATCTAGGAATCCTAATTAGATAGCGTATTTTCTTAATCGTTTCATAAGCCAACGCCAAGATTTCAGTTGTAACGCTATTCTGAATGGTTTGCTTGAAGAGCATTGTAGAAGAGCTGGGAGGCGATGTTGCAGATAGCCTGAGCGCGCTGCCAGAAGCAAAAGATTTGTTGTTAAGCCCAAGTGGACTGGGAGATTCCATAGGAACCGTGACATTTAAGATGTTAGTGCCTGTCAAATTGGCTTGCTCAGTCTTGAATTCATCCATGAAAAGCCTCTGCTGGCAATCTAGAGTGTGCAGAATAGAATCACGAGTTAAGCTGTTAGAAACAAATACGTATCCTGCATCTGTATATACAAGCACACGTCTTGTTTTCGGGCAGATATCTACAGAGAGAACTGCGTTGAAGTTGCATGGTAGAAGAATGGAGCGTAGAACAAGAAGGATTGGCAAGCGCAAAGTCATGCCCCCAGACGCCTTGCAAGGCATCATTATAGCATGTTCTTGGCGAGGGTCAGATGGCGCTCCCGCAGAAGAACCTGTGATACTGCTCTGTGCTCCTGGTAAATCAGTTCCGATTGCGGATGGGACCGGGGGTTCAAAATTCAATATCTGATAGATGATTATGCGGCCAAAAGAGGAGCCAACCATGATCATGTCATCCTGTAGGAGCTTAAGACACGTTATCTCTTCCCTGACATTGGGATCTGCAGACAACACGTCCAGGTGATTTCTAATAGTGAATCTTGTCATCTTGCCGTATTGCTGCGAGGTCGTTTCAAAGATAGGATCTCTAAGAACTATTTGGCCAAATATCATGTCGCTGGGAATAAAGCAGCAGAGATGATCCTTTCGAAGCACCAGAATCTCTCCTGTCTGCTTGATGGGAAGCAAACTGAACTCCTTATCTTGGTGCCTCATGACAACCGGGGCCATAAATGTGCCTACCATCCGCTTGAGACTGAAAATGCTCACGGCCTTGATTAAGCCATCCTGCAGTATCAAAAATTGCATGTTCTGAGGTGCAATCCCGTGAATCACGTTAGTCTGCAAGGGAGAAAAATAAGAAGCTGAAATTTCTCGCTGTGACTTGAAGAGAGCGTATGGCTTTGGAACAACGTAAACGTTTTTGATTGGCTTGATGTCTCCATGCATCGAAGCGTTCTCGTTAATAAATGGTGGGATTGCCCAGACAATGATAGGCCATTCTGGCGGCGCCAGCTGTACCAGCAGGAACCGGTCCTCCAGAGAAAACGAAATGCTGGTGACTATCCCTGAGAGCCCTTGCCCATCGGGGACGTTTATCATAGCTACACGTGCCTTGTGCCTCAAGGAATATATGTGTATTTTTGGCATGTTATCCGTGTTAACCACAAATGCCAGGAGTCTTCTAGTGACCGAGAAAGCGAGATGGACAACATTGTTTATAGTACCGTCTAATTGAACGAAGTCATAAGTGTTTGTCTGAATATTATGCAGAATAATCATCCGGCCCGCAATGAAGCAAACCTTCTGGTGGTCCTCGGTGAAGAAAAGAGGGGTCCGGACAGCGAGGTTAAGTCCATACACGGCGACCGGCTCTAGGTACGGACGCGCCGGTTCCGCGCTTACCGGAGTGGACGCCATCGAGTTAGATCTAAGGCCTGCTAAAGAGGCGAATTAAAAAACCTGGTCAGAAAACAAAGAGAGAACAGATTTACAACTTCACCGGACGGGCCAGTCCAGCAGTACAATAATACTAATGACAGTTAACCAGAGTGTGCACAAGGGCGAGAGGCCGGTCACTTAGAGCGCTTCTCCTCCTCTTCCTTGCGTAGCTTACAATAGAGGCGCCAGGTGGCTTCATCGAACCCATAGTTGAAATACTGAGAAAGCTTCGCCGGAGTGCAGTCTCTGCTGCGCCACGGTTTGTCCGGAAGCTCATCTATGTTCACGTTGTAGATGAGCTCCCCATTGTAGACAGGCTTCCCCATCAATTGCTCCCGCTCTCTGATGGTGTCCGTGAGGAAGAGACCCGGTCTGTCGTTATCGAGATCGCTTGTCGCCATTATTTTTTGAATTAGACATTTTTTGGTCTCAACATGGTTACAAGGCCGACTACTTGTTCATGTACTCCTCTATCTTATTCTTCATGATGGGCATTATCGTCTGGCGGTGAGATTTTATCATCTCTTGGATTGCCCTCTCGCCGTGCGCCTTCGCCTCCAGAGGAGCTAGGATGTCGACACACTTGAAATGTCCCTTATACGCTGCGTACACCAGGGCAGACAGCCCATTTATATCCACCATTCCGGCCTCCTCGTTGGCAAGTAGCGCAACAACATCATGTTGCCCCTTGGTCGCAGCGTACATGAGGGCCGTAGCGCGAATCTTATCCCGCATCCTAGCCTGCCTAGGGATCAGGAGCTTTACGATGTCCTTTTGGCCGGCCTGGGCCGCATACATCAGAGCGGTCATTCCCATTTTAGAAACGATCCCGTCCTCGACAGGAAGCAATGCCTCGGTTATCTCCAGCTGCCCGTATTGCGCTGCGATCATCAAGGCCGAGAGACCCATCTTATTGGTCTTCCTTCCCTCAACGGGGAGCAGCAGCTTGACGGCCTCCAAGTGGCCCCACTTACTTGAGTACATAAGGGCAGTAGCACCTGTCTTGTTCAGCTTCCGCCCTTCCTTCTGGAGGAGAATGCTCACAATTCTGGTAAATCCAGATTTCGCCGCAAGCATGAGGCCCGTCATTCCCTCTGCATCAGTTAGCCCACCCTCCTTGGTCATGAGAACCTGAACAGCATCTGTATGACCAGCCTCGGCAGCGTAGTGTATGGCCACCCGCTTCCTACTGTCTCGGAGCTTAGCTTCTACGGACAAGAGCAGGCAGGTGGACCCGACATTGCCCATGTGGGCAGCAAACATAAGAGCGCTTCGCTTATTAGTTGTTATACGCCCAGACTCCTTGAACATAAGTACGGAAACAACGCTAGCATGGTCAAGGGCGGCCGCCATCATTAGGGCCGTAAAGCCGTCATCTGCTATCTCGTCACATAGCACAGGAGACGAAAAGACGGAGCCCACCATGTACATGGAACTCTCCACGCCTACGGAGCACCCTTGCTCCACGTGGCGGAACCAGCTATTCCAACCGTCTGGTTGGAGCACCTGCTCTACGGTGGGCTTTCCTTGGAGACACTCGATGTAGCTGTTGCTATAGCCTGAACTTGTGAGCTGACTACCTTCGCGATCAGCGAGCAGGCGGATAAGAGCCCCACGCTGAGGCGATAAGATATAACTTCCTTCTAGTTTTCCGGTAAGCAAGAGAAGGAGAGCAGCGCCATTCCCGGCCTCGTCGAGATGGTTGATTATGGATTGCGCCAGCCTCCGTATCAGTACTTTATCCACAGAAGTGACGAATTTCTGAATCAAACTAATAAGGCTCTCGGAGCTGTCGTGAGTATCGCCGGTCACGTTCCCCTCCAACTTGGTGCTGCTAGACAGGATGCTTCCCGTGCTTCTGATGGATGAGAGCCCGTAGACAGCCGTCTCATTGTAGGACAACTTCATTGTAAGCTTCTTGTTGGTCTCAATGAGGTTCTTGATGTACCTGTCCCTCATGGCAAGCGCGGCGTCAGATGCTTGTAAGTGCACTGACACAGCATCCATGGAACTGGGATCTCCAGTTTTCTGCATGTTACTGTACATATCCTCTAAAAGCTTGGCCTTGGCGTCCAAGTCTGCCTGTAAGGTCTGCTGTTGATCCTGCTGCTTGGCTAGCCGTTCGTTCAGAACATCAATCTGCGTTTTTAGCTGCGAGATCTCGGTCTGAAGGCTATTGATGTGCGCCTCTCTGTCCTTGACGGCATCCTGGATGTGGAACTCGAGCAGTTGCTCTAGCTCCCGGCCAGGCTCGCTGGTCTCATTCCTAGTGTTAACATAGCTTGACACACAGGGAATCCGCAGGATATCGGCTGCAGAAGAGCGCTTCTGGGGGTCCACAACAAGCATGGCCTTGATCACATCGTGAAGCTCGGGGTAGTCTATCTTTGTCAGATCAGGCCGCCACGTATTCACGTAGACAGACTTGGGAGGCATGCCGCGCAGAAAGTCAGGGACCCGGCCGTAAGCCATCTCGTACACCACCACTCCGAGGCTCCAGATGTCTGCCTTTCCGTCGTAGTGCTCATGGAACATAACCTCGGGCGCCATGTATGCCGGAGAACCTGCATACGTCGAGGCACAAACAGTGTTGGTCACCGTCCGACACATGCCGAAGTCAGCCAGATAGAAATTCTCGACCTTCTCATCCGTCAGGATATTGGCTGGCTTAATGTCTCTGTGGACAATTGAGGGTATCTTGTTTTCTGACATGGCCTGCGGCTTGAATGGGCTATGCAGGTACGCCAAGGCTTCACACATTTGGGCCGTCAGCCGGAGGATCATGTCGAGTTCCGGCTTCTGATTTTTGCGGTGCATGGGGACTATCACCTCTGAGAGCGATTTAGCGTAGCGCCGCATGCGAATATATGTAAAGGTGTCTGTCTTGATGACCTGCTTGTAATCTACTATGTACTGATGCCGTACACGCGGGAGGAGATCCAGCTCCGTCTCCAACGCAAGCCGCGCCTTCTCAGAAAGATTCACCGTGCTGATCTCCTTGACCACCTCGTCGGGGTTGCTTTTTAGCGCTCGCACAGAGCCGTACGCGCCCTTCCCAAGCACAAAGTCGAAGTCCTGAAGAAGCTCATTCAGCTCCTGCTGATTGACCGTCTGTCTGCTGGAGTCCATGGGAAAGAATTTTAAACTTTCAAAAGTAAATAAGTTATGTGATAGGACATGCCGCGGAGACATAAAAGTGAATTGTTCGCTAATATGTTACATAAACCGTGCTCAGATTACTATGAGACGCTGTATAGATTCTTGCAAGAGTCTGTAACGAACCAAAGTCTGCACAATATACTGCACTTATCATTCCAGAAGTAAGATGCAATATTACATGAAATTTTGTTGTGCATAAACAATTGAAAGTGAAGCTCGTCCAAAATCAACTGGAGATGGCCTCGAACATCGCATTCTATAACACCGACTACGCCATTGTGGAGGCTGAGCTCCGCTCTAATCCACAGGGGTTCGTGGCAAACGCTGAATATCTGAGTTTGGCTCAGCTGCAGACACCCGAGGAGTTCTGCAGTGCACTTGCAACCATAACAGGCATCAGTATTCCGACCATTGCCAGCAGCTCAGATATTCGGTGTGGGCTTCTCAACAAGTTGGCGGAGACATTTCGTGACCTTCTACCCAGCGCAGAAGGCCTTTTACTCCAGTTTCTTCTACTCTTGCGTACCCAGTACGTCCTGTCCAATTCATTTATTCTCATTTCAGCGGCGCTCAAGGGCCGTGCGGCTGATTCAAGCATTCGGTTTCATCCTATCGGTGTCTTCCAGAACCTCGAGCTGTTGGTCAGCATCGAGAACCTCTCAGAGATTGTCGGAACCCTTCTTGAAGCATCTCCTGCGGGGCCTTTCCTGATCAAGGCCGGGCTGGATGTAGAGAGTGTCCAACTTGAGTCCATGAGCCAGCAAGACATTGAGATTCTGAGGGCTAAGGCCGAGTCTCTCTACCTGGAGCACCTCCTTAACTTTTCACTGTCCATCGGTGGCCAGACAGCACAGACCATGAACGACCTCCTGTACTTTGAAGCTGACCGCATGACAATTATGCTGGTCTTTAACCTGCTCGGCAACGAAAACTTCACTCCTGAGGCAAAAATGGAGATTATGCCCCGCCTGGGGGCCCTTTACCCCTACCACCAGGAGCGCCTCTCCCAGTGCTCCGACATGGATAGCGTTCGCTCGATTATCTCCGAGTTCCAGGAGTACAAGAAGGTTTTGGACCGCATGTCTGCGGACTCTTCCCTGACCCTTCTGGACGCCTTCATGTTCGAGCAGGTCGACAGCCTCCGTGATGGTTTCAAGTCGCAGTACGACTTTGCGTCTATCTATTGCTACTTCAAGCTGAAAGAGCTCGAAATGAACAACCTCGTATGGATGTACGAGGCCCTCCAGCAGAATCAGCTGTCGGAGATGCGCAAGTATGTGCCGGTCATTTGACTGCTGTCTTTTGTCCGAAATTTTTATTTGGCAAGCTGGTTGGCTTCCTTTCCCTGTCTGACATTGGTAAGCTTCGCACCGGTGCCGGAAGTTCGCAGCCTTCGCATCTCTGAAAGTAAATGCCATTCGATGTCCGCGTCGAGGCTATCCTTCCGCAACTGGATGTGATTCGGCCGGCCATCACGAGTGCTGTAAAAGATGTCTGTGCCATCATTAGTTCCTCCGTATCAAGCTCCACAATCCGCATGGGCGCACGCATTATTCTACTCCTCTGCCTTGCTGCCATGTTATCTGTGGCCATTCATATTCTGAAGGCTTCTGAAGGCCTTCGGTCCTCGTTGGCCCTGGTCTTCTGGCTCTTCTCCTGGGTGTGGATCCTCTTGCTACTGGTTTTCGCAGTTGTAATAACTCTGGAGTTGGCCAGGGACTACATGTACACATCCCCCATTATCCGTCGGATCGTACGGAACTTACAGCGGCTTGCAGCAGAATCTGACCATAGCAACCCGTCCCAGGCGCCTCAGCGAGTACCAGTGGATCCAGTGGACTATACCTCTCTATCGGATCTTGACGAAGAGCCGCAATTGGAGCAATATATCACCGCAGCAGCCAACCAGACATCAGCGGACTTATGACTGAGTTAAGCAGAGAAAAATTCACTTTTAGTCTGTCTTGGCATCAGCCTCTGGCATGATGTCAGAATCTTTGATGAGCAGACTCGGAAGCACAGCAACGATAAGGAGAATCACAACAATCACAGCCGTAATTGAAAACATCGTAGCCTCCATAGGTGCCCACGCATTCCTGAAAGGCGTCGTCGTAGTGTTGATCTTATTGGCAGAGAAAATCACTGTGCAGCCCTGACCGTCCGGCTTACTATTGACTATCTTCTTTATCTCTTCCAGGAGCTCCTGTGGACCGTTAGTACTGACAATGGTGGTAGTTCGAAGCTTATAGCAGCTTGAACCAGTCGTCGGACAGTTGTCGTTTGTGCACTCAGAAACGCCCTTTAGGTCCGGCAACGTCTCAACCAGAGTCGTATTCTCAGGCAGTGGGACAAATTTCTCGACGATTGCTGTGGAAAAGTCTGAAATACCCTTGAAGGTTGTTGCTATTACGTCAGACCGGCCCGTCTCGTCAAGAAGATAGACTGTGCCTTGAGATTCCTCTCCCTTATGAACGACAAGAAGGGGAACAGATAGCCTCACAGCATGCACACCGAAGACGAACACGCTGAAGAAAGGCAAGCACAGCATGGCCAATTGTTTTTTATCCCCTAAGATTGATAACCTTTTCCTGAAAGTGGTGCTGGAAGAAGCTGCAGTGAGAGATTCCATGCACACTCCTCTGGCTCAGTCTGTTAAGCTCGACCCTCTTCGTGTTGAACCCTCGCCTCTGCCTCAACCTATTTGAGGAGTCTCGCCTCAGCTGATAAATATATTGCTTGCGCTGAGTATCTGTCATGCATTCCATGGCGCAGGCGACAATATAGGCTGCCGAGTACGAATTCTGCGGGGTTGTGTCGTTCTGCTTATTCATTTGGTTAACGTACTCCAGCCCCATCTGCATGAGAAAGTGCGACAGCTTGGCAAAGAAATCAGGCGCCTTAGCCCTGTACATTGAGAGTTGCTTGAGTGAGACAAATCCTGTCTCGTAGAAAGACTTCATTATAGCACTGAAGACCCCTATGAAGGAATGGTCCCCCACCCCTAGTAGATAGTTTTCCACCTTATCGCAGTTCTTTTCGATGTAGTTGATGACGATGGAAATTGGCTCCGTATAGATTGTTTGGGGCTCATTCAGAGATGATTGGTCTATAGCCTTCTTCTCATCGCTGCTACCGGATGACTCTTGGGCGGGAGATGTCCCCGAGGATGTCGCCTGGACCTGAAAGCTCCTGCTTGTGTTGACCGCACTCTGGATGACAGCTAGAACTTTGTTGTCAATGGATTCATTTGACAGCTCGTTGCCTTCCTGAACTGGAACATTGGATGGCTTGCTTTTCGGGCTGACGTTACTGCTCGCATTGGGGGTGCGAGTCTTTTTGGGTGTCTGCTGCTTTACATGACTGTGCTCCGTCCTGGACTTGTCATGCTCTTTGGCATCGAGTGCACTCTTTGGGGACTGCACAGCAGATGTTTCCTCCTTTTTACTGACTAGCGATTTGGGACTCTGGTGCGTACTTGACTTGCGTAGGGGGGTGGCGCTGGCCACCTGAGTGTACGTCACTGAAGGCGTCACCGAAGTATCCGACCTATCGAACACTCGTTTTCGCTCTGGCTCGGTGCCATCGTTACTGCTCATGAGTTTTTTTAAATGAAACCTACACTACCCTACAGTACACTTCTACCGCACATCTCGAACTCGTACTTTCAGCCTAATCTCCGGTAGTCTATGAGTAGCAACGATACTCTAACCTTCATCAACGGCCTAACGAGCTTCTACGGTTCTCGAGCCAACGAAGTTCAAGACGCATTGGTGGCTTCTAGAGTTCATATTGTGCGCTATACGACCCTTGAGCGACAGCAGAAGCGGTACGGCAGGCAGGAGAGAATTAGGGGCCACGTTGTGCGACCACGCAGCGGCCATGGAGAGCTGCATGAACTGACACACAACCCGGCGCCGGTAGATTATGCGCTCGCTCTCGAAATGCACGAGCTCTGGTGTGCCTATTGCCAAAAGATAATGTGCCTGGACCAAAAAGCATTCGCGACAGTCGATTTGCATGGTGCACGGATCAGGGTGCTTCGTTCATCCATGCCGTCATACGTTGGAGTTGAAGGCATATGTGTCCGAGATACTGCTGCGACTATGGAGCTTGTGACCGAGGCCAATAAACACGTCTTCGTGCCTAAGGCGTCCGTAGATGTTGGCCTTTTTCTACCAAATGGATCGACTGGCATGGTGTACCTGGTTGGGAAGCTCCTCCGAAGAAAAGGAAACAAGAAAGTCAAACGATTTGACACAGAGCTTGACGGCCGCATTACATAGTGCACCTCATGATTTACATTGTTGGGTCGCTAACACCAGCTGCGTCTTTTTTCTTTTTAGTTGAAAGAGGAGTTGCCGGTACCGCTTTCCCTGCTCAGGGTTAGTAAATGAGCAGGGATCTTCAAAGGTTTCTACTAAAAACTTAACCATGTCTACTCTAATTTCAATGAGCTCCTCTTTGAGGGAATCTACAATGTCCTTCGTGTATGGTGTAGAATAATCCTTCTTGGTATCCTGTGCAAGAATGTCTATTTGTTCAAGAGCCTTTTGCAGCTTCTCTTTTTCGGCACGCTGCCTTGCAACGTGCTCCTGCAAACTCGAGATGTTATGTTCAACCGCCCGAATTTTTTCCTCCATATCGCGCGCAGCATTGGAATACTTTTCTGCATCCTGTTTCTCTTGTTCAATCTCATCCAGTAGCTGCTTCCTACGGGTAGCATAATCCTTCGTAAGGTCAGCAAGCTCGTCCTGGAGCCTCTTACTTTGCTGCTTAGTAAGGCCGATATTCCCCTCTATGAGTGTGTTCTGGTCTTCCATCGTCTTCAGGGCGGAGGTCAAGAGCGCGATGGTTGTGGCTTTCTCGGCTTCGTATGTCTTCTTGGCTGCATCTGATGCGTGTAGCTGCTCAATGGTCCTCTCAGCTTCGCTGTTCGCCTGCAGCGCCATCTCATTAATCTTCCTTTCCATCTGCGCAATCTCTTGCTCGAGCCATTCATTCTCTGCAGCCAATGCGTACGAATCCGGCTGATCTGCCTTAGTCATAGTGTCTTTTGTGTCTAGAGATCCTCCATAGCCGTCTATTGTACGCTCCGGACACATGGCTAAGTGGATACCCAGGTCACCCAGACTCCTGACTGTTTTAAAGATAAGGCCGATTTAAATTTGAACAAATCCCAGCGGATCATCTTAGCAGCCGGCGGTAAAACTTACACAACAAGATACAGTAGTAGATAAAAACTACAAATATACAACAAACAGAGACTATTATCAAGACGTAGATAAACTGAGTGGTAGACCGGATCTCGTCATAGACAAATAGATCCACCAACTGATAATCATTATGTACTCGAACAATTGCCCTGAGGTCACCATTCATCATATGGTGCCGGGCTTGGTTCAGCTGATGCAGGCATGACATGGGCCAATCATACTTGCTGTATCCTATCCAGTTGCCCGCACAGTCCATGGTCACCTCTGTCTCCATCGCTGACACTTCAGTGGATATGACGAACGCGCCTATAAGATGCATGTCTCTATTTATATCCGAATTGCGAGGAAAGTAATAGAGGATAGCATACATTTGGACCTTCTCATCAATGTAGAGAGCTGACTTATTGTCAATGTATTCTACAGATGTGAAGCTAGTGTGGTTTGAGTTGGCAATTAAGCAGTTCATCGTATCCATTGGGGTCATGGACAGGTTCAATAGAATAGAAATAGAGGATTGATGAAGGATGACCAGTGTTCTATCAAAGCAAGATGGAAGGATGAGAGAGAAACTAGCTATTTCGATACCCTGTATTTGGTCCTTGCCGTTCATATGCTTCACCACCAACTCCCCTTTAAGCTTATTGTGCAGTGCAAGGTTAGCTACCTCGCGCGTATTATAGTTCACATCCTTAGGAACTAACAACCAAAGATATTTGCCGGTGATGGGATGCACATATGAATATGATAACTTTAGATGGATATCATTGAGGTGATAGCCGTCCAGAGAGTAGAGAATGAAACTGACAACACTGTACGTGGTCCCCTGCGGCTTGTCAAAAATGTATTCGAGCCCAGTGACTACGAAGTGCAATCCGTTCTCCGCTATGAAGATAGGGTAATAGTTGGTATCAGAGTAGAGCTGGTACTTGTCTAGGCCATAATGGTAATAATTATCGATAAGCTGGTGAGCATGAAACTGGATCGTGGGTAGAGACCTAGTAGTGCGTTCATATTTTGAAGATAGTTGAAGGGCAGCGATGTGAAGATCAAGTGAAGCAAAATTGCTAATGAGCTTCTCACAGAAATCTTTTTCGCTTGCACTAACGGTGCTACAATTATAGCAGAAGAAAGAGGTGGCGTCGTGATAATACGTGCCCCAGTATTTGAACTCCTCTTGGACCTTGCCCCTCTGAATGGGCACAGTGATAGTAGTACCAGATAGTTCGGATAGCAATATCAGACTGGCAGAAAAGTAGAGCAACGATGACTCTGGAAACATGCCAATCGGCCCATATGTCTTAACACACAGCTTTGGTTCTTCCAGGGGGTTTTCACCCATAGTTATTGGGAGGCTATAGGTTAAGTATGTTTGTGCCCAAAGAGAGGAGTAATTTGAGCACAATATATCCACCTTCTTAAGTGTGTATGTTGCCGCAAACTCACTTACAGCTGAATCTGTAATGGTGACAATTCCTGTTATTACTCGAAGCAGAAAGTCTCTATAGTCCATGCCTGAGATGTGGGTCGTATCTGTTAGTGGGATGTCTTTGATTATGAGAGATTGCTGCTCGTCTAGAACTATAGGCTGGTGCTTACTGTATTTAAGTTGGGTCGAGCCGTTTGTCAGGGAAATAATGAACTGAGGATGCCGCGGAGGGATGCAATCTTTATCGTTGACCCAAAGAGTTAGCTCGAGAGAGTGATTGTAACACAGGGCAAGAATACTCGCATTAGAGTAGAAGCAGTCCCCCGCTTGAAGAAAAGCGAGAATAAAGAGCACTACAAGGCTAAGCAGCGCAGTGGTCTCCCCTCCTCTTTTTCCTTTTAATTTACCTGGGACATTTCAGATAGATGCCGGAAAGAAGAGGAGTGTTGCAGCAGAATTGCCCTGGTAATTGGAACGGTGCAACCATTGCAATAGCAAGTCTCTTCCGCCTCAAAGACCCCTCCCACGGGTTTTTGGAGGCGAATAGGATTTATCTACGTGAGGTTCCTATTCTGGCCGTCTCAGATGCAGAGAAAGAAGCATACGAGGATTCGCTCAGCACAATAGAGCCTATGATACCCTTTAACCTCTACGATTCCAGCAAGTCATATGCAGAGATGAGGATGGAGCTTCGCGCCACAAGACACCAGTTCTTCGACCCGCTGCAGAACTTTCTGCCGTTCATGGCATACGACCTCTTTGATATGATGCCGGAGAAGACCCTTTCTTACTTTGAACGCGTGGAACAGATAAATGCGGCTACGCTGTCTTCGGAGCCGTGCTTGGTCGAGATAGCTGGCTTGAGCGACGACTACAATGCAAAGTACTCTGTTACCAGGGACTATGGCTACAAGAACAGATGCTGCGGTGACGTGCTTGCAGCCAGGGAGCGCGAACACCCCTTCGTTTATGGGCAGTACCGCCTTGAGGCCGCCCCGGGGTGTCAGCATTATTGGCGTGCCTGCAGCTCCGTTTGTTCAACCTGCAAGAGTAATGGAGCCAAGAAGTTTGCATTCCCTTGCCACTTTTGCCACGACCTTGAAGTGGATCACCATACACTTTCTTCTAAGGATGTCAAAGAAGTCATATGCTGGACATGTCAGCAGTATGGCCCAATTGGCGAGGTCTGCGTTAACTGCGGAGCTGCGCTAACTACCAGATATTGTGCCACTTGCAAAATCTTGTCCCTGATGCCCCTCGATTATGAGACCTTCGTTCATTGCGACCATTGCGACCGCTGTGTTTCTGTTCACGAACATGAAAATCATTATTGTGCACGGGCTGGAGATGCAGAAGATTGCCCCATTTGTCTCCTTCCCCTAAACACAGACCTCTCCACTGTCAAGCTTTCATGTTCGGCTGGCCACTTCCTCCATGCTTCGTGTTACGATAGGGTGAACGAGGAGGTAGAGAGTGGGGAAAAGTGCCCGTTAGATGGGATGATAGTTGGTGAGCGAGACAGCTACTACTGTATAACGGCCTATGCTCACGCGTATTTTAGGGAACACGTATTTAGCTGGACCTCTTACAAAACCATTGTCATCGTGTCGTGTGTAGATTGCGGAAAGTTGGCCTTCAACCTTTACTTGGGCGCTGATGACATGCAATTCAGTCACTGCTGTTTTGGATGTAACACAATAGAGCTTAAGCGGATCACCATGCCTTCTGATTTAGTTGAGACATTAGTTGCCAGCATTCCCTGGTGGCTCAATCAGTCCTCGTGTACCGCTATGTCCGCATCATCATTCTCTCTTTACACTAGGGCTGATTATCCCAATTATTCCGAAAGCACGCTTGTAATGCAATTCGTTGCTGAGACCGAATGGTTGGTCTATACACACCCCATTCTCTTCACCAGCATCTCGCCGCACAATCCTCCAGCCAGCACTTGACTACATTAACCTTAATATATGCGAGTATTTACATTCGTACAATCATCGTAGGGTATACTGTACAGGCCTCAGTCCTCACTTTCATCATCGAACTCATATCGTGGAGGAGCAGGAGTGTCCTTGCCGTAGGCCTTTCCCTTAGGTTTGATCACTTCGTTCTTCGCCCCGGGCTTTGGTTCGCTTGGTCCGTTGTAAGAACGCAGTTCCACGCGCTCCTCTCCAGCATCGCTATCGCTGCTGCTCTCATCTTCGCTGCTGCTGCTATTGCCATCACCATTACCACTGTTGCCAGTACTGCTGTAGCTATAGCTATAACTATCACTCTGATCATCATTACCACCCCGGCTGTCTATATAGTCACTGTCACTCTTCTCTTGACTTGCTTGGCTTGCTATTGGCTGCTTATTCTTGTCAGTAGGAAGAGGCTTCTTCCAGAAGGCTACGGATGACATAATGCTGTTCAGTATTCCCGATTTCTTATCTGTATCCTTATCTGTATCTCCTATGTGCTCTGACTTCTGGAGAAAGGCGACCTTCTTTTTCTGCTTTTCAGCGGCCTTTGAAACGGCCAGATCGTCTACCTTCAGGCTTCCTCGCCTCTTCAGTTCGGGCTCTGTATCATCGTGAGTTTTGGACAGACTGTCTGTGTCGTTGCCGTCATCCTCATCTGGGTCCATGACAATGCGTGAGCGGCCCATTACGACGCTCGCCCCGGCCACCCTTGTGGCCTCCAGCTCGTGTATGCGCCGCTCCTTGGCCTCCACGAGAAGCTCGTGATGATATGCATCGTGATGGTGCTTGACGAGCTCAATCTTTTCGAATAACTTCTCGGTTATAATTCTGCTGGTTCTGTAGGATACCTCCATCGCCAGCAGCTCCTTCAGAACCTTCTCTGTCTGCTGCTGTAAGGCCTCGAGCTCGACAGAGAACTCAGGGATGAATTTTTGGCAGTACGGGCACGAGTGGGTGGCCATAGAAACAACCGGAAGGTTCCGGTCGACGTCGTGCTCCTGTGGCTTCTCCTCTTCGTAGATGAAAGCGAACCTCTGGCCAACGACCGAGATGATGTCTCCATGCGTGAGAGGATAATCCCTCCCCCCGACAAGAACGATGTTGTTGACTGTGGTGCCTGTTCGGCTGTCTAGATCCCTTATCATGGGAGTTCCCTCGTTGAAATAGATGAGAGCATGCTGCCTGGAGCAATAGCAATCTGCCAGGTGAATATCTGCCATGTGCGCTCGACCAAAGAGGCAGACGCGGAACGCTGCCGGCTTGTCGTATTCTGCGTCAGTATTAGCAGACTCTTTAATGTGTCCTAAGAAAAAGCGCTTCTCAGTCGACTCCCGTAGGGAATTAACCCAGGCTGTGATGCCGTTCTCCGCTGACATTTAAATGTCGGGATTAAGTTTTTTTGGCGGTTTTTTGATCAAATGGGCACATCTACCGCTGTGCTTGTCGTACGGTCTACAGCTAATGGGACAAAAAAGCCCGGAGATGGCCACCTATCCTGTGCTAACAATTACCATATGCACAGCTATTGCAATGATGCTCCTGAGCAGATCAGCTGAATCCCCTGGAAGTAAGAAAAGGCTCAAACAGAAGATACACGAAGGCTCAACTGATGGAAAAGAGTCAAGGGAGTCTCGAAGGCTTCAGCCCATCCCTTCGGTGGTTCAGCCCAACAAGCCAATTGTGGTAATTCGACGAGATGCCACAAGGCTCTATCTGGCCCCTCCAGACTGGCCTAAAAATGACAACTACTCTTCTACTGACGAGAAGAAGCTACAAGAAGACGTAAATACGTCCGTGATAGACTGCGCAACAACCGACTTTCTATGCATCGCCACAGATCCAGAAGCACAGCAGCACGTGCTAGGAGCTATAGAGCGTTATGGCGTGGGCTCATGCGGCCCCCGAGGATTCTTCGGCACGCTAACGCCGCACATCATGGTTGAGCGCGAATTCACTGCTTTTCTCAATCAACCCGCGATTCTGTATCCCAGTGCAGCTGTGGTAATTCCGTCTGCTTTACCAATTCTCTGCGGCAAGGGAGATGTTCTCATAATTCCAGAGGTCCACAGCCTTGAGATAGCGAGGGCTGCGGCTCTTTGTGGCGCGAAGGTTGTCACGCTTCACCTTCCGTACCTCAACTTACAACAACTCTCAGACGAGCTCCACATCAGTGATGGTAGCATCAAAGAATGCACAAGCAGCTTGAAGAACGCCATGTGTAAGTACTTAACAAGTGATGAAGTACAGAAAGAGCTACGAAAAATCAGAAGGGATGTAGAGCCTGTTCTCAAAGCAGCTTCAGCAGAAGCCAAAAACACCTGCTGGCTGGTGGCAGACACCATCACTAAGGATGGGATATTGTGCCTTCCCGAGATCTTGTCTGTTTGCGAAACCAACCACGTGAGGATCTTCCTCAACGAAGGTCTTGGACTAGGTGTCCTGGGCTCAGAGGGGCGCGGGGTTCCAGAGTTCTGGTGTGACATGGGCTATGCCACGGGTTATCACCACTTCGATCTTGTCGCTAGCTCATTGGAGCATGCATTTTCCGGCCTGGGAGGCATTTGTACGGGCGCGCTGCATCTAGTGGAACAGCAGAGAAACATGGGCCTTGGGTACTGCTTCAGCGCTAGTGCACCCCCAGGTCTTTGCGAGTGTGCTAGGTACACACTGCGACAAATACCCAACGTTCTGCCGGCTCTTCACGAATCCGCATTGACCCTGCACAAAATGCTTCTCTCTGCAGGTATACCGTTTGTCGGAATACCAGGGTTTCCTGCCGTGTTTATTCAGCTCCCGGAATCCATAACAAGCGCAGCCATTCAAGACAATCTTCTTTGTCACAGAAGCGGTGACCGGTACCTTGTTGGCATTGTTGATGATAAGACAATTCGTGTTTCCGTCACAATAAAACACAAAAAGGAAGACATTGAAAAACTTTCAGAATATCTCGAAAGTATTTTGAAAGACATAGAAAGTTGATATCTCCATGAAAAGTTTTTGTAGATTGAATACTCGTAGAATGCAGTCTTTGCTGCCACGTTTTATCAATAAAGTAGCCTAGTAAATCCCAGCCTAAGATGACTGCGTACTTAAATCACGCCGCAGCAGTAATATACCTTTGGAGGAGGCCGATACGGCACATTTTTTGCGGTCGCCCCTTTAAAAAATAACGGAATCAAAAAAGGCCCATGCAGCAACAAGCTCCAGCCTACTTCAAATCGCGCATAGAGCCCCGCGCAACGCCCAATGCGCCGAAGATTAAACTCAAGGAGTGGGAGCTCGAGAAGCAATTGGGGTTTGGAGGTACCTTTGGTATCTGGCATATGTACTCTGGAAGGAACAAGAAGTCCAATGCCTTCGGGACGGTCTTTGTTATAGAGAAGAAGCTCGTCGAGAAGTTTGTCTTCGGGAAGGCAGACAACCTCTCTAAGCAGTTCTTCAGTTTCATCAACAAAGACGCGGCAGTTCCCGGGAAGAATGCGAAGGAAATACTGATCATCCTAGAGCAGCTCCAAGAAGAAAATAATTGCCTCTACTATGTCACCGAGCCGCTGGTTGGCACCCTTTCTTCCCTTTATAAGCTGTTCGGCCACACATGCCTGAACGTCATTAAGCGTAAGGCAGACCACGAAATGCTTGCCAACGCTAATCCTCGCATCTATTCTGCGAACCCATTCACAAATCTACTGCAGTATGTTCAGCCAGACTCCATTGCCTATGGGTACATGACACTGCTCCGCTCTCTGAGCATTCTCCAGAACGACGGATACGTCTTCGGCAACCTTACCCCTGCGAACATAGCCATCACTCCGCGCGGGGAGTGGCGCCTGGTCGGCTTTTCGTGTTGCCTTCCAGGGGGGATCAACTTTGAATTCTCTTCTGACTCCGGCGCCCTCACTCGGCCGTGTGCACACTTTATGAGTCCGTCCATGCTCCAGAACAAAAAGGCGAGCAAGGTTTCCGACGCCTTCCAGCTTGCCTCGTGCATTTACACCATCTTTGGTGGACGCCCGTGCAAGTACAGCAGCTCATCCCCCTGCATGCAGCATATGAGCACCGAGGAGCTTTGCGAGGAGAGTGCCAAGATGTTCGGCGCAAGTTTACCGACCACTACAAACGTCATCAGCCCCGCGGCGGCAGCCCAGAATGCGGCAACCGTTCCGAAATGGTATAGCATGACACAGACTATTAATGCCACCGAGCAGGTCTGCCTTTCCCAGATGGAAGCGGCGATGCCAAGCCTGTGGGCTGCCTCTCGTGAGGAGTGCGATTGCGGTCAAATGTATACAGAATTCCTGTCCAAGAACTCCGTCGCTCGCGTGGCCAACGAGATCATGGAGCTCAAGAAGGAGATGGTGTTTACTGCATCGACCCCAGCGAATAGCGGAGACTCAAACATCATGGAACGAACGGTTCAGTTCCTGACCAAGATGCTCCCCATATGCCTGGAAAAGCGGATGTTGAGTGTCGATCTCACCATGGCGGCTATATGGCCTCGTATCGTTAGCATGTTGTCTCGTAGAGACATTTATCGATACACCGTGCCTCTTCTGATCCAGTACTCCTACATGTTAGAGATCCCTGCTGACCAGCTGTACATCCTGCTGGAACCCATTGTTCTTGCATGTACACTTACGGACCACCGCTCCAAGTTTCCTGGGACCCACAGCACGCAGCAAGCGTGGACATCGGGTATCGAAGTCTATGGAAGGCTGTTCATGTACCAGACACCGTATATGGATATACCCATGGATAAGTCAACGAAGGAGCGCACTAAGTTTATTCCCAACTTCGATAAGCAGATAAACACAGACCAGGAGAGCGTAATCACCACGGTGATCTTCGTGCTTCTGGAGTATGCCTCCTTCTTCACGAACAAGAAGGTTGGGGCTCGCTCGCATTATAGCTATCTTAACTTTTTGGTTTCCTGCCTCTCGAGCAAGAATGCTATGATTCAGGAGAAGGCTCTGGCTGCAATTGCTGCGTGTGCTCCGTTCATTGGTGACGTCACGTGCTGGATGATGGACCATTCTAGGGAGTCGTTGATGGCTGGTACGGCGGCTCAGCAAGCCCCAGAGAAGCAGGACAATACTATATCGACCTTCACTGACAGGTATACCCAGCCGTTTGTTAAGTCCCTGACTCCAAAAATCATCGGGCTCATGGGTGGGTCCTCTACGGACGCCATGATGGGGTCCTGTCTCCGATGTCTTGCAGTCATCATTGCATATCTTCAAGATAACGATATTGCAGAAACAGTTCTTCCAGCCATCTACGGAATGATAGACCCCATCATCAAGAGTCCAAAGGCCGTCGTATACTTCGCTGAATTCACCCAAAAGGTCTACACGCGATGCACAGCTAAGTCGATATCTATGCTGTTTCTCCCGGCGCTGCTGAAGGGCATCAATCATCCTGGCCTCGAGACAGCACAGGATCTTGAGCAGATCCGCAGGACGTGCAGCGAATGCTTCAATCTTGTAGATAAAGACGCATATTCTCGGGTTCAGAATTTCAAGCCGCCGACAAACCCGGCTGCCCAGACACAAGCTGCAGCACAGCAGCCGCAAGTTCAGCAGAACCAGATGCAGCAACCAATGCAGCAACAGTACCAGCAGCCTATGCAACAGCAGCAACAGCAAATGATGCCAGAGCAGCAGCCTCACATTCCTCAAGCAGCACCCCAAGCAGCCGGCGGTTATGGTGAGGTCACGCAAGGCCATGTTGATAACACGGGGGTTGAGGGTACAGGATACAACGCATGGGGCCAGAACAACGACGGGTACGGCGGATACAATGCGCAGAATACTGGCTACGGCGGAGGCTACGATAGTGGAGCTGGCGGCTATGGTGGCTACGGGAACTATGGCGGTTATGACTCTGGGACAACCGGTGGCTACGATTCCGGGGCGACCGGTGGGTACGGCGGTTACGACAACACCTCCGGCGGTTATGGTGGGTACGACAATACGTCTGGCGGGGGCTACGGCGGCTGGTAAGCTTTAGTAAATCCTCTTACATGCAGCACCTGTTCAAGTATCAAGAAAGCACACTCGGATACCTTCTGTGGCCGGGGCAGTTTGTTGACAAGGCCCTTGGGGAGCGGGTGTTTCGGGCAGCACAGGCCAGTGTCCCATCTTTTGAGGCATGCATGACAGAAGTTTCATTTACTTCTGAAGAGGTTTCTACGAAGCATTTTCCAAGTGTGTGCACAGTTCTGAAGGCTATGCACTTACAGTATGACGAGCCTGCTGAAAGCATCAAGCATCTCGATACCCACATATACTTTATCATCGAGCCGCAGCTGCGAGACATTGCTTCGACTTACCTGCACGGGCTAGTCATTTACGCTCTGCCAGGTGACGTAGCTGATAAGGTAACTCAGAGGAGCTTTTGGGACGTTCTCTCGAACCATTTGGAATCGTGCAATGATCCCAGACAGCTAAGGCGTAGCTACATAGAAGGCAATCCGTCGTTTTTGCTACTCTACATGGGATATACCCAAGGGTGCGATCACTGTATGACAGGTGTGCTTCTAAGAGTGGAGGGGTTAAACTCCTCCCTTGGATTTGAATCATCAACCAAAGTGTCCTGCAAGGCTTGCTACGAGACGGTGCTTCTAGATAACCAGATAATTGACCCTGTTGATTGGACCAAAGTAGACACCATTGAGTGCATGCACTGTCACTTGGACCACTCTATCCATAACTGTGAAACTGATAAAGACGAGGTCCCATGTACAGGGTGTGGAGGGTTATTGTTTCGCCATGGGTGCTCCAAGTGCATGGTCTTCACTACCGAGTACGGCTGGGAACACTGCCGAAAGTGCGACACGTGTCACCGCCGTGGAACACCCTGTGCAGCTTCAGACGACCTTTGCGTGCTGTGTCAACTGCCACTCTCTGATCCCCGATATTCTGTTGCACAGCTCAAGTGTCATAAAGCCCACATGATCCATAGCACCTGCCTGCTGTGTAACATTGTTAATGGCAACGATCGATGCCCGTATCATTGCGGCTCTGTATTCACGGCTGTGAAGGGGGTAGCATAGTGAATTGGTGACCAAGTTAGCTCCATCTCCTGGTTGTGCTTTGGGTTTAAAGAACAATGCTCTTCCATCTTCTTGGCAAATAGTTCTAATATGGCGCGATTCCTTGTTGCATGCGCTACACCAAGAGCACTCAGGCCAGAGTATGCACGTACTTTATATTCCGGTAAGAACAATTCATCTGCAAGATCAACATACCCCTGTTTGACTGCTACCATCAGAGCAGTGTACCCGTCATTGTTCAGAAGACCAGCCTCGTAACTCTTTAGCAAGCGAATGGCATTTATGTTTCCGTTTCTAGCGGCATGTATTAGTGCTGTATCTCCATTTTTGTCTGTAAGCCTCCGTTCCTCTTTTCGAAGGACAAGAACTATGTTGTTACTATGGTTTTTGGTGGCAATCATAAGTGCTGTGGTGCCATCGTTGGTTTGTCGACCACCCTCATGTGGTAGAAGCAGTTTTACAATATTCTCATAGCCCATCTGGGCTGCCCTCATTAGAGCAGTCCATCCTGTGCCATCCTGTCGGTTCAGCGCAAGTTTAGGATATAGGTTTATCAACTGACGAACAAGTTGCTCGTTCCCAGCTTGAGCTGCATACATTAAGACCGTTTCTCCAGTCGTCGTGGTTAGAGATACCTCCATGGGAAGTAGTAGCTGTATTAGGTCGGGCTTGTTGCCTCTAATGGCGAACAGAAGTGCGGTCATGTTATCTTTTGTTTGTTTTGCTGATTCGTAACGAAATAGAAGCTCTGTATATATTAGGGAGTTGCGATAAATCGCATACATCAGAGCTGTATTGCCATCACTGTCTTGGTATCCACTTTCATACTCTAACAAGAGCTGCACCATCTTTGGATTGTCCTGCTGCACTGCATACATGAGGGCAGTTCTTCCCCGGCAGTCCTGTATCCCGGCCTCTAGGGGCGCTAGTATTTTGGCCACGTTCATATGACCACGTATGGCAGCAAGCATCAGAGCTGTTTGACCAAGCGAATTCCTGTGTTGGGCTTCCATTGTCAAAAAGGGGACCGACTCAGTACTTCCAGCAACAGAAGCAAACATAAGCGCAGTCATCTGGTTGTCTGTGCAGTACCCTAGCTCTGCTAATAACAGGCGTATAGCTCCCAGCTTGTTATACCATGCTGCCACCATAAGTGCAGTAAGGTGAGTGCAAAACAGTTTGCAACTATTGCGATCTAGCAAGCAGATCGGAGCGAGACATTGCTGCCCAAGATCGCACAAGTAATCTTTCAAGGATGTTACGCCATGGCCGCCCTTTAACAACGCCGTCATCAACTTGGACATGGTTGGCTGAACATTGCCGAGGCGAAAGGGCACCTTTAGGGAGATCGACTTTTCAATGCAGCATCGCATAAAGACAGATAGAAGAATTGGTCTGTGGACAAGTTGGGGAAGCATCGAGATAATGTTGTTTGCTTCGGCGATGCTAAAACCTTGGTCGGACAGCTGAGCATACAGGATGGTAAAGCTGTTGCTATCTTCCGGGATCTTGCTGGCTAGCTCGCTCAGAACTAGCTCCATTGCAGTAAGCTTGACCATTTGGTTAGTTCCTATCTTGGCTAGCAAGGGCTCCAGTGTTGCTACAGCATCGTGCAGAGATGGAACCACCTTCACATTAGTAAGCCTGCTCAACTCTTGGGCGAAGAATCCTGGCTCGATCACCTTCGCCATGTCCCTCAGGAGATCATATATGTGCCCGTCTACACTTGCATCAGGGTATATGGTAATAGTGTCCTTAACTATGCTGACATCCTCTGCGTAATAATTGAGCCCCAAGCCCTTGTCATATGCCATCGTGGCCATTCTGAGTGCTTGCATGATAATATCCCGCGCTCTAATTGAGCTGAGAAACTTCTTCTCCGCCTGGAGCTGCTTTATTAGCTTGTCAACGGTAGACGCCTTCTCTCGAGAGCTATAGAAACGGAATTCCTGATCTGCATACCGTAATCCCAGACCAAATGCTGCAAGGTCTTTGATGTCAATTATGATGGTCCGCCGAGATTGGGTGGAATTTAGGCAGAATCGTATTAGGTCTAAAAGGGTAGTGTTGTGGGTGCTAATAATTAAGTCTTCATTTTCTGCACATACTGAGTTCGCAGTTCCCTTTTCCAGAGGCCTCATAAGGGCCATCTCCAGGAGTAGATGCCCAAGCATGGTAATGTTGTAAAGGGCATGCTGCTCAAAAGACATCTTTGAGAACTCAAAGATATCGGACACCGCTAGGCGAGTCTCAAACCTTGCCGTGGTAGGTTGATTTTGGGCTGGCCACTTGGCCGTGAATATACTCAACTTAGCCTTCATGTCCATAAGGTTCACAGGGCTTCCCTTTATGACAACGCTATCAGCTCTGACAGAAAACAGAAGGCCCTCGTAGACGCTCTTGCAATGTATATGGTAAAGGGCATCGGCAATCTGATACGCAAAGTAAAACAGCTCGTCAGTGGTGTACGATGTTCCCAGGTCCTTTCTTATGGCCAGATCGTCTACAACCGTCTGTTGATCGGTATCGGCCTCGAGAATGATGGTATTCTCGTCCAGATAGAAAGCCGTGTATAAAAATATATTAGCGTGGTCGATGCGCTTTGTTTGCTCATATGCATCTTTTAGCTGCTTCATAACCGTTGATTCTATAAATTCAAGGTGGATTACGCGTGCAATAACGTTTAGACGTGTACGTCTAGAATTTGCAACATAAAGATCACCGTATGGACACCTGGACAGGAGAGTAGCACTGAAGTAGTATTTATCAAGCAGATCTATGCCCATTGAAAAGTAGGGAACACCTTAAACAAAGAAGAATTATCTTATCTGAATGGCATAAATATAATCGGTACATTATCTCCCAGAAACCTTGGATATCAAAGGAAGCCCTCATTTGCCCGTTAGTGATAGCGTTTAGCCCCAGGTAGCATCTTAGGTCGTTGTTTGCCAAATATGATTAAAAATGATAATTTCAAATTAAACTTCAATTTTTATAGAAATTGTCGCACATATAAACAACATGTAGTTTTAGGGCCCAAGGCTGTGTTATGCTAAATTCGCTCACTGAAGCTGATGTATGTGATAGAGGATATTGCACTAGAATTGTTTCGGAGCTTTGGACATTAGAACAAGGTGCCTGTGGCGACAGAGAGTATCTTTTTCTATGCAGGCTGCTCCTTGAGCCATCGTGCATTACACAGGTGGATTCATCAGGTGATTCAACTACGCAATTGTGTGGTTTGACACAGGATCCGTTTTGTAGAGAGTTAGCCTCTAAAGCTTTGTCACTGTTGCTGCGGCACGGCTATTTAAGGAGTTTTTTGCGAACTTTGCGAGGCGTCCCCACTCCACATAGATGCGAACTGCTAGCGTTGTTGTGTTCCTTCCCATGCATTCAGGAGCATGTGGTCACGCCCATGGTCATGGAGATGTGGGCTATAGACCGGGCCATGACCCTTAGAGCGATAATTCAGTTGGGCTATAACGCTCGGCGGCACGCCACCAAGCCGATCCTTGATCTTCTTGACCCGAGCACTTCTTACAATCACACTATCACTTATGCACAACAAGACCTCGTGGCCACCGCCCTCATCAAACTCTTTGCGTTCCGCCATCTATGCTCTGTCATCAAAGACGAGCGAGGTGAAGTAGCTGATAGGAGTTTCAGAGTAGCGTGTCTGCAGGCACTAGCTCGTGATATAAAGATAAATGCCTCTAGCTGCGATGTTTGCGCGACTAGCGAGTTTCCATGCTCAATCGAGTGTCCCTACAACTGCAAGATTACAATCTCTGACACATCCGGGTGTACGTATACCATCACTGATGACACAATTGTTCTTTGCTACGAAGAGCTGTGTCTTTATCTCGAACTTCTCCATGAAAAGCTGGCCATATGTGAGAATGCTGTCTGGAGGAGCTTAGAAGGTCCATCTTCCCACAAGGCACATCTGACAACATCACCCTCAGAAAGCCGTCGTGCATCCTCTCGCACTTCGAGAGCAAACTCTCTTCATCTAGGAGATCTCGACATTACTAAGCATACTACGAACGTGTCTGCGAGTCAATCCATGAATGATGAGCAGCTAGATCGGTCTGAAAAGCGTTTGACCTCCTCTTTCTGTCAACTGAGAACGCTGTCCGATAAAACGTACTTGTTGTTACTTACCTCTTTGAAGTCATCTATGCAATCATCTAACGAAGGAGTCGTGTCATCTGCCATCTCTGCCATGACAAGCATCCTTTGTTCTCTAGCAGACTCCTCATCAACGAGTACAAGTAGTGCACGCGTGTATAAGCGGCTACAGTCTATACATGCTATCCAGTTTATAGAATGTGTACTGGATGCAATCTTCCACCCATCTGATTCTGTGAAGGAAGTTGCTGTTATCAGCCTGGGATTACTTCTTGTTAGATACTTACAATACGTTCACAAAACAGTGGCCATGGGCCTTTTTTATTCTATTCTAAATCTTTCTACTACTAACCAACACCCAAAGGTGCGAAATTTTTGTCTTTTGACGATAAAGTATGTGTACTCCAATGTTAGTATAAGCCCGCAAGACCTGCTACTCAAGCAGGAAGATGTCCAGCATTTCATAACCTTGTTCTCCTCTGCCTCGTCATCAAAACTTTTGGTTGCAGAGTGCATTTGTCTCACGAATCGGGAGGGTCGCCAATTTCTTATGCAAACTGCTCGGCAAGATATCAACGCTAGAAACAGAGTGCTTTGCATCAATGCATTGAAGTGCTTTGCCATTGCCGCCGTGGAGGAGGACGAGCTGATAGACTTGAAGCACTGCTTGGCCAGTCTCCTGGCTGACTCCAGCGCCCTTGTGCAGGCTAGCGCCCTCGATCTCTACGGACACCTATACTTTCTTGTGACCAGCGAACCTTCTGAAGAGCTTAGTCAGGCAGGTGCGCGCGCTTCGACATCAATACTATCAGATCTATCTTCCATTGACAAGCAGCATCTTATGAGGTTTACAGCCACCCCTATTATTACCACTAAATCCTTCTCTACTACCATTAGTGAGAAACTGAGGGATGTGCACTTTTACCTTAATGCCGATCTCCTTGGTTCTCTTCTCAAGGTACTGCAGGATTACGTCAGTCCCAATATAGTTTGCGCACTTCTGGTAGATGGCATATTGCTTCATAAGAAACGGGAAAAGGTACTGCTCCCTCTTTTAGACCTATTCTCTGTCTATCAACCGGATAATATTCGGGGTTACATCACTCTCTATCATGACACAGTAGAGGTCCAAATATACAAGTTATTCGACAAGAGGTTCCCGTACGATTCATCGGAAGTGATAGAGTATGCCGTTGGCTTGATTGCGAAGGACAGTAATTTGATTTCGATGGTAATGACTCTATCAAAAAGACGCACCGGTTCGCAAATCTTCGCAGATTGGTGTCGTAGAATACTTCAACTAATGGAAGAAGTTATCTAGTACTTTACTACATTCATCCGTGTAGCACTAGGCAGTGTAAATTTCCTTGCAGTTTAAATTTTACTCGGACCCTCCAGTCATCTTCCTTCAAATGACGCACAGGGCGAATTTGACTGGAGACTCTATAACAAAACAGATACAAGACCTCATTCTAACCACTGCCCCATCACATACACGACACTCATCTCATCGTATAGGTTCAGACCAGAGCAGGTCAGTACGCGGTAAGAATCGGGTTGAAAATGGGATGCAGCAAGCATCTACATTGGAGCAGGAGATTAACATGGCCATTTTAAATAGTAGAGAGTCCAGTAGTAGACGGCATAAACATGCAAGGCCGCATTCCAAGCAGAGCAGGGTAACAACAAATCCCCATAGCGTCCCACCGCTTCCTCGACATGCACAATCCAGTCAACCCGCACGGATACAGTCTAGCCGGGTGACACATCCCCTAGCATGTGCTCACATTTACCCGAATAGTTCATTGCTATCGTCAGCAGAAGCTTCTTTCACTGGGGCACAGAGCATGCAAGACCCCACAGAAGCCATGCAAAGGCAGATCGAGGCGCTTCAGCGAGAGGTGCAGCACCTTCAGCTCAGCAACATGATATCGAAGTCGAGATTGCAGCCAGGAGAACCATCAGAGCTGGAAACACTCCAGTTTGTAGAACCTGTTCCCGCACCTATGCCACGCCTTGATCAGAATGTCTTCTCGTCGGTTGAAAAAGACCTGCTGGGAAGCTATCCTGCCTCAAATTTAGATTTGGAGTATGGCCTAGATACTGGTTTAGATGGGTGCGTAACGGAACATCCACCAAAATCGATACAACTTCCAAGCGGACCTGACGATCTAGTGGAATTAGCCGATTTGTATGTTAAGGAGAGCAGCACACTAGAAGATCCTATCGGGGGCCCACATAGTATAGATGTACTCTCTAATGTAATGCCAAGGCACACTAGCAGGACCGATCTACACAAGCCTCCTAGCATCTCTGTTTCATTATCCAGCACAGTGTCACCTACAATATCTACAATGAGCGATCTTACCTTTTCCGAGGAACAGATAAAGGAAGAGATAGCTCAGAGGAACACACACCTGAGTAGGCTTGTCAGCACACTAGAACCAAAGCAGTATGCATGCCCTGATCCCTTGGAACCCCAGCTCCAGCCAATCAATATGACAAAGCCCCCAGATTGTTATGTTGCAGACATCTCGAAGTCTCTATCAGCACACGGTTCCGTTTCTCCATCCACTACTGAGCCTCCAAGTGTTACCCTAACAGAGGATCTCGTTCATGCTACCGCCTCAATATCTCCTACGTTAAGCCCGACACTAACAACAATGGCGACAACAATGGGGACTCCATCTACATCACAAACAGTTAAGCAAGATGAGCAGTTAGTTTCTCCAGTTATTGCTACAACGGTTACTTCTATTAGAAAACTACTGCCCTCGGCCTCAGAACCTTTTATAGTTGCTAGGCGAGTGGAGAAACTAACTACACAATCTTCAGATCAGCAAGGACACACTATTCACGCTCCTGCGTACAGCCTTCAACATTCAAGCAAGCCATCGGGCGAGGAACTTGTTGTGTTGACCAATACTACTGTTGAGGGGCAACTGTCTGAAGTCCAGACGACTGAGTACCCTGTCTCTGGTCCAGTTTTACATCCAGAGAGACCTATACCTGCTACTACTCCTGAACAGTCTCCAGATTCCAGTACAAGTGTAGTTGCAATGAGGTTTCCACAACGTCCAATACCAATACTGATGAGTACATCTTTGGCACGTCCTCATTCTGCACAGCCGACCCTTAACAAGACGTATCGTCCTTTAGATACCAGTAGCACTTCCTTAACCGCATCACGCGTAGCAAGAGATAGATTACCTACTAGTACTGCATCCGATATACGAGCACAGTCAGCTTACTCTGTGCGAAAGCAGTTATCTCAAACGTTATATTCTGATCACTTACCTATGAAGCATGTCTTCTTCGATCCTTCCTCCTCTGTTATTAATGAAGCAACCGTGCCTGTCACGCGAAGTGCTGTTTTTACGTCTAGTCTCTGTTCTAAAGAAGCTCCACAAGATCACTCTTCACTCTTCCACACTACAAGGAGCAGAGTAAGAGAAAACATCCCGGACATTGCTACAACACTTCTATCTATAACCAACCTCTCTCTGTCGCCTAAAACAGTATCGTTCTACTCTCTTCCTCGTAAGAAAGTGGAGAGCGACGGGGATCTCTTGAATTATAATACGTGTGCTACCTATACAGAGGCGTATCGTCTGCAAAGCCAGGGTAGCCAGAAACCCCATGAGGAGAGGCTAAGAGGACTACCAGTTGTTCAGTTTTCTACAAAGAAATCTATACCGATTACCTCAGGCGATCTAGCGGCAATATCTGTTACGAAAGAGCCACGGACGTTAAGGAAACAATCAAAAACATCTGTGTGGACTCATACAAGAGTTTCATCACAGATCCTGTCGGAAGCGCATCTCAAGAATTGCCCTATTGCGCCAGAGCTATCATCTTTTGAAATGCATAAAAATACGTCTATTGAGCGTGCAGAATCATCTGCTTCTTTGTCTCTGAACGATACGTTACAAGTTAAACGGCCACCTCCAAGCAGGCAAGCTCCCCATCAGCAATCAAATACCACACTCAGTAGCTTCGTCAGAGAGCCTACTAGACATTCTAGTCATATTGTAGATCTTACAAAGTCATGTACACCGGCAGTTCCTTCTAGCACCTTCCCCTCTATCACCAAAGCTCCACTTCCCAAACAGGCTTCTACAGCAAAGCAGTCCTCTAATGTGTTTCCAGACTATCGGGTGCATGTACACCATGCTCTGAAAAGCCCTTCTTCACCGTTTGATGACTTTGAAAATGAACACTTGTCCACTGGAAGCAAGGCCGACGAGCATCCTATAAATCCGGAGGTCATTAACGAGATTAGTCTCAAGGGTGCCACTTCTATGGTAGATAGCCAAAAGACATCATACTCCCTAAAATCTCCTCTCTTAGATGATCCCACCATAAGGAGACAATATACCCCAAGCTTCTCTGCTAACGAAAGCTACTGCAGTTCAACAAGTGAGACGTACTACTACTCCAATAAGTGTGATAATAACCGAGTTTCTGAAGGCAGAACACCTGATAAAGCTCTCGACAGGGAGTCATTCATATACACATCAGAGACCCCAGACCCAAATCAGGACATGCTGATGAGCCATCCGTTGGATACATGTCCATACCAGCAGCAAGATCTCCCTGTTGCATCGTCCGATTTGCTTGAAAATATGGAGGTGCACAGAGTCACTGAGAATGGTGCCCCTCGCCTGACAGTGTCGTCACTAGATATCTGTACCATACAACCGCAATCGGCATCTCCCAAAGAGCCACGCGATCTTTCCCCAGCGCCGTGCTACTTTACTGAGCCCGAGGAGTCTATGACTATCGACCCTGTCTCACCAGCACAGGCGCCTATCCCTTCAGAAAACGGACGTGCGGACAGAGATCCATCGGGATCTATTATTACTTTGTCTGGTCTAGGCTCTGCAATCTCACCATTTCCGTCATTGGAAAACTTTAAAAGCCCCAAAGTGCTAGCCCACACTAAAAGAATCCGGCATACATTAGAAATTTTGAATGAGCTCCAGGCAGAGCTGAGCCCAACCACTCAATTGTCTGCCACATTACCTACCGAAAGGTCGCAAGTAGATAATATGGCAGAAGGGTCTCTCGTTGAGTCTATCTCACTAAGCATGTCTACAACTCCTCTCATTAAGAAAATGCAGCAACAGCTACTTGGAGCCAAAAATCTTGTATCATTTGTTGATATGGGGCAAAGTGACCAAAGTGATACTCAGGGGCTACACCACAATGCTTTGGTGCCTGTCTCAGCGGATGAGCACGACGATGTCGCTATTGTAATTGCTCAAAATAACAGGCTGCTTCACAATCCTCATGTACAGGGTAGAAAGTCAACGGGATATGAGTTCTATTCGTCTATCGAGCAAGGGTCGGCTATACTACTAACTAATAAAGGTCCCTATTCGTCCAGTACGTCCATGTTCAGACTGGACGGATGTAGCACAGATTTTAATTATCGACCAAGCCTGGATCGATACATGCTGTTAGATCAATCCCATCTGCCATCAGCAACGCCATCTTTGATGTATGATTGTGCAAATGATGCATCTATAAGTGGAAACAGACTCGACGCAAGCGAGAAATATATGCATTCCGGAGTCAATTTTGCTGAATCGAGCTGTATTGCTGGTATAGAAGCTCAGTTAACAGATCTCCAACTGAACATTGGCCCCTTAAACCGGCCCTTCCCTACTTTAGCAACAGGCAATCAGGAGGGCTTTGACATATGCAATAACCTTGCTACATATCCATCCCATCCAAGTGCGGGCGGTGATACTTTAGACACTAGTACTTTTCACAGCCACACTCATCCTACTTATCATGAACTTAATGCAGAAAATTATGAAAGACTGAATGCCAGCACGGGTAAAATTGAACTTAGAAAACCCTGCCACAAAGAGGTTTTAGTCCTCGCCAGACAGGGTGTACGTTCCGCTGAGCACTCCACTTGTGATCCCATATTCCCCTCATATCCAAAATTGCCCACAAATCCATATAGCATTGTTTCCGAGATAAAAAAGCCCCGTCAGTTGACAGCTATCCACAATCCTCGTACAGCTGATATCAGCGCATCTCTCTCTGAAACCTCGGGATCTGAAGAGGTACAGGAACTGACCAGCAGTCGTGTTGAGGGGTCAACTACAAGTGATGCAGAGGATAACACGGAACACACGGAACACACAGAATTAACCGAACCTAGTATGGAATGCACTGGGAGCACAACCGATCATGACACTTACTCGTCAGACTCAGTGGACAGCTTTACCGTTGTACATGATGATGAGATCATAGAAAAGATTTATGACCTAGAGCGTGAGAAAAATGCATACAATATTATTACGGAAGAGAAGTGCAAGAATGCACAATATCAGCATAGCGTCTATCTCTCCGCAATGTCCTTGCTTACTGATCCCAGTGTCTGCAGCCTGATTGATAACATAAGCTGTGAAACTTCAATAGCTGAAGCACTACACGACACCTTGAGGATTGGTGACACAAACAAGATTCTGTCGCCAATTTGCGTTCCTAATTTTGAACCTCTAAGCTGTCTACATCTGAATGAGAAGAGCCCATCCAGTGCATCTGCAAATGACTCTCATGTGGATGCTTTGCATGAAAGTATTACTGTCAAGCCAAATCTTCTCTTGTCAAACATATGTTGTGAAGAGGATAAGCATTCATTAAACGCTGATTGTAGGTCTCCATGCCAACCGGAGCTTCAAGCCACTGCTCTACTCAAGCACCATCTAGAAAACCAGCTAAGCACGAGAAAATCTCTAGAATGCGTTGCTTACTCTACGCATTATGTATTTCGAGAGGCTGGATGGCCTTCAGCGAGTGCAACCGGTGCAATTAATCAATTGAGTAAGGAGAACGATGAGGCTACATCAAGCATGAATGTACAGGTTTTGCAGAATGTTATTTCCTTTCTGAAAGATAGGTGGATGATGGCGGAGGAGGACCTTATGGCCCAAAAGCTTAGATCAGAAAAGTATGTGGCACGGCAGGACCTCCTTCTGGATGAGCTTAAGGCTAAAATAGTGGACAGAAGAAGAGTTCCAGAATTGGAAAGTGCCCTGTCCCAGATGCATTTCAAAGAGCACATGATACTTGCTAACAACGTTGAGTACTATGGCGAAGAACTCGAGAGGCCACGTCGGTGGGGCTTTTGTGGCAGTCAGCTGCCTCGAAGAAAGAAACAAGCGGACTGTATGGTTGTGAAGATACAGCCTCAGCTGACTAAGTCACGGAAGAGCAAAACTGAAGCTGGGAAAGTGTCAACAAGAGATGCTGGTGAAAAGAAAGTATGTAAAGATGGGAGTAATGGATTGAGAAGTAAAGCAGTCGACAAGAAAGCAAGGCAACGGACCAAAAACAATCTGCTGATGGGACTGTTTAAGCCAAAGGACAAAGAGGCTACCACAAATATGTCTGTTTCGCATCTCAACAGGGATGCAGACAGTATCAATCCCATTAATATTTCTTCTCCAGCGGTCACAGAAGAGCCAACTCCATCTGGACCAAAGTCCACTGTAGAGGAGATGGGCGCATGCCAAGACACTCAAGATACGTGTGCAGTTCTAAGCACAGCAGATAGGCTTCTAAGAGACATCTGGGGCGGTGGCACAGGGCTGGATTAAGTGAGAGCTGATATTAAAACCAAAACCAAAAATCAGAGTTCGAGATCCTATGTCTGACGAGCAAGATTTTGACTTTCTTAACGATTTGGATACTATTCTTGGGAAGATTGACGAGGGCGATGAACTTGAAGTAATCAATGAACTGGAGTCGGACGTTCAGCCCACGATCGCCTTACCAAATATGAATTTCTTTGCAGAAGAAGTCCAACAATTACGAGCAGAAAACCAAGGTCTTCGCTCTCAGATGCAAGAGCTACTTAATAGGACCGCTGGGTACGAGGTTCTAATCAATGATCTCAATCAACAGAGGGCCAGCCTTCAAAAGAAGCTGGAGATGGCAGCAGAGACTATTCAGAGATATCAGCAGGAGATTGACAATTTGGCAAAGCAACTTCAGGAAGCCCACGGGGTGACTGTAGACGCCAGCCAGAAACTGTCTGACATTGACTATTTATCTAAAAGAAATCAAGGACTAGAGAAGCGTGTTGCAGAGTTGCAGAGTTTTGAGAATAGTGTAAGAATGATAGTGGAGGTGGTCACTGGAACCCCTGCTGATAAGTTCTCTTTAGATCTTCTGGAAAAGGCGCTTTCAGGGATAAGTCCTCCTAAAGTATCTGAGGAGAGTGGAGAAAATAAGGACCTGGTTGCGCGCCATCGGCAGGAAGAAATCACAAAGGTCAAGTCCAAGTGTTATGCATATCTTTTATACATGCGGAAGCGTTACGAGCAGATCACGGGGTGGCGCTTTGACATGAAGTCACCCAGTGAATATCGGTTCACCCTCAGCATTGTGAAGGAGCAGCCTGAGTTCAGGTACACGGTTCAACTCGGCAATAGACTTATTCTTTCATCTAATCCGTTTTTATCACAGAATGCAAAGATGCTGGATGAGCTCAAGCTGAAGAACCCCCCTGATGCACCTGAAGCCAACCGCTCATTTTACCCGACTCTCATGGCTGCCTCTGTATTAAGGGCTATGAGACTGTTATAATTAGGTAAGTAAAAGTACATTAATTGTCGATCTTAGGCCAATTAATCTCTCCCCAAAAGGTTTTGATAATTAGAAAGTGGAGTCCCGGTTGCAACACCTGCTTGTCTATTTTACAAAGTCACTCCTGAGGATAACAGATGCAGATGTAGACCACGTATTTATCTCGCGTTGCTCACATATGTGGTGTGGTGCTAAGAGATACTAAACTAGGTCACAGTCATCCACACGGCCAAAGCAAGCCTGGCTACTGGTGTCTTTTTGTGGCACCTTCCCAGCACTTCCATCTATTCATCCCAGTATCGAGGCTCTCTCTTTGCACCAATATACTTTCTATTCTTTTACTGCTAATGAATACTAATGCTAGACTAGAGTTCGCAAGGCCAGTAGACCTCTGAGCGCAGAAAAAAAATGCCAGGCCTGGAGGAGTTTCTTAAGAAGAACCCTGAGGTACAGCCATCTCTGCAAAAGTATCTTCAATCACTTTCTGCAGAGGATCGCTGCACTGTATTTAAGAGCGCCCAAAATGTGTGCTTTGAGCCCGCCTTGCACTTTGCACAACTCACTAGTAGCTCTCCTATGACCATCAAACCCCTTCCAGATTTGGGAGGCCGTGTGCTTAACATCTGTGGATATCCAGATAAGGGACAGCAGAGTGTACAGGACGAAGCATTCAATCTTGGAAAGAAGCTTCTTGAAGAAGGGAAGGTTGCAGCCCTCATTATGGCAGGAGGCCAAGCAACGCGGTTAGGGGCATCTGTACCAAAAGGTGTCTTCCCTATAAATTTTGGGGAACGTGCTGGCTGCCTCTTAGAAATCCTTATTCGCCGGGTTCACAACAAGGGGCATAATATACCAATCATTATTCTTTTGTCCCCGGCCACAGAGCAGGCTACAAAGGATCATCTAAGGGAAAAGTCATACTTTGGCTATCCTAACGAGCTCATATTTTACTGCACCCAAGACCACTATCCAGCATTCAGTGCTGATGGGAAGATACTACTTGCTAAGCCTCTAGAGGTCTTCTCCGCTCCAAATGGGAATGCAGGTTTTCTACGTGCCATGATGAACGCAAAACTGCTAAAAACTCTGTCAGCGCGAGGAGTAGAGTTTCTCCATATAGTTGGTGTTGACAATCCGCTGATACCCTTGTGCGATGAGTTGACTGTGGGGTTTGCCAAGCTACGATCTCTTGACATCTTGAATCGCGTAATCCCATGCCAGTCTGGAAAGAAGGAGGGTATTGTTGGAGTGCGAAGCATCACACAAGAGTGGCAAGCGCCGCTAGTCCCGAGGGACCTTCTTGATTTGCAGCTACCTGACCAAGCTCCGTCCGTCTTAGAGTACTCTGAACTTCCTTCAGATTATAGTTACGCCTCCCAGTACGCCAACATAATGAACCATGTGTTATCGCTGGCCTATCTGGAAAGGGTTGCGGGTTACATGGAGAAACTTGACGTGGAGGTGGTGCCCTATCACATCGCCATAAAAAGCGGAAGCATCTATGACTACGAGAACAAGACAAATATCACCCTGTCCATCCCCTCTGTCTATAAGATAGAGCACTTTATCTTTGATATCTTTCACTTCTGTCCGCTGGAGAGGTTCGGTATCATCATTAGCGACAGAGCAACAGACTTCTCACCAATCAAGAACGCTGTAGGCGAAGATTCAGTTGAATCAGCTCGTCAGGCATACCACTCTAGCGTGAAGGCCGTCTAGAGCACGTGCAATTTACACTCTACCATGAGAAAAGCGATTGCGTGTAACCCCGCTACCAGGCCGCGGCCCTTGCCTGTCGCGGGAAGGGTTTCCACCGTCTCGTGTGAAACTGAAGGGATTAGGCCCCTTACTATCACGTCTTCTATCGTTTGGTTTACCCGGCTTCCCAGCTGGCTTTCCTTGGGGTCGCTTTTGAGCTCCACCTTGCTTAGCTTGACGTTGAGGAGGCGGAGGCGGATTCGTAAAGCGACTCAGAGGCATTGTTCGTCCCTCGCGCATCTGAAAAGACTGGCCAACAGCGAAACCCTTGGGAGTAACGTTAGGATGGAGCTTTACTGTGAAATAGTAGCCTGTGATGGGGCCAAAGACCTCGTCGATGATTCCAACGTCTGCTCCTTTGTCATTATACACAGGAGAGTTAAACTTGGGGACAAGATCTCTGTTGGTGCTCTCTAAGACGGCAACGTTATAACCGTCGTTAGTACAGGGATGAAGAAACTTACCGATGTGAATGAGCGGTCCTTCATCTCTTTGCTCGGGTCTGTCCTTATATCTCCGATTCATTTTTATGTTTAAAAGCTGCTGTCTGTGTTTCGGTTCTCAAAGAGGCCTTGCAGTCATCGCTATATCCATTGTTTAAGTGATTTGATCACGAAATTAAGGCCGTCTGGCGTAGATTCTTTTATCTCTATGCTTTGGGCTCTATCTTTCATGGCAACTTGAGCTTGGGTTTATTCACTAAAGAAGTGCACTTCTTACTCACTCCACATCGTTGTGGACTCACAGATATCTCAAACTTATATTGCACCCTCGTTGTCTAGACTCTATAAGCTGGCTTGAACATGTGTCTAAAATTACATTGAGACAGAAGGAATAGCTCTATAACCCATCGCACTCCATACAAATGGAATTCATGAGTTTTGAGTTTTACTCAACATAAGCATTCTTCGATAGGTTTAGGGATGGTGTGTAGGAATCACTTTTAGACGTAGGATAAGGCAGTTATTATAGTAGTTGCGGTTCTTGCACATCTCGATGCAGATAACTAGATTGATGAAGTCGTCTAGAGTATGTCCTAGACAAGAGTGCATTCATAGACAACGTAGGCAACCTACCTATTGTATTATCCCCTACCATTGCCGCGCACTATATGCTGGCACCTGCTGGCAGCCATTTGTACTCCAATCATCCATCGTTATTCCAAAGCTCTTCACCCTAACCATGCAAAACAATCCATACAGAGCAGATTGACTTTATTCAGGAGGCTCACAGCAGAGATAGAAAGCCTTAAAGCCTACAGACTCTAATTCACACTGGGAGGTGGCAATAGCTAATAAGGAGAAGCGAAGAGAGAACGTGTATCGAGCCGATATACATCCGACGCCTTGGGGCGACGTGCAGAGCCCCCAGCGACGAAGAGCTGCCCGTGGTAGAAGAAGATGATGGCTCCAAAGAGATTTGGCAGCTTTCCGGCGATGTTCATCCTCGTCCAGTCCATCAATCTAGGCGAAAATGCCCACACACTACTGAATTCCTTGATGGCGTTGCGACCGCCAAAACAGAAGATGATACCATTGTACACTGTGTACGCAGAAGACTTGCGTGGTTCAAAAGGTATGAAGGAAAGGCGAGACCAGGAGGCGCTTTCGTTGTTGAAGAGCAGTATGTCTCTGTTGAAATTACCCAGCGTTGTGCTCCCTCCGAAAGCAATCACCTGCCCTTCCACGTTAGCAAGCACCCCTGCCACCATGTGCATAGGCATGTCAGATACTCTGACGCAGTGAAACGTCACCATATTGATTATGTATGTGTCTCCTAGTGAAGCCTCTTCACCGTCTATTCCCCCTGCCAGAATGATGTTGGAGGAGTCCAACTGTGCTATACGATGAGATGCCCGAGGAGTCGGCACCTGTCCACCCAACGTGTGTTCGGTCACGGCCCCCGTCGTGGGGTTGATAACAAGTAGACTGGAACCAGGGTACAGCCCCTTCTTAAAGTTGATAAAGCCGGCCGACGTTCCTCCATGCACGACATAATACTCATTAAAAAGACAAGATGCGTGTAGGGTACGCGGGCTTGTGGGCAAGGTGATTGCCTTAAAACCAACATCGATGTTATTCATAACATGAAGTGTTGAGCTAGCCGCTTCTCCCCCTCCGAATACGAGAACTTGATTTCCCACCGTGAAGGCATTGACGTACGCTGTCTGCAGTTTAAATTTAACCTTCTCGAAATGAATCGGTGTACCTGTGTCAAAGGCAGGATTCACTGGCTTATATGCCTGAGAGTACGCGCTTGATTCCTCTTTTGAAAGCTTATGGATCGACGTCATATTTTTTTACACTCCACAAGCGCAAAGGTTGCTGAATTCCATTGAGATGCTAACACAACGAATGAGGAGTAGGGCACTTCACACAGTAGTCATAGGTGCACCGCCCCGTTCCATCTCCTCCCAGATCTGCCGTCCGGTTGGTCGCGCACACTGCTCATCGACGTCTTCCAATGATATGTTATTCTCTACGCAAAAGGTAGTCCACCACTCCTTGAAATTTTCTGCTGTAAGAGGAGGCCCAGGAAGTAAGCCAGGGTTGAACTCCTCTTCACTTGGTAAGTTGGCAGCGGAGGGAGTGGGGCATGCCTCTGTATCCTCATCAGTTTGAAGACCTAGAGCATCCTCAACCAACATGGACAGAGCTGCGATGTATGGCTCTCCGGCCAGCTCCATGTGTCGACTATTTATTGCTTGAATCACCTTGCTAGAGGCAGACTGGTGGAGGTTGATAGCCTCACAAGAGCAGATGTTGGCGGGTGCTTCTGGATACTCCGGAGGATATTGGATATGGAGCCTTATGAATGCATCGCCGAAGCCGGGCACGGGAAACTGAAAGATGTACTCATATGGGGCAAGATCGACAAAGCCTTCCGGGTATATGGCGCGAATAGCCTCCTTTTCCATTTCTTGGTCTGCAGCATGGGACATTGGCAGGTTTTTCCCTACTGTTACCACTTGCTCCGAAATAAATCTTTATTTTAACCTACCTTTCTTTTATCTCCTTCCATAAAAAACGCTACATTTACTTTTTTGTAACAACACGGCCTACTTCTTCAGGCCCCTAGTCCGGGTCTGCATCCGCGCTTGGAGAGATCGACGTCCCGACGGTGTTTGTTCTTTGGCAGCCAGGCTAACCCTGGCGCGAGTAACATATGGAACGTCCTCCTGGTATTCATCACTATCATCATCAGTGCTCGGAAGTAGGCTGTCATTAAGCAATTCCTTACCTCTGTTCTTCCTATCAATGCCAGATTCCTCACTATCAACATAATCTGCGATACATTGCGTTCCAGGAGATTGCATTGGTAACTTTGTTCCCATAGCGGGACCGACATGCTTCCTTGACGCGGCTCTCGAAGAGGCTTTATCATCGATCTCGAGGTCGCTGCTATCATCACCGAAGACCAGGTCTGCACTGACAAACCCACGGGGCCCAGCTGCTTTCTTTATCATCATTAGTCTCTCGCGCTTCGTCATTGAGCCTTGATTGACGTCCAGCTCGTTTGCTTCTGTTTCTTCGTACTCCTCTTCGTCTCCATCTCTGCCATCCGAATCCTCGTCTGAATATGATATGTTACTTGTGAATTCCTGCGACGCATCATCCAAGTGATAACTGGAGTCATCATTTTCATCATGAATCTCTCCTCCGATGTATGACGCCCTATGCCTCTCCGCATGCTTCTTATCCAAATCTATTGCCTTACCAGAGCTATCGATGAGGCCCTCTTGCTTCATGGCTTCCAGAATGTATTCATCGCGCTCCTCATCGGTCATCCTATTGACAGCATCCGTTCGCTGCTTATCCGTGTAAATGTCTGCCTTGTTCTTGTAGTTGGTGAGAAATTCTTTCGGTGTGACAGCATCCAGCGTGTCTGTGATGCGCTTAACACTTGCAGCCTTTTGTCTTTTTCCTTTCATATTATAAAGTGTTGCTAGAGCTTCATACATTGATCCGTTGACGCATACGTTCGGATACGTGCGCGCTAAATCATACCTAGACTTGGAGACACAATAGTCAGTCCGCCCGTCGATGAAATCGATGGCAGCCTTGCTAGAAAACTCAGCGGGAGCATCGAGCTTATCATAGTCACCAGCGTCTGATTTTACATACCGTCCAAAGGTGTTCTCCGTCAACATTAGACTGAGGGCCTTCTGTACACCTAAGTGGTAGTGGTTTTGTAGAATAAGCAGCTCCCAGAGCTCATCGTTAGCTGCAGAGGATGTCGCAGGATTATATGCTTCAGGAATGTATCTTCTAGTCGTATCTGCTTCGATTTCCTGAACCGTTTGTCTTTGCTTCTCACTTGCAGCAGGCCTGGCTTCAGTTCCCCTGGACGGTAATAACAGCTCTAGGTGTGCAGTCGGCTTACTAGTGACAACCACTGGCTCCTTTGTTCTCTCCTCTTTCTTTGTTTCTTCAACTGGCTTGGGATGTTCCCTCTGCTGGGCTTGAAGAGACTGACGCACAACGGGACGATTTCCGCTGTCCACCGTTTTCTTATAGCTAGACATCAAGTACGAGACAGTGAAGGGCATGACTCTCATGACTGTGTTGGTGTTGCTCTTAGCATTTGCTGCTAATCCTGCTGTCGAGGTCCCATAATTGTTTAGTCTCAGCATCGTTGTGCCCAGAGCAAGCACAGCTCCGCAAACAAAGCTTCCGTTCCCAGCAACAAGACCTGTTTGAAGGCAGCGCTTCCAAAAGGCCGCTTGTATGTTCTTAGAAGTGAATATCCCATTGGCAGTCAACTGCATACACCGGCCCATGCCACTCAAGAGCAAGCCAGTACGAGACTTATAAGTCACATGCGCGGCCTCAAACCGGTTGATTAGGGAATAGTATGCATTGACGGCAGTCTTCGCTACCTGATTATCCAATCCCTGGACTACGCGAGGCTGCCCAGACCCCACGGCCTTCTCGGCAACAGTAAGGAGAACGGTGGCAACAAGCATGGAAATATGATACTTGGTAGCACGCAACATGGCAGAAAGCGTATGGACATGACCATCTAAATTGCCTATTAGGCGAAGGTCAGCATACTTCAGCGAAGTGCTCAATCCCTGCAGGATGTACTTCAGCACGGAGAACTCTTGCATTTGTGCCGCCTCTGTGGTTCTTGTCTTTGAACCCTTCTTGTGCTTTTTGCTCTTCATATGAACAATCTTTGAATCCTTAACTTCTACCTTGCACACCTCAGCCAACTGCCTGTTAAGCAATCCAAAGAATAGCTCTGAAAGATCTGAGATGAGGCGCACCTCTGCATCGGATTGGCCCTGAATGAATGGAAGGATATTGAAAGCAATGAATGATACAATGGTCTTCAGCATCTTTTGTGAGATGTTAGGTCTGCTCAGGAAAGAGATTGACTGCGCGATGCAGCCCATCAGGAACTTGATTCGATTGTCTTTTCCGTATAGCATAAACTTGTGTCTAGATGCATCGCTCTCCTTCTCCACGACACTCACAGTCCACGATAAGTTACTGTGTAGCAAGTAGATTGCCGTGCGCAGACGAGATGCGCTACAAGAGGCAATGTTTCCGACAGGGTCGCCCATCTTGTCTATCATGTAGCGAATACATCTCTCAGTCGTCGTAGGATAGGGCAGCAACTCAAAAGCAGTTTCCACGGCCTTCTGCCGCATCCACTCTTGAGGGTCAGCGCCCATTTCATCGGTAATCCAGACAAGAAGGCGATGGAGGTACTGCAAGAGAAAGTTCTCGAAGTACCAAGAGGCTAGAATTCCTTTATGTGATGGAAGGAGGTATTGAGTGCCGGACGTCTTTAACACCAAGCAACGACGTTCCAACGAGATCAGAGGGCGGTTGACCGGAAGAGTCAGATCAAAGAGCTCAATCAGTGCAGGAAGCACGTCAGCCACATTTCTCTTTTTATCCTTACACAGCTCTTCCAAATTGGTAAGTAGTTCAATGCTTGTTACTGGGTTTTCACGAGCATACATGGTCATTGTGGCAATCCTGTCTTTAAACGTTCCCTTGGCCATAGTGGCTTCTATCCACCGCTCGTCCCGTTTTCCATACTTTTGTTGGCGAAAGAGAGCGCGCTCGTGGCTCACGACCTCCTTATAAATTGTCTCAAAATACGACGGAATGTCATTGTTAGGGATTGTTGTGGAGACATTCTGAACCTCGCAATTCTCGTACCAGTGGTACCACGGGGTGGCTGAACGCACTACATCACTCGGAAAGTAGCTATCTGAGCCCATGGGATTTGAAGAATTAAATGTAAACGGCCTGCATTGTCAATCTGTGTAAGAGAATGCGCGCCGCACGGCCCCCTGAAACGGAGAGGTAAATTTACTCCTCCACCTTTTCTTCTTGTTCAGGCTTGGGAGCAGTGTCTGCTGCCGCCTGGTTCTCCGTCGCAGCCTCGGCCTCTGGCTCCTTGTTAGCGGTGTCACTCTTGGCCTTGTCATTGGCAGCAAACTCCTTAGACATCTGCGACATGTATTTGCGGAACATCTCTACGTAAGAATCGTTATCTGGTACATCTGAAATCGCCTTCTCGGTCTCGGTCCCGCTGATGCTCCAGATGTTGTCCCTCGGGTTGCCCATGAATTGAAGCTTGGTGATCTCAGTGACCTTATCACCCTGGTAGATGCGCACGGCATCCATAGAGAGCGGCACAAAGCCTGCAGATGTAAGAATTGAGATCTGATCGCTAATGGCCACGTGCTCCTTGGGGACAGGCTCCATGCCCTTGGGGAGGGCCTTCTTCTGCTTGCGGATGGCCTCGATCTTCTTCTGGACCTCGGCAGAAAGCTTGCTTCCGGCCTTTGCAGGTGGCATATTCAAAATTGAAATGATTTTTTTGAATTTTCATTTGGTAGGGGCCCTCCGCGGATCGTCTGCAGAAGCCCCCGACACATCCTTAGAGACCTAGAAACCTTTGAAGTACCTTTTCGCGCATGTTGGCATTTTTTCCCTTGGCACGGGCGGTTAGCTCAGTTGGTAGAGCGCGACGTTTGCATCGTCGAGGCCGGGGGTTCAAATCCCCCATCGTCCAGTTTACTCACACCAGGCCTCGCAGATCCTCGACGAGCGCGTACTCGCCCTCTGCGTCTGCGATCTGAAGAACATTCATTCCATTGTGCTTCATGCTGCCCTCGTACTCCAGAAGCAGGCGGGCACACTCGGGGCGCTTGTTACGGATTGCAATTATCATAGCCGTCTCCCCTGTTGCCTTCTGCATCTTCGACTCCACGGGCGCCAGGAGCTTGACCACCTCCAGGTGGCGCGTACACACTGCGAGCATCAGAGCAGAGGAACCGTCGCGCATCACCATCATCTTCTCGCGAGGGATTAGCAGCTGGACGATGTCCTTATGTCCCTCTTCAGCAGCTATCATCAGGGCTGTTATACCGTCCCTGCCCTTCATCCCTGCCTCAAAGTTCATCAGAAAACGGACGGCATCAGTGGCACCAACCCTGGCCGCCTTCATCAAGGCAGTTTCTTCCGAATTATCCTTAAGATTGACCTCACGGCCAATAAGGAGCTCGCAAAGCTGCATGTTATTGCGTTGTGCTGCCACCATGAGAGCCGTTTGCCCGTACTTAGACTGGAGACCTATTTCTTTCGCAAGTAACGCTCTGCAAAGACTCATGTTGCCGGCGTGAGCGGCGAGCATAAGAGCTGTTTCTCCGTCCTGGTTTCTGATACCGGCCTCCGTATCCAAAAGCTCCTGCACGATGAACGTATTTCCTGCCTTTACGGCCCTCATAAGCGCGGTCTCCCCGACGTTATTGACAAGTCCACCCTCTCGATGCTTTAGCAGCTTAACGATGTTCAAATGCTGGCGGTCGCACGCCGCCATCAATGCTGTCTGCCCATAGTTTGATTGAATGCCTGCCTCATGATCCATAAGCAGTTTGACAGACTCGACGTGACCGTAGTATGCAGCGTAATTGAGAGCGGTCAAGCCATCACGATCCACAATCTTTGCTTCGCGAGGAATTAACTTCGGTATCACGTTATAATTATTCTTAGATGCTGCCATCATAAGAGCCGTGTTTCCAGTCAGATTGCTGTATCCGCCATATTCGGAAATGGAAGACTCAACAGCGTCCACGTCATTGCGGATTGCAGCGCGCATCAGCGGAGTCAGATCGTTAGAGACTGTATCCTCCCCCGAAAATACTTGAGAATCACGGAGGTTGTTAACAGTATCAGGCGTGTGGTCGTTGAATGACTTGGTGTGGAGTCTGCTGGTCATGGTTCTGTCCTTGAGGAGGGTTCCACGCGTCTCCGTGGGGTTCATCGTGTTGATGCTCAGATGAGTTGTGGAATTGCTTGATGTCCTGTAAGTAGTGTGGGGTGATCTATCTATAGAGTCGTCGTCGCGATAGGATCCATAACTGTAGCTTCCCTTCGAAGTAGTGCTATTCGGAATCGTCAGTCGATTGAGATACGGCTCCACCTTGCGCTCGAGCTCCTCTTTGAGCATTAGCATCTGGACGATATCGTCTGGAGCATAGACCTTGCGTCCCTCGGTTAAAAGTGTTCCCGGAACAACTTTATAAAGCTCTTGAAGGATGTTATCAACGTTTGCTTTTTGTCCGAACTTGCTAGCAATGATGTCGCGTAGGAGCTCGTCGATGTATTCAGGAATAACATAGTCGAGATCGCGGCTACTAGAGTGCCGCCTATTCTTTGCTTGTCCCGTGTTATCGCGCTCTGTGGTACTACGCATAGAGCGTGTTGAGTACTGGGAAGGTTGAGAGTACACCTCTATGGCTTCACGAGGAGTCCCAGCCTGAGATGGAACCGAGGTTGTTAGGCCAGGTGTTCTTAGACGTGGCACTTCCGACTGAGTGTCGTAATCGGCATGCTCGTTCCACGATAGTCTATTGCTAGTGCCTCCATAACTGTTTGTAACACCTGCAGGCCCACGGCCACGGTTATCTGGGCTGGCCGATACGCGATCTGAAATGGGCATTGCCCTAAACGTTGATGTTCCAGGATCATAGTATGGCTTCTCTGTGTAGATAAGAGGTTGATAATTATCTGCAGTGGGGATATTGTATGTCGAGCGCATCACTGTTGTTGCAGTAGGGCTATGGTAAAGATTCATATCTGCTGTAGGTGGATCATAATATTCTGTCGATTCGGCGTCCCTAAGACTCTTCCCTTTTGTCTTAGGAGTCTTCGTTTTAGGCGTCTTTGCCTTGGGAGTTTTCGCCCTGGAAGTTTTTTCCTTTGGTGTTTTTGCACGGCCCGTCTTCGAAGCTGATCGAGACTTCTTCCCCGAACTTGCAAATGACGGATCTCCTTCCACAACCTCTGTACTCTGCGGGAAGGTAGTCGTTAGCTGAGTTCCTGATGGCGAAAATGTACTCGGTGCATACGTCTCTGGCGGATTGGTAAGATACCCTGTGCTGGTAAGGGTGTTCCTACTGTACATGGGATCGGTCGTATGCCCTGGTGTGAAAATTTCCTTATAGACGTCCGGGTTGTAATCCGTGCTAGCGTACTTGTAGATACCACTCCCCAGGTCCTGGTCTAGAACGTGGCGAGATTTGGGGAAGTTGCGCACATCGTTACTGGTGAAGCGACGCGTCTCATCAAATGCCGTCATATTCCCGATAATTTCATTCAGTTCCTGGGAATAGTTTGGGAGTAAGGCAGTATACATACGGCCTCCGTTGGGTTCTGGATTGGGGACCGTGGTGCGCGGATTAGTGTAGTAAGAAATATCATTCTTGAACACGTCGGCAAAGTTGCGCAGCGTACACAACTGATAGATGATGCAGCCGAGAGCATATATGTCAGAACGGTCCGAGAATCCCCTGCCTCCCAGCACCTCTGGAGCAACGTACTTCTTCTCCTCAGGGGAAATGTTGGAGTGATCCCGAATAGCAATCAGATAGGGTATCTCTGGGTGGACGATCTTAACGGCTCCATTATTCCTCATAACGATGGATTGTGGGGTGATGTGTCTGTGCAAGATACGCCGAACATCAGGGGCGTTGCTTTTGAACACACTGTGGTAGTAAAAGAGGCCCTCGTTTGCGTGGACTAAGATTCGCCAGACAAGATCTTCTGGAACGGGCACCCCCGTCTGCTTATGAGCGCTGGTAAGATCGGCAAGTGTTTTATTGTCCCAAAACTCCGTGACAAGGAAGAGACGCGACCTGTGCTGATCGTGGTGCATTTCTTCAATGCGGCAAATGGCATAGTGATTTATCTTGCTATGAGCCTCGAGCTCATAAAAGTTCAGGGGCATGTTTGCACTGATTAGATTGTGGTAGTCTAATTCCCTAAAAGTTACCAGAGCGCCATCAGATCGCCTCTTTCCTTGGCTGATTTTCAGATACACGTCGTTGCTGACAATGTCGGAGACCTGGTACTTGATCCCGAAGTGACTCATTTTAGTAAAGGTTAAACAGGTAAATCCGCCAATTCCATTGAAATTTCTATTGAAATAAATTTAATTAATTCTTATTGCATCCAGTTATACAAAGTCGCAGGGATTTTGTCTAGCTTGGCGTCTGCGCATCTAGTCAGCCCCACTACCATAGCGTTTTAGGAATGCGGCTGCGCATGACCGATTACTTGGCTATTTTGGCAGCAATTTTGATTGTTCCATTCTGCTTTTTACAGGAACAGGGGATGGCTCTCGAGCCCGTCACCTCGGCCCTTAGGGTCTACGGAAACGAGTATTACGAAGCACACGTCAAAGCGGGCCTCATTACAGGTGTAGTTGAGACTGTGCAGGAGGGAAAGGTTGTTGAGGCACCCCATTTGCTCTTGCCCCTCTACGATCCTTATACTTCTGAGTCTCTTGTTGATGCTGTCATGCTAGTTGGTCTTCAGCGTGCAATGTCTGTGGATCGATGTTACGCTGCATCTAGATATACTTCTCCCTATCAGCATAAAGCATCCGTTCTTACGGTCAATCGCATGAAGCCGGCTATTTGTAAAACTGTAGACCTCCATGGTGCAGAAGACCCCAACCATCCCTGGCAGTATGAAGCGTATTCTGCTGTGGTACGCACAGGAGCAATGGGGCACATCAGACACCTGATTCAAGAGAATCCTCCCACCCTCAACGATGAGCGCATCCTAAAGACTCGCGTTCGTAGCGTTGACCAGAAGATATCAACGAAGTTGATGACAGACTTTGCTGCATACAAGACACGACGGTATATAGCAGGCGTCACAGACACGCTCGAGGTCTTCCTTCTTACTAGAGACATGAAGACTCTTTGGGTGAACAAAGAGTTGGGGGATTTATTCCAGATGGAGTTGGACGCCTTCTCTACGTTTCAGATAGTCTCTCATAAGGTTGAAATTTCAGAGAATACTGCTATTGTGTCCGCCGTGGCACGATCGCCTACCGGTGACGGGCTTGTTCTCTTGGCTGCACTAAGTCTGACGACTGGGGCTGCGCAATGGATCAACACGGCAACAATCCCCAGCCGAGCTTGGAGCACACGGATGCTAAAGGACTTCGAGCCCGAATGGCTGCTAAGCGAGATTGATGCTGTCTGTGAGGTGTATAATGTTTCAGAGATATTTTCTGCCAAAAGCAACAACAAGTTACCAAAAAGGGGGTGTTCTCTTGATGAAAAGAAGGCCCGGAAGCTGGGGCTTAGTGTGAAGGATCACTCTTGGGAAATTCTGCGGAGATACCTACGGCAGCGAGACGTATTTAATACACAGCACAACGTGCATAGACTATCCCACGGGGTATCTCACTATATTATAGCCTACGACGATGACTATATAAGTGGCATAAGTGGACTCAAGATCGTGGCCTTTCATTCCCCGACCTTCATAGCTCTCTTGGATGAAGCCACTGGGGAAGAAATAGCAGCCTACAGCGTCATGCCCGGGGTCCTCCTAGAACCAGGAGCTGAATACGGCGAGGTATTCATTTCTTATCTCTCCGATCGTTCACTCAAGCAGGCCAAGACTTACGATGTTAAGTACTACGACTATATTCGCGTCAGAAGCGTTAATGGGACGCTCACAGAGGAAATTGAGCATCTATCTCTGTCAGAGAGGTCCACACTACTTAGCACGGGAGCTACATTTGACGAACCGCCTGATCCTATTAAATCCCTTGTTGGCCCCATATTACATCTCGACGAGAGGCTTAATAGCCACCTAGCCTTCTTCTTGACGCCGGGTGGCGTTATCTATGCGCTTTCTACCAGCACAAATGCCATTCTTTGGCGAACGGCTGTCACGGACTTCATCCCCACAAGTTTGAATGCACACATGTCCATCCAATGGGCCTCCGGTTCGCATTCTGTATTAGTGTTTACCATGGGCACGCGGGCACATATCTTTGACCTGTACAATGGCAAAGAAATGGCCATATTTAAGTTACCTGAAGATAGCATGCAGCATGCCGATACAGCCGACGTGTTTCATGACGACGAGGGTTCACGTGCCAGTAGCACGATATTATTTGCACGCCTACACCCAACAGAACACAAAAACGCTATTCTTCTAACATCAGGACCCTATCTGGACATTATCGAAATGAGTTTACCAAACGAAGCCCTGGCCAGCTACTGGGAGCGGGCATGCATGTTTGTACTTGTCGCAACCATCTTTATATCTGCGCTCCGGATAATGCCCTCTCTAGCAACCAAAACAGAGTGAACCCACTGTTCTTAAATCAAAATCTATGCTAGACACAAAGACTCCCCTTTGGGGCAAACTCTATTCTCAGAAGTGTCGTGACCTCGGTATCATACCTACAGATAACCTCTATGAAAGATTTATCGTTGCTGTTGCCCCACAAATACAAGATGGCATTCTTGCCTTGGCAGACCAGGGTCTTAAAGCCTCATCGATTCCCATTGTTTGCGAGCTTCTCACCCACTTCTACGGCGTAATCCACACACTGGATCTTAGTATGAATCCAATTTTAGACGAGGGAGCAGCTCTGCTCCTTGAAGCGGGATCTTCGTTCACTGACCTAAAAACTGTAAAGCTACGGTCAGTTGGACTTTCTCCCACTGGATTTGATTACTTTTTTACCATGTTGCGCAAGCATCGATGCCTTATAGAGAACATTGATCTATCTAGCACAAGTTCGGCAGAACGGCGAAACAGGCCTGGAGAAATAGGAGCCCATGCACTAGCGGCGTTTGTCTCTGCAAATTCCACTATAAAGTCCTTAGTCTTCACGAATACACAGCTCCGTGGTAATTCAGGTGCGACCCTCTTCAAGGCAATATCCCACCCATCCTCCCTAACCCACCTGCATCTGCAGAACACAGACATATCTAATAAGGCGGTTGAACACATATTCACTCGAGAAGCATCCACCGGTGCTAACATGCTTTCAGAGCTGGTCTATGTCGATCTTTCCGGGAATTCCTCTACACTGACTGGCGACTGTTGTCAAGCTATTGAAATAGGCATTAAGCGTCTCAAACATCTACATACTCTAATACTTAGCAAGAACACCACCCTAGCACGCTCCTTGGTACTACCCTTTTCTGCACTACGCCACAAGTCTGCCGATTTGGCAGCAGCTGCAGAGGCATATAATAAACGCATGCAGGAGCGCACTCGCTGGCGGCACGAGACATTCAAGGGTCTTTGCCCTGGTATGAAGAACTTCATTGAGACAGGCAAGGTGATTAGGGAGAGAGTTAATATCACTGATCCAACACCAGAGATACCGCACAACGAACTGGATCCATCTGCTGACACGTCTGCTACTGTAAAGCAAGGTGATCACCTTCCTCTTGCAACTGGGACCCATGACTCTGCACCTGCTCAGACCACAGATGAACCAAGCGATGGAGAAAAAGATACAGTGCTGTATTTTGGAGACACGTGCTCCTTACGTGCTCTCGACGTCTCGGACATTCCTTTGTCACCCGAGGCAATCGGGCAATTGGCTTTGGCCCTTCAAAAGAATGAAACCCTTGAGTCTATTAATTTATCATATTGTGCTATTGATCTAAATCAAACTGAATTCACAACAGCTTTTGAGGCCCTAATCGTTAACGTGATGAGGCTTCCAGCTCTCAAGACTCTATCATTAACTGGGAACAACATCGCTAATCAAGGGGCCATTTTCATAGGCAACAACATTGGCAATTCTGAATCATTAGAGGCTCTTGAAGTCTCTCACTGCGGGATTTTAGATCAAGGAATATCTAGTATCGCAAAGGCGATACCAGCTTGTGCTGCTCTCAAGATTCTTAACTTAAAGGGAAACAGTGGAACAGATGTATCGGCACGCATTATCTATGCTTCTTTGTCTGCATACCACAAATTAACGGTCTTAAATTTAGAGCTCAATAGGATTTCTTATAGCTTATATGAAAGAATAAACACACTAGTTCACAACAATCAGGCTTTACACGTTGAGAACACAACAACTGAGCTCGAAGATGCACTTCAGGAGCAGACCAAACAGCTTGCTAAGGTTATGAAAATTAAGGATGGAATTCAGCAGAAGCATGACCTTTTAGCAGAAAAGTGCGTTGCCCTTATAGACGAGATAGACAAGTGCCACAGCGAACACTCAAACTGGACAACTAACATTGACGAGCTTCAGAGTGTATTAGACGAGGCACGGAAGGATAACAATATTAAGGAAGGCAAACTGAACTCAGTAACTCAGCAAATATCACAAATAACATCAAAGGGTGAGGCAGAAATCGCTACTATTGAATTGAAGAGGAAGCAAGCACGGGATAAAGCCAGTGTTACGTTCAACAAAATCACAGAGCTAGAAGCAGCAATGCAAGCCAAGGAGATCGAGTTTCAAGAAGAAGTAATCAAGCCAAAGCAAGAACAGCTGGTTAGGTTGCGTAATGAATTGGATCTCCAATTAAAGAACCAAATAAGAATCCTTGGTATTCTCTTGGCAACAGAACAGACACTTATTGCTGAGAAGAAGATCACCATTGAAGCGCCTCAGCACCAAACAACGGAGCGCAATTCCCAATTAGTTCAGCGTCCTGCAATTGGTCCCGGGCCGGCCCAACGCCCCGTGCCGCCCAAGCGTAAATGAAATATCACGAGTTCCTGCTCTCATTTACTGCACAGTAAACCTCATCTCGGTCAGCTCCACCTGCTCCTCTAGTAGTTCATCATAATCACACCAGTCTGGGTCACTGCCAGAAGCCTTTAGCTCTGTGCCACTGGCAGACGTGACGATCAACTGATCATAGTACCATTTTAGTGGCTGCAGCGATCCTCGACACTCGACCGTGGCAACGCGTGCTCCAGTTGGACCTGCGTCTTCTGGGGCAAAGGTGGCTTCGGAAATGATATCTACATTACATCTGGAACTACATCCTTTGCACTTGTAGTGCATGTTGGTGTCACCCTTAGAATTAGGTATTTCTACCCTATCCTCGGGGCATATTCCTATCTCTTTCGTCTTTTCGCCGCATTTTGTACAGACAAATGCAAGAAAGATAAGTGTATGAGGAGCCCTATGGACTGATTTAACGTTACTAGTCTCAGAATTGAACAGAAGATCGAAGATAGTCATTTTGAAGGATGATCTTTTTAAAGGATTGAATTGGTCCTATCTATAGTCACATGCTAGTCATATGCGTAGATATCTCTATAATATGCTCTATTAAAAGATGACTACCCTGAAGAACGCTGATGTAAGCTGAGGGTTCAACTGTAAATATTCTCTTTCAACGTTCGTGAGCACCCGCGCGGGGACGCCTGTCTGCAGGGGGCCGCAGCCCCAGGCGTCTCATCCCGGGCGCCGCACGCTGCACCCCTGGACTCGGTCCCTCGGGGCCCTGAGCATGCCTCCACACTGCGCGGGACAGAACCTGCTCACCAGGAGCTGAGGAGATGCCCCGCTCAGTGCCCATGCCGACGACACATCCATCTTCCATAGTAGCAACAGTGACGCGACGGGGGTAGTCACAGAGGCGGCAGGCCTGGCGAAGCGATTGGCTCGACGGTCAACACTGACAAGTATAGGAACACAGAGGGGCAGGAGGCCTCCTTCCTGGCCGGTCGAAGGAGCTCCCAGGGCAACGGAGGGCCGAAGCTAGTGATGGCACTAATCACTCGCCGTGCTGGTTGAGACGGACCCACACGCAACCCATGTGAATCCCTCGACAAGAGATGGGGCCCCTGGGGTGCTTGGCTGACAGAGGCGGACTGATCCTGCCCACACCGGAGAGCGGTGACCTGGGCCACCTGCCGGGCGTCTGCCGCAGCAGCTGGCAGTGCCTGACACCCTCGAGTGGACAGGCGCCGGTTGTAGAGAGACGACCTCGATGAACCGGTCCTGACCGCTCCTGGTGCCTCAGACGACGCCTCTCAGAGAGGTGGCCCTGGACCGACGCCTCGGTGGACCGAAGCATCACCCAAGTGTGCTGTGCAGATGGACCAGCCCACACGTCACCGAGCCAGACGCACTGCACAGGGTGAGCGCCGACATGATCTCGTGCTGGGTGACGGACCACCTGCAAGAGTGCACTGCGATCCATGAGTAGGAGGGCAAACCAGGGCCGGACCTCTCCCCCGACACAACGCATGGGAGTACTCTGCCGGCATCCGCGAACGCGTACTATGACTCCAAGATAGAGGCGCACGGGGAGCGCATCCTTGATAATGGAACAGATGGTGCCCTCCACGAGAAGATGAAGAGGCACCCCGAGGAACGAGGTAGGCACCCGGGGTCGTGGCGTATCCTATCTTCGTCATGAAGCATCAGCACCACAAAGCTACTCCGGAGTACATGGCCAGAGTCAATTGCTCTCGAGACTAGATCGCTGTGACCGACACAAGGCCCGAGACAACGGATGCTCAATAGATGTCAGACGATGGTTGACCCCGACGGGCCAGAGAGAAGAGACGCCCCGGAGCGCATAGTGGAGCACCCAACGGCTCCCAGGCGGGATGCACAAGGCTCTTCTCCAGAGTGGGCGGCATCCGAGCTTCGGACTCTGAACACTGCCTGGGAGCAAGGGGCCTGCCTTCACTTGCCTCAACTGCCATTAAACTCCGATCTTGCCCAGTTCGCCGAAGCAAAAATAAGACTGTTCGGGCTGCCTACGCGTGCTAATAGATCCCATCAGAAGCAGACGAGCTGTGGAGCTGGGCTGCTCTCCTCGCATCGATGCAGCTCATCGGCAGGCGCAGGATATCGAGTGCACCGTTCTCGGCCATGACGGTGTCAACGGCGCTGTGCAGAGCACGCTCGGGGGCAGGGAAGCGGCCACCCCTTCTCCCGGTTGCAGGCTAGCAACGTACATAAGGCGCACCCGCTTGTCGGCAGCTGCACCACTAGTGACGTGTTTACTATCTAAGTACATCTACGCCTTTCCTCTGCACAGGAACCACCAACACAAGAAACCAACAAGACCACCTACAACAACAATCACAGCAACAGCGATACCGGCTATGGCCCCCGTGGAGAGGCCACTCTTGTTGACGCTTCCACCAGTGCCTACTTCTGATTCTAAACATATGACTGAGCTGCCAGATGACGACACACATTGCTTGCATCCGGAGATCTTCTCTGAGCACTTCATGCACGGGCCATCACTATCGCTTGTCTTGTAATACCCAGTGGCACAGGTCTTACACTTATCAGCCGCACCTGCAGTCGAGCACGTAGCACAAGTAGAATGGCACTCCCCACAGGCCCCACCTTGTGCCTGCAGTCCGTTGGCACACGTCTGACATGTTCCTCCCTGTGCACTACTACACACCTGCTTACCAGGCTGTCTATCTGTCTGATAGCAGCCGCCGTCCTTGAGGAAGTAACCCTCATTGCATTGTGTACAGGCCCCATTTGTGATTGTTGCACAGAAGGCTGCTCGTGAATTGGCCGCACAGTTGCCGTTCAAGGGGGCCTGAGTAGAGGTCTTGCACTTTGAGCAGTATGCAGTTCCTCCTATTTGGGCCCCACATGTCTCACAGCCAGTGCCATCTGCAGACACTTTGCACGCATCCCCGCAGGCGCCTCCGTTATTAGGATGGCTGTCATCTGTATATGTCAGTTTCTTGCCAGCAGGACAGGCACTGCACTGATTGTTGGCCGGCCCAACGCACTCAGCACACTCAAGGCTGCATGGCTTACACTTCTTGTCAGTATCTCCGTAGTATCCGCTGATGGCTGCGCAGTCAGGTACGCACTGGTTTGTTGGTGTCAAGTAATGAGTAGAAGTACACTTTGTACAGACCTCGTTGGCCGTGCCTTTGCTAGTGCATTCCTGGCAGTTCTCTGTCTGGCACGCGTTGTCAGGAGCCGCCTTGGTGCACGCGTCGCCCTGGAGCGTGTAGCCATTGTCTCCGTCACACTTGCAGACCTTCGCCGGGCTGGCAGCCTGGTCTATTACCTCTCCTCCGCTCGTGTCGCAGGCATCCTTGCAGCTCTTCTTGTTGGCCGCGACGTATTGCGCGTCCTTCTTGCATGTAAGACAGGTTTCCCCGCCGCTACCCGAGTCGCACGTGGCACACCCGGCGGTTCCCAGGGTCTGGCACGCGTTGTCAGGAGCCGCCTTGGTGCACGCGTCGCCCTGGAGCGTGTAGCCATTGTCTCCGTCACACTTGCAGACCTTCGCCGGGCTGGCAGCCTGGTCTATTACCTCTCCTCCGCTCGTGTCGCAGGCATCCTTGCAGCTCTTCTTGTTGGCCGCGACGTATTGCGCGTCCTTCTTGCATGTAAGACAGGTTTCCCCGCCGCTACCCGAGTCGCACGTGGCACACCCGGCGGTTCCCAGGGTCTGGCACGCGTTGTCAGGAGCCGCCTTGGTGCACGCGTCGCCCTGGAGCGTGTAGCCATTGTCTCCGTCACACTTGCAGACCTTCGCCGGGCTGGCAGCCTGGTCTATTACCTCTCCTCCGCTCGTGTCGCAGGCATCCTTGCAGCTCTTCTTGTTGGCCGCGACGTATTGCGCGTCCTTCTTGCATGTAAGACAGGTTTCCCCGCCGCTACCCGAGTCGCACGTGGCACACCCGGCGGTTCCCAGGGTCTGGCACGCGTTGTCAGGAGCCGCCTTGGTGCACGCGTCGCCCTGGAGCGTGTAGCCATTGTCTCCGTCACACTTGCAGACCTTCGCCGGGCTGGCAGCCTGGTCTATTACCTCTCCTCCGCTCGTGTCGCAGGCATCCTTGCAGCTCTTCTTGTTGGCCGCGACGTATTGCGCGTCCTTCTTGCATGTAAGACAGGTTTCCCCGCCGCTACCCGAGTCGCACGTGGCACACCCGGCGGTTCCCAGGGTCTGGCACGCGTTGTCAGGAGCCGCCTTGGTGCACGCGTCGCCCTGGAGCGTGTAGCCATTGTCTCCGTCACACTTGCAGACCTTCGCCGGGCTGGCAGCCTGGTCTATTACCTCTCCTCCGCTCGTGTCGCAGGCATCCTTGCAGCTCTTCTTGTTGGCCGCGACGTATTGCGCGTCCTTCTTGCATGTAAGACAGGTTTCCCCGCCGCTACCCGAGTCGCACGTGGCACACCCGGCGGTTCCCAGGGTCTGGCACGCGTTGTCAGGAGCCGCCTTGGTGCACGCGTCGCCCTGGAGCGTGTAGCCATTGTCTCCGTCACACTTGCAGACCTTCGCCGGGCTGGCAGCCTGGTCTATTACCTCTCCTCCGCTCGTGTCGCAGGCATCCTTGCAGCTCTTCTTGTTGGCCGCGACGTATTGCGCGTCCTTCTTGCATGTAAGACAGGTTTCCCCGCCGCTACCCGAGTCGCACGTGGCACACCCGGCGGTTCCCAGGGTCTGGCACGCGTTGTCAGGAGCCGCCTTGGTGCACGCGTCGCCCTGGAGCGTGTAGCCATTGTCTCCGTCACACTTGCAGACCTTCGCCGGGCTGGCAGCCTGGTCTATTACCTCTCCTCCGCTCGTGTCGCAGGCATCCTTGCAGCTCTTCTTGTTGGCCGCGACGTATTGCGCGTCCTTCTTGCATGTAAGACAGGTTTCCCCGCCGCTACCCGAGTCGCACGTGGCACACCCGGCGGTTCCCAGGGTCTGGCACGCGTTGTCAGGAGCCGCCTTGGTGCACGCGTCGCCCTGGAGCGTGTAGCCATTGTCTCCGTCACACTTGCAGACCTTCGCCGGGCTGGCAGCCTGGTCTATTACCTCTCCTCCGCTCGTGTCGCAGGCATCCTTGCAGCTCTTCTTGTTGGCCGCGACGTATTGCGCGTCCTTCTTGCATGTAAGACAGGTTTCCCCGCCGCTACCCGAGTCGCACGTGGCACACCCGGCGGTTCCCAGGGTCTGGCACGCGTTGTCAGGAGCCGCCTTGGTGCACGCGTCGCCCTGGAGCGTGTAGCCATTGTCTCCGTCACACTTGCAGACCTTCGCCGGGCTGGCAGCCTGGTCTATTACCTCTCCTCCGCTCGTGTCGCAGGCATCCTTGCAGCTCTTCTTGTTGGCCGCGACGTATTGCGCGTCCTTCTTGCATGTAAGACAGGTTTCCCCGCCGCTACCCGAGTCGCACGTGGCACACCCGGCGGTTCCCAGGGTCTGGCACGCGTTGTCAGGAGCCGCCTTGGTGCACGCGTCGCCCTGGAGCGTGTAGCCATTGTCTCCGTCACACTTGCAGACCTTCGCCGGGCTGGCAGCCTGGTCTATTACCTCTCCTCCGCTCGTGTCGCAGGCATCCTTGCAGCTCTTCTTGTTGGCCGCGACGTATTGCGCGTCCTTCTTGCATGTAAGACAGGTTTCCCCGCCGCTACCCGAGTCGCACGTGGCACACCCGGCGGTTCCCAGGGTCTGGCACGCGTTGTCAGGAGCCGCCTTGGTGCACGCGTCGCCCTGGAGCGTGTAGCCATTGTCTCCGTCACACTTGCAGACCTTCGCCGGGCTGGCAGCCTGGTCTATTACCTCTCCTCCGCTCGTGTCGCAGGCATCCTTGCAGCTCTTCTTGTTGGCCGCGACGTATTGCGCGTCCTTCTTGCATGTAAGACAGGTTTCCCCGCCGCTACCCGAGTCGCACGTGGCACACCCGGCGGTTCCCAGGGTCTGGCACGCGTTGTCAGGAGCCGCCTTGGTGCACGCGTCGCCCTGGAGCGTGTAGCCATTGTCTCCGTCACACTTGCAGACCTTCGCCGGGCTGGCAGCCTGGTCTATTACCTCTCCTCCGCTCGTGTCGCAGGCATCCTTGCAGCTCTTCTTGTTGGCCGCGACGTATTGCGCGTCCTTCTTGCATGTAAGACAGGTTTCCCCGCCGCTACCCGAGTCGCACGTGGCACACCCGGCGGTTCCCAGGGTCTGGCACGCGTTGTCAGGAGCCGCCTTGGTGCACGCGTCGCCCTGGAGCGTGTAGCCATTGTCTCCGTCACACTGCGCGGTCTTCCCACTGTCCTTTGCCAGCACTGTTGCACAAACTAGGAGAAATCCTACCAACATTAGCCGGAGTACACGTGCCACTGCTCTTTCATCAGACTTGTGCATTGACCGCGAGCAGTGAGAGACAGCCGCTCTTGCTCTCTTGATCAGTTGGACCGGAGAAGGACGAGATAGGAGCACACCAACCAGAGGCCAGCTGATAGTGTAGTTCTCTCTGACTTCCATAGGAACAGGACCAGTGAGGGCCAGACTCAGACCGCACCTCTCTTGTGGAGTGATTGCTCGGGGCGCACTCCTGTACATTGCTGTCACTGTATCACTGACCCCGCCTGCAGGTGCGCTCAGAGGTCTCATGGGTAAGCCGCGCCTACTTCTCGACCGTCCGGAGACGATGGCTGGTTGTGGATAACATGACGAGAGTTCTCCCTAGTGATGCATCCAGAGCTCAGTGTGGTCCCTGATCGGCATACTCTGTCTGGGGCACTCCGCGTCGGCCTCCAGGATCCGGCCTGCTTAAGGCCATACAAGCCGTTAGTATGCCTCTCCTTGGCCTGCCATCGACAGCTCACACTGGGCGCCTTGCTCGGGTAGTAGCCAAGGCCACTCCAAAGGATGGCTCCGGATTGCAGTTAAAATCAGCTGCGGCTGTTGACTCCACTCCCTGTCCCAGCCACCGCAGAGGGCGCCCTAGGAGTTGCTAGTAACAGTGCAGTTAGCGGCTTTGCAGAGCCGATGGGCGCTGGTGGCATCCCCGTGCTCAGCGGGGGCCTTCAGTGTTATCTACTCTCTCAGGGGATGCCCCCACCTTGCTGTGAAGGAGATCCGGCTCGACGGTCTGGATCAGCACGGTGTGGATGCTATTAAGCGTAGGCTGGCCGCCCTTCTTAACATCTTTCACCCGGGTCCTCAAGTATCATCAAGTGATTGAAGACGAGGGCCTCATCTACGTCGTCACGGACCGGCACAGCAGGACTCTTGACAACCTCCTCACCGAGCACAAACGAAGGAAGATCCCCGTCCCTATCGCTATGATCCTCTCTGTCATGAAGCAGGTCGCCGCCGCCCTCGCCTACCTCCACGGCCTTAGTGGGGTAGGTGCTAAGGGCCTCGTCCACCGCGACCTCAAGCCTGCCAACGTCCTCATCAGCGCAGACGGAGAGCGCTTCGTCATCGCCGACTTCGGCCTCTGTAAGGACGCCCTGAGATGCGGGAGCACCATTGCAGGCACGGCAGTATACATGGCCCCCGAGGCGCTCCTCCGTAATGAGGCCAGCCCCGCTTCTGATGTATGGAGCCTCGGGGTCATCATTTATGAACTTACTACTCTGAGGAGACCGGACTTCTTGGGGGGCAAGGAGCCAGCAGAGGTCTTCATCGATGGGTGGAGGCCGGACCTGAGCGGTGTCACTGATGGCTTCATAAAGAGTGTTCTGGAGCGGATATTCGTATTGGAGCCAGAGAGGAGGCCGACGGCCAGGGAGCTGCACGAGACGCTCGCTACATTCGACATCCCAGTTGGTGAGTTGGGAGGTCAGTGCGTGATGCTGAAGTATAAGTGCGGATCCTTGGAGGCTGCGCTGAATGGCGCTAACGCCAGGATCGCGTTGCTGGAAGAGGATGTTAAGACTAGATCTACTAAGATCGACGCACTTGAAGACCAAGGTAAGGAGCATCTAGCCATGAGTAAGGCACTGGAGAATAGGCTTGCACAGTTCGGTGACAGGATGAACACGACTGACCCTCAGTCCAGCCTCTTTTTGTTGCCCGGGCTGATGCGTGCTGCACACAAATAGCACGGAGACCGTCTGGATGCTGCTTGAAGAAAGACTCGGCGTTGGTCAGCGCGACGAGCAGGGGCACGTCAGTCCCGTCGAGTTGCTTGTTGGGGAGGAGAGGGGCCTCCAGGACAAGAATGGCTGGACTACCTGATGATCGCCACAGAGGAGGACTATGCAAGAGCTGCCTCCCTTCTGGTCCCATATGAGAAGGACCGGATCGGCAGCGAAGGCAAGACGGCCTTGGTGATTGCGGCAGAGGCAGGACATGGAACCGTGGTGGAGGCCATCGACCCAACCGATGAGAACGGCGTCACGGCGCTCATGCGAGCTGTCAATAGAAACGACGCGGGGGCTGTAAAAGCACTCTTACCCATCCAGAGGGGGAGGAAAACATACAAAGAGGTCACAAGAAGCGGATGGTACATGCGCAAAGGAACAGCTCTGATGGTGGCTGCGGCAATGGATACGCAGAAATAGTAGAACTGCTAGTGGAACACGAAAAGGGAGAGAAAGTAGGCGGTTGGACCGCTCTCGTATTCGCGGCACGGTGCAATCGTTCCAATGACCCCCTGGTGGACTATATTGGGCACGTTGAGCTTTTGATGGAGTATGAGAGCAGTATCTCAGGGTGGACGGAGCTCATGTATGCAGCAGCACGAGGGCACGAAGGGAGTGTAGAGCTGCTCAAGCAAGAAGCTCGTATAAAGAACAACGAGCATCAGACTGTCCTCACATGGACGGTGTGCAATGGCCATCCAGAGTGTGTCAGGCCCCTGCTGAAGGGCGAAGGCGGCATGCAAACGACCAAGGGGGATCGCCCTTATGAACGCAGCATATAGCAACACCGTGGAATGTACAAGACTTCCTAAAGAAAACGAGAAATATCTGAAGACAACCTGCAGCTGCCATGGTCACTCGCCTGGTACCACTGCCCTCAATATCGCTAAGAAGAAGGATCGCAAAGAGATAGTAGACATCTTCTCAAACGAGATCTGCTCTTCTTCATCAAGGTCGGCTTGCCAGCTCCTGTCCGAGTAAACCCGTCCAGAGTCCGAAGCTCGGATGCCGCCCACTCTGGAGAAGAGCCTTGTGCATCCCGCCTGGGAGCCGTTGGGTGCTCCACTATATGCTCCGGGGCGTCTCTTCTCTCTGGCCCGTCGGGGTCAACCATCGTCTGACATCTATTGAGCATCCGTTGTCTCGGGCCTTGTGTCGGTCACAGCGATCTAGTCTCGAGAGCAATTGACTCTGGCCATGTACTCCGGAGTAGCTTTGTGGTGCTGATGCTTCATGACGAAGATAGGATACGCCACGACCCCGGGTGCCTACCTCGTTCCTCGGGGTGCCTCTTCATCTTCTCGTGGAGGGCACCATCTGTTCCATTATCAAGGATGCGCTCCCCGTGCGCCTCTATCTTGGAGTCATAGTACGCGTTCGCGGATGCCGGCAGAGTACTCCCATGCGTTGTGTCGGGGGAGAGGTCCGGCCCTGGTTTGCCCTCCTACTCATGGATCGCAGTGCACTCTTGCAGGTGGTCCGTCACCCAGCACGAGATCATGTCGGCGCTCACCCTGTGCAGTGCGTCTGGCTCGGTGACGTGTGGGCTGGTCCATCTGCACAGCACACTTGGGTGATGCTTCGGTCCACCGAGGCGTCGGTCCAGGGCCACCTCTCTGAGAGGCGTCGTCTGAGGCACCAGGAGCGGTCAGGACCGGTTCATCGAGGTCGTCTCTCTACAACCGGCGCCTGTCCACTCGAGGGTGTCAGGCACTGCCAGCTGCTGCGGCAGACGCCCGGCAGGTGGCCCAGGTCACCGCTCTCCGGTGTGGGCAGGATCAGTCCGCCTCTGTCAGCCAAGCACCCCAGGGGCCCCATCTCTTGTCGAGGGATTCACATGGGTTGCGTGTGGGTCCGTCTCAACCAGCACGGCGAGTGATTAGTGCCATCACTAGCTTCGGCCCTCCGTTGCCCTGGGAGCTCCTTCGACCGGCCAGGAAGGAGGCCTCCTGCCCCTCTGTGTTCCTATACTTGTCAGTGTTGACCGTCGAGCCAATCGCTTCGCCAGGCCTGCCGCCTCTGTGACTACCCCCGTCGCGTCACTGTTGCTACTATGGAAGATGGATGTGTCGTCGGCATGGGCACTGAGCGGGGCATCTCCTCAGCTCCTGGTGAGCAGGTTCTGTCCCGCGCAGTGTGGAGGCATGCTCAGGGCCCCGAGGGACCGAGTCCAGGGGTGCAGCGTGCGGCGCCCGGGATGAGACGCCTGGGGCTGCGGCCCCCTGCAGACAGGCGTCCCCGCGCGCTTGCCTACATGTCTCGGCAAAACCCTGCGTCTAATTCTTCATCCTGGGCTATAGTGAAGCAGCTATATCAGTGTATTACATGTACAGGTCATTCGCTATCAGATTGATGAAATCAGCCCAAAACTCATGATAACAATGTATGGCACCTAACATGCCTTATATTGACTACCTAGTCAACAAGCTCAGTGGCGACAGACACAAAACTCGCTAGAATTACGCAGATAATTCGAGAAAATAAACCTTCCTCCTTATTTTTCTACTGACAAGCGACAGCCTCTTTCTGCCAAGAGATATCTAATAGTATGCTCGTAATTAAGCTAGTAATACTCCAGTAGATATCATAGTGGCTTATCTCTGAGTTAGAGGCACTATTATGATCACCGTTAGTACCAAAAAAAGAAAATGACTTTCTTTGACACGAGTAACGGTGTTTTCCTTCCAGGCGAATTTGTCGTTATCCATTACTCGAACAAAGAACTCCATTTAGGAAGAGTATGTTTGTAGCTCGGCGGCACTATACTTCAAGATTACTGGAAACTAGCCCAGCGGATCGAAGGTAGAACAATTTCCTCTCCTATCACGCTCTACGAAACTGCCAAAAGGGTACGCATTCCTGCCAACTATTCAACTTCTTACCTCTTTTGGCTTTCTATTAACGGGCTTTTAGACGAGGGATTGACCGCCGAGCATTTACCATCCAACTGACACACAGATAATTCCAATAGGCAATATACCTAAGGAAGCCATTACGGGTCAACGTTCGTTGGACAAATTAACATATTTTGTCTATATACTTCGAACCAAAGAGTCTCTAGCTGTACCTTACTTTAAGATACAGCATCTCAGCACTCCGCTACTAATTCAGTTATCGCAGAATCCAGCCACTAAGGATCTTCTTCGTGACATTTGTGCTCATATTTTCGATATTGTTCTTGTTGGCTCTTCTTATCCACCCATCACTGCACTCCCCCTTGGCATGCCTCATGTCCTCCATGCCTCTGGTGTTCGCGAATTTGGCACGGCTGGTATTCTCATTAATTCGACGCCTGCGGCAATCCAAACAGAATCTTTTAACTTTCCTGTTGAGGAGGCATCAGAAAACGATTCACAATCTATTATTGGCACAGCTAGTGTTAGGAAAGACGTTACTATTCCAATGCTTGCTTCCCTTGAGTCTTTGAAGCTCAAGATACTGACAGATGCACAGACACAGGACACTCCTGTATTCCCACCGATAATAAAGGGTTATGAAAGAGCTCTCATGGCCATGAATGCAGAGTACCTCCCTGATAATAGATCTACTGATACTCCCTGTGACTACTCTCTTCCTGGGGGCCTTGGGAACCGGGGTCTTACCGCATTAATAGACGCCCCTTTGCAACAATTGGTAGGCGATCATCAGTATGTACCAGTGAGCATGGCTGCTAGTAGGCTCTTTCGCCGCATGGATCTCTTTTGGGCAACCAATTATCTTTGCTACGACCATATATCTGTAGGGGACGCTGCGATTTACCATTATATGTCTGAGGCCCAAGGAAGAGAAAGTACTATAGCGAGTGTTCTTGTCCTTGTACGGAGAATATGGGCAATAGATGGGCGCATTTTCCCCTCTGTTTTTCTTGATGGAGAGCTTCTTGTTCGCTCCGAACAATTGACAACCTCTTTAAGTGTATTCTTAACAGGTATATTATTGACCCTCCCTATCTCAGATCCCACCGTTTGTAAAGGGGTTCAAAGAGTCCCCCTTACTTTTGTCATAAATGCACATCTTCAGGACGACAAAGTAGCCAATTTGCACATACCTTTACAAGGGGGGTTAGAGGATCTATTGTATCCTGAGGTTTGTTGCACGGAAACTTGCATTCGTACCTGTCACGTGGTTGGAAGAGTTTCATTGGCGGAAATTCCTCAAAGTGCACATCTCTTTCAATGCTCTCTTACGTGCTCACTGATTCCAAATCAAAACATAAGTCTCAGAGATCATTCTGTGACATTCCAAGACGTTAAGCTTCAGGATCTGGAAGAAGAACAGGACGAGTCCAAAGAAGAGGCTGTAATAGATGGACAACTGTATTCCTCAAAATCTACCATTAGCAGCACTTCTTCTAGTGTAGCTGATGCCCATACGGATGGCAATCTAGAGCCACAATTAAAGCGACGCTCTTTTCATGAAGCCAGTGGGCTCTATTTGCAAGCACTTGATCTAGAACAACCGAGCATATCATATGAGTGCAGCTATCATGTTACGTTCTCAACGGCAAATATGATCCGACCGGTATTGTGCAGCATATGTCAACAGGAGCTAGGAGCCTCTGATCTCTTTATTGGAGAGCTTTCAGATGTGTATACACTCGATGCTCAGCGGTTTCTTGGGGACAAAGCTTCCGACCATAACATGCCTATTTTTCCAACAATAGAGATAGCCTTGCTCCTTAATGCTAAAGGAAAAATGTATCTATGCCCCCAATGCTTCAGCCCTTACTGTAAGGCGTGTAAGATGGAAATGCTAAACTCACCATATGATCAGATCCTCTATCAAACAAACCTTTGGATTTCTTCTGCTCATCAAAAGCAAGCTGGGTTTGAGAATCTAAATACTCCGTGTTGGAAATGCGACCTCTCCACATACGCCTCGGCCGGAATTTCTGCCGACTTTGGCAATCCTATGGTGCAGTTTTATTTACACAAGCTGATTGACTTTATGAATTATAAGGCTTCCGAAGTTTTTTTAGATTCTAAACGGTTAGCATCGAGTTATTCAGATTATTTTAAGAAGGTACTCACAGATCTATCAGTTCCTACAGACCAGGATCATACCATTCAGCTGGCTGCAAGGCAGTTTCTGCATGAGCTAGATGCTCTCCGCTCTTCTTGGCACTTTGCTAGTAATTTAATTGAGTGGAGATACTCTCCTCAATGCACAGATTCTACAAGAGATTCTGATATCATTGAATCCAATTTAAAGAAGCAGACCAGGTCATTTACTTCTCTTCTTGATCTCGTTTCAACCATCAGATACTCATACCCTGATGAACAGTGTCCCAGTGTGAGTGAAAAATGTGTACTTATATCAATGGATCTGCACTTCTCCGTGCCATCGCCACTAGACTATAGAAGCTTCTTCGCTAATCTTCCAACAGCAGGACTATATGAGAATAGTAACCGTCTTCTACTGCCGATCTTTCCGCGCATATGGAGTAGCTCGAACCGGGGGGCAAACTTGTTGTTTTATGGGGCCCCCTTTTATTCACGTGTGTACTTAGAATATTACCAAGGAAAAGATCTGGAGGATATCAAAAATCCTCTGCAGGATACGCCACAAACTTCACTAAGCAAACGGAAACCACGTGGTAAGCCTGCTGGTTCAACAACGCTTGCTGCTGCATCTTCCGGTATTCAAAATACGTCTGGAACAAGTCGTCGACGAGGACTGGCATCTCTAGGGGGCTCGTTATCACAAGATACGTCAATTAAACTTGAGGAAAGCCCAAATACTACCCAGCGTGAAGAGACAAATAGAAAGCCTCAAGCCAGACGTGCCAAGGCATCCACGCGAGGCTCGCGACAAGTGGCTGATTCTAATGCTCTCTTTCAGTCCGATGTCAACGGAGTCCCATTGGTTTCACAAGGAAAAGGAGGCGCACATCAGGTGTCGTCTACGAACTCTAACTCATTAAGTGGATCTGTTGGACCAGCTCCTGGATCACTGCAAATACTTCCAGGAGGGGGGTTATCGGCTTTCGGCTCTGGAGCTGTGCATAGGCATGCGGCGCATACCACTTTCCCAGATACTGTTTCAGCCGTCTTCCCTACTAGTTATATTGATAACTATCTTATGCCAAACTTGACCCACGAGGCCTTATCTTCTTGGATTGGACAATCCATTCGTCCATTTTGCATACCGGAGCACGCTAAAGTTATGTACACAAATGGAATTGCTGCCTCTGGCATTTCTAGTTCAGGTGACATTCTTACAGGTGCAGAACCAGGAGTAGTCCATCAGAAGGCAGAAAAGGATATCGACTCTGCCAAACTAACTTCTCAAGAATCAGTTAATATCTATGAAAGCTCTATCGTTCATAGGCAGTCCAATCTTCCCTTTTCTCTTCCATCAAGTATGCACATAACACGGCTAAAGAATGAGATCAACGAGAATTGCTTATTTTACACCGGATTTGATAGAGCACTAAGATTCCTAATTGAGGAGTACAGCGAGTCCAACAGCAATGCATGGATGGATAGCGATCTGAAGAACCTTCTAGAAGCATCCAGTCGATCAGAGATACCCATATCTCGTAACATGCCAATCTTACAAAAATTGAAGGCAATGCTTTCTTCCAGAACAGATGAGACACCGGATGCAGCGACAATTCTCAAGCATCTTATGAATGACATTTTACCAGAATTTCTCGAAACTAGGTATCAACTAGAAACACATTACGATTATGGCCACACATCAGAGAGCATTCGAATACTTCAGACACTCAATTCCCTTGTCAACGTCTCTTCATTTGCGTCTATTTCCAGTTGTGAAGATGGAAGGTTGTTTTCAGAAATAAAGCAGGAGCGTGATGAGCAGGCACGTGACGAACGAGATGAAGCAAAAGAAGTGCTCTCTCTTATAGACAAAGAACGGGCCAAAAAGCTCACAACTCAACAGACCATGCTTGCCGTTGACGAGCTCACATCCAGTCCGCCGCGGTATAATCTTAAGCCACCCCCAGAATATGCTACTCTACCACCTAAGTCAGATTATCTAATGATAGACGATGAGATAGCCGCGCTGTCTGGCAAGTCTGTCACCAAGAAAACCGCTCAGCAGTCAGAAATCCTCGATTCTTTAGTGCAAAAGATATCATGCCTTGACTTTCTCCTTCGTTCTGCCCAGCAGCGCGATAATATGCCCACTGAGACAGCAAATAGTAGACCCTCTGCATCCATTATTTCAATGGAGGAGAACGCCAATCAGACTTTTCCTCGCTCCGCTACCATGCGCCATCTTATTTTGGAGAAGCGCGAAGCCGAGTTGCGCAGTTATCTGGAAACCCTCGGCACTGCGGAGGCACGTACCCGGAAGTCCATGGAGGAGTTACTCACCAGCATTGACGCAGTGAGGCGTGGCATGATAGAGCTCCGACGTAAGCAGGCAATGCTCGTTGATGAACTCATAGACTTTGTGAAAGAGAAGTACAGATTGGATCACACAATTGCTGAAGTTGTAGGAGTGGTTGGAGACATTGCTGTCGCCTTGAGCACTATAAGGATACCCGTCACGGATAGACAACTCCCATCTGACGTACAATGTTTGAAGCAGCTGAAGCAGTATCTCTTTGAACATCTGTGTAAACTATTATGAAATATGGATATCATTTATTTGAAACAGAAGCTGTCGTATGTCTGAGCTTAAAAACAACGAGGTGCCTTGTGACACAGAAGGATGCTCAGAGCAGGAGGCTGATACTGTCTCGTTATTACCTGTGGATGTAACCATGGTGCCATCCGTACAGATCGGTCTGGGCCTTGTTCCAGAGCCACCTGCTGAACACGAGCAAGAGAAAAAGCTGCAGTCGGTAGTGCAAGATAATGACAAGGTGGATGGGACAGGTGACATAACTGATGATGCAACGGAACTTATTACAGATGCAGCGCCTGCTGGGTCACCAAGGCAGCAGCAACGGCGATGCCGTAAAGCAAAGATATTTAAGCTACATGCTACGCCCATGAAGGTAATGATATTCTATTATTCCCTTACCGCAGCGCTTCCAACTATGGATATAGCAACAAGCACAGTCGCAATGCCTGTTATCGCAAAAGAGTACGGTATTGATATCTCGTTAACACAGTGGATTACCGTTGCCATGAACCTTGGCTGTGCAGTCTCTGGAACAATCTCGGGAAAGTTCCTGGAACGATTTGGTTCAATTAATATGTTCCTTTGCTGGGCCTTCCTGGCAACGCTTAGCAGTCTGTGCTCTGCCTTCATGCCAGAGTTCTATTCTCTCTTAGTTATGCGCTTCATCACTGGTATTGCATTGACAGGCATGAACGTCACTAAGGGGTATCTTTTCCGATTGCTGCCATTCCCAGAAAGGGTTAAGCTGGGCTTGTTCTTGACCATTATGCTGTTCGATTTGGGGGCTATCATTTCGCCGCTTATAGCAGGATTTATTATTGAGCATATGAGTTGGCGTGCTTGCTATATCGTCTGTGCGGTGCTTTCTGCGATCACATTTTCCAGCATGGCTTTTGTATATGATCCGTTTACACGGGCAGAAAAGCGTAAGACAGACTTTGGTGGCATCATTCTATTATCCTTTGCGTACATTGTTTCGTCTCTCAGTGCTAGTGTCCTAGGCCAGCAGATCTTTCTTATTGGCTCAATCCTGTTCATAATAGGGTGCTTGCTATTTGGCTTCTTTATTTTCCTAGAGAAGCGAGTTACTCATCCACTTATTCCTTTGAAAATATTGACCGGACCACTGAAGGCGTTATTGAGCATTCACTTGCTTGCTGCATTTTATCGCAATGCCACACGCATGCTTGTTCCATTCATATACTCAGTTATTTATGAACAATCCTCTGTGTTTGTTGGTATATTGAATGCCGTCTTTGGCCTAATGGATATCTTAACAGCTACAATTCTTCCTATCCTTGACAAACGGTACACGACACGCAGGATCTTTTCAGTCTGCTTTATGGGTATAACTGCTTGCACAGCAGCGTTTCCGTTTGTCACGTACAACAGCTTTTATCCCTCTATAGTTCTATTTGTGGTGGCCTTTGCATTCCTTAACATAGTGACCTCTATGTCATGGGCAGTCATCCTCACGACGGCGCCTGTGTCCCAACTTTCTGTCATCTCTGTACTACCAAACCTGTCCAAGACCCTAGCGTGTAGCGTGGGCACTTGTATTGTTTCTTCTCTCCATTCCATCATGTTACAGGGAGACTATGGCGCTCTCTACCCAGTTGTTGGTGATCCGTACTACAATAAGAGCTATGCACGAGCAACAAGCGTGTGTATGGGACTCATGTTCATAAGCATTTTCTTAACAACGCTCATTTGTGTGCTAGGACTATCTAACTATGAAGCTGATCGAGGAAAGAAAGGATTTTCTGAAAAGAGGTTTGTGACATTCAAGGATGCATAGTAGTAAAGCTCTAGATCATTCTGGCTTCTTTTGGCGGGCTTCGTGACCTCTTTCCTGATGTTAAAATAAATGACAGTCAGCTCACTTTGCTTTGGAAATATAGACCGTACAGGGTTAACTTCCTACGAGGCGGGGTTTCCCCTCACATATATAGATCCCCAGACTCCTGTAGCTGATGCAGAGAGTTTTGGACAGTATCAAACCGACTTGTTAACCCCACAAGAGAAATGTGTCCTCAAGCAATATAACACTATGGAAAGTTTGACGAAACTGCAACGAGCGCGGGACCTGGAGGAGAAGCGACAAAAGCTAAATTTGCAATTATCCAACCGCAAAACCAGATCGTCTCTCTCTAACATTGCAGAACGATACCGACAGGAACGCATACAGACAGCAAGAAAGTACGAAGGTTGTTTATTACGTAGTCGTGCATCCTCGCCGGGAGAGGCTGTTTCTGCCCCCGAAAGGCACCCTATTTCTGAGTCTCAGCCAGAGCCGATGTCAGAGTGCTCCTTTCGCTCCCCAGCGGCTGGCCCTAGTCCTACGCGGTGGCGGCACGTAGCCACTCTTAACAAGTCATTATATTCGCATGAAGATTCATCTGTATCATTGCAGAGCCCGTGCTATTCTCCAAAGCTGTGCTCCTTACGTACCTATCATCACACATCTCTTCAGCGTGCAAGAATGAGGCAGAGCAGCGAAACAAATGGCTCTCTGCTTCACACTCCCGTTGGCCAGCACTCCAATGACTACATTTATGTGATGAACCATCTGGCGCCGGATATACACTACCATAGTTGGCGAAGCAAGCACTCTCTGTCTGACGCTGACAACATCGAAGGATGTGCTCTACCGGCTCCTCTATCCGACAAGATTGCAAATAATAGTGCGCTGTCTCCGACCATGCATGTCACGCGGAAGCAGGCCAGATGGAGCTCTCCACAGAAGACGCTACCGAGCACTTCATCCGTTAGACTACCCCAGTTGGGTAGTAAGCAGCGAAAGCCATCTTTCTGTCTTAGCCCGATGCATCCTGTTGCCCAGAACTTACCGGCAGACAGTGCAGACATGTTGACAGTGAAGGCAATTGACCAAGGTGACCTCAGGCTCGAAGATCTGGCTCTACCCAGTTAAGTCCATTCGGTGCGCAACAGAAGAAATGCATATTAATTTCTTAGCGCAGGTCTTTGTTATTCAATGGGTTTATAGAATGTTTATACTTTAGCATTCTATTACACGACTTTCATATTTTCATACATTGTTTCATTAGAAATTGCACAATAAAAACGCACTTTGCTAAAGATTTACAAGAGGACATGAGCTCAAACCAAGACCGGACGCGGAGGGCGAGGCAACGAGAAGCCGAAAATAGGGTTGCGGTGCTGATGTCTAGTATCGATCAGGTGAAGTATATGAAGGTAGACGTTGAAACGGTGGCGCAGCTGAGTTTGATTCTGGCAGTTTTTTTGGGAGTTACGTGCATCACTACAGGCGCCGAAAAGGCCAGCTGGATTACGCTTTTGTTGATGGTCATCTATCACAACCATCGTCCTCTTGATATGCCCTCCTCTCTCGTGGTCATTGGACCCCTCTGCGTCATTTTCTCGTCACTAAACTGGAATGTGTTTAAGCGATGAGTTTAGGGTAGCTTAATAAATTCATGGTGCTCTTGACTTTACACCTTTTGACCAGCCTCACTGCACAGTGCACCGATGCGCACTGCTTACAGTGCCCGGCAAGTACGGAGCAGTGCATCCGTTGCAGCGACGGATTTGCTCCAGATTTTAGAGGGGCTTGTACCCCATGCATGGGCGGTCGGACCGGGGAGAACTGTGAGTATCTAACTTGTGGGACGACTTCTGTAAGGTATTGCAAGACGTGCAGTGGCAACTCTTGTACGGAATGCCAAGCCAACTATCAACTTTCTGGAGGAAGCTGTGCACCATGTCCAGACGACTCAATAGGCATGAACTGTATGGACCGGTTATGCAACAACAAGGTTTTCCGCAACTGCAAAGCATGTGTCGATGGCAAAAGCGAATGCGCAAGCTGCAACACAAACTTCTACCTGACCACTACCGGGTGCAAGCCTTGTACAGGGTCTTTCAGCGGCGAGAATTGCACGGTCCTTTATTGTAACAGCCTGTATTCCTATCAGTATTGCAACAAGTGTGGCGGACTCACTAGCGAATACTGTGCTGAGTGCTTTCCTGGATATTACTGGGGCGGTGCTTTTAATAGACATTGCGTCCCGTGTGCTGCGCCATATACAGGGATTAATTGTGCTGATCTTGTGTGCGAATCAAACGGGAACAAGGCAATTCTACCTTATTGTACGGAATGCAATAAGGACACCCTCACTTGCACGATCTGCAAAAATGACTACTATCTGCGTGAAGACAATAAATGCATCCCTTGTCCCAACGGACGAACGGGGATTAATTGCAGAAGCATCAAGTGTTATGGGGTATCTCGCGATTACTGCGCAAAGTGTAGCAACACAGCCCTCAGCAACTACTGCATGGAGTGCCAAGATGACTATAGGCTTGATGGTGCTGGATGCGTTCCATGCCCGACAAATTACGTTGGGTACGAGTGCATGACTCTCATGTGTGACGGTACCCCACAAGACTACTGTACGTCCTGCTCTACAACCAACTCCGGAATGTGTGCAGCATGCAAGGAAGGGTACTATCTTGACGGCGGTTCCTGCCTTGTCTGTCCCATCAATTGTCGAACCTGCTCAAGCCAATACTCTTGCCAAACATGCCTCGATGGACATTCTGGTACAATATGTGAGCACGCGACATGCTCTGGCACGTTGCTGATGGGTTGCATTCGCTGCTCAAGGACCGGGCGTGCCATCTGCGAAGCGTGTGCTGATGACTACTATCTTTCCAGCAATGTATGCGTGAAGTACCCAGATTGTTACGTTTCCAATTGCGTTCAGTGCTTTGCTAGCAATCCTGGTATATGCAACGTTTGTAGTGAAGGACATTATCTCAAGGAAGGTAAGTGCCCACCGTGCACGGCAATCACAGGTTGCCAAACTTGCACGAATACTGGTCAATGCACTGCCTGTATGGAGAGTGCTATCACTTTGCAGGCTGCTGACTCTGTCACATGCGTGCTCTGTTCTAGTTTTGTGGCAAATTGTGCTAGTTGCACCTCAGAGGGTATATGTCTTCAATGTGCTGATGGGAGTATTCTTATTGATGGTATATGTATACCGTGCCCAGCAAACTGTAAGCGATGCTTTAAGAGAGACTTTTGCCACGAATGCAAGGACTATAACTATCGTACTGCTGAAGGAAGCTGTTCTCCGTGTCCAGTTAATTGTCTAAAGTGTTCAACACCTGAGACCTGCGGTGTTTGCGTTCCGGGATACAGAATGGAGGACCTTAAGTGCTACCGCTGCCCAGATAACTGTAAGACTTGCGATGCCGAGAATAGGTGCACCGAATGTCTTCCCGGTAGCTTCATGGCAGATAAACTGGCTGGAATCTGTAGCCCGTGCATAGATAACTGTATTCTTTGCAGTAACACAACTGTCTGCGAAAAGTGTATGCGTGGATATTCCAGTTTCACGGGATCTGGTGCCTGCATAAAATGTACAAACAATTGTGACTCCTGTAAGGGAGAAAAGGATACAGATTGCTTACAGGCAGCAAAGGGATACTACTTGGACGCATTGACCTCCAGAGTTATGCAATGCATGCCTCACTGTTTGATTTGTGAAGGCCCAAGGACATGTTCTAAGCCACAGCGTGGATATTACTTTAATACCCTTACAAGCTTCATGACCACCTGCCCGCAAGGATGTACAGGCTGTGCAGTTCTGAAAAGCACTGCTTCACACGACAGCATTCAATGTACAGCGTGCAGCAAAGGGTACATCTTGACTCCTACGGAAGATACTGTGTCGACGTGTATTCAAGAGCCACGCAAAAGTATCATATCGCCGGCAGCTTCATCAAGCTTGGCGCTCTTTATTATTATGCTTTCTCTAATTATTCTTTGGATTGTAGTTATTCTGATTGTTCGCTATAAAGAAGGTGCAAGACAACATATAACTACATCACTGTCTAACACTGAGACCATTTGATATAGTCTGGTGATACCTCAGTAAATTTATTCTGCATATTCTCCGACAATCATATTAAAAACTCATGTCCTTCACTGTGGCGTCCAATCGCCCGAGATCGGTGGAGAGACATTGCACTGTCTTTGGCAGGCAGATGCGCGTTTTGCTAGTGAAGAACTTCCTTGTTCTTGTGCGTCATCCTGCCATCTTGGTTTTTATTCTCCTCTACCCGGCCCTCCTTATCCTTTTTCTCTCGAGTGCGTCCGTTAAAAAGCCTCTCTTAACAGAAAAATACCCAACTATTCCTCTCTATGGCTTTTCAATGGTTGGAAAGAAGATTGGATACTACCCAAAGAATAGCAGAAATGTAGCATCTCTTATGGAATACCTCTTGATGTCTCATGAGCCTCCTCTCTCCAATGATGTTCTTCTAGGATTTGATAGCGAGGATGAAATCGCTGCCTACTCCGTGGCTAACCCTGAGTCTCTTGCTGCAGCATTCAGCTTCGAAGTTCTTTCGCCAGTCTATAACAACTTGTCCATTCAATACTATTGGCGTGTTAACAGGTATTACACATTCGGGGACCCAGATCCAAATGTTGATCTTTACTATGACCCATTCCGTGCAGAGCGTCTTGCCCAGCTGGCCATTATGCGATATATACTTAATACCACGTTTTCCTCAAAGCTCAAGGAGATTGCCGATGACTCAGCTCTATCCACGAATCCGTTATCGAAAGCCTACAACCTGGTGCAGTCCAATCGTGTCCGAATAAACAACACCATCACCTATAAACGGTTCCCAGACTTCGAGTGGTACTCCTCCACGAACTTCACCAACCCTATACTCGATAGGGGCGGTATGATTTTGAGTATTTCGAGCCTGTTTCTTCTGTACTATTTTTGCTATCAAATTGTATCAGAGAAAGAGGCTAAGCTTCGCCAATCTCTGCATACAATAGGGATGCTAGATTCTACTTATTACCTAAGCCACGCTGTTGTTGGTTTCACAATCTGCATATGCATAGGGCTTCTTACTTCAATTGTTGGGATGTTATCATTTTCAGAGTATTGGCTAAATACCCCCTTCTTGGTGAACTGGTATACTCTCACGATGTACCACTTCTCCATTCTCTCTGTCTCTATCTTCCTATCTTCATTTATCTTTAAGGCCCAATCTGTTGCATTTCTTGTGTTTATAATTATTCTGGTTGTAACATTTTTAGGATTGACCCAATCTTCCCCACAGATAATATTCCCAGAAAATGGGGCTTTTAGTATTTTTTTCCTTATTCCCTTTCTTCACTCCGTTCAATCTATAATGCTTATGAGTCTCCGAGCCTATACTTTCCCGTATAACCAGCTTCTCAATGCGCCAGCTAAATTTACCGTTGCTGACCTTGTAAGCTTTACTGGTCTTTGCGATAGATCTGTATGTGGTCAGCAAGCTGCGGCATATGACAGTGGACATACAGTGCTCTTTCACATGCTAATCACGCCAGTGCTCTGCCTGTGCTACTGGGTCTTGGCAGCCTATGTTGATCTGTTACTACCCAGCGCTCACGGATCTCGACTGAAGCCTTGGGCGCCGTTTACTTTAGAGTTCTGGGGTTGTCTTGCAACACCAGCTCCTCCGGATTCGCACAGGCCTAACTACAAAATGCCCCCTGTGAGGCCTGAGTGGGACGAAGATGTCATTGCAGAGCAGAGTGCAGTTCTTTCTCCTCTCGGGTCATCACAATATATGAAGATATCAAATGCTCCTGTAATTATCTACGACTTGAACGTTATGTACGGTGGATGCTACAAGCGCGATAACTCCTGCGCTACAGCGTGTGGAAGACCCTTGAAGCATGCAGTGAAAAACCTGAGTCTCAGCATTCCACGCAACACAATATATGGGCTCCTGGGTCCGAACGGCGCTGGCAAGTCGACGACTCTCTCGGTCCTGACGGGAACCCTCAAGCCAACCTCCGGATACGTCACCATAGAGGGGTACAGCATTGTGCACCAGCGCCAGAAGGTGTCCCAGCTCATTGGGTATGCGCCTCAGTTTGACATTCTGTGGCCGGACCTGACTCCTGCAGAGCACATAAAGTTCTTTTGCAATATGCGTGGAGTTAATTATGCTGAGGACCTGGAGGACCTAGAGAGAAGGATGAAGCTTGCTGAGGAGGAAGGCGTGCTGTATGCTGCCAGTGCTAGCACAGTGTATCTCAATGATTCTCCTAAGAAGAAGGGCTTATGCACTACAAAGGTACAGTGCAAACCGCGCCGACCAGCTGATCCTTCCATTGCCGATCTAGTCATGTTTCGTCTCCAAACCGTGGGATTGCAGGAGTCTGTCGATTTCCAGGTTAGAAGCCTGTCTGGTGGCATGAAGAGACGCCTCACTGTTGCCTTATCCCTGATAGGGAATTCTCATGTTATTTTCATGGATGAAGCCAGCACCGGACTTGATCCCATATCTAAGCGCAAGATGTGGGATGCAATACAGATGGCAAAGTATGAGAGATCTATCGTGCTCACAACTCACAGCATGGAGGAATGCGAAGCTCTGTCCAATAAGGTTGGGATCATTTCAGATGGTTGTCTGCGTTGCAATAACGCGCCGCGCAAGCTTAAAAAAAGATACGGAATAGGATACCGTTTGGACATTGAGGTCCATGCTACAGATGTCCTTCGAGTCCGTGATGAAATCATAAACGTCTATTGCCCAACTGCCGTCCTTGTGTCCCGAGCGGGCGGGGCACTAACGCTTGCAGTTCCCAAGGGAAGCTTAGGGAAGGGTCTGGAAGACATGCTTACTAAGATAAGCTCTGAAGCGTGGATACTAACCTGGTCTATTAGGCAGACGACCATGGAGGAGATATTCCTCACAGTAACCAATACTGATACGCTCAGTTTGTGAGTGTTGTGATGTACTACTTACCATAAGCGTTGACTATCAAGATAGTGCCTTCTTGGGGGGTCTCCCTTTTGTGTGCTTACATGCCCGCGCGAAGGCAGTGTGGGCCTTTCATAATCCTCTCTTGGTGGCTGTGCAGGTGTAGGCTGGGAAGGTGGCTGTAGCTGTTGTTGACTTCTGACACGGCCATAATCTAAGGGCTTATTGGTTGGAGCTTCATCTCCAAATCTAATGCTACTCTGCGTGATTCTACCTCGCCTAGGTGGACTAGGTGGATCGGGCTCATAGATGGTGCCGCTAGCCTGACCACCAGACTGCAGTATGCGACCTTTATCTCGTTCCGCCCCTCTGCTGCTCCCGCGACTACGTGACCGCTCATACTCTGCAAGCATCTCATCTGTAGCGTGATAAGGATTGTAAACTTCCCCCTGGTAAGTTGCAGTGGGCGCGTCGTTAGAGGAGAGTAAATGTCTTGAGTCAGTATAGTTTCCATCTAAACGAGGCCTATGTGTGTGGGATCCTGATCTGGCTGGCCTTACATTTTCATAAAATGCGTGATCAAGCTTTCTGCGCACAGAGAGGACCTGCTCGAATTCTTCTTTATCTAGGCACTCGCGCATGTACCCCATCATTACCAAGGCACCACGCTTGACAATACTAGGTGGGGGATGCGTGATGTATACTCCTGTAAGGCCAATCTTCGTTAAACTGCCTGCATACTGTCTAGTCCAGCTTTGCTCATGTTCCTCTGAAGGAGATAGCAAGCCCATTTCATTGGGAAGCTTCTTGAATAAATTGCAAGAAAGATCAAGTGTTTGAAGAGCCTTCATGTTAATCAGATCAATAGGAATAGCAGAAATGGAGTTGCCATTTAAGTAAAGCTCTTCTATATTCAAGACTGGAGTGAAAATCGATTCAGGGATGGCCATCAGTCTATTTGACTTTAGAGATAAGGACTTAAGAGAGGCTACACTCGATAACAATAAGTCCTCAAGTCCTGACTCCTCGATAACCACGCCTGTTAAGAATGGATTATCGGCTAGTTCCACTCGGACCAGTGACGGAAGCTGCTTTATGATTAAGTGTGTCACACTAGAACGATAGATAACCAAATCCCTAATAGGGGGCTTTCGTACTCCGCTCACTTCTAAGCTACGTAGGCTAGGCGCAACATCAAAGTTAAGATTATTCAAAATGGCTTGCAAAATGTTCTGGGTCAAGCAGGTACAGTTCCGAAAGACAATAGAAGACAGGCTTTTAAGAGAAGGGTTTGGTGTCTGAAGGACCGATAGGGGTATGTCGTCTATATCATGAATATCTATAAACTCCAGCTTGCACCCGGAGAGGCTGGCTGCGGCATTCCTAACAACAACCGAGGAATTAGGAAGAACCGTATACTCCGTTTCTATCTGATTTTCTGCCATGGCCTTAAGCTGGCCCGCTACCTTGTCGCGCTGTTGCTTACTTAAAGAGGTCTTATCACATTGATAGTACGGATGATCATGGGGGATCTTGCTGCGAAGATACTCGAGTACCTTTGCACACGAACTATCTCCGGCTATTTGCCGCATTCTCCGCATAGGATTGCCGTCGAAGCGCAACTTGTTCAACCTTTTCAAGATACCCAGCTCAATCGGGAGCTCTTGCATGTCATTCGCAGTGAGGTCTAAGGATTCCAATTGGCTAGACTCGCGGAACTCCCAAATAATCATACCTTCACCACGCTGGATATTATTGTTTGATAAATCAGCACTACTAAGCTCTGGACAGGAGAAAATAAAGGAGGGAATGGATTGCAATGTGTTATTAGATAGATTGATTTCTCGCAGATTTGTGAACACACGTTTAGCCTGTAAATCATGTAATATCTCCTTGTCCCCGCTTATGGAAAACAGCTCAAAACCATGCGGATCATTCTGGATCCTGTTATAACTTAAGTCAAGGACTCGGAGCTTCGTGAGGGATGACAGATTTCTAATGTCGCGAATCCGATTGTGATGCAATATCAGTGTCTCAAGGCTTGGAAATGGTGCACAATCAAACTCATCCAACGCATTGTCCGCTAGATCCAAGTGGAGAAGATTGTATTGATAAATAGATGGTGCTATGATAGATCTTATCCTATTCTTGGCTAAAGAAAGCTTAATTAGGACTCCAGAGGGCGAAATTGCATCGAAGCAAAGGGTTTCAATACGATTTTCAGTAGCATGTAGCTCAGTAACGGTCGCAAAGCAAGAGGAACATAGGTCTGTCAATAGGTTTTTGGAAATGTTGAGTATCTTAAGCACCGGAAGCTCGGCGTCCTGGGGAAAAGAGGTGAGTTTATTGCCCGTCAAATCAATGATCTCCAAATTTTCCAACAAGGAAAGATCGTTTGATAGACTCTTAAGGCCACAGGTTCGACAAGAGAGCTTACGGATATTTGTACTGGTGTACCACGATGACGAGTCTTCAGCAAGCATCTCGGCGTTGTAGACCGTTGCTGGCAGAGTAATAAGAACGTAGTCATCAAGAACAAGAGACCCCGTGTTCTTTGCCTGAATAATGGCTGCCTTGATGGGATCCTGTTCATGCCTGTGCATTTGGAATTTTAGTTTACCCAGCGAAATCCTGTTGTTTGGGGCGGTCCGCTAACAAATTTACAGTGAAAGAAGATCGTTTAAGCCTGGCGCCATAGTAGCTTGGGGAGCAGGCATAGTTTGTGCTATCGGTACAGGGGCGGCAGTTGGCATGGTCACCGGAGCAGGCACGGCTGCAGGCATACCGCCTGGTATCATGGATGCAAGGGTTTGCGGCGGCATAGTCTGCTGCGGCGCTTGCTGAACATACTGGGCTGGTTGCATGGTAGCCGGCTGTACTGGTTGAATAGACTGAACAGGCTGCGTGGAGTCAGGAGTGTCCTCGACATATGTGCTGGGGTTAGTGCCAGTGTCGTCGCTATCTGGGATGTCCTCATCTCTGTACGGCTTATCATCACCGCCTTTCTTAATCATGGCTTCCAGTCCGCGGATGTTCTTGAGAAGAGGAGTCTGTTGGAGTAGGGTCGCAACCAGCTCTCTGTCAGGAATTTGCATGATAGCCATTGCCTCTGCTGCTCGTTGCTGAACGTCTGCCACAGGTGATTCTATTAGCATCTGCAAGTTCTCCATCGGACACACGCTCATGTAGCAGAGGGCAATCATGGCGCTAACGGCTACTGGTTGCTCCTCCTTGAATGATCCATTAGAAAGCATGATGATGGCCTGGGAAACTATCTGGAAGATGGCCTCGGCGGAGAACAGAGGTCCATACTCGGCAAAGAGTCGCGTGTTTTCAATCCCATAGAAGATTCCCTCAAATCCTTTCCCAAAGCTTTCAAAGACAGACTCGGTTATAATATAACAGGCCGTTGTCAGTATCAACGGATCGTCGACAACGAGCAGGTTACCTTGTTGGATCTGCTCCTGGTTGAAGCAGGCAGAAATAATTTGAAACAGAACCTGCGCCTTGAGGTCAGGATACTCATCTGCGCCAACTATCTTCAGCATAATTGCGTTGGCCAGATTCGCCCAAATAAAACGAAGGTGCAACTCAGACGCCGTGGGGAGAAGGTTGATCATAGCACGCAGAGTCCACAGAGACTCCTTCACGGTGTCAACCCCATCAACCTCAATGGTGCTATAAAGCCCGTAACGCTCACAAAGGATAGCGGCACGCAGTAGCGAGTCCTCTCGATAGTCCTTGGGGAAGCGAGTGGCCTTTGCACCTCCAAGGAGGCAGAGAACTATGCCCTCGGCTGTCTCCACATCTGCACTATTGAACAGAAGAACCTGTCCTTTACCGCGGAGCGAAAAGTCCATTTCATAAGAGACTATCTCAACGATTGAGCGTATGTTGGCGCGGATCGCGATGTTTACGTTGACCATGCGGGACATCTCCGCAAGAGTAGAGAGCGCCGCAAAGCGGACATTCGGCTTTGTGTCCTTAGCTGTGACCGTCTTGATCATAAAGTCGACCTTGATAGTTTCCTCAAAGTACTCAGCGTAATAGTTCGACAAGACGCCCGTTTCATAAGCAAGGGCCCAAAATATTTGCTGCTTGTCAATCGGTGCACTACTGGAGATTCCAGAGCACATTTTGAAAATCTCATTGATGACACTTTCCAACATGGTGCGCTGGTTGATAAGGCCATGATCTTTGTCTTGAGCCTCCTCCAACCTGGGGGCCAGGCGCCGCAGGAAGCGCATCAGAGAGATTATCAGCCAGGGGCACGGACACCCATGGTATTGGTGATCAACAGAGACTTCTTTTTTGAGAATTATCTTGCTCAGAAGGTAGATTGCGCGGGTCTTGATGACCTCGAAAACCTTAGAGTTAACATCGGAGATTCCATACAGCAGGTGTGTCAGACAACTCAGGAAACCTACGTTCTTTGCCTCCATAAGGGTGATGAGCATGGAGTTGATGTTTTCAGTGTCCACTGAGGCCGGGTTGACTCTGTAGCAATGAAGTAGGGCCAGTGCAGCCTTCTTGCGGATATATGAGTTGACCTGGGTCTTCTGGGCAGCGACCAGCTGCATGCATGCCGGCGCAACGACCTCCGCCATCTCTGCATTGGCCACATTGGCAACAAACGTCAGGGCAAGAGGGGTTGCGAACTCATTAACTTGCTGAAGATCATACATGATCGTCTGAGTGACAAGGCGCAGGAAGTCCTTGTTGTCGTGCAGAAGCTCTCCAAGAACAATGTAGCCGACGATCTTCTCGTCCCTGACCTTCGACGTCATCAGCTGAGACGCCTGCAGGAGCCCAAAGTCTATGTTGTGGCCCAGAATGTGCATGTACATCAACTTGAGACAGTACTTTCTGCGGTCGTAGGAATCTGCCTTGGGAGAAGCGAAGCACTGGCGAATCTTCGCCTTTTCCTCATTCACGATTTTAAGCTCATCCTCTGGTGCAATTGTGGCCCTGACATCGGCTATGAAGTTCTTGAGACCCCTCATAGTGGACATAGGTTTTTTTTAAATTAAGCGTGAGTGGCGGACCATGGAGGGTCACAACTTTTTTGTAGGTACCTATGCTGCTCCTCGGAGCTGGAGGAGGGGGTACTCAACAAGCTGAAAAAAGTTGAAAAACATTGACTTCTAGTTGATCTGGGGTAGTCATCAAGCGATGTTTACCATGCAAAATTTACAATGGAATAGATTTGTTAAGATTACATAGACTCTTTCATCAAATCTGACCGCACACCGTACAGGCCACCTTCGCCTCTGCCAGCAGCTCGGAGCAGCTTTTGCAGAACGGGGCGTCGCAGAAACTGCACAAATACTGACTGGTATCTGTATCTGTTCCGTATTGCATCTGACACAGTGAGCACATGCTTTTCGCTTTGATGTTCTTTCCATCCTCTGCTGGGTTGGTAGTGTTTACAATGCTTTCAGTCTGAGACAAAGAGGTATCTAATTTCTTGAACGACAGAGCTCGCTTATGAAGGAGTGCCCCCCTGTACAAGTTGGGGTACATGACCAGTTGCAGGCCACAGCACACGCACTCGGAGATGTCACACACGACTGCATAACAAAACGGACACTCATAGAAGCCTGTACCATGTCTGTTGTGACAAAAGCAGATTGCATCATCACAAATGTGTACGGGAAAGCCCACCATGATAAACTTCCCTCCTTCCGTGTCTGTCGCAGTCTGGTTGTGAGAGGCCTGTAAATTCAGGGAATGTTCTTCCCTTCCTTTTGAGTGCATGAGCCTAGTGTCCTCAGATCGCAACTCCAGCCTCTTGAGCAAGTTGAGCAACCCACCTTTGACGTCACGGTCCACAATGAGATGCCTCCCGCCTGTTACCCGGCTTATGTGATCGAGCACCCCAAAGCGATTTGTAAGTGAAACAATATCCACCTGTATCTGCGCGGCCAGTAGCTTCTCCAATACACTGAAGATGTCAAGAGAGTCCAGAGTAGCGTTGGAGAAATTGACATATAGGATTCGCCGAGAAGACGCCGCAGACTTGTTATTCATCAGCAGCTCATAGGCTTGGTCTAGTCCCGTGGCCAGCGCTATGTGACCAGAAGGACGAAATCCGTCCCTCAAGACCTCTTCAAAGGCAGATAAGTTGGACGAAAAGCGGAGCTCAAGATAGCAGAGCGAGTTCTGCAGGGTCATAAAGGCAACCCGAATTAAGGGCCGATGGGAAAGAATGAACTGGACATAAAGAAAGAGACTATTGACAAACTCAGACAGATAGGTTAGCGGGAGGGATTCAGATGAGTCAATTATAAGGACTACGTGGCGAAATATTCCGACTTGTGATTGCTGACTCGGAGCTAGCCTTTTGAACAACTTTTGGGTTTGTCCATCCGAGACCTTTTTCTCCACTTTCAGCGGTTGCACCGGCTCTACATGACTGGTGGGTATAGGTTTCTTGGCACGGAACGACGCCATGTCCAAATTTTTTAGCCTCCCACCAAAGCACCAAAGGCAGTAACTTGACCAGAAGCTGCCATGCTAGGTTTGTGTGATTATTATGAGTAAACCAGAAAGTACACGGTAGTGTGTGCATCAGCTAACATCAGCTAGCATCAGCTTTCAGTTACAATTACCTTTCATCGTGTTCCTTATGCTCCACTTTGTAAAAAATGGCATCTGAAAATATGGTTCGCTGGCTCTTTGTAGGGCCTAGTGATGCTTCTACTGCATCCTACGTGGATTCCATTAACAGCGGGCGCCCAATTTTGACGACTTCTGTGGAGGGGTCCAGTGTGCAAGTTACTTTAGATCAAGTCTCTCTGAATTCAGACACTTCTCTGGGATTTTTGGCAGAGCGCTTAGATACACACTTTACAGATATTATCATTGCCATATATGATTCAAGCCAGGAGCGGACAAGGCCCCTGCTGGAAAGTCTTTTGAGCCTTAAGAATCTGCCCCAATCTTGCTTCCTCTGCGACACCAATGCTGAAGACGAGGACTGCATGACAGTGGAGCAAATAGCTGCTCCTTATGTGTCTCCAGGATACAGCTTTCATTACATACATGTCTTTAGCAAGAGCTCTGAAATCTTGAAGAGCTGCCTATTAAGAGCGACTAAGTACTGTCTGCAGAGGCGCCAAATTATGCTGCTTAATCTTCGGACCACTTATTCAGAGACACCTGAGGACGTCCAGGCAATTCCTACCGAGTCCAGCTCTCCTGCCGTCAGCCTTAGTCCCTCTGGTGCAGTATCACAAGCTAATCAGAAACTCTATGCTAAGAGGGCCGGTACTCTAGACACTGTGCCCCTAGCGGTTCAACCGTCGCCAACTACAGATCAAAGACCCCAAGATCAGTCGCTAAGCATAAAGGATTCTTCTAAGTTCACTGTGAAGCTTCCAACTACACATATACAGGAAGGGTTGCAGCATGCACAAGACATGCCCATTTCATGTGATTCAACATCAAGCTTCAATCCTGGAGAGAGAAAGCACGAGAACTCCAATGTGCCAAAGGAGTTTGACCTCCCTGTTGATTTGAGTGATGGGACAGAGGTTCTCTTCCACGGGTTTATTGGACAGGATCCCGGAGAAGCTATGCTCCAGTTTATGCAGAAAAACAACGTGTCATCGCGAGACTATGTCATGCTCTATGATAAGATTAAGTGCTTAATGATCAAGAATGGGTACTTGAGTGACGAAGACCCCGCCACTCCCAGTCCACAAGCAAAAGGAAACATAGACACTGCCGAGAAAGGTAAGCTTATTTTTTCCACAAACATACTGTTTGGTTCCAAAAAGATTAAGATAGATTTCTACGAAACAGACACGTCCGAGGAAGTCGCACGACGCACCGTGCAGTCTCTCGGCCTTGGCCAAAACTATGAGGTATTTCTGCGAAAGAAAATAGATGTAATTTGTAATTCTATGAAGAAGTAAGTTGCCTATCCTTGTCTGGCTCTCTTTCTATGTGAGATGCACGGATTGCTAGCACGATTGTTAAATTTAAAAATGAAGATGTACGGACTAGAGCCAGTTTTAGATAGAATACTAGACCCAGCTACTGAAGAGGCTTGTAGCAAACTTTCTATCAGTGCGCAGGAGGCAATGGAAAAGGCAATCCTGCCTGCAATGAGAGATCCCAACAGTAAGGTGGATCTAGGTAAATTCACTTGGCGAGAGCCTGGGGCCATCCCAAAGAGCATGAAGATCCACGACGTGCGGGCAGAGAAGAAGCGGGAGCTCGAGAGTCTTAGGCGATGGCATGAGATCCCCGAGCAGGATCTTACTCCAGAACAGCTTCGCGACATGAAGGCGCTGGACATGCGAGGAGTGCTACAACCAGAGGAGGGGATCGCGGATATAGAGTGGGACTCTAGCAAGCTTCCGAGGAACGTGCACTTTGGAAGGGTCATAGAGGGACCAGGCGAGTTCTACTCTGCGCGGATACCCAAGAAGCAGAGAACGTCTTCCATCCTTGACGACCTCTTCAGGAAAAATCCTAAAGCGCTTCAGCAACTGGCGACAGCGAAGAATGTTGTCGATACAAGGGTCCGGAAAACCAGCTTCAAGAGAAACCGCCGCATTGGGATTCCCATGAGAATCTCTAAGGAGTAAGGGCAGTGGCATGCTTGTTGAGTGTAAATAAGAGTGGGCGTTTTTCATGTCCTCGGCCTTGGGCTGCCCAAGCCGCAGAAAATGAATGTTATTATCTTACCGTTCAGAGTGGACTCTCCTTCTGTAGCCCTGCGGCATTTTGCTGCCCCGGAGCTTCTCCGCATGCACCTCTCACAGTGCACCTCCTCATCCTCTATTCACAATATGCCGCCAATCACCCTCGGCAAACTTGCTACTATAAAGCCAATGTTACTTCCCAACAGTCCAGAAAGGACAGAACACATAGTATCCTATGCACAAGTAAGGACAGTGTATCGTTCTACAGACACAGGCGAAGAGTCTACCGTCTATTCCTGGAAGTATAAGGTGTGGGGCCAAGTGAAGAGAAACATTAGCTACCTTTCTTCCCCTTCTCTTGCATTCCCAGCAGAAGCAATCATTCCCCTACCATCATTGTTGGAGCAGACAACACTCTACCCTACTCCAAGGCTCCATCGAGTCTATCTAACTTTCACCCCAAAGTCACACGGAAACTTCGACTGGATGATAGACTACGATACCCCCATGTGTCTCCAGTCTTTACCTCAGAGTGTTCTCACCCAGAGTTCCCTGGCCATGCTTATGGAGGTACTCTTTGCAGTTCGTCCAATCTGGACTATAGACATGTTATATAGATTGTTTCAAAGAGAAGCGGTATTTACCTTACGGTTTGCAACTTCAATAGCCGATGGTCTCAGGCGCGCTGCACAGTATCTCAATCAATTGGAGAGTATCACCTCGGACATCTTTCATGTAGAGAGAACAGCAGCACAAATATCGGACGGGAGCTCTTATAGAGTTACACTCCGATCCGCTACAAGGTTCCAGTGTATCACTGCAGTACAGCAAGTGGCCTATACCTACACGAACGGACCATGGAGATACGTGTGGATACGCCGAGGATTGGATATACGGCTTCATCCCCACCTGGGACTACAAGCTAAAAGTGTCGACGTACGCTTTCGTGGTGAGCTTCTAGAACAACTGAAGAGCATAATTAAGACAAAGAGTGGCAACGACTATGAGGCGTTTGTGGCCAGCCTTCCACAATACCTTCTTGGACCTTTTGAAGCAATCTTCAAACCAGGGCCGTCGCTTCTTCAAAACTACAACAGATGCATATGCGACCTCCCTCAAGAAATGGTCAGCTGGGACGGTGAAATTCTTGCGGAAGTGTGCACTAAGCAAAGCGGATTTTGCACACAGCAATACCTAGACCATGTACGCTCTCAGCTTCTCAATTATATCAATTCTGTGGTCAACGAAATAGCGACCGTCTATAGTCCAGCTTTTGGACGAGTGATTGACGGCGCCAACACCAGACCTGAACCAAAGTTCTTAGAATTGAACCAGACAGGGCTTGTTAGCTCAGAGTTGGTAGATGCTCTCAAATGTGACGGTGTTCCTCATTTTGATTGTACGGTAATACAATTGGAACCGTTGAAAAATAAAAGACAGACTACAATCCATTCAACTTCTGAACCAGATAATTGACCCATATGGTGTAGTCTTCTGTATGATGAATTTCAAAGCAAAGAGCACGGGTGCGGGACACAAGAACGATAGTATTTGGATGACCAATCTTTGGAATAAGACTAAGCCTCTCGGAAGGAAGTGCTGCCCACTGGTCGATGAGGTCCGCAATGCTTTTCTGTTCACCATCTTTACGAAGAGCAATAATCCATCCTCTGAACGTCCGTGCGTGTTCACCATATAAGCATTCAGTAATGTGCTCAAGAGACAGAGCCCCCGAAGGCACCAATCCAGACGCTGTCTCCCTCTTCCAAACAATGCACGGCTCATCTGCATCTTCATCTATGCCAACCAGTCTTGGGGCGACGGCCTCTTTGCAGTTTCCTGCAGTTGGTAGTGCAACCTTTGTAGTGATTGTATGTGGATTTGGAGTCTGTGTTTGCTTTCCTAAAGAACCCCTATCTGCGTTGCCACAGGCTGTAAACGAAAGACCTGTATTACTAGATGCGATCGCATTCCCCAATGCTTCCTCAATCTCTTTGTTGAGTTTTCTTGATTTCCTATGTGCATCGTTACACCAAACTGGTGGAGTGGTTGAAATACGAGAAGCAGACATGATAGAAGCACGGGATCGTGTTAGTGCACTGTTGCCAGTGCTAGGAGATATGGCCGTATTGGGTGTATGCGACTCCATCTGAGGAGGATCGCTCACCGAGGTGCGATCCACACAATTGTTCACCCCTGCTTCAATGGCCTGCCACTGGCGCTCAAAGTCTGACATGTCCAAAGCGGCTGGTCGTATATTGCTCACGGTGGCATTGGTCACGTTCTGCCTGGAGGCCGGAGCATGAGACGCGTTCATCGCGCTCTGGTTTATGGCCGACCGACACAGGCCCTGGGTGCACGCTATTGTCAGCCGATTGCGCAGGGCCTCGTTCTCGTTCCTCAAGACAATGACTTCGTTCTCCAGCTCTACCATGCGCCGCTTCAGCATCTCCACCTCTAGTGTGCTCGATGATGCTGCTTGCTCGTTGTATCTGGCACTGTACAGCTCCTCTGAATAGTGCACGTCAGAAAGGCTGGATCGGGGGATCTCGGAGGCCAGACGTCCAAGCTCACCTCCTCCCACTGAAGCGCGCCTGTAAGAAGGCTCTGTGAGGTGGGGAGACGAGAGGCGGACGTCCGGTGCAGTGGTGCCGCCAGATGCTGCGGTCGCACGCGTCAACCGAGCTTTGAGCGCGCCTATCCTCGTGCTTATGTCCCTACTGGTTGACGGCTCGTCCTTGCTGTGGCTACCCAGAAGATCCTCTAGCGATGATGGCATGCGCGTGCCGCCTGTGCTTACATCGGCTCCACTCATGGGTATTTTATAAATCTTCATACAACCCCGTGGTATCGGCTTGAGCGTCTCGTGAAAGTGCTCCAGAGCATCTACAGCGTCCTCCGCTAACCAAGTGTGTGTTCCCCGTACTGATTGGGTGCTTCAAGTTTACTCTGCTATGTTCGTTATCAGTTGGTTGTAGCCGCCCACTCGCCAAGTGTAGCCCTTTGCAGGGTCTCCAGAAGAAGACAGTCGCAAAAGCTGCTTGGTATTATGCCTAAGCCTCATCGTACAGTGCCACGCTCGAGCACATATCCCATAAGCTAGGACGCTTTACTATGCAATCTTTTACCTCACAGCCATGGTATACTCTACTTGTAGCTGAGAGACTGTACTATTCTATGCCAACTGAGTGGGACTGGTCTGAGTACTAGTGGGGTTTCCTGGGGCAGTGTATGCCATGAGCACTCTGAAGTTACCTGAAATAAGGTGCCGCACATCGCCTTTTGACGGGTTACTCTTCTAGATGCACATTAATATGGGCTAACTGTGATTTGTGGAGCAATCATGGAGCAGTAAACGATACAGGTATCGCAGATTAACAACAATAGCTTCGTGATTCTCCAAACAGATGTCTTGTCGCGGGTCACAGGCATCAGAGACAGGCATTGAAGGTATACGGTCAGATAAGAAACGACCCAATTCAGCAGTTAGTCTCACCACTCATCTCGATAAGTGCGTCCTTGAAGGGATATTCTACTGCTTTCTCCACGTCGGGATATAAATTAATAAGTAAGAGAAACGGCTAATTAAAAAGTTCAACAGAGGTCTACAACTATCCACCTCCTTCTTCAGCTATGTGCGCAGATCCATATAGCAACCAGATGCATGCCACAAGTTCACTTTTCCAGTAGGCTTGTCCTGTTGTCACCTGCTGCGCTTTTTCTTAGAGCTGGTTGCCGGTTTGGCTTTGCCCAGGTGCTCAGCGTAGTGCTTGAGCATCCTTTCGTTTGCCTGGAGGCTTATCTTGAAACTTTCGCCTGTCAGTGGAAGGTTTTTGAGTTCATCGATGAGCTCGCTTATCTCATTGTTTGTTGGAACGGTTACCTTCCCACGTGAAATGGCCTCCTGGAAGATCTTCACCTCCTCCTCGTAGCGCTTCAGTGATTCTCTGAACCCGTTGAGGCGCTTCTTGTCAATGTCGGAGAGGTCAGATGCGTCTTCGAGCTTTTTGATCTGAGTCTTGAGATAATCGCCGAGAGAGGAGTTGAAGTCCAGGATCGCGTTCTTCTTGATGAACTGCGCGAATCGAGCACTTATTTCTATGATACGGCGGTACTCCTTCTTGTAGTGTTTAATCTTGTCCTTCGCCTTGCGGATCTCCTCTTGTATTACCGCCTGTCTGTCACTGGTGCTCTTGAGGCGCTCCAGTACTTGGGGATCGTCTTCAGTGACCTTCTTGGGACTCGCTTTATGCATCGTGTGCATGTGCTCCATATAGGAGTGACCACAAATATGACACATGTCTCCATTCATAGCCCAGCAACCTCGTAGCTCTGGGTGACCCATTTGCATGGCGGTGACAGTCGTTAAATAGCATGGATCGTGGCAAGCAGTATCAAATTCTATACACGTTACACCGTTAACCGTGACCTGTTTTGCACAAGTTGTGCAGACCGTACGGGGCTGATTGAATTCTATAACGTCGTATCGGATGACTTCCATTTTCAATCTGTCCTTAAGGTCGTCCTCCTCTCCCGATAGGCTCTTAAGTTCCTTCTCATGGCCCTTCTGAAGGTCAATATTCTCCTGGATGATGCGCGTAATGTCTGCCATGGGAATGGAGAGGCCTGTGATTGTCCTGCGCACGTCCTCCAGCTGGCTGATTGCCTTTCCACTCTGCGGTTTGATTATTTTCAGATGGTTTATCGCGCGCTTGAGCTCATCGGATGCCCTCTTCCAGCTTTCACAGAAGCTATTTGTGTCTTCGGGAGAAAATGTGACACCATTTGCACGAGCTGCAAGAAAACGTATAGCCTCATTATCAAAGCAATACATTGTCTTTTCGGCAAGGGCTATCTTGATGCTTCTGTCCTCTAGAAGCTTCTTAAGAGGTGTGTATGTGTCTCCAGGCTTGTAGAAGGTGGAACGCGCGTTTGTGAAGCAAAAGATGATGTTCTTCACTGCGTTAGCTGGTAGATGGACCAAGAGCTCCTCGACACAGAACTTGAAGAACACGTTGAGGCGAGCATTGTTCGGCTTCAGGAGCATGCAGATCCCGTGGAGCTCGTAGTCCTTGACGAAATTAATGATCTTGTTGAAGTTCGCCTTATCATAGTCATAGCCCCTCGTATCTCCAATTCCTGGCGTGTCAATCAAATGTATCTCGGTTTCATGAGCTTCAAAAACGTGCACTTTTGGGTCTTGGGTCACAGAAGCGCCCACGCTTTCCACGTCCTCATTCTTGTCAGAAGGTCCGACCGACACAGACACTTGCTTATAGTTATTATCTATTAAACTGAAACTCATTGGCACCGCCCATATAGTTCTCTTTGTATCTTCTGGGCTCTCTGGCATTTTATCGAAGCGCAAATAGTTAATGAATCCGTTGACGAAGGTGGACTTCCCGACCCCGGTTTCTCCCAAAAGAAGGATGTTGGCACGACGGCCACATGAATCATTTGTAGATGTGTCTGACGATTCATACTTGTCAGATTCGTCGGAATAACTTGAGTTGTATGATGACTCGGAGCCATATGTTGACGTATCGCTGGCTGACGAACTTGCTCTGCTCATTCTAAATTTGTTTAAAAGATCTTTTTGGTTTTTTAATCCAATCATTGATTCTGAGATTGACTATGGAATCAATCACACTTAAAGATGGGACATATCATTTGCTAATATTATCCTGGGTTTTCGTAATACTTTTCATACCGATCAACGAAGAATCAAGTACGCCGTGCAAAGTTTCACAAAAAATAAAAGAAACGCCATCAGTCATGCCACCTGGTTGTGTAGGGGGCGCTCCATATGCCAAAACTACCCAAAGGCCTGTTGTTTCGAAAGACTCTCCAACTCTTCGCAGCATTTTCTCTGAGGACTCTGGTCTCTCTCCTTCTGGCCGAGAAGACCTTGTAATAGAATGGACTGTACGTCTCCTTAAGAAAGTGAAGGAAGGGTATGCCAGTGATCCTCCTACGTTTTGTAAGGATTTAACATTGGACACAGTATCTCTCAGAGATGGTGAAGTTTTACTGAAGACAGCTCCATTATCGAAGAACGATGCTCCCACATTTCAGGGAGATAACCTGCGCTCCCTTGCTGTGTTGATTTATGAGGCATATACTGGGGAAAAACTGGCGAATTATGATCAGCTTCGTGGGTGTCGTCGTCATCTTCCCGAGAAATTGAAGAAGTGCATAGAAAAATGTGCATATGCGACGGTAGATGAGGTATTAAAGGATTTGGATTCACCCATTGACAAGCTATCTAAGCCTCGTTCAAAGTCCAAACCTTCTGGGTCTAAAAGGCAATATGGCTCCAATCATGTTTCTAGTCATGAGATCAGTACGCTGCCACCCACCGTTCCCTCCTTTCCTTCTCCCATAGACGTTAACGCTGCGTTGGTGGCTGCATCTGCTTGTTGTCCTGCTGTGGAGCCCTCTGTTTTTGGACCGACAGACCTCCCGCCAACAAAAGAGCTATCCATTCTTCTGATAGGGGAATCGGGAGTCGGTAAGAGCACCCTTGTCAATACGTTTTCGCTGTGCTCTCAATTCTCTAGACTCCCAACAATTCCTCTCGAAAACACACGCTGGCCAATTCCTGTAAGATTCGTCTTCGACGGTGTAGAAATCTCGACAGGAGAAAAGGAGGCAGAAGCCTTGGGTGGCTCGGTAACACAGGCTCCACAGGACTACTATTTCAACTACACTCTGAACGGTTTACCCGTGCGCGTCTGCGTCATAGACACTCCTGGTATGGGTGACACGCGGGGGCTGGAGAAGGACGCGGAGAACATACGCAACATCATAAGGCATCTTTCGCATCATAAAACTCTTTACGGTGTTTGCTTTCTACTGAAACCGAACGATTCCCGCTTCACTGTTTTCCTCAAGTACTGTATCGAGGAGCTTCTCAAGCATTTCCATAGGAGCATACTGGACAACATCGTTATCGGGTTCACACACACTAGGGCTACACTATATAAACCTGGCGACACCCTTCCCTCACTAATGAAGTATTTCACTGACAGTGGAATTAGGCTGCCGTTAGAAAAGAAGATACTATACTGCTTTGACAGTGAAATCGTGCGTCTTCTTGCCATTTGTTCCCAGAATGCAAATCTGATAACGAACGAGATGTGCTCCGCCTCTGCTGAAAGCTGGCACAGGATGCGTGGAGAGCTCGCACGTATGTTCGGACACATTGCTGGTTTGCACCCACATCATGTTCAGGAAACAGTCAGCTTTGATGTTACTCTGCGTGTGAGTGAGGCATTGGTTTATACGCTGCCCGGGCTGCGTGATGGCTTGGAGACTAAGAGAAAGGATATGGAGGAAGAAAGAGGTTATCTTAGAGCATTATATAGCAAGGAAAAATCTCTTCAGGATAAGGCTCGTGTTAAGAAATACATTTATGAGGATCGTGATCTAGACCATCCTGGATTGCGATGCAAAGGGTGCTATCAAATATGCTGTAGCTCACCTATTCCGATGAGTCGATATAAAGCTATGGAGAAGAGCAAGCAAGAGAAGCTTGAAGATAATTTACTTGCCAAGGTGACATACAGCTGGTCTTTTATAAGGCCTTATGGAAATTGTTGCAAAAGGTGTTTCTGTCTGTTAGCTAATCACGAGTTGGCGTTGACAAAGAGATCATTTTGTAGTAGATTGGTTGAAAACCCAGAGGTGAAGAAGGAACTTGAGGCATGTAAGGATGATGAACAAAGAGTTGAAAAGATATTAGAGGAAAGTCAGAAAATTATTGATTCATATACGCAGGCCTGTACAACTGTGGGTGAAGCACTAGAAATTTTCAAACAGTTCCTTGCTGAAAATAGTATTCTTGACCTCAAGCAGCAGGCTAAGAATCTCGAGCATCGTTCTGCAGAGATATCTAACTACATAGACTATGGACATACTGATTCTAAGGCAAAAACTCTGATTCGAAAGAGCATGGGATACTTCGAGTCAATGGTTACGCCTGGTGGCCGATACTCTGTATCCAAGCTTTCTGTTGAGGAGGTACAACGTTGGATTGACAAGCTCAAGCAGACTGCTTTTATTGGGGGTACTGTCTCGCAGATTGCATCCCTTGAAGACAGTGCTGACTCACTGGACGCCAAGCAATGAAGGGTAAGTGAATTGAAACTTTGTCTTCTCTCAATGTAGCGAGAAACGTGCGACTAACAATAACGGTTTACAGCACTGCCTAAGCGTCATCACTGATGGGCTTTGGTCCCAAAATGTGGAATGACGCCCTCTCAATCCCGAGACATAGCAGCACATCGAGTAGGCCAAATGTCATCACGGTCCGTTGCACATGACCGTCCATCGTGATGAGACCGAGCGCCTCATTAAGCTCAGGAAGCCACTGCATGGTAAGAACCAGCGTGGCCACTACGGATACGATGACGCCTCTCCACAGCTTCTTGAACTGCGTCAGGCTAAGCATGTACGGCTCTCCAGGATAGTTAACGACATTGATTGCTAGATCCTGGTACATGCCCAGAAGGAATACAACGGTATTAACAAGCGACGGCTGGAACTTGACATCAAACGGCACTGTTGTCTTCTCTGTGGAAAGCAGGTGGACCAACAAAGACATGATAAGGACGTGGACGAGGACCTGCAGCGCAAGACTCACAAGGGCATATGCGCTTATGATATTGTCTGGTGCTGGGATGCGGCTAATCCTTCTCAGAGGTTTTGATTTGTTGATGTTGAATAGAATAAACATTTGTGATACGCCACTGGCCATCAGCTGCTGCTCAGAGTACCGAACGCCGTCCAGTGTCAACACAGACATGGAATATGCCCCCACGATGCACTTCAGAGCTAAGGTCTTATAGGTCATAATAAGGGTGACAAGCGAACATCGCCCTTGACGAATAATGTCAAGGACGCCCCCAATGGTTCCAGACTTGGCTGTGAAAGGTGCTGCGATTGCTGCATCGCCAAGTTGTAAGCTTTTCCCTTCGTCCTCAATGTCGAAGGCCTGACTCCAGCCAGACATTATTCCATCGTTGGACATACCGAAGATCTTGTCCACAAGGGAGGTGGACCCACTTCTCGATACCCGCCGTACCTCTGACCAGTACTTATTTTGCTCCCAGATGAGATAGCGCATCTCGTCAGTAAGCTTTGTATTCTTCTCTGCAGAGCGCCTACGAGCCTCCGTGTAGATGAGCTGCTGGGACGCAGGAGTTCCCGAAGGGCCCAGTATAGATGGCTTGGGGATTTGAGCCACAGCTGCCTGAATTCGTTGTTGGCGAACTATGGCAGACTCCTTGGCAGACGCCTCGATCCGGTCTGCCTCTGCTTTTTTCTCTTTGTAGTCTGTTGCTTCCCAAAGTGCAACCCCAACGTCTGCTGAACGGAGCCCTTCAACATCATTCGATCCATCTCCGCAGAATAGGGTAGGAGCGGTTCCTTGCATGACACGAATGATGTCAGCTTTCTGTTCAGGGGTCATTCGAGCGAACACGTGGATGCGGGGAATAAACATGGGACCACACTTACTGTGTGCTAAGAGGGCAATAAAAGCGGAATTATTCGTTACAGCTAATGAGTACTGTCGTGCTATTGCTTTAACATTCTTCTCTGTTACTTCAAGCTCGCTAGGAAAGTCAAACTCAGTAGGTGCCGAGTGATGAGTCCTAATATTTAATCTTGTAAACAGGCAGGTTTGTGCGCATTCGTCGAACCTTTCAAGATTGTACAACGGACGGCTAGCTGGTAGTATCCCCGAACGGATGGACACTACTCCTACACTGATAACATTATCTCCTGAGATCACCGCGCAGCGGTGGCCAGATGCCTTGATGATCTCTATAGCCTCCCTAGTGTCTGGTTTTAGATTTGAATCTGTAACAATAAAGCCCAGGAAGGTGAGGCCGTCTTCTGCATTAGCTCGTGTCAGCGTTTCATCGGAAGATTCCAATTCTCTGTAGGCAAAAGAAAGGATCCGGTAGCCCTGTGCAGCCAGCTCGTTAAGACAATCATCATGCCAGTAGGGAACAGACTGTGGGGTGCACAGCTCCTTGATCACCTCTGGCGCACCCTTGGTTGCCACAATAGTTTTGGAGATGGCTTTGGAATTGCATGTTGCAGTTGCTACAACGCTCATTCGCTTCAGTCGGTTTGAGAGAGCAAAGCGTCTGGTTACGGTCACCTGCCACGGATGTGTCAATGCGAGAGAAACAACGCCGTCGGTCTGGATGCTATAAATCTTACCATCTGCATAGATTGCTTGTTCTAGTGGGTCACCAATAAGTTTATCATGATGAACGAAAAGACTCTGGGCCGAAGACAAGACAAGGTGGGACACCAGATCACCAGTAAAGCTCCTATTCTCAAGAGAGCGATTAGCCCTTTTTACAAGTTCAGCAGAAGAAATTATACGCTCTAAGTGGTTTGCTCTGTCGTCTTCAGAATTAGATATAAAGCCAACCACCTTCACCTCGCAATCGCAAAGTGTTCCTGTCTTATCAAAGCAACAAATACGAAGTTTTCCAGCATTCATGATCTTGAATGGCTCAGTGCAGTATATAAATAAGCGGCGGAGCTCTTGAAGTGAAGCGGAAACCGTCATGGAAACCTCCATAGGAAGCTCGGGGGGAATAACAGAGACAAAGACTATTAAACTCTCTAGAATAAGTCTGTTCAGGGGGCAAATCTGAGTCACATACCCTCTTACAAAGGTGTAGATGGAGGCGATACAAGCAATGACAAACATGATCACGAGGAACTGCACAGCATCCTTGGTAGTGGCACTTGTGCGCTCCGTGTCGAAAAGTATCTTCCTGATAAGCTGGCCCTGGCTCATTTCAAAGCCTGTACGCAAGACGACAGCCTCAACAGGCTCTGAGCTGACAGACACAAGTGTTGTTCCGGCATAGAGAATGTGTGACGCATCCCTGTCTTGATTGAATGGTATCTCTTTTGCATCATCCAAGGTTTTATTAAGAAGGAGATCACTCTCCCAGATGGAGTCTTTCATTTGCACAGCGCTTTCTCCCGTAAGCAGACTCTCATCCACCACAGCCACGTTCTTTGTAATTAGCAAGTCAGCCGGAATCTGGGTCGAAAACCCAATATTCTTTTCCCTTTGCATGATAGCATAGTTCTCGGTAGGATAGCTACCGCTGAGAAACATGCGCCCCATTCTAGACAGCAAGATATGGATAGAAGGAACACCGAGCTGCTTTAGCTGTGTATCTTGGGCACTTTTTCTCTGCTTTTCCGCTTGTGAAGACTGACGTTCCATTGCAGCCTGGAGATTGTCAACTGTGAAACGAACTAGGTCTCCGGGAACCAACGAAGTACTTGATGCGACAACCCACTCGCAATCACGGTGAACCTCGACCTGACAGGGGTTACTTATCATTTTCCTAGACTCCTTCATGCGATTGAACTTGGTAAGAATGTTTCCTCCCTCCATAAACAAAAGCATAACGGATGTGAAGAATGAATATACGGCAAAGTCGTCGAACAACCAGAGAATCGATGTAAAAAGTTGGAACATAAAAAATGGTGATAGAATGTGCTCGACGAAAAGATGCCCAAGCGTTAAGAGGGGAACTGCAAGTCTATTTTCTCCGTACAGAATTGTTGCCTGTGAATGCTCCGCCGATGACAAGCCTTTGTCCGCACTTCTGAGGAGTACTTCTAATGATGTCTGCTGGGACGAAAGGTCGTCCGACACAGAAATAAATTTATTTTCCTTATCAATCCAAACGTACTTTATTTGCTGGAAATAGAAGTACGACACATAACTGAAATCCTCTGGTGACGTGGCGACAGGACTCTTTCCGGTATGTTGTACTTCGTGATGCATAGTCAAAAAGCATGGCTGGCCAGATCCGCATCTGGGGGTAGCAAAGATAACTGAGGCGTCGCGGGGATTCTTGACTAGGGAAAACGACATAACAGCTCTGACCTCAACCACCCAGAATTCTATGAGAATGGTGATGATGTGGACAGCGATAGGTACTAGGAGAAGAAATAATACGACACGAAAGTGAATGCCAACATCGTGGTATAGCAGACCATTGAGTATGGTTGGAGAAAGCGGGGGCGGGGCAATTTTCATCTCCTCAAACAGATTCAATTTGCGGAGAGGATACTCCAGTGCTTTGCTCGCAGCTGGCAAAGAATTATAAAGCATTGCGGCCCTGGCACCGGAAAGAATAACAACTAGAAGGACAATAGCATAGAGCGCACAAGTTGTTACTTTTAACGGATTCCTTGACCACTTGCGGGGCGATAGAAGTCTAACATCAACCAATTCCTCTGAGTGGATGAGACCCATCGACCCTGCCTTTTTAATTCTTTGCCTGTGCGTGATTTACTGAAGCATCTATTACCAGAATCTACTACCAGAACCAAGAAGGATAGAGAAACTGTGCCGGCATATCAGGGGATGAATGCCTGGCGTGTAACTTGACCATCGTAGAAGCTTGATACAAGTGTGAGTAAGCTTTCAAGAGTCTGAGGATTGTACAGGTTATTACCAACGTCAGAAGATGACATAAGGGTCTTTATCTTTGCTTGGTAGATGAATAGCTGTGCTTGCAGCTTCTCTACTATGCTACGCATTAGTAAAGATTCGCCAGACGCTGAGAAGAGGGTATTTTGACTGCCTGAAATAGAATCTTGATAGTGCTTCATTATCTTAAGTGATGTGCGAGTGCAAGCATTGCAGTGTGCAACGAACTGCCGCATTCGTTCCTCAATGGCCCCTCTGTCAATAAGAGTGGACACTTCGCGACAGCTCCGACAGAGACGTTTAGTGATCTTCGGTACATTGCAAGATAAAAGCTCTATCTTAGCTTGGTGTGAGATGGGAAGCTGTTTAGACTGTGAGGTTGGAGCCGAGAGAATGTCTGGGAGTGAATACTTGACCTCACTGCTCATCTGTGCGGACCAATCCACAATCGCCTGGGACATTGAAGCCAGAGATTTGAGCAGATCTGCAAAGCCATAACAATCATAACCTTTAGGGTTATCAGGTAGTGGAGCGGCAGCTACAACAACTTTAGCTGGCAAGGATCCATCTTGATCTAGTAAGTTGCCAGCGCAAAGCCTCTCTCCTTGCAGAGCCATAGAGACGTTGTAGATTTCTAATTCTGGCTGCGAAAAGAGGCACTGACCCTGGAGGATCAGTTTTGCGCAACAGAGCTTGTCGGGTGACTGAAAAGAAATATGCGCCGAGTCTCCCCCTCCTGCAATAGAGAAAGGAAAGTCCTTAACTGGGAGGATGCTAAGAAGCACGCCTACAAAGTTGTGGCTATCGGGCATATCTTGCGTGAAAATTGGGAGATCTCAGAGAAAATTCGTTTTTACATGGCTTTTCTCCCTTTGTCCTTAGCCATACGGGAGACGATAGAATCCAAAGTACAGGCAATGGTATCTGACAGCCACTTAATTGGTCCCCAAACTAGAAGGGTGTAGAGGGCTCCTAGAGGCAGGCCAACGGCAACCTGCGCAATCGTGTGCTCTCTCGAGTAGATACGCTCGGCTGCAACCAACGGAGTTGTAAAGCATGCCGCGTAGGCATAGAGTCTTAGAGCAGCTAGTTTAGTTGTGCTCGCCGATAGGCTCCTACTGCACTGTGAATGTGCAGCGAGAAAAAGAGCCGCACTCAATCCTGCTGCCCAGAAGGCATGTGCAGACGGCATTCCAGGATCTGGAGAGCAGGGCCGTGGCTGATGTAGCAAGTGCTTTAACGCATATGAAACGGCAGGGTTCGTTAACATCACACACCCAACAGCAAGGAGGGTTTTATCGAACTTTGCTTTTTGCAGAGAGCAGCAGAGCCAAGCACAAAAGATCCAGAGACCAGTATACATGGGATATAATTGTGAAGCCAGGTGGAAGAGCATGTGCCCGTCAGAAGAGAGGATCATGGGATTTTATGATCAGAAAACGTGGCACAAGGGGCCGTTCCCAAAGAATATGTTAGCTGTCAAAGTGGGATAAGGTAGAACTACACCCATCATTCGCCAACTCCCAGAGAGACTGTGATCTGGTGGTAGGTCGACTGATGCTTGCTCTATCCAGTAACTAATTGCAGCAACGTCGTCACTCGGGGGCCTCAGTTTCTAAGAGACGTCGAAACAGATTCCCAACGATGTATATCTATGCCCACTCCTTCTTATTTTCTTCTTTAGAGAGGATTGTTATTCGACGGGTCTTTTGCTGTTGCTGTAGAGCCTACAAAGCTGCCAGAGATAGCCAGCAAGAACGTGCTGGGCCAGCTAGTTCCAGTAGCCTGACACTCGAACTGCCATGAACTCACAGTTTACAGTATTAACCTTTACCCCGTCTGGCAGGGCGCTTCCACTCCTCTGAAGACGGGTCGACACCCATGAGCTTCAGCTGCTTCTCGCGGGCTACGTCCTGGCTAGCATAGGACGGGGTGTCCAGGATGGGAACCACCCCATTGATATTCAGAACCATTGCCTTGGGATACTTCCGTATTTTAGAAATTAGCTCCCAGTCACGTGTTGCAACTACAAAGAACTGCTGCTTGGGAAGGTTGGGGGTCACCACCAGGTTGAGAATGCTCTCTGCAGGAGTCTCTCCCGTTGGAGATAGGGTCTTCAGAGATGCAGCCAGCTTGAGTGCATCCTCCATTTCGAGCTTCTTGAGCTCTTCAACCACCTGTGCCGTCGTGTAAAAGACAACCGGCTGCCTCATAAATACTCGGTCAACGATTTCTTGCAGGGGCTGATGAATATGAGCCACATGGTTGAGAAATGTGCCATCGAACAGTATATGGTACGGTGGGGTGAGGCGGAAGTTAATGGAAAAGAATTTGAGGGTTTTTTTGGTCTTCTTAAGACGCTTTACCTTCATTTATTTCAATCTAATTTTTATGTTTAGTGATAGAAGAGTATTAGCCCACTGGTGTCCGCACTAAACACACTGTGTCCAGAGCTCTTGATAGCAACAACAGGCCCCTGGTGGGCTACTAGTCCTGAGGGCTGGTTGCTGAAAAACACACCGAACTTTTTGTGGTTATTAGTAACAGTATCAGTCGATGCCAAATCAATGTTAGAAGTTATACGATACTTGTTTGGAGAGGAGAGCATTTTACATGATATGATTTCCTTTTCACACTCATTGACCATAAGAACTGCCCCGTTCGACAATCCAAGGATGCAAGAGTTCTCGTGACTAGTAATGGCTGAAAATGCTGGCTTTTCCTGTTGCTTTGTGCGATTCTTAGTGTGGCCACTCATGCGGACATCAAGCCCACCGACGAATTGAAGGACAGGATTCTCCAGTTTGCTGTCAAATTCGTAGATAACCACATGGGAGCCGTATGCTACAATAAATAACGTACTAGTAATAGCATAGTATCTGCGCACAGAAGGTTTTGCGGTGGACTCGGTAATGGCTTCTGCGCTCTCTTCAGCTTCGTGTGTAAATGAATGCGTGGGGCTCAGTAGGCCATTGAAGCCTAAAATCGCCGAATACCTATGAACATTGTAGCGTTGCTTCTCAGCCAATACCCAGAGATCGAGAAGGTTGCCCGCCCTGAACTCAAGGAGAATGAGCCAGCCCATAGATGTTAGAACGGCAATGCTGCCAGAGGCTGACTCGCACGCATATTGGATCTCCCCGAACTCCTTAGGCAATGTGTACATGCGATTCCCAGAAGTACCATCATAAAGAGCAGTGCAGGTTACCACTGTAGTAGAGAGGATAGCGACGATTTCTGACAAGAGGTAGCAATTGTAATACGTTAGGATCCTGTGCGGCATCACGGAATAAACCTGGCTTTCAGCAGATTTGAGGTTCAAAGGAAACTGGTTCTTGTATCTGAGCCTAGTCAGTAGAAGCTCCACACCATTAGCGTGGTCTAGGGAAGCAGAGAGGGTTGAGTGCATGTACAGGTGTGTGACTTTAGGTGCCGAAGACTTCTCAGTGACAGAGTCATTGTGGTATGCCTTAAGAAACGTGCAGATCTGATCTGCAGTCAGGTATGGCAATAGGTACTGGATTGTGTTCTCAGTAAGCGCACCGTTAAGCTGTGTTTTGTGTAGCATCCCAAAGTCCACTAACTCCACACTTTTACCGGAGCCGCTAATGGACAATGAAAAGACAGCGTCATTCATGCTAAAGGTGACACCCCCAGCCCTATTAGCATTGCAGTTGCTGTCGGTCACCAAAATGGCCTCTGTATATTGCTGGATAAGCATGTCAGGATCAACTAAGAGCTTAACCACGCAACTATCGGTAACAATATTGAGTGCTAGGAATTCGTGGCGCACACTTTTCTTCTCTGTCGCTTTTCCGCCCCCAAGTATGGGTATGCCACAAGGATCCACAAAGATATGTAAGATGGAAACACCAGGTATGTGGAATGTTGCTAGAGGAAGAGTTAGTACCCCAGTACTTAGATACTCCATAATGCTTTCTAATGACTCCAGAGCAGGGCTAGACGTTAGAACGGGGGCCGTGATCTTCTGGTGCTTAGGTTCATTCTGCAGTTGAGGAAGTCCTTGAGGAAGCCCTGCCAATACTGAGTAGTGGTCAGCATGGGCTTCTGGCGAGCTCTCCATAGATATCTTTACTGTCCTTGAGAGGAGAAGAATCCTTTGCGCCAAGAATTTGATCGCCTCGTCCACTGGATTGAGATAGAAGTGAATGTAGTTTTTAGCATCTAAGATGATAAACATATTTCCAATCGCCGAGTAGGTAAAGGATTTGAGGCTTGCGTAGTTATATGAAACCCTTGTTTGAACGCACCCGGGGAGGGTCATGTTCTTTGATGTCATGGAGACGTGGTCATTTGCGACAAAGTCATATGCAAGCTTGCTTTGTATCGTTCCAATGCGCTCTAGAGGTCCCTGGATATCGTTCAGACTAACCGAATTCGCGGGTAGTAAGGCTCTGTACGGAGTTTTGTTCACATGATGGGTTATGGACGCGTTGATGATTAGGTCCGAAGCAGCCCTTATCAGGTTTGAGTAATGCGTGTACAGCGGATTGTTTGACTGCATGCCTTGAATGGTCTTGCTGTTCATGATCAGGTCGCCTCTGGGATTCGCCCTCATAGAGATGAAATCCAAAGCTACCTGGGTTTCTGCTACGATATATTTTACAAGCTCGTGCCTGGAATATGCCAGAGGATTTTGATATGTGATTATGACAGATGTATTCTTCAGATCATGCTGGAGGCCTGGAATGGTAATAAACTCCCTACCAATTTCTGTTGGTTTGTCAGAAAGCATATCCTCAACCTTAAACTGCTTGCAGACATGCTGGATAAGGCTGTTGCTAGTAGGAAGGGAGTGGGTCCCCGGACTAATGATCAGCAGGTTATTCAGAAGAGTATTAAGTAGTTTGGGAAGTGCTGACGGTGGCAAAGATGACTCGCGAAGAAACGGCAGCCACCTCCTGGCGAGAACGACAGACTGCATGTTTAGGGACTTGCAAAGGTATCCAGAAAGGATCCCTGGACGGAGCATATTTCGTATGGAGGCGCTTGCGTCAGTAATCAGGAATGGCTTGCAGGCCGAAAGAAGCGAGCTAAAGAGCGTCGAATGCAAAACACTTTCATCTGGAAGCGTACTAATTTCCGGAATAAGGCTATACGTAGAGTATTGCACAGACGTGTCTTCTATGCTCGCTTCCTGGTCCTTTCCGAAAAGTATTTCCTTCATGCGGTCCTTTGCATCTCCCACGGGACCATAAAACAGCTCCACAACATGTCGGGCTCGCTCACCGTCTTTTAGCAGAACTTGGTACTCATTAGAAACAATCAGATGGCGGGAACCACTGCTGCCATGTCCTGCATACACAAGCTCTTCCGCGACTCTACTGACAGAGGCGTCTGTCCAGATACTAACGTCGTTTAGCGAAGTCAGCGAGCGGAAATCCATTCGCTGCGATGCCGAAAAGTTAGCCCTGCTCAGCTCCTTGCTTGAATGCAGAATATCGTCTTGCGTGCGTGCATGCATGCCGCTGAAACTGGGATTGGCATCGGGCGCTGTAGGCATGTCTTTGACCAGCAGATAGAGCGGAAGATTTTCTTCATGTTTTTCTTGCAAGTTGTCCGTATTGATGCTTGTGCTTATTGCTATTTGTTGTACAAAAGTGGTCAGGTTCTCAATTATGGTGCTAGCGGCATGAACTATCTCTTGAAGCATGAAAAGGTAGCGCTGGGGATTGGTAAGATCGTCGATGGTCAAAAAGGTCAACCGTTCTATGAGCGCGTAATTTTCCTGAATCTTGCGTAGGACCTCATGCTGGATGTCGTAGTCAGGATCATGGTGGGTAGAAACGTCATCACTGAAGCTAGAGTACTTGTGCAGGTCTGGATAAAACAAGTGGAGATTCTCTACTATCTGGGGAGCGACGGGGGATAGCTTTGGCAAGATAATATGCATGACCTGATGCCTACGATCGTTTACGCTCTGCTTTACGTGACGCTTGATGAGAACACCTGCATATTGAGATGAATCCTGCGTGGAAAGGTCAAACGATCGTACAGTAAGAGTCAGTATCTTCATGAGCGCCCCTGCAAGGCGAATATTAACGTATTGATTAAGGTTATCATTCAAGAAGAACGAGAATAGAAGTGCGTCCTGAGAATCCTTCTTCTCTATGACTGTCTTTATTGCATTCAGCAAAAGCCAGATGTTCTGATTATTAGGGCTCCACAGGGAACGTCCCAAATCATCTGACAACTGAACCGAAGGGATGTAGACGGATTTGCAGAATAAGTAGATGCACGTGGATTGCAGGTCCAATGGGAGGATAGAGATCGACTTCAGTATGGCTGCAAAGATGGTGCCGGCCGCCTTATCATCGCGAAGAGGGTGGTAGTTGTTAAGGAAAATGCGTACATAGAAGAATATGTCCTTGCCCGAGTGTGCCCCGCGTGCCCCTTGAAATGTAGTCTTTAGAGATGTTATATGCTTGCACGATGGTTCAAGCTGATCCAGACAGCCTCCAAAGATGGACGCAATCGCGTCACCGAGGCAGAAGTGGGTGATTTTTCTTAAGTCTGTTCTTCCCAAAAAGTCCAAGTAAAGAGGAAGAATTCCAGGCAAAAGCGAAGATATTAGTACAATGTTGTCGGAAAGAAGCCTTATTGAGCTAAGGATGATCGGTGTGATTGAAGTAGAACGCAAGATGTTATACAAAAGGGAGGTCTTATTTCGCAACAGAATGGCGTTTATAATGACCTTCAGAGCAGGATCTCCGCCGCTGAGTCGGGCAACGCTGGCAAGAAGAAGTGGGAACAGCTGGATCACATAGGAGTGGTTGATTAAATATGGGTAGGTTGTGCTAGATGAGCCGGCTGTGTAGAGGAAAATATTAGCTAAGCTTTCAAACGCTTTCTCATCCAAAGACTCCACATCTAGTAGCTGGTGCCTAGCAATCTCTACCCCCTCTAGAAATCTGTCGTGCTGGTTCTTGGGAAGAAAGACTTCGCCCATGACCAACAGAGGAATATAGTGTATGTCCTGGTATGCAGTCGTAAGAAGATTGAGGAGGTACGCTACGCCGCCAAGCGTTACCGCCGTGGGTCGCAGACGAAAGACTCTATATGCCATGCGGATAAGGTGGGACACGTACGAGTCATCCATGAAAAGAGCATAGCTGCAGACAGTGAGGATACCCTTCTTATATGTATCACTGATGGAAAATGCATCTAGTTGAATCAGCCTCATGATGGAGTAGGCTATGTGGTACATCGCCGCTTGCAGCGTATCCGAGGCCAGAATTCGCCGAAATGGACCAAAGACGTTACAGTTCCAACTAACTTCGCTAGTTCTTCCTTCCTTCAGTATTCGATGAACGCAGTCGCAGGTAGCAAGAGACCTTAAGACGGTTCCATCTAACTGCTCAATGATCTTGAATGGTATCTCCATGTTTGTCGTGCACAGGTACGGCATCTCTATAGGTTTCTTGGCCTGATGCTTTTTATCCTGTGGAAGGTCGAATCTGGTAATATTTGCGCTGCTCTGAGCCCCTAAGTTTATCGTCGAGGAGGCCCTAGCCATTGTGGACGCCTTTTTGCTTGCATGCTGATCGTCGGGCTGTTGCTGCTGTTGCTCAAACTGAAACCTATGATGAATATCACAAAAGTAACACTTTGTAAGAGCTGCCTTTTGCGATGAGGAGCTATTGAGATACATGTCACATATGCCATCAAAGAGCGTTGCTCCCACGTGCACAACATCGTCCAGGTTTAGGGGGTTAAAGAACTTTAGGAAACAAAGGATAATGTCAGATGCAAAGAGCTCCTCCGGTGTAAAGATGCTTCTGATCTGAAGGGTAGAGAGGTCGATGCGCTGAGAAGGAATGGGGTTGATCATAGCGTGGACCAGCCCGCGGAGCTCCTCGTGAGTGATGTGATCAAGCAAAGATAAGACATAATTAATGATGTTCCCTGTTTTTGCGTCGCGATACTCAAACAGGGTTGGCAGATCGAAAGGTTTGATGGAGGTCCAGAGCTCCAGGAGCGCAGATCCCAGAGAGAAGACATCCGCTTCCATGGTTGGCAGAAGGAGAGTATCTAGCTCCTCGTCTGCCTGGACAATACGTTCTGGGGCAATCGTATCTGTGAAGTAGTAACTAAGAGCAACGGGATTGCTCATCGACACCTGATAGGGCTTAAAGGGTGCAAAGTCTGTAAGCATGAGGCTATGGGTATGCGTGACAAGAAAATTAGAGAGTTTGATGTCGCCGTGGACGAGGCCGGCCTCGTGCATTTCTTTCACTGCAAGTATCATCTGTATGGAGTACAAAACTTTGTGGCCCCTAGTGAGCCATGGATTTTGTAAAATGAATTCGGGAAGACTTTGATACAACATGGGGCGAATCAGAAAGCCGTGCGTCTTGGACTCATACTCGCCCATGTAGGGAAGAACATGGGGGCAGCAGCGATTGATCTTCTCCCTATAGTGAGATAGCATAAATTTAAAGATAGAGAGATCGATGTCTTCCAATTTGACGAAGACCTTCAGAATAAAGTCTTGCTTGGTCTGCGGGTTTTCGGCATGATAGCTTTTCAGAAAACGGCTCGTATTCAGTGCTTCAAAAGAAGTCACCTTAACATTCCACGGAATCATGTATTTCTTGGAGAAAATGCCTGGAGACATGAGGGTAGAAAGTCTATTACCCATTTAATTTTTTGGTTTTTTGAAATGGGACCTCGTTCTAAACATTCAACATACAGACAGACCAGAACCTAGGAGAAGTATCGAGGCCTGAGAGGCACCCACGGCTACTTAGGATGTTAGCTGTTGTAGATTTAAGCCAACACTGCGATCGCATTCTGCAAAGCATTGTTGAAAAGCTTTTTAGAAGGTGCTGTGGAGCGTTGTGTATTCATGCTGAAAACAAATTTCAAAAATAAATACTAAAAAGGCAGGAAGGACTAGATGTCGCTTGGAAGTTCTTCCATGATGAAGGTCGGGACCAGCAGCTACTCCGGGCTTGAAGAGGCTGTGTTCAAAAACATAGAGGCGTGCATGCAGCTTGTACGCATCACACGGACATCCATGGGACCCAATGGACTCTCCAAGATGATATTGAATCACTCAGAGAAATTGGTCATCACCAAGAATGCCAGCGCAATCGCAACAGAGATAGAAGTCAACCATCCGGCTGCAAAGATGCTTGTGATGGCGGCACAGAATCAGGCATTGGAATACGGCGACGGAACAAATCTGGTGGTCACCTTCGCTGGAGAGCTCCTTGAGCGTGCAAAGGACCTTTTGGAGCAGGGGCTGGTGGTCACAGACATTATTGCAGGATATGAACGCGCCCTCAGGCACATTCTCAATCAGCTGGACGGCAACAGCTCAAGCACGCTTATCTACCGACCGTTCGGGGATTTACACGATAAGAAGCAGCTAGCGCTTGCCATAAAGCCTGCCCTGGCGTCCAAGCAAAGCGGCTATGAAGACTTCCTCTCAGGACTCGTTGCAGAGGCTTGTGTTCAGGTCATTCCCGAAGACTCACGTCTTTTCAACCCAGAGAGCATACGCATCGCAAAGGTCCCGGGCAGGTCAATCACGGATTCTTTCGTGGTCCGCGGCTTCGTAATTCCCACACTTCCTCGGGGTGCAGTGCAGCGAATGCAGAACTGCAGGATCGCTGTCTATGGATGCGCCATTGAGTTGGATAGGACTGAGACCAAAGGAACGGTTTTATTACAGAGCGCAGAAGAGCTGCTGGATCTTTCTGCCTCGGAAGAGAAGGCGATGGACGCTAAAATTAAAGAGTTCTCTGACAGTGGCATCAACGTTATTGTGTCTCAGATGAGCTTCCACGATCTGGCATTGCACTTCTGCGATAAGTACAATATACTTGCGGTGAAGATTGGATCCAAGTTTGAAGTGCGACGCTTTGCCAAGAGTGTAGGTGCAGCCCTAAATATGACGTTCCGTGTTCCCGAACAAGAGAAGCTGGGCGCTTGCAGTGAAATGACGATAGAAGAGATAGGAGATAAGCAGGTCATTGTGGCCAGGGACGATGGCAGCGCCAATGTTGCCAGTGATGGCGGAGTGGCGGAAGATCCTGGAGTCAGTTGCAGAGACATCACGACGATAGTCTTGCGTGCAGCAACTCAGAGCGTCCTAAACGATGTCTCTATCGCCATCGGCAACGCAGTCAATGTGGTCAAGGCTGCATGTAGTGACGACCGGTTCTTGCCTGGGGCAGGGGCAGCAGAGATGGCGCTGGCTACGCAGCTTCATGATCTCGCTTCCAAAGAGCCAGGCTTGCAGCAATATTCCATGCATGCCTACGCTGAAGCCTTAGAAGTTGTTCCGAGGCTTTTGGCGGAGACTGCAGGATTGCCTGCGGATGAGGTAATGACGGAGATGCAGTCCAGGCACGTCCAAGGAGTCGACTACACGGGCGTCAACATAGATGGGGCCGATGAGAGCGGCGAGTGGACACTCAACACTAGCGCTGCACAGATCTACGATAGCCTCGCTATAAAGGCATGGGCCATGCGCATGGCAACAGACACCGCCTGCAATGTCCTTCGCGTCGACGTGATTGTGATGCGCAAGCAGGCTGGTGGTCCGAAGCCCCAGGTCCCTGGGCAGACAGAGTGGAACTGACTATGGCTACAAGTAAACGTGCTAGCCATCTCTTTCTGATCTCGATTTTTGGTCTAGAGCAGTACGTGGTCAGGGCTTCCGGAGAATTGCGACGATATAAGGAACACGAGGCGCAGGCTGTTGTTCTGCGCCGGCAAGGGAATGTGAAGTGGATATGGACACAGGAGTCCATGTCAGTCCGGGTCCTTGTAAGACCATGGAAAGTTGCTCCGAGGATAGAGTACTAACACAAATCAAGACACCATTATGGCAGAGCACACGGTGGGCCTCGTGAACGGCTTCTATAGCGCTGCAAATATCTAGCTGTAAGGTAGTCATAGAAAACACATTCTTAAAGAGAATGCAGCCAAACGTTTCATTCGGAAGGGGTAAGCTGCGGATATCCTCTGCCCTCCAGTCAATTGACTCTATTGTCTTGGTCTTCTCGGCCATCTTGCTAACTACGGCATAATCGATGTCGATGCCCGTCAACAGGTGATATCCTTGACCATATAGCGAAAGAAGTACGCCGCTATACCCGCAGCCAAAATCTGCAATTTCGGTGCGCTGATCTGGGACATACTCCCTGATAATGCTGCTTAGCTCATTATAACCACAGAGGTCGTCCTCGGGAAAGCTTCCGGTCAAACACGGCAGCATTCAATGAAATAATTTAGATGGTTTATCAGAGAACTTTATCAGAGCGCTCAGTATTGCTTCCCTATAAAGGAGGGTCGCTACGTCTGTCGAACATATGAGGGATTATGCTGCTGTAACAAAGGTGGTCATAAAGCGCAGCCTCGCTGAGCATAGTCTCGGAAAAATCATGTGGATCAATTGGGGTAACGAAGTACAGCCGATTCTCAAACTCTTTGACAATCCCGTTATGAGGCGAATGATAGTATGCATCACTATAGACGTCTGACGCATCAAGGACTTTGGTCAAAGAACTCAGGCTTGTTTCTCCGATGATAGAGCTGGCGCTGTAGATTGGTTTTGGCATACAAAAGCCGTAACGCCTGTAGCCACTGGTTGGCTGAATCAGATAGACATTTCCAGATAGTATTAGTGAGTTGCTCATCATCAAAGTACGACTGATGCTGTTGGCGGATTCAAGAGTCTCAATGTTTCCCTTATACGTTGCGGCTCTGCGTGCCCGCACACGCAGCGAGTGGTCACCTAGTCTAGGGACAATGTCCATATCGTATATGAACATGGTAAGCCAGTCCTTTGTCCAATCGCTGAAGGCAGCATTTGAGATAGGCGGGCACCCATATCCGATGCACTGTATGTTCCTTGTCGTCCAACGATCAGGGTGTTTCAAGAGCAGAAGGGCTCCGAGCAGAACAGTCACTGCGCTACCCAAAGAGTGTCCGGAAAGCAGTAGCGAGAAGCCAGCAGTATCGGTCTCAGGGCTTTGCTTGGCAGCTCTGCTGGAGGCCAGTTCTGAATCGATCCAAGCATGGAGACACGGGACAATAGAATTATACATCCAGATGGTGGCTTGCAGGACACCGCGGTGTACATAGAAGTTCGGTGCCGAAGTAAGCTCCGGGAAGCAGTTGGACAGCGGCTCACTGGAGGCGTCTATGTCAGTAAAGCCGTCAAGGAGAGACAGAGTCCCCCGTGCAATTATCACGAGTCTTTGCACCCCTGGCTGTCGCATTACGACCCAACAGGGCTGGTACATATCTTTGTTCTTGAGATTGAAGAATAAGACATCGTCCAGAGATCCCTTCACAATTGCTACCATGTCTGCAAGAATCTTGCGTTCTGCATTAGTGACTGAACATGAAAACTGTCTTATCAAATTAGGACAATACGAATAGAACCAGGCCCAGAAGCGAGATAGAAAGTACCTGCTGTCGTGCAGAAAGTGGCACATCTCCTTTCCATAGATCGATGTTGATAGACGTATCGTAAGTAAAATGTCTTTGAAGTCCACCTCTGGTATTTCTGTTAAAAGGCCAGCAACGAGAGGAAATAGTTTGCGTGAAGAAAGATTGCTGTAGCGGATTGCAGACAGCTTCAAGGGAGACCCCTGGCTATAAAGCGCATTGATAATCTGCTTGAGAGATGTAACAAGAAATTGCATTATATTACTTTATGATAGTTACTGTGGCAAGGGAGTAACGCTCGTGGTCGACAGAGCACAGCTGACCGGGCGAACTGAAGAAATAATCTATTAAAACTTATTTTTCTCCGCGCCATAAAATTTCTCTATGGGGATTTCTTCTCACATTGTCTTCCTCATATCTCTCCTTGCAGGCGCATTTTCCCAAGCATACAATGCTACTATCGCCATGGCTATAGAAGACAAAAACGATCTTTGTGTTATTTTATTTGATGGCGATCGAGTCACACCAAAACAATGGGACGAGATGCTTCGCATTGGTGACGAAGTGGACAGATTGTACCTCGTAGATAGGCAGGTTCACGGCAATGAAGACATCTTCATGGGAGAGGAGCACTTTGAGCCGATCTTCTTCATTTTCTTCCGGGAAGAAGGCCGGGCAGAACGTATGCCCTATTCGTTTAGCTACTTCAATGCCCTGAACTTCTACTATAGTAATTTCAACATGGGGTATTCATCAATGGTGCGCAATGTTACCAACGTTGATCAAATCCCAGAGATCTATGCACGAATGCAAAAGAAAATGCTTCCAGCAGTCCGTGCTTCACGTAGGAAGCTCGCTGCAGGTGTTTCGGTCCCACCTACTGACCCTACATTTCACCCGCCCGTCCTACTCTTATTAGATTCTAGTGATCCGCAAGTGGAGTCACGCACTGCAGAGATATGGTACTTTTACAAGCAAGCAGCCACCACAAACTCAAACCGGGCGACATATCTGGTCTATGACTGCTATGACCCCTCTTCAGAGTCTCGGCTCCAGCCATGGTGCAATCAGATGGGCATAAAGGCGTACCCCAGTCTCTTCATGTTCTATCAGAACACCTGGTACCCGTATGTTGGTGCATTCACCGGCACCTATTTAGAGGCGTGGATGACTGAGATCTGCACTACCATGTTCGAGGATGTTGATGACTAGCGTAGCCACAGGCTTATTAAGGTGTTTCATAACTGCGCGAGTGGAATGCTGAATCCAACGGGCACGAGGGGAGCTAGAGGTGAAGGAGCTAGAAGTGAAGGGGGTGAAAGTAAATAACAAAATCATTGTTCTATATGCGCAGATCCTGGGTCCTGGACTGCCTTCAGCCGCACATAGGCACCACAGACAAGGCCCCGGACCGGCCAGATGATCAGCCACCCCAGCCAGGGGATGCTAACGCGCTTGTTTATTTAGGATCCACTTTGGATGAAAACGCCCTCTACTTTACCCACGGGCCATGCACATTCTATGCAAAGATACGAGACATCCAATATCGACACGGAAGGGCAACAGCGCTTGTTTATCTCTCCCCCACCTTGGCGATAACAACGTCTGTGCCCCTTCACCAGGTGCGAGCGATCTATGATTCCGAGCTCTATGACCAATTGCTTTATCAAATCTCACAAGCTAATGATAATTCTGAAAATACCAAGACACATGGACAGGACGCGATTAAGGCAGCTCCGACCATCTTGACGGACGAGCGTGACAGAATTGCCTCTTTTGCTACTCTGTATCTAGCACCGACAGCCCTAAGTACAATCGTTCCGTCCAGTTACAAACCTTTTAAACTTACGAAACGCATGTTTGCAAGCATCATGCAACACCTACCGAGAATGTTGCCTGACCGAGAACACGTTCTTGAGGATATCAAGATTAATTACCAAACGGCCCAGATGGTATATGCCAATCGATATTTCTACTTTCCTAGTAACCCTATGTACGATCTTACTCTTATGGATAAAATCGTTTCTAAAGAAAGATTCAGAGCAGATAGCATCCAAGAGCAGGCTTTCGAGCTACGCAGAAAGCGGTTTAAACTGTTGCAAACATACCTCTCCCATGAGCTTCGGTTTCTGCCTACCTACACAATGAGTCTGTTTCTTCTAACATCGTTGGCCAACTTGCATGCAGATCTATTTCACCAGCAGCAGCCTGTTCCATCCACAGAACTCCTATCTAGATTTTCGCTATGTTTGTCCTGCTTTCAGCAGTTCCTTGTTGATATCGCAGACGCCGAGGAGCGAACAAAGCATTTAAAGATCAGAATAGACAAACTAGAGGACTATCATAAGAATATGTGCGCAGCTGTAAGCCTTCTCTCTGGAGAGCCCTATATTTCTACCGTTGAGCTTTTCGTGCGTGCATTACTTCCATTTGGACTCTTCCTGTTTTGTGTGCATGTAACGCTTCGGCTTAGGACATATACTTCTTCTAGAATAATGCAACTCTTAAGAGCTGAACAGCGCCTTGCTGAGGAGGATCCTGATAACGTACTTTCCTGCTCAGCAACTGAGCTGATTCCAGTTGATAAGGAATTGTCTGATACTGATACTGACACTGACACATCCGAGAGCTCTCTGTCTGCTGCTGTTACATCAGTTGGGACTGGACACCCTGTTCCAGATTTCAGTAGGGCATCGTTTTCACTCAAGTCTAAAAGGCGAGAAGAAAGCTTCGCTACCACTCAACGTTTGCACTCATCTAACGCTCTCATGGGGGCGTCCAGTCAAGCTCTTGTTGAGATGTTGGGAGTTGGCGGAGACTTTTCTCCCGAGCGGATCTCCAAGCTCGTCGATCTGGCACAGGAGCGCGATAAGCACGAGTTACTAGAGGCGATTCACTACGCTCTCTTGGGAGCAAGACGAATCACGGTTGCTCCACTCAATACCCCAGAGGTCTATGCATCTATAACAAGATACCAACAACCGACTTTAGAGGATCAGAGGCTTCCATCCACTGAGCAGCCCAGCAAGGCTTCGTTCGAGGTCTCCACGATGCCATCAAAGCCTGCTATCTTGGGCACAAGCATAAGAACATCTATCCCAACTACAGTTCCCACTCGTAAAGCTACAACAATGGTTTTCAAAGACCCTCAAACATCCCACAGCCTATCTGCCATATACACAATTGCCATCCTAGTGTATTCACAGACATTGACACGCCTATTAGACGTTCATGGCTGCACAGATTATTACCTTAATCTAGTTGAACTATCTAAGAAGCTCTCTTTCAATCCTGATCTCTTATTCAACAGATCCCCGGACTTTATGCAATACTTTTCGTTTGAGCCGCGTCTCCGCATTACGCGGCCGATGCGATTGTCCCTTTTGTACAACCTGGCTTCGCAGAGTGTACTTTTCGACTCCTCTATCCAGACTATCAGGGCACACTTTCAACCAGTCGAGTATATGCGCCTTCTCCTCTCTTTTTTTTGTCCATACCTATTCTATGATAGCACAACTAAGAAAGATCTTCAGATAGCAGACTTTTGCTCTCACCAGTTGCAGGAGAAACGCCTGCTTAAGACGCTGGAAAAACTAGCGAACAAGACCTATGAATTCGTCCAGGATTTCCCATCTCTAGGCTCACCCCTGTCAGTGTTATCGCAAGGCTCCAACAATCAAGCTTCAAGTGACACTTCGGGCCAGACAAATGACACCACAGACACCGAGGTAATAAGGATTGTAACGGCATCACTAAGTGATGAGGCTCTAGCATTCTATACTAGCAACCGCTGTGTCTTTCTTACAGACACGGAAGACATGCGGCGCGTGCTCGCCACACCATTGGCTCGCTTCCTTATTTCACCTTTAGAGCACGTTGTGACTCATTTCACCGGAATAACCAATCAAATATCAACGCTCTCTTCTGAGTTCCTCAACTTTATGTCTTCGAATGCATCTGTCAAGCTTTTAGAGGCTCTGAAACCTCATACGCCAGAGGAGAAACTTGGGCTAAAGGATATTCAGCAATTTATTATCTTTCAGGAAACAGATTCTATCACACCTCCAGATATGCGGTGTCTGGGAGATTTTATCAGTAAGTTAGACCAGATCCAGGCAGCTCTTCTGTCCATGCAGCCAAGCCAGTCAGAGCACGAGACCATGCAGTTACCTTCTGTTGTAGTAGATCCCCAGCCTTGCACTGACCTCACTGGGAGAAGTCAGAAACCTATAGAGTCACAATCACTGGAGCTAGGAGACACCATGCCTCTGAAGGACTTTGCACAACAGAGCAGAAGACAACCTTTTGAAACTGCGATTCACTTTGGTCCAGCAAGCATAGCCGTCTCTATTATCCGGGATCAATTTCTCCAGCTTGTCGATGAGACGAAAAACACAATCAGATCCCGGTCAATCTCTGTCCTTCTCAACTTCATTAACTATGTCTCCTCAGAAATACATGCACTGCACACGCTCTTCTTTTCGTTCATGCTAGACCCAGAGCTGCTGAGAGACATTGACAAGGTTAAGGAGTATCTATCCATGAGCAGGCTGAAATCTGCATTTGCACGCGTCTTTGACTATATACACACCATAGTTACGCAGTGCAGCTCGTGCTTGTCTATCTCTATCCTTGACAGTGTCTCAAGCCTTGTGGAGCGTATATTCCGGGACTTCCGTGCGATGTCTGCACTTGCCAACGAGTCCCCTCCCTATCGTGAAGGTAAGGCAGCACTGGGTGTCCTAAATGATCAAGCTATGCAGCTCACACAGGTCTTTGCAGCATACTATGTCAGTCCATCTAATAGACAGGAGCAGCCAATCTATGGACCCGATAACATGCCACCATTCTACTTGCGTCCCCAGACTGATACCGTTATCGGCACTAGAGAAACCAACTACGCGCCTGTTTGCAAGCAACGAGAGATTAAGTATGATACTTCAAAGGTGGTTGAGTTTCTCCTGGTATGCAATGAAACAGACCCTTCTCTTGGAGACACTATCCTTTCTTTTAATTTCTTTTCTTCGGTGATTCTTCTATTGGACATCATCTCCATGACTCAATCCACGTCTAGTGACCTTGTGCACAGAGCGTTTATTTATAGTCGCTTCATTCGCTCAACTGAACAGCACCTCCAGACCATAACTAATCATCTGGTTAACTCCGTCGCCGAGGTGCTTTGCTTAACCTACCATTCAATGAAGGCTGCACACGATTCTGCCACCGAATTTGAACAGGAAAACCCCTATCTATCGACAGATTTTAACCTAACAATGCTGCAATTTGATCTGAGCCTTAACAGCTCCGACATTGATGCGTCTAGCTTGTACGTGACTGAGGCACAGATATTAGAGTACGAGAGAGAGTTTTTATTATCCCTTGCACTAAAAACAGCCTTGCCGATTTGTACAAAGCATCATTCTAGGGAGGAGCTATTTGGGAAGGGAGGAGGCATAAACGTTGCCATCATGGGCAACGTCGACTACACATTTCTTTTAAAGAATAGCCAAACCAGTGGACAACCTTCCGTAGCCGCACCTTCCACCGATCCGTCGGTGTCGGCATCTGCATCTGCCAGAGGCGAACTGAACAAGGACGCCCAAGAGGATTCCCTATCTTATACCCTGGCCGACCAGCTATCTGAAGAAGCTGTTCCCAGCAGTAGGGCTTTGCCTGTGAGTGGAGTAGACGCGCTCCTGGCATCAGAACTAAAACTTTCTAGAACCATCGGCACGCTAAAGCGACAGGGACTTGAGCTTCACAAGGTGGTGCCTAGCGATTCACTCTTTACAGAGGGAATGTTTTATCGGCGCCCAATCATTAAGAAGAAGGTCAAGACGGAATTCAATATTATACAAATTCTGGCTGAGCTGCGCTTTATCTTGCAAGAAATATGCATCATCCAGGCTTCCATTGATAAGTGGAAGCGCTTCATAGGGCAGGATATACACAAAAGGCAGGACTCAGTCTCTGGCGTCGCAAATAAGCACCCTAGTAAGGATCTACATCGCACATATAGCCCGTACACGTTACTCTCTATATGCCATCCGCTTTGCTCTGTTGTAGCCAATGTCTCCGACCTTGTTGCATTGCACGAAAAGGGGGTTACAGTAGCAGTTGCTGACTATCCTAGTTCACCCTTACTTCACCTGCTGGAGCAAACCGCAGATATTATCAAAGTCATACGGCACAGGGTTTCGAATCCAGATCAGCATAGTTTTTCTATACCAAGCTCAAACCTAACAATCTTGAAACCTTCGCAGAGCTCTCAGAACAGGTCCATCGAAGGTCACAACTTAGCTGCCATTGGAACCGAACAAGACGGTGATGCTGTGAACTCGTTAACTAGTGCAAACATAATGTCCCTTGCTAGTGTTCCTCTAACCGATAAAGCAAAAAGGCTGAAGGGCGTCGGACCCACGTTGAAGCCTGAGACAAAAACGAACGACAACCTAATAGTTTTAACATATGCATCGTGGACAGAATATGTCGACTATGCTCAGGAGATGATAGTTGCATATGCACTCCCTATTACCATTATGTATTTTGTCCGTAGTCCGCACCTTTGTGAGCATCACTACAAGGCACTGGCAGAGTTAGTAGGATGCACTCTTCCTTCTCAGACCGAGATTTCCACTGGTACCGTCCAGCCAACCGTGCGAGAACCAAGCGAGGCAAGCACGTGGACAGCTAAGGACGGTAACCTGGATGAAAGCACAGCACACATAGTATCAACGAATGAGATCATAGTCTCTAAAGATCAGTATGCAAGAGCTGTCCTCTCCTTGTCTGTCTCTAGCTTTCTAGAGGCCTTCGAAAAGGATAGCGACCTCTTCTCCGTTCTGCTATGCATCACCAACAACGCCTCAATCGACATGGAAGCCAGAGAGCAGCTAGCGGTCATTGATGACCTGCTGCATAATATACTTATGGAGTTCTCCTATGATATGGCAACAGAAGTGGCAAATAGAACCAGCACTGCGTGGAATAGCAAATCTTTCGCAGTAATTATTACTCCCGTCAACTCAGAAGCCCTGCTGCGAGAGTCCCTTTACACAATCTCCAATATATTAAACAGCATAGGTCATGGTAACAAGAAGGTACAGCCAGAGCTCTCAGTTTTACACGGTATCCACGCTTACATCGCACGCACCTCTAGTCTTAGAACGACAAGGCACTTACCTCTCCGTTACCAAGGTTACAGTGACATAATTCAGCAAAGTAGATATGCACCAGACATTGAGGTATTGGCGCGCTATCTCGAGTGCGGAGCCTGGCTCATGCTTTACGTCTACAAGGCCTTGTTCCGTATCACACACATCATCTACGCCCTTCTGTGTGTGACAAAGTACGGTATATGCATAAGTCTCAGTAAGAACACCCGCACATATACAACGATCAGCACCCAACATGGAGAGAAACTAGCTCCGTTTCTGACTGATGATGGTCTAGCTGTTACTTTTATCTCACAAGAAGATCTCTGCACATTCAAGGAGCTTTTTTCCCAGTGGAAGGAGCTGGCAATGAAATATCTTTCGAAACCGTTCACGCCTCTTTTCTCGATCATTTTCGATAGAACCTTCAATGAAGCCGTTACTACACTGTGCAAGAGACTAAACAGGATCTATGACAAAGTTATCTCCGTACGCGATCATGGAATATTGACTAATCTCCGAAAGATTAATGCATCCATAAATCCGTCAATGGAGGTGCCTCTCTGGTATGAGGTCGCCACATCCAACCCACAGATAAGATCCAAAGTGTGCCAAAGAGTTGTGCCACTGATCGATGATCACTACCATCCTTCCTCATTATTCTTCTGCAATACTCCCATACTATATTGTGGGGAGTTCCTTATTCGGAGAAATTGCTTCAAAGCAGTCCAAAGCTTACACTTCGAAGTCCTGAGTGGAGTTGATGGATTCGTCTTGCTTCCACAACGTCCACCCCTCGTTGACGCAACCCACTCAGGAGATATCCAAGAGACCAACATGCCTCTACGTGAGCTTACTGCTCTAGAATCATCGGATGAGGTGCTAGAGTTGCTAGAGCCTATCGAGCTACCAAAGGGCGTGTTTCTAGTCTCAGACAAAATAATTCGGAACATTGCTCCCGCCCTAATGAAGAATATATCAAAAGCGTGGGAGGAATTTAATCATCAGATTCAGAGATATGAGAAAATTCTTGCAACAGAGCTCAATAAGCTACGACAAGAACGCATGGTGCCCGACACTGCAACTAAACAGAAGACAGACTCAGTATCATTCAAGCTCAATTCCCTTAGCAAGCGGATGCAGGAAAAGGTTGGAGGACAGATAGGATCTGATGATAGCTCGTCCAGCGACGACACCAATGCAATCGAGAAGTCCTTGCGTGAGCAAGATACTTCTAATACTACATCCCAACCAGATGAGCGTTCGCGTAGTGATGACTATAAAGGGTTCTTAGAAAATGATCCTCACCTTATCGCAATTTCCGAGTCAGACCCCGACTCTTCAAATCAGTCAGCGACACAGCCTCAGCAACTGACCGCTCCACAGGTGCTGCACACGCTTACTCCACACGATATAATAGGTGTTCAAATACAGTGCTGCTCCATATTCGATAATTTTTTCTCCAACTTTCTTTTTCGCTCTACAATAATAGTACTATCTTCTTACATTAGATTAGTATATTCAAAAGAGATTAGTGACGCATTTGCTGGAAAGCACACAAAAGAGTCAATGATGCCTCTCCTGAATCTTCTAAAGAACTTTGGGAAAGCAATTGAGATGGAGGTTATTTGCTCACACAAGCCAACGATCCATAAAAAGGCTATCGTAGCTAAGCTTCACGAGTGGTTTGACTTGCTGACTGAGTGCAAGCGTATATTTATGTCAACAAAGGGCATGCAATTGTTGTCTGCATCGGTGCATTTTCCATTTGTCTACTTTCAGCCTGGGGCTAACAAAATCTTCATTACATCTGAACACGGAACATATTCCTTTGAGGCCTCACAACAGTGGCTTGGAGCAGCCACTATTCTGGACACAACTTTAAAGCTCAATCCCCGACAACTAGGTCTTCTTAACAAGATCTTCTCTGCTATATCTGAGCGCATGATTATATTCCTAGTTTGTAGCAGCGAAAAGGGGCACTCCAATACGGAGCTCTACTTGATTACAACAGCTCTTTCACGGTACCTATTCATGCGCGTAATATATTGCCCGTTCAGCGAGTACACCTTTGCCGCAAATCTCCAAAGATTGTCGTCGGCCGTTGCAAACGGCTGCTTAGCTATTGTCGTTGGCATTGAATATCTCCCAAGCTGGCAGCTATTACAGCTATGCACTTTGGCAAATGACTTGCGAGTCAAGCAAGGGGCTCTCCCAGGGCTCGTTGTAATGGACAAAGACACGGGAGTTGCCAGAGGAGCCACTATGTCCGATTTCCCCAATCTAGGCTTCATAGTGTTTTTCTTACCTGAACTATCGCCGATTTCGTGTATGGAAGATGTATTTTATGTTGATCCTATTAATACGACCACCACTAGTATGGATATGCTTCTTCCTGTGCTCGGGCAGACCTCGTTCACCAATGAAAGCAACTATTTGGCCAATAATGTCACTGATTATTATTCCTCCTCGTATGCAGCGTCCGAGCGTCTCGACCTGGTTGTTGCTCCATTTAGAATCAGACGGGTGATCAGTTTGGAAATTGAGTCCCCAGATGCCCTCTATCTCCGATTGTCGCCAGAGTATGGCCGGGCCTTCTACGAGATATCTGTCTTTCTGAGGCAGTTCAGCGGCTTGACATACAAATTTGTCGCGGGCGACATCCCGATGGTTTACACTCACGTGAAAGAACGAACAGACGCGCTTTGCATGGCAGCCGTCACGCTTGATATGATCATGCGCCAAACCCTTAGCTTTATCTTGCATCCCATGACCAATGACAACCTGGTAGAGGTGTATTGCAGAATCATTTCATCTGCATTTGGACTGGACAAGACCTCAACTGTCCAGCTTTATAAGCTCAGCAAGGCCTATTGGGACTTCATTAAAGCCAGCCTATTTTCTCTCAACCTCCTCCACGACCACTCATCAGATGGCAAGTTGGGATTGGCTATGGGATACAATGCATCAACCGCCGTGCAAAGCGTAGTCCATGCTCGATCAACGTTTGCCAAGTATTTTAGCGAGCATCTATCTAAGTATCTGGCTCCCCGACTTCTTAATTATGTAACGCTATTTGGCCAGATGCACCAGCTCGCGCCTCAATTTGTTATTGATATCATCTTTGCCAACGAGCTACTAAAATCTGGGAGGCCTCTTCTAGCGGTGGTCCCCCAGAGTAGCTACATTAGAGCATATACTGCCGTGCTAACATCAGTGAAGCATTGGGATGTCTCCTATGTCACTGACTCTCGTTCATTGCGAGCCGCACTGAAGCGACTGACATATGGTGATTCAGCCATGAGTTCTGAGAGCCTACTGGAGCCCATTCCAGGCAAGGTGGCAGGGGAGCAGGAAAAGGCACGAAAGTCAGAGCACTTGATTGTTGTCGCGCCCCCCACCTCGCATGCTCTATTGCGAATGTTCGATCAGCTCTTTGGTGCATCCCTCCACTACCCTATCATATTGGATGAGTTCGGATGCACGTACTACCAGTTTGACATTGGCCGTGGACCGTACTTTATGATCTGTGTAACTATCAGTATGCTTCAAGATTTCGGCCCGTTGATTGACTTATTTACACACAGGGTTGTGTTATTACCATCCATCGAGGGATCCGATGGTTGTAGGAAGATTTTGCACGGGTCTCTATTCATTGACACACCACATCTAAGATTTATAGCTAAAATGAATGTTGACTTATGGAAGTCTGAACTAAAACGCAGGAAAGTGGAGTCTCGGGATGCCTTGTTTCTGTTGCAAGGATTGGAGTCGCTCATGGCGACTGCTTCCAAACAGACCACATATATGACCCGTGTGATCCAGAGGATCGCTGTACTTCCGACCTTTATCAATAGCATCATCGGGTTTCTTTATGACACCATGGCCCACGTATTCAATTGCGGGCGTAGCGTAGATGAGGTTTTCCTTATTCGGTCCATGTTCTACTTTTTCTTGCTGAGGTTTAACGTTGTCACCATTTTGCGGAAACCACTACCATCGCAGTTTCTTCTTAAAAGTCTGGAGTACTCCCAAGCGGCTCGGGGCGAAACCCCCCAAGCGATGAAGAATCGTGTTTCCGAGATTGCTAAGCACAAGGCCTATGAAGACGGGTGCTCGCCAATGGCATTTACAGGAACATTTGCATTTACGCTCGTGTCCCACGTACGCGAGTGTGTCGAAGTGTTGATGCGGTTGAAAGAAGCCCTTGCAAAGCAACAACCAGGGTCTGTAATTCCTTCGCTTCCAGAGCCATTTGGGATGACTCTGGATCAGCGGGCCCAGATACTCACGTTTCTAGATACGATAGGTGTTACAATTCCAAAGGAGATCCTAGCAACTACAAACATCTATTCATGTTCTTCTTCCAGCTCCCGGCTTCTTAAAAAGGCCATTTGTGGGCCTGAGTCTTCAGGTGTGAAGACCGCTCAGGCTATTGCAAAGCAGGCTCTTGTGCAAAAGCAGCATATGCAACGGTTACACAGGGCATTCTACAGCTCATTCACATCAACTTCTCACACAATTCTGGCGGATGAGGTGTGGCCATTTCTCGACGTTGCTGGGTTCTCTTTACAAGAAATACAGGAGTTGGACGACCATGTTAAACAGAAATCGTCGGGAACCACCAACCTAACTTCCATTATTAATACAGCGCTACTTATGAATGCAGAGAGAGATGTCCTGCAACTGGGAATGGGCTTCTGTGGCTCCTTGGCCTATGAGCTGAGTAGTAGCTTTATGCTGGAAGCAGTCTTCAGTCCGGAAACACATGCCGAAGCCTTCACAAATCTAGTTGTACCATTGGTGATAGCTTTCTGGAACGCATGTAGCCTATTTGTCACAACCTATGATGATGGTAAGAACAAGGTCAGCAAGGGGACCACAAACTATGCACGCTGGCTAGGCAAGAAATACGATGCTCTCACTACAGAATTTCAAAGCATAGAAAAGTTGACCCAGGCCATGTACTGTGGCGTCAGCCCCTTTGTCACGCTTCTGTTGTTAGAGGCCAACTCCCCACTTGTGCATCCAGGTCTTTTGAAGCATTATGACACTCTGTATAGGCTAGACTTGGGGGCGTTAAATCACGGTCTGTCCAGTGAGGTAATAATAAGCAACTTCCGCACCTTCAGCAAAAAAGTTGTTGCATTGCTTCCTAAAGAGTTTCCCGTGAACATGTCGTCATCTACAACGCAGAATTATAATCCTGGTACGATTGCAAACTCCTGTTTTTCATACATAGATTTTACGTACGGATTGGGGCAGAACAAGAAGGCAGTTTCCTACAAAAAGTATCTCTGCAAGGCGGAGTTCCGGCTCTATGAAATCGGACACGGAATTATGAAAAGAATTCATGAGTTTCGTGACAGGACCTTCGTGGAAAAGAGCATTGATATGATCACTACACGCCTTGTAGAACGCAAAAAGCATAATCTTGCTGTTGCTAAAAGAAAGGCAACAGAAGAGCACGCAAAGATTATACATGCCAAAGAGGATGCCCTCTTTACTAAGTTAGTTACCACAACAGCGTCCAAGACTCAACAATCTGCAGCAGCACAGGACAGCAGCAAGCCACTGAGGTTGATTAAGCCGGCCAACGTTGACTTCTATATGTCCTCTTCAGACGAAGAAGAACTGGTAACAGACAAGACCTTAAGCAAAGATAAGGAGCAAGAGGAGAGCGACTCTAGTGAGTCCAATGACACCGCTGACAACCTAGAGCAAGCAAAGAAAGCCATGAACCTGGAGCTCACTAAGCTATCCAAACTATCACGGAATGAAAGAACTGCTATTGACTTGGAGCTTCATGACTATGACAAGGGAGAGTCTGTCTCCGTTCAATGCAGCAATCCGACTATCACTGTCTTCAGTCCCCATCATTGTGCAATCATTGTCGCTCTGGGATGCGCCATGTTGAGCCCAATTACTGTGGCTCTGATCGGGCAGCGCGGCAGTGGAAAGTCTAGGCTTATAGATATGGCCAGGCTTCTATTCCGTGACTTACTTGCTCCCGACACATTTCTTCTCAACGACGTTCAAACAAGTAATAGCGTACATGCCATCGCCAGCTCTCTCTCATCTCGGTGCCTTCAACGCAATTACCTCACAGCTGCTAGCTCTCGGCGGAAGAATGCGTACATAGGGAAAAACACTTCTCCTAACACCGTGCTAGAATACTGTGACACCCTTTGCTTCCCATCTCTCCACTTTCACTGCAGTGATATTGACCCAGCTGCTTCCATCAATGGTCACTTTGCGCTTCTGCTACGTGACCACATGTTGCTACTAGACGCCAACGCTGAGGTGCCTCACCCCATATACCTGGACATGCCGTACGACCTCAAAACAGGTGCCATAAGCCTTTCAGACATGTCCATTATTGTGGAGTGTACTGCAGATCACAACTTGACAAGTTACTGCGGACTGCAAATAGAAGTGCCTCCGTGTACTGAGGCGTATCTGAATGGACTTTGTAAGCGCATATTTCCTCATCAAACGGACTCGTGGATATCCCAATATGTTAGCGGATACTTCTTGGTGCGTGGCTCTTTGCCCAATTCTATCTCGGAGACGTATGCAGTATTCTCTAACATGTATCAAAACTTTGTGATGACAATGAATTCTCTTACAGTGGTTCCAGACAAGATGATGCTACACATCCGGGAGGAAGAAGAAAGCGTTCGAGCAGATAATTGCATCGATAAAGAAGAGTGCTCTCCCACAATGATCATTAAGTACAATAATGATCAGCTGCTATTGCGAGCATCGCTCCATAGCCTATTTTCTTCGCTACGCAGCATGGCCCAAATGGATGCCCAGTTTATGGACGCTGTCATCGAGCGGTTCGCGAGCCTAAGCTTCCTGGGCTATTTGGATACGGATGAAGAGTATGTCGAGTCGGTAGGGAAAGCAGTAGCTCAACGGCGCGCAGAGAAACTGAAGAAGGCCAAGGCTTCTAAGTCTCCACGCCTCAAGGCATCCAAGAAAGAAGAAGGTTCCGGCAATAGATCAGAGCAGGTCAAAAAGATGCACCCGACAGTGTTGAAGAAAAGCGAGGGCCCTTGGTCTGACGTAAAGCTGATGCTTATATCAAACTTCGCGTTCTATCCCGCTTGGGAAGCGTTCATTATCAACCACGGAATCCGCCTCGGTCACAAATCCCTAGCATCACATAGGTTTATGGGCATGACCTCCATGTCTATGAAAACCACTCCCTTTGTTAAAGAGAACACGCTTCTTATGGCCTCTACGCTCAACAGTGTACTTTGCCAGGTTGATGGAATCCACGTTAATGCGTCTGAGCTTATCGCATTGTCATACGCAACGATCAATGCATTCTGGTTTGGCCATTTTCTTCTCTTGGCCAGCAGACTCCCTATTTACGATCCATACATGCTCTCGCGCGTCTTTCATCTTTATGTGACTATTGAAACAGAGAAAGAAATGAACATGGCCAGGTTTGTGTCTATGATAAATAACTTTGCACCCCGACCTGCAACATCGAGTCTTTCGGACTTCTATGATTACGATCCGTTTCATGGGACACGCATCTACTTGGCCAACAGAGCGGCTCCCTACGCAGGAAAAATACATATCCACGTTCAGAACACAATAGCAATGCGCACAGGAAAGCAGCCGACCTATGTGGACCAAGATGTTCGCGAATATCTATCTGCGATTTGCGACGCAGAAACTCGCTCCTGGCGCAGGCTACTCCGGAAGCAAACAGCTTCGCTTGTTATCAGTCCATCTGCAACAGTAGAAGAAGAGATTTCCCAGCGAATTTCTTTCCAGGCAAAGCCAAAGGTGAACCCTAACAAGGCTGCTATGTTTCCTGGCTTTTCCCTTGCTGCAATGATGTGTCTGCGGCCTGCTAAGTATACTATTAACATCGCCAACGGAACGCTCCAGTCCTATGCAGAAATTCTTTCCCAGCTTGTCGCCCTCTCAAATTGCCAGAAGTTTACCGTTTCCAGCTTTGGGAGCATATACAACAGTAGCACTCAGCAGCGCGTTCTTTTGGATGCCGCATCTGTCATAGTAAGCTCTGATCCTCTCAACCAATACTTCGTGGACTTGTTGCACAAGGTTAACGCTGACATGAGGGAGTATGAGTTTCTGCTCCTGCTCCTCATGATACGGACAGCGATGGCCCTGGCCCTTGGGATAAAGCCAGAAGCTCTTTATCCTGATACCGTCTCACCACTCAATCCTTCCACGGGCCTCAGCTTCAAATCAGCTCTAGAGACATGCCTTCCGTCCCGCACTATAGGAACTGGACGGGCGTACTCTCTTCTTCCTCCGGCCATTAATGAATGGTCTGGACTTAGAGGCAAGCCTCACCAGATTATTGCCAGGGAAAAGCGCGAGAAGGCGCAGGACTTCCTTTTGCCATCGGCTCACGATGTAACTGTGATAGCTCCTAAGTCGGCACTTGGCAGGGTGGGGGCTGCCGGAATCTCGGTTTACCAGCTGCTCACCCGCACCCTCGAGCCCTTGAATGCAGCGGAGGGCATCTTCAGCTCCGAAGAAATGGGTGTTATATGTTCTCTAGTCCCGCAATCGTATGGTTTGAATCTCACGTGTGATAGGCGCATGCTGGCCAGTTTTCTAAGCATCAATCTAGCTGTGATTATTGTCGATGATCTTCCTGTCGGCCCTGCCGTGTACCTAGGGTCGGATAGCTCTGCCTATGTTAAGCCGCAACTATACTCAGAGAGTCTCCGCGTTCCTGTGCTTAATTCCATAAAGTCTCCTGCTATAGAAATGATAAATGACATAGAGACAGGCTTAGAGTCATTTAGGATGCAAGGTGTATCTATCAACGAAGAGCATATGCACGATATGCAGCAGCTGTTGCTGGGCAATTCGAACATAAAGGCAAAGCAGGAAGAGTACAAGATGAATCTCATTAGGTACTCGTTCGCAGATATAGTCAGCATCTGCAATATATCTCGGTGCACCTTTCCTAATGAACCCCCGGCCCACATCTTCCGCAAAGGAAACAATCACCGTACTGAGTTTTTGGCTGCATTCAAGCACACGTTTGCAGCTGCAACCATTAGTATCTACAAGTTTGCAAGTAGGTTCACATCTGTTCCCACGGTCTCTTTAATGCGTTTTACGGCATTGGCGTCGCAGCTCACAAATGCCATATATCAACGAATAGGAAGCTTCTTTGAATATATAGATATCCTTACAAATGCGCTGTTCTTTTACGAGTATCTTTCAGCGCCAAGCAAAACGAAGCACAAGATCATTGAGATAACGAAACTGACTGTACCTGTTATGGTCAGGATTGTCGAAAATGCTGTCTCATCTGTTGAGCGGCATACGGGCACAACACGACTAGTCCAAAAGGGCTTCATCTCCCGCAATCACAATATCCAAACAGCGGTCGCCGAGGCAGTGATTATGAGGGATTTCCTGCACTCTCTACTGCACCTTATCAAGCGAGAAATAATGGTGATGGAGGCTGTCGTGCAAACAGCGCATATAGACGCACTACTATGTTCTGCATATATGCTGTTCAGCGAGACCGATAGGCTCTCAGAAGACAAGTGTTTGCAATGCTTGATAAACGGTGAATGTGGTGACCTCTCCCCATATCTGCAGGATCTCCTTGCAGCTTGCCAAAAGCATACAGAGAACAACAGTCTGAGCCCGTTCACCGTTGCCATGGTCTCTATTCTGAATAATAATGGAATTCCTGTGCATATCCATCGCTTTGACAAAACCATGGACGAATTACTCAAGGACCCCATGATGATTTCTATCACAGCCGAAACGACAGGCAAGAGTTTCTTTCTGAATCACATTATCAGGGTCATGGCTATCGACTTCCCGACATACATCATATTGAAAGTGCTCAATGTCGAGTGGAAGCCCACAGACCCTGCCAGACAGACATTGGACTGCGTTGCATTGTCTGACATGATCAACAGCTGCGTACACGTTGTGCCCAGCCACCTTGGGCTGTCTGCTGCGTACTTACTAGAAGGGATCCACAGAAGCAAGCGGAAGCGGACTGGATACTTGCAAGCCCTGAATAGCTCTCTTAATGGACTAGAAGATGATAAAAGCATGGAGCTGATTGACGAGATATCCAAGAATATCATCAAACTGGATCTTCTGCTACCACCAGAAGAGTTTTCACGAGAACTGGACATAGCAATCCAGAAGAATATGCAACGGTTTAGTGAAGCGAGGGATGTGGCCCCAGGGACTGAACAGTGGTATAAATACAAGTATCTTATTCTGAATTACGGCGCCCCGAACGCCAACGGAGCAAACATTTCTCTTCTTCGCAAACTCTATATAAATAGAAATGTCAACAACGGGAACAATTCTGTCGTATTCTCCCTCTATCCCGGCACAGACTTCACTACTGCATGCATGCGCGTGGGGATGCTGACTCAAACGACCCTTGATATGTTTTCATGCTCATGCCCGTGTTCGATAATTGCTAGGAAAGAAGTGGACACAATTGATTTGGCAGAGTATCCGACCGAAAACGCTCACAAGATCTCATGTATACTAATAGAATCCATTTTTGGGGAAAACTCTGCAGGGAGGTCTTCGGACGAATGCACACGAGTTGGTAATGCCGCCATATCACAGTTGCTTGTTGGATTGAGCCTTTCCGTTAAGAACTACCTCCTCACCTTTTTGGCCAGTTGCTCAGACATGCAAGCGCTTCGAACCATTGCATCTACGCCTGCCGAATCATCACATCAACATTCACAGAGCCTTTCATATTGTCTTAAGCAGGATTCTCCCTTGAAAAGTAATCAAGAGAAAGCTCTGACCACTATCTTCTCTCTTGGACGTGACATTGCCTTTTCAGCTGTCGGGAAATATGCCCTTATAGATACCCTAATTAAGAAAGACATTGATAAGCCAGATATTGACAAGGAGATTAACATCATATGCCTCCAGCGTACAATAGTTGACACCTTAGGGACAAGCATTGCTATGAAGCTTGGACGCTCTCTCTCATTGGTTGCAGAGATAATGTGGCGTTATGCACAAGTGCACACTCCGTCGGTTATCTTAGCCGATGATAACTTTATGCCAGACTTGCACCTGCGCATTAAGCGAGCCGTTGCAAGTTACACAGAAATGCTGATCAAGGGTAATGCAGCTAAGCCTGGTGCACTAACGCCCGAGCAGCTTAAGGCCCAGGGACTCATGAGTATGCGTGAGTCATATCCGTTTATCTATGCAATGAAGCAGAATCCAGCCGCCATCACCTCATTTTTAGCAGCATGTATTCTTCCATATATCAATGAGCGCGTGTTTCGTCTATTTGAGCCCCGGATTGCCGCTGGTGTAATGACATCCCTATCAATCTTCTTCATTGCAAATCTTAATGTATTTGAGCAGGACCTCATGAACAAGCACTCGACAAGCATGGAGCGTTCCCTTGGAATTACTGTCATTGGAAAGAACTCCTACCCAGATTTTATCAAGATGATATCAATACAGCAGTTGGCAAACTGCTTTCTTGTTAATAGTCGATTCCCCCTCACAAAAATTTATACGAGATCGCAGATAAAGGCAATAACAAACTTTGAGCATGTGACGGAGTTGATACCGGAAATCTGTTCCATCAGCCCCCGAATCACATATGCATGGCTTGTCGTTACGGTTCTGGCGCGATATAACACTATTATTGCAGAGTCTCTTCCCTGGTTTGCGCAGCACCATAGCTCTTTTGTAGCACTTGCCCTCACCGAAAATCCTTTTCTGGCTATCATGGCCTTCTATGCACAGAAGAACCCCAAGTTTGAGTGGAAAGGGCCGCATGCTGAATGGCTCAAGGCACAGATCTATCAAGAAGCTGCCAAGAAGCACACCATTATCAATCTTCCGCCAAACTTCTTAGAACCCTCGGGCAGTGTTATCTTTGCAGTGTATTGTATCTCAGTAGCACTTCGACCGCATACCATTGCGTATGCATCCAACGCTTGCATCTGCTTCATGAACTCTCTTGTAGGGAACTCATCGGCTTACTTATATCAAAATTCAACGTCAAACGCATACTTTGGAGCCACGGGAATCGTGTACAGCCAAGAGACTGCGGCCTTTGTAGCCCGGGCAGGCTCGAAGGACTCGTCTATGGGTCCTCTCTCAATTGCGTCAACATCTAAGCTCAAAAAGCAAGCATTATCTGCGAAGATAGCAGAAGGGTTTGCAGACCTGGTCGCATTGTGCTCAGAAAATCCAGAGTTCTTCGTGTTTTCAGAAAAGTTACTAAGTGACGGAATTTATTCTCTCTCAGAGCTTTGCGAGGTTTCTATTAAACAACTTGCATACTTCAAAGAGATGGCGTCCCAAAACATAGAGCTCACAAGTAGAGCGCCGCTCATAGTAGATATTATCTTCTATGATTCGTGCGTTGCCATTGAAATACTGCTAGAGTATGCACTCAATCTCGCCCAGATCGGATTGCCGTCTGTGCCTGCTCCAATACGTTTTGTTCGTGACCCAACACTAAACGATCTAAAGAACTCTATCATAGTTGTATCAGTTGAAACAGCGCTGCTCGGCTATACCATGATCGACAGCCTTACTCGCATGTTAGCCCAAAAAGAGACACTGTATCGATCAGACATTACATATCCCCTATTTGTCTTGATACCATCTAGTCTAACGCCTCATAATATCTTTGTACCCGGAAAGGTGGGTGGTCTGGACGGTGACCCTAGTCTCCAGTATGAGACTGCAATGTCCATATCGAAGCTCATTGCTGTCGCCAAGCCCAACTTCTTCTATCTGCGATCCCCCAGTACCCTAGTCGGTGGGTTTACGCACACGATCTGTCTGTCTATTGCAGTTGTAGGCAATATTATGCTAAAGGTCCTTGGTGGGAAAACAATACGCAGTCTCAATAAGAGTATTCACTTCTCTATTTCTCTTCGCGGCCTGTCACTTTTGTGCCTAAAGCAGGCGTTTCTGTTTACGAGAGACACCATCGCGGCGTCGGATTACGAAGTAGTCAATGTGATTGGGTCGTGTATTCTGAAGGCCCTGTCAACTGCCAAGCATCAGCAAATCGATACACGCAACTTTGGACAGGTTGCAATGTTAGACTCTGCGTATTTCACGTACAATCTTGATTTAACAAAGTCTGTCTTCGATTCTCAATATCTGTCTAAACTTAATGAGTACATGAGTCAGCTGTTGTTTGCACGACATGACGCGATACAGAAGGTGCTCCTCACTAGGCTGGTGACAACAGAAATCGAGCTCTATGACAAAACCTTGATGCGGCAGCTCAAGGAGAAAATGAAAGCCAAAAAGAACGATGAGAAAATCGAAAAAGAGCAGGAAGAAAGCTCCTCTTATAGTTCCGATGGCGATGAGACGAGCGACATGAACTCTATGGCAAACTCAGCGAAGTCTAGCATGTTTGATGGGGACTCACTATCAGAACACCTTTCCGAAAGCCGCTCCTTCCGCTCCTCAAAGTCGAATAGGTACTCGTCCTCTCGGAGCTCTGTTAGCGGGATTTCTGAGGCCCTGGATGACTTTGACGACTCAGTCAGCCAGACACCCAGCTCGGTTTCAAAGATGTCTGGAACCTCGGTACAAAGCACAACTCTTTTTAGAATGGCAGATGGAGGAGTAACGTTCATGCCAGAAGAAGACAACATCTATAACTTCTTCCTAATGGGTGTCCAAATGACGAGCAACAACCTAGATCCATCAAAGCCGGTGTACGTTGACTCTATTGAAAAGTCCGTGCTGGGCATAATGCAGCCGCGTCGAAGGACCGTTGTTACCGTTGACGCCCCAAACATGATACACAAAAAGCTCGAGCGTTACGAAAAACACCTTGCAGTGTCATCTGCCGACGGCGCAGTGGCCAGGAACATTGAGAGAGGAGGCTCTGCAGAGGAGACTTCTAGCTCCCAAAAGATTGGTACCGATGGCCATGTAATTAAGGACGACTCACTATCACTATTGTTGGAGCTTGCAACGCGGAACGGAGAGGCACCAAAGAAGGAGAACATAAAGCACTACCTAGTGATCCCAACACACGTTGCTAAGATGCCTGACTTAATGTCTATCTATGCACAGCTTGTTCAGTATGATACCATGCGGCACGTCTTCTTCGATGAACAGGGTGTGACACAGAAAGACAAAGAGTGCTTACTGGCCTCTCTAGGCCAGCAGAACCTTAACACGGCATATCGGCTCATATTCTCATCGCACTTTCTTACGGATACTATCTGTCGCTTCCTCAGTATCGAAAGAAAAAGCAAAATGGTCTACCAAATCAGTGATATGAAGGCTATGCCCCAAATATTCAAGACATATTTGATTAATCTCAACAATTACTCTGCAATCAAGTTCGGGTACCCGGGAGTGCTCCTTAGCGGTGACGTTCTTCTGAACGGCCTTTTGCCTTCCACGTTCAGCACCAGCGCTCTTAAAATGATCACAGGTCAATACGGTTTCGGCTCCTTTATGGATCACTGGATAGTATCAGGGGCTGTGTACTATAAAGTTCTGGGCGATATACTGAACTATCTTCGCGTCATCTCCTCCATCATGACAACATCTCCATTGGTGCGCCAAAAGGTTATTGTACTCCTGAAAAAGCCAACAACCATGCCACGTATATTAGAGGATGGCAGTATCTTTATCGACAAGAACACCACAAACCCACGCCCGGTATTCTACATTCTCATCCGCAACATGGAGCTCTTAGGGGTCTCGTACGATCCGGTTCTGGACACAATCTGCGATATATCACCGGAAAAGGGGCAAGGATTTAGCAACTGCTTTGATCTGTACGCGTGCTGCACCATCATAGACGACGCAATGGGAAAGAAGGAGCCGTCTCTGAACAAGCGTCACATGCGCCTTCCAAAGAACATTGTTCCGGTTCCTCTCAAGATAGGTGGTTACTGTGCACCCATAGTTTACATTCCAAACAAAACAGAGATACCCAGCGAGGAGTGGAAGTCTAGACATCCGTGCTTTGTAGCTAAAGTGCTCTAGTTATAGCGCAGTAAACTTCTAGTCATTCTGACAATGACTTTACTCCTCGGTAAGGATACTAATGCAGGTTTGTAAGGCACTGGTTTCTACGGTTCGCCCTAGAATGACTGTGGCGAGATCTAGGGCTGTTTGATTGTTCTTATTTGTGAGCTGGGCTTCGTATGGAGCCAGCAATGTAACACAGTCAGGATGCTCCCACCGGACGGCCTTGAAGAGTGCACTCTCCCCGAGCACATCAGTCTGTTGTGCTTCTTTTTCAAGAAGCAGCTTCACACATTGAGCGTGCCCCTGGTCAGCAGCCAACATCAGAGCTGTCCTGCCATCATATGCCTTCATTCCAACAATAGACTGAAAGCCGGCAGCCTCCCTGTCACCACTTAATGCATCGAGACACAGAATGGCCCCAACACACTCCGCATGTCCTCCGTAGGCCGTGGCCATCAGGATAGTCCAGCCGTCCGGGTCCCTATGGGCCCCTTCCTTATCAAATAGGAGCTCTATGCATTCCTTGTGACCCTGCTTGGCTGCCATGAAGATGGCCGTGCGCTCGTCTCCATTGTGGATGCCTGCTTCCTGTAGTAAAAGCTCGACGCACTTTACATGCCCCGCCTTGGCTGCAAACATAAGAGCCGTCCAGCCACAACATGTTTGCATTCCCGCCTCCTCCATGTGCTCCTTGACGCCATTCACCTCTCCCAGAACAGCAGACACCATAAGCCTTGTCATTCCTCCAACTCCAATTTCGTTCCTGAGAAGATTAACAGTGCTTAGATTGCAGGCCTCCGCGGCGCGAATCAGCGCCGTTCGCCCCGCACGATCTTGGTAAACCTTGCACCTCTTAATAAGCAACTGCACACATGCGTCATGTCCTGCTTCTGCTGCAAGCATCAGAGCAGAGTTTCCATCTTCATCACAACGGGACGATTCTGTTAACAGGAGCTTTAGCGATTCGACATCGCCCTTGCAGGCAGTAACCATAAGGGCTGTGACACAGTCTGGCCCAGTAATGCCTTGCTCACACAAGAGAAGCTTAATGCAGTCAAAGTGATGATTTTTGGCCGCAAGCAAGAGAGCCGTGTCATTTCCATACACGTAGCCTAACTGGTCCATGTTGGCAAGCACACCGGAAAGATCCCCGTTCTCAGCATTTTCCATTAATCGAGTTTTAAAGTTAACCCGATCTCCGTGCCTCTTCCATGTGCTGACGATTATGGTATCTGTGTGCTCTGCAATATACTGCGTCAAATGCCACACCATTTCGTGATCCTTCTTCATAATCGAATAATTAAGAAGGGCCTCAATGAGCTGACAGCTAATGCCTCTTTTCTCCATATATGGCACAAGAACAGAGGCCCAGAGCTCCTCAGACGTTGCAGCAGGGGGCACCGTGAGGTCGACTAAAATGGGAACCTTCCATGCACAATCTGGTCTCATCATATTAAGGGCCCAGCAAAACGCATTGATGCAGTTGTCTTGATGGGCACGCTTTGCCTCTGGCTCAGTGACAGTTAGCGAGAGTTTCTTGTCGAGTAGCTGATTGTAAGCAATGAGAAGACTGGCATAGCATTCCGCAGTTTGCCCTGAAACCAGCACATAGATCATATTAATGAAGTAGGACGATTCCATTGATCTGCAAAGATATAATAGACGCGGGACAACTTTGATAGCTCCATTATCTACTGCAAACCTCAGGGGAGACGCTCCGTTGCTACAAATCAGGCCAGATTCATAATCCAGAAGCAGGTCGGCACAGTGCCCATGTCTATACTTCAGAGCGAGCTCCAAAGCAGTTTCTCCCAAAGAAGAACGCATTTGCGCCTCGTGATGCATTAGGATCGCCACGCATCTTCCACGACCGAGCTTGGCAGCAAGCATTAGGGCCGTCAGCCCATCCTTTCGCTGAAGTTGGGCCTCTCGAGCAGCTAGTAGGTTGACTATGTGAACGAATCCGTTCTGCACAGCATACATAAGAGCAGTTTCACCATAATAATTCTGCTTTCTTGCCTCACAAAGTAAGAGTTGCGTAGCCGCTAGACACCCGTTCTGAGCCGCATACATTAGCGCTGTCTCTCCTTTGGCCGTTACTATCCCGACTTCTGCCAATAAGAGCTTTATACACTCTGTGTTTCCTTCCCTTGCAGCCATCATTAGAGCTGTTCCACTGGAAAATCCCATGTACATATAGCCAAAGTCCCGATTGATGGACGCTTCTATTGCAGGTATATCACCACACTCGGCTGCCTGCATGAGGTCTGTGTAAATATAGGTCGGGGTTCCGGATCTGCTCGGTAGTGTAACAAAGAGATTCTTTAGGAGAATGCGCTCGCTGAAAATCTGAATGTACGGAGTATAGCATGGACTGAGGATGTCTTTTAGAATATCCGAAGGACTGGCATCAAAGCTTCTAATATATGTTCGTATAGCTGCCACATCGTTCAACCGCAACGCCTGCAGTAATAACTTGTGATCTTCAAGCCTATGTGCCTCTAAGCGCAAAAAAGCCTCCTGAACGGACGGGAGCTTGCATATGATTGTGGCAGAAGGCCTCTCCGAGGGATCTTCTGAGACACACTGCTTGATCAGGGTGATAAGCTCCTTTGAATAAGGTGTGTCCAAGCCGTCGTCCAAGAGTGTTTTAAGAAGAGACCGTGGAGGATGACAGAACCCATGGTAGTCGACGGAAGAAGACAAGGAAGTCGTAGAAACCCTCTTGGCATCTTCGTCATCCGTACTATTATTATGCTCTTCACTCAGATCGTCCATCTTGACTCTGAGTGGCCGGTCATCATTGGGCAGTATAATAACAGCAGGAATTGTGCTGTCGTTCTTCACCAGCTCCGTCGAAGGATCGGAGGTGTTGTCTCTGTAAAGCGCTAGAGACACCATATCCAGTAACAATATGCCCAGAGACCAAATGTCACACTTAGTACTCAATTGACACAAACTACCATACCTGGAAAAGGCCCGACGCAGCTCTGGGGCCATATACCAACGTGCATTTTCCGATTCGATACCGATTATCCGTGCATACTCCGCGGGCGGGATGGGCCGAAACAGAAGTTGTCTGATAGAATACGCTGTGAGCTTGTACTCTGCGTCACTATAAACCATTAATGAGTCCGGGGACAGACCAAGATGAAGAAGAAAGCCAGCCTTCTTTCCTGGCAGTGGAAGAGGGCTATGAAGATAGGCAAGCCCAGCAGCAATGTGTGCTACCACGTTCCAAATCTCTGCTTCAGGAAAAATTAGACCATGCTTAAAGTGAGAGTCGATCTTTTTCCGAAGAGAACCACGGCCAAAGAACTCCGTCTCAATGGTAAGTTTAGCTTCTCGCATGCTGTGAGTAACGTCTACATAACTGGCCAAATAGGGATTGGTGATATTCAAGCAGTCACGCATAGCATGCGCAATCTTTATCTGTACCTCTGGCGGATGCTGATGAAGAGGAACTACGAGGATCGTAGTCATAAGCCCAAGTCCCTTTTTTCTAACAAGTCCTGTACCAACAAGCCCTACCTCATCACGGTGATGTGCGTCGTCACTAAATGGCGTCTGCCGTGGAGTGGTAGCTGCTTGATTATCCCACATTGTCGCTAAAACAGATCAGAAACAGGTTTCTTATTTTTGGTAATGTAAAAGAAGACTCGTTAAGTCGGAAAGCACGAGACGCTTTAAACTGTGTGCAAAAATGTGTGGGGATGTACACCGGCTATAGCAGCCCAGATCGCTTAACATTTGTTTTTCAAATCTCCAAGGGCTCAAGAGTCTGATCATCTTGACAGAGAGCACCCATGCAAGCGCCAGAGAAGATTCGTATGCCCACGATCGCCAGAGCAGCATGCATCTACACTAAGGAAAACGTCTACTTTAGTACGGCGGCACGACAGTCTGATGTGGTTCTTCACGACGAAAAAGGCGTCATATCCAATTGGATATCCTCAGAGATAATTGGTACATACAGAGGAGCGGACAGATTCCGTCTGAAATTCTCTTTCAGCCAACCTCTTTCTCAGGTAAAGACCATACCTCTTGATCGCATCCCGGCACGCCAGATAGACGTCAACGTTGATGACTATGTCTCAGTGAAGGATCTAGATACTGGAGCAAGCTACTGCTCTATTGAGGACCTAAGGGAGTGGGTTCGGACCCCTGGTCGTCCCTCCATGGGCCTTCTTGTCTCCTTCAGGCTACGCCCGGGGACATTGGTGCGATTTAGAATGAACACGTACGTAGTAGATGGCGTGGATAAGTGTGCACTCAACATACTTGGGCCGCTTTGCTAACCCGAGGACGTGCCGAGCACAAAGTAAATGCCTGGGTCGTACATAAGAGGACAATTGGGCAGTGTTGCAAGTGTAGCGGGGACGCTGTGAAAGACAAAACTGAGAGTTTATGTGATGCAAGAGGTCAGCTACGCGTCCAGCTTCCGCTTGATCTTTTCATATGCGCTATAAAGCATATGATACGTATCAACACAATTCTGTGCCCATTTAGATGTCAGATCCCCGGGGTATTTGCCTGTTTTGACTTTGTAAGCATTAACATCAGCGTGTACGGTCTCGTATTGCTCCTTCAGTTCAAAGAGACACTTCTGTACCTCTCGTTTGAACTGCTTTAGACGCGCCTGATCCGTAGGCACTGGCCGTTGCAAGAACTTATTCGCTTCTTCAACAGTTGCACGAACCTGTGCAACCTTAGAAAGAATAAGGGCTTCGGATTCAGCCGAACCCAACTTTCCAGATCCTGCAGTCGTAGGATTACGCTTCTCACGTCCTGTGGACTTGCTCGGCTTATCATCGTCGTCGTCATCCGGAAGAAACACCTTAAGAGTTTTGTATTCAACATAGAGGGGACGGAGGGCCTCCTTCTCTGTCCTACTGGGCTCTCTATTAAACCGCTTCTCAAACTGGACATTGAATTCTTTCAGAACAGATTTGAGAATTGCGCGATTGTCTCGGATAAGTTGGAGATTGAGCCCTGATCCAGAGGGTGTACTGGCCACGGGAGTGGATCCAGGAGTAGTGAGTATTGACGACAGAACCTTCTTCTTGTCGGAAACCGCAGGTTGCCCCGTCTGCACGTTGACTGGGATAACATTCTGCTCCTTGCGGGCGCGAAGAACCGCCTGCTGGCAACGATACAGGTGCATCTCTGTCAATGGAAGCACATCTCGTGGAGTTATCAAGGACCTGGCCATCCGTCTTCCCTTCCAACCCTGAACGTGCGCGCAGATGACCCCTTTGGCCCAACTTCCCAGAATAGGATCTGTAGGAGAGAGCTTCTTTCGGTCAACTGGACTCAGTTTATATGGATACTGGAACACAATACTGGCGTTAAGGGCCTCTAACTTCTCAGGTTGATGATGATTGATATCAAAACTAAGTCTAAAAGGATGCTTTTTGAATCTAGATATGGTGTCGTCTATGAGGTTTATGACGTACGGAGAAAGAGCAGCAGGAGCAGCAGCGGCAGATGCGCTCTTAACGTTCTGCATAGAGGGCTCGATGGTCGAATAGGCTAAAAGAGGCGCTTGCCGAGTGCTAAAGTCTGTTATGCTGGCTGTTATCGTGGACAGAATCTTATCGAAAATGGGTGTACGGATGAAGTCCGAGGAGAGAGACATTTTTGGCAAAAAATTTGTTTGTGGTTGATGGGCAAGCTTTTTAATTTAATATGAGCCCCCATCACCTAGTCATCTCTTAGTATGCTGATTACACCTGCCGTTAAGCTGTCACTCATCTGGTCGACTTGACAATTGGCAACTTGACATGTGAACTAGGTGCACACTGAGCTGTTAAAATTCATTTAAATTCCAAGTCAGGAGTACATATGGCCATGGAGCCTATAAAGGTACGCATCTAATCAGCTTCATTTGATATTGGTTATATAATTGTAGTGTGTTTACGCTGTCTTAATTAATTGGTGGTGTACTCGCTCATCCTAATGCAAATCCAGACTTGGGACCTTATCTCTAGCGCATAATCATACTTTACTCTGTCAGTAACGAAATACCAGTGTGAATGCTGGTTACTTTAACGTTCAGTAGCCGTTGTTAGTGCATGTCGGCACATCAGACGACCCCGCCTCTCCCAGGGAAGGCCGGCGCCGCCCAGCAGGTCGGCGGCCCAATGTTCGGCAGATTTTTGCTCGCGATCGTCATCCTTCAGCTGGCACGGACAGCCTGCACCCAAGAAGCTGACGATGGAAAGTGTAAAACGTGTGGCGTCACCATCGGCCAAGAACAATACTGCTCCGAGTGCAACGGAGCAAACTACGCCCCCGTGAACGGTGCTTGTGAGGACGTGGAGACGCAGGCGGATAAAAAAGCTCTTTGCAAAGCACACGCCAGCGGGGCTTGTACGACGTGCGGAGGCAACTCATTCATGTACAAGGACGGCTGTTATTCCAGCGGAGAAGGCCTTCCTGGACACAGCCTGTGCTTAAGTTCCGACGGAGATGGCGTATGCACCGAGGCGGCCCCGGGGTACTTCCTCAACCCGCTGAGGGCGAATACCAAGGACTCTGTGGTATCGTGCTCGGACACGACCGGGTTCACCGACAGCGGCAAAACGTACAGGGGGGTGCAGTACTGCGAGAGATGCGACGGGGCGGCGCTGACAGACGCTGCCGGCGGAGACGCCAAGTGCACCAGGTGCGGCCAGGATAAGTACCTCAAGGATAATACGTGTGTGGATAAAGCCCAGTGCGATTCTGGTAGCACTAATAAGTTCGTTGCAGTTGATGATTCTGAGAATGGCAACAAATGTGTTTCTTGCAGCGATAACCTCAATGGTGGCGTTGCCAATTGCGACACCTGCAGCTACGATGAGCAATCTAAGAAGATCAAGTGTACAAAATGCACCGATAACAACTACCTGAAAACCACAAGCGAAGGCACGTCGTGCGTACAAAAAGACCAATGCAAAGACGGCTTCTTCCCCAAGGATGACAGCAGTGCAGGAAATAAATGCCTCCCTTGTAATGACAGCACCGACGGAATTGCCAATTGCGCCACGTGTGCTCTGGTTAGTGGCCGATCAGGGGCTGCCCTCGTTACATGCTCCGCCTGCACGGATGGATACAAGCCTAGTGCCGACAAAACTACGTGCGAGGCGGTAAGCAACTGCAAGACCCCCGGATGCAAGGCGTGCAGCAACGAAGGAAAGGAGAACGAGGTCTGCACAGACTGTGATAGTAGCACATATCTCACGCCGACAAGCCAGTGCATAGACAGCTGCGCTAAGATTGGAAACTACTATGGAGCTACCGAAGGAGCAAAGAAAATCTGTAAAGAGTGCACTGCGGCTAACTGCAAGACTTGCGATGGGCAAGGGCAGTGCCAAGCATGCAGCGACGGATTCTATAAAAACGGCGACGCATGCTCTCCGTGCCACGAAAGCTGCAAGACATGCAGCGCAGGCACTGCCAGCGACTGCACCGAGTGTCCCACCGGAAAAGCACTCAGGTACGGGGACGACGGTACTAAGGGCACGTGCGGAGCTGGATGCGCAACGGGCACAGGAGCAGGAGCATGCAAGACGTGTGGGCTCACTATCGATGGTGCTAGCTACTGCTCTGAGTGCGCCACAGCGACAGAGTATCCTCAAAATGGCGTCTGTAGCTCAACAACTGTCCGTGCTGCAGCCACTTGTAAGGCTGGAAGCGTTGCCAAGGGTATGTGTAATTCATGCACCAACGGATTTCTTCGTATGAACGGGGGCTGCTACGAGACGACTAAGTTCCCTGGAAAGAACGTCTGTGAGGAGGCAGCACCGGCCGGCGATACCTGTCAGACTCCGGCCGACGGGTACAAACTGAATAACGGCGCGCTCATCACTTGCTCGGCCGGATGTAAGACGTGCACCAGCCAGGACCAGTGCGACACGTGCAAGGCTGGATATGCTAAGACTGGCGGTAACACTAAGAAGTGCGTTCCCTGCGCCACTGGGTGCTCCGAGTGCAATGCGGACGACGCCACCAAGTGCACGGTGTGCGCTGCAGGGTACTACCTGTCCAAAGAAAAGTGCATAGCATGCGACAAGAGCGACGGCGGATCCATCACCGGCGTCGCCAACTGCGCCAACTGCGCTCCCCCAACCAACAATAAAGGGCCTGTCCTCTGCTACCTCATACAGAACACCAACAGGAGCGGGCTCTCCACGGGGGCCATCGCGGGGATCTCCGTCGCTGTGGTCGCTGTCGTGGGGGGCCTCGTGGGCTTCCTCTGCTGGTGGTTCCTCTGCAGGGGGAAGGCGTGACTTAGGTAGTAAATGCGTCACTAGTGGTGCAGCTGCCTGACAAGCGGGTGCGCCTCGTATACTTCGCCAGCCAGCCTGCAACCGGGAGCAGGGGTGGCCGCTCCCCTGCCCCCGAGCGTGCTCTGCACAGTGCCGTTGATACCGTCATGGCCGGGGACGGTGCACTCGATATCCTGTGCCCGCCGACGAGCTGCATCGATGCGAGGAGGGGTGCTTGATGTGGGCAGTTTTGGTACTGTCCATGTGATAGGTAGTTATCCAAGGCTCAGAGTGGGAAGCTCACGGAGGCCACTGGGTCGTGCTGGCCACCATTTCCAGACGCTCACACCTAGATGCCATTAGGCACTACCAGGTGCTCAGAGACGCCTGATCTGTCTTCATCGTCATGGACCGCTGGGATCGGTGCCTCAAGATGCGATTACCGATTGTGCAAGAACCGACAACCCTATCGATGCAATGCTCTCCATCATGGAGCAGATTGCCATCATCCTCGCCTACCTTCACGACCCCGACAAGGTCGATGCCAGCAGAGATGGCAGGCTCAGCTCTTGCGGACTTCGGGCTCTGAAGGATGTCCTGCACAATGGGAGTGCCATTTTGGGAACCAAGCATACATGGCCCCCAAGACCCACCTCAGGGGCGAGACCGGTCCTGCGTCCGACGTCGGGTCTTCGGTGCTATTGCCTACGAGCTCTCCGCTTTCAAATGCCTGATCTCCTGGGAGCAGCACCTGAGGAATGTCTTCGTCGACGGGTGAAGGCTCAGCCTGAGTGCAGTTGAAGATGACCTCATAAGGAGTATCCTCAAGAAAGTGCTTGTTCTAGACCACACTCAAAGATCAACAGCCAGGGAGCTCGTCAGACTACTCCAGGCACCCATCACCTCTCCTAACGAACGTAGTACTGGAACGGTGTTGAATGAAGGACACAAGTCACTGGGCTGCACTCTGCACAGTACCAACCCCGCAGTCGATCATCCTGAGAACCGCCTCACTAGCACCACTGAAGCTATTATTGTAGATATTCTACACCCTAGTAAACAGCACATTCGGTGAAATGCCTGTCTCACTGTAAAATTGCTGAAGCATTCTCCGGGACAGTGTCTTTATGGACCTGTATCAACCTACACTGGTGACGCTACAAGCAGCCTTCTGCAGCCATCAATTGCTACTATGTTCTGTTAAGCCATCTTTGCCCCTCAGTTTGGCAGTGTACATATAAGTATTTGCGCAACAGTGGAAAGCACCTGGGCCATATCGATGAGTTATCGCTGCGAGATAGAGTACATCATCGCATGCACGAGCTTTCGTAGGGTGTATTGTTTAGAAGTAATCAACGGGGTTTAGCGTCCTGCATCGTCAATGCGCATCCATAACTCACGTCTGGCTACTGCTAAAACCGGAACTTTCCTCCGGATATCATGAAGTCTTTATGTGGCTCCAGCCATTTACTCGGGTCTGAGGCTCAGCTTCCCACGAAAGCGGGTCCGGTCTCTGATGACGAGAGTCACAGCGGGTATTAGGCCTATTCCTGTTGCAATTGAATAAAACAGCGGGGTACCAAAGGACCGCTCGGTTGGCTTTCCAGCGCTGTCTGTCTCCTTCATCACGTCACTTATCCGGCCGGCAATCGGCGGGAGAGCAAACTGCCAGAGATTGAGCAGGCTCTCGTCGATGGCGTATGCGATGCTGAGCTGGTCATACGGCACCACGCTGCTGAGCAAACTCTTGGTGAACGCTGCACTCCCACCGTCCACAAACCCTATCATTGCCATTGGAATCATATTGTACCAGTCAGGGAGGAAGATAGTTAGTACAAAGCCTGCAATGGCCATGATATACCCTAGGAGGGTTAGAAGTGGCCTCTGTCCGATAGCTCCAACCAGCAAACCGCTAACCGGCCCTCCGACAACGCTCATGACTGATCGGACTATGCCAAAATATTCCACGGTTTCCTCTGAAATGCCATTCTTGTTTGCAGAGAGATAACTCAGTATCAGCGTCTGGCAACCGTATGCACACCCCAGGAGAAGTGAAAAAGCTAAATTTGGCGGCCAGTAGTCCATAGGAAGCATAAATGCATGCTTCAATTTGTATAGGAAGGGTATGCGATTGCTCTTGCTGGGGAGTGTGGGCAAAATCTTTTTATCCATATAGACAGGAAGCTCCGGTCTAAACGCCAGCGACTGGTCTTCGCGCTCTTGGTTGATCTTTTTGATGGCTTTGTCAATGCGCAACAGAGGTAGTCCGCATGCAAGATAAATACCGAAGGAGATTACACACACGACAACATTGAGCCAGTAGGCCAATTTGATTTTATTTTCAAACTCGAGAAATAATGGATCTTGTCTATTTATGGGATGCTGAATTTTGTGGATGTCAATCTTTGAAAATAGGGGCGGGATAAACCCAAATCCCAATAGATTCGCTGAGGTTGAGATGCTCATACAGACCCCAAAGCCCAGAGATTCCAATCTAGAAGGCATATACTTTGCAATGAGCGCAGATTGTACGAGCCATGAAGGCTCGGATAGCAAACCAAAGACAATACGCATGATCAGCAGAGCCACATAGTTGTGTTGAATGAAGGGCATTATGATAGTTGTTACTATGAACCAGATATGGCAAAAAATGCCGACATTCATGGGCCCATAGCGGTTTATGAAGGGCGCAATGACAAGGGCCATGAAGAGAGACGGGCAGAATATCACCGATGAGAGCCAGCCAATAAGCTCATCATTTATGTTTTCGTAGTACTTTGTCAAGTAAACACTCAAAGGCGCTATGGAGTCATTAACATACATGGAGGAAAATGCAGCGAATATGCTGTTGATGAATATGAGAGCTATCTCACAGGTTGTGGGCTCTACCCCCATCATCTCCACTTTTGGCCGGGGAGGAGCATACACCCTGTTATTGTAAAGGTGAGGCATCGCAATAGAGCCGCGTTGGTATGATCGAGACCTGCGCGTTTTGGAGAGAGAGTCCACAACCATGCGGTTTGAAACAGGCTCTATACGTTGAAAGCGCGGTATTCGCTGGCGCTTCAGATGATGGGGGGAAACCACCATAGTGCCTTTTTAACCTTTGAGATGCCGGAGAATTGTTATTGGAAAGAGAAAGGGATGCGAGTCGTTAACTGGAATCGTTATCTATGTGCATAGTGGTCCATAATGGTCCCACTAGCGTGCATACGCCGATCCCACCATGGGAGCTGATGGCGTTTGTGATAAATTTCTTCCTGCCTTTATCACATTATTTCCGGTTTTGATGAGTAGTAGGTCGTCTTCTCCTCCTGGACGCAGTAATACGACAGCAAGAACACATGGCAAGCCACACAAGCAGAAAAAGAAGCGGCGAGCAACGTCTGGCACCAAATTGCGGGCCTCGCCGTCCCTACCAGGTTCCATGATAGTGAGCAGTGTGCGCTTGCAGCCTTCCAGGCCAAGAGCTGATGGAGCAGCACACATGACTCAGGCTGCGGCCAACAGGGAAATACCGTCAATCTCTCGATCACCTATGATTGTGAAGCCTGTAGGGCAGGAGCTTAAACAAGCACCTTCTCCAAAGCTTCAGAAGCTTCTTCCTGTCTTAGAAAGTACCGTTCCTTTCTTTGGAGAGTATGTCTATGGATTGAGCTCTGTTGTACACTACACCAGAAACTTTATGGCTCTGGATCCAGCTCCAAAGGCCACTGATCCCCTAATAAAAGCTAGACTGATAAATGCATCGATTGTTAAGCGAATTCGTTGTACTCAGAAGGTTTCTATTTCCTTGGAGGACGGATACGACGATACGTCTGATGAAGACCCTCCAACCTCCTTAACAAGCAGCACTGCCGAGATTCCCGATCTTCCATTGCTTAAAAACCCACTGAAGTCCTCAAAACCATCGAAGTCCTCAAATTCACAAGAAACAGGGAGCAAGGCCGACAAAACAGTACGGGCACAGCATTCTTTCAGCATGTTTATGGTGCCTAGCACTGATAATGCTATTATGGCCCGGTATGGATCCCTTGTCATCTCCACTCTCAAGCAGTTTGAAAAGAGGCTATCATACATTACGGTCCGCCTGGCGAGCGATTCGTCAGGCCCCAGTCACCCCCGGAACATCGTTATCTTCAAGGGAGGATACGTGGACTTCAAAAAATACTTTCTAGACAAAGGCTGGGTAGTTAACCCCGACAAGGACACCCCAACAGACTTTAATATCAAGTTTGCCATTAAAGTAGCAGATATTGATCGCACAAGGTTGCATCCGTGGCAGTACACAAACCATTTCACTAACTCACAAGTGCTAACCACGAAGAGCGGCCTGACCAAGACCCTGTCCCCTAACAACTTTGATATAGACATAACCAGGTTCTTCCCACAATCGTATCGGGTAGTCAATGCATCCGACGCCAATAGCCAAGCGCAATTGCAATTAATGAGCGCCAATGATGAGACGCTAGACTTCCTCGAGGACTTTCTGAATACTGAGGTAGTAAAGATTTGCTTCAACTGGGTGCGCGACCCCAAGATCTGTGATTCCATGATCGACTGGGAGAGCTCCACTGCCGAAACAAACGAGCGAACAGAACTAACCCCTTCTAGTTGCTTTAAGTACAGTATACACCAGCTACAGATCTCCTATAGACACCTCTTGTATCTGACGTCTACCATTCTTCACCATGACTTAGAGTTGGATAAGAAGACGCGCTTTGTTGTGCCTCCCGTAACGCAGTATGAAATGGGCATTATACTCCCCAGGCTGCCGCGTCAGTACAAGCTTCCGGACTTCTATGGCGCCATATCTCCTCAGAGCTTGTTTTCCTCCGATGGAGAAGCAGGGTCTGGGCCCAAAGGTAGACCCAGACCGGGAACACTGTTTCCCGCTACCACTGCAGGTCCTGTTGCTAATGGCTCAGAATCCATCGCTGCTCCTGCTCCAGATTCCTTCAGTTCGCGGAGAAAGGAACAGTTCAGCCATCCATATTCTGCAGCTACTGACGAAATACATGCTAATGCGGCAACTGCCCAGGAATACCACCACATGGTGCGCGCGCTTGGAGTGTATCTGCAGCACGCACCTCAAGTGTCGATCAGAAGCTCCATGCAGAATATCTTTATCGGAAAGCCTGGGGCAAAGTCAAGGGGTCGCGGTATCTTCTGCTCTAACGACATCCTCAAGCTCTTAGTCCTGGACGAGCACGGCGGAACAGACAGTGAGTTTGAGCTTCCAGACGAAGCGGCTGTCAACAGCTCTGATCGTTACATAATACAGCGGTACTTGGAAACACCCCTTCTACTGGGCGGGTACAAGTTTGACATCCGTCAGTGGGTGTTCGTCAGCTCTATCAACCCGCTGATAATATTTCAGTGGACGAGCCCGTACTTAAGGTTTTGCTCGTCAAAGTACAGCTTAGATGAACACGATTTGAAGAACCCGTATATCCACCTCAGCAACAACAGCGTTCAAAAGTGCTCGGAGCAGTTTGGTAAGGACGACGAGTTCCTCGGTAAGGGAAACATGTGGGACTGGACGAGTTTTTCCGACTATCTGGATAAAATGATTGGTGACAAGCCATGGTTGGACCTCCTCCTAGAAAGGGATCCTCAGTATTTCTGTTACCATCAAACAGAAGACTTTAAGATAAGAGCACCACCAACAAGCACAGAGGGTACCGAAATGGTAGATATTTTGCGTGCGCAAAATCAATCTAAATCCAGATACCAATCTAAATCCCAATCCAAATTAATAGTAACAGAAAATAAAAATAAAAATAACGATGAGGATGCAGAGACTGTGGAGACGGACAAAAGAAAAGCTAAATCACGTCCATATAAGCAGAAGTATGAGACCAGCGAGCACGCCAAGCTCTACGGACCTGACCTCTACGGCAACCAATCGCGCATCAAAGCGGAGGATTACAAGCACTCGCAGTACACTGACAAGGCCGTGTTCAACACAATAGCTGACCGCATTCTCTACGACATGGCGCGAATAATAATAACCACCGTGCAGGCGGCACGATTCGAGCTCACCTCAGCGGATAACAACTTTGAACTGCTTGGGTATGACTTCATCATTGACAGCGCCCTGCAGGTATGGCTGGTAGAAATTAATGCATCGCCAACCCTAGAACACAGTACAGAGGTGGTAACAAAGCTTATCGATAAGATGTCTCGTGGGCTTGTTAATATAATTGTTGATAGTTGTCTTGGAACAAAGATAAAGACAAAGAAGAAGATTGTCATGCCAAAGATCAGCAACGCAAGTGCTGTCTTCGGCTCTGGCAATGGCGCATCTGCTCTCGAAGACTGGAAACTCATCTATTGTGAAAAGCAGAAGCTTAGTCAGTACTCTGCAGATATCACAGCATTTGGGAAGGAGATATCCATTCCAGGAGTCATTGTGCGCGATCCTCCGCAAGATAAGGGAGAGGCGCAATGAGCTTGTACCGATGTCACGATCTACATCACATACGCAAGGAGCGACGAGTCACCGTCCACGTAGCTGAGGTAGTCCATGTCAATTAAATTATCCAGCGAAGACTTGGCTGTTTCGTTGGACGTCCCGCTGACCTCTTCGACACAGCGATCGATAATTTCCCGCCTGCTAAGTGGCCCGCATGTCTTGACCAATCGAACAATGAACGCGTTGGCAAGAGCGATGACAGTGTTGATGTCCTTACCCATGGCCTGAGGAGCCGACTGTGGCACAATGACTGTTGGCGCCGCATCTGTGATCGCGTCAGATTGTCCGTCAGCAGCAGACACCTCCTGCTTGCTCGGCAAGCACCTTACAGAATCTAACGAGTGATACCATGTGTAGCAATCGAGGTGCTTGTAATGTGGCCCTTCATTGGCGTAGGAGAAGCAGAAGTAGTCACAGCGCTCTCTGTTAAAAAAGGATGCAATGGGGTCCTGCCTGGTAAGGTCTTTAAGCTGCTCCTTCGCACTTTTCGTCTTAGCCAGACTGGAGTGAACTGTCAAGTACCCCTTGGAGTCCATCGCCAGAAGACCGTCGCGAATCATCTGTGGGTAGACAGAGGAGAACACTTCTCCAAGGACGGTAGCCAAGTCTGCGGGGAAAACACGTGTTCTCTGAAGAACAAAATCAAGAGTGTCAGCCACTTCGCGCGTGCATATGATTATGCTGCCAGACAAGGACAGAACATGAAGAGGGGGCACGTCGCTTGCTTCAAGGGTGCTCTTCAGCAAGGGAGAAATAACCCTGACGTGGCCGGACACAAACGCCATAAGCATCTTTTGGATATCAGTTGTCAGCATAGGCGTTTTCCTGGCGGCGCTAACGTGTATAAATGTTTCATCCAGAAAAGACTGAAAGGCAGCGTTGATCAATATGTAGTTGGTGTCGCTCATTGTCATGTTTTTCGCAGCATGCGCAACACTCGATGCGCTGGTAATATTATTGAGATATTTGTGGCAAATGTCTGAGATATCATCTGAAGGTATAGACGATCGAAACTCTAGATATGATTCTTGCTCCAGAATAAGAAGGGCATGAGACGTAGAAAAGCAGAGGAACCTATTCAGAGACAGATTGATCATTCGCGAAACTATAGCTGCCAAGCTTCCATCATTCTTCCGAAGAAAGCCCATACAGCTGCTCAGAATAGGCCACGAAAACCTACCCATCATCTCAGCAATATCAAGGAGGTTATGGAACAGAGGTTGCTTCCGCGGTGGAGCTTTGTGAATAAGCATCTTCTCCCATGCAATCTTGGTGCTACTTCGAAAGGTAATCCCATTAGAGGTGCCTATGGGGGCTGCAGCGACCGTTGTCACGGGCCCCTGGGGCTCGGAGTTTTTAGAAGCGAGTAAGGAGTTACATGAGTGACCACAGTATGCAAGTAGCGCGCAAAGAAGAAGCTGCGGAAGCCGCAAACTGCTACTCGGACAAAAGATCTGCCGCAAAAGCGCCTCCAGCGGTTGGCCAGGAACAGAGGGACAAGACAGTAGAGACAGGTATTCCCGTATCTGCTCATGAGGCTCTGGGTTGCAAAAAAGCTCATCTAGCTCCTTCAGCTTTAGCTCTAACAGGCAGATAAACCGAATTATGCTATCCACAAGGACGAGAATGGCTTCGGCAGAGACAAATGCAACAGAGCTATTTGAGTTGCAGCAAAGGGTGTCGACGTACGCGGCAGTGTAGACGTGGGCTTTTAGACTGGGGTTTTCAAGTTCATACACCTTCCCACTCGATAAGTTGCTCTGCATTTTACGTAAAGTCACCAGAAGAGAGTTTGAGAGGAGATACCTGAGTGTTTCTTGAATGTCCTCAGAAACAGAGTTGAGATAAATGAGATTGACAGCCAAAACCTGTGCTACGGGAAAGGTTGGAGGATTGCCCTTTAGGTAAGACTGGTCTACTACAAATGGATTGGCTAGAAATTTATCTATACACAAAGAATATGTGCCAGGGTTTCTGTATGCATATTTAAGAGAAAGATCGAGGGATCGCGTAATAAAGTTATCTATTAGCGACAGGGGACTGTCCTCAGCAGCCCCGCAGCGCTCTTCTGCCTCATACGCTAGAACGTAAAGGTGATAGATTAGCCCCTTGCCACCATTGAAGTAGTTAAATATTACAGTGTAGGATAGGATAGGCGATGTCAGCAACGGCTCCAGATCGTTCAAAACAGCAGAAAGGAGGCTTGTGCGGAGGTGCGAGAGATTGGACTGTACCTCTAAAATGTTTAGGCACTCCTGCGATGGCATAAACAGTCCGCTATTTCTCTGCATACAGCGCATGGCCGTAGTGACTTTTGTTGGCAATTCCACATAAGTCACTTGAAGCAGGTATGCTAATACCTCTGTGAACTCGTTGAGGGAAGATATTACAGAGAGGATTGCAACACAAATATCACTATTCATCACGGGAGCATGATGCCGTATCAACAAAGAGTCATTTGCATCATCCGCGTTATCAGTTGAACCAATAGGGACACTGATTTCTGTATTCGTCACATTAGCAGATCCATCTGAAGGCACACCTGGCTGTGCCTTGCATGTGTCGTCCTCCTGGAGGTCATCTCCGCCTTCACTATCTGTCTCTTCTTCTGAATCGTAAGAACAATCAGACGTGGACAGACTAAGGTTGTGCAATAATCCCCTGCTCAGTGCCGGTTTAATCCTAGCCTGGATGCTATGCAATAGTTCCAAGGATGCCTTTTGGCTGCCCTGTTTGTTGGTGAGAAGTCCGTTCAACTTGCCTCGCAAAATCGCCACTACTGATGGTATAAGCTTATCCACCAATTCGTCAATATACTGAGAGTGAACAGCACCAACAAAGCTGATCATAGCCCGCAGAGAAAGAATGTGAGGCTGCTCACTCCCTAGCAGATATGTAGATATCCCATTGATGATCAGGGAGATGATCTTCTTTGCACGCTCTTCATTAATGAGGTCAGTAGTAAGTGCATCGATAAAGGTATCCCTCACCGTGTTAAGGGGGAGCCCGTATCCGGCGAAAAGCGTGCTTGTGTTAGCCAGTTTAGTGCGCAGATCGTTCCACACTGCCAGCAGGACTGCAAACGATTGACTGATGAGTAAAGGGTCGCTATCAGAGATCATGCAGGCTCCCTTGATGACTCCTTCTATTTCATCGACGTAGACTCGGAGGCTCATTTTCAAAAGCTCCACCACACCGGGAAAGTTTCCCGACTGTGTGGCGTCTTTCAGGAAAGAGGGCGATGGAGCCTGTGGCTGAATGACGGAGAGATGACATTCAGAGTTTGCCACAGACGTCAGATCGTAATCAGAGACGCCCTCAAATCCAAAGTGATTAGATACCTCTGTATAAATTTCTATGCTAAAGTTGCTAAAAATACCTGCCAACGCATCACGGAACGATGTGTACTGGGTCTTGGTTGAAAACTCTGGAACGGGGGAGTTTGTGTCTTCTAAGCAGCTTAGCACATCTGCGTGTGTAAACTCATAACTGACATCCAGCAAAGGCGCCGATGCAGTGGGATTTGATTGTGCATGCTCCATTCTTTTTTTACGAATTGAAAGCGTTGAGCCAAGTAAAGAGTACAGCCGCGATGGAGCACACTAGATCCGCCTTATTGCCCCGCGGATGATAATCCACGCAAGGATGATTAGCAAAACCAACACTATGCAATTGTGGTAACGTCGGGACAAGGCATATGTCTTCTGCACGTACCCATTCGCCCTATCCATAAACCCCGCCGAATTATCAATCGTTTCATGAAGACCAAAGATGCGCTCCCCATCGTGTTGAACTGTTGCAGCAATGTGCTTGTAAATTTGTTGAACCTCATGAAGTGTTTGAGTGACGCTTTGAGCGCTTGCCTGCTGTGAATGGTCGATTAAGGTGAGGCTGGGATAAAGAGTTTGTTCCATCATTAGCCCCTCAGGGTGTGCTCGTGACACATTGATCGAGGAGGGAGAACCGCTAACGTTAGTCAGGGTCATACGAGCCGCTGGGGGCAGTGCTGATGTGGACCGCTCAGCAGTTCGCATCATGTATTTGGCTACTGCTGTCTGAAGACGCTGATTAAGTAGACTCAATACCCCTGAGTAGTAGTGCTGGGGAGCATCTTTGAGTCGCGATAGATTAATTTGTGAAATCTCCTTCTTTGCCTCTGCAATGAGCTGCTCGGTTACAGCACTGTTAAACTGTTTCCCTGCACGGGTGCCACCGCATCGGGCCTCAAGTTTAATGACCAAATTTGATGCCTTCTTTGCCTGCTCGTGGGTGTCCAAAACTGCACCCCTGCGCAGGGAATTGTCCATACGGGAAGAAAAAACAATACCGTCAGGCACAGGATGAACGGACGGAAGCGAAGCTTGCTCCTCATGTCTTAGGAGGTCACCAAACAGGCACGTGAACTCCATACGAATCCAAAGATAATTTTATACCTGGTTCATAGGGCCGAGATAGCTCAATCTTTGTGTTTCTATTAACCTTGCTATTAATGTGTTGGCCTAATGAAGGAAATATAATAAAGGGTTTTTGCTATGTCTGCTTCGCAAGGTTCACGCTGGAAGCACAAGGCAGCTATTCTTCTTTACTCTTCGTTTGGGGCAGTGCTTGGTGTCGCGCTATGCATAGGTTTTATCCCCTACAAGGACTTTGAGATAGCGAAGGAAAAGGCTGTGCCAGATCAGACGCGCCATGGCAAGCAGTGGTCTGCCTCTGCCCCCTTAGGTTCTCTCCAGGATATCATTGAGGACATTGAGGATAGGTACGATGTCAATTTGCCAGCGATTCTCGGAATAGCTTCGATGCTGGGCGTGTTCCTTCTATTTCTTTTTGCCCTTATACTTATAAGCATCATCAAGTGCGCCTTGGCCTGCAAGTGCGCTGCGAATAACAAGCATCTGCGTTCTCAGCGTTTCGAGGTGGCGTACAGGATCCTTTTGGGCCTGGGCCTCCCCGTTTATATCCCTGCATATCTGATGCATGTATGGACAGTGAGCTTCCTCCTTTCTCCAGGATCCCTTAGGAATGTGTTGTGGGGCGTGGGGTGCTATATGGGAATTCACGCTCTTGTGCTCGGGCTGACTGCCGCCTTTGTCATGATAATAGGGCCCCCAATCCTTTACTCTGGAAGGCCGAGCCTAATAGCGATCCTTTACATACTCAGCGCAGCCATTGCTGGGTCAGTCCTGTTCGCGCTCATTATCATCGACGGGATCCGCATCAACGTTCCTTATTCCGACCTTCTGTCAATCTGCTATGTCCATGTGCCAACTATTTTAGTCGCGCATACCTTACTATACGTATTTACTGTGACAAACCAAGAGGGATGCAGGCTAACGTGCCAGAGTAGGCGTCCCAACCTCAAGAAGTCGGAGGAAAAAGACGCCAATGCGGAAGAGGTCAACGAGCTCCTTGAAGGCTCCCAAAGTAATGAGAATGTATTTTAAATGGCCGAACTGTTTCAGGCTCTTCACGTTTCTTGTTGCGCAAACCCTAGGAGGCAAGATATAAGTGTAGCATTTAAAAATATAAGTCACGTGCTGACACATCAAAAAATAGCCACGTGCTAAAGTTTGCAATGCCAACGGATACACCGAGAAGCCTTGCCGACAGTTCATATCTACATGAAATGTCGCAAATTGGGGAGGAAACAACAGACCGTCACACGAGACACGTGAGCTATTCCGTGAAACCTGAGGAGGATCTTCCGTGGCTTCCACCGCCTGTTTGGAAGACTGTGCTGTGGTTCCTCTTTGACACCGTGATGATTCTTATTTCCCCCTTTATCCTGCTGCCGTTTTGCTACCTCATGTCGGGACTGGACAGTCATCGTTTTGCAGACATCGGTACCCTGATGACCGGGTGGATGGCTGTAGCGTACGTTTTACTTCACCACTACATGGACAATGCGAAGTTCAAGAACGCGCTCATTAGGCTCAAGTGGGGCACGCCGGCCCTCATAGCAGTGTTTACTCCTGTTATCATGCTCATGGCTGTCGTGGGGACGTACCTGGAGTTCTATCTCATTTACTTTTTCACCGGACAGTATAAGGTGTCCCATGGTCTTGTGTCGTGGCATGAAGTGGCCTACTTTCTAACCATTACCATGGACGGATCTGTGTTTTCTGGAAACCTGTTTGGTGTTACGACTGATCCTGCACATAAAGCAACGCTCCGATACTTGCTCTCGTGGATCATCTGGATTGTGTTTGCGACCGACACTCAGGGAGGTCACGGACTGGTGATAAGCAACGGGAGCTACTACAATCAGTGGGGCGCAATTCTCCAGGCTTTCATCAACTCCTTCTTCTTGACATATACGCTCATAGCTCCGGTCCTAAAGCGGTACCTTGGCCCTAATATCACACCCGGGAATCGGGCCGGGGTCCTCTCTCCTTACTATGTTTTCTTCTCGCTTTTCCAGTACGCTATATGCTACGCCATCACGGAGATCATACTACATATAGAAGGCAAGGTAATCGCGCCGGATTTCGATGACGGCGACGGTACCGGTCACGCAGTGCGAACCCACGGAACCTGGATGGTGCTTACTTATGTGTTGTTGGCAATTTGTCAGCTGTGGCACCGCCTTCTTCCCCACTATAATCCAAAGGGCTCTGCAGGCTATGTCTTCTGCCGCTTTGTCATCTGGATTCTCCTGATCTTCGTCTTTGCCATTGGCTATCTGGCCTACTTTGAGTTTGTTGTTTGGTGGGCGCTAGTCACGAAGCTTAAGTTCTTAGACGACGCCTCCTACAACACGCACACTCTTAAGCCATCTTTCACCTTTAGTTTCTCTGCCTTGGGGATGACTCTTCTCTGGCAGGCGATGACTCACTATTCTCGTAAGTCTAACGAAGTCAAAATCGTCTTTAGATAATTTTCCGGCACACCAGCCTCCTTTATCTGTAACTGTAAATGCGCACGGAAGCTGTTGATGGTTGTCTTTTGGAAATTTATTCTGGAAATCTATCTTTTAATCTTTTAACGCGCCAAAGCAGCAGAGTCAAGAGCCGATGATCAGCGCCCCTCAAACTAGAGAAGTGGCTGGCTCCAGTGCTAGAACCATCTTCTTAAAAGATAGAAGAGACTTGGAGTATCAATCGCAGCGCAGGCTTCTCTCGGGCCTGGACCTCTCAATTAAAGTTAGTGATGCAGTCGACAAGGCTAACAAGGTTAACAATTACTCGCACAAGAGCAACAGGAGCGCTGGCAACGACGCTTGTCCGAAACCAAGCGACGAAGAAATCTTATTTCCACCTATTCCACTGTATTTTGGCCAAGAATCTGCCAGTCAGTGCCTGGAGGCGTTGTCGCAAATTAGAGACATACTGTACACCATAGTGAGTGATCTCTCCCGGTCTACTACCGCACCCACTAGATTGCGATGCTTTTCTAGGCCACGGATAGAAAAACTCATAGAATCCTTGTTTGGAATAATAAGCTCTGTCTCTCAATCTAAGCAGACCCAATCCTGCGAGGTTTATAGGCAACAGACGGAGGCAGATCTCAATCTGCTCTACCTAGCAATCATCAACATATATTATCTCATGGAGCTCGAGCTCTATTTCGTTCGAGCGCCAGATGTGGATCTCTTCCTTCTAGTCCTCAATCAGGTGGTCCAGGTGGAGGACAAGTACAAGGCACTCAATGTACTAGTGTACGAAACCATCATTCAATTGATTGCCAACAGCATCTCGACTAAAGATATCTCTCACAAGCTTGTCCAGCAAATTTTGAATGGATTTTGCCCAATTATTTTTGAAATGTGCAAAAATATTCCCACCGGATCGATACCAGCGACATTTATTTATAGAACAAATTCCTTTTGGTTTCTATCTAATGCAGCATTGGTCTACACCAAGAAGGACACAGAGCTAGACAATCCAACCTACCAGACCTGTTTGCAACTTCTTCCCCTGGTGGTCGAGATACTGTTATATCTATTTAACATTTCCACCCCCCTCTGGTTTGACGAAGTTCAGATTCGTGGGTTAGTAGAGGGTACACACGAATCGTGGATCGATCACAAGAATGCGCTGAAGGGCCTGGAGCCCAATCTCGAGCTCTTCTATTTAAACAAGCAACTCATCTACCTGGCCTGGGCCATGACTTTTTTTTGCGACGCAGAGAATGTCAGGGCGCGGGAGTATATCTGTCGAAATGTGTACGCCCACACCCACATCATGGACGTTCTTCTCAATGCAATCTACGACCTTCCGATAACGTATGCTGCCGGTGTAGTGCATATTCTTATCAAGAGCCTCGGGAGCATCCTGAATGCACTCTCCAACGAGGATTTGGATGTCATTTTGTCTAGGAACTTATTGCATGCGTTCCTCAACGTTGTTACCACCCTCCTGGACGGAGACATGGAGGCGTCTAATTCATCTGCAATGCATGTGGTAGCAGGGATTTTCTGGATTTGCAGCAATCTAGCCACAACGCATGCACACGTCTTCATTTGTTCAGATCTGGTTTCCTACTTTATTCTTGGGCTCCAGTCATCCATCCTGCTGTTCTGCAGAAACTCCTTTCTGGCCATTCACAACATTCTCTACCATCTAAGTCTACAAGACCAGTCCGAATTTCTTGACCGTCATGAAGACAACCTTTGGAATGCTTGCGCATCTGTTGTCAAGCGATCTATGAACATGAAATGGAGTCATCGCAATTATATTTTGCCCCATTGTATATTTATTTTTGCCACCATTTTGGCCTACGACCCCAGCATCTATGTCGAGAAATTTGAGCTTGTTACGGAGGACTTGGCCGAGCTACAGTGCCGCGATCTCCTGGACGACGCCACAAGCAACGAAGTCTCACGCCTTCTCCTTGCCTACAAGTGAACAAACCCACCCAGGGCGACATACCTAGAAATCTATCCTCGATCTGTTTCACAGATTTCGCAGATTTACTTTAAATCAAGTTAGTTTGCCCAAACTAACTATCTTTCCGACCGGGAACGACTAAACAGGCTAGTGAAGTGTTTCGACCGCCCGCTCAATCTTTCCGGTGCCCCATTTGCCGCTGTTCAGGAACTGAGTGAAATGCTGACTGATTCCCTGGTGATTGAAGCCGACAGGATACGAAGTCATGCCCTCACAATAATCTTTGGTATAAGTGGATTTCCATCTACTGCTAGAGCACAGATTACCATCTGCAATGCACTTTCTATCAAGATCTATCGAGCTTTGGCTCTGAGGATTCGGGCAACCGTTCCTGCAGCCCCCTACGGTCATCGGTTTTGTGCCGGGCGGACATGTCATCGTGCCGCACTTCACTCCGAAGCGCAGGGAAGGCAAGGAGCCGCTTGTTCCGTCCATCGGCTGGTACGCAGCCTCATATGTCGTTGTGTTATCTCCAATCATCCTCTGCTTGTGGGTGAGTGTACTGAGTGTGGGGCAGCGCAGGCTGTCGTAGAATCTCTGATATGCATCGTCTCTGGGGTAAGGCCTGAAGTCATCTGTGTAAGTGGAAAGAGGCGTCCGATAGAAGCACGTTGTAGGCTTACATGTTGCGCGAAGATCGTCGACTCCCTGCGTCCCGCACGGGGTGCCGCAGACAGAATTCGGCCTAACGAAGACCGATCCATTCTTGCGAATCACGTCCATCGTTCCCGTGAGATGATCCTTGCTGAGCGTCGGGGGTATGCGCATGCTCATTTTTTATTGTCAAGAAACTATTTGCGCCACTTGAATTGCAGAGTCCGCGACCGCTTTTTCATTTTTGAAATTTTTAACTGAAAACACAACTTTTAACCTTTCAGTTCAACATTGCAAAAAAACGAGCACCGAACAATAAATGCAGTCGGAGAAGGACGACCTGGCCGGGGATGCCCGAGACCCTGGCGTCGTGAAATCCTCCGAGGACCTAAAGGTCGCCTTGCATGCAATCTTACCCCGGAATGAGTACTTCCTGGATTATATGGCTGTGACAGCTAAGGGAATAGATGCCTTGGCGCAGCGTCTGTCCGAGACTGATAGGCAGGAGGCCGACTCGGAGGACGATCTATATGAGGCTCGCGAGGCAGCTATTCACGACCAAGCGTTTGCAGCTGTCGGTCAAGCACGAGCTGCGTTCCGTAAGCTCGACGTTCCATTTTTCCCTCCTCCGGGTTTTGTGTCAGAAATGTATCGACCAGAAGAGATTATGAAGCGCGTAGAGGGCCAACGGAAAGCCATTGAAGACGCCAAACTGGAGAAGGAAAGGGCCAGGAACCTGCGTCTCCAGCGGAAGCTGAGCAAACAACTTAAGCACGAGAAGAACCGATCGAAGATTCAATCTGAAAAGGCACAGAAGGAAGTAATTAGAAGGTGGAAGGAGGAGCGCATTCAGCTTAAGAAGCAAGGTATCGCAGAGGATAATCTGCCAAGCCTAGAGGATGTGGAGAAGAAATATGTCAGCGAACGACGGCGAAGGCGGATTGGAAAGAACATAAAGTATAGCGGGCGCAAAGACTTCAACAGGAAGTACTCCGAGCGTAAGAAGAACGATCCTATAACCCTTGATAAGGATACTTTTGTCTATAGGCAATTCAGTCATCTTCGCAAGGATGACAGCGGCGCAGGGAGAATAAATAAGTATAAGGCCTCGGCAACGTCGAAAGAAAAGGTTACTGGGGGAGGGAAGTTCAAACGCTAAAGTCTCTTACGCACGTACACATTTATGAAGATTATAGTTGCCAAATACTTTGGATTTCATGCTTTGTTGCACTAGACTATAGTAGGTGTAAACATGATAGTTGGACTTGTAATCTGGCTCACCAATCCAACTACTAGGTCCGTGGTGTCTTGCAGTGACTACCATGCTTGCTGGACTCTTCAGATTACCGCGTTGTCGCAATAGCCGCCCAAATCGAAAATGCCTCAATTCAGCGATACATCCCAATGTCAGCGGTGGCTGTTTTCTTCACCTGAAGTGCTGCAGGCGGCAAGGAGAGCTGCATACACATCAGGCCCTGTCCTGACCAATTCTCTGCGCTACCGGCAGAGTGAGTACCCTCTGAAGAACGCTCCGTTAAGCTTTGCGAACTATATGATCTCCAGTCAAATCATTAATCCCTATCAGACCATTGCTCTCGCCCTTTGCGATCTGAATAACGAGAAAGCAAAGAATTTGGGCCGGTTTGTGGTGGCTTGTGACTTTAACGAAGTTATAGCTCTATCTGTATTCGCTCGACAGTTTATCACGCAAGGCGTTAGAAAGTACCCAGAGATACAGACGGCCTATAACCGCATGACTCAGCGGTTCTCGGCCTTCAACTCGGACATTCTGCACAAGTCTTTTCTCTATTACCAGGTGAAGACAGCGGAGGTTCTAGCCCGGCGAATGACGTGTTTTCTTGTCGTCTCCCTGATCCACCCACTGTCTCCGCTTTTGATAAGCATTCTTCTCAGCTTCAAGATAGGTTCTTGTGACTGCTTTCAGCGCCGGGAGACGTATGTCCCAAGGCTCTATGACTCACGGTACATCACAGACAGTCCGTACTTAGAGGAAGCCTGCGGCATCCGTGCAGATGACCCGGTGAAGGACATCAAGCTCAGGGATCTCAACAAAAAGACTGGAGAACTGTTCAGCGAAATTTATCGCACCATGAAAAAGCATGAACTATATCTGCTCCAAAAGCTAGATTTTTCAGTCTATTGTGTTCTTGCGGATGATTACATAGACGATGAATTCATTTCTTCCACCCTTCAAAGTGCTAGGATTAAGCTGGGACACGATCCTGAGACAGTGATTACGTATAATCTGATTGAAACGGAGCTGGAGTTTGTGCTAACAGCTACTAGATTAACAGACAGTTATCTCCTCTGTGAACCAGAAGTTATCGCGGTGTTTTGTGTGGTGGAAGGTGTCCTTCTCTATGCGCAGAGGCACTCCATCTCCTTAAACACTACACGAGAGGATGCTTATGCTGCCATAGCGTCTGCTTTGGCCCTAAGAGACCCCCAAGTAGGTATTAAGCTAGCATTGATAAGGGACACCCTCTTCTACTTCATATGTGAATCTGTACCAGATGTTCCCGAGGAGATACGTAATGATGCTAAGAGAGCTGCTGATCTAATTATGCCCATGAAATCTGTGGAATACCAGATCAAAGACTACCTCGAATTTCTGCGAAAATACTTCTCTTTTAAGGTTGTTATGCTCAAGATAGACTAAGCCATCATGTAGTAGCGTTAGATTACGATCATATCAAGCAGACAAGGGCGGCTGGCAAGCATTCCCAGAAATCTAGAATCTCTTTAAAAAATGGAGATATGCGTTCAGTTGCATTCCATCTCACAGCTGCCAGATCTGAGGATTGGCGGAACTCCAAAGTATCTTCTTGCTACTCACTACGGTGGTAAAGATTCCCTGCTCTTGCCCTCGATCTTGGCTCCCTCAACACTTAAGCCCATACCAAAGAGGGATGTAGATGCTCACGACAATGAATGCCCCTGTCTTTCCTTTTCCAATGATTCGAGCGTTCGCATGTCGTTTTCTCCGGAGGAAATCTTGGATGGAATGGGGCTCCATGCAAAGATAGACTCCATCAAGTCTCCTATGAACATCCATCCTGCCACAATTGACACTATTTGTACTAGGCTGATTAACATGCATCTCGGACTTGACCTGCTGGTGCTTGTTCCAGCATCAAGTGTCTCGTTATTAGCCCCCAAAAAGGCCGCCCCTAGCAGCAAAGGCCAACCAGCAGAAGAGGTAGATCTTCTATGCATTCCGATTTCCCATGCGCGCATTGATACGTCAGAGCACATTATCAAAGCATTGTCAACTGCGGGTGGGCTTTCTTTCCTTCACTCGACCACATTTGTCCTGAAAAATAGCCTTTTGGGATTGTTTGGAGATGTGCTCATTGGAGACTCTGATACAGCTGGAGACTTCATGATAGATGCATGTATTTCGGTAACTGTAACCATGTCTGATTTTATTCTGAGAAAGATGTTAAGTAACACAGCATCCACGGGTGTTGTGGACACCAAATCCAGAGATGTCACCATAGGTACCTTCCAGTTCCACGCTATTAACTTTCACGGTCTTTACAATATTCCCGGTGCAAATTGGACCATGGAATTTACCATACCAGTTGAAACTGATGATGACGGAACAGTGCGGTCGGCGATCTATTGCACTTGTGGAGGAGGTAGAGTTAAGCAAGCTCCTCTAGCCTCCTTGGCTCAACCAGCAGCCCAGGCCACAAAGAAAGACCAATCAGACCTCACGTCAGAACAAGCACTTGAGAAATTTGAAAGGCTTGCTGCTGGTGTTACGGCCTACATGCCTGTTAGTACTGATTTATCGCTGTCAAAATCGAACTTTTCTGGAGCCTTTTCCACTGGCCGTACAGACATAGCAAGCAGACACACAGCGTCCTCACACGGTGTACTCAGGGATCGGGGAAAGGGCCTTGCTTATCGCCTCACTATGGACCTGCAAGAGTACCTTTTAGTTCGCGATGTCGCTGGCTCAACTGACACGGCTGCACAGTTGACCTTCCCAGATCACACGGCTATGAGGCAGCACGAAAGCTTGGTAGAGTATGCGCTCTATGTGGAGGAAATTCTGAACAATTACTCAGCATCCATCTCAAGAAGAATAGAGGAATATGTGGCTTCTCATTCAAGCACCATAAGTATAGACGATACTAGAGCCCCTCGGCCTCAAAGTAAGGGTGCAAGCTCCAGTAGAGATGCAGCAGGTAGTAGTACTCGTTCTCAGGGAGCATCCGTCCGGTTTGTGGCAGAGATCTTCGAACCCTTCTTGTTAGGAGCTCGAAATCTTCTAATGAGTAGAACTGTCTTGATCTGCATGAACAACAGGACACGTTCTCTACTAAAGCAGAGCCATTCTGGAAAAAAATCCAACGAATTTATGCTCCAAATCCTCTTGCGTCCTTCTTACTCCTTGCAGGCAAAGTATCTCCTTGCCAGTAAGGCAATTTTATCTGAAAAGAAGCCGCCAACTGCTCCCCTAGTCCCAATAGCAAATACACACTCTATCTTTGCAGGTAATGCTCAAGGGATGACGGCTTTCTGTGCCCAGACAAATCTATCCTACGGCTTCAATAGGTCAATTATTTATTACACACAAGCCCCAGACCAGCCGTACAATAGGTTCCCCTGTCCCCGCCCACAACTTCAGCAGACAAGACAGGCCTTTGCTGAACCGCTTGCAGCGTACTGTTATACCCGGATCAACGCTAGCTCCATACTCAGCCCTGTCTGCCAGTATGCATCCTGCGATAGTGTCTACCCATTACTGCCATATGATGAGGCAATCTTTTCCGCCTTCTTCCCACCGGTTGTGTCTAGCTGGACTGGTGTTGCCGGCCAGGCTGGCATAGAAGAGGATGAGTTTGAAACTCTATATAATAACGGTGTTTGTAGCGAAGACGGATCCGATGCTGCTTCTGTGGGTCGATCCAGGCCCACTTCTGCAGGTATGGAAGCCCCCATACAACTACGTGGAAAGGCTAACAGGCAGAACCAGGGATCAACCGTTATGGGTGCTACATCTGCAAATACCAGTATGAAGGCAGCAGGCGCTTCGGACAAGAATGCTAAGCAGCCGGTACAGAACCCACTATTAGCCGAATTTATCGGGAAAGCTGCTCGGTATAGCAATGGAAATCCAAATTATATATTTGGGAACATTCTGTGCGGGGTCTATAGTTTATTGGAGACGCTTTCGAGTGCGCCTCTCTCTCCTGTACCAGTTCAGAGCCCCTCACTCGAATCTTTGTATATTGTTAATTTGATAAACAAGTACTGCAACGATATGCTCAACATGACTGTTGTCTTGGACACTTTGGCCGATTTACAGAAAATAATTACGATGCCGATGGTGTTTAACGACTCTCTTCAATCGACTCTTAGTTTTCCTTTAATTGGAGCTTCCATTGGGTTCCAATACCCTCTTTTAGCGAATGTTCAGATTACTCAATCAGCACGGGTCCTGACCTCGGGTGCTGTTTCTGAAAGCGGTGGTTCTATCTGGCCTGCTTCTCTCAGGCTTGTTAGGCACAGGCATGCTAGGCATGAGACCGACCCATCAACTCGTCTAAACAGCAGTGATGCTGGGCTAGAAGGTAGCGATGATGCACACCAGAGCCGGACGAATCTGAGCAAGCGGGACAGGCAGCACATTCTTTCGTACATGGATACATATTCTATGGCGAAGGAGCGGCAGAAAACGATGGTTAATATCAGAAGGCTTGTGGACAGCTGGAGAGATGACATTACGGCTCGCTACAAACAGGTCTGCAAGCCTTTGAAGACAGAGGCCACGCAGCAAGGCCGGACCACGATATCCTATTCTGACATCCCGGAGGAAAATGCAAAGATGAAGGCCATCATTCAGGCCGGACGTCAGTTGGCTTTACGCGGTCTCCAGGGCCAGATCCTGACGCAGAATGCCCTGGTGACTCCTGCTATTCTACCGCAAATCTCAGCTCTTCTGACAGAGGAAAAGTCGGAGGTGGCAAATGACTACTCCATTAAGAACTTTAAACTGTTAATTCAAAACGAGGGCTTCGTAGAAATCCTCAGCAGACGAATTCTTCTGCAGCTGGAGTCTCTTGCGCACAAAGGTTTCAATAATATCGACGACATGATGGAGTATCTCCTAATTAATATTGTTGACGGCGAGCCTCTGGATGCAGATAGGGATCTGGAGAAGCCTAGGGTCAAAGGGTACAAAATTCAGCGTCGAATCGACAAGGATGATGACGACGGGTTATCGGCACTTATCAGCAGCGGACCACGTCTTCAAAATACTGACCGTAAGATCAGTCTTTCATTAACCCAGCCGCAAAGAAAGTCTGAAACCAACTGTCAAGATTCTAGCGTCTTGACCAACGACAGGGTCCGCGTCGTAGGAGATAGTATTAGTGTGCTTTTCCCAGACGTTGATGAAGAGGAAAGAGGGCGCCTCAGTACTGCGATAACGAATCAGAGCAACATCAGCCAAGATACGTCATACTTAGACGGGATGAATAGTTTGATGATTCCGCAGCATGTATCCCTTAAAGACATCAATAATTATTTGTTTAAGGCTAAATTCTTATCAATCTTAGGAATGGATGACTGCTTGGAACTAAGCTTCAAGCTTGCATCTGCAACGCTTGCAAGGCAGGGTCAGCTTCTTTCCAATGACAGAAAAATTGATATATTTGATACTACCAACATAGCTCGCATTTCCAAGCTTGTGAGCCGCTCCAATTTTCAGATCATGGTGAGTACAATGCTCATTGCTGGCACGCGATTGTCGTCACCACATGTTGTGAGGACGTCTACAGACTTTGAGCGCTTAGCCACCTACATGCGTGGCCCAGTGGGAGTGATCTGTGCGTGTCTGGACAGCGAGCAGAGTATGCAGCTTCTCGGTACAGACTCGTGTCTTTTGGCCCTTGCTATCACCAAAACACTCTTTAAAAGCGCCATAGGAACATCAGATACGTCGCAGAAGAGACAGGGGAAGCGGGGCAAGATTGTCGTACCTCTCGGTTACGATTACTCAGAGCAACTCCTTGTCAGCGCCCTTCTTGCCTACGATAATTTCATGAAGTACCTAATCAGTAAGGTTGCAGGCTACAACGTGGAGGAGGTCCACGTCTGGACCAAGAATGACACCCAGTCCACCGTTGCTACCAAGTTACGTGAGAGGAAGTACAACAAGGAGGATGTGGATTCTATGATGGAGATCTTGAAGATCACACCCATCCGCAACTACTACTCTAAGCAGTTTAATGACCTGCTGGAGGGAGAGGCAAATACACATGTTGTCAAGCTGCCCAAAGATGCTACAAAGATAACTGCATTTCCCAGCAATGAGAGTATCGCTGGAAGCATTGCTGGAAGCGTGGCTATTAGTTTATATGACCGCCAACCCAAACGGATTGGAGATGACGTATCAGAGGTTGGATCAACACTGCGTCGAAACGCAGCTGGCATGAGTGCTACTACAAGCGTCATGTCCGGGTTATCTGGTCTTGCGAGTGAAAAGAAGGCCAAGGCTATATCTCCGGAACTGCAGGCCGAGCTTGACGCCATGCCGTTCTACAATGTGCCCGGAGATGGAGTGTATGCATACCCTCCATTTTGGGCGATGGGTGCCTATATCTTTGTTCTATGGAGCATGAAGCTGATGGATGCCCGACACATCGCCCGTGCATTGCAGACGAGCTTTCGTAGGTATATTGAACTCAAACAAGAACAATACAAGGATGACGTTTATTTCCAGGAACATGGGAAGCGCAGAAAAACCATGAAAGATTTTGCTGATGACAGCATTGGAAGCGACGTCGATAGCGGGAAGTCCTGCGATACCACCATCTCTGTGGACGCAGACCTTGTTGCCGGTGTGAGTCCGTCAGGTAACAACCTATCTTGCAACACTACCTCTATGAACATCCATGGGACAAACGATGTCCACCCCTCACCGTCGCTCTCACGTCTTTCCTTTGAAGACCTGAAGAATTACAAGTCACTAAAGATGCAAAAGAGCAACTATGCCAAGCAGGTCTCCATAAATCATTACTCTGCCATCCAGGAATATCTTAAGAGCGACACCCTTGATGGTGGGATGTTTGCTCCTCTTCCTTATCGCTTCAAGTCTAATGCTGAGTTTATGGAGTATGTCCTAGACTCCACATTACCTGAAAACGATAAATTTGCTAATCCTAACGACCCCGCCTCCAAAAATATTATGCGCCTGTGTGCTTTTCTGTCCCTTGCAGAATGGCTCAGTCTCAGAGGAGAAACGGTTATTTCCACGTATGCGACTTCTTTGGCAGATCACATCTTGAAGATAATGATAACTTCTGGGACTGCCGCATCAGACTCGCCCTTCTTCTTGCATCAACAGCTTCGTGGGATAATTATCTCCATGAGGAACATGTTATATGAGCGGAGATATGCACCTGCATTAGAGTTTGCGGACTCTGTGCTTCGAGGAAGCCTAGGTCCCGCTCTCATCCCGAAAGTTAAGGCGTGTCCGGCCTTTTTGTATCTACGCGCCCGCATAATTACCAATATGAACATTTCGCTTCTTATGAAAGCTTATGATCCGACAACTATCCAAGCATCTGGTCAACTTGAGCAATCCAGTCAATATGGCCTCAGTACCATGTTATCGAATGACTCCACTCGCGCCCTTTTGAATGAAACCTCCAGAATGGCTATTCAGGCGTATCAGCTAGCGAGTAGGTCAAAGCAGGGAGGACGAGACGATTTCTTCCGTGGCAGCACAAGCACCTATGATTCGTACTTGCCTGTAGAATTTCTGTACACCATTGCGCTCATTCTCTTTTCGTCCATAAATATAGTTGGCGTTATACGCTCTATTTTTGCCTCAACCTCTGTAAAGTCAAAGGAGGCGTCTTCAGAAGAAGTCAAGCAAAAGGTAGACCTTATGTTTACTGAAGTACCCAAATATCAGGACACTCGTTCTAATGCCGTCGATGAAGATGATAGAAACATGGACACCTTAAATGACTTCACATCATTGTTACCTCTTCCAAAGCCGACTTATTCAAGACAGCCCTACGATATTACATCTGATGCCACGTCTACCCAAATGATGTACATGAGAGAGCAGTACAATGCAAATAAACTAATTAAAGTGCAGCAGCTCAAGGACAGTAAGGAGCCCGTTAAGATGTCTGTTGACTTGCTGAAGGAGCTGAAGGCACGAGCGAAGGAAATAGTCGTGGATGCGGGGGGAGACACTGAATTGCTGACTAGTGATAGCAGGAATAACAGTCCTGGCCATGGAGTGGTGGCTTCGTCGGCCAACATTGCAAGTATGATGCAACAGAAGATACAGGACACAACGGCTGTGGATTTCGATAACACTATAGCGGCATTGGCTAGTGCTACAATTACTAACCGTACGCTAACGCCAGAGAGGACGCAGAAAGACGTTTCTCGTGCTCTTATTCTTGCTTCCTCTGCACTGAAGAACTTGATACTAAAATATCCTCATCTAGGTCAAGCCTGGGCATCCTTTTCTTTGACACAACTGGCCATGGGAAATGTTGTGGAAAGCCGTCTATCATCGAGTATCGCAACGTTATTAGCACCCGAGGCCATTGAATCGTGGATTTCGTGGGTCTGTTGTGAACTGCAAGAGATTCACGGCATCAAAAGCTCTAATGGAACAGTCAATCAATCACGTATAGCAGAGGTTCGCAATTATATGCGGCAGATTGAAGCCATGGGGGTACTCTATACAATGTTGAGAGTTGTGTGGGTTGATATTTGCCAGTTTGCTTCTGAGGTACTTAAGTAAACCAGATTAAGGCAGTGATCTAGTTAGACATGTGCTGCTATTATAAACGTGGAGACCAATGCCAAATGATGTATTCATAGCTACTTATAACTGATAGTGGATGTGTCCACCGATTGCCTCAGTAGGTTATTAGCCGCTAGTCGTGCATGTCGGCACATCAGACGACCCCGCCTCTCCCGGGGAAGGCCGGCGCCACCCAGCAGGTCGGCGGCCCAATGTTCGGCAGATTTTTGCTCGCGATCGTCATCCTTCAGCTGGCACGGGCTGCGTGTCAGGCAGACGGATCAGGCAGCGATGGGAGCTGTAAAACGTGTGGCGTCACCATCGGCCAAGAACAATACTGCTCCGAGTGCAACGGAGCAAACTACGCCCCCGTGAACGGCCAGTGTGCAGACGTCAACGCTGAGGGGCAAAGCAAAACGCTCTGCCCGGCAAAGGGCCAGGGGAAGTGCACGCAGTGCGGAGGCGCCTCCTTCATGTACAAGGACGGCTGTTATTCAAAGGACACTGCACCAGGACAGAGCATGTGCACGCAAGCCTCTGAGGGAAAGTGCACCGAGGCGGCCCCGGGGTACTTCCTCAACCCGCTGAGGGCGAATACCAAGGACTCTGTGGTATCGTGCTCGGACACGACCGGGTTCACCGACAGCGGCAAAACGTACAGGGGGGTGCAGCACTGCGAGAGATGCGACGGGGCGGCGCTGACAGACGCTGCCGGCGGAGACGCCAAGTGCACCAGGTGCGGCCAGGATAAGTACCTTGCAACGACTGGTACTTGTGGGGAGGGCTGCACGCCTGACACTGAGTTTTCGAAGGAGGACTCTGACAATGGCAAGAGATGCTTTGCATGCGGAGATGTAACCACTGGGGTGGCGAGTTGCGAAAAGTGCACGCCGCCAAGTCCCGATCAAGCCAAGCCTGCTTGCACGAAGTGCGGTGGCAATAACTATCTCAAAACGGCCGCTGATGGCACAACGACATGTGTAGAGCAAAGCGCATGCTCACCCGACTCTTTTCCGGTAGAAAATTCCCAGAGCGGAAACAGGTGTGTTTTATGCGGTGACGCTGCGAATGGGGGCGTCGATAAGTGCGCGGCGTGTACTCCGACAGACCAAGGAAGGATAGCGCCCACTATTACGTGCATCGCTTGCACGAATGGATACAAGCCTAGTGCCGACAAAACTACGTGCGAGGCGGTAAGCAACTGCAAGACCCCCGGATGCAAGGCGTGCAGCAACGAAGGAAAGGAGAACGAGGTCTGCACAGACTGTGATAGTAGCACATATCTCACGCCGACAAGCCAGTGCATAGACAGCTGCGCTAAGATTGGAAACTACTATGGAGCTACCGAAGGAGCAAAGAAAATCTGTAAAGAGTGCACTGCGGCTAACTGCAAGACTTGCGATGGGCAAGGGCAGTGCCAAGCATGCAGCGACGGATTCTATAAAAACGGCGACGCATGCTCTCCGTGCCACGAAAGCTGCAAGACATGCAGCGCAGGCACTGCCAGCGACTGCACCGAGTGTCCCACTGGAAAAGCACTTAGGTACGGGGACGACGGTACTAAGGGCACGTGCGGAGAAGGCTGCACAACGGGCCAAGGCAGCGGCGCCTGCAAAACGTGTGGGCTCACTATCGATGGTGCTAGCTACTGCTCTGAGTGCGCCACAACGACAGAGTATCCTCAAAATGGCGTCTGTGCACCAAAGGCTAGCCGCGCCACACCTACGTGCAACGACTCGCCTATTCAGAATGGTGTTTGTGGAACGTGTGCCGATAACTACTTTAAGATGAACGGAGGGTGCTATGAAACAGTCAAGTATCCCGGTAAGACGGTTTGCATTAGTGCACCAAATGGTGGTACGTGTCAAAAAGCTGCAGATGGTTACAAGTTGGATTCAGGTACCCTTACAGTTTGTTCTGAAGGGTGTAAGGAATGTACCAGCAGTACCGACTGTACTACGTGTCTGGACGGATATGTAAAGAGTGCAAGTGCATGCACAAAGTGTGATTCCAGCTGCGAAACATGTAATGGAGCAGCTACAACATGTAAGGCGTGTGCTACAGGATACTACAAGACCGCATCAGGAGAAGGTGCGTGCACATCCTGCGAAAGTGATAGCAATGGGGTCACTGGTATTAAGGGTTGCCTAAACTGCGCTCCTCCATCGTCTAGTACTGGCTCCGTCCTCTGCTACCTCATACAGAACACCAACAAGAGCGGTCTCAGCGCGGGCGCTATCGCGGGGATCTCCGTGGCTGTCATCGTCGTTGTGGCTGGTCTCGTAGGGTTCCTCTGCTGGTGGTTCATCTGCAGGGGGAAGGCGTAGATGTACTTAGATAGTAAACGCGTTACTGTGCGTAGCTTGCGTAGATATGTTGATAGGTCCACCTGCAGTGCGTCCAGAAGTCTCACGAGTAAATTCTCGTTCAAGTCCTGGCCGTCCGGAGACAACTGTTGATCATGGATAACATGATGAGAGAGTCCTCTCCAGTGATATATCCAGGGCTCGGTACATTTCTCTACCGTTTCATGGGCGTGTGCTCAGACTGTGTACGTGCGTCGCTCAGCCCAGGATTTAGCTTACTTACCCATCTGCGTCGTCTATCAGTGGCGCCTCTCCTTGGTCTACCACCCTGATGGTGGAGGGTCCCAGCAGTCGATGACCCTGGACCGACGCCTCGACAGACCGAAGCATCACCCCCAAGTGTGCGGTGTGAGGATGGACCAGCCCACACGTCGCTGAGCCAGACGCACTGCATAGAATGATGCGCCGACATGATCTCGTGCTGGGTGACGGACCGCCTGCAAGAGCACCTCTGCGATCCATGAGCAGAGGACCATACTTCTCCCCCAATACCAGCGCATAGGAGCTGTCCCCCGGCATCCACGAACGCGTACTATGACTCAAAGATAGAGGCGTACGGGGAGCGCACCCTCTGATCATGCTCGGGACCGACGGCACAATCCACGAGGAGACAAGGAGGCACCCGAGGAACGGGGTAGGCACCCGGGGTCGTGGCGTGCAATCTCCGTCGTAGAGCATCAGCACCACAAAGCTACTCCGGAGTACATGGCCAGAGTCAATTGCTCTGAGGCCAGACTGCTGTGACCGACGGCAGGTCCGGGACAACGGGTGCTCACTAGATGCCAGACGATGGTTGACCCCGACGGGCCAGAGAGGAGGGACGTCCCGGAGCGCATAGTGGGGCACCCAACGGCTCCCGGGCGAGGAGGCACAAGGCTCTTCTCCAGAGTGGACGGCATCCGAGCTTCGGATCCTGGACGGATTTACTCGGACAGGAGCTGGCAAGCCGACCTCGATGAAGAAGAGCAAATTGAGCTTTATTAAAATGATACGTAACCCTTGCTATATTGAAGACGGCACGTTTATAGATCCATACGACTACACACCTTATCTAGCTAATATAAGCCTTCCTGTTACGATATTCAACAGCATTCTCCTAGCTTTAATCGTTATCTCATATATTCCTCAGCTGGTGAAGATGTACCGAACAAGATCCGTTTACAGTATTTCGTTCATCTTTTTACACGTTGCTTCATACTCTCTCTTATTTTCCACTAGTGTATTCTATATCACCACCCTTCCTCAAATTTTCGCCTGTCCTCAAAACCCAGGCTTATGCTATTCAAACATGATCCCCTTTCTGCAGAGCTCTGCCTTCCTATTGGGGTTCATATGGTGGTATGCACTCACTATCCGTTTATTATATGTGTCAAAGGTCAAGACCAATCATGCAACCTCATCTGAAGCCGAGCCTACCAGTGATCAAGGAGATGTTCAAAGAGCTAAGTGTCATGTACTTGCTTTCTTCCTATTTTTAGGTGTTATGCTATCCATCATCGCAGCAGCTACTGTAATTGTGATCTTCTATGGTATGTGTACCCCATGGGTCCGTGGATTTACTTTGGCACTGTCCATCACATCCCTTTTCTTTAACCTGGCACAGTTCAGTCCCCAAATTTACCACACATGTAAAGTCAAATCACCAGGAAGCATGTCTGTCTTACTTTCAAGTATCCAGTTCATTGTCGTCTTATGTATGTTCGTTTTTGCTATCATATCTAAGGCTAATTGGATGACCTACTTAACAATGACTTCTTCGACTGTACAGCTATTTGTCTTGACGGTTGCATTAATTATATACACGTTTAGGGACAGGAGAAAGAAGAGTAAGAACGATAACAGCGAAGATAAGGAGCTCATGGTTCAGAACCCGGATATTGGAGACCGTACAGACGAATGCGACTCAGATAGCAACGAAGTAGGAAAGCAGAGTGGGGTGTCAATGAGCAGTAAAGTAATTTGAGAGTATAACCTTCGCTTTATAAAGTATCAGTCACAGCTCTGAGATGCTATCAACTATGAAGCCCTTTTCTTCCTCAAAGTCACTTGAATTAGTCTCAGTAGTGAAGCTCAGAAGGTGCTCTATAAGCTTGTCCTTATTCCGCTTCAGGATCTTGTGAACGGGCTCTGTTTTCTTTGGATTGGCCACAAATACCTTAAACACGTGAAATGCTTCAAACCTAATTACAGCGCTGTCATCCTTGAGAAGTCTCATGATCAACTTCAAATTCTCATCAGATTCCACAAAGCGTGACATCGCATTGAAGTTTGCGCGGTTAAGAAGCAATGTGCTCAGCAAATTTAAACTGAAGCGGCGCGTGGCGTAATTAGAGGAATGCAGCAGGGTACAGAACCAAGTAAAGAACTGAGGATTTTGGTCAAGAAATGTAGCCGTAAGCTGTTCATGCTTTGTTAATAAATCCTTCAGCACCACAGAAGCGTCAGAAGAAACATCAAAATTCGGGCTACTCATTGCAGAGAAGATTCGCTGGAACTGTTCTTTAGCACAGAATAGTAGGATGGTCTCGGCTATGGAGTAAACTTTAATATACTCACACAGGATTGTGGTCACGTGAAAGGGCTGTGGAAGTTTATAGCCATCTAGAAGGACGTCAAGGAGGTCTTGATGGCTAAGAATATAATTCACGAGAAGAGCGGGGTCAGCATCATCTGCAGGATCCCCACTGGATGCACGGTGGGCAAGACCAGCAACCAATGAAATAAGGGACTTGCGAGAATCAAAATCTAGCCAAGCAAGGCCGCCAACAATATCTACTAACGTGTTATCAGTCATTATAACCCGGGTAAACTCGTTGTAATGAGCACGTTGGAGCTGTGGATTGGGTGATGTTACCTGGGACTTAAGTTGAGATATGCTCACTTTAAGGGCTTCTGCATCCGCCTCCTTGAAGGATGCCTGCTCTGTGCGGCCACTGAGCATTTTAGCAATAGCGACAACAAGGTCGCTTACGCTGGAGCGTTTTCGGTTCATTTTTTGGCCATGAATACGAGAATTGACAGCTTTTGAACAACATGTAAGCTACAGGAGTAGAAGATACTAATATGACTAACCAAACTGGTTACAAACCATTTTGTATGGCGAACCAATCGAAGTCAAAAAAATGCACCAGACCCCCTGCACAAGGCTCGATTTCTTTCTACTCAACAAAGAGCAGATCATGCAGTGGGATGCACAGAGGCTGAACGCTCCAGTAAGGTATCTAATTCCCACACCAACTAGGCCTGGTAATGAAACGCGTATCGAGCATGGAATTGTCTGCAGCACTGATGCAAATTGTAATAACAATGCATCGGCATCACCCTCATCAGTATGTCTTGCAGAGTCTTCTGCTTCCACCCATCCATCCTCACAACAGGCTGGATCCATCCAGCTCGCTTCCACACACTCTATTAGTAGTGTTGCTTCTAGTCTTAGTACACTCGTTATCGATAGTTATCAAGGATCTATTCTACGGCACTTTATGTCTATCGCCCCATACAATGAATCTGCTTTACATGTCAACACCCAGGAGGTGCCCTGGCGACTCTCCACCGGATCGACATTAAACCCCGTCGACTCGTTGGGTCGCGGTCCACTAACTGGAACCGTTCACGAGTACACGTATGCGATTGCTCAACGGTTTATAGATATCAGCGGCACGTCAGCCTCCTTTGCTGTGCTTTCCGGGACTAATTCTTCTCATACAATTCAGCAGTTTCCAGCTAAGACCTATATATTTAGGCCAATTAGCGACGCAATGCATATTTCAAACTATGACGAACTTCTCTTGGATGTTTCTGCGGATGGAACCTCGGCCACAGATAACTCGGGCCCGGTTACGGACCAACAGTTTTCAGAGCACGATGGTGTTACGCTTTTTCAAGTGACTTCACCATCCGTTGATGTTGCAATTTCCACCAGCACTGCAACCCCAGCGTTTCAGGATCCTGTTCTGGACTCCCTTATGCTTTCAGCTTATGGGGATCCTACCCTGCTTGATGCTCATTCTGCTTATGAGTTTTCAGAGCTTATGAGACATGCAGAGCCCGTTACCACACTAAACACCACAAACTTATGCACCCCAAAGGCTGGACACGTACACGATCCATACTTAGTTAGTCCTACAACAAGTCATCGCTGGGCTCATCACCGTGCATTCACTGCCCTGACCCCAACTAGTCTATATATGCCAAAGTATCTTAGAGGCCGAGCCATGAATGTTCCAGCAGAGATTCAATTGAAAAAACGATTATTCCATGGCCGTCGTATGATAAGGATAGTAGTTAGTAACCAACCCATCATTGGAGATGGTGAAAATGATTGTACTGGCACTCTATTCTCCTCCGTGGCGGGAAGCTCTGTCGAGGCCTACCAGGTCCTGCCAGTTGGTGCCCAGACGGATGATTTTATGCCTCAGGATGCATTCATTTTTTATTGCAAAGACGGAATGCAAGCTGGGTGGGAAGATCAGGATCTCTCCCAGACTAATGCACTTTCTCCTCTGAAGGCCTCCCTCATGTCGCCACTTGTGCCTTTTGCGCTCAATGTTCCTGGAGATATAGGTTACCGGAGTGTACGAGTTAATCGAGAAACAATTCAATCACCAATCCTCAAGAATAGTGTTCTTGCTGCGACACCGAAAGTGGTCATTTTGCCGGAAAATAGCACAAGTACACACGGTAGACGCTTTCTGGTGACGCCCATACACTCATCAACGCCACGCAATGACTCTGGATCTGGATTTAAGTCTTTGAATTATCATGCTCTATCCAGCAATGAAACATCAAGCGAGAAGGGATTAAGTGATGTTATTTCTGATCAGAGCTACGACTCTCTCTTTATTGATACTCGTAAGCAAGTGAAACTTGCGGGTGCCAGTACAACTACTCCGTACAACTTCTCGCTAGAGTGTACTAGAAAGGATTTGCGCGACATTCCCTTGCCTCCAACGTTAAAGAAAAATTAGAAACACAGTATGTTCACTTAAATACCCTCACAAGCATACAGCATCGCTCATGAGTCTCCAAATCAGGTTATTAAAGCCCCTTATGTTGGCCGCTTTCGGGCCGAGGCCAGAGTAATCTCTGGAAGTATTGTCAAGCGTTTGTAATATAATTAGCCTGGCAGAATCATATACAAGCCTCCTATCAAAACTTCTTCTTTTTCTTGCAATGCAGTGTGGACCTATATCAAATAGATTAAAGCACCCCATCATCTCTATGAACTGATCTACTTCTGCTGGCACAGGTACTGCCACCAAAACGGCGCCCTCGGCACACGCAAGAATACAGTTGGCATTACTAGTCAGTTGACTGCTCTTAGTCGGCCTGTCATTACTCTCTACCTCAGGGGCGTTGATCCATCCCGCAGCTTGGAGGATCGACACACAAGTCCATGGTATCTTACAGCTGCTTTGCACTGCTAACTGAGAAACAAGCCTCTGGCTGGTTTTTGTGTACGGATATGATAAGAGACAGACTATCCGATGCAAACTAACTCCAATAACATTCATCTCCTTGGTCACCCCGGAGACCAAGAAGTCACTCGCATATATAGGAAGATCGTTGGATGAGTAGCTGATAGGATTGTTTCTGCTTCCGCGGCTTCTAAACACGTACAGACCGTTGCGCAACATAAGATCAGAGACAGAAATAAACTCGTTAAACCGTGAGATATTTGATATGTAACCGCAACGCTCAAAAACGCTGCAGCAGGTGAGACGGCAGCTATCCTCTAAATGATATGCGCATATGCGCTTGTTTTCTCCGATAAGAATAACTCGCGCTGCAGGGAATGAGCGCACAGTTGTTATTACATTTTGGAATTCCTCTTGTGTAATTAGCCTGAATGCAAAGAAAGACGACCATGCCCCCAAATTCCACTTGTTAGCCTTGATGTCATCGTTTTTGTCAGTCTTTTCAAGCGCTAATATCTTGCATGTTCCATAGCACTTTTCATCTGGCCCAAGTAGGTATCCAGTGCCCAGCAGAATAAGCTCTTTTGTTCCTGACCTAAGGATTTCACGAGGCTTGGAACTGGTTTGCTCACTAGTTTGTGAGTTATGGTAGTTACGCCTGTTTATGCAGCCGAAGTCATCACGGGATATTCCACCCTCGTGCCTCCAGGCACTACCAAAGCGGCGAGGGAACTGGGAATCTATTGTGTCAGACACAAGTGTTGTAGACGTCTCGTATCGTTTTAAATCATACAAGTAATAGTCGCATACACGATACTTGCTCATTGATGGATCGTTAACAATAAGTAGAAGGGCTTCGAACTTGACTTTCATGAAGGAGTTATAAGTTGGCGGACTGGCGAGCATGATCTCTTTTGCTCTTACGAGTCCTTCCTCTTTGAAGCGCGTATAGGCTTCGAGCTGCGCCTGATCTCCATCCTTTTGTGCACTCAGGAGGGCATCCTCCTCTGTCATGTCACCTATGCGATGGTAGTCCCTTAGCGCCTTGATCTCTTCTGAAACCTTTATCCCAGCAACTTCATCCTTAGCGATCGATCGGGGATTTCGGACCTCATAGCGCTCGATGTGTGACACCACTGCAAATGCATCGCTCTCCACGTTGTAACACATCTTACTTCCCTTCAGGCTTGGTGGAAGATTCAGTATGGTGCGTACGGGCATTTGTGTATTATTTCCAAAAGATGCTAAGTAAAGCAGATTGTAGATTATATTTTTTCTTGAGTGCGTCAGGCGGCGATTCAGGAAGCAGCAGCCCTTGGCCGTGTCCTTGTACTCTTTCTCACAAACATCCTTGTAAAGCAAGTGCGTTCCAAAGTAAATGTTTTCTATGCTGCCTAGCTCTATTCCATTTCTGTGTAGATAGACGTGTGGGATGTTTGTAAAGTTGCTCATGACATGTGGAGATGTTCCCTGTGTCATCATTGATATGGGGAGACTTGAATCAATGAGATTTAGACACGCTGGGAAAGAACAACCAGGAATGTAGCAAATAGGAAGCATCTGCCTCACTGGATGTTGGATGGGTATTGAATACCGTTTGTTCAAAAGAAGATAAGACTGTGTACGACCCAGGATGTGCAAGCTATATGACCCGAACAGATTGGGGACTGCAATACAAGACACAGGTGTCGCACCCGTTGTGGGGCGTGGTGTGCCAATGAATATTAATGGCAAGGAGAGGCTTTCTTGCTGAGGCCCAGCATCAACAAGGTAGATCGGCCGAAACGGACGACCAATTCTAAGGGCCACGGACTTTGTGACTACCTTTTCTTTAGTAGGAAAAGAAAGGGAGACAACGTCTGACCACAAGTCTGAGTACTCATAGCTGCAAGAGGAATCAATGGATCTTGTCGCCACGGATTTGGTTGATATCGGTTGAGTGGTAAGAGCTATACTGTCTCCCAGCGTAGCACACAATTTATGCTGGGCATCTAATTGTGGCCCAATCCGATGTACAGACGTATGCCCACCAAAGTACGCAATGAATAGCGTAATGTTTGTGCTTATTTCAGTACTCTTCATGTTCTCCTCTGTAGAATCAAATTGTGAAGGGACAGGGGTACAGACTTGAGAAATGATGGGTGTTGATGACACATAAATGCTAGAAATGCGCCTAGTGTTAATCTCAGTGCTCAAGTGGTTTGTATGCTTAGCGAGAGATCTATCTGGAGTCATTTCAGAGGCTATAGTGTCTCGCTGTGTCTCGAAAAGAGCAGTCATGTACGCTGTGTTGTATGGGAGAAGCATGTCTGACGATTGACAAGGTTGAGGACTAACCTGGCGCCCCATCAGTATGTTTCCAGTTATATCTTTTGTTGATTCCGCTGACGTACAGCATTCGAAAACCCCATAAGTGCATATGTACGGCAGTAGTGAGAGAATGTGTGTGTTAGTGCGGAAAGAGATCTTGCTCTTGTGATCCTTTTCGAGAAGGTTCTGCTCATATACCTGCCAAACCCAGAGAGGTAAATATAGGAGGGATTGTGTTGTTTTGTGTTCTAGTAGGAGAATAAAGATTATCCTTGCGTTAGAAGTCACAGCAAATAAGCAACCTAATGATGTATGGTCGTCATTAATCGTCGAAACTAAGGTGTGAATTCTCTTCATAAACACATCCTTCGAAACACGTGATGCTTCCTCAGAGCTGAGATAGTCTGCAGCAAGTACCTCTACTCTTGACAAAGACAAGTATGCCAATAATGGTTCAGAGTTCTTTGCAGACAAGAAGGCCGATGAGCAAAAGTTCTCTATTGAGGTCATGGTATAAATGCACAACGCAGTTTCGCTAACAGGCGTACGATATCCCACAAGATCTGCCTTAGAAGTAGGCAAGGGTACACAGAAGATTGCAGTAGAAGTAGTCAAAAACAGAAATCTCACATAGTCGCTTTCGGCATGTAAGATCGCCAAATGTTCGGAGCAATCCTGAAGCATCTGCGGTTTACAAGACGACGCTAGCTCGCCAATTGATACCGAGACTTTCTCCAGGCCATCGTATGCAAAGAGCACCATTTCTAGAGGGCACACTTGAACAGAAACGCCGCATGCGAGGGTAAATGCTAGAATGGTTGGTTGATGAAGTACTGCTGGCGTGCTCACTGGGTGTATTGACAGTTCTTTCTTCGTCGACGTAGAGCTGAAAAGATCGGTGTCTTTGGTAATGGACATTACGTTTGTTCCATCCCGCGATGTGACGAGAATATTGAAAGACGTAGCCCCAGAAAACATAGATCTCAATGAGCGATGGTTGTTTGCATCTGGATTCATATGGTAAAAAGCGCAGACGTAGCTATCTGAGAGAGATGTTGCTCTGTCGTCTAGTCTGTTCATCTTCTGAGCATACTTAAACTGCGAAGAAGTCGTAGATGTCGCGTAAGAGCTAACCATGGAAATAGCACCGGCCTCGTGAAGCAGATGAAGGCGAGGTCGAGCATTTGCATCCTTCTGCTCACCCAAACCGACGGGCTTGGCGGAAGCATCCTTAACAGAAGACATGGAGGGGAGAATTGCGTATGGAAAGACAAGCCCGTGCATCACAGTGTCATATGTTGGAAGATGAGTAGTTTGACGCTCGATAAGACGGAGTATGCTTCCCGAAAAAGGCTTGAGCAGTTTTGCATTAGCAAAGATCCTAATTCTATGATAGTTTTCTACATTGAAGCTCTGACCAAAGATCTGGATTTTTCTTGTCTCCGCACTGGACTCGGAAGTAACTAACGGAGATGAAAGAGAAGATAAATGCGGCGCGGTGCTCTCAGTTATGGAGGACGAGGCATACAAGGCTTGTGCAAGCTTAGTTATATTTGCATGGTTCGTCTCACCTGGTAGAGGGCACGGCCTGTAATCATAGTAGTATCCTTGCTTTGGTGTTGCAGTTGACATCGTTATCATACACAAGAGAGAGTCCTCAACAAGAGAGCCAACGAATACCCGTACAGAAAAAAGATCATGATATGGATGTTGGACGTCGCATTGTACCTTATCTTCTCTAGGCCTAACGTCAGCTGGGAGTTCCGCTACTGCGCGATATCTGCGTTCCAGTTCGTATCCCAGTGGAGTATTCTTTGTAGAGGCTGCTGAAAGAGCCAAGATCACGGAAGGCGGAAACAGCATCGCAGGAGAACCTGTCGTTATCGCTGCGTTGCGATCACAAAGACAAACAGGATACAACTCCAAGCTCTGCTTAGTAATCGCCCCGTTATCGCTATGAAATCGCATAATAAATGATAAACCCCTGCTATCCATCACTAAGATGTTGTGCCAACCTTTCAACATGGTAGTAGAGCTTTTCAAATAACACACACGCGTACCATTTAACGGGGGAATCTGTAGGTAATTAAACACATCTGACCGAGGGCCAAGGTACTCCAAATTCGACGGATACTTGCCGAACGCTGACATGTTGATGTACTCTCCTGGAGTAATGCTACTTCTAGTTCGATTTTCAAATCGGAGTAGATTATCGATATGCGTAGAACCGCATGCTTCCATATATAAGTGTAGATCTAACGCAGGAAACCCACCCAAAACGTTGCTAATTTGTGATAAACAAACAGGCTCATCTGGTCGGTCTATGCTGAATCCGTAATAAGGGTACTCCAGACCTCCTTTGATAGGGTGAGCAGGCATGAGTGTGGGTGCAATGGGTAGAGTAGCCCGGTGAACAGAATTAAATTGTGTTTTCTCTGTTGTAAGTATGCCGTTATGTAGAGATAATAGCTTGTTGCTCACAAGCTTCAAATCTGAAGAAGCAGTAAACTTCTCAGCAAACGGAGAAAGATGAGACCCTGACAATGATGCACACTGTGATATGGCGCTTTTTATATATGCACTACTGCACGTCTGTTCCTCTGGAAGGAAGGAGAAACGAAAGTGTAGCGGTTGAAAAGTCCTTTCAGTTGGATTAACTAATACGAAAACTCGTGTGGAATGGACTAAAAATAGATTAAGCGGATCCTCAAGAGCCGTAAGGCTATAGCTATCTGAGGGAAGGTTGGAGACCTTATGCTGCAGGGCCAGCGTAAACGCATCTCTCTGAGATGACTTTTCAGAAGACAATCCGGCACCGTTATACTCTATGGTATAGACGTGAAGATGCGCTCCACGAGCGTTACGCGCCCACCTTTGTGCAGGGACAGGAAAGCTAGTTAGAATACCCAGCTGAGGGCCGTTAGTAGAAGAGCGAGAAAGGCACTGCACATCAATAATCTTCTCACCAACGAAAGGTATTAGGATGATGGAGCCTGTATCAAGCTGGGCAAGTCCAATATAAGTACGAATTGTGCCACAGATACAGACTAGAATAGAGTTATCATACAGCGCATAAGACGCCTGCTCATGGGCTAATGCTTCTTCTGCAGTAACAGTAAAGTCGTAGATCATAAGCTGAGACAGACGAAGGCCAGTTAGGGCGTACAGGACAGCTTTGTGGGAATCAAAGCAGAGTAAAAGCTGGAGTTTCTCCATTCCTGAAAGCTCGTCAATGAAGATACGGGGAAACACTTGCAAAATTCGTTCTGCGAAGCTTTGTGAGATAATGAACTGTATTCTATCATCTTTTACCTTATAAATGTGCAGCACAGATACACGCACCACCGCCAGATACTCCTGACCCTCAAGGGAAAATTGTGCTGCCGTAGATACTCCAGTAGGAGGGGACATTTGAGAAAGAACAGCACTAGTATTGGACATGTGTTTTTTAAAGTATTTATTCTGACCTCTAATCCTCTAGGATCCTAGAACCCCCAGTACTGACCCAAGATGTTAATATAATGTAGCCTTGGCCTGTCTGCCTTTTGGCCTATAACCATAGTTTTCTTCAAGAAACTGTACTGCCTTTTGTTTAGTCTATAGTCTCAAATGAGCCCTGAGTAAATCCCCTCGTGCAATCCACTGCCACACTAGGCTGGCAGTCTCTCGCTTGTTCATCAGCTGAGACCCAGAATCCGAAATCCGAAGGTCGGATGCCGTCTACTTCTGACGAGGAAGATTTATGCCTCCTCCCCCGAGGCGATAGAGGGGGCAACGGAGGACCGAAGCTAGTGATGGCACTAATCACTCGCCCCGCTTGTCAAGATGGACCCACACGTGACCCATATGAATTCCTCGACAAGAGATGGGGCCCCTGGAGTGCTTGGCTGACAGAGGCGGACTGATCCTGCCCGCACCGGAGAGTGGTGACTTGGACCACCTGCCGGGTGTCTGCCACAGCAGCTGGCAGTACCTGACACCCTCGAATAGACGGGTGCTGGTTGTAGAGAGACGGCCTCGGTGAACCGGTCTTGATCGCTCGTGATGCTTTGGACGACGCCTCGACAGACCGAAGCATCACCCCCAAGTGTGCGGTGTGAGGATGGACCAGCCCACACGTCACTGAGCCAGACGCACTGCACAGGGTGAGCGTCGACACGGTCTCGTGCTGGGTGACGGAGCACTTCTGCGGTCCGTGAGCAGAGAGATGGGCCTCTTCCCCGACACAACGCATGGGAGTACTCCGCCGGCATCCACGAACGCGTACTATGACTCAAAGATAGAGGCGTACGGGGAGCGCACCCTCTGATCATGCTCGGGACCGACGGCACAATCCACGAGGAGACAAGGAGGCACCCGAGGAACGGGGTAGGCACCCGGGGTCGTGGCGTGCAATCTCCGTCGTAGAGCATCAGCACCACAAAGCTACTCCGGAGTACATGGCCAGAGTCAATTGCTCTCGAGACTAGATCGCTGTGACCGACGCAAGGCCCGGGACAGCAGGTGCTCACTAGATGCCAGACGATGGTTGACCCAAGCCAGCCAGAGGAAGGGACGCCCCGGAGCGCATAGTGGAGCACCCAACGGCTCCCAGGCGGGATGCACAAGGCTCTTCTCCAGAGTGGGCGGCATCCGAGCTTCGGACTCTGGACGGGTTTACTCGGACAGGAGCTGGCAAGCCGACCTTGATGAAGCAGAGTAGATCTCGTTTGGGAGGATGTCTACTATCTCTTTGTGATCCTTCTTCTTAGCGATACTGAGGGCAGTGGTACCGGGCGAGTAACCATGGCAGCTGCAGGTTGTCTTCAGATCTTTCTCGTTTTCCTTAAGAAGTCTTGCACACTCCACGGTGTTGCTATACGCTGCGTTCATAAGGGCGGTCCCCCCTTGGTCGCTTGCATGCCGCCTTCGTCCTTCAGTAGGATCCTGACGCACTCTGGATGATCATTGCACACCGTCCACGTGAGGGCAGTCTGATGCTCGTTATTCTTCATACAAGTTTCTTGCTTGAGCAGCTCTACACTCCCTTCGTGCCCTCGTGCTGCTGCATACATGAGCTCCGTCTACTCTGAGATATTGCTCTCATACTCCATCAAAAGCTCAACGCGCCTGGGATAGTCCACCAGGGGGTCATTGGAACGATTGCACCGTGCCGCGAATACGGGAGCGGTCCAACCGCCTACTTTCTCTCCGTTTTCGTGCTCTGCTAGCAGTTCTACCAGTTCTGCGTGTCCACTTGCCGCAGCCATCATCAGAGCTATTCCTTTGCGCATGTACCATCTGCTTGCTATGACCTCTTTGTATGTTTTCCTCCCCCTCTGGATGGGTAAGAGTGCTTTTACAGCCTCCACGTCGTTTCTATTAACAGCCCGCATGAGCGCCGTGACGCCGTTCTCATCGGTTGGGTCGATGGCCTCCACCACAGTTCCATGTTCTGCTTCTGCCGCAATCACCAAGGCCGTCTTGCCTTCGCCATCGATTAGGTCCTTCTCATATGGGACCAGAAGGGAGGCAGCTTCTGTGTGGCCCTCCTCTGTGGCGATCATCAGGTAGTCCAGCCATTCTTGTCCTGGAGGCCCCTCTCCTCCCCAACAAGCAACTCGACGGGATCAACGTGCCCCTGCTCGTCGCACTAGTCGATGCCGAGTCTTTCTTCAAGCAGCATCCAGACGGTTTCCGTGCTATTCGTATGCGCGGCACGCATCAGCCTGGGCAGCAAAAAGAGGCTGGTCAGAGACTCAGTCGTAGCTATTCTGATGTTGAGCTGTGCAAGCCTATTCTCCAGTGCCTTAATCATGGCCAGATGCTCCTTACTTTGGTCTTCAAGTGCGTCGATCTAGTGGATTTAATCTTAACATCCTCTTCCAGAAGCGCGATCCTGGCGTTAGCGCCATTCAAAGCAATCTTCAAGGATCCGCACTTGTACCTCAGCATCACGCACTGACCCCCAGCTCACCAACTGGGATGTCGAATGTGGTGAGCGTCTCGTGCAGCTCCCTGGCTGTCGGTCTCCTCTCTGGCTCTAGTACAAAGATCCTCTCCAGAACATTCTGCATGAAGCCATCAGTGACACCGCTCAGGTCCGGCCTCCACCCATCGACGAAGACCTCTGCCGGCTCCTTGCCTTTCAGGAAGTCCAGTCTCCTCAGAGTAGTAAGCTCGTAGAGGATGACCCCGAGGCTCCACACGTCGGAGGCGGGGCTGGGCTCGTTGTGGAGGAGCACCTCGGGGGCAACGTATGCCATTATTCCTATGAGAATGTTCCCACTCCACAGGGCGTCCTTACAGAGGCCGAAGTCGGCGATGATGAAGCGCTCTCCGTCTGCGTTGATAAGAATGCTGGCAGGCCTGAGGTCGCAGTGGACGAGGCCTCTCGTGTTTGCCCCATTGACGCTGTGGAGGTAGGCGAGGGCGGCGGCGATCTGTTTCATGACAGAGAGGATCATAGTGATAGGGACGGGGATCTTCCTTCGTTTGTGCTCGGCGAGGGGGCGCTCGAGGGTCTTGTCTTGGCAGTCCGTGACGACGTAGATGAGGCCCTCGTCTTCAATCACCTGGTGGTACCTGAGGACCCCCGGATGGGAGAGGTCGGGGAGGGTGGTCAACCTTGTCCTGATGGCGTCTGCACTGTTCTTGTCCAGGTAACCTAGTGGAATGACCTTTACAGCGAGGCCCAGATAGCTTCGAGAGAGTAGATTGTGCTTGTGGGGTCTTTGGCCAGCACGTCATCCAGCCCCTCGTGGAGCTCCTTGGGGGTGAACTGCGGGGCACTGAAAGCTATTGTTGCAGATCCAGACGAAGCAGCGTGCATCCTGGTTTTATTATTTTGGTAATCTACAGTTTTGGAAACGATCCGTTTCCACAGGGGTTTGTGTCTACAGATCTGTAGTGGTCCAATGCTTGCGGAGGGCTTCTGCATCAGCAGCGAGAAGGCCACCTGTGCGACCGTTTCACCCACCGGTGTCCCAGTGCTGACCGAGGGTGAGAAGGCCAGCCCCCTGGCCTCTGCGGAAACGGGTGGCTGTGTGCCCCACTGACAGCCATCACTTCACCCTATTGGCTAGCCGTCCCCCTGCACAGCTGGAGGGAGACTCTAGTCCCCGTCGGATGCAACCAACAGTTAAGCGCGTTTACTCACGGGCTTTCTGGATAGTATTCACAGGTAAGGATCCACTAGCCTAATGCCCTTATTTTCAAGAAAAGACGCCACCTCGGGGTGACCTCGTGTACTAGCCATACAAAGAGCAGACTCGCCGCCTACGTCCTTCTCTCTCTCCAGCAGTAACTTGACACAGTCCAGACGGCCAAAGCCTGCTGCAGCTGTGAGGGCGGTAACACCTCCGTTTATTTGCATGCCTCCCTCAACATCCAGGAGTAGTTTCACGACCTCGGTGCGGCCAAAAAGTGCCGCCCACATGAGGGCCGTCCATTCATTACTGCTCCTCATGCAACGCTCGTGCCTCATCAGCAGCTTCACCACTCTGGTGTGTCCAAGCACCGCAGCGACCATCAGGGCCGTCCCATCGTATATCTCTACTCTCCCTGCCTTGACAAGCTTCGCCACCATCCTTGCCTGATAAGGGATATAGCGCTTCACCGCCTTCACGTCGTTTCTTTTGGCTGCCTCCATAAGCGTGGTGACGCCGTCCTCGTCCACGCTGCCTTCATCATCTGTTTGTGAAGACTCAGTTGAGTTTCCTGCGCTCTCTTCGCTCGTGTTCTTCTCAGACATGAGGAGTAAGGCGCAGTCGCACTCCTGAAGGAATTGATCTAAGTCATCCATAGACGGCATTTTTACTGCAGGTCACATAGAACGCGTGTGGCAGTACGCCTGCAATTCCTGGGCCTCTTGCAGCGCATCCAGATGGCGCATCATACAAAGACTGCACCCCTTGGATTCCTTCCGTCGCCCCTGCTATGTGTAGCAAGGTGCAACAAAGTGATCACTGGGATTCTGAAGCCTAGAGCCCCCTTCGCAAACCATGGTGTGCATCCGTTCCCACCACACGGACCACCATGCTGAGGAAACACATCCGCTTGGAAGGCAGTAAACGCTCCACTCCAATCTTAGCGCACGCCTTGCACGGCGGCAGCCACCTGGTCGGTAGTCTGCGTGCGCGAGCTCCCTGATGGTCTGAAGCAGGCCATGTCTCGCTGCAAAACCTTGCCCCTGGCTGGAAGAATGCCCTGCAGGCAACGGCTTAGCCGCGCTGTGACTGCCTCTGCACCCATCTGCCCGGGCTGTTGCGAAGACTCGAGGTGAGAACAGCTCGGGGTCCCCGCAGCAGCGAGCATATGGCCAAGAGAACAGTCCGACTGTTTGCCCGGGGCTGACGTGCAGATGGCGTTGCAGAGCTATGGACCTCAGTCTTAAAATGAGCGCCCTGGAGCGCGCGGGTGTCTCTTCTGGGGATATCGCTGCCCACGCCCCCGGATCCCCCCTGTGCGAGTGGAGGGCCGAGCTTGACGCCCCGGTCATTGCTGCGGTGGTTGCGCGAGTCTGCGGCGGGGACGCTGTCGTGGCGCTAACCACGCAGAGCTGGGCCCCCATCGTCCATGCAATCACCTCCAAGGGCATCAGCGGCAGCAGAAGTGTCTGCAGCCTCGGACGCGCCGCCCCGGGAGAGCCCCTGACCGCGGTCTGCGCCCTGGATGAGCGGGTCTTCCTCGCCTCTGTGTCGGCCATCTACGAGCTCGTAGCAGGCTCCCATCGAACGCATCGCCTAGTCCTGCTCTACCCCGCACGGGACATCCCCTGGCCTATCCGAAACCTCTCTGCTGAGAGGTGCGGGGCCGCAAGTGTCCTCGTCGCTGTGTTTGGGCTCCCAGCACAGGACCCGCAAGGCACTGGCCTTCTACTGCTCTGCCTGCGCGGCGGGTGTCCCCAGGCAACTGTCCTCCCCGTCTCCGTCGCTGACACTGCCTGCCCCTCTCTGCGCTACGATCCGGCCTCCTCCCTCCTCTATGTCCTGGCCTCCACGACTGATGCAGAAGTCGTTCTGTGCTGCGTCTGCTTCCAGGAGCCCGCAACTCTGGACCCAGCGCTACGGGGATTCGAGTGGTTCACTCAGACCGGCACGGAGTTCTACATGTCCCGGGTTGTTGTCTCGAGCCCCGAGGAGCATCTCTTGTACCGCTGCAAAGAGGGTCCCGGGCTTGCAGAGGCGCAGGTCGGGGCCGTCTGCATGTGTGGCACCTCGGCTGTCGTCGCCGTGTCAGCCATTTCCGAGACCGGCGAGCGCTCCGATCTGCCGGTCCTCCTGGTCGTCTCCGGCCTGCTGTCGCATCTCTCGTTCTCCACGATAGAACTCGATGACTTCGGGGCCCAGAGCCTGCCCCCGGAGTCTGAGTCGTTCCGCATCTGCTCTCTGTCCCCATCCTCGGCTGCCCCGGGAAGCCTCTGTCTGGCCTTCTGCAGGGGAAGCCTTCTCCACTTCCACAGGATGCCCGTGGAGAGCGGCACAGACGGCCCCCGCTCTATCGGCACATGCGAGCTGGCCCCTTCGACACACATGTTCTGCGCCCTGTACGAGACAGAAGGGGCCTTGCGATGCGTCTTCACGGCCGTGGATGGAGCGCGCCTGTTCCTCTGCATGGCGAGCACGCAGGTGAGTTCCGGCCGTCGCGCTGGGGTCGGGGGGAGGTCGCAGAAGGACCAGGAGGGGAGGCAGAGGAAGCACAAGGCACGGGTCAGCGATGCGTAGGGCTGTCCTTCCACTGCCCAGTGCATACAAGGGTGCGCACAGCCACGACCGCCGCGCAGACGAGGCGATGGCAGGAGCGGGCCAACTCCTCTCCCTGCGCCGTGGAGTCTGAGGATCCGAGCTGGGGTCCCGGGGATGACGCACGACTGCAAGGGCATGCATGGGAGACACAACGCTCCTGCCATGGCGACACACAGGCGCGCCTCTTCAGCATTCCGCAAACGGATGCTCTCATGCAGAGGCCACGGGAGTCTATGAATGAGGACCACGAGAGCTCAGAGATCGGGCACCCATTGCTCAATCACGCCAGAGCACCGCCCACATGTCCATACAGCATTTACTACCTAAGTCTACATCTACGCTTTGCCCCGGCAGAGGAACCACCAGCAGAGGAAGCCAACGAGGCCTCCGACGACAATGACGGCTGCAACAGCGATGCCTGCAATAGCGCCGGTAGAAAGACCGCTACTCTTGTTGGTATTAGAAGGCTCGCACCTGTTCTCTCCGGTGACCGGGCCGTATCCTCCCTCGCACTCGCACACCTTCTGGCCGTTCGCCGCGGAGTGCTCCGGGCAGTTGGCATCGCAGCTCTTCCCGTCGACCTGTACGTTGTGAGAATCGTTGGTGCATGCCGTGCAGGTCTGGCCGTCGGGGCTACACGTCTTGCAGCCCGCTCTGGTCAGCTCTGGTGCGCAGTTGGCCTGTGTTACCACAAAAACTAGGAGAAATCCTACCAACATTAGCCGGGTTAGTATGCCACTGCTCTTCCGTCAGACTTGTGTGTTGCCGCGAGCAGTGAGAGACAGCCGCTCTTGCTCTCCTTGATCAGTTGGACTGGAGAAGGATAAGATAGGAGCACACCCACCGGAGGCCAGTTGATAGCGCAGTTCCCCCTGACTTCCATAGGAACATGACCAGTGAGGACCAGACTCAGATCGCACCTCTCTTGTGGAGTGATTGATTGGGGTGTACTCCTGTACATTGCTGTCACTGTATCACTGGGCCCGCCTGCAGGTGCGCTCAGAGGTCTCATGGGTAAGCCGCGCTCACTTCCCGGCCGCCTGGAGACTATGGCTGGTCGCTGATGATATAATAGGGATCTCCCTTCATTTGTATACCAGGAGTCTTCTGCGTCCCTCAGTTGTTCCGCAGGGATGTGCTCAGTCTGAGTATGTGCGTTGGTCCGCCTGGAATTCAGGTCTTCTCTCAGACCCCTAGTCCACTAGTGGTGCCTCACTTTTTGGCCTTCCTTCATGGTGGGCAAAAAGCCCAGCAGCACAACGCTAGAAGCAACCAGTGGGTGGAGCGAATCATCATCTCAGCAAAAACATAAAAACTGACACCTTAAAAATTGAAAGAAGCGGACTATCATTGTGTCTATCGCTTACGGTTGTGCTATAGGAACTTGCTGCAATTGTGACTGTGTATAATGCTTCCAATTAAAAAAGATGCTCTCACCGATGCAGAGATCAAGAGGCGCTCACAACTTAAAGCAGGGCATATCGGAGACGTAAGAATAGCCAAGTCGCTGTTCCCTTCACTTGGGTATTATTACTGGTTTCTGGGAAATGTTGCTGACACAACCATCCTTCCTAAAGCTAAGCCAATTGTGCGGTATGCCGGACCAACTACAAAGGCAATCCGGCGCACCTTTGCGGATGCTGGATTTGTTCCAGGACCAAAAAATTGCCGAAAATTCAATATATGCTGGGGGTCCCCCAAAAACGTGAGTTTCTATTCAACCCTGGTGGCGGGGCAGATCTGCAATCAGGTGCCGGGATCTAATGCTATCGGCAGGAAGGACAAGCTAGCCTCCTGCATCGTAGCTGCCCAGAATAGATCTGGTAAGGAGCTCTACGACTTTATCCCAAAGACGTACATACTCCCGCAATCTGCTTCCATTGCTGTGCGTGATATGGCAATGAATCCAGACGCCTTTTATATCTACAAACCGGCCCTAGGAGCAAGGGGCGAGGGCATCAGATTGCTATCAAATGGTGACGCCATCCTTGATGATAAGCCCGCTGTCTTGCAAAAGTACATCTCCAACCCCCTTCTTGTCAACGGGTACAAATTTGATTTGCGGATTTACGTGCTAATAACCTCTGTAGATCCTCTTATAATGTACATATATAATGAGGGCCTGGGCAGGTTCGCCACGCGTAAATACCACAAGCCGACTATACGCAATAAAAAGCTCAAAAAGATGCACTTAACCAATTTCAGCATTAATGCATCTTCAGACACATTTGTGAATCCAGATTCAGGAAAGCATTGCCCTGTGAAGGCTAAAAAGGGGAAGCTTCAAGAGAAGGTTGAACGAATCATGACCATGACCAGTACGGGAAGCTCTTTAAACAAGGGATCGGGTTCTGCCTCTAATTCTACTGGTAGCGACGACAGCGATAGTAGCATGAGTAGCTATGAGTACTCTAACCCTGAAGATGAGGATGACAGTTGTCAAGGTAATACTGCGTTCCCCTCCAAATGGAAAGCATCAGACCTGTTTGCACATCTGGACATGAATAGGGATTGTTTTGACAGCAAAGACCCAGATTCAATTGTGAAAAACGCTGGTGTCCCAGGCAACGGGGTTGTTCAGCAAAGGCTATACTCCAGCATATGTGATCTAGTAATCAAAACACTGATTGCTTGTGAGCCAAATTTCTATATCCTTGGTCACAAAGCACGAACGGCTAGCACCTACCCGAGGATCTCGTTTGGAATCTATGGATTCGATATCATGCTTCAAAGCAACGGGAAGCCAATCTTGATAGAAGTCAACTCTTCTCCGGCCACAGCTACATCAACGCAGCTAGATGTTAATGTTAAATACCCTATGATAGCGGAAGCTTTGAACACAATTGGCATTCCTGTTGAAAAGCGTAATGAGCTGGACATTATGGTCCCAACGATCATGACAGAGGATGAAAAGAGAGCAAAGTCTATTAAAGAACGGAATACCCAACTAACTGCGCGCGCTCAGACATCTGGAGAAGCAATCCGCCAAGGGTCTAGCAACGTACCTCTTCCACGACCGCAGACGTCAGCCTCAGTGCATGGAAAAGCGATGTTGGATAGTGCACTCTACCTCTCGGCAGGGAGCCTCCCCCCTACTCAATCTATGAGGCTTGCAGACGCCAATCCATGCCCAGATGCAGACGTAGCTGCAAGTGGTAGCATCTCTGCCCAGAAAAAACAAGGTGACACCCCTGTTAATGTCAAAACCAACGCAAACGCCTCACCGAGTTCACTATCGAGCAAATCCAACAAATCTTGTCGCACATCAGATAGCCTTTCTGATTCTAGCCAGTCTAAGACCGACCTACCACGCTTACCTTTCAATGAAATGCGGCCGAGCGCTAACGGCAAAAGTATGACAACCGATCAGCTGCGGCGTATGGATAAACAGGGTCGGGTACGATACGGTCTTCCTCAAGGCGCGATGGCAAATCTCACAGAGATGGAGCGAAGAATCTGTATGCAAATCTCTGATGAAGAGCAGCGCTCTGGGATGTTCACCCGCATATTTCCTACTAAGGAGGCTGCATCGTACATGCCTCTGTTTGAGAATCAACGATATAATAACATATTTGCCATGGCATATGTCTGCAGTGGAGCCCCGTGGCACGAGCTTATTTAGCATCGTGAATTCAGCCCCACAATATCTATCTATATTATGAGCTGATGGGGAGAAAACGTGGTGCCCATGTTTCTAGTAAACAGAACGGAGCTCTCATTGAATAATCGCAGTATCTCTTTGCTGATGCCACCTTTGTGGGGGGACATCTTTACAGCCGAAATTAGTCGGAGCTGCTGCTCTCCCGTCATGGCTGTGTTATACTTTCTAACAAATGCAAGCAGCCCTGCGTGGAAGACCAAGGGGAGTTGCTGAGACTTGTATTCGTTGGCTGTTTGCTCATAGTACTTGACCAGCTCTTCTATAACTGTGACAGGCAGTGCGTAGCCCTTTTCAATCAGGCTACCGATAAATGCAGATGCTGCACCATTGTACGGTATCTCTAAAAGCTTCAGTAAGGCGGGTGCAGAAATCTGTATGGGGATGGAGCTCTTCTTCAGTATAGATGCAACAGCCTTCACGACAACCACGTGTGCATCTGTATTTGCCAATGGAAAGACAATCCCTTTGTAAAACGCACGCGGTTTGTATGTTGCCTTACCCAACGCATCGAAGATGTGAACAGGCAGTTTCTTGTTATGCCTAAGACTCTCCTTAACCTGCTCTAGCAGGACATTCTTATCGTACAGGTAGGCCTGGTCCTCGGGGAGCTGGGAGATGAAAAGCTTGGTGACAACCTGTATTGCGTGAGGCGTCCAAGCCAGAGGATTCATCACTTCAACTATCGGCTCCCATGATGAAGAAGCAGGGATATTTTTCAGAATTTTTGGCAACGTCCCTGATTTGTATTTGGAAAGAAGCAATCCCGTATGTCGCAGAACATCTGCCAGAGTCTGATCACTCAAGATGGACTTTGCTGCCATCGACATGCAATCGGCCTTAGCATAGCTTGGTTCTGTTTCTCCTCTACGCTCATAGCCCTCATATGGATTAAAGCGTTCGTCATCCAGTGCATCTGCTTTGGACCTTTGCGCCTCCTGCTCATTGTAGGCACGCAACGAAAAGCTGTGATCACTGGTAGACTGTGCGGTAGCTTTTGCGACTGCCTTTTCAATAGCTGCTTCAAATTGCTCTGTGGAGATTAGTGTACTGGTAGTTTGGTCAAACATGGTTAGCATATCTAGACTATTTTGCATGTCCTTCAAATCAACAGCCGACGAGCTATAAGTGTTCTTTGGGACCACGGACCGCAGAACCTTCGGGTTGATCTTGATCTCCCCCACTGTGCTTGAAACCTTAAGATTGAGAGCCTTGAGGAGAGCGGCATCAAGTATCTCCTCCTCATCCTGCTCCTGTGCTGTGGGATCATATGTGTCGTAAGGATCTTGATCGTCATCTGAGCCCACGGCATGACGGATATCCCTTGGAACAATAGTCTTAGCTGTCAGCTTGCGAGACTTCATCCCATCAATGTGGAGGCCTAGAGATGGACGTTGAGCCCGCGAGGCCGCGTGCAAAGAAGGCTTTCCCATGCTACTTAGCAAAACAAGTGTAAATAAATGAAATCATAGATTAAGGTATAAAGAAAATGTATTTGAAAACCGTGCTAAATTTAGATTTTAATTCCAATGTCCAAGAATTAAAAACTACTCGCTTATGGTGCCCGATATACTTTGCTATCAGTACGGTGACAATCTAATCCTGCATAATCACAGTGGTGTGTATGCACTAGATTGCGTGACGAGGCAACTGCTTTCTTTCAGTGAAGAGAAGCTCCAATCTATAGCGAGTGAGGTGCCCACAAAACACATCTCAGCCTTGCTAGGCATTCTAAACTACGATGGTGCATCTTATATCATTGTGGCAACAAAGCTCGAATATTGCGTCACTTATAGGCCGTGTGATGGAGAAGCAGTTTCATCTCTTGACTCAACGCCTATAGATGTCTATTCCATTGATGCTGTCGATGTTTTTGTCACAGGAAAGAAAAATAACTACATAAGGGCCGCACTTATGAAGCAGTTCTCCCAGAAGGGCCTTTATTGTGCATTTGATAAACGGCTCATTGAGACATCCAAATATAAGTCTAACAGGCATGCCTTTCATTGGAACCGAAATGTTTTCCCCGGATGTGGAGAAGGCCTTGTGGACCTCGACATCACCAGTTGTGTACCTTTTGTAATATGTGGGTACATTGAGGAAACTAAACCCTTCGTAGTTGCACCAGGAACAACCCTTACTATCTTATTAATTTCCCGGCGCTCCTTGAAGTCTGCGGGTAAGCGTTACTTCCAACGTGGAATCGATGCAGAGGGGCACACATCTAACTACGTAGAAACAGAAGTATTGGCTACATTTTACAATGAGCAATCTCGTGCTGCATTTACTTGCACAAACATTTCTCTTCGCGGTTCGATCCCAGTTTCCTTCCAACAGGTCCCTAATTTATCACAGAAGCCACCCATCAAGATCACCAGAGACTTTCCCAGCAACCTTTCTCTTCAGGAGTTCACCACTCAACAGCAGAGGTTTGAACGACGGTACCCTGGATCAAAACAGGTATATCTTAATTTGCTTGATGGCGTATCATCCGAAGGCGCCCTCTCTCGTCGCTTTCTTTCTCTCTGCAATCTTTTAGCCAGTTCTCGCTCCTATGAGAAGTCCATGTTTGTCTTTGAAATCGCAAAAGATACTGCTGAAAGTGATCATCTGACTGTTAAGCAGGTTGCACCGATTACCCCGGACACATCAGTAACGAAAGTACCCATTCCAGTATCATCTCCTTTTCTTGTTGAGTTTCGCAACTTTGATTTTCAAATGCTTCGAGGTGCACGCCAGGAGATGAAGCAGTCTCGCAAGATACTTGAGGCCATGAATCCATCAGATCCAGAGGTCATAGAGCTAATGCAAGAAGTGAAACCGGTGGCAACGTCTGATTCTCTTGCGTCTGAGACGTTACACTACCCGAAAAGCAACATTGTTTTACAAACACCTGGTTTTTCATACGTACATCTCGACTTCCACTCTGTTGTGTCCCACGCCTTCAAGGGTGACATGCGAACTGTGCACTACTTTCTTCGTTTCTTTGAGCGCGATCTGAATACCTCTGAGTCTGTATGCGATTTTATATATCGTATTAACTGTTTAGATAGCCTTGACCGCACTAACACCGTGCAGTTATGCCTTTGCAAAGAATTTTTGCGCAAGACAGTTACTAAAGTTCTCTGTTCGGGAGCACATGCAGAATTTCCTCGGTACACCCCCTACGAGATTACTCTCGAAGAGGCATTTGGACACCTTAACGCAACGTTTTGGCGGCATGGAAATGCTCTCTCTTTGCAGTACGCAACAACAGATGCGATGAAAGGTGATCTTAGCATAGTTGGACGACGCACTTTCAAAGGACGGATGAAGGACTTGCATATATGGTTTACCAGATGGATAACTAGTAATTTTGTTGATGGGCCACTGCAAGACGGCTATCTCTTTCTGCGCATGTCTATAACTAATCCCCTTCAAAAGAGCAACGAGGTATTCCATCTGTCTTTTGCCTCTCTCCTTGTGTTTTTGCTCGTGTTTGCTGTTCTTCTATTTGTCTTGTGTTCTCAGCATGCGACCACAAGCGCGATTGTACCTTATCTAATCATCTTCCTCTTTGGACTGGTTTCATTTGCCCTTACCTGTTCCCTCTTCAGCAGATGGTACGTCCGGTGGCCACGGTATCAGTTATCTCAGTATGTACGCATCTATGGTGAGCGGGTCTAGGTAGTCTAAATAGTTTGGAAGTAAAAGGGACCAGAACAAAGGAGTTGGGCACGCGGAACGGTCAAATGGCAGCGCTTCTACTTTATATGTAAACGAGCTAGAAACAATAAGTCCTCTAGCTAGGCTCCATGTGCACTACTAAGTTAGGTTCACTCGCTGCAACAAATATTAATTCCCAGGCGGCTTAAAGAGGTCTTTGACATTGGTTCTGTTATTTGCGTTAGTGCGTAAGTCGACAGTGCCAGGAAATGCTCGATATGTATAATTTCCAAATGTAGGAGGCGAGAACCACTTCACCTGCTCCTTGCACTCTGGAAGAGCCTCAACAGGCCCACCATCCTTGGCCTCATTCACGAAATCAAAGTACTTTAGGTCGACTTCAGAGCTAACATTTGGCTTGAATGGAGGGTTGTAGGAATGCAGATCGTTCCAGTCAACGTTAGCAAACCACGGATGGGCTTTTATCTGCTCGAAGTCATAGCGCTCTTCAGGCTCGCATATCAAATGCTTTATTAAATCAATGCACTCGGGAGAGACCTTAGGGTCTGCGGGAAATTTGAGGTACTGCTTGTATTTGACTATTTTCTTAACAGAATCTCGAGGATTGTCAGATCCAAAGGGCGGGTAACCAAAGACGCACTCATACAAGATGGCGCCCATACTCCACCAGTCCACCTTGTGACCATAGCCGCCTGGATCTTTGCGCACGATCTCCACGGCGCTGTAGTCAAGAGTTCCTACCGTTGAATATGCGCGATTGTGCATAATCCCCACATTGTCTGGCACGGTCATGGAGGGAGCAGTTATTGATCCGGTAGCCTCGGACCTCAAGGATGATGCTGTGCCGCTCAATCCTGGGGATAGAGTAGGGCTTGCAAGCGGGTTTATCGATCCGGTACCCAAGTGCTCGTCACTCATGGTTGTTACTTCCATTGTTCCGGGCCTAGATTTAAAGTCCTTGGCTAGACTGAAATCGGAGAGCTTGACATGTCCGCTTTCCGAAATAAGAAAGTTATCTGGCTTGGCGTCCCGATAAAAGGAGTTGTTCTTATGAATTTCATTAATACAAGCACAGCATTGCGACATATAAAAACGTGCGACTGGTTCTGGAAACAGGTCAACCCTAATTAGAAGGCCCATGAGATCCCCACCAATAGCAAACTCCATCACTAGATAGAGATACAGGTCATCCTGAAAGGAGTAGTATAGTCGGATGATCCAATCACTAACAGAAGAAGCCATAATTTCTTTCTCAGTAATGCAGTGCTCAACCTGGCCTCTCCTGATCATTTCATCTTTGCACAGCTGCTTCATAGCGAAGTACTTCTGGGTGGACTTCTCACGGACTAGCCACACAGATCCAAAGGCACCCTTGCCCAGCATCTTGATCTTTTCAAAGAGATTGACATTGATCTTGCGCCTCATGAGACGCAAATATTCTCTTTCACGCTTTCTAAGGTCTGCCTTGAGCTCTTCCTCGACTGCTGGGGTGGCATTAATAGATGCTATTTTCTGCTCAAGCCTTTCTGCCCTTTGAATGCGGCTTGCTTTTAGCTCTGCAAACTGGAATACCTTTTTAATGAGCCGCTCACATAGTTGCTTGCGATCGTTGTCCATGGGGCCCGTATTAATTTTTGGGCATTCATTTCACTTCATATTTACTGCCTATTACTACGAGTAATGGCCGACGCGTGTCTGAGCCTCCGAACACTGCTTGTTGGAGATCCAGGTGGCTTCATGGGTGCTTCTCTTTCTATTGACAATGACCGAATTTGAGACGATAGGGTCTCTGCCTTGACTTGATTGGCTCCGGCCAGATATGCCTTATTTTGTATGGAGCTGCTGCTGAGTATTTTCTCAAGCATCTCCTTCACCAAAGCCGAGTTTGCATTAGTAGATACATCCTTTTTCTCGCGGCTGTGTGAGGCAGTACGTGGCTTCCTTGACTTCTTCAAGTGCTGGCTGCTGCCGTCAAAACTTTCTGAACGGCGCTCTCGCCTTTCAGCCGACTTCATGGGCGTTACATTCAAACGCTGCATGTTTGAGAAGAGACCTGGACGTTGAGCTGCAAGAGTATGCTCATGACTGGAAAACAAGTCAATCTGCTTTGAAGTGGATAGGGCCAAGGGATCTAGTGCAGTGGAGGGATGGTGTGTCTGCAGACGTGCTGGTGTTGAAGCAAGACTGCAGCCAAGGTCCAGGTCGTGGAGCTCTAGATTTGCTTCTGAGATTGGGTGCTGAATTGCATGTGTGTCATGTATTGCGGAATTGTCTATGGGCTGTGCGACTACGGCAGTAACAGAAACACCTGCAGTATTGCACGTTATGTCTCGCTGTCCCTTTATTGATATGTTTTGTACGGCAGCGTCACTTGCCACAGGGGAAAAGCTGATCTCGGGGAAATGTCGCGTGCGCTGTGGGTGTGCTGTGAGGGACCTGGCTGTTTCAGGATTAGTTTTTTGAGCTAGAGGTTGCGTACTAACAGAGAGCTTGGTAAAGTACGCGTCACTAGACTGTTTAATTTCTAACTCTAAAACCTTAGCTTCAAGAGTTCTTATCTTCTGTAGAGCCTCATTCAATGACGCGTTTAGTGCAGCCTTTTCATGCTCGTGTTCGTTGACCACAAGAGTATATCTATTCAGTAACTTGTCATTTTCACTCAATAGAGACGACACCTTCTCTTCTAGTTCATGGATGTGAACAGACATATTATTCATTAGTGCTATGCTGTTAATTACGTCTTGCATTTCGTCAAAAGGCTTTAACCTATAGCATCTCCCTGGATCAACTTCTACGGCCTCATTAAAGGTAACACGCGACGGAGCCAAGGAAGCATCTTCATCATTGGCATATATGTGTGGACTTTGCCCACTGTTGTTAGATGTACTCTGAGACTGAGAATAAGAGCAGGACTTGTTGTCCTCTAGACTTGCTCTGAAAGAGTTGTGCTGACTGCTGCTTGGTGATACCTCATAGACCTTGTCTGATGCTGTAACAGATAGGTGAGAAAACTTGTTCTGGGCGCCCACTCCATCTTTGTCTCTATCAAAAGTCTCGTACAGGTCCCCATCATGCCGCAGACTATCTCCATTTCCCATAGTATTGAGCTGTGTCGAGCTATCTACAAGCCATCTTGGCTTCGCGTCTGTTGAGGAGGGTAGTAGACTGAGGGTGATCCCGTCCGTCTCACTAGAAACTTTCTGCCACATTTGGCCTGAGGAGCTAGTGGTGTTTGTTGCATGTGTGTTAAAGAAAGGATTTTCAGAACCGACATTTGTATATGATGGGTTGAGTACCTCTATCTGCTCTTCAATCTGCTTGGCCTGTATAAGAATGCGCTCGCGGGGCGTAGTAACATCAGCATCCTCTTCATCTTCCTCCTCATCTGAAGCGTTTCGCAACCGAGAGATCTCTATCAGTTCAGGCTCTATCTGGTCAAATGTCAAACTCTCTGGCTGTAATATGATTGGTGCAGGACTGTGGAGTGGAACATAGTATGTGCCAGTGTCTTTCATATTGTTGTCCTGGCATACAGTCGTTGTCAAATGGAAGGAAAAGTGTATGTCATGAGGTGCAGTGCAGACACCAACCCGCCGCAGAACAGCCAGATTGAGTTCATAAATATATTTTTCTAGTTTGAATGGTAGACTGTTATAATCTTTGTACGAAAAGTTTTCAATTTCCTGCTCCGTAAATATGAATTCAAACGATTTGCCAATTCTGGTTCTGGCAGGACTGTCTTCCAAGAACGACTCGTTAGTTATAACTGGATTCGTAGCTGCATTATTAGTTTTTACACAGTAAACAAGAGGAGACAATCCAAGTAGGTTTTCCTCAACCTTGGCTGCTTGCGCGTCAGTCTCTGTCAGGGTATTTTGCATGGGAAAAAGAGCACTCCCGGCAATGATGCCCTCCACCAGGTAACACATTCGTCGGAGAAAATCCTTAATTTTAGAATATAAATCCGCGAAAGATTGTATCGTGGTGATTGGTGGGACGGGTGTCAGGGAAATCTTGCTTGAAGCCATACAATCATACAGGCAGAGGAAGTCTAACGCAGAGATGATCCTTCTGTTATTTAACAGAGACTCTACGGGCTGTTTGTGTAGGATTTTGATCTGCTTTTCTGGGGGCAATAAATCAATAAATTCGAGAATCAAAACGGTAAGGACTACCGGGTTTAGTAAACCTATAGCGGGGACAGATTCTATCTCATCTACCGGCAGTTCTAGAGCACGTAAAGCCTCAATAAGTCTCTGTTTAATCATTTTATTTACGTCATGAGCCTTCAGTTTTTCGAGAAGTACTTAAGGATGGATCCAGAGGACCAAGGCACAGACTCTCTAGATCCGAATACTGCTAAAGCCGGATCCGTTTCTACGGTGCACGGCCAATATAATCAGCTTCTTAAACTTATTACAATGGCGATTGATATGGCTATGCCCCCTACGCTCATCCTTTCGGGGGATAACGCAGATCTAGTCCATACCTTGAAGCTAACAGCTCCAACGGAGTGCTATCGTGACCACAAAAACGGCAAGCAGCGGCCGACAGATTTCGCTCCATCAGAAATAAACATAACCCCAGTGCAGTACCAGCTTGCGCAGCACGACTCGGCCCATGCATCTAGCTGGGTACGGGACCATGCAATCAAGGATTCTCTAGGGCCATATCTGGCCCCCATAACATTTACTATAGGTCTTTGCACTGAACGATACATTCTTCAGGATAGCATGCATCCAGCTCGACACTGCATCCTTTTCCATGAAAACCTTGCGAAGGAAACAACTAGTGGAAGTAGTAAAACCAGCAGGCCCACCCTTATTACCTCTATCTCTGAATACTTCTTATGAGGCTTCTGTGTAAATGGACCGACTACCAACTTTGCGTCAAAACACAGAGTTTAGTTTTATCACTTATTAAAAACCACGTTGCCATTTCAACTGAATTTCCAAAAAGGTGGTTGACCTTGGTAATCTTATGCATTACTTGATCGTTTTCGCCACTCTCTTTTTTGCCATCGAGCCTCTTCAGCCGGTAGCAAGAGACGTTTATCTCAGCGTTCTGAGCAATGGAACTGTTCTAGCATCCACTGATGGATCTCTTCTCAGGGCTGAGCCATCAAGTGTTGTTAAGCAGGCCATCTCTGGTTGGGTTGTGGGGTTTGTCTCCGATGACACTGATGATTCTAAACTACAACTAGAGAAAATATGCACCCCTGAGCCCAACACACACTCTTTTCCCACAGACCATCACACCCCTCCTACCTCTTCTGCGACTGAGAGGCAGTCTAGCCAGGCCATAGATCTAAATACATGTACTTATAGTCCGCCCATACGTACTACTTACTACACCGAGTCTACAACGCCTTGGCTGCAAGGAAAACCGCTCAATGTCTCTGCCTTCAGAGTGGAATACTCTACCCAGAACCAGGTCATTCATACATCTAGGTGCATCAGCGAGGAGGATGTTCGCTCGTACTTGCATTTTGTATCAATAAAAATGCGCTTCCTCACCAACAACAAAGCCTTCCTTAATGTAGGCAGCTCTTTTGTCTCTCCCATCTGTATTCCTTCGTCCTACAAAGACACTGAACCGCCAAATAATGATGTTATCAGACTGCTGAACACAGAGAATGCCTCATTGTACAACGACCCCCCACGACCAAGCAACAAGAGCATGCACAACCCAGGCAATAATTCTAAAGAATCAGCCTATGAGTGGCTCAAGAATGTTCCTGCACGTGCCTCGATCCGCATATTCATTTCAAGCATGTTTCCCAATCACGACTCCTACAAGTTAACGTTGAATGCAACAGACCTTTTCTCATATGCAGCGTCATACTGGAATGGTGGCCCGTGGATCTATGTTCCCCATGCGCCTTCCTGTCTTGTGGTGGATACATCTCCAATTGATACTGTTACAGAGCTCATGCGATCGTTTTGGCGCTTGGCAGAGTTTGGCACAGCAAAGATTACTCTGCTAGAGTCGCTTCTTGGTAAGAGCAAGGAGATCAAGTCGCAGCTAGACCCGATGGAGGTTATGGGAAGCGGGGCCGCCACAGAGTTTTCTGTTCCGTCGCTTGCGTGGCAAATTTACCAAATGGGCACAGTACCCCCTTCTCATCATTTAAAGATACAGTCAGATAAGCACTCTATCCCGGCGTATAAAATGTTCATGCTTCTAGCAAGCGATTGTCCACGTACCCGATCATTTACTCCTCCAAATAGCACGACAACCATGGCCGTAGAGCTGCAGTTAGACTCGTCTTTCATTAGTGCACTCTCTCGTCCTATCTCGCTTATTTTAGAGTATAGGCGTAACTCAGTGTATAGCTTTGGCGGGCTATCTATTAGACTTATTGTCGGAGATCCCCAGACACCCGGTTCTCGATTCGACTCTATTGCCTACTCTGTCCAGAGCGAAGCGGATGTAACAGGAAAATTCTTTCTTGCAATAGCACAGCCAATTCCTGGACGCATATGGAAGTGTCCAATTTGTGATCTCAACTCATTCGATCTTGTTGTTGAGAAGACAGTCGCCCCTTGCTACACGTCTTCTCTGACCGAAATGCTGGACAACAAGACACCTCCCACCTTTCCGCAGCTTTCCTATGCTATCATCTCTTATCTCTATCAGCCGGCATCAGGCTTTAACCGGTCCCTACCCCATTCACTGTCCTCGTCATCTGACACTGATACGCCTAAGCTATTCTTTCTCCCCTTTGAGCTGACAATCCCTCCTGGGATAGTGTGTACGAGCTCTGTCCCAGATGTAGAAAGCAGCCCTGCAGCAACTATCAATTGTTCTTCATATACTTTTGCATCTGGTTCTGTTGCCTTCAACATACGTCCAGTATTTAAAAAGGGTGGCGGCACTCTGCGCTACTATGTACAGGACATAGCGTATAGTTGGCCTCACTACACGTTTAGATCGTCGTTCGCTCTGTTCTCTGATGGGACTAACACCGACCAATCTAGTCTTTGGTTTTCAACCGGCCTTTTTGCGTCTGAAACACTTCAAATAAAACTAAGCAAGGATTCTAACGCACAGAAGGATCTACCTGCAGACCTTTTGGTGCACTATGTCTGTGGATGGACGAACAGCTCTAGTGACGACATTGCGGACGTGGTGGACGTCTACAATACTCGGCATGGGCAAATGGCGAATGCTTTGCTTATCTTTACTGACGAAAAGTACAAGGCCTTGCTATCTGCAGTGCCACGTGGGTATGTCGCCATAAGAGATATGTACTGGAACATATTCACCTGGGTGTATGATCAGACTTTCGCAGAATCTATTGGCAGCACAATGAACCTGTCTCTATCGTTTAAGGAAGCGCTTACTTCGGACACCGATCTGATGAGAGACTATGAATTTACTTACCGAGTATTGAGTCTACCATATACTGACACCCAGTGCACGTTTAGATACTATGCCCATGGGTATACAGAGAAGGAAGCCCTTAGCAATTATTCACGTATGTATACGTATACCCATTACAAGGCTAATACACGAAGGATAGCCATAACAGAACTAGACTATTCTTCTGGATCGTATACATTCACATCTGCGTCAATGCCATTCCCGTATCTAATGGATTATGATTGCACAGCAGCTGTGTTTATGCCAACTCTTTTTTCGTCCAAGCGATGGTACGCCCTAATAGATTCATACAATGCGGATGACGATGTAGAAATCTATCTAGACTTTCACACCAGCTTGCCAGAGTACCTTGTTATCTTTATTTCCACCGTAAGAGACGTTATATCCATAGATTGCCGAATGCTTACTGTAATTCAGCGTTCTGTGAGAGACGCAGCCGGCGAGATGGTGATGATTAGCTATAAGATGTCGCTCAAGAATTTAATTGGTGACACATCTTTCAAGCACCAGTCTAACAATGCGACAAATGGGGTGTCTATCTCCTTTAGCGACGACGTTACTCTGGTGAACATGCGAGTCGTCTCAATCAAGCCACGGGTAGTAGGCGCTATGCCACAGGATGCTAGCAGTGATGTGAATAGCGACCTTCCTAAGTACACTATGACCATCCCATCTGGAACGATTCTCTGCGCCCCCATGGACGCAAATATCACCACATGGACACATGAGGATTTCGATATTATAATCAGCGGGAAAAGATATACCGTATCATCTGGTAATATGCATACAGTCAGCACAGGATACGTATTCCATCGGGGTTTGTACACGATTCCATACAGTTATTGGGATGAGCAGTATAACCTAGATGAGGAGCCCGTTAGTTGCGAACATAAGACATATCTGTGGAGAGGTCTCAACTCTAGCCTCAACTGTGTACCGTGCCTGGACGGTTCTATTTGTAAGGATAATATCAGGAAGCCATGCGACTTTGGGTTTTTCACCAGCAAGAACTCAGAATCATGTGATAGAATATACCCTGGAAACTACAGTACAATAACTGAGGAGATTGCCTACCAGGAGCCGATATACCATGTCCAATATACATCAGACGGTTCTGGGTATCTTACAACGAATTGCCCTCCATATCTGTTCATGAATAAAGCTTTTTGCGTACCTTGCTTGCTATTAGGGTATCTTTGCATTCCGGGAAAGGAACAGATACTCTGTCCCCGAGGTTTCCGATGCATCAGAGGGATGCCTATCCCCTGCATCGGCAACGAGTATCAAGATGAAGAAGGGCAAGGCACTTGCAAGAAAAGCGCTTCTACATTGATATGTTATGCCAGCAAGAATGAGACCAATGTCCCATACTCTATTGTAGAACAGGAATACACAGCAAACCTACCGTTAGCAATCCACAGCATGGTCGGGGATGGTCCCAATGGAGGGTGTAGACCATGCCCTGCTGGTCACTCTTGCAGAAATCCCGAATCTGTCGGGGGGCTGTTAGTCCAAAGATGCCCCATTGATGAATTTTCTATGTCAGGCCTGTCACAGTGCGAGGGCTGTCCCAGTGGAGATATGCAAAGCGCCGTTGGAGATGCTTGCATCCATATCCCACTTAAGGTGCGTGATGATGCAACAGTCGACCCTGATGACCAGATGTGTACACCCGCAAATTGTCTCTACACATGTATCAATGACGTGTGCGTTTCTCCGAATGCCCTTGAGTGGAAGATTTTTATCACATATGTTGGTATCGCTATTGTTCTTCTAGCTTTACTTATCGTTGTCATTATATTATTATTAAAGTATTGTCACCAGTGCAAGATACGGCGAAGGAGATGTAACGGATTGTGAGCTCTATTTAACCTGCTTGCAGCTTGCTTGCAACTTTTAGGTAAGTGTCTGGACGAACGTTTTTGTGAGATCCAGATTGACAATATATGACTCTGTCGCAATGTCGAGGAGTTCCTGTTTGCAGTGCTTTAAATACTCTTGTAGTTGTCCCTGTAAATTATTTGTAATGCATCCTCTGAAAACCTCAGAATCCCGCTTGCCTAGTGCAAGGTAAAGGAGCCGCTTGGCTGTCGCCAGAAGGTACACCACTTCTGGGTATTCTTGTCGAAATGCAGTGACATGGAGAGGCCTTCTGCCGTCTTTCTGGGCGAGAAGAATTAGATAATGCTGCACCTTAGAAAAGAACGACGATTCGGTGAGGATTCGGCCCAATGACGAAGAGGACCGCGATTCCAAATCTAAAAGAATATTCCTCAATCTGCATAAAAAGAACTGCACAATAGTTACTGCGGAAAGCTCTTTGTCCAGGGTCAGTTGTGCAAGGTATGGAACCAGCTCCTGACCAAAGCGGATAAATTGCTCTTTCAGTGGCACAAAGGCTTTGATAAAGTTGATCTTTGCTTGGCTCCAAGACTCAGGGGCTCTTAGTCCTATGTGTGCCGTCTGTCCTATGTATTCAGTGATGCAATCGGACATAGACGGTTGCTGCATTTCTTCTGAAGAAGAGGCACTGTTCTTCAACAGATTATCTTGTGCAAAGACGTCAGAGCAAACGTCTAGTCCTAGGCTTTTAAGGTGTTGTCGCTGGATATATGTAAGCAGCATAAAGACTTGGCAAGTCAAACTGAGGACCATGATTAGGTGTATAGTATCATGGGAAGAACTGTGTTGGTGGTATGCACATTCTCTTTTCGGAAGGTCCTCAAAACACTTAATGACGCATGAAAACAGCTTTGTCAGAGTTGCACCAGCAGGACTGGTTGGCGAATATACATTATTATTCAGCTCATGCATCAAAGAGAGTGATAGAATCAATAATAGCTGGGTGATAAAGTGCTGTACAAGGATCTTGAACTGGATTCCTCTTGAGATGAGAGACCTAATCGCTGATACAATTGGCATCAGCTCAGGGGGATCTATGATTGGGCGAGTCTGTTTAGTAGCTGCAGAAAGCAGTACCCCACTCAGATTAATAAGCAGAAAAACATGACCACTAGGAATAACTGAGTCAGAAGAATCCAGACGGGATGTCAGCTGTAGCACACTATGGCTAAAAAGCTGATGTGCCTCGGTGATAACAAAGGGTGGCACATGTCCCTCAGTCAAAATTGATGTAAGTAGCTTACTGATGTGTTGATCGAAGGCAGTACTCAAAATACAATTAAAGCGATTGTTATTAGTCAGGAAACATGCACAGAACTCTTGAGGGGCAGTAAAGTAAAGACTAGATAGCACAGTGTAAATACAGCAAAGCTCTGTCTTAATGCTGATGATAGAATTATTGTTTTCCGTGACCCAGGCTGCACAGGCACCGAGCTCGTTAGTAATACGATCAACAAAGTAGTCGTCCTGAAGTAAGAAACCAGGGATGTATGGCACATTGAGAATAGTGGCCCAGATCGTATCTAGATTGTTTAAGAGCTGTGCTTCCTCTTGTCTGGTGAACTCCTTATCCGACTCCATTGCAATACCATCAAAGGACAAGTCACACAGCTGCTTTATGGCTTCGAAGGACGTCAGAAAAGGCAGCAAGTTTAGAGCCTCCTTGCCGATGAGATCGGCAGCATTGGGAAGCAGAAGAAATGATAGAAGTTTCCGTCTGCTAATACACTCGTTCATGTCAGCCGAAAAGCACGGGTTATCATACTCCCACGTAACGCACTGCTGGCCAAGAACACCTGATCTTGCCGCAACATCATAGCATATTAAAGGCAATTGATGCATGCCTGTGTCTGGTGACCGTACACAGAGATCCAAAATGTCAGTAATGGAAAGGCTATCGGAGCTCTCTGACCGATTTGTAAGTGACACTGGAACTTCAGAACGTGTTGGTCTGAAGCCTTTACTCTTAGATAGACGTCGCATATTGATTTTGGTCAGGTCTAACTGCTTGACCAGAGTTAGCTCGCTCTTAGTCTGTGCTATACCAAACATATAGGTCATGACTGCATGAATTATCTTGGACTTCATAAGCTCTACGAGAGATGGTCTTTCGTGGGGACTAAATCGACAGCAGGAGGTTATAAACTCGAGTAAACTAGGCGAGCAGTCTATATTCTGCAATACTGGATCTTTGACCAGCTTAGCAGAATTAAATCTTGGTTTTCGCTGTGCCACAACTTCAAATGCAAGACACCCAAGCGCCCAAATGTCAGCAGCAGGCCCCTTAGTTGCGCCTCTAAACAGTTCTGGCGCTTTGTATACTGTATTGGAGACTGGTGTATGCGTATCTAAGATGCATGCTAAGATTACTATCTCTGGTCGCAATGGTGCGCATGAGTCGTGAACAACAAAGATTGCCTCTGGACAGATGGTTGGTGTGAGGCCTGCTCTAAGAGACTCAGGAGCCTTGTAAAAGTCTGCCAATCCTTGAACAAGCTGCGCAACTATCTGCCAAACAATCCGCTCTTGCCACCTATCGATTGTTGCAGCAATTACTTTCCATTCTGGTGCTGCTGTTGCTGTTGTTACTTTACTCTGGGACTTATTGGACCTTGACCTATAAGCTCTCCTGCTAAATCGTGGAGTTGTGCACCAAGTTTCAGTTCCAGGGAAATCTGAAATGTTTGGGGTAGACATGCTATGCTCAAGATTACGGGTACTAGAAGGTCGATTGCTCAACTTGCTTGATGGCCTTGAGACACTCGCTTTTTGCCCACTTTCACGAGCTGTCAGAGCCCTTTTTGACAGCAAATATTCAGGCAAAGCTTGGATTGTGGCGTGTGGTGGCAGAGCATACTCTATCAGCAAACCAGAGTCTACTTCTCGAATAGCAGAGATCGTGCCCAAAGCCACAGATGTAACTGTCAGTAGTTCAGTGAAGGAAACTATTGTCTTTATTCTGGCGGAGCTGTCGGAGTCCTCTTGGGTCCGAAACAGTTTAATCAAAACCGGTGCAGCATCTGCTCGTCTGTTAGCTTTGAAAAAGACAACCGCTGGAGTACTAGATAGCGTACTGATATCAGTATATATATGTGATAGAGGCGCCATGCAAGTGTGTGCCCCACACCTACGGCTTAGAGTTTTAAGAATTTTTAACGGTAGTATTGCCCCTGTTACCACATTATCTTGCTAATGAATGTTATACTACTATATAAATGCCAAGCAGTAACTTCTGGCGCGCAGGAAAGGCTCCTTGGGGACGACCAAAAATTGAATTATCGTTTTGATCGTGGTCTAACGTTCTGTTGTCCATAGACTTAAACCCTTATGTCATGAGTGTTCTGGAGGCTAAATTGAATGATAGCTTGGTCAAAGTAGTGCAGAGTGGGCGAGAAAAACGGTATTCTGACGCAATAGAATCACTTAATAAGCTCTTGCCCCTCATGGACAAGTGGTTTCACGCAGAGCCCGAGGTGCATCGACTATATTTTCGGACATATTATCGCGTTCTTAAAGCGTGCCTGTATGGAGACTTAGGATTATATCATTGGCTGAACAATGATTTGTTGTCGGCATCCCTTGCTTTAGAACAGTCCATCCGGATACTCCCTACACACCTATCACTCCAAAGACTTAGCTACTTGGCAATTCAGCGCAACGATTCAAATTCCGCAACAAGCCATCTTCTCTGTCTGGTCTCTGATCCCCTCTTGAACTATAATAAGATTACTTTATGTAATGACAGTTGCGCCACACACCCAGCAGAGGCATTGGCTTTACGAGCAGCTACCATTGCATACTACGGTAATATAGTTGAGGGGATCAATCTTATTTCACTGGCCCTGTCATACCACTCGCAGACTGCAGCAGAGATAGCCACCCCCGCGGTTTGTGCTCAGCTCCGAGCTGGTATCCCTCCCCGTGTCATTACTAGGATCCCTAGTTTGACCAGCATGTCACCAGCAGAACTTCGGAAGTATCACTTGCTGTTGAGGGTGTTTGTGTCCCTCTGTAAGATTGCCGTTGATAGGTGTGTGAAGCTTCCCATAGTGGTGAACTGCGACATTCGAAGCATTCTAAACCACGTGCTTGGCGAGTTCCACAAACTGGTCATATCTAATGTAATCTTCGATCCAACTGGACTGTACCAGGTGCTTCTTGACAGGTATCTTTCTATTGGTGGCAGCCCCAATGCAGTTAAAGTCTGCATGGAAAACACTGAGTATCTCCTGGATCTCTACTCCTTTGCCTTCCCATGGGCCTGGGACACACAGACAGCTATTCACTCATTTACAGGCCTCATGAAGGAGAACACTTTTACCGATACTGTCTGGGCGTTATTGTCAACGTATGATAAAAAGGCATCGCGAAAGGCTGCCGAGGCCGGCATGCAGGCACTGTCACGGAAGAAGATAATTGAGGAGACTAGTCTGGCGGAATATGTCTCTGACATGTACGGTTTGCAATTAGTGTCGCTTTTCACCAGCAAACATCACGATAAGCATCACATAAGCTTTGGTACTATATCGAAGGTTGGGCCTGGGGATGCAGTTAGGTCTATTATTAATACCCATCCCGCCTCTGAGGCAGCTCTTCACGCGCTTACACATCACACACGTTCGGTAAGTGAGGATAGCTTCGATAGCTGTGTTGCAGAAACTAAGGACTCACTGATGAAGGCATTTCAAGAAGCCGTTCAGTCCCGAAAGAACCCCGGTGCATCAAAACACATCACCGTACCCAAGAGCCCAGTCATTGCCTCTACTGCTCCAATACGATCCATGGATCTTTCTGGACTCCATGTTTGCCCTTCTCCTGCAGAGCTAGCAACATCATTAGCAGATACCGTCCTTGGGCAGGCCATGGCCCCGCTTGATACCCTTTGGACCCATCACGCTTCTACTTGCCAGGAATGCAGAGATCCCAAGCCGACATACCAGACACGCAAGATCATCGATGAGGCCGACCTGAAGGCATGTGTTGAGGGTCATCGGGACACCATTCAGCAAGCAATAAATGGTGCTCCGTACTCCACTGGCCTCAGTGGAATTTACAATGGGGAGGTTGAACGTGTTAAGAACACAAGCGTTCTTAGTAGATTTATGCTTGGCTCGACAATTCGTGCCGTGAATGAACGTTCAGGAGAGTCTCTCAAACCTTTTAGCAAAAGGTGCAGGAGATTGGCCAAGACATTACAGAGTACCACGCAGGATTATGATCTCGAAACTCTTTCAGAAAAGCCCAGTATAAAATTCACTCCGATTGATATTACAGATTTGTCCGCAGAAAGTTTAAACCCTGACTCTTGCAAATTTAATTCATGCAAGAAGAAGACTGTCGAGAAGCAAGTGGTGTCTGCAGCTAAGTCTGAGATAGAACAAAGGAACGGATGCTTATCTGCCCCTTTGACTCCAGTCTTAAGGCCACAATCCACTCCCGTTCTCCCAGTCGGGACTAGCCGTACCAGAGGTGTTCAAGGGACGGAGAACAAAGCTGCCAAAGCAGCCAGAGAATTGGTCGAACCAGGAAAGCCAGCATTTGAAATCTCAACGACCATACTGCCCCAGCAAAACCTTTTGACAGGAAAAGTTGTGTTAGATTATATTACTGATAAGGAACTGCAACAGGCCGAGTCTATTTGTACAAATATCGGTCTAGTTACTGCCATACTTGACCGAAATGGATCCAATCCAGCAAATGAATCTCTCACTACAATACCATCAGCAAAGGGGGCGAACTCAAAAGCAAGTGGTGAGCACAAAGACCCTAAAGCGGTTAGCATTGGTTTACTCCCGGATAGAGAAGCTGTCCCAGCTCCTGCCTACCTTGATATGGTAACCTACCAGGCCTCCTTCACACCACGGGGTGCTGCAGACACTATTGAAGTGTTCTCCCCTGTACCTCAGCTATTGTCAGCAAACCAGATTGATCTCTTTCAATATTGTAATGCAGAGCCTGATAGAACAACAGTACTCTCTGAAGTAGCCTCTGAATACGTGGAAAATGCTATCGCTCCTATGCCTATTCGACATCATTCAAGATCGCATCACATAGACCTTGAGAAGTACGTTGTGGAGGCTCTTCCTCAAACGCCTCCGAGGCCTGTCCCTAAAGTGATATCTGCTGTGCAATCATCACCGCGGAATGCGCTAGACAAGAAGGGTCGACGAAAAACCATCACGATTGATCAAATCACCCCCGCCAGCAATCCGTGTCTATCCCACTTTACTGGAAAAACCATCTCTGCCCTACTGGCACGCCCACCAAGGGTTGAAAAGTGAATGATCCATCCAAAGGTTCTGCAAAGCAAAAAGCTTAAGGTGCACAAGAGCTTGGCGGCATGACTTCGCGCGAAGAGTGGTTTCAGGCCATTCACTCCCGGGAATACAGCGTGGTAGCTACCTATGCAAAGGGTTGCAGTGGCATGCGGGACAACTATGGAAATACGGGACTAATGTGTGCAGTACTTGAGAATGACCCCCACATGGTACAGCTGCTTGCATCCTATGAAGCAGGTATGGTTTCCGCCACCGGCAGAACGGCTTTGTATATGGCCGTGGCAGCCGGACACGCAGAACTATGCTACATTCTTGCCTCTCGTGAGCGGCACATTCTCACGGAGCAGAACAGGACTATGCTGATGGTGGCTGTCGAGATGGGTAACATCGATACCGTTGTCGTGTTGCTGCCATATTTTGGAAACGAGAGAGACGTTGCTGGATTCTCTGCTCTTGATTTGGCTGTCTTAACCCAAGACACTGATCTTCTTCAACTCTTACTGGATGCGCAGAACCCCAATGAACATGATCTATCCATAGCCCTTTCTATTGCAAGAGATAACTCCTATACTAGCGTTATTCAAATCTTAGAACGGTATGCACGGAACTCCTCTGCAGAAACATGCAACAATTGCAAGGCGTTGGCTGCCAAACTTGCTATGCAAACAGAGCTTCTTGCTTACTTGAATAGACTGGTGAACACGTTCTATCAAACGCAGAGTCTGACTCAAAGAACCATGCCAAATCTTTCTTCTGTGTCCACATCTGTAATAGACGTACCCCTTGAGCCTTATTCTTCACAGCAAGCTCTCGGTAGTCACTCACTGCATACACATCAGCCCCCAAGCTTCCAATCGAACCCAGAGCAATCCTTCATGCCAACAGGACAGCCTACTATTCAATATGAAGATCCTACTCGTGCATCTTCTAGTCTGACCCGCCCACCCCAACTGAATTTGTCGCTCAACCCCTATTACCAGTCTTATGCACCTGCCACGCTCACGCAGCCGCATCAGCACCCCACCCTTACACCTCTGGCTAACAGGTATACTCAGTTTCAAGAACTCAATGCCAACTTTCAACTTCTAAGTGCAGAATATAATCAATTGAAGGAGCGGCAAAATGCAAGAAGCAAATCCTTTGCTATTCCTTCATCGGTAAATCATAATGTATTCAGTCACAAAGAAAAAGGAGTCATGGGTGGAAACGATGACCCAGAATATGGTGACAGCACAGCTGTGCCTCCTGCGACTCCGGGGAGTACCAAGCGCAAATCCGTAAGCAGAGCCTCTTCAAAAAGCAACAGATTCTTCGGGAAACGTTACATGGAGTTAGACAACACTCCTTCTTGGCCTGTATTGCCTGACGAAGGAGCTGAAACTCCTCTTAAGACATCCCCACTCCGCAAAACACCGAGTCAGCAGCATCGACTGATGCGCGAGGAAGATCCACAGACTAGGGTATTTCCAGTAACCCCAATGGGACACTGGCATGATAGTCTTTCTGATCTGAAAGAGGATCTAGATTCTATACCACGTCTATTGGATGTTCCACCAAGCGATGGTGAACAAGACTCCAGTAGCAGCATTAGAGATGTGAAAAAGAATGTTTCCGGGGAGACAAACTTAATGAGAGCAGCGCAAGAAAATAACCTGGCTACTGCACGGAGATTTCTTCATACAGAGGCGAAGGCACGTCTTTTAGATGGCACAACAGCCCTGATGATTGCAGCAAAGTTTAATTCACGAGAGCTTGTACATTTACTTTCTTCTGTAGAGGTGAGGATGCAAGACAATGAGGGTCGGACTGCACTCCATCATGCAGCTGAACATGATTCTCTAGACGCTTTCCAGATTTTATATTATCAGGAAAAGGATCTGAAAATGCATTCCGGCCTGTCGATTGAAGATTTGGCCAAGCAGAAGAACGCAACCAAAGTACTCACCTATTTGCTTGAATTGAGACCTAATCAGCTAACGCACTCCCCTCCACGCAACAAAGTGGAGACAGTATCTGTCTTATCGCAGAACAGCCTAGGATCTAAGCCTGCACCAAAATCGAGACAGATACAAGATATAATAAATTTCTACAAAGCAGAGCAGATGGCCAATCAAAAGGCGAGCTCTGAGAAAACGCAATTACTATCTCAGACCAAGAGTAACAAGGATGGAGGAATCCCTCCGTCGGTATCCCTTTCTGTTTACGATGCACCTCCTTCTCCACAAGCCCCAAGACTGTCACCCGGTAAGTCTGAACCAGCTCACCCAATTATCATCCCAGCACAGCCAAAGCAGATCTTGGAAGAAGCGCCAGTTGTTACTAATCACGATACAGTTCCACAATCTGAAAACACTGTTGCTACGGTAATACCAACTAGTCCACGCAAGCCTCCGTATAAACGGGTCTCTTCTACTCTAGTACTGACTAAAGAAAATGCGACCACACCTCATCACCACACTGATCCCAGTAGTCAAAATGTATCGCAGGCATTAAGCCATCAGCCAGTTCGCGCTGGGAGCAATTTGAAGCTTAGATCTGTGTCTGCCACGCTGAAAAATCCAGAAGACAAACCTTATTCAGATGAGATCCTGTCTTCGAGCAAAAGGACAGATGGATTGACCAAAGAACGAGTTAAAGCGTCGCGTAGATCTCGCTCCAACTCTGCGAACATGAAGAGCCACTCTCCATTGGCTACGGGCAAGTCGGAGCTCATGATTTGCGTGGAGAATGATGAATTTGAAATGGGAAAGAACCTCATTGAACAACAGCACGGCCGTGGAGATAGAAACGGATGTACTGCATTGATGTACGCTGCAAAGCTCAATCGGCCAAATTTTGCCACTCTTTTAGTTAAGTATGAAGCAGGTCTCGTTAACGATGACGACCAGACCGCTTATGAAATTGCCATGAGCCATAGCAACTATGCTGTGGCCGGAATTATTCGTCCCTACGAAAAGCATCTCCAGAAAGGAAGCCCTGAACGCAAGCTATCCCTTAAGATAACCGACAGAGGGTCTCCGTCATGCCCTGGCCCGGCCGATGAGTCCGACTCTATCTTTCATGGTATACCTTTGTCTACCAATTCATCTATGAATGATGAAACCCCGCAATTAACACAGAAACAGCACAGGAACACTACTTCTACTCAAGACCTGACTGTTGAGATGCTCTTTACCCACCCTGTGCAACAGCCCTCTGCCCGCTACACGGATACTTCACCGTGCACCATTTCACCAACAGATTCGCCCATTATGAGACCTCGCGGCATGGCCAATTCAACCCCACTGATCGAGGCCGTCAAAATGGGGGACCTCCCAGGTCTCAAACGGTATCTTCAAGAGCATTCTGGTTTCGTTGACGACTTGGGAATGACTGCTCTTATGTATGCTGCTGAGATGGGGAATCAAGACATGGTGATGGTTCTCCGAGCAACAGAGGCGAAGATCCGTCTCGCCAAGTACTCCTTGCGCACATTCTATGAGTTGAGCAACGGAACAGCTCTCATGATAGCAGCTGCAAAAGGTCACGACTCTTGTGTAAGAGCCCTTGTTCCATACGAAGGTGGCCTTGCCGATGATGAGGGGCATACAGCACTCATGATAGCCTCCAGGTATGCACACACTAACATGATTAAGGATCTCATACCCAAGGAAGCAAGGTTTCTGGATTCAAATGGCCAAACGGCGCTCATGATTGCTGTTCAGAATAACTCGGGAAAGTCTCATCTAGAAGCCATTAAGTTGTTGCGAGAAGCAGAATTGAAGTGTGTAGACACTAGTGGTGTCACCGCGCTCATATGGGCGGCATTTGCCGGTCAAGTTGAAGTTGCAGAACTTCTTACTGGTGAAGCGGGAATGACTACAAATAAGACCCATGTCCACGGTGCTGGCTTTACTGCATTAATGGCTGCTGCTTATGTTGGCTCGGGACCGATCGTAGAGCTGTTATTGCCAATAGAAGGGAAGATTGTTCAAGCTAATGGGAAAACAGTTAAGGATTGGGCGAAGTCAAAGAACATCAGGGACATGTTAGACATGATTTTGTAACAGAAAGAGCATCCACACTTTAGATTTTATCTTCTTTATCATCTACTTCGTCCTCGTCATACGGTAATGGAATTTGAGTTGCTTTGAATAGGTATTTGTTCTTCTCCTCTATAGAGTTACGTATTCTCAGGATAGATATGATACCTGCCATGATGGCCAATCCAGTCACGACGAAGAAGCTAACCTGGCATCCGTACACATATGACTTAATATAGTACGGGTCGTCAGGGCCAGACATCTCTGCCTGACCATAGTCAATCAGCAAAATAAAATTCTGGATTGCAGTGAACAATGAATTCCCGATGGAAGACCCCATGGTTCTGGACATGGTGGGAAGCCCATTCATCAAAGCAGAGTACTTCTGTGGCGCAGTAGTAAGAACCATCGGGAACAGGAGCGTGCCGGCAACCCCCAGAAGAAACGTTTGTATCATTTGCATGATGATTGCCAGCGAAATGTGCACTCCCAAGAAGCATGCACCCAGTGCAGTAACAACAGACGACCCCAGGAATGCAAATCCAATTATATGGCGCCTGACAACCCTAGAATCTATCAGCGGCGTGACTGCAGACGCTACTATTCGCAAAACGCAGGAGGAACCACTAATCATTCCTATGGAAAGGCTGCTGAGTCCATACTTTTTCGTAAAGACATACGGCAATAGAATAGTATAACCAGAAGATATCACGTTTAGCATAACGTAAACAAAATACATGGCCCCAATTGGATTCTGCAGTGCTTTGAATAGTATGAGCGGATAAGGAACTTTCCGTTCGATTAGATAGAAGAATATGGAAAATACTATAGTCATAATTGCAAATATAGCGGTCAGAATGAAGGCATTCATGGCCAGGAAACTGAAGAGAAGACAAAAGGAGGTCACGGCAATAGTTAACAGAATCGTGCCACCATAGTCGAAGCGAACCTTGAGCTTTGTCTTGTACGGGTTTGGTATTATGAAGCTATTAATGACTGTGCACAGGTTCAGGACAGCACAGACGACAAAGATGCTCTGCCATCCCATATAGTCAACAAGCTCCCCTCCAATGAACGGGATAATGACAGCGATAATATTCACCGCAGTCATCTGCCACATGAGGTACTTCTGAAGTTTGTCTGGTGGACTGAGCGACTTGGTGAGGGCGTTCTTGCAGGCCACAAGTCCCGATGCACTGTACCCTGAGAAGATCCTAAGAAGTATTATCAGTTCCAATCTTGGCATGAAGATGGATGCTATGTAAAGGCAGACTGCAGCGATGGAGAGTATGCGGGTGTATATGATGGGGCCAACCATATTCCCCACATGGCCATTAAGGACGGATGTGGCTGCGTTTGCGATGTAGAAGGATGTGATGATCCATTGCATCTGGCTGGAGGTAGTCCCATAGACTGAGCTGAGCTGAGGAAGAGCCAGGGCCATGACCTGCTGGTCATAACCGATGGACGCAAATATAGAGATGAGATACGGAAATTGGGAGAGAAAAGACGCTTTTCCAGGCTTATACTTGTTCCTACACCGCATACAGCACCGTTCCTTCGGTAGGGCCTCCCCGGTAGACTCCTGAATGGACACCACCTCAATCTGATCGCAAGTTTGGCATGTGTCCTGAGGTGTGTCTTCAGAAGGCAGACTCTCAGGGTCAGCGTTATGGAGTAAATGGTCAGCGTCTGAGGCTGCGCTCTCTATCATAAATAAATTCTAAGGTGTTAAACTTGAACTTAAATGCAATTTTAGCTTTGGGCAAAGCACGGCATGGAGCACCCCGCTGACAGTATGGCAGGTCCAATGATTCGCATGCTGCAGCTTCCTTCGGGGCAGAGGACGGCTCTAGTACGAAATCAGTGTTTAACTACACCATCTTCCATTATTCTACCGTCTATATGTGACACCCTTGACCTTAGTCATAACAACATAAGTGCATGGCCAAAGTGGCCGAGCACTGACATGCAACCTATACTATTTCAATCTATTACAAATTTAATACTCTCGTACAATTCACTGCAGCGCTTCGATGCACCGCTCAAGAACACAGTTCCGCTCCTCACTGGCCTGTCCCTTCGTGGAACCAGCATTGAAGAGCTGAGTGAGCTAAAGTACGGTATCAAAGGCTTGAAGAGTCTTCGGTGTCTAGATATCTGTGAGACTCCTCTTTGGGAAAGATGCACTGATGCAGACAAACAGTATAATATGGTGGCGGAACTCTCGAACAGTTGCAGAGCACTCCAAGTCGTATCAGGTGTTCGCGTCACACTAGCGCACAGGAAACACATACGTACATCTAAAAGCTCTACTACTAATTAAGGACAAGCAGGTCGTTGTCTGCACTCGCCTTTGCCAAGTGGCATTTGTGGACAAAGTCATCGATAGCCGTGCTGATGCGGCTTGGCTCTGCATCCATGGACGTTTTAATCACCGGTATTGTTGCAAGTGTTCGATCTTCCAGAAAAACATCTCGTCCAGCTATCTTGCCATTGTAATGAACAAACACCAAAATGAACCCAATGCCTGCGCCGCTAGAAAACTTTGTATTTGGGGTGATCAGATCGTAATATCTCCGCACATATTTATCGATATTGAGCTCAGTTGACGGAACTACAATGATTAATCCATCCAGCTGTTCGGCAATCCTATTATAGGCAAACTCATACGCCGGGTCTCCCGAGGCGTCCCAGATTTGAAGCGAGACATCTACCTGAGAGCCAGATTCGTCTGTCAATCTCTTCTCAGACTCTAGAATCCGCAAACCGACAGTTGGGACATATTGTGGAAGGTTCCCTTTGTCGTCTCGCTTAGTTAGTTCGGTGTAAAATTCGGCTATGGTAGACTTTCCAGAGTGCACAGCCCCAAAGATACCCAGTTTAATGAGATGCATGATCTTATTTTTTCTCACGTGCTTTTTCTTTGCATATCTTTACTGAACTCTGAAAACTGCTTGCTCTGTTCACCAATTAGCCCATGACACACATGAGACGCTGTCCTGGCAAGCATGAGGTTACAGTGCGTTGCAGTTATGGGCGAGAAAAGGAGCCGCTGAATACCGTTAGTTGAAATGAAGCCTCACGGACATACAGATAATTAGTTTACCGACAACTGATCCATCAAGACCAAATATCGCCTGGCCTCTATGGGAGCTAAGCAAATAAAGAAAGAAATCGGAAGAAGCCCGTCTTTAAAATTTAAATGTCATTTTCCTTTTCGCATCTCTCATCATTTCGAGGCATTGATGGCCTTGATAGAGATGCACACGACCTGTTGCAACAGTGGGGGCTTGACCACAGCTTTAAATCTGCTCAATTTGCATTTTCAAAGCAGTACCATCCATCCAATGCTGACACATTTCTAAGTGATTTCTTCGCCGATGCTTCTGTTCGTGAGGCATTTCTTTTGCCAGATATTTCGGGAATGCAGACGCTTCCCTTGCCTTCACCGGAGTCAGATCGCTTACGCTATGAGGTCATGCATGTCACTAAGGTTGACACAAGTGCTCTGTTGCCTGCGATTAGTCATCGGTTTGTTTCTGGAAGCAGCTTCAAGGGCCGCACTCCCCACAAATTACAGCGTTTGGACATGGATGTATCCTATGAAATAGACGAGGCTCTCTTTGACGTGGACTCTGAGCTGTACCAACTATTTACCCCTGAATGGAGAAGTGAGTTGCTGTGTGCACTCTTCTCGATCTTACGTGCTGGAGGCGCTCTAAACCAACAATCAGTTGACGTAATGAACTACATCAAACTGAGCACCGATCTGTACAGGCTACATGTGCATCCCTTGCGTGTCTGTGAAGAGGACTCGCTGACCCTTTCTCACATACACGCCTATCGCATTATTGAAGTAGGATCCGCAGATCTATTTCCGAGGCAGCGTGACTTTGACCTGCATCCCAGTAACAGGTGTTTCGTGATAATAGACAGTCATCGTCGTATGGTCACGATAATATACAATTCCGTGTATCTCTAGTCGCACATCTGCATTAGTTTCCAAATTCTTCTTCATCTACATAATCTTCTTCGCTATCAATCAACGATATGCTGCCATTTACGCTGCTGCTGAAGCCGCAATCCTCGCTGTCATGTGCAATACTTTTACTTCCAGTACTGACAAGAGCTTTAAGTGGCTCCACTCTGTCATCAAAGTGCTCAAATAGGCTGTGCAGTAGGTGGTAGTATCCATACTTATGAAAGGGCCAGAACTGTTTCTCGTGTGTCTTGTCAGTAACGGCTGTTTCGGGTGCTTTGGGTAGAAGATACTCAAATTGTGCCAGCCCTGATATTGTGCAGAGTCGCGTATTCTTCTTTAGAGAAAACTCTAGCTGCAGCGTAGAGCACTGTCTATATAGATTTGAAGTTGGGTAGCCAAAAACTATAGTCCTGCGGTCGCTGCAGCCTGGTTCCTGATGGTTGTGTCCGGTCTCCTCTGTATTTCCTGTGAATCTGAAAACGTATCTGGGAAGAGTTGGGGCCTCGGGCATGTTGACTAGACACTGCATTCCTGCGCTTAAGGTGGCTCTGACTTTAATGAACATTAACTTGCAGACATTCCAGGCTGTCCGCATGGACGGAATACAGCGAATGATCACCTTTGCCATTCGAAAGCCCTGGTTATTTGCTTGGTCTCTAGCCTCGCTGGTGTGAGATATTGTAATAAGGCTGTTATCTACGCTCGGTATGTGCCTGAACAACCAGAATATCTGGCTTGTCACTCTTTCACAGTACTCGAGGATTTTGAAGTAGTCTGTGTTTGCCTTGACTAAGATAGTGTGATCTGGCTCAGCCTTTTTCAGGTATACCATATATTTAAATACTGTAAGGCGCGCCAAGTCCATCATTGCCGTGGCTTCTTTAGCTATCAAGCTCAGTATCGATTTAATCGTTGGAAGAACGACCTGACATACTATGTAGACAACGGCTTCGGCTACACACTCTGCATACATCCTATTGGCTAGTTTCAGAAACCTGATTGCGTCGTTACGCTTCAGTTCAAATAACTGCATATTATCCATGGCTCTTGCATGCACTTGATCTCCTTCGGGCTGTGCTATCTCTGGAATATTTCTTACGTCACGAGAGTGCAGATACCTTCTATACATTGCAGCAAGCTGCTCTTTCTTCGAGCGCTTCTCTAACTCAAGTGAACTGTTAGTGACATCTGCCCAATAGCTGGATCCACAAACGGACGACAAAAGCGCCCGTCCATCTAGCATAAGTAGAGGGTACACCATTTCTATCCAGTGCAATAGCCTGTTGATTATTTCCTTTATGTTTGAGACACGTAGCGAAAACAACGTAAGTAGATTGTTGTCACTCAACTCAAATGCCTGGGTATCAGCCCCGACAATCTCTGCAGATACCCTGTCTGTCAGCATGGTCTGTGGTTCCGCTTCCTGCAGGTTATCAATTGCCGTTATTGCTGTGACTGCTGTTGTAGGTCCTTGAGATGTTTGTGAACTTAACATGTCACGAGTGAAGTCACAAGGTCTACAAAAGAGCGACTCTCCTTTAGATATGCCATTACTGCTTGGCTCGGTACTCGGCTTGGTTGAAAAGAAGTCAAAAGGATATGACTCAAGGAGGTGGAACTCAGCATTCCTGAGAATTGTTCGAACAAAAGGTAAATACAAATGTGGAGAGTTGCTCCAGTGCTGCATCTGTGTCCTTTTCTTTTTCGTAATCTTTATAACTTCGTCATCTGAAAATCCATCAATAAAGGTCACTGATTGAGGAGGTTTTGCATAATTTTTTGTAACTATGTATATGCCTGCAGTGATTGAAGGGTTTTGGAACTGGTAATATGGAAGCAGAGGTTCATCGTAGTAAGCTCTTATTGTGCTGTCTGCCAGATATATATCGGGATCTAAGAGGTACGCATTAGAGATCTCTCTCTGACGCTCCTCTGTCTCCTTGAAATAGGAGAGGTCTGCCAGAAGCTGCAGGTTCACATAGCATCCTTTCCTAAGTGCCCGACGGTTAGGGTAGTGAACATCTATGACTTGAAGCCTTCGTGAATCATAGGGTGTCGCCAGCGCATTTGGTTCTGCCTGCTTACCCTCGTGGACTCTCACGCGATGAGTGGAGGCAGCTGGATGCTCACTTGCCGAAAGCTCATCAGTAAAATCCAGTGGATGTTCAATTATCCGTGCAATTGAACTGGTGCCATACTGGTCACTCGACCGTACCAGCGTCTTTCTGGTGACTTTCGTCTGGGGCATATGCGGGGTTGTTGGTGGAGAGCTTCTGTTCGTTGACTGGGTGCACCCGTTGATGGACTTGCCAGCGCTAACCACTTGCATGTTCAAGGCTGCGTAGTGCCCTGTGTAATAGTTAGGATTGCTGTCTCTAAGGAGGTGCAACTGCACCTTGGAATATGTCTTAAGCTTATGAACTACGCGCTGCAAAAACATATCAGTCCAATCATCAGATAGGGTGTCTCTAGAACTAAAGGGAATCTTGGCAGGGGTCTTCTCTTGCGACTCTGTAAGCTCAGATATGGACATGCTGCCATTACATTGCTCAGATTGTAATGAGGGACGGCTTTTGATGCTGATATCTCCGTCTTCGTACAGCAGGCTTATTTCGGAGTCTGGTAAAGAACGAGATTGAGGGCTTTCACTACTATCCGATGCACCAGAGTCTGATCCAGCAGCAATGAAGCTACTGAACTCTGAAAGACATGGACTAACGTATGGAGTTACGCCTCCATTCATTAGGTAAAGCTCCGCATCTGATGGCTTTTCTATCCCGCTAGCTAAGGTGGCGAGCTGCTTTCGTTTAAGCCCTACACGTTCTAGGGTAAACGAAGGGTCATAGTTGTCGTTCCTCTCGTGCTTCATAGCACGCTCTATTACTGGTCCTATAGAAATAATATTGTTGTAACTTCTGGACTCCAGCTCAGCAAGAACGAAATCGAGGTCTTCATGGTAATAGGGAATAGAAGAAGCCAGATAGGCTCCATACACAATCTGGTTCTTGGGAAAGTGGAACCGCTCAACAGCAGGAACTTCTCTATAATAGAGCTCTTGAAGAGCAGCGTTGTATGTGTCACAGTATTCTGCCTCCCTGAGCGAATTTGCTGTGCTGCTGGGGTCATGAGTGCTGTCTGAAATGTCTAGCTCTTGTGATCTACTAGTTGCAGAAGTTCTTCCTCTTGAGAAAGGAAGTGCGGAGTCACGAGACATAGTAGGCTTTCTTTCTAGTCTCCTATTGAGAGACACTAGTTGTGCAAATACTCCTGGGGTCATTTCTCGCTCATCATATGTGTCTATTGCCCCTAGGTTGAGCAGAAGCCTCCTATTCATGTCTGCACGGCGCTTCTTCATAGCTCTGGAGCTCGGTACATACCATGACGGTGCGCACTCCCCCGTAAGCATCCACATGATTGAAAAGCACAAGTCTCTAACGTCATTGAAAGGCTCCCTATACACAGGGTTCATCCATATAAGTTTCCGTGGCAAGCTTGTGGTAAGCTCTGAAGGTACCCTTCTAATTTTCTGCAGTCTTTCACAACTCTTCTCATTGGGCCACTGAGGAGCCAGGTGGCGCATAGCCTCAACCACGTTAATAGGATCTGCTGTCAGCCAAGAAGTATATGTGAAGCCTGTGGAATAGTTAGAGGGGTTTCCATGTAAAGCAAGCTTGCAGTAATGCGAAATACAGAGCTGTAGGTGTTCTTTGCATCTTAGTACTTGCGTCGCTTCTGTGCTAAGCCGCTTGGTTGAGAGAGCCAATAAAGGAGAGCCAAATCTGTCTCTAAGCCTAGGATATGGGTGTGTAGGAGACGTGGTGACAGGACTTCTGGGTGACGAGTTCTTGGTATGAGGCACAGACTTATTACGTCCTTGATCTTGGTAAGCTGATGAATGTGCATGAGCAATTAGAGGAGACCAGGCTCTTAAGTGAAGACCCTGTGATTGAGGAAGGTCTTCAAGAGTGTCAAAACCCTCTAAGGTGGATGACTCGCTATCTGAAAAGGGATCTCTCACAGGGTGTACACTTGGTTCTGAGAAGTGTAGGCTTGGAGACCCCGGCTGAAAGGTAACTTTAGTGAAGGGAACAAGACAAGCCTGCAGATCCTTGGGAGGAAGTGTGGCCTCACGTGTGGGTACGGTAGGACTTCTGAGTACCGACACTCGTGATACAGTTCTGGGTTTTGCTGGCGGGGACTGTATGGCCCTGCCAATGAGCGGCTCTATGGTGTTCGCAGGCTGTTGACGGTTTGGTTTGGCCAATATAGGATTGGTTGCGTGGAGTGCTTCATACTGACCACGGTCTAAATTAGATAAATTAATCTCTGCTTTCAATCTGCTAGTTCCTCGTGTACATAATCTAGATTGCGGCAATGGAAGACCTGATTTGGTGTATTTCTGCGTAGTTATTGTCGTAATCTGGAAGTTCTTTGGAGATCTTTGAGATTCTTGTTTAGTACTGTACTCTGGCGAGGGAGGTTCTTGCTGTGAAGCGTACAGTTGAGGATCTGGTGAGAGTAGGCGAGTAACGATAACATCAGAAGCATGAGTTCTATCGGTATCTTCTACCTTCCGATCGACACCAGGATCGCTGCAAATGTTTAGAGTGTTGCTATGAGAACCATCCATGAGCGCCAGTGAATCTCGAGAAGTACTATCCTCATTGAGCAACATCGTACTAAGATGTTTTCCCAACGTTAGTATATCTGTACGTGGTTGGGAAGATTGCTGGATTGCAGGGTGTAGCATGGAAGGATCGTGGAGCTCTGCGGTTTGCTCAGATGCAATGGCCTGTGCAAGCTCAGATATACTGACAATGTCATTAGTGGTCAATGCATCAATTCGTGTTTGCTTGCAGCCGGGATCTATCAAGGGTACAGATCCCCGGATGATGTCCTCAAGCCGGCACTGAAATAGGATCACAGGGATATCGTCGCACGAATTCTGGACGGACTTGTATAGTGTTTGTGCCGATACGCTTACAAAGAGATTCTCGATTGAATAGTCAGCGATAGAATGGAGCAGTAAATGGTGCCGATACTCCATCCTGTTTGTGTAGTCGACTAGTAATGGCGAAAGGTGTTCGTGGAGACTTCGAGCATGCTCCATGTACTCAAGTTCGAGGATACGGTAGTGAGCCATGCGCTGGTGGGCTAATGTGCGCTCACGAGCTTCTGAAGGAGCCAACACCCCTGTGGCGTCATCATAAATGCGTAGAAAACCCGATTGAAAGAGCGCACTTTGAACCTTATCTATCATCCGTGCATATGCTCTGCCCAGAATAGAAACATCTTGGTACTTCTTGAGCCCAACGGTTCGAGGGCGCTCACGGCGTAGAGCCTCTAATGCTGGAATGGTATGTTGTTTGATCAAAAGCGGATTAGTGAAATCGTAGGAGATGAGAGCTTTCTTGCCACGGTGTGCCGTAGTGACTAGTTCTGCATCACATTGTCGAACGTGTCGCTGCTCCTCCAAATTGGAATAGACGACAGACGCGTATTTTGTCATAAGGTCTTTCGATGGGCTAGCTCCAGAGGAAGAGGTTTCAGTAGAAGTTCTTGACGCTAATCTTTGGAGCTGCTGGGGAATCACAATTGCCTTTGGAGGCTGTGAAGGTAGTGTCCTCATATTTGAGGACCGGCGCAGAAAACACAAAAGTTAATATTTGTTGACAGATAATCTAATCTGGTCGAGAAAATTCACTCGTCTGCTTGCGTTGTCTATTTGTGCTTGTTGTTTGTGGGTCGCGAAGCAAGATCGTCACTAGGTTCATCATAGGTTGGCAAGGACGCCACTAATTGGGCATCCTCTTGCATTCGCTTTTCTTTCTGGGCATAATGGGCCTTATTTAGTATTGTGCGGTCAGGCACAAATTTATCTGTATGAGGTAGCGGGTCACGGAGCTTTGACGTGAAAAAATCACTCATGTGATCCACACGGTTTTCGTTGCTATTGGGATGAAGTGTCTGCAATATTGGATTGTAGTCCGATCGAAGCTTCCTCCCCATCTCCTTTTCCAGACAGTAATCTTCGTGCGTGATCTTACCCAGAGACATGGCAGTAAAGTCTGAATTTTAAGGTCTAGTCTTCATTAAACGAAAGAGAACGTAAGATCGTTGAGAGTTCAGGCCGGTTCAAATGTGTCGCATATTCGACAGGTGTCATGCCTCCGGGACACTTTAGCATACCCTCAGCCTTAAGAAGAAGTTGGACGCAGTCTCTTCTATTGTTCATTATGGCCATTGACAAAGCTGTTTCGTCTGAAAACCGAGCAATCCCTGCTTCCCGCGTAACCAGTTCTGCAACAACAGCTGTAAAGCCCAATTCTGCTGCTATGATGAGAGCCGTTGATCCGTCTGTTGCCCGCATTCGTTCCTCAGCATGAAGCAGCTTTCGCACACAGCCAACCTGACCGGTGGATGCAGCATACATGAGCGCAGTCCTCCCTGCTGTATCTCGCTTTCCCTTTTCGTATGGAAGTAGCGCTTCACATATCTCTTCGTGCCCGGCTTCAGCAGCGTACATCAGTGCAGTCATCCCAATGATGTTGGCTGCTCCTGCATATTGTGGGGCCAATGTTCTACAAACCGCGACGTGTCCAGCAGCTGCAGCAGCCATGAGCGCTGTTTCGCCTGCCGGAGTTCTGAGGTTTAAACCGCACAACTTGAGTATGTCCACCAGCTCATTATCCCCAACCTTTGCTGCTATCATTAGAGGAGTGAGACCGTTATGGTCCTGCTTTTCCCCTTCCCATTTGGCAAGAATGGAAACAGCCTTATAGTTGTGGATGCCCATGGCGTGCATTAGAGCCGTTCTTCCAATAGAATCTACCATTCCTCCTTCCAAATTTGCAAGCCTTTTGACTATTTCCACATTCTCCCTCACAGCTGCCAGCATAAGAGCAGTTGTGCCGTCGTTCAAAGTCATAGTTGCTTCGTGCTTCGCCAGTACATCCACTGCTTCTTCGTGCTGGCCTTCCACGGCATACATCAGTGCTGTCTTTCCATTGCTGTAGTCCTGCATGCGAGTCTCTTTTTGGCCTGCAGTTCCGACACGCTCCAGAATGCTCCGAATAGCGTAAGTGTTTCCAACACTGGCTGCAAGCATGAGTGCTGAGACTCCTTCATGCGTACGCTTTCCCGCAAGAGCCAAGTGTCTGAGCACTTCATTGTTATCAAAATTAACAACGGCCAGCATCAATAATGTGGCATCAGAGCCTAGACCTTTAACGTTGGCAGACCTGGACTTGACTCTGTCCATGAGAGACAGCCTCGACTCGATGTCAGCGACAATCACCGCCTGACTAGCAGCTTGATAGTTCGGGACTGGTCGCGATTGCCTTAGATCTTCAATCTCTAAGGGCCTGGGCTTTTGGACAAGATGAGGAGGCTGAACCGATACAACAGCGGAGTCTGCAGGCAGTGAAGGATGTCCCACCATGTCATAAGGGATAGCTCGTTCGCTAGTGTCCGTAGCACCGAGTGGAGCGTATGTTCCATATGATGATTGGGTAGAGGGATGATGAGACTGCTCATATAGCATATTCTGCAGCGTATAGCTCGTTGGTGGTTGAAAGATATTACCAGCGGTGTTGGCTTCTGGGGATACCCTTGATGCTGTGGAAGCTCCGTTCCAATCAGGCTTAACTGGGCCATCTATCGCTTGTAGCGGTGACATAAGCTTCTCTACACCGGATCTATTAGACATTATATGGGAATCATAAAGCACCGGAGAATATTTGGCCGCATAACCATCTATATATGTTATTGCAGCGGGATCTCTATCTCTACGCTCAGTCCTGGAATCAACAGATGTAGGGATAACATCTGTTTGTGGCTGTGAAGCTACCGAGTTGGAGTATACAGTGGAGGTCGCAGGCGTGAACGTCTGCACCAGCTGTTTGGAAGGATCATAGCTATACGTTCCAGATCCATGCACTGTGAGCTGCTCTGGACGGTAAGCATTGGCGTGTGTCCTAAATGAAGAAGGAGACAGCTGGTTATACACTGCAGGTGCTGTGGAATTGTGAGCCCAAGAATATGATCCATTGTAGGCTGGAATATAATCCCTTTCGTACTTTTGTGTGGCAAGAAAGTGCTCTCTTATCGTGTCGAGGACGAGTGTGCACTGTTTTATAGAGCAAATGTACTCGGCAGAATAGCGATTGCCTGGTTCATAACGCAAAAGACCGTTAAGAAGGTTGCATATATCTTCTGAATAGCCTGGTAGAACGATGCGATTCTCGGCGGCTTCAGCCTGATTTCTTACTAACATTGGATTGGGGTCCTCAATAAACCGCTTCAGGGTGCACAACTCATACAAGATACACCCTAAGGACCACATCTCAGACTTATCACTATACTGGAGATGGAGAAGTATCTCAGGGGCACAGTAGCACTGCTTTTGGTGACTCATGAGCTTAGCATAGTTTGGGTTAACTATGAAAATTAAGTCTGTCAATAGCAACTTGACAAGTCCAGTTCTACAGACCACGCAATCCTGTGGTGTGATGAATCGCTTAAATATGGCGCAGATTGATTTTTTTTGAAATTGAAATAGAAAATAATACAGGGCCGAGGAGAGGTAGGCAGCAACCCGCCATACCACCTCCTCTATCATCGATTCATTTGTGCGGAGATGCGCTGCAACTAGAGTTTCCAGCGTCGAATCTTCCAGAAGTTCCGTCACTATGTACAGTTTCTTGGTCGTTGTGTCGTGGTAGATGTCATAAATCTTTGCTATGCATGGGTGTTCGATGGCTAGAAGCGCAGTAAATATCCCGGGATCAATGGCTATTGAGTCCTGTACTATATTTGAGTAAGATATCTCTCGGCAGGTGTAGAAGTTGCCTCCGTGTTTGCTCTCCACTCTGTATACCTTGTCATATCCACTCTGTGGCACTTCTGAGCAGAATCTGTACTTTTTGATGAATGCTTCGTACCCGATCAGGGAAATCATTGCAAAATTTCGCAATTTTTAAATAATATTAAACAGGACCACTCTTTCGTTTGCCTTCAAAGCCCCAATACGGACAACTGACGGGCTAGAGCAACCCTCAGCTCAGTGCTGGCGATATCTTTCACAACTTCCTTTGAAATGCTGACAATTTTGTTAATAAACTCTGGGGTCCGTGATAGGTTCTGCTCGAATTGGGTCAACGGAACAGTATTTCGGGCCAGAAGAATAATGGGAAGAAGAACCTGTTGGAAGAAGAAGGCCCGCGAATCGTCAGAACATGCCAGCTCACGTGCGAAGAATGCGAGCGTATTAGCGATATGCATCCATAAGGGTGGATTAAATGTATCTTCAAGTGCTCGTGTGGCCAAAAAGATGGGCAAGAGCAGCGGGATGGCAAACTGTGTCACAGTATTTGAGGCAGCAGTATCCGAGTCTTCCAGCCAATATAAGGGTAGGGAAAGATAAAAGCTGTCAAATGTGACGTGGGTGGTCCTCAAAAAGTTATATACAGAGATTGAAAAATAGAGGCATAGGATATCGCAAGACACGGCAGTAGAAGTCTTTAGGGTCTCGAAGCTCTCCGTCCCCAGTTCAGAGAGAAATCTGAGCACTATACTTTGAGAAATTTCAGCAGATGAAATTGTCGCCAAGAATTTTGCCAACCGTTCGATGGTCTCTTTATTTATGGAAACTTGTGTGACAGCTGGAGAGGAGTCACGCGCCTTCTTCGGTAATAGGACAGTCGCTATCCTTGATAGAACAGATTTGACTGCATCATCATCGGACTTTTCAGAGCTTTTAGGGGACGCCACATCCCCGAAAAAGAATGAAGCCAGCGGCGGCAAAGTTACCACCTTACTCCCTATAGGTAGCATGATTGTGACAGAACGTCGAGATTTTAAGATATCAGAGCTTATTGGTTCACCACGGAACAGCTGATGGAGCTGAGATGCCAGGGTTAAAAGGTTTGTAGAGCAGAACGAGCGCAGCTGTGGCAAAAAGATACTGCACAATATGTTATCTTGACAGCTATTTAAGCACAAAAGCTCATATATGCAATCTAGCAAAAGGGACAAGAATATATCGGTAGGAGTATAACGGCGGAGAATAGTCAAACAAAGTTGAGGGTATGACAGGGTTATGTTCCGCAGAGTTGTTACACTATTGTCTAAACTATTCAACTCTGCATATATTGCTCCCATCAACGCAATCATAGACTTGGATACATATTTGATGGAAGTATCCTCTAGATATGCCGCCTCTTCCAACCGCTTGTAGACGAGAGATAAATCAGAGACACAACTTGAGCTAGTCCTAATGCCTCCTGCCAATTTTTTGAGTAGAAGAAGATAGATACAAAGTGAAAGAATCACCACACTCGTCTCAAGTTTGAAGTTCCCCTGGCCTGGCTTCAGCTTTGAGTGTACTGGTTGTAGAGAAGTGGAGATAGTAGTGCTGTGTGTTTGGGCCGTCTTCAACGCCAAATCAACTAGACCTATTACCTCTGGAAGGCAAACGACCAAAACATGAGGCGCTAGATGGGAGATAATATTGGCATAGAACTTAAGGGATCCCAGGAGCATTAAGGCCATATAGGTGGCGCTTATCTGTGCTGTGTGCTTGAGAAGAGACGAGTCCTCTGTGTCTAGGCCCTTAAGATCCGCTGTTCTGGTCACTAGCTTAATCATTCCGTCGTGAATGATCACCGAGTAGTCAGCTTTAGTCTCAAAAGCGGCCACAACCTCCTTGCATAGTTCAAAGGGGCACATTAAAACCTTGCTGGCAATGGCATCGCCAGAGTAGGCGAAGACACTGCAAATAGACTGCAGGCTCGCTAAGGGTCCAGTGGAGAGAATAACATCTTTAATGCTGGGATAGATATCTAATTCAACAGCCAGGTCCGGTAAGGATGTAGAGATCACATTGAGAGCGTGCAAGCTTATTAAAATGCGTACCATGTGCATAACTACGTCGTTTAAGTTCTTAGCTCGCCACTTTTCTGTTGCGTGATTACTGTACTGGATGAAGGAGCATATGCTGATCCCGTAGAGAGCCGCATAGGTGTGATTTGCACCTCCGCTGTGCAGCTTAGAGCTAAGCTTAATCCACGCGTTTGGAGATGACGCAGACATGTACTCAGAAAGACGCAAGTACTCACACTGATCAGCAAAGTACCGAGAGAGATACGAAGAGGAGATTAGTTCGCGTTCTATCAGGCTTGACATCACTGCGCTGCTGGATGTAGATGACTTGGAGAGCGGAGCTAGCATCTTGAGAGAGTAGGTATGGACAGCATGACATGCAGCGTAAAGGCCTGATGAGTAATCGACTGAAAGAGCCAGGCCCCCAGAGCCTATTGTACCAGCCAATGCGCCGGAGACAAAGTGCGTTAGTGCGGCCTGCACCAAGAGATAGATATGAAAGTAATATTCCATCAATGAAATACTATCGGTCTCGACGCCATCCAGTAATCTACTTCTTTGCTGGCCAAGAATGCTTTTCAGCTGTTCCATAGTCCGCATATGCAAGCAGGTTTGATGAACAGTCATGCTAATCAATTGGTCCATGGTCCCAGGAAGCATAGAAGATGATGTGCACCAATCTTTGAATACATTAACAAATCTTGGCTGCCCGCTCTCATTTGGACCAAGTGCATCTTTCGTCCTAGTGCTTGCTTTTTCAGCTAGCTTAATACATGTTGACGATGGCAAGGCTATTCCTGTTGGTAAGGATAGTACATCATAAATAGTTCTGTCAACTGCCAGAGGAGCGTTTCTAATTCGTTGATACATGGAAGAGAACTTAGAAACGAGATCCTCGTGTAAGGGGATAGGCTGTCCTTTAGTTTGTTCCGACAATTGATAGTTTCCAGATAGATACTCCTTGATCTGTGAAGATCCCATCAAAATGGATACAAATCTTGACATGGTCATTTTAGAACTGAGAGCTATCTTTTCAGACAAGCACTCTGTCGTCAACACCACTATAGACCCCAATAAGATGCGCAAAGATGGTGCGTGCCCAATGAGTCGGATCTTGTGGTCACTGGGAAGCTCACCAATGACACGCGCAACATCATTGGAAATGGAGATCATAGCACGCTCGATCTCCTGTCCTTCGCCGCTCAAAAGGAAATTCCTAAAGCAGAGGCGGAATAGATCAAGCTCGTCCATATCCGGGTGGATCGTTTCGCCACTAAGAACGTGATAGAAATAGTCATCTTGAGAAATTGTAGAGTCTAGGACTGCTGATCCTTTCTTGGAGAAGAGTAACAAAAAGGGTACTGATGGATGCACAACTCCAGCAAGAAGAGGGAGGATGGCAATCAGTTCAGCTGGGGCCCTGGAAGTAGGAGAAGTAGAGCTATCAGCTAGGCATTCTGAGAGTACCGATAGGATGGCATCGGGCTTGGCATCTCTAATGGTCTTGCCACAAGATAGAATGGAGGACCCTATTCCTCTCACCTTTCCAAGAAAATCCAACCGCTCGACTATGTTAGATTGAATAGACAGTATAGAGCTCGGTGGCTGTGGCCGGAATATAGTTGCTGAAGCACAAGTCATGCTGGAGGCCTGCACGAGCACGCCAAGACAGTGCATATACAGATTAATCATACAATTAAGGGCAAGACCAGATATATCTTGACTATTAGCACTGGCAAGATTTGTTAGTACGTTCAGGAGATAGTAGAGAAGCAAGGATGTGGACGGTAAGTACGTCAGCTTTATCAAGTACACAGGGTATAGCCGGTATTTTTCTCCGGTAATAACACGCAGAAGGGACCAAAGACAAAAGTATGCGCGCTCTACTGCTATCTTGCTCCCTCTTTCGGCTCTTGATGATCCGGAACTCATCTCCTTCACCAGGCTTTCTTTCTGTCTTCTGAGCTCCATTGCTATGTCTTCGTCTAAACAGCTATAAGCGTCACTGAGTACCAGGTGGCCAATAGCCTTTGGGATGATGGGACAGTCTAGATTGGCAAAAATAACACTCTTAGAAAACAGTGGTAAAACAATTAGAGAATTGAGACAATGAAATAGAGTAACACAGATAAGAGAAGTTAAGTCTTCTGCTTCTTCGACGATCTCAATGAGCACTATAATGATATCTACTACTATTTGACGCAATACTTGATATGCTTCACGAGAGGAGCAAGTAAGTGAAGTGGCTAGAGTGACAAACTCTCCGACAAACCTTGGTTGCTCAGTCAAGAATGTTTTGAATTCAGACAGGCGCTGTTTAAAGAAGCACAAGGTTGCTCTAAGCAATTCTAACACAGACACACACTCAAAACCATCCAAGAAGTGCTTCGGAATCCATGCTGGAAAGCCTTTGGTCAGGGATACATAGAACGGCGTACGCGAAAGCTCAGAGCCAGGTATCAGGTAGATCATTAAAAAGCTAGCAAAGAAGACAAGTGTGTGCATATGTACTCCGCTGGCTTCAAGATCCTCATTGTAGATTACTATCCCTGTATCGAGGTGTCCGTCGGTCATGGCCAATTTAGCTAATATACAAAGGTTAATCATCTCAAATGAAAATTCGTCTGCGAGGCCCTGTGTGCTTGTATTGGTAAATAGATTTTTGTGCATACCGTTCCGAATTATGGTGTGGAATAGAGAGAGAACAAGTCGCGTGGTAGAAATCTTGAGCCTCCTGTTGAGAATTGCTCCAGTAAGAGATATAATCCCTCGTGACATGTCCTCTTTGGGTGAGGCTTGAAAGGTCAGTAAAAGGACATCACTTGCAATCTGGAGCAACGATAGAGATGAGTCGCGGCTTAGAAGGATCTCAACGCACAGGGCAATGAGAGATCCAGCTTCTCCAGCTTCCAGAGGGTTGCACCCGGTCACTGAAGCACAAGATTTCACGCAAGGCCGCGTCATCATCAAAAGCGTCTTTTGAATGTATGGAAACAGAGGAAAGCTCTCTGGCAAGCTGGTAGCCCCCAGGCTCATCAACTGAAAAATCTTGTCCTGTACACACTGGTCTTCCATCCCCAAAGAGTCTTTAAAAAGAGATGTACAATTGGATGCATAATTAATACTATACACTACACTACACTACTATACACTACCCTACCATACCATACCATACATCAACAGAATTGGGTGATCACCGAGCACGAGATTTTTGGCGCTGCCCTTTGCGGCCTGTCCAACATGATTTCCCAGATAAACCACCGCATACCGCCAGTTATCACTATCAAAGATGACGAGCTTCTTATCAACACGTGCTATGCAATCAAGGCCCTCTTCGAGGGACCCTTTCACCTTTTCACTACTCTCACACGAGAGTCCACCATGCGCTCTGCAACGCTTCTCCGCCGCTTCTTCTACATTGACGATCACAACTCAGAAAGCAAGAAGCACATGAGGGACCAGTTCCTCAGTGATACGAAGGTCAGGGGACAGGTAGCTATCATCGTTGCTATCCACACGCTGCGGACCCTCAACGTCACTATCGACAGTCTAGAAGTCATACACACGCGTATAGCCACCTTCCATCAGATGTACAAAGCAAATAGCATAGCGCGTCTCAAGGACTCCTCACTGATGGCGCGCTTCTTTGGCTTCAGAGATGTTGGTCATGTTTTAGAGTGCTATGGCCTGACGCTCCAGATCAAGAAGGAGGATCGAGTTCATGCCGAGTTTCAACAAATGGAGCGGCAGTTCATTGCAGCAACGAAGCTCGATCTCTACCGCGACATTGCCGTTGGGCTGTCTCTCTGCATGCTCAAGACGTATTGTAACTTTCTAGAAAAAGAGCAGTCCCCCCTTGTCTTTTCACAGGACGACCTCGATAGGCAGATAAAAACGGTTCACGACGTAGAGTTTGCAGCATACTTCGCCACTCCCATCCCTCTTTACCTGATAACAGCTGCAGAGGTCTCCATTTTCGTGATTTACTCATCGTGCATTATGAACTCCTTTACGAAGCACGCGGACGACTTTGTTGAATACGCTTGCTCTTGTGGGAAAATTCCATACTCGACAACAGTGGAGAGGTATAGGAAATACTACAAACAGTACGAGACAGAGCTGAGGGCACAGCTCAATCAGTAAATCCTATCAGCTCACCGTTCTCATCTCTTACAATCTTCCGCCCGTTATCGGGAAGCCCGCGGCGGGCAAAGAGCTCTGTCTCCTTGGGGGAGATGCCGCCTTCCCTGACGCGCTTGACCTGGAACTTGTGCTTCCCGGTGGCCTTGTGTGTCTCCAGCGCCTCTGCACTGATGAAGTACCTGTCGCAGATGATGCAGAAGTGCATGCCGTCCCCGGGGAGCAGGGGGTCGGGGTCCCTGTTCTTGATCTTCTCCACGTTCTCCGGGCTGAGCATCTCGAGGATCTCGTCGACGTCCTTTGTGCGGCGCTTGGTCTTCACCCTGCGGCTGACTTCGCGGTGGTTCGTCTTGTTCTTCTTGCGCGTCGCACCCCCCATTTTCGCCGGGGAAAAGCGGTTTCACCCGGATTCGAACCGGGGTTATGGGATTCAGAGTCCCATGTGCTAACCAACTACACTATGAAACCCTGGACGCGGGCCAGTCTACAGGATGCGCATTATATTTATATGGATAGTCTGCAGGCGTTTAAATGCATATCGACCTGCACATGCACACGCAGCTCTCCGACGGGGAGCACCCTCCGGAGACCGTTCTCGAGATGGCATACTCCAACGATACGGCCCTTTGCGCGCTCACAGACCACGACACACTGCAGGCGTACTTCCGCCTCGAGGCCCTCAATCTTCCAGACCTAGTCTTCCTTCCCGGAGTCGAGATCACCACGGAGAACCTCCTCGGCAAAGAGTCCCACTTGCTCGTTTATTTCCCGCGATTTGCAATGGGAACCGAAAGGGCCTTCAAGCGCCTCTCCCTAACCAAGCAAGACCCCCCTACCATGGCTGACATTGCAGGCCTCAAGGAACTAGAAACAGAACTATCTCTATTGCGCGAGAAAAGGATTGAAAGAGCAAAGCTTTGCCTCGAAGTTCTCTCATCAACCTACGGCCTTGATCTCTCGTGGGACGAGTTTTGCACCCTCAATAGGATAAACCAAAAGACCAGTACAGCAGACGGGACCATTGGGAGACCACACATTGCAAATTACCTAATTCACAAGGGCTACTGCACAACGGTAAGAGAGTCATTTGATAAATATCTGGCAAAAGAGCCGATAGAATCACTTAAAAAGGAAATGCTTCCTCTTCGGTACGCTATTACAAGAGCAATTCAGCTGGGAGGAGTCCCTGTCCTTGCTCATGCTTGTCTTAAGTATGATTGGGATGCTACCGTCAAGGTCCTTGAGGAGGCTGTTCAAAGCGGAATGAAGCATCTTGAGGTTTATCACCCTAGCCATACCCAGAAGAACATCCTCCACTTGAAGCAGTACTGTGACAGGCATGGCCTGACCGCCTCAATGGGATCCGATTTTCATGGAGACTCGCCACAATATAGTAGTCGCATACCACCCGGTGGGTATGAAGACGCCAGGCACCCAATTGACCCAGCGGAGAAGAAAAAATTGGTTCGCAGTCTCTTTAAGCAGAGTTCTTGATCCCATCACATATATCCGATATTATAGAGCCACATGGACCGTTAGCGCTAAGCGTCACCGCGTTGTGACCATGAGGAGACAGTATGGTCATCTCAACAAGTCCAAGAGTCCTGGACGCGTCCACCGAACCGCATACAACGGCCAGTAATAGAGCGCTAAAGTGAGTGTCCGTAACACAGAATGCCTCGTGGCCTACGAGGGCTTCGACTGCCTCTCTGTTGTTAAGACAGGCAGCAATCATCAGGGCAGTAAATCCTCCATGCATCCTTTTTTTCTTCCCAGTCGACAGAGTCAACAATATTGTATCGCAATCGTTTGTATATGCAGCTGCCATGAGCGCTGTGAGCCCCATATAGTTAGAGATGCCTGCTTCTGCTTCACAGAGCAGAGATATCAACGGCTTGTTTCTATCTAAAGCAGCGTATATGAGGGCAACGTTACCATCAGTATCTTTTATCTTTGCCTCTGCTTTAATCAGTGACGGAGGAACTCTGGGGTGACCTAACTTTGCTGCAAGCAGCAATGCCGTGTTTCCATCAGGACAGCGAATGCCACATTCATAATCAGCAAGATAGTCAACCACACTCATTGCGTTTGCCATGACAGCATGCATGAGAGCGGTATAGCCGTCAATGTCTACCTTTTTTGCCTCTGGAACGAGCAACTTCACGCAGTCTAGATGCCCTCTCCGGGCAGCTATCATGAGAGCCGTCAGCCCTTGGCTATTCCTCTTACCTAGATATTCGGTAATGAGAGTTTCTACTAGATCTGCACGTCCACTGGATGCTGCTACCATCAAGGGCGTTATGCCGTGAAGGGAAGAGTCTGGTTGGTAGAGTGGGGCTTCGGGCCCAGAAGAGCCCCAAAGGGCAAGTAGAGCAGAGAGGTATCGGTCGAGGGTAGCTAGACCTTTACGAGTGCTGCGGACACTTGCTAACCTTTCGCTACATATCTGAGAAACGTGGCTCCACTCCATCCTTGCTAGAGATATATCGAGGCACTCTGTATGCAACGGTCCATGACCAGACGGTTGGTCTCCCAAGGGTGCTTTTTCTTCATCTTTACGAGAGGTTGGAGCAGATAGTTGTGAGACCCAAAGAGTTCGATAGTAGTTACATGTAATGCAAGGAGAACTAGTTACAGTGTCTTTGCAAAGCGCTAGAAGCTCCACAACATGCTTGTTTCCCGAAAGCATGGCATGCTCTATAGCTGAATCCAAGGAGAGAATGCGTGGGGAAAGATCGGCAATGAGAAGCTTGACTGCATCTATGTGTCCGTTACTTGCGGCGTGATCCAGAGGCGTCCAGCCGTTTGCATCCTTCATGGTTCCGTAGTAAGGAAGGAGCACAGGTATCGTAGCCGTGACTCCCTCGGCTGCAGCTAATGTGAGAGGCGTGTGCCCAAACTCATTGAGCCCAATAGTTTCTCGCGTTAGAAGATACTGACAGGCATCAACGCTCCCATTAAGGGCTGCAATTATAGTAGCAGTGTTTCCCTGGCCGTTGCTAAGGTTGAGCTCGTCATCTGCAAGCAGTCTCACCATCTCCATGTCATTTGTCCAAGCAGCGTACATAAGCCCTGTAAAGCCTAGATCATCACGAACACGCTTGAACTTATCTAAATTAGCGTTTACAAAGGCATAGTCGTGCCTTCTAATGGCGTTGAACCAAAGTTCTCTGGATAACATTTTAACTGGGCGTCCAGGACTTGTCTGCCAGCACAGGCAGCCCTCAACGCTGAGTCATAAACACTAGACATTGCTGTAATTAAAGAGGTCTTTTCCTGGGCAGAAAGATTGGGATCCGTAGCAAATTGTGTGATCAGTGAGAATGCTTGGTGTGCATGGTCAGCAGCGATACTTTCGCAGGTCGAGAGAGTTGTGCTTGAGACTTTTTTTGGTGCCAATTCCTTGTCTGCGTCACCATTTGGGAGAAGACAGCTATGAATGTTCACCTCAAAGGATGTGTTGGGCTTCATATAGAGTGTTGATGACGATCTCTCACACGTAGCAATAATAAAGGCGCCAAAATTGTGCAGTGGCGCCAAGCCGTGTATAGGTGCTGGGAGCGTCAAGGTAGAAGGGTCAAAAGGAACCAGTGCAAGTCCACTCTCACCCTGACTCTTGGATGCTTCACACTTGGAATAACGAAACAAGTGAAGGCAATGAAAGCCTTTTCTGTAAAGAGCTATCCACAAGTTCTTCTTGTGCTGCAGGACGCATCCAAGAACGGGAAGGATGGGTGGCCCGGTGACCACCACAGTGAAACGGTTCTCTCCAGCAACGTCAGACTCGCTATCTATGATCTGGATAGTTTCTGTCTCTGCTAATGGCGCTTCCGAAAGGTTCTGAAGCAATTGAAGCGGAGACAACTTGTTGTCCTCTATGGAGACCACCTCCACACGTAGTGTTGGCACAAGTGTTGCCACGCCATTGGACATGCCATAGTGCTCTGCTACAGGCATGCGTGTGAGACGAATATCCCTTCGCCCATCTGGATCCCAGCTGGCTTCAAACAATGATACGCCGTCTCCCAACAAAGCCACTCCATTGCTTGTGCTCAGCAGGATACTATTCTTCCCACGCAGATTCTCGAGAACAGTGGTTCCAGCCGTAAGACAAGTCCGTAGGTGCATTAACTCTTACCCTGCTTATTTACTTCCTCGCCTTACCTCCTTACCTCCGGCCTGTGAACAGCTCAGAAATCGAACTAGCAACTATTCTGGAGGTCTCTACATAAAGGGAGGCTGCGTTCCGGCATAGTTTAAGTTCTGCAGATGTTGGAGGCCGGTTGAACGAGGACTTCGAGAAAACCTTCTGGAAAACAATGGTGGAAACATCTAAGATAGTATTTTGCCAGTACAGCCTATTCCTCGCCTCTGTCAGCTCCTTCTTAGCCTTCATAACATCATCACGAAAAGTTTCCATTTTTGATGTTTAGTCATCCATCGCCTATCTTCTAATACGGCCCACTCTCTGATTGAATGAAGTTGTGTCGTGAATTCACGGAACTATCACGCACTTCTCAGCCGAAATTCCACAAATAAACAGCCAAGCAACTAATTTTTCTTGGTTGGCTTCTTAATGAGCTCTGCTTTACAAATTGGAGAGCTTTTCGGGAAGTATGCTAAGACTGGATACATAAGTGAAGACGGGTTCATTTTGGCCGTTATTTCCCTTGTTGGACACCCGCCCATACAGGACTTCTTGTTACAACTGGGCTTTCAAGACAAGGATGGGCTTACATACAGAGAATTCTCTGATGCGATGAAGGAACTGCTTCGCACGGTTAACAATGAACCTCCTTCACCTGAAGATCTTGCCTCTGCGCTGCAGACGGTCTTCCCGAAGAGTACCTTGACTCTCTCAGAATTTGTTTCAGCATTTCAGCACAACGCCACTATGTTAGGTTTAGATGATGTGACTGAAGAATTATTAGTCGGACTATACCAATATGCAGGAGGTCTAGACACGATAAGCTTAGCACAGTTCACAGACTTCATACACCTGCATGCGGGCAGGTACTGAGGCAGATACTGAGTTTACGGTGAATTCACTCTGTTGACTCCGCAACCAGAACCGTAGAAGCAAACTGCAGAAATCTAATCACAAACAGATGGGCGGCATCAAAACGTTCACTTAGCCTTAATGGCTGCTTCATCTGCCAATTTGGTAGAGCAGAGCACAAACGGTAGATAGGGATTCTCAGCTTCAACATCCACGTCATAGACCCTCTGGTCGCACCCGTTCAACAGCTCATTGAACGAATAGTTGACAATTTGTTTGAGCCCTTTCCTGGTTACTCCGCTGCTCATGAACATGAGCATTTGGAAGTCTGCGCCAAAGCGAAGCTGGGCCTCTATATACAGCTCTAGAATAGAGGTGTCAATGGCAAGTGCCAAACAGGCAGCAAGAGTACTTTCAATGTGCTGTTGAAAGGCCTTCTCACGGTCAGCCTTCACGTGCGTTAGGGTCGCCAATCTTCCTTCCGAACCAGCGTCTGCTTCTTCGGGAATGTACTCCCTAACAATCCACTTCTTCTCTCGGAAGTAATCTAGACAGCGTTGCTGGTCTTTCTTGAAGAGAATAACCGAGAAGAGAGCGTGTGTGGAGTCATCCTTCAGCCTACGAGCAGACCCTGGAACAACGCCCAACACTGCACTGTCCCCATCAAGTGGAAGGGTTGGTGTTACTGTTGGTTGATCAGGCCTTCCTTTCTTCTTCGCCCCATCAGCATCCTCACAGCCGAGAGCAGCATACTCAGCAAGAAATTCATTAACGCCTGTCTTTGGCACTACGATAAGACAACACGTGAGATAGTCAGTGGTAAAGAAATCGTCAAGGTTCTGCACATTGACGTACTTGGCCAGAGAACATGACAACAGGCTGACATCGTTCATCTTTTCAAAGGCCTTAATCTCAGCATCCACCTTATTATACTCAGCCAGTAGGTTGGTGTATTTCGTGTTGAGGCGTGTGAATTCCTCCTGGCAACGATCGTATTCCAGAAACACGCTCTCTATTGTATGACTTGTCAGCACCCTCTCGCGAGTAAAGTCCAACCAGAAGAGCTCACGAAGTCGCGAGTTTTGATCAGTAACGAAAACGGTGTAATCGAAGTGCTTTCCCATCTTCTCTTTACCCGTGTAGATAACCCTTTCATATCTTTCTAGCAGGCCAAGCACAGACACCTTAAGCTTCTTGACTTGGTCGTGGACCGTAAGACACTGATCCACTGGCAGCGAGAGTCGCTCAGAAACCAGCACAGGCTCAACAACGCCACCGTTAGAGGCCTGTCTCAATTTCAGGAGATAGTTGAACTTCCTGTCGTTAGTGGCAAACCCATAAACTGTCAGGAGAGTCGGTTGATTCTTCTTTTGCTTAGGGTTTGCAGAGTGTTGGCCATCGGATCTAAGGACTGGCATATTATTGACTGTCACGCTTGTGGTGCCTTTATGGGACGGCTCAATGGCTTTGATTGTGTTTTTCACCACGAAAAGACCGATGTCCGAGCGATCCTGTGGCTTTGTGCTCATGGTGGAGCAGCAAGATGCATCACTCATGACGAAGACTTGATGCTCCGATAGAGTTTCGGTGCTTACAACACTGTGATTTGGCATTTTCGATATCTAGACCAAGGGCGCCGAGAGAGAGTGTCGAAAGAGAGTACCGAAAGGTTTTTTAGTTTTTGCAATGGCTAAGGTCGCTATTGGGTTGACCAATAGCATCTTGAATATGCTCAGTCAAGTCGACAATACAGCAAGGGATTGGTCGGACTGTGCCAGAGCTTTCCAGAAAACTCTTGAGCTTGTCCAGCGTGCCGACCAGTTTGACGAATTGTATTCTCCTGTCGCGGTTTCCCAGAAGCTGTCTTACGGACTCCTGCCACATTTGCAGACAGGAGTGCACGCCTGTTGCATGGAAATAATTCAGCTGCTTCTTACGTTACAATCACCAGATGGCTTGAGTCGGACGGCGCATGTACTGCTGCAACCTCTCTTGGACTTTATGCCGCTCTCAAAGATACAGACACGAGAAGCCCTTCTAGACATTATCCAGACTGTGTACGAGAGGATGGATAAGAAGGCATTTTCCTCCATGTTCTTTTCCATTATAATCTCGCTTTGCTCTGTACAAATGGTCGAAACTGACCCCCTGTCTGCTCGTACGTTCGACCTTGTCATTTCGTGGATGAAGGACCCCCTCTGCTGCAAGGCGGTCATGTCAGCCATCCTTGACGTGATTGCTTTTGAACAGGCGACCACTCTTGAGCGCACCAACGCCTTTCTGCTCCTTTCACGATATCTTTCAAAGGAAGATGCGTCCTCCTCTATCCCTGAGCAATCATGTCTTCTCAATCTGCAGCCTCCCGCACAATGCGCTATAGATTTGCTTAGGTTGAAAGCTACTGCTTCACGCTTACTATTGGCTAATAGTGACATGGTGCTTGTGAAGGCGTTATTTGATATCCTTCCCCGGTTACTGCACATAGATAGCCTTTTATATGACCCTGCAGCCTATTCCATTGAGTATCTTTCAGATCCCAATGCGATGAGTGACACCGACTGCCGCAAGTTGGAGGATCTGTGTACTAATTACGTATTTTTCTTTGCGTGCACTACTCACCTCAGTATAGATGATGCCGGGGTTCGAGCCCGCTGCCATAAATATCTTATCGACGAGGTTCCAGATTGTCTTTTGAGTTGCTATGCTTATAACGCACTTCTATTTTTCTGCTGTGCCGAACAGTACTTGACAGCGATGGATGCCGGGTCTCCTGGTATGCTTACCGCACTGGCCACTTTTCTTCCTCTTCGCTTAACAGGGGTGCTGCAACTGCTAGCTCCCCTATTGCAAGAAGCTACAGTCGTATCCACCATATACATAGATGCACTGATGTGTGTTCTTCCATATATCTTGACTGTGTCTCCGTATTCTAAACTTGGAGCCGCGTTCACAGAGCTTTTTACTGCCACCTCAAATATTACCGTTATGCTTTATCGCTCCCTCTGTGTAACAAGCTCTCACGGATGGCCATCACTTAAGCTCAAATTCACTACTGATAAACCGGATGAATCTGGTGCCGATGGTCTTATTCTCCATCATGTGGGACCCATGTACGCTCAGATAGTCTTTACACGTAGGCATACGGATCTCCGGTTTGCTCAGCGATTAGAGGTATACCTCTCCTATCTTCCCCGTCTCATAGCGTCAGTACAAGCACCTCTCGAGCTTACGCACTCGGTTCTGGACACATTAGGAGATAAGATTTACAATGTAGGAAGCAACCTTGCAATGGTTGCCGTAGAATTAGTCGCTAGCCTTCTTTTTAGCGGAGCCTCTCTCCTAGTAAGTAGTTTCGTAACAAAAGCTTCGCTCAATTGTTCCAAAGATACATTTGTATTAGCTAATAAGTTACTCGTCGTTTGTACAGAACCGGCGACACGGCACCTCTTGTGGGTCCTGTTAACGGAGAGCCAGTACTGGACACAACAGCACAATGTTTTGTTCAACCAATATAACGACCTGTTGCAGTGCGTCAAGAAGGCTATCGGTGCAATAATACCGAACTTTCAAGAGGATAACTGGCAAACAGAGGCAGATCCCGTACCAATTGACACGCTCTATTTGCTCTTTTACGTGGTCTGCCTCAAAGTTCTGGAGGCAGAATCCGAGGATAGGAGTACGCTTTTGGAAATACTGGCTGCGTACTGCTCGTTTGGAAATGCGGCCTTCACGACTTCAGGCTTCAACAGTGCTCATCGGCTTTACTTTCTTCTTCACATCCACCTACTGTTCTTTGGCCTTTTCCAAAGCTTTGAACGATTCAGCCCACTATTTATTAACTTCGTTACATCACTTCCCAAGGACAACCACGAGAAGCTTCTTCTGCTGAGAAGTGCATTTTTCGGTTCATCAGACGTCAATTGCACAATTTGGTCCACACCGCCAACTGACGGCGTGGAACAGCCACAGATAACAGTCGATGCATTCAATAGCACATTTCTTTCACTATATTTAGATTTTGCTGGGTATCTGCTTCTATCCCACCCAAGGTCTGTTGATTCACCGGGTTCAGACAAGTCGGTGCACCATACTGAGTCTACCTCATCAGCAATAGAAGCCAGGTTTAAGCAGTTGAGCTTGTGTCGCCCTACTCAGCTCCTTTTTGACGTATGTGAGAGCATCTATAGCCAAAGTGATTCGCCCTCTCCTGTCATGGAGGATGTGTTGGCTTTTCTTTTCTCCCTTCTATTTTGTCGACAATTGCCTGGCTTAGCCGAAGAATATAGTGTCCATCTTATGGAGGAGTTACGGCAGCCGCGCGGAGCTGCACTTGTGCTAATGTATGACGTTCTACAGAGATGCATAGAAATGCACTCTATACCTGATGCATTTGACATTTTGATATATGAAATGGTAGGTACAATGGCTAGGCAGGATGCGGTTGATACCCAGTCGTCATACTTTAAGATCATCTCGCTTCTAGTTGATTCGCTTGATGGGTCTCTCTACCTGTTGCATGCGGCCTTTAGACTGAGCGAGACACGTCTTAATTTAGATGTCGATTTGGAAAAGACAGATGGTCTCACACATTTATCCATGCAATCCAACTCTCCGGTCGATGTCGATAGGCTTGTTTTTTCTTTGCAATCCTTTACCCATATAGTATTGGTTTTTGGGCACAAACTCATAGAAAATTTAACGGTAGGAAAACTAACCGTTTGCCTACTCAATCCTTCTCTCACGCGGAGCTTTTTGTGCACGGATGAATCAGTGGACTGCCCAGGTAGCCCCCTAGAGGCACTGCTAGACTTGTTGATTGTTCTTCTTTTGGAGCACAGGGTGTTCCTGGCTACGCAGCGTCCACCCTCTGAAGGCGATGTGCTTCTTCCTGCGCGCATGATTGCTCTAAGGTGCTTGAGCTGCCTTATTAGCGCCATGCTGGAGGGTGCTTCTTCTGATCATCAGCTGAATAACCATCTTGTTCGAATGATAAACAAGCTCTCCTACGTCTTTTGGCAGCAAGTTTCTGGGTTGATCAGGCATTCAGACACTCTTTCGCCCCTTCTTACAGACGTATTTATTTGTCTTTTGAACGCAAGCTTTGACGTTTTCTCCCACCTGTGTGCCTCTGGAAAGACGATCTATGGCACCTCTTCCAGGACCACGCTTTTTCTTGTACGTTACTTTCAAGTGCTCTCATCTCCGCAACAGACCTTCTTTTCCTTTATGCAAAGGAACCCTCGCTTGGTCTCTGCGACATTGGCAACGTTTGAGAGACTCAACATATTGTATCAGATAACAGCAGCAGAGGCTAGCCAGTTCACAAATACATCCTCAACCGCTGACTTGCCCGCAGACTTACTAGGTATTCCAGGAGCTCCCCTTCAGCAGCTGTTGTTGGAATACAAACACGTTATCGAGGTGGCTCCCTTTTGCTCCACAATCAAGGAATCCACTAATACTCTAACAAAAGATTGGGATAAGTCTTTCAAGGAGATCCTTGCAAATGGCCCTGACGGATCAACAAGGAAGGCAGGAATGGATAAACGTGCATTCTTGCCCGCACCGTGTCGCCTCCAGCCGCTGTGCTTATTTGCTTGGTTCCTCCTGTACGGTATATTGAACGACTATGTCCTAGACTCTAATCTCTTGTCTTATCTTAGTTCAGTGGTGCGGATTCTAGTGTTCTATAGCTATAAAAAGACCCCACAAACACCGGGAATCTCTGCACTAGCCTTTGAGACTCAGGCCAAGCACATCAACAAAGAGGTTGTAACGCCATTTTCGGGAGATTTTCAAGTCATATATGCATACCCCCGACTACTGCGTGTGGCGCTACGATTGTGCCTAAAGAATAGCGCAAACACTAAGACTATCTTCGACCGTGTGCTGAAGCCTCTTTTGTGTTACAATTCTTATCACTACGCTCTTGGATGTCTCCTCATTGCTGGAAAAGAAAAGTCTCATTACATATATTACTTCCTCATAAAGCCCTTTTTGGATACAGGATGCGATAACACGCTCTCTGCACCAGACAGCCCTTCCTGTGGCGCCGTTAGACTCTCTGCCCAGAGCCTTCTTCTGGCGTTCTTATCTGTGCAGGATCTTATGTACAACCTCCAAACACGCCCTTACCCAGAGGTTAACCAGGTGGTGAATAGACCACTACGCGAGTTGCTGGTGTCTCTTAGTGGGATGAACGGTCGTGACGCATTAGACCTTTTCATGGTTGCATTTCAGTCCGAGGCTATGGGAACAATAGCTGTGGGCTCCACTCCCTTGGTATCAAGATATGTAATAGACCTTATCACTGTGCTCTTGTTCACCACTCAGACGCTCAATGATTGCAACGCGACGCTACTTCCTGCAATCACCAGGTTAACCAGGTCAACGTTCGGTATTGAGTTTGGAGCACCTGGAGGCTTCCTTGCTGATACTGCATTCACAGCTCAGATGACTTCAGTGGCATCATCGTCTACAATGACTATGAATGCAACAAGCACTGGGTTAAAGTTACCCAAAATACTAAAGGTAGTGTCCTCCACCAATGAGCACTCTCTGTTTAGCATAAGTGCGTACATGTCAATAGACTATCTCTTAGCGTTGGCTCGCTGTATTTCCCTTGCGCACTCTATTCTAGCCCACTGCCAATCTAAGACAACCCCCTCGGCAGACGAGAAGGTTTTGCAATCCATTAAGGATATCCTCATGGAGAGAACAAAGTTCATTATCGAGCTACAGCTGAAGAAGCTGACAGACGGGACTCGCATCAAATCGCCTAATATCGTTTTAGACCACATTGCACTAATAGTGCTTGCAGGCGCAGGGTCAATGGATGTGCTGGACATACTTCAGATGGAACCTTCTGCCATAGCCGTGACCCGACAACTCACCCATGCAAGCACTCCAACAGATAAGCAGGCAGGAACCAAGCTCGCCTCCACGGTATGCCATCAGATTTTGTTTCTTCTGAAAGAACTGAACTTCCTAAAAACCCCTAAAAAGGTCTCAGCAGGAGTAGCAGACTTTGCTATGCACGTAGTGCAGCTTTTGGCTCATATTTCTTTCGCCAGCGACTCCCAGCTCATTGCTGATATCATTGCACAGATAGTAGTTGCTCCAGAAGTGCTGTGCATTCTCTTGCAGAGTACAGCGTTCAACAGTCTAGCCCAAATCATGGGGCGTTCCACCGCTTTAACCCTAGAAGGAGTAGCTGATAAGTTAGCGAAAGGTGTTGTGCCTAAAAGGATAAGCATGGCTCAGTGTAAAAAAATAGTTGCGACAGTGACAAGCACCGAACTTACAGATATGATAGACTTACTAGGAAACAAGGACAGAGATAATCTTATTCTTAGCGTCTCTAGGATATCTGAAGATATGATTAAGTCGTTTGTGTTGGCAAAAATAATATACCATTTTGCAGATACTCACCAAGCAAAGGAAGTGCTTACAAAATACTGCACCGAGCTCTTAGGCACATTACAAACCTATCTTGATAACGTCTTCAATCAAACGAAGGAGTACCTGCCTGATACGGCAATCCTAAGTGGTAAGCCAGGGAAGGGAGCATCAGAGACAGCGTCTTCTCAAATTGTTTTGCGTGCCGGAGTCTGCAAACTTTACGGGAAATTGTTCCTTATCAACGCATGCATAGCCAATGTTCCTGCTGAAATGAGTACTGAGGTTCACAGCCTAATTCTCTCTTTAAATACCGCTTTAAACTTTGCCATGAAAGTGGTAAACTCAGCACGTACATCTAATCACTCGGGCAAGAACACGACGGACTCCGCTGGAAAGTTCCTTCCAACCAGAAGGACTATAAACGGAACTGTTTCGCTGATTCAGAGTACACTTGGTGAGAGGTTCAAGAGAATCTCTTGGTCTGTATCAATGTTAGACAGCTCTACCAAGAAAATAGGCCTCCATGATACTATTTGCGATGCTCTCAACCAAGTCTGCACGCTGCTCTGCACGTAATCATGTTAGGGGTTGGAATATGATCTCATACAGATGCATCTGTCTCTGAAGTGTATTAGAACTAATTCCGACTTGTCCAGCATTTTATTTTTATGGGGTGCGTCACGAAGAATAAGTTTTCCCGTCCCAGGGACATCATACTTTGCAATTGTGTCCCCCAATATCAAGGTGATTAGCTTCAGAACATGCTGTGCCAACAAGCGGAGCTCTCCGTCTTGAGAATGCATACAGTATCCTTGAATTAATCGCATCTCTTCTCGGGCCAGCTCCGTGCTTGTCAGCATTTGCTGCGACGGGTTGTCCACATCCTGTGGCTCCTCCGGGCTCCGCATAATTTTTGCTATGAAGTCCATTCGCTCTTCAATCCGCGGCTTGCGCAGCTCCTCAATTCGTGATGTAAATGATTGTTCATAGTCCTCATATATCCGCATGTCCCCGCAAATGGCTATAGGCATGTTCATCATAGAAAGGACCGTCTGGCCTAGCGCAAGCATCTTCTTCAGGAACGGTTCATGAGCCATCTCCCTGACGCTCCTATAGTACAACGAATCAGAAAGAAATGAACATGTGCATGTGCCGAAGAAACAATCGGGACAGGCTGGCTCCATGAATGAGAAAATGCGCGGAATAGAGGGCCGCTGGGGGTTGAACGCGTAGCCTCCAAAATTATTCATAAAGTACGTAATGTAGGGTTGGACCTCAAGCGTCCATTCCAGAAACGTCAAAGAGTGGATCGCCCTGCGAGTCCCAAAAGCGCCTATGATAATGTTTATGTATAAAAAGTGAGCTGGTGCTACAGGTGTTACAACGTTAGTGCGTGATAGCAGTATGTACGCCAGTTGAAGTGCCATTTGTCGGCACTGTGGAGCTAAGTGTAGGTCTGTCCCTAACTTGACCAGTAGGTGCAGCACAGATGATAGGGTGAACTCGCTAATTGGTACATTGACATGCACTAAGTGAGAAAGCAGCTGGTGCATGGTGGTCCAATAGGGTGAAGAGCTACGTTCAGCTTGTTCAACAACCACGAGCGCATGTTGCTTTACCGGTATGGATAATAGATTGGCAAGCATTTGAAAGTGAATTGTTTGGACCTTCGTCCTGATGGGCTCAGGGCACTTAGCAATATCTGATTGGGTGCACAGGAGATCAGTGCCTTCTGAATACCTACCTATATAGATATATATGGTCTCGCATATGGATGGGAGCTTCAATAGCCACTCCATTTCAGAAAATAGACGGATACGCGTTACTGCATAGAATAAAACGGACTGTACCAATTCTGACACGTCATCGAGAGACTTTATAACCCTGAGACTGTGTACCGATGCGGGATTCATCAACAGATCGATGAGGTCTGTCACCTTTTGCCGAATGCCGAGCATGGTCCGGAGGGTACACGCTGTTTTTGGCTTGCCCTCACAGCCAGACGACAACTTCTGCCCATCTAGATCACACAAGCAGGTTGGCGAACAGGAGCGCTGCAAGTCGAATGATGACACCGTGGGACCAGTGGCTCTAGTGTAGGAAAAGATGGCCGCATTGCGCAGGACTTGTGCACAGAAATCCATATTATAAACTAAGTTGCAGCGGCACTCTGCGTCTGTTAATACCACAGTTCTAAGTCCGTCACGATTAGTATCCAGTGCCTTGCGCTCCTTGCTACAGACACCTCGAATACAAAGCTGCAGCAGCAGGTAGAGGCCTGCGTCCACCCGGCAAAAGATAGGCAGTAGTGACTTGACTATACCGGCTGCAACAATAGCAGAAGATTGGTCTGTATAGTGTCGGATGATCCGTAAAAGGGTGGTCAGGTAGTCTATCAACCAGACGCGGTCACCAATGAGATAAAGATAAGAGGCTGCTGCCCGTCGCAGGGACGAGGTTACAGATGAGGTTTCATTCAAAATAATGCTTCTAAGAACGAAGAGAAGCTTGGACATAACAAGGAAATAGATACTGAGCTGGCTGAAGATTCCTTGCGTCTCCACAGTGGACATGATGATGTCTATTAAATCAGCGTTGATGGTGCCCATCTGGGAGAGCTCCGCCCCAATTTTGTATAGGAAATGCAGATGTGCGTTTCTGGCAGACATATTCAAAGCCTCTACGAGCCGCAATGGATCGGGTGGATTACCACGGGGGCAGACAAACAGCAGAAAAGGTTCAACTATGCCAAGAATACCGCTTCGTGCATGCCGTGCGACAAAGCAGTTGGTAGAAGGATAGGACACTACAATGCCAGAATTCAATTGCAAATTAGAGAAGTCTCTAGCATAGAAGACTTTAGCAAGGTCTCTAAATGAGCCTGGATGGAGGATGTGCACAAACATAACGTCAGTAAGAGGTGCCGGAGATGAGGCCCCACTGGTAGAAAAGTACTCACCGGTGCTTGCGCTAATGCTTTTGAAAATTAAGTTAAGCTCTGCTTTGAACACCACTATAGGCCGCTCATTTTGAACCTTCTTGTCGAGTAAAAGCCTTAGGCTAGAAAAGGGTATTGAGAAATTAGAGTCAAAGTGAGTCAACATAGACAGATGACGGTCTTCGTGGTGAGACCCCGTGTATAGTTGCTCCAGCACTCTAGCCTGGTTGTGTGTGGAGCTGATGATCTTCGTCAGCTCAACCGCTGCGGAGAGGGATTGAGAACATTCTTGGGCAGCAGTGCCAATACACAAGATCCCATCTGGGGCCTTGACTTGTCCATCGTCAGGCATCTCTTGCTGGTGCAGGGATTTAAGTGCCTTAGGAGTCATGATTTGAAGAAAAAATGCATTTCGCGTGTAATGGGGGCAGAAAAGACATGATAATTTCGAGGGTATTGTATTAATAATTGATAGACTTTCGGCCAATCTTAGTAGCTCAGATTGCACGGTGACTTGTGGAAGAGTATATAGCTTAGAATAGAACTGCGCATAGATGGTAGAGGCGGACAAAATGACATGCTTAGAGTACGTAGTAAGCTTGATGTGATCATTTTCAAGAAGAGAAAACGTGTATGTCATCGGCGGACTCAAGTAAGTAGCAATCTCCGCAAAGACGTCCTTAGTATCCATGAGGACGTCCTTCATAGATCTTAACTGTGGACATGAGGAAGATAATCCAATGACATTACTAGGAAGCAGTAGCAAGGTCTTTAAGCAAGAAAAAACGGAGTTCTGAGATGAACCAGATTGAGGTGGCCGCGAGAAAATGGAACGTACTGGATCTGCATGCTGTTCAAAGTAAGTTGCATAGGTCTTGTCGGTTGGTCCGCAAACAAACATCACCGTCGGCAAGAAGCTCATGTGCGAGTTAGAGGACGTAGCGGTGCGATTCTTGGTATGCAGTGCATGGGAACCATCGTGTAATGCGACATATCGTGTCAGGATTGGAGAGAAAAACGCACACTCAACCTCTTTTATGATGTTATCTTGCGCCCAGGTGTTTGTGAGAATACTGGATGGAAGATCCAGGCTCAAAGAAAACGCAAGCAGCTTTGCCATGTCACTGAGATACTTACTAGACGTCTGAGAGCTGTATAGATCAAGAGACGCGCTCTTGTGGAGAGAGATTATGAACTCATAAATTTGCAGATCAAGCCTCCGATCATATCTGTAATACGTCATCTGCCGTAGTGCATGTATATCTTTCATCAGCCTGTCGATAGCGGTGTATTCCAAGAGTTGTGGGTCATAGGTATGATAGGCGTCCATGCAGAGTCCGGAATCGCTTAGAAACGATAGAATTAAAGACTTATATTGATAGAAAAGGGACAGCATGAAGAAATCCGTCAGGGAGCTCTTCATTCTGGTATGCGTCGTACTATATGAGAGAATAGAGCTAACCGCCCAGGACAGAAAGCAATAAGTAAAGATATTAGCAGCTACATCAATGCAAGCTTCCGCAGACGATAGAAACGCGTGCGTGCAAAGGAAGGGAACTAAAACAACTGCCCCAAACAACCCTGATTTAGAAGAATACTGAACAAGGTCTATTTCTGCGTTGCAATCATTCATTGTGGCCGCAGGGTATAAATAAATAACCGGCTGTAGCTCAATTTTTTGAAAAAATAACTGAATTATCTTATACATGTCATCGAGAAAAAAGCGTAAAGTGGTGCCGCAAAAGCACGGCGTTGTTGTCCTGTGAATCCACGTCAAGCTGCTGGGCTTACTATATACCTCGACATCAGCAACAAGAGAAATGAAGAACCTTTCTCCCTGGTATGCTTGCAAAGTGGGTTCTGACGAATCGACAGAGGGTGGCTTTCCCTTAGAGAAATCAAACAGATAGATCGGCATAAAAACATCTCCAAGCAAACTAGCCAATTGTGTAAACAAGCTAGACTCAGAATCGGGACAGGAGGAAGAACGTTGAACACTCTCGGGAACTATAAGGGTAGCAAGTGCCTCCAGGTTCTCGTTGTACTCCTGTTCCTGGAGCTCCACAGATGCCACAAGTGACGCGCTCAGAGACGAAATTCCTCGAATGGACGTTCTCATCTGGTGCAAAACACCCTGTTCTGGAAGAGCGTTCAAAGCAGCAGAGTCGCCCGAATGCAAAGCAATTAGCAGAGCCTTGGAGATATATAGGTGAACGTCCTTTACAATAAATTCAAATCCGCTAAGTTGAGCAGCCGATGTGGCGTACATCTCTGGTATGGGAAAAAAGCCTTCAAATCTAGATATCAGGAAGCTCCTGTCACCAAAAAAGATGTCTCCGCCAACAGAGTAGACCGCAGCAAGGCTAAGCTCAGACAGGCCCTCGACTGGCTCTGCATGATCAGATATAAAAAGCATTTTTGGAGAGCTAGCTGTGGGTTTGCAGGCAGCAGACCACTCTGCATCAAGCTTTTCCCCGGCCAGCTCAACGTTTTGGTACTTAATGAGACACGGACGTCCGGCAGGGAAAAACACACCGAGCGGTTCGTGCCTGCCAGTCTTATTGAAGATTGGTAAATCTCTATAGCGCAAATACGCATATACCTTATCCCAGGCAAGAAAGTACAAGGATAGCTCCACTGTGCACGGTGGCATGGGGAATCCTCGTATATTCGAGCTGCCTAAAGACCGGAATATATTGTTTCATTTCATAATAATTAGGTTTCAAATAATATGTCCAATGAAGAGGTCAGTTTTTTAAATTCAGATGCGTGAGATAAATGTACATAGATTTATCTGGGATCATCACTTAGAGCTTTTTGCAATAGTGATATTATCCAGCAATTTGCAAATTTAAAAGGAATCAATGATTCTTTTTCTTGAGCTGATAGGCGCGGCTCTTTCGATATGCATCCAAGCTGCAGGCTCTGATCGAGATACAGCTATCTGTGCAGAAAACAATTGTAAAGTTTTGGACGGGCAATATTGCGCCGAGTGTGCAATCCCCGGAGAGGTGCCTATTAACGGGGTGTGCATCCCCCTCACTGACCCCAGGGCAGTAGCATCTGGTTGCGGAGGCAGCGTAGGGGCTCCGCTGAGTACCTCTGCCAGGAAGTGCGAACTTTGCCGCGACGGAAGCTACTTTCTCCACGAGGGAGGGTGCTATAACGTGCTCTATAGCCCCGGAAACCGCATATGCAGAACTGCTACATCAGGATACTGCACGCTGTGTGTAGATGGATTCTTTCTAGACACGACATCCAGCATTCACCAGTGCAAGCCCTGCCACTCCACATGCGCCACGTGCACAAGCAACACTGCTCAGTCCTGCCTCAGTTGCCGGTCAGATCGGTTTCTCAAGAATAACGAATGTAAGGAGTGCTCTGCTGCAGATGGTGGAGTAACAGCTTGTGCACAGTGCTCTCAAAACTCCGACGAGATCACTTGCACTCTATGTAAAGAAAAGTACTTCATTAAAGAGGGTAAGTGCACCGCTTGCGCTGACAACTGTGCCACATGCACAGGCGAAAGACCAGAGGATTGCAGTGTATGCGTGAGCAAGTACTCGTACGACCTTACTGCCAAAAGATGTACGCAGACATGTGATGAGCACGATAGCCAGGCAACCAAATGCAAAACAAGCATGTGCACCGCGCTGAATAACAGATACTGCTCTCAGTGCGCTAGCAGTAGCGACCTTCTTATTGATGGGAAATGCGTCTCTGCAGATGACAAGAAGATCTGCACCCCATTCGATCCCCCCAACGGCACCTGTAGTGTCTGTGCCAAGGGGCATTTGCTCTTTCAGGGAGGCTGCTATAGCGTAGCAGAACCTCTGGGGCAGGAGGTGTGCGCAGAGACCTCCGAGGTCCAGGAGCGTACGGTCTGTGTCCGATGTGCGCAGCCGGGCTTCGTGCCTGTCTCAGGGGTCTGTTTGAGGTACGACGCGCAAGAGGTGGCAGCAGTGGGCTGTGTGACGTCCCGGGGCTCTGCGGTCACACCCACGGACACGACATGTGCAAGCTGTGGAGCGAAAGCCTTCCTCTACAAAGGCGGCTGCTACTCAAACGAGACGTCGCCCGGGAACGTCATATGCGACGAGCTGGACGGCACGGGTGGCTGCAAAGTGTGCAGGAACAAGTACTACCGCAGTGGCAGCACGTGCGCACCATGCCACCAGTCCTGTGAAACATGCAGTAGCGGTGCTGCCGACAGCTGCCTGTCCTGCAAAAAGGATGTCTACTTTGAGGTTTTCAGCGGGGGGCGCGGCTACTGCAAGCCCTGCAACGATCCGGTGGCCACTATCACAATCGTAGGGGTCGCAAATTGCGAGAGGTGCAGCCCCAAGCCCAGCGGGACCATGCCTATCTGCACAAAGTGCACCACTGGGCATGTCCTCAAGGGCAACAGCTGTGTGCAGGTTTGTCATGAAGGGGCTGAGGGGGCGGAACAGTGCAAAACGGGACACTGCAATACCATTTCCAACACTTATTGTTCAAGGTGCGCCACATCTGCAGAATGTCCTGTTGACGGCATATGCACAGCCACCCTAGATGGGCACAGTGCACAAGATGGCGCCTGCACATCCTGCGCATCGGGGTACTTTCTATACAACGGGGGATGCTACCGAAAGGGTGTCATGCCTGGCATGCTTATCTGCAAAGATGAAGACGACAGCACCAGCACCTGTTCCAAGTGCGAAGATGGATACATGTCATCGGGCAACGGATGCAAGGTCTGCGAGGTTAGCAACTGCCGGGCCTGTTCCGGAGATGCAGCCTCCTGCACCAGCTGCAACTCGGGATACTTCCTCAAGGACAACACAAAGGGGTCGAAGGTCTGCGAAAAAGTCTGTGAGGAGGGCATCGGCCCAGGGAAGTGTATCTACGGAGGATGCACGGTTCGAGACAACACCTTTTGCAGCAGATGCAGCGAGGCAAACGAGGTCCCCATAGATGGAGTTTGCTCGTTGGGAGGAGAACGGGCCCGCATATGTCTGAATGCCTCTTCGGGAACATGCCTTCGCTGCGCCGCAACCCACCTGCTATACTACGGCGGGTGCTATAAGATTACCCAGCCAGTGATCGAGATCTGCAAACAAGATAGTCAGATAGTAGAAAAGGGCACTGCCTATTGCAAAGCGTGTAATGATGCGGGCGAGTACCCTGTCGATGGGTCATGCACAGCAGAACTTGACGGAAATACGTGCACAAGCAGCAAGTGCACTGCATGCGGGTCCGGCTACTTTATGCACAGGGGAATATGCATGCGGCAGGAATCACACTCAGATATCTGCGCCAGGGTCGGGGCCGGGGTCTGTGAGGAGTGCGGCAAATCGTACTTCAAGAACCCGGTGGCTAGCACGGCGATAGACTCATGCATTGCGTGCAACGATACAGTTGGAAGCAACGGGTATACTGGAATAGATCACTGCGATACATGCCTGCCTCCTAAAGCAGCAGGACCGGCTACCTGTACAGACTGCGCAGATAGGTACATCTTGAACGAGCAGAATCGATGCGAAGAATCCTGTCCAGAAGTAGAGGAGAGCAGCAAGGCGACAGGAAAGTGTTTGAAGGGCTACTGCAACGTGCTCAACGGGAAGTATTGTTCTAGGTGTTCGCTAGAGTCAGATTATCTCGTGGATGGAAGGTGTACCTCCACTAATAGTAATGTTTGCACACCGCAAACACAACAAAATGATACGTGTGCGTCGTGTGCGACGACCCACATCCTCTACATGGGCGGGTGCTACAATCCAGCTGCGCCTCCCGGGAGTAAAGCGTGCGTTAGGCATAACCTAATAGGCAACACGCTATACTGCTTCCAGTGCGGAGTCGTGACAGACCTTCTGGTCGATGGACACTGCCTTACGCCCGGCAGCACAGAGGCTGCGGTGTGCACTCTGCACCGCGTCCCCACTGGCACGTGCTACTATTGCAGCAGCGACTACTTCCTGATGCTTGGGAGCTGCGTCTCGGCAGAAAGGGCTCCTGGAAACACGGTTTGCAAAGACCTTGGAGTGCATGACGGCATTTGCAGCACCTGCAAGGATGGATACTACCCGCCCCCCGACCGCTCAAGTGTCAGCGACTCGTGTGTTCCGTGCACAGAGAACAGCGACACGCTGAAGGGCATACCCCACTGCAAGAGCTGCGAGGTTTCCAACGGACTCCTGGTCTGTGTTGCCTGCGAGCAGTTCTACAGACCAATGAATGGGGGAACGGAGTGCGTGCAAACGTGCGTTGAGGCAGAGGCAGACCCCAAGGAGCACAGGTGCAGAAAGGACAAGTGTGATGTCCTGGGCACGTTCTACTGCTCCCAGTGCGCTGCTGACGCCGAGGGCCCAGTCAACGGCGTGTGTGCTTCAGTGGCCGCAGGCGTGTGCATACAATATGAACAAGCTAATGGCACCTGCAAATACTGCGCCCACGGATACATCAAGTACAAGGGTGGCTGCTATGAAGCGGGGTCGTTCGAGGCGAGGGACATCTGCGACGCCCAGGATGTCGTGACATCGGGCGCAGGGTCGTTTTGTGCGAAGTGTAAGCAGAAGGATGAGGTGCCCGTTGATGGGGAGTGCAAGGTCTCGGATGACTGCACCGTCAAGGAGGATGGCATCTGCAAGTCGTGCAAACAGGGTGTTAAGTCATTCCAGATAACCAAGGATGGAAGTCCTGCAACGGTTGCATGCTTTACTAAGTGTCCGGATGGGATGTATGAGTCTGCTGAGTTCTGTCAGCTGTGCGATAAGAGCTGCAAGACGTGTCAAGATAGTGCAGCAAAATGCACGGGATGCGCAGACGGCTTTTATCTTGCGGCCGAAAAGTGTGTTGCTTGCAGCGTGCTCCACTGCTTGACGTGCAATGCGGCAAATACCTGCGCCTCTTGCCAGGATGGGTATTATGCCAGTGGGAACTCGTGTGTTGCATGCACACCCGGGTGTAAGAAGTGCGATAGTACTGGGTGTAAGGTCTGCAAGGATAGATTTGCACTGAGGAATAACATATGTATTGAGGAATGCCCCGTTGGATTGCTTTCCACGTCCTGTGCTGCAGGATACTGCAATGTCAACGGCACGCTTGCATGCAGCCGCTGTGCGCTATTAAGCAGCGTTATCATCGACGGAAAGTGCAAGGCAAATGACGACGCTTGCATCCGTACAACCCCATCCAGCGGGACGTGTGCGGCTTGCAAGGACACGCACCTCCTCTACTATGGGGGCTGCTATGCTAAAGGCGCAGCAGCTGGGACTGCCATATGTGACAGCCAGCATCAAGCTACGCTGGGCCCGTACACTATCTGCAAGCAATGCAAGCAAGACGGGGAAGTCCCGATCGATGGCTCATGCGTTGCACTGACCGACACTAGGGCAATCAGATCGCAATGTGTCGCTGCCACACCAAGCCCCACGTCGTGCACACGCTGCGGACCAAGGTTCTTCCTGCACGCCGGGGGGTGCTACGAGATAGGACGCTCGCCTGGAACGGTGCTTTGTGCAGTGGCCGTCGACTCAGCGGTTGCAGGAGTGTGCACATCGTGTGCCTCCGGGTACTACAGCACAGGCCTGCTCGATCCCACAAAGGAGTCCTGCATCCTATGTAATGATACAGGTGGAACAAATGGATACACGGGCGTTGACGGCTGCACAGAGTGCTATCCAAGCGAGGCACCAAAGAGGGTCATCTGCACGCGATGCAAGGACAAGCACATTCCTAGCGAGGACGGCTCGCGGTGTATCCAAAGCTGCAACGACAGTGGATCAGAGTCTGGTAACTGTAAGGCTGGCAGCTGTACGGCGATGGGCTCGCTGTACTGTTCCAGGTGTGCGCTGGATGACGAGTGGCCGATCAACGGGGCTTGCACGGGGCATGACACAGACTATGTTTGCGAGAAGGGGAAGGGTGTCTGCACAGGGTGCCTACGCGGATACATGCTCTACATGGGCGGGTGCTATGACCCTGCCGCGACTCCCGGGTCTGGCATTTGTAGGGAGCTTCTGACAGTCGGAGGGCGCACATATTGCAAGCAGTGCAATCTTGCAGGAGAGTTTCCAATAAATGGCCTGTGTACAAAGGATGTGCCAGATGGTGTCTCGTGCTCCAGCGGTTTATGCGTCATATGTCCCGAGAACTACTTCTTCCACGAGGGAGGCTGCTATGATATCACGACTACTCCTGGAAGTGGGATTTGCGAGGTCCTTGGAACAGGCCGCGAAGCCGGGACCTGTCGGCGGTGCAGACCCGGCTACCGTCACAATAAGGAGACGCTGACGTGCATGTCCTGCGCCGTCTCCAACTGCGCCAGCTGCGAGATAGACGTGAAGTACTGCACAGAATGCATTCAGCCCTACACGCTGACAGGCGTCGGGGCCGGGGCATACTGCACGAAGCCCTGCAAAAGAGTGGGGCAGGATGCCTGTAGTTGGGGCTCCTGCACAGTCATGGACGGGTCTCTGTGCTCGCAGTGCGCGTCGAGTGATTACGTGCCGATCGACGGCATCTGCACACTCTATCCTGGAGAAGCTCGCTCACTTGCCGGTCCATGCGTAAAGGACGCCAAGAAGGGCCGCTGCACCGCGTGCCGAGGGAGCTACTTCCTCTACCAGGGGGGCTGCTACTCCGCAGGCGAGTACCCCGGCACGGGCATCTGTGATGAGCGCGATGCAGCGGTCGTCGACGGCCAGGTCGTCTGCGGGCGCTGCCTGATTGACGGAGAGGTTCCCCTGGATGGCACGTGCGCAGAGCCGAAGGAGGGACTTATCTGCAGCAAGGGTGTGTGCTCGCACTGCGGAGACGGGATGTTCCTCTTCGAGGGCGCCTGCTACACAAAGGGAAGGGCGCCGGGGACGAGCATTTGTGGAGACACCACGGAGTCAACGTCCGGGTGCAATGCATGCGAGGCAGGCTTTTCCAAGACAGACAAGGGCTGCGTGCGCTGCTCCGATCCCAACTGCGGCGCGTGCGTAGACGACCCCAACACGTGCACCGCTTGCAGGGCCGGATACTATCTCCAGAGTACGTCCTGCATTGCGTGCCACCCGGCGTGCAAGACGTGCGATGGTATGGGGGCTGATAGGTGCAAAGAGTGCGCCGAGGGGTACTTTGGCACGTTCGCCACGCCTGGCCTGGGAACCTGTCTTGCCTGCTCGGACACATCTGGCAGGGACAGCTGGGTGGGAGTGAGTGGCTGCAGGCTCTGTGAGGCTCCGAAGGTAGCGGGCCCCGCACTGTGCAAGGACTGTCTCCCGGGCTACAAGGCGCTCTCGACCGGGACAGAGGTGACCTGCCATGCAGTCTGTCCAGTGGCGTACTACGAGGCCGCCGGCAGCTGCATCCCGTGTGCGATCGACAACTGTGCAACGTGTACAAGCACGAGATGCACCAGCTGCGTCCCAGAGCACATCTGGAACGGCGAAGAGTGCGTCCCTAAGATCTGCCCTCCGCAGTGCCTCTGTAGGGAGCAAAGCATAGCGTGCACAGGATGCAACGAGAACGCCGTCGAGGTCAGGCCGACCCACTCCAGCGCCAGCAGGTGCCGCCTCGCTGATCGCGTGGGCCCGGTCGTCTGTCTGGCGTGCGAGAGTGGACGCAAGGCGCTGACTCTGGACGGGATGCTCCTGTGCCCCCGCGACTGTCCGGCAGAGGGCTTCTGGACAAGCGGCAGGGAATGCATCCCCTGCGTGCCTGGTTGCCTCCGCTGCACATCTGCCACTACATGCAGCGCGTGCAGCCAGGGATACTACTCGACGCAGAGCTCTGTCTCTGCTCCGTCCGATTGCCGCCCGTGCGATGACGCAACAAGTCAGAACGGTTTCACGGGAATTCCACACTGTGCCGTGTGCGCAGCAGACCTGACAAGGGCGGGGGTCACGTGCCACGCCTGCGCGGAGGGCTACGGGCTCTCCGGGGGCTCGTGCAGCCCGTGCACCGCGGCCGGCTGCGCCCGTTGCGACGGGGGCGTCTGCACCTCCTGCAAGAGGGGCTGGCACCTGGCAGGCGACCGCTGCCTGGCATGCCCCCCTCTGTGCGCCGCTTGTTCGTCGGCAGCCAGCTGTCTGGCCTGTGCCGACGGGTACTTCCAGGCGACGCCCCTCGGAGGCCCCCGGGACTGTGTGCCCTGCGACCAGACGGCGCCCCAGGGGCTTCGGATGGCAGGCATCCACGGGTGCGGGCTCTGCCAGGCGCAGGCATGGTCAGGCGCCGTCCTCTGCCTCCGTTGTGCGGACGGAGATCTCCCCCTGGAGAACTACTGCGGAGGCTCGTCGGTCAAGCGTAGCCTCGGCCCAGGCGCGATCACAGGGATCACCCTTGGCGTGGCCGTTCTTGTAGGCGGGGCCATTGGCCTTGCACTCGGCCTGACAGTGTGCAAGCGCGGATGCGCAGGCAATGGATCTCTCCAGCCACTAACAATTTAGTAAGTTTATTAACATAAACCTAGAGTATTTTATATGACTACCTAGGTTATGATTAGCTAAGGCTGAGAATTCTGTCCACGCCTGCCTGAAGTCGTAAGATGGCGTCGGCGTACTTCCAGAAAAGAGTCTCTGTAAGACATTTTTGAGCCGCTTGAATATCAGCTTCGTAGTCTATATTACTAAGCTCACGGGATCCTACCTCCAAAAGTTCATCAATCTGCAGAACTTCTACTCTGAAAAGGTAGCGAGTCTCGAAGGTTGTTTCCTCAAGTTCGAACACCAACTGCAAAGGCAGTTGTGCTAGAAGGTCACTATCCTTGAGTGTATCTCCTAGACGTATGCAGCGCGACCACTTATAAACTTCGCAGGTATTGGCCGAGATTGCACGGGTGTCTTCGACAACTTGTTCGACTAAGAGGCGTGTGGCACCACCGCAGACAAGTGTCGATGAAAAAAATTCATGCTGAATGTATTTATGCGTAAGAACGCCGTCAGTATGGTTCTCTGTAACTATAACAGAATTAAGCTCTGATTGCATGCTACGCCTAAAATTAAGGTCGAAGGGAGGTAGGTCTGATGGCTTTAGAACAGAGGAGCCTGCCCTCGGTGCAGGGGCAGGCTTTTCAGGGAATATAAACGCATAGAGAAGCTTCTCAAAAACAGACGCTGGAAGAACCTCCAGCAGTTTATATGTCTCCCCAATGACACGTGTTGTCTCCCTGTAGCACTTTTGGTGAAAAATACAGTTGGAAAGCATAGGCATAGGGTCTTTGAGGTAACCCAGGCGAAGCGAGACACGGAAGCCGAACTCACCCTTGAACGTTGATAGGCGATAAAACAGGTCAGCAAGAATCCGCGTGGAGTCGTTGAGCACTACAATTGGCGAGATTGTCGCATACATGGTTCAAATTATATAGTGTTTTTTTAACCATGATCTTTCCTGTGACCCAGAAGGGCAGCCTCATAAATCAGCGCCTGTAGCCTCGCTGTTGATCTGCAGAGATGACTCACTAGTCCAGCATTAACCCCTTCTGCTGAATCAATCGCTACGTCAGCTTCAATGGGAGAAATGTGCTCGAGAAATTCATCAGCAGCTCTGAGCAGCTCTAACAAGCGCTCCGTGCACTCACTAGCAGGAACAAGACTCAGCCCTCGTAACCTCGCAGCCGTACATGCCTCCACAGCATCATTCAAAGCACTGAGTTGCTTGAGAGTAGATGGAGTAAACGTAGCAAGTGTTCTCTTAGAAATGTCCTGAAGAGCGGCGTTCGCAGCGTTGAGGGATTGGGCCAGATCTGAATATGCAGCTTTTAAAACCTCTGTGCGTATGCTTGCTGCCTTATTCCTAAGCGTCTTCAATAACAAATTGTGGGTAAATGCACAAAAGGCGCGATACTTTTGCAAACGCTCATTTCTGAGCAATAGTAGGACGTATTCTGCTTGCAATAGCTTGATGACATGGAACTGCGGCAAAGGGATCTCTTGCTCGACTGGCCCCTTTGCAATGTACTCGGGCCGTGACGTCGGACCATCCAACAGAGGATTATGCCGGGTAGATGAGGTGTGGCGTTGAGTCTTGTTAGATGCACTAGAAAACGATGAATCTATCCGGGTGTCTTCGCTTCTAGAGGCTTGCGAAAGTTGATTGGCACATGATATGCGTGACACTTTGGAGTCAGAAGCAGAGCTAGAGGTTGCTAGGAAGTACCTGCCTTCATCTAGCATAGGCTTTAAGTCTGTGGACTCTGCAATGGGACGCTTTTCAGATGACGCTGCAAGAGTGCTCTTTGGCCGCTGTAAAGGCATGGTTGAGAATCCTTCTGCTCTCCGATGCTGTGCTGTTTTAGGTACTCTTTGCGTGGTATGTGGCTCTGCAGTATGTGAGCCAGTAAGAAGGCTTGACCTATTAACGGGTAAAGTTGTTTCTATGGACGAAAACCTAACAGATCTTCGTCCAGCTGGCTCCTTTGGGGATCCCTGTGACGGAGATAGCGTGTCCGTCATAAATATTGTTGGCTTGTAAACATCTGTATGTTCACGAGGATTATCCTTGGGTGTGTATATGTAATTGGCTGTCATTTAATTTTATAAAGCGATGCATCGGAGGATCGGGCAATACGAGATTTACGATGATGTCTCTCCGTTGTTTGATGCAGTACGGGACAATAACCCAGAGATGGTGCAGATGTTTCTGAGCTATGCTGGAATTTATGACTCCATGAAAATGACTGCACTTATGCACGCAGCCCGTCACAACTACTTAGACATTGTTAAAATATTAGAGCCCCTGGAGGGGCACCTCGTAGGATCATATGGAGAGGTGGCACTAATGCATGCGGCTGAGTGTGGAGCTCTCGAGGTCGCGCAGTATCTTCTTCCGCTCCAAGGGCATGTAGAGCCAACTGACCTACTGGGAAGCTCGCTGATGAATGCGATGTGTGCAGGTGAAATCCAATGTGCTGAGCTGTTCTACAATAATGAAAAGGACAAAGTAAAGATCACACCACTAATGTGGGCAGCATTTGTGGGGGATGTATCGACAGTTCAAGAGGAAATTTCGTTAAAGAGTGATCTGGGTAAGCGAGCCCATGGTGGGTATACTGCATTAATGTTTGCTGCCTTCTCAAATCAAGCCCAAACAGCAGAACTTCTACTTCCTTATGAAGCTGGGCTAAGGGATGATTATGAAGAAACGGCTTTAATGCATGCTGCTCAAAACTCAAGTGTGGATGCCGCACGCGTCCTTGTGGAAAAGGAACTAGGGCTATCGACAAAAATAGGGGGTACCGCACTATACACGGCTGCCGGAGAAGGCTGTTTGGAGATAGTCAAAATGACTATGGAAAAGGAGCACTCGATATTCTATAACGGGTTTTCATCTCTGTATATCGCCGCGAATAGCGGTCACTTAAGCTGTGTAAAAGCCCTTGTTCAGTACATTGACAAGTTTAAGAATTCAAGTGACACCGGGCTGGGCGGGGCTGCTTCTGGTGGTCACGTAGATATAGTAGAGTTTCTTATTCCATATGAAGCCAAAGCAACGATGAACAATGATGGAACGACTGCCCTTATGTGTGCAGCACAGGAAAACAAAATACAATGCGTGCGGATGCTGAAGGATTATGAGCTAGGCTTCGTCAATGATTCGGGGTACAGTGCTCTTTCGTTGGCGGCCGCAACTGGCTCTTCTAAACTTGTGTCTCTTTTGCTAGATGAACTGCCACTGTTACCGAAGAAGGCCATGTCTCCATTAGAGGAATGCCTTTCCTCAGGTAAGCTTGATGTTGTAAGGCTTCTCCTTCCACATGAAAAGTGCAGAGTTGGCGCCAGTGATCTCATGGTTTACGCATGTACTGGAAAAAGACATGCAATGAAGAGGCTGAGATCCGTAATGCTGCAACGCCGGGATTCAGGTGGCCGAACTGCGCTTATGTATGCGGTGATGGGCAAGCAGTTGGACTGTGCAAAGGATCTCTTAGCAGAGTCACGCATAGTGGATAATGAGGGGCGCAGCGCTCTTATGTATGCAGTGCTTCTGGAGCCCGATGAATGCCTCCCATTTGTGAAGCTTCTCATTGGACTCACTGGTATTCAAGACGAAAATGGTGAGACAGCCCTTATGAAGGCAGCTAGTAACAACAATTACATAGCAGTAAGGCAGCTTGCACCGTACGAGAAAAGGATGGTCGACAAAAGCGGCGATACAGCGCTTATACTTGCTTCACGCAGTGACGCGTACAAGTGTGTGACGTACCTCTTAGAAGAGATCGATATAGTTGATGAGTGCGGCTCCACTGCCCTCGAGAATGCAGAGGGTTATGGAGGATACAATGTTTATCGGATCCTGAGCACTGGTGCAAGGTCTTATCCCTAATGTAAACCTTCTACAGATTTTCTTTTACAGATTTCCTGGCCTGATAATATACACGAGGGGCCCCTCAGTGCTTCGCATTAAGTTTATAGGACTAAATGATCCATCTCTGGTAAAATTAAATTTCTGAAATGGCCTTTGCCATTGTTCCACAACTGGCCACAGTCACGTACCAGCAAATCCTTTCGGTATACAAATATCCTTTCCGCTTTGAAGGATCATTCGAGGCCGCTGTGTATGGAATTTATCAGACCCTTTATAAGGAGGCGGACTTTCCTGGGCTCTCAGCAATAGAGGATAGCATCAGACTAAAGACAATTTTAATCCAGACAATGGAAACCCCCGTCCAAAACCCTAGTGACTTCCTGCTTTCGTTTTTACCACCGCCTACAATTTATCAAATACCATCGTGCTATTCACTACTTTTATCAATACTGCCTCGCAATGCGCTTGGAAACCCGACCATTGACGAGAAGGAAGCAGCAGAGGCCATAAGGCAAGAAGGAACAACGAGTCGCTGTGGATGCTGCTATCAACATATGATACAGCCTTGCAAGCTCTATCCATGTGGAACAACCATTTGCCGGTTTTGTTTGGAGCACACCTTAAAACGACAAAAGACGCCTTATTGCCCGGTATGCGTTGGTCAGCAATCCATTGAATTGGTAACACTGGATGTTTCATTGCTGGAAGCCTACAAAACCATGAAGTTTGGTTGTTATTTTGCTAAGGAAAATGCCATGGACGTCCCGGAGAAGGAGTTCCTAAAGCAGATGATGGCTGCAGAGCGGATAGGGCCGATGATGTCTAGTTGCATCCTATCATCGCCTGCTGCGGTAGATGATGCAACTGATCTAATGGCTCGAAGCATCATAGTCTCTAACACACAGTCTAAGGAACGGCGTGAGCTGTGCATCAAACGTTTGGCACAAACGATATATGAGCTCAATGACCGTCTTGCACATCATCAGCTTTTCTTATGCACGGAAACAGGTTGCTTGTCGGATATCTCCAAGCATATCATGGACTGTCAGTATAACTCTGCCTACCACAAGAGGAAGCACCTGTTCCATGACGGCTCGCTTCTGACAAGCACTGCGCTTCTGGGGAAAATGCGGGGAGATTGTGTCGAGCTTGTTAATAACTTTCTTAGCAGACTCCCCAAGCCTTCCGAGACCCTCCGTCCGTCTATAGCTCGGGGTGTGTCTCCAGAAACAAGGCTTGATAGTCAACCTAAACTATCAAAAAAATCAGATAGCTTCAGCAGACAATCATTCGTGAACATCATCAACTCTACTCTCCGTGGGCTGGTGGATGAAAAAGCAGAGATGGAAACAGCTTACATGAGTAAAAGCCAGTACATCAGGCCAACAGATTCCACTCAGCCTAATTATTGGAGGAGCTCTAGTAACACAGTGAGCAACGCAGCTACTCGAGAATCTATTAATCAATTACGGGAGAGCTTTCGTGGCCCAGAGTGGCTTACAAAGACACCGATAACCACAAGCTCCGCCATGGAAGCTTCGAGGCGGATCCTATCCAATCCACATCAATCCTATGATTCTCAAGAGATTGCTTGGGATGGGAGCCGGCGGTCTGCCTCGCGTCAGTTCTTACGAACCTCTATCGCTTCCCCTCGAGCATATGCCAATACCTCGATGCGCGGTAGCACGCTCTTTCATAGCAGTGCACCTATATCGCTGTCTCCCATGGCCAGATCAATTCTTGTACCAGACCAGTCCCAGTCCTTGGCAAAGAGCCCCCGGTATAGGACGGTTGTCCCTGGCACGTTTTCCCTATCTGCACCCTCAGAGAAGAATACCAAAATCAGAAAAGGCTCTGTTAATGACCCAACAGATGCGGTTCAAATACCTACAGCACTGCAACCGGGCAAGATGATTTCTACTCCAAAGGCAACGTCTCCTAGTCGGTCATCCAATGTCCGCTTTTCGAAGATACTATCTCTATCAACACCTGAGTCATCGTGTGCAGATTCTGTGATCCTGAAGAATGGGCTGAGCACTTGTACATTAGACTTAGTCTCACGTCCTAATTGTAGCCATTGCCACTCTCTGTGCCAAAGGCTAATAGCCATAGAACAAAAATACCACAGCATCAAAAGTGACTATGATACCAGTATTGCAAACCTACGCCGAGAGCTCTTGAAGCGCTCTTCAGCTGGCTTCTATAAGGATGAATTAAAGCGCAAGGATAACGAAATAGCAAATCTTAAGCGATACTTGTTTAAGGTCCACCCAGAATCGCAGGGTACTCTCTCTCCGCCAGACTCCAGCAGTCCGGAGCCTTCTCTAACTCACTCTCAGATTATCTTAGAGCACGGAGTCCCTATGTCCGTGTCGCAGCTTTATGAAAACAATCTTCTCCCTTCTCACATGAGGTCTTCTGTGACTATGTACAGGCAGTCCTCTGATGCCGATCGCTCTTCTGCAACTACTCTGGGTCCCACATCTCAGACAAACCTTGCCGGTGAGATAGTACGACTCAAAGCTCTTTTAGCAAAGTATGGTGACTATCCCAGTGTTAAACGGAAACTAGATCAGCTAATTATTGAAAATGAGCGGCTCAAACTTGAAAATAGCCACTTTCAACAGTTAATTGCAACGAAGGAGGCCTATGCCAATGAGATACTTAGCATAACGTCTGTTAAAGACCTCGAAATACAGCGGTTGCAGTCCTGCATTCTTGATTTGCATAGAGAAACAGAGGTCAAGATAGCTGCATCCTTAAAGGATAAGCAGACCGAGATTAATATGCTGAAGGCTGTGCTACTATCGATGCATAGGGATGATGATCTTACTTTCATGATAGAGGAAAAGAATATAGAGATCGAACAGCTGAATACTGCTCTTCGGCTCAACAGGGCAGGCAAGCCATACGAGGACGAGATTATGCGGCTAATGACGAAGGTAGAGCAGCTGGAAAATTCACTGATATATGAGTGGGAGCGTACAGCCTCGCTTCAAAGTTAATCCTTGATGATGCGGGTCCCACATTTACCATTGAGCGCATCCACCGCAGTGCTCAGGGAGGTGATGATGCTCATTTTTCCAGTTGCCTGTGTAAACTCGATTGCTGCACGGACCTTCGGCCCCATAGATCCGGCAGCAAAGTGGCCGTCCTTTTCGAGGGCGAGAATCTCGCTAAGCTTGATCTCCTCGAGCTTTCTCTCATCGGGCTTCTTGTAATTGATGCACGCGTTGAGGACGTCCGTAAGTATCATAAGGTAGTCCGAGTTCAGCGTTTTAGCTAGAAGAGAGGTTGCAAGGTCCTTGTCGATGACAGCATCCACGCCACTGATGACCTTGTTCTCGCGCTTGCAAGGGATTCCTCCCCCATTCGTACAAATGACAAGAACGTTGTTGTCAATGAGGGTCTTGATGACACCATACTCCACGATCTCAAGAGGACGAGGAGATGGGACGACAACACGCCAGCCGCGGCCAGCATCCTCGCGGAGGATTTTTCCCGGGTTTGCAGCCATGAGGTCCTTCGCCTCCTGCTCGGTGTAGAACCTCCCAACGGGCTTTGTGGGATTTGTGAAAGCCTGATCCTTCGGATCGACTAATGTCTGAGTGACACAGGTAACACAGTTTGCTGGCTCGTTATTCGCGCAAAAAACGTTGTCCATCGCCTGAGACATCATGTAGCCGATGAATCCCTGGGACATTGCACCACAGACGTGGAGGGGCATTTCTGGAGAAACACCTGCTGCAGCCTGGTTTTGGAGTTTTATGGCACCCACCTGCGGCCCGTTACCACTTGTGAGAACAACCTTATAGCCAGCCTTATGGATTTTATAAATCTCCGAGGCCGCAATCTCAACATTCTTACGTTGAGTGTCATAGTCCCCCTTCTCCTTGGCCTGAAGCATAGCGTTGCCGCCCAGCGCAATCACAACCGTTTTCCCTGCCGACATCTGGAATTTATTTTCCGCCTCAAGGGCGTCTGAGGCTTTTAACGATCAAAAACTTTAGATCATTCTTTACTCTACAAGTGTTATGGAGGAAAGCGCCCCCGCAGTGACTCCTGTAGACACCACAGCAAGGGTTAGCAGGTCCTCAAACCTGCAACGAATTTCATGCGGGTTCATAGCGGCCCTACTAGTCGTGATCGTCTACCTAAGCCTTATAACTCTTAGATACTGTCAGCTTCCCTCTACTTTTGAAAAGGTACTACTTACCTGGGCGTCCCGGCCTCGCGTGGTTCATGTTGAACCTTCTCCATGTCCAAAGTGTCCGGAGTGTCCAAAGTGCGCTAAATGCCCGGAGTGTGAGAAATGTAAGCCATGTGTACCTGAGGTGCAGACACTTGTTGTTCCGGTTGAGACCGACCCGTCCTTGTGTCCAAAGGGTCTCAAGCATTGTAGTGTATGTTATGATGGTGTCTGCCTTGCGTGTCTTCCTGGGTACAGTTCACCGGCAATGGGATGCTTTGTTGAATGCCATGAAAGATGCAAAGTCTGTGATGCTTATGATCCAACACACTGTATAGAGTGTCTAGATTCAGCCATTGGCGAGCCGCCTGACTGTATAGACACAACAATATGCCCTCCTTCACTGTCCCATTGCGCCAAGTGCCAAAGTAATGAAACGTGTTTGGCGTGCCTGGCGGGATATTCAGGACCGGAAACGGGGTGCACGACACAGTGCGATGCTCGATGCGCGGAGTGCAGTCCTGGTGATTCTCGTCACTGTACCGTCTGTGCCAGTGCTACAGCAGGAGATCCTCCTCATTGCTATCCTGAAGGTGTTTGCGATCCTGAATTAGAGGACCTCGCCAACTGCATGGAGTGCAGTCGCACTCAGTGCCTTCGCTGCAAGGCTGGTTATGCGATGCCTTCGTCGCAGTGTAAGGTGCGCTGCAGTGAGCACTGCTTAACGTGTGATCAGACAGAGCCATCTGTCTGCACTGAGTGTGCTAGTGCGTCTGCTCATCTTCCTGAGTGTCTTCCCTATGGTCAGTGTAGTACCATTGATCCTAGCGTGTCCAATTGTGCGACCTGCGACGGATCAGCTTGTCTCACGTGTGTACCAGGCTGGTCTGATTCTATGTCCAATTGCAGCAAAAAGTGTGTCGATTCCTGTGCCGCTTGCGCCGATGTAGACTTTGCCGCATGTACAATCTGCAAGGATGAGACACGCTATCCTCCTCTCTGTCTTCCTCGTGGTGTTTGCGACCAAAATGACAAAGAGCTCCAACACTGTAGTGAGTGTGACGGAAGCACGTGCACAAAATGTAGGGAAGGATTCTCAGGACCTGAGAAGAGGTGTTCAATCAGGTGCTCATCTCTTTGTAAGGATTGTAGCCCACATGATTCTACTGTCTGCCTCACCTGCGCAGATAGTAGCCGGTATGCTCCTAAGTGTCTTCCTTATGGAGAGTGTGATCAGTCTGATGCTAGCCTTCAGTTTTGTGGGTCTTGTAACGGAATCGTCTGTTTATCGTGCAAGGACGGTTTTACAAATCCAGCCAAAGAATGTACAGAACATTGCTCCAAGTTCTGCGCTACGTGCCATCCGCTAGACGCTTCTAGCTGTGTTACTTGCACGTCTGATGCTGCCACACCTCCTCGATGCCTCCCTCCAGGTCAATGCTTGGACGCGGAGAAATACAAGAACTGCAAGTCATGTATAGATGAGAGATGCACTGAATGTAAAGACGGTTATACTGGAGATCACTGCAAAGAGGTATGTCACAAGTACTGTAGTACCTGTATGATCAATGACGCTGCATATTGTGGAGCCTGCAGCACCGAGGGGACAGAGCCTCCGTACTGTTATCCACCGGGAGAGTGTAACCCTGAGTTGGCCAGTTTTTGTGCAACGTGCACTGGGAACAGGTGTACCTCCTGTAAGGAAGGGATGACTAGCACATCACATAATTGCAATGACGTTTGCTCCAACTGGTGCCTCAGCTGCAGCGACACTGATCCCGAAGAATGCACGGTCTGTCGTTACAGAGGGATGCATCTACCACACTGCTTGCCACCCTCTGCGCGATTGATACTGATGAACACCCTTCGCGATATCTATAATAGTAACACCGACATGGCGCTCATCTACGGGCTCGCTCTGCTTACCGTGCCAATATTCACTAGCTATCTCGCCATCTTCTTGCTTGTGCGGCGTAGTGGTGTATTAGATGACAAGGAGTCCCAGTAAAGGTTGTATTTACCATATTTCAATCTAAAAATTGATGAGCAAGAGTAAGGGCAAAGGCTCCTCCGACAACGTCATGGTTATGGTCCGTGTGCGCCCTTTTAATAAGAGGGAAGAACAGGAGGGTGCGACGGAAATCATCGAAATGGACAAGACCCTCTGCACGGTGACCCTGCACAAGCCTGTGGAAAAGGGCGCGGGTTCTGCGACCAGCGAATGCCTACCATCTAAAAAGGTATTTACCTACGACGCCGTCTATCCAAGCAACTCCACACAGGTTGAGGTCTTTGATGAATCTGTTCGTGAGATGATAGACGGATGTCTTGAAGGGTATAATGCTACTGTGTTTGCCTATGGACAGACAGGGTCGGGCAAGACACACACAATGATGGGTCAGAAAGACAATCCAGGCATGATCCCCCTTGCCTTTCAGCGCATCTTCGATTTCATAGCACAAGCCAAGGATGATCAGTTTCTGGTGCGAGCTAGTTTTGTTGAAATTTATAATGAGGACCTTAAAGATCTACTTACTGGTGCTACGCATCTTCAGCTTAAAGAGGATCCTGTTAAGGGGGTGTTTATCAAAGATCTCTCCGAACACCCCGTTTCAGATGAGCGTCATATTGACAAACTTATACAAAAGGGAAATGAAAGCAGGGCTGTAGCAGCAACCCTTATGAATGCCACTAGCTCCAGATCGCACAGCATCTTTCAGGTGGTGCTTGAACGCATGACAGTAATTGATGGGAGAGAATGTATTCGCGTTGGCAAGCTTAACCTTGTCGACCTTGCTGGGTCTGAACGGCAAGAGAAGACGGGAGCGACCGGCGACCGTCTAAAAGAAGCTGCCAAAATCAATCTGAGCTTGACAACCCTTGGATGTGTCATTTCAAAGTTAGTGGAAGGATCTAAGCACATTCCATATCGCGACTCCAAGCTCACTAGGCTGCTCCAGGACTCCTTGGGTGGGAATAGCAAGACTCTAATGGTCGTGGCCGTTAGCCCTGCTTCAACTAACTACGATGAGACCATGTCAACCCTCCGGTATGCTGATCGTGCCAAGCAAATCAAGAATAAGCCACGAATCAATGAAGACCCGAAGGATGCGCAGATTAGGGAAATGCGCAACTATGTAACCAAGCTCGAGGCCCAGCTTGCAGAAATTATGCAACAAGCAAATGCAGGAAGCGGAAGCGAGGTAGAAGATAAAGAAGCATATGACGGCGAGGGAAACATGGGTGCAGGGTTTACGGGCTATACAGCGGATGAAATGGCCAATGTGCAGTCATTGCGGAAGAATCTTGACAAGACAAAAAAGAAAAGGGTCAAGTACGTTGAGCAGAGAAAGGAGAACGAAGAAGCTGTTTCTGCCGAGGAGCTTGCAACCCTTGAGGAGGAGCAGAAGAAGTTGGAAGAGCAAATTAAGGAAAGCGAGCGCAAAGCCAAAGAACGGCAGCTTATGGCTAAGAAGATAGCAGCACTCATAGAGGCTAACAAATCTAAGATGGTTGACAAGAAGGTTCTCGAAAACGAGGAAAGGCTTAAAGATGCGGCGATCCGCGAGGCCCGCAACGCGCTTGTCGCCCAAAAGAAAGAAGCAGAGAGGCTCAAGAAAGAGTTGATAGAGGCAGAGCAACAAAGGAAACAGCTTGAGGAGCAATGCACGACTGCATTGGATCAGGCTCAGCAGCTGGAGCTACGCTTGAATGAATACAAAGAGCAGCTGGCTGAGCGCAGAGAAGAACTTCATAATGTAGAGGCAGACCAGGCAAAGGAGCGAGAGATAATACGGAACGACTATGCAGACCAGATCAAGCTCTGTGAGCTTCGTCAGTTCATTGTTTCAATGTTTGTTCCAGAGGAATATCAGAGGTCGATCGAGAGCATTGCTAGCTGGGACGAAGATAATCAAGCATGGCACTTCAGAACCCAAAAGTCACACCGTGGCATGGCTGGTTTCGGTTGATGTAGTGCGCGGTGTGCGCGAGGCAGACTCTTCTTTGGTCAGAAATTCTACGTTTGCCTTTATAATGGCGATGTTTTTATCATTATATGGGTTGTCTATGTCAAGGATCTTACCTGGAAGTAGAGCCAGTAGCTTCTCATGCAGCTTAGTAAACGATGGTGCTGTGATGAAGTCTCCGTTGCTTGCGCGGTTATTAATAATTATCTCGAACAGTGCTTTGTAAAAGGTTTGTAGTGTGTCTTTCGATGCATCCCAGATACCACAAAGATACCCTACAATGTGTAGCATAACATATTCACGCCAGGTATTGGGCGTTGGTGTGAGCCGTGCTCGCTCATTCAAATAAAACGAATACATGTCCTTCTCTGTTATAGCACTCTTTGGATCGATCTTAAACAACGGGGAGTCCCTGCTGAGATGAATAACAAGCCGAGAAATCCCCGAGATCTCAAAGGCAATTTTGCCTGGATCACTGTCTCTCAATAATCGAAGCGCCGCTAGATAAAATCTCACCATGTCCAGCATAGAGAAGGAGCTACAACATGGGATCTTATTTAGAATTTCCCTATTGATGTAGAGACGGGTCAACTCGTTTGCTTTGCTGAAGTCCTCAAATACAGTACTTAGCTGCGTTGGAAGAACGTGATATGCTCTCTGAGAAATCATATATATCGTGTCCTTTAATGGCTTAGTTAAGTTCTTGAAAATGTGCTTGATCCTACGCAGCCTTCCAAGCAGACTGTTGCCAACGATAGATGTAGAGCTAAAAAAGTTGGGAAGCGTCGTGCCCAACGCTAAGATAAGGTCTATGGCTGGTGTCTGTATAATCTCAACCTCTGGATAACGATCCAATATAAGTATAAGAGCATGCAGAAAGGGTGCAGTGTTCATCAGAGTTGCGGACTCTTTGACATATGCGTAGGCCTTGCAACCAACACAGAAGAAGCACCCATCCTTGACCGTGTGAGAATACGCCGCATACAGGTAAAGGGCTTCAATCTCCTTTAGCCCGAGAGTCGGTAAACTCTTAGACAAGTCTGAGGGCACAACTGGAGACGATGTGTCATCTGGGGCGATCTGGCTGATGCATTCATGTCCCCTTGTAAGGACTTCATGGCCTAAGGTTAGAAGACCAAGTAGTTTTGGATGGATTGGCGGTGCAGAATCTATATAGGATTTGAGACAGATGGGTGAAAGGTTGGGCCCAAGAATGGGCTTAGCTACAAATGTGGAGATTTGCTCACCGCTCTGGAAGATGGTATATCCTCCCGTCTGGGCATTCGGCAGTGAACAGCTCCACTTGAGGGTAAAGGAGTATCTTCCCTCGTAGAACGTGAGAACCCGCAAATAAAACCGTAGAATGGGATGTTCTTGAAAGTTTTCTCTGTCGACAACAAACTCGTATGTGGAAGACCTCCCATCGGGCGCTTCAACCTGCAATCCCAATGTAATATTTGAAAAAAGAAAATAATTAATAGTCTCGTACGGATTAATAAAAAATATCACTTGACAGTTCCAAAAATCTCGTTGAAGTAGAAACTGCTCGTGCTCAAGAACGTCATAAACCAATCGCTTAAGAATAATATGGCCCACAACCGGATTTCTGTTTGGTGGAACACGGAATATCTCCTTTTGGAAGGAATACTTTTCGCTATATGCACTATCGGTATCAGCCTTGAAAAGTCTCTTACATTCGGCACTGTAAAACGACATAGAGTAGGGGAGAAATTCCGAACTAATCGGACTTGCTGGAATAGCGTTCCCCATCAGCATAGTGTTGTTGCTAATTATATGTCCTAAATTGTTAGTATTCTTGTTTGGAGTGTCACCATCTGGATCTAAATCTGGCTCTGGTTCTGGATGTGGATGTGGATCTGGTACCGGCTCTGGAGAATCAAGCTCAGCAGGCTTTGCAGGGGTGTATTCAGTTATCTTTTCATTAAATCTCTGGGTCAATCGCTGCTTAATGTGCTTCAAATGGTTTGCTTCTAACTGTTGATGCTGCTTGTATAGAATGTTGGTCTTATAGCAATGCAACATATGATCGTGGTAGCGCTGGAGCCCGTCCTCGGTAAAGTGAAACTTGCTTCGGCACTCACTCAGTAAAGGGCTTATATCCTTATGGAAGCGGCACAGTATCTCTACTGGCTCGTACAGAGAGTTCTGAATGTCTTTTGATTGAGACACGGAGACAGTATAGCCGTGGATTGGAAAAATCTCGGCCGTGCACCGCATACTATAGCCCTTAAGAGAAACATTTCCCATACCTTCCATGTAGATACTCTGCATCGATGGATCGAACTCTTGAGAAAAGTATGTGGTGTAGTGCTGGAGAATCTGCTTGGATGACTCCAGTTCTTGCTTGAGAGATGGTTTGCCAGTAGAGTTGGACCTAATGGCTGCAGATTTATTTCTTTCCCGGTTAATTAAATTATCTACAAAACAGACAGGGCACTTTGCAATACCTAGGCTAGCTAAGTCTTCGTAGATGCATGACATGCAGTAATTATGCCCACATGCTGCCGCACACATATTTGTGCTGAAGCTACAGCAAAATTCACACCTGATGTCTATAGGCTCGCTGTTTAGAATGTACAGCCTATCGGCGAAAATACCCATTATATTATGCACATAGTGCTTAGCATCGAATGGATCATCGTCCAATATAAGCGTACTGAGGTTTCCGGCTCCTTCGGCGGAGCCATGCTGGGCCATTTTTTATTATTGCAGGATTTTATTAATGCAGGACTAGCTAGTGATTTATTTAGTGAAATTTCAATTTATAATTTACAACTCTTTGCCTATCCTTTCTTAACTTTGTGCATTTGTAAGTGGCGTTGTGGAAAGTAGTGTAGCGGAAGTCACGTTTGTGGTGGGTATCTTTTGATAGATGTGTTGTTTAATTTTTCTTTTGAGGATTGTGCACTGCACACACCCAACAACGGAGCAAAGTAGTATGACTGCGCATGTCACAGCTATGGCACAGAAGGCAGTGATCGTCGATGCATCGGCCCGCATCTTTGCAAGGTAGTCTCCATAATACTGCCCACCTATGCATGTGTACCCACCTATAACCGTCCCATCAACGCACTGTGCGCAGCGACGATTAATACATATTAGAGATCCACACCACAGAGATGCGCCTCCCCCCGGGCAAGGCTGTCCAAAAAGCTCATATGCGTTAGCCCTGGTACACAGTCCAGCATCGTTACAAATATGTGAGATGGGGCAGTTGGGGTTATATCCCGATGGAAGGGTTTGCTGGGGATCACATTGGCCACACTTTGTGATTGTGGTACTAGAGTCGGGACGGAACGGGATTTGATTGATCGCACACCCGGTATTAGTTAGTGGCAAGGCCGCTGCCAGGCGCATTTTGAGTGCACGCTCTAGAGGGCCTGCACAGGACCCTGGTGGGACCTGACTGGTAGTGAAGTCGCACTTATCGGATCCAGTATCGACCTTATTCAGGTCAGAGAGGAACGCCCACAGTAGGGAAAGCTGCATGAGCTTAAGCATTTGGGTGAGAATTTATTATTCGGCACATGAAGTTTCTGACATCATCGATTCAGCCAATGAAACTAGTCAACCCATCAACTTATGCAACGCTACCTTTTTCTATGCTAACCACGACTGGAAGGTGGTGCAACAGACACCAGGTCTCTTGTCGATGCAGGTATCTGTAGTTTAACGTCATCTACTTCTAAAAGGTTTTCTCACAATGGCTTTCTTGGACATCCAAGGCGTGTTCGCCTCTTTCACTGACTAAGGAATTACTGCTCAGTATCTTTGTAGACAGGCCTCAGTCTGCCCTTATAAGCACTTATCGACAAGGTCTTGGTTGAAACGAACTCGATAGTATGATGTATTTAAATCAATTGAAACTTTAGTTCGTGAGAAAACGTAGATTTCCTCGCTATTACCGCCGTTTGATGTGTGGACTTTGTGCCTAGTGTACTTCTTTGCTCCATTGACTCTGTCTTTTTCTGTCTGCTTCCACAAGTATGCTTTTATATAAGTTTTAAAGTTATTTGTGACCTACGTCGATAAGCCATACCTAACTTATCAACCATTTCTCTCACCACAATAATACAGCTCTAGATTTACTCCAACTTCCATTATGACATATTGTTAGCATTTACAGATATGACTTTGGCCATTCTAAACTAGAGGAGTGCACTCAGAAAGATAGGAGGTGCTTGTTTTAGTGTTCTGACCTTGGGTAGCTAATGATATTACGTTAGCGTTGTTCTCATGGACGGCTTTGTTATATAATTCGACCATACGTGCATTCAGAAACAGATCGACGAGCCAGCCTATCCCAAGGATGCCTCCTGTCAAAAGCCACAAAACAGCAGTGCACCAGCGCCTGAGATAGAATCTATGGGCCCCGAACACGCCCAGGAAGAACCACAGAATGTATGTAACGCTGACACTCTTTTCACCCTCAAACGTTGCCATCTCTACGTCTTCCCCAAAATTTAATTTCTCAAGCTTTATTTGTAGAAAATGTTTTAGTTTAATATCTTTAGAGTCTTGACTAGTGATACGATCCGTCAGGTGACGCTGACACTGTTACAGAATTCGTTCCCTTTAGAGACTGTCGGCGAAATTACTCGGTCTGTGTGGGAAAACAATGAAATTTCCTTAAATTTTGCAAAATATAGTCATAGCAAATATGTCTGCGTCATTACGCTAAAAATACTGCTTTATTAGTGTGTTTGGGCCCATATGGCGCCTAGGCAAAACCAATCGCTTCCAATCTCCAAAGGTTTTCAATAAATTAAACACTACAAAAGCTAGTTTATTGTAAATTGCAACAATATCATGACAAAGTGCGCGCCTTGCTAGCTCTAGCAAGATGCTGCTCTTTCGTCTCTTCTGGAAAACGTTAAACAGAACTTTAAACAAAGGCCTTCTGATGCAGCCAGATGCCTCCCACGATCATAGCTGCCAGTATCCGAGGCTGCTCGATGAGAGGAGTGAGCGCGCACCAGTGTAAAATAAAATCTTATGAGTCGGTTTGCTGGTATAGAGAAAAGCCCCCTTCCAACCCTCTATGAAGCATACCAGCATCTGCAGTATGGAGAATACTCGCGGTGTGCTGCCTCCACCGAAGATATGCTGAGAACTGACAGGACGAACCAGCAGGCCTTTCTTCTCCGGCTCCAATGCGCCATAGAGGCCTCGTATTTAGACGAGACAGAGCTAGATACTATAGGCTTGATGGATGCAACCAGAAACATGTCCTTCCAGATGCCTGGGGGCACCGGCTTACAGCAGCCGCAACAGCATCCAAAAGAGAATGAGTTAGAGAAGAATAACTTTACACATCCATATTTATCACCAGTATCGGCATCAACAAGACAGATTGAAGTGGGGTTCGTAAGGCCAGCAACTAATGCGGCAGGAAAGCCTCTTACCCGGGGCACATCCAGGCTTATGTCGAGCTCTCGCACAGGGTCACGTATGGGAAGTAGAGCTGGAAGCAGGGCAGGAAGTCGAGCAAGCAGTCGAACGGGAAGCCGCTCCTCCACGGCGACTATTGCTGCAGCTGTTGTCAGAGGCTTCGCCGGAAACGTGCTTAGTTCTCACTTGGAGTTGAGAACTGGGTCTTTGTGCAATCTTCTTCAAGAGTTTCCTGTCGATTTCATAGCCCATGGAAACTACACCCGTCTCCTCATTGCATATATGACGCGGATGCGTCCAACAAAATTAGACTATCTTCTATTGACAGAAGACAGCGCGGCCTCCAGGTCAGCACTCGGGGATAAAGATGTCAATATTCCACCCGAATACATTGACGCCACACCGATGCCTCGACATGCGTTGTTCTTTTTGTCGAAAATCAATCCATCCGATTGTTCAGATTGGTTCTACAGCGATCGGAAGGGAAGAATCTACTATTCTATGGGATGCTACAATGATTCCGAAAAACACCTTCGAAACGCATTGAAGGAGTCTCCCAGGATCGACACGTATTTAAAGCTGGCCAGTACACTGGTAGCAAGGGGACATATCAACTCGGGCATTTTGGTCCTTCGTGAGTGTGCGGAGCGGTTTCAGACCAGTGCAGTTCCTCATTTGGCAATGGCAAGGCTTTACGAGCTTATCCAGAACTATGAGCGATGTGCATATTCATATGCAGACGCTCTAGAAAGGAACCCGTCCAGCGTCGAGGCCTTAGCCAGTCTGGCGTCCCTATTAGTGCAAGGAGTTGGACTGGGTGCTAAGGCTTTAGGTAAGAAGGTACTGCACACACTTGAGTCTCCATCTACCGCACTGATCCTCTACAAACGCGTTCTCCTCTTTGTTCCAGCCGATCCAGCCATCTGGAACAACCTAGGCGTCTGTCATATAGAAAAGCATCAGTATCACGATGCATTTATTCATCTGCTAACTGCGTTGAACAGACTAGAGACTGCTCAGCGAGAGCTTAGCTTTTCTGACGACAGAATTGTAAGGATGCGCAGCGACATTTGGTTCAACATTGGTATCTGCTTTTTACATCTGTCCGATATGGGTGCAGCCAAGAACTGCTTCACTATTGTTTCCAAAATAGACTGTACCCATGTCGAAGCACTGGTCAATCTTGCTGTTTTGCTGGTGATCAGTGCGCAGGGCAGCACTCAAGGTGAAGACATCCATGCTGCATACACAAAGGCCCTATTCTTGCTGAATCACGCACTCGATATTAATCCACTCCACGGTGATGCACTGTACAACAGGATGATCATATATCGACGGGTAGGAAACATTGAAAAGGCCCTCGTAGATGCAACGCTCGTTTCCCCAGATATTGCCTTTGAAATGGAAAGGGAGCTTTGTTGACAGTGTAGTGTAGTGTAGGGTCACCCTGAGACATCTTACGATACTATCTTTTGTTGTTAGCGCTTGCCCCTATTTAATACCCTCTGTGCCTTTTCGTTTATAGCGACGAACCACTTGGGTCTTCTTGTTGACTCACCGAGGACGGTCATCCCACCAAGCTTCTCGCTCCTCCAGAACGCCCCGTTTCTCTTGCTAAAGACAGATCTGAAATCAGTAGAGGTGACGTCTATTCGTCGCCGCTTCTTTCCACCAAGGCTATATGAATTTGTGTGTGCAGCTCCTTGGCTTGGCCGAAGTCCTGACACATTGGCCACTTCCTGGCTCGAGGTTGCAGACGATACCCCGTCTGTATTCGCCGACAACCACGTGAAAGTGTCTTCCTGGTCTTCGCTCCCTTCTCCATCTTCATCTGCTACCTTCATTGCTGCTGCACCGTTGCACTTATTATATATTCGCTGGCCCTCCAGGAAGTTATTCTGATAGGAGTTCTGGAATTCTCTGAGCCTCACTGCATAGTAGTTCTCCTTCTTGTCCATGTATTCACTGATTATCCTCTTCCCCAAAGCATGCAGTTCCTTCAACACCGACAACATTCCCTTTTTCATTGCGGTGTCATCCTTGTCTTGGTTGTGCTTGGTCACCAAGGTTAGCCGTGGCTTGAAGCACTTAGGGCATGTGCTGCTTTTGATATTTCCGTTCTTATTAAGCTTATATAGATCTGCTTCTGTAAACCTTTTATCACAATACTCACAATGGTACTTGACATGTCCCATGGATATCGGGTCCTTCAGCTCTGCTTCTAACTTGGTAACATATATATCTAGATTATAAAAGCTAGTAATTAGAAATTTCTTGAGATTGAAAAGATAGGAGGCATTAGCTTGGTAATTAGAGTGCTGGGCCGAGGTATTTCTTTCTATGAAATTTATCTCAATCATTTCACAGAAGGCCCTTACAGCAGGGTCGTCTGTACCCTTTCCGTGGAGCACCGAGTTATGGTCCTTATTGACCTTCTCTATGCGCTTCTGATTGAGAATGGCGTTTATGTAGTCACTCACATGGTACGCAATGGCTCCGCCCTTTGTTTCTATGCGCCCTGTGTTAGCAATTGCGAGCATAAAGTAGACGTACTCTTCGTCACTGAGGAAAATATCTGCGAAGAGACGCAGGTACGTTTCTAACGGAGAGCTATTGCACTTGTCAACATAGTCTGCTGTTACTGATAAGTTGGATGTCTCGTGCCTATCCTTCTGCGGATCTTTCTGCCTGGCACCCTGGTCAGTCATGAAGTTGTCTGTGTCAATCCTTTATAAAAATTAACATTTATGACGTGTTAATTGAAATTTCAAATGAAAATATTGAAGATGAATACAACGGATCAACGGCGTCCTGCTCTCCTATTCCCGCTCATCTTTCCACCAGGGCTAGATATTACAAAGCAGAAACAGGTCAAGACGCACGTGGAAACCTTTACAGACGCTATTTGCGACGCGGTCTTCCTTAGAAAGCGGAAGAGCCCAAAGATGATGGTTGAGCTCTCTCTGCTTCGTGTGCAACCGGAGCACAGTGCTATTCAGCGGATCATTTTAGATAAACTTAAGAAGCAGCGAGGACTTGAGCAGCATGTTCAGCTAGTTACGTATCCCTTTGAAGGTGAGGAGCTTCGGCCCCTTGAGTTTTTGCATTCGCTACCGACATTTCTTGCAATTCCATGTGATCTAGGAGCCTCCAGTGGGCTGGGGTCTTTAAAGGCGGTCATCCCCTCGTGCCTTTTCTCTCAGCCCTTCTACGAGCTTCTAACCATTCCGTTCTATCAGGCAGTAGTGGACGGGGATCCAGAATTGCACCCCATCATGTCTGCTCTGAACACTAACTTTCAGACATTCTATCAGAAGAGTGCATCAGTTGCCGGACAAACGGCTACTATTGGTGCCCCCACCACACAACAGGCTGCTCTTTTAGATGCCCTTCCTACTGCGTGCATCAAGGGAGGTCATAGGAAGGCGAAGCTCTTTATGCTTCCCTTTGCATGGAACCTCGACCGGATCAAGGCTATCCCCAAGAGTTTACACACAGATGCCTTGGCATCGCTGGTTGATAGTGTAATACAAAGGTATGTCGATTTGCTCACCTCTATAACAGAGGGCAGATAGCCGATTAATCAGCTGGGGACTCCTATTTATGGTAGCTGGAATGGGGTCTTTGGGCAGAGAACCCCATCTTGGCGTTATAAAGCTCTATCTCCTTTTGTGTTAGTTTGTCAGTGGACCAGTTCTGTGTTTGCCTGGTTCTGTTGTCATAGGGATGGTTGCTTATTCCAAAGAGTTCATATACTGTGACTTTCTGTTGAGGGGGCTGAAATACCGTGTCAGGATCGATCTTAGATGACTGGTTGATGCACTTTGAGAGCAGGGCATCCACTGCCCAGTCTGCAACCGGCACCTGGCTCTTCGACAAGTCAGCTTCATACTCTATGGGAATGACGTATTTCTCTGCCTTCTTTTCTGCTCCACTTCCATCTGTAGGTACTTGCTGCTGTTGTTGTTGCTGTGCCGAGTCCTGATCTGATTGCTTAAGCTTATCAAGCAACAAGCATCTCTCACTATGTGTTGAATCTTTATTTTCACCAATCCCCCGCAAGTTTTCTGTGAGAGGCATGGTGAACTCTCGAGTGCCCTCGAACTCTGTGCTCTCTACACGTGATCCAGTCTTCATTAACCTATGGATTGCAGAAGATATCATCTCTTCGCCGCTGTCCATCACATACTCAAATATCTTAATGTTTCTATCTATCAGAGGGCCTGCCTCCGAGAGCTGCGATGCCAAGTTGACTATGTCTTCTGCATTTTGCTGTCGCTTCTTCCCTACACTCTCTAGCTCCGTTTGTGTAGTGGTTTTCGCAGCGGACACCTGGGCCAATTCAGTCTTGACTTTCAAGAGCGCCTGCTGAATGCTGTGTAACTCGTCTTCACACTCTGCTTTTTTAATGGCAAAGTTCTGCTCGTATGTGGACTTTTGTTGGTGGAGCTCTGCTAGCTCGTTGGCTAGGCTTTTAATTTTCTTCTCGTATTCAGTAGCCAGATTTGCTTCCTTTTCCCGTAAACTTCTTTCTTCATCAATCTCCTTTTTCATTTTCTGATCAAGTTCTGCGTTTTGTCGCTCAAGACGCTTGATCTCTGCGTCCATCTGCTCTACCCTCTCTTGCAGTTCTTTCTCCTTTTCTACCATGACCTCGACACGAGCCCGCATCTCTTTTTCCAGTTCCACTTGTTTCTGACGAACAATCTCCTCTAGGTTATCTGGGATCTGGTTTGGCTTTTGACCAAGTGCCTTCTTTAGATCGGGTTCCGAGACAGAGCCAGCAGGAGTCTTGTGGAGAGCTACAGAAACATCACGCTGGACCTGTATGGTATGCTGCATTCTGCTTTCTCTACTTTTACTGGCGGCACGAATCTCGGATATCATTTCCTTGATCAGGGATAGGTCATCAAGCCGCTTGAATACACTGCTGAAGCGACTACTACTTGTTGTTGCCACTGCATGCAACACCTCAGGAAAGGGAGCCATATTGATTGGGTCCGAGAGTTTGTATTGATCCAGTTCGACTCCAAAGGCCTTGATGGCAGGCTCCAATCCGGCAAAGATGCTCGTTATCTCTTCACCAAAGGCGTAGTGGGCGTCTCTGTAGTGGTCATATATTCTGTAAAGGGGGAAGCTGAGATTTAAAGTCATGCACTCACTTTTTTACTCCTGAATCCCTAAAAGAAATGGGCAAGTTCTGCCAGATTGTCGTGGGACCGGCAGGATCTGGAAAGTCAACGTATTGCGCAATTCTTCAGGACCACTTCTCCCTTCTGCACAGAACAGTGAATGTCTTTAACTTTGACCCGGCGTCGGAGACCATCCCCTACTCTGCTGCTGTAGACATACGCGAGTTTGTCTCGGTTCAGGACGTGATGGAGTACTGCAGCCTTGGACCAAACGGCGCCCTTGTCTATGCGCTCGAGTACGCTCTCTCAGATCCCTTGCAGCAATCGTGGCTCGACGACGCACTGGGAGACTACCCAGACGACTACCTCCTCATCGACTTCGCGGGGCAGGTCGAGCTTTTCACCTATTACGACTGCATAGGGATCCTGAGCCGTGTGCTCCAGACGCGCGGATACACCGTCCTGCTTGTCTACATAGCAGAGGCCCAGAAGTTCCAGACCCGGAGCTCCTACCTTTCCACCGTCCTGGTCGCCATGAGCGCCATGAGCAGCTGCGGCACGGCCTTCCTGCCCGTGATGAGCAAGGTCGATTTACTTGGGTCGGAGCTGCAGGCGCGGCTCCTTGGTGCGGGCCACGACGAGCTGCAGGACCTCGTGGCCAGCATGGCGGAGCCCCGCGTGGCCAGGACGCGGCCCCTCGACGCCGCGATCGAGCAGGCCGTCGTCGCAGAGGGCGGGCTCTGCTTCGTCCCGTACACCGCGACGGAGCCGGAGACCGTCCACGCCGTCGCGGCGCGCGCAGACCTGATCCTGGGCTTCGGGGAGGACGAGGAACCCCCGAACCCGCCCGATCTTGAGTAAAGGAAGCCGCTCTGCGGCTGGGGCTGGCACTGCACCCCGCCCGCCTGACCGTGCTCCGTCTCCGGCCTCCGGCTGTCCGGCTGAGTTGAAGGCGGGCCGGCCCCTGCCTCCGCGGAGGCCGGCGACGCCACGGGGTCCAAGCCAGAGGCCGCGGCTGCTTCGGCGTCCTTTTTCTTTCTCCGAAGCGAATCCAATTTAAAATACTTTGCTATGCCGCCTCTCCAGTTCTACGTCTACCGGCGCTCCGGGGCCCTGCTGTACTTCCGCGCCTTCGAGCACGCTGATGACGCCCCGATGGACATGTTGGCCGGGCTACTTTTTGCTCTGCGACGCAGTTCAGTAGCCTTGACGCCGGGCGAGGACGCCCGGTTGGAGTTCTTCAAAACAGATACCTACACCTGTCACATTTACGAGACTGCAAGTGGATACTGGTTCGTCTTTTTGACGAGGCCCGAGAGCAAGCCTCTCAGCGACGAACTGCAGGCCATCTACCGAGATATCTTTGTTCCCACGGTAGTGAAGAATTTAGAGTGGATACCGGCGACATCCTTCCAAAACAACGAGGCATTTACCCATGCTCTAGACCTTGTAGTCAAAAACATGCCCGACTAGCTTTTTTCTACCGTGTAAATGGCGCAGCTGCCTGCTTCTAAGGATCTGCTCTCTGCAGACTTAGCTGTCGTCCATGACCTTCGCCAGAGAGCTCGAGGACGTGTTCTTTCCAGCTATTATCAGCTTGAACAGAGCATGCAACGTGGTGAAAAAGTCGCTATTGCTGTCTCCTCTTCCTTCGACCACCTTAACGGATTGAGCCAAGTTTCTGCGTTGCCACAAGACTTATTTTCACAGCTTATCTCTGCCCGCAAACTTCTCTTGACAATCGACATGGTTTCCGGGGGAGAAGGCACCATTGCTCGCCTCGAGGCACTTTTGCAGCTACCAACTCCCGACAGAGCCTTGAAGCTTGCTGCAGACTCCATTCAGACTGCACGAACGGCAACGGAGCTCAAGATAGATTCTGACAGAATGTTGGCCATTCTTGAGCGGTGGGAACTAAATCAGTCAGGATGCATTGTGCCACTTACACTTTCGCTGGATGACTGGTGTGCCCGACTGTGTGCTGACATACCCCCCGTAGCGCCTAGTCCGCTTTTAGCTGAAACAACTAAGCTACTCTCTCTACACATACAAGCCCTTGCACAACAAGTTGACAAAGCATTCTATGCATTTCATACTGCTTACACCAACATACAGTCTCTTTCTATAATTAGGTGCGTTGATAGTAACGTGCTTCTTCTGGATATCTATGATCATTCTATTCAGTACATTCTCAATAAAACTGCATCTACTCTTACGTCGTCTATTAACGCAATCTTAGATGGTATTAATAGTATTACAACAGAGCGGGAATCGAGCGCCGATTACCTTCAGCTGATCGCCAATCTCGTTACACGCTTCATCAATATAATAGAACATCATGATTCCCACGCACAGCAACTGACAGGGATGTCTGCAGGGTCTGCTATAACCAAGTACATAACCCTGCATAACCAGATATGTTCGTTATACAAAACCGTAGAAATAGACCTTACGTCCTCCACTTTAGCCACTCTGCTACTCGACAGAGAATTCGAACAGTTTGAGAATTCCGTCGAGTATGCCTTTCAACGAATTCAGCGCCTCGAGCGTGTCCACAAAGAGGCTATCCACTCCTTGGAGAGTAGCATTGTTCAACAGACACTGTCGAGGCTTGCAGCACAGGGTTCGTCAGATCCTGAGCTTCTAACATTATACCTACTCACGACCTTTGTGTCCCAGTATGGACACAATCACCAACTGGAAGAGCAAGCTACAAGAACCTATCAAGCAGCCCTGAGTACCTTCGCTAGTAACTTTATTAGTGCAGTCCACTCGGAACTATTGGTCATTGCTCAAACCCAAGATCCAACTCTTTTCATTGAATCACTCTGTACTATGCTTGAGCAGCAAGATTACAGTCTTAGCTACACATCAGAACTGGCGTCTGCCGTTATTAAGCAGAGCACAGTGATGCTAGCTAACATCTTAATACAAAGCCCCATCTCACTGAACCAACTCCAGTGTTTAAAACAAGCCTTCAAGGAGATTGCAGTCGCTTTACGTCGTGTCCTTAAGCTTCCAGCCACACAGATTTGTGCACCTCTTCTTTCTCTTCAGAATATCCTGGGAGCCACAAATCCTGAAGAAGCAGCCATGGTGGCCAAAGGTACATGCCTTGAGACCATCTCTTCTAAACTAGTGCAAGCTGGCCTCTCTGCTACTCCCAGTAAGTAGCTTTACAGGTACATGAATCTGTTGCTATGCAAAGACCACCAGTAAACGCTTACAGAGTTAGAGCACAAACTCAGGCATGCATGACTTGGCTTTGCGGCCTGCTAAAGAGTATCCCCGTGTTCCTCGTTACTTGTCTGGGTCTCTCGTGACACTCCTTGTTGGTGTGTCTGCGATTCTGGGGTCTATCATGCTCGGGGCGATAATGTACCTGGTCATAGATGCTAACTTTTGCGGGACAAATGCTAACACCCACTCAGTGTCATTGAGTGCCTCGACAACGCTTGGTACTAATGGGCTCACCTCATTACTCTACCAGACGGAGATCCCAACTTATGACGGCGGCTATGATAGCATCCACTTTTCTGTGCCTGACACAAACGAATTTAACCCAAAGGACACCTTTTCCTTTGCCATGCTCTTGAATTACACTGCCTATCCTAATGCAAATAAGCGGTCATCACTTGTAGCTCTCAACGTCACTGGAAATAGGGCAGATACTACAGGCAACAAGGCGAACAGCATAGGCAATACAGTCTCGCTGCACATCTCCAACCCAACCAGAAAGAGGATCTATGTTACAGAGCCGTGGTTTGATTATGGATACTGGAAAGACAGAACTCAGTATCACTTGATTACTGAAAGCGATATACCACTGTGGTTAGTTGACATGAAAGAAGCGGGACGTGGGCGACAAGGTAGACGAATTTGTACTGCGGACTACGAAGCCGAAATAGCTGTGCTCAGCGAGTTGTTCCGGATAGATCCTCTTATTATACGTGAGTTTGCTGGAGAAAGCATCAGCCTTTCAAATATAATAGCTAGTGGAGAAATCGTACTTGATTTGGCATCACGTGTCCAAAGCAGACATCTCACCATTCAACTGTTGGAGGCAGACATCACAAAGATATATCTAAGCAAGCCACCAAAGGTCGTAAGAGTGACGATACAGGATAGAGCATCGTTCCTTTCAATGGTCATTCCGTTCACAGGAGCACCCTCCCGATCGGTATATAGAACGATCTATAGCTCTTCCGAACTCGTGGCTTATATCCGCCCATCTATTAAATTAGGATTGCAATCTGCTGTAGAAATAGAACTTCTTGTTGATACCTCATTTGTGGACCAACTGTCTTGTCACAAAGAGCTTGATGGGAGCTTGACCTTCATCGTCGCAGAGCCTACTCTCTCAAGAATTATGCTCCTTGTTGCACCGATTGGACAGGGGGCTTGCTCATGTGAGGGCAATACTAGTGGCCAGTGCATGGCAAATCAAGTAACACGGCTCAAGTAACTATACCATTGTGGTTGTTAAAGTAGTACCAGATAGACTTGACTCAAATGGTGCCGATATTCCACCTCCTATCACTTAATTTGTTTGCTATTTACTGAGCATAGACACGCACTTGTTCATAGAAGATAGCACGATGATACAGTTCACTTGATAGTCTAAGTATCCTTGCAGCTTAAAATAATTCGAGAGATGTTCGAGTACTTTAAACTTTTTTAAAAAAGCAATCTACATTCCTTTACATCAGATTGACATCTACCTTAGTATCAGCACTGACCAAAACCGCTGTCTTTTGCGCACCCAGAGTGCCACAACGTAAACCCATTCTACAAAGGCCCAATTTACACGTTTTACATGCTGAAAATCTATCAGCACAAAAACCACATCACGAGGACAGGCAGATACCCAGCTGAACAGCGCCCCGGATGACCAGGTAAACGAACAAACCGCTGTACATGAGCATTTTCACTAGGGAGTACTTTTCATCGAACTTCAACCTGTTCTGCAGGTTGTTGGGTGTAAAGAAGAGGCGATTCTCCTTGTACAGCACTATTGTCGTCCCTATGAAAGGTAAACAGAGTATCGGTAATATCACCTGCCTGTAAAAGATAGAAACCACGAAGAATACAACGGGAGCTGCTATGTCGAACTTTACCAGGAGGTTCACCCGTCTGTTGTGCTGGAAAATGTCTCTAGACTTGTATTTCATGTCATAATGGAGGGAGTTGATTATAGTGGTCACAATGATCATCCCTGTCGTAAGGAGTATCATAATCACGTAAAAGACAAACCTACTCCAGCAGCTCATACGCCTCACCCACGAATTAAGTTTTTTAATTTTTGTCCGCCATCCGTAGACGGGATCCGGCCCAAAGGATTTCGTGATCAGGTGATTACAACAAGTGATTACAACCAAATACCTACGTATTTGTTCTGTACTTGTGACCGCAACTGCAGCATTCAAAGAAAATCGTCTGGCCCTCGTCAGCAGAGCGCATCTGCATGGATGCGTAGTAGGCCTGGCCGTGGTGGCACTTGGGACACGTCTCGTCGATGACAGGCCTATTCTCCGTCATGCGTTCTTGGGCCACATAGTGTGTCTGAAGATGAACCTCAGATGTTACCACGTCCCCTTGCCGCGCTCTCTCATATTTCTTTTGACAAAGCGCACAATAGTCATAGGGGCCCATTGTCTCTAGTATAGTGGCACATTCCTGACAAAACGATGGCATATCGTGGGCTCAGCAAGGCGTACTACTGTGACGTACTTTTCTTCAAGCTTCTGTGCTTTAAATTACAATTTTTAATCACAGCCCTAAGAGATTGCACAGTGCATATTATATAGTGAGAGCTGCGCCGGTGGGATGCACACATGATTGTAGATGTTCCTAAACACTCTCTATTAGACATAATACACCTCATTTATCCCACTCTACAGGAGAACGGCGAGACACTTTCGGATGCTACTTTAGCAGAGCTCACAGAATCCGCCGACCGTCTAGCTCTTCTTCTCCTGGATGACATTACCGTGAAATCAGATGACAAGAAGGCGCTTAGAGAGCACAGATCATCGGTCGGTGGCAACTACTTTAGTACCTCTCCCTACATCCGCCATCTGTTCTTCTCTCTTGCTACTAAAAGCACGTTATATGATAAGAGCACCAAAGCCCACACTGAACTCGGCGCGCTCCTCTATCTCTATGCTCTACTCACTTTTGCCTCCGGCAGAACAAAAGATAATCACGAACGGAAACGTTCCTTTGTTCGGGGGCTAGTACCCTGTGTGCTGAGCTCTCAAATTTCAGGGAGCAACGTCTTTCTAGCATCATTTTGTGAGTTGGCACTCACAGTCAATAGCCACATCGAGCCTTATACCCTTCTTAGAGCACGAGCCTCCATCTCTGCAGTACAGACATCCATGCTTCTTCTGCAAAGCCTGCAAACTAGCGGTATGTTCGCCGCATACATTGCTACGATACCTCCATCCGTGTCCCTCTGCATAGAGCTTCTGTTCTCGTGCTGGAAAAGCATAACAAGTATTCAGGAACGTCGTTCAATGCAGTTAGACCAGTTTGCAACAGCAGAGCTACTTGAGTACACGCTGTCATTCTTGCCCGCACCATCGCCACAAGCTCTCAAACTCTTCTTAGACACATATATAGGTTGGTCCATGCTCAATAGCAGGAGCTCTGTTGATGAGACCCTACTCGTCCACTACCTTTCGTTCTATTCTGAAGCAGCCAAACGCAGCTTCCAGGAGATAGATGACAGCCCTTCGCTATCATGCTTGCTTCAGTTTCTTATACCGACTATCTTAACGGGACACCACTCACTCTCACACGATATTCTTATTATTACGCTGAGAAACTTCACTTCAGCTCTCTCACAGATCACTACTCTTGCCATCTCTTCTCCGATTAACGCTCAGAGGTGTGCTGATTCTGCCAAAGCTGTTATTTGTCGTAGCAACAACATTGCACCAATCTTTGTCAACTCGCTTTTGCTTATAGAGGACGTTGAAAACGCACTTCCACAACTAGTTTATGGAGTAACCCTGCTCCTTCTTTATGCCCTATTGGATTGGGATGACTTGTCTAGGCCAGAGCTTCTGTGTTTAGAGGCCTATAACCTGAGTATGCATACGCATTTACGGATCCGTCCCTTAGGTACTCGTTTCCTGTCAGAGCTGTATCCGCAGATTATACGTTTTTACATCTGGATGTGGCATGTGCGGATTGTTGCAGACGATGTTTACCAACTAATAGATGTTGATCTCCCACAAAACATCGGCTCCAATGTCGTATGCGTGGACGAGCTCAATGCAAGAGAAATTTACACACAATGGTTTGAAAGACTTCCCGTCCTGGATGATCTTCTAACACTGAAGCATTCTGAATGCTCTAGGGACATGGAGCGTGAGGAGCTCGACCTCATAGGAGGGGCACAACTAGGACTTTTGATGCTTCGACGGTCAATCGAGGCGGCTTTGCGGTCAATTACGCCAGCATTTAAATACTACGTGCGTCGGCAGAATCTTCTCACTAAACGAAACGTTGCTTTATTGGGTTGCTTAACTAAAATATCCAATTAAATGTTTCTGTATCCACAAATGTAGAAAGGACAAATCCCGTCAGATTGATAGCTCCTATCAACACTGTTGCACATATGGCAAGTGCTAGACGTGTTCTGGTCATCTTCTTCTTCAACGCATATCTTCTTTCTTCCTCTTTATTGATGCTCTGAATTGTCTCGTGACCACCGGCAACCAGCAGCTCATCATGAACTGTACGTGGGTTGGTATCACCTTGGTCTTTGGTCTCCTGATTACGTATGGCAGCAGCAGCATTTGCATAGGGACCTCTGGGGAGTGTGTTCGGAGGTATCGTATCCTGCAGCAAACAATAGTCCTGTGCTGGGTTGGACTCACTCACACTGTTCCGCCGCTTTCGCATGGTCATGATTGTTCTGAGTGCTTTCGCGGGAGGTCTGCTGCCGTCCTTTGTGCAAGTTCGATCTTCAGTATCAGACAGGAGGTGTTGTTGCTCCTCCTGCATCTTCCTTATCTTGTAGATTGCAATAGCGTGGGATGCTGAGGACTCCATCTCTCCGGTTCTTGTTCCATCATCGATATATTCACATGAAATAACTTCTTGTACCATTTGATGGGCGCTTTCTATTTCCTCTGACCCTGCCTCGGATGCAGGAAGAGAGCAGGCGCGGTTATGCCATATTTCGTGGTGCTTTATTATGTGTCGATCTTGTCGAGTCAAGAGTCTCTCTTGCATGGGGTGTGCGGCCCTGAAAACCTTGGTAAACGCTCTCGCTTGCTTAATTGAGAAGCCGAAAAACGCCAGAAACCCTACACCAACCTGATCAACGGACGTCTCTTCAACTTGAGAGTGTCCATGGTGCCTGTGCGGTTCTCTGGAATAGCGTACACCACTTTCAACGGCAACATCATCCTCCTCCAAAAGTTGCTGGTTCTCATGGTCGTCAACCAACACGCGATTTTGGTGTCTTCTCTTTTTACTTCCCTTAGTGGGCTCGCCCAAAAGCGTGTTCACGCTGGTAGCTTCTAAATATGGCCTTTTATACACCAGGAGAAGGGGTACAAGCCAATAGGTGACTATACCGAATAACGCACTGATTGCATTGAATACTGTGTCTATGTTTGGCACAAAAATAGAGAGTAGAGTTGCCATTGTAACTATCAGCAATCCCAATATGTAAAAAATTATCTTTCCTTTTCTTGTGTCTATAGTCAATCTGAACCAACCTAAAATAACATAACGGATTGGAAACATTTTTAAAACAAATATAATAAATAGGACACATGCATAGAGAAGCTTAATGACTGTCATATAAATCTCTACCGACGGAAACGACAAAAGAACATTAGACTGCAACTTGTCCCCAAAAGAAAACGCTGCAGCAACAGCCATGATCACTTGAAGGATAAGCACCATAAGAGCAGATATGAATAGAGACTTCCTAAAGATTCTTCGTCTCTTGACTGGACTCCCCTTCAGCTCTGCCAACAGGGGAGCAATACTAATCTGGCAGCCAAAGAGAGCTAGGAAGATGCTCACTCTCCTCACTATTTCGAGGAAGGCCTGCCAAGGTATTGTGTGTGCTGGAAAGGCAATCAGTAAGGGATTGGGAAACTTCATCTTGCATCCCTCCGTGGGGCACTCTATTATGGTGCCCAGAGGCGAGATCAGAGATGATATCGTTGCTTTGGATGAGGTGGTCATGTGGCCATGAGGATCTTTTAGCTCCACAATTGCCCCTTCAACCGTGCCCGCATAGGTCACCGTGCCGCGGATCATAAAGACAATAAAGTACACTGCTGTGCTAGCAACAGTGATCATAATGAATAGAGTTGAAAATATCCCGATGCGCGAGAGCTTCGACGCGTCTCTAAGAAACATAAAGGGTACGAGGAGTATGGCAACGATGACCTTGACATAGCGGGCGTCTAGCTGAAACTTTCCATAGCTAAACCCGACGATCGAGGAATGGAAATAATCACCGCATATACTCGTATACACTACCAACACACCAATCATGTGAATGATCATAACGACATCTGTGGTTATCGCCGTATGCTTGTTAGTCACTATTTGCACTATTGCTTTTAGAGAGCGCTCTTGCGTGAAGTAGGCTGCGTCAATTATGGCGTTAAACCCCAGTACGGAATATAGGAAGGCACCTGCTAGCAAAACTGCAGAGATAACCCACCCCAACCTATAAACCGTGTATGGGAACGTGAGGATAGACACTCCTATCATTGTGTTAGATAGGGTCACTGTGGCATCATAAAGTCCCTTTGCGTCAGAAGCAACTTTCTCCGCCTGCTTGGGGCCCTCGGGTCCACTTGGTACCGCCGCATTTTCGTGGGTAGTACATACTAACTTTGATTGATCTTGCTCAGTATCCATTGTGCGCCAACGCCGCAGGGAATTGATAGGTGGAAAGTGGAACTAAGAAACTATTTACCTTTTTATTAAAGATTCAAGTGAGTTGAGACTTAGTAACTTAAGTGAAGGTCAATGTCTTACTTCTGTCTGTCCTTAAGAAGTGAAATAAATGACCTCAAGAAGGCAACAAGTGAAAAGTCATCATCACTGCAGAGAGAGAGGGCAGTGTAAGGGAGCTTTCGTAGTTGCCTTCCAGATAACCCGAAGCTACTCGTAATAATAGTCTTGAACAGAGTCTGTAGGGTTATGTGTTCTAAGCACTGGTGACACCGTTGACAAGGTTTACCGTCCGTGCCGAGAGAGCAGGCATTGCTGGTAACGGTAAAAGGATGTGCAGCAGCATCGACATGAAGTAGGCTAGTAAGGACTTGCTTGTCCAGAAGCTCGCTAATGACGCCTTCCAAGATCAACTGACGAGCAGTGTCGCCAGGAAGCGTCAAATTGATAACAGCGTCACAGCGATCTACAAAAGCTGGATCGAGTGTGTCGATCAAGTTAGTTGTGCAGAGGACATAAACATTACTGAATCGTTTCAACTGGTCAAGCTGCGTGAGCATGGCATTCGCTGCTCGAACCATGTCTGATGGCTCTCCAGCAGATATGGCTCGCTCCCGATTCCCAGCAAGAGATTCTATTTCATCAATTAACAGATATATTTCCTTGTTGTCATTGGCTTCCTCCGCTATGCTGGTAAATAGCCTCGTGATAATCTTGCCAGACTCAGAGAACCACTTGCTGAAGAGGGCGTGTGCATTGACTGTAATAAGTAGCGAAGTATTGGTAATGATAGCACCGGGAGGCGCCAGGTCCACAGAAAGCTCCTGTGCGAGAGCAGTTGCGATAGACGTCTTGCCACATCCCGGGACAGAATGCAAGAGAAGCATTTTGTGCATAGAGACAATGTTCGGATCCACCTTATGGGACGACAGCCGCTTGGAGGCCCTGACTAATTGCCTGAGCTGCGTCTTTACGGTGTCTGGGAGTATGATATTATCCCACGTTGTCTGCAGAAGAACATGCGGCAAATGAAGGGTTGAATAGAGGACAGTGTTAGAGTGTACTACCTCCTCGGGCTCCTCCGTGGAGGGAAGATATACCTTGATATCTTCGGAAGAGATGCCCTTGAACTCCATCTTACCGGCAGAGTTTGCACTACCAAAATCCTCTACTGGCCCGTGTGCTTCAGCACGATTTCTAATCGTCAGGTACCCAAGCGGGCTGTGACACGAAAATCCTGTGCCAAAGCAGCTAATCCTCTTCTGAATTTCAGGAGTCTCCTGCACCATCTGGGCCACCATTGTTTGGAAGGCCAGTATGTTCTCGGGGCTGGCCTCGAAGTCGGCAGAGACGCTTATCTTGATGTCCATTAAAAATCTGGAATCTGCATGAACGTTGTTAGAGCGGATGCGTTCTATCCGGTGGGAAGCACCCTTTGCAGGTCAGCACTTGCTATACAGTGCCAGCGGCTGCAAATGAAGGCCAAACAGGCCGGCACCACGGCCTCCACACCAAACTGTCACAGATTTGAGGAGGCGCAGAATAATCCTCCATCTCTTTCTGCTGGCCCTGCTGCATATGAGGGCTCTCTCTTTGATAATATAGATGATGATCTCCCCCTTGAGCAACAATTTGCCAAGCTACTGAGTATTTCCATGCATAGCGTACATGTTACAAATACATACAAGGCGCTTCTCGGAGCGCCAACCCCAACCAAGAAGTTCGAGATACAGTGTGACGAGTTCTTGCGGCGTCTGGGGATCGCCCCTGAAGCAGAGACAATTGAAAGGTCCGTCCGTCAAGTGGACCAGATAGAGCCATTTACTGAAGAATCCATTGAGAGACCAAGTGATATGCGGTCAGTCTTCCCAGAGACCTACGGATGCGGGGAACAGTGCCTTGAATATCGTGGGCTCCATGCACTTGAGCCCCTGTTCGAGTCTTTCTGACAGGGTGCAGTCTATGCAAACCCTTCCATCCTCAGAACGCAGTATGAAGCCCCCAATGGCAGTGTCTGGAAGAACCTGCTTGTCGAGAACAATCTTGCAGGGTATTTGGTCAGAGATTGCAATGAGCGCTCCAGAGTCACGCGGCAGCAGCTGTATCGATGCGTGAGTCAGATTGCAACATTCCACTGCTTCACTCAGGATGGTTCGCATGGTCCTCGTGTATTCGGCTGTGTTCTTAGTAAACTCCTCAAGCTTTTTTACACACGTGGCCCTGAGGTCCTTGTACTTTTTGTACTGTGCGTCTTGGACACTCAGGCGAGCCTTGCTAATTAAGCGGGAGATTTCCACTTGCCTCTTGTGCTCCTCTGCGAGACGCATCTCCTGGACTTTTGCCACAACCTTAGACGTATCCGTGTTGAGTATTTGGTCATACGACACAGTGGCAGTCTGCTCCGCCACCTTACGGAGTTGGGCGATTGTTCTATCCGTCTCAGCATCGATAAAGTGGACCATATTGCTAATCTTCTGGTTCATTTTAATTTTTGTCCCCTTCGCCTGTTACCCAGCACAGCCTTGCTGAGCGTTTCCCGTGCAAAGATAAATTGGAAAAGCTGATCAGGCAACTGAACCAGCACATACTGCTCCAGTTTACAGAGTTATAGAGGGTTATAGAAAGGCGCTAATGGGCACGGCATATACATCCTTAGACTCTTGTACACTAAGAAGGATACGGCCATTGATAAAGCATACACTGGTCGGGGTGCCAGGAAGCGGAATACACGCGCTAGGGACGCCGTAACAGCTGACAACAAAGAGAAACCCATTCTGAGGCATCGCGTCTGCCTCTGCCTCGCTCACCCGCGTTGCGATGGATTCCGTAACGACGAGCACAGAGTTATCGGGCCCAACACACATATCTATTAACCGAAACGCGCCAAAGAAGCCAGAGGCATAGATGGTTGGATGGAACCCAGGACGTAGTGCCTTAAGACAGTTCTCTCCGTTTATTGCTAAGATGATACAGTCGTGCACCACTGCAAGAGCTACTATTCCCAATTGATCTACATGTCTTTGTACAATCCCCTCTGTACTGAAGGAGAAGAGGCCTGTCTGATCGGCAATGTACACAGTCCCGCCTAGATAGCAGAGAGATACAGGACTGAGGATGCCACTCTCGTTCCCGAGTATGCCAGAGACCTGACCGTTGCGCAGGGAGAGAACGTTATTCCATGCTATATCGGTGATTAAAATGTTGGACTCTGCACCTGTAGCTATTATGTCAGTGGGCTGTCCTCCTGTTGCCACATACGGCTGATAGGCACCGGACTCCAAATTGTGGGCATTTATATGACCATTGAGACCAATGACCAAAACAGAATTGGCATCTGTCAAATGTGGCCTAATCCTGAACACTTGCGTTGATGCTTCGAATATTGGAGCCCATGTGATTGAGGGATGAGTCACTGGGTCTTGTGTGAATGGATTGACCAGAAGCATAAAGAGTTGCTCGGCGTAAAAATTTAGCTGTTTTTGTGTTTTGCGTTTTGAGTAAAAGGACGTTGCAAGCCCTCTACCTGGGTGATGTTTAACCCTTTTTTGCGCATGGATCGGCGGCAATTAGCAGCCAAGCTATACAATGATCCATCCTTAGTCTTTTCTGGTGACTCCAAACGAGCAGCAAAACGCAGGCAGGAGATGTCTGTGGCAATCGCACGTAATGGTGCTAAGAAATTTTCCAGTTCACCCACAAATCTCAATCGTGAGGCCCTTTATGTTTTAGACAACTACCCCATTTTGCGTAACCAATTCAAAGGCACTAACCCTTGTCCCCTCTCGGCAGACACAAACTACTTTGCACCATCTTATCTCCCAAAGAACTTCAAGGCCCCTCAATCTCCACAATTTCACCTTACCCTTCCAAGATCTGACAGACCGCATTCAGCAGCAATCTGTAGCACTGATGATTATTCTTTAGTTGAGGGGCCGCAGAATCGGTTTGTGTCATGGAAGAGGTTATCTGCAAAGCCCCGGACATCAGTGCAGAGTGCCGCGATACCGCAGACAACATCATCAGCATTAACAAACCACGAGTTTCAAGCAGTGTGCTCCAATACTTCGAATACGGCTCTGGATACTACGTCTATTGTGGCATCACAGGGTGGCCATGAGGTAGATCCACGTTGGCCAGGTAAAAGCTCTAAATCTTTTACAGACTCTCAAACAGTCCAAAGCCTCCATCCAGAACCGAGCAAAGCCGCGGAAATAGAAATTCAGATTGCAGAAAGGTTTAACACACTGCGGCACGAGATTACCTCTTACATAAAGGGTACGGAAAGTGTGTATCCCCGCTCACCACTAGAAGTCAATACTCTAAATGAAATGCTTGCAGAGTTAGAGTCTAAGCAGCAAATTTATAATGAGTTTGTCAAGAGCAAGTACAGGGATAACCCCGTTGTTCTCTGTCAGTGTCTTTCTAGTGGTATTGACAGCCTTCCTCAGAGCTCCAAGCCGTCAACCCCTTCCGTACGGATTACATCTGGTAGTGGAGATTATTCTGTAGAGAGAAACATTATGCTAACACACCTGAACCATAATGACACGAATGCTAGCCCTGGCTCCGCCCTTTCTCTCATCGTGAGGACACAAAGAGCAATCCAGTCTAAGCTTAGTGCCATGAAAACATCGCATACCCAGCCAGATATGTCGTCTTCTCTGCACGATTCCCTAGGTATTAAGACTATTCATCCTTGGGTTCGGGGGCACTCTTCCTCTCGTATTTCAACAACCCTGCACTTGGGAGATTGTCACATAGAAGAATCTGAGATAGGCATCGCTCCCCTCAATACAGACAGGCAAATGTCAAACTCTCAAGTTGATGACTGTGCCGATACCCAGGCCTTCCGTGAATTCACTCTCAGCACGTCCACTAGCATGGCCTTGCATTCAGCTAATGAACACGAGCATATGTCTAAGGAGAGCTGCGACTATGACAGCCCGGCAGTCGCCCTTATCGTTATGAAGGAGCTAGAGAATCTATCGAATAAAAGCCTGGTTGACCATCAATTAGATGATACTGTAATAGCACACAACACAACTTGTAGACCTGTCAACCACAACTTACTACATCAGCCGGGTCATGAAGAGGAAGCTATGTTTCTGAATTATTACTCGCACCTAGACAGGCTTCGAGGAGCTGGTTCTCCCAAAGGGACTGCTGTACCAACAAATTCACACATGCAACAAGATACCAGAGACCTATCTTCTCCAGATATAGCTGGAATTCATACAAGTAGATCTGTTCAGTATGTCCCCATTAGCACTTTGAAGACACCTGGCCATGGAGTCAAGCCGCAGATTGTTAACTTGGAAAGTACAGTTGGTTACTTGGAGAGAAATAAAGCCAAGCATAGCACAGCCATTGGCATCATGCAGCCAAGACGATATCGGACCTATCGTCCTGTTCAAGACTATACTGAAAAGCAAACAGGTCCTCCAACGGATCTTCTTCGAGCCCCTATCTCATCTCCGCGTAGAGTTACCCTAGAGCTAAATCTGAATTCACCGGAGTCCCCATTGAAGTTCGGCTTTCTCTCTACACTAAAGGCGAAGACAGCAGAGGCAACTCGACGAACAAGCGAAGCCGTTGTGAACACGATTCGGCACATAAATACAGGTACAGGAGAGCTTACAGAAATTAGCAACACAGAACAACACACTGAAGACAGTAACAGTCCCTTAAGGCTCGCTCAGGTGCTCCATGACACTGGTCCAACAAGCTCCATCAACAAGGCTCTTCTAAATGAAATACAACGCTACATCACAAGCGATATCTCAGCTATGTATGCGAAGTTTATAGGAACACTCCAGGAAGAGCTGGCCAAGAAGTTGGGGTCGGTTGAAAGAGACCTCCAAAATCGGGTTAAGACAGCTACCAATCAACGTAGAGCAGAATACGAGAATGTGCGGCTCACTATAACCGAAAATAAGAACGAAATAATGGAACGGATATCGTACTTACAAGCGTCTATAAAGGCAACTCTCGCTGCTCACAAATCCGGGGCAAAGAATGTAGAGAAGAAGGTCCAACTATCCTTAGCACGAGCAGGAATCCATGAGCGTATTCCACAGATTGGCCAGACAATTATCGAGAAGCTCAAGGACATCTATTGCGTGTTATCAAGATGCCTCGGAAATTGGGTGGCCATGGGATACGAGCAGTGTACCGCAGTTACGTGTCAGGGAGCCGCAGGAAATGGTATCAGATACATACTTTTTCCTTGTGGTGACAGCGTATGCGATAGTTGTCACTCAGTCAATCCAACTACTTGCCCTATCTGCTTGAAAAGGTATGAGCTTTCTGTAAAAGCAGATGATTCACACTGCTTCAACGGACCGTCATCCATGCTTCCGACTCATATGATTGCTAATAGTTGCTCACACCTCAGAGACCTCCTGTTGTGTATAATGAAATTAGAAGACGTGGAAGTTCTCGGGTACGATGATGCTGAGAAGAAGTTTCTAGCAAAGGATAGTACGGCATCCTGGCAGGCATACTCTCGTAGGCTTGACGTGAAGGGATTGAACAAGCGTCGTGCTTGAGCAGAGTCTGAGGATAAACGTACCCTACCTCACAATTCATGTAAGGACTGCTCCTGTGAGACATTGTTGGTCAAGCTATTTCAATGGTAGTTGTGCAATTAAAAACTCTATATTGACGCATGCCAGAAGATGAGTTCACTAGCAGTCTGACCCTTGGTGATGTAACCTCTGGATCCGTAACTCCGGCTACTGCCACGATCAGTATCGATGATGGCCTTGTCGTTCTCGATGAATATGTCCCAATGACCATTTCTTATAGTTCTAATCGTAAGACGATGTCCTCTCTCAGAGAGATGTATAAGGTTGGAACGGGGCCATCGTCATCCCACACAATGGGCCCTCGCAAGGCTGCGCAGCACTTTGTATTAACGCATGGGATCAACGAACTTTTGCTGGGTGGTGGGCGTGTCTTCTTCAAAGTCACACTCTATAGCCTTTTGGCTAAGGCAGGCGTGGGCTATCTTACCGACAAGGCAATGCTCACGGTCTTAGATCCCGAGAGCACAGAGTTTGTTTGGTTACCAAATAAGAAGCTACCCTTTCACCCCAAGGCGCTGACAATCCAAGCGTACAAAAGCGCTGAAGACCGCGAGAAAGGAATTGTGATGTATGAAGAGACATACTATAGTGTTGGAGGAGGCTCTCTTCGTCTTGGGGACGGTTCCGCCCCAATCTGGCCTGCAAATAGTGATGGGTGCAACGCCACGCCAGGGGTTGCCAACATCACACCACCTACTGCCCCACTTTATTCGTCATTCACACGCTTCAGTAAAATACGTAAATACTGTCTAAGCAATAAGCGTAGTCTCTTGGACTTTGTGTGGGACCAGGAGGGTCATGAGCTTCGTGAGTATCTAAGGAACATCTGGACTGTAATGAAGAACGCTGTTGAAGTTGGGCTACCAAAAACGGAACCCGTCGAGGGTTCCGGAGATTTACGATATCCGCGGAAGGCATATTATTATAAAAAACAAGCCGACCAGATTTCTTCAGAGTCCATCAAGAAGAATCCGCACTTGGCGTCTATTAAAAAAGAGAAGTACATTCTTTCATATGCAATGGCTGTATCTCAGGAGAATGCATCGGCCATGACAGAGATTGTCACTGCTCCTACAGCATGCTCATCTGGAATTATTCCGGGTGTGTTCTATTACTACTGGAAGCACTACGACCTTCCTGAGGAGGAGCTTGTCAATGCGCTAGCCGTAGCGGGGATCATCGGCAATATTGCAAAGTGCTACGGGTCTGTCTCTGGGGCAGAGGCAGGCTGCCAGGCAGAGACTGGAGTGGCCACCGCAATGGCGGCTGCGGGCTGCACGTACCTCCTCAACTGTATGAACAAAAGAGATGATGCGGCAAGCGCTATAGACCCCGTCATCTTAGTGAAGTCAATCGAATACGCAGCTGTGATGGCCCTAAAGCACAACCTGGGTCTCACATGTGATCCTGTACGTGATCTTGTCGTTATACCATGCATAGAGCGTAACGGGAATGCATCTCTTTTTGCAGACGGGTGTGCTGAAGCGGCAATCCTCGGGTTCAATGATGAGCTTATTAGCTGGGACGAAGTTGTCCACACGATGGTTGTCACCGGAAAGTCTCTGAACGAAAAGTACAAGGAGACATCTCAGGGAGGCCTCGCGGTCAACTATGTGCTCGATGAGGTAGAGAGAGGAGCCACCATAGAACGCGCTTGATTCCCAAAGTAAATTCTTTCACGTCTACATGGCTCTTAGAATACCTCTACCTGGTATGCATGATGGTACTGTTGGAAAGGGGGCCATACGGTATCCAGACCTGTGCCTCTGCTACGATAATTATGCCTATAGGTCTGGTCCTCCCCTGCCTCAGCTTGATGACTATTATGAAGACATATCTCCACAAAAGCGCGAGGAGCAAAAGCGAATAGCTAATCTAACAAAGCAGGTGAACCATCCTTCTGTTAATAAGGTCAAGTTTTTCAAAACAGAGTACGTCGATAGACGTTTACGGAACAAGGAAATATACTCATCGTTTAGTAGCTTAAATGATTCTATATTTGCACGCCAAGAGGACGGGCAAGAAGAGACAGGGAAGGCTTCTGCGGCCCTAAATTATTCTGAGTCCTCCGAGCGTCAATCCCTCAACTTACAAAACAGAAATATTCACATTCCATATAGACCAATTTACAAGCCAACGGTCGAGCGGGTTTTTCAGCAGTGTAGTGCACACGTGGCTGCCGACGTACGAACAGGGAAGTGTCTCAAAGCAGCACCCGTAAATGGGTGTCCCCATGCTCTTTCCTTAGTTACCATTCCTCAAGTTCCCCTAGTGTCGCGCGCGGATATCAGGCCCGTGGTAGTAGAAAGAAAGTAGGATTTCCTCTTTTGATTTTAGTCTCCTGATTTTTCGTCAGCCTGGTTGCTCCATGCTTTTTGAAAGCACATAGTAAATTGCTGAAAAAAGATCCTAATTTTATCCACTACTCGACCTCTTCAGAGGGTATGTTACACACCTCTGTAAAAGAGCGGCAAGGCTGGGAACACTGGGTTGTAGGTCGGTTTACAAGTTCCAATGAAGAGCACATAATAGCATCCTCTGGCTCCGTGCTCTATCTCTATTCTGTCATAGAGTCTCCACTAACAGGGACGCGAAGACTTATTTGCTTAGCCAGTCAGGAGCTTTATTCAACGATTCTGGGTCTTGATGTTTTAGACCTATCCAAAGAGAGCGGCTCTAGAGCACTCCTACTAGCTATAGACGACGGAGGGCGCTTGTCTGTTCATGCCGTCCAATGCACGGCCGACAACAGAGCGTCTGTATCATTCTTTCACTGCATCCTCACGCACAGGGTGTCCCGTTCCGGCATCAGAAGCACATCCCCCTGGCGTGTGGCTAGCCGGCTTGGCTATATTGCCGTGCTTCTCCTTGATGCCACGTTGCTCATTTTCAAGCTAGAGACAAAGGAAAGGCTCCATGGAGCTGACTCTATGCTCTTGGAAACACTGGGGCCTGATGAAATGTTCTTGCTCCCTCCCACTGTAATTAGCTTGAGTGATGCCCTCCTTACTCCAGGTAGCACCGACAAGATTGAAGGGCCTAGGCCACCAAGGCGCTGGGGAGTGCCACAGCTGCTAAGCCTAGATCTTTGCATCGCACTACTATCCGAACCGTGCTGCATCATACTAGGAAAAGACACAAGTACAGGGCTGCATCTTCTCTTCCGCGTCGCTATGGTGGACACGTGCTCTAAAGTGCACCATCTTATTGTGCACCCATCCATTCTAGCAATTAGGACCATCTCGTCTGGACTTATTGGCTTTGGCGGGAAACTGATTCTCTGCTTGTCATCTGACTTTCTTAACACAATGTGGTTGGATATTTATCCATTCTTGCATGCGCATCGGGACGGTACTGGCGCGTTCGACTACGCTGAGGAAGGAGAACTTCTTATAAGTATAGCTTCTCTTTCGTCTTATGAGCTTCCTGACCCACTTCGTTTGGTGGGATGTGCTCTATTTGGGACATATCTGGCAATAGCTTCAGAAGCACCCGTCTCTCCATCGACGGGGCACATTATATTTGCACAGGAGGTGCACCTTGATCAAAGTAGCAGCTGCTCCCACGTTTGGCTTTGTAGCGAAACCGGTGAGCTGACAAGTGTACTTATACCAACCGATCAATCTAGCTTTACATTGAATAACATTTTATTCCTCAGTTCTGCAGTTAGTAGCAATCTCTCCCATATATCAGAAGCCAATACACAAGTTGAGCGGTTTACACTTCATTCCACGGGCTCTCTTTCAATACAGATTACCCGAGTTGGAACTTTGTCCATTCCCTGTCAAGGATGCTTTCTTCTCACTAGTGGGTTTCTGGGGTGTGTCATGGCTACAGGAAGCTTGACCTTGTACAGGATTGTGGACTTGCCTAGGGGTCATAAGCTGGCACCGCTCCCTTTACTTAGTCGACTGGTACAGTATCCTACATACAGAGACGGTAGCCCTATCTATCCAGCCTTGCAGCTATTGCGGCTATTGACTCAACCAGTCGCACTCAAGGAAGGATTCAGAGAGGAGGATACGGCTGAGTTTCTATCAAGAATACTGCTCCATGAGATTTCTCTTCCAATTGCTGACATAATAGCATCTGCGGTGGTATTGTCAGCACCAAATGCGGTTGACTCAAAGTACCTTGTGGCAAACAAAACATCTCTCTCATTATGCTCTCTTGCTGTCCCCATGACACACATATACTCGGGGCCCTTGATCAAGGAAGAGAGCTCTGCAGTGTCCTCTGTTGCACTCTATCAAGTTATGTTTGATTCTACTGGGTACTTAATCTTTTCATGCACCACACTCAATCCTCAACAGACCCGAAGAAACATATGTCTGAAAGTCGTCGACACGGGCCTAAAATACGCGTCGCATCACTCTAAGATCGTGTATAAACCAACTATACTATCTAGCGTACGTACGGAGGTACTTGAGATGAATCTCTTATTCGTCTCTGAGTCCCTTGCAACTCAACAAAATGCCACGCCTATCTACATGGAAGGTCACCTACTGGGGATCTTTACGCTTCACAACGGTATTATCTTGCAAATATTTGAAGGAGACGAGCCTTGTAGGCTTAAGCTAGTGTTTATCTCATTGTGTCATAGCAGTATTAGGAGAGCCTTAAGCTATGCCTCTCAGATCCCACCAGACCATGACGAATACACAGACGATTCTACTACCGATTTCCTAACAAGCAAATGGTCTTCAAGCGGAGTCGGGAGGCATAAATATGATAACGAGCTATCGGAGGACGAACCTGGGGTATCAGAATCGTCGTCATATCTTCTCTTCACCTATGACTGTTCCTTAAAAGTGCCGCTAGTATCAGTGTTATATTGCATGCCTATCAACGACAGGTCTGCACAAATATGCTTTCAGACACAGAATGGGCTGCTAAAGCTATCTGTTAATATAGGGAATCTTCACCGATTACAGCTCTACACAGGCAGAGATAAAGAGTCACATCCTCATAATCTCCATATATCGCAATTTTTGCCCACATTTATGGTAGATTGTCATGTCTCTTTCAATCAGTACATTAAGCAATCTTGTCATCAGCTCGCACATATATGCTCAGATCTCTTTCTTTGCAGCAATAATAACGTTTTAGCATTATATTCTAACTTCCTTTTTTCGGAGAATGTTAACCAGGCTATAGATAGTGTAGATAGTGACTTTAAATACGCTGCCTCAGTCTTTGTATTGGATGAAAAGCGACACATCATATACATATTTCTAAGCCCATATTGGTCATCGCCTACCGACTATAGGTATACTCCAGTGTTTGTAGTTGCCACAGATGGATTGCATATTTTCTATGTTGATAAAAAGGAGGAGAAGATCTTAGACATGAAGAGTATCATGTCCTTGCTTGAGCTCAATGAATATCTAGAGACAACTGCTTCAATCTTTGCAAAGGACGCCCCAATTTTATTTAACGATCAACCTCATGAGATGAAGAGCTTCAAGGTTCATCCTGTATCTACAACCAGCGTTATGCTTACATCTAATGGAGTAGTATTCTATTGGCTTGCGTTTTCCGTTATAAAAGATTGTCTGATACCACGCCAGCTCTATCGCCTAGACTTTCCTATATCTTCGTTTCTGTCCATAGCTTCATTGAGTATAGAAGGTGCTCTGGATAAGTACTTCATAGGTGTGACAGCCGATTTGCAATTTCACGTCTTTGAACCAGTTGAAGGGCTTCTGTGTCCATCGCTAACGAGCATTAAAGTATTTGTAGAAGATAATGCAGGTCTTTCGGTGCATGGACTAACGATGCTTAAAGGTGGATATTGCGCATGCATAATTAGATCTCACTCAGTGCCTGATAAAACAAGTTTAGTGGTTATACGAACAATGGGATTAGGCCGTAAATTACCAGATAGCGAGCTGGGAATTAAGTATACTCTCCCTCTGGCAGCACGCACGAGTCTTCTTTCATATGACTACTCATCTGGCAGATTGTCCTGGGCCGATGGACAATCTTTCTACACTATTGACAACATAGCAAAGTTGCTATCTCGGCAGATAAAAGAGATACATCCAGCACACTATCTCCTATCTTCTGAATGGGATATCACTGCACTCTGTGGCATGGGGCAATCTTCAGCCACCTTGTGTATTGGGATGGCACAAAGACTTTTAGTGTACGACACAGCAATTAAAGAAGTCGTTGCTCAAGAGCTGCTTCCAGATGCAATCATTCGTTTAGTATTTCTAGGCAGCTCACGCATAGTAGTTGTCATGAACAAAGCTGGGCTGGCTATTTTCTCTTTTTCGCAAGCCCCAAAGTGCAAGCTTGCTTTGGAACTTACTGACAGTGTCCCTATGCGAATTATAACTGCGATTTTACCACTCAATCCAGACATCATTGTCGTCGGAGACCGATTTGGGACAATTTCAGTACTATCATGCACAATAGATAGCCGGTATCATCAAGCATCTGTCTCTAAAAAGCTCTCCTTATATGCAGAGATATGTGTTGCTTCTCCAGTTACGTCACTAACTGCTGAGCCACGAAGGGGCAAGGAATCCACTACCATCATTTACTATACCCTTTTCACAGGAGAAATAGGCAAGATTGAGTTGATAACTGATAGGAGCACCTTCTCATGTCTTTTGTGTGATCAGGAGACTGCACACAAGAACGGTCTGTATAATCCGACAACCTCCATAGCCAGCGAGTCTCATAGACGCTTCCGGTGTGGCCCGTACTCGTTCGTCAACACGGTGGACATCTCATTTCTCTCAGACATATGCAGGACTCATTCACTAAAACAGAACTTCAGCAAGCTCACTCAGAAAGAATCCCCTTGACCACCTCATAGAACATCTCCATCCCCTTGCTAACGGTGCCCTCCTCAACGGCTTTCTTCCATGCTTGCCCACTCTCACTGGCCTTTGTGAGTTGGGGATCCAGTGGCACTCTGCCCAAGAACTTTACTTTGTAGTCTGCACAGAGCTGCTTTACACCACCAGAGGACGGGTTGAAGATCTGAGTCTCTTTATTGCAACATGGGCACACAAAACCGGACATATTCTCGATCACTCCCTTCACATCCACCTTAATCTGCTTACAGAAATTAATCTCTTTACGCACGTCGGCCAAAGCAACTTCCTGGGGAGTGGAAACAACCACAGCAAAGAACGTGGGGGTGTGCACACTAGGGTCAGTCTCTTTCTCTTTATTTAGCACACGCATTGCCGCCGAAAGCATGTTGATCACAGAGAGGTGTTCGTCAGACGTGCCCGGTGGCGTATCTATGATGAGGTAATTATCTTCAATTTTCTCGCTGTCAAAATGCCAGTGAACATCTTTTAAGAAGTTGCTTATGATCCCATGCTTCTTGGGACCTCTCAGTATGACAGGGTCGTCCAGCTTCTCGAGCATAAACCCAATAGATATGATTGCCATATTGGGCAGCACGCTGATCGGCTCCCAACCAAGTGCAGACTGGTGGACTTCGGATCCCTGAGACGACGTCATCGTCGGTATCGACGGCCCGCAGATATCCACATCCATAAGACCCACATTCTTCTCCATGTTCTCAGCCAAGTAGAAGCCCAATTGTGTGGAAACAGTGGACTTGCCAACTCCACCCTTGCCGGAAAGGACCAAGATAATTGTTCCAATGTTCTTCAGCTTTTCAGCGATAGCCCTATTATCAGGCGATTCTGTAGATGATCCACACGACCCCTTGGACGGACAGCCTGCACACTTGTCGGGCTGGCAATTTGAAGCCGACACAGGCTGGTCTGCCATTTTTAGAAATGTCGCACGAGACCTACAGTTGCATTTGTGGTCAGCCGTCATGTATTCAGCGAAAAGCCAAATGTGAATCTCTGCTTAATAGTTAAGTCCCTGCTTGACCACAGTGAGACAGTTGCAGTGACGGGGATGGGTGTACGAACGTGAACGCCTGTATAGGCTGCATATTCCAAAAAATTATGCATCACTCTACGCGCCCCATAGACAGAAAGGTCCTTTATTAACCCCAGGGGAGTATCCTTGGGGATGGCTGCCTCAATGCCTGCTAGCAGATATATTGAATTTGGTCTAGATATAGGTGTTCGGAGTGGCGACTTCCATATCCCCATCAGGTGTGTGCGTGCCAGGAACCCGTTGCCCATATGTCTTCCTGTTGTTACTGGTGAAAGAGTCAGTTTTGAAGAGCTTGCGCATCCGTAACCATCGTGAATTGGGGTATATGTATACCCATGCGGTTGGACAGAGTGGCTCTCGAGATTCATTATCTCGTTCTTCACATATGAAAAGCTCGTGGGACTCATTACTTCAGCAAACCCTCGCAATTTGCTTCTAATGCTGTCACCCAGATTCTCATCTATCTCCGATTTTGTTAAATTAGAGAGCACTGCCCTATGACTATAGCTGCTGTTGGTTTGGTGGGTACTGTCTTGTTTTGCAGCAGCAGGCAATTGCTTAATGAAGTTGCATATACGCCTTCTATCAATAGATTCAGATACGTGGACAGACCCAGATGCGGAAAGCATAAGACTGGGACTCAGGTACATTGCTGCCGTCGTTGCCACTTCGGCACGAAGGCCTGTTACAATATTTGACGCCAAGCGTCTGTTTGTCGCACCCCTAGCAAAATGGAATCTGCAGAACGGCTCCACCCCAAAGAGAACAGACACGTTCGGATGTGGAGACGCTGTAGTAAGTATCTGCCTACCTATCTTGAGATATCTATCCAGTGGTACGTCTCTATGGCTACGTGAGGCTGAGTCCCAGACACCCCTGCTTGTGATGAAAGTATTCTTCTGCGTAACGACTGACACACGGGAAGAGTTGCGGTAGAAGTGAAGAGACCTGGTCACGTCATCTAGTTGTGAAAGATGATAGGCTGGTCCGGGGCTAGCAAATGTCCAATGAGAATCCTCTTGGGGCTTCTTTAACATCGTCGGGATATCCTTGGTTATCTCTGTTAGTATTAAAGAAAGTTCTGTTGTGAATGGTGCCGAACCAAATTGATGCTTGTCATTGTTGTCATTGGATCTGAAGTTTCCTGTGTTGGACACTTTGAGAGATACCCCTTCTACCTGTGTATCTGAAAGTGGCGAAATAGTGCTACCCTCCCTGCTATTTTCCCTGCTCTCTGATTGATTGAAAATAGTATTAAGAAAAGATTGATAGTTAGAGAATTGTTGACCAGCTTCCTTGCGCACCAGTATGTGCTTAGTATTACACACCTGAAGGGGATCTAAACGACAAGCTTCTAGATTTCCCTCTGTCATGTTTCTCACGGGGTCATAGGAGACGCTAGCCGAAGCCATGGAGACGCCTAGATGAGCAGATCCAACTACCTCTCCAATGAAACGGCCGTCTGACACGCCACAAAATACACGTCCGGAAGCTCTCTTGGATGGGGTGTAATTGGCAATGGCAGTTGGTTTGTGAAGCCGCTTGGGAAACAAACGAGCCAGCACCGGGACATGTGCTAACTTAGATAAAAGTTTTGGCACGGTAGCATTTCGAGAGAGAAATGGGGGCTCTAGCTTCAAGTCCACTTCGGAAAATTGAGGATAGCCGAGCAATGCATCTCCCCCCAATGAAAGGGCTTCTCTGGCGCTATCCATAGTAGTTACATCTGAGAGAACCCTTGTGAGAACATTGTGCAGATATGTACGTTCAGAGTTGGACGCAGGTCCAAAGACAGCAACATTCATAAATTTTCATTTGTCTTCTGTGCTTCAATCTTTGAAATGCCCTATTGCAGCTGTGGAAAAAGATCAGATTCCATTTATTGTCCTCTTTGTGAGTCAACCATCTCCACCACCAAGTGCCCAGAGTGTACCATTCAAGCCCATATCAAAGAGGACCACCCCACCTGTACAGTTAGTAATCTTTTAAATGCTATCAAGGCCAGGGCAGACAACTCTGTGAACCAGCAGGAAGTCATTACGGAGAGAATCAGACAAATGAAGGAGGTAATAAGTGCAGGCCAGGATTACATACGAGATATGTACCAGGCTATAGAAAGTAAGTTTCAGGCCCTCAAGCTTCAGTGGTTTGGCCGTAAGAACGAATCTGTTAAGAAGTCTATTAGTTCTCTCTACAATATCCTTGAAGAGCGCGTTGTATTCGGGCTCATGGCAACCAATATAGTAAAGGACTTCAATAAAGCCTTTCAGCTTACGCTTTCTATACTTCCTGTGTGGTCATACCGAGACCTATTGTTCAAATTATCTCACTCTGGAAGCGGGTGTATTATCAGAAACGTTAATGCTGAGGCCTATGCCTGGAAGAAGCAAAATAAGAAGGTATCTAGGAAGGATCAAAAGCTGCTAAGACTTATCAACCCTACCCCCCAAGAGTACAGTATCGGCATGTGGCCTCTTGAAACTATATTGAGCTCCACGCTTACTACTACTACCGCATCTCCTCCTTCTGCATTATTGGTAGATAAAAGCTCTCCATCACCTCTTCAAACAAAAAGCATTGTTAGACCAGAGTCTCTAGCAAAAATCATTCGCCCTTCAAGGAGGCGCCGGAGCATTAAATCAAGACAGGGATCTGAATTGTCTAGAACAAAATGCTTTATAGACTCGCCAGACTTAAGCACCAACATCGATTTGGAGTCGTCTGTACAGATGTGCATTACTGAACTGGAACTCAGCACGACGTCTATACACCAGCATGCGGTGCTCACGAATAACATCTTGGGTAGGAATGCAAGTGTATCAAAATTCGGCGCTAACGTTAATACTGAGCTTCAAGAGTGCACACTATCCAAGGGTAGGCCCCCGCCGCGCAAATGTATAGGCTATTTCATGAGCTACCCTGACATCGTTATGAGTGATACAACCTCCCTGTTCGGGTCATTCTTGAGCGAAGAAGAATCAAGAATATACATAAAAGATGACCCAATTTATCAGCTTTGCGCAAAAGAGATCTCCTGGATGTATCAAGCAATTGCCACGATTATTGCCAACATTACCTCAGGAATAGCAGCAACGATGTCAGACCTAGTTGTGCTGGGGTCCGTTCACGCTGGGCAACTTTCAATCCTTAAGAATGTTAGAGCGCACACACTGGTTGCTGACTGTCCTTCCCTCATAGAACGCTGTTATGTGGAAAATGGCGCAGAGATCACTGGAAGCATGAACCTATTTATAGCGGATGCTGTATTTGGAGATGACAGTTCATTTAACGGTGTCGATCATAATATTTCTGTCATACGCTTTTCAATCTTTGAGGGCCAAAGGACCAGTCTTCAAAGTGTGAAGCTAGTGGCTAACTGTGTGTTCACCGGTCCAGTGGTCGTGTCTGGGAACGGTGTATATGTTTCCTGCCACTTTTCTCACTTAACGCTCGGTGACGACTTTGTCGGTCAGTTTATCGGTTGTCATGTAATGTCGCTTACTATCGATCCATCGTTTAACCTATCCCCCCTGATGTTCCACAAGTCAATTGGCCCAGGACTTCTCGGTTTATCTTTTAGGCAGGACAAAGATTCCACCTTGATTTCAAAGAAAAGTTCGAGTAGTTACATCCTCCCTGAGGAAATTGATATCAATATCCTTCTAAACTCCAGGCAAACCGCATACACACGTCTAATCGAAACGAATCCTGCTACAGAACGCATGGACAGTGTTCTCGACCGCATTTTGGCTCGAGAATACTCAAATTCTGCTGTGCATGTAGATAAGCAGCTCGCCAAAGCAAATCTAGCATCAATCCCCGTCGACATTAACCTGAGCGGAATATCTAGCAATTCTAAGGACGAGACCCCTGCCGATAATTTGCTCGACTTGAGTACATAGAGTGAAGCATGTCCACACATGTGCACATGTACATGGCAGTCGACATCAGAGCCCATGTTTTCCAGACTCCCTAATCCTTACCCAAGCACAAAAGGTGAGGAGACAGTCACTCAAAAGATAAGCTATTTATTCGCGCATTAATTAATGTTTACGCCCCAGCAGACCATCAAACGTCACACTCATTCGATGATCTTACCGCATATATTCGCGAATGCATCATACCCAGGTGAAGTCTCTATGTCGCATATGGTTGACCACGCCACCCCATCCTCTCCTGCCTTCATAAGCTGAGGGTCAAGGGGCATGCTCCCAATATAGGGGACGTTCATGTCCTCACACATCTTCTTGACGCCACCAGTTGTTGCTTCTATTACAGGAGTCTCTGCCTCACAGAAGGGACACACAAACCCGGACATGTTCTCAATAACTCCTCTAATACGGAGATTTAACTGCTTGCAAAAGTTGATCTCTTTGCGCACATCAGCTAATGCAACCTCCTGAGGAGTAGAGATCACAACTGCTTCTAATACAGGAACATTGGGGAATCCGTTAGATTGCATATAACGGATTGTACTCTGATACATATCTATTATGGATAGGTGCTCGTCCGATGTACCCGGTGGCGTATCTACTATAATGATGTTGCTCTTCGGAAAGCGGGGGTCGAATTCCCAATTAGTCTCTGTTAGCATCTGTTTCACCATGCCATGCTTTTTTGGGCCACGCAAGATCACTGGGGCGTCCTCCTGTGTCACCAGGTGGCCAACAGAAAGCGCTTGAAGTGTGTGAGAAACGCTAACAGGCTCCCATCCTGTGGGCAAGTTCTGCACTTGTTCAGTTTTAGTAAATGTCATAGTTGGTATAGACGGACCACATATATCTAAGTCCAAAAGCCCCACATACTTCCCCATGATGTCAGCAAGAAAGAACGCCAGCTGAGTAGCCAGGGTAGACTTCCCAACGCCACCCTTACCGGAAAGGACAAGTAAAATGCGGCCTACATGCTGAATGCGTTCTGAAATAGCAACACTCGTGCTATTGTCTGCTCCACGGCTAGAGCATGCTCCTCGTGCAGGGCAGCCGCTGCACTTTTCAGGAGCGCACTCACCCTTGAGAGAAATCTGCTCTGGAGTAGGGTCATTAGGCCCAGACATTCTTAAACCTACAGCTGAGTCACCTTCGACATCTCTAGTTCCAGATCGGCAGGCACAAGGCCCATTGCTACCACCACCACAACATGGCATTTTATTTTCTCTGTGGTTGTATACCGAAAGACCATGAATCAAATTTCTAAGCATCACGCAGATGCCCAGCTGCTCCACGCGAATGATAAGGAAACGGTGTACATAGCTCGGCGTCTCGTAGATGATACTTTTGTACTTGTGAAAGATATTGACCTGCACGAGTTGGACTCTGTCGATAGAACTGAAATTCTTGCGTTTTACGACAGGTTTTCATCTCTTGACACAGAATCGGTTGTAAAAATACATAGGATCTGGCCAAGAAAAGAGGATAGACTTCTTGTTGAAACAGAGTATCTCCAGGGTGAGAACCTCTCAGCATTGTTAGATAGGCATATTAAGCAGCAAAATCCAGTGGAGGAGGAGGAAATTTGGAGCATAGCTAGGTCCGTGGCGGATGCTTTGGCACATCTTCATTCGAAATTCAATCCCATGGGGCCACTAGTTTACAAGGCCCTTAGGCCAGAAAACATCCTTATCGCAGGTATTGGTGTTTACAAATTGTGCGACTGCTGGTGTGGTGGCATATCTATGAGTGCTACAATAGATGAGACTAATCAAGATTGGATATATTCAGCCGGCAATTTGTATAGAGCTCCAGAGCAGATGAGTTCAAAGACCCATACCACCAAGACAGACATCTGGTCGTTTGGCTCTCTACTATTACATCTCTGCAAACCAGACCTACTTATCAATCAACAAAACGAATCTTTAGATTTTCAACACGTCAATCTTTCGGAGTACTCTATAAACCTGACTAATATGATAGGTAAGTGCTTACTCTCTGACCCACAGAGCCGGCCTTCTGCAGCTGAGCTGCTTCTGCATATTCAATATCTTTGCCAAAATAATACGATATGCACGAGAGAGTCTGCAATCTCCAACAAATCGATATCTGCACCTCTTCAGATAAGCTTTGGACGCTACAACGATTGGAAAACACCAGGAAATCTGGTCCAGGTGATGCCGCGCATGGGAATAGAGGTTGATGCTCCTACCCCACTAATGTTAGCAGCAGAGAAAGGAAATGTAGATCAACTGACAGAGTATATATCTGAAGCGGGCAAAACAGATTGGCAAGGCACCGCTCTCATCAAAGCTGCACGCAAAGGACATGTGGAGTGTGTTTCAGCTTTGCTCTCAGAGTTGGGCATCCAAAGCAGACGAGGCTGGACAGCACTTCAGGATGCAGCATATTCTGGCCAGAAGGCATGCATTCCTCTGCTCATGCTTGAGGCGTGCATCCAGAGGCCAGACGGGCATACGGCACTAATGGGAGCAGCTAGAAATGGACACCAAGACTGCGTGAAGCTCTTACGGAATAGGGAAATGCGGATGACTACAACATCCGGTCGCACGGCGTTAATGTACGCAGCGGAGAACAACCATCCACAATGTGTCAGACTTCTTTTGGATGAGGCAGGAATGCAGGATATCTCAGGGAACACAGCACTTATTCTCGCCACTCTAGAGGGGAATGTAGAATGCGTTGCACTCTTGGCCATGTACGAGGCAATCCTTTCTAATGCTGAAGGAGAGACGGCCCTACAATTGCTGGAGAAAAGATTGAAATGTTCTCGGACGCCTCTTTCAGAGAAGTTTAGTATGTGCATAGATAAGCTTTTGCTAAAGGGGAGCTATAGCTAACAGCCCTCTAACACAATCTACAGATTCTTGGGCGAGCTAAGAAAAATACCAGAATCTAAAAATGCACGCTCAGCGGGTAACCCCCGAAGAAAATGAGATCATGGGGACTCTGTTATCGCGTGGAGAATCATATGACATCTCAGACACAGTGTCTGCTAGGTGCATTTTGCGGCCAGACCGGCAGGCTCTTTTCAATCAGACCGTCTTGCCGTCCTTTAACCACAACCCAGAGCTAGCCATTAATAACGCAGACAAGCGCTTTGAAGGTGATAACATGTCTAAATCGCAGATGAAAAAGCTCGTGGAAGATCCGCGGGACAACGTAGCTGTTCCTGATCCTCGCGTACGGACTGATATTCCACGGCGAGTAGTTGGCCCCTTCTATCCCCCAGATAACCTCAGGATTAATTCCTCTTCGTCTCCACTCAATGACAAGGCGACAATAAAGCTTTATATAGAGCGAGCAAAGAGGCGAGACACAGATCTGGTGGTGGCCAATCCGCAGCGTATCCTTCTTTATCATGCGTTACTCGTGAGCGAATACAGGGGCAAGGGATGGTATCAGTGCAAAGGGACCACTCGTTGGGGAGATTCCCTTGTCTTTGATGCACGCTTTGAGGCAGGAAATCTCTTCTCTGCAGCACGTGTTCTTGGCTCTCAGCAGTACGAGCTTATGATGAGCCCAGATTTTGGCACTTGTGAGCACATGAATTGGTTCTATTTTGCGATCGGTAACGTGAGAAAGCATACTAGGTACACATTCAAGATCCTTAACTTTGTAAAGCCCACCTCGATGTTTTTGGAAGGAGCTGGCATTTTGGTGTATACTCCATCACAACATAAAAAGGGTTGGAGGCGTATGGGCGAGGAGATATGCTACTATCCTAATGTGCTGAAAAAGAGAGGTGAATACTATTACGGAATGGTTGAGAATATCTATGCAAACCCAATTGTAGAGGCTGCTGCGGAGCGCCCTAAGACATCGGGGACAAAGTCTAGGCCAGCTAGTCGTGCGGCATCTAAGTCTGGAACACGAGCAAAATCATCTGACAAAAAGGAGCAGAAGCCCATAACTAAGAAGAAGAAGGTGTCATCTAAACCACAGCAAGATGTGATGGGATCCCAGTACACTCTTTCCTTTAGTTTAACATTCAAATCAGACGAAGACATTGTTTTCTTGGCCTCTGCCTTTCCATATACTTACACTGATCTTAACAGATACATGGAATATTTGCGCGCTATCCCCCTGGTGCGGATAGAGAAGCTTACACGTACACTCATGGAGAACAGTTGCAATGTAATAACAATGGGTGGCACGTCCCAGAGTAAGGAGCTCATAGTAATTCTTGCACGGGTTCACCCCTGTGAGACTTCCGGAAGTTATGTTCTTCAGGGGCTTCTGGACTTTCTATCTGGCCGTCGCGACGCAGAGCTGAAACGATACATTACGTGGCTATTGAACCATGTTGCCAATAACAATCCAGAGTTTCTGCTTCAGGATAATTCAGTGGAAGGCCCAGATGTTTCTCTTGGCAATGCTGGAGCTCAAGAGGACATGCAGATGCGTGACTTAGCTGCAACCATATCGCCACAAGAGCAGCCAGCAGCTGAAGTAACCCCTAAAATTGTCCTGAATCCTGATGGATCTCGACCAGCTCCACCGCAGCAGTACATCCCGCCAGATTTACCCTCACAGGATGAACTGTTTGGTGTGGCTGGAAATTACTACGGCATAGATGAGCGCTACCGACAAAATAATCACCTTACGGCCGAAGAGCTAAAGGAATTGAAGGTGCGTTTATATAAGAATGAGCTTCTTAGAAAGTTTCTCCTAGACAAGTTTTTGTTCAAGATCGTCCCCATGGTGAACGTTGATGGTGTTATAGTAGGGAATTCGCGTGTCGATATCGGGCGAATAGATCTCAATAAGCATTGGGCCACAACCACTAACCTAGACAGTCCTACGCTGTTTGCCCTGCGGGAATTGATCCAGGACTATGTGATAGAACAAAAGTACACATTGAAATTTATAATGGACATTCACGGAACCTCGAAGCAACCCAACTTCTTTCTCCATACCAATGAGAGCATTAATTACGCTGATCTTAAGCGTCTCTTCTGGATTTCTTGCGGTCAGTTGGGCCTTATTCCTAATCTCGGAATGGAAAACATGGTCTCCTTCTTCACTCACGACCTGATTAGCATCAACACTTTACTAAATACCGCTCGTGAAAGGCGAAGAGAACAAGAAAAAGAGAAGTCGTCTCAGGACTCTATGCTATCATCCACCACGTCTAAACTATTGGACTCATCTTCCATAACGACTCAGCGGACTGGAGGAGTCGACAAGGATGTATTCGAAAAGCTATACAAAGAAGCAATGGACAGGCATATGGCAACTAAGAACGCACTGTTTGGGGCCAATACTTATGAGTCTATGATCAAGCCAGAGCTAGATGTCCCCCTTATAGAGCGCTACTACGAAGAACAGTTTATTAAGTTTGTAGGTGTCAACATAATGAAGACAGACTTTGCAAAGGCTGTATTTTCAGCAGAAGGAGAAGAAGGGGGAAACATAACAGCTAAAAAGGAAGCAGAAAGCAAATCTTCGCTGCTTAAAGCAGCCTACAAATACACCATAAATCCTAACGAATACGCGCTCTTGCGGCATAAGATCATGATGGCAACGTACAAAACTGTCCAAGAGACCTCTTCAACTAGTCACACAGCAGAGAATTCGCGTGTCCCCAGTGCAGGCGTGGGGAGCGGACAGGCAGGCGGTGTAGGGGTCAGATTTAATCCTACAACCACGATTGCCCCGGCTTCTGGAAAAGGACCACAAGTCACAGGGGTACTGAGCACACGTAATGATAGGCTAGAACAGAAGTCTCCACAGATACACCAGATCCCAGAAGAGTCTCCTTATCGACTCCTTTTCTCTGAAATGATCTTTCCTATCATGCTGCAGAATAACAAGGAAAACTATATCTTTGATCTTAAGAGTTGTACCTACAACAATTCCGAAGTCACTAAACCGGGTACGTTGCGTGTATATGGTGTCAAGAAATGGGCGTGCGAGAACATCTACACGATTGAGGCCAGTGTGTATGGAATGAGCAAGGTTGACCTAGAACAATCGCTGGATGTAGTTAAATATGGAGGGATCTTGGATTTGAGAAACTGCAACTTCATGTCCATGTTCTCTTCAGAGACAATGGACACGACATCTGAATACACTCAAGATACTACCAACAGTTTGCCCACTGGGGGAGATTACTCATCTGCTCTAGCAGCAACAACAGCTCCGGGTGTGGTACCTGTGGAAGGAGACCCGAATGACCCGAAGCTAGGTGCTATGGGAGACGACTCTCGCGTTTTTGAGAGCGATTGGCCTCTGGACAACCGGCACCTCACTCCCCTAGATTATTTCATCTATGGAGAGGCACTGATATCTACTCTAGGAACAATGTATGACAAGAATTGCGAAGCATATACAGGCGAGCTGGAGAAGATCAGGGCAGACTATGTTACGTGGATGAAGCATGCCTTCAGTTATCTTATTACCAATCCGAAGAGAGACATTGTCGGCTTTGACATGGATAAGCTCTCTCTTTCTCTGAAGGCAAAACTCAAAGAGCGAATACATATCTTTGCGCAATTTGAGGCTCTGAGTAACACAGAATTCGATCACGTTGTTTCCATTAATAAGATCATTGCCACCACCAAAGTATTTGACTTCTTGGACAAGAACGGTTACGACCAGCCAGTCTCAGACTCTGACGATAGCCAGCCCCCGGAGTATGAGATATCTGAGGCCGAACTCAAGAAGTTAGATAAGCTAAAGACGAAGGACCAACGTTTACAAGAGAAGCGAGAGCGTTTGGAGCTAAGAGACTGCGTTAAGACCATGGTCATGGAGCAGATGAATCCTGAAAAGTTGAAGAAACTGCAAGAAAAGGGAGTGAAGGGCAAGAAGGGGAAGAAGGGTAACAAGAAAGGAAGCAGAGCAGCGAGTGCTTCAGTCGCCAAACCAACACCTCTGCCACCAGCCAGGTCAACGCCACAGGTCCCAGGTACCCAGGCCCCGGGAGCTTCCACCATAGTGGGTGATAGCCTCATGAGCACCATCGGAGTTAGAATCCAGGAAGCACAGAGCGGCATATTTGGAGACGGAGGTCCCAGCATAATGAGCAAGAACCCACGAATGGCTACCCTACCTGATACACCAGATATCAGCAGAATTGCGGGCCCCGATGAAACGATGCGGAGTATCAATAAGACGTATGATGAAGGGCGTGGGCCGGACTCAGACGAAGAGGGGCATCACTAGTGAGCTGTACTATCTCCAGTACTGTCTTTGTGGACCATGATTTCAAGCACAGTCGTACAGTGCATATGCTCACGCTTCCGAACAGAATCAGAATAAATGCAGCTATGGTGGTCCTTATGACTCAGCAAGGTCCAGAAGGATATCAATGAGACCGTCAAGGCACAACTTTCGAGGTGGCTCGGATTGTGAAGACCGTGCAGGCCGACGGCCGCCTGGGACAAAAAAGACGACTCCTGCATCTCCGTCATCCGATGCCCCATCACTCGTCTCACTATCAGATGGGGCGGACGGGATCTTTGTCCGAGGACGCCGCCGAATGAGTTGGGCGACGACTTCATAATCCTCAGAACTTGTTGAGGTTGCATCACTGTTTATGTCAGAGCTTTCGTCGAGGAGCATAAGCCTAGTGCTCCTTGTGCGGGTAAAGCGCTGCCGCTGCAGCTTTTTAGGCCGTAGCTTGGCCTTGACTGGAGTGCGGACAGTATGCCAGGGGCTCGCTAAAATGGTGAGATATTGCTCTGCAACTGCAACATCAAACGACGCACTACTTTCTGAAGAGGTGTCTGAGAAGGATGCAACATTCTTTTCGCGTGTGTTCGTGCCACCACGTTTCATTTTTTTGTTAGCTGTCAGCCAAAATGCTTGCCGTCAAGATGCTTCCAGTTGCTGAGAGATCTTCAACACGGCCCTTCATCCGCCGCAGCCGATCGTGTGTAATAGCCAGCTGATTTCCTAAATGCGAAATCTGCTTCTCGGCCTCCTTCCGAAGAGTTGTAAGGCTAGAAAGGTATGCCGTGTTACATTCCTTGAAGAGCCTGTCACTGTCGTTCATCTTCCGGTCAAAGCCATCTATCCGCTGTTGAAGCACGTTCATGTTGTACTCGAGAGTATGGTTTTGCTCCTTAAGCGCGCTTTGTACCTTATTATATAGTTCCGCTTCACTTAGAAGCTGTGATATCTGTCGGTCTCTTTCGCAAATGATAGACTGAAGCTTTGTATTTTCCTTCTCCATATTGGTCAAAGTTGAAGAAGCAACCCTGGATGCAGCTGCCGACTCGGATAAATTTTTGCTGAACACAGAAAAGTTTCTTGAACAGCATTCTGCTTCCTCTAGAATACTTTTGCAGCCATTCAACACGCAAATCAAAAGGTCATTGTCTTTGTCCGGAATGGATAGTAAATTAATGGCTTCTGAAAATAAACTAGGGGCTTCTGATTGAGCCCGTGTTCTTGCAGCGGGAGCGATTGACGATCTAAGTCGCCGCAGTACTAGGTATATCTGGTCTAGAATCTCAGTAATCTGGGAAACCTCTAAAAAGTGTAATACTGGAAGCTCTGATTGAGTCGCGGCATTAATAGAATCACGAACAAAGGGATCGTGCGGTGCCTGGATGCTTTTATTTGCTGTTTGTGGGAGAATCAGAGGGTCATGCTGGTACTCTGTTGTGTTTGACCGTGTTAATGGCCGAAGCTCTACACTCCCGAAATCTGGAGCTGAGGACTTCAGATCCATGCCAGATAGTTCAGTTTTAAGTTTGAAGTACTTATCTCGCAGTCTAGATGGAAGACACAGCAGCACACTCTCCGCTATCTCTAGCAAAACCTCTGTATTCATTTTTAGGCGGGTTTATTTGATTAAAGATTAGTATGGTTCGATAATACAGTCACCTGCGACGGGGCGGGGCGGGGGTTCACGCTCGCGCTCCGGGCGCAGCCAGCCAGGCAGTAAACGAGGACACGAGGCGCCGCTCCCGGGCCACACAACACGGTACTCTGCCATCTGTTCTGGTATTTTTCTCCGCTCCGAGGGCGGTTAGCTCAGTTGGTAGAGCGCTTGCCTAGCATGCAAGAGGCCGGGGGTTCAAATCCCTCATCGTCCACTTTCCGTCCCGCTCCACCGCACGGCCTGCAGCTCAGCGCGCCCTTGTGGGGCCTTGTCGTGCTCGCTGGGGCGCTTCCTGTTAATTTCTGGGGCCTTGCTCTTCGCCGTAAATGACCGACCTTGACCATGTGTGCTGTTCTGTACATGCAGCAGCTAGTTGTGAGCCGCGCCATCACCCCGTGGACGACCGTGGTCTGCAGCTTGTTCAGCGCAGCTTTCACTCGTTCTTGTAAGTATAAAGGCGCGCAAATCATCTCCCTGTTAGTCAATATACTCAGCTAGTGGGTCTACAGTGTGCCGAGACTAAAGCTCGTTGTAGAATTTATTGCAGGCATACTTAGAAGCACACAGGATCTTCACAGCGCACAGCACGAGTCTAAACTTATCTAGTGCTAAACTTTCGAAAAAAGACTGACAGTAGACTCGCTATCCCTGGTAAACGGGCATATATGTGTGAATAAAATACCAGTAAGGCTATGCAGAGCAGGGTCTACGTTGAAGAGGCCTGGATCTCGAAATGGAAAGAGAAAATAGAGCAAAAAAGTGAAGAATATTCTTCGAAAACAAGCGGCAGAAATAGTCCTAGATGCTAGATGAAGCATATCCTGGTCACAGAAGCCGCCGGCGACGCCAAATCACAACCGTTACGCTATATTAATGCATCAGATTGTGGCCATATATAATATTTGCAGAAGACCATGGTTGGCTGCTGTCTATCACCCGCTGACCAAATTGAGGTCCTTCGTAAGCTAGCTGAAGAAGTTATCAGGGTACGAAAGATCCAAGAGACTGCAAATGATCTTGTTGCAAATCCTTACAGACTTTATACTTACGTTATAAAAACGTCTGTAAACTGGCGCAAAATTGCCACGGAGATCAACCAAAATCGCAACAGGATCTACCACTGGTACCGTGAAACGCATCTAAGAAACATTCTGAACATAAAGATGACAGAAGAAGATCGTCAGATTATCCGTGGAATTATCATAGATGGGATTGAAAGCAGAAGGATTGTGAGAGAAGACATCTATGGAAAGGTTCGCGAGAAATTTGGGAAAAAGTATCCACGCCAAGAATTGCGGATGACTTATAACAATATAATCAACAGCCGTAGTATCAAAACCCTCTTCAAGAAGTGCGGTATTCAGCATTCCTCGAGACGCAGCAGATCATGTGCGGCCATCCATCACCCATCTAGCGCAGAGCAGTGCCTCCCTAACGAGGAGGTGTTTAAACCACCCGTATTTCGCCTACCTGGTTACAATGATGAAACCCCATCTTCTCCTCAGGACGAAGACGAAACAGGGACGTCTGTACCTGAGAACTCGCTATCTGCGCCACCAGAGTCTGTTGCTTGCAGCATTGTCGAGCCAAGGAACCTACCATCCAGCCTTTCCTTGGTTCCGCCCTTCGCGCCCACTCCTAGCGCTGCTCCGAATGTTTATCCGATCCCGGGTGTCTATCCGGCCCCTGGTGCCGTCCCTTATCTCCAGGCGTCGGGGGTGCTCAGTCTACAGCCGACGCCCTACCCCTTCGGCTTCGGGGTGCCGCTGACATACGTCCCTGTTCTGATACAATCGCCAGGACATACTGGCGGATGGCCCGTGGGCACGGGTGACGGTCCGCTCGGAAGGCCGACCAGGCAGCCCTGAGCCCCTGCTGCACCGCCTCGCACCAGAGGAGGAATCACGGTCTACAGCCAGAAGGGCAAAAGAGGCGCGTGGGTGGAAGCGCTCTCCCGATTTTCTTTTCGAGCTCGAACAGAACAGCCGTAGAGACTGTACGAAAACATCCTACAGTACCATCGAGGCCTCGCACGGAGGGGTTCTGAATGGACGAACGCCTAGGCTGGGAGCCATTCTAGAGCCGATTCTGGCCGAGGAAGGGGCTCCCCGCTTACGGGGGCATGGCGGCTCCGCTGGCCACGTACGGCGACAGTTGCCGGGTCAGCGGCCCAGCCAAACCAGCGATGCCGCTGCGGAAGCCACCCCCGGCCCTGTCCCACACAGTCGATGCCCTTGGCAGCCGCCTGCTCCAGTCCAGATCCACCCCACTGGCTGCGTACCAGGGCCAGACATCTAGCAACCACAGAGACACGTCCACCGAGGCCGACACTGGCTGCACACACCGACCGGCGCGTCGATTCGAGGCACAGACGCGCATTTTTTCTTTTGTCCGGCGAGATTCCGGGCTGCGCTGGCTGCACGGATGCACGCAGCTGTTCCGCGCCGGCCGGGGCTTTCCGAGGCAGGCCTTGCGCGAGAACGCGACGTCTCGTGCAGGTCCACCGACCCTCTGGCGGGCCCACGGCCGCGGAGTGTCCGTCCCTGTTGCGATGCAGTGCACACGGCTTTGTAGCACGTGCAGAGACCCAGTTGCCCTGCCCTGGCTGTGGCTCCTGCGCGCTGCGGCCAGCCACTGAGACCAGCCCCCATTGGAGCAGGCCACGGCAGGGCCCGCCGGACAAGCTCTCTACATGAGCACATGCTGCACAGCTTAGAGGCGAACGCTGCACAGCCCGGCTAGTGCTCGCTGCCCCTATCGCTGCGTGGTACCTCTTCGTGAGACGACTGCGCAAGGCCACCCGATCGAGGGCTACGGCAGGACGCAAAGAGTGGACTAGTTCAGGGCGTTGTGCATCTAGTAGGCCTGTGAGTACGCCTAGGTCGTGTATAGCTATTACATCAACATACTCATGTAGGTGGATACAACTGATTGCTCCGAATGGACTGGTTCTTGATGGCGTGGGCTGATGGAAGGACGCATTTGTATTACAGGTCCAAGCATAGAGGGTGGCAGCAGGAAACGAAAAGTGGCCTGATTGCTGGTGTGCAGGTAAATGCAGCTATTTACATTTGACTTACCTAGCATACTGGATGATCATACTGATTGGATTCCGATAAAATGCATGCACGAGACTTACTGGTGTCTACTGATTTAAGAATTGAATGAGCAAACGCTAGGATAAGCTTGGTATGCCAATAGATAAATCACATTTAGGGAGGTAACAATGAAATTTGTAGGAATAAAGAGACGCTCATAATATGCTGTTTCGATGATAGTAAAGGCTCTAGCACGAAGTTCATTAATCTATTATCAACAGAGATAATAAGAAATCCAGGAGAAATGATAGCGAATCTATAATACACCCCATAAAAGGCTATAAGCACTATGGGATAATTAAGAAATGTGAAGGATATACCAGAGAATGTTATTTAAAAGGAAAGAAGTGCGTATTCAAAATCAGCAATAGTAACAAGGATAGCCTCGTTGCCAAGGATTCCATCACTGTCATCCTTATTGTCAACCTTTCTGTCAGAGGTTCTTTTACTGTAGGAAAGTATAAACATAATCATCTATTTAAGTGGTAAACGCATCGTCTAACATCTGCTCAGCAGCCTTACACAGAAGTCCCGAAATAAGTAGTCACGGGGCAGAGTCTCCTGACGCTGCCAAATAAGCATATATAGTGCTCCCTCTGCATGGAGCACTGGAGGCCCGGCACGGAGTGGCCACAACTTCTCGTGGATACAGGCTGGTCGAAGCCGCTGGTGGCTGTATCCTCCAACCCCCTGCTTCAGAGCGTGGCTGCGCATGCTCTGCACGGCGCCTTCTCCTGCAGTGTCCGTGCGCTCGCCGGATGGAGCGAACCCAGCTAGCTACGCGGCCGCCACTGCAGGCCCCTCTTCACCCTGTATGCAGAAGCGCTGACCCGGGAAGAGGTGTCCCAGGGAGCCACGGGCAGCTGGTTGGAGTGAAACACGTTGGGGCTTTTTGAAAATGGCCCTGTCCCGTGCCGGCCACGCGGCCTCTAGACCAGCGAGGCGAGGAGCTTCTTGATCCCTGGGCGCGCACGGTAGCCATCAGATAGCTCGCGCAGCGGTGGAAACTGGTCCACGAGCTCCGGATACTCTGCGTCCGCATAATACAGGACCTCCAGGACCGCGTAGTCCGAATAGAGCGGCTCGGGAGCCAGGCTCCGGAGGCTCAGCACGTCCCGGGTCAGAACGGTCAATCCCGGAAGGATCCTGTTCTGTCGGTAGGCCGCGATGCACTCCGAGCGCGTCATCTCTGCCCCAGCGGCAAGGGCCTCTGCCACGGCTTCGGGCTCCTTCCAGACGGCGGCAAGAAGATCCTCACAGAAGAGCACCAGGGCCCGCGCAGCAGCCTGCACCTGCAATGACGTGCTGTACCGCCCCAGGCTCGCCCCCAGGTACTCTAGAATGACCATGCCCCCGGCCACCCGCGCTGCGCTGTCTTCCCACACGGGGAGCGTGCACGATGGTGCACCTACCTTCGCCGCGGCCACCTGCTCAGCGCTCGCCAAGGGCGCCCACTCGTACCGTATCTCCAGGTCTGCGAGCAGGAGCCGGCACTTCAATGCGGTGCCCCGGGCGTCGTAGTACGTGAGTCTCGGCGGAACTACGTCCATTTTACTTCCCCGGTGGGCTCGTATCAACCGTGCCAAGGTGCGAGGCAACCCCTGGCACGCGGGCCGCCTCTCCCAGGGGGAGATCCTTGGGTTTCAGTTTACAACCTGAGCACCAGCTTCGTGTAGCTGCTATGCATTGCTAGCTACTACTGCCTGCATAGATAGTGGTGGGGTTGGGGTGGACACTAGGCTGGCGCGGTTTATGGAGGTCGTCTGCCTCCCGGGTCGCTTGAACCTAGCCGGAGTCTTCCCATTGGACCCTCTAAGTCATATCACGAATCATAGGACGGATAAACTAGCCCCTAGCGGGTCAAAAGGGTCGGCAGTGATCGCAGCCACTGTGTCACTCGAGGACCTGTTGAGGCCCGGGACTCTGCAGAAGCCCCTCACTAGCTCGGTCTTGAAGTCCACGCTCTTGTGTGCCAAGATCCACGTCTTGTTATGCGTGCCGTGCTTTCCAGTACAATCGTGCTTATACTTGTCGCCCTCTCTAATGCAGCTTCTAATGCTACCATGACGGGAGTTCTCGCTGTTTTGTACTTCATGTTTGTCAACACGGCCTAGGTGCCCTGCTGTCTGCTCTGCAGTCGCTTTATCTCCTGCTAAAAGGAAGTGAGAGCTCTTGGGTATCCGGTAAGACGTCCGGGCAAACGCGATAATGCTTCGATGAGTGTACGTTAGTCGCATCGGCACAGAGCGCGTGCTAACCGGACGAAGCCATGTGCCTGCTGACTTCTATACAATATTCTAAGGCTATCCGGTCTCTGCATGGCACCGCCAGGTGTGTAGTGGGGCCTGTGGCCATTAAGACCCAGAAGAGCCTCTTCTCCTACTTGGCTTCGGAGTCACTCCCAGTAGAGTATTGTTATGAGGCTGGTGTGCAGAGAAACACCGAATAGTTTGTACCGGTACACATGACCCCTTATCCCCAGACGGCACTCGCCATGGCTAGGCATTCGTAGAACCGCAGCATCGTGGGCTTGTGCACCGCTCACTGCCCATGCACGTGTAGCTGCAGACACACAAGCCAGTCGAGAGGCGCTTGCTTGCCCGGCTCCCTCATCACTGTTCAGAACATCGAACTCCTTATGCGAGCCACCGCCGCCCTGGGCAAGCGGGTCTCCCTCATCCCTGCATCAACCAAGATCAAAACCTAGAGTTCGAACTCAGGTGTCAAGCGACTCTGGTGGGAGAAAAAGAACTTTTGTTCTGCCCTCTTCCCAAGAACGAGACAGGACAACCACGATCAGGGGACGATCATGATACGCTCCACAAGGCAGCCCCGAGCCGCCTGGAGACCAGACCCTGGCCTTCCTCGAGACCTAGCAGATTGCGTTCCACTGGATGTACATGGGTGGCGTTTGCATGGCGCAGGGAGACGCAGGCTGATGGGTACAGCGGTCTTGCTCGACATAATGAACTCCAACAGTAGACGGCCTCTGCCAGGCGAGTGTGCCCCGTCCCGAGGAGCTGCGTCGGGGCCTTCCTCCGGCTGCGACACACGAGGTATCTGGACTCGGTCCCTCAGGGCCCTGCGCATGCTTCTGTGCTGCGGGAGACAGAACCTGCTCGCCAGGAGCTGAAGGAGAGGCCCCGCTCAGTACCCATGCCGACGACACATTCAGCTTCCATAGTGACGACAAGCCTGGCGAAACGCTATAGCTCGACGGTCAACACTGGGTGTGGGAGCACTGAGGGGCAGGAGGCCTCCTTTCTAACTAGTCTCGAAGGAGCTTCCAAGACAACGAAGAGCCGAAGCTAGTGATGATGCGCCGATCATTTGCCACGCTTGTCGAGATGGACCCACACGTGACCTATGTGAATCCCTCGACAGGCAAGTCGGCCCTTGGGGTGCTTGGCTGACAGAGGCGGACTGATCCCGACCGCACCGAAGAGTGGTAGCGGCTTGGACCACCTGCCGGGCGTCTGCCGCAGTAGCTGGCAGTGTCTGACATCCTCGAGTAGATGGGCGCCAAGCGAGACGGCCTGAGGGTGAACCAGTCCTGACCGCTCCCGGTGTCTCAGACGACGCCTCTTAGAGAGGTGGCCCTGGACCGACGCCTCGACAGACCGAAGCATCACCCCAGGTGTGCTGTGCGGTGTGAAGACGGACGTAGTCCGCATCGTCAGCTGAGCCAGACGCACTGCACAGGGTGAGCGTCGACATGATCTCGTGCTAGGTGATGGACCACCTGCAAGAGCGCACTGCGATCCATGGGCAGAGGGATGGGCCTCTTCCCCGACACCACCGCATGGGATTACTCCATCGGCATCCATGAACGCGTACTCTGACTCCAAGACAGAGGCGTACGGGGGGCGCGCTCTCCCGGTCATACTCGGGACCGATGATACAATCCACGAGGAGACGAAGAGGCACCCCGAGGAACGGGGTAGACACCCGGGGTCGTGGCGTATCCCATCTTCGTCGTAGAGCATCAGCGCCACAAAGCTACTCCGGAGTACATGGCCAGAGTCAAGCTTCCAAGGCCAGATCCTGTGACCGACGGCAGGCCCTGATATAGCGGGTGTCCACCCAGGTGCCAGACGATAGTTGACTCCGATGGGTCAGAGGAAGGGAAGTCCTAGAGGGCACCGCGAGGAGCGGCAGCTTCCAGGGGAAGCGGGAATAGGAGTTCTTCCGCCGGGATCAAGGGCATCCGCCTCTCGAACTCTGGATTTGGATCTCGGCTGGTACAGGGGCGAGAGAGACTCGCTTGCCCAGGGTGGCGGTGGCTCGCATGGGAAGATTACTCAGATAGCAGGCGACAGCCCCACCCCGGCTAAAAAACTTGAGGCAGCCGTTGCACCCGCCGCCCCCAGGACAGAGCTTCTGCACGCATGGCCAGCTGCCCTCGTCAGTCCGGTCTACTGGTCCAATAGTCTGGGGACCCTTTACGCCGTTTTCTGGCATACGATGTATCGCAACTGCTCATGGGAGTAAGCAGTATGAAAAGGCAATTGCATGTGTGGACAGCGTGTTATGCTCGTCTCAGAGGACCGATGTGTCTAAATACGGATCGCTGTACTGAGCCACACGCCCCACTGTCTTGCGCCAGTGACTGCCTCCACCACTGCACTTGCTACAATGGAGCTGTGTCGGCCCAACAGATTGAACATGCCCCATATCGGCTCCCTCTGACGATGCGTACACGCCGCATAAGGTCTGATAGTAGAGCGGACACCGTGTGCCGAGGCGTCTGCCATTGATGGGAGACAGCACTTGGTTGCACCAGAGGTGCCTTTATGTAGGCCTACAATCTCTGTGCCTGCCCATCCACCGGTTGTAATGACAACTGCACACTCGGAAAGGCGCTATGGAAAGCTGCCTTTCAAGATGAGACGTAAACCCACATATAAAGCCAGAAGCAGAACCTTGTGCACAAACTGTTATGATCCTAGTGTGGTGACCGGTTTGGACTGCGGCACGCTCCTCGCCTATCTTATGTTCGTTTGCATGGTCGCTGCTAATGTTGAACAGGACTGCGAGGAGATCTGTCTTTGGCTGCGCTCATCTTATAACACTTACCCCTTGATGACACACCTTAGCAAAGGAGGATGTCAGCCAGGTGCGTAGAAGGCTGCCCGTGCATGACGATTCCTGGAGAACTGGTTCATACAGAGAAGGTAGAGGTGACTAGCGGACCAGTTGGGCAAGGCTGACACCAGAGAGGCCAGCCACCGACCTGGATTGCAATAGGGACGCCTGTAGTGTCTTTCTTCCCTTCGGGTGTAGAAAGGTCGTGAGGCCCGCGGACAAGCTAGACGCTGCTTTCTGATTTTATGCATTTGTAGCAGCATAGTGTTTATAGGGGTCTGCTTTGCCTGAGGCCGAGGACGTTCGCTTCCTCCTCGTATACGGACGAAGATCGGTTATAAGGATACACTGTGCAGGCTGGTACCAGTCGACGTGGTTGCTGTCCACAAATGTCTCGCCTGCGTCTTCTCATGGCAGATGATTACTAGCAGCGCTCTCAGCCCACGTGGCTAAGTCTACGGTGCATCTCCATTTCGGTCAAGGGTTGTATACGCATTACGTAGTCTGATTGATCATCAGCCAGGATAGTGTGGTCCACTCCTGTCCCCTGCTTGTCCATCTCGTGCAACTACTGCTGATGGCTTTTCTGGGTCAGTGGGTGCTTCCGTCAGTCCCACAAAGGAATGTGTCATGCAGACGGCCACTACAGGCAAGAGTCTTGTCTATCAAGAAAAGGGTCAATCGGTTTACTGCGTGGGGATCCTCTGTGCGTCTCATATAAGCCCGGCAGACCTTGTGCCCCCAGTATCTCCTCACAAGCCCCACCAGGCTCTTTTACCGTCTGGAATATCGCTACTGCCAAGCACCTTAGCTTCACTTGGCCACCCAGGGCGTTGACCCTTTGCAGCGCACTGTGGGCGTACTCACTGTGGGAGATGCACAATCAGCATTGGTCTTCTCAGCTCATCGTCTGTATGGTACTATGCTGCTTCTCAGCACAACCCATTCTGTCGACCAGCAGGCCTTCAGACCAGGCAGCATCCCACCAAGGGGCGGTAGCAGGGACCGTGACGCGTATCTCCACCAAGGCACGGCCTCCTGGGGCATGAAGCGGGACCTCTGCCATCCTGTGGCCCTACTGATTCCTCGGATAGCAGAGATCGGAGCAGCCTAGGCTAGCGCCTTTGGGTCTCCATCTGTTCTCGTTGTCTGAGGTATACTTGACTCCAGAGACTCAGAAGGGTGCTGTACTATGTTCGTGCCTACGAGTCTTAGCCAGGCAGGGCTACCCTCTTGGAGATTGCGCTGAGGTAGCCACATACCTGGAGCTCACCACAGCGGACCCACAGGGTCCAATCCATGGAACCCTTACCTGTCGAATGCAGGCCGTAATTGCAGCCCCACTGGTGCAGACTTTCTTAGAATAACCGGTCGACTATAGAGCCCCCCCCCACTCAGTCCACGTGAATGGACCACTCTCATCGATGGCCTACCTTGCACGCCGAACGATCCCTACAGGCGAACAAAAATCATCCAGCCCGTAGCAGTGGACATCCTCTACACCGATGAATGGATGATCACAGCAGCCGCTTTCCTATTGAAGATTCTCCAGCCACTGAGGCCCAGGCCGGCCTCCTGCAGGATTCTTAGCAGGATCGTGCCCGATGCATGTTTGTGGCACTCCCCTCAAGGTGTATTCTGTTGGACCTTCGCTTCCTATACTGGCCTGCGAACATCGAGCCCTTCTAGCGGGGCCATACTGGAGATCACAAGGATATGGTGTCTTCGGAGACTATCCGGCTTCTGAGCCACACAATAGGGGCCCACTTCTCGCAGCAGCATCACGGAGAGGTGTATAGAGCTATACCATACCCTCTACCAGGTGACATGATGCATAAATTAAGGGTAGGACACTTACACCGATCGGCATATCTACCCATGACCAGACACAGATTGGCCCGAAGGTAGCAATTAAATGTTGCTCGACACCCTTATCAGTGGATGGGCGCCCAACTACCCTGGTACCCGTACGAGGCCACAAGGGGCGCTGGGTCATAGATCTACTTAATGGCTGAGAAAGCGGCATGGACGCATCAGACCCCCATTCTTTCTATTCAAGTAGCCCACGACAGAGAGCCCTTTGACACTCCACACCCACAGGTTCGGGGTGCTGCGGGCAATCGTACTCCACTATTGCTTGCAGCGGATGGCATCAGGATAACCTTGGGTGGGAGAGAGTTGACTGGCCCAGAAAGCAGCGGTTTGGATAGCGTTTCCTCTCTGCCCAGGCTTGGAAGGTCTAGCCTGCGCCTTCTGCGCTTCACCTGACACCTCGTTGTGTACTGGGGTGGCTTATTAGTATTTACTCCAAAAGATCAAAACTAGCGCCATGTGCACTTAGCAGGCCGGTGCGCCTCGTTAGCTAGTTTATGCTGGCTTACGCCTTCCACAGACTCTAGCGGCTGCTGGGATCTTCTCTCGGGATCCAGCAAAGGTTTGTCTTTGAGCGTAGCTCCCCTGCGACAGCAAAGGGTCGCGGGCATGATCTGGTGGGTGGGAATACTAGGAGCGGATAGGAGAGTGCCGGCATACATGGGCCCGTAGAGCTCTAACCAGCGCAGGGAAGTGCAGGTGTCTGGCTCTCCGGAAATGCAGAGGCGCCGGTAGCGGGCATGGGCACAGTGGGGGCGCCCGGGCTGTCCTCCGATTGGCCGCGGAGAAGGGGGATGCCCGGCGCACGGGACGGTTCTGCTGTTTGCTTTTAGAATTTCTACTTCCTTGCGTGCTTTGCAAGGAGTGCGGGGCTCCTCGGATGTCGCTTGGCCAGGCCTGGAGGGCCCGCGATGGACGAGGTGGTGGGCTTATATAATGAACGCGTTTGGCATTCGCTGGGCTCCTCCTTCCTAGACCGAGGTATCGTAGGAGTAGGGTCTCTTCGGACTACCTGCATAGCACAGTCAGATAGACGTTTTTAGCTCTAACTATCGGACTCTTATCTATGTAATAAGCCGAGAGGGATATCAATGTTACTCATAGCCTTCTACCTTGTGCTAAGTACGCTCGCTGTCCGGCATACAACAAATCACCACTCTGAATATCTACGCTCGGGATCTCGGTCTAATAGAGATACAGGCAATCGTGATAATGCATATGCTGCAGGGAACTGCAAGGACGGGATGGAAGAGCAGGTCGGCGCGGATACCGTGTGCAAGCAGTGCAACGCAGGGTTTGTCCCCATAAACGGAGTCTGCACCGCACAGGGCACCCCATCAATTGCGACCGCAGGGTGCAAGCTGGCCAATAATGACCCTCCTGGACAGGACTCCACTGTGTGTGAGCAGTGCGGAACAGACGCCACTTACTTCCTATACAAGGGCGGATGCTACGACGCCAGCACAGGCGTGGGGCAGAGCCTTTGTAAGCGCGCATCTAACGGAGCCTGCACAGAGGCGGGAGAAGGCTACTTTGCTGCACCAAACGCCAAGGCTACCGAGCAGTCTGTTATCCCGTGCTCGGACACGACAGGGGTGACTCTCACCGGAGATAAGCAATACGTGGGGGTGGAGAACTGCGCGACGTGTGATGCTCCAGCTGGAGATGAAACGGTAGCAAAATGTAAGACATGTAGTGACAGATTCAGTTTAAGAGACAACCAATGTGTGCCTTCTAGCGTCAACAAGAGCGGCCTTTCTACCGGCGCCATTGCGGGCATCGCCGTGGCTGCTGTCATAGTTGTTGGTGGTCTCGTTGGGTTCCTCTGCTGGTGGTTCCTCTGCCGGGGCAAGGCGTAGATGTACTTAGGTAGTAAACGCGTTACTTTATGTAGCTTATGTAGATGTGCTGCTAGGCTCACTTGCTGGTGTGTCCAGAAGTTTCACGAGTAAATCCTCGTTCAAGTCCTGGCTGTCCAAAGACGAGAACTGATTGTGGATAACATGACGGAGAGTCCTCTCCAGTGATGCATCCAGAGCCTGGTGCGCTCCTCTGCCGTTTCGCAGGCGTGTGCTCAGGCTGAGTATGCACGTCGGTCCTTTCGGGGTTCAGGCCTTCTCGTGGACTCTCTGCTCTACCAGCGGTGTCTCTCCTTGGTCTTCCTTCACGGTGGGTGAAGCTTGGATCGCCGTCTTTTTTAGATGCCCCGTCTGACTCGGTGATTGCTGTCGGGGCTCTCCCCTGGCTGGGCCCCTCGGTGTCCGTCCGGCTGTGACTCGAGTCAGCGCTCTACGGTCGCAGTCACCTGGGTCTCAGTGGGTTCGGATGGTGGGTGGGGCGGGAGTATGGGACGGTGAGGCTGGAGGGGACTGGTGGGCCATTGGAGCGGTGTTGTCTGTGCCCCTGGCCACTCGATAGACTGGGGTGATCGCAGCTGTGGTGACTGGGGGCTGTGTATCTATAACTCACCCCTCTGTGGACTCGTGAGTGCCTCCATCCAGGCAACCCTCAGGAGTCAGAGAGTGGTGCCAGCCTAGCTGTCCTCCCTCCTCGGTGCCTCCCAGTGCAGACTCACCGGAGGCCACTACCCCGTCAGCCACCCGAAGGAGCCGTGCACACCGGGACAGAGAGGAGACCAAGGGAGCCAAGCAGCCCTGCCATGAGGGTGCACAGCAACCAGCCTGATCTGCAGGGGCTGCTCGAGCGATGGTAGTGGCAGACGACTCCCTCTGACAGCAGCCCTGGTGACTGCACTGGCCTGCTCTCGAGACTGAGTGACAGTGCACACAGACGGACACGAGTGCAGGAGGACCACCCACATACGCTGACTGTGTGCCCATACGAGAGCGCCAGGCAACTACCCGAGCACCCGAGAGGCAGTGACAGACACGGGCACTAGAGATCCCCAGCCAGACACATTGCTATGCTCATCCACAGGGGCATCAGAAGGCCAGGTGGGGTCACCCTCACAACCAGGGCCTGATAGAAGCCAGAGGACTCAAGCAGCACAGCAAAGCAGGCCCAAGGGAGGCACACTCCAGGCAGGTGAGCAGTGGCAGAGCCTTGACAGCTGCCAGCCCCCCATGACACCCAGGCAGGCACCAGACTCCGAAGACTCGCTGGCCTCCACCGATGATCCGAGGGGGCAGTGACCAGAGGAGTGAGGAGACCTTCGGACGCCACAAGAGGCCCGGCTGTCCAGCAGGCGATGGAGCACAGGTGGTCTCTGAGCACCATAAGGCACAGAGCCGACCATCATGAGTGATGCCCGGTCACAGAGATGACCACGAGCACCCTCCACCGCACTCTGAGGGGCTGTCAATCATCCCACTGCCTCTCATAGCAGACCTCCTTGGGGGCAGTGCAGTGGGGCCCAGCTCATGCAGGAAGGTGTACGCCCCTCAGTATAGGATGCCGGCTCTCCCCGAGGGGTCATCAGAGCCACGAGGAGGTGTCAAGGTCCTGATAGATCACATCGGGAACTCCCAAGAGGACACAGCAGGTGATGTTGGGTGACCCTCAGCGTGCTTCTCTCTGCTGGTAGAGCATCTTGAGACCAAGAGGGATCACCTCTGCCTATGAACAACACACAGCGCTCCATGACAAGGACCCACCAGGAGCAGCACAGCTGACCACGGGGACAGTGCAGTCACTGGTGCCCCACCGTGCCAGTCTTCTGGGCCATCACACTAGAGGCCTGAGAGAACCCCATCCCATTCACAAGGTCATCCACACCCCTGCTGGCCCGAGGCGAACTCCCCGTCGAGGCACTGGACAGGGCATGCCAGGGGCTCAGCAGACCCGCGCAGAGCATCAGGAGGGGCTGCGATGGCCTGCCTCACCCTTCACGCACCAGCCAGACAGAGCAGCAGTACTGCCTGAGACATGCAGGGGCTAAGGGAGGCGCTCAGTCGGGGGACACGACACGATCGTCGGTGCCTCTGTCTCGGGAGTGCAACGCAGGCTGGTGATCAGACACAACCACCTTAGCAAACAGAGCGGGGATCACCCACCACCGCAATGACCCACCGGACCCAGGATCACATACGGACACCCCACCTCAGCCCCCACCCGGTCCCCTCCAGCCTCACCGCCCATACCCCCGCCCCACCCCCCAGCTGGCCCACTGAGACCTACGTGACCGCGACTGTAGAAGCGCTGACCCGGGACACAGCCGGACGGACACCGAGGGGCGGCCAGCGGAGAGCCCGATGGCAGCCCCTGACAGACGGGGCATCTAAAAAAGACGGCGATCCAAGCTTCACCCACCGTGAAGGAAGACCAAGGAGAGACACCGCTGGTAGAGCAGAGAGTCCACGAGAAGGCCTGAACCCCGAAAGGACCGACGTGCATACTCAGCCTGAGCACACGCCTGCGAAACGGCAGAGGAGCGCACCAGGCTCTGGATGCATCACTGGAGAGGACTCTCCGTCATGTTATCCACAATCAGTTCTCGTCTTTGGACAGCCAGGACTTGAACGAGGATTTACTCGTGAAACTTCTGGACACACCAGCAAGTGAGCCTAGCAGCACATCTACATAAGCTACATAAAGTAACGCGTTTACTACCTAAGTACATCTACGCCTTGCCCCGGCAGAGGAACCACCAGCAGAGGAACCCAACGAGACCACCAACAACTATGACAGCAGCCACGGCGATGCCCGCAATGGCGCCGGTAGAAAGGCCGCTCTTGTTGACGCTAGAAGGCACACATTGGTTGTCTCTTAAACTGAATCTGTCACTACATGTCTTACATTTTGCTACCGTTTCATCTCCAGCTGGAGCATCACACGTCGCGCAGTTCTCCACCCCCACGTATTGCTTATCTCCGGTGAGAGTCACCCCTGTCGTGTCCGAGCACGGGATAACAGACTGCTCGGTAGCCTTGGCGTTTGGTGCAGCAAAGTAGCCTTCTCCCGCCTCTGTGCAGGCTCCGTTAGATGCGCGCTTACAAAGGCTCTGCCCCACGCCTGTGCTGGCGTCGTAGCATCCGCCCTTGTATAGGAAGTAAGTGGCGTCTGTTCCGCACTGCTCACACACAGTGGAGTCCTGTCCAGGAGGGTCATTATTGGCCAGCTTGCACCCTGCGGTCGCAATTGATGGGGTGCCCTGTGCGGTGCAGACTCCGTTTATGGGGACAAACCCTGCGTTGCACTGCTTGCACACGGTATCCGCGCCGACCTGCTCTTCCATCCCGTCCTTGCAGTTCCCTGCAGCATATGCATTATCACGATTGCCTGTATCTCTATTAGACCGAGATCCCGAGCGTAGATATTCAGAGTGGTGATTTGTTGTATGCCGGACAGCGAGCGTACTTAGCACAAGGTAGAAGGCTATGAGTAACATTGATATCCCTCTCGGCTTATTACATAGATAAGAGTCCGATAGTTAGAGCTAAAAACGTCTATCTGACTGTGCTATGCAGGTAGTCCGAAGAGACCCTACTCCTACGATACCTCGGTCTAGGAAGGAGGAGCCCAGCGAATGCCAAACGCGTTCATTATATAAGCCCACCACCTCGTCCATCGCGGGCCCTCCAGGCCTGGCCAAGCGACATCCGAGGAGCCCCGCACTCCTTGCAAAGCACGCAAGGAAGTAGAAATTCTAAAAGCAAACAGCAGAACCGTCCCGTGCGCCGGGCATCCCCCTTCTCCGCGGCCAATCGGAGGACAGCCCGGGCGCCCCCACTGTGCCCATGCCCGCTACCGGCGCCTCTGCATTTCCGGAGAGCCAGACACCTGCACTTCCCTGCGCTGGTTAGAGCTCTACGGGCCCATGTATGCCGGCACTCTCCTATCCGCTCCTAGTATTCCCACCCACCAGATCATGCCCGCGACCCTTTGCTGTCGCAGGGGAGCTACGCTCAAAGACAAACCTTTGCTGGATCCCGAGAGAAGATCCCAGCAGCCGCTAGAGTCTGTGGAAGGCGTAAGCCAGCATAAACTAGCTAACGAGGCGCACCGGCCTGCTAAGTGCACATGGCGCTAGTTTTGATCTTTTGGAGTAAATACTAATAAGCCACCCCAGTACACAACGAGGTGTCAGGTGAAGCGCAGAAGGCGCAGGCTAGACCTTCCAAGCCTGGGCAGAGAGGAAACGCTATCCAAACCGCTGCTTTCTGGGCCAGTCAACTCTCTCCCACCCAAGGTTATCCTGATGCCATCCGCTGCAAGCAATAGTGGAGTACGATTGCCCGCAGCACCCCGAACCTGTGGGTGTGGAGTGTCAAAGGGCTCTCTGTCGTGGGCTACTTGAATAGAAAGAATGGGGGTCTGATGCGTCCATGCCGCTTTCTCAGCCATTAAGTAGATCTATGACCCAGCGCCCCTTGTGGCCTCGTACGGGTACCAGGGTAGTTGGGCGCCCATCCACTGATAAGGGTGTCGAGCAACATTTAATTGCTACCTTCGGGCCAATCTGTGTCTGGTCATGGGTAGATATGCCGATCGGTGTAAGTGTCCTACCCTTAATTTATGCATCATGTCACCTGGTAGAGGGTATGGTATAGCTCTATACACCTCTCCGTGATGCTGCTGCGAGAAGTGGGCCCCTATTGTGTGGCTCAGAAGCCGGATAGTCTCCGAAGACACCATATCCTTGTGATCTCCAGTATGGCCCCGCTAGAAGGGCTCGATGTTCGCAGGCCAGTATAGGAAGCGAAGGTCCAACAGAATACACCTTGAGGGGAGTGCCACAAACATGCATCGGGCACGATCCTGCTAAGAATCCTGCAGGAGGCCGGCCTGGGCCTCAGTGGCTGGAGAATCTTCAATAGGAAAGCGGCTGCTGTGATCATCCATTCATCGGTGTAGAGGATGTCCACTGCTACGGGCTGGATGATTTTTGTTCGCCTGTAGGGATCGTTCGGCGTGCAAGGTAGGCCATCGATGAGAGTGGTCCATTCACGTGGACTGAGTGGGGGGGGGCTCTATAGTCGACCGGTTATTCTAAGAAAGTCTGCACCAGTGGGGCTGCAATTACGGCCTGCATTCGACAGGTAAGGGTTCCATGGATTGGACCCTGTGGGTCCGCTGTGGTGAGCTCCAGGTATGTGGCTACCTCAGCGCAATCTCCAAGAGGGTAGCCCTGCCTGGCTAAGACTCGTAGGCACGAACATAGTACAGCACCCTTCTGAGTCTCTGGAGTCAAGTATACCTCAGACAACGAGAACAGATGGAGACCCAAAGGCGCTAGCCTAGGCTGCTCCGATCTCTGCTATCCGAGGAATCAGTAGGGCCACAGGATGGCAGAGGTCCCGCTTCATGCCCCAGGAGGCCGTGCCTTGGTGGAGATACGCGTCACGGTCCCTGCTACCGCCCCTTGGTGGGATGCTGCCTGGTCTGAAGGCCTGCTGGTCGACAGAATGGGTTGTGCTGAGAAGCAGCATAGTACCATACAGACGATGAGCTGAGAAGACCAATGCTGATTGTGCATCTCCCACAGTGAGTACGCCCACAGTGCGCTGCAAAGGGTCAACGCCCTGGGTGGCCAAGTGAAGCTAAGGTGCTTGGCAGTAGCGATATTCCAGACGGTAAAAGAGCCTGGTGGGGCTTGTGAGGAGATACTGGGGGCACAAGGTCTGCCGGGCTTATATGAGACGCACAGAGGATCCCCACGCAGTAAACCGATTGACCCTTTTCTTGATAGACAAGACTCTTGCCTGTAGTGGCCGTCTGCATGACACATTCCTTTGTGGGACTGACGGAAGCACCCACTGACCCAGAAAAGCCATCAGCAGTAGTTGCACGAGATGGACAAGCAGGGGACAGGAGTGGACCACACTATCCTGGCTGATGATCAATCAGACTACGTAATGCGTATACAACCCTTGACCGAAATGGAGATGCACCGTAGACTTAGCCACGTGGGCTGAGAGCGCTGCTAGTAATCATCTGCCATGAGAAGACGCAGGCGAGACATTTGTGGACAGCAACCACGTCGACTGGTACCAGCCTGCACAGTGTATCCTTATAACCGATCTTCGTCCGTATACGAGGAGGAAGCGAACGTCCTCGGCCTCAGGCAAAGCAGACCCCTATAAACACTATGCTGCTACAAATGCATAAAATCAGAAAGCAGCGTCTAGCTTGTCCGCGGGCCTCACGACCTTTCTACACCCGAAGGGAAGAAAGACACTACAGGCGTCCCTATTGCAATCCAGGTCGGTGGCTGGCCTCTCTGGTGTCAGCCTTGCCCAACTGGTCCGCTAGTCACCTCTACCTTCTCTGTATGAACCAGTTCTCCAGGAATCGTCATGCACGGGCAGCCTTCTACGCACCTGGCTGACATCCTCCTTTGCTAAGGTGTGTCATCAAGGGGTAAGTGTTATAAGATGAGCGCAGCCAAAGACAGATCTCCTCGCAGTCCTGTTCAACATTAGCAGCGACCATGCAAACGAACATAAGATAGGCGAGGAGCGTGCCGCAGTCCAAACCGGTCACCACACTAGGATCATAACAGTTTGTGCACAAGGTTCTGCTTCTGGCTTTATATGTGGGTTTACGTCTCATCTTGAAAGGCAGCTTTCCATAGCGCCTTTCCGAGTGTGCAGTTGTCATTACAACCGGTGGATGGGCAGGCACAGAGATTGTAGGCCTACATAAAGGCACCTCTGGTGCAACCAAGTGCTGTCTCCCATCAATGGCAGACGCCTCGGCACACGGTGTCCGCTCTACTATCAGACCTTATGCGGCGTGTACGCATCGTCAGAGGGAGCCGATATGGGGCATGTTCAATCTGTTGGGCCGACACAGCTCCATTGTAGCAAGTGCAGTGGTGGAGGCAGTCACTGGCGCAAGACAGTGGGGCGTGTGGCTCAGTACAGCGATCCGTATTTAGACACATCGGTCCTCTGAGACGAGCATAACACGCTGTCCACACATGCAATTGCCTTTTCATACTGCTTACTCCCATGAGCAGTTGCGATACATCGTATGCCAGAAAACGGCGTAAAGGGTCCCCAGACTATTGGACCAGTAGACCGGACTGACGAGGGCAGCTGGCCATGCGTGCAGAAGCTCTGTCCTGGGGGCGGCGGGTGCAACGGCTGCCTCAAGTTTTTTAGCCGGGGTGGGGCTGTCGCCTGCTATCTGAGTAATCTTCCCATGCGAGCCACCGCCACCCTGGGCAAGCGAGTCTCTCTCGCCCCTGTACCAGCCGAGATCCAAATCCAGAGTTCGAGAGGCGGATGCCCTTGATCCCGGCGGAAGAACTCCTATTCCCGCTTCCCCTGGAAGCTGCCGCTCCTCGCGGTGCCCTCTAGGACTTCCCTTCCTCTGACCCATCGGAGTCAACTATCGTCTGGCACCTGGGTGGACACCCGCTATATCAGGGCCTGCCGTCGGTCACAGGATCTGGCCTTGGAAGCTTGACTCTGGCCATGTACTCCGGAGTAGCTTTGTGGCGCTGATGCTCTACGACGAAGATGGGATACGCCACGACCCCGGGTGTCTACCCCGTTCCTCGGGGTGCCTCTTCGTCTCCTCGTGGATTGTATCATCGGTCCCGAGTATGACCGGGAGAGCGCGCCCCCCGTACGCCTCTGTCTTGGAGTCAGAGTACGCGTTCATGGATGCCGATGGAGTAATCCCATGCGGTGGTGTCGGGGAAGAGGCCCATCCCTCTGCCCATGGATCGCAGTGCGCTCTTGCAGGTGGTCCATCACCTAGCACGAGATCATGTCGACGCTCACCCTGTGCAGTGCGTCTGGCTCAGCTGACGATGCGGACTACGTCCGTCTTCACACCGCACAGCACACCTGGGGTGATGCTTCGGTCTGTCGAGGCGTCGGTCCAGGGCCACCTCTCTAAGAGGCGTCGTCTGAGACACCGGGAGCGGTCAGGACTGGTTCACCCTCAGGCCGTCTCGCTTGGCGCCCATCTACTCGAGGATGTCAGACACTGCCAGCTACTGCGGCAGACGCCCGGCAGGTGGTCCAAGCCGCTACCACTCTTCGGTGCGGTCGGGATCAGTCCGCCTCTGTCAGCCAAGCACCCCAAGGGCCGACTTGCCTGTCGAGGGATTCACATAGGTCACGTGTGGGTCCATCTCGACAAGCGTGGCAAATGATCGGCGCATCATCACTAGCTTCGGCTCTTCGTTGTCTTGGAAGCTCCTTCGAGACTAGTTAGAAAGGAGGCCTCCTGCCCCTCAGTGCTCCCACACCCAGTGTTGACCGTCGAGCTATAGCGTTTCGCCAGGCTTGTCGTCACTATGGAAGCTGAATGTGTCGTCGGCATGGGTACTGAGCGGGGCCTCTCCTTCAGCTCCTGGCGAGCAGGTTCTGTCTCCCGCAGCACAGAAGCATGCGCAGGGCCCTGAGGGACCGAGTCCAGATACCTCGTGTGTCGCAGCCGGAGGAAGGCCCCGACGCAGCTCCTCGGGACGGGGCACACTCGCCTGGCAGAGGCCGTCTACTGTTGGAGTTCATTATGTCGAGCAAGACCGCTGTACCCATCAGCCTGCGTCTCCCTGCGCCATGCAAACGCCACCCATGTACATCCAGTGGAACGCAATCTGCTAGGTCTCGAGGAAGGCCAGGGTCTGGTCTCCAGGCGGCTCGGGGCTGCCTTGTGGAGCGTATCATGATCGTCCCCTGATCGTGGTTGTCCTGTCTCGTTCTTGGGAAGAGGGCAGAACAAAAGTTCTTTTTCTCCCACCAGAGTCGCTTGACACCTGAGTTCGAACTCTAGGTTTTGATCTTGGTTGATGCAGGGATGAGGGAGACCCGCTTGCCCAGGGCGGCGGTGGCTCGCATAAGGAGTTCGATGTTCTGAACAGTGATGAGGGAGCCGGGCAAGCAAGCGCCTCTCGACTGGCTTGTGTGTCTGCAGCTACACGTGCATGGGCAGTGAGCGGTGCACAAGCCCACGATGCTGCGGTTCTACGAATGCCTAGCCATGGCGAGTGCCGTCTGGGGATAAGGGGTCATGTGTACCGGTACAAACTATTCGGTGTTTCTCTGCACACCAGCCTCATAACAATACTCTACTGGGAGTGACTCCGAAGCCAAGTAGGAGAAGAGGCTCTTCTGGGTCTTAATGGCCACAGGCCCCACTACACACCTGGCGGTGCCATGCAGAGACCGGATAGCCTTAGAATATTGTATAGAAGTCAGCAGGCACATGGCTTCGTCCGGTTAGCACGCGCTCTGTGCCGATGCGACTAACGTACACTCATCGAAGCATTATCGCGTTTGCCCGGACGTCTTACCGGATACCCAAGAGCTCTCACTTCCTTTTAGCAGGAGATAAAGCGACTGCAGAGCAGACAGCAGGGCACCTAGGCCGTGTTGACAAACATGAAGTACAAAACAGCGAGAACTCCCGTCATGGTAGCATTAGAAGCTGCATTAGAGAGGGCGACAAGTATAAGCACGATTGTACTGGAAAGCACGGCACGCATAACAAGACGTGGATCTTGGCACACAAGAGCGTGGACTTCAAGACCGAGCTAGTGAGGGGCTTCTGCAGAGTCCCGGGCCTCAACAGGTCCTCGAGTGACACAGTGGCTGCGATCACTGCCGACCCTTTTGACCCGCTAGGGGCTAGTTTATCCGTCCTATGATTCGTGATATGACTTAGAGGGTCCAATGGGAAGACTCCGGCTAGGTTCAAGCGACCCGGGAGGCAGACGACCTCCATAAACCGCGCCAGCCTAGTGTCCACCCCAACCCCACCACTATCTATGCAGGCAGTAGTAGCTAGCAATGCATAGCAGCTACACGAAGCTGGTGCTCAGGTTGTAAACTGAAACCCAAGGATCTCCCCCTGGGAGAGGCGGCCCGCGTGCCAGGGGTTGCCTCGCACCTTGGCACGGTTGATACGAGCCCACCGGGGAAGTAAAATGGACGTAGTTCCGCCGAGACTCACGTACTACGACGCCCGGGGCACCGCATTGAAGTGCCGGCTCCTGCTCGCAGACCTGGAGATACGGTACGAGTGGGCGCCCTTGGCGAGCGCTGAGCAGGTGGCCGCGGCGAAGGTAGGTGCACCATCGTGCACGCTCCCCGTGTGGGAAGACAGCGCAGCGCGGGTGGCCGGGGGCATGGTCATTCTAGAGTACCTGGGGGCGAGCCTGGGGCGGTACAGCACGTCATTGCAGGTGCAGGCTGCTGCGCGGGCCCTGGTGCTCTTCTGTGAGGATCTTCTTGCCGCCGTCTGGAAGGAGCCCGAAGCCGTGGCAGAGGCCCTTGCCGCTGGGGCAGAGATGACGCGCTCGGAGTGCATCGCGGCCTACCGACAGAACAGGATCCTTCCGGGATTGACCGTTCTGACCCGGGACGTGCTGAGCCTCCGGAGCCTGGCTCCCGAGCCGCTCTATTCGGACTACGCGGTCCTGGAGGTCCTGTATTATGCGGACGCAGAGTATCCGGAGCTCGTGGACCAGTTTCCACCGCTGCGCGAGCTATCTGATGGCTACCGTGCGCGCCCAGGGATCAAGAAGCTCCTCGCCTCGCTGGTCTAGAGGCCGCGTGGCCGGCACGGGACAGGGCCATTTTCAAAAAGTCCCAACGTGTTTCACTCCAACCAGCTGCCCGTGGCTCCCTGGGACACCTCTTCCCGGGTCAGCGCTTCTGCATACAGGGTGAAGAGGGGCCTGCAGTGGCGGCCGCGTAGCTAGCTGGGTTCGCTCCATCCGGCGAGCGCACGGACACTGCAGGAGAAGGCGCCGTGCAGAGCATGCGCAGCCACGCTCTGAAGCAGGGGGTTGGAGGATACAGCCACCAGCGGCTTCGACCAGCCTGTATCCACGAGAAGTTGTGGCCACTCCGTGCCGGGCCTCCAGTGCTCCATGCAGAGGGAGCACTATATATGCTTATTTGGCAGCGTCAGGAGACTCTGCCCCGTGACTACTTATTTCGGGACTTCTGTGTAAGGCTGCTGAGCAGATGTTAGACGATGCGTTTACCACTTAAATAGATGATTATGTTTATACTTTCCTACAGTAAAAGAACCTCTGACAGAAAGGTTGACAATAAGGATGACAGTGATGGAATCCTTGGCAACGAGGCTATCCTTGTTACTATTGCTGATTTTGAATACGCACTTCTTTCCTTTTAAATAACATTCTCTGGTATATCCTTCACATTTCTTAATTATCCCATAGTGCTTATAGCCTTTTATGGGGTGTATTATAGATTCGCTATCATTTCTCCTGGATTTCTTATTATCTCTGTTGATAATAGATTAATGAACTTCGTGCTAGAGCCTTTACTATCATCGAAACAGCATATTATGAGCGTCTCTTTATTCCTACAAATTTCATTGTTACCTCCCTAAATGTGATTTATCTATTGGCATACCAAGCTTATCCTAGCGTTTGCTCATTCAATTCTTAAATCAGTAGACACCAGTAAGTCTCGTGCATGCATTTTATCGGAATCCAATCAGTATGATCATCCAGTATGCTAGGTAAGTCAAATGTAAATAGCTGCATTTACCTGCACACCAGCAATCAGGCCACTTTTCGTTTCCTGCTGCCACCCTCTATGCTTGGACCTGTAATACAAATGCGTCCTTCCATCAGCCCACGCCATCAAGAACCAGTCCATTCGGAGCAATCAGTTGTATCCACCTACATGAGTATGTTGATGTAATAGCTATACACGACCTAGGCGTACTCACAGGCCTACTAGATGCACAACGCCCTGAACTAGTCCACTCTTTGCGTCCTGCCGTAGCCCTCGATCGGGTGGCCTTGCGCAGTCGTCTCACGAAGAGGTACCACGCAGCGATAGGGGCAGCGAGCACTAGCCGGGCTGTGCAGCGTTCGCCTCTAAGCTGTGCAGCATGTGCTCATGTAGAGAGCTTGTCCGGCGGGCCCTGCCGTGGCCTGCTCCAATGGGGGCTGGTCTCAGTGGCTGGCCGCAGCGCGCAGGAGCCACAGCCAGGGCAGGGCAACTGGGTCTCTGCACGTGCTACAAAGCCGTGTGCACTGCATCGCAACAGGGACGGACACTCCGCGGCCGTGGGCCCGCCAGAGGGTCGGTGGACCTGCACGAGACGTCGCGTTCTCGCGCAAGGCCTGCCTCGGAAAGCCCCGGCCGGCGCGGAACAGCTGCGTGCATCCGTGCAGCCAGCGCAGCCCGGAATCTCGCCGGACAAAAGAAAAAATGCGCGTCTGTGCCTCGAATCGACGCGCCGGTCGGTGTGTGCAGCCAGTGTCGGCCTCGGTGGACGTGTCTCTGTGGTTGCTAGATGTCTGGCCCTGGCACGCAGCCGGTGGGGTGGATCTGGACTGGAGCAGGCGGCTGCCAAGGGCATCGACTGTGTGGGACAGGGCCGGGGGTGGCTTCCGCAGCGGCATCGCTGGTTTGGCTGGGCCGCTGACCCGGCAACTGTCGCCGTACGTGGCCAGCGGAGCCGCCATGCCCCCGTAAGCGGGGAGCCCCTTCCTCGGCCAGAATCGGCTCTAGAATGGCTCCCAGCCTAGGCGTTCGTCCATTCAGAACCCCTCCGTGCGAGGCCTCGATGGTACTGTAGGATGTTTTCGTACAGTCTCTACGGCTGTTCTGTTCGAGCTCGAAAAGAAAATCGGGAGAGCGCTTCCACCCACGCGCCTCTTTTGCCCTTCTGGCTGTAGACCGTGATTCCTCCTCTGGTGCGAGGCGGTGCAGCAGGGGCTCAGGGCTGCCTGGTCGGCCTTCCGAGCGGACCGTCACCCGTGCCCACGGGCCATCCGCCAGTATGTCCTGGCGATTGTATCAGAACAGGGACGTATGTCAGCGGCACCCCGAAGCCGAAGGGGTAGGGCGTCGGCTGTAGACTGAGCACCCCCGACGCCTGGAGATAAGGGACGGCACCAGGGGCCGGATAGACACCCGGGATCGGATAAACATTCGGAGCAGCGCTAGGAGTGGGCGCGAAGGGCGGAACCAAGGAAAGGCTGGATGGTAGGTTCCTTGGCTCGACAATGCTGCAAGCAACAGACTCTGGTGGCGCAGATAGCGAGTTCTCAGGTACAGACGTCCCTGTTTCGTCTTCGTCCTGAGGAGAAGATGGGGTTTCATCATTGTAACCAGGTAGGCGAAATACGGGTGGTTTAAACACCTCCTCGTTAGGGAGGCACTGCTCTGCGCTAGATGGGTGATGGATGGCCGCACATGATCTGCTGCGTCTCGAGGAATGCTGAATACCGCACTTCTTGAAGAGGGTTTTGATACTACGGCTGTTGATTATATTGTTATAAGTCATCCGCAATTCTTGGCGTGGATACTTTTTCCCAAATTTCTCGCGAACCTTTCCATAGATGTCTTCTCTCACAATCCTTCTGCTTTCAATCCCATCTATGATAATTCCACGGATAATCTGACGATCTTCTTCTGTCATCTTTATGTTCAGAATGTTTCTTAGATGCGTTTCACGGTACCAGTGGTAGATCCTGTTGCGATTTTGGTTGATCTCCGTGGCAATTTTGCGCCAGTTTACAGACGTTTTTATAACGTAAGTATAAAGTCTGTAAGGATTTGCAACAAGATCATTTGCAGTCTCTTGGATCTTTCGTACCCTGATAACTTCTTCAGCTAGCTTACGAAGGACCTCAATTTGGTCAGCGGGTGATAGACAGCAGCCAACCATGGTCTTCTGCAAATATTATATATGGCCACAATCTGATGCATTAATATAGCGTAACGGTTGTGATTTGGCGTCGCCGGCGGCTTCTGTGACCAGGATATGCTTCATCTAGCATCTAGGACTATTTCTGCCGCTTGTTTTCGAAGAATATTCTTCACTTTTTTGCTCTATTTTCTCTTTCCATTTCGAGATCCAGGCCTCTTCAACGTAGACCCTGCTCTGCATAGCCTTACTGGTATTTTATTCACACATATATGCCCGTTTACCAGGGATAGCGAGTCTACTGTCAGTCTTTTTTCGAAAGTTTAGCACTAGATAAGTTTAGACTCGTGCTGTGCGCTGTGAAGATCCTGTGTGCTTCTAAGTATGCCTGCAATAAATTCTACAACGAGCTTTAGTCTCGGCACACTGTAGACCCACTAGCTGAGTATATTGACTAACAGGGAGATGATTTGCGCGCCTTTATACTTACAAGAACGAGTGAAAGCTGCGCTGAACAAGCTGCAGACCACGGTCGTCCACGGGGTGATGGCGCGGCTCACAACTAGCTGCTGCATGTACAGAACAGCACACATGGTCAAGGTCGGTCATTTACGGCGAAGAGCAAGGCCCCAGAAATTAACAGGAAGCGCCCCAGCGAGCACGACAAGGCCCCACAAGGGCGCGCTGAGCTGCAGGCCGTGCGGTGGAGCGGGACGGAAAGTGGACGATGAGGGATTTGAACCCCCGGCCTCTTGCATGCTAGGCAAGCGCTCTACCAACTGAGCTAACCGCCCTCGGAGCGGAGAAAAATACCAGAACAGATGGCAGAGTACCGTGTTGTGTGGCCCGGGAGCGGCGCCTCGTGTCCTCGTTTACTGCCTGGCTGGCTGCGCCCGGAGCGCGAGCGTGAACCCCCGCCCCGCCCCGTCGCAGGTGACTGTAGCAACAAAGTGTTGGCCTACTGTGTTAGAAGAAGCACCCTTAAATACAATCTCTGCATCCTCAACATAATCAAGTGAAAAAATTGCATTATTTCTAGAGTCCATTACGTTCAAAGGAAACTTTGGGGTAACCTTTGACGAACAAAATGGAAATGAAAGAGTCAAATCGTCCAAGACATGGAGATTAACAACAACCGTGAGCTCAGTGAGCTTGTTCAAGGGTGCTATGTATCTAGCCGAGTAGTATCTGTGAAAGTCTCCAGTAAAGTAGGACTCGCCAGAGATTCCACTGAATTCTAGCCTGCACGGCTCTTCGTTGGCAGCAATGGGTGCCCCAAGTGAAATGTTACCTGGTGTACACGTAAGCACACGCTTTGGAATAGTGAATGTAAAACTGGATTGGCCAAAGGAGTCTATGACGAGCTCTTTAATGTCTTTTGTTACCGTCATGATTCTAAGAGAAGAGTTATTCAATATTAAGTTATATGGTATATAGAATTCCTCAGGATGTAAGCAGGAAAATGTCTCGGGAGTAATAGATGAATCTTTTTCGTCTGTTCTAAAATCTAAAACTAAGTTACCGTTAAAGGTTACATTAGATAGCATAACTTTTTTCAGGCGTAAGTCATAAATTAGAAGAGGCGAAATGCAGAACCACGTTGATAAATTGAGGACTAATCCATAGTTACTAGAGCAGATAATTCCCTTTAGTCTAGCAGTAGAAGCTTCGCTAAGGTTCATAAACCAGATGGGAACATTAGACTTGTTGTACTGACTGGGAAGAATGCTGGATATTTGTGTTGTACAGTAATAATTAGTCTTGGGGACGTCTGAAAGATTTGGTATACCATGTGCTTTCTTCTGGTCGTCCGTAAACCTGGTGTCGCTGTATATGCTCTCCACGCTACTCCAATATGAGAAGCTATACCACATGGAGTTAACCCATATACGCTTTCTGTTAGGGTTGAGGATATCGACACTAGCCGCAATACCGCCATCTGTGGGCCTGACAGATGCCTTTGGAAACGTGGTAAACCACAGGGAGTCCATGCATATGCTGTGTGCAGGATCTGCACTATTGGTGCCGTTCATCACGATAGCCATTGGAAACGCTCCTTGAATCAAGCGTGGGGTAACATTTGGATCGATGTTAATTAGATAATTTTGTTTTTCCTCAATACTGTTGGGTTCGTAGTTGGTATTCAAACCATACGGCTCGAGAACAACGATGTTGACGTCCTTCAGGTATCCTTGCAAATAATATGCTATAGTTTCTCCTGGGTGATAGCTTGATGCGTTAAACAGGAAGCCTTTATTCTCCGTAGGCAGGGAAGTATTTCTTATGCGAATGCTGTGAACTGGCGCCTGGAGGTAACAAAAAAGCAAATCGGATGCGTTATAAATGGTTGCTAAAATGAAGGTGACTAGGTAGATAATTAGGATGAGGCGGATGGTGTAGTACAAGGGAGAGTTGTTGAGGTGCTTTATGTTTGTATCTCGTTTGACTATGAGACCCTCCTTACGCAGGCTGTCCATGTAACCCTTCGCATTTGGCGAGAGGAACAGAGCGTCTGCAGAGTCCTCCTCCTGCATCTTAAGACGCAAAAACAACACACAAGTACCTTTTCTCTTCGCAATGTGCGTTTATATTGAAAATTTGAAGCAATTCTGCAACTTTGTAAGTGCGTTTTATATGCCGAGAGAAGTTATTACGATTCAGTGCGGCCAGTGTGGAAACCAGATAGGCGAGGTCTTCTGGAATAGGTTGTGCACTGAACACGGCATAAATCCCGACGGGACTCTCAGGCCAGAGGCGTACACCTTCAATGACAGGAAGGATGTCTTTTTCTATCAGTCTGATGACGAGCACTACGTTCCCCGGGCCATCCTACTAGATACAGAGCCAGGCGTGATCAGTCACATTCGTAACGGGCCTATCAAAGAGTTGATCAACCCTGAGAACGTTTACATTGATTCTACGGGTGGGGGAGCTGGCAACATATGGACGAAGGGGTTCCAGTGTGGAGAAGCTGGCTTTGAGAAAATAGTTGAAATTATTGATAGAGAAGCAGACGGAGCGGACTCATTGGCCGGCTTTTCTCTAACCCACAGTATCGCCGGTGGCACAGGGTCTGGTATGGGCAGCTTCTTGCTTGACAGACTTTCTGATCGGTATCCCAAGGCGCTGCTGCAGACCTATAGTGTCTTCCCCAACACTACGGCAGATATCATTGTGCAGCCTTACAATAGCATACTAACTCTTCAGCGCCTGGCACTGTGCGCGGATGCAGTTGTTGTTCTGGACAATACCGCACTCGATCGGATAATTACTAATCATATACCCAATGAGCTACTTACCAATCCGTTTGAACACGTCAACTCCTTGGTTAGCACCGTTATGGCAGCCAGCACCAGCACCTTGAGACTTCCTGGGTTTATGTCCAACGACCTGCTTAGCCTGGTGTCCAGCCTGGTGCCCACTCCCCGCCTTCACTTCTTGATGAGTTCATATACACCCATAACTTCATCAAGCTTGAATGTAAAAGAACACACGAAGGACCAGGAGGCAGGGTCAGGAGCGGTAGCAGGGGCCGCAGCTGGCGCCACCCGCAGGCAGGTCCACACAGATTCTATCGTTCAGCTGGTTAAACGCCTTCTCCACCCAACAAATGGGATGGTGAGCTGTGGCCGAGATGGAAAGTACATCTCTCTACTGAACATTGTACAGGGTGAAGCCGAAAGCAATCAGCTTTATAAGTCACTTCAGCAGATTAAGGAGGGCAGGGATGTTAAGTTTATTGACTGGGGCCCAAGTAACATGCAGATGGCCTTATCCAAGCGTTCTCCATTTACTAACGAAGCACATAAGGTGTCCGGTCTTATGCTGGCCAATCACACAGCTATCCGTAAAATCTTTGACAATATCAACAATACATTTACACAATTGTTCAGTAAGAGGGCCTATCTGCAAAACTACATCGACAGCATGGTAACCGGAGGAGAGCCTGAAATTTTAGAGCAGTTCACGGATGCACAAGCTGTATGTACATCTCTAAGTAAGGAGTATGAGGCTGCAGAAAGCAAGGACTACCTTGAGTATATCGGGATGTAGGATAGAGTGTGCAATAGACAAGTAAACCGGGGCATTTAGGGGGGGTCATGATTAGAGGGTTTTAAAAGCCCCAATGATTTGGTCACTTAACTTCATTAAAAATTTCAAGATTGCATTTTAGAAATATGCCCTCCAATGATGACCTTCAGAGCTTGCTGGCCAAATATAGAGTGGCCCCACAAATACAGGCGACATTAGACAGCGCTCTATCTCGGGCTAACGAAAGGGTAGATCAGCAGCCCGTGCATACAAATATTGCTGAAGCTGTGGCTGCCCCTGGGTCGACAGAGCTCCAGCCAGCAACGAAGTATAGCGGATCTTTGGCGCCAGAGATATCAGGTTCGTCACCTGGAACAGCCAGGCCCGGTGAGAGGCCTGCAATTCTTCCCAGAACAATGGGAGCAGATGTCTCCGTTAAGAAAGAGGACGGTCATAGAAATAGAGAAGCAGGAGATCAAAAGTCTCAACAGGTATTGCCAATGGGACTAGCCAAAGGTCAGACTCCGATAGAGAAAGCAGAGAAGAACGTCAAGATCTCTGAAGCCATTGAGCACTACAAGGAAGAGCCTCCGAGGCGCCTCGGTGCACACTCTGTGGGGACGCAGACACCACCTGTACTCACGGAAGAGAATGAAACGCTCCGCAGACTGCAAGGAGAGCTGGACCATGTCAAGGCCCAGCTGTCGTGTTTACAGGCAGAGGTCATCAAACAATTCTTCAATCTAAATAGCAAATTGACGGCTTTTTTATCTCAACACAAGTAGTAAAGCTGTTAGCAAATCACTAAAATGTCATTAGCAATTATTCCTCGCAGTTGAGCTGAAAACGGCCCCAGTTTCCCCGTTTGTAATAGACATCGTTGTTATAAACTGCCAGAAGGATGGTGCCTAATGAGAACGGTAGAGTATAATCCAAACGCGCAAGCATATCGTCGTCAGCAAACGTCATCCCAAAGAACCTCGACCAGATATATGGCCAAGAGACGTAGTGGAAAAGAAGGTAAAAGAAGAAGCCGTAGAGATGCCCCAGTATCACAGAAAAGAAGATGTAAAGAACGATACCGTACCTATTGTGACGTAGTTGATTAGTAAACGGGTCGTAGACACGACAGAGACCGTGCCACATAGGCCCAGACAAACGGAAGCCAACAATCTGGAAGCCCACCCAGCTCATGGAAATATTGCTCCACACAGCATTCGCTCGCGCGTAGAGCGTCGCCTTTGGAAACGCAAGGACGTTAATTCCATACAGAGTGGCCCACTGTAGAACAGCATATCCTAGGAACGGAGGAAGAACATAACTCAGCCGCTTTCCCGGTGACAGTTTGCTCAAGACCTCTCGCACTAGGAAGCGGTGTATTGATAGAAAGCTCAGTGTTCCCATCACAAAAGTCTGCATCATCCCACCCAGGAGCTTGTATCCTTCATAATCGGTAAACCTGGGTAGCTCCGGTGTCCAGAACAGCGTCTGGGTTAGTATCTTATCAACAAAAAGGAACCAGATGAAGAAGGAAACTGCATGTACAAAGACCATGTAACGCCAGCCAGATAGGCCAGGGATAACATTGCCACCCAAAAACGCATTAGTCATATTGAAGATAAGAAAGAGCAGCTGTTCTCTAAACGTGATAGCCCACACCGCAGGCATGTGGTTAGTCGAGCGATCAACCTGGAATACAGCTGCTATAGTTAAGTATTCTAGAAGGTATAGAGGAACGTATGTTACTAAGCAAATAAGCAGGAATATGAAGTTAAACATGGGGACTGGAATGTTTTTCTTCTGCGTCCAACTGATAAACCTATCATCTAGAAGCCCAAAGAACAGTGAAATGGACGCCACACCGAAATGAGCATGGAGTCCCCCTCCTATTTCATTCATGAGAGACTTATTGAGCCCTAAGACAATAAATGTAAACACTGCAAACAATACTGAAGCGGCATAGCCCAACACAAAGTCAAGAAGTGACAACGAAAAACCGATAGATAGTCTTTTACAGACCGACCCCCGGTCAATGAAAGGGCTATCACGAGGGAATTCAACGACGATGGTGGCCGGATTCACGGAATTAGAAACCTGGTCTGTGGCGGAAATAGCCATGTTAATGTTCTCTTTGTAGTGCGACTCGCCAAGGGCAGTACTGACGGAGCCGCTCATTGTAGTCATCGTTAGAGCAGAAAGCCAAAGTGGCCGTCTTTTTATCAACTCTATACATTTTATTCAGCAAAAGTTTCTATCTAATTAAAACAATTAAAGAGGTGCTGGGAGGTGTTTTGGCATACTGATGGGGCCTATAGCTCCCTTTGGGCCCAGCCCATTGTTAGATAGTGGACGCTTAGCCTTTGGACTAGCAGACCCCTTACTCACACGGCCCGTGAGCGGACCAGTCTGACTGAAGGATCCCATGGGTACGCCCCCCGCACTGAGGCCCGCGGTTCCCAGTGGCGCTCCAATCATATTGCCTACGATAGAGTTTTGCTGGGCGTTCATTGCGTGTGCAGGGACGCCCGGTATCTGCATAGTTCCCACTCGGCTGTTCTCCTTATGAAATCGCTTGTTGTAGGACTCTTCTCGTGCTAGAAGCTCTCGTTTATAATAAGCGACTGCTTTGGCCGCTGCATCCAGCTCTTGTTCGCGCTTATCTAACAGTGCCCGAAGCTGATTAATTAGCTCCACATCTTCTAGACGACTAGGCCTGTTTTTGAACTCTGCCTTTAAACCTTCGATCTCAAACAAGAGCTCATTTCTTGACTTCTCAGCCTCTGCCATGGCCTGTGCCAACTGCTCGTTTGCAGAAGTTAGTCTGCCCTCATACTCGCTAATCAGGCTATTGATCTTTTCCTGGTGTTCCTTTTTGAGGGCGGCCAACGCTTCCTGGTGCTTTCTAAACTCTTCGTCTAGTTTGCGTCCAGCGTCAGCTGTTACATGTTGAAGGCGTGCCTCGAGACCTTGTATCTTCTCATGGGACAGCCGCTGGCTTTCGCGCATGCTTTCAAGAGCCTCCTGGTTAATTGCAAGTTCTTTTCGGAGCGCTCGAATCTCCTTTTCATGCATATCAGTCAGCGAGGCTAGAGCTTGTTTGCTACGCTCTAGCTCACCAGATAATAATAAGTTTTCATCTGAAAGCTTTTTAATCTTTTCCTGCTCTTTTGCCAGTTGCTCGTCGTGCTCTTTCTGTAGAAGTGCTGTTCGAGCGTTGTTATCTGCTATGGTGATATTTAGTTTTTCCATTAGATCCTTATATTCACGGTCACGACTAAGGTACTTCTCTTGTGCAGACTTGAGCTCACTCTTCATCGTATCTATTTGCTGATCTTTCTCTGCTGCCAGCTTGTGACCTGCTTCCATCTCTCGTGCAAGTCTTGCCTCTAATTCAGTTATTTGTTTTTTCAATTGAATAGCCTCTGCTGACGTTGTATTGAGGGTACTGCCCAGAGTGTTCTCCATCTCGGCTATTTGTTCCTCCAGGCATTTGATTTTCTTGCTCAATTCTTTTATTTCTTTGGAAGACAAATCAGCTTTTCTAATCTCGTCTTGATATCTTTGGGTAATCTCCGCCAGTTCACGCACTTTACAATCTAAATCTGACCTTACAGAACCTAACTCCAAACGATAATTTTCCAGTAATTGTTTGAGATTTTCTATCTCACTTGTTAGTGTAGCCGTCTGTTCTGTCTTTTTCCCAAGCTCGGCATTCAAGCCATCAATCTGTCGCCGAAGGCCACCTACCAATTCTTCGTACTCTCGTTTCATAGTGTTACTGGAGTCAGCCTCGTTCCGCATGCTGGTAATATACTGTGAGACGCGCAATAATATTGTTTCTGCTTGTGAATCTAGTAATGATGAAATATCTCTCTGGGATAACTCCAGGGCATCGAGCAATAGCTTGCATGTCTCTTTCGTTGAGCCGCAGAACTGCTTTATCTCCACCTGGATACTATCCACTAACAGTTTGTACTTCATAACCTTAGTCTTTAGTGCTTCTATTTCATCCTGTGTCTTCTGCATGAGAGACGCGTTCAGCTCTTGTGCAGAACTCAGTCCACTGAGACTTTTTGATAATTCTGTCTCCAGTTCTGAAATCTTCTGTTCTAATCGTTCCACCTTCTCCTGATGTAGCTTCTCCTGGTCAGAAATGTGCGCTTTTAGTGCTGCAGATTCTGCTTCATGAGTATCTCTCTGCGCTTGTAGAGCCTTCTCATGATTTATCTTTTCTTCTACCAATGATTGCTCAAGCTCCTGTATTAGTGTCCTGAGCTTTGCTTCCAGTTGGTTATATTTATTGGACTCGCTGGATTGGGCAGTAATAAATTCATCTCGAAGACGCTGCAATTCCGTTTCTAACTTGACCACCTGTGCAGATGCGGCAGTAAGCTCTGTTTGAGCCTTTTCTTTAGCAGTGCGCTCGGCGGCCAGCTGCATCTTTAATTCATCTATCTTTGCGTTAGCATCAGAGAGCTGTGTCCGGAAGAACGATGCTTCCTTAGTGGCATTTTCAAGAGATAGCTGGAGCTTCCGCTCAGACTCCGAAGAGGCAGTGCTCTTAGACTGGAGGTCCTCTATACGTTTTCTGAGTCCGTCAATTTCTGTATTAAGCTGTGACTTATCTTGCTGTAGTTGTTTTAACAGTAAGTCCTTCTCCCCCACAGCTTTATCGAGCCCAGCACACCTGGTCTCGAGTTCTCTCAGCTTTTTTTCTAGCTCTCTAGACCCTGCAGCATGCTCATCAGATGCTTGCTTCCAATTAGCAATCTCAGTTTTCAGCTGAGCTATCTCCTTTTTCAACTCTGTAGAGGTGCTGACTTCCTGTTTATAGTTTGCTTGTGCTGTCTTAAGTTCTGCTTCCAGGCTATCTATTCGCTTTACTAGCTTGTTTATTTGGTCCCCGCTATTGAGGGACTGAGAACGTGCTTCTTCCAACTGTTTTTCTAGGGCTGCTATCTTCTTTTGCGTAACATCACTTAAACTGAGCTTGTCTTTTAGTGCCGCATTCAGTTGCTGCTTTAGATCATCTACGTCCCGTGTAGATTTGTCTAGATCTGCACGGACGGCGTCTAACTCCTTCTGCAATCTATCGCGAGCCGCTGTCATTTGGGATAACTGGGCCGCAAGGGCTTCGTTTTGGCCCCGCAGCTCAGCAGATACGCGTGCAAGCTCATCTTTTGCGGCTTTGCGGCTGTTCCGCACATCATCAACGTTATCTCTGCGAAGAGCGTCCACCTCGAGAATGAGCTGATCGATCCGCTGCTTCGTGACATCCTTGAAGCGGGTCATTCTCTCCTCGTTTTCCTTCTTGTATTCGTTCATCTTGCTGAGGAACTGCATTTTCTCCTTCTCTAAACGCTTGATATCACCTAAAAGCTTAGTGACCTCGGCCTCCAGGTCCTGCTGATGCTTCCTAAATTGCTCCTGTACCTGGCGCACCTTTTGCTCGTTGTCTGTGGCCATCTGATCGATCTGTGCCTCATAGGACTTAGCAATAAGGTTGAGGTCTATGTCCCTATCCTCGCTCTTTACGTTCAATTGATAAACCACTTTAGTTAGTTGCGCCACTTTCTTGCACAGGAGTTGATGTATACTGAGCTGCTGTTCCCCCGTGGACGCCATTTTCTGAAATTTGAATTAACAAGACTAAATTTACTGCACAAAGAACAGCACTGGTACCTGGCTCAAGTACCTGGCTCAGGTTCAAGTGTGAGACAGATCAGAAGGACAGCTGCGCTAGATCATGCCCCAGAAGTCAGAGGCCACGTGGATGAGTTGGAGATCCGTCTTCTCATAGCGGTCGTCGGTGTCGCAGTGAACTAGTAGGGCATCGGTACGTAGAATCATCTTCACCAGTACCTCCATCGCAGACTCAATAGGCTGTTCCTCCTTCTCTCCTAGTCCTGCATCCTTGTGAAGCTCCGTGTCTATCTCCAGAGAGGACGGTGGTAAGAAGCTCAAGGAAAAGGATTGTGCTATCGGAATATAGTATGCCAAAACCTTTATGGCGCTCTCAGGAACTCTTCCATTGACAGACAGGTCCTGCAGGACATTGTATAGCAGTCGGATCACCTTGTTTATAACAAATGCTGCTCGTATCTTTGCCAGAAACAATGAAAAGTCAACGTGTGGAACATTCTGGATCATGCAGAGAGGCAGCACTTTGTGCATGCTCGTTTGCGATAGTAGCAGCCGGCCTTCCTCGTTAACGAGCTTGTTCGTGAGAATGTAGTGGCTCGACGCGTTGCAAATGCCCTCTACATACACCTGGTTATCCTTCAGGATTGAAAATAGACGACTCATATAGAGACAGAAGATATCAACCGCATCCAGCGGAAGCTCTGATATCATATCGAGAATCAGCTTGATGGGAACAGACTCCTGAGCCAGAGTCCTATAGTATCTGTAAAGGAAGTCGTATGGGTCTGCTGGCCGCAGAAGAAGAAGGTGTTTCATCCCCACTTCGTAGACTCCTTGCACAGAGACTACCGTCTCCTCTGCTCGATGTAATACTCTTGCCGTGTTGTTTAATGTTGTTTAAATCTGGGTTTTTATTTTTTAATTCAAAAAAATGAGCAGGTAAATCTGATTGTAAAAAAATAAAATCTGTTCCAGTTCATTTAAACATTAGGGGCAAGATTGGACAAGGCTGTCGATCCTCAGTTTTCCAAGGTAGTGATCTCTGCAGAAGCGTGATGAAGAAGAACCATGAAGCGAACAGGCCAGTTGATTTTCCACGGCACACGTTGGGCATTTGTCTGGCTGTTTGAGAGAAGGTCCTGCAGAAACATAAAGATGAACATCTGCTTGTAATCCAGGATGATGGTCACCCGCATTTCGCCGTGCATTTCCATGTACTTCTTTTTTGTGCGATCATCTCCAGTGAATCGTGCGCACGAAAATGTAGAGCTATATCTGTCGATCATAAAGCGACCATACTTTCCTTGGAATCGCACAACTACTTTTAAGCAATGAGAATAGAGAGGCCTGTTTGGAAGCATCTCACTGAGAAGCACACAGATGTCCAGGTTTGTAGCGTCAACGGCGTATCCATTGTTGGAAACCGTGTACATGTTCATCTCTCTGTTAATATCCTTGTTGCTATTGCCATCGACGCTTGGGACAAATGAAGTCGTTGGCTTGTTGGACAGCTGCATTGTGGACCTGTTGCTTTTTGAGGCTGCATATGGTACCACTGTGGTGACATTGGTTCGCTGAAAAGATGCATATAATGGCTTCGATGTCGCGGTATTGACCAGTTCAAATTGGGGGAAAGAAGCCTCGCAGTTGTCATCCTGTCCACTTGCAACGTTGTGAAGGTCGTCTATCACCTTGTTGACTCTCTCACTCTCGTGGAGCAGTATTTCATCAATGGAACCAGTAGATATTCTAGGGACATAGATATACTCAAACCGAACATAGACAGACGCAGGAGGATTGCACGTAGGAGCAAGAGAAACAGTGGACGTTATCCTCGTGTCTTGGCTAGTTTCAACAGACCTTAGGCTCTCCCCAAAGTGGTACGCTTCAAACGCATTACTTGCATATGCATAACACAGCTTGTCATAGTTATAGAAAGAGCGATACTCATCTCGCAATATATTTGGTGGAAAAGATATATCCAATAGGGTTTTGGGATTGATTGGCCTCTTAATGGGTCCAACGTTTCCGTTCATTAAAAGTTCTGGATTGGTTGGACTCTGTAGACGGGTTGCTCGTTCATTTATACCATTTATCAGAAAATTGACCACCGGGATACACGGCTTGTAGATGTTTCCACCGCCAAATATCAATAGTAGAAGGTTCCAGACAATGGTATCCGTATCATTTTCTCCATAGAACAGTTCTTCTGTGTTGAACATGTGTGTATAATCAATACAATGCCCCATGCATAGAAACAAAAGGATGGGCTCTTCATAAAGGCCCCCAAGAGATGCCTTCAAATCCTGCCAGCTAAACCTGTAACTCTCCGGTGCATGGATACTCTTTTTCAATCTTTCAATGGATTTATCCTCTAGAAGCGGATTGTTTACGCCATCAAACTTGTATCCATCCATGTAATATTGATTCGTAATATTAGCCAATAGCTCTGCCTTTGCAGCCTTTCCCAACCGATACATAGAGATGTTGTTGAGAACATGGTCGTTCTTTGGCGCTTTCTCAATGTCTTTCTTGCTAAGATTAAGCATGGTGGTGTCGATGTCAAGTCTACGCGTAGAGCTTCTATTGCTGAAGCTGTGGAGACCGACATGGCTAGATACACGCTGACGGTACTGAGATGCTACGAGGCTTATGTAGTTCCCCTCCTCGTATGAGCCTCTGGGGCTCTTGCTGCCATACTGTCTAACCAGTGAGTGGTGGAGAATTGACAGATTGTCATCGTCAGGGTGGTACGGCGAATAGATAGAGATATAAATATTGGTGGTCTGAGGGGTGACAAGGGAGTTCGATCCCACAAATAGTAGGCTTTCCCAATGAGACATCTTGTTGGCGACGTTGTTATACAGTGACAACGACTCAGCGCTGCTATTGCTGTTGCTAAGCATAGAAGACCCCATTTCCAAATTTAGAGACGATGTCAGCGGGATCATTTCTAAGTGGGAGGGAAGATAGGGAGTGAATGGAATAGGCTTTTGGAAGCACTCTTTCCACGATGTCAACCTCAAATAATTGGGCGAATATACGGGTGATTTGCAGAGATAATATTTGGAGTTCATGGCCCAGGGAGAGTCGAACGCCAACATGACATTGATTGGTTTAGCTGTGAGGACCGTTTGCACAGGAGTTCCATCAGCATATAAAACATAGAGGATACGGGCACCCACTCGATGCGCAACAATTATGAATTCACGGCCGTTGAAAGAGGGGGAATTGTTCGTCACTACAAAATCCTGTTCGTGCGCTTCAGATTGGCTTCTCGTCACGTTGGTTATTTCGTCGAAGAAGATCCAAAAAGGAAGGCCTGCCTCCACTATGGATTTAAGCTTGTTCCATATGTCTATAGAGTTTTTCACACTATCAATCGAGGCATCAATCCTTCTAATATCAGTATGAAATGAACATGCGTGCCTAATGACAGAAGATCTGACCGGAGACTGGACCCTATCCAGCTCTCTGCTTATGAAGACATCATAAAGATAGTCTGGACTGCTTAAATGGGAAGCTGCAGCATCTAGTAGGTCATGGTGTGTGTCAAGCAACGACAAAAGCTCACTTAGGGTGTGTTTGAGGGCAGTGTCCATAGCATGTGCCTTGTTGTCAGCGGCTCGCTTGTCGCCTTTCTTAGCAAAAACGTTTTCATATAGAAATTCATAAGTTTTTATCGCTTCGCTTTGGTATACCCCACGATTAAAGGTAGAATAATCCAGATACGATGATTTTCCCGGCGGATTAAGGAAGTAGTCCTGTGAAATGTTTTTATGTCCTCCCAGCTTTCTATCCCTTGAAATGTCGTACGTCACCAGTTGAAGAGTGCATCCCTTGGGCATGGATACTCCACAGATGGATACGGGGGTCTCCAAGGTATCGGTTGTGGTGAGTCGAGGATCGGCCAGGGGAATAGGGGTTGTTATTGCAACGCCCTCAGTGTCTATAGTGGCAATTCTGTAGGACAAGTCGATAAAGCCCATAAATCCCAGAGTGTTTCGAAGAAACCGGAAGCCATTGGAATAGGAGGCATTGTCAGGCATTTGCCTGTACATAACTTCAGCTACTCTGTGCCAAGCGAGTGGTGTAGATAGCTGAGACAACGAAAACCAGCTCTGAACTTGTGCATTACTCATCGACGCGAGTACTTTTGTACGGCGCTCATCTGTGTGCTGGAGAACGCTAATGCACGCAGTGTTGATAGAGATACAGAGGACATACGAACTAATCTGAAGATCAAGGGGAGGTCGATCACTGATTAGGTTGCTTTCCAACGATACCATTTTCTCATAGAAATCCTTGTCAAAGAATTGAGAAAGATTGTCAAAAGTTCTGAGTATAAACCTGTCAATCTTAATGAGAGTGCCGTCGCGGTGCGACTGCATTTCCACGCCGTTTTCACTTACTAAGAAATCATAAAGTCCAGAGGACCTAATAGATGGTATCTCGGGTTCAATGACGTTAGAAGACAAGAAAATGGGAAACAATGCACATAAAGGTAATGCCTTGAGAACTTCTTTGTGGACACATATTAGTCTCACATTAGGCTTGATAAGGTCCGAAGAGCGTGTATTGATCACCATGGAAGATAGAGATCCCAAGGTCTTAACAAGCGAGAAGACAGCAAGAGAAAACTGTGATGCATCTAAGTTTTCCAGTGATGACTCAGTGGCTGTAGTTGAAAAGTTATATTGCTGGATTGGCTTCTGGTTTGCTGAAACATTAAGAGCTCCCAAGTCTACTTCTACATAAATAGTCGATTCATCAGCGCACACCGTATGGTTGCCCATCTGCTTACCGAAACCATAAATGTTCGACAGTTCAACGGGCTTTCTAACTCCAGTAAGTTTATCCCAAACAGGCGGCGCAGACTGCACGAATTGCATGTGCTGTTCCACAGTAGAAGTTGTGGGTTTGAAAGGTAGCACAGCTGGCTTTGGAGAAGGCTTGCTAGCAGTGTGTTTGTACATAATCTTCTCCGAAGAGAGCACGACCTGTTGTGGCTGCTGTGGAGTGGTAGAAAAAGCTATGGTAGCAGTGGCTGACACACCAGGTAGTGGGGGCGTGGGTGCACAGAGACCAGGCGGCTCGTTAAGTGGTGGTTCAATCTTGGAAAGCAGGGGAGTGATAAGATTGGAAGTAAAATTATTTTGGAGATAGTGAGAAAAAGGACTAAACGTCTTTTTCGGATTTGGAAGGCTGGCCTGTACACTAGCTATATTGCCAACGACTTTAAGGCTGATATTATTGAATTGGATAAAAAAGAAAGGGCTGACATGCCCCTGTGCCTGTGGAGATGTTAAGCGATAATTACAAAACAAAGGCTTGACGACTCCGTTGATAGCCAGTGAGAAAGAGAGCTCTTGAGCACTATACGTTGCTAACAGAGTAACAACGTCAGTGTCAAAGAATCTAAGCATGTCTAGTTGCTTTATTTTATCTTGAATGACGTCCCAGAAGATTCCTGGGGAGTCTATAGCACAGAGAACTTGACTATCAGATAGGTCATTGGCGGTACGGGGATTATTCATGAAAACGTTAAAGTAGTTGAACTCACCAAGCAGTAATGAGTCAGGCAGCTTCATGACTCCAATGGTGACTAACGGTGGCAGATGCAACGGAGTCTTAGTGTGTGCACCAGAAGGGGTCTGTCCACGAACTTGAATTGTAAGATGAGAGCCCTGAGCCGTGGAGGCATGTGCATTGATCTTTTTCAGTAGAACAAGCACATCGTCAGGGGTTTCTCCCATGTGTGTTAGCTCGGCCCCATCCTCAAGACTAATCTCCACGGCGTTGCGCCCATCATTCCTGAGCTGGTAATATAGTGTATGTTCAATAGATAGCGCCGCAGTCTTCATAGTCTTTTCGCTGTGATGCTGGGGTGAGGCTTTTCGAGCCTGCTCCTGGCGGGGATTAACAATTTTTTTTAATCCAATCTCTCAAGTATTACCCTCAATTGTTAAACTGTCAGGCAACAAAAGTTCGTTTACTAACCCTTTGTGCACTGTAGTGTAGTGTATAGTAAGATAGAATAGAATAGGATAAATCGTGCCACTCTAGTAGATTTTACTGCACCCTAAGTGGGATAAGCGAAAACGAGACTAGTCATTCTGGCGACATCCTTTTAATATGTATAAGTAAATGGCCAGACACAAGTCGCGCAAACCCTACTATCAACTAGTCAAAATAGTGACAACATCTTCGTCGTGAAGGACATGGGCCTTTCCCACCTGTTGCCCCAAATGTTTTGCACTGGTTCCATAGACAATCGCCGACTTCATCCGATTGAGTATCTCCTTGTGGATATGACGGCAGAATGTCTCAACCGTCGGCTCTTCTTTGCGAACTCGGATGATGACTGGCTCCTCAAAGTCAACCTTTCCAGCGCGCGGCTTTGTATAAACGCGTATGATGCCCAGCTTCTCCCATATTCTGTCAAGAAGCTCATCCAAATTCCACTCGTGCTCACTGGAAATGGGTACCCAGTTTGGAAGCTCATCAAAGAGATCCAGCTCCTCTATGGTGATGCTATCTATCTTGTTGACCACATAGAGCGCCGGCATGTAGACACGATTGCCTTCTATTACGTCAATGAGATCGTCGACGGTGACGTTTGCATCCTGAATAGTGACATCTGCATTGTGGATTTTATACTCGCTGAGGATGGAAGTAACAAGAGCTTCTGAGAGATTCTTTAGCTCTTCACCTCCAGGTATCCCAATCGAGAAGGTGATGCCACCTCTGTCTTTCCTGTCCACCTTGATCAAGGGAGGGCGCTTATTAAGTCGTATTCCAAAGCCTTCAAGCTCCCTCTCTATCTTGCGCTTCATTGCTAAGGACTTTGTTGCGTCCAGGACTATCAGGATTAAGTCGGAAGTGCGAGCTGTAGCTATTACTTGACGACCCTTACCCCGGCCGTCTGCAGCACCTTCGATTATCCCAGGCAAGTCCACAAGCTGTATCTTAGTGTTCTTATGGACAAAGGTCCCTGGAATCGCTGTCAACGTTGTGAACTCATACTCAGCCACCTCAGACTTCGCTGAAGTAAGCTTTGTCAGGAGGGTACTTTTTCCAACAGACGGAAAGCCAACAAGGCCAACGCGCGCATGGCCCGTCTTAGACACGTCAAACCCTATCCCCCCGGTGCCACCCCTCTTGGTGGTTGTCCCTATCAGGTCACGGCGGAGCTGGGCCAACTTGGCCTTGAGGCGGCCGATGTGGAACTCTGTCGCTTTGTTCTTCTGGGTGCGCGCTATCTCCGCCTCAACCTCGGCTATCTTATCGGCCAGAGACATAACAATTATTTTCAAATTAGCAAGGAAGTGAAGGCAAGCTCTGGGAAAATTTATTCATAAAGGACTTTACCAATATTACCAAACGAAGGCGGAGGCCACAAGAATCAAGGCACAAGCAGTACCTCCATTACAGCGTATCTACAGCAGATACCAAACCGAGATTTTCTAGCGAGTGTGTGGGCTTATTCTTGATTACCTTCTTCTTCTTGAGGAAGAACCAGCAAAGGACACCAGCAACCACCAAGAGAACTAAGACCACGACCACTATGGCGACTACTGACCCAGTAGCAAGGCCTGCCTTATTGGACATGGCAATGCATGTACTCCCCTGCAAAATGTATCCGTCTTTGCAACGGCACATTTCTCCAGCCACTCCGATAAAATTGTCTGGGCATCCCAAGGAACACGACCGCCTATCTGGCTGAATGCTGTACGCAGGATACACACAGGTCAGGCACAAGCCAGCATTATCACAGGTGGAACAGCCGGTGACGCTAGCTGGGCAATTAGTTACTGAATCGCACGTTGTACTGACTTGATTAAAAACATAGCCATCACTGCATTCGCATTTGTTGGGAGAGCCCGCTGCTGGCCGCTGACTCGGTGCTGGGCACGACTGGAGGCACATAGACTTATCCAAACTGAGATAGCCTGACCCACAGTCGTTACACTGAATCACGGTCGACTGAAGGTCACACTTAGTACACCCGCTGATGGCGCATGTTGTGCAGACTCCGTTTGAAGCTGACGAACATACCTGCTGTCCCATGCGTTCAGTGGTGTTGTAGCAGCCTCCCATGTATAGAAAGACGGTGGTGCCAGGGTTATGCTTTCGGCAGTCGAGACACATACCCTTCGCAGCGTCCTTAGAACAATTATCAACATTCAGTGTCCGCTTGCAGCCCCCCTCACGTGGTACTTCGTTTTCATTTGCACACTCTTTGCAACCTGTATAATCTCCAAGAACAAACTGATTTTCTGGGGAGCAGATTGAAGCACTGTACTGCTGATTTCTATCGTAGCATCCGCCATTGTGATATATGTGTGTCTTATAGCAGTATGTGCAATATCCATCGCTACAGATGTGCGGGTTAAACTCCTTGCACGAGCCATCTATGGGGGCATATTCTTTCAAGAAACAAACAGTGCACTGGACACCGGCGTCCTGGAATGGTGCGTGCTTCCAAGAGCCCTCGAGACACACTGCACAACCTGCTACACCTTGATTTCCACTGAATCCAACATTGTCAGAGCACAGGATGCACTTCTCAGGTGCTTGATTGTTTGGATTAACAAACACAAATCTACTATTGGGATTGCACGATGAACAAACTCCGTTGCTAGCCGTAGAGCAAATGTTCGATCCAGGGAAATCCTTAGTATCATAGCATCCCCCATAGAAAAGAAAGAACGTATTGTCACTTGCAGACTTTGCGTTACAGCCTGTACAGTATGATGACCCGTTCTTAGTCACCTTCACACACATAGAGGTATCTGGGTTCTGGTCGCGTCCAGAACCATCACTACAAACACCGTTGATAGGAACCTTGTCCCCCTGACACTCTGTGCAAACGTTAGCGAATCTTCCTATGTTGATACACTTGTTACTAACGCAAGAGCCTACCTGTCCAGCACGGCAAGTATCTCCAAAACCATTACGGTACGGTTCAGAAGAGTCTATTGTATTTGTTTCCGAGCTCAATATAGTTACCGTAGTCCATACGAAAGTAAAGAACATCCTTCGTAGATTATGTTTTTAACTAGCCATCTACATAAACGCCCACAGGAAAGACAAGGAACGATGGACAACGTGGCGTGAGGAAGAAGCTAATCGCTCTAGATCATAATCTCGACATTTGGCGAAGCACAATTGTGGATAAAGACGCATACATGTACACACATACATAAAATCAGTTCACTCACTCTACTCTAGCAAGATACATACATTAGCATGTGTAATGTAAGCAAAAGATAACCATGAACAGTCTCAATCCCCCTCTATTCCATATATCTCCATCAAAACATTACAAAAACATTACAAATTCACAACTTAGATCAGCTCCAAGGTTAAGCACAAGAGCTGAACAGTGTTAGAATTAGATATTTTGCCTCATCTACTTCGCCGGCAGAATGGAGCTGCTCGGTATTTGCTGAATAGAAAAGGGTGTGCCCCATTGTGGCAGGCAAGGAGGGGGGATGCTCAGCAGCTCATATGAGATTGGATTGTTAGTCAGCGGGGCGGTAGAAGTAACGCCTTCTGTGTGGGCATTTTTGGGATATGAGAAGGACATGACGGGCGCAGTGGATATGAATGGAAGATTTGTGATAAAGTTGTTTTGTATGGGGGCAAAAACAGGTGTGGACAGAATGCGGTCCGGAGCCTCCATGTATAAGGGAGGCGGTGGCTTGTAGACTGGCTGTGCTGGCTGTGCACTGAACGGGGCGTTGAGTTGTGCTGTGAAATCAGCCTTATCTGGGAGAACAGGGACAACCCCCTTCTGGGCAGTTTTCTGAGCGCTGTTTTGGTTGGGCCTAGTAGACCTGCGAGAAGGGAGGGTTATTCCTGCGTTCGCCATGGCTGTCTGCACACAGCGACTGCGCAAAAGATTGTTGTACGTCATAGTGAACTCTGCCCTATGATAATTCCGACTCAACGACGCCTTCAGCTTTGACCTGAACTCGTCGAGCAGGATTGAACGGTCTTCTATGCCTCGCAATATCGTGTTTCTAATTATAGCTTTATCAACCGGCGTGACTTTTGTTCCTGTAATGTGGCGAACATAAGTTTCGTGATACCAGTGATATGCGCTGTTCCTGCTTATATTGAGATGCTTCACTATCGCGTCCCAGCTCACACGGATGCTAGAAACTTGTTCGTGTAGCAGGACGGGATTGGCAAGAAGTTCCTCCACTGTGAAAGCCCCTCCGCGCACACGCACAACATTGGCCGCCAGACCCTGCAGGATCTGTTTTTGCTCTAATGTACATTCAAGATGTTGTGGCATTTTTTGAGGACACCTGTGTTGCGTTTAATAAATACATTCTATCAACACAAAGTGCATGCAAAGGTAAAAGGAATGGAAGAAGTAAGTAAGAGGTGTTCTACGGTGTCGACTTGCTGACTCCATCAGCTCCACAAATCTACAAGCCTGCAGCCTTTGGACGTCAAAAATTAATAAAGTTAGTGAAGATATTTATCGATCTTTGTCCACGGTGGCTGCATCAGAGAGTTTAATGAACTTGGCTACTAGTTCTGTTGATCCTATACCGTCTCGAAACCATGGATGCGACAGTACCTCGGGCATTTTGAGCCGCTGCTTTATGTTGGGGTGCAACATACCGCACAATAAGTTACAGAAGAGGGAGCCTTTGTTGCCCCCATCGCTCCTGGCACTTTTGCTGGACACACCGTCTACTATGGTGTTCATTGATTGTACCATCTTAGGCTTCTTAATGGTGGCAGGATTAGAATGCAGTTGGGGTAGCTGACGTGACCGCTCGGGTGCTGCAAAGAAGCTCTCAGAGTAGAACCCTTCCGGTATCTCAGGATAGTATTTATTTAGAAGGGACAGCAAACCAGATTGAAATTCATGCTCTGATGTCAGTACAAGCTTGTCGAAGTCGGGAGCAGAATATACCGATTCGAACGGCGACAGCGGCCCCAGAAGCTGGTTTGTTTTGTAAACGTATTCTATGTCGTTAGAACAGCTAAACAGAGGCCTCCCACATATAACCTCAAAGAAGAGCAAGCCCAATGAGTACACATCGACACAGTAGTCGTAGTCTGTCCGGCCCAGACACAACTCTATTGCCCTGTAGTTACGTGTGCCAGAATTAGAAAGCTTTGCCTCCGAGATATGGCACGACTGTCCAAAGTCACCCAGCTTGACTGTGCCATCTGCTGCAAGTAGAAAGTTTAGCAACTTCAGATCCCTATGGATAATGTTGCGGCTATGGACGTATGCGACCCCCCGGGCCATTTGCAAACAGATGTTCTTGGCTATAGCAATGGGAAGGCGCTGGGGCAGATGGAACCGGACATCATTGCAATACAGGAGATCGTGAAGGTTGTACGGAAAATATGCCATCACTATAAAGTACACTTTTGTGAGACGGGCACCAGAGCGTGATGTAATGTGCGATGACCGTGATCGCACGCTTCCAGATGGACCCCTACTTCTTCGCTGTTTCTCAATGGACTCAGCAACGCTTGATTGGCTGCCCAGCAAGGTATCTGAACTATTTAACTGGGCTGAGTGGGGTGACGTGGCCCCGGTGCTGAGGGGTACTATGCTCAAGTCTTCCTCTGTTAAGTCGTGCTCATCTGTAAGCCTCGGAATGCTCTCAGTTGTGGTTCTATTCGACATGTTTGAGACGTTATACATGTTAGATGCTAGTACCTGCGAATCGCACTCGAGCACATCTGCAAGTGGTGCCTGACTTAAAGCCCTTCTCAACTCCTGTCGATTCTCCTCTTCGAAGGACTCCTCTGAGGACTCCTCTCCGTCCGATGTTGCTGTACAGTGTAGCTCTTCAGAATCACTATTGGCTATGAAGCGAGACCCTTTCCGAGAGTGACTGTAAGGCATTGACTCGAAAAAATCAAGCAACTCCACAACATTTTCATGACAGAGAGCCTCCAGAAACATCTTCTCCCGATGAGGGTCGTTTGAAAGTATATTTCTGTCATTCTCTGGGATTTTGTTCAGCCGCTTGAGGGCAACCAGCCGGACAGGATTTCCTGCTGCATTTCGTTGCACTGCGCAGAAGACAGAGCTAAAGGCACCACTGGAGAGCTCCTTGGCGTCTGTATAAGTGTACTCTACGCTCATTTGATGTGAAAAAATCTTATTCTTGTTAACCAGATTTAGGACAATCTTATGGGCTTTCTCTCCGTCTTGCGCGCCATCAAAGCCTCTGAAAATGAAGCACGAGTCTTAGTTGTTGGGCTGGACTGCTCTGGCAAGACCACTATCGTCAGCTCTCTTCTGGGAAAGCCACTTACAGAGATTGCACCGACTCTTGGTTTCAAAATCAGCACGTGGCGACCCCAGAACACCTCTATGGCCGTTGCGCTTTGGGATGTTGGTGGACAGCAGACCATCAGAACATACTGGCGCAACTACTTTTCATCCACGGATGCGCTTATTTGGGTGGTCGATTCCACAGACCGGCGAAGGATGGACACATGTAGAAAGGCACTCAGCGAAGTTCTTCATGCCGAGCGCCTCCAGGGCTGCCCTGTGATGATCCTATGCAACAAGCAGGACATACCTTCAGCCTTGTCTGTTGAAGAGATTTCTGCTGCCATTACCCTAGATGCTCTATGCAGTAATAGAAAGTGGGCTGTGCTTCCCTGTTCTGCTATGAGTCGCCAGGGCCTCGATGAGGCTTTCTCATGGCTTCTCTCGGAGCTCCTTATCGATAGCGGCAATGCACGTGAAGACGACAACCTGGAGACTGCTATTTGGTGAGCTGCCATGCTGCAGTCCTTAGAACGCTATACTTGGTACCCGGACTTGGGTTCATTTACTTGATCAGATCGAGCATATTCTCTGGCTTTCGGGTGTAGTACTTAACTATTTCGTCTGGGAAGCACGCATTGCATTGCTCGATGGCTTCATAAAGTTTTGTTCCCGGCTCACATGCGATGGATTGTATTTTCTGCAATCCGCCGGATGTAACAAATTGTCTCCTGGACTCTACATCCTTGGGGAGTATCTTTGCATACTGAGCCACGACGTGCTTCAGTATGGACGGTGGACTCTGGAAGAGCAGGGGGTCAAGGGCAGGGAGCGCTGTTGTCTTTTGTACAGTGAACTTGATACTTCTCTTCGCCTTTTGTCTTAGGTCGTCACTGGAGCTCTCACTGATGAATAGAGCCAGAAGTTTGGGCAGAACGTTTGCGTCACAGATGGCTTTCGCATGGTCGGGGGAGTGACGGCCTATCTGCCCCAAGGTCCAAACAGTTGCAGCCAGCACATGATCCTCTACTTCAGAGACCAGGCAACTGACTAACGGCGTCACCCCCTTTGCAACTATAATGGAGAGGGCCAAAGTTTCGCTAAAGGCTGCTATAAAGCCCAGAGCCATTATTCCTGGAAGCCGGTCTGGTCCTCGCGTCACAGATATGAACTCAACGAGGGCACCAATGCCTCCAGCATTAACGACTAGCTGAGCCAACTCTGCTGTGTGCTTTACCACCTCGCGAACAAGTGTCGCCGCGTTGCGCGAAGTAATACTGTCCTTGTCCCGAAGAAGAAGAAGGGCACGTGGAAATATCTCACCTTCAACGCAGAGCTCTGCCAGTTCCACTGAGTGCTTGGCCAGCTGAGACAAGGCGGAGCACACCTGGCGTCGCACCCTCGCATCCTTAGACGAGATTAGAGGACTGATGTAGGAGATAGCCCCAGCGTCCACGACTGCTTGTGCGAGTTCTGGTGTGTGTTTAGATATGTCTGAAAGAGCCGAAACAGCGATGCGTTTCAGGCTCAGCTCAGGTTCTTGTGCAGCAGCAATGAGAAAAGGAACAGCGCCAGCATCAACAACTGCTTGCGCTAAGTGCTCGTTATGACGTGCAATGTACCCCAGTGCCCAAGCTGCAGCCTCCTTGACACACGGATCAAACTCGTCCAAACAGATTGCAAGAGGCTCTAAAGATCCTGCATCAACCACAGCCTGGGCCAGAGACGGAGAGTGACGGGCGACACTGCGAAGCACAAATGCTGCGGCTTTTTGGTAGTGCCGATTCCGTTCCGCGAGAGAGAATACCAACTGAGGAAGAACATCGTTCGCAACGACCAGTTCGGCCATCTCCTCGGAAAAGTTAGCAATTCTCCCTAGAGCTGTGGCCGCAGAGTGCTGTATGGATGGCACATTATCCATTAACAAAGATCTGCAGAGAGCCACACCACCGAGAGATTTTATCGTTTCCACATTCTGGGGATGCTGTGCTAATTCTGCTAGCCCCTGAACAAAATCTTGCCGTGCTTTCTGATAGGCCTCGAAGTGCGCTACGACGAAGCGATTAGTTGCCATGCTTTTTGAAAATACGAAGTTGGGAAATTCAAAATTTTGTGTCTTAAAAACAATATTCGACAACAAAAATACATGCGCTACTATGTGTTTGCCATCCCCCTTCCCTTCTCGATCGAGAAGTATAAACTCGGGCAGCTCTACATGGTTGCCAGATCTACCTTAGAAGAGAGCTCCAAGAAGTCTTCTGATGGGTTTGAGATTCTCAAAAATGAGCCGTACACTCGCACACTCCCCTCAGGACAGGAGGAATCCGGCATCTATACCTTTAAGCTGCTTCACTTGTCCAAAATGGTACCCAAGGCCATTGCAAATCTGATTCCCAAGAAGGGTCTCAAGATGGAGGAGACCTGTTACAACGCCTTCCCCCACACGGTTACGTCCTACCATAACCCCGGGTACCCCGATAAGCTGGCGATGTCGGTTGAGACCTGGGTCTATAGTGCTCCGAAGAACGCATCATACGCCGAGACCTTCGACCTCCCCGAGGAGGTTCGCAAGAGTATACCGGAGTCATTTACTCTTGAGAAGAAAGATAAGGAATCGCTGAAGAAGGACAAGGAGGCCCTTAAAGAGCGCAAAGATACAGAGGATATTTCGAAGCTAGAGTTTGCAGAGGCCAAGGGGGGTGTCATCGAGCGTGTGTATTGCGATGTCACACAGCCTCTGAAGATAGACAAGAAAAAGGAAGCTAAGGAGAAGAAGCTTGCTGCCAAGGAGAACAGGGAAGCACCGAAGGCTCTCAGTGAGGGCCCTCTGAAGGCAGACATTAAGCGTATCTCTAAGGAAAACAACGGCGACCATTGCATAGTCTACAAAATCCTGAAGGTCCATACGGCTTTTCCAGGCGAGAAGCTCATCGAAGGCATACTAGGGAAGAAGATGGAGTCGGTGTTCACAGAAACACACAAGAAGTGCTGTATCTGGTGGGATGAGTGGAAAGGAATGACTATGGATGACATCAAAAAGATGGAGAATGACGCGGCCGAGGCCTTGAAGAGGACCATTGCGGAGCGCGAGGCAGCAAACAATGACTCCAAGGAAGAAGAGTCCACTGGAGATGATGATGACGACGAAGTTGTCGAGGATGCCGATAAGGCCGATGACAAGTGAATGTACTTATTCCTATCTTTACGGCTATTCTCCGCTAAAGATGAGATTAGTGACGGCTGGTCAATTAGAGGATTGACACCCCACCACTAACGCTTTGGATACGGCGAACACTTGCGTCCAGTGGTGAGTGGATGCTGTTGACCATTTCACGATCTGCCAGTGGCATGGAATCTCCCAGATCTCTCTGGTGGCCTCCGTTGGCTTTGCAACAGGTAAAGGAAACCTTCCCCAGCGCAACTAGGACCAGAAGAATGACCGCAACTACGGCGATTATCGTCATAATGCTGATGGATGCAATATACCCGCTCTGATTTACGCCTGATTGTGATCCACAGAACGTTTTATAGGATTGCCCTGGAGGACAGAGTATATTTCTATCTAAGTTGGAGGGCGGACCTACACACATGCCGGTTGTGAGGCCCATGCACCCCTTGGCACAGAGCTGATTCTTGATGTAGTACTCCTTGGATGGGCAATCACAGATATAAAAGCCATCATTGACATAGGTACACATGCCCAATCCATTACATTGATCGTTCTTATACCCCCCGCAGGTTTCGTATGTGCAGTCGACACCTTTGTAACCCCGAACACACTTGCACGATCCATATGAAGAACCAAAGGACTTGTCACAGCTACCTCCATGAGCACATGCTGAGTCGGTGGTGCAATTTCCACAGCGCAACCCTCCAAAGCCAGGATTGCAGTCAACGGTAAGAGGACTAGTGTAGTGCCCCCGGCAGACGGAGAAGTCCGGGCACGTGTCTGGCGCTACATGCGCTGCAACGAAAGGCTTGCCATCCATGTACTCACTGGACAGTGTTATGTTGACGTTGAACTCCACAAAGATGCAATAGTTGCCCTCCCTCCAGCGCGGATTATCTACCGAGCAAGGGTTGGGTAAAACTTGAAGGCCTGGGTACTCGTTCTCGTACTTAATGAGATATTGGCGCCTACTAGGGTTGTTTAAATTGAACCCGTGATAATAGCTACCTGATGTAGTTTGATAGCTGCTGTTCTTCTTCGCCTTGTCCCAGGTCAAATACGTCACGTTGGTTTCGCTTGCCTGTCCTTCTGTTTCTACAATTTGGAAGTTCATCGAGCCATCGTCCATGCTGATCGTCCCGTCCGAGTATCCCACCATCTTGAAGGGATCGGATTGTGATGGAGACGAGGAGAATGTTACATTGCTCATGCATGCTGATATGTTTGCTGTATGTGCTGCACCCACCATCGCACCAGCCTTAGCTGATTGGGCTTGGCTCAGCGTGATCGATCCAAAAGCCTGAGTTGAGTTTAAGACTGACGAGCTCTCCATTGTCCCTACAAAGCCACCAATCCTCATACCCTTTTTAGAGTCGAAAGCTGCACTACCAGGATTAGTTACTTTGATGTTGGCTTTTGCCCACGCTCCGTTGACGTATGATGTCACACCATTCAGTGTCCCAACAAACCCCCCTACAGAATAGCGACCAGCATCCCCAGTGGCTGTCACATCAATGATGTCGGCCTCGCAAAACCCGCCGTAAGAGTGAGCTCCCTGGAGAATCCCAGCAAACCCTCCTACATTGAGAGCTGCTTGGGCTACCGACTTTCCAATTAGAGCTTTACTGAAAGCACCAGTATAGCGAACCAAGGCATTCCCTTCTAGTCCCCCACCGAACCCGCCTACACGGACAGATGCCTGTTCTGGCCCGCCACTGGTGCCATTTATGTATGCGTTGTATATCATCATATGATTTCCGTGCGTTTCAAGCCCGTCTCCGACAAAGCCGCCGGCAGCAGCAGATGAAAGCTTACTTTCCGCTGATATATTCTGGCTATTGTACGAGTAGGAAAAATCGTACTTTGCCATTTTGGAGAACGCGACAAAACCGCCTGCTGTAGCATGATTGCTAATTGCGTAACTAGAGGACGTCTCTGTTGCATTGACTGTATTGCTGTATGCTGCACATGAGTAAATCCGTATGAGTCTCACTGCTTGCATTGCTATTTTTCCTGCAAACCCGCCTATGAAGATAGAGCCAGGACCGGTTCCACTAACAGTTGTTACATTGGAAACACTGGAATTGATAACGAGCATTTCCCCGTTCAGTGAGTCTCCTCCAATAATACCGGCAAGGCCTCCTACAGCCATGATCATGTCTGAAGAGCTAGCAACTGAAGATGCTACAACGCTCTGTGCATATGAATAGATCCTATCAAGGGATGAAAAGACATGACCAAACACCCCACCACACGTTACTGTATCGCGTGCTTTGCAGCTGACAGATCCGTTGAACAGCATCGTATCAAACTTCCCTGCGTCTGCACTGCCTATCACCCCACCAGTTGTGCATGACAGTGCATCACAACTAACGGTTGAGGGGCCGCCAAAGGTTAAATTATATACCGCTTTCCTTGTGGAGACCATTCCGGCTATCGCGCCAGAGACACAAGTTCCCTCTTCAGCAGCACAGGTAGTGTTCTTGTTCCAACTCAGTATTTTGTACAGGCCTCCGACGGAGCCAAACGCGCCGCCGAGAAACAGGGTTGGAGTACCCTTTCCAGTTATAGTTCCAGAGGTCTGGTTAGTTCCTATTGTGGCGTGCACCACGTCTGCAGCACAGTACCCCACAGCGCCACCGACATATGCCGTAGTGTTACTCTTAAGAGCGACCTGCATAGTAGACGACCAGTGTATGATGAAGTGCTGCAGTGGGGTATCGCTTTCGAATCTACCGAAGAAGCTGCCGATATTAAGAGGATAGTATACACTGTTAACGTTGCTGAGAGAGACATTAACAAAGCCCCTCATCTCGGTGATGGGCTCCCCGTTTTCATTCTCTAAAAGGCCAACGATGCCTCCGATGGAGGATCCTTTGTCCAGATAAGGGTGTTCGCTTGAGCTAGAAGGTGTGGAAAAGGTGCCTTCGATGGTTCCAGTTACATTGATCATGTATAGTCGTGGCTTGTAGGCATACCCTGCCACAGTGCCCAAGTTCAGGATTTTGCTGTCAACCATTGTATGACTGATAACAAGGGATACTGCTGCAACAGTCCCCTGGTCCAGAAATCCAAATATTCCGCAGTTAACGTACTCATTAGGCGTTCCGCTAAGATCAAACCGTATATTGCTCAGCGTGTGATTCTGACCATAGAGGCTACCGGTAAAAACAGGAATGGGGACTATGGGGCGCTGAAAGGCGATGTCTGCACCTATTGCATAATCGCAGCAAGGACAGTCCCTGATTTTGTTAAAATCGCTTTCGCTATAGATGCCTATCGTGGTATCGCGACGCTGGCACTCTTCAGTGAGGCTAAGGACTAGAAGCCAGGTCAAGCAGATCATTTGCTTTTTTAATTTGTTTAATTTGTTTAAATCATTGTATCTTCCACCACTATTTTGGAAATATTAATACTTGTGGACGATATGCTCCTTTACAACATACTCCCCATCAATCTTGAACAAACTTTTTGCCACCACAGTGACGCTGTTTCTCGATCATCCTAGCATCCTACTCTAATGCTGACGTATCTATACTTTCCATCCTGATGGCGAGTAAACACATCTACACACCAAAGGTCCTTTACTCAAGGCCACATAGGGCTTTTGCATCAGTTGATAATGTCCAAATATTTACAGGATGGTAAGGTAGTCTCATAAGATGAAGACTGCTGAAGACCCATGGCTTCCGTAGTACTAAATTGATACATGGTGCAGTAAGGGCTAGGCCGCTGATCTGGTGATTATAACCTAAATTTACACCCACAAAGTAAACAGTGGATTCACACTCATCTAGGAAATAATTTCTAATAGGGAAGCCAGCGCCACACATTGATCAATTAGTGGGTTGTAGTCCCAACCGTCAATGTAAAATTTAAGGGCGTTAATCATCTCGATGCATCGCTGCATAAGCGTTTTTTGTAGGGTTATCTCATTCATCCCATGTTTGCACAGCTCGGTAGAATATCTCAAGCCAAGAACTATCCGGTCCATCATATACTTCAAGCTGATACTCAGGTATTCCGAGGGTTCGAACTCTTCCCAGCTAGACAGGAGAGACTCAGGACAGGTTGCGTTTGACTCTATCACAAGCCCGCCGTCACTGAAGGCAACGCTTGCCACAGACTCCCTATTACTTGAAAAATCTGGACATGTAAGATATCCACTTGTGCGATAAGCGCGGCTGATTCTACTCTCCATTGACGGCTCATCATTCCTTATACTGCAGCGTGTAAGCGTGTCATAGCTTGCGCCCGCTCCCACTGTGGTTCCTGGGAGACCGGGATACAGAGCCCCAAAGGCTCCACTGAAGCGCCCCTGCGTGGTGTCACTTTCCGCGGTTATAGAGACTTGTAGAGTCTGTGCCTGAGGAGTTCCCTCGATGGCACGTTGAGATATCACCCGTGCAATGCTAAGATTGCCTATGCTCAGTGCATTACTCAAGACAGGGGTTTGGGTTCGATTGGAGTGCAAGTCTTTAGGCATAGTGTTATGCTCGGCTGGGACGATTCTCTTCAGGAATAGCTCGGCTAGATGCACGGGTCCTTTGTTGACAAATGCCATAAGCATGCCAGAAAGCGTAAGCTGGATCTGTCCGAGCGGATCCTTATTCTGCACGTGCTGAGTGATGGCCGCAGCCTTTTCAAGAACCCTAAACGCGCTTGCGACTATGGGAGGAATCTTGTTACTGTACGAGCCTATTACTATCTGACGAGTCTTGTAAGAAGGAAATGCGTAAGGAACGAAGCAATACCGATCTATTTGTCCGTATACGGCTGTTTTCCCATCTTGTCTCCTATCCACCTCGTGTGTATCCGCATACGAGTACTTGAAGACGAAAGAGTAAAGATGTGCACCTTGCTTTTGTATGTCTGGATGCCTAACTTTTAGATCTAAGGAGGAATAGTTGGGTCCAGTCGCTCCACAGACGTACGAAAGAACTAGAGCAATATATCTATGTACATTAAATCCAGCAGCATCGAGTCTTTGTTGAGAAAACCTGGGAACAGGCGACAATGGTCTAAGAGGCGAGTCTTCGGTGATTGCACTCGCAGTAGAATTGACAGCAACGTTCCTGAGGCCATGCGAGTGATGTTGGTTGGATGCTGGCGTGGAGCCGATTATCCTGGAAAAGTATGCTAGCAGCGATGTTTGAATTCGATTCAAGATTGACTCTGTCAAATCTGTCCCTGGTATGAGTGTGATGGGTGTCACATTTGCTATGCGTATCGTCTTTGCTTTTATTTGGTCTGAATCAAGTCTCGAGCCCTGGCCGCAAATAATAACGTCAGGGTACTTAGCGGTATAGAATGTTCTCAGATTGAGGCGGAAGTCATCTGGACTGAGGTTATTACAGTATATGTATTCCTCAACGTCCACATCTTCACTGAAGTTATGGAATGACACGAGGTACATCCGTGACTTGGTCACTTGTTCGCCTGCCAGGTATTGCTTGATAGATTTGGTGTATAGCTCTGCTGCTTCGATTGCTTTGTTAATGTTCCCAAACTTGTTATGTAGCTGCAGTAGCAGACTGAATACAACAGACGCTTGCCAAAAATAGTTGCTCTTTAAAAAGATCTCGCCTGCTGTGGCCAGATGTCCAAAAAAATCGTGTAGAGAGAAGGGAGAAGCACTCTGATCAAACATTCTCTGGATCACATCTTTTTCCGTCTGTATCGTGAGACCTGGGAGAATACGCCGGAAGTCATGGATGCACTCCCTGAACAACCATATTTGCTCCAGCCGATAGGGTATTTGCGAAATTACGCTAGAAATTGTCGGAGAATCAACAATGTTTTGATAGAGCGCCTGTGAGCCAGACCTTGGCGACAAAAGGGCAGACCTCGACGATTTGGAGCTTATCAGAAGACCAGGAATGATCGCATAACGCAGTTCCACGTCATAGGAGTCGCTTATAGTGGCCTCTCGGTGGGTCAACTCAGAAATGAGGCTGCACATTAAAATTGCCATGTGGGCTGCCTCAATTTGCCTGTCATGCTCCAGTAAAAGATGGAACAACGCGTGTAATGCTTCAAAGCGCATCTCTGGTTGCTGAAAGTAGAGCTCTGCCTGGTCAAAGTACAGGTTCAAAAGATAATCCAGTTGGTAGCACTGCTTTCCGGTATGTGGATTGATGCAGAATGCCATGTTATTTATATGGTTTCGATCCAGTAAAATCTGACGCAGCTTCTCAGATATATTAGCCAGTGCGTTGCTATCTCTAGTTATATCATCAATCACAATGAGCATGGTCTCGTACTCGTTCTTATTCGTGACTAGACTTGAGAAAAGAGTGGATATCTGGACTAGACTAACGTTGTTAACCCTATTTATGCGATAGCTCTCTTCTCGAAGCAGCATTCTGACAAGCTCAACTGACTTTTTATACAGTTTTTCTTTGCCTTCGATTGCGAGTTCAACTGCCTTCTTATGCTGATCATCGTTATTGTCCTTTGCAGGAGCGAGCGACTTATTCTGCAGGGCTCCCCTACTTTCCATTGCTAAACGGAATAGAACCCTATATATGTTAAAGTACGCAAACATCGGCTCAATGGATGAGTACCGTGAATCTATATACAAGTAGTCCTTATACCCGCTCACGAAGTCACGTGCATAATCCAAGAGCTTAATTCTGAGTTGATCAGTAAATAAGGGGCAAGGAATAAAGTTATAAATAGTAAGATGCACCGCCCACACCATTCTAGCGATCATGCACACCAGGGTATGCGAGTTGGGTACATCTTCTAAGCGCTTGAAGGAGGTATTCTGCCTTGCCTGCTCAGACGACTTGTCTGCCGGATCAATCGACTTTCGTTTTATTACAGTGGAATTCTGCACGTTGCCCAGCTCTCTGGTAGCGAGTGGGGAGTGCCGCAAGCTATCAGGACCTAAAAGAGTAGGATAAAAGGGACCCCCAGAAATGATGCGCCTGTAGTCGCCGTGTCCTTTGATAGTGGAAATGAGGATACGGAATTGGTGAAAAACGCGCTTGAAATACGACAGTCCGAGCACGAGGATAATATGACCTAGATGAGCGATACATTGCTCGTCTACCTTTTGAAGTGCCTGGTTTGCAGAGGTATCCGTGGCCAAATCAGCTATGGTATATAGCTGAAATACGGTGGAATCTGACTGATTATCAAATAGAATACTGCTTTCTGTTGATGCTTCTAATAGTCCCAGCCTTCCGCTATTGCGGAACGAGCTCCTAACACTGCTGATTAGTAGGGATGCCTGCAGGGCAGAAAACTCATCCATATCGCTATAGTCTCCAGTCACTCCGTCTTGAGAAGCCTCCTGCACTGGTATTTTGTCCAATTGCCCCCCTTTAGACTTCGATCGCATGGAGACACGCTTTCTGCCCGTTACAAATGCGTTCTTGCTTCGCGGAGGCGTTGCGTTGCTATCGAACAGACTCTTTCGGATGGGAGACCTGTCCTGGCGCTCACTGGGGGTTGCTAGTGTACTCGTCTCAAGCAGATCCAGTTCCCCATTATGACCCAGGCCCTTTGTTGAGCTAGCGGAACGCTTCTTAGCAAACAGGTTACGAAATATCTTTGCTTTAATCGGCCGTCTCTGGTGCCGGGATTTTATAGCGGCCAAATCGACTTGTGGACTTGTTGAAATATGGGAAGGGGAATAAAGAAGTTCAAGCTGTCTGAGATATACACCAACCAAACACGCCATCTTATCTGTAGCGCTGTGGAACTCACTGCTTTTCACAATATAGTCCATCTCGTACCGCGTTGCCGCTTGATATATGTTAGCCATGTGATGATCCAGAAAGCTCATTGATCCTACGGATAGAAAGTGCGAGGAGGCCAACGAGTCACTCGAATAATATTTTGGAATCATAGAAATGCATTGACAGACAGTAGCTAGATGATCAAGAGACGTGGTGGTGAGACTTAAGACGTCACGGTCGTAGACAAGCGCAAATAGGATAAGATGGATGACCGTTCGCACAATAACTGTAGAGATAGCTCTATCTGGTGCGTTTGTTGCTGCAATGTTGGTCGGGAGGCGGCCCAACTGAAGATTTGGTGTCCCGGACATTGTGGAGATGTTACTGGGCTCCATGGACGCAGATTGTATTTTAGCGACCCGGAGATTCGCACTGTCTTGAGCCTGTAAGCCAGGAATTGACGGATCACTTGACTCTCCATAGGTGAGGTCAACCTTCCGTTCCTCCACGGAAACACTTGCCTCTGCTCTCTGTGTTATCGCAGCAGCTCCCACTGCCTGTGGTAGATCAGCAGAATAGGAGAGCGAGATTACTCTGGTAAAGGTCATGATAAGAGCATAAAACACTGGCCGAACCAAGAAGGCTGTATGATGAGTATACTTGTCCCAGCCTCCGAAGAATGCGTCTGTGGTGAAAAAGGGAATGTCTAACAGTAGCTCCTTCATAAACATCACTATCAACTGCACTGTGGCACTGTCACATCGCATAAGACAGTGAACCAGCACTTCCTGAAAATACTTGAGAAGAGGAGGGACGAGTTGCTCGGTGGTCAGGCGCTCAATAGAATTAAATAGATCTTGGCGCTGCTTATCAGGCTGCGAGGACTTATCCGTAGATGGGAAAACGGGAGTTTGAGGTGGAGAAAAGCCCCCAATAGCTGCTGAGGGGATCGTTCTAACAATGCTGCCAGGGACAGGAGTGGAAGTACTAGAAGCTCGTTGCGTGGGAGAAGATGGTGGAAGCACTTGCTTAGTAGCCATATTTGTCAGAGCGTGAGAGGACACAGAGTCTGACCGAACCTCGGGTGCACGGGCAAGTTCGCGAATAGAGACCAAGTTATCTGGAGGAACTGGCGCAATTTCGCTTTCTATACGGCCAGCTTTAGAATAGCGACGAAACTGGTTGTAGGAAAAGTGAATATATGGTAGCCCTAAAGAGAACATTTCGGAAAAGAAGGGATAATAGATGTTCTTGTAGCAGTGGGTCAGAATCTTTGCAACAGGTTCAGGGGTCTCTATGCTGGCCAGCGTCTCTGCTTCAATGGTGTTCCACATAAAGTTAGTGGAGTGCATATCCTTGATTTGGTCCTGAATGCTTGTGAAGATCTGGAACTGCTTGAACTCGCCATAAGACCATGAGGTGTCGACTAATGTAGGTAGCACTTGGCCACAGAAACAAGTAGTAAGTACCGAGCCTAGAGTATCGTAATGAAAGGCGTGGCACACTGATATCACTCGGGCAATTGAGCGAGAGACATCCGGGAGAACTCCGGCTTTATCTAAGGTCCTAGCAATATAGACCAGCATTTTTCGCCCTAGGATGATCAGTAGTCTCTGTAGGCTGCTCTGAAGATAAAGAAGATCAGCATCTGTGTGTACAGTTGCTGGGGATTTAGTACTCGAAAGAACAGGTGTTTGTTTGCTATTAAGAGGTGACAGGGGAACATATGCATTAGCGCCGTCTGATGGGCTACTCTTAGACTGGGACATCGGAGAAAGAAGGCCTCCTGGTGTAAGCGCCTCATAGAATCGGTGCTCCAGAGTGCACTCTGTTTCGGCAAATATAAAGGCAAGAGACTTCTCAATTTGCTGAAGGCTATACCATGAGGCCTGCAGAGCAGCACCAAGAGATGTGTCTGCGTCTAGGTGAAGAAGGGCAGCTTCCACGAAGCCCGTAAGCTCGGAGAGAGTCTCTGGGTAGGCACTTTTATAAACGGCATTGGCAACGATCGAGGGTACTTCGTCAGTACAAGGCTTAGTGTAAAAAGAAGGCACAGGGTTGTTAAAACAGGTCCGACTATCTAGAAGAAATGAAAGGGAATAGGCAGACGTAGTAGATACTTTCTTCCACGGTTCCTGCAACTTTGAAATGTTTTCCAGCCTTTCCAGCCTTGAAGCCTTATTAGCATTGAGCTCCGGCTCCAAAGGAAGGAACGGTGACACCAATTTTCCATACTGCGTCTGGTCGCGGAGCAATGCGTCATACTGAGGCTTACTTCGAAAGACACATGCACTAAAGAGAATTCGTTGTGCATAAGAAAGAGCAGCGTCGTGGCTCGATGGCTGGTCTCTCTCAAAAGTTCGTGTTATCAGCACTAAAAGAGAAAGCCCACGAGCCATACTTGTAAGCACAACAGAGCTCTCAGTCACTTCCCTTATTAGAAGTATGCGTGACTGAATAGTAGAATGCATTGTTATAAACACCGGAAGATAGTGAAGAAGAGACACCATTAGATCCGGGTCCTCACCTTTCTGGAGAACCTCGAGAAGATCCTGCAGCCTGGCATTAAGAGAAGTTAGTAATTTGGAAAGCTCTAGGGGAGAAAGCTCTATCTCATAGGCAGAGGAGCCCGAGCTTGCCACGGTTCCGGCAATGGAGCCAGTCGCGCGGGAGATGCTTTGATCAATCAGACTGTACTGCTCTAGGACTTGAAAAACATTAACATTCTGAGTGAAAATGGAGCTTTGAGATGTGCACTTTACGACTAGGTGAGAGCTTGTGCGGTCTCCGATTGGAGAAGCAGAAAGATACCCTGAAGACAAATCTGTCTCAAACACTCGTAGGGAGAGATAGTCGGCAGAGAGATGGTACATGCGGTTGTGTGCAGAGTCAAACTGTTGAAGCGGGAGATAGGCATAGCCTATAGGGGTGAAGGCGTCGTTCTTGACAGCACGGTGCGTGGTCGCAGACTTTGTTGTGGAATCTGGCTGCCGAGAGGATCGATAGATAGTGCTCGCTGTGGACATGGATGTGGAAAAATTGGATGCCCCTAGAGTGATACCAGACGCACTGCTGGCATGGCTGAGTATCGTGTCATCAAGTGATACAAGCCGGTCTTGCTTATCGCCGTGCAAGGCATTGACCGAATATATCGTGAAAAAGAAATGCATGCCCTCTGTAATAACTAAAGGAAGTTCCAACTTGAATTCAGTACCAAAGTACGCTGCCTTGGTGTGGGGTGCACAGCAAGTTAATTGGGATGGAAGCAAGAGGGGAAGGTCCACAGTATTGACGCCTAGCTGAGCAACTCTGGAGCTTTCATAGCCAGTCAGCTGGACGACAGAACTGCAAAATATGCTCGAGGATGGTGCATTTGTTGGGTTGTAGTTATCTGTGTACCGAGAGTAAAACGACTGAATAATAGTATATGACGACAAGTCATCACTATCACGCAGTTCCACACGCACAAGCAGGTTCCCAGTGAACTTACGTCGGATGTAGCACTTGCTCATATATAAATACATTCTATTGTTGAACATTCCTGTGTTCAGTGGTGACAGAAATGCATGCTTGTTGAAGAAGTTATCGAGCTCTGCAGAATACACAATCCCATGGGCCGTAGTTGCTTGCTGGGAGATGCTTGTAGCACCTACCTCTAAGTCCATTATACCCCGTGCCAGGTTTGCCTCGCTGTTCGTTGAGAGTAGCCGCACCAGGTCATCTGCTGTAATTGGAGCACTGCAGTCTGCTGCCCCAGATAAAAGAGCAGCCAGCTCAGTAGGATAGCTCATACCATCAGTGCCCTGGAAATAAGGTGTATCGTTTGCCGAAGAGGATGACACGCTCGAGTTGTAGGCTTTGCGCAGATATCTCTGCCTCGCAACTGTCTGGTTGATTGTCATGTCTGGGTTGAGTGAGGTAGAAGAAAAGAGCTCCGAAAAGATAGTGAGAATGCTCTTGGACCGGTGGAAGACTCCCAAGTTGAGAAACTGCACTGTGAGCGAAGCATGGATGTAGTGGACTTCGGGTATGTTCTTGCGTAACCATTCACGGTAGTGCTCCTCCAGAAGTTCGTGGAATCCCTCCGAGTTAGTCAAGAAATCTTCATAACTTTGATCTAAGAGGACGAAGTGCCACGCTGGTCCATGATTGTATCTAGAAAGCGGTGTAATGAGAATTTTATCTCCGCTGAGAATAGGTGCGTGTGATTTCAGAATGTACTGCATGAGCTTATCGGAAGATGGCTTATGAACACCATCCAAAATTGGCTGTGGAGAGAGGAGGAGAGACGACAAGTCCAGAGATGCAAAGCCGAAAGCTACAGGCGTCCTCACTGCACCAGCACGCTTCCATACATTGGCAGCCCGTGAGCAAATAGAGTTCTGATCCTTCTTCTGAAGTTCTGTCATCACTACAGAGCCATTAGAGCCGACAGTATCAAAAAGCGTCTTCTTTTCACCCCCCGTATTCACCACACTTGCTGTGCTGGCTGCAATTATACTGGCTGTGGCCATCTTGGCTGCCTCTCTCGCCGCGCCTTTGGAAGATTGCTTTCCTTCCTGAGACATGATCTTAGAATAGATTGCGTGCCTTGTTTGGTGTTCATTGTGCCAGAGCTGTTCCAGTTGCATGACCAGGACTAAATCTGCCAAATTGTAGTCGCAATCCAAGGGAAACCTAAGCTCAACAAGCCTGCTGGCCTCAGCAATTGCAGTTACGTCCCTCCCGGAGGACTCATGACCCATTAAACTTAGCACATCCTTTGTAGTGAAGTCGAAGTGTGCGCTTTCACTGACCTTGTGAAGGGTAAGCTTTGAATCGGTTGTGCGCCGTAGATAAACCGCTAGGGAGCCCCAGAGAGGCTCATATCGTTGCTTATTCGTGTCTCCATAGGTTACATTGGTAATATCAATGAGAAGGTGGAGGCAAGGCCGCCGAGAACCCCCAGGGGACCGTAAGCTCCTAGGAACCATGCTATAGCCTGACAAATCGCCTAAGGCTTCTAAAGATCCGCTAGAATAAGAGGGATAGCGTACAGGGAGAAAGGCCGGCTGGCCGCTAAGGATTGCATCTGTGGCTCGATGTATATTGTTAGAATGCTGGGGAGCTATCAACTCATCCATCTCAGAAGCTGACAACTGGAATCTGACGCAATTTATGGAGGGGTTAGGCCGTGGCCATACACAAATCGCCGATTTTCTCGTTAATAGCTCGATGACAGACCGGAGAAGAATTGGCGGGTCTGAGAGTTGTTCGTACCGAGTAAGCACACTACTGGGAACGGGATCCCTGCACAGCGCAGAGCTAGCCACATGCATAATGGTAGGCTTAGGGGGACACTTGCTTAGATCAAAAGCCCGCCCTAGTACCCTTCTGACCATATCAACATCAAGTACTTCACTTTCTATGGGCTGTTTTATATCAGTTGTGCTCCATTTCTGTGCGTTATCTACCTTAACAAACAAAGTTGGAAGCATTTTTTATGACTCGAATCTTTATGGCCGACTGAGGCCAGTGTTAACCTATACTGTCATACACTTTGACGTAACGTTTGGCAATTTTAGCCTACCACAAAAACCATGAACATTTTAAAACTTGAGACTCCATGTCTCTACTATCGTCAATAACTATGTTGAGAACCACCCAAACAACTAACACACAGGGCGCTTCATAACGTTCCGAGTGGTCCAACAGGGCGTGGAACACACAGTTTCAGGTGCTGTCGGCCAGAGCTTACTAGATGCCATCAAGGCTGCGCATATCCCCATTCAGGACGCGTGCGAAGGACACCTTGGCTGTGGTACCTGCGGTGTTTATTTGGACAAAAAGACGTACAAGCGTATTCCGCGAGCGACAAAGGAAGAAGCGGTTCTCCTAGATCAGGTACCCAACCCCAAGCCCACATCGCGGCTTTCGTGTGCAGTAAAACTCAGTAGCATGCTGGAGGGAGCGACAGTACGCATACCCTCCTTTAACAAGAACGTCCTTAGCGAAAGTGACATTCTTGCAAGCGAAGAGAAGAAAAGGCACGGGCAGCACTGAAATGGCAGTGGGATTGGTTTGCTCGATCAATCAACTATCGTCGCTACTACTGTGGAGGTGTAAATTTTATCAGATGCTGACACCTTCCAATGCTTTAAAGCATATAAATGCTCCAGCATTATACCTCCGTCATTAGTGGAGAGGATGCGCGGTCGGGACTTCTCCGAGGGATTAAGACCATTGCAGATGTTGTGGCTACCACACTCGGCCCCCGAGGACGCGCAGTTATTCTGGCAGATGGAAGTGCATCTGGCACCACGAAGGTGACGAAGGATGGGGTCTCAGTTGCACGAGCAATTAATTTATCTGGACTGGAAGGCGTGGGTGCCGACCTCATTAAAGATGCGTCTCTTCGTACAAATACCATGGCAGGGGATGGAACCACAACTTCTCTTATTCTCTCCGGCAAACTAGTCAATGAGATGAACAAGTATGCATTAAGTGGGTTAGGGAATCTCCAGTTACTCCAGGCTCTCAATTCAGCTGGTGTAGATTGCCTCCAATCTCTAAGAAAGCAATCCAGAGCCATTGAGAGCAATAAGATGCTTTATAGCGTGGCCACAATTGCAGCCAACAACGACCCCAAAATTGGTAAGGTTGTTTCTGACGCATTTGCGGCTGTTGGCCGAGAAGGAACAATAACTGTCGAGGATGGATATACAGACATTGACACGCTTAACGTTACCGACGGATGCTCCATTCCAAGTGGGTTTTTGTCTCCTTATTTCGCTCTGGGAGGCTCCCGTTACCTTGAGCTCACCAACCCGTTGGTGGTCATTACCGACACAGTTCTGTCCTCAGCAGCTCCTCTTGTTTCTATTCTGGAACGTTGCGTGAAAGAGAAAAGACCACTTCTTATTATAGCATCGGATGTGACAGGGGACGCATTAAGTACACTCGCAATCAATACACTCAAAGGTACTGTGCGTTGCTGTGCCGTCCGCGCTCCAGGCTACGGAGACGTTAAGAAGGGCGTACTGGAGGATCTTGCAGCAGTAGTGGGGATACCGACGTATATCTCAGATGAGCTCCACACTGCCAGTGCTCCGGGAAGCGCGGTTCTTTCTAATATTGGATCCTGTCACAAAGCAATCATAACACCAGCAAATACAGTTTTACACTTCAATGACGACAAGAACTGCAACTCACTTATCCGTGGACGTGTCGCGGGTCTGCGTTCTCTTTTAGAATCGAATAACCTCACCAACTATCAACGGAGTAAGTTAAATGAACGTATAGGCAGACTATTGGGTAAGGTGTGTACTATCCGCATAGGCGCGAAAACAGAGCTTGAGGCAGAGGAAAAGAAAGATAGATATATAGATTCTCTCTCTGCAGCCCGGGCTGCTCTTGAGGGAGGACTTTTGCCGGGTGGTGGAGTAGCTTTTCTGCGTGCAGCACAGGTAATGGAGCGAAAGCTTGCCGAAGGAAAGGTAGCAGACCCGGTGACTATCGCAGCACACAAAGCCCTCATCGCTGCCCTTCATGAACCTGCCCGGATCATCGCTGAAAGTGCAGGAGCAAGTGGCCACGTTGTGGCTGAAGCCATAAAGAACTCTCCGGACAACTTCTATGGCTTTGATGCCCTGAATGGGCAATTTGTTAACATGGAGAAAGCAGGCATACTGGATGCAACCAAAGTAGTTACAACTGCACTTGATTCTGCACTGGGAGTTTCGTCTGTTCTTTTGAACACAGACGCAGTTGTTCAACCAATTCCCACCGACACCAATCTGTTTAAAAATAAATAGTACAATTTATTTTAGGACGTGTTACACGCCTGCATCAGCTGCTATATAGTGTGCAACCCGTTGTCTCAGCTCGTGCAAGCGGGCCTCTTGGTCACTTGGTGCCACGGCTAAGTACATTTCTTTCCTTTCGGCCTTCTTAACCCGACACGCCCGCCTCGAGGTAGATTGTCTGCGGCGCTCATCGAGACGCATTTTTATGTGTATGAGCGAGTGACGTACATTCCCGACTACGTCGCTTGTTTGTTGAGAAGTCAGCTGAAGAGCGGCTGACTGAAGTTCTGCTATATTTTGATCTAACACCCGCACAAGGTCCTTTTCCAGAGTATTCTTCTCCCTTATATCTTCATACATTTTCATGCAAATTGTTCCAGCGCTATCCCTGATGGACTCCGTTGCCATCTTGTAGTTCTCGTCATCTTGGGCAAAAGCGACTGCTTCTGGGCGTCGGGCAGCCCACTGGACGAGAACATCAGAGCTGAAAGTGCGGTCAACCTCTTGCTCGAGGTCTTCCAGCAGTCTCTGAAGGTCGAGCTCGTCCATGTTCATCAGCGCAGCAACATCCCTGTCTAAGAGGATTTCATCTTCTCGTGCGGAGAGATCATCCACCGGTCCTAAATGAGCAATATCTGCGGAGTCTGTGTCGAACTCGCCTCCTATCTCGTTAGCGCATCTGCGTAGCATTGCTGCACCAAGACGCTCCTTGTTTCTGTAGGCTAATGGCAGACGAGTCTCGTTGGCCAATAGAAACGAGCCCAACACAGTCACCTGTCCGCCCTCTTCGCTCATGTTTTTTTAAGATCCACGTTAGATCCATGCCATAACTGGAAGGCTGTTGGCACATCAATTTAGCATCTAAGAGTCGTTATGGAGGAACTCTAGACTTGCAGACTCATACATCGCTTAATGCATTGGAGCATATGGGCTGTTGACCACTGTAACACTCTGTTAACGGCACAACTCTGAAAGAGTATCTATCTCAGAATAGAAACTCAGAATAGAAACCAAGTTAGTATGCATAGATCTAGCAATGCTAGTAACGAATGTATAGACTTTGTATACATATTGCAAGGAAGCATAGAGACAGTACGGAGCTTCCTTGTTGGTAGCAGCTACAGTACTAAGGTGACCAAGGCTTATTCTGACTATGAATTTCCGTGCACGTTTCTTCGGACACACTTCCCTTTTATCTATTGCTCTAGCGCGCCGAGAGATTTCAAAGAACTACTGATTAGACAAACAAAGTAATTTTGCAATGAATACAGATTTATATGCTCACTATGCGCAGCTGCTGATGGGTACGAACCTAGAGGTGAGGCGGTCACTCATTGGACAGAGGTCGCGCGCAAACAAGCGACTGAGCAAACGAGCCACTTTCCGCCAGGGTGAAATGAAAGGGTTATTTCTCACCGAAAATGCCGAAGAGGGCACACAGGTTATTGTTGAAAACCCCCTAATCTGCTGGCTTCACCCATCCTATGTCAAGGAGGTCTATACCGATAAGCAAACAAGCAGTCAACACGGCCGTACCCACGATGAGTTTGATTCGCCTCGGGAACAGATCAGCCCCGCGGTCCAGACTCCACGCGAACGCCTGGACTTAACGGCTCGCAATTCACTATCAAAGTACGTCATTCAGCCCACCAATGAGAAGCGTTACTGTTTTTGTTGTCTTTCTTCAATCAAAGGCCAGCCCGTTCCATGTAAGCACCGCAAGGAAAATGCGTTTTCGTGTCGGCATGAATACTGCTCAGAGAATTGTCGTGAACGGCATTACATTCTTGGTCATGTAGCCCTATGTGTTTCCCTCTGGCCAGACATCGCCGAAGATATTCTGCATACCATCCACGACTGCCCAGAGCTATGTGCCCCCTTCTCTGCATATAACGTCCTGGAGATTATGGCCCAAATTATGTGCAAAGAGGCCGCGTATCTAATGGAGATAGAGGACGAAGCACTGAGCCTCCAATACGCATTTATGTACTATGCATATCTGGAGCCTGGAAATCAGGCCCGGAAGACAAAGCTGAGTTCTTCACAAAACCTCCCCAATGTGGTTTTTCCAGATATAGGTCGTGTTTTCGAGAAACTTATCCCAGACGTATCATTTGCGGAGCATTATTTTCTATTAACGAGGGCAACACTTTTGGGAGCTCAAATGTTTAACTATTTTGTGTGCATATTATTAACAAATAGCTATAGCATAGAGGATAAGACCGGACAGGAGATAGGCGCAGGCCTCTATTCTCTAATATCTTGCTGCAACCACAGCTGCACACCTAATGCTCAAGTTATTTTTGGAGATAGCGAAAATGCGCGCGAAGCCACGCTTGTTCTATTGCGGCCGTGTGCCCAAAAAGAGGAACTTTATATCTCATATATTACGGACCTGGGTCGCTCGGTGGTCGAGCGTCGGCGTGAGCTTGCGCAGTGGTGCTTTACCTGTCAATGCACGCGCTGTCTTGCCGAGTTATCTTTGGAATAAAATATTTAAAGCATTACTAATATGAGGGACCATACACTGGTTCCTGCCAAGACTATGGGAAGCCGAGAATTTAGAGCCTCCAAGCAATATATGGAGCAGTGCGTGTCTTCATAGATCGTAGTGTCCTTGAAAAGCACCCGGCCACCAAGAGTTCCCACGCAAATCCCGTCTTCAACGGGGGAAATGGCGCTGACAGGCCCGCCGCAATCTGGCAAATGGGTGTCGGGAGTGAGAGTGTCCAGTGGCACCGTAAGCACAGACCCATTGAAAGTGCCAACGTAGAGGACTCTGGATTGTTGGCATAGATGCGCTGCAGTGATAATGTTCATTGCGCCAAGGACTGGAAGAGTGACAGATCTGTTTGTTTCTGGCTGAAGAAATGTGTCTGCTGCAGTACTAAAGAGGTCAATCCGCCCAGAGGAATAAAGGATCAGAAGCCGTGACTCCCCTCCTGAGCCGGGGATAAAACCACATGTGAAGACCTCGCTTCCGGCACTAAGAGTGCTGCAGCGCTGTAGATCCAGCAGTGGAGGGCGCTCACTTGCAAGGATTCCTGCCATACCATCGAGTCTGTAAACACCTCCAACTGCAGTCATAACCACGAAAATCCCACCCATGTCATCAAATGCAATTGAGTGGACTGGATTCTCACAAGGCAGCCGTGCAGCAGCCACGAGCACCCCGCTCTCAGCACAGAGAATGACCAGAGTTCCATCTTCGAATCCTAGAAGTAAGTGCTGCCGTGGGGATCCAAGCCGATGAATCAGCATGAACGTAAGCTTCTGTGTCGTTACACTCATATTTGGGCCATACGAAAGCGGCCGCGCAACCTGTCGCACGAGAGAGACAGAAGACTCAGAGACAGTCACTGTCGCAGCGATGGGGCCATGGGGGGTAGAGTTACCCACGACAATCCTAGCCATCTCCCCATGCGCGTCCAGGCGTGCTATAAAGCGTGGGAGCAAGTCAATTGAAAAGGGCTTGGCCTTCATGATTTTTAGTAGGAATGCATGCTTTGGGACACTGTTGCACAGTTGTGACTACTAGAGGACCATCCCACTGGTTGCTACTTCTAGACACTCACCTGGGCACCTTGCCAGGGTTTAAGGTTAGTGCAGGCCGAGGGCTTCCCGCCGCAGAGGTGTACTTTGAAGCGGGTCCGAGGGTGTCTCTCTCTCGAACTGATGCAACTATAGTAGCCGTGTATCAGTCCATTCTCTTTCAGCTGCTGGGACCCACATTTCCTGCTTCATGGACTGAGATTGGAGCAACAATGCCTCACAATGAATACACTTTCCCTCGATTTATATCCAATCCACCACAATTCGCCACCCTGGCATTTTTACCCTTACTATCTCCTACCAGCCCTCTGGACTTGCGTGCATTAATGGTCACTGCACAACTCATGTGTGATGCAAAGCGCTTGTCAGATGAATATACAGACTATTCCACTTTATCTGCATCCCTCCATGGGCGTATGGTTGCAACTCCCGAAATAAGCTGGTCTCTTTATGTCGTTCTTGGGATCGATTCTACCCAAACTAGCCTTTCTTACTTTACCAGAGCAAATGAATCAATAACATACATGAGATACTATGCAACAGCCCACAATATTCACCTGCGTGCTGCAGATCTTCCGCTTGTGGCAGCAGTCAGATTAGACGATCTAAAAGACCACCAGATTCCCGCGCCTGGATCCTGGGATGATTTGGCTCCCAAGCTTCGCTTCCTGCCGCCTGAGCTCTGCCTACTGCTGCCAGATGAATTTGATCTAATCAGGGTCCAGGCGCTTCAATTTCTACCAGAGATTGCTAAGCACATATGTGACATACAGAATACAATCTGTGCCCTGGATAAAAGCTTTCCTGACTGTGGGCGGATCGGTGGCGAGCGATACTTTGCAATCACTGCCGGACTTCGGCTCGATCAGGGGCGTGGACGAGGGCTTGCCGGTTGGAGAACACCCTTTGGGCCTTTTGGTGTAAGTCACACCGATGTTTTCCAGCGACTCGAATTGCTAGGAGATGCTGTGTTAGGCTTTATCGTGACTGCCCGCCTCCTTTGCCTTTTTCCAGATGCGTCTGTGGGAACACTTGTTGAGCTAAAGATGGAGCTTGTTCGCAATGAGGCTCTAAACTATCTTGTACAAACGCTTGGACTTCCTCAGTTGGCGGAGTTTTCCAACAACCTTGTGGCGAAGAGCAAAACATGGGCAGATATGTATGAGGAGATCGTTGGATCAATCTTTACGGGACCTAATGGAATCTATGGCTGTGAGGAATTTCTTGCGAAGACGCTTATGAGTCCCGAACACTCCAAGACAGTAGGATCTGCCTGTCCAGATGCAGTCACCAAGGCATCAAAGCGTGTTTGCATGGGAGAAGCGGGGGCGCATGAATTCAGAAGCCTTGTGGACTATGCTTGTGAGCAAGGCATTAGTGTCTTCTGTTCTTCGCGGGTGTCAACTATGTTTCTCGAGCGTCTCAGAGACATTCCAGCAGAGGACATGCTAGATTGGTACCGACTTGGTATCCAGTTTTCGCATCGTTCAGGCCTATCAGGACCTGGCGGCGTCGTATCAGTTATAGACATAATGACACATTTGGCTCGAGGCCTATGGCTGGGCTCTCCAGGCTTCTATGTTGAACAGCAAACTGATAAGAATGAGTCGGCTTGTCCGCCCACTATACCTGTTTTATATATCTATCATCGCTCTGTGCAGTGTCCTGTTTTATATGGGTCGCTCACAGAAACCCCTACAGGGCCCGTTGCTTCTAAGGTTCTCGCTCTCTATGAGAAGATTCTGGCATATGAGTCATCAGGAGGTAGTAAGCATATAGCAGCTCAGACAGTTAGCAGATCTCTGGCCGTACCCATTCCTAGTGGCACTATCCCCTTCCTGATTCGGTTATTGCAAATAGCACTAACTCCTCACGTGTACCAAAAACTTGAGCTTCTTGGAGACGCATTCCTGAAGTGCAGCCTTGCTCTCCATCTCCACGCTCTCCACCCCACGCTCACAGAGGGCGCTCTTACACGCATGCGGCAATCTGCAGAAACAAATTCTGTACTGGGAAGATTGACAAAAAGGTTTCCTTCTGTAGTTTCTGAGGTTATTATAGAATCCCATCCGAAAATACAGCCTGACAGCAAGGTTTATGGCGATACATTTGAAGCCATTTTGGCAGCAATTCTTCTTGCGTGCGGGGAAGAGGCAGCAGGTGCTTTTGTTCGAGAGCATGTTCTCCCACAAGTAGTAGCTGATGCGTAGTGTAATATCCATACACCCTTCTGGCGACCAAGGTGCTATAAGATTGACTTTGCTTACCGTCAAGCACCGTTTTCATAAATCGCATCTCCTGCCTATAGCTATAGTCACAGTTTATCTTTGGATGTACTATGATCTGCCACCATCCAATGGAACGATACTTAAGGACCAAGACATAAACCTCTATAAAACCAAAGGATTGTCTCTTCAGATGTTTAAAAAGGGCCGCACACGCTATAAGGACGGTACGGTATACGAAGGAACATACAGGCAAGAGAAGCGTGACGGCACAGGGACGTGCCATTATCCCGATGGCTCAGTCTATGAGGGTACATGGGCCAATGATGTTCGTGAGGGTAGAGGCATCTTGACGTATAAAGACGGGAGCTACTACGAAGGTGAATGGAAAAGCAACCTTCGCCATGGCAAAGGGGTTCTGGATATCGTGGGTGAGGCACACTATGAGGGTGCCTTTGAATGTGGGGATTACCATGGCTCTGGAACCCTTAAAACCCCTGCCTTCTACTACGTAGGTGCGTTCACTAAGGGGGTATTTCATGGCAGTGGCGAGCTGCAAACCGAAGAGTACACGTACAAAGGAGAGTTTTCGGATGGACAACAGACAGGACAGGGCAGAATAGAATATAAGGATGGGACAATTTACGTAGGAGGCTTTCTGGATGGCCTATATAGCGGTGCAGGAAGGCTTCTACTTCCAGACGGAGGCATCTATGAGGCACAGTTCAATTCTGGCAAGATAGAGGACAGAGCAGCTCACTACGTGATAAAGGGATCCAATAAGTACCCATCCAGACACACCATTAACACTATTCTGGGGCTGCTAGAACCCGATAGCGTGTCTGTGTTCAGTGACTACCTCCTTTGCTATGAAGATGGTCTCTACACGAGTGTCTGGAACGCTAGAGTGGAGCCGCTTATGCGCTTTCTCTCTTCATGTATCTCTCCTCGATTAATAGTAAGCTATACAGGGTCTATTAAGGCCGGGGTATTGGACGGTAGCTGTGAGGTGGAGTACGATAACCAGTTCACCTTTTCGGGAGATTATGTAGCTGGGATCCCATCTACTGGGACCGTTGCTTTCAGCTATACAGGGGACCTAGCTATTTTGGAATCAAGTGAAGTCGACCTAATTCAGTACTTCAAACTTGCGATCACATTTTCCAAATATTCAAGCAATGTGTTCCATGGCGCATGTAGTATCTCTATTGAGTTTAAGGATAGGGCCAATAACGCGCTTACATATAAGTCTAAGTTTACACTGGATACTATGTGCCAGCGACAGGGAGACCTTGACATAATCTGCAATAACCTCTATTTTAGTGGTACTGCACAGGATGATCAGATAACGGGGGAGGGCACCCTTTCGATGGGCTTCAATCCGGCGCTCCGTCCTCAACATAGCTCTGTCTGTCAATCTTCAACAGTGGAGGCTTCCGTGATAGAATCATTCCTTCAAACAACAGGTGTTTCTCGCCTTGGAAGATCTACACTCCCGGGAAAAGGATTGGCGGTAGTTTACAAGGGGACCTTTGTTCGTGGCCTCCGATCAGGACGGGGGACACAACAGGCTGGAAATCTGTATCATTTCGTTGGAAAATTTGAGGATGATACGTTCTTATCTGGCGTCCTCACGGATTACATGTGTTTAGACAAAGTAACCAATGAACACATAGCCCGCAGAACCATTGGTTCTTTCAAGCACAATGTGCCACAATGCCCTGTCCTAGTTGAGGTGGATACGTTTCGCTATCGTGTGTATTGCAGTGCACCGAATGCCTTCCCATCGCTAGTGACGAGTGCGATGCGGAAGCTCTGCCTTAAGACATCCCTTTCTGTTTCCAGAGCTGCCAGAGATACGGTTGATGATCCGTCAGACCTCATGACTGTTAGTCAGCTTCAGCCAATCAAAAGGGCCAATCCTTCTAGGTTTTCACCCTCCTATTTCGTATCTTTCTTCAACGCTTCGGCAGATAATCTTGAAACTGTCGTGGCCAAGATCTTAGCCGGAGAGGACCTCAATAGCGAGCAAGCTGTTTTGACAGATGTGCAAACGTGTAACTTGAAGTCGGTTACCCTAGATCCTAGCAACTTGACTAGCCTCGTTCCACAGTTCTACGCTGGAACACTGGAGGATATGCGCCTGACAGGGACTGGAGCTATGTTCTATCAATTTCCTGACACCAGGCTTGCTGTTTTAGCAACCGGGTCTTTCGCAGATGGCTACTTAGATGGATCGCTTGAGCTATCCGTTCTTACTCAGGATAAAGTGGAATCAGAGTATGCTACGCTTTCTCAGGCAGAAGCTCCTTATTTAGTATGCACTGCAACAATTACTGGGACCTACAATAGTTCCATACTAGACGGAGAGGCCACCATGGACATCTCTGTTCACTCGTCTGACACAGGATCTTCGCAGTTACGTCTCCTCTACTCGGGGACGTACCGTAACGGCAGACGCAGGGGACAAGGAGAGTTTGCTCTGAAATGCAATGACAAGCTCTTAGTAGAATACTCCGGCCAATTTGACGCCGATCTTCCCTTGCTAGAAGGCAAAGTAACTGCTCCAGGTCTAGGGGTTGTTTCAGGAGTTGTGACCTCGCCTCAGAAGCCAGACCTGTACAAGCTATGTAACTACTTCAATCTCTCTAGGTACTACAGGCTTTTAGAACTACTAGGCTCTAAACAGCTCTTGTCTTGTGTATGCTCTTTTCAAGGGGAAGTAGAGATAGCTTTGGAGGCCTCATTTGTGGAAGAAAACTTTTTCCAAGCACTAGGGATTGATTACGAGGAACCAGTTCTAGCGAACTACAAAGGATATATTAGTCCTGAATTAACGCTCTGTGGAAAAAGCATTGTTATATCATCGGAACTTTTCAATTACCAGGGGCCAATCAGTGATAATGTCCTTTCGGGTCACGGAGTTCTGTCTCTTTATAAAAGAGATCACAATGGCCGACCAACACTGCAGGAGCGGTACGAGGGGATTTTTGTGCAGTCTCGCCGTGATGGCCCAGAATCCCGCCAAGAACTTCCCAGTGAAGGAGAAGAATATGTGGGAGCATTTTACAATAATGTTAGACATGGCCCCGGGCGGTTGCTGTTGACCACGACGGGAGACATCTACGAAGGGAATTTCGTTGAAGGGCGTCTGGAGGGTGCAGGCAAGATCACCTATGGAAACAATGGTAGGATGGGTGATGCTAGCTATGTAGGAGAATTTGCAAATGGGCTTCCCCATGGAGATGGAACACTCTCATTCGGTGATGGCTCATGGTACAAGGGTCAGTTTATCGCAGGAAAGCAAACGGGTGTGGGCACATATTATAGCAGCGCAGAAGACACTCTAACAGAAGGTGAGTTTGAGGATGGAAAGGCACAAGAGCACTGCACGGTGATATTTAAATATTCAGACCCGCAAAACAGGCGGGTAGTTAAAGGGATACAGCAAGCTCAGGCTGGTGCATGTACAGTATACACTGTTTCAGATAATACCTACCATTATAGAGGCCCTTTAAAGGACGGCCTCTTCCACGGAGAAGGCCTCCTAGAATATTCTAATGGAATCAGCTACAAAGGGAGATTTTCTAGAGGGAAGTTTTCTGGGCTTGGGAAGCTGACAAACCCTATGTATAACTATGTGCTGACAGCTAGCTTTTATGAGGGAGACATCTCCCACGGGGGGTACAATCTTTTGATCTACGCTCATAGCGAGACAAGGCCTTATGGCCCACACAGTCACATAAGAACATACGCCGGCCCAATGAGGTTTGCATCCTCGAAAGATCATGGTCCAGAGAGTGCGGAGCCTAGCTATTGTCTGACTCTTGGGTGTAGTGAGGATCCCTATGAGTTTACACTTACATCGTCTAACATTGCAGTCGTGCATTATGTCAACGGAGACATATATCGTGGAGGCTTCTACGCAGATAGACGACACGGGGCCGGGAAGGCATTTTCAGCAGGATCCGGGTTGCTAGTCATTGGGGCTTTCAGGAACGACAACCTGTGCGGTGATCAGACTATTCTGAGTTCCCAGGGAGAGATTGAAACAGGAAGATACGTCAAAGGAGTCCCATCCGGAAAGCTTGTCAAATTCATCAACGGCACATCTAACCGGTTTCGGGTGTTAGAGCGACGCGACAAGGACGGTAAAAGTGATGATGGTGTGCTAGAAAAAACCATACAACCTCTCCAGCCAATAATAATGGAAAACACATATGAGAATGGTAACGAGAAAGATACTGTGGAGATTGTGTTCAAAAGCTCCGATATTAGATATATAGGAGAATATGTCTACGGAGTGTTCTATGGAGCCGGAAAGGCGTTTCTTTCATCAACTACCACGTTTCTTACAATCCATTGGCAGCTTAAGAGATTACCAGAGCAGTTTAAGAAGCACTACTCTACGCTGTGCTCTGCCAGGATAGAGCTGCTCAACAAAGGACACACAGACCCGTCCGAGAACTTATGTGCTCAATACAATTTGGCCCTAGACGAGGTAGACGCCGATGCTTCTGCCCTGACAAACCCCAGCATAACCCCTTCTGCCCACAAGTGCAGGATGGTATATCCAAACTCAGACTACTATGAGGGCGACGTACTTGATTGCATGAGGCATGGGAGTGGTGCATTCTACCTGTCTACTGGAGCGCTAAAGTACAAAGGCGAGTATAAAGAGGATAAGCGCTGTGGAAGTGGCACTCTAATATACAAAGAAGAGAAGATTTATGTAGGTGAGTTTCTTAACGACCTTCGGCATGGACACGGCACGATGAATTATCCTAACGGCAGTACATACACTGGACCGTACAAGGAAGATCTTCGTAGCGGACTCGGTAAAATGACCTTTCCAGATGGCAGTGTCTACGAGGGAATGTGGAGAGAAAACGAAATGTGGGGTGCAGGAACTTTGGTCTACAGAGACGGCGACAGATATGAGGGGGAGTTTGCTAACAACATGAAGCACGGCCAGGGCATCATGCGCCTTATCAACGGAGATGTCCTGGAGGGAACGTTCGCCCATGACGTTATGGAAGGAAGCGACTGCAAGATAACATACAGTAATGGAGACTACTACGAAGGAAACGTTGCTGCTGGGATGCCGCACGGTGAAGGAGTGCGTCGGCAGAAGAGTGGAGACGTGTATACAGGAGAGTTTAGCTATGGTAAGTACCACGGAAAGGGAACTCTGAGGTATGCAAATGGAGATGTTTATGTGGGGCACTTTCTGGCAAATAAGATATGCGGTAAGGGTGTCATGACATATGCAAATGGCACAGTCTTCGAAGGGGAATGGGTAGGATAATCTAAATATAAAATTACAGGTTTTTCGTGTCCCCAATTAAAAAGCTAAGCTCATGCCGGACCATTACGCGAAACAAGACATGACGGAAAAGCCCAAAGCCGCCTCCCAGATCAAGGGCGGCTCCATATTCGACAGGCTGACGGATCCGAGCACCTATCAGGCGTCCCACCGCGCTCGCTTCAACGATCGCCCTGATGTGAAGCACGACCACATCAAGCTCCAGGAGGCATCCAACATTAACAAAAAGCACGATCCCGTTGCACCGACTGTCAACCGTAAGCCTGCAGGTACCGAGGCAGCACACACGGAACACCCGACCTCCAGTAGAGACAAGCCAAAGGCTGCGTCCCAGGTCAAGGGCGGGTCTATATTTGATAGGTTGACGGACCCGAGCACTTACCATGGAACCCACAAGGAGCGCTTCAACGCGGACGGTACCGGGCGTGGTCTGGCTGGCAGAGACTCTGTTGCAAAGGGTTCCGGAACCGTTGGCGGGCGCGTCGGGGACTTGAGTTCTCAAGTGAGCCGTAAGTAGAGCAAGCTGTCGGCTCGTCGGACTTAGATTGTCGCCTGTGAGGCATCAAGGTGCCTGTTCACAGAAGCGCAGAGTTGGTTACACAATTGACGCGTTAGTGAATCTCCTCATTGGCTTCCTTCGTCACTGCTTCATTGTCGAAAGCCCAGGGGTACTTCAGCCTTATGAGGCCGTCGCCGTTGTCCTTGTACATGTAGTTGAGGAACAGCTCTTCCATTGGTTTGATGTCAGTGGTGGCAAAGAAGTAAAGATGAGGGTGGGCAAAGTGACTAGTGATCGGGTCGTCGTCCCATATTATTCGCTTGGCTACTATATTATCCCTTGTGCGATGGTTAGCATATCGGCCTTCATTGCCTGCTCTAGTGGCGTCTATAACATATATGGTGCTGGCCTCCAAGTCTGATGCGCTGCGGTTATAAGAATCATCGGAGTCAGCGGTTTCTTGAGAAACGTGTGCACCCCGTATCCCATGGCTAGAAAGTCCAAGCCGCATTCCTCCAGAGGATGCACCGCGGGCGTCTCTGTGAGCTGGCTTTTCAGAAGATGAGAAGCAATACTTGAAGACACAAACGATGTCATAGAGATATGAGCAGCGCTGCATGTCAGCTATTACACCCCGTCGCTCTGCTAGGTTCTCTCCAATCAGATCTCCGGTGTACTCACACACCGGCGCTCCTTTTGGTATATAATCCAGTGTCCTGAGACCCCAATATCCATACCGCTGCCGGAAGATTTGAAGCCTATACCGCTTGCCAAACTGAACGCACCGGCGTAAGCATGAGAGGGGGCACGAGCACTGTCTGGAACACTCATAGACGGACATCCTTCTGGTCGGCAGTACACGGTGTCGCACAATCTGGATGTCTTTTGTTCTGATCTGCTCTACCAAATTAAGAATCCATGGACTTGCAGAATTGTTCAGCAGAATAAACCTATACAATTGTCTTGTGGAAAAGTAGAAGGGGTGTGACGTGGGCGGGGGAGAGACAGGACTGTAGAGAGAAGAGGTCATTACAGCCAAAATGTATCTGAGGGAGTCTCCCTCATGGCTACTGGTGCCAGAGTGAGTATATGAAGATGGCAGTGAGACGCGTTTCTCCTTGGAGGTAGATGAGAAGGCCTCATCTTTGTTCTCTGGACACATAGAGGTCATAATTCTGAAAAGCGCTGACGCTTTAGAGATACCCGAAGCATCCAGGTCTTTGAAGCTACTGCACTCTTTGATGAACAGGTTCAGTGCTAGATTTTTCGCTTCGAAGGCTCTGGTGAACACCCGATATGATTGCTTTTTCTTAGGTACATTAGCTGGCTCCTGCACCCAGTCACCGTCGCTGCTAAGATCCTCGTTATTGCTGTTAGTCTTTCGGACCTTGCCGACACCAGTGGACAGTCTGAGAGCCCTGTCAGGAGTGTAATTGTGGGACGCCAAAAGTGTGGTATATTGTCCAGTGCTTCGACATTCCAATGTTAGGACATCATAATACAGCATAGAAAAGACATGAGCAACCTCAGCAAGCTTCTTTCTCACAGCTGGGCTAGGGCAAGACGCCAGGCTGCCCTCCTGCAGGAGCTTATCAAGTTCGTGCAGCATATCAAGCTGTGCAGCAGCAATAAGATCCCGTTTGATGCAGGAACATAGATCCTTAGTGTCTGTTGTCTCTAAGTATCTTAAAAACGAAAGTGTGTCGGCTGGCTTGCCCGAGTCCTTTGCGGTTTTACAGGAGAGAGACAGGAAGTCTAGGAAGAGCTGGGTAACACGCCCCGTGATGCCTAGAGTGCAGGTGGAAGTCTGTGGCGAAGTCGTGGAAGAGCTACAGCATGCACACGGCACCGGGGACTTAGTAATAGGATACAGAGGATCGTCCCTACTCATGACGGTCCTGGATACTGGAAGCCACGTCAGTCGAACAGGTCCTGGTCTGCTCTGGTCACTGAAGCAAGACACAGGCGGGCCGAAAGAGGACCCACAGGAGATGTCTGGAAGGTAGAGCCGAGTCTTATCTAGGTACCGAAACTTGCACCTTTTTTCTACTATCTTTAAAGCGTGCACTATTGATCGATCGCAGCTGCAGCACTCACTGGCCAGTGTTTTCGACAAAAATGGGCTTGATGTTGATAGAAACTGCATAAGTACTTGGTCGATAAAGGACGTGGAGATCACAGGGCAGCATATGGCGTGCCGCGATCGTCTACAGTACAATTTGATATACTTTGCATACGGCGTCTCCTGCAAAGCTTCAGTGAGGAAGCCTACGGCATGAGCCTGGATGACAGAGCTGAGCGATGCATGAAATAGATGTGGAAATGCACAACCTCTACTCCGGTATATGGGTTTAAAGAATGTATCATGTGTGGTTGATAAAATGAAGGTTTTGAGGGCACATAACACTGGGGAGACGTGCCTGCCAAGCATCAGAGAGAGCAAGGACAGGACGCATGGAGCTACTGTTTCATTTAGCTGCTCTGGTAATATATTAATTGGATTGATAGCATCGTAGATATAAAATAGAATCCTGTACATAAGTATAGCATCATATTCTGTGAACGGTATACTGTGCTGTTGCTTGAGTAGCTGCTTATAGCTCCCATTGAATGGAAATGCCTTGGCGTGGTAGCTTTCATGAACCTCCAGCAGCTTGCCCAAGGGGGTGTCTAGCTCGGCCTCTAGACGATGCACAATTGTCTCCACTGCATGCGTGAGACACATGTTTACTCTCACCGTCACCTGATTTATTTTTTAGCCACCCCGCTATCATTCTATGATGTGCGTAGTGATTGCTAATAGGGAGAATCCCCGCTTCTGTTTTTGCTTGCTCCTTCCTATGACTAACACTTCACTAGTAAGCAAAGGCTCTTGCTTATTTTTCTGCTGGTACTTAGCAGACACCACAAGGGTAATACTGTCCTCCAAAAGAACAGGGGTCCACATCAATATGTCTACTTTATCTATATCTTTATAGATGACCTCGAGTGCCTTCATAATGGCCTGGGGATCTTTTTTAGAATCATATTGGGATTCCTTCCCGTGGGGCTTGCACGTGCGGTAGACAAACTTGCAGCTTTGGTCAACCACAGATTGTATTCTCAACAGGTCTGTTAATAGAGAATCATAGTAAAAATGCATGAAGGCCTCGGCCACGTCCTGCGTCAGTTCAGCTTCCGCCATTTTAGAATCCGATAAAATTTTAATGTGATTGGATATTTGGCAATAAAGATATGGAAAGTGTATGGAAACTGTGGACAGATTTAATTGCACTTGTCCTCTTGGAGCTTTAGTTGGGCTGCGATCCTCCTGTGGCTTTTGACCAATGTCAAACAGTTCAGCACAGTATAATTGGGACCAATTTGTCTTCGGTTTGAAGGCCTCAGACGTGGAGTACTTCAATGTCCTAAAGGAGGCGGCCGGATTTGGCATCCAGCGCTCCCCCAGAGTGCCATTTACGTACTGGCGCGTGGCACCGCACGTACTTGATGATTTTAGGACTCTCCGTGAAAGCGCTCCTAGTGGTAGAGCAGGCCCACAGTTCTGTGATATGCAGGTTTCTGAGGATAGCCGTTTGGAGCCAGACTCTAACAGGAGCGGCAGTGTACGATACGGACAAGAATCTATCTCCACCCATCGTACCACTTCCTCCAGCCCTATAAGCTCCATAAGGCTTCAGATAGATGCTCCGTTCCTTAAGGCGGTAGAGTATCCGCATGCCACACTGGACATTATCCGGTTTTTTCTGACCCATCCGTGTACCATCTACGCCGATGTGGACCCCATATTTCGAACGTCGTCGGCTCTAAGTGTGCTGGAAAATGCCAGCAAACTTATGCGTAATGTGCCGGTCCTTCTAGACCGTTACACAGGTGGTGTCAGAAGCCAAAAGAGCAAGACCTTTACCACCCAAAAAACCGTCAATAACGTACCACCTATCAACATCCTTTTGGAGAGACTCTTTACTGAGCCCCGGTTGCTCTTGGAGTTAATGAACATCGGGAAGATCACGTCCAGCGACTTTCTCTTTGAGAAGATATCAATACCGCCTTTTATTAAGCCGCCTGTGCTCAGAATGAGTCTCAGCATTGAAAATTTGGTGGTAGGGATGGTGAACAGAGAGGTCATGGAGCCGTTTTACGGCTCAATTGCATTGTATTACTATAGCTCCACTGACAACGGTCAACATGGGCTCTATAGGGTGTCTGAGAGCCAGTATATAGATATGAACTGTTTTTCGACACTTCGGAGCTTCGCGTGTGATAAAACATCACTTGATTCTAAGCCCCTTTATAGCAGACTCATGACTATCTTGGATACGATCGAAAGGTCGAAGCTCGTGGAGTTTACCATTCCCATTTCATCGCAGACGTGCTTCAGACGTATTTTCTTGGTTGTGTTTCTAGAAAAGACCATAGGTGTCTCGTCTGATGAATCGCACGCATTCTACTCCAGGATCAAAGAGCTAGAAGACCTTGCCCTTGCAGATGAAAAGATCAGGTCGGAAGTCGACCGCTACAGCCTTTACTTGCAGAGACTGGCAGACGGTGTTGCATCCCATGACATCAGAGTAATCTCGGGTGTACTAAGCAACAAGTTTTCCCAGACAAGACATGACAGTAGCATCAATGAAGCGATAGTCAGTTCTCTTTCCCACACTCTGACCAGTGATAGCCAAAGCAAGCAATCTGGTGCACCCTCAGTTCAGGGCCACACGAAGAGGAAACTTGAAGCTAAGAAGTCCAAAGGTGACATGCCTTTCTTTAAGTATCCAGGTATTGATTATACCTGCACTAGCAGCCTAAGTACTGAGTCCAAAGTTCCAACTAGTATCTTCGCAGCCTATGGAAAGTATGGTGAGCAGATCTTGGCAGAGTGTAACAAGTATCTCCCTAAGGTTAGGGCAGCTATCAGACAGACTGGTGGGCTCAGGGAGACGTTTGCCGTGAGCATTTCTCCCATCTTTCCTTTATCGGCGTTCTCTATGCAAGGTAGTGCATCTTTGAAGCGGGTAGCCCACCCGCACGACTCATCTAGCCATGTTCAGGGAGCACTGTCTCTAGACCCTGCAGACACAAGTAGTGCACGAGCAACCTTTGACCAAGTGGCCAGTGTCCTGCCCGACTCTAACTTTTACGATGCTTGCCCAAGTACTTCTAACCCAGACTCTCAGCCCCACGCTTTTGCTCATAATATTAGCATCATGGGAGTACCGCGGAGCGTAGTGCGCTCGGACGAATCTGTTCCAGTTGCAACACTAGCACAGACAGCTTCTTCGCGTGGAAAAATCAGTACTACAGTTTGTGATAGCAAGGTCTCTATTCAGCAATTGGAAAACTTTCTTTTGCTCACCAAAATTATTTATTCTAGAACTTCAAGCATCAAGCGTAGAGATGGGATGGAGCAACAGGTCAGGCTGCAAGATCTATTGGAGGCAGATTGCAATTCCAACTCTGACGCCGATTCATTTGTGCATCTACAGGAGTCCGACACTGATCCTGAACGCAGGGAGCTTATTGGCCGCATGTGTGGATACTTCAATGAGCAGAAAAGGCGCGGCATTTACTCTGTAAGCAAGCTCAAAAAGGATCCTCGTTTTTCTAGTGTTCTAAATGAGAAGGGGCTTTCCTTTGTGCACCCCTTGCGACCCGTTTCGCATAAGCTTAACACCTTTGTTCGCCTTCCTAAAAATATTTCACAAACAGAGCCTCTGGCCTCTGTTCTTTTAAACACATACAATGATCGCGTATCAAAGAAACGGGCTTTAAACTACGTTCAATTGTATGTCAATACTTCTGTCAATACGTTCGGTGTCTATGATTCAAGTTCAGGGGTGTTCAGAGCTATAAAGGACGCCCCAAGTTACCGCACTCTGCAGCCAAATCACCTTCCGGATTTTGCACATGAACTAGAGCTAATGGTTTGGTCCTATAGTCTGCATCTTCTCGAGAGAGGAGAACATAGTGATTTATTGTTGCTTTTGAAGCACGGATATTTGACTACAGACACACTGAGTCATCTTTTATTATTTGCCCTCATGAGCGCACAAGGGATATCTAGTCAACGCATATATCTGACGCTACGTGACGCCGAGACCACACTAGAGCATAAAAAGGCGTTTTCTTCGCTTCAGTCCCATTATTTCTTCGATCGCATTAGAGGAAATAAGCTTCATCCCAACCACATCTACGTTAAGCAGCTAGACTGCTTCTTCCGCCGAGAGGTCGGTACTCCTGCCGCTCCCTTCAGGAATCGGGTCTACCTATATCCGCAGTCTTTTATCGTAACTCTACCGAATGCACGTTACAATGCTTTCTTCCTGAAGGTGGAGATGCGCTCTGATGATGCATTAGACGATAAAGATATAATGTGGGCCATTTATCCAAGGCTTCACGGCTCCATGACACCGGATGACATGACTAAGGGTCGAATAGCCTTTCGAAGTTCGTATTTGACCTCTGCAGCTGTCAATACGCGTGTGGTACGACTCCATGATGAGGTTAAGTTTGAGCTACCGCTGTACATCACTCCGAAGACACATTTCCTGTTTACGCTCTATGGGGTTCCTGGGCTTTCTGCAAAAGAAAGGGCTCATGCAGATAAATGTGATCTCTCGACAATTGTAGGTGTTGACGATACTGTCTTTGTACCTCAAGAGAAAACAGCCACTGAGATCATGAATCTCACCAAGTTGACACAGTTATATGCAACACCTGCATTCTGTAGTACCACTGATAACAAGGAGCATACATTCCCCACCTATGCTCTTGCTTCAGGTAAGATGTCCACCACTAGTTCCGTCGTGTCGCATCCTGCTGACTCCATTCCCGTGAGATCCTCGCAATATACTGAAATACTGGGATCGGGTATGCAAGACTCAATAGACCCAGCGAGCATTCAGCACATCGTTGAGGCACGCACTCAGCTTTCACTACTTGGTTATGCATACCTTCCTCTTGTCAAGGGTGTCGACGAGCTGGGAGTACCGGTGCTGCAGAACACTCTCGGGGTCGATGCCTTGTCTCCTCCTATGATGACAAATAGCGAGTTTGTCGAAAACTATGATAGATCTATTTCTATCCCGTTTCAGAGCCAAATTTCTGCAGGCTATTTGTCGTCTCAAGCTGACAAGGAAAGGCCTTTACAGGGTCTAACAGATGGCATCAGCAAGCAGACTAAACAGGTAGGATATATGCTTTGCACACTACGCTATGAATCTTCCCTTTACACACATTCTCACTTTTTGAACGCAATTTACTATGCATATACATGCGCTAAGAACATAGTTCTCCACAGCTGCATTGATCTGGATAAAAGCGTGAAGACCCTGCGTAGATTTTGCGACAAGGTCAATCTCTACGCGGTCAGTTTTAAGATATCCCGGGATGCATACTTAGGAAACGCTACCAGTAGCATTGTGAGCGACGAACTACGTGGACCGCTGGCACCGGCAGGTGCAAGCTTTGCAGCGACTCAAGCCCAGCTTCAGGCCCAGCTAGCAGCTTCTAAGCGTAAGTCCATTCCATTTTATGGAGAGAGCATTCTATTGGAGCAATATGGGCCCACCTATAATATTGCAGTTGCACTGGCCTCCCTGCTCATGCACCAAGAGCTATTTGAACACGTTGTTTCTAGGGACCTTATTTTCAATTGCCTGGAGCACGTTCTTGCCCCCTTTACCACCATTTCAAACGAGAGCATGGCGATTGTCAACAATTTATATCGCCATTGTATTAACGAAGAAGTGGCAGCCGCGTTTAAAGCACACAAAACTTTTGGGAGGCGCAACTCCTGGCTTATGATGCTACAGAACTTCATCTACACTCCGCTTCTCGGGGCCATGCTAGCGCCGTTGTTTGGCTCTACGAGCGCGATACAGAATCCGTTAGATGGCGAGTTCGCGGCACTATCAGACATATACCGGGCTCTCGGCGGTATCGGCAATCACATCTCGTTCTACCATCAAGACAGTTCATCAGATACCTCCCTGTCCGAGCCATTTAAGCAAGACTCTTTCGTACTTGCCAATCTGGCCGTGTACGCCATGGTTGCCCACCACATATGCTCTATAACAACCTTCCAAGCGCTTCAGAATTATGTTTCTTACTTACACAACAGCGTAATAAAGTACATCATTCAGAAATCCTCTTTAGTTGACCGTCTTTTTGCAATCATACCCCACAACTTTCTCCTTATCGCCAAAAGCTTTATGATTATCTTGACCAGGTATAAGCATTTGTACAATGCTAGTATGTCCTGCTTTCTTTTTGACAACGCAGTGCTGGATGTCTCCGGAAACTCCGACAGTTTGGAGGGCACGCACTCATCGAGTGCGACCGTCTCTCATGACAGTGTAGAGCGAGCTGAGTTTGAAGCCGACCTCATTGCTTTCATCAACTCAATAGGCCATTTGATCAACGCAATTCTTTATAATCTTATCGATTCCTGTTATTCACTAACCTCGTACAATAAGTCCTTTGTTATTATTACCTCGACTGCAAAGCTTTTTATTCTTCTTGTTGTTACTAGCCCCAAGAAGACTAAGTTGTTCTCGTTTCTCGAGTCTCTGATTGACAAAAATGACACCTTCAAGGGTGGTCATTGGTTTACCAGGTGGCAGATCTTCTTTGACTTTTTGCACCAATTGATGAGGGAACGGGCTCTTCTCTATTCATACTCATTCACAGACATTCACGCTAAGGAGTCGTTTACTTTCCAAGGGGGCGCTTCCGACACCTCTGATGGTTCCGTCGACTACACGTTACCACCATTCAACTTGATTCCAGTGGGGTGCATTCTTCCGCATTTGTATCTCAAGGCATTGCATTGTCTGCTGTTTAACTATAATTCTGAGCTGTCCCATTCCGTAGAAGACCACACGGCTTTCCGATCAATCTGCACAAATATCTTTATATTTCTTTGGGAGGTTTGCTCGGGGGACATAGCTAGACAAACCCCGTCATTTCTCTACGTGTCGTGTGTCCCACTGCTCCTATTAATTCTTGATAATTATGACAAGTTCTTCAATTCAGTCAACAAGCAGACTGACACCAGTAATAGGGCAAGCACACCTGAGACTGATGTGCACACGGTGCCTGGCGACCAGGGTAGGAAGTGTAATGTTACAGACAATGCAGGAGTGGCGGTTGCATCCTTGTCCACTCCAAGGACAACTGTGAAGCAATCAGATCTTGAAGATTCGTCTACACCTAAGACAGTCCGGGGATCTCCGTATTCACACACATCGGACGTTCAGGCGCAATGCACTGACTTTTCGTTGGAACTTCTTATGGCAGAAATGTTCCTCTTTCTTATTACCTTTCTTCAAAGATTAACAAATTACTGCATTGAGTTTTTGCGCAACTTAACTGTGGAGCAAGCACAGAGCATGCTTAAGATCTATCGCCATGTACCGTTTCTCTTTGACGAGGATTCTCTTAGAAAGAGGGCCACTATTCTGACATCTTCATCCTACCGTGTTCAGAGCATGCGTTATTTGAATTTTCTGCTGTCTGGTGACTCCAAGCTTGTCGACAACATCTTCCTTCCTCCAAATAATGGCTCTGTTAAGCCCACGCCTTTTCTGTTTGTTTCTCCATTCTATAGTGATTCATCTAATCAGCAAGTTCACGCTCATCAGAGGCTCGGTCCATTTTTTGACTCTTTTAAATCTGGTTCTTCGGTGAGTGATGACCTACTCTTGTTTTCTGAAACGATTACGGATATGTTTATGGGGAGGGTGCTCAAATATAACGATGATGGTAAACTATCTAGCAATACAACCCAAAATCCGGTGCTATCTCTTCAGCATACGTCGACCTATGACCCATACTCCAAAACGGATAGAAATGCCTCTACTACTTGGGTTACTTCAAGCCAGTTATTTCACACTGCAACTGCCTATCATAATGCTCATGGAACAATACCTTCGGGAGCATCGTTTGGACAACAGACATGCCCCAACATCCCATACATCCCCAGGAGGATCATAAAGGAGCAGCGCGAGTCTACGACCTCCAGAGGCGGGCATCGCGCTATGAAGAAACCTACCTCTAAACAATCTGCACGCCAAGGATTTAAGATCTCCACACAGATCAGCCAGGCGACTCTTACTACTTCTGATGATACTGACGATGCCAGCATCTATCGAGCGCTTGAGGACTCTGTAGATATTCAGGAGTCTCAGCACACCTGGCATAAGTTGACACATTCGGTTGTGGGCTCTATCGACGACCCCACGGCAGAAGAGGACATGACCGGAGATGAGAAGGAAATATCTCACAGCGTTTCTGCTCGACATCGCGACAAAGGCTCGAGCGTCCATAGATTAACAGGCACCTTCACTTTTACTGACAGCTGCATTAAGCAGATACCTGCTGTAGAGCCACACCCCCCAGCTCTATCCCCGCCTCGCCATCACTTGAGTCATCGGACGAAGCCCTCCAGTGTGGAGGAGGTTATCACCTACCTAGCAGCCCAAATTAAAAGTAATAAGTTGTCGGTCCTTGACTCAACCGAAGCACACGTTGAAAAGCCTATTTCTTTAGCTTCTCAAACTACCGTGGATAATGTAAGCAACCCGCAACGAGCCCATTCCACATCAGCAGACCTGCTTTATCTGAAGCTAATAAAGGGTCCTGATTCGTCCTGTGACGTGGTTGCATCACTGCTTTCGACACTTATTTATGAATCAGCTATGTATCAATTACTCTCATACACACAACACCTTATTGTCAATTCAGACGAGACTCGAGTACTGGATTCTGGGTCAACGTCATCTTCAAGCTTCTGTGACGTTCACGCCGAATTAATTCATACATTTGCATACTTTCTAGTTAAGGATCACAAGTTTGCTGTGTATAATGAGATTGTGCTGAACGCCCTTGTCAACTATTTTCCGTCTATTGCCTCAATCTTATTCAATGGTTTAGAAAATAAAAAATCTGATTTTGATCATGGAATCTCTATGGTTATTAAGGCATTGCTTGATAAAATAGACCTAGAACAGTTCAGTCTGTACAGTCTAGCAGCAACGATAATCGCGATATTGCTCAAAATAGAATTTGACTATCATGCCAACACGTCCATTCTATTTTCGATGATCAATTACTCCTTGGTCACTATGGATCTTACAGCCAAGAAGAAGAAGGCAATAATTTCATTCTTTGATTACGTACGTGCTGGTGTCAACGAGATATGCTCTAACGACGAGGCCTGGATAAACGGAGGCTGTGACGACGGTTCTGGGTTGCATGAGATGACTCCCGTCTCAGGCAAGGTTAGCTTTATCTGCAAGCACTTCTATTCAACTGTATGTCTCTTCTATGATAGATTGCTCATAGTAATAGAAAGCGAGTACATGATAAAGGAGCGCTCCAAGATCCAATCGATGGGGAGCACCGTTACCGACTTGGATCTGTATGCAGAGCTCAAGCTGTCACAGGCAGATTGCTACGTTGGTCAAGTGGACCTGCGCCTATTTAGTCTGCAGTCGCTCTTTAACTTTTTAAGGGAAAACAGACGGCACGTTGAAGCCGGAATGGTGTCTATATTGATTGCGGGGCTTATTAGCGAGTACTTAATTGTCAGGTCACAATTTGACGACAAGGTTATTGATTACTCCAGTCTCCCTTCAGTCTACTCTCTCAGTAAGATAGTTATCCCGGAGCTGCGCAAGATTATTCCCGACATTACTGTGCAGAACGATTTGGATGTATGGTTCGCGTACATTGCAAAGGCACAGCATCTAATGGGGAAAAGCGAAAACATATACTCATCTCTGGACGGTGGTCAGTTTTTCAAATTACTACTTGCACTGCAGAGCGCTGCCACCGAGTTCCAGACTGCCAAGTTCTATTTATATACCAAGCATATCTACAAGCTTCTTATGACACTGACGGAGCTGTATTCTAGCTCTCTGGCTACACCCACACAAGATAAGCTACCTAGCTATTTCGACCCGCTTTCTATGATCCAGTGCTATAGTGACGCACTCCTGGCCGAAAAGAAGAGCCACGAGGACGCTTACAAACTACATGAGAATGTGCACTACTATTGGGTGTCTATCACGACGGAAAACAACGGTAAGGAATCGACTACAGAATATATCTATTGCTGTCCTCACTCAGAGACAATTCGAGAGTTCACTGAGAGGTTGAAGCGGTTCTACGACCCACCTGATTTGCGGAAACCTGACGGCACGCCCAAGATAATTGTTCAGAAGGTGGAGCCGTACAAGATAGTTCAATCGGCTGCACTTCTCACAGAAAAGGAGGAGCAGATAAAACAGAAGATCTTGGCTCAACTACTTTCTTATGACATGGGAGCAGACAGTAAGGCTGGGCACCCCGAAGACAGCTTATCGTTCCTTGGGGGGCCATACTCTAATCCTCACTTAGTGCCTGTACACACAGAACCGAACTTACACATCCCTGGGGAAGTGCTACTACGGACGCACGCCGACCATGTATCTGCACATAGAGCTACCGATGAGAAAGATGGCTATCCAATAACGTATTACTCCAATATCATTTATAATTACTATCCGTTTGTTTTAGCATCCGACGAAACCTCAGTTGATACTGGATCGTCTTGCAACACGATTCATTCCTACACCTCGCGACAAATCTTTCGGCGACGGATACAACAGCAGGTGTACTCTGGTGATTCATCAATCAAATTAGCCGGATGTCTAAATGTTTACTACTACACTGCACACCCATTTCCTCACACAAATTCGCGCCAAAGAGTCATATACGTCTATGAGGAATACAGCAATCCAATCCAAGAGGCCATCAGGATAGTTGAAAAAGCAATCTATGATACTGAAAGGCTTCCAGATGAGCTTAATAAAGTCTTTCAAAACTTAACAGGTATCGTGACCCCCAGCGTGAACAGCGGAACTATGGACATTGTTAGAATGTTCCTGAATAAGCGAAATGAATTTTCCGAAGAGCAGGAGACTACAATCCAGGTGGTTAACTTCGATGACCTTGTCTCATCGACTACTGTGGCACTTACTGAGAAGCAACTCAATGACAACCACGACACGTTCATTGCCACGAAGTCAAATGACGGCCTTCTAGAAAACCAAACCATGAATACGGATGTAATAGTTAGAGATCAAAGCAATCGATCCGTAAGATGTTTGGAGAGTAGCGTAGAAGCAGATGATTCGCTTAGGATATTCCCAGAAAAGATCATGCCATTTGATGACCAAAACAGAGAAAGCATTTCGTCACCAACAGTAGGGATAGCCACAGATCGACCAGAACAAAAGGTACACTCTAAAGAATTGACAGACGCACACATGATGGATGACGTGTCTAGCTCCCTCTATTCAGGCGCACACAGTGTGACAAAAACGGCTCCCTCCACCAGTCTGGAAGATTCTCTTATCGACAAACGTAAATCGGGAGGAAGCCCGGAGCTGAACTCTGATGAAGGCTATGATATTAAAGAGCTCTTTACTCCAACCGAGCGACTAGCAACAATCAGAGCAAGCTTAAAGCTTAATATGCCATACCATCAATCCCTTGCGATGGCCCCACTCAGTACCCCTGTGGATGATTTTTCTGAAGCCACGAACCCGGAAGAACCTGAAGAGCTAGAGACCATCACTGGTACTACGTCTTCAAGCTATTTCGCACTATGTCCCAGACTGATAAAGGTATTCTTGTCTGACTTAATATACCCCAAGTTGGTGGTCAAGACAGACGTTTCGATGAAGCATTATCGCAACTTATATAAGTATCCCGATAGCAAGGCGACTCACGCTTTACGCCAAGGGAGCTATCTTACGGGTGATAGCACCTATCACGGATCAAGCCAGGAATCAAAGCAAAACAGGCTTCGACATGTAGACAAAGCATACATTCCTCAATCGGATTCAGATGTATACTTCATGGGTCCCTATGGTACATGCCGTGAGTCTGGATACCACGGTCGGTTCAATATAACTGGGTTCATGTCTAATTCTGACTATGTTCAGGCTAATAATGAGATGCTTCCACCACACATAGCGGAAAAAATAGACATTCTGCGCAATGAACTGCCAGTATATTGTAAGGAACCAAATTCCCTAACACACACTGAGATAGAGCTCTGTCGCGAAAGATTGGGGAAGCTCATTATCAGGTTGATGAACCTGCAAGCAGAAAAGATCGTACTTGCGAATCAGCTCATGGGAAAATATAGGGACTATGAGGGTCTTTACCTACTGGCTCGAGAAACGTTCTTAAAGACGCTAGAGGAGCTAGAAGAGTACATAGACTTTGATAAGGAAAGGATAAAACGCATAGTATCATGAAACCTCTAGTCTTTTAGTCTGTACCATAGGACACCCCCAAGAGAAAGAGCGTCGTTCCAGAGCAGTTTAAAACATCTTGCCGTATTAGGCCCGCCAATATCAGCATATCATGGCACTGTTTAAGGGTGTTAGTTGGAAGAGCTATGGCTGCGGCACGTATGTTGTTGGACAAAAGGGTTTCTATGATCTCTTCCTGTTTCTTTAGTTCATTTTCCAAAGGGATAGTATTAGAGGTTATCCTTAGCATCTCTCGCAGGAATGCATTGTATGTTAGAGTAAAATTGGAGCTACGTGCTCTTGAGTGTTCGGCAAACCCACGTATATTGATCATTACAGTTTTGATGACAGTCGGCTGATCCTGTGAGCGTTCTCTGGCAGCAGCAGCTAATATCTGGTCTCGATAATGTCGCCACTTAAAGTAGGGGCCTAGCTGAGCAAAATTCCCGGCAGCACTGGATCTTTCTGCTTGTAAGGCGTGCAAGTACTCCCGAAACAGAGGAGCATTATCAGCAGATTCAATGGAGTTAAAAAGGGTATCATAGTTTTGCACAATCGAATAAAGGATCGCGGAGTATCTGCTGTGTAACAAAGGGTACTTCTGCCGTGTGATATTGACGATAAGCTTAGACGCTGTTACAAAGTTGGTCTGTTTTGTAAAGTGCTCCTGCCGGCGAGAATATTGCTCGCTGGCACGGAGGCGCTGAATAATTGGCGCCTGAACTAAAGCAGCGACATCCTCTTTGGAGAGCCAGGGGGTGAGTGCCAGAGTTTTGAATATTATCGAGAGAGCTCCCTTATGTCGCACTAGTGCACACACAGAATGAGGCTGATCTTCAAAGCGCAAGTTGCCCTCCACGATCACACATTGGAGCAAGAGTGTTGCGTGAGTTTCTAGAGCCAGCGAAAGCCCTTCAAAAGTCCCAACGTGTGTGCGGTCAAGACAGAAGCTGTATAAAAGTGCGATGTTGTGGGCATCTGGCCCAATATCTGGTAGCAACAGTCTACGGATAAGAAGAGAAAATACAAGAAGGACCAAGGAGGGGCGCTTGCGTAGAATGGGATCCAGAAGCTCAGCAACACGCCTTTCTGTGAGAAGTGGTGAGCTCAGCAATTCTTGCACTCCGTCTGAAAGTGCTCTGACCGACATTAAAACTAATTCAAAATGAGCGTACGTCCACAGCATCCACAAATAATCCAACGCCACATACTAAAGGAGCTCAGGAAGACAACCCCTGGGGTGCGCTTGTTCATGCTTAAGAACAACGACCTTCTAGAGTTGCATTTCTCAGTCGCGGGGCCAAAGGACACTATTTATGATAATGGTATCTACCACGGCCGAATTCTCCTGGATATGGCACATCCCACGAAGCCACCCAACATCCAGATGATCACCCCCAGCGGCCGGTTCGAAACAAATAGAAACATTTGCTTTTCTTACACATCTTTCCATCCAGAAAGCTGGTCTCCCATTATTACGTTCACCGACATCATTGTGGGATTTACGAGCCTATTCAGCGATGAAGCAGAGGGTGGCATAGGGCTTATTAAGAACGTGGACAAGATCGCTGCAAAGCAATATGCAAGTGATAGCAGGACTTTTACGTGCAGCGCATGCGGAGCAGATCACACCACCCTCCAACTGGAATGATACAGTCTACCCATCCGTGGTTGACTTCCTTTTTGGGTCCCGCCTGGAAATGTTCTGGAAACCGGCCGCACTCACACTACTACTGTTATCATTGTATGCTTCGTACATGGTCACCCAATCATCTCCCCCACTGCAGATACTAAGTAAATCGATGGATGGTGCATTTGTGGTGGACTCCTGCTTTAGCGAGCTCTGTGTCCCGGAGCTCTTCGTGATTCCTGTCAGCGCCAGGCTTGGCAAACCCGAGGAATGGAGGTTGCGAAGAGACTCGCGCACAAGGGCGTTCTCTGTAGTGATCTCTCTCAGCTTTTTCTCGCAGCGATGAAGTCTGTCCTCTGTCAATATTACCTTATTAGATAACTCGGCATTTATAGTCTCTAACTCTGCAATCCGTTCCTTGAGCTTGCTGTTGTCGAACGAAATGGTCTGCTTTGCTTTCTTTTCAACGGTCTTTATTTCTTTCTGCTTGTTTAGTTCAAAGACTTTGAGCTCTCTTCTTGCGTCTCGAATGGCCTGCTCTGCCTCCTCACGCACACGGTTGGCGGTAAGTGTGCCCTTGGCAGCAAGCGTGGCTAGATTGCTTTCCAAGTGAAGGACGCGGGCCTCCAAATCCCCTGCACGTCGAAGATTGCGCACAAGCTCCTTCGATGTGGCATCAAGCTCATTCTCCGCTTTCTCTGCACGCTCGGATAGGGTTGCGCGCACCCGCTCAAGCGAGCCCTGAAGTTCAGAGATCCGGGCTGTGTAGAGATCGAGAATGCCGTCGCGCTCCGCCTCTAATGATGATATTCGTGCCTCGTACGGTGCGTGACGTAAGTCCTCAGGCAATCCAGAGTTAGTACCGCTAACAGCTGCTATCCACTCATCCTCTCTTCCAGAGTGCGTGTCCCGAGGCGTTGCAGATGCTCTGCAATTTGTGCATCTGATAGCACTGTTAGGGCGGCTCAACATCCTATCTTCTTTTATCATCTCCATGCGACCAAGCATCCCGATTGCTCCCTTTTTAGATCCGTTGTGGGGTAACTCAAAAGAGGCTACGAAAAGATCTTCCATATTTCCCCCATTATTTCTGAGCAAGTGAACAATTTCCAAGAGTTTCTCATTCTTGTTCTGGAATGCAGCGACCTGCAGTTGGGCTTGTTGTGCTGTATAAATTGCCTCGTTGCGCTCTAGAGACGCAGCTGTCAGCTTTGTCAGCAGTACATTATTCTCAATATTCAACCGCTCGACTTCTGAAGCTTGGGCTCGTATGGTTTCTTTAAGATTCAATATTTCACTAAACCGTGGCAAGAGATTTGAAAACTCTTGTTTGGCCTTGTTTATAAGGGCCTGGTACTTATCGGCGTTCTCCGCAAGGATTTCTTCGTAGTTCTTTAAGTTTTCCAGCGTGCAAGTTTCCATAATCGGGAAAAATAAATTTTAGGTGCCATCGTAATGAAATCCGATCAGAGTCTTATTTTCAAGGCAAAGCTTCCTATTCTCTGCCCGCGGAAAAAGAAAAATGAAACCAAAGACGTTGTTTTGACACTTGATCAGCTCAAGATTCACTCTGGACCAGTGTTTCGCCTCTCGAGCATAACGTCCCTTGAACACACGCAAAACGGAGAGGCACACCTTGTTACGGTTTCGACAGGTGAAACGTCCGCTACGTTTACTTTCACAAAGATATTGGATCAACGAATCATGTTCGCCATTCTCACTGTAGCCACGAACCCTAAGTTTAGGAATTTTTTTGCTGCTGGGATCCCTACAGCAGTTTTGGCATGTTTTGGAGACATCATCTTTAACGGTACAGTGTGCCTTGAGTATCTCATTTCAATCTTTTCAGATGATCCCGGGATGGCTCTCTCGGGGTCGGGATCCGTCCACTCTTCAAAGTCACCAAAGCATCTATCTCCCCAACAATCCCCTAGATTAACTCCAGAACAGCGCAGTATCTTTTTAGACTCGGCTCCCAAGACCTACACAACTCTCTTCAATTGCCTATCGGACCAGGGGACATATGGAATGTCCTCTATACACGTCGTCTGTTCCTTTGACAGGGTCGACATGCTTAGGCTTCTTTTCTCTGCAGGTATGAACATCAGCATGCAGTCCTCACAGGAGCGGGGTAAGCAGACTCCTTTGCATTACTGTCTACATGATGAGAAGGGGAGCGTCCAATGCTTCACATATCTAGTAAGGGAGCTCAATGCATCTACTCACATAGAAAATGCATATGGGTTGACTGTCCTTGAGATCATAGACGCCCAGTGGCCCGGGACATATTACCACTCCCTTCTGGACCAACGGAACGACGTCTTAAGCAACAGGGGGAGCGCTCAGGGAAGTATATGTAGCGTAGAGGACTAAGCAATCTAGTACATTTTCCAAAAAGCATTTCGTTGAAGTTTGACTCTAAAAACGTATGGTGAAGTAAATTAAAAAACTATGGACCGTCCACGGTTCCAGAGGCCCTCACTAGGCTTTCTGGCGCGATACGCCAATCGAGTACTTGCCGCTGAAAGGCTGCCTGTCGAACCATTTAGCGATGACGGTGCCGACTTTGTTCATCGGCTATCCGCAGGGACGAGTCTCGGCTATCTGGTCCTCGCTTGCGCTACACGGCTAAAATTACTCTCCCTTAAATCTGTTCGGTCTCTCAAGAGCGCGCTTTCAAGTGGGATAGACCAGATGTCCGTTCTCTTCATAGCGTCGGGAGTTGTGAGGGACATAGGGATTTCCCCGGATATAGCCGGGCTTTTGTTGCACAATAATCGATCTCAAGAGTTGTATGATGCACTTATTACTATAGCAACCCTGACGGCTACCGCAATGGTCAGAGGACTCGAGCAGGAGACTCTTACTCCAGTTCCATTTTGCTCTGCTTGCATTGAGGACGCTGGTTTTAGTGCTTTTGCAAAAACACACACTTTTGATGACTTCACTTCGGTAAGCCTTGCACCTGGGGATCTATGTAGCTCCTACCTGTGTTCTAGAGCAGCAGGAAGAGCTAAGTCCGCAGCATCTTATTCTCAAAATCCTCATAGATTGCATTTTTCTTCCATTCGCAACCATGCAACGCTCATACTAATCAGCTGGATGAACTATCTTTATACCAAACTCAATAACCTATCTAGAGCAGGACCACAGCATTATACTGGCTTTGACTTCGATGGCAATGAGCTCAGGGACCTCGGCAACTGCATATTCGGTATGTATAAACTAATGAACAATGAAGGTAACGTCCCAATCAATTTGGAGCCTTACCCTACTCTAAAGGATTATTTCCTGGCGACCAAGGGGAACATCGATAGCTTTTTTAGAGTGACATTTTCGAAAAAGCACGACTATGGTTTGCTCGACTTTTTAGTGTTCACTGCATCCTTTAAGTGTCCGTTTCACGATCTTTTGCTGGTCGATGACGACATATTTCATAATCCCGAAGCTACCATAATAGTATTCTCGGAGCTCTTCCACTTCTGTAACGACTTGGCATACGTGGTTGGAGCAAGGGATATGACTAAGAAACTCATCAGAACAAAGCGCATAACGGTTTCACAAAAGGCAAAAATGTATGAGCCAATATTATTCAATCGAGACAGGGCGCTGTCTGCTAAATCTTTGAGGTCACTGCGTGTTGCTGCTAAAGCAGATACTGATAAGAAGGCACGGGCAGCAGAACAGGCCAGGAGAGACGAGGAGGCGCGGGCAGCAGAACAGGCCAGGAGAGACGAGGAGGCGCGGGCAGCAGAACAGGCCAGGAGAGACGAGGAGGCACGGGCAGCAGAACAGGCCAGGAGAGACGAGGAGGCACGGGCAGCAGAACAGGCCAGGAGAGACGAGGAGGCACGGGCAGCAGAACAGGCCAGGAGAGACGAGGAGGCACGGGCAGCAGAACAGGCCAGGAGAGACGAGGAGGCGCGGGCAGCAGAACAGGCCAGGAGAGACGAGGAGGCACGGGCAGCAGAACAGGCCAGGAGAGACGAGGAGGCACGGGCAGCAGAACAGGCCAGGAGAGACGAGGAGGCACGGGCAGCAGAACAGGCCAGGAGAGACGAGGAGGCACGGGCAGCAGAACAGGCCAGGAGAGACGAGGAGGCGCGGGCAGCAGAACAGGCCAGGAGAGACGAGGAGGCGCGGGCAGCAGAACAGGTAAATCTTGCTGTCAATTGGTCTGAATTCAAAATGTTCTGCTCTATTGTAACAGACCTACTACAAACCTTTCCAGCGTCTGCCCCCCTTCGAAAGATAATGTCCTCATCTGAAAGATTACATAATAAAGTAACAACATCAGAATTCCTAAAATGTGATGACATTCCTGCTGGATCTCTAACAGAATTCTGCACCAACTTCAGAAACTGTATCATAGAGCTTCTGGACTCTTTTGACAGTCTCTTCAAGGAGCTCTATTCCTCATCTCCTCCTTCCGCGTACGTCTGCGCGTCTAAAGATGCGTCACGGTGTAAGTATCTTTGCACCTATGAAGGCGATTCCAGATATTTCATCCACGTGGGGATGATGGTTCTTCTACACCAATTGCTATTCGTGTTAGGTGGCATATTTTGTTCTACGTGCAATGTAGCAAGCCCAGACCTGAACTCATTCAACGATTTAGTGTCTCAGAAGTTGAAGCCTTACTTGAAGGAGCCCAAAGACAACTTTATTGTCATGGTAACTAGCTTGTGTGCGCTAGTTCAAAAATATCTTATCCTAGTCTCAGGATGTGACACTGACGTGAACGTTGATGCATTGAAAAAGACTTGCACTCTGTCTGGAGAGGCAACACATGTGACACTACCTCCTGATGTGTATAAAGCTAATGCCGTTAATGTGCTGATAGATGGTATACTTAGCTATAGTCTGTGCTTGACAACGTCGCTAATAGATTCATTTAACGACATTAGCGAAGATTTGTGGAGATACCTTAACAGTGTAGTAGCATATCTAAACATGTCGTATGAAATCGGCCCCGACTTTAATCCAACCACGAACTTCATGCTTTCCCCACGAGCTATGCACTTAAAGCATTTTGACATACTATATCGCAACTACTCCAAGCGGAACATTACCCTTGCCATGAAGGCTCTTCGGGATGCTTATGTTTCCAAAACGGCAGCACTAAGACAGGCAGAGAAACTCCCTGACTTTGTGCTGTGGAGGATACTAAATGGGCTGAAAGTGGGAGAGCTGGACTTTAATTCCGGCGACACCTCCACGTGCATTCGAACCTATTATTGGGTGACAGTACTGGAAGGAGCCATAGAGGAGATAGACTTTCTTCTTGCAGACATAAAAGGCACTGCAACAGGGGGAATTGCAATCACATCGGGAGATGACAGACTCGGGAAAACAAAGCTGGATACAACGATAACACAGGCCTCCGCACGCTGCCTCTTTGTTGCGCCGTTACAACGCACGACGTTCCAGCACGTGTGTGATACTGTGACTGTCCTGTTCAAGAAGCTGTACCAAATAAATAATATCTCAATCGAAAGATCTCTTCTCAGCCAACTGCTGACAGTCCTTATACACTACCAAGACTTTGGCTTGGCGAAGCTACTAGAAGGAGCAGACATTCTTTTGCTATCAAAGCTCAATATAACGGATCCGAAGCAGCTTGTCGCCATGCTCCGAGTATTTGCAAAGCGCACACAGAGCAGCATCCTTTTCTCCAATCCCTTTTCTCCTCTAAACGTTCATAGAAATAAAGTCGACCTTGTCACCCTTCAGCCACCAGATGGCCACACAGTCTATCTGAAGCTTCCGCAGGACAGCAGCTCAGATGAATCTAACGGTGACGGTGTCGATACTGCTAAGCTCAAAAGTGGGGCTGCTGACGATGGACAAGACGCCTCAGCACAACAACCTTTCAATGAGGCCTCAAGCAATTATCACATTCAAGCACTGAAGCCCCTGATGAACCGCTTTAAAGAGATAGCCTTTTCATACAACAATGAACCCGACCTGCTGCAGCTGTTTGGAAGGGTATTCACAATATTCTTTGGAAGCTTTCCACTAGAGTTCTCCAACGTTCTGCTAGAGAGCGCTGCCATGCTGCACCTTTTGATTGACCTGTACAAAAGTGGCCCCTACCCGGGGCTCTTCTTTATACTCCTCCCCCTAACTCCGTACATCGCGCTGGCTGACAAGGACCTTGTGTATGAGCACCTGTGGGTGTACATTAATAAGGTAGACATGGCCATAAAGAGCTTTTTCACAGAACTGATGAAAGCAGGGCAGGAGCAAGGAACTTCCATAGATATTTCGTTGGACAGCGAGAAAATCACAGGCCAGATAATTCGTCCTGTGGAAATTGTTACTGTATTTGCTGAGTCGTGCTCAGATGAGCAGGATTCTGAGAACATATGTCAATATCTGGCGAAGAACTCTGCTCTCTTTAAGACTATTATGGTTAGTAAGTGCACCATTGTGTTAACTCTCGCACATTCCTACATCATCCTCCTCAAGACATTGTTGAGCAACGAAGTCACGATTGCTGGTGTAGGAAGGACGGGATGCCCTATGATCTTTGGGTTCTTGGCTACTCTGATAGAGTATGTGCAAACCCAGGGGAACATTCAGTGCATTGAATTGTCAATAGCAGCTATCAAGAACATGTGTACTGCTGCAGAGAAGGGGATTCTGGATACTCTACTAAAGGAAAAGGAGAACTGGATTGCTGTCTGTAAAACGCTAGTGCAGATAGCCTCCGAGCTGTCTATCAAGGCATATGCTATGGACGCGTTAGTTGATATACTAGTCATTGGAGTGGCCAAGGCGCGTGTTCCTAAGACTACGCTCTCGTCACTTAATGAATCACGCCTGACTGCGGCCCAACGAGAGAAGATTAGGTCCCTTTCTTGAATTGCTAGATAGATCGCATGCTGCCTATTCTTCTATGTCCAAGGTGTTCATACGGCCCTTGAGTTCATCTAAGGTAGATGTCAGGAATCTCATTTCACATAGTAAACTCGCCATTTGGTTCGAATCTTTTTCTGCTAGCGCCTTTCCGAAGAGCTCCGAGCAATCAGAAAAGCGTTTGGTCAGCGCGTGGCGCATTTCAGATAGTTTCTTAGCATTTTTCTTATGATGGAAAGAGGCTATCTGGTCTCGGAGAACCATCTGGTCAATCAAGAGGGCCGGGGAGGCCGCCGACGCTGAGACATTGTACAGAGACGCCAGGTACTCCGCTCGCCGCATGTCATCTTTGAGAACGTCATGTGCATGGTTCACCTCCGATGACAGGCTCTCAGCCAGTTGGAGGAGCCCTGGCGGCGCGTTAGGTGTCCTAACCTCTTTGCCAATAACATCTGGGTGTATTCTTGCCTGCAGCATATTGTATCGCTGTTTGAGCTTCTTCAGATCTATGTCATATGTCTCTGAAATGCCCATAAGCTTGAAGTAGTTGGTTGGCCGAGAGATGGGCTGAAGAGCTCCACAGCCGCTACAGAGAATAGTCACGGGCTGCTTGGTTCCACACTTCCAGCACGCATGTTTAAGGTAACGCTCAATACGACCTAGGATGGTTGACGAATTTGCTGAGAATAAGGTTGGTAGAGCCATTTTTTTACTGGCCAAAACTGATGTCTCAAAGGCCCAAAATCTCAGGATACATCCGCATTATCCCTGTCCCAGAAGCTACCCGCAGTTGCTTCTTTAACCCTAAGCATGCCGCTCTTTATGAAGTCCGAAAGGAGTCTACTTCACAATTGACGATTCCGTTTATTGCTCAAGGAGTTACACGCCCGAGCTCCGCCTCGATACTGTCATATCATGGAGGAGGAGGAAGGGGCAGAGCAGCTAGGGAAGCGGGCCCCATAAGCTTTGGGGAGGGAAGATCCCTATTAAGCTGTCAAGCCATTGTGGGACCGGACGAAACCAACGATTGGCTTTACGGGGAGGTACTGGACTGGTATCTGGATCTTCTATGCCACGGAGAGGATCTACATATTCTTGCGTTTGCTGGTACCGACGTGGGGCACCTTTCCGGCCCCCTGCCGGAACCTATTTCCTTCTTCTTCTGCAGCATGAGCAGCCTTGAGCAGTGCTTTATTGCTCGCTTACTGCATAGGCTCAAGGCCAGAAGTCCTGGTGCAATCTTCACCTTATCATGCCAAGTACTTGGCTATCGTGAGAACAACAGTGTCGTGTGCCTCATGCCCCAACAATATATAACCCCTGATGCTCTGCTGAATACATATTGCAGCCTGCTCATAGACGTAGGTCGAACCATGCCCACTATCTCTACCTTCAATATAACCATTTCAGACGAATCTGGATCCTTTATAGTGACATCCACGTTGAAATTGGGCATAATTCCCTTTGTCGGCGGAGCTTCTGGGTCCACTGCCATACCAGTGCTTGAGGAAGCTATTCCGGGAAGGGGTCACTTTCCAAGAACCACTCCAGGGGTAGGCTCTCAGCAGTTTATAGAGACAACATCCATCAACCATCTTTCTCCATCTGGAAGCAGTGGAAAATCTGTAATCACCCAATCCTGTGGCCCGACGTTGGCGCATAGGATCAAGGAAGGAAAGTGTAGCAGAGCAGAGAGGCTAGGAGACATCCAAGTCTTGGGTTGTCATGGAGTCCAATCAGAGCGAAGCGCTGTAGAGGTGCCCTCTTCCATAATACATCCATCCGCAAACAACGAAAGCATAATGACACAGATCTCCGCAGCATTCGCAGCTCTATGCAATAGAGAACTTCCCCTCTTGAAATGTCCTTTTCTCTTGGATCTAAAGGATACGTTTACAGGGAGGGTCTGTACATGCGTCATCGGATTCGTGTTTCAGAGTGCTGGACGAGATCGTTGGACTCGTAAAATACTTAGCACTGTTAACAAGGTATCGCTTGTGGCCAGAAATAATAATTGGGCCGGGCCAACCACTGCACAGAAGACGGTGACAATTGATGCAGATGAACTTCAAATGATCAGGCGAGCAGCTGATAGAGCTCACCTACTGGAGGCCGAATTGAATAGTCTCAAGCACGAATCTAAGCGGTTTATCACTGCGTCCGCTCTTGATATGGCTGTTTTGAGGACAAAGGCAGAGGCTTTAGCGTCTCAAGAAGCTATTCTAAAGACAGAGAGAGCATATCTGGCACAGAAAAGCAAGCTACTGATTAACCAAATGGATATCTATCGCAGGTTAGAACAAAACGCTATCAACCACTGTAGCTGTGGAACAGGATGCAATTCTCTTTCGCGGTGTACATGCGAATGTTCGAAACGGCGAGCTTGCAGTAGCAAATCCTACTAAGTGTATGCTTTCTGTTTAAAGCCAAAGCCAAAGCTAAAAATAAAAATAAAAATGCCGCCCCGCACTCGCTCTTCGGGAGCCCTTGTGCGTATGAATCCCACGCGCGAGGATGAGGCCTACACAAAGGAAGTCCTTAGGAAGACAAGCGACGGGTTTAGGGCGGAGCTAACATCCGGTAAGTCTGAGCGGATAACCCAGAATCTTAGAAATCAAGACGAGGGGACCCTCCGGCTTCAAGAGTATCTTATGGCCGCTGAGGTCGATGCACGCCCTCCCAAGAAGATTGACACCCTCATGGATCAGAGTGATGCGCTTAAATTGCAGAAGTCTTTGACAGCTCTACAAGTTGCACCGATTCAGAGATCCCGTGTCCAGGAGCCTCCCAAATACGAAATAACATCAGAGGATAAGGATTCTTCTTCTAGTCAACCCCAGCAGGCTTCCCTTTCCGAAACATCCAGCACGTCAACTCCTCCAGAATCTAGCCCCACGCCAAGCCCTCCACCTGCACGGAAATCTCCCAAGGATGTGCCTAAGCCAGCCACTCCAACCCCACTCAGACAGTCGGCCACTCCTATCAAGAAGCCGTCCCCAGCTATCCAACCGTCCCAAGAAGATGAGTACACAGATGAGTATGTCATGGTCAAGCAGCGTGTCAAGAGAAGACCGCGTCCACCTTCGAGGCTATCAACGAGTACGAGAGTGGTTACAGCTGGCGAACCCGGTATGCTCTACGCCTACAAGAAAGCATGGGGTTGCGCTGAGTATGTTTACGCTAGCGCATGTGGATTACTTGCTCTCATGGTGCTCTTCATCTTCAGCTACCTGCTGATGCGCCTCTGGACGGGATGTGCTGGGCTAGGCATCGTTGGCGCTGGTGCTCCACTGGTTCCTATACATACAGGTGACGGTGTTGCAGGCGTGTCCTGCACAGGCCCGTCACTGAAAGAAATACAATCTCTCCTTGAGTTAAACAACAAGGTCCTGCTCAAAGAGTGGGGCAATGCTCGCGCATTTACACTAGATAATAAAGAAATTCATAACATTGCAACTCAGGTGGCGTCCAAACTTTCGGATCAGCATCAAAAGTTGGAGTTCAAGATTGCAGAGATAATTGATAAGCATACGGCTCGGGCCACTGATCAGAGTATTACGACCAACCAACTAAAAGATCTAGCCAAGATAGTTAGGGACGAAGTGACTTCAGCGACCAAGGAGCGCACTTCTGCACTCTCTGATGCTATTGCTAAGTTTGAGAAGGAGATGCTGAATGCGCAGTCTGCTACCATCGATCTGATGAAGGATCTCCTCAGGAACAACAGTTTCAATGCGACCTCAACGCCAGCAAAGAAAGCCTCGGAGAAAATCAAAGCAGCTGTTGGGAAGATATCTGATGCGACAGATGCAGTGGTAACCGCAGGATCTGCCGACTTCACTGCTCTATTTACGATGATAGAGGGCCTGTCACGTAGGTTAGAGACGTCATATCGCAACGAGAGCATCACTAAAGAGTTACAGGCCTTGCAGCAATCGATCCTCCTTGACATCCAGACACAGCTGAAGGATGCTGCCGCAATAACAAACCAGGTAATTAGCGACTCTCTAGCTAGCATCCGTACACAGACAGAGAGCTTATCCACTGTGCTTATTGACCTTGCTGCAAAGTCCGCTGTCAATGCAGAGGTATCTGTCAATGGTACGGCCCCAGTAATGTTTGCATCTGAAAGCCTGAGCTCTATGCAGCACGCCATAGATAGAATTATCGTTGTACTTGGAGAGCTTTCAGACCGGGTGGGCTCTGGCTTTGGTAGCACTGGCAGCCATGGTGATTCTCAGTCCTCACTGTTGACATTAGCTGACCTTGAAGAGGCACGGTATAAGCTTTCCCAACACATTACACAGCAGGCACAGAACGTTACTCTTGCTATTCAGGAGAGGATAAATGCCTCAGAAAACAAGATGATTCAGGAGGCTAACGAGCGCGTGGATCATCTGAAGATGGGACTAGCAGGAATAATAAAGAAGGCTCTATTGAAGCAAACGAGCTACTCTTCCGAAAGCACAAGTACTGTCTCACAAGGCGTAGTTGACGATCTGCGGTTACAGTACACGGATTTTACGAAACAGTCTTTTGGGACAAGAATTGCAGGCAAATCTGATGACATTACGAACATCGCAGAGAGCCTCAAAACTCTCATCTCCGGGAACGAGCGTGTACGGCTCATGTTCAACGAGAACATGTCACCAGGAGCATGTTGGCCGACGAAGAAAAACGGGCATGTTGTATTGCGTTTTAAGGACCCAGTTACGTTGTACTACGGCACTATCTCACATCCAGCTGCGCCGAAGCTCTCTACCGGCCGGACTACTGTCCCACGTGATCTAACGTTCATCGGGCGCACAACCACTGGAAAGGAGATTCAGCTGGGGAGCTTCACTTTCGACGTCGATGGCCCAGAGCAGCAAGCCTTCCAACTGCAGGAGAATCACGACCTCATACAGGTACGTGTTCAATTCACAAATAACGGCGGAGAGTACACATGCATATATAATCTTGGTTTATTTGGAGAAAAAGATGGCAAGAAGCTTTAAGGAAAGGAAGTGGTGACGGTGTGCAGGGACGTCCGTGTGTCACCAGTGTGTTGTAAATTTCTGATTAGTGTCCTAGTTAGACATCTGGTCTGATATTGTTGGTTGCTACGTAATCATGTATAACTCTGCTCAGGTCAGGGATGTTGACGGGTTCGTCGGACGGCGAGTAGAGCACGACAGTAAGGTACTTGCTGCGATACTTGATAGACGCAGAGGTCGCGGTGATCATCTTCCGCCTCTTTTGGCGGAAGAAGTGCGTGAGCGTGACATGTTCGGGGATTGGCAGGAGCAGTGTAGGCTCATATGTGTCTGTCTTAGAGATGGTCTCGTTGAGAATGGTCTTCAGGAGCTGCTTCGGCACCTCAGATGGAAAGCTCTTCCACACGTCCCTGGGATTATCTGGAATCGACAGAGTGAACCACGCATCGATCTCTCGGTGCGACTCCCCGGGCCTAAAATCACAACGGGCATCTTCCTGATTCGCAGGCTCTGTAAGGTGGCCCGAGACAGAAATCTGGATCACATTGTTCAGGTTTCCGTCGTTGTCGCGGCATTGGGGCTGATCAGGCGCACACACCCAATTTCCATCCACTATAAATTTATACTGATAGATGCCTGGAGGTAAATAAAGAACTGCAAACCATGTTCCCGAGTGGTTGCGCTGAAGAGGCAACCGCTCCGTCCAGTTGTTGAAGGAGCCAATACAGTAAACTGCCGATCCATTAGGATCGTTCCAGGTAACGGTGACCTCCACAGTGGCGGGGTCATTCGGGACGGCCGGGGAATCAGCGAGTCTGGAATCCGCTTGACCCATTTTTTAATTAACTTTTTAATTGGTCAGAGCACCGGTGTTGCTGAAGATAGACGGCAGAGGAGTAAAGGATTAGAACAACGAGAAACGAGTGGCTACATAGCCCATGCACTTTTTTATAGTATTTCAATCAAGCCTTTCAACTAGACGGTAAGTCCTTTCCCGATGAGAAGTAACTAGACAACTTTGTAGATCAGGAAGATTGAGCAAACACCCCATGAGCGATACATGTCAAAAGCGCCTGGTAGGGCAGAGAGACAGGAACGCTGCCATCCTAGAGCTTACCAGATGACAGCAGAAAGGCAGCAACAGGTTGAGTGGCTGATCCCAATTGCACAATCATACAATATAAACTAGGCCAATCAAATTAAAAAGTCAAAGCAAAAATGCAGGTGATCTTTGTATCGGAGCTTCTCAAATACCCTGTCAGTGCGCTGGTCGATGATATGGCAACAGTAAAGTTCCTTTACACTATAGCAAAAGTCGTCCTTCACAGATATGGCATTCAGCCGGTCTTTTACGGTCTTTTTATTAACGGGCGGATCGTCTCCGGAGATGCAACCCCGGTGAGGTCCATCGCTAATTCTCAAACTAGCCCGCTCTACTTGCAGATTCTTATTCCAGAACTTGTCCGAAACATGTTAGAAAAGTCTTTGGAAGATCAGTTTAACGCTTTAAAGAATATTTCTAAGCACGCGTCCGATACCAGAGTAAGTGGATCCACTCAGAAACCTGTTCTAAGACAGCGTGGCGCCTCTGTGCGTAAACGGTATGCTAGACGCTAAGTCAATTGTGCGCCTAAGTCCTGGATGGCGCGGCATAGTTAGGTCTATGCTTTCTGTATTACTACATTTACGCTTGTCGGTTATCCTGTGTCTTCGCCTTGGTTGTTATCGTGATCTGCAGTCTGGATGAATAAACATGTCCTTTGATTCAAAAAATGCACTCACTTGTTTTTTAACTTTAACAACCTGCCTCGCTCATGGCCACGAAAGAAGACTATCTTCCGACGACGAAATTCATAGGGTTTGACCCCAGGACCTCCGTTTACCAGCTCCACAACTTTGTCAATAAGCAGTGCGAGAACCTCATGCTCGAGCGCGTCCTAGTGTATTATAATGGAAACGAGGCATATGCTTTGGTTACAACTACCAACGAGCAGCTGATAGCAAAGATATGCATCCATTTCAACGTAACCTCTATCCCAGTCGGTCGAGTCAACGTCCAGAGTATGTTATGGAACAGTCAGTATCAGTACGACACCGGTAAGAAGGCAATTCAGAAGTTTGCCGACGAGTACCCCGGTGAGGCCATGATCATGATAGTGATGTACCATTTGGCAGACTGCACCATGGCCACTGACTGCGTAACGCTTCTAGATGAGTTTTGTCAGTATTACCCCTTCGATTCTACGGATAATCTTCATGTCATTGTAAAACCAGACTTTGTCCCGCACGTTGTTCAATGTATTAAGGGGGGTCAGATAATCTTCAAGAAGGACCCGCCAAGCTTCAGGGTGCACCCTAATCTGCAGACAAAAAGCCCCACCTTCAACAGACTTAAGCTTAAGGTCGAGGCTATGCCTGACATGGCAAACGACCTTGTAGATTGGCTTTTCAAGCGGAAGTATATGCCTTCCATCAAGATTATGCGCAAGAGCGAGATGCTCTACCCATGGGATCCTAAACCAGGAGAGCCTGTTATACGGAATAAGACTCCGCGGAAAAAGCCTTCAAAGAGCAAGAATCCTATGTGGGATAGGACAAATGCTAACTTTACACCCGTCTACTCGGCCACCGAAGATGGATCTATTATTCGTCATGGAAAGGCGAACTGGACCTGGGACTGGAAGGCCGATGAGGTAGAGGACGACGGCAAGGAAAAGGGCACTAAACTTACATGGTCGACGTCTCCTCAGGTCTTTTCAGAAGCTCCAAAGTAAACTGCATATTACTCATGACGATATTCTTCTTGATGCCAGCAAACCTTGTTCGCTTTGAGGAACACTGCGCATGGGTCTTATATTTGGTGTTCAGCGAAGAGAACTTACCCTGTTTCACCAATATAGATGCCCGGTAGGTGGCCCAGGCCGCCACCACTCTTCAGTGCGGTCAGGATCAGTCCGCCTCTGCCAGCCAGACACCCCAGGGGCCCCATCTCTTGTCGAGGGATTCATATGGGTCACGTGTGGGTCCATCTCGACCAGCGTGGCGAGTGATTAGTGCCATTACCAGCCTCGAACGCTCATCTGTACTCGCTACCGCCTCGGGGAGGAGGCACAGATCTTCCCCGTCAGAACTGGACGATATCTGACCTTCTGATTTCGGATTCTGGATCTCGGCTGGTGAGCGAGCGAGAGACTGCCAGCCTGGGGCGGCGGCGGCTCGCATGGAGGACCTGTTCAGGCAACAGCTGACAAACCAACCAGAGGAAGCAGAATGAACTCTTCTGTTCACAGCGTGCCTGACGCCACGGCCGAAGGTCACTCCATTGCACCTTGCTACACATAGCAGGGGCGACGGAAGGAATTCAAGGGGTGCAGTCTTTGTATGATGCGCCATCTGGATGCGCTGCAAGAGGCCCAGGAATTGCAGGCGTACTGACACACGAGCTCTATGTGACCCGCAGTAAAAATGTCGTCTGCGGATGATTTAGGTCAACTCCTTCAGGAGTGCGACTGCGCCCCACCCCTCATGCCCGAAAGGGACACGAGCGAAGAGGGCGCAGGAAACCCAACTGAGCCTTCAGAAATGGATGATGAAGGCAGCGTGGACGAGAACGGGGTCACCACGCTTATGAAGGCAGCCAACCGAAACGACGTGAAGGCGGTGAAGCGCTACATCCCTTATCAGGCAAGGATGGTGGCGAAGCTTGTCAAGGCAGGGAGGAAAGACATAAGTGGGGGGACGGCCCTGATGGTTGCTGCGGTGCTCGGACACACCAGAGTGGTGAAGCTGCTGATGAGGTGCGAGAGCGGTATGAGGAGCAGTAATGGATGGACAGCCCTCATGTGGGCGGCACATTTTGGCCGCACCGAGGTCGTGAGACTACTCCTGGATGCTGAGGGAGGCATGCAGAAAGGCAGAGGTTTTACTGCCCTCGTGCTTGCAGCAGGGCATGATCATCTGGAGTGTGTCAAGTTGCTACTGGAGAAGGAGAAGGACATAGGTGGCGTACATGCCATCCGTACGGCCAATAGATGGAATCACTCCGAGGTAGCATCTTTTCTCGAGAGTGAGGGTATTGTAGATCCATACTTACAGATGCAGCCTAGGAAACTTGTGAGTGAACTCGCCTACTTGCTGATCATATCACAATGTTTACCCTGTTTCACTGAGATTAGTTTGCTAGTTGCTGTCCAAGTAAATCCCCCGTGCGAGTCGCCGCCCTGAACAAACAAGTACCTCCCGTCCCTGCATCGGTTGAGATCCAGAATCCGAAATCTGAGATCGGATGTAGCGATTCCGATGGGAGAAGAAGAAGGAACTTTGCTCTGCCTCTCGGGAGTCCCTGCCGCTCCTCGCGGTGCCCCCTAGGACTTTCCTTCCTCTGGCCCGTCGGGGTCAACCATCGTCTGACATCTATTGAGCACCTGCTATCTCAGGTCTTGCGTCTGTCGCGGCGATCTGGCCTCCACGTGGCCCTGGTGCTGGTGCTCCATGACGAAGATCCCACGCCACGACCCCGGGTGCCTGCCCCGTTCCTCGGGTGCCTCTTCGCCTCCTCGTGGAGGGCACCATCTGTTCCATTATCAAGGGTGTGCTCCCCCTGCGCCTCTGTCTTGGAGTCATAGTATGCGTTCATGGATGCCGATGGAGTAATCCCATGCGGTGGTGTCGGGGGAGGAGGCCCACCCCTCTGCTCATGGATCGCAGTGCGCTCTTACAGGTGGCCAGTCACCCAGTACGAGATCGTGTCGGCGCATCATTCTATGCAGTGCGTCTGGCTCAATGACGTATGAGCTGGTCCATCTGCACCGCACAGCACGCTTGGGGTGATGCTTCGGTCTGCTGAGGCGTCGGTCCAGGGCCACCTCTCTGAAGGGTGTCATCCGAAGCATCACGAGCGATCAGGACCGGTTCACCGTCAGGCCGTCTCTCTCTACAACCGGCGCCCGTCTACTCGAGGGTGTCAGGCACTGCCAGCTGCTGCGGCAGACCCCCGGCAGGTGGTCCAGGCCTCCACTCTTCGGTGCGGTTAGGATCAGTCCGCCTCTGCCAGCCAAGCACCCCAAGTCCTATTTCTTGTCGAGGGATTCACATGGGTCACGTGTGGGTCCGTCTGGACAGGCGGGGCGAGTGATTAGTGCCATCACTGGCTTCAAGCTCTCCGTTGCTCTGGGAGCTCCTTGAGACCGGCCAGGAAGGAGGCCTCCTGCCCCTCAGTGCTCTTACACCCAATGTTGACCGTCGAGCATAGCGCTTCGCTAGGTCTGTCGCCTCTGTGACTACCCTGTCGCGTCACTGTCATCGGCATGGGCAGTGAGTGGAGTATCTCCTTCAGCTCCTGGTGAGCAGGTTCTGTACCACGCAGTATGGGGGCATGCGCAGGGCCCCGAGGGACCGAGTCCAGGAGTGCAGCGCGTCCCAGCCGGAGGAAGGCCTCGACGCAGCTCCTCGGGACGGGGCACACTTGCCTGGGAGAGGCCGTCTGCTGTTGGGGCTCTCGTTATGTCGAGCAAGACCGCTGTACCCATCAGCTTGTGTCTCCCTGTGCCATGCGAACACCACCCATGTGCAATCGGTGGAACGCAGTCTGCTCTGTCTCGAGGAAGGCCAGTGTCTGGGTCTCCAGGGGGCTCGGGACTGCCTTGTGGAGCGCATCATGATCGTCCCCTGATCGTGGTTGTCCTGTCTCGTTCTTGGGAAGAGGGCAGAACAAAAGTTCTTCTCCCGTCGGAGTCGCTTGGCACTTGAGTTCGAACTTTGGGTTTTGATCTTGGCCAATGCAGGGATGAGGGAGACCTGCTTCCCCAGAGCGGCGGTAGCTTGCATGGGAAGATCACTCAGATAGCAGGTGACAGCCCCACCCCGGCTAAAAAACTTGAGGCAGCCGTCGCGCCCGCCGCCCCCAGGACAGAGATTCTGCGTGCATGGCCAGCTGCCCTTGTCAGTTCGGTCTACTGGTCCGGTAGTCTGAGGACCTTCTGCGCCGCTTCTGATGTATGATGCATCGCAACTGCTTATAGGGGTAAGCAGCATGAAAAGGCAATTGCATGTGTGGACATTGTACTATGACCGTCTCAGAGGGCCGAAGTCTCCAACTACAGAGCGCTGCACCGAGCAACACGCCCCACTGCCCTGCGCCGGTGGCTGCCTCCACCACCGTCTTCGTTGCACTTGGGCTGTGCCTGCCCAGCAGACTGAGCAGAGATTACAGAAGCTTCTCTAATAATGCACACACGCCGCATAAGGTCTGATGATGGAATGGACACCACCTGTCTGAGCTGTCTGCTATTGACGAGAGACAGCCCTTGGTTGCACTAGAGTGCTTTTGTTTAAGCATAAGGTCTTCGCACCTACTCCCCCATCAGCTATAGCGATAGCTGTATATCCAGAAGGGTCCTGCAGAGCGTTCCACCGTCTTTCAAGGTAAGGCATGGGCTCCATACCTATAGCTAAAAACAGAAATCCGTGCACCAAGTGTCACGAGTCTAGTATACTGACCGACCTGAATCGCAGTGCACTTGTCAAGGACCTGTGCACACGTTTGGATGCTCACTGCTAGTGGTAGACGGGCTTGTAAGGAAAATTGCTTCTGGTCGCGCTTGCCTTATAGTGTTTGATCCTGGGTGGCATGCCTCAGCAAAGGAAGATGCTATTTATATGCATAGAAGGCTATCCATGCACAGTGATTCCTGGAAAGCCGGTTCGCACGGAGAGGGTAGAGGCCATCAGCAAACCAGTGAGATACACCTGACGCTAGAGAGGCCAGCTACCGGCTCAGATTGCAGTGGTGACACTTGTAGTGCCCCTCTGACTTCTAAGCATGGAAACGTCACGGGGTCTGTGGGCAAACCGGACGCTCTTTTTGATTTTATACGTTTGTAGCAACGTAGTATTTATTGGGGTCTGCTTCGTCTGGAGTCGAGGAGGCTCGCTTTCTCTCCACATACAGATTAAGATCGATTGTAGGGGTATACTGTGCAGATCAGTACCAGTCAGTGTGGTCTCTGTCCACAGGTACCTCACTTGCGTCTTCCCGTGGCAGACATTCACCAACAACACCTCCGGCCTGTGTGGTGTTCTACAGTGTACCTTCACCTTCGACCAAGGGGCTGGTACACACGTTACGTAATTTAGATTGCTCATCAGTCAGGGTGGTATGGTCCGCTCTTGTTCTCCACTTGCATATCTCGTATAACCTGCTGATAGCCTTTCCAGATTAGTATGCAGATGCTTCTATCGGTCCTGTAAGGCATGCGTCATGTAGGTAACCATTACAGGCCAGAGTCCTGTCTGCTAAGGAAAAGAACCACCAGTTTACCATGTGGACATCCGTTGTGCTCTCCAGTATCTCCTCGCCAGCCGCCATCTAGTTCTCCCTGCCGTTTGGAGCCCGTATGTATATTGTTACTGACAAGCACTTGGTTTCAATGGGCCCCTGGGACGTTAAGCACTTTACCCTGTGCAGTGGGTATGTTCAATGTGGGAGATACACAATCAGCATTGACTTTCTCACTCATTGTTTGTGTAATTATTGTTGCTTCTTAGTCTAATTAGCAACCCAGATCATGGCCTCCAGTGTAGTGGTATTCTACCAACAGACAGCTGGCAGTGACTGTGGCACGTACTTTCATCAAGACACAGCCACCTGAGCAGGGGTATGAAATGGGTCCTTGTTATTCTACGATTCTGCTAATTCCTCAGATAGCAGGGATCAGAGCAGCTTATTGTTAGTATTGACTATCTCCGTGTCTCCATTTATCTTCGTCGCTTGAGA